TGGCCAACTGGTGCCCTGAGCCACGGCGACTATAACCTAATTCATACAAACTACTGGACGGCGGATCTCCAAGCCTGCATACATACATACTGAAGGGGGAATATTGCCTAATCCATGCCCCCCTTTCACGGACAACAGCAGCCACGTAAAGGAAAAGACCAGGGTGAATGAATTGAAATACGTGAAGAAACGGCTGGCAAACACCGCCAGCTCAAAACAGGTGATCATCCGCTAACTGATGCGCTGTTTGGGTTCCTCTTTGCCATGTGGTTTTACCCGGCGCAGCAGCTGTTTCGCTAGTAAATCACCACCACCACCCTTCAAAAGCTGACAAGCCCGCCCCATCTTTAGCGTAGCGGTCGCCCACCCACACCCCCTGGCAGGTGCCGCTGCAGTGCAGCCAACGACAAACGGCGTGCTCCACGTGTAAGAAAGGAAGAGGAAGAGAAGCGCTCTAGAAAACGTGGAGGATGTGCTGGACCGTCAGCCTATGACGGGTACACCCACGCACATCATTCCCTACGATCATTTACATCCCAAGTTGAAAGGGACTTGCATGTAGATGTGTACACTTTTCTTTTTCTTTTTTCATGATTTAGATTGTAGTTGGCGTATGCTTCGGATAGAAGCCGTGCAAGCCCACCCCCGTCTTATACACAATCGTGTATCACCCAAACAGAACGAAACCATAAAGACCACCGCGTGAGATTTTGGCTGCTTTGTTTGCCCCCAATCCACTCCGTACAGTACATCCTCATCCGTAGAAGTATGTACATGCAGCAGTGGCCGTGTAATCCCCATGTGCGTGGTCGGTAATGCAACGCAGCCGCGTGTGTGCCCTTCCGTTAAATGCCAATCTGGTCCCCCCGTTTAAAGCTGAACCTGCGTGAACGGTTCTCTGCATAATCATCTTCCATTCTTTTTGCTTTTTTCGACCTTTTCCAAACCCATCTCCAGCGCTATTCGACATCTGCTCTGCTCTGTTCTGCTGTTCGACTTACTTACGACTGCCACCACATCGCTATACCGGACCGACACTTAACGACACTGCCCGACGACTACGTACGCACAAAAACTGCAACGTTCGCTTGACCAGAAATTTGGCCGTTTGACCGAGATTAAAACGCTTCGGTCAGCGCCCGTCGTATTCTTCGACTCGGCCTTTCTCTTCTTCTCGGACGACCAAGAAGAAACGGTGCCGGAGCAAGACCCCAAATAGGCCATTTTTACATCTGAGCTCGCCGCGCTGCCGTTGACACCAGCGCACTTCTGCGCCAGCACTCAGGGGCGCTTCATTCTGCACGCCCCCTTTTTCGAACGAACGGTTTCTTTTACTTGCAGCGTTTTATTGGAGACAATAATTGATTTCTCAACAATTGCAGAGAAAAAAAACGCCCCTCTTTCTTTTTGGGATCGAAGCGTTTTCCTTTTTGGTGAGTCCGATCCTTTCCATCCGGCCCTTTGGGATGGGTAGTACTACAGCACTCTACGTACACTGTTACAGTAGATTTGGCATGCTAATTACCACGGCAGTTGGGGGCTGATTTACAAAGTTAGCGGCACACACACCACGGACCGCGCTGCCAACACATACAGTCCTATCCGATCTAGCAATTTTTTCTATTGCTGTTGCTGCCTAGAAGAATTTTTTTTTATTCTTTTGCAGGCTTTGCCGCGCTGACTGAGAGCGCGCTTGAAGTCCACCGGCGTTGCAAATTCCCACCAATCCGTTGGCCTCAACAGACGCGGAGGCTCCGTACGCTAGGAAAATCACTTTGTCGGACCTCGCCGGCTGTAAGAGCCTCTCTACACTCAAATTTTACAAGCATTATACGATGACAGTTCCAGAAAAGGTACGCCAAAACAGACACCGACGGGGATCTACACCGATCGGTATCTTAAATTTCCTTGATTCTCTTTTGGGTTGTTGCCTAGCAAAGCCTGTTCCCCTTGCATGTTCAATTTTTTTTTTCACCGTTTGTTCCCATTTTTTTTTCTCTTCTATTTGCTGCCTGGAGATGCGTATCCACTTGCCACGGGTTCGACAAGGAGTCTGAGGCATGGATATTGTTACAAGTGTGATGATGATGACGGCAGACAGGCAGCAGCCAATAGACAGATGAAAGAAACACTGCGAGTGTGGTGTTGTTGGCGACGGACGCTGTATCGCAAGCCTCACGCCCAGAATTCCCTAGTTGGGAAGTCCCGCCTCCACCGCCCTTCTTTTTTATACCAGCGCCAAAAAGGATGCTATACGAGCAGCAGGTCATACCGTCTGGTAGAGCAAGACTGTACTGGCTGTACTCTACTGCAACTATAGTGGAGTTTGTCTTGTTGTCTTTCAAGCCGCTATACATTTTGCTTGTCCACTGGCAGCAACACCAGCAACCGCACTGCAGTCGTCCTCCTCCAGCACAGGGCTAGGCTGCTTCGGGGTTAGCGCCGTATGGCATGTATCCCTGGAGCCACGCGCCGATCTGGTTGATTTCGAAACTTGCTTGCACGCATCGCCTGCCTGCCTGCCTGCGTGCTGCAGACCAAAAAAAGACAAGCCAGAGAGCGGACAGCAGCTCAGCCCAGCCCGCCCACCAAAAACCGCACCCCCATTCACCCATTCAAACAACGCCCACTTTGACAACCCAAGGCGCAGGGGGGCGTGAGACTTCTTTTGCAGAGAGCGAGCGCGAAGACCCCAGACCCGCACTTTAAGTCGTCAGCTGTGTTGAGTGTGATGCTCTGTTTTCTCCAGCGATGATGGGCGCCGTGGCTACGGGTCTTGCGCGGCTTTTGGGGGACTCACACTGCGAGCGGGGGAGCCGGCCATTCTCAGCACACAGACACACGCGGCACACTGTCAGCATTTGGTGGCCTAGACAGGTCTAAGCTGCCTTTTTTTTTTTGTTCGCTGTCGTCGGAGGTCGCCGCCTTATCAAAGAATTGAAATGACATTTGTGCTTTGGCGTGGGCAAAGAAAAGAAAGGCAAGAGTTTTGGTGGGAGGGCGTGTCTGCGAGAGTTTCGTCCGGACTTGCATTTTCCTGGGCGTTGCAGGGCGCCGGCCGGTGACCGCTACGGCACGTTTTCTTCGCGTGGGCAGGCAAATCTGTTTTTGGCGGGCTTGCCATGCGCCCACAGCGGGCTTTTGCACTGGGCTGGGCTGCCAAGGCTGAGTGCCGATGTGGACGGCAACCCAGAGAAAACGCCGTGTAAAAGAAAAAAGACAAACAAGAACACTGGAACAGGGCATTTGGTCGTCTGTAGACGTCATCTACGGTTGCCATTGCGTCTCGCCACGCTTTTTTTTGTGTCGTCTCATCCCGACCGTCACCCGTCGTTGCAGTCACGCCCGAGGATGGCCGGCTGTTGAATGAGACAGAGAGAGGACTTTGCCATGCAACGTCCGCATGGTACTTTGCTACGGTACTTGTTACTGCGTGTGTTTGTGTCTCGAAAAGCAAGCACCCAGAAGGGACGTGGAAGCCCAATTTTGTCTCTCCTCCATGCCATGCTGTTCCCATCTGCGGTTTGCTTTGTTACCCCTCCTTGCGGGAATGCAACGCGGCACGATGCAGATGCCGGCTTGCAGCACCACCACTATCAAAGGCCATGCGTCTCCGGTATGCAGTCGGCGGGCTGGTCTCCTCACCGGCAGAGAAAAAAAAACAGACTTTTTCCCTGCAGAGCTTCACCGTCTGAGAGAAAGTGTGCATCGTCGTCGTTTTGGACATGGGTTTGGCAAATCTGGCATAGATACAGTCACGCGGCGAGCCTGCAAGGCAACGGTGCCATTCTACGAAAGCAAGACGGGTAGCACCAGCAGTGCGTGGCCAATGGCGATCTATCTACGAGACAAGACAGACAGACACGAGACGGATTCTGTTTCTGTGTCTGGACGGACAATGGGGTCTCTCTCGCCTCTCCTGGTGGTTCTTCGCTGTTAGGGTTGTCTCGCCGGATATAGCGAGTTGGCTGGCCGCTTTCAAGTGAAAGATGCGGCTATTGCTTGCTGCTGCTGCTGGAGCCATGATAGGCAGCATACAGCCCACAATTAGTTGCGTCCCGTCTTTGTTATAGAGGCAATATGGAGACGGGCTATGCATTGCTCCGCTTGGGTTTGCAATAGACAAGCCAACATCGCTTTTTTGTCTGGTGGGTGGTTTTTAGTCGGAGGTAGACCGCCGCGCTCTGGGCTGTGGTGGTGGTGGTCTCCCACTAAAATTAACTCCAGCCGCCCCGCTTTTCGGGACATGTGTGCGTCCAGCGCATCGCAGCGGCTCCTCCAGCGCCGTTTCCAGCACGCTGTCCACTGAAAAAGGGCCCACCACAGCGAGCGAGCGCCAGTGTGTGCTGCTGCCGGTGCTGCTGCCGCACGCCAAAAGTATCGTCGACGTTTTTACAGCACGGCGCCGCGCCCACACTCCCCCCCTGGCCCCGGCTTTTTCACTGCTCTGCTCTTTTTTATTTTCTTTCCCACCACGCCCCCCCCTGACTCCGCCCATCACGCCCCCTATCCGGCAAGCCTATCTGTGTTATTTTTTCCCACGTTCTTCAGGCGCTCTGCCGTTCTCCCTCCCATTCGCCCATGGGCGGGCCTGACCCTGTTTTATTGACCCTCGCTGGTCTTAATTGCTCCGTTGCGTGGTAGCCCTGCTAGCGGGTTAGCGGCACCCCCCCTTACCCGCTGCTTTTCCTTCTGCGTCTTCCTTCTTTGGCTTGGCCACAAGTGGGCTTGCGCTCTGCTGGGGTTTCATCTTTTTCTACACTTCTTCTTCCATCCTTCTCCTCTTCCTTCTTTTTCTTCATTCTTGTCCCCCGTTTACCAAGAACGCCGACAAAGGAAGAAAACACCACTGCTGCCCTTTCTTTGTTTTTTTATTTCTTCCCTCAATACGACAGAAACACTCCTCTTTCGTTTTCTCTTTTTTCCCCTTATGTTTGCTCGCAGCACGTAATCGGGAAACACCTGCTGCCCTTACTCACACGCTCTCTCTCCTCCGTCAGATGGCCGCTTTGCCGAACCCGACAACCGTCGATACTCTTCCCTCCGCAACAACAACTACACCCATAGCCGCTCAGCAGCAGCAGCCGTCGCCAAAGCACGCTACTTTCCAGAGCCCGCCCCAAGGCAGCTCCAACACCGCCGCGCCGAGGTCGTCCTCCGAACGTACCTTCGACAACGCCCACGCCCGCCGATCTTACCACGCTTCCTCCTCCTCCACAAACTCCATCCACCGCAACGCAAGCACGAGGACCGCCGGGGGAATCCTCTCGAGAGCTGCCGCCGCCGCCCTGGACCGCACCCAGACCGTCATCGCAAGCATCTCCGACTCAATCTCCTCCTCCGACAACCACCCCGTCATCCGCCCTCGCCAGTCCAACCCCGGCTTGGCTAGACAGTCGCTCATCTCCAACTCCGACTCGGAACCCTCCAGCCCGTCTCGCAGCGCGACCTCGTCATACCACAGCACCTCGTCACGCACCGGCTCCAAGGCCTCCCCCAACTCGTCCGCTACCAGCAGCGTCGACCGATCCCAGTCCTATCCTGAGCCCGAGCACAGGCCTCGTCGCCCCGAAAACAAGATGCACCAAACCTCTTCGCGTCTGCTCCGTATGACGGACGATGACAGACCATTTACCAGAGTAAGTCACACGTATGCACACGCACGCACACGCGCACACACGCCTTGCGACAACCGACCCGCGTGGTCACCACACCACACCACAAACAGCCCGCTAACATAACCCGTGTCTTAGGATTTCAAAGATCTCTTCTCCACATTAATCGTCAGTCTGCTGCCATTGTCCGCTCACCGCGTAAGGCTGTCAAAGATCGAATACACTTTCCTCTCCGAAGATGCCATTAACAATCTCGGATCCCTCAAATTCTCCCAATCTAACCGCATGCCTGACCCCAAGGATCCCTCGCGGATCGTCACCACCACCACCACTACCACCTTCTCCATGGCCAAGGACATGGCCCGCTCCATCTGCCAGCGCTTCGTCGAGGCTCGCTTCATCGAGTCTGCCGACGGCAAGTACCAGCAGGTATATAACATGAAGGGCAGTGTATGGCAGCTCACCCCCAAGGGTGTTTCTATTCTGGACAGCTTCTGCGCCCGAAACGGCATCCAGCAAAAGCAGGTCTCCGAGCTTGCTAGCCACTGCTGCGCCCAGCTCGTCATCCTCGAGCGTGACCAGTCCACCGACAAGCTTATTCATGATTGGGGCACCATTGAGGTCATCTTCCGCCGCTTTGTCGGATCCGATGGCCGCAACATCAAGTCGAGCGTCACCGCCGCCGACTCCGACTCGCTGCACGACTACCGCGACGGCCTGACCGGCGTCAAGATGGCTGCGGAGCGCAAGGTCAACGGCAAGGCCTACACCAACACCTTTACCGGCAAGGCTGCCGTCGACTGGCTCATGGACTGCTCCACGATTGTCGATCGCCGCGAGACTGTCGAGATTGCCTCGCTCTTTGTCGAGCACGACCTCATTGAGCCCATTGCTCAGGACCGCGCCTTCATGTCGCAGAACAGCGCCTTCAACCTGTTCCAGCCGACCAAGAACGCCATTTACCAAATCACACACCGCGGCAAGGAAATCATCAACGGCAGCGGCTCGCGTGGCCGTGCCTCGGAGAGCGAGGGCGGCACGGGCTCCCAGCGCAACGGCATCACCCGCGACTCCAACACGGCCCGCCTGGAGAAGATTCTGCACGACCCTGCTCTGCGCTTGCTCTTCCGCGAGAACCTGCGCGACACGCACTGCGAAGAGAACCTGTCCTTTTACAAGGATGTCGACGAGTTTGTCCGCAGCTGCCGCTCTGCCATCCGCCAGGCCGAGAAGAACCCGACCGCCAACACCATGGACGGCATCAAGGAGATTATGGCGCAGGCCTATGGCATCTACAATGCCTTTTTGGCACCCGGCTCTCCTTGCGAGCTCAACATTGACCACCAGCTGCGCAACAACCTGGCAACACGCATGACCAAGGCCGTCGGCCAAGATGTCGCCATGATTGAGACGCTCGAGGAGGTGACGGAGCTGTTTGAGGATGCGCAAAACGCCGTCTTTAAGCTGATGGCCAGCGACTCGGTGCCCAAGTTTCTGCGCAACACCAAGTACGAGCAGCAGCTTCGCAACTTTGACTCGGACTTGAGCGCGCGCGTGCCCGAGCGCAGCCAGAGCCGTTCCAACCGCAAGTAAGACGCTGCGGATGTTTTACACCATCGCCGATGGCCAGAACGAAGACTAGCAGCAGTCAGCTACATCGTTCGCCGTCAGTATCAGCATCTCCGTCCCCAGGTTCCCACATGGCGCACCGGCGAGATGCACTACCGACGTGATGCATCACGTCTCCACGTTCCTAACCACAAGGGCAACCCACCCACTAACCGGCCCTTTTCTTGAACACGACGTTTTTCTTTACACTCTCCGCTTTACCCGTCGCGTCTGCGGGGGCGACGACCACACACAAACAACCCCATGATACCTAATAGATTCCACCATATGAGTTTTGCATTTTACTGGTGTTGGTATTTTTTTTCCACTTTAGAACGACCCTCTTTGCGTCCTTTGGAGTGCCCTGGAGGGCCTCTGGACCGCCGCAGGGTTTTCTTCGTATCTGTTTTGTTCACCAAAGCGTCTCAGAGGCAACTCTCGGGGCGACTCCTTTTGTTGTAGAGGAACCAAAAGGAGGAAAGCGGCGTTGACACGGATTGTTTTTTTGTTATTTACTTGCGCTTGATTCTTCATTTACAGGGCCGATATAGAGAAAGGGTTATTGGGCATTAATACGCGGTTTTTGGCAACTTGCTTTTGGCTGCATGGGACGGCGGAGCTGGAAGCGATTCCAGTCGTCCTAGTTACTGTCACTTGTTACTTTTTTTGTTGGGCGTCTTTTAGATTGAGGGGGAAATACCATGGACAAAGGGAAGGATTCAGAGGATTTTGTCATGTACCGAACCTGGTGCAGGCAAAGGATATATTACATGTAAACGCGCTTTTAGCGGAATACATTCAATACAAACCATTGAAACAAATAATACGCATGATCAACACATGTACCGTGCTCTCTCGTCTTCTAATGTGTACTAACGATAATTTCCTTTTTTAAACTATTCGCATATTAATATCCTCTTTATTGTATCTAGTAGTATTGGTAGAAAGATACGTCATTGCGTGTAAGTAAGAGTGCGTTAAAGTGCTTGCATCTAAACCACCATCTATCCACACTGATCTTTTCCTTCAACAGGCCCTTCTTCCACGCGTTCCAAACCGCAAAAAAGAAGGATTCAATGCGTTTGTTTATTCGCTTCTTGTTTCTCGCTACACTCTCCCGATCAGGACTCTCGCGCTCCACGTGCACCAGTAGTACTCTGGAATGCAAAACAAAATGAAGCCTTTTTTTTCCCCTTCTATAGACCCTGATGATCGCTAGCTCAATGTGGAAGGATTCGCGAGGGATTGTCCTAGATATGTGTCTCATCCATAAATCCGCCACCAGTTCATCCAAGCTTCCTCTTTGGGTAAAAGCGAGTGTGTCAACGACTCAATGTGAAGACGGTGTGAAGGATGGACGCGCTGGACCCAACGGCCAAGTAATGCGGTGCTTCGCGACAGTTGCCTGTGTAAAAGATGTATATAACTAGCGTTAGTACGGTAGATGGGAGGATTTAGTTGTTAGGTCAACCAACTTATACACACTCGTTTTAGTGTCGCTGCAAGTTCACTGTTTTTTCTTTCGTAAAGGCCAAATACTCTTGTTCTTTCTTCTTTCTTTTTCAGCAGCCTCGCGTCCTTGCGTTTCTTTTTTGGTCTAACCGCACAATGTTGGTCAAGTCGGCTTGCTTGTTACTGCGCTTGCGGGCGTGGCCGTGGCCCAGACGGGCGACTTGGATATCAATATGATGTATATTGTGACGCCGACGCCTGGAAAGTCGAGCTCCGTTGCGTCTTCGAGCTCTGTCTCGTCGTCCTCGTTTTCCGCATCGTCCTCTATGGCGAGCAAGTCGACACCCAGCTCGAGCATGGCTTCGTCTTCGTCGATGATGAGGAAATCTACGCACAGCTCGAGCGCGGCTTCGTCTACTACCAGCAGCAAGGCCATGTCTTCTCCAAGCTCATCTTCGTCCATGATGACGCCCAGCTCGCCTGCCGCCTCGTCCAGCTCGGCCTCCAAGGCTTCTAGCTCAACCCCCAAGGCCTCTAGCTCTGCCGTCTCGACTCCCAAGTCTTCCAGCTCGGCTCGCGGGATCAAACCCAAGCGCATCTAACCTTGCTGGCGCCAACCCTTCACAGTCTAACCCGGCTGAATCCAACCCAAGCAACTCTGATCCTTCGGGCTCCCAGCCTACCGATCCTGCTGGTGCCTCTCCCGGCGGCTCTAAGCCTAGTTCCAACCCATCTGGATCTCAGCCTACTCATCCCGCTGGCGCTCCTCCTGGTGGCTCCAACCCCTCGGGATCGAACCCTGCGGGATCCATGCCCACTGCTCCCGCTACTGCTCCCGGAGGCTCGCAGCCCGGTGTCTCCAATTCGTGGGTCACGCAAACCAAGGGCAGTGCCACCTCGCACCAGCCTGTGTAAACGACCAAGGTGGTTACTGCTTACACGACGTACTGCCCCGGCGCTACCAAGGTGACCATGGGTGACACGACGTATACTGTGACAGAGGCCACTACACTTGTTGTCACAGACTGCCCTTGCACCGTCACCGAGGTATGCCACACTTGCACGGCTGCTCCTACCGCTGTTCCTGTCCCTGGTGAAGGTGGCCAGCCTGGAACTGGAGGTCAACCCGGCCAAGGTGGTGAACCTGGAACCGGCGGCCAACCCGGCACCGGCGGCCAACCTGGAGCCGGAGGTCAGCCCGGACAGGGAGGAGCTCCCGGTCAAGGTGGTGAGGGTGGTGAACCTGGCACCGGAGGCCAGTCCGGCAACGCAGGACAACCTGGTACTTGGGGCCAGCCCGGAACCTCCGGTGACAGCAACACCCTCAGCCCATCGGAGGTCTCCCCTCCCGCATCGTCCGGCACCAATGACGAAAAGGCTCCCTGCCCTACCTGCCACGTCGTTACCGCCGGCTCCAGTTCTCTCTCTGTCGCCCTTGGTGCTGCTGCTGCCGCCTTGGTCCTCGCCTTCTAAGTCGTGGAACCCCCTTTGATCGTATTCACTTCTACTTGGTGCCGTTCTGGCCCGTATTCTTTTCCCCAAGAATCTTTCCCCAGGTTTGCCTTTTTACTATGGCCACCATGTCGTAGGGTCGTTTGTAATACCTGGCTGTCTTTTGTACAGTCGAGCTCGTAAGTCGAAGAAGAAGAGCGTATCTCGACAGCAATAGCGTTGGAAATTTAGAAGAAAAACATGGAATATACCCCGTGTTTTTACTATGTATGTGTTTCTGTTCTCATGTAAGTGTAAGCGTAGTGTGTTAGTAGTCCGATTGAAGACCAGATATCTTTCAAGTATCCAATTTGAGCTATTGGATTTCCGTTTTTGGAGGTTCCTAAACGTAGAAAATTAATTAACCACCCTATTTTGGGTTGTATATCAATATTGAGACTCCACAACACGGCAAAGTTGCTGTCGTCTAATATTGACGGTTCTGCATAGTGCTTGGCACGCTCCTTACATTTATCTCTACCCCTTTAGATTGCATCTGCGATAATTCATACTTTTATTAATATCTGTGTTCGTGCAACAACCAATTGTAATTATCAATGCAGCCAATCCGGGAAAATGCTGCACCACGTGATGCGGCTGAGCGGCAAGTGAACGGAGGCTTTCGTCGCGGACGGCACAATATTCCCCCCTTTTGTTGACTGATTTTTGAGCAAGAAATATATCATCATGTCATTCAACTACGCTCAAATCAAAAGAAAGGCACACGGGGGTCCCAACAGGACGCCTTTCGGCCGCAAAAGAAGGGCACACGCAGCTAACGAGAGCTCCGATGGGACTTGGAACCCATTTAGACACCCACAAGGGTACCAGCTACCTGCACGAGCTGGAACTTGGGATAATGACAGACATGGAACTACTGCGCGACCAGCACTTCCTGCCCGCGCCGCCAGTGCTCCCATAGTACGAAGGCATAGCAGTGCCTCTATCAATCAACCGAAACCCACTCGACCTGTACCTATACAAGAGGTAGCAGACCATGTGGATGAAGAATCACTACGGAATCGCAGAGAGTCACGCCAGGATTCGCTGCACACGAATGCGCAAAGGAGTAGACGCTTCTTCCAGCCCGTGGCTCCATATACCCCATTTACGGTTCCCAATCAAATACGGCGGACCCTGTTTGCTAGCTGGGGGAACCTGTTACTTCTGCTGCTACCTGCTGCTATTGCGCTGCATTCGCTTCGGGGTGATACCGTGGAAACCTTTGTGGTGAATTTCCTCGCGACGTTTCCTCTACAAAACCTCGCAGAGAACAGCTTATTCGAGATACAACTGCGACTAGGGGACAGCTATGCAAGCTTGCTCTATATTACTACATTGTGAGATATCTCTTACCGTCGGACTTTCTAGCTAGCTAACACTATTGGTATCGCCTAGCAATGTTGTGCAGCTCATCTCCTCCATTCTACTCTTAGTAAAAGGAGACAAGCTCACCATGCAAACCACTCTCATCGGAGGTATCCTAGCCAACATTCTTTTTATTCTCGGCCTCAGCTTCTTGGCTGGTGGATACAACCGCGAGGCGCAGTACTACAACACCACGACGACGCACGTCTCAGCTAACCTCTTGTCCCTGGCTGCTACGAGCTTGTTAATCCCGACGGCATCGATTCTCCTCGGCCAAGCAACAGCTGAGAATCTCACCAAACAATCACGCGGGGCGTCAGTAATCTTGATCCTCGTCTATGTCCTGTTCCTGGTCTACCAGCTGGGGACGCACCGCGATATGTTCTCCGAAGGAGGGCAAAAGGTTGATGCAAAGCCCTGGTTCCCTACTACAGCAGCTGCGGAAGAGTCAATTCCTCGTGGGGTTTTAACGCCTGCAGGAATGATAGGTGACATGGCCTTGGCCAACAATACGACAAACAAGGAAGCTATCCGCAAGCCATGGCTTAACCCTCCCAAGGCTCCCCCGTCGGAAGATTTTAGTGACGTGGACATTGAGCCTCTGCTTAGCTTCCCAGTGGCTATTTTTGTCTTTCTGGCAAGCAATGTCGCCCTATACTTTCTGCTTGATAATGTCGTCAATAGCATTGACGCTTTGTCTACACAGGCCCGTCTGTCTCGTTCCTTCATTGGCCTGATTTTGCTGCCACTTACAAACTTGGATTTCACTGCTATCAAACTCTCCATTAAAGATGAGGTAGACATGGTGATTACCCTCACAATTGGGAAATGCATCCAAACGGCGCTCTGTATTACCCCATTGCTAGTGTTACTTGGCTGGTGGCTGCATATCCCCTGTGTCAATCTCGTCTTTGACGGATTCGAGATTGTCAGCTTGTTTGCAGCTATTCTGCTGTTAAATTTTGTCGTTTCACCAGGTAAAGATACGTGGTAAGTTTAAAGTTTGGCAGATATTTTGCCACGTGTCTATCCGTCTGACTAATTGCCGGTTTATAATAGGATCCAAGGTGTTCTTTTATTAGCGGATTGGAGTCTGGTTGCTATCGCCGCGTTCTTTGTGGATCCGAAAGGTCCGACATACTCGACTTGCTGATGCTCATTTCTCATGAGATCAGTATCATTGTTAGGCCCTTCGTTAATTTTTCAGGCTGACGACTGGGGTGGCTTTTATTATGGTCTATAGAATATAAAATAACCGACTCTCTGGTACGATGACTTCAGCATCCTGTCTCGTCCTTGTCTGCTAGTTTCTTGTCTGCTAGTCAACTTCGTCAGGCTTTGCAGGTGGCGTCCCCCATTCCTCGACCTTTTGGCGCCGACAATAGCGTTTTACTATTTATTTTTTTCAATAAAGACCAATTAGCATAAACTAGCCTAGAAGAGCCCAATAGCTCCTGATCTCTAGTGGGAAGAACTTTTCTTTTTACATTGTATTTAACCAGCTTGTGAAGTGTTTGCTGGGGCGGGACATTCTGCCGGCGTCTCTATAGCCACGTCAGAGCTGAAAAATATTTGCGTCATGGAGCATAAGCGACGGTTTTAAAATACAGGAAATCAAATTGTTTATCAAATATCTAATGCTGTGTAACAATGAACTAGTTGGTTTCGGAATATCTTTGATTGAGGGTAATCTCTATCTTGATTAGCGAGGGACAGTCTTGATCTCTACAGTAGCAACCATTTTAATTAGACTAATAGATCTACACTATGTGAGACGGGTATTAGATGTGGCTTGATTCGTGACACAGGTATACTTGTTCAATTGTTTACTGTTTAGTTTACTAGCATTGGCACTGTTGGGTTTTCGGGATTCTTATTAGTGATATGATGGATATTAGTTCTGAATTAACTCTCGATGCGTTGCTTCATAAATTGATTCATCTTCCGTACCGGCTTTATTTCTATTTGACCAAATTCTGTTACAATGCTCTCGTCTTTCCTTTCCGTCCAGTCTTGTAATATGGATCGCGTCGTCCGGGTTTTTCGGCTTTACCCTTGTTTATGTAAACATAAATCGCCACACATTTAACGAAACGAGGCTATCCGGTTCCCTGTAATACTTCTTACATCTACTGATACTTTCGTTTAGTAGGGAACCAACTAAAAATATCAATGCATTCAAGTGACGAAAGAACTTTACCCCTGCGAAACGAACCTGGTGATACTATTGTTCCTAATAGCGCCAACAGACGGTCTCGCAGCAGGCCGGGCCGAGTCAAACGATGGGCGCCAAAAACTAAAACTGGCTGCACAACCTGCAGGTAGATATATCATCTGACTCTAACGAGTTAAACTAATTATATAGAGATTTTGTAAATATTCGGCAACCGATGCCATGATGTGAGTTCTAAAACCCCACAGTGGCACGATGCACTCTCCCGTCGTGTGTCACGCGCGCCCTTCAATTGACGAACGGTCTTCTTTCATGGCAGGAATGCGTTTATCACTACAGCTACCACCTGTGAATTTGGCAATTATATCAACACCGCACGACCAATACCAACTTATATAATATTTGTCCTAGTTATACTCAATGTGCTGGTTGTAGCACCATTCCATTCTTCTGGTCCATCATCTTTACTTATTCCCGATCCTCCATGTTCACATTCCAGGAAGCTGCCGCCGCTTCAGTGCAGGCCAGGCGTCGCATCAAACAACATATATATGAAACGCCGTTGATCCCGGCTAGAAAGACCGGACAAGACCATGCAGCCAAAGTTCTTTTTAAAGCTGAGAATTTCCAATTAACAGGGTCCTTCAAACTTCGAGGTGCCATGTCAAAACTTTCCGCACAACGGCAAGGTGGGCCACTCATTACAGCGTCGTCAGGTAACCATGGGATTGGTGCCTCGCTTGCAGCCCAGAAGCTAGACAAAAATCTTACAGTTGTGCTTCCGGAGACAGTGATCACTACCAAGTTGGACAAGATCAAATCATATGGCGCGAAGGTGCTGTTCCATGGATCAGAAGCCGGCTTGGCGGAACAACACGCGCAGGACCTTGCCAAATCGGGCTCTTATACATATATTTCTCCTTACAATGACCCTGACATCATCGCTGGCCAAGGGACTATCGGACTCGAAATTCTAGAGCAATGCGAGACAGTTGATAATGTCTTCATCTCAATGGGGGGTGGTGGACTTATTAGCGGGATCGGCTCCGTTATAAAAGCTTTCAGCCCCAAAACCATGGTTTACGGTGTTGCTGCTACTAACTCAAGAGCTCTTGCTGCCTCTATTGCTGCTGGTCGTGTTGTAGTAACGGAACATTTGCCGACACTGGCTGAAGCTGTATCTGGCGGTATCGACGAAGACACCATCACACTCCCACTTGCTACAGGAGTGATAGACGAGGTCATTGAATGCACCGAGGAAGAAATCGCGTCTTCTATGAAAGCGCTAGCGCTGGACGAAAACATGTTGGTAGAAGGTTCTGCGGCTCTTGCTCTTGCTGGCTTCAAGCGAGTTGCTAGCAAGTTGGCTGGACAAACAACTGTGATAGTTCTGTGCGGAGCCAACTTTGACCAAGATGTCATGCGAAATATTCTTATTGATTAGAAAGAAGAGCATTACTGCGTCTGGATGCATTATATGTATTTACGCATACGAACCACGTTGACTTTTATTATTTATACTTATTTAGCTTACACAATACATTCCTAGATTATTCCTTCTGAATGATTCCTGGGCGTCCCTGCATCGAAATGGCATTGGGCACCACGCGCGACGCAGTTGTGCTTTCTCATCCTGCAAAGATCGCAGGATGCGAGTCTGCGCCCGCGCTTTGTGACCATATTGAGCACAGTAGCGGTAAAGTCGGCTTAATAAATTTCTATCTGCTGGACTTGTGAATGTCCAATGGATGACACGCGTGGCCGGTGATAATGGTTTAATCCCACTTGTACCAAACTGTGGTACGGCTCTAAGTGGACTTAGCGGAGGTAACGACGATGTTGGTCTGAAGCGTTCGGATAATACTCTAAGGATATACAGACTAGATAAAGTATATAACACTGTCATCGGTCGCCAATTAATTTACTGATACAATAAAACCACTCTAGTTTCGTTACACTTCGCACACGCATTAGGTTTTACAGCCACTGGAAGCAGCAATGTCCCAACAATATGGTATCCAAACCACAGGCCAGGAGTTGGTCGCAAACTACAGCAAAATCATCAAGGGAAAGGTCATCTTAACGACTGGCGTGTCACCAGGAGGGCTCGGCGCCCACTTCCTCCACGTCGTTTCTCAAGCTCAGCCGGCGCTGCTTATCCTTGCTGGTCGCAATGTTGCAACGTGCCAAGAGACAGGTGATGCCATCAACAAAGATTACCCAAGCGTGAATATCAAAATTCTGCAACTCGATCTCAGCTCTTTTAGCGCTGTTCGTGCGGCGGCTGACAAATTGCTCGGCTGGGCCGATGTGCATGCAATCGACGTTGTAGTTAACAACGCTGGGATTATGGCCGTGCCATATACATTGACTAGCGACGGCTACGAAAGCCAATTTGCTAGCAATCATTTAGGGCACTTTCTTTTTACTAACCTCATCATGTCAAAGATTCTTGCCGCGCCATGCCCGCGAGTCATCTCTATTAGCAGTGCCGGACATAGGTTCGGCGGTGTTCGATTTGCAGACATCAACTTTGATGTAAGACTGCAGGCCCATTCAATCATTCTTGTTTTTCTCTAATGTTAATATTGTTTCTCTAGAGTGGTGCCCTATACGACAAATGGGTCGCCTATGGCCAGTCCAAAACTGCCAATATCCTCTTTGCTAGACGTCTGGCACAAAAGCTAGCAAAGCATGGGCTTCTGGCATTTAGTGTTCATCCCGGCCGTATTGGAACCAATCTAAGTGTCCATCTGGACCGCTCTCCAGGCGGTGATGTTGATGCCATGAGTGAGTGGTTCTTCATTTTAATTTCAAGAGTAGGAATACTGAGCCCTCTATGCACGAAACTAACACATATTAAAGTCCAAGTAATTCGTTCTAAAGGGCTCATGGCGGGGTTTAGCCCCCAAAAGCCTTTCATCTCTTTAGACCAAGGAGTAGCAACTCACATTTTTGCTGCCTTTGACCCGAATCTTTCAGGTAAATATCCCTAAATGCAGTTCTATAACTCTTACAAGTACTTACTAGGACAAAGAGCATAATGGAAAATATTTGCTAGAATGCGGCATAGCAGACCCTTATCAGGAAGACATCATGTGTTGGGCAACCAGCAAGGTGGAGGCAGACAGACTGTGGACCATGAGCGAGACTATGGTCGATCAGAAGTTTGAATATTGAATTGATAGAGCAAATTGATATAATATCCATGTATCTTTGCTCCCATGTTTGCATCGCTTTGATTGTATGCCTATCTGCCGTTGCTTAATCGATACTGAAGGTCGATTCCATGTCTACGCATATGTTAGAACCGAGGAGTATTGAGACTTTCACGCAAAGCGCAACCACGTAATTCGATAACCAGGAGCGTTCGGTGCCAAAATCAATTGTACGTCCACATTACAGCCAAAAATCGTCGTGGTTGTAATATTTGACAGCCAATAGTGTGCGCTCGCGGGGTGCTGGTGGATGATAGTACTACGCCGCGAATTCCATACGCGGCTCAGCTTTCATGACTTTCTATGGAAATCTCAAAACGGCGATAAGCGGAAACGGAATTAACAAATTGATGTACATAAGCCTTTAACATTTGAGTCATTTGTTTTTTCTTCACGATTCATAAACACTTTGCTTCAAGCTGTTGAGATTCTGTTGATTGTTCCGGCGTTTATATATCATCTCCGCTCATAGTGATAACCCGGACATTATCTTTCATATTGCCGCTATAAGAGCTACCATTACGGATACGAAGATAGCGAACTTGCAAAAGGAGGATATTATATACTATCCCTTCTCTCGCAAAGTATTCTACTATAAGCATCTACAAACACTATAGACGCGACTTGCACAGAAAACTTTATATTACACCCCAGCCTGGTAAGCCAATCCGCAACTGACCTGCCCCCTACGTTCAAAGCTTTGCTATTCACATCTGCAAGCTCGGCGCCGTCCCGTTAGCCCCATTAGCGTAGTCGCTACCAGCAAGGTCCAACATTTACTAAAAAAAAATATGAAAACATACAACAGCCGGTGTTCGCTGGTCGTCACCGACCCAACTACTAATCTGCCGATTACAGGCTTATCTATGGGAGAGCGGACGGGATCCCGAGTTCTCCTGTATCTATGGTCGTATGTACCAGTAAATCAGCCAATTTGATATATAACTGTACACGAGTTTTGGTACTTTAACTATGGGAGAGCGGACGCCCGTTCTTGTCATCCTACACACCCATGAGCGCTTGCTCCACGTGAATAAGCCAACGGAAATAACGACAAATAAAGAGCACCTGAGTACACGCACCCAGGCATGGCGTTTGGTGCTACCGAAGGTCCTGTATTGCTGGGCCACATCATCCCTAGCCCGCGTGAAATAGACAGCGTTATTAATGCTGGTGGCATCACGCCATTCCCTAAGGCGATGAGGATCTGGGCCACCACAGCTGTCGACTTCCGCTTCTCCAAACTGACGGACAACGGCGTTGAAACTGGTGCCAAGGTCGACGTTCCTATTGTAGCGCCTACTGGAACCACTGTGGCCACCGAGGCTAGCCTGGTGTTTAAGCGCGTTATGGGCGATGCGTGGGAAGTCGATCGATTGGAGACGCAGATTGTTCAGCCAAGTCTACAGTACCTCAATGACTGTCGCAGGAGCTCCTCAGAACTGGATTCCTGGGTGAATGTGCGCAGGCTGGACCGCTGGAAAGTCTATATGGTTAGCGGCCTCATTATTGCGCGAGGAGCGAGGCGAAATCGTATTGATGAGAAGACTAATAGTTTCAACATAGGATCCAGTGTGTAAGTTGTTTCCCATTGCAGAGTGTGCGCCTCTTCTTTTCTCTTGCCTTCAGGCTGACATTATGAGAGTGGCGTCTCTGGTATGCAGGTCAGTGCAAACGTCAAGCGTACCAACGAGGCTCATGCCAGCATATCTGGAGCATATTCCAACGACTTTGTCTGGGCTGTACGCTTGACTGAGGTGTCCAAGTCGCTGTTCGCTTCTGACATTCAGCTTAAGACATTCACCAAAGGTGCTACTTTACAGTCAAGCTTAGGCTCGGATTCGGAAACAGTAAATATGCAGACTGTGTTGGACGACATGGGAGAAAATGACTACAATGTGCAATCGCTAAAAGTGTTTAATAACGATGTTGAAGAGGCTTTTATAGTTTTAGATGAGAAATAGACCCAATATACCCAGCAAAGAGAAAGAAAAGGGAATATATCGGGTGATCCTAAACTTAACTCTCCGCTAGCGCTAGTGTGATCTTGTTACAAATATGCTCCCTTGCTTCCTTTATCTGTGCCTCGCTTGGGTATTGAGTAAACGGGACCAGGCCACGCAGCTCCCTCGGCAACAGCATCCATGGCTTCAAGCAATAAAAGTCTCCATCTTTGACTGCCATGGTCATCAGAACCTTTGCCATACCATGCTTCAAACTCATCATGAAGTCGTTCTTAATCTTACAGTCACGGTGCCGCGAGAGCTCCAACAGTTGTCCAGCAAGCCCGGCAGCGAGCGCTGTGGCTAAAGACGTCCCCGATACCGTTTTTCCCGTGTAAGTCACAATATCTTCTCCTAGGCTTGATCTTGTACCAATGGTAGCGCCTGACACGTCGGCAACGTTTTTGATAGTACAGCTGGTGCCTTTCCGGGCATACATATGTCTTCTCCAATAGCGAGAGGTTGTATAGAATAATGGAACAGGATGACTTCATGATCGCTTCTCCATCGATGGACAGCCATATGGACATATTCATGAGCGATGCATCCGAGGATACAACAGATGCACTACCAAGTAGCTCAAGAAAGCGCAAGATTACAGAGCCAGATTCACCAGAGCTACAAGAAAGCAAAAAAGCAAATAGTCACTTTGAAGAATAACATTTGTTTGTTTAATAAAAATGAATATCAAGCAACACCGTTTACAGCGGTATTGTCACTCTTTAAACCGATGCCGATAGTAGTTCTTAACTTTGTAATTACAATTCTCGAGTATTTCCCCCCCAAAAAAGAATATTTACTTCACTCATCCACCTCCTACCGGCTAAGCTCCAGCAACAGCTAATCTAATTGCTCTGCTACTTCTTGGTTGGCCTAGTCAGCGCGAGCGACGGTATTCGTAACATAAAATTCCTTAAACGAATCTTGCGAACCATGGTGTTCGATGACTGATGATTGAATTATGATTTCCTTCTTTATTCTTACAGCTCGCGGTTGCTGGATCGGGTCCATGTCGATGGACTGCAGGAGGATCTCGTCATGATCCTGCCTTAAACGCTTTGTTGCTGAATCGTCTATCGGATAAAAGCTACCCGGTCCAGCCGAAGTAGACTTATAGTAGCTCGAGTTCGGTTGGCTTGACTTTCGGAACTGTTAAATAGCCAAGTTAGCGTGTGTTCTTTGAATCAAGCAGCCCAGAGGAGACGTAAAAGTGTGCAGACATACAAGGCGTAAGAAGACGGGTAACGAGCAGATGGTAACTCCCATGACCGGTTCGAGAGCCATTAGCAGACATTGGATCTGAATAGCGTCTAAAGCGCCGTTGAAGGCATATGTAGTGATGATTCGAATAATAACTTCAATGCAGGTCCTACCGAAAGCGTTAGTAAGCTGATGATTTGTTACGGGCGTGTTACCCGTTCCGCGGGACGTGTGTTGCTTACAAGAAACCAAGCGAAAATAGGACAACCAGCACCCGCTTCTTGTGCCGACTCAGATTGAGCTTCAGCAGGACCGGCAGCGGTAAGACGATGATGATGAAATCGGTAAGCAGCGACATAATGTCAACAGCCAAGTTCATTCGTACTTCCTCGACCAAGAGCGACGGATTCTGCCTCAGCTCCGGCGTCCACCACCAGCTCAAGTCCCTGAAGACCAACAAGAATCCCAGCGCGCTGGCCAAGCCCACGGCAGCGGTCAAAGCAAATGTGATTCGCACGGCCCAGCGAAATCGACTCGACGGCGTAGCGAGCAGAGAGTAGTAGACGCATAGAATGGATAATTTGCAAAAGTAGCAGCCGCCCAACCAGAGTAGATTGAGAGTAAAGGTAATCTTGGACACGGGCGTGTCAATGCCGTTGGGGCTGTCCGCATACGAGGCCGGTAAGTACACGGCGACTAGCATGCATGCTAAAAAGGCTACCGTGAATATCCACGCCGTGACGGAGAGGAAATCGCTTGCTTCGATTGGTCGTCGGGCCGTGAACTTGGCGTAGAAGCGGAGGGCGATGGACACTGTTGGGATGACCATGAACGTGATGGCCAGCGGCGTGCCGTAGGACCGCTGGCTCCAAAGCTGTTCCATAAAAGCCTTGTCCATAGTTGTTTTTTTGCGTTTGTTGGCGACGAGATGGTAGTTGTTTGGAGAAGAGCCAAGACTGCAAAGATTCAAAGCCAGCCCATGCTATTGATTAAATGGGAAACGCCTGTTGGTTCCCTGATGCCAAGATAGATAGATGTGGGATTCCTGGGGTCTGGGGTGGATTTCGACAGCCTAGCGGCAAGGAAGGATGTAGAATTGTTCGGCGGCGTCTAAGAACCCATTTCTACAAGCCAGGTACGCCCTCTCCCGCGCCACAGTGGCAGCCGGCTATTTACGTTATCTTCAGGATAAAGTCTCCCCCGAGTTTCGGAAATTCAGGTGCTTCGTTGCCTGTGTGGAATTCCGGGGCTCCTCCGCAGATTCGGTATCGCGGGATGTAACGTGCGGCGATGCGTATATGTAGGTCTCGCTTGGATCCCAGTGAGGCTGCTTGCTCATCATTTTACAGCAGAAAGGCTGTGTTTGGCCATGGTGTTGGTCCAAGGGGATTTCACTCGGTTAATTTCCCTATGGTCAATGCGCCGGGCGAAAGAGGAAAGCCATCTCGTGGGAACGTTGCGAAGTTGCGACGGGGCGGCAACGCCATCATTCTGGAACCCCCCCCAAATACTGATGGCTGTCGATGGCACAAACTGCATGTAGCTGATTAGGGCGTTGGTCAAAGCTGCCTCTCAAGCAAGCAGTTTGCTTGTGGGCCGAGTCAATCCATCCCGTTTTAGGATGACTGCTTGTCCCGCCACCATGGGGCAGGGCCTTTTGTTCCTGAATTCGACTGGCTTATGACTCGGACCCGAAATTTATGTAATTGGAACAAAGAAGCACAGGGCACAAGCAGTGCAAATGCGTCGAAAACGCGCCACTTTCAGCCCTGAAACCCTTGCTGCACGCGGCTCGAGACGAACTGGTTGACGGAATTAACTAGGGCTAACGGTGTCACCACGAACTTGCTCAGGCTCAACTATAGTGCTACACGATATACTATATGGCACCAAGATGAACGCTTGGCCTTGATGTAGAGTCCAGCAGTCGCATCAGAGCCAACATCCAGTGCATGCTTGGCAATCTACATTGGCGGGAAGCCAGCAGTAATTCACCCCGCCACAAATGTACTAACTGGGTCTAACACCAAGCCTCGACTGTCGCGATTGTGTTGGTTCGCCAGGCTGGTGCTGGTGGAGATTGCAAGTAATTGAGCGCGAACAACGCCAGCTAAGCGATCCACTCACAGAGCTTTCAACCCCCCCGCCCCCTTTCTTCCCCTCGCCTTTATCCTGTCACTTCGCGGGGCACCAATTAATCTATCTGTGGATGGTGGGGATGCAAGGCGGCGAGAGTCGGGTTGCTTTGTTGACATGATAAGGCCCTTATGAGCAATGTGCTTCACCTCCCCGCGTCATTTTAGCAGTAAATATTGGTATATACAAAGAGCGAAATCATAGAATATAAACGTGGGGTTTAGAAAGAAAACACAAAAAAAAAACAGCGAAAGGACTGAGCAGCCCTTACGAGCTTTTAGTGAAGCTAGCGAATCAGGATCCGAGGCTGCGTCGATTTGTCCAACAGTGCGGCAATGGCTCTGGACAAAAGCCAGCCGTCTGCGAAGATTGATGATAAATTCCGCGGGCTGGCTACAATCCGCACACATAAGCGAGGTTATACGTGTAGCAAGAGTAGATTGCGTTTTGTTTTAGCGGCTGAAGCCGTTGACCTGATGTCCAAAATGGGTTATTTGATAGGTGTACGGCCGGTCTCGCCCTTGCTCCTAAAAAAATGGAAAAAGCGTCACCATCTTATTGTTTAAAATAAAGAATTGGCTTTTTAATTTGTTATAATTTCCCTTTCAACTTAGACCACAGAATATTATATTTAATACAAGTCTCCCGGCCACGCTGGTACCAGGTTTACCCGATACCAGCAGGCGGTTGTTATGTAGTCTGATCTAAGAACCTACAGAATACCTTGGTCGGCCTGTTCAAACACATGTGATATTTAATGGGTTTGTTGATATCGATATGATGTAGAAGCAATTGTGCGAGATGTATGCTTACAATGTTCCCGACTCATGGTAGCTTGGCATATTTCCAATCTATTATAATTAGAAATATTTCAATATTACCTTACTGAATAAACAGCTGCTAAATTTAAGCATTCTACACGACACTCCATCCGGCGCAGGAAAAATTCGTTGGACCCGTTTGACGCAACAGACTGAATGATGATCCATATTAGTTTTAGTAGGGCATGGTATGCTGCCTGGGGCTGAAAGTTTTATTTTACAACTTTGACAGCTTTTTGGTTGGAGTGGCTTTTGCTCCTTCTGATCGACAGCAGCCACTTCAACATCGGTACGGCCATCGTGAACTCGCGTGAATTCGTCCGTTCTTTCGACACTGTTTATTGCTACAGGGCTCTCACCAGCAGAAATCTGCCCAAGACAACGTGTTATGAATAATATTCACATTTTCAGCGCGAGGACCTTTTATTGTGCCGGGAGCTAGCAATAATGTCGAGGGACGAAAAGTATAAATATCACAATTCATCTCACATAATTCGTTCTCTTTGTAGTCCAACATCGTCGAACAGCAATTAAACCCGAGACCTCTTCCTTTCTACTACTACCGTTCATACTTTGATCCTCAGTTTCCCTGACAATGCCTGCCAAGGTATAATCCATACAGAGAGGGCGGCTTTCGTTCCACGGCTAACACCAATGTCAGATTGTAAATCTCGAAGAATGGAACATTGCTCGAGATGCTCTTAGAGCCAAAGAAAAAAAGCTCTCCGACGACAACCAACAAGTTGTAACTGAGCGCCAGTCTCTGCCCATGACCATTGTTTCAGAAGAATACTCTTTCAAGACTGAGCAAGGCACTGTCACCTTGCAAGACCTGTTCCATGGCAAGTCACAGCTGATTGTCTATCATTACATGTTTGCTCCAACCGCCAATGAGGGTTGTCCCGGCTGCGCGTTCATGGTGGCCAACTTCCCAGACCTTCGTCATTTGGAGGACAAGGATACTGCGCTAGCCGTTGTGTCGCGGGCCGCCATTGACAAGATTACTACGTTCAAGGGAAAGAACTTTTGGAACTTTCCATGGGTCAGCAGCGAGGGAAGCACTTTCAACTATGACTTTGGCGCTACGATTGATGCTGCAACCGCAAAGCCTGCCGACGGTAAAAATCCACCCTCTGGAGATCAGCCAGGATTCACTGTCTTTAAGCTTCAAGGTGGCAAAGTTTACCGTACGTACTCAGCCTTTGAGCATATGGAGTCTCTCATGGGCACTTGGACTTTCCTCGACATGACGCCTGGCGGCAGACAGGAGGGCCGAGACGGGCCTGCAGAATTCCCCCTACCTTCTCAGTATCATGCGGCTGGAAGAGTCTAAATTCTTTTTTTCTCTTTCCTTTGCGGTGCAATTTGAAGAATTGGTTCTTTTTAAAGACAATCACCCAAATGAAACTGTTCTATCTTATGCATTGTATAGTGAATGAACATTGCTGGCAATGGCCAGTATCCTTGACCTCGACCACAATTTATTTGTAAATAATGCCGGCTTCGTTTCTCAATTTGCGAGTGCTAGTATTCAATATATCTTGTGAGCGTTTCTACACTACTGAAGTAAAACTCCACCACTTGTGCTCACCACAGAGCCCGTTGCGTTCCAGTCTTTCATCAAATATAGATACGCTTCTGCCACTTCTTCTGGCGCACCGACTTTCCCCAGAATAGAGGACGCACCCGCCGCTGCCATACTTTTCAAACGCTTTTCGCTACCATCTGGGCCTTGCACCTCTGTATCCGTCGTTCCAGGGCTTACCAGCTTTACGCGAATAGGTGCTGCTTCCAATGCAAGCGTCTTGACCAAACCTGCAAGTCCGGTGCTATATGCAGCCGCAACAGCAAGACCCTTTACGGCCTTTTCGGTGATGCGCCCGCTCGTAAAGATTAGTGAGCTCTTGTAGCTTTCTTTGAGGAATCGCGTCCCTACTTTAGCGATGAGTAGCGGAACCACAATGAAAAACTGGTTCATAGCGCGAGATCTTAACCACTCTACCGTCACGGCGTTGACAGGCCTGAAATCAAAGCGTGCGGCTATGTATACAATATGGTCAAGCCTTTCGCCGCCATTCGCTTCGACAACATCGGCAAAGAGTTTCTCGAGGCGCTCTTCGACGTAAGCGGCCTCGAGGTCAATCGTGAAGCCCTTTAAGCTTGTGTTTGGGTCTGAAGCTTTAATTTTCTGGACAGTGCTTTCCACGCGGTCATTATTCGAGGAAGCGATGAATATTTGAGCGCCTTAGGACGCTGCAAGCATGGCTACAGCGGCGCCAATGCCAGACGAACCGCCAATAATGAGCGTGCTGTGAGCGCGGATCGGGGGCATTCTTGGGGTGTATCTGTTGGATAAACGTGGCAGTAGATAAATAATTTATTGGAAAGGCCCTTTTAAGCAGGAGTTTGCTTATAGGGAAAATGTTGAGGGTAAACCCTAGAGGCTGAGGTTCTCGGTGAAGATTTCAAGGCAATAACGATCCGCCTCTCTCTAATTGGTAACGGCTTTCCAGCTATTTATGGTGTACTGCCTGTAATATGACGGCCTCATATGCAATATAAGCCATAGTAAAGCGAATATTCTGTCACCTGATAATTAATAGTAAGGCGGAGTGAATGCCGGCTATGAACGGAGACACTGATTCCACAAACCAGCCTTATTTTGCGATGACACTGAGGCTAGTAGTCTAATAGCATTTTACCATTATAAATCAACCACTATTGTAGAATATTGACCATTTTTCAATGCTCTATGTGGTAGTTGAGGAATAGGTGCTTGGTTGGTCACATGAGTCTCCTGGCGTGGTAGAGTAATACTTGATTCTTTTGTACAAATTTGAAGTATGATTGAATTCCAAAGGCCCCAGTGCCACTGTTGTTGCGATGAAAGATTGTCGCTAATTCTGACTTTAAATCAAAGAAACTAGCTTGGATATGAGCTAGAAATATAATGAGTAGTCTACAGAGCTCGGGTGGCATTAGGAATAGGACGTAATATTAAGCTGGAGCTGGCTATTATCTTTCATTATCCCAAAGATAGTAGAATATCAATAGGAGAACTTTGTGTATAATGTAAATCACAAAGCATAATATTAAGCAATATACTTTGGTGTTGTAAAATCCGTCGTTATGGTCCCTGCAATGAGCACAGGATTGGAATATGGTGCAGTACTGTAATTGCATAAAAAAAACAAATCATTTCATTTTTGCAAAACTTCTAGGGGAAATAAAATACAGCAACAGTGAGACATATTTCCGTGAAACCCGAATACGACAGAAGAACGAAAAACGAAGGACGGTGCCCTAAGCTGCTTGACGAACAACAGTAGGTGAAAGCATAACGACCGCAGGTTATGCAAATCTTTCGATGGGTCATCTCGTAGCATCATTTCTCCTTGAGCAAGTCCGCGAGCGGTTGGCCGTGTCAACCGTTGTCTTCGCCGGGGCTTATTACATTCGTCCGTGGTGTGACTCTAACGCTTGCATGTTTCTGCATGTATGTGCGTGCCTGCTGTGCGGCACAGGATAACCAACACTCGTCCGTCACGGGTCATTCACCTGCCCATTTTTAAAAAGTAAGGCTGTCATTAAATATCTCAAAAGCGGGGTTGCCGGTGCCTCTTCCTCGCAACCGTGACAGTATTTCAGCAAATGCAACGGCCCCCAACCAAAGGATATATATCTATATATTTTCGCCAGTTTGTCCTCGATCGATAATCATAGTTCAGCATCGCTACAACTAGACTCCCTTGGCCCTTCCCCACTATCCTAAACCAAAGAAAACAGAAACAACCATGACAACACTAACCATGTTTACTCTCTTTCCGCAACTCCCTCCAGAGCTTCGCCATAGGATCTGGCGCATGGCCCTTGCCGAGTGCTGGTCATGCACAAAACTCTGCCGAGCAAATCGACGCTTCAAAATGATAGGCAAAATTGCTACCGAAATCGGATGCACCAGCAGCGAGGCTCGGGCTTTGCGGCGTTCTCTGTGCGTTTACGAGGCCGGTCTAGACTCCTGGATAGATCACAGTCGGCATGTCTTCTACTTTCGTGACTTAGCATTTGACCGCGGCCTTATAAAAGGAGCAGACGAACGTTTTGGCCTGTTATCTCGCATTCGGCACATGATTATCAATCCTCGAGATTGGCCGCGACTGTGGGATATCATAAGTCTTCTTGCCACTCGCTGTCAGTCACTTGAGACGCTTGTCATCGTTGCACCGTGGTTCACAACTGCTGAAGTGCTCGGCGCCGGGTTCGGTATGGATTACGCGCCATATGAAGACTGGGGGCCAATATTTGATCAGTCGCCGAATGAGCTCAATCTCGGGCGTCTATTTCGGGACATTGCCGATGGTGGTGTGGGGAACGCGATGCGGAATGCGCAGTACCTTGCGCAGCTGGAGGAAGCTTGCCAGCTCATCCCTGATACGATGGACGTGGACGAGCACGTTCTCGGCATTACACTCATTGCGCTACAGAAGCTGGAAGATAAAGTCGACAAATTTACAACAACAAAACCGCGGCTCTATTTGCGCTCCGTGGCACAGTTACAGCCTGCGTATGCACCAGCGTCCAGTGTTGCTAATAGTACAAACAATACGTATATTGGCAATATGGGAACTCCGCAATAATATTGTATTGCCAAGCAGTACATATTGTATCACGCAATATGGCGGTAGCGTGTATTATATCATACAATATAGCGGAGGCACATATTGTATTGTATTGCCAATATCACGATATATTGTGTATATTACATGTGATCTTAATCTACTATATAGCTGTCTTCTTGAAAGTCCTGTGCCCCAAACCACGACTTTAGGCACTCTGATGCTTCAATTACATCACTCCCAAGCCGATTTCGGCGGTCTGTAATAGTTATCTTCTGTAACGGGCTAGGCCCGCTGGAGGGTTCGGTATACCCTCACCCGTTACATGGTACATAAGGCCTGCTATGGGAATTACTCTCGAGTAATTTCTACTCGTGCTTTTTGGCGCAATTAGCAGGGCCAGAAATACCGTCACACCTGATGTGTCTAATACATCATCCGACAGCGATAAGGCCCTTTCCCGAGGCGTCTGAAAGGGGATACGTTGCAGCATTCGGGTCATGTTTACTCTTCTCTAGTATAATAGAATAGTGGTTATAAAGGGGTTAATGTTAGTCGCAACCGCTGTATTTAGCTACTTTTACAATTATACGCGGTTTGGCTCATGTCTTAGGTTCGCGTTATATGGAATGTTGGGTAAAAAGTACATCAACAAATAGAAATACATGAAGCTATTACCCTATAGTAATACATCCAATACAAATAATATATTGCTAATACCAGTAAGCCTGTATTATATTGTCACAATATATTGTTAGCATGAAATCTGTTGGTTCAAGGGTAAATAACACGTGTTATTAAAAGGTGAGAGGTTGTGGTAAAAGTTCGTTGTTCTCTTCTAGGTCCATGGCCGGAACTGCTCTAGTTAAATACAGCGAACACATCCTGTATTCACTTCCTTTTCCTGTGACTTCCACTTCTTTCTCTTTCCTTAGCCACTTCCAGTGACGTAACCATTCCTTCACTTCTCTAGCAAAGTAACACACGTCCAATGTCACAATAGTCACAACAGAATCCCTTTATTGTATTGTAGCAATATAGCGAGCGGCATATTTTTATTGTCTCAAAATGGATGGTGGCCTATCATATCATATGTATCGCAATATATTGTTATATTGCCGTACTATTAGCAACACTGCCAGCGTCAATCTCGTAGGTGTGTGGTGGAGATTCATGCAGGTTGACGAGGCTACTTGTTAGATAAGGCTTGTGCCCCCTTCCTCCCTTCCCTCCTTCTTGGTATATTTATGCGTCTTATATTTTCTATGCAGCCGAGGGATGCGCCTAGACTTCGTGGCTAGTTGGGGCTCAGTTGCAAGGGCGAGGAACACTATAAAGACGGGCTTTGATACCACCGTCGAAAGAAAACAGCGCCTTCAACCATTGTTATTGGATAGATCAACACACTTAAGCTTGAATTCATATAGTACAGGTTAAGATCTCTGCTATTCAACATGTTATTTGCGCTCAACATCAGTGCCTTTGTTGCCTTTACCTTAGTGTCCCTTTCGGCAGCTGCCCCAGCGAATACAACTGATATTGCACAAGCCCAAGATAGCTGTGGTAAGTAACTCAGCTACGAGTAATGTCCTAGAGAAAATCATGTCGTGCTACATGCTGACAGCGCAATACACACAGCGGCCTGGAGTAGACTTGCTACGGGCGCGGGTAGCGAAGAGCTCGACGAGGACTTGGGTGGAGATGGTGTGGAAGAGAACGGGGAGGAAGAAGAGGGGGCAGAAGGAGATAGCGCTGCGTTGGCTTTAGACCAACTAACTAACGGTGCAGCAGCTAGGAGATGCTACGTGCGAAGTCGCTACCCTGAGCGCTGGAGATGCTGCCATCCAAGCCAATGCCCTCCCAAGTACCAGTGTACAGTTAACCACAGGGGAAATTGTGTCTTCAAGTATCCCAAGAGAAAGAGGCCCTTTGGTTGCGATCAGTGTTGGTGCAGGAACTCAAGCTAGGAGCCGTATTAATAGGGCTGTGTGCTTATATTATAATGCAAGACAGGTTATTTTCTACATCAAGCCCCCCCCCCCGGGCCCTTTTTTTTGTCTTCTTGTTTTAAAGCTCTAAGTTTATTACAATAGCTATCATTATAGGTGAGATAGCCGCTGTGCCTTTATTAGGTAGGCCAAACACTAAAATCCTCCACCGCCGATAATAGGGATTGGGTAGCCACACCAACCATAGTATTATGTTAGGTATTTGAAAGCTTTTGATCCGGTAATATCTGAAACTGGATATCCCCTCATGGGCAAGCTAGGACTATATAATGAGTAGATGGAGATACGCGAGATAGAATAATACTAATACTCTTTTTAAATTGGGCTCATCCAATCAATGCCGAAACAGATAACAACGCAGACAACTACTCCGCCCAGAACGAACCACGAAGATAAACTGGTGTCGCCGCCGATGCTTTCCCATGATTTGTAACACGACAAAGGCCGCTGTCAACAACATGCCGCTAAACACCATAGGATGGCGGACTTTGAGTCGTACACTCTCGCACCACCACGTCATTGCTGGCTCTTCAACAGCGGAATCATACCACTTCCTTAACGCAGCGTAATGTTGAGTCCCCCCGCGGGTTTTGACAGACGCGCCATCATGTTGGCGTATTGCTCGTCCCCTTCAATGTGCCGTTAGCCTCGAACGAGCCATCAACGAGTCTCATTGAAATGGTCTTGAATGACTTAAAATAATAGATGATTATGGATTGATTATAATAAGCGGCAATGAGAAGATGTGAAACTTCTTACCCGCCAGCAACTGAGAGCGAAAGCTCTGTAGCACCTGATGCCAGAGCCATCCCTTTCAAAGATTCTTCAGCCAGCCGGGTTAGTAGCAGCGCTGTCCTCAAATCAAACAAATCAAATCCGGGCCTATATTTGTTTGTTTGATATATTTTGAAGCCATATTTGTTTGTTTGGAATATTTGATCGAATATTTGGAATGCTGACTACTCGTTCATGCCACCAACGCTGCTGTCTGCTCCTCGGCACCCGCCCACTGACCCCAGCTTCACAGCACCATGTCTCGTCCAGTTTTTGAGGCCCCGGAGTGCCTCTAGCGTCGTTGGGCTCATCGAAAGTCTTTGTGATGTCAAGGACAACTTTGCCAGACTGAACAACCTTTCGCAATCAGTAGCCATTGCTGGTATCGCAAACACATCCAGCGCCAGTTGACTGAGCGCAGGGAACGAAGCTTGATGTGTCAGCCACCAGCTGATCGGATCATCAGTATCCTGAGTCTCCATCCGCATGTACCTGTCAAGCTCGCTGCCTGTCGTCGCCGCTTTACTCGTTCTACTCTTCACCCACTGCCTGAACTCACTCGCTTCGCCGCGCTTGTCGGTTGTTGTCAACGCCCTTACCACGCCTGCAGTGGCCGGCTCATCAGTAGCATGAGGTACCAAGCGACGGTACTACTTATCAAAGTAATTAGAGAGACCAGTCTTGGCATCTCTCACCCATACAAGCTGCTCTTCCGTAACCCAATTTGTCTCCAAGTATCTAATTCCATGCCTAGGATGAAGAATAATTGCCGCTGCGAACAGCGAAGACTCTCCTAGTTTAATATAGTATTCGTTCAGCTTCTGCCATGCGTTAGTAATACATAGCCTCAGGTAGCAGCGATGATCGCCCCATAGGTCTGCCGCCTTGGACACACTTGGTTTGCCTGACCGAGTGTATGTATCCGGAATATGTTCCGGTGACCAATTTCACAGTCATCAAAGCGAGCTGGCCGTTGAAGTGCACGACTTGGGCGTCCTTGAATAGTTTTAACCGCTTGTCTAGTGTTTTCCTCCATTGCATCCTCTGAGGTATCGCTGTAGAAGGCTTTCCAGTCCTCCAGGTGTTCCAACAAGTACTCAATACCTGTCAATACTTCCCAGTGAGCTTGGCAGGGTTTAGTCTTCTCCAAGGTCCCGTAGAAGCGGCGTGGTCGTCTTTAGAGCTGCTAGAATCCAATGCATAACCTGTGGCCGGCACGTCTTCAGCGTACGCAGCATGCAAGTCAATTTGCGTAAATGGTCTTTTGCTGGGATGGGTTCCCCTCATATTTTCCGCTTTACAGTGTGCAGCAGGATTTCAAATACCAGGTAGTTGCGAGGATGCGACGGCGTTGACGGGTGTCCAGATTCATTTATAGACGTTTATGGGTGGACGGTTATATATGAATCGTCACCCTTGCTATCCTTGTTGCGTTTTGAAACTGGACATATCATCACCCTTCCACGGGCCAAACTCCTCGGCATCCAGCTCATACGCCGCACTCCCACTAGAACTCAAGCCCACCGTGAGCACAATGGGCTGCTCATTCAGGCCGGCATATTCAATGCTTTGCTCCTCGTCGCCTGGAATCTGTCGATAGTACGTTCGGGTCATAGCAACTAGAACTGATATCATCCGTACAGCCAGCGAGACGACGGTGATGGCAAGTAGAGCCACATGGATGAGACTAACACAAACTCATTAGCAACAGCAGCATGACACGCAGACGCAACTGCAACGAAACTCACACAGCAAGAGCCATCAGCAGAAGAAGTGTGTAGAGAAGCAAAGCTATAGCTATTCCCAAGACTTTACAGATGGACAGATTACACGCGATACCTTCGCCACTGGTCGAAAACGCAAAGATGATGTACGCAGGGAAGCTGCTCCAGACGACACCAATATCAGCCATCAAGCTGAAGATGGTTGGCAACTCAACTGCACGATGAAGACGTCCTACGCCGCTGACGCTCGCCATCTACAGATTCCATCAGTTAGTTGCCGTCAAAGGAAGAGAACCTTGATTCTCTGAACCGTGAGGGGCGGGGCATAGCTACCCAAAATACAATTATGAGCAGGCCAATTGGGCCAGAGCCGATTGATGCTGCACAAATGGCAAAAAGTACGAGAGAGATCATCAGGCCTGCTGTGCCGATGCCGATGGCGCCGAGTGTGAGAAAGTTGACGGTGCGCGGCAAGTAGTAGTTTCGGGTCGTGGCTGGAGGAGGGTCATTGCTCTGTCCGCGGGCGCCGCCTAGGAAGAGCTGACGGCCAGTGAGGGTTACGATGTCGTGAATCATGGTTTCCTCTCGCTGTTGGGTTGTTGTTTTTTGGAGGATAGATTCAAGGCCAACTTTGGTGATGAGGGGAGCAGATGGGTTACCTGACGCACGTGGATTTTTGCTGCGACCTGGCCCCGGCCGCAGCCTCGTCTGACTCAACCGCTCGATGCCCACTCTCTCTTAATGGGGGTATCTGGTAATAAATACGAAAGACAATGTATAGCTGTATGCAATGGTCTAGAAAATAACAGTTATTTATATAATGCTTACTGCGCATATAGTCGGATATGCACGTCAGAGTCTGATCTCGAAATCCGCGAGAATCCATGCTGTGGAGAAGGGCGCCGAATCTATTTTTGGAAATTATTTCTCCCTCTACTGACATTTGGACGATAATATTAGCCACTCTGCAGTTTCCATACAGTCACTTAGAATCATTGTGCTCCTCCTCGTCGGTCAAGATGCACCAAGATATTCACTGATCCAGCTGATTGTCCTGTTATGGGCCTGGCTCTCATGGTCTCCACGCAATATACAAATATAAATAGTGGAATATTAACAAAGTTGAGACCAATCATTCTTTAACGCAAGCTGCTTACTGCCTATTACGCTTATATAGCTGTATTACCTATGCACCCATACATGCAACGTTTTGCCTTCGAGGTCCCCAAATATAGCGCATTATAATCACACCACTAGACAGACGTAGCCTAGTCAGAAAAGATCAAACTCTATGTTTACGGTTATCGTGTCGTTAATCAATTTAAGCCAACGATTCCGCAAGAAATCTAACAAGCAGACATCATTTGCGAGCTCGTAAGCCATCACATCTGTCGCATGCGTGATCCCATGTCCGATGCGAGGCTATGTAAGGGGCACCGGATTTCCATTCGTACGTTGTTCAATATATCTGTTTTAAAGCTTGTATTTCTTTTCAATTCATATGAGAAGCCATTCTACAGACTTAGATTAAAATAAATAATAGATTTCCGCTGTCAAAGACTGGGTGCACTAGGCAGTGCCCATCCTGCTCGCTTGCGTCGCGATTTAGATGAGCCGCTGCACTTGGAGCAATTACGTCGCATAAAACTTTACCATATGCGATTTGTGAGCAAATCACAAAACGTACGCTTATCACTCGTCGGGTATTTCAACAGCAAGTGTCCGCCATCTTTCTTTCCAGCCAACCCAGTTCACAAACTCTCCCGCGTCCAACAGCCCCATTTCACATCCTGAGACACTCAATCCCCATCCTCGCTCTAGCCTCGGGCGCTTTTGCGTTGAAAAAGGACCTCGATGTCAAACACATGTCGTTGATGTCTATCGTGGACCTAATTCCAGAATGTGAGATTGCCAGCATTGAGCCCGTCAACAAGCAAGGATGCGATAGCCAGGAAGGGCGCTACCAACTTGCGCTGCCTTTGTGACAACAAGGAGCGCAGCAAGCGATCCTACATTTTTTTTTTTCATAAACTTGAGAAACTATTATACATCTGCTTGTCCCGAACTAAGAGGTACGCTCATTCTCCCTGCGCGGCCGCAGCATGCCATGCGATGTCTTGTATACTAATCAAAGCAAAAGGGGGAATCAACACTTATACCGATCAACTTTGCTACAAGATTCAGTATTATCCACAGACTACTAGCCTAGACGAGATCAACAAGGCCCCGGCCCGCCTCGCAGAGAGAGTCAAGAACGCCAAGCCCGTCAACGGCACGCTGGAAAGGAATAACTGCGTCGAGCTGTATGGCCAGCCAGGTCCGGAGGATGACCATGCCGGTGTCTTTCCCGACAGCCTCGGCGGCGGCAAGGCCTCTGACAGTGGAAGCTCCTCTGGCTCTCCGTCCTCGGATGGCAAGAAGAGCGGTGCATCGTCTCTGGCTCCCATTGGCGCGCTCTCAGGATTTGCCCTTGTTGCTGCTCTCCTTTAAGTGTACTAGACGGTGGTCTGAGCGAATAGTGTGAAACTCATGTGATCTCAGTGATCATGAGGGAAATGAAGAAGTATATAAAGTCATTGGTGCCGAACTTGGAGGAATTTGCAGCACTCTGACGACGCGCTTGATGTACAGTGTCTAGCAGCGGTTCATGGCTGACCGTTTTGCCTAGCAGCTAATAAATCACTTGAACAAGAGAGAATTTAAAAGGAAATTTGTAGGTTCTTGTAGAATCATTCCTACTCTTGACTGTCTAATGTAAATAATGGAGGCGAGGACACACGACCATGGATGCTGCATCATTCGGGATCCGTCCAGTTCTCGCTATTATCCAACTTAATTTAATTTCGCATATTCTTTCCTCCGTTGATGGAGTTTTGGACAGTAAACTGGAGGTCTCTGAACGTTAAATACATTGGGATGTATAATCTGACACTGGTACCTCTGCCACACCTCTGCGCTCAATATCATTTTGCATCTATTGAGAGCAAGCTTCAACTTTAGTGGTTTATTTATGCCGGGCTGTTCTTTCGGCTGCTTCCGCCATTATAATAACCCTTCTATATGAATAGCAAGGCAAGCAATAATATTGAAGAAAGGATTCTAACATTAGCCATAGGTATTGGATTAGACAAGCAGAGCAATACGAGATTCGCCTGGCTGGGGGGCGCCCGTGTGCTAACTTTCACAGCGAACTGGCATCAAAATGACCGACATCTTTTACCCTGAACTTTTGGCGAAGAAGGTTAGGCGCTTAGCTGATGGCTACCGCAAGCGCTTTGGGATCTTTTCGAGTACGATGTCGAAGCCGAGCTTGCCTCTCTCGAGAAATACAGAGAGACGATGAAGAAATACGTCGTAGACGGCGTCGCATTTATGACATCCGCACAGCAGACCGACACCAAGATTGTGGTTGAAGGCGCAAAACGCACTCATGCTAGATGTTAACTATGGGTCGTACCCATTCGTTACTTCGTCAAGTACCACGCTTGCTGGCATCATTGGTGGACTTACCCTGAACCCCAAGAACACTGCAGAGGCGGTTGGAGTGGTCAAGGCTTACACCACCCGTGTCGGTTGGGGCGCCTTCAAGACCGAAGATACGGCAGAGATCGGCACCAAGCTTCAGGAGATTAGGCGTGAATGAGGCACGCCGACTGGCCGCAGACGCCGTTGTAGATGGCTCTACCTTGTTGTTCTCAAATACAGCCACTCAATCAACTACTACACGAGCCTGAATCTGACAAAGCTCGACGTTTTGGACACTTTCAAAACCATCAAGATTGCCGTTGCATACAAGATCGATGGAGAGGAACTGGAGTCTTACCCTGCAGATCTTGCTATCTTGGAACGAGCTGCGGTTGGTTACCACGAGATGCCCGGCTGGCAAACGCCGACTACCAACGTCAAGACCTACTATGAGCTGCCCCAGAAGGCTCGCGATTACGTAGAGGTAAGCACTGGATTTGGACTTGGATAGTGAATGGCGCTGACCTGTAGCGGGGTTGGTGAAGACAACAGCCACCTTGTCTGTGCACACATGCGCAGACGCTTCTGCCAGCAGAGTGGCGACAAAGGCGAAAGCCACTGATGCCCGCATTGTTTTACTTAATCTTTGGATGAATTGAAAATATGTCTATGCGCCAAGTAAAACGATGAATTTTGCAATTACAACCAACCAAAAGTATGTAATTGGCAAGGTAAACAAACCATCACACAACTCCCATGTAGCTAGCCCCATGGGGCACTCACGCTAACTGCGTTCGGGCATTAGTTATGTAATATAATCTAAAATGGCTAACTTGACAGCACATACGACCATAGATACAGGAGAACTCGGGATCCCATCCAGTTCTTGTCCGCTGTTTAACTTCCTCCAGATTCGCAGGGTCTCTCTTCCGTTTCTAGAGCTTCGGGTGCTAAATTAGGAGGACTTAGCAAGGTTAATATGGGGAGTGTAGATCCTTAATTTTAATACTTTATTTTGAGTTGCCATTTGGAAAAGTAAGATCAGATGACTAATTGTTGAAAACGGTTTGAGAAGCTGAAGTCCGATCTCGCCCTGCCTTGTAGAATTACACCCAGTGGGCGTGTTGTTCTGCTACTTCTGATTGTGGTGTTGAAATCGTTGTTAATGATGAACATGATACTAGCGCGGAGGCGTGCTTGGTGGTGTATCACTTCATTCAGTCCAGTCTGCTCTGTTATAACTGGCTAGAGTGTGTGATGATATGCAGTTATTACTCACTACTGTAATTGCAAGGAACACGCCAACACACATGAATTAACAAGAAAATGATATGCTGTGCAAGCGAATTCACCTTCCAGCAACATGTTGATCTTTTCACTGCCGCTTTTGAAGCTTACATCGGCGGCACCAAAGCATTTGACACCGAGGTGCTATATAATCTAGTTATGTTGAATCATATCTCTCTTCCCCTGAGCTCGGTCTACTGTGACGAGCAAGGCAAGCCTAAGAGCGCCTGCAGATAACTCCTGCCCCCCCGTCGACGTAGCTGAATGCAAATCTGGACCACTGCCCTGATTGGTCGGGATAAATACAAAATACACCCTCAAAGGCCCCGCAAGCCAATCAACGACTGACTTATCGCATAGTCCTACTCCTTTAGGAAACGGACTGAGCTGGGCTCTGTTGAAGTACATATCTGGAGCAATTTCGCAGCGGATGTTGGCAAAGGCGAGAAAATGTACGCTCTCCGCGCAGGAAAGTCGCCCTGCTTCTGGAAGACCGCCCCACGCTCCCACGCTCCCTCAAGAGCCTCATGATAATCCTGCATTTTGCCGCACCACCCTCGGGTTGTTTATGCATAAACGAGGCGGCCCACCGCGAACGACGCCCCCAAGTATAGATCCAGGGGCTTATACCCGCCGACGACAATTGACAACATCCACCACGCTCTGAGTTTCAAAACATGGGTGACAGGCGCTTTCTCTGCGGACATAAACCCGGATCCGCTGCGGCTGGGAGTCATGCCCTGTCAGGCTTCCTGGCAGCGACAAGGGCATAACTGTCTGTTGCCGGCCACAGGAGCCCAATGCGGCAAGCCACAGAAACTACTTGCCGGATAATAAGTAAGCGGAGAGATGAACGGGACAAGCAGGCATTGCATATGTGACAGGGGAGTAGGAAGTTTGAGCTACAAGTATAGACATGTAGCCTTTTCCGTCGCGTGCAGGTGCAGCCAGACGATCTGTGGTATATCTTATACACTACAGTCTATTCAGAAATGCGCTCTCATCAGCATATCGCCGCCCTCGCCCTCGTCGCCGCAGCTTCTGCGCAGGACTGCGACTATGGCAAGGGCCACAACTGCATCAAAGCGCAGACGACAGCCTCGGTCGCCCTTCCCATTCCCACGCTGTTCCCCTCAGCCAGCCCCCCGACCTTTGTCTACGCCATCGACGACCTCGACCACGCCGACATCATCGCCATCACCGCCAACAACAACGGCGTCAAAGTCCCCTCGGCCTCTGCCAACGGCCCCATGCAGGCCGTGTCTTGGTGGTTCTCGTACGACAACGGCACGGTGAACCTCGATTCCAAGCAGGAGCGCGCCTACACGGCGTGGGCGCTTGAGTCCAACTCGACGAGCGACCTCGGCGGCGCGGACGGCGGCTGCGAGGGTCTGCTCGGCGCCGACTGCGTCGCAGACCTCAAGACGCTCTTCACCGACAAGAGCACGCTCCAGATCGGCAGCACTGCTGCCTCAGGCGCGCTGTTCAAGTTCTTCGCGACGCCGCCCAAGAACCTACGCTGCCCAAGCATCTTCTGGGGTGACGGGTCGGGCAGGGATCTGACGCTGTACGGAACGTCGGACACGCGGCCCCTGGTTCTAAACGGTAAGTCGTTTTTGTTGGTTCTTTTTCCCTCTTTCTCTTTCTCTCTTTCTCTCCCTGTTTACCTTTTTATCTCGAGTTGCCATGCTAAATCATACTGTTTCGCAGCGCAATGGTTCGCGCGCCTGTCTAGTAAGTTGCTGCTTGGTGCCAAGCCGGTGCCAGGTAACGCATCCTACACGCATGGCATGACCGCGATGCGATTCCGCTCCTTCGAGAAGCAGAAGGAGCTCGCCATCGTCGCCTTTTCGCTCGGGTACCCCGCTGGCGGGCCCGGCGACCGCGCCAACAACACGCTGAGCATGGCGTGCCTGCGCGCAGGTGCAGCGGCAAAGGACAGCACCGGCGGCAGCGAGAGCTCAGGGGACAAGAATAATTCCGGTGCTGCGTTGGGCATCAGCATGGGTGCCATGGCTACGGCCGCTATGGTGCTGTTGCTCAGCATGTAGGAATAGGTTATGCGACGGAGCATTGAAAACAATGTCACGATGTATAACTCGGGCTGTGCGAGACATGTCGACAGGAATAAAGCGCCAAATGATAGACTTTCTCAGCACAAAAGCACTACGTAGCCGCACATTAACACTAAGCAAAGGCGTATCCGGGATGCCCGAGTACCGTTGCAGTGCTTCCACATCGATCGCGGATGGCTTATGTAGTTTGAGAACAAGTTGGGACATCATTATTTGTTCTGTGTAGATTTGGTTTGAGAATCATCAGCAGTCGATTTAAAACGATTCAGCTCAACATCAACCGCCAGGTCAGACGGTCGTCGGCTGCTGCCGGGATCGGTTCGCCGGCCCGCCATTCCCAGCGGCGCCCGCCCGTCGCGCGTGAGCTTGAAGCCGTTGCGGCTCAGCAGCTTGTGCCTGGTCTGCAGGTGGACTGCGCCCTGGGGTGCATCGTTGGGGATGTCAATGACGTGACCTAGCGCATCGGCCCCAAGCTCGCGTGACGCGGCAATGACATGGTCGAGCAGCGTCTGCCCGGTCTCGGGCGTGCGCTCCCAGTCCGTGTCGAACAGGACAAAGTCGGTGGGCTTGTCGTGGCCGGGCCGCGTCCACAGGGCGATGCTGCCCGTCACTTTGCCGTCGCGTTTGGCCAGGAAACACCATTCGGGCCTGACGCACCCGACTTTGAGCAGCTTGGTGAGAGCAGCGGCGGTGTCGGCGTTGCGCTTGGCGTCAGCTGTGGTGTAGAGGTTGGGGATCTCGTCCGGTCGAGCTGGGCGGATCATGGTGCGTGTCGTTTGAAGGAGCAATTGATTGATCGCCAAGCTCAAAGGTGAAAAGACATATGGTAGTCCCGCCAGGTCGCTGGATTATAAAGGGCTCTCCGCTTGTCCCACCATCAGCCTTATGCTGGATAGGTACTTTTGTGACTCAGCGGTTCAGCTACCAGTCATGGATATCCATCTTTTGGCACATTTCAAAAAGCATCAATGGCTGTGTATTGTGGCCCAGGCCGGGCTACGAAGACGCTGGAGTGAGAATATAGCTGTTGAAACACAAGCCGGGCAATATGACTATGTTTCGGGTGCGAGCAAAGTTCTTCTGTCCTCACGGTTGGCCGGATTAGCGAATCGGTGAGTCCCAGGAAAGCTCTTAATTAGCCTTGACGGTGCAGCGGATCACTCTAGCTCGCCCACGTTGCCATCTCAGCAGCCCCACGGATCCAAAACTACAGTAGCGAACAACAAAAGGACATTATTATACAGTGTGGCTGTTATTTCGTGCCCTAGAAATGGCGTGGCCCAGGAAGTGGATATGCCCAACTTGTGAAAGGTTATGAGATGACAATGCATAACGCAGCGTTCCTAGCCAAAGAGAATGACGATTTACGTATCGCCAATGGACGGAATAACAAAAAACAACAGAAATGACGGCGGAGATTAGAGTCCAATACTGGATTAGCAATTGATAAAGGTTTACAACAAAAGATAGAATTTCTGCTTTTTACCTTGTTTTACATTTTGTTTTATTTTAAACTACTAGAGCTGCGCTTCAATCCAGCGTGGGCCGCTTTGCTAGTGATTTCCAGCTGCTCACGTCAGACAGCCTGTTTGCCTCTGCACAACGCCACACGGTTTTGCATGCTCCTAGGGCTGGCACATCCTGACAACTGTTGATTTTGTCATATGCGTGCGTTACTAAGCTGTTCTCCAATACCTGCAAACGCAACAACCAGAATCGGCTTCGACAACTTGATTGCTGGTGTGTGTACTTTGCTACACGCACTCGATAGTGTACACGCTGGCGATGGAGCCGGCCACAAATACCACAGACACAGAGGTGCCGAGGAGAAACTCTCGAAAGCGGCTGCGAAGAACGCTCAGCTGCCTCCCATGCCGGCTACGCAAAGTCCGCTGTGATCGCTTGGTGCCTTGCCAGAACTGTTGTCGCCGCGGCCACGAGGACCAATGTCGGAGAAACCCTCCTGAAGGCGCTGTGTTGACAACCGCGTCGCGAACAGCCCCATCGACCAGAAACATTCATGCGCACCCGTCGCTTGGCTTTCCCACTGATATTCCACAAACTGTAATAACCCCTTCGCAGCAGGTGCTGCCTCCGACGCCGTCGAGTGTCGCTCCTGGTGAAAATGAAGCTTCGGGAAGCAGGCATGAGAGCCGCGACAAAGACAGAGGGAATCCGACGGGGATCCCTGACATGGCATTCAAGTCCATGCAGGGAAATGTGTACAGCGGCACAGGAGAAGCAGCTGATGGCAGCAGATCGGTAGCATCTGCCATCCTGTTTCGGCCCAACGATATGCTGCAGCAATGTGTACTTGATGAGTCGGCAACGTTCTGGAAGCAGTATCTCATTGGCGTCCTCCCAGCGCAAACCCAATGCGACATATTTGTGTCATACTTTTTCGAGAACCTCAACTGGATGTACCATGCTATCCACGGGCCTTCTTTCCGCAGCGACTATGCTGCGTTATGGAACTCCCCGGTGGACGACGTCGACCTTGTATTCTTATCGCTTGTCTTCATGATTCTAGGACTCGGCGCGTTTTTTGCACCTTCATCCATTACGGAAGCGGTAGGACTGAATGCGGATACGTTGGCGAGACTTCATCGCAGGTGGTACGCGGCGTCTCGACAGGCTCTTCAGGCGGGCGAGTTCGACTCCAAGCCAACCTTGATGGCTGTACAGGTCTTTATTGTCTCCCAGAGCTACTGGTACTGCACCAAAAACATGGAGGCTCTCAACTCCCACATGGGTCAAACGATTCGCATCGCCCAGGCGCTGGGGTTGGATAAAGAAGCGCCGCCATCCATCACGGATTGCATTGAGCGCGAAATGAGACATCGCATCTGGTGGGACTTGGTATCCTCTGACACGTAAGTTTCTGGTAGGACGGTAAAGGCGAAGGTGTACTCACAGACCCAGGTTCCAATCTATGTGTCTCGGTCGACCGACGTTGCTGCAGGCACACGAGTCTACTGTGCCGTTTCCAAGCAACTGTAACGACGTCGACATGACACCGACGTCAATATACGACCGTTCAGTTACCGAGGCGACAGAAATGAGCATTCACTGTTTCCGCGCCAAACTCTTCCGGATCTTGAATAAGCTGTATATTGATAACGGCGCGCACCTATCGTCGTACGACTTTGTCGCAGGAATCGATGTCGAACTCGCAGCTGTAATAGACAGCTACCCCTGGCACATGAAAGACGACGCGTCCTATGTCAAAAGCCACCTACCGCCGAGCTCAGCTACCGCCTTTATGTGGATGAGACACGCGTTACACAGCGCCATTTGTCTCCAGCGGGTGAGGATGTTCCGCCCGTTTCTCAACCCCGTGGTAGGGGACTCGTGGCACCGCTGTGTTGAGGCGAGCACGTCTGCGCTCGCAGTGTACAAGACGCTGAGAGAACCTGACGTTGCTCAGTTTCAGCGCAGTCAGAAGATGCACGTCGGAGCGTATCAGGTCTTTTCTGTCGCCATAGCGCTCGCCATGTTCCTGTTGGTAGAGATGCCGTCGAATCCAGAGTCTACTCGCGCAGATATAGAGCTCGTCATTAGTGACTTGAACTCGCATAGCGCAAGCGTCGATGACAGCCGCTTGATACTGCTCATCTCCGATGGCTGCCGTGTGATTCAGCGAATACTTGCACTGTATGATGCTCGATGTGCCCGCCGTCATGCGATGACAGGCGGAGAAGCCAGTGGCGACGACTCTGCCCTGCAGGAGGAAGCTATAACTGCGCTTGTTCCGGCGATAGCTCCGGTTTTTGGTGGTGAACCGTCCGCGCAACGATATCTGGAGCGCTGCTTCACGGCGAATACTGAAAACTTGGCGTCTTCGAACTTGGCGTCGCTCCCGGATGGGTTCCTTGATATAGGCGCCTGGGATGCGTTGCTGGACCCGACACAACAGATGGGGAAAGGTATGGGTGAATTTTGGTTAGAAATGACCGCTCTAGGACTTACCCCTTGGGATTCCTAGGGGTCTGCCAAGAATAAGCACCCATGATACAACCTGTAATACCCAGATAGATACATATTTGAGCGGAATTCGAAAAAAAAAACAGATGTGAGGCGGGATAAGTCTCGCATTACTAGATCAATTATTGAATTAATGCTCTGGGAAGCCAAACGTTCATACTCTCAGTTGACAAGCACAGGCGAGTGATTGTTCCACTTATCCGATTCAGCAGCCTTGACAAGCCAGGCAGCAAGATCGTCTCTTGCAATGCTTGCAGTCCACGCAGCACCCTTCCCATCATCTCCCAAGTCCTTGACCCTACTCACGTCGGCCTTTCCGTTACCGTCAGTGAGTCTAGCTGCGCGGGCCATGACGTAAGCCATACCACTGCCTTTGACAAGCTCGTCAAGCTCTTGGTGTCCGCTAAGCGTGTATCTCATGTTACTATGGTGGAACAGCATTCGTATAGGAAAGATGAGGCTGCTCTTGCTCTCGGCCACGCCTTGCATGGAGTTGATTATGATCTTGGGCTCACTGCCCAGCGTTGTTGTGGATCTAATAGCATCCAACAGTGCGTTCATTGCTGTGTTCAGAAAATCATTAGGCGTGTCAGGCGACGGAGCTGCAAAGGGACTCTCAGAGACGCGGCGGAGATTGAGCGTAGAAATCACTGCCTCGGGTGGCCTTGGCGTGACCAACGCCTTTGCAATATCTGCAGCTGAAGTCGGTTGTCCACAAATGATAGTGAGGTTGGGATGCTGCGGCAACTTGGATTTCGACGATTCTCTAACGAGCGCCGTTACCGTGTGGGAGCTGGCAAGGGCGGCTTTAAGCACCAAAAGGCCATTGCGGCCAGTGGCTCCAATCAAGAGAAGATGCATGGTGAAAAGTGTCGTACGAGATACGCCCCGGCGTGATAGTGGAAGATGTATGCTTCCGGTGGCCCTGCTGTGAACTGGCCTCGCTTTGCTCGTTTTATGGGAGTGGTGATTGTGTTGCAATTCAGGTGGTGACACGCAGAATGTAGTATTGGGCTTGAGAACTGTTGACAATGCGGCATGGAAGCTGGGCTATAAGTAAGAATCTGTAACTCGCTCCAGACTAATACTAGTGGTACGGTATCTGCTCGTCCGATGGAGCGTCTCCGATGGCTTCGGGCTGGCTTACACGCGCCTCGGAATGTACGCGCTCTGATTGGCGGACGTAACAGAGCTCGGCCTTATTTGGGCGCGGGAGTGCTCAGCCCTACGCATCCCTGCTCAGTGCTATGCAGCGTCTCTATCTTTCGGGGTTATACGTATCAGGCTCTCGGAGCACGTTCAATGGTCCTTCAGTTCGGTCTTTCCCATTCTTTCAGCTTCTGGGTGTCAGCCCCATCACTTACAAGACAGTACGGGACCCTTGGCCTTGAAAACTGGCATTCGGGCGATGGGTGTATATGTGCGCTAGCGGGAAATCCACCAATCATACCCCCAAGATATGCATAGTGTTTAAATTCACATTTGCGAAGAGAGGGACACATAGACGATATACTATAAGCACAGTTTGTTGAAGCTGTACAAGCTACCTAAGCAGCCTAGCCTTACATCAGCTTTTGGCTACTCTGCCTTTACTCTCCTTTACACGCGCTCTGGCAACATCCCATAAGCTAAGCTCACTCGGCAGCAGGGGCACAGTTCTGACCACGGTGAAATGTGTAATGGCCCATTGACCATCCGCCTGCTCCATCTGCATATCCCATTTTCCTCGCGCCGTAGCGGATTGCATCTCGTCATCGCCTTGAATGCAATGATATGCCGTCTTGAGAGCCACAGCTTTTGCTTTGATGGGGCTCCCGATTTCCAGAGTAACGATGGGGTTGGTGATGACGTGATGGGTGGCTGTGAAGCCTGAGATGGCTTGAATCATTTGCTGAGCCAGTTGCGGAGGCATGACATCCTGGGGAGGCAATCCTAGATGGCCGCTCACATCTACCATGACGCTCTGGTCTGGCATGAACAGGCTTTCTAGGAGTGGAATGTCGAGATCATCTGTAGCTTGAGCCACCTTGTACATGGTCTCGATGGCCGAGGCCTTAAGCGTCGTAGGGTCCATGATGTAGTTAGTCCTTTGGAAATGTCGATGCAAAGATGCTATACACTGCATCATCAAGAGCATTCAAGGTTACAAAGAGCAACACCTATTATAACAGATTTTAACAGATTGACAAGCAATCAAATTGCATGGCAAGTCCGAAGCGCATGGCCGATAGGTCAAAGTCCGAGGTCCACTGTCCGGTGTAAGCGCTAATAAAGCCGCCTAGCAGGCTCGCCTTGCCTGCGGACTCTGCTGCTCGGCCATAGTCAGACTTTTAAGCTGGTTCGGTCTTTTGCTTCTCGGACTCGTCTTGTGGCGCTTTTAGTGCTGGTATTTTGTGTTTCTCGGGGCTTCGGCGCGGATTTACGCTGTGCTTCTTGAATAAAAAGACAACCTAATATGGAAATGTGGCGCTAGCTTAGCGGCTCTCGCGGAGATAATTGTAGCTTGCATGGCTTGATGCCCGAAGCACTTTGTCTGGCACAAGTGTTCCGCGATTTCGCATATATAATGCGCTGAATTCCAGCTCCTAACTCTCTCACACGGCTTCCAACGTACAGCACCCAGTCCGCTAATAGCTTTTGCATATCGTCAAAATGACAACTCACAATCCAGTGTCGGCTCTCCCTCTACCAAGCTACTTTAGCCACCTCGCAAAAAGCTACAGTCACAGCACCGCCAATACCACACTAGACGTGTTTGCGGACATCCTGGCATCTGAAGTACAGACGTCAGAGACCCCCATCAACGCAAACTCCATTGTCCATGATAATGCAGCCGGTCCAGGGGTAGCCACGGCAGGTGTTTTGGCCACACTCGGCCCTGACCAAGCGCCGAAGGAGATTTTGGTTTCCGACAATAACGAAGACATGGTCACTGGCGCGCGGGACTCATTTGACTCGCCTTCCGTCACCTGCAAAATTCTCGATGCGCATGACCTGTCAAGTCTGTCGGATAACTACTTCACGCATTCCATCACCAACTTCAGCATCTTCACGTTCAAAAATGCCGAGGGTGCCATGGCCGAAGTCCACCGTACCCTGAAGCCAGGTGGTGTGGCGATCGTCTCATCATGGGAGCGTTTTGCTGTGTTGCCGCTGGTCCATGAAGTGCAGACAGCGTTACGGCCTGACTTGCCGCTCATGCCAGTCCCAGGGCCGCGATTCTTCAACGATGGCGAGTTGGAGAAGGTTCTAGCGACAGCGGGATTTAACAACATAAAGTCTCTCAAGAGGGACATCATCGTGTCGGATGAGGACGCAGTCAATGGGCTTAGGGAGTTTATGAGCGGCGGTTTCATGCAGAGAGCTAGGGAGAACTATACTGCTGACGATATTGCAAGGTGGCCGGCTGCAATGGATGCTGCGATCAAGACCGAGATCGCACGCCACGGGGGCATTAGCTTTAAATGCTTTATTGCTATTGCGAGGAAGTAGAAGTTGGGAATTTGCAAACCTAGTATGCCAACCGAGAGTAGATACCGTACCTATGACCCAGTTAGTAAATCGCATCGCTGTGTGTAAAAGTCTCCACTGAGTATATTGACAACTAGCTGAGCGACTACTACGAGTATCCGAAGATGAAGAAGAAGGGATAGAAAAGGGGCTATTCCAGCTAGCTGGAATAGCCTTTTATATGACTTACATGGGTCCCTTGTCTAGATGGTCGAGAGCCACCCGAGACCTCCACGGGCCTAGCCCGTTGCAGTTTCGAGATCCAGACAACCAAGAAGAAGAAGTCTTTTCTTGGCGCAACTCTTAGTATATATCACATCAAACAGACGTCAAATAAAATTCAATATAACCAGCATAATACATATGTCTAAAAGGGTTTCTCAAAATTATATCTAATATTTATAGATTGATATCTAGCATTATATTTGTCCCACATGGGTAAATTTGTCTATTTATATCTCTTCTCGTCAAGGCTCTTTGTGATAATGCCTTTGCAGCTAGGTATATATTATTTGCCGAATTTGATTGAACAGCGCCTGTTTAAATCTCAAGTGAATAAGAGCGCTACTTATAGCTTATGTCTGTATCCAGCTTACACTTGCAACTGTATTCTTCGGATGCTAGACCTTGCCTACGGCAAATACAAAGCAAGACATTTTCATTATGCTCACTACAAGAAGCGGCTGGGGAAGAAGAAAGTGCGTTATCTCCACTTATGGACAGCTTACACAACAAATCAGAATCGAACAAGGATAAATCTGGTAGGACGACATAGAGGCGTGTCTTGCAGAGCACTGCTTTGACTGAGAATACTGCAACATCAGTAGGATACACACTAGGATAGGCGTCACTTATTGCCACCTGTGATACTGAAACTTTGCTCTTTTACGTAGAGCTACAGTCATATATCCTCGGCAGCTGCTGGCCTCTATAACCCCGTGCCATGCCGTACAACGTGCCGCTGATCAATCTTCCCGCTTCCCGTGCCGCCTGTTTCAGCCGCAAGACTAGAAGATTATGATGTGGGTGATAAGCGAACGGCACAGACAAGCGAGCGGCGCACCTTCTCTGGCCCTTTACCTTAAGACCGATAATTCTACTATATCGCCGATCGCGGGTTTTTAAGTCTTGCCTGCCAACAGCTACGAGCCTGCCTTTCATCCTTGTCCATTTATCCATATCCATTTGACCTTTTCAATCTGTGTGACAGAGAGGAGCATGATATATTTGGGTTTTCCTCTGCACGAATTGGATTAGGATTGGGCTCAAAGCCTGAATTGCTCATATATATTCTAATTTAACTCGGTTTCAAGTACATACGACCATAGATACAGGAAAATTCGGGATCCCGTCCGCTCTCCCATAGACAAGCCTGTAATCGGCAGATTAGTAGTTGGGTCGGTGACGACCAGCGAACACCGGCTGTTGTATGTTTTTGTTCTATATTTTTTTTTGGCGGTGTGAGAGGCGGTTGGTGGAGATGTCGGACAGAGTATCTAAGTTGTGGTTCCACCAGGCCAGGCACCGCTTCCAGAGGGGGAGTCTATACTGGAAGAGTCGGTACGGCAAAGGGATCTTTTTGCGGCGGATACTTTGTCTCAGGACCACCACCATTCGTTAAAGAAGAATCTTGCTGGCGCTTCTTCTCGACGAGGGCCTGCGCGCGAGCCAGTAGCCGGTCGACCAGCTCGATATGGGACTTTTGCATGGTGCGCTTGACAAAGGGCGCCACTAGCGAACTACAGCGCAAGTCGACGTCTTCACGTAGATAAGATGCGCCGCTGAGGTGCTGGTCAATAGTCCATCTGCTGCGGACGAGGATTCCGAGGGGCGCATGGCAGATTGTCTGGACGCCGTTGTGCAGGTCAATGTAGGAGGCTGTGTAGGAGACGTTGTATGTGCCTAGCGAGGAGGACTTCTTATCCGGTTGTTGCCCGTGCATGTAGTGAGGAGTGTCGTCCTTGTTGCCGGATGAAAAGTAGGGAATCTTATCGGTGACGAGGCGCCAGACGCTCCTAGAGCCGTCGTCGTCGACGTGGTTGTGGTCGGAGGGGTGCTTGGGGTCTGTGAAGGCCTTGTGTTTGGCGATCAGGTCGGGGACGGGATCGATGGTGTGGTATTCCGCGACGAGGGGGTTAAGCTCGGTGATGAAGTCGTGGTTGTGGAGGATGGGAAGTAGGTCGGCGGGGGAGAGGCCTGGCGGGAGGGGCACGCTGGTGGTGAAGATGATTGGTTTGGGCATTTTGAGAAGCGTGGTAGAGGCGATTGTTGTAGAGGCTGTTGTATAGAAAGTAGATGTAGAAGTTGCCGAGAGGTGTCGTAGAGAAAGGTGAGGTGAGGCTGTGTAGGTGTCGAGCTTGGAGGTGGGATGCGGTTTACACCGTGGTCATGTCGCAGAGGCTCGTTTAAGAGAAAAACCCGAATTGCGCAAGCTAGAGTAGCAAACAGAGCTCAGGATGAAGCAAATTCAATTCCGCGGCGCAGCGCTGAGCAGACCGGGGAGACAAGAAACACGCCGTGTGTGAGGATGCTGATGGTGGTGTGGCTTAGTGCAGCGGCGATCTGTTACAGGCGAGGCGAGCGGGCGAAGGGACGGCAATTGTGTTTGTTGTTTTGTGTTGATGATGATGTTGAAGAGAGAATCAGAAATTAAAAAAGAAAATGAAGATGAGGGGGCGGCTAAAGGCAAAAAGAGGACAAGTTTGCTTGGACGCTGCAAAAGTGGCGGAGCGTGACGCTCAGATGATGCGCCGGAAGCGACGTCATCCGGATACCAGAGCCCCTGCGCTTATGGGCGGGATCGGCAGGAAAAGACACTAAAAAGTGTTGAATTTGCACTATAAATAAATGAAAATATACAAGCGATATTTTTTAAAAAGATTATTTACGGCATTTTTTGTAGATAACTGGTGATGGTGATTTTTAGCCACACAAGACAGACAAAAAGGGCCGTGCACATGGTTGGTACAGAACGCCTCCCATGCATGCGCAGCCCTGTCTTGCGTACTTTGCTTGCTGACCATGCAGAATGCACTAAAAAAAGCACATTGATTGGCAGAGAGAGAGCCGCAGTAGCACAAAAATAAAAATAACTGGGAATTGTCCGGGGATTGGCTGCTGCACGCACATCACAGTTCGTTGGTTGGCGGTGTGTGTGCTTCCGTTTATACTGTAGTGTGCTATTACCCATCCATGTAGTCCAATTCGATTCAAAACAAGAATTAAAAAATACTGACAGGTCGTAGCCATAGAATAGAAGCTCTGCGTATTTTCCACACATTTGTTTTCTGTAGTCAGCGGCCCCCAAAATTCCCCGTCTGCCAAGAACCATTCACCACCTCCCATCTCACTTGTACTTTGGACGTTCACCAACAAGCCATTGTAACCTACCATTACAACATCTACAAACAATGCAAAAAACAGTTCATTTCGGTAGCCATTGACTGTCTACCTCTCGGCTCCGACATCGCCGCGTGCGCCCTTTCGGCCTTGAAGGCCCGGATCCGCCGTTAGCGCCGAACGACATCCCACCACCACCACCATCACCGCCGCCGATCCCTTCCGTCCCATCTTTTTCTTTTTCTTTGTCTCTCTTTTCCTCTTCTTTTCTTTTCTTCTTCACCCTCTCTTTGTACGTTCCAACCATGCCGTCCATACGCTCCCTCATCGCCGAATTCGGCATCACTTCCGTCCTCGCCTCCCCGCGCGACGCCCACCTCGTCATCCTCATGCGCACCACCCGCATGATGGCCTTTGGCGCCGTCTCCCTCATCTTCGCCCTTTTTCTGTCAGCCATTGGCTTCTCCGACCTCGCCATTGGCGTCTTCATGACGGCCACCCTCGCCGGCGACGTCATTGTCAGCCTCGTCGTCAGCCTGCTCGCCGATGCCCTCGGCCGCCGCCGCGTGCTCTTTGCCGGTGCGGCCCTCATGGCCGCCTCGGGGTTCGCATTTATCGTCTTTGAGAATTACTGGATTTTATTGTTAGCCGCTGTTCTGGGCGTTGTCAGCGCTACAGGCGGCGACTTTGGACCCTTTCGGTCGGTTGAAGAAAGTACGCTTGCGCATTTGACGACGGCGACGACGAGACCGGACGTTATGAGCTGGTATGTCACCATGTCGTCGCTTGGGTCGGCGATGGGCACGGAGATTTCGGGAAAAGTGATCAAGGCGCTCAAGGCGCGCAGTGACGGGAAAGATGGCAAGGCTAATACAACGAGGGTGTATCATGCCATGTTTTGGGTCTATGTCGTGGCTGGCGCTGTGTCCATGGCTGCGGCATCGCTTATGACGGCCAAGTCGGAGGCCGATGCTAGTACGGTTAAGACACCACAACGAGACGATGAGGCAGCAGAGGGGCTACTTGAGGTAGACGAAGAAAGAGTTGCTGATACAGCGACAAGAAAAGAAAAAGAGAGCCTCTGGACAAGACTGACACCGCAGAATGTTCTCCGTGTCGTATCGCCCGAGTCACGCGGCGTCGTCATCAAACTCTGGCTCTTACTTACCATCGACTCGCTCGCCGACGGCATGGTCTCGTACGGCCTGACAAACTACTACCTGGCACGCAAGTTTGACCTGTCCGAGTCGTTTCTCGGCGACGTCATGTCGATATGCTACCTGCTTGCCGCCGTGTCCACCATCTTTGCCAGCCCTCTGTCGCGGCGCCTGGGCCTCGTCAACACCATGGTCTTTACGCATATCCCGTCATCAGCCGCCGTGCTCTTCTTTCCGCTGCCTCATAGCCTTGCATTGACCATGGTACTGCTGTTTATCCGCACTGGCCTGAATAACATGGACCAAGGGCCGCGGGCGGCGCTCATCTCGGCTGTCGTTAAGCCTGGCGAGCGTACTGCCGTCATGGGCATCACGGCGACGCTCCGCACGCTGGCTTCGACACTGGGACCTAGTTTGACGGGTTTTCTGGCCAACTCGAACCGCTTCTGGATTGCCTATGTCTTGGCAGGTGCGTTGCGGTTGGGTTATGACTTTGGACTGTGGTATCTGTTTACGGGGATCAAGACGGACACGGATGAAAATGCTGATGAAGATGAGCAGTAGAATAAACACGTTTTTTGGATGATGCGATTGATGACTGATGCTATTTATGATAGACTGCATATAGAAACTATTTCTCTTCATTCTTTTATCTCACTGGAAGTGCTATGACTGGAAGTGCTGCATATAAAACGTGTACTGTATAGTGTATGTGGCCAATAATTCATGTAGTTTACTCAGCTTCAGGCCATCCAAAGCGAATCGTATTCTTCTTAATACCCTCCAGCACAATATCCACACCCCCCGACTTAACCATAAATTCGAGGCGGTGGTCACGATACTCTCTGCGGAACCCACCGCTCGAGAACCCATCCGCCATTCTACCCGCCATAATCTTCGTCCCCTCCAGCATCTCCTCAAACGTCTTCTTAACGCTCTCGCGCTCGCTCACACGCGCATGCCACTTTTGCAGCGGCGACCCTTCCTCCGGCCCAAACCCGTAAAACACCGAACGGTTGACAATCGGCGCCACACAGACATCCGCATACCCAAAGGCCTCACCTTCAAAGTAATCCGCGGCGCCCAGCTGCTCCGTCAGCCACTGCAGCATCGTCTTAGTCTGCGCCTGGACCTGCGCAATCATCTTATCCTTGAGCTCGCCCTCGGCGCGCTTGAACCACGTAACCTCGCCGTACGCCCAGTTGATGGCCTCGTACGTGGTGTCGCAGACATCCTCGATCATGCGGGACCGCGCGCGGGCAGGTGGCGAGGCAGGGCGCAGCGCGGGCGTGGGGTACTTGTCCTCAAGGTACTCGAGGATAATGGTCGAGTCGAAGATCTTGAGGTCGCCGTCTTCCAGGGCGGGGACTTCGAGGCGGATGTTAGCGGACTGGAGAGACGGGATGGGCTGGCCGGAGCCGAGGCCGGGGGGGACTTGTTGGCGGAAGGGGAGGTTCTTTTCGCGGAGGGCGATGCGGATCTTTTGGGCGTAGGAGGAGACGGGGTGGTCGTGGAGGAAGAGCTCTGATGATGAGGCCATGGTGATGGTAGTTGAGGTCTGCGAGGAATTGGTGATGAGGGATGAGATGTGAGAGAAATTGGTGAAGAGGGAGGAAATTAATGTAATAAGGGAAGGAGGACGAGGTTTAGAAATGGGAAAAAGGATGGCGGGGATGTTGGGGAGGGTTAGCGTCGTGGTGGTGATGTAATGGAGGATTGTTGGCCATATAGGCGATATGAGGGGTTGGATCGCGGGGCAATGCAGATCCAGTCTCGCTTATAGACGGCGACGTGCCAAAAAGTAAATAAAATAAAATAAAATAATAAAGTTCTATATACAAGATAGAAGCTGGGAGTCGTTTTTACAAAACAATTGGGCTCTCCATGTTAGTTCATAGTTGGTTTACCACAACAGTATATTACACAAAAGATCGACTGCCCATAATACAATGCATTATCAAAGATAGAGAACCTCCGAATTTGTGTGTGTGTGTGTGTGTGTATAATTCATTATCTTATATTTTTATTTTCTATTTTTACATCTAGTATCTGCAACAGACCAGCTGCTGGCCTACTTACGGGGAGCACCATCACCAGCATCGCAAGCACCACGGCTTCCGCTGCCCGTCTTGCAGTACCAGTGGCGGTTACCATCAATGTAGTTGATGTCGCCATGGTCGTCCCAGAAGCCGCCGAGCTGGTTGGTCTTGCGGTAGGGCAGCTGGTCGCAGTGGCCGCCGGCAATGATGGCCGTGGCGTGGACGGTAGAAGACGCCTTGGAGAGGGCCTCGTCGCGCGTGTTGCCCTTGCCTACCTGGCAGTAGGGAGACATGCGGATGCTGCCGCCGGCGTTGGACCCGTAGTCCATGTTGACGGTGGCGAGCCAGAGGGCCTGGGCGGAGGAGGCGAGGGCGAGGACGGAGATGAGTTGGACCATGGTGATGGGTAGAAGGGCTGGCAATGAAAATGTCAGGTATGAGGTCTGGTGCAAGTATTAGCTGGAGATGCGAATTCATTGCGATAGCAAGAGTAGACGGTAGAGTAGACATACAGAAGGACGTATAGGAGGAATAGTAGTTAGAGTAAAGATGATTTGAATAGCGATTTACCATCGTCTGGTTATTTAGAAGAGCTGCTCGTCTTCTATTTATATTTACCAATCTTTCTAATTACCGCCACCACTCCCGTGCGGCTCACTTACAACCAACCTGTTTTGCTCCTCCAAAACCTTACTCGCTTCGAATAACCCGTCCCGTTAGAATACGGCAGAATACATCTTCCACGAATCCCAGCTCTCTGCTTACACCCACCCAATTTTTTTTCTTTATTTCTTCGTAGCGTTTCGGCCGGCCGCCCCATACAAGGCTGCTTACGGGGAGGCTAGAAAGGGGATAGCGGCTGACAACTCTAATACTATGCACCCGAAAAAAGACAAGCGCACCTTTGTTGCCTGCCGTGCTATTCTCCGGGGACTGGCCCCGTACATCTCGGGGTAAGCGGTCGCCGTGTCGGAGATTTCAATCCCCGTGTAGGTCGGCCGGTTAGGCAGGCGGAGGGCTGTGAGGAGAGCACGGGGGACTGTAGCGATTCCAGGAATGAAATCCTTGTTTTAAAATGGAAGGAGATGTTTATTCAAACGCTTTAGTGCTTACATGGCGAGGCGGTAACTATTCGTTGGTGCATAGTGTCGGTCTGTTCTAGGACAGCCTGTGGTTAATGTAAACGGAGACGCTGGGGTATGCGCAATTGTATAAAAATTAAAGAAAGAATAAATGAATACTACTAAGACATAACTGTGACTAGGCTGCCATAAATTCACCAAAGTACAACAATGTTGTCATAGGGCAACGTGAATAGTTACCACCGTCCACGCGGCACTTAAACAGTCCTATGGATGTCTCTACTTTGGTAACCCAACACCTCAACAAAAGAATCCAATCACAGTTATTTTTCCAACAAACGCATCGTTGAGGCTTTCCTTTTCTCCGCTTACACAGCTTCATGACGCCATCTCGTTCACGCTGCTCACAAATCACCACCATCAGGCTGTCATTACGTAGGCGCCCATGCCCATGCCTGCATTCACGCATACCAACAGAATAGAGTAGCAGGCATCATGCACAACAATACTGGATCATGCAGCCGTAAGAACAGCAGCCTTACCGGCGCTTTCCCAACAGGAAACCCCCGCGGCGCCCTGCATAGACACTGTGCGTGACTCACAGTCTGCGACGATCAGATAACTTTGCTCGAGTTATCTGATCCGAGTCTCCGAGCGCCACAAACCACCACTGCCACCACACTCTACCACTTCGTGGTCCGTTGGCTGTGCGCACCATCACACCACCTTCTACGAACGCCATCTGTCTGCCTACCTCTCTACCAAACAAACAAAACAGCAATCCATCTCAAGTGCCGTCGGTCGCCATGTCCGAGCCGACGCCCGAGTAGTCCAGCGTCTATAAGACCAGCGGCCTGACACCACCACTTTCATCACCATCAAACCAGCATCATCCACTACTACAAACCAACAACTTTCTTCTACTTCAAAGACTTCTTCTTCCAATCACCATGCCTGCCATCACCACCAAGCTCGGCTACGTCAACGCCATCGACAAGCACGCCGAGGCCGCCTTTGTCCGCCCCGACGCCAACCTCGCCCGCGCCCTCGCCAACACCGCGGCCAACGACATCCCCATGATCAACGTCGACCCTCTGCCCGGCCAACTGCTCGCCATCCAGGCCCGTCTTGTCGGCGCCAAGAACATCCTCGAGATCGGCACGCTCGCCGGCTACTCGACCCTCTGGCTGTCCAAGTCGGGCGCCAAAGTCACCTGCCTCGAAGTCAGCCAGAAGCACGCCGACGTGGCCGCTGAGAATCTGCGCGCGGCCGGTCTCACACCCGACATTATTGTGGGCGAAGCAATTAACCAGCTGCCCAAGCTGGTGGACCAGGGTAAAGTGTACGACATGGTCTTTATCGATGCCGACTGGGAGCGCCAGGCCGAGTATTTTGACTGGGCGGTCAAGTTGACGCGCAAGAGCGGCTGCATCTTTGTGGATAATGTTGTGAGTGCGATTATCCGTCTGCGTGAGGGAAAGCCGGAGGGCTCGATCCTGGATAGTGTTGGTGCGGATGAGCGTGTCTTGGCGACGTTGGTTCCGCGTGTGTACACTTCTGATGACAATGTGGAGACTATGGGATTTGACGGCGTGATTATTGCTGTTGTCAATTAGGCCTGGAAATACAGCTAGGAGATATCTTGCCGGTCAGGTAGCGTAGCATGGCCAACTTCCTATACTAGCTTACACCATTCCACTGGGTTAAATAGGCAAGAAGCACATCCTCCACATAGCAATGACACTTTATATCGTCTATACTCTTAGTTGAAGCTTTCGAATTTGTTCTAGTCTGTCGTTGTGAAAGGAAAAACGGAAGAGAGGTAAAAGAAAAGCTACAGCTCGTCGCGCTTGCGCCCTCTACGCGAGCCCCCTATGAGGCCCGCCTCCTGGAGCTTGTCCACAAGCCGGCTTACTTCCCTGCGGCAACTTTGTAACCTTTTGTAATGTATTTCATCCCTCTCTTCAAACAAGCGCTTATAATTAGCCCCGAGATACCTTGCAAGAGACTCACCCCACCGCTCAGCTGTCATGTTGGACATGACATGCTGTGCCACCGCCGTTTTTATAAACATTGGCTTCAGAGCAATCAAAAACAAATGGTTAAGTAGCATGAAAACCACTCCCAGTCCATGAATGCACATGAGTCGCTGCTCAGCAGGCACATAAAGCATGCTAATCAGCTTAGCGACCGTTCGCACCGACCACGTCCTCCCCTGGACAACTTTTACCACATGCTACGCACATTGGCACACACAGCCCTTTTTGCACTGTCCGCGTTTTTACACTCACCACCAAACCATACCACCAGAATAATGGAGGAAGATCATCCTGCTGCTGCATACGCCACCGAACAAAAGTCAGCGCAACATGTGGCAACTCGCCAAAGAGCAGGTCCAGCAACCACTTGGACCGTGTATTCATATAGCTAATCGACACGCGCTCCACTTTGCCCTTGGCAACGAGATATTCGACGATTTCTTCCTCTTGCTGTTCTGTCAGTCACCGCCAGCAAAGAGGGGAAGCTTCGTCAATTTCTGACCACCTTCAAAGTTGGCAGGCCGCGGCCGTGCTGGAAATGTCTCTTCTGGCCAGATGTGCCAAAAGTACTGGATGGGGATCGCAAGGACTACAAGGAGAACGTTGATGCCAACGGTGTGCAGGGGGGCTCCTGAGGGCTCGGCCTGGACGTGGTCGTCGGGATTCCAGGTCTGGTTCACGAGGTGGCCGGCCAGAATGTCGTACGAGAGGCTATTCGAAGCCGTATAGTTTTGTAGACTGGATCCGCGAGGCCAGGTTCAAAATAGCCCCAATTCTTGAGCATCAGGGGCACCAGGTCGAGAAGCGCAGTGCAGACGGCGCCAACCACGACGGTGTAGAGTATATACGCCCAGTGCTTGGGCCGTGTTGGCGTCGGCATCTTGCACGGCTTGAATTGAATGAAATGTGAAAACCCAGGGACCAAGAAAAAAAAAGAGGAATAATATATACACATGGGGGGCGAGGCTGCGAAAGAGGGTCTGGCGTGATATTGGCTCGAATTGTGGATGTGCTGCCTACCAGACTGACCGAAGTGAGATGAAAAACGTCCACTGGCTGCTTCTTTTACTGAAATTCTGGTATTAGAAGAAAAGGAAAGAAGAGGCATTGATGGTGCCTATTAGTGCTTGTCATTTCCGTCTTCCTCCTTGTAGTTCATACCATCTTAAATGGAGTATCAAGAACATCGAGTACCAACGAGGTGAACCTGTTTTTATCGTAGCAAGAATAGCCTTTTTATTCGCTTCAAATAGTACAGTAGACAATAGAAGACCGTCAAGTTATATTCTGGAGAGTGTTAATAATAATAAAACCAATTTCCATCTTCACCATCACCAGCGTGCACTTTCTCTACTTTCCTCCCTCGTACACATGCCCAGCAATCTCTCTTCTCTCCCTTTCGGCTCTCAAAACTCATCATGTCTCGCCCAAGTATCATCGCGCTGCCACTCCATCTCGCCACCAACCCGTCCACCAATCTCCTCATACATCCGCTCTCTCCCGCCATACAACCCCTCGGCCTTCTTAATCGCAGCCTGCACAACAACCTCGTTCCACCGCGTCGCCGTTATCCTCTGCATAATCAACTGCGCCGGCTCCGTCCCATACAGCCACGGCACCACGGTAACCTCAAATGCACATTTGAACGCTGTGCCTACTATATCCATGGCCTCGATAAACAGGATTCTTCGGTGAGCCGGTACAAGAATCATGCTTAGCAGCGAAGACAGCGGCCGCGCCGACAGCCACGAGTACACCAGGTTAAACACTGTGTAGAGTAGGTATTCCGAACGCGGAACATCCCCGCCATCGAGATCAATCCGCAGCACAAACACGATGAGCGTCGAAGTGATTATCCGCCCAACAGTGATATCCAGCACCCACTTGATGAGCGTGTTGATGATGCTCAGCGATGGGCGCTTTACTTTTCCCTTTTCAACCAGGGTGCGAATCATTTCGTCCTCCAACATTGCTGACTTTTCATCGCCTCCGCCACGAATAGACTTGGCCGAGTGATGCTCATGCGGCCGCCCGGGCCACATCCTCTCCAGCCACAAGTGCCAAAAATACTGCACAGGGACCATCATAACGTAGTGGAGGATACCCCGGGCCACACCTCGTGCGTCAAAGTCCAAGTGCTTGTTGTTGAGGTGGTCGTCTGGGTTCCATGTGTTGTTGACAATGTGGCCGATGAGGACCTCTTGCGTGACGTTGAGCGCCGCGCTCATATTTCTCCAGACAGGATCTTGCCATGCATTTTCGGCATAGTTGGAGTTGTAGATGCCGTAGGAGATTATATGACATAAAACTATACCTGCGCTGCCAAATATAGCGGCTGTGAGGAGCGGCTCGACGTGCTTGGTTATCCGAAAGGGAACCATTGTGACTGTGGTGTCAGTTGGGTAGCCGAGCTGCCCAAAAGATGCCAATTATATAGGTGAGGTGACTAGAAGATGACGATAAATGACGCAGAGGGATAGAGAAAAGAAAAAGGAGAAATAAGGTGATTGTTGTTGGTGGCGGCGTCGGCGAGCTTATATTGGTAACAAGAGGGTCCCGCCAAGATCCACAACCACCTGCTACTGTTCATGCATGTGGATATGCTGCCTAACAGTTCAATACTAATAAAGTTTTTGAATGGTGATTTTATTTTTAATCATGTTTAGTTCCTGCATCTGTGACGAAAAAAGCAGAGATATTCATACACGCCGGTCCCAGTGGCAGGGGCTTTCTTCGTCGCCTCCATGACTTACAGCTCCTTGTTCACGGCATCACCAATCTCTGGCACCGACGTCTTGAGCTTCGCTAGCTCTGCAGCAATAGCCTCATTGGCCGCCTTGAGAGCAGCAGCTTTGTCTCGCGCATATGCATCGTGTGCTCCCAGCCACGCCCCTTGCGTAAAATGCTTCAACATGCTCTGTCCCATGCTCGTCACCTGCAACCGCGGGTAGATGACACATATGGCAACACTAAGAAACACCGAGCCAAGTAGCCCCATGCCCTGCTTAAAGAGAACTCGATGCCTTGCAGGTACAAGAGCCATACTAAGCAGTGACGCAAACGTATAAATGCTGGGTAGGTACAATAGTGCAGGAAGGACGCATTCCTACAGGTTCGAATCAGATTAGACCACATTTCCCTCACATCTAAACACAAATTCGACGACTCACCATCACAAGTTTGAGCCCGCTGTAGGTAAACTTTCGCTTCCAGGTAATGGCTCGAAGAAGGTCCACCACACCGAATATGATTTGGCCGACAGTAATATCCAGTATCCATTTGAGAAACGTGTTCCAGTAGCTCAGCGACGCTCGCTTCACTTTGCCTGACGCGATCCATCGCTTGACAATCTCTTCCTCGCGGACTTGATCACCTTCTCCTATACTGACTTTTTCCGCAGACACGCTGGCGTCTCCACGAGGTCGCATCGGCAGTATCCTCTCGAGCCAAAGATGCCAGTAATACTGCAGGGGGACACCAATGGCGAAGAAGAGTAACTCGTGGGCCAAAAACCACGTGTAAAACTTGGACGGCTCCGTCTTGGGGATGTGGTCCGCCGGGTTCCATGTTCCATTGGCCGCATGCTCGACTATTAAACTGCTATTGGAGAAGCCGAGACGCGTAACCGCTGTAAAATTTTGTACCACCGGGTGAGACCATGACGGGTGCGACAAATTTGCAAGATAGAGGTAGTGGTGGATAATCTTGGAAGCAGCCATCATGGCTGTGGCAGCCACCACAATCATTGGCAGCCTCATGCCCCGCGGGCCTGTAAATGGAATGGTAGGCATATCGCCGATGATTAAAACGATAGGCGATCGGTGTGGATTTGGCTAATTGCGAATAAAAAATTAGGTGTGTGGGCGTCTGGCCATCTTAAAACAAAACAAGGCTGTGAGAAGCCTCGAGGCTCACACTAGCCGGGCGTAAAGTGGAGATCAAACATGCCCCAGGCACCAAACGACGTCATTTGTGATCCCACAAACAGAGCCATCAGATGGTCCTTGCCGCCCTTGTGACAAATCAAATCTCGCGACACCACTTGGCCATGACGGCGCTAAGCTTGACCGCAGCAGGAATCTCCTCCAGAGCAACATCCACCTTCCACATGCGCCCTTCGAGGCCGCCCACCCTGCGCGCGCCGCCACCGATTCCAGATGGAACCAGCAGCCCTAAACTGATCAGCCGCTCCCAAGCCATGCCGGCGACGCCGCGGCTCCAGACACGCACGCTACCTCCCACAGCCAAGAGGCCAGACGTGGCAGACTGCACACGCTGGCGGCCTACAATCGACGCGTACTCGTCGTAGGCCATGGCAAAGTTTACAGTATCTGTGTGTGCCACAATGTCAAGGCGTGCCGCAGCAATAAGCAGTGCCAGGTCAAGATCGGACAGGGAAGCCAGTAACGACATTTTGGAGTCGGGAGGCGACAGCGATGTAATTGGCGAGGATGCTGTTGGGACTTTGATGCGTAGATCCTTCAGGTTGAGCGTCGAAAGCGCCAGGATCCATTCAGTAAAGAAGGTGGATGCCGACTTGCTCGTGTAGTAGTGAAACTGCAAAAGGTCCTGGAACGCTCGCTGAGTGTAGAGGTCCTCAATCTTGAAGTTCCAGTACTTGATAAACTCGGCAAAGCCTTCGAGCTCGACGTCTAGGCCCTCGCCGGCAGCATCCTCCGCTGTAACGGTGAGACCTTGTTTACAAACTTGCCAGTACGCCAGCGGATTCCTTGGCGGTGACAAGTACACATAGCGATGTGAGAAGCGACTCTTTACGCGCTTCTCCAGTGTCTCTACGACATCGAGACGAGTCGTACAGCCCAAGACGGCAATGGGTGCTTTTCGAGATTGAGCAATATCAAAGAGGTTATAAAGGAGGGTTTGGCGGGGATGTGTAGCAAACATGTCGAATTCATCAATGACAAAGAGGACGGATTGGGAGGTCATGCCGTCACTTGTCCCCGAAATTTCTTCGGGGTGAGAGAGGAGGGCCAAGAGAGAAGTCATGGTATCTGCGTAGTTAGAACGGTGAAGCAGGTCGTCTTCCACTTGCATCTCTTTGCCGAGCTGGCGCCAGATTTCCTTGAGCGCCAGCTTGTCGTCGGTGTGAATAAAGCCGTTTAATCGCACAGTATGGAAGGCATGCTTATGCTCTCGTGAGAGGTCAGCAATGGTATTTTCCACCATTGTAGTCTTTCCGCTTCCACGTGGGCCAATGAGGAGCATCGAGTTTCCTTCTCCCGCGAGGACAGTCTGTTCGAGAAGCTGCCGTACCTTCTCCGCAGCCTCTTCTTGCCCAGCCATGCGCAGTCTTCGACGGCCGGTACACTTGTCCAGTAGTACCCGCTGCAGCGAACGTACATGTTTATCCAAATTGGGAATATCAGGTCGATCAATTGTTCTGACTTCGGCCTTTGGTTCCTCCTTCATTTCTGGCTTGGGCTTTGCCACATCATACTGGGCGCAAGATTTGCATAGCCAATCGCCTTCGGGGATTTCAGGTACATCGTAACACTCCTGATGAACAGCAAAGTCACAGTTTTCACATAATATAATCTCGTTCGGCGGCTTGGAGTGTGGCTTCGAGCAGATGGCGCAGGTGATAGTATCGTCCTCTTCCTCCTCCTGCTTTCGTTTACGCGGTGACGGCTTCGGTTTAAAGAGGGGGCTCTTTGGTAAATCGTCAAAGAAGACCTCGCCATGCCTGTCAAACTTGACACTTTTGCTGGAGCGGATCCCTCCTCGTGCTTTGGTAGGTGTAAGAATTCCCTTGGGGGTGTGGGCAAAGGGGCGTGCCTTGGTCGGTGTGCCGCTAGGGCTGTTGAATAGATCGTTTTCTTGGTCAGCAAAGTCTTCCGTGTTTATAGAGATTGGCTTGATGCCAGGGTTGAAGCCTCCCCGAGGTGCGGGTGCGCTGATGGCAACCTTGGGCGGCCGACCAGCCTTCTTCTTGCCAGGCTTGGCTCCCTTGCCAGCATCAGGGTCCCATTTTGTTCCTTTCAGGGCAGAGAGTTTAATGCCAGGTAAGCCAGGTAGGCAAGGCAGGCCAGCAGGGGGTCCAGACATGGTTGGGAGTCGGATTTCGATTCGGCCAAGCGGTCGGTTCGTTGGAGGGGCGGCAGCGGGTGCGGAGAGGCCTGTTGATCCCGCTTTGCTTGCAGAAGCCGGCGATTCTGCGGTGGGAGCGTAGGCTGTATTCGTATTTGTATGAGGTGCAGGTTCTGCTGCAGGTATGATTGTATGCGATGTTGCTGTCGGTACCGGAGCTACGCTGGCAGAAGGGAGGCTTGTCATCGCCGCTTGGGGCTCTGACGGCTCAGGATACGCTGAACGAGCATCAGCGTGTCCATTCTGTCCATTTTGTGCAGTCTGCTCTGCGGTCCCGACAGACTGTCGTCTATATCCAAACACGCCCGAAATCGCCGACGCAATCGCTCCGAACCGACTATCCCCTACGGCAGGGGATCCAGCATCTAGCCGCTGCCGCTTGAGATCGACCGTCGATGAGGGGGAAAGCGGATCAGAATCATCACGGCTACGTTTTCTGCTCTGGGCCGAGATTTCGACGGCCATCGTGTCGAAAGTCTGGCGGCGTGACGCGGGTTTGTCGTGATGGTGAAAAGGGAGTGTCGGGTGCCTTTGTCAAGGGAAGCAAGTCGGCCGTTACACACCTAAGTAGCCTGTCGTTCAAAAACCACTTTACGCCAATGACGGGAGGATCCACTGAGTGGACGCGTTGGGACGCGTAAAGCTCGCTCCTACCCTAAAGCCGCGTTCAAGCTACGATATTTATACTGTTGAGGTAAATTTATTATCTGAATCCGTGTAATTTGATGGGAATAGGGTGGATAAATTATTTGCAGTGAATTTGGACTGTTAGCGATGATTGAATGGTCAAGTTCTTCTTTGAAGGTACAGTGACGCCTACAATCCATACCACGCGACAGCGCCTGAATCTTCGCTGATAGGACACACACTGCAAATAAATTGCCCTTGAACGCGTCAAACTACCCAGAAACTCCTCCATACAGTGTCACATCAATTCCCTTCCATTTCGATTCAGCGCCTCCAGATACTCTTCGCGAAGCAGTTCTGTTGCGCGCCGTCGGCCGTGGTACACGCACAGGCCAACACCTCCATTCTTGTGTTTTGCATTTGCTGGGCACAGCGGGCTGCTTGCAAGATGTTCTGGGATATCAAATTCGAACCGTGGTGATCCTTGAATGATGGAGTTGTGCCGACGCTGAAGATGCGGCATCTGCTCCCACCACTCTCGTGATTGTCCAACGACGCTGCTCCTGTGGATATTGTACCGTGGCATGGGGCACCTTGCCGTTGGCGTACTCGGCTGGCTACGCGAACCATCTCCCGGAGGAGTCGTTGATGTGAAGAATCCCCGGGGCCGTCCATCCGCTGTGTCTTCATCCAGCGGCGGCGTGTTGATGCGAATAGCCTCCTACTGCCCATTAGCAATGCACGTCCAACGTCTGATTTACATACACCACCGGGAAACTGCGCATCTATCTTGCGCTGGTTCTTCACTTTAAAAAAAAGAATATTAGTCGAAGTCCTGTTCTGGAACATCCATATCACATACTGTTTGTTGGCGTTGTTGGTGGTGTTGCACCCCTCAACACATCCCTCACTGAGCTTGATACGGTGCTCGTGCTATCCAACGACTCTTTATGGCGCCAGGGAGCCCTGCCAAATATCTTTTTTGAATTTCCAAGATTATTGAGCTCGCGCTTGAGCCAGGTCCCCGTATGCTTCAGACCGCGTTCAGGATTCTCAGGGCAAGAAGCTCCAGCTGAATCATGCCTATTGGGCTTTTTTGCTACATCGTCATGTTTCTTTCCCTGTTAACGTAACAATCACAAAGAGGACCCCTACACTTACTTTTGACCTCTTGATTGGATGAATCTTATCAATTTCGTGCATGACTTTCGCATACAACGTACGCGCCGCGCGACGTGCTGTGCTAGTTGATGTCGTCACAGAACCATCGTCTGTAAGCTTTGCAGAAGGTGCATATCCTCTATGCCTAGGAGTAGAAAGCGGTGATTCCTCTGCTACACTAGGCTGTTGTAATGACAGAACATGGGCTGACTCTGACAAAAAAGGACTTGACGCCATCTCGTGCATGTTTTGAGGAACCGACATGGATGATGTCGGTGACGCATAAGATATCTCACGGCTGTCCATATCGCTACCCGATTTATTCGAACGAGATTTCCATTTCCAGAATTTGGCTGCAGAGGCGCTCTTGTGAAGGTCGCGCGACGGCTGTCTTTCCGCCCAGTATCCTTCGGGGAACCAAACCCACTCATATCCCTCACGAGCAGGACGCGGAGGATCGACGCCATGGGGAGAAGCCGGTGTAGATACAGGTATTACAGGTATTGATTGAGGGGTGCCTGAGGAACTGATGCCCGGGGAGGGACTGTTGGCGCGGCCCTCCTGGGCCTTTAACCTCCAAGTGGCCGTCTTTGACGTGTTTATTATCTCCGAGGCTGGTGGCGTAGCGATATTAACAAAGAATATGGGTGGTGTCGGCAACCCTTGCGTAGGTAAAGTAAAGTAGCCACTATAGATATTAGCAATACGCAAGCTGTGCTGCGTGAAGCTACTCTACGTCAAATCGCCCGATGAGGGAGGGGACCAGTGCAGCTGGGCGACTGCACTCGTCATGTTGCGGCGCCTCAGAGACGGCGTTTTGATGCTAGCACTCTCTGCAGCGGACCGGAACAGAGATACAAAGGATGCCGTCACCAAGGTATGCCGAAGAGAGAGAATGATGGGCGATGTGGTTGAGGGAAACGTCGCCAAAGAGTTTGAAAGAATACCACAAGAGCGATGAATATGGCTTCGGAGTGTAGACAATCTAGGACAATAGGAGACGGAAAAGCTACAAAACAAATACAGACTTTACACTACAATCTCTGCAGAGAAAACGAAGACAAAGAGGTTGCTGGTGCTCCAAACACACAAGGAAGGAAGGAGGTACAAACGGGGACGACCGCTTTAGAATATGTAAAAACCAACTTTTTATTTAACAAAGCAAAAAGTATCAGCCCAAGAGAAATCCAATCGCCGTGCCGATGTAACTATCATTAACCGTTTTTGTTCTGAATGCATGCCCTTAGGCGTCAATAACCATGGTATCATCTCCGTCAAACGCAGCAGCGGTCTGCTCCAACGGAACGCCACGACCACGGCCGGCAAGCAGCTCGCGACGGACCTCGGGGCCAATAGCAGAATGGCCATGCGACAGAAGCAAATCTAGTAGCGCCTCACGCTGATCCTCAGTAATATCGCCCTTGTAGCGCTGGGCAAAAGCCAGCAGGCTCTGGTGCCAGATGACGGGCAGCTTGCTAGCCAAGCCGTCGCCGCCCATGGCCTCATCACCGCCAGTCACGCTGGGGTCCTCGTTGCGGAAGCGAAGGAAGTGGAAGACGACAGCGTCAATAGCCTGGTAGGGAAGGGCGTACTTCTTCTCTAGCAAGGTCTTGATGAAGATGTTGGTGGCGCCACCGCCCTCGCTGCCCTGAGAAGCCTCCTGGGCGGCAATGTCGCAGAGACCCTTGATGGCAGCGGCGGAGTGAAGGACGGGAATGGAGACTCTGGCGAGAACGGCGGAGATGATGTGAGCCTCACGCAGAGTGCAGGTGCCGCTGCCGATGAGCGGGAAGAGGAAGCCCTTGAAGAAGGACGAGGGCTTGTAGAGAGCCTTTTTGAGAGAGTTGAAGAGGTGGACGTTGAGCTTCTTGTTCTCGTAAATGTCTTCACGGACTCTTTCGAGAATGACGATTTCTAGGAAGCGCTGCACGACAATGGGCTTGCAGGCGACGAAGATGCGGGTGGCCTGGTAGCAGGCGTTTGTCGTCCACTTTTCGGGCTTTGTAATGTCCAGGATTTCCTCCCAGTGGGGGATGGTGGGAAGGATCTTGAAGGGCTTTGGCAGAGGGCCAGACTTGTATCGAGAGAGAATCTCACCGATCCTATCGCGTTGGTTAGTTTGGGGGCCGCAGTCAGTCAACTAGCCCAAGAAAAAACTCACTTTGTGTAAGCCTCGACCACCTTTTCGGGAATCTCGTAATCATCTACAGCCTCCATGGGCTCTGAGCGGCCCTGCATGGCCTCGTGATCAGCAATCTTTTGCAAGATCAAGTCGGCCAAGTTGACGGGCTCGTCGTCATCGTAATCGCCGTGGGGCTTCTGGTCCCAGCCATGCTTGAGCAAGTCGTCGGCCTCCTCGTCGGGCATAAACTTGCGGTACGTCTCGAGATCCTCGGGGTCAACCTCGACCTCTTCAACCTCCTCGTCGTCATCGCCCCACGCCTCATCGTCGCCGTATGTCTTGTGCTCGTCCTCAGCCTCGTCGAATCGAGAGCCGTAGCCAAAGTTGTCAATGGTTGCCGCAGGGATAATGTTGGTACCACGCTCGGCATTGTCTTCCTCAGCAAGCTCTCGACCAATACGCAGAATGTTCTTGGAGGCCTTAGAGTCGACAAAGTTGGCCTCGCTCTCGTCGACGTCTCTCGACTTTCTCTTGCTGGGCTTGTTGCGCAGGAGGCCGCTGGCGGTGATGTCGTCCTCGAGAGGGTTGTGGCGTCTGCCTCCCTGAGGGGCACTTGGTGTCTTGGGCATCTTGGAAATATGTGCTGGCAATGTCGTTGCGAAAAGCCACAAGCTCGATGAAGTTGCAAAGTGTTTATGCTGTGCGCCTGAAATCTTCAAAAATTTGTGAATCTGCCACCCCTCTTGCTTAGAAGGGTTTAGCGCCCGTCTAGATTTTGCAGTGGAAGCGCTCACCGCCTGCCCTGATGGGCCATGGTCAAAGAGGTGCTTAAAGTGCAGAGAAGCAGAAATATTGCCCCTACCGAGCATTAAAAGTACTATAAATAAATTAGACTGTCTATTGGGGCATTCATTTCTTGAAAAATACCTGAGATAGCTTATAAATAGTCATACGTTTGCTGTATCTTCTTTTCCCAGACCCTATGACGCTACAAGCTTCTAGAAACTACCCCCACCACCCGCTGGAAGAAATCTAAACCACCCCTCCATCTCTAGCGACAAGCTTCTCTTTTCCTTCTTCACCAATTGCGCCTACAAATCAAGACACATTCAAAATGCCGACCGAACTAGAAGAGGTAAATAACTGACCAGGCTTATGGAATTACCCAACAACACTCTGCTAACAATCCTTCCAGCTCGTGGGCTTCATCTCGAACCCGAATCCTCAGATTCGCGCCCTCGCCACCGAGAACCTCGTGCCATACTCGCTGTCCGACCCTGCAATCTTCAAGACCGAAGAACTCAAGCCAATTAAGCACCTCAAGATTCTCCTGCGCGACGACCCTGTAAGCCATCTTACCGCGCCTCCAATGTGACACCCAAGCTAACACAATCCGCAGAAAATCGCCGAACATGCTCTCACCATGCTTATCAACCTCACATCGGACCCCGACGTTCTCGAAAACGTAGCGACTGACGACAAATACATTAACCTATTACTCTCCTATATTATCGTACGTCTCACGTACTCCGCAATCTTCCCCAGGTCATCGCTAACACCACGCAGCAAACCGACGAGAAGAACGCCAACCTCGAGGCCATGCTGCTCGCCAACCTCGCCAAGCACGACAGCATGAGGAACATACTTTCGCGCAAGCAGACGGCCCCCGAGGCCCTCGGATCCGACGACCTCGTGCTCAACCAGCTCATGGACCTCTTCGTCAAGGGCCAGGACGGCTCGTACAACAAGGACGCTGACTACGACTACCTCGCCTACGTCTTTGCCGATCTCTCCAAGTACGACGACGTGCGCAAATTCTTCATCACAGAACAGGACTACAACAAGGTGATCCCGCTCACCAAGCTCAAGGTCTTTACGGAGCACAAGTCGGATATCCGCCGCAAGGGCGTCGCCAGCACAATCAAGAATGTCGCGTTCGACATTGACTCGCACCCGTCGTTTATGTCGTCAGAAGGAATCGATATCCTGCCGTACGTGCTGCTCCCGATTACCGGTAACGAGGAGTACGACGTCGATGAGACAATGGACATGCTGCCTGATCTGCAGCTACTCCCGCCCGACAAGAAGCGCGATGCCGACACGACTATTATCCAGACACATGTGGAAACACTGATGCTGCTGACAACAACACGAGAGGGACGAGACTACATGCGCGACGTAAAGGTCTACCCGATCATCAGAGAGACTCACCAGCGTGTGGAAGACGCAGGCGTCAAGGAGGCTTGTGATAGACTGGTGCAGGTCCTGATGCGTGACGAGGAGGGCGAGGGCGAGGACACGGAGGCTCGTATTAAGGAGCTTGTGGAGGATGAGGATAATGAGATTGTTGAGGTTTAAAGAGACATAACTTGTCACATGGAGTGTTGGGAGTGGGATATACAAAAGTTTTTTGATATAGCATTTTACGGTGAATTGGGTGTTTTTAAATGGAATAAAAATGTTTCATTATTTACAATCTCGTAGTCTCTGGACATGATGAGGGGGAATATATAAAAGTAAAGGAAAGGACAGAAAGAAGAGAAGAATTCAAAAAGGACAACAACGTTTTCCTGGTACGGTGTTTTGCAATTTCCAACCGTACAATGCAAATGAAACCCGGCATATAAACTGGCCAAAAGAACAAACCAACACAAAAGATCATATATACCTATCATTACTCTTTGTATTCAGTGTCCCGCTTAGGCACCGCCTTGCGTCTTACTCCGGCGGTCATGTAATCCTCTCCAACAGCCTCGTTCGCAGATGGCGGCGAGACGGGCTGGATAGGCGAGACAGGGAGCACCACAGGTAGTGTGGGGGAGTCGACAGGTTCACCGTCAGAAGTGAGAATGGCATCTGGAGGCACCGGAACATCCGGGTGCTGCTGGTAGGCAATGTGTCTGGCGTTTGTAAAGGGGTTGGAGGGCCCGGCGAGCGAGGCGCTGGCCAAGTTGGGAGAGTCTGTCTTGGATGTGGCTTCTGAAATGTGTGTTTCGCCGCCTGTCGAGTGCTGCGAGTCCTGGCGTCTGATGCTGTCAGACTTGAACGACGGAGAAGACTGGAGGCTGGATCGCAGGGCGGCGTTACGGGCTGCTCGGCGGTGGTAGCTCTCCAGAGGAGCCATGCCGGTGTCGTGGAGCTCGACAGGCGTGGATGTATCGCCGAGTTCAACAACCTGCGTGTCGGGCATCTCGTGGAAGTTGGATGATGAGACTGTCGAGGCAGACATGTGGCGGTCCGGCGAGCCGGTCATGGTCATCTCGGGAACAGACGACATGTCCGGAGTGGGATCACACACGGACGACTCAGTTGTTTCAAACTGCTTTTGAGCAGTGGGCTCGGCATTGGGCTGGGCGCGGATCCATGACATGACGCGGACTCCCGTCTCGGTAGGGATAGAGGCCGACGCCGTCTCGCTTCTGCCCTTGAGGACGGCCCTACGGCGCCAAAGGTACCAAGCCACGGCGGCCAAGGTAATGACAACGAGGCCGGCAATGACACCAACAACGGGGGCAACCCATGAGGGAAGACCACCACTGCCATTGTCGACTGGGTTGTTGGCAGTCCCGTTGGTGGCGGCGTGGTACGGCCAGTATTGCTTAATCTTCTTCATGTTGTATGGCTTGGAGAAGGCGTCGCCAAGAGAGCTGTCGTCCCAGCCCTTTGGTGGCTTCGTTTCCTTACTACCACCACTGCCATCAAGATTGCCACCGATGTTTGCCCTGATACTCGCGTGGACCTTGTAAGGAGCGTACTTTGCGGGATCGTAGCCGTCCATCCACATACCGCTACTTAGGTTGTACATAACCACAGGTCCATCTTTCAAACATGGTGAGCTTCGTCCATGGTTGTCAGTGTTGGCGGTGTATCCGCCAATCACCATCATTTGGTCCGGGTATGGCATGAAGCATTGGTGTCCTGCTCGGCCGTGATCTGGCGACCCTGGGCTTACCTGCGTCCAGGTGAAGGTCGGGAGGGAAAGAACCCAGGTGTCATCATAAAAGGGATTTGTGCTGTTGAGGGCATCATATCCACCGTAGTAGAAAATGTTGAAGCTGGAAGCGTCAGCGGCGGGTGCTACAACAGCACACCCTCGGGCTCGAGTTCCAGTAGGCCCGTTCACAGTCTTTTGCTGGTGCCAAGTACGCTCAGCAACGTTGTAAACATCAATATTCTTCATAAAATCCGGACTAACAAGTTTCTGTCCATAAAGTTAGAAATGGCGTCCAAAAAGCGAGCAAAAGGTCACAGTTCTTACGCTGTTTGTTGCATTACCAGAGCCTTCCGGGTTCGCCCACTCAGGATCAACTGCACCACCGAGAGCGACCAAGATACCTTGCTCACCAACGGGTACCCAAACTAATGCAGCTTCGGAGCGACCCTTGGTTGCGGTTGGCAGGTCTGATTTTAACCACTGCTCGCCGTATTGTGCCTTCATATCGACCTCGATCAAGAACTTCGAGGTGATATTGGCGGTAGAATTGGCGTCAAGCGACGCGGTGGCTGTAAAGGCATCGCCGTAAGGTGTAGTCAGGCCCGAAAAGTACCACGCTTTGTTCTCTGATGGGGCGCTGGCGGCAGCTCCGTTCCTAACTAGTCGCGTTACATTGTTGTTAAGCTTTGCGGCTCCAAATCCATTTCGAAAGGCGCCAACACCATCACCGTATTTGAATTTGGAGTAGCGAACGCCTGTGTTAATACTGGGTGCATTATATACGCCGTCAACGACGGTGACGGCGCCTCCGTAAAGTATGAACTCTCCATCGTTGGCAAGCATGCCACCGCTCTCGAATGGTGCTGTGAAGGAGAGATCTGATGCATCTTGGCTAGATGATTTGAGGATGGCGTTTCTAATCAAGATGTCCGTAACATTGGTGGTTTTGTTAAAGGGCGTCGACAAATCATACGCCAAAACGGCTCCGTCAGGGTTGACTACCTATGTTAGCCATCGCTTTGGAAATTTATCCACATAACTTACGTCCACCGGCTTGTTCTATATCCGTCTTACCGCCTGCTTTAGCAGCGGATAGCACAAGATCGCCGCCATCAATGTAAATGAAATCACGAAGAATAGCAGCTATGTTGTCAGTAAGTAAATGCTTACCACAAGTTCTCTAGCCGGCTCAACTAACCTCTAGACTCCCTCCACTGGCAGATGGATGTGCTGACTTGATCCGGTTCCCATTGTCCGATGTTGGCGGTTGTCGCGGACAATCCTTGCACCAGAAGACTGGTTATGAGGGCGTTGACCATCGCCATGGCTGTAAACTTTTAATGACTCTGTCGTTATCCAATGGTGATGAGAGTTGTGTGACACCAACAGACTGTCAATATTCAACAGTGTTCTGAATTCGAGCGTAGTGGCCAAAATAACTCCCAGGCTGGGACACTGGTGCGTGCAAGCGGGGACGACCAAACCACAACGCAGAGGCTCAGTTATCACAGCAACGACTATAGCTGACAGAAAGAGGACCGTAGTGGGTTTCCGTAAACCAAGGGTTTCTACTAGAAAAAAGGGGTTATAGTAAAAAGAGGCACACTTCACATAGAAGAATGTTGAAATTGCGCTAGAGAAACTAAACCACGAGCTGTAACAAGGCAAGACACAGTGGATAAGGCGGACTGCACATGGGCAGACAGACCGGACCCTTGGCACAGACACAGAGAAATGAGCACGCTACCGTCTGGTGGCAATGGACGATGAAATTGGTAGCATGTTGCGGGCAACGATGGGTAGGCAAGGGGTGCCAGCGCGCAGGGCTCTGGGTCAGCCTGGGCTTAGGATGAACGAACGGCCGGAGAGTTGCGTGCGCCCGCTGCAGAAGGAATGCGGGGCGCTCATTCATACCATTTGTGTGCTTGTAATTATCCCAAAGAGGCTGTCGGTAGTCATTCTTTTGGGCAGCAGCCGGATAGTGATGCTGCCGTCTAAGCTCAGCCTGGGTGGTGAGCCCGCCAGCCAGATGCAGGAAGAATGCTGTTCAACAACCAACGATTATATGAATCTGGAGAGCCGAATCGCGTCGTCAAAGTTTCTAGCGTGCGTAGGGATGCATCTGCGAGTGCACAATTCACAGGGATAGTCTCCTTTGCATTTGGCTGTTCCTTGTGCGTGCGGTCCTTCTCGACGGGCTGGGGCTGGGAGATGGCGGCGGGCGTGGACTAGCCAGGCTAGCACAAGTGCGGACCACTCCGGGCGCCGCACAGACACTAGTTCCCAAAGAAGCATAGGCCAGGCAGTGCCAGAATCGAGTGACATTGTTTATTAAAAATGTGAGCGAGATGGTGTAGTGGGCCGAATGTGGCAGGCGATTGGCGATGTGGTGGCAGCGAGCAGGCGCCCGCAGCGTCAGTCACCCTCCTCTAGCTGCGCTTCCGCGGGACGGGAAGAGTACATGTATGTCTGTAGTGCGTATGCAGCTCTGAGCTGGATACTACGCTGAGCCGGGCTTCTTGCATCCCCGTTGTCTTGTCCATTTCCCAGCGTGTCGGGTTTCTATGGAGAAGAGTCAGTTGCTGTGAATGCCGCGTTTGCCTTGATGTATCGCGCCGCTCTTATCCTTTCTGTCGGTGTCGGATCCATTTTATTGGCGTTCCAAACTACCGCGCTACGGAGGCACGGGCCATGACGGGAAAAAAATGGGTTGCTATTCACAGGCAAGGATGGACATTGGACCGAAGAGGCTGCGTTGACGAAGGCCCAAAAGGGAATCGGCCGGATACAAGGGGACTTGGGAACGACTGGCAGGCTGGGTATATGAGCTGCGGCTGCCTGAGGCCCGCTTGCAGAAGCGTGACTGACCACAGACTGGCTTTGCGATGAAATAGCGCGAGTACGAAGTAAATAAGAGAACAGTTATTACAGCTAGACGCGCACATGCGGCGAGAAAGAAATTGGCAGCTGAATCGTGGACATTACCACTCGCATTGTCTTTCTCCGTTTCCTTTGTTGGTCCACATTGGCCGCACTTGATCGCCCGTTGAGAATGCTACTGTGCTAAGTCCATGGCGAACAATAGGGCCCCGCTGACAGGCTGGGACGTGCCATCGGTTAGCGCTGTCAAGTGCCAAGTTACAGTGGCGTGTAGCGGCTCACTCGGCCGCTGGAGCTGTCTGCGAGGCACTAAATAGTGGCCAGTAGTGGGAGCTAATGGAGAGCTAGCAGTCTTGTCACCGCAGCCTAGCAGAAAGGATAGACAAGAGAAAAAAGAGTGGGCGACAATGACGTGAAATACGAATACTCTGAATATCTTCTCCGCTTCGGCATTCGGGCATTTCCTCGTCTGTACTGTACCGTACATAGATTGCTGCGGACAATATCCATCTTGGGCGGTGCATAAAAATTTTGTGGTGCCCGCTAGAGCCTTGCCTAGCAGACCCCTGCTCTGCCCGAAAGGACCCTGCCTGTGTTGTCTCGCACACTGGCCACAGGCTCTCTCTCCCGTCTTTTGTCTTGCCCTCTCCACCATCCCCAGCATCCAGAAAACGCTCGCCCAACAACAACATGCTGCGACTCCACTACCGAGGTAACCCTTCCGCAGCCTTGTTCCCGGCTCTCGTCCATTGGCCCAATCCCCGAACTCATCACACAATAACCCGTCTAGGGAAAGGCCGCTCGCTGGACACCGCGCTCTCGGTGGACCTTGCTCCCTAATGGCCATCATCACGGGTACTGAGGTAATTTACCTTTCCGCTGAAGAAACCCCTTCCCTGGAATCTCGCAGACATTTGGTATGTCGCCTCAGTCAGCCTCTCAGGCAAGGCTCTGGCTGTAGCCCAGCCTCATATAAGCAATCCCTCCCCTGGTTCTAATGTCTCCGGCAGTGAGCGAGCCAGCAACTCAGCACATCGTTGGCAAATGGAACTGCTAGTAAGCCCCAAGCAGGACATAACTGTGTAAATCCATGCCCAAGGCATAGGACAGAATCGCATTGCTTTACTAAAAAGCTGGCTTTGCGCGTATCGTCCGCCAAGCGGGGGCGTGGCTCCATTGGTGCTAGACCAAGAATTTTAGCTGCACTTGCCGCTTCAGGAAACAAGCTACGATGACAAGGCGAATGTGACAAGAACAGGGATGGATCCATCTCCGGCCGGCCGTCGCCTTTTTTCCAGGCGTCGCTCAAATGTGACTAGGCATTTGGACCCATGTGGATCATCACCACCACCACCGCTCTTTTGGGATACTGCCTTGCGCCCGCTGCGTGTGGCCCTGGCTACGTCTGCGCCGAGTAATGCGTACCTACTTTCTCGGGGGCGAAACTCAGCCGGTACGTTGCCTCGCCTCTTGTGGCTCTGTATTAGCTGGCCCCCGATGAGCTTATGCGCACGGCCTGGCCGCTGGGAAATTGCTTGGGTGATGGGGACGGTGCCCGCATGCAAGTGTGCTGCTCAAGGCTACGTCGTGTACGATCCGGTAGCAGGGTTGCCCGTGTTTATCCTCTTTGTCCCATAAAGAGAAGTCTGCGGCTGTAAAACCCTTCCTGCCCCCATTGCCGTCTCCTCCTCGAGTCACCTCTCTTTGCCAACTACACTCCGGAGAGTTCGTCCATTGCTTGGCTTCAACTTTGCAACATTCGTTTACAAGCGTTTTGATTCCGGCCTACAATGTTGTTCAAGACCATTGCAGCTGCGGCTGCCTTTGGCGCACTTGCCTCCCCAGCTTTGGCAGAAGACACTGAGCTGGTGTCGCACATTGACCTCCTCGAGCGTGCTGCCGACTGCCCGACCTGCTGTGTCCCCTCTACCGTATCAGTCACTTGCACGTAAGTAACGAACCGCAATCAGTTTTGGAGTAGAAATGGGAAGCATTCGTTTAATTTGCTAACGGCCGAAACAGTGTTAGTGAATTGACTACAGTGGAAAAGACTGTCGAAATCTTCAGCACTATCACCGAGACAAAGCTTACTACCGAGTATGCTACGAAAACTTCGGTTTCTACCTTCACCTACGTATGTGGAGCAATCAAGTTGAAAGGAAATTCATGTTCAAGAGAAACTAATCGTGTACAGTCATACCCGGTTACAACTACCAAGCTTCTTAAGTGAGTTATTCCCCAAGCGGGCGCTGTCGCGTAGGCCGCAAGCAACTAACAAGTAAATAAGCTGCACTCCTGCAAAGCATAACAAGCGCACACACCATAGCAGCACTGTTGTTCCTATGGAATGTGAGACGGAGACTATTACCACGCTCGCTACCCAGACTGAGGTCATCTCTCACACCATTACCAACACTCTCATCAAGCCCACGACCATTGTGACGACCGTTGACAAGCCTACAACTCTTACCAACACCGTCACCCGCACAACAACTTTCCCTACCACCATTACCCTGGAGAACGACGTCACTACGACCTCACTCGTCACCAAGGTTCTTACTGAGACCAACACCATCACCTCCCAGGTCCAGGTTCCCACTACCATTCAAGGCCCCGGACAGACGATCCAGGAAACGGTCCAAAACACTGTCCAAAACACTGTCCAAAACACTGTCCATAACACAATTGTCAACACTGTTTCCGCTCCTGCCAACGTCCAGGTCATCACTATTGAGAGAATTGTTACGGTTCCCGTTACCGCCCCGCCCGTGACTGTGACCGCCACCTCTCTGAGCGTGACGCCCGTCTTCCAGGTCTCGCTCTGCCCTACTCCCAGTGCCGCCATTCTCGAAGAGCCTCTGTGCGCCTCCTCCAACCGCACATGGGGTTGCTTGCCCGGTTATATTTGCAACATGCGCAAGCCTAACGGCTGCAACTTCTGGCCTGGTCTTCCCAGCCCTGACTTTGTCTGCCCTCCCGAGAACTGTATGGTTGCTCCCCCGTACACCGAAGTTGAGTGGAAGGCAAACAGCACCTACTACTACCCTCCTTCTTTCGGCTACTTCTACCTCGACCCCGAGAAGTTTGGTCTCCCCTACGATATTTTTGAGTTCTCCACCTACCGCGAGGTTCACGGATGCGCTACTACCACCATCACCACTGGCAACTGGCACGGCGGCCATATCACTCCCAGAGGCGATGCCCCCTGCACTGCTACAAGTGGTGCTGCTGCTGTCCAGACTCACGCCCCTCTTGTCAAGAAGGCAGAGATTGAAGAACGCGCTTTTGCTTCCGCTGGTGTTAATATTGGAGGAGGCTTCGCTTCCGCTGGCGTAGATGTCTGCTACTCTCTGTGCGTCCATGCCGTCGTGATTGGCCAGTACGCCGGCAAGAATCCAGCCATCTGTGAGCCCAACTCGTTCTTCATGCAGGCTGTCAACACTTGCACCAAGTGTATCAACGACCACCCTGGCAATGGCAATGTTGCCGACTACGCTGGTAGTGCTCTTGGTCAGTGGGTTCACTACTGCCAGACGCTCCCTGGAAACAACCCTCCCGTTTCGCAGCCTCCTGACCGTGAGACAACCGCCGCTGTCACCTTTTCGTCCATGGGCAACCCTCCTACCCAGACTTCTACTGCCATAACTGTCAGCGCCGGTGGCAACCCCACCGATCAGTCCACTCCCATAGTCGGTACTCAGACCGTTGGTAACCCTCCTGGTCAGTCTTCTCCTGCTGGTGGCAATCCTCCCGGCCAATCTTCTCCCGCTGGTGGTAACCCACCCTCCGGACAGTCTTCTCCTGCCGGTGGCAACGGAACCCCTCCCAGTCAATCTGCCCCCGCTGGAGGTAACGGCAACACCGCTCCTGGCCAGACAGCTCCTGGCAGTGGTGCTCCCGGTGCTTCCCAAGCTCCTGGTGGCCAAGGTTCCATGTCCGTTGCTGGCGGTGTCAGCGCTGGTGGCAACCCTCCCGCTGGTAACCCTACCGGTGGTGCAGGCGCTGTCACTACCAGCGCTCCTGCTGTTGTAGGTGGCTCTAACGGTAACTACACTGGTGGAATTGTCGGCACTGCTGGCGCACCTTCTGTGACCGCAAGCCGCTTCCTCCTGTCTAGCATTGCCCTCTTTGCCGGTCTCCTCTTGATCTAAGGATCTGAAGGGCTGACGGCAATGTTGGCGATTGCCATTTTTTTTATTGATTTCACGACGTTCCTTTGTGTACATGACATGTCTATGTCTAATGATACCACTTATTTTTACGGCTTGGGGATTTATGCTCGGTTAGATGTATGTATGCGCATCGATGATGTTGCAAGAACAAGAGCAACCCAGATGCATTGTTTTTATGGATGAGGCCATGTTACATAGTTGGATGGATTTAATACAGATTTATTGCATACAGGTTAAAATAACTCGCTCGCCGTGTCTTTGTGGTTGTGTAAGAAAGATGCCCGCCCTCATACGCCTCGCTCTAGTTCGCTATTCTGAATCCCTTCATGACCTTGTAGTGTATTGTTCGTATGAGAAGGGTTGTATATCGCCCGTGATATTTTTAATTGCAAGAAGCGCGTCTGCGTCGAAGATTTTGAAATTGTTCGAGAAATTGGCGGAAGCCTGCGATTGAGGGCACAGGGAGAGTGACCGATGTCAAGGAGAGGCCGTACATGATGTATATTGACGACAGTGACAACCTTTTCGAAAATCGCAGCGCGTATTATTCTATTTAGCAGTTTTATAGTATGGATTCAATGAAAGATGAAGGTTTAGATTTTACGAAATTCATTTACGCGGTGGTGGACGCGGAGGACATGTGCTGGATGTCTAGGGAGAGGAATGAAGGGCAGAACAAGGGCGGTCCTGTGCCTAGGGCATAGACATGAAATGGAAAGACATTAGAGACGCCTCTAGAACTCTCGTACAGCTGATAACTTATTTTGATTAAAATATAAAGGCTGCATTTTCAAAGATGGATAAACTATGGTGTACTTTACTGTCCACCGTGACACCCAGCGACAAGACGCAACTGTGGTAGCTCTTATTAAGCAAAATAAATCCAACCAAATATTATCAATATTTGAATTAACATAAAACTTACAGTCAAATATTTTAATATTAATCGTAGTATTGTTTACTTGCTGATGGTAATGTCTGTTGCTTGGCTGCACTTTAAATACTCTTACTGCTTTCGGCCTGTGACGTCTGAGCCTCGGCCCGGCCATTATCCACTTCCCCCAGAAACGCCGTTCCCCAGCCCTCGCCGACACCGAAGCTCACTTCCCGACATCACCAACTTCCTGCCTTCCATCCCAACAATCTCCCATTGTGTCAAAAACCAACACACAATGTCAGACTCTTCAGGTGACGACAAGCCCGCCGCCATTCCCAGCTGGCAAGCCTCCGTTAGCTCCTCGGACGCGCCCGCACCCGCAGCCGACAAACAGACCGAAGACACACTCGCCGTCGCGCGACGATTCTTGCAGGAAGAGCAAGTCCAGTCAGCACCCCGCGAGAAGCAAGTATCCTTTTTAAAAACAAAAGGCGTCTCCGACGAGGACATTGAGAAGCTCCTCGGCGAAGCCAAGAAGTCAGAAGCAGACGAGGTAAGCCAGCTAGCCAGCACAGCCCAATCCTCACATGCCAAGCTAACACCCAGCAGCAAAAGACCGAATCAAGGCAAGAAGTCACCGCTACTACACAATCAAAAGACCGCGCCCCCATCGTCACATACCCCGAATTCCTCACGAAGCCCCAGCGGCCGCCGCCCCTCGTCACCTCCGAGCGCCTCTTCAACACGCTGTATGCCTGTGTCGGCCTCTCGACGCTCGTCTACGGCGCAAGCAAGTACCTTGTTAAACCGATGGTCGACAGCCTGAACCAATCGCGCGGCGAGATCCACGAGACGACGGCGTCGCAGCTTGACGCGCTGATTACGCAGCTGGAGAAGACGGTGTCGGTGGTCCCTCCTGCGGCCGCAACTGCTGCTGAGGAGGAGAGCGACAGTGAGGACCCTGCGGAGATGTTCCATCGCGATGTTGGCACGCAGACGGTATTTCCCACCACGACGCCTAAGAGTAGCGCGGCAGAGGTCCCGGCGCATGCGCAACATGCTACGAATTTGGCGAAGCTGGCAAAGTCGCTGTCTGCGTTGAGGGATGATGTGCGGTCGCAGAGTACGGGGTTCGAGGGCATGAAGACGCAGTTGGATGGATTTAGGGATGATTTGGATGCCATGACGTTTGGCGCGGCGGAGACGACGACGTTTGAGATGTTTGGCGCGCCGAGGAAGGTGGAGCCGAATGATGAGATTCGTGCGGTGAGAGATAATATTCGCAGGATTAAGGGCGTCTTGTTGAGTACTAGAACGTTCCCTACGTCGAGATAGGGGCGTGGTAGTGAGGGGGGAAAGAAGTGTATATTACGTGTGATAGATACCATTGGAGAATGAAACACTCTTGATATTAACATTATGTTGTTACGGTTGCTACTGAAAGGTGACTGATTAAAGATGTGTCAGAGATTCGCTAGAGAGAAGGTGTCGATGTACACGTTCGAGCCATATGCCATACCTGGCGTCGATTATTAGTGGTAGCGTGCTGTTGCTGCTGGGCTCGGGCATGTGGAAGATGAAGAGTTGGGAGACGATTTCATCCAAGTCCCTGTCAGCGCGTACTTTATGTGGCAGAGGAATACATCGCTCATGGGCGATTATGATACCCTTAGTCATCTTGCAAAAGGCAGACCAATCGTTTGGCGACGCACTCGAGAAAAGCTGGCATGCGGGGTATACCAGACGCAGGAAATCTGTCAGTATGGCGCTTTGGACTTGACCGGCGGCACCGTAAGGGAAAAGAAGAAAGATGTGTGTTTGTGGTGTTATAAAAAGGTCGTCTGGGCTGGATAGTAGCGGTGTGTTGGTGAAGAAGGTCCAGATCTCGGGTGCGACTCGCGGAATAGTAAGGGGACGGAGGATGACGGATAGTTGTGACGCAAGGGATTCCGTGGGTACAAAGACTAGATACTGTAGCTTAGATAGCTCTTGGTCTTCACTGTCGACATCTAGACGCGAAAACCAGGCGGCGCATTGTGTTGGGTATACCAGGAGGATCGCATGCTTGACTCTTCCGAATAGACCGGCTGCCTGTGCTGTCAGATTGTCTGCAAGGTTGTCGGTCAATGTGGGATCGTCACGCGGGAGTAAAGCGCCAGATGCTAAAACTTTCTGAATAATAGCACCGTCTTCCTTGCGAACGGGAAAGTCCTCGCCTCGGCATAGACCATCGAGGTGCAGTGTATCGTGAGAATTGATAAGAGGACGAAGTCGTTGGTTGGGCTCATGAAGAATAGCATCAACCGAGTCTTTGTGGGCGCCAATCTCAAGAGTTACGCGCAGTCCTTGGCGAGAAGAATCTTGTGGTGTTTCATCTGGCTCGGGACTGACTTCTCGCTCGTCAGGTGGAATTAGATGTTTCGGAAACACTTTAGGCGCCGTTACGACATCTCTGGCGTTCGATCTGGTCAGGATAATGTTCTGATATCTGCGTTTCAGAAGCTTGGGCTCTACGTCTGAGTCAACCGCAGCCTCGTCAAGCGTCTTTCTCTTCTTTCGGACTTGACCACCGTGGAAAACGTTGTATAGTAGAGGAGTTCCTTCAGAAGCGTCTGTTCCATCGTCATCATGGCGGGTTTCTCTATCTCTTTCCATGGCTGGCTAATGATGGGCTGAAAGATACTTGAATAGTGTAAGTTTTTTTTGTGATGAACAGTCAGCAACACAGCAACACTACAACACAATATGTTTAGAAGGTGCCCGTTGGCAACGGCCAGCTGTGACATGTGCTGCCATTTGCCAGGTGTTTCATCGCAGCCAGCTGTCAACTGTCACTCGTAGTGATTCGCAACAAGAGAAAAAGCACAGCCTCTGTAGCCCGTCGCCCCCTATGCTTACAATCGCCCTAGCGCTTCTACATTACATATTTCAGCACTGACGAGGTCAAAACTAAAACGAGTCGTTGGCCCTACGGCCAGGGGTATCCCGGCGCCATGGCTACGTCAGCGGGGTCCAAATACTGTAGCCAAGTTGCGCCCTGCGCCTGTGGCAGCTGCTAATACCTGGGTGCCCTGCAACGGACCGATGCTGTAGCGCTGTACCGAATCAAGGCGACAGTCACAAGACAAGCGTTTTGCGGCGTCCGTGAGTGTGGCGCTAGTGGATGTTTCGTCTCGACCAGAGCGGTCTGCGATTTTAGGCTGCGACGGCAACGGTTATCACGGTAGATTAAAAAATAGGCATACGCGAAGGGATAGGCTTCTATGTTCAGGGGCTGTTTTCTAGAATTTACAAGGGGTTTCTTAGACTAAAACTACATGTGTTGAGTGTGCGGGATGCCTTGGCAGGGTAGCATGGCGGTGGGATATACTGTATGTACATGATGTCTGGCGTGCATTCCTAGCGCAGAACATGTATCGTACCAGGTGTTGCTAGACAGGCTTCTCTCTCGCTGTGGCAACATGGAACAGCGCACGTCTTGCGCTATATTACTGATGGTACACCAAAATTTATTATAGACGACTGTATACGCACATCAGGCGTCTGTCCCCCTTTTGTTTTGTGGGCTCATTCGTCCAGGCTGTGCAGCGAAGGCGTTTAGGTACCGAACAACTTGTTTTAGGGGGGCAAACCCACACCGTTCCGCCCGTAGACTAAGGAGGCCCGTAGGAGAGCGCCAGTGTGAGTGGCCTCTTCCCAAACAAGGCACCTTGTTTTGGCGTCCCCCTCCACACAAACACGCACGTCCTACCATTTCAAACCAATTTATTCCCCCACCTGTCCAGTTCCCGCCGTATTGACGCCATCTTCCATCCTCCATCCATAACTCCATCACCCTCTATTCCACTGCTTCGCACATATCGACATCATGGCTAACGACGAATATGACGTACGTTTCTCTCCTTTACCCCTCATCCCGCCAGCTGCCCGCCGCAGTTGCGCACCTACGATGACCCCCCTTATCACAAGCTAACCAGTGTCTCCTTTCTAGTTCCTTTTCAAAGGTACGAAAACCGCACACGTAATCCGCGCCTGCGATGCTTAGCTTTTGGCGCAAAGAATATGGCGCGCATCGTAATACTAGCGACTTCTAGCTAACACCCGTAACCTACAGTCGTCTTGATCGGAGACTCCGGCGTTGGCAAGTCCAACCTTTTGAGCCGATTCACCCGCAACGAGTTCAACCTCGACTCCAAGTCCACCATCGGTGTCGAGTTCGCCACCCGTTCGATCCAGGTCGACTCCAAGACGATCAAGGCCCAGATTTGGGATACCGCCGGCCAGGAGCGTTACCGCGCCATCACATCCGCTTACTACCGTGGCGCCGTCGGTGCCCTCCTCGTTTACGACATCAGCAAGCACCAGACCTACGAGAACGTCACCAGATGGTTGAAGGAGCTGCGCGACCATGCCGACGCCAACATTGTTATTATGCTTGTCGGCAACAAGAGCGATTTGAGACACCTCCGAGCTGTCCCTACCGAAGAGGCCAAGGCTTTTGCTAGTGAGTGTCGTCACCGTATCTCATGTAGCCCCTCATTCAGCTGCTAATCATGCATCTAGGCGAAAACCACCTCTCCTTCATCGAGACTTCCGCCTTGGACGCTAGCAACGTCGAGCTTGCTTTCCAGAACATCTTGACCGGTAAACTCAACCACACTTGCGCCCCTGGCGTGCCCCGTCAACCTGACTGCTAACTCATGACAGAAATCTACCGCATCGTCTCCAGCAAGGCCCTCGACAGCGGCGACGGCGCCCAGGCCACCATTGGTGCCGGCACCAACATTTCTCTTAGCAAGCCTGCCGACGACGAGGCTGCCAAGAGCGGCAAGTGCTGCTAAGCAGCTCCGCGAAGGAGCACCACAACCAAAACTCTCCTGGGGACGCCCGGCTGTGCGCTGCAACTAGTGTACGGCAGCAGGGAACCTATTTTTTCGACAAACCAAACCGCGCAAGTCGCGACTACTTTTCCGATGGGTAAATCTTTTTTTCTGGTACAAGCGTCAAGGGATCAGGAATTCTTGATACTACTGTGGTTGACATTAGATGGCGCAAATGCTTTCTCCTCGTTTGGCCGTGATGATTATTTGAAGTTTATGTGTCAACGGTTGCTGCAAAGGAAATATACTCTACGTAGCAAATGAACTAATATTCGAATCATACAACAAGCTCAGCACTTTTTGATATGTAAGGCACATGCGTTCTTGGAAATAGGCGGGACACGCGTCCAGACGAGGTGTTCCTATTACCGTTGGTATTTTACCTATCTTTCGGCTTATGGGCACAATGCAAGATGGCCAGAAGCACTAATCCACTTGCTTTATACAACCATCTACAGGGACTACCCTGATTCCATTGTTACTAGTAGCACGCAGTGGATTCCAAGATTTACCTGTCGCTTAGATCTGGCACCACCCAGCTTCGACCGCCCGCAAGACCCCGCCCCACTTTCTCTTGGGTGCAGTGCACCCATTTTTTTTTGGCAGCGCTCCGATAAGAGGCTTATCGGCCGTAGCATGGGGAACGGCCCAGTGAAATTTTTGGGAGCCCGCCAAAGTTCAGAAGTTTTCATTGCAAGACAAGACGACATCAACGACCAATGGCTGCCGTATACAAGTCGCTCGCTAAGAGCTCTACCACCAAGCCCGAGGCTCCCAAGGATGGTGTCAAGAAGAACAAGCAGAGAGTTTTGATCCTCTCTTCCAGAGGCATCACCTTCCGGTACGTCTTGGTGATCTTGGTGATCTTGTGCTCTCGTCGCATCCGACTAACCGCATAAATTGATGATTAGACACCGCCATCTGTTGAACGATCTTGCATCGATGCTCCCTCACGGCCGAAAGGATGCCAAGTTCGACTCCAAGTCCCGACTGAACGAGCTCAACGAGCTTGCTGAGCTGTACAACTGCAACAATGTGCTCTTCTTCGAGGCTAGAAAGGGCCAGGATCTGTACGTCTGGCTTAGCAAGGTGCCCAACGGCCCAACTGTCAAGATGCACATGCAGAACTGTAAGTGGAGGAAAATTGTGTCTCACGCAGCCTACTAACTCCTCGGCGAAACAGTGCACACCATGGAAGAACTGCACTTTACCGGCAACTGCCTCAAGGGCTCGCGACCCATCCTCTCGTTCGACGCCGCCTTTGACACGCAACCTCACCTCAAAGTCATCAAGGAGCTCTTCTATCACGCCTTTGGCGTTCCCCAGGGCGCCAGAAAGTCCAAGCCCTTTGTCGACCACGTCATGGGCTTCAGCGTTGCCGACGGCAAGATTTGGGTGCGCAACTACCAGATTGCCGAGGCGGAAAAGTCGGTCGTCAAGGGTGCCGACGAGAAGATGGAGAAGGACAGCGACCTGAGCCTGATTGAGATTGGCCCGCGCTTTGTCCTGACGCCCATTGTCATCCAAGAGGGCTCGTTTGGCGGCCCCATTATCTACGAGAACAAGGAGTTTGTGTCTCCCAACCAGGTCCGATCTGACCTGCGCAAGGCCAAGGCTCTGCGACACACTGCCCGTGCGGAGCAGAGCGTCGGCAGACTCTCGAGAAAGGACGAGCTTGGCTTGCGAACAGCCGGCTCCAAGAAGCAGGCTGTCAGCGAGTTGGATAAGAGAAAGCTGTTTGCATAGATTTTTGTACGCTCACGATACGAGAAATTCCCATGGCGTTATTTTCTTTAGTTTATTAAAAAAAGGCTGTATACATTTTTTCCACTGACCTTCTTTTTTTTTCGGATGGTTGTTGTCTCTGATAGTTGGCCCCGGTTGAAGTCCGGGTAGTGACATGCAGCGCCTGGCGCACCCCCTATGACTCTTCGACGCGTGCTACTCTCTGTTGCATCAACAACATCCCATCTCTCTCACAATAACATTCATCTACACTCATTAAAAGCATTGCAAATTCGTCCGTTTTCTTTTCAATTTACAAACTAGACAGCACACCCCCAATATGGCTTCTGATCAAGGGCAGCAGTGCCTTCGTATGGCATCATCCTCTTCTCTCTCTACGTCCGCTGGACTGTCCTCATTTGTTTCAAGCCCCATGGCCGGGGCCACCAGGTTGTAGAGCCTACGAGTTTCGTGCTTCTGAGAGATAGTAGTTTTCTCGGAAGTTTGGGATATATTCTCTATTCCTAGCCTTGTCGGCAATTGGTCCAGTGACCAAAGTTTGCTCTTATAGCACCCTTTTATTCTGAAATACAATCACAAAAAGTAAGTTGAAAGGGATGAAAGAGAGATTCTCAGACTAACTTGTATGTGGTAGAATACACACAACACTATTCACTTCAAACCATACAGTCATACTATTCTTCTTTCGATACACACACAGCATACAGCATATCATAGACATACATGATGGAGTCAAAAACAGCATACATGGAGAGCCTCCCCGTGGAGATTCTGCTGGAGATTTATTCTCATTTAGATGTGTCTACCATTTTCAATGTCTCGGCGACAAGCAAGACGATGCGGCACTTGTTCCAAGAACGGCGCGTGGAGATTCTGATCCCGATTTTGTCCCGGGAATTTAGCCCGTTTGACGAATTGCTTCAGGTTTATACGGCCAAATCGGTCGATATTGTGGGATCTGCCACGTACCACCCGCGCCGCATTGTCTTTCAACGGTCGGCGATGGACAAGGGCGTCCATATTGCATCTGAAGTCCCAGCCAAGGCATCCTACAGGGGATCCGGCATGCAGCCTGCTGCATCGTCAGCTTCGCAGCCGACCATCCTCACTGAGGATGACATGGACAAGGTTCTCAAGATGTGTCGTCTCGTTCGGCAGTGGGAGCAAATCTTTCCCCAGATGCGGTGGTTCCAAGAGCCTGAGAACTGCAGGACGTTGCGTCCTCATGAGATGGCACGGTTTAGACGGGCGTTTTATAGATGGTGGCTTTATGGCGTCTATTTTCATGGCGAGCTGCCACGCCCTCGCATTGGGCTGCCTGAGCCATTGGTGGAGGATATTCGAACGAGCCAGCTGCGATACTACTCGACCTCGGAGTTATTGGAGCTGATGGATCTCTTGGAGGCGATCAAGGATCTCATTTGCCACTACATTTGCCCACGTCTCGACCCTTCTTCTTACGATGTAAGTGCCTTTTGATTCACGGAATAGTAGCCTGGTCACTAACTCAAACACTTGCAGCTTGAAAATCCAGATGATGGCGAAGAGCTTCCTGGCCCTTGCCCGTGGGACCGCATCATCTCGACCTATGCCAAGCTTGGACCCGAGGAGCTGATGCACTACTTTGACAACATCTACAGCTATCCTCGTAAGCGGCTGATTACAGAGATTCGCCTACAGCGTCCTGGGTTCACATTTGACCAGGAGTCTATTCAGCTGGCCGTTCAATGCGTGCTAACTGAGAGACGTCTCTGGGACCCTGCGCCAAGCTTTGCTGAGAACAGCTCTGGCGGCATCCTCGACTTTGACGACGAGCGAGACTTGGAGCGCGCTGTGTTTGGATCGGATGCAAGCAGGGACGGCAACCTTCCTGCTGGCCTCAAGGCTATCCATTCGCAGTCTCGGTTTTCTCCTCGCGGCGACGACGGGTCTTATCTGGAGGAAATTCATGCGAGGAAGATGCTTCGTAATATGGGACGGACTGCCATTGTGCATGCCTGAGTGCTAGGTGGAAGGGTTTTGTTTTGTTTATTTGTTTATTTGAATTTCAGTAGACTATTGTCAAAGTAGCCATGCGTCTTGATCATTAGGATCATGTCAGTTAAATTTTATTTGCATTTTCTTTTAAAACACATCTCCGCATCACATGAGAATCGCCTTTGTTAGTGACGTCTTTTCTGGTAGCGGGAACCTGCGATCTCACCACAGCTCACTAGCATGGGCGTGGTTGCCCCACCAGAGATTGCACCGGGCGCATCTCGTCTTCCCATTGCGGCGTGGTTCCTTTGTTTGAGCTTGCTGCAGGTCACCACGGCGCACAGCGACAAGCGCATCTTGTAAAAGTATTGGAATTATTTTTTTTAGTATCGATACTGGGATTGTTTTTTACAGGCGTTGCTACGACTCTTCAACACCGCAGCGTACCATTGCGCACAGCCCCTACCTGCCCGCACGCGCGCTTCGCGACACCGTCACTCTCCTCCCGCTTTCTTTCTGTTCCGGTATGTATTGGCGTTTGCTATTGTTGCTTGATCCTTGTTCATCGTCTGCATGTATCCGAGTTACTGGTAACATAACGGGTATGGGAAGCAAGCTACTTGGGTGGCTGCATTCACAGCTGGACCTCTGCTTCACTAAGCTGTCGGTGCCCCTTCGGTAGCAACTCATGATTGCGATTGGACCTTGGTTGCTAGCAGGAAATCAAAGACATAGACTCGAATACTACAGAGAGTCAAGATACTAACCATGGCGTTTATAGTGTGGCCGTGGACAAGGCGCCGTCTTGTTGGTGGTGCCTCTCGCGGCCTGGACACAGCCGTCACGATGGAAGACAACCCCATGGTCACAGAGGACGATGTCCCGATGGAAGAACCGCAAATCGTCATCAACGGTACAGAGACTTCAATAAAGGCTGAAGACGACACGGCGTCCGAGGTGGGCAGCTCCTACGACGAAAGCGACATTGACGTCGAAGATGCGGCGCTCGAAAACATGAAGCGCCGTGGCCTGTTACCGACAGGATGCTGCTACGACGACCGAATGAAGCTACATATGAACGCAGACTTTAGCCCAAACGCACACCACCCCGAAGATCCCCGTCGAATCCATGAGATTTTCAAGGCGTTCAAGAAGATGGGGCTTGTGTACACAGGGCCCGAATCAGAGCTCGTCAAGATCCTCAAGGACTGCCCGAATAGATACATGTGGCGGATCCCCGCGCGAGAAGCGACACGAGAGGAGATTTGCCTTGCGCATACATCAGACCATATGACTTGGGTGGAAAGCCTCGATGCCATGAGCACAGAGGAGCTCCGGGAGTTGACTAAGAGATACGACCAGGGCCGCGAGTCGCTGTACGTCGGAAGCATGTCGCATGTCGCGGCGCTTCTGTCGGCAGGAGGCGCGATAGATACGTGCAAGAATGTCGTCACGGGCCAGGTGAAGAATGCGTTTGCGATTATCCGTCCGCCGGGTCATCATGCGGAACACAACCAAGCCATGGGCTTCTGCTTCTTTAACAATGTCCCTGTCGCAGTTCGTGTTTGCCAGCAGGATTTCCCTGACGTGTGCCGAAAGGTGCTGATTCTCGACTGGGATGTACACCATGGCAACGGTATCCAGAACATTTTCTATGATGACCCGAATGTCTTGTACGTCTCTATTCACGTGTACCAGAATGGCAACTTCTATCCCGGCAAGCCAGACGACGAGAATATACCAGATGGTGGGCCCGAGAATTGTGGTGTTGGGCCGGGTCTGGGCAAGAACATCAACATTGGATGGCATGACCAGGGCATGGGCGACGGCGAGTACATGGCAGCCTTTGAGAAGATTGTCATGCCCATTGCCAAGGAGTTCAACCCCGACTTTGTCGTAATTTCTGCTGGCTTTGATGCCGCGGATGGCGATGAGCTAGGCGGCTGCTTCGTAACGCCGCCGTGCTATGCGCACATGACACACATGCTCATGTCGTTGGCGGACGGTAAAGTGGCTGTCTGTTTAGAAGGGGGATACAATCTAAAGGCCATTTCGAATTCGGCTGTGGCTGTGGCACGCACACTGATGGGCGAGCCTCCACCACGTATGGACTTGCCCAAGATCAACAGAGAGGCTGCTAGGATACTGGGTAATGTTCAAGCATACCAAGCGCCGTACTGGGAGTGCATGCGGCCGGGCGTGGTCAATGTTCCCGAGGTACAGTCTTTGCAGGCAAGACGTTTACACGATGTTGTGCGTAATTCGCAGCTACAGCTGCTCCAGGAACGCAACGACATGCTTCCTCTGTATATCCAGCGAGATAGGATCTCGCGGTCCTTTGAGAACCAAGTGCTGATTACACCCAACTTTTCATCGCAGCGTAAGCTGCTGCTTATTATCCACGACCCGTACGTTTGCAGAACACACAGTGTGTCTGTCCAAAGATGATAACCACTAACCTGTTTCAATTATAGTCCCCAACTCCTTGCACAGCCTGATGTGATTGACGGCACGCTAGACAGCCACAATAGCTGGGTAGTCGACGGCGTCTCGCAGTATGTCGATTGGGCAGCCAAGAACGACTTTGGCGTCATGGACGTCAACATCCCCGCATACATCACTCAGGATGCTGACATGGAGGCCCATATCCCGGGCTTCAAGGAACGCGCGCTCCAGGAGCAGATGCAGTCGCTCATTTGCTACCTGTGGGACAACTATCTACAGCTCTGCGATGCGGACCACATCTTTGTGATGGGTGTTGGCAAAGCCTACCTTGGTGTCAAGGTGCTACTTATCAACAGAGGTACGTGATTTTCTTTCGTCCTGCCATGTCTTTGTTCTTCATTAACACACTCTTGCTATAGACTGCAAGTCCAGAATAAGCGGCGTTGTCAACTTTGTCAACGGCAACCTGCGGCCCGTCAAGTCGGATATTGACACGGACCTGTCGGCTTGGTACAAGGAACACTCGCGGGTGTATGTTGCATCAAACCACGCCTGCTGGTCCGACTACGATCTGGCGCGCAAGGTGCAGAAGCGCCGCTTTGGTACCGTGGTGAGGAGTCCTGCGACTGGTCTCTCGCAGATGATGGAGGAGCATGCGCTGGAGGCGCAGGAATGGATTATGGAGCGTGTGACGGAGAGCGAACACGGCGATTCGACGGAGGAGGTTGAAGTGGAAGAGGAATGATTTTTGTTCGGGTTTAGGTTTGCAGCGAATGGATTTTATACGCCGGAGTACTACTGACTGATACTACTGACTGATACTACTGACAGCTCTTTTTTTCAATTAGAGAGAAATATTCTGCGTATATCCTTTGAAGAGAAATGAAGAATTATGAAGGAAAGACGATTTCATAACTGCGTGACGGCGATCCTAGTACCGAGTCTGAAAGCTATGCTCTCTCTATCCTTGAGCATCTACATGTAGCCATGCTGTAGATGGTTGTCGCGACAGAGTTTATATTTATTCTTTTTTTCTGTGACTTGTATGAATCAGCAGATATGGAAAACCCCAAATGACGGAATATGCGCGGGTGTTTTGTCTGATCTGTGCTTTTACAAGCTCCAATAGCCCAACCCTCCAATCTTTACGTGCGGGATACTACCGAAGCGACGAAGAGAGCACTTAAACCCCTACCTTTCGCTACAAATACACCAATGACGACGTTTTACAGGTTTTCTCTCTGTTTCTCAAAATAAACCCGGCATGCAATGCATCACATCCCTCTGTACCGGGTAGCCCCGATGAATCGCGCCGCCAAACGAGGGATGAGACGCGATACATCGCTCCCGAACATGTGCAATAAAAGCGTCGTACCTCGAATGCTGCGCCTCTTTGCTGGGCAAAACTCATCTCTCCCATTCATTAAAAATGTCCCCTGAACCGTCTGCATGTTTCAGCGCGTTTTCAACGGCCACCGTGGGCGACCTGTGCGAATGCCAAGAAACACCAAGAACACCAAGAACCCGTACTCTGTGGTGTGGCTAAAAGGCCAAGGCGAAATGCGTGCGCTACAATGGCTCGGCAAGGGGGCTTTGTCACCTCCGGTAAAATTGATCTTGGAAGCAGAGCGCATGTAAAACAGAGCTGTTCCGCTGCCGGTGGCAAGTTCACGTTGCAATCAAGGCACTCATTCTTTTACGCCAGACAACAGAAGATTTCGCCCATATACCAGGTGCGTTTATTTTTAGAGAGTGTTACATCTGTCGATTTCCAAGGCTGATGGTCTGTTTAGTTGGTGTACTTTCGTTTAGGGCTCTTCTTTGCGCAAACCAGTACTTTTCTCAACTTTGTTTTTCTCAACAACCATCTGTATGCTGCAAACTCCTTGGAGAGTATCATAAGCTGCAGATATGAAGTCCAACGGCGTTTCGCTGTCGCTCCTAGCGTCCCTTTCTGTTGTTGCTGCTGCTGATCTTCCCAGTATTGTAGTAAAGGTAAGTGTTGTTGTCTGCATATCGTCCGCTCTGCAAGCTAATAATAGGACTGTAGGGCAACAAATTCTTCTACCCCAATGGAACTCAATTCTTTATGAAGGGAGTGGCTTACCAGCAGGAATTCGGCGCTGCTGGTACCGGAACCACCTCGACCGGCTCCAACTCGTATATTGATCCGCTGGCAAACAAGGCCAACTGCGAACGTGACGTCCCTCTTCTCAAGGAACTCGGAACAAACACCATTCGCACGTATGCCATCGATCCTACCGCCAATCATGACGCTTGCATGAAGCTCCTCCAGGATGCGGGCATCTACGTAGTGGCCGATCTCAGTGAGCCGAAGCTCTCCATCAACCGCGAAGAGCCAAAGTGGACGACGGATCTTCTTGAGCGCTACCAAAAGGTGGTGGATTCCATGTCAAAGTATTCCAACGTTATTGGATACTTTGCCGGCAACGAAGTGACCAACAGCAAGAACAACACTGCTGCTTCGGCCTTCGTCAAGGCTGCCGTTCGCGACACGAAGCGCTACATCAAGGATAAGCACAACTCTCGCTGGATTGGCGTCGGGTACGCTTCCAACGATGACGAAGACATCCGCACCGACATCACCAATTACTTCAACTGCGACAAGACCGAAGACTCGGCCGACTACTGGGGCTACAACATCTACTCGTGGTGCGGTGATAAGAGCAGCATGAAGATCTCGGGATACGACAAGCAGGTCGAATTCTTCAGCAACTACTCCATCCCCGTCTTCTTTGCCGAGTATGGCTGCAACGACCCCGGAGGTGCTGAGGCCCGTGTCTTTGAGGATACAGAGGCTCTGTACTCCTCAGAGATGACGGGTGTTTTTAGCGGCGGTATTGTGTACATGTACTTTCAAGAAGACAACGACTACGGTAAGAGTTTTTCTCGATTCTAGAATTGACTTGTTGACTAATACGCAAATTAGGTCTTGTCCAGATCAAGGACGGCAAAGCCGTCAAGATGAAGAACTTTGAGGCCCTCAAGAAAAAGATGGCCAAGGCTAATCCTCAAGGAACTACCTCGTCCGCCAAGGAAGCAAAGCTGGCCGAGTGTCCTAGCCTAGCTGTCAATTGGCAAGCAAGCAAGGCACTCCCACCACAGCCCAACAAGGCCCTGTGTGACTGTATGGTCCGCTCTCGATCCTGCGTGCCCAAGTCAAACCTCAAAGAAAAGTCATTCGGAAGCGTCTTTGACTTTATCTGCAGCAAGAACACCGACTTGTGCGTCGGCATCAGCGCCAATGCCACCAGCGGCATCTACGGCGCATACAGCATGTGCGACGACTCGGCCAAGCTCGCCTTTGTCATGGACGCGTACTACCAGAAGCAGAACAGCGGAGCTTCATCTTGCGACTTCGATGGTGCTGCTAATACCCAGACGGCCACCAACGAGGACAGCTGCGCTGCGTTGTTGAAGTCGGCAAAGGAGGTCAATGACAATGCCGCCGCTGGCAAGCCTACCCAGTCTGACAGCAAAAAGAAGGATAGTGGCGCTATGGGAATGACGGTTGGTGGTCCGGCTGCCTGGATTGCTGCCGCTGTTGCTGTTGTGGCTATGTCAGCTTAATTGTGAGGTCTTGATTGGCTGTATATTTAGTTTCTGGTTAGTTCGTTTTAAGGACTATAATAGTCTGTAGACCACTCGTTATTGTAATTTTTCAAAGAAATAAATCAAGCTGTTTAAGCTCCATCTGGCTTGACCACTTGGCGTAACTAACGCGTAGACTGCTGGACGGGTACGAAAGCTTCGCGAAGCGTTCCTGACATTGGACATTTACAAGACGTGTTAAAACGTGGAAACTTGGATGGAATAGCAATTATATAATTGTTTAATACCGAAATTTATTCCCCGTAGACCGCGTACTCGCATGCCTATGATATAAGTTCTTCCATTCGCTTGGCCAGTGGCTTGTATCATAGGTTGGAATGGCCAACACAGAACTCGTATTGAATGTTGCGTCGAACATTCTCAGCATCGCCTTCCTCGCAGAAAACACCAACACCCCAACTAGCGCCAAGCTTGTCTTCGGCACTAGCCTCCCGAGGGAGCGCCTTGCGGCCGTTAGGACAGTCGACTCTCAAACCACCCGAGTTGGAGATGTCCCAGCGCTGGAACTTGCTTCCATCACCGCTGCCAACACCAGCAGCCACTGCTGCGAAATCTTTGCAAGATCGATAGATGTAAGACATTTTGATGGTATGCTTGCCATGCTGGCTCTCCTTAGGGGCAGTGGCGAGATATGTCACCACGTCATCCGTGGATTTGAGCTTCATAGTTCGGCTCTCCTTTGGCATGAGCTTTCTGGAGGTAGCCTTCACATTGGTGGAATTGGGGGCGAAGCTGCCAGTAAAATGAGCCGCGTTGCCGTGTCGGCCGCCGCCTAAACAGACAATGCCCGTGGTCCCGATGTACAAACCTAATTATGCTCTATATTGGCGATTCGAGCTGGAGTAAATGCCGGATACTTTAGTATAGTACAGCGAGTACGAGTTTCCAGGGTTGGCTGCAGATGCCGCACGCCTGGTGCCCCAACCAAGATATGTAGCTGACATAGTGTATTTTCCCAACTACACAGGATGCAAAACTATCAAGTCCACCTCCCGCTCTTCTACAAACGTTTGAATTTGTACATTGAATCCGCCTGTAGCCAAGTCAGTGCAGCCATGAATGCAGGCGAATCCTTCGGGCTCAGCTCAGGCAGATTGTCCACGTGCAAGTGAGGCTGGGCTGATTCTACTTAGCGTCAGGCACCCTGTATTCCCCTAGACTACTTGATATTCGCGGTATCGATAAGACGGCAGGTTGTGGTATCGTTTCTTGCTGCCAAAGATGCCGTGGATGTCAACTATGCGGACTACAAGGGCAATACAGCGTTGCACTATATAGCTAGTTGGCGCCCATATGATAGCACGAGCCAACTCATGGCAGAGAGTCTTGTCGCAAGAGGAGCTGATTCTGGAATACAAAATTGAGAGGGGAGACGGTACTGGATCTAGCTCGCAGGAATCGAATGGACAGCCTAGTTAACTTGTTTCTAACAAGATAATCTACCCTGCTAAAGAAATTATTCCACGGAAATCACATCTATTTTAACCCAATCTCTTCTTCTTATAACGTCTGGTTTATTTTTGTATTAAAATAATGTATCGTAGTCGCGTATTCTTTAAAAATATGTATAAAATTTTAAAAAGTTTATATACATAAACAATACTAAAATAAATCTTGATTATTTTTACATTTATCTGGGTTACCCTGTTTGTGTATTTCTACCCCGCTGGTCGGTTTTGCAGAAGATCGCAACCATGCTTGCTAGCTTTTGGTACTCTTGACACCAACGCTCATCACAATTAAGATTCTTGCTAGGACCATTGGTGCCGTCATCCATCCAAAATATGAGATTCTTCTCGCACGTCCAGTCTCCAAACTGCACTCGAGTGTCCAATCCACTCAGCGTTTAGAGTCCGAGTATTTGTCCTTCGCTGTGACCTTGGTTGAGCCATCCCGAGGCTTTGCAGAATTTTTGCTACAAGAGGGAGCCAGGTCAGAAGCCTTTCATTATTTCGCAACTTGTCATAACTTACAGCATCACTTCCTAGTGGCAGGATTGTGGTACAGGCAGCGGGGTAGCCACCACGGTATGTCGAGCAGTCATTGTTCTAGGGAAATATCGTTAGAGTCATGCCATCGCCAGCCATGAGGAATTAAAAAAGGGATTCTTACTTGAGAGCATGCGACGCATTCTGCAAGTCCTCCGGGGTTTCCGTTTTGGCACTGAGTGTTGCCATCGCCAATGCAGAGGCCGTGGCATCGACCAGCCCTCGCTCCTGCGACTGCGGCTGCTACACAAGCAGTTCCTGCAGCGTCACCATAGTAGCCCCAGCAATTGGACATTTGGGGTTGAGGCAAGTCTGATCCGGATCCGTGGACATGGTTGTGAGCAACGCCGGTGGCCACAAGGCCAGCGAGAACGACGGCGACGACCTTCATTATGAGATGTTGGTATATGAAAAATTAAGAAAAGAATTAGCGCTACGAAAACCACCGCTAGAAGATGCAGGGGCAAAGCATACGGTCTGCGTATTTATATTATGTTGTCTTGCTGCGGCCGCAGCTTACGGCTAAAAAGCAAAATTTAGGTTAGTTGCTCGAGTCCAGACTGACACGTCTCACCGGGCAATTGGCAGAAGCTGAACACTGCAGATAGGACACACAGCCACAGCGAATCAGCAGCGAAGATCTTTCGTTCTAGCCTAGCCGGAACCGCCACGAGCCACTCCCGGTGAGCCCAGATCGGCTGTAAAGGTAGCCATGGATGCACAGTAAGCCCTGTAATGCCGGTTAATTCGGCTCAGCCGGCTCACTGTAGCATTGGCCATGCGTAGACCTAGGCCATACAAATTGCCACGCATACGTACTATGGAGCCACAAGGGAACACCCGAAGGAAGATGCAATGGAACAGGGGCTAGGAATTTGTTATTTGAGGGATCACAGCTACTCCCAAGGTGCTGGGCCTGGGCCCATCACAAACGTACGTTCGGCACACTTTACCCGCAAAAAGCAAACGATCGTCCCGCCGCTAGTGGGATTAAATGCGGAACAGAAAGCTGAACAGGGTCGCAGATCAGCTCCGCCTGGGACAAGATGTGGCGGTTGGCTTAGTGGCAAAGACGCTAGACTGTGAAAGTAACTGAAACAAGTAAAAGAAGCGAAAAAAAAAATAATCAAAAATCGAATGATTGTAGAAATATCCAAGGTAGCGTCCAAAATAGCCTAGCTTTGCCTTCCAAACAGCAAAGGGCGTAAGTAACGGAGATTCTTGAAATGATGGGAAGCAGCGCAAATGCAGAGCAAAACGCCAAGCAGCCCGGCGGAAAAAAGATCTAGTGCGATATACCTGAGAGAAGCGGGCTGCCAATGTCGTAGCTGATCTAGCCGAGCGGAAAGCGTAGATGACAGGGTCCATCGATACAAAGTCGCATTTATGCAAAATTCTTTTAGCTATTTATGCGGGCTACTTCAGCCTCTTCATCTCTTAACAACTCCAACAAGCCCAAGGCCCATTCAGGCATGGCTAGCAGACCACACCACCTTGCCTGAGATCCAGCAGCCTTCCGCTCCCTCGTCATGTCGTAATGACACAAAGATCTCGGAAGGCTGGCCCATCGACCATCCTTGACGCACGACAACCGGCTGAACTGTGCCAGCTGAAATAACACCACTAGATATTAAACCGTACGTAAGGGCAGCTGCGGCAATGCCCGTTGCTGGATCCTCGTCGTAGCCCGACGACCTGGGAAACTGGCGCGCTTCAACGAGCTGTGCGTCCTGGTCAAGCACAGCGTACGGGTACAAACCAGTGGACCCTATCTTCTCGCAAATGCTCTGTACAGCGGCAGGATCCGGACTGAGCCGATCAAGTACACTTTGATCCTTGATCGGAATCAGCGTCTTTGTCCGAGACGTCTTTCCATTTTGTACTGTGCGCGCAGGCGCTAGCTCGCTCGACGAGATGCCCAAGCAGGATAGAACCTGCGCGGCAAGATCATCGGGTATATTTTCCACGGTTCCGGTGGGCTGAGACACGAGAACAGATGTATCGCTTCCATTCTTGACGATTTGCGCATCAACAATACCTGATAATGTGGAAATACGGATTCTGTCTACCGCAGGTAATAAACCCAGCTGGTCCATGACCCAGACGGCTCCGACGGTCGCGTGGCCGCACATTTCCATTTCATGGTTTGGAACCCAGTATTTCATGACCAGATGGCAATCAGGATGCTCGGTCTTTGCATTACTGAGAACAAATCCGCATTCATGGCCTGCCTTTGTAGCCAGTTGCCGCATCTCTTCTGGCGTCAAGTCGTCAGCATTTAAGAAGATGGTGGCTGGGTTTCCACCTTTTCCATCTTTACTGAGGGAGTAAGGAAAGACGGAGATATAATGTGGTTGTGCTTTATCCATTTTGAAGACTTATTGTGGACTGCCACTGGCTGAGGATAGGTACAGCAGGTTCTGAAGATGCGCGATGAAGAAGCAGAACCGTAGATGTCATTTTTAAGGTGTTTGTTTAGTGGCGCAAATTATGGCGCCCAGTCAGCATCAGGCGCCTAGATCATATACACGCAGTCGTCTTTGAATAAGAGGAAATAAAATATTAAGAATAGTTTCTTTTTATTTTATAGTATAAAATACAAGTATAAGATATTTTTACTTCAAGTAAGATTTAGTATATATTTTATAAGATTTATTTAAGTAATGATACTCTGTAATATTACTCAACAATAATACTCTACAGTAATACTCTGTAGTATTACTCTAGAGATTTGCCTTGTAGTATTACCGTGCAGCAGTACTCTACAGGAAAAGGAAAACCAGTTGCGAATGCTTGTACTTGATGCGATTTAATATTGTGCTGTTGCTCTGTCAACTTCAATAACTTAACAGGTAAGACTCGCCTGTTGCGTGACATAGTTGCCGGACAAAAGGGAGGCAATGCGGGCGAACGGAAATATATTTAAATAAAATGACATAGCGTAATTAGCCTAATACGAACTATGCTCTGTTGATTAATCTATAGAGGGCGATAGAGGCCTCTGTAAACACCTGTTAGCTTGAGGTGACGAGGCTTCGGGTAGTTGTATAGCGCCGGGTCTAGAACAGTGGCGCCAAGCTTTCTAGTCCAAGCGGCAAACTTGGCTTGTCGAGTGCCGCATCCATTCAACGTTATCCAGGCTATCTAGAGTATAACACGGGTTATTGAGGTTGTGGCTACCTACTAGTCTTCATCAATTGCGAGCCTGGCTACCGCTCTGTAAGGTGATTAGGGTTGCGGCCGTCGCTAAAAGTAGTAGATGCATCATAAGCATAAAACGGTTAATACTACTAGGTAGTGGAGCAAAATACAACACAGCCAGGCTTGGGTCTGAGCCTAAGCTTGGCATCATGGTGCTACTGATGTACTCTCTATGTTAGACTGTCAGGTAATGGGGCCCTTCTCACCCGATCAGCGGAGAGCGAAACTAACACCGACTGAAATCCGCAGCGAAGCATGGCCGTTCATCCTTGGCGTCGCAAATAGCTCACATTAACGTTGGTCTATTCATTCTCCCTGAAAAAGCCCGGCTTGGCAAACAGGGGTTGACGACTACCCATGGCTGTTGAAGTCACAATGGCGTGATTACATCGACCAAAAACTGGCTGAAGAATATGGAGAAGCCCGAACCCAAATCGCGGGGGAAATCGCGGGGAAGGGGGGACTATTGGTGTTGCGGAGTACGTCTAAATAGAGCGAATGCCCAGAACGAATCTTGACCTATTTCTTCCTAGCACTTCTCTCGAAAAGCAATTGCCACAAACATGTCGAAAGAGCTATACCCTACCGGTACAAATGGCTCCATCTGCAGTCAAAAAAACGGCTGTGTCGAGACCATTGAAGAACCAGAAGGCTACAATGCAAAGCAGACAAAGATGCTGCTTCGTAAGATGGACAAGGCGCTGCTCCCCTTCCTTGCCTTACTCTATCTCCTCTCATTCCTAGACCGCGCCAACATTGGTAATGCTAGGCTCGCTGGATTGGAGACATCGCTTGGGATGAATGGCAAGTATGACTACAGCGTATGTTCTGAGGATCTCTTGTCATTGGCACAGCTAAGAAGCGAGATAGATTGCCGTGTCCATATTCTTCCCGTTTTATGTCGCCGCTGAGATTCCGTCCAACATTGCCATGAAGAGATTCAGACCTTCCGTTTGGATCCCGTGCATTATGCTTGCCTGGGGCTTCTGCACAGTCATGCTCGGTGTTGTCAAGAACTTTATGGGCCTGCTTATCGTTCGATGCTTCCTTGGTCTTGCTGAAGGTGGCCTCTTTCCAGGCATCACCTACTAGTAAGCCTATGCACACTCCATTTGCTTTTTCTAGATTCCGACTCACTTATCTTTCTCTTCACAGCATCACAATGTGGTACCGACGTCACGAATGTGGCCTCCGCATGGCAATCTTTTTCTCTGCTGCCACCGCGGCTGGCGCCTTTGGCGGCCTACTCGCCCGAGGTATTATGCTAATGGACAATGTCGGCGGTCTTCGCGGCTGGAACTGGATTTTCATTCTCGAAGGCATCGCTACATTCCTCGTGGCAATCATTGCCTTTTGGGCCATGCACGACTACCCTAGCACCGCACGATTCTTGACCTGTGAAGAAAAGGAGGAAGTCACTCGCCGTCTAAAGCAGGATCGCGCTGTGCTTTCGGACCAGTTCAAGAAGCAGTTTATTTGGGATGCGTTCAAGGACTGGAAAATTTGGGTGCACATGTTCATCACCATTGGCATTTATACGCCGCTGTACTCCGTCTCAATCTTCCTTCCCACAATCGTCAAGGGCCTGGGCTACAGTAATGAGATTGCCCAGCTTATGACGATTCCTCCTTACGTTGTTGCCTGTCTTTTTACTGTTGCGGGAGGTTACTTTGCCGACAAGCACGGCAAGCGAGGAATCTACATGATTGGATTCTGCATCCTAAGGTATGTAATTACCACTGGTGCGAATAGTCTTATTGACGCTTCTCCCCAGCATCATCGGGTTTGCCTTACTAGCGGGCGTTGAAAATAACGCTGTGAAATACTTTGCCTGTATCGCCGTAGCAAGCGGCATATACCCCAACGTCCCGCAAGGTGTCGCATGGAATGGCAACAACATCGGCGGCTCTCTCAAACGCGGTGTTGGCATCGCCATGCACGTGGGATTCGTAAGTCGTCCTTCTCGCCTACCATATAATATAAGTTAATATTTGCTAGGGTAACCTCGGCGGTGCTGTCGCCGGATTTGTCTTTCGTACAGACGACGGCCCTCGCTATTTGTCCGGCCACCTGATTCTTATCGGTTGCGTGTCTATGAGCTGCGTCCTTAGCATTCTGATGGGCATCTACCTTCGTCGGGAGAATGCCCGTCGCGACGAGAAGTACAAGGATCCGACCGAGTATACGTTGGAAGAGAAGATGCTGGAGACGGAAAAGGGTGATAACGCCAGCTTTTTTAGGTACACAGTATAGAGCCGGACAGGCCGGTTCTCTCATCGGCTTGACCGGCCTGGTCCAACAATCGCAGTGTGCTTCGCAGAATACGAAAGAATATAAACCGATAGCTTTAATAGCTTGTAATTTATATGCGTTTCTATATTCATTTACATGCTTATCCATATCTCCTGTTCTCGAATAATCTCTTCTAAAATACTGCCATAGGCACATATAGTAAATATCGTAGTAATTTTGATTCTTTTCTTGAAAAAGCACAAGGTCAGTGGAAGCAAAGAGATACAAAACGAGGTAGTTATTTAATTACCTAGTAAAGCTACAACATGACCTCCACGGGCCTAACCCGTTACATTTAGTAAGAACATGTGATGCTACATGGTAGCAAATAATGTAGGATATGGGCGTCGCTGGGAACCACGTTTACGTACCACTCAATCATTACTATAAACTTTATACTTTAGGCTGTTTTAAGTTTTCGCTTAAATTTCATGTAATTATTTTACTCTACAACGTCTTGCTATTAGCTGCAGGGCCATTCAATCTGTCATCTGACAGTCGGCCTCTTGTGCCTCGCATCCTCGCAATCCATCTCTTTTGGGTGTCCAAACTGCATTAATTCACCACTTCAGTTCTGCAAGATTGCATAATGGAATCTAGTAACACTGCTATTATCGTAGCTACCCAGAACCGCGTAGATGATTCAGTTAGGCCGACAACCCGAGGAGCTGAATGGTGCTTTTCTGAATCGGGGCGGATTGCGAGATGCGGCGCTGTACCGTTATTAATATATAAGTCATACGCTGTGCTCGTAGGCATGACGGACGTCCCGTTGCCATCTCTATTCCATTTTGCACCTTGCTCTTTACAATGAAGTACTTCCTCATTTCGATCTTGGCCTTCTCTAGCACCACTCTGGCGGCAGTGCCCCTGGAGAAGAAGGCAATCTTTTGCGAGCCACCAGATTACAGATGTGGCACAAGAGCCTGCTGTTCTGAGAACGAGGCCTGTGTCGGCTACACGTGTGTACCATACGCAGCTGTAGCAGAATGAACATAGGGGCCGAACCAGATACGTGCGCATCGCGAATATGCCCAAAATTTGCCTGCGGATATGGCTGCGGCGGTGCCCACGCCATATGCATTAACCACGCCTGCGTTCGGGACCCTGGCTTAAAAAAAACGAACTTTCAGGCAGGGATTCAATGGCGTCGGCCAACAAAGCAAATGAGGGTTATTGTATCTTTCTTCTTTGAAGTTTAGCCGTTGTGGAGTAAGTTAGTACATGATGGGTCTAGTTTAATACCTGGGGAAGTACAAGACATCGGGCGATTCAATGCCGATCAATCTTTGCCAAGAAGCAACATGACCATGCTTGAGAACAGTGAAATGCGTGTACTGAATGCCTCAATGAAGCTTGTAACGACAGTAGGTCCGGGTGACGCTGACGAGATGATTAATATTCCACTTTGTGATGCTGGGCATGGGTAAATATCAACAACATTGCGGGTGTCAATGTTCAGACTTCTATTTTTCAGGTATAACTAAAAAGGATAAAGAAACTCCAAACTTTGGTAAGCCAATTTTGAAAGGCGTTGATATTATTCTATCTGGCTCGTGTAAATAGCCCAAATCATGATAGTAGGGCGGCCCAGCCTGTCCTTGTACTCGCTCGCTATGCTAATTCTCAAAAGTAAAATCCAAAAAAGAAAACCCCAGTCAAAACGCCACAGTTAATTCACTAGTCCATTGCTTAGGTGTTCTTGCACTTGGTCTCAGAAGCGATCCAGCCAGTCAGGCGGTTAGCAACATCCATGGCGTAACAATGAGTAGCAGTGAAGCCGTTGTTGAGGTCGCCCTTTTGGACTCTGCCACTGTTGTACACACGAGCACCACCATAGACAGCTTGGGCACCGCTAGCACCGAGCTCCTTCTTAGCCTGGGCGATGGTCTGGACCATGCCGTCACCCTTGGGGGTACCACCAAGTCCATCCTTGATCATCTGTGCAATGGTAGCCGGAGGGCATGGGCTAACGCCTTCGCAGGTAGCGCCGTCGTGAGACTGCATCAGACCAGGGTTGGGAATCAAGTCGGGGGGAGGGCTCAGAGTGGCATGGATGCGGACACATCCCTTGGACTCTTGCATCATGATGGCAAGTCCAATGCGGGGGTCGAGACCAACCTCTTTGGCAACACTCTGAAGGGCACTCTTGATGGCGTCGGTTTCGGCCGCGCTGTTATCAGCGCCCTTTTGGGCGTTGTTGGTGCAAGCCTTTTGAATGAAAGGAAGGTTAATGTTCCAGAGGGAGTCGAAGGTAGCCCACTTGGACTCTCCGGGCCAGCCAGCCTGCTCGGAGCCATCACCGTTGTAGACGACATAGACATCCTTGGCCTGGACACCACCGCCAGAAGAAGAACTACCGCCGGCAGGGGCAGAAACAGGGGGGGTCACTGGAGCAGAGCCTGGAGCAACCATAACGGGAGGGGCAGCGGGAGCAGAAGAGCCACCCGCCTTACCGGCGGAGCCGCATCCCATCTTTCCGTTCTGGAAAGCAGCTCCAGGGCCAGAGCAGACCGGCTGGCCACCGTTGGACTGGCCGGCACAGCACTTGGAAGCGCAATCGGCATCGCTGTCACAGGCGCCGCTGATGAATTGCTTACCGGCTCCGTTGCCCTTGTTCTTAGCACCTGCAGGGTCGGGGGTGACGCCGCCAGCGGGAGCACCACCTCCAGTAGCAGGAGCGGAAACAGGAGGAGCAGCAGGGGCAGAAGCCTTGCCCTTACCGGCGCTTCCACAGCCCATCTTTCCGTTCTGGAAAGCAGCACCGGGTCCGGAGCAAGTAGCCTGGGCGCCACTGGACTGAGCAGCGCAGCAGTTGGAAGCGCAGTCGGCATCGCTTTCGCAGGCACCGGTAATGAATTGCTTGCCGGCTCCGTTACCCTTGTTCTTAGCACCCGCGGGGTCGGGAGTAACATCGCGAACGTCGATAGCAGGAGCAGCGGTAGCAATAGAAGCCATGCCGGCGAGGGCAGTAATGAGAACAATCTTGGCGTGCATTGTGAATGAATGAATGAATGAATGAATGAATGTGATTGGTAGTGTCGTTGAAAGACTGTGGGTTGAAAGATGAAAGAAAAGACTGATATTGATTTGTCGAAAACAGTCGAGTGTGTTGTATAGTTGTTTGTTGTAAAAGTGAATGAATGTAGACACTACCAGAGTGCTGCCAAGATTTCTGTTCTGAAAGAGAGAAGAGGGAGAGAAGGAAAGTTGTTTGTGATGATGAGGAGGAAAAGAGATGATGAGATGGTAATGCTGGCCATCTTTATAGAATCCTGGACATGGTACCGTTGCCTCTTGGAACTTGGAATCATCTTACAGCAGCAGCGGTAGCTGCAGGAGCAGTACGCTTGGAAACTGCAAAGTTTCTTGACCCTTTCATCACCAGTTTCGGGAGAGGGGGAGGATGTCGCAGGCCCGTCCCATACAGCGTTGAAGCGAAGCCGCCACACGACGAGTTTCCATAGCCTGGTTTGATTAACATTTTCCCATTGACCAATGACAAGAGCAGCAGCAGTTCGGACGCATCGTGGCTGCATTACCTGCCCTCAGTGCCAAATAGCAATGAGGCGCGTTTCATGATGACCGTGCGCTGCATACACGTACCAGGCTGGTAGCGGTGCCTAGTCGGGAGGCGGTTCGTCGCAGTTTCCAACGCACAGATGGGACAAATATGAGACTGTCTGTCAGCTTCATAGCAGGATTCGTGTTAAATTGGGGTAAGAATGGGCGCTGTGCGGCAGCCTGTTGAGCGAGGGCATGTTTTGGAGGACACGGCGCATTCCCCCGTTTGGTAGTAGCGATAGGTGATGGGGGTCTTAGGGGCGGCCCGGGGTAGCTCTCCCATGTTTGCAAATGTAAATACACAAGGGTGGATTATTTTTGCTACCTTTTTGGGCTAGTCAGAGGCCGTGAACGTCCAAGGGAGGTGGTCTGCGTGGCAGTTGTCCTCGACTTGGAACGTATCGCACCAACACTTACGACTAAATCTGTATTATACAGAGTATCAGCGCTGAAAGGTTGAAAATAGCTATAGAGGGGGAAATGCAATGACGTCTCGAGAACCTCCTTGGTGTTCGCCTTCGTGCAATGAAACTGGACGCGGAAGATCTGCGGTGGTTCGGTTTCTCAGTCTGGATATACAGCAGAAATACAGTGGTAACAACAGCTTATTGGTACTGCGCTCGCGACCGTAAACAGAGTATTCTATGCACCAGCTGTCTTTTTAAATCTACATAAATCTTTTTCGCCTTAAATAAAATTATCTGGTTGTTTCTGCATATCGACACTTGCGGTGTATAATTAAGAATATTTTTATTCTCTTGCATCTCTTATAGGGACTGCTCTAGATAATGTATCAATCCTGCGCAATAAACTCAACAGTCTAACATCAGAACAACCAAACAACAGTGCTATCATGGATGAACAAAGTACTAATTAAAAGAGTTTTCAATAGCAGTAATGGCATTTTAATATGCCTTAAGCCAGGTATTTATATCGTAATTTTAAACAACTACAAAATCCAGTATTGTTGCTCTAGGGTATCCGGGGCTCCCGAGCGCACGGCTTACCTTAATTCGGCTGGAGCGGCTCGTTATGCAGTCTTAAGTCCGCATACCTAAGACTTGTGGTGGCCAACGTTCACTGCCAAAATGTTTTCTCAACAAAGTACGACATACTCGATTAGATGATGGCTCAAGAATCTAGCGCTTACAATCCAACGCCGCGATTGAAGGACGCCAAGTCTGAAGAGGAGGACTGGACCAAGCTATCCGATGTAGAAAATCGCCGGAAGATGCAGAACCGCCTGAATCAGAGAGCCAGACGTAAGTAACGTTTCATTACCTGCCCCCATCAGCCTCCGAGACTTAAATGACATGTATTAATGGCTAGAGGTTATCTTTAGGCCGGCGACAATTGGAACAGAAAAGATCAAAAGGCGAGGACAACGCCATTCGCAAAGGGGTTATGTATGTGGAGGAGCAGAGCAAAAGCAAATGCTCCTCCGCCAGCTCCAAGGCACCTCCATTCCACAGTCAGAGTCTCAACAGTGCCCAACTAAAATTCCGATTGGGTTTCCTGATTTGTCAACTGACTACAGCCGAATGTAGTAGCCTTTTGGAGCAACTGGAAAATCTCGTTGGTCGGTATTTAGCCAGACACCAGCTAGACGGTGAACTTCTGGTTCCTATCATGCAGCTCAACATCGTTAGGGCAATGATGTCCAATGCGGCACATTTTGGATTAACACCGGAATTACTACACCAGGATATTCCGTCCCCATTCAACATAACAGGACCGTTGGCCATCAATGTGGCAAATTTGCCGCCCAGTCTGCAGCCAACAAGTCTACAAAAGGAAATTACCCATCACCCGTGGATCGATCTGTTCCCTCTACCGTCTATTCGAGATGCAGTATTGCGGAGGATGGCGGAATACGACGACGAAGAACTCTGCCACAACCTTTTTATGGAGGTCGATGGCGCAGACACCAAATCAATTGGTCTCGTGGTCTGGGGAGAACCATGGGATCCCACAGGGTATGAAATATCGTCCGGCATTTTGAGGAAGTGGCCGTGGTTTATCCAAGATTGCCCTGATCTGATTCACTCGTCAAACTACTGGCGCAGAAGACGTGCCGAGAGACCATTGTGTACATTTACTGCTGCAGATAATACTATGTAGAGAGGGGGGCTACCATTTCGGTTTTCTCAAAGCGCAAGTTACGTATCGTTACTGATCGATAGCAAACTTTTCTCCAATCAAATTCTCGCTCAACTCCCACAGTCGCGCCCAGTTATCCTCATTGAGAATATGCGAATGTAGCTCTTGATCGGCAATGGCGTTGTTGTGTAGAAAAGAGCCGTTAGAATGTTCGATAGTTGGATCAATCATACCCGTGATAATCGTTGCCGCACCCTCGGAAGTACTTGTCCAGGGCGGTAGTTTGTATTCTCTTCCGTCTGCATCAAACAGGACTATCAATAGAAGAGGTTAGCAAATTTATTTCCATGAATTCTAAGATGATGAGGTTGGTCTGACCAGAAGCACGTTTCTCCTCGATAAAGGCGCGCATTTCGGATGTTACATGGCGTTGTAGGCCTGATCGGACGGCTGCGATGTATTCCATATCAGCAAATTACATATAGAGTCCACAAGACAACGATAACGTACCTCCAGGATCGATGCTATAGGTCCGAATCTTCTTATCGAGCAGCTTCTTGGCTAGACTCTTGACAAACATTACACGAGCAGCGTTGGACTGTCCATACGCGACTAGAGGATTGTATGTCTTTCCATCCTGTTGATCACGATTAGTGTTTTGTATCGATAAAAGAGAAGAAGCGTATACTCACGTCGTAGCCGATATTGTCAAAACTGACAACACCACCTCTGACAGCCGAGCTTGCCACGATGACGATAGACGATGATGCACCGGCAGCCTCCACCTTGGGAAGCAGAAGTTTAACAAGCGCAAAATTTGCGAGGTAGTTGACCCCAAACTGCGTCTCAACTCCGTCCACGGTCGTTCCATAAGGCGGAATCATAACACCAGCCACAGCAGCTATGTGATGGATCTTCGGAACATCATGTAGGCTAGCAACTGCCCTTTGAATATCCTTCAGGGTACCAAGGTCCATTTGTAGGAACCGAGTGGAAACCTTGGGGGTTTTGGCCGCAATCTTAGAGACGATAGGCTCAACACGGGATTTTGATCTTGCGGATAGGATGAGCAGAGCAGGGCTCGCACTGCTAAGCTGGACGGCAAGTTCACCTGCGATGGAGTCATTGGAGACACCAGTTATAAGAATGGTCTTATCTTTGAGCAGCGTGCCATATTGCTCGAGGATGGCTTCAGACGGAAGGATTTGTTGCTTAGAAGACATATTGTAAGAAGAATGTTTTGTTTTCGGAAGAAGAAACTCAACTGGTAGAGAAGGAGGGAGAGTGAGCCATCTTTATACCCTTTAGATTTAAGGTGGCCAACATCTATGTCGATATGCTTCTTTGTCGCGATTGCCTAAAAGGGTTAGATTTCTTGTCAGTGCAGTTCCTGCTGTACGCTGTTCCACACATTGAGGCCGAATGTGGTTAGCCTGGTGTCAGCGACATGCCGGATATCGCGGAGGCTCCAACTGTCGCGCTGCCGTTTCAACGGCTTAAACCCGTGACCACTAACGCGAAAAAAATGTGGCAAGACTATCGGAGTTAAGAAGATTGACCGAGTTTTATATCAGTAAAGAATAATATAGGCGGGAAGCAATTGAGCCGGTTTTAAGATGCCGATACCCGTTTATACCACTGCACAAAGCTACGCCACTACTGCAGCCGAATGTAACCAATACTCTATTGGTCCGCGGAACCGCGCGAATTGATTTATTTTGGACAACTGAGAGAAGCTGAAACGCTGGGTACTTTACCTGCTTAAAATGGTAGGTTATTGACTATTGTAACTGGTATATAAATTGAAGCAAGTGTATCCTCGACATGATGGTTACCTCTCTACTTTACTATTTTACATACACAAATTTCCAAAGAAAATAAAACAAAATATTATCGGATAAGGCTATAACGCAAGAAGTTCCCGTCGTCAATATGAAGCTCTCTGCCACTATAGTGTTCATGTTTGCTAGCCTTGGGCTGGCGATTCTGTGCCCCAATGGGAATCCCTGGTGCGGACGCAGCTGCTGTCTAGCAAACCAGGCTTGCGAAACAGTGAATGGTGGCCAGAAGTGCGTGACTGTGCATCCTCCACCAAAGGCTTAGTTGGCATTAAGACCGGTACGAAGTTTAGAACATCGTTATTGTGACTAGCAACAGCAGTAGAGCTTACATCAGTAGTACTATGGATGCCATGAGTTCAATCTAGTTCCTCGGATCTGCAATAGTCGAATCGTATATATAAGGTTCTAACTAGACGGCGTGTTATGTACCTGCAAAAAGAGAGGAAGCACTAGGCGTTCATCACAAGAAATTGAGGTCGGAAGATCAATGATATGTGGTTGCCAAGGTCGCACTATTGTTAGGTGTAGATAGACTAGATAAAAGTGATATGGCATTAAAATTATATTGAATGAAATTCTATGTCTGTATTATTTGAAGTGAAACCCGTGCCAATGTACCAGCATCTTATGCACCTCTGTAGCCTCGTAGAGTCGTATGTCTATATGTTGATTAATAATTCTTTTATTATTTTCATAGAAAAATTCCTAGTTGATTTAAAGCATTCAGCTACAGTGGAACTCGGGTTTTATCTTAGAACGTCGCATCGTCATCAGTCCAAGCTACTGTGACAGGTCTCGTATCAGGAATCGTATCTAGCGGCGGATTCAGCTTCAAGCAGAATAAATATCGTCGTATACAATTCCCCGTATTTCTACTCGAAGAAATGCTGATTCAAGTTAGTACGCGATGTTGCTCAGCTACAAGCGCCCCAAAAGCTTGAATACGAGCTGGCGCTGATCAGCGTGAACACCTGGGCACACCTCCGGCACGCTATATCCGTATTTTCTTTAAAGTATAAATAGAGAAACGCCGTTAATTCTGGCCATGGAATAAACTCCATCCGAACAGTTGCCTACAATTTACGACCAAAAAGTGCGTCAATCATCGACGACTATCCATCTCCGCCATGCATTCGCGCTTGGCTTTGTATGTTTGGCTCCTGAGCCCACTTGTCGCAGCTCAGTGTCAGCCTTGTGGGGTAACCAAATTGCATTTTCCTATGATACGGCGTGCAACTAATATCTCTAATAGCCTAATGAGGTGTATCGTGTTGGCAGTACCTGCACGGACAGCTGTGTGACGTATCGCTGCAAAGGGCCGTGCCCGGCTATTGCCATGACGGGTTGCTTCTGCAAACCTGGTTATTATAGGAATACGGTGGGTCCCCATAAATCCAAAGGAAAACACAGTCTATTAACTCGTGCTGGCTATAGGAAACAAACAAGTGTGTCCCTGCGGACCAGTGCCCTTTCTATCCTTGCCCAACGCCCAACTAAGCGCTGTAGTATAAGGCGGTTTGTTATTGGACTGTTTTGACTTAGCTGGCAACTGAGTTCCTTATTTTTAAATTTATTGCTCTCTTATATCATAAATTGTCTCAAGTCTGAGGAGTCAGTGACGAGCCAATATGCCGGCTCCTCGCGTGGTGCAATGACTGACTTCACATCTAAAAACTGTACCCGTTCCGAAAGCCAATCATGCGCAGCTCTGTGTACTAAACGCTTCAATAAGGCTTTTATTACAAGATTCTAAGCTGTTTAATCCTATTGCTATAAAATGCCTTGGTCATAGAATGTTCTGGCGCTATACCATCGAATCCATGTGGTAGTCCAGAGTAGAGATGAAACTCGACTTCAATACCCGCCTGCACAGCTCTGCGCATGTAATCAATATCTTCTCTAACAAACATATCCAACTGGCCAACATCCATATAGAGTGGCGGAAGACCAGAAAAGTCTGTCGCTCTGCCAGGGGCAGCATAAGGCGGGACACCATCGCCTCCCATTCTATCGCCCAAATATGCCGTCCAGCCTGTAACATTGTCGCTCTCACTCCACAGTGTCACTGCAGGCATGTCACTGTCCGCTCTAGTTCGATCGTCCAACATCGGATATCCAAGAATTTGTCTTGCTAGAGGTGGGCTCAAGCCGCGATCGCGGGCAAGCAGTGTGACACCTGCTGCTAGCCCTCCACCTGCACTCTCCCCCATAATACCAATCCGGTGGACGTCTACTCCCAGTTGTTCGTCATTTGCAGTGATCCACTTGAGAATATCCCAGCAGTCTTCAAGGGGTGTAGGATACGGATGTTCAGGCGCAAGTCGGTAGTCCACCGAAAATATTTGCACTCCTGTCTCTACCGTTGCGTGGCATAGTTGAGGAACGTTCATAGCGGGGCTCAGCGATATGAAGCCACCACCATGAATGTGTAGGACTGCTGGACCTGGATTTGTAGAAGCTGTCTTCTTCTTGAACCTCCAGACGGGGATCTTATATCCATCTGCAGCGACAACGGATAATATCTCGTGCTCAATCTCCGGGGGGATCTCTGGGGCTGATCCGGTTGCAAAAGAAGCCAAAAGTTGTCGCCGTGCTTCTACATCATGTGTAGCAGGCTTGGGCACATTTGTTATTGCTTGCAGAAAGGGAGCGCTGGCAGCGGCAAACTCTTCGTCTAACGGTAAACCCATGTTAGAATTGATATAAAACAGACTGATGTAGAAAGTGCGAAGTAGAGCGGAGAGAGTCAATTTGGTATGCTATGTCTACTCTTGACACGGACAGTGTGATCTTGTGAACTATCTATAAATTATTCAACCGGAAGGATCTCTATTACAATCCGAAAGCCACCGTTGGAGCGGCAGGTATCTATGTCGACGGCACCGCTTTTGTCGTTGCATCCGGGTTCGGTGACCCCGCAAGGCGCGGAATCCACGCGGCTGCTGAGATGAACGGAAAGACGGAGTTAAATGTTTGTTTTAAAGTATTTACGGAGTAAATTAATTCACGATTGCCTGTCTAGAGGTGCTGTGGTGAAACGTCGACGGATGGTGGCGGCTTACATCCATGTAAGTGGCGGCTGCGCAACGCGCGGGAGGCGCGCGCGATTATATATGTCTTCTTCAAAGCAAACTAGGTGGGGTAGGGCAGTGCTTCTAAGAGTATTAGATTAGTATCATGGATTGATGTTCATGGTATACCTCTCACCGTATGCACCCCTGGTACAAAGCGGGATCTTATCACCAATATAAGATCGCACTTCTCTCGCCACGGATGATCACGAAACAAAGAAGATATTACTTAGCATCATTATAACCTATCATTATAATCAATTCTTATAACCATTATCAGTAACTATGCCGAGCACTACATCAACGGGAACCAATTCCGACATTGTCGCCGACTTTATAATTGTCGGGGCGGGATTTGGCGGTTGCTATGCACTGCATCAACTCCGTGTTCAAGGCTACTCAGTCAAAATAATCGAAGCAGGAAGTGACTTTGGTGGCGTTTGGCATTTCAACAGATATCCTGGCGCCAGAGTTGACTCGGAGACACCTTTATACCAACTAAATCTGCGAGAGCTAAGCGATAAGTTCAACTTTAGCCAGCGCTTTCCGGATCATGAGGAGCTACGAGCGTACTTTTCGCATATTTCCACCACGTTAGATTTACGAAAAGATGCCATTTTTAATCAGCGCATAACCAGTGCCAAGTACAACCTCGAGTCCAAGACTTGGTTGCTTCAGTCCGACAATGGCCTCACCGCCAGATGCCAAAGTGTGATCTTTGCGTCTGGTACCACCAACAAGGCATATATTCCTGACTTTCCAGGATTAGATCGCTTTGAGGGCCAAGTTATCCACCCAGCTGCCTGGCCCAAGAATGTCGATCTTCGTGGCAAGTCTGTCGGCCTGGTTGGTCAAGGAGCCTCAGGGCTGCAGATTCTGCAAGAGTTGGCCAAGACAGACTGCAATCTTACCGTCTTTATTCGAACTCCCTGTACCGGTGTGCCAATGGGCCAACGAGACATCCCTAAAAATGAATCAGAAGGATTGAAGAACCAATATGACGCACTATTCAACTACGCCAAGTATCAAAGCAACACTGGCTACTCTGATAACCAGAACCCACTTTCGTTTCACGATGTCACGCAAGAAGAGCGGGAAGAGCTGTGGGAGACGCTATGGGCTCGTGGCGGCTTTGGCTTCTTGACTAGCAATTACTGGGACTATGCTTTGGACAAGGAGGCCAATGCGGCGCTGTACCAGTTCTGGGCGAAAAAGGTGCGACAGCGAGTTACAGATCCTGTCAAGCGCGATATTGTAGCACCTCTGGAGCAGACGTACTGGCTCGGTGCTAAGCGCCCTAATCTCGAAGTGGATTATTACGAGATGATAGACCGTCCTAACGTGAAGCTCGTGGACTTGGTCAAATCGCCAATAAAGGATTTTGTCAGCAACGGGGTCATTACAGGCACTGCAGACGACCGTGAGGAACATCAACTTGATGTTGTCATTGTGGCCACGGGATATGATTCCGTCACAGGGAGCATATACGAAATGAATATTCAGGACAAGAATGGGGAGCTTCTACAAGATAAGTGGAAGTATGGAATTGCCACACACCTGGGCATGATGGTCCCGGGCATGCCGAATGCCTTCTTTTTGTACGGGCCACAGGCACCTACGTCGTTGGCCAACGGCCCACCGTTCCTCGAATTACAGGTGGAATTTATTACAAAACTGTTGGAAAAGGCCAAGCGGGACAAGGTAGAATCCATCGAGGTGGCTGAAGAAGCGGCTGCTGCGTGGAGAGTAGCGACTCTAGCAACTTTTGAGGCGGTTCTACATAGTCAAACGGATTCTTGGTGGAATGGAGCCAACGTTCCAGGAAAGAATCGCGAGCCTTTGATTTGGTTTGGAGGCATGCGTAGCTGGTGGGATGCGTGTCAAGCGGCTTTGATGAACTGGAACAGTTTTGTTACGGCTCCGATTGCCTAAAGTGCCTTAGCGAGCAACTATTTAGTTTGAACAGAATATCTTCAAGACAACTAGAGAAGTAACGAACCAGAATCGTTTCATATTATGATAAACCTTAAATTACTACATGAATCTAAGGATTAATCTGAAGTCTATTTATAGTTGGTGTCCACCATTTACTTCAATCGTTTGACCGACGACACCAGAAGAAGCACTACTTAGCAGATACAGAACTGTGTCTGCAATCTCATCAGCGCTAAGAGCGTCCTTTATGACACCCACATCAGGTTTCGATGCCTGTATTTCTGGCATACTAGGCGGAGGCTGCAGAACCATCGGAGTCAGCACCTTGCCAGGAGCAATACAGTTGACCCGAATACCCTTGTGTCCCCATTCCAGCGCCATAGACTTAGTCAGTCCTACAACAGCATGCTTGCTTGTCACGTATGCAGACAAGCCGGGATAGCTCTTGACTCCAGCCATGGATGCAATGTTGACCACCGCAGCTGTCTCCGCCACAGGTTCGTCAGAATGCGCATTTGCAGATGCCCGGTATGCGTGGCGATAAAATTCCGTGCCCACGTTCCACGTTCCTTGCACATTGACTCTCCATAGCGTTTCAAAATCAGCATCGGCTTCCTCAGAAAGCTGAGTAGTTCTCAGAATGCCAGCACAGTTGACTAGTCCGTTGAGGATTGTGCTTCGCCCCATAATGCTGGTGAAGGTATCCTTGACAGCATGCCTTGCGCTGATATCAACGCCTCCGTATGAATAGAGGCATCCGGCATGCTCATTAATTTGAGGTATGTTTTTGGACTTGTCGATGGAGTGTACAGTAGCAGAAAGCTCCAGAAGCTTCTGGACAGTTGCTTTGCCAATACCAGAGGCTCCTCCTGTAATGACGAACGTCTTGCCAAGAAGCGACATCGTAAGATTTTTGGTTAAGTGGATTTAGTGTATAGAGCCTGATAAATGGAATACATGCATCTGCCAATCTTTGCTTTATAAGCATGACGCATTCCTGCGAGTGATAGACATGCGGGATGCTGAAGGAGCCCGTGGTCCGTCGCCATCGATGTAGCAAGCCTCGTCCCGCGTGGTCCGCGGGAAGCGGTTACCATCCAATTCTTGGCTGGACGTTTAATGTCCGGCTTAAAGCCTACTTTAGAGCTTGGAGATGTGTGGAAATTGTAATTAACGCGGTCCGCTGTTGCTTGTATTATGAATTGTCTACTGTGGCTCATGGCACCATGCAATGTATTACTTGTTATTATTAATATGTATCGTTATTCTCTCAGTCTAGAGTTGCACCCAATGTCAGGGATTGGCTATATACGTATTGCGCGTCCCAATCCCCTATCACTGTATCAAAGAGATCCCAGCTTTCGGTAGCTGTCAGCTGTAGAGGAAGGTTTGCCCGTTTATTGCTCGGCGCTATATTGGTACTTTCGTGATTTTCTCGTGCTTCGACAATTTCTTCGGCGATACGATATAATGCTTTACAAAGGCTATATTGTCGCTTTGAACGCTCGTAAAACGCGGCAATCTCCTCGAGTGTTGTAAGCACACTAAACAAGAGACGAAGGCTCTTGGGATCTGCGTTTACCACACAATGGAGAAACGTAACTACATACGGAGTGAAAGATGAGCACATCAGGATCCTGACATTTGTTAGCGAAACCAATCCACATTGAGATATATAAAAGCTCACCACACTCCATAGTAGTAGACGGCGTCTCGGCCTCCAGCAGAGACTTTTGGAAAGATACGGAGATGGGCAGATACTCCCTGTCTTGCTGCGGCGAAGCACTCGGTGGAAATATCAGCAGGCAAATTAGAGGTCGTGCTACCACGGTGCAGTAAAGTAAGCACAGAGTAGTAGATGACATCTACCGCCATAAATAGGTCCCTGTAGATGTCGCTAAAGTAGGCTTTTGCAAAGTCGATGTTCACCCACTCAGCATACCACTGCTCTAGTTCCAGTGCCAAATCGGCAACTTTACGCTTTCTATCTACCGTCGATAATCGTGTCGCCCTAGGGGAGTATATCTTTTTATATATGCGTGCTTGAATGCGGGAGAAATTTATAAAAGCGCGCAGTGACTGGTCCCAAGGGCTTTGTTGAGGATCAGTCGACATGGCGGGCAGCGGCACATCGACAGTGTAGTCTTCAATGGCTGGAGCGCAGCCAATGCGTAAGGTCAGACCGAGGTCGGAGACATATGTGTGCCAAAATAGTTGGCGATACTTTTCAACGTCGACTGACGAGTATTGTCCTTTATCGTGGCGATGGTAGCCCAACAGAATGCAGTGGCGAGCTGCAGCAGTGACGAAGGCTTTGTGGTGAGCAAGATCACCACTTGTCTGCGCATAATAGGCCTAAATGGTGTTAGGAGTTTGTTTTAAAGCATTTGAATCTAGAACACTTACAGCGAAACTGAGAGTAAGCGTATTTTCGTAGGTAGCCACAGCAGCGATTTCCGCAACCTCTAGGCCAGTTCGAAAATTGGCCTCGCTTATGGTTTTATAGGAGGCAATGGTTTGCGCATCAAGGTCATGGTCATCACGAACCTGCAACTCCCATAGCGCAAAAAACAGCATGCCGTTGAATAAGGTCATTTCACTGACAGATAAAGCGTCGACAGGAAAGTACAACCTTTGACATAGCGATTTCACCAGTTCCAGATCCAAAAGCGGATGCAGAAGAACTAAAAGACAAGGCGACGCTAGATGCTGCTATGTTAGTCATATTTCATGTGAGAGCTGTATGAGGAAAAAAACGTACCGTTGAGTACTCGAATCACTTGGAGCACAAAGTCAGCGGGAATGCGCTGCATTTGAACTGAAGGCGTCGCCAGTGTCCGCCCAATGCGAGGCTTAGGTTCATTTTGACTGCTGGCGGCCTTGGTAAGTGTCTGTAGCTCGCTTGCAACAGTAGGTGAAGTAGCAGCGCCTGAAACGGAGAGTTCGGGGATTTGGCTGACCATGAACGTCTGCCGTTCGAATGAGGGTTCTCTCTCTACACATGTCGGTGTATCGAGCCATGCTAGCTTTTGCACATCAACCGTGTCCACGGCTTCGCTTATTTGGAGGGGAGGGGAGACAGTGGAAGACGTCGCAACAGTGGTTGAGGGTTGGCTGGTAGTTGACAGATTTTCCAAGGCATTTTCTAGTCGAACCAATCTCTCGTGGAGGATTCTGAAATTATTGCTGTCCAATGACAGGCCGTGTTAGAGACGGACATCTCGACTTGTACTTGACTAGGTTCTAGACTTACGAACTACTTGTAGTAGTGGAGGGTACTACAGTAGTGCCTCCGGCGGTTCGCGATCCAGGCCGGCATGAGATATTGGAGGTAAGACAGTTTGAGCAGGGGCATTCTCGATTACATCGGATCTGTAGCCCAGTGATGGGTTAGCCTGAAAGGGCCTTGCACTGCGGACCTGAAGGGAAGAGAAAACACTAACCTTTCGGACCCTGCAATTATGACACTGTCAAATCCCCATAGTATGTTAGCAAGCTCCAACCGTAAGACCGTTGGGGGCCTCGGCGCACCGGCTGTGACATACCGCACGGGGCACAACGCTATGTGACTCCATATTTACGATTCGCTTATAGCAAAATAATTACAACACAAATAATACGGAGGTGAAAAGCGCTCAATGAACAGAATTTGCAAAGGAGAAGCGTGATGAGGCTCATTTTGACTGGTGGCGGCGCACGGGAAGCGCGTGATGCGCGGAAGCCCGGGCTCCGGTCGGTTGACGGCGTCGGGCTGTACGGCCGCATCCTTCGGGCTTGTTCGGGCTACTCTGGAAGTCCGAAAGTGCGGCGGTCATTATTGGTGAATATAAATATACGAAACTAAACAGCTGCTTAGCAATACTAAGAGGATGTGGCTACTGTAAAAGTATCCCAGCATTGATAATTCGTAGTCCCCTACAATTAAGACTAATACTATCATCCTATCCAAACAGGCATTGATTTGACCAAAAGTTTGATCTGCATATCTGATAAGACACCGATATGCAACCATTACTATCAGGATTCAGCCGTTCTCTCCTCCAAAACAAGGTCGGGTTTGTGACTGGTGCAGGCTCACCCTACGGCATCGGCCGCTCGCTGGTCCTAGGTCTCGCAGCAGCCGGCGCTCGTGCTGTTTATGCAACAGATTTGTCACTGGGCAACATTGCCTCTTTGCAGGAGGAAGTACGTGCAATGAAATCCGACTGTCAAGTGCACGGTGCTATACTAGATGTTACCGATGAAAAACAGACGATCTCAGTACTGAAAGAGGTACTCGACAAGTATGGGCGCATGGATTTCTATTTTGCCAATGCCGGCGTTGGCAATTATGTGTAAGTACTTAGAACTACCGAAGTAGTGTGATTTTGTAGGAGGGTTTACTAATCAATCTATGACCAATAGGCCGCTTCAAAACACGGATGCAGCATATTATGACAAAATGATCTCTATTATGCAGCGCTCGTTCTTCCTTGCGCTTCGCTATGGCGGCCAAGCCATGTGCAATGTGTCGGCAGACAAACCAAGTCCTGGTGGTTCTATTGTTGTCACTAGCTCCATAGCAGGTGTTTCTGGAGGTATATCGGATATTTCTTACTGTAAGTATACTCTTGGAAACAAATGTAGTTAAATGTACAAGGTGATTAAGCTAACCGCTGCTGCTAGCCTCCGCCAAAGCCGCCGTGGCAAACATGGTCAAACCAGGCTCTGTTCAGTTGGCAGCGAGTAACATTCGAGTTAACTCCATTGCACCGGGATTCGTACGATCGTCGATTATTGCCAGTACACGGCAAGCCCTGGCTAACATGCAATCCTCCGCAAACACTGGCGGTACATCTACCAACAAAACAATCACAAAAGAGGAGGCATCAAAGGCATTTGACGCAACCCTTGGCCGTCTTGCGTCGGATAAATATTACTTTGATCGAATTCCTGAGCCCGAGGAAATCGCCAGTATTGGTGTGTTCCTGGCGTCAGAACTCAGCGCGTCAGTGAATGGTCAGAATATTGTCGCTGACAACGGCAAAACGGCATCTGGGCAGGCTGATAGGACTATAGGGCCTATTCATGCTATGGCACCGCTTTCCGCTTTAGGTTAAGTCCAGTTGGCTATATATAGATGCTGTTGTTAGAGATATTAAAAATATATTTATTAATCTAATATCTGTTATCGGAACCATCTCTTCTATCCGATGTATTTGCAAGTGACATCGTTTCCAGTCACTCTGCAATCAGTATACCGACGGCCATCGTTGAGGTTTTTGACGTTGAAAATCTGGGTCTTGGAGTCTAGTTTCAGAACCATTCCATCCGATGTTGTAGCCTTGCAATCAGTTCAAGTAACAGATCCAAAGTTGGGTAAATGCCTGTTATTGTTTTCCACAATCCAGGACGCCTCTAAGAAGTATAGAGACTGGTGACTGTGATTGTCTTTGGTGAAGGTATAGTTGGCCTTCTTACCAGTTGTCAAGTTTTCAATGTTAACCTTTCCTGAATCCTTGCTGGTTGCCTCGAGAGCAATCTTGATTTTGTTACCAGGCTTCGCATACAGGTTAAGCGTTTCCACCGCAGAATCCGGGAGCCATTCAGCAAATGCATTGTCGTCGAATTTAGGATCCACATACAGGGTGAACCCCGCTTGGAACAAAGAAGCGGTTGTTGAGCCATCAATTCCAATCCAAGCACCCATAAAGCCGTCTTCCCTTTTCGCCATCTTAGGGATAACGAGGGTGCCTTCAATTTTGGTGATGTTGGTACTTGTAATTACAGCACCAGCCCAAGTGGGATTATCCTCAGCTAGAGCTGGTGTGATAATCGCACCGAATAGGGCGCAGGTGCTGACAAATTTCATGATACCGAAGAGATCAGATGGAGTATAAAAGAGAAATATAGTTTAACATGAAGGGGTGGTTTGCTATCGTAGACGACTGCACGATATGGGTTTTTATAGTTGCTTTTACAACGTATCTAATGACTACGTTCCCGGGGAGCTTCCAACTACCGAAGCCTAGAATCATCCGTAGTGTACCACCTACCTTACTTGGAACTTTCTACTTGGCTTCTAATACAACTCTATCCAGCGCAACACTGGGGTTTGGGTGAGGCGCTAGCTGGAAACAGTGACCGTTGGACATCTATGGGGTAGTATTCTTCAACATTTCCGGAGTAATACCTCTACATTTCACTGTCCCATATAAAAACCTTGTATCAATAGTGACCTTCACTATCGTTTTAAAGTCGAATTAACGGATTTCAAACTCCGCAAAAGATACTAGAGGAACTTTGTTTTTCATCTGATACGACTTTCCATATCCATCAACTTCCGCCATGTACAGAGTAAATAAAATACACTAAGACCGGCTGTTAGAAAGGGTGGCTCTTATTGTTGTGACTATTGTGACATTGGACGTATGTCACTTTACCAGATGAGTGAAGGAACAGTTAAGTCACTGGAAGTGGATGACATAGGAAAAGGAAGTGAATACAGGATGTATTCGGTGTATTTAGCTAGAGCAGTTCCGACCATGGAACTTGAAGAAAACAACAATGATTTAACCCTACAACCTCTCACCTTTCGATAACACGTGTTATTGAGCCTTGAACCAACACTTATTATTGTTTTGGTGAACCTGAATATTTTCTGCGATTGACTTGGCGCCGCAGCTTATAAGTGATAGCGGCTCAGCAGATCAAATATGAGAGCTGGTTGCGATTACGAGTTCTCCAGTATCTATGGTCGTCTCTGCTACAGACTTGTGTTATTTTGTTATATAGTAGGCCGATAGAAATACGACAAGTGGAGCAACCAATAGGACTAGCTAAAGGACCGGCTTCTATTTGTTTATAGCCATGTACTCTTATCTTTGCAAGCCTGTTGTCTGAGGCCGGAGATGTCGCTATTCCCATTTAACTCTATCAAGCAATAGTCTTTAATCACACAACCAACCTGGCGTTTGAGTAGAGCTGATTCTATATATTCTCAGATAATCCAGCGGATTACGACATGTTGCACTCGTAAGTACACATAAAATCTTAGCAGGAGTCAGTCGAGTCAGTTATATAACGAAAGATGGTACTAGCAAAGTGAGACGCCCACAGCGATCAGAAGAGCGCGCGATAATCCGGCAAACTACTGTTAAATGTTCAGGCCAGAAAATGCATCCCAAACGGCCGTAAGCCATAATTCTGGATAAGAATATGCTGGGAAGTGACCGCCCCTGTCATGGCGCCTAAAGAAAGTAACGTTTGCCGTACGCTGAACCCAATCCTTTGGCTGCGAGTGTATTAGTGAAATCGCCTTGATAGCCGTATTAAAAGTCCACTCACCACAGTTGTAAAGTACGCCACATCAGGATATAACGGCTTCGGTAATCCCCACTGCGTGACAGAAGTTGGCACGCGACTTGGTTTGGGCCCCTTGAAGAAAATAGGGAACAGTTCCTTATAGCTGCGAATATTTCCATACACGCCAGGAATAAGCACGACGAGGGCCTGTGAAACCATTTCCTTTAAAGAGAAAGGTACTGATAAATCTCGCACCGTAGCGTCAATCTGCCATATCCATGCCACAAACCCTACGGGAGAGTCGTTCAGCGCGTAGGCTATTGAGAGCGGATATGTATCGTGAACAGCCGAGTATGCCGAGTGGGTGTTCAAAAAGGCGTTGAGGGAAGTTATATATCGCGTCTCCTCCTCTGTTGTCTGATTTTGTGCAAAGCGTTGCAAATCAGTAGCGTTTGGCGGCACAAAGTAAAAATCCGTTACATGATTCACGATTCGCTCCCCATACTGCTCTATCATTTGAGTTGCAACCACGTACCCTAGGTCCGTGGAATACACAGCGTACGATTTGTAGCCCAGCTGTTCCATCAGGCTGGCAAAAATGGCAGCATGCCCTGGGCCACCTAAGCCCGGGGCCACCGGCGCGGGCGAGAAACCGAACCCGGGCAGGTCTGGTGCAATAACATGGAACGCTGGCTGTGAGGCATCTTGCGGATTAGTAAGCGAATGTATAACCTTCTCCCACTCGAGGCTACTGCTTGACCAGCCATGAAGGAGGAGGAGTGGGATCGCGTTCTTCCGGCTGCTCCGCTGATGGATGAAGTGGATGTCGACTTCATGGGGATAGAAGTTACCCGGAGCTGCCACTGTAGTGTAATAATGTGAGAAGTTGGAGTTTACCATATGTTGATAATCCCACCAGTCATATTCATTGGCGATGTATTCGGCAACTTGCGAGACATTAGCGACAGGCGGTCCATCGAACCAGTCTGGGGCTGCAATATTCACCGTAGGGCGGAAATAGGCAGCCTTGAAACGGATCTCTTCGATTAATTTGGGGGAGACATCGATTCTGTACGGACGCGGGTCATAATTTGATGTGTTACCCTGTGAGGTGGCGGCGGCTGTAGCTAGAGTGATGCTCCAACGTACAAAGGAGAGGGGCCGCATAATGACTTCTTGACGTATCGAGATGTGTTATTATTTAATAATGCGGGCTATCTAGTAGATGGTCTGTTCTCTCCTTATATACACCTCTTGGCCTAAATTTGATTTGCAATCAAGATGATGACGTCAATTTGTAAGCAGCGGTATGCCGACGAGGCCGTAGCCTTACACACTGGGAGGGCAAAACGTCATAACCTGACCTCTTTCTGCCACACATTCAACAAGGCTGTACCTTCACATCTTCGAATTAATAAGCAATGGCGTTATGTGTGGTTCTCTCTACCAAGCAGCGAATTTTTGGAAAGAAAGTGCACTTAATGTGACTTGTAATGACCCGTCTTATTAAATGTTAATAGAGGAGGGGAAGGCTAGCGCTAGCAATAATCTACAGCCCGTCAGAGCCTTATGGCTTGTTCTCACTGCAGAGGTCAACAGTCATCCATGCGGATCGGCTCTTGAGATCCTCGTCATCGTTGCAACCCGCACCAGCTCTCCAAGACGTCGGGTATCTATGTTCTTGGTTCTTGGTCATCGCAGATAGTCCACCATCGGTGATGCGGGGTTTCTTACAGCCTGATCTTATATTGCCGCCGTGACCAATGTCCCATCGTAGACCGTCATCCCAGGTCGTGGCTGAGATTGTGCCCCAGCCGCCGATAAAGTCCTTGCAAGAGTCGAGTGCATACGAGAAAACAAGTGGACTCTTTTCGTGAATTGTATCCTTGGGGGCGCTGAAGAAGATCTTGTACGGCTTCTCAGAACCGCAAGGCTTGATCTTCCTGGTGATCGACTGCCAGGGCTTAAGGACCTTGCCAGCAATGTCTGAAACGTCATCGACTGCGGCCATTGCCTTGCCATCCAAATGCATTGGGTATTGGCAGTAATTGGTGATGGTCACCGTGGCATCAACGGGAATATCACAATCTCCGCCAATAGCAGTCTGCTGCTGAGCATAAGCCGTGGCAGAGGCTACGGTCAGCCAGGCAGCAACAACAACTACCTTGAGGTTGGTCATGGCTCTCGATATTTTATGTAGTAGATAAAAAGGATGGAAGACTGGAGAGGAGAATACGTTGTATGAAGCCAGCAGCCGCGAAAGCGCCGTGCTCCAGTATTTATACAGCGCAGCGAGAATGCCCTGGCGTGCGTTACATGTATGTATCAAGATTATTCCATGATCGCGTTTAAAATAACTTTTAAGTTGTTTTTACACTTTGTTCGACTGTGCTTCATAGTTAGCTAAGCTTAGTCTTGTTTAGACCAACACTAGGGGCAGACTCAACCGCTTTCACTCTAATTAAAGGCAAGTATCGTTAGCAATAGGTTCCTCCATCGTAATTAAGTTTACAAATATGATTTTAACATATAATAATAGCATCGTAAATTAAAATTAGTCATATACATCGAAGGCGACGCTGTGGCATGTTGGTACTACATCCAAAAAGACATATTTATAGCCAAGCCTCCTCCACAGTTAATCTCTTTCCACCTACCGCTCACTATTTAAAAACAAAGCTCTCAAATATTAACACTTCTTGTATCAACATGATCAAGTTACTCACTCCTCTATTCATCGCTTCCCTTGCCATTGCGCATGCTGCTGGCCGCCCGGAAGATGTCCAGCGCCGCACTGACGAGCTTGCCTCTCAACTGGTTGACGAGCTAGCTGACCAGGAAGGCTATAGCACGAGAGTTGAATATGTAAACATGTGTGAATATCCCGTTCATATTTGGCGAACGAAGATGGCCAATACGAAGAGCCTTGGCGTTGTTCCCGCCAATGAGACTGGCTACGACATTATCAAGGCGGATCCCAAGGCTACAGAGGTCAAATATCGCTTTGCTCGCACAAAAACGAGTTATAAGGACGGTTCGGGAGCTTTGGAGCTTGGATTCAATCACAACGTCACGGAGCGCTACATGAAGGTGGATTCGCACATGGGCCCTGTCATCCGCAACCCGCTTGGAGAGGACTACGCCCTGGCTACGGTTGCTGTCAGCGGCTGCGATAAGGGAGACAGCGGGTATGATGTAAATATTTTCTTCGGAAGAAAGGTCTCCGTCAAAACTGCATGCAAGGCCATCAAGAGCACGGTGATCAACATGGTTTGGTTTTGCCTGGAGAATGTCGATGGTAGGTCGACTATGGCGTCTGTTCATTAACTAGCCTCATAAAGCTACTCTACTCGCTATATTAAATTTAATGCAAATTTCCCAAAGCTTACCTTCTCCATAGAGCAAAATGTAGCTACAGCCAGTGGTAGAATCGTGACGTGTCGTATGTCTCATTGGTCGCGCTTCGAATAGCGCCATAGTCTCACCCTGAACAAAAGTTTCGACTCTCTACGATTTACATGATTAGTAATAAAAATAAATAGTGAGTGCTGCCGAAAAAAAATACATAGCAAGTCTGCAGCGTGAGCCATCGTTGCGCCTGAATTAACGGCAGTTACACAGGACGAAATGCTTTAGGCGGCAACTTCCCAAGTTTAGCCTTCTTGAATTTCTTCAGGCAATATCGTAACTGAGTTGTTAGAATAGTGATATTCATAATTGCGTTTCAGTGAATCATAGCGTTAGCCACTATAATCATACCATTATCCTATGCAAGTGAAATGAATGTTTTAAATAAACTATATAACTTAGGTGTAATTATGCATGCCTAATCTATGGGCGGTGAGTTTAGTAAAGCTTACTGCATAGTGAACCAACACGCGCTTCCCCCGCACTGAAGCATTTCGAAGAGCGGGGCAATGTACTATTCGTGTTGGTAGAGTAATAGTACGTTAGTCTGCGGTTAATATAGCTTGCAAGACTCTTTCTTGAAATTTTGGCTGCTAGATACGCCGTGATGGATCCCCTTTCGATTTCATTCGGCGTCGCGGGTGTGCTGCCCCTTATTGCGAAGGTCATTACTACACTCCGTCGCTATGCCGCTGCTGTTGCTGGCGCTAAGAAGAAGATTGAAAGCTTCATCTTAGAACTTGAGGTCCTACAGGTCGCTTTAAAAAATCTAGAAGACTTATTACAGGATAAACTTGTCTCGGAAGCGGACATTGTGTTCGATCCGGCGTCGGTTTTACTATCCTGCTCGACGACTATTCAAGTGAGACTGCAGGAGATCTTGAAGAAACTCATCAGTGAGTCCGACAAGAAGCTTGGGTGCGTCTTGTGGCCATTTACCGAAAAAGAACAACAAAAAGCAATTAATGAAGTCCGGAATTTCTCCACTTGGGTTCAGTTTGCGTTATCCGTCGATGGATGCCGCCTCCTATCGCAGACCTCAGAGAATGTCCTGGCGATACTCGCCCAGCAGTTAGAACAATTCAGCATGGTTCATCAGCTAGAGACGAGAACCAAGGTTCTTTGCAGCGCCATACAAGAGCAAACAAATTTGCTTCGCAATAGTGCTGAGGAGGAACACCGCAACGCAATCTTGGACTGGATATCGGCGACAAGATACAATACTCGCCACTCCATTTTACAGCGTACACGGGCCAAGAATACTGGGAGCTGGCTACTACAGAACAAATTATTTTTACAGTGGAAAGAAGGAATTGCTAGCTCACGGGTTCTCTGGTGCAATGGGATCCAAGGATCAGGCAAGACAACCCTTGCGTAAGTCATTGCGTGACACTCCAAATGCATTGCATATTAACACCGTGTAGATCTATAGCCATCGATGAACTACAGCATAACCATATGAATAGCAATACGCATTTAGCGTATTACTACTTTGACCATCAAGACCACGAGCTGCAGTCGCCGCTCATGGTCATGTCGTGCATTCTTAGACAGTTGTTAGAGCAACTCCAGGAGTTGCCTCCGTCGGTCAAAATGCTCTATGATGCGCGTAGCGACACAGACAGCCGGCAAATTCAAAAGTTTAGAACGCTTCTTGAGGAAATAGCCGAGTCTTGTGGCGCGATATACATAGTCTTGGATGCTCTTGACGAGTGCTCTCATACGACATATATGCTGGAGCTTATTGATCGACTGAATCAGATTGCTGGTTGCCACTTGCTGATTATGAGCCGGCCATACATCTACAACCGTCTACCCAAGTCTCACTCATATCTAGAGCTTACTATCGAAGCTCAGGAGGAGGATATCCAACAATACATCCAGCAGCACTGCGATAGTGTAGACATCTATCAAGTAGCCGATCAGGAATTCGTTAATCAGTTGATCGACAAGCTTGCTCATAGTGCAAGTGGCATGTATGTTTAACAAAACGCTGGAATGTCGATGGTAAAAGCAAATACTAATAGTAGTCTTCATAGGTTTCTGCTTCCTGTTCTACAGCTTCGTACTGTATTGAATGAACCAACAATTGGAGAGATGGAGGATAAATTGAATGCACTCACAAATCTTCTTTCAGATGCTTTTGAGGAGACATTAAACAGGATAACCCGATTACCTGCGAGCCGCAACCGCTTAGCATTATCGTCCTTGATGCACCTTGCACATGCCAAACGATTCTTTAAATCATCAGAGCTAAGTGATATCTTAGCGCTCAGACCCGATTCTACTTCTCTCAATCCCAGATACCGTCCAACTACGGCGATGATTCTGGACTGTTGTCAAGGCCTTGTCGCACTAGATGACGAAACAGATCAGTTGCGCCTAGCGCATTATTCCATACAAGAATATTTAGTCTCTCGATCGGAGTTCCTATTTCCCCAGTTTGAAGTCAACTTAGCTTCTACCTGCCTCCAATATTTACTATTGGATGACTTCAAGTCTGGTGCATTAGAGAATGATAAAGACATTGAGTCACGGCTAAGCGCATATCCATTCCTTTTGTATGTTTCCATGTTTTGGGGCAAGTATATCCACCCTGTTGAAACAGAACCAAGCATTTGGAGCAGATTGTTTGAATTTTTTGGCTCGCCGTCAGCACTAGCGGTCTCGGCGCAGATTTTATATTATCAGAAGGGATACCATGTGGGCTATTATGGTTTCGATGAGTCCGTGAGCTGGACAGCTTTGCATCAGGCAGCAGCTAATAATCTAGAGCATGCAACCAAAGCTCTTCTAGAAAAGGTTGATGTCAATGCAGCCACTGTCATGGGAAGCACTCCTGTTATTAGAGCCGCAAGCAGTGGGCATGTGGCCGTGATGGAGTTACTATTACAGCGTGGTGCAAATCCACGAATGTCAAACTGGTATGGAAATGCGTTACATTGTGCAGCTGAAGCCGGTCAATGTGATACCATTCGTCATCTTGTTCGATGGGGAATGGACCCAAGCTGCGAAGGTAGACGTCGATCTCCTCTGAGTTGCACATTAGACCACGACCATGCAGAGGCTTTCGAATTGCTAGTAGATCTTGGCGCAGATATGCATTTGTCAGACAAGGATTGGTTCGAAAATGCCTTTCTAGAAGCTTGTCACAGGGGCTGTGAAAGGACAGTGGATATGATGCTGAAGCGTGGTTGGATCAACAAACACGAGCCCAACCAAACAGTCTCGGCACTCCACGAGGCAGGCCCGTCAATGCTACGCCACCTCGTTGACATTGGATTTGACATCAATGCGGTGGATATCCATGGTAATAGCGCACTTTCACTTGCAAGAAAGGACTGCGACGAGTCACGGATTAGCATTTTGCGAGACGCTGGAGCATTTCGTAGGTAGAACGGTCTGAAAAAGGATATATATAGACGCATCTTGTCTGTAGTAAACACTTTGATGTTAGGCGCCACGAAAGTAGTGACCCTTTTAGGCAACATTTTCCAAAGTAGATTCTCTTTATCTCGTACAATTCATATACTATGTAACGTTGTTCCCTGGTTTCCATATTCCGTTACTAGTGCAAGCACAGACCTATCTTAAACGTGTGACAAAATAAGGATTTCAAAAGAACTGCACCACCTCTTTAGTTGGAGATGTTGCCCGCAACAGGGCAGCTCTTGGCAGAAGCATCAGACGCAACGGCGGGGTGGACATGAACCTTGTTCTTGTGATGCTCCAGCGTGGCGTTTGTGACAGGGCAGACCTTGGCGGCATCAGCAGCATCGACAGCAGGATGCGAAGGAGGGAGGACAGCCGAGACAGGACCAACAACGGGACAAGTAGCGTTTGTCAGGCCGTCGCCCTTGTTGGCATTCTTGAGGGCAGGACAAGCGGTAGCGTCCATGCCTTCGGCGCTGGACTTTGACACAGACGAGGCATCGGGGTGACGCACAATTACGTTGGCGCCATGGTGGCTGACCTTGGCCTTTGTTACGGGGCAGCTGGCTTCAGGGTCCTCTGTGTTGTATTCGGGGTGGTTGGGGGGGAGAAGGGTCGTGGTTGTGCCTGTTTTTATTCGCCTATAGGTTAGTTCCTGGTTGTTGTAGGATAGTGGTGGTACTGGGGATAGACATACCAACTACTGGGCAGACGGGGGCGGATGCAGCACTCATGATTTGATAGGAGGCTTGGATTGGTCAGATAAATAAGGACAAGAGATAAATTGAATTGCTGTAGAGATTGTATTTTCGAGATATGGTGGCGGCGATATCGTTAGATGTGCGGTGTTTGTAATCCCCCGCATTTGATTGGCCACGTGACGGATCATTCTGGTTTCGTCACCAACCCTAACCCTCGCAAACCAAGTGCTACAGCCAAAAAGCAATACAATAGTCATAAATATATATACCAAGAGTGCAAAAAATAAAAGAAAAAGCAGATTTATGTGTTTTGCATCGTATATATATGTATATATATTTACATATATAACGATGGAAAGTACTATACATTTCAATCAACGACTTGTATGGCCCAAAAGAGATTCTTGCCGTTGACGGATGACGTAGCTCTTCGTCCCGTCCCCTGTCCCTTGTCTCTCCACCTTTAAGCATAACGGGATCGTGAGCGCCCCCGCTCTCTACTTTACATCGGATATACCAGCAAAATTGGACTATGCCAACTTTGCTACAAGAAAGCAAAATATGCGATTTAGTCCGCGCTTGAACAGTATAGGGGGCCTCGACACGTCCCAATGCTACACTACCAACAGGCGCGCTGGGCCCCTCAGTCATATTGTGTTTTGTCGCATGGAGATCATCGATCAACTAAGTACCGAGGATCCACGGGCCGATGTACAACCACACAGGAGATGATCAAAAAGCACTCCCATCCTTCTGCACATCATAAGATACTGCAAGTGCCGGGCTGAAAAAACTAGAATAGGCATGTAGAGACCAGAGCTGAGGATATCGTCGGGTATTCGATGATCTGATCCCATCTAAGCACGTCCGGTTTAACCATTAAGGTTAACTCGTCAAACACACCCACCACCTGCTTTATCTCCCTCCTCCTTTTCTCGGAACAAACTCCATTTCCATCGTAACTATTTTGCGGGCGGCGCATCCGTCAGGTCTGGTTACAAAACGTACAGGCCATTGCAGCGGAGGAGATTGACGACCAGTTCATCATTAGCATGAAGTCCCTCGCGGAGTTGGACCTAAACGGCAGAGAAATCTCCAACACAGTCAACACTGCCCAAACGGTTGCTCGCTTCGAAAAGGTCCGGCTGCAGTTGCGCCATCTGCAGGCAGTCCTTGATGTAAGTGCGGCTTTTGAACAGACACTTGCTGAGTCGGTAGCAGAACCAGAGTAGATCGTGCTACTATTTGTTACCTAGACACGACAGTACACCATCTTGCTTGAGACGTAGCATAGGTCTCAATGGATGGATCAGGTAGAAATAACATATAAATATAAGAATACTAGTATATGTCCTAGCAACCTTCTACGCTGGTCTGCACATACCCGTATCCGCTTGCTTGTTCTTCTCATTACATGGTATGGTTATGTCTCTACCTCTGCGCGACGGAATGGTTTTCCATGCTTTACTACGGCGTCAACCATGCTCTGCAGTGCCGCATCAATGAGTTTTGTGGTGTCTGTATCGTACAGGCTGCGTGCCTTTTCCACATTGTTGCCCCAAGTCTCCCAATCCTGCGGATACAGTTGAAAGGTGACCGCGTCGTTGGGGTTAGGCCAGCAAGGCTCGTGTTGGATGTTGGTGAGTATTCGCTCACTGGAATGAGTTAACCATAGACAAAAGAATCTGGTGTGCCTTCGTTTTAGTGCTGCTTCGCAGCCTGGATCCATCATACATCGATGATTAATTTCCGCCGCATAGGTAAAGTCTGCGGCTGGGCGAGTTGGGTGCGAATAGGGAACGCCGATAGCATTACTAAAGCGCGCAAGAAATTTAATGAGATTTTCTTGTTGCTGCAGCGCTTTGGCGGGCAACAGATTTCCCGTTACATCTTTCCCAACTACATTGGCCTGACTGTTAGTAACCGACGCCAAATGTCATAGTAGATACTTACCAAACTCGAGTTCATCACCACCAGCCCATGCAAACTGGGGCAGGTCGCTCCAGATGTACCATTCCGAATTCTTGGCTTGCTTTCCTGTGGTGGGATTATAGGCTTTGACTTTTTGCAGCTCCACAACAAACGCGACAAGCTTGTCAAGCTTCTCTGTCGACGATGTCCGCTTGGCTACCTGCAAGAGACAATAACAAGTTTCCCAAGCCCAGAGATGGTCTTCGTCAGTATAAAATGTCGTCTTCTCTAACTCATATTTAATGAATCTCGCCAATACATCAGAGACGGAAAGACTAGCGTCGTTAGTCAACTCGCCTAGCAGCTGGAATTGAAAAGAGTTTTCCATGGTTGTGAGATCCATAGTTGCTGATCTTTTTTTAACTCGGATACTTTTTTAGACGAAATTCCGATTGAATTGAAAAGTCTCCTAAAAAATGTGGGAAAGGCTCCAAAATAAGGACAAGATGAAAAGGAAATGGTTGGATGCGTATGTGCACGGTCGTCAAGTTTGTGACTAGCCTCGTCTCGCGTCTACAGCGTGCGCCGGGTATATGGCCCGCTGCAAGGATTTGCAATGGTCTGTAACTTGACAAGTAGGACTGAAACGGGTTTTAGTGTCCGTTGGGGTCCTGATCGCCAAAAGAGGGAATCACCGAACGACTCAACACTAACATAATGTGGAATAGAAGGGGTTGAACTAAGCGACGAAATGTCGCACATGGAAACCTGCGTATCATCCGTGTTTGCGAAAATCTAGCTCCTAATAAAGAAAATATTCAACAAGTATATACATCCCAAGTATCGTTCAACCATCAGAGCTATGTATCATATCCTCTATACGTCTCTATCTGTCCTTCGTCTGGCACGTCTCATTCAACTCTCTACAATCCTGCAAAACAAGACAACATGCTATTCACACTAAGCCATGCAATCATGCTGTCTATGGCTGCTGTCTCGACAGCTCAGCCTTCGCTATGGGCCCGAGCCATTTCCGACTATAAGTGCGGAGACCAAACTATCACTGCCGCCCAAATTACCGCCTCCATAGCACAATCTCGTGTCATTGCTGCTAGGCCACCAGGGCCCAATGGTGAACGCCCTGCTTACCCAAAAACATTTGGAAACAACTGTGTGGGCGGCAAGTGCTTCAATGTTGCCGATACTTTGACAGAATTCCCCATTACCACACCTGTTTGGGACAGTAAGTATTTCGTCTTTCTTAGTAAACGTTCCACACAAATATCTAATGGTGTATAGATGCTCGACCTGGCCGATTCCGCGTCATCACGCGTGCTCAAGGCTTTGTCGGCGTTACAGACAAGGTGGATGGTAGGATTGGACAGGTTCAGCGATGCGAAACTGTAGGTGCGGCGGCAACCAGGGAGAAGAAGGAGGCCAAAGAGAAAGAAGAGCAGGAAAGGGCGGCTAAGGACAAGGCTGCCAAGGATAAAGAGATCCGAGAGAAGGCTATCAAGGACAAGGAGGCAAAAGAGGCGGCAGCTAGGGAGCAGGCGTTGAAGAATAAAGCGGCAAAAGAGCAAGCAGAAAAGGATAAGGCAGCCAAGGATAAGGCCAAGAACAAGAATAATGGCCAGGGATCTGGTACTGGCAAAGACAAGGGCAAAGGCAAAGGAAAGGGAAAAGGAAAAGGCAAGGTTTAAATTAACACCATCAAAATATTTTCATCTCACGACTATTTAATCCATCACTTGAACGTGTATTGTCACTTCATTTGTTCTTGCTCTGGGTAATTGCGAATACCCTAATGCACACAGTCTCTCCTTGGTGCTAGTGATGAACATAATTCACAGTTTGGTTCTTCAAGGACTGCGAATGTTCTCTAGCGTAAACACTGTGGATCCTGTTGTTAGATAACATTGCACTTTATTAAAAATATTACTATATAACTTAGTCCGTCTAGAGCATAACATACAACAAAGCCCATTCACGCCCTTGGTAGCACTATTTAACGAGATGAAATACCCAAAGTTCTGGACGAATATGTGATATATCAAAGACATACTTGTAGTTCCAGTCTGTAAACCCAGCATCAAGAGGGGGCACTGTCCCAAATGCGTCTGCGGGGAGATTCCAAAGCCCAGCTACCTGCGGTATCGTGCGTTGTGACCAATAGTCGTCATCAAGTAAAGCTTGGTGGCGGCCTGTTGCCTTTAAGTTGGCCCTTATTTTCTCCCAGCGTTCATTGCTCTTTTCCAGAAAATAGCATAAGTCTTGGCGGGTAGTGACTGTTTGAGATGGCTCCGATAGTCCCATCAGGTAGCGCAACTGCAGTTCTTCCTTGTCTTTTCCAAAGTTGGCTCGGAACTGATTCCACATTTGGGTTGATTCGCGCGGATCTGCTGGTGCGGCAATATAGGCGAGGTCCTTATCAATGGATCTCATATCTCTTGTGGTTCGAGTATAGTGCGTTGTATTGGCAATGATGGGAAGAGAGCGATTGCAATGCCACAGATCGTTGGCGTGTTCCGACTGTCGGAACGGGAACAGCATCATGTCAATATCTCGAGACGTTATACCCATCTGAATAACAGTATAAAACGACTGGAGGCTTCCAGATAGCCATTGGTTTATCTGCTCCTGCGCATGTAATGGCAGATGGCTGGGATGTAACCGGGAAAGGTAGGAAAGATGATCGCATCCCCCCATGGCCAAGTGCGCGACACCGATTCCTCTAGGGTCGTAGGCAATGATATCATGAATGCAATGTATGAACGAAAGCCCATGAGATCCGGGACGAGACGTAAGGTAGAGGATGTCCGTTTCGGGATTCAAGCCGATGTAAGCGATATGGAACTTGTCGCCATCGGCAGACTTGATGGAAATAGGAAACCGCACGCGGTATCGTTGACGGTAAGCATTGCGCGACTCATGATTGACCTGGTCAATTGCGTCAAGCCATTCAGACCGTACCGAATCTTGCCGTACATAGTAGGAGTGGCTGCTGATGATATTTCCCAGGCCGTTCTTCTTGCGGTAATGTCTAGTCTTGGTTGAACGATCAGAGCAAAGGATAAGTGAGATGAGTCGTGATGCTGACGGCTGGAGCATACACGCATTCCATATCTGGAGCCGAATCTCAGGAGGTAGAAGGGAGAATTTGACAAACGTCCTGGGTCGAGACAGATGTGACAGAGCTTGTGGTTTGAACAAGTCGTTCAGTATCATGTGCTTTTGTGACGCTTCTACACTAGAGCCTGTCATCTCTGGGCTCTGGGTTCGTGTTTGAGGCGTGGTGGGTGGCTGAGGAATGCTGTTGCTGTTGCGGTGTGTTGTTGGATGAGAAGTGCTTTGACAAACACAGAAAGCTACGACGGGCGAGCAAAAAGAAGAGAAATATTAGAAGATAAAGGAGAGCGAGGCTTAATAGATGAGAAGAAGTGAATGAACGAAACCCCTGCCAAGGAGCTGCCAGTGGCTGTGTAGAAGAGGTGACGTTGCAGCACTGTTTAGATGGTGTTTGATGATGTCTCCGGTCAAGGCAGTGGTCCTCTTGGAGGTGGTGGTGGTGCTGTTTCAGCGCCCAACAGCCTTATTGCACCTTATTGCAGCGCCTTTTGCAGCGACTTGATACCCGGCAGGAGGCACAACTGGGACATGTTAGAACCTTTTTTAACATTTCTTTTTATGGAAGTGCGCGGATATTTCGGAGGACGCGCATAGAGAGTTATAAATACAGGCTGTATACCCTATACTACCAAGTAGGAGAAAGCCTCAGTCATAAGTTGTCCCAGGAAAATTTTCATTAAAACTCGATTCGCTGTATAATCAATCATGCGCTTTAACAATCTTCTGTCTACTTTAGTACTCGGCCTACAGGCTGGCCTAGTTGCATCGGAGGCTGCTATTAAGTAAGGAACCTCTAGGACTTCTCTGGTTCAGAACGCTGGCGGGAAACACGAATTGAAAGTAAAAAAAGCTAACTACTTTTCAACACCAGCCAAACCGAAAATGATTCTTCTGCCGACCTTTTTAAACGCTTGCTACCCAGCACCATCACTATTGAACTGGGCCCCAACGGGCATGGCGACGGGAGAACCGGCGGTATAGGCGGCTCCCTGGGAACCTTTGGTTTGGGCACCTGTGTTGGAATGGCGACTGTTGGAGACCCTGCTGACGGGGTCGGTATTGACAAGGGTAAGTCTTGTTCCTGGTTTGAGAGTAATTGGTCTCCTGTTAACCATTGTATACGTGGATAGTTGTAGCTCATCTTGTCTGCGCGGACGCAGACGAAGGTCTCCCAAAGTGGAAAGCAGCTATTGAAAAGGCCAAGATGAGGAATCCATTTACTATTCTTTATGTAATGGACCCCCACCTCTGGCTCAGCTATGCGCCTGTCCAAGATGCTGCAGACCGTCAGGACCTCTTTAAGAGACAAAATGACTGCCACGCCGCAGCTGAGAAGGCGGCCCGTGCAATTGGAGGGGCAAAGGTGCTTACTCGCAACCAAATACGCCCTCCTCAGCCAATTTCGGAGCTGGAGGTTCTCTCAAACAGGGAAATCCTCGCTGGTGGGGTATCAGTTCACGCGGGTATCTAGAGACGATGGTGGTAAATGAGGAGGGTATGTGGTGCATGTATTCTTATAGGTTTCGGGCTATCAATATAGAATACTGAAGTGAAATATAACACGAATGGCTCCTCTCTTATCTTTCGTGATCTGCAGCGCTTGAATTACTCTTTGCTTTGGACTTGATCTGTGCACATACGCTTTTCATCACATCACGCGGATTGGCACGTCGCACGGCATGATGATGGTTATAGATTCTCAATTTGACTATCGGCCGGATACAAATAGAATCAATGTTACTATACAATACACAGCAAAAATAATACGCAGTCGCAAGGATTTTGAAGAAAAACAAGCATTCATTTTCAATATCTAGCGCTCAACAATTCCTCCTCCTTGGGACAGAGTACACACCTCCTTCCAACTCTCCACACTAAATCGGTCTCCTCGGCATCTGTTTGTACTCGACGAACAGGCAAGTCACTCAGAATCCCTTACCCTTCTTTTTGGGCGGTGCTGTGGTCTGCTTCTTGGGAGGGTTGGTGGGTTTCTTCGATGGAGGCAGTGGCTTCTTCTCTGGTGTTTTTGTCTGTGCGGGACGCGTCTTGGTTTTCGTAGACGCCGCTTTGGTTTTGACAGGAGTCGTTTTCGTTTTCGCAGGAGTCGTCTTTTGCACCGTAGAAGTTGGAGCAGAGTTCTTAGTGGCGGATTTCGTGACACTAGAAGAGGGCACAGATGTGCTTCTTGCGGCGGTTGGTACACATGCGATTTTCTTGGCTTGAATTCCTAGAAGAGAACCCTTAGGACATGCCTTCATCTTGCCCAGGAGCTGCAAGTCCATCTGGCGGCCTAGATCAAGTTGCTGCTTTCCGAGAGATCGCGCGTTCAAGTTGCTGCTGTCTACTTGTGCAACCGAATCATCGGCATCTGACAAGGCACGCGAGGAGGCGACTTGCAGCAGTGCAAGACTGAGGACCAAGGTTTTGAGCATCATGTTGCAATATTCTGGAATAGCAAGCAGCCTTTGCTATTTGGAAAAAGAAAAAGAAAAGAAAGGAAATGCACTGATAGCGATAAAAGATAGTAAAAGGGATTCTGAATCACAAATGTGTATGTATAACAAGGATATTGAGGGAAAGGCGTCTTTTTATGTCACTTCCATAATCTCTACATGCGACTTAGACGAACCTGTAACATTTGGCAGGGCTGACTGTAGCTGTCAAAGATAATCGCAAAGTAACAAATAGGTTTCACAAAAAGCTAGAAAAAAGAGGTCAATAAGCATCTTCAGTGGGCTTTGTCGCATCCTGCTTTCTGCAATACACAAGTTAGGTCTCATGCTGTGTATCAGGATTTTCGGAGATTTAATTTGCACCGTACACGGCTCTTACGCCGTTGTGTGCAACACTTGTAACAGCCACACAGCCTCGTCTATTACCCTGCAATGAGACGCGACGACGGGATGACAAACGAGTAACAAAAGAGGTCTGAGACCGGATGCCGTCCCTCAAATAATAACAAAAGTTATCTCGGGCCGCCTGTATTGCTTCGGAAAAAGCAGCAAGTAGCAATGGTCTGGGCATCAGACAAGGGGTACGCGTGTGGCGTTGTCAGGTCACTAAACGGGAATAGGCTAGAAACGTAAGGTTGCGCTTCTTGAGGGAACCCATTATTGATCGAATCAAATCGCCAGTAAGGATCGTGCTAATGGTCAGTGGAGGTCGCTGAGGCAGCATAGCACTTGTGTCAAGTTAGGCCCCCACGTGACATCATCGAGCTTCTGTCCAACAACGTGCCTCCCGTCAACTCCCAATTGATGGCAACTTAATTTTTTTCTGCAAAGCCAATCCGACTATTAGACGCCATGGCGAATTTAGAGTTGGCGCTTGTCATTGCGTTTTATGCATACCCGGTTATCCTTTTTATAACCTTATTTGCAGCGCAATCGATCCAATTCTACGCCAGTCGCCTGCGGCCCCGGGCATCCGAGCTTGATGCTGAGCAAACGCGAACAGCAAACAACACGCGACGGATTTATTCGCGAATCATATGGCTTCTCCAGCTGGCAGTCAGTGCGCTACTGCTTTCTAGCATTATAGTTGTTGTCTATCAGGCAATTGCTATCCAAGATACCTCTAAATCCTTCCCATTCCCGTTCAGCGCGTACTTGGTACGTCTCCCGCTATCCGACGCTAAAACAAACACCAATTGCTAACCACTGATTGTAGGCTTCCTATGTCGGAGTCTTCCTCTATTTCCTAGCCGGCTTGCTCCCCGATCCAGAAGGCCCATGGTCTCCAACACCTGCGCATGCCTGGCCCTGGGCTACGGCCTCGCTCACCGAAGCTGTCATTGCCGGAGTCCTCTGCTCGGCCCGATCATCCATGCGATTACAAAAATCTTTTATCGAAACTCTGAACGGTCTCGGCTATTCTCGAATCGCGGTGTTCGTGCTCATGATTAGCGCCCTCGTCTTACAAGAATACAAGTTGAAGCCAGCAGAGCCCAAGTCAACACCCGAAGAGCGCCAGTCGCTTCTGGAGAACGGAAATGGCACGTCTGGAAGCTACGCCAGCATTGAAGCACCTGCGCCTGAGACCAAGGATAAAGCGAAACGAATCCAAGTCTCCGGAATGGGCTGGTTCGACTACTTTGCTGGATTCCGCGTCTTATTCCCATACTTGTGGTACGTGTACATCCACCGTTGGAAATGAATCTCAAAACTAACAGCATAAAGGCCCAAGGACTCTCCAATTCATCAAGCCACTGTCGTTGTATGCATGCTTATCTTGATGCTTCAGCGCGTTGTCAATTTCATGACTCCCTTGCAGCTCGGAGACCTCGTTGACTCTCTTGGTGAGGGTCGTCTGCCATACAGAGAAATTATTCTCTTTCTTATCTACAGAGCTCTGCAGGGCAACCAAGGTGTCCTGGGTGCCACCAGAGCCGTTCTCTGGATCCCGGTATCCCAGTCACTCTTTCGCAGGATGTCTTGCGCCGCATTTGAACACGTCTTGGGGCTCTCGTTGGAGTTTCACCTGAACAAAAAGGTCGGCGAAGTGACTAGTGCCTTGAGTCGCGGATCGGCAATCAACACTTTCCTTGAGGGCTTTTGCTTCCAAATGTTCCCCATGGTGTTTGACATTTTCATCGCTGGCGTCATCTTCTTTGTCAAGTACGATGCCTTTTACACCATCATTGTATTCTTTGTCATGTGGTCGTACATCTTCCTTACTATCTATCTTGCCAAATACCGTGGCAAGCAACGAAGAGATATGGCTACCAAAGCACGTGAAATGGAGGCTGTCAAGACGGATGCTCTAGTCGCGTTCGAGACCGTGCAACATAACTGTGCAGTACCTCGCGAAGCCGAACGATACCAAGGATACGTCCGTACCTACCAAAAGGCAGAGCGCCTTGTACAGTTGTCCCTCAATGGTCTTAATCTGACGCAAAGCTCCATCTTCAGCTTGGGAACGGCCTTGCTGGTTGCCGTCTCTGCATACAAAATCAGCATTGGCAAACAAACTGTGGGCGACTTTGTCACCTTAATCAACTACTTCGCCCAACTACAGGGCCCTCTCAACTTTTTCGGAACATACTACACCATGGTGCAGAATAACCTCATCGAAGCCGAGCGCGTGCTCGACCTGGTAAGAATTCGTCATAGCCTGTCGCGGGATGTATTTCATCCAAGCTAACATGCAAAACAGTTCAAAGAGCAACCCGGAGTTGTCGAGAAACCCCACGCCATCAAACTTCCGTCTCCACGAGGAGAGGTCGCCTTCAACAATGTCAAATTTCGATACGCTGGCAAGGATGGAAACCCGACACTCGACGGCATAAGCTTTACAGTGGCCCCTGGTACGAAGACCGCCATCGTTGGAGGATCTGGTGCCGGAAAGTCAACCTGCTTGAAACTGCTCTATCGCTTTTACGACGTCTCTGATGGCTCCATTACTGTCGACGGCCATGATCTCAAGGATTTGACGCTCGACAGCCTACGAACGAATATCGGAGTCGTGCCACAGGATACAGTCCTGTTCAACGCCACGATCATGTACAACTTGCTCTACGCCAACCCCAACGCTACCGAGGCCGATGTCCACCAGGCTTGCAAAGCAGCGAATATCCACGATTCTATCCTTGCATTCTCGGATGGATACGAAACCAAGGTTGGAGAACGTGGTCTCAAGCTATCCGGTGGCGAACGCCAACGCATCGCTATTGCGCGAGCCATCCTGAAGAATGCACCCATTCTCCTCTTGGATGAGGCTACTTCCTCGTTGGATTCTCACACGGAGCGAGAGATTCAGAACGCGCTCGAGCATGTTACTAGCGGACGAACTACCATCACCATTGCCCATCGCCTGTCGACCATCACCACCTCTGATCAAATCGTGGTGCTTCACCAGGGCAAGGTTGTCGAAAAGGGTACACATGAGGAGCTGTTGGCACTTGAAGGGAAGTACAGGGCTATGTGGGAGAAGCAGACGAGGGCTGCTGAGGAGAAGAAGGAGAAACCCGACGATAGTTCATCCACGACGGAATCGGAGTAGGGCGCATCGCGTGTGTGCGTTTTTCAACATATTCACAATTCATTTTTTTGTATTTATTATCCGAAAAATCTAGGTTTTTATTAGGCAAAGCAAAATACATCGTTGACCCTTGTTTCTTATCGCAACCTATCAAGCTTCTTTTCTTCAGAAATCAAGCAAATAACACCAGCCGCTGCTACTTCTTGCGAGGGCTTTCCTCGGGGAGAGGAGACGAGGCGCGATCGTCAGGATCGTCTAGTTCTTCATCGGAAACAGCGTCTCCGCCCCGGGTTAGGTTACTCTCGTTGTCCGAATCTGAAGTACCTCGGTCTTTTCGGTCTTTAGATTTAGACTTCGGCCACTTGAACTTTCCCAAAAAAGGACTGGATCGCCAACTGGATCGCCAACTTGCAATGCGTTGCGCTGATGCCTCAGTGGGTTCCATCTCTTCGTCGGATGTCAACGTCCAATGCAAGGCCAAACGCAATTGAGTCAAGTGGTATTGCAAGCTGCGCGTGGCAGAGCTCTAGTAGATAAACTTGAATAGCAATGTTCAAAGAGAATAGACACAATAGCCGTTATAGATTTCGATATGTAGCTAGAATAACATGTACCCCATTGAATGTAAGCACCTAATAGAACTGCTGGCAAACCACGAACGACTAGGGTGATGTGATTTGGGCCAGGGTCTTGACTGCAAGATCCGAAAAGCAGTTGAAGTGGCTGTCGAATAGGTAGAGAATAATAATGCAAGGTGACGTGTTTCTTGTAGCTTGAAATCAGTATTTATATTAGCCATTTCCTCCTCCTTCCGCACACGCACACAGAACAGTATTTTGACTGATTAATCCTATTATCAAACTTCCTTCTTCTCACCATGGAGCTTATCAGCGTCACTTCGTGGGACCCAAAAAGACTTCCTAGTTCAGTCATGGAGTTGGTTCTGCAGCAGCGTCATTTCGGCGTTACTGCAATGGGCCACTGGGGCGATGGACGATCCGAGATCGTATCTGGCTCCAACGTCACAATGGGGCAATTCGCATCTTACGGGATGCTAATTGGGAGGTTCAAGAACAATGAACAACTTGTTCAACATATTCTGCAACATATGCCCAACATCCAGGAAGAGGTTGACAACAACCACTTTTTGCAGGATCTAGTCCGACGTGTTCGCGAACAGAATACCGCGGGAGTAACCATTAGTCGACAGCTATCTCGGCAATTTTATCGCTCTCGTGGTATTCCTGTGGCCGATATGCCTACCAATCCCTTGGAGTTGACCAGCCCAAGGCATACATGGCTGTTTGCGGGCAATGGCGACTCAGTAACCCCGACGATATTTTGGAGTATGCCCTGGTGCTTACAGCAATTGTGCGAGGGCAGGGAATTATCCCTGGATTCATGCCTGACGAGGCAGTGCGAGAGTCGAGGGTGGCTACTGGTGTGCACTTGGTGTAGCTGAAGTTGTTTTTTTCTTTTGATAGTGAGATTGTTGTTGCTACTAATACTATTCCTTGTTTCACAAGTTTCGTAAATTTTGTAAGGTTCGCAGGTTTTGCAAGGTTTGGTTGGTTTTGATTCTAGTGCGTTTACAGCTTTTGCAATCAGATCAACAGTAATGTTTGTGAACTCTTCTCTAGAAAGACGGAAGCAATTCTATGGTATTTTAATCTATTCTATGGCTTTGGATCAAGAACTTTTAGCGTCCTTGATGCTGTATGGCCCCCCGTGCTTGTCTTCAGCAGCACGCATACTCCTCAGCGCCTCATCCACCAGTCTCGTCGTATCTTCATCGAACACGTCGCGTGCTGTTTTCGTCTTGCTCCTCCAAATCTCCCATGCCTCTTGGGTTATCTCATCGACAGAGAGGCTTGGCCAGCATGGTGCGTGTTGGCAGTTGGTCAGCATTCGCTCACCTGCATGGATTAACCAGAGACACCAGCATCTCGTGGCCATCTTCTTTTCTTCGAACCTCTGCTCTGGTTCGTTGAATGCATTGCGAAAGTCATGCATCGACCAGCCGGTAAAGTCGGTGTTTGGCGCCGTTGGATGCGAATACGGAACATCAGTCGCATTGCTCAGGCGTGCAGTGTAGATGACCAAGTTTTCCATGCGTTTCAGTGTTTCAGGTGGTACCACCTTTTCATCAAAACCTCGGATGCCTAAGATGATGTCGACGTTAATCGTAAAAAGCGTTTACAATCCATAAACCCTGCTGGAGGTGCTTACCGGTGTTCAACTCATCGCCGAAAGTCCATCCAAAATATGGCAAGTCGTTCCATACACGGCCATTCTCATGCATTACCAGCTTCCCTGTTTCAGGATTCAACACTTCAATCGTCTCCAGCTCCATAACAAAGCCCACCAGCTTGTCCAGCTTGTCGCTTGCTGATGTTTCCTTGGCGACTTGAGCTAGAGCGTAGAATGTTTTCCAAGGCAATATGTGGTTCTGGCTATGAGTAAGAAAATTTGTCTCTTCGGCCTCAAACTTCACGAAGCTTGCCACCGCATCAGCGACTGAGAACTCAGGGTCGTTGGCCAAGCGAGTGAATAGCCCACGCTGAAAAGCATCATCGGCTTCAGGCATAGCGACAGATGGCACAGGGTCAGACATGACAGTTCTTTCGCAGTATATCGATTAATTGGGGTTTTTCAATGGTATTGCAGAAAAATATTCCAGTGGATATTATTTCTAGAGCAGGAAAGGACACAGTCGAAAATGGGGGAGTTTGTTGAAGGCGGCTATGCGTGCGCACGGTCGCCAGCCTTGACTCAGACCGACGGGCCGTGCCAGATGGAAGGCAGTGCTAGGCGCGGCTATGCTTCCGATTTGTAACGCCTCCTTAGCCCTTAGACGAGCTTGATACGAGCTAGGTCTTATTTCCGTGTCCTTTTATCTAGAAAAGCGTGCTCTATGGGCTCTTGAGCGCGGGTTTGATACGCGCTAGAGTGTCCAACATGAGGCTCGGATGCCACATCTCAGAATGGGCAATGCTATGCTGGAATTTGAAGTGATCTTTTTCGAACCCGGTACCTAGTATCAAGCCTAGATCAAAGAATTCTCAATCAATCGTTCCACAGCGACTCATTTACACCATGCTCTTCAAACTCGAATCAGTCGTCGTATTGGCCATGGCTGCTCTATCAGCCGCACAGCCTGGGTTACAGAAAAGAGGAGGAACTGGCGTTCAGGACTACGTGTGCAGACATAAGGAAGTCAAAGCCGATCACATCAGAGCCGCCATAGGCCAGTCCCATGCTTTTAACAAGTACATCGCGGAACACCCAGACGCGCGTCGGCCTGCATACCCTCAGCCGTTTGGCAATAATTACAAGACAGGCAAGTGCGCCACTATTGAATGGTTAGAAAAAGGTATTAAGCCAAGTAACGCTAGATACACACGGGCTACTCATATCTGGCTGTTGTGGTTCCATTGTTAGTAAAAGAGAGCCAAAGCTATAGCGTTGCTGGCGAGGATGCTATGCAGGAGTTCCCTATTACAGATTCTCCTTGGAATGGTACGTCTCTCGTTTACCTTGGTCTACAAGCTGTGGTAGTTCATGAGAACATCTATTAACATTGCATAGTCGATATGAACCCCGGTACATACCGTGTTATAATGCGTCAGAAAGGCTTTGTGGGCGTAACAGACAAATCTAGGGGTTCTAGCACAGGCAACACAATCGACAGATGAGAAAGGCACAAGAAGCTGCGGCGAAAGCAAGGGCAAAAACTAGCACCTCTGCTGCTGCCGCCGCTACTAGCAGCGTACGCAGGCCATGAGCTCTACTCGCTTGGTTCTATGCGAAATCGTTGTTTTTTGTCTGCTTTTATTGATGCTACAAACTTTGGCTTTGGAATTTTATGTAGAACGAGTTTGCTCATTTAATGCCTAATTAATTTGAAAAGGGACAATTGAAGAGAAAGCGCATCCTTTGACAGGCGAAACGCTACAAATTAAACTAATTTGCTAAGTTAGCAGAGCTGGTAAGGGAATAGGCAATACGCGGATATATAAATAGGCTCGCTTAAGCGCCCTAAATTAAGGTTAGTTTGTCTTTGGATCAAATCTGCCTTACCGCGTGCACAGTGAAGCGGCGCCAAGCTTCAGCCGCAGGCAGGTCATTCGCGAATGTGTTCAGCTTCACTTTTAAAAATGGCCGCGACTTGATGTAAAAGGTCTGGTTACGGCTGCTCCGGGTTCATTTTGGTGGTATCGAAATTACTAGTTGTAGAGCTGCAACAGCCGGAGCACATAGCAACGATGAGGTCAGGAGAAGATAAGCTACCGCGAATAAGCTACACCGTCAATGGAATTAACCAAGTCACGTCCATGACGGTAGATGCCAGAAGCAGCCCAGGCTTCGAGAACCTGCCCCCGGAGCTCAGAGAGATGCTCAGTGGGCAGCAAACGGATATGCAGACGTTTGTACAAAAACTCACCGCACCGGCAACCGAAGCCATGGCACGCTCTCAGCAAGCCATGTCCCGACTGGCCTACGCCGGCCATCTAGGGAATGCTGTGGACCTGGACACTATATTTTCGCATTTGAAGCTTCTACATGCTATACAAATGTTAAAGGAAGACATTGGCTACTCGAATGGGCTGTGGAATATCTGGGATGCAGAAGCCCTGGCGATGCCAAAGGCAGACGAAGCCAGCAAGGCGCATGCTCTCAGCAGACTTCGAGAAAAGAGGTGGGCAATCTTTGTAGCGCGAGCGGTTGATCGCTACGAGGCTTGGTGGCGAACTCTTCCTAGTGACATGCTGCAGCAGAGAGATGTGGCAAGCCCGGATAGCCCGAAATTCATGGGATACATGCTAGGCGATCAAGGCATGACATGGACAGCAGATATGCTGCCACCGCTCGGTAAGAGAGTCTCTATAATGCAATTTATAGCCGGCAATTACTAATCATGAAATAATAGATGTTTTAATGGCCATGCATTCGCATATGCTGAATCCACACTCCTTTCTCGAGGACACAATGCGTCAAGGGCTTAGAGCACTTTGGGCTTCTGGATTGCCATGGAGGCTCTTGAACAGCGTCATTGCCAAAGACTCTCGTTACACCGTCACAGAAGAGACCAAAGCTCACTGGGTGGCTCGAACAGGCCGGAACTGGGATAATACAGAGGACCCCTCTACAAAACAGATTCAGTGCCCCTTCTGCCCTGCGCAGAACCACGTTCCATGGACAACGTGTGGACGCGCCGAAGCCGACGTATACAGAGCTCCGGCATCTGAGCTCCAGCTGATTGGCAATGGCTACGGAGATGGCCAGTTCTTCCACACGTGTCCATCATGCGGCCAACAAAACTACAAAGAGTTGCTCCCAGTGACACGGTTTATCCACGATGTCGATTTGTTGCTCCGATACTCGGTGCCAATGCCCGGGACAATCCTTACGCCGTTCCTCGGCACCCCCGGACTGAGCGACACAGAGTCAGGATCACAAAGCTTTTCCAAGGTATTTCCTAATCGAATGTTGGCTAGACACGAAGAACTACGTAATGCGGTTTGCAATCTTTTGCGTCCACTAAGTGCCACAGCGAACCGTGGGCGTCTCGGCATGGAGACGATCAAGCAACTGATCGAGCGCATAACGACGAACCCAGCAGAACTCTGCAAGATCGATGGCGTGCCTTTTACGCGAGACTACAAGAGTCTCCCTAGAACTGCGCAGCTAGCGACACGCCAAATGATGAGCCGCTACTGGGGCAACTTGTCGATCTTTGCCCTGGATCTATGTGGCGCCGTGATGCGCCAAGGAAGCTTCATCGAGAAAATGGTGCGGCTCGACTGGCTGCACAGCCCGTCAGGCCAACATACTGCGAACCGCATTATTATCAAGTACGGTAGATTCCTGCAGGTTATGAAAAGGTTCCCCAGAATACTGGCCGTTCCGACTCTGGACGTGGACCTGGCCTGGCACACGCACCAGCTTAACCCTGGCCATTACTATCTATACACGCTGAGGGAAGTGGGAAAGTTTATCAACCACGATGACAAGGTCGGAGAGACCAAGCTAAGTGAGGCATTTGCGAGGACTAGCCGGATATATCAGACCCTCTTTCGCGAGGCGTATAATGAGTGTACCTGCTGGTACTGCGAAGGTAAAGGCATCTCCAGCCCCCAATGGTCCTAACAGGCTTACATTGTCCCATGAGTGAAGATATTACCCGAGATTGTTAAATTCTACTACTAACACGTTCTATAGCGACCCGACCTTTCCAGGAATCCGGAATCCGACGTGTACTAGGGTTGTTTGGCAAGGCAAACGGAGCCGGCTCGGTTCCCGGAAGCACATCAACTGCAGGTCAGCCACCACTTACATCGCCGCATATATCTGCGCACATATCTGCCCATAATGCCGTTCAGATTTCAGACAGCAGTCGTTCAACAGTGCGAGCGGCTGCGCGCGCCCGCCATCAGCAGCAATTAGACGAGAGCTACCGTAGGGCAAAGAACCGGGCAGCGAAAAAGGGCCGCCAGCTGCCGCCACAGGGTGAGTATTATAACCACTGGGGTTATTCATACTACGGTGAGTACATACGCAGAATAAAACGTCTTTGTTGTGATACTGATTGACGATCCTGACAGTGTACGGCCCCTTTGTACACCCTACCTATCTGTGCCCGGCCATGTATAACGGCTCAGACCCGTGTACTCTAACGACTGACTCGGCCAATTGCGCCGCCGGGACTTGCACGGCCGGATTTCTTTCACAAGGAGGGTGCTCGAGAGGCTCAGGCGTAAGTTGCGATCATATCGTGTAACGATGTTTACATGGAGGGGATATACTAACATAGGTATCATAGGGATCTGGAGGTGGCAGCAGTTGCGGAGGAGGAGGAGGAGGTAGCGTATGTGGCGGGGGAGGGAACTGTGGTGGAGGAGGAGGATGTGGTGGCGGAGGGGGTGGTGGAGGAGGAGACGGAGGCTCGTAATGGGTAAAGCGGAAGTGATAGCTTGGTTAAGAGAATTCTGGTTATGGATCTCGCCATTTTGACATGGCCGTGTAAGTGACTAGCTCACTATAGTATGATTCGGGGAATAACATGTCCGCGAATTCCTTCTAATCGCCCTTGGCGGGACGCTCGAAAAACTTGACAAGCTCCCAATATTCAAGATACCATCTGCTCTCTTCCCAGTCAATAATAACAGAGATCTTAGCGTCTTGAATAAGAATATTTCTTGGTGTTAGACCTCCATGAGTGAGATCGATCCGATGGTCTGTTTGTAGCTGAGCCCGGAACGCAGCACGCAGTCGAGACGGAATCTGTCGCTAAAGCGAGGAATCCAAGTAATTATTGAATTCTTCTTCATTAGTACAAACCGGTCCATGGTACGTGAAGCGGATTCGAGTGTCCCGGATTCCACTGTTGTCGCAGCAGCCAATGTAGTTTGGTGGAGGCTCGAGCTCCCGCATTTGTTGGATTATATGGCCAAGTTGCTCGGCAATATTCTTCTTTTAATCGGCAGACATGTCTGGCCATAGTTTTTCAAGGGCTTCCCCTTGACAATAGCCCATACATATTCTCACTTCTCTATCGCTGCTGATCACGTCGTCTACAAGAGGAACGGGAAGTCCTCCCTTGTGCGCGACCTTGAGAGCCGCAGCCTCCCCAGAAATTACATGCGCGCCGCATTTGACAACAGTGCTGTTTGACTCAAGTATAACCTTACGCTTTGGACTCTTATGCAAAATCGTGACACCTGAAAGGAGTGGGATAAAAAGAAACCTGGGACTGACCATGTTGGGCAAACTGACCTGGCTCAAGGTCAACTTCAGATTGACTTGCATCTGAAAGACTAGCCTCGGTAGCATTTGATGTCTGAATTTTCCTAGACATGAGCAAAATTAAATTACGCATAATGAAAATAATATACAACACGTAACGGAGTTTTAGTGGAGGGTGAACTTCCGGAAGAGAAGGGTTAATCAAGGTAGCTGGATACAAGTGTCTCTTTGTCTTCGTGAAGATCGGATCGTGTGACTGGCCGCACGCCGTGCGGGGATAAGGCTATGGTAGAATATTAGCTTAGGAGCAAAACTCTTCGAGAATAGATACAAGATATGGAGAAGGAAGACGCAAGTGTAAGGTTTCAAATTTTAAAAGGACATATCAAAGTATTTTACTATACCAATATTAAAGTAGAAGATATCTAGTTATTACATTAGGATAGAAATGCGTCGTTTAGGTATACTATAATCTATTTGGTCGTTTCCAGACAAAACCGTATAATTCCACTGTTCCTCTCACCACATATGTGGCTTTACTGATGTATATGAATGTAAATAGAAGAGGCTTCTGGATCCCGGTCAGTTCCTATCAACGGGTACAGCACATAGTCAAAAAGAGAAGAAAGCGGACGAGCCGGCTAGCAAAAACGGAGAAACTGCCATGGTTTATTTAGTAATTAAGCTTAGCAAATATAGAGGGCCACAATAATTGAAAGATAAACAACTCCCTAGAACGGAAGGTAAATTTAAGTCAGGAGCTAAGCTTTACAGCCCATTCTTGGCAGTCCCGCACAATATTGGCTCGAAAGTTCGAGACTCCTATATTCGCTATAGCTAAACGATATGCCGGCCGTGGTAATAAAATATGCCGATTCCATATTTGTGTATATTGCCGACGAGCTAGAGCTAAACTGGTAAGCTGTGAATGGATGGAGGTTAACCGACGTTGGGCTGGGTTGGGTTGGGGCAGGCGAAACACCAGCGAGCAGACTAATGTCAAGACTACTGTCGTCCTATGGCTGCATTAAAACGACTCAACAAGGTGTGCCGCATCGGTCGCCAATCTAAAGTTAGTTTTAACCTTGAGGGCCTGGCCTGGTGTATATAAATCGCCAGCGTAGTCCCTTCGGTCAGACACACTCGGAATGAAGATCCTGATCGTCTACGAATTGCAACTGGTTCTTCGTCTTCTTCTTTATTTGCAAGGCTTGCCTCGCAAAATCCAACTGAAACACAGTACCTCCCTTATTCGGTGCCAATTTCTGGCGTCTCTTAGGCATTCCAGTCCTCGCTGCGCCTATGCAGCCGACCAATTGTTTAATCCGATTCTTTCACGGCTCGAAGAAATCCTCCCCCACGCCAAGCAGAATCTGACACAGACTCCCCCGCCGTTGTAACAACTATGCCGACTGTCTACCCCGGATTAGGCAGGTTGGGGGCAACTGTAATTATCGCGTGAGCCGTGCTTCTTGGCAGCGCAATGCAAACTGGAGAAAGTCACAATCTGACAGCCGTCATCTACGTGGAGATGACAGAATAGCTTCCCCGCGACGCAGACCAAATGCCATGTGAGCGTGCACCAAACAAAGACCAGGCTCAGATGCTGAACGGACGGCAATGGAATCACCGAAATGCGACCAGTGCGCTTTTCGCAAGATTCTTCATTGCAGCTCATTAGATCTGCTACGATTCATACATTACCAGACGCCAGTATCCCTCACAATGGCGCCTTGTTAACTACCGCAACATTTCTTCATACCCGAAGATGTATTTCAGGGCGGAGACCATCTCCAGACAGACCTCCTTCGCTTAGAGGCTTAGACGACCAGCTTCCTAATCCGACAGGTGCTAAGATTTCTACAGGAGAAGCTTCAAACGCAGAGGCAGCCAGCACCAATATAACTGGACGTAACTATAGAGAGGCCGCGGCGTAAGACTCAAGAGCTCAAGTATAAAGCGGCAGAAGCATCCCAACTGTCTTCACTTTTTGCTACCTCTACAATCAATTCACCCCCTACACAAATCATTTATACCTCAATACCCTCAATTTTACCATGAAGCCCGTCCTCCTCGCAAGTCTGCTTGCCGGCACCGCCATGGGTGCTGCCCCTCTCGGCGAACCTTTTGGCTGTGGTACGCGTGATTTGAACAATGAAGAGCGTGCCAATCACCAGGAGGCCCAAGCTGTTGAGATAGCCGCTGCCTCTGCCGGTCTCGCTGCCCGAGACAACCTCATCATTAACACATACGTCAACATTGTTGCCTCGACCGATGCCAAGGCCAAGGCCATCACTGTAAGCACTTACACCCGCTCATGTACCTACGAAAGCTTTATGCTAATTGAGTTCGCTACAGGACGCAACTATTGCTAGCCAAATGCAGGTTCTCAATGACAACTACGCCCCTAGCGGCATCAGCTTCACCCTCCAGAACACCACGCGAGTTGTCAATGCTACCTGGGCCGTTGACGGCGACAAGACTTACATGAAGAAGGTCTTGCACCGCGGCACTTACGCCGACCTTAACCTTTACTTCCTGGAAAGCCTTGGCAAGAACTTAGGCTACTGCTACTTCCCCGAGGCCAATGTTAAGACTGGCAGCACAATCTGGACGAGAGACGGCTGCACAATCCGCGCTGACACGCTCCCTGGCAACACCGGCCTCTACGGCCTAGGCAAGACTGCGACCCACGAAGTCGGACATTGGTTCGGCCTCGCTCATACTTTTGAGGGCGGTTGCATTGGGCCGGGCGACGAGATTGATGACACTCCCGCGCAGGCGAGCGCTTCCAGAGGATGCCCGGTTGGACGCGATTCCTGCCCGGACCAGCCTGGACTCGATCCAATTCACAACTACATGGACTACAGTGCCGACTCTTGCTACGAGGAGTTTTCTGCTGGGCAGCAGGATCGTATGCACAGCATGTTTAACCTTCTCCGAAAGGGCGTTTAAGTTGTAAGTATTAAATAGATATAAATAAGTACATAACAAGAATTTACATATAGTAAAATATTTAGATGTCAAAGAAAAACTTTATACAGTGTGAACGATAATGGAACTTAGCTGTGTTTGGCGAGGTCGGTCGCATCGTCAGTCGTTCAGAGAGCTTAGATGGAGAAATATGGTATTTTAAACCTGATCCGTATCATCGTAGTCCCTATTCCACCCATGCTTAGCGATGAGTTTAAAAATGGCAGGAAATATAATTATATAGATTATTTTTTTGTATCCACTTTAAGTAGTATCTATTTTTGGCCTTCTCTATGGCCACAAGCTCAACCTAGTCTTTGTCTGGCTTTACGCGGGATGTGTAGATGTTCCTGCTCCCAACATGGCCAGCACAAGTCCTATCTACCCCAATGCTAAAGAATTTTGATAACTATTACTTGACAAATTTTTAAAACATCTTGCAAGGGTATGCTTGGGAAGGCGGTGGTATCTGGCATTAATTTGCGGAAGCTGGGCCATATAAATGTACCTAAGACAAGCAAACATCTCCCCCTTCCTGTCGTTTTACCACCACCAACTTACACCATGATGATCTCGAAATACCCATTGCTCGCCTTGGCTACCGCCGGCTGGCTCGTAGAAGGGAAAATATGCAGCGACCAGAATAAGATAGCTGGGGTTATGAGCGAAATCAAAACCATTCGTTCTCACAGCGTGGCCGATGCAGAGGCGATCCCCTACGCACCCGAAGCGTATAGAGTCTTCACCATCACGTAAGTAGATACTAGACTGGCTGAAAGCAATACTTTATAGTCGCTAAATCGTTTCATGACAGCCCCAATGAGACAAAGCCAGTTTCTGTCTTTGTTCCAGCTGGAGTTGATGCTCTGACGACGCGCGCAGTCCTGGTCTCGCTGGGCACCCTGTTAGAAGCCGGAGTCCCTCAAGGTTCCGACCACTACAGTGTAAATCCGAATGGAACGGTCACGGTCGATTATATTCAAACCGACGGTATTGCTCTGCAAAAGGTGGACGTGCGTGAGATTCATAGCTTCAACAGTGACTGTCAGATCACTGGCATCACGGGCTACGTGCGTGGCAATGTGGAGGCCTTCCTAGGAGATTTGAATATTCCAAAGCTCTTTAGTGAAGCAAAAGCGAGTGCATAGTGTATTCTGGTAATTTTTATTTTGCTGGGCTACATGTGTAATAGGCCTCCAGGACATTTGTGTAGATAAGATAGAATACAAAGCATGCCATGCACTTTTTCTCCTCTACAGCATTCGGTTAACCTTGGTATGGACTCGCTTATCGTCCTCATCCTCCGCGTCTTCGCCTTCCCCATCTTCCTCCTCATTTTCCTCATCCCCCTCGCCCTCATCATAATCCTCATTAAAATCATCTTCATCATCAGCTTCCCACGAACTATCCCCTCTCTCCTCACATTTCACCATCAATCCCTCCACAATAGCAAACGCCTCCTGTCGGCGAAATGCCTGCGGCCAGCCATGTTCGCGATATACTTGCCTGATATACTGAATGTCCAAATTCGTTCCCCATTCTTCTTTCTGACTCAGGACATTCTCCTCTGTAATAGCGGCTGAGCTCTCGGGGACATCCTCCGAGCACAACGTGAGGTACCGGTGACAGGGAATCAGGCGCAAGCTGCGATATTCTTCCTTCAGGTCGTCAAAGTACTCCCGGATATCTTTTTGGTCCACATGCTGCACTCTAATAATATCCTCAATGATTTCGCCGCCCTTGACATTGTGAACAATTTCGCGACCGCCGCTTTCATGCCCAAAGGCCAGGTAGATAAAGTAGCGTTTCTGCTGCCCACCCTGACTGTTGTAAAAGTCAAAATCTTCAGACTTCCAGTCTATTGTTTCTTTTATATCGCCAAGATCTTCCGTTGCATAGTTAACCAGTCAGGACTTGTAATGAACGGAGGGTCCGCGCGTAAAATAGGGAAGCTTGCTCAGGACTTGCGTGGCCCAGTCGTGTCGCCAGCGCCCAATTGTGGTGCTGGTTATCTGCGGCCATCCCTGAAGGGGAGGATATTTGAGACCATCAGGATTGAAATGAAGCGTAGTGAGAAACTCGTAGAAGTCGGAGATGATGGCCACGAGCTTGTCGAGCTTATACTTGGGCTGTGATCGCATGACGGCTGCGAGACTGCTGCTGCTGCTGCTGCTGGCCCTTATGGTTATAATTGAAAAAGGAAATGAGAAGGTTACATGGAAGCTGCAGTTAGTATGAGAATAGCTATAAGCTTCTTTTTAAAATTACTTTCTTGGCCCAAGACTGCCAAGTGACAAACGCGCGTTGCCCAGTCTTGGCCAGCATGTGGCTATGGAGGGTGATCCTGACTTGTACCAGAATTTGCACTCTACCATCCACTACGATGAAAAAACATGTAAGAAGTGGAGAATTCCTACTTTGATATAAAGGAGAGAATTAAAACAAGTACTTCATATACTGACTGCCTAATGTCTAGTTTTGCCTTACGCTCCATTACTAGTCTTGGAAGAAAGATCAAGTCTATTTACAATGGTTAAATTATCGCCTTGGAGCGTTCTCTTGCACTCTACCACCGCACTGGCTGCTATTCAGGATCTCTTGCTCCCTACACAGTCTCCCACCGGACCAAAAGACGCCTGGCAATGTACTACGGAGCAGCCTCAGCAGTATTTCAATGTTCCCAAGCCTGCTGGTGCGCTGTTAAGCGCGTTAGTGTCTTATAACCGGGATCTTATCTGTTGGTTTAAGGGTAAATAACACGTGTTATTAAAAGGTAAAAGGTTGTGGTAGAAAATCGTTGTTCTCTTCTAGTTCCATGGTCGGAACTGCTCTAGTTAAATACAGCGAATACATCCTGTATTCACTTCCTTTTCCTGTGTTTTCCTTAGCCACTTCCAGTGACTTAACTATTCCTTCACTCCTCCAGCAAAGTAACACACGTCCAATGTCACAATAGTCACAACATTATCAAAGACTGCGCCGCTTCCACCACATCTACGGCTATCCGGCCTGCGACTTTCCTGCCCCGTCCCAGTGGTGCGCTTTTTCTAAGGTAGCCCCTACCGCGGTGCAAACCGATTTCTCTGCTTATTCTAGCACCGCTTCTTCGTGGTGGGCGGCTCGCAGCTCCAGCGCCGTGGAACTCGCGGAGGAGTGCCCTCATCAGTGGTTCAAGGCCATGCTCGGAGTGACTGGTGGCGCAGCTTGGCGCAACCAGACCTTGATCTTGGGCCAATGCTATGCTGACGCCAATCCAACGGGTGGCGGCCCGTTTCTCCCGGCTTCCACTACACAGACACAACCGGCGGCCTCTACTAGGCCTGGGACTTCACGAACCTCCACAATGCCAACCGAGACTGCTGCTGCCAACGGCGTACGTGGCCGAGGGGGGACTGTCGGCGTTTGGATGATGGTCATTACCACGATTGTGGCAGCTGGCAGCTCTATTATGTGAGGGGAGATAGCTTACGAAAGCTATATCCCTTCCGGCTATAGAATAGAGGCTGGCGCTAGAGTATTCCATGGTGCTAATTACCACAAGGAGAAGATTGTCAACTTGTCGTGAGCGTAAACCACGGATGGATAAGGTAGAGTAATAAGAGTAGTGCGTCCCATAAAAATTTATATAAAATGGATTATTTTAAATAGTATTACCACATTATAGAACGCAAGCTGTCGCCTATCTTGAGTATGGTTAGGGTAGCTACGGTCACCATCATCGCGTACCGAAGCTTGACTAAATTTTTGAAATTGGTTCCTCGGAGGAAAATTTCGGAAACAATCGAATTGTCTCCTCCCACTCATTCTCTGACACGAGCGGTGATGTTACAAAGTCTTTTGCACCAGTCTTCTCCAAGAGGGGCCTCATTTGCGGCAGAAGCTTCTCAAACGCGTCTGTTTCCTTGTCATAAATATCATGTCGCGAGAAGCTCATATTTTCCATGTACCAAGCGGGATCCTCAGCAATACTTATGCGCTCGAATGCATACAGAACGTCTGGAGAGACAGTTGACGGGTGTGCCTGGCAAGCCTCAAGGGCCATGCGCTGGCCCATAGAGACTATGAGAGCACGGCATTTCGGTAGGCCGTGAGTGCTAAAGGTACTTTCTGGGTTTGCTGAAGAATGCGTCAATGCAAATAACGCTTCGAGGTCAGAAAGCAAACCAGCTTCATGCTGCGCGAGTGGCGAATCGGGGGTAATGGCGCTGGGCAGTGCATATCGCTTCAAGAGGAGCTCGTAGGCCAATCCTGTAAATAATTAGCAATGTGCGACAGCACTGTAAACTATAAAAAAAGCTTACGCAAGGACAGAACGTGAACGTCACCCTCGGCAACTGCGTTGGCCGAGTATGATAAATATAAGTCCGCAAGCTGTGCATACGGATAGAACCCACGCCAGCCGCAGCGTTGCGCTAACTCAGGCATGATTTTAAATAAATGCGTAGTTGTTGCTTTGAATACGATGGCCAGGCCACGCCGGACCAGTATATCCAACTCTGGATTGCTGAAGAGAGGCGTGACCCAATTTGCATATGCATCAAGGACTTCGCCGGCCACTAGTGCCCGCAGTACTGGCCTATATTGCGTGCTAATGGAGAGGATCGGTACACGCCCTCGTCCGGCCTGCTCAACAAGTCGCCGCATGCTGTAAGTACCAGCGACGTAAGCAGCTACCTTCAGACAAGCAATGTTGCCGAGGGACAGTGCGATAGCTCCAACCGAGACGCGCCATAGCTGTTGTTGCAATTCAAGGCCCGGATCAACAGCCCTGTTGGTAGAGCCGAGAAGGGCTGAAGGCGGTAGGCGAACATGATGAAAGGAGGTGAGGCAGTGGTCCAGTGGTGTTGTGCCAGGCCGGACCGGAAGCATCCATGCCGTGACCCCCGGCTCCATGCCCTTTGTTGAGGCTATCGGTACAAGAAAGAGTTTAAGGCCTCTATCCTCGTCGGCGACCTTTAACCTGGCCACTACAATTGCGATTCTAGGCGTGGAAGAGAGTGGTGCTGTGGGCGGCATGGCTTTCGCACCGGTTGGATGAGGGGTATGGAGATTGTAAGAGCCGTCAGGCAGAAGAGTCGCAACTGTTTCCATGTTTGTGACGTCGAGGCCATGCCCAAATTCAGTGAGCAGAAATGAAGCGCAAATTCGAAATGCCATTAAGTCGTCGAGGAGGGGCATCAAGTCGGGGCGTAAGGCTGCTAGGGGGGCAATTGTTCCGACACACAGGTTTAGATGGATCTGTGCAACCATAAGTGCGGAGATATCGCGAGTAATATTCACTAATGAAAGTGAGATTAGTGTACAATAGAATAGTCAAAGTGTGCGAGCTTACAGTTACGATGAAAGTCCCAGAACTTGGGGGTCAAATTGACAATGTCGTCAATAGTGAGGCCTAACCATATACGTCATATATATATATGAGCTTCGAAATATTAAATCCAGTAAGATATTTTGAAGAGTTTTCGTACCTGAGGCAAAATGTAGGGATTTAGCTCTCGCATAAGCTATCTCGTAAGTCTCTGGAGCGGCGTGGTACGCTTGCTGCGGTTTGTACGCCCATTCTTCACCTTTCAGCGCTGACATTTTGCAGTTATTTTTGGGGGTCAAGTTTGGACAAGAAGAGAAATCCCTATCATTCTAAGAGAACAGCGGGAGAGAGTTTTGTCACACCTAGCTATGTGTAGTATATAAGGGTGGGTTTGTAGGGCTACAGGGGCCTATCCAGAGGCTGCAGTCCACCCTCTTGCATAACCCTCACTCAATATTTTGTCTGAGACACACCGCTTCTTGATCCTTGGCAACTGCAGTGATCTTTGCATGGATAATTGTAAATATATAGTAGAGCTAATCCAACATCCTAGACGGTCAAAAGACCTAGGACAACCGAAAGAGCGTGAACAAAATACACTACAATATCCACGTGGTTGAATAGCGAGTCACGCACTTGATGTTACGAATTGGACACCTACCAGGGAGCTAGCCGAGGCCAACTTAACCAATAGACCCACCCCTCCCTTAAGGGATTATTGCAATTCCTCTGTATTGTAGCTCCTTGAGCGACGTCTTGTCAATCACCCTGCCTGTGTTACAGAGACTAGCATAATAGAATAGACTGTTTTGCCGTTTCGAACCGCACCTCTCTAAACACGTGGGAGAAAGTTTGATTTTTGAATTGGCAACTTACTATGATGATAGTAGCCAACATGTCTCATTAGTGCAACCTACGTGAATTAGCGGGTTGTTTGATAGTCGTATTTGCTATTGCTAAATCTATAGTGTTGGGAGCGCGAAAGCTATTGATCGCGGGTGGTTTGAACGAGTACCCTTACGCACTAGTACTTAAAGTGTTCGTAAGGAAAGCAATGGGCATAATAAACACACTAAATCACAAAGAGATAAGCAAGTATATAAACCCCCTGGATAGCCTATCTAGAGTAGCTTAAATCTTTAGTTATCAATCCAAGCAATTATTTAAAGGTGAGCAACAAAATCATCTTTAGTAGAAATATGATATTAAAGTATCATTGTTCTAATTCTGAGCGTCCATTCTCGTTTTCAAAGAAATTGCCAACTCCCGAATCTCTTCAGCCAACTCCAAATCATCCGGACCAAACTTTAGCTCTTCTGCAATGAAAACCATTTGACTCTTTAATTCATCCCAGCCTTTTAGAGACCAAACGCCGCAACGGTCGTCTTCATCTTGACCGCCTTCCTTGCAATGCTCGTAGAACAGACGGCAGGCCTCATCCGTCTCCAGCCAGTACGCTCCCGCGATCAGCTCGCCGGCGATACGCCTTGGGCCGCCCTGGACGCGCTCTTTTAGATTGGGATAACGAAGTGACGATGGAAGTACATCATGCAGCGCATACGAGGTGTAGCACCCGACTACGTCTATTAGACGGGCGATGAAGGACTGGAAGTTTCTCCAGCGGAGTTGCGTCTCCGACCCCATAGTCTCTACATCAGAGTACTCCCAGTTTAACTCTGGAGAATACAGTTAGCGGTTGTAGTCTTGCGTACATCTAGTCAGAATGTGTAGAATGTGTACTCACCCTTGGCTTCATCGTAAAAGGCTTCGGCGATAATGCTATAGCACTTCCAAATTTGTGATACAATAGGAAACTGCGTATCTTCATCCTCGTAATCATTAGCGTAACGGTGCAGATTCTGATCTGGCAAAGTGACTAATGCCTTGATGAAGTGGATCAAAAAATCATGAACGATGTGCTTCGGGGGATACACCGAGCACACCGTGGCAATGCATCCCATGGTAAAGGCAACATCAACTAAAGGATTGGGACCATCGTTCCAGGCATCTTCTATGTCTTAAGGTTTCTTGTCCTTGACTTCGAGCCATTTCTTCTCAGCCTTGGAAGAGATGTATGCGGTTAGTTCAACGGCAGCTTCCGAATAGAGCCTTGAGCCGTTGATGATAGGTTCAAGAATTGGTTTAATGGCAATATCTCGATCATCATCATCATCGTTGTAGAGACGAAGGTCAAAAGATGGCAGGAATTCGGCGTCCATTCCGGTAACTCTTTCTGAGATTGATTCTTTGATTCTTTGATCTTTGATGATAATAATGGAGCGGATGCGAGAGGAGAAACTTGCTAGTCGGAATACTTATTCGATATGCTTTTGTCTTTCAAGGACGAGATGTCGATGCGCTACGCGTTATCCGCGTGGATTTGTGGAGAATAAAATCCTGTAATAGCTTATAGCGTTATTGCCCCTATAATTTACACGTGTTTTCTTTCAACGTTTCACTCTGTTGCCTTGAGGAGTAAAAAAATAAAGTGATGGTGTTGGTCGCGAAAGGCCAGAGTGGCCGCGCACGGAGATGAGGCGTGTCAGGATAAGGCTTAAGCACTGCGATCAGACATCCGCTGACACAAGATAATGGTGCGTTGAATTTTAAGCGTACTGCATTGGATTGCGCAAATAGTAAAAATAAGATCAACCATTATGAAATTAAAATGTGTTTTTGTTGTGACTATTGTGAACATTGGACGTGTGTTACTTTACCAGAGAAGTGAAGGAACAGTTAAGTCACTGGAAGTGGCCAAGGAAGGAGAAACAGGTGGAAGACACAGGAAAAGGAAGTGAATACAGGATGTATTCGGTGTATTTAGTTAGAGCAGTTCCGACCATGGAAATTGAAGAAAACAACGAATTTTACCACAACCTCTTACCTTTTGATAACACGTGTTATTAATCCTTGAACCAACAGTTTTTTTATATACTACACCTTCAACTGACGGAAGCGCACTGCTCTGGTGATGGATTTCCGTTTTATTTTCTCCGAAGGATTTGAGGCGTGCAGCATTAGCTAGCTATGGTATCAAAGAGATTTTGTTGCAGTTTTAAAGTATCAACACTATCATATCTAACATTCAAGGGAGTGCTGAATCCTGTACTCTTACATGTTAAGTCTCAGTTCTTTCACATCTCGGCGTTGCCTAATTCAGGCTGATCCTATGATTAATTGATTTATTATCAGTATCGTTATTCCTCGAGTTGATCGCTTCTCTGGCCGTGAATGACAACCTCAACTCATTCCAAATCTAGCGGCTCGATACTGCCTATCCGCTAAAATGAAGTTCCTCGGTACCGTCACCGCTCTGGCTGCGGTTAATCTTTCCGCTTTTGCTTCTCCCGTGGGCGAGATAGGCACTTCCATTGTTGAGCAGCGCGCCCCTGTAAGTTCCTTTATTGTCTTAGCAATAGATCTTGCCGCGCCTAACGCAGAATACCCCAGTTCGTAACTTGCAAACCAATAAATTTCTCAACAAACAAGGTTGATCTCCAGAAGGTGGATTTAGCTACGGCAGCATCTGAAGCTCGCCGAGCTGGCCTCGTCCCTGGCCTGAGTGGCGATCCTCATCGCTTCATGAACGGTGAGGGGATCAAATGGGGTGTGCGAAACTGCGATCTGAATGGTGCTATTCTTTTTGAATTTCCAATCTACAAAGTCGGCATTAAGAAGACTTGGCAGAAGGATGCCAAAACCAAAGGTCAAACACTCGCCGATATTCGCACCGTGTATGCGAATGTCAACGGCGGTATCGTGTTGTGTGGTGCGATGACGCATACTAAGATCAACATACCTATCGAGAAGCAAGGGGCGGCTCTACTACAAACATAGCACCTAGTATCTTCTTTTAGTTATATACTGAATTTGCTGACGAACTGGTACATACGACCATAGATACAGGAGAACTCGGGATCCCGTCCGCTCTCCCATAGATAAGCCTGTAATCGGCAGATTAGTAGTTGGGTCGGTGACGACCAGCGAACACCGGCTGTTGTATGTTTTCTTTTTTTATTTCTTTTTTGCTTCGTATTTGGATCATGGGTTGCTGTTATACATAATATACTTAGTGGTGTATCTCGATTTTGTGGCTGTAGGGTGCTGGGCCGCTCCAGGCGGCCGCATCCTGTGCTCGTATAATTAATAATTTTGCTTACAGCTGAAAAAGGAAAACCCTTGTTTATCATTGTCAATCACTCACCTTCACTTCCACAGATGCCAATTGACGCATCAACATCGACATCATGAGTCTAATGAGTGTTTCCGTTCCTGCTGGAGTCATCCATGGGCGCTTGAGGTATCCGAAAACACGTATATATTCTAGACTTTACAGCTACTCTTGTTTTACCTATTGATGCACATAGCTGTTGTTTAGCATGATATATTACATACTAAATGAGTACAAGTTTTGACAATCTTTTGTACTAATCTGATTCAAATGGACAGTCTGTAGTACAAATATACTCTGTAGCTACACTGTCTAGCTACGTATATTTTTTAGCTACATCTATTGACAAACTTGATAACCTTTCTACCAGTAACACTTCTTTCCAACTCATCTCCGTCTGTTACAAAAACCAACTTGAATTTGTGTTCGTTTGTCTCCACGGCATGGACAAACGTCTTTACTCTGGCAGCAAGCTCCTCGCGAAGTTGGCTACTTGCCGAGCTCAGGAGACGTATCTCAAGCGAAGATTCGCATCCACCGGTTTTTGCGTTGTCGAGAATAACTTGCCAGTGCAGCAGAGAATACTTGGGCTCATTCATAATGGCGGACAAGTCTTCAAAATCTAAATACTCTCCGTCCCAGTCAAAACTAAACCTCTTGTCACGGCCTTCTAGACGCACAACTTGGAGATGAGGCCATTCAGACGCGGGAATCAAGCGCCGTGCCGCTTCTGGTAGTGGGTGTAGAGACCCAATATCACCAGTTACATAGCGCACAAGCGGATTACGCAGGCGAGCAAGGGATGTCTGCACAATGATGCCGCGCTCGCCTTGCAACAAAGGCGTCAGGCCCTCCGGGTCTTCTAATGCAGCAGACAGAGGGAACACTTGCAGCAACATACTTCTCTTGTCGTAGATGAAGTCAGCGGCACTCTCTGTGACTTCGCCAGTGACGTCTGGGTTGCAAACAGCCCATGGACCGGCTTCTGCACTAGCCAGGAACGAGCATATCTTGATGTCTCCAAGTATAGCTTTGATAAACCCTCTCTGCGATATTGTTAGGACTTCCGAAGTATAGATAATCTTGTTCAATTTGAGCTTGGCGCGGTCCGGATGTGTGGAGATGAAACCTGCTAGATACACCATCTGGCTACTGTCTCCCGTCAAGATGTTGACATTGTATTTGATAAGCAGCTTCACAATATCGTCAGGGTGCATTCGATTGGCAGCGCCAAGCACACATGCGCCAGCATTTTCCAAAACCTCCAGCGTTAGATCTAGGGATCGATAAAGTTCGCCCGCCGCATGTACGGTGAGGGCCCAATCACCGTGTCTAATAATACCGCAAGTTTTTATTAGTCTGCCGAATTGTTTTCTTTGGTTTCTATTTTCGTCGGCATCCGTTGCGAAGAAGAGCGGCTTTGAACCAAATCCGCCGCCAGTGATACTAGCGTACATGGCGTGCCGGTAGGTGTTTTCTGGCCGTACATCATTTACAAGTCGTGCAATGGTGTTGTAGCTGGAATTGTTAGCCCTTTCGGTATTTGGAAGCTGGAAATATACTTACAGGGTTTTCTTCCGAAGCAGTGGCCATTCTGCAATATCAGACGCATGTGCTGCTTCCTTCTTGACATATTCCCGGAGAGCATCTTTACCAAGAGGATATTGTATGCTGTCGTTGAAGAATGGGTGTACTTTGGCAACAGAGAGAACATTTTGAAGGGAATACAGCGAGTAATCCATCTTGATGCAGCGAAAACGGAAGTTTGGTACGTCAATACAAGCAGATTCTATCTCTGGTTCTCACAGGTCCTCGACAGGTCCTCGATTCTCATACACAAGGAAATTAATTGCTATGAAGACTCGGGCTTACGTATTGGCAAACTAGAATATAGATTAACACATTGCATGCTGCTTCCAAAGCGTAGCTGCAAGCCCGGCATATGCTTCGCCACGTCATTAAGCCCCCACTGAGAGCAGTAAATCTAACCTCATCCTACTGACGGCTATCTTGAGGTGGTACATGCAGAATGGTGTGAAAAAGATGCTGTATGGAATCAAAGTATTGCTTCAGGGCTATCTTCTACATCCACAGAAATAGACTGCCAATTACAAAAAAAAAACACAAAATCTCTGTATAAATAGCCCTGTTACCATACTTTTTGCTTCTCTTTTTTTTCACCAAACTGGAGCGGCATCCCAGCGCACACGGCGCAGATGGCGCTGCGGATCCGTCACTGTATTACGCGCATGTAGCCACCTGCGGTTATCAATCAAAATAATGCTGTGCGAGGGCAGCCTGCCCGCTGTCAAGTGGATAGCGGCATCTGCGGCCTTGTATTTCAGCTGCTCCTGCAGATCCTCCAAGGCCCGGGCCGCTGTGGCGTTGAGGGGCGTTATAATATCTGCTCGGAATCTCATCATCACTACACCGACTTTTATTGCGGACCGCAGTAGCAGCGGCTTGTCAATGTGCCGGCACTCAGCATTCTTGAGAAACTCCGCCGGGATGCGTATGCGGTAGTCGGGCAGCATCAACTGCGCAACTGTGGCATCATCGAGACATTCAACGAGACGATGCACAGGCACCACGGACAACGTGCCACCACCAAAGCGGTCCGCCGCAAGAACGTGCAGCGCAAAGTATCGCGGCGGCGGGTCTTCGTAGCTGCAGTCTGTGTGCCACGGAAAATCTTCCATCGTCTCGGACCGAGCTTGCTGGCTGCCTTGGAAGTCCGCCTCTGCTGGCCGCACGTCCCAGAACCAGCCGCGGGTTGCGCTGTGCGAGATGGGAAGCCGGTGGTTGTGAAATTTGTGCAGACTGGCCAGGAGACGCTCGAGATAACTGCTGGTGGGGTCTTGGAAGCCGAGATTGATCTTGAGAATGCCCTCTGCCTCTAGCTGCGCGGCAATGGCCCCGACATGCCCGCGATCTCCAGCGAGCCCAACCTGGCTAGCGTTGATCTGGGGCACAGCGACATGTGCCCTAGTGAAGCTTAGCGTGCGAATCGGAAATAGGCACGGGGACAAGCTTGGGCGGCCGGCCAACGGTGCTGTGACTGTACGTAGCGGTTGAGAAGCAAGTCTATCAGTAGTCAGTATATAACTATCTCTCTTTGTATGGCTATGATTATATTGCGTACTTTTGTATTCTGTGACAAATCATAGTTGGTCGAGTGTACTACAAAGACATTCTCCCATTCTGCGAGAAACTGGGCGCATTATACATTGCTCATATGTCTATTAGCTGGGCTTGATGGGGACAAGACCTGGCATATGCATATTTGCGCCGCAGATACCAGATGCATGTCTTGGTGCTATAGACGCATCTAAATAAAGAACCAATATATTCTCTTTTTCTTTGTCCCTCAGCATGAAAAAATACGTAGCTTGCTGCACGTCAATGCGGATCTGTATACAGCAGCGAACAAAGATTCAATTCAATCTGGCAGAATTTTCTACTCAGCTGCAAGCCTCAAAATTTCTCTGTCGCAGCTCCATAAAAGCATCGTCAGCTTTAGGTTGTTGTCTCCTGCAGGATGAGGAGATATCAAAGCAGCCCGTGCCTGCAGCCACTTCAGCAAGCACGAATTGCAGTAGGCTTCATTACGGAGCAAAACCAGGCACCTCCGCTGCTCACTGCGCAGATACGCTCACTGCTGCTTCTCCAGGTACCGAGGCCGAGATATTTGCCGTGGACCGTATGGTACGTGCCCACGATGGGATACCGCTGTTGATTGTCTGATTGCCTGAGTATTAGACTGTACAAAGTCTGCTTCACGCAGCGTTGAACAACCATACTAGACCCATGCACAAGGCTCGGGTTTTGCAGCTGCTGCAGTGCTACAAGCCATTCTGCACGAGTAATATCCTCGCAGAACACAATACCGGCTCCCTTGCCGCCGCGGACCGGCTTGAGAAGAAAGTCGTTTTTCTGGTCTAGCAAAGACGGAAGCAGCGAAGTCTGCATCAGCTCATGCAGATCCGGCGAGCCAGCGAGATACGTGTCTGCAATTCCCTTGTCGAGAGCTACCGCCTGCGCTGGGGACAACACCTGTCGGCTCACCAACAGCGCCAATTCCTGCTTAATGATGCCGAGCATGCGTTTGTCGTGGACTAACAGAATGGTCCTCATGTCGTTGAAGCATCGCAGGCTGACTTGCTGTAAAATGGCAGGATCCAATGCAGCCAGCTCTCGCTGGTGCAGTTCCAGACCAACCCGGTGGATCTCTTCAACAATTTCTCCTTGGGCAGTGGTAAATGTCGGTCCTGTTGCGTTTGGCTGGTCCGCTAGACAGCCCAGCTTTGTTCTACCGGGTTGTTGAGGGTCAGAAAATAGCCGGAGGTCTGCTGGAGTGATCAGCCGAGGGCTGAAACCTAGTCGCTTTCGCACGGCATGGATAAACATGGTGATGTCGATGCCTTTCTCGTCGCCCTTGAGCAAGTGAAGAGGCAGTTTATGATCAAATAGATCAAGCAAGCCTTCAAAGAACTACTGTGAGCGTTAGAACCATACCAAGTACAAGTACGAGTTTTGGGTTACTGTACCTGCTCCCCATCTGCTGCGCCGATAAGCCCAGCCCGCGTCATGCCCATTTTCTCAAGCGCTGTCTGGCCGTAGTATCCATGCATAAACCCATTAAAGCAAAAACGGGCATTGATCTCGCTAAGTCGAAAGTTTTCATGACCGCCATCGGTATCTTCAACGAGGAAATCCGGCCGCCACGATCCCATCTGCAATGGCGAGTAAGGAGCCAAGGTCCCCAGAGATACCTGTTCATCCAACCACTGCGAAAAGACGTGATTAGTTTATAAAACTCTTCAACCCAAGACGGGACATACTTGTAGCAACCCCTCTTCCTCTGGTTCTAAAGGCATGCGCCCAGGAAAGTTGGCATCCTTGTCAGATAACCAGCGCCGGACAATGTCGGTAATTGCTATGATGAGTGCCTCGTGAAATTCCACTAGCTGCTTATCGTGCTCTTGGTCGATTAGCATTGGTCGGGGACATCCGTAAGTGTATGAATGGCCTGGCCACACGCTAGCTGGGCATTGTTCCAGAAGAATAGCTTCGTAGGCGGTGTGCTCCAGCTTGCAGAGAGTGCTTTTTGTAGTAGCAGTGCGTTCAGTGAGTAAGTAGTCAGATAGACCGAGTCCCAGGTGAACCTGTTGCATTCTAGGAGTGGACGTCATAGTGTACTGCGTTGCAACAAAGCATATGTAGCCAGCATGTAGGATGTAGGCTTGACAGCTATAGCGTGCCCTTTATAACAAAACGCCACGTCCACTATGTTTGCTCGTTTACAGCCCTCAGCAGCTACATCATTCGATCCACAGCCCCAAAACTGTTCTTGTTGATGTAACAGCCCCACGAGAACAATATTCACTAATGCCGACCTAATAGTATCTCATGCCACATCGAGCTCCAACATTGGCATGGCGAATTGGTAGGTTTTGGGAGTAAGTATCAGTGATTACACTAGAGTGCCTTTTGCTCAATACGCTCAAGTCATATAATTTACATTACCCAAATATAAATAATGATTTCATCCGATTCTCAATTGGCTTGGAGACTGTACTTGTAAGCTACTTTATTTACTATACAGCATGTCTGTAATACCACCATCCCTGTTAACATAGGCAACATTGACATTGCTTGCGACACGGCTAATAGCTGTTAAACCATAATTGTATGCAGCGCTATTAGCGTTTGTGAGGGGCTAACACCTCCAACCATAACCATCCAAAAATCGACATCCCTAGGTAGATTCGTCGTTGCCATAATACTAAGCTTCTATTATATTAGGGTTACGAGAAAGAGTAGTGATAATTCTAGTACTCTCGATACTATTAGGGCTTGCTATTATAAAAGACGTCCAATTCGAGCCTTTTATACTAGTAGTAATTAATAATAAACGAGTCCCGCTCGATAAATTACAGATCTATGTTACCGACTAACCCAGCCCTTGAACCCAGTTCGTAAAAATTTCAAATTAATTTTCCAGCTTAGCTATATTTATGGAATCTTCTCCCAGAGTAGTTCTAGTTGGCCTGTCATACCATTCTATCACGTACACATTTATTAGTACTAGGATGCTGTACGAAGCAATAAAAGGCTGAGGCTTACTGGCATGGTATGTTGTTCCTTTCCCTTCAGAGCCAACAGGATTCTATTATTCTCTTGCCGAATAGTCCAGATGCGTTTCATAGTCACTCCAATTAGAGTTGGGTTTAGTGCTACCTCAACGTCAATACAGAGTATCGAATCCTGACCCTCCTTGCATACTGAGAATAGTCCGCAATAAGTTACCATGGGTCTAGCCACGGTCGCAATATCTTCAGCCAGGCCAGTCGACTAGTTTGAAATATATTCTTGTGAAGTTGCTTCGCTGGATGTAGATAGGACGCTAAAGTAGCCATCTGGGGTTATTGTAATCCTGCCTAAAGGCTTACTTCCAGAAGGACTAACCTGGAAAGACTCAGCTCCTTCGTTGGATATGGTTCGTAGACGACAAGATACAAGCTTCCAAGTACCCCAGAGAGGAGCTGTAGATACGCTCTCCATAGTAACAGCTAGAGAGTTGGAGTGATGTGACAAGTGTGAACGCGGAAACAGGTGGCGAGTCAACTCGAGAGGGGCATGCTAACATGATATTTATACCCCTCTGCCGCTTTTTATCCTTGGATAGAAGCATATTTTGTCAGGTATTCCCTCCGCCTTTGTCTATTATAATATGGTTATAGATAGTGGGTAACTAACTCTGTATTATTGTACCATAGTGCATAGCTTCACTTTGCGCCCATCTTGTTTAATGCATCTCGTTTTTAAGACACTCTCAATCATGAGATTAACCGGGTCGCCAGGATGCATGCCGGGGGCTGTGCCGCGTCGGTGTGCTGTTGGTGGTAAAGGCAGTTGGGCTCAAAACGTCAGCTTTACGGGACGGGACGGGACGGGGCAATGTCTCAGATGTTATCTCAATGGGTCCTAGCAATGACTCGGCATTTGGGCAAGCTCCTATCCCAAAAGTTTTGAGCCGCTTTGCTTCATTCTTTTGACTATATTCTGTTCGGTTAGCTTCCTCTAACCTCCTCTACCGTTACACACTGCTGGACACGTCACGATGTCTTAGATATCCGTCTCATAAGACAAAGACTTGATTATTGGTGATTGTTCGCCCCTTTCCACTCTGGCAGATAGGCTAGCAGTGTTTGAAGTACAATAGAAGCCCACAAGGTTGTCAGAACCAACTCATGGAACATTATATATATTTCTTACAATCGACAGCCATGACAGCATCTAACACTTCAGCAGCCCTGGCGAATGGTCCTGTGTTTGCTATTATTGGCGGTGGTATTGCTGGCTCGATTCAAGCCATCCACCTTGCAGAAAGGTATCCCTGGCTCAATATTCGAGTTTATGAGCAGAGAAAAGAAGCCTTAAATGTTCTCCTTTGGTTGAGTAAGGAGGAAATTAAATTAGTGTATACAAAGCTAGCGAAAAGTGATCTGCCCGCTATCCAACTACGTTACTGGTATCTATCTAAATGCCGCACCAGTAACCTGCTCGGCTGTCATCCACATTAACTAGTATGTTGTCTGATCTACTGGAACCAAGCCAACTTATCATCCAACGTCGTGTTTCCGTACTTCAAAAGCCCATCCTCAAAACGAAGCTTCTGATCATCTTTCTCGTAGCAGAACAACTGCGCCATAGCAACAGCGCTCGCGGCCCTCTTATTATCCTTACCCATACAGGTACCGTGGCCCCTAATATCCTCGCCAACGGCAGCCCACGCCCATGCCGAGTCTTTTGTGCACGCAGCAGCGCCAGCAATTGCAGCGATAGAGGGGGCATCATTATTGTCGCCCATGATATGGCTGGTGTGAGAGTGCAGCATCATAGACTTGAGGTCCATCTGGAAGGCGTGGGAGGCGATCTTGTGGTGGCCCATATAGTCGTAGCCACTCTTGTGCTTGGATCCGCGGTACTGGATAATAGCAGAGCGCCAATCTTGTATGATGGGAGCACTAATAGCCTCGCCGGGCTTGAGTTTGCCCATGTAAGTGACGTATGCATCCTGCCGGTAGATATGCAGGTCGTAGTCGCAGCCATTCATAACGGACATCGCGCTGGCGTGCGGAGGGTTACATGGGTCCTCGTCCATCTTATGAAGCTGTGCCTTTATTAGGAGCGGAAACTCGTCACGCTTGTCAAAGTAGATGGTATTGCCCATCTTGGCTGCAGCCGCGGTGACAATAGTGGCGGCAGCGAGGGTGGTAGTGATTTTGACCATGATAGCGGTGATAAGGTGAATATGGTAGAGTTATTCTGAACTGCAGAATTTCGAACAAACTGTCATATAACAACCTTATATTTATACAGGCAGCTATTTTTAGGTGAAGTCCTCGTTCTTTCTTCGATTACAGACAAAATGTACTGTTGCAAGCGTTGTTTTGCAATTTGTTTTAGCTATCTAAATCAAAATTTGAAAGACCTCTTAGATGTTTACGTTAAAGAATTGTTCTAAAATAGCAATCTGCTCGCTAGCCAAGCAATAGAGGACCGTCGTAGCCAATGTGGGTTGGTTCCAGGTGACGAGTGTTAGACTAACGTAATTTAGCAGTAAGCGGCCCACCGGGTTAAAGGTAGTATTAGAGGCAAAAGAATAACATGGTTCAGGGTTGAGTGGGCTACCTCCCTCGACCTTCGCATATAAAAACATATAATGTTACAAGACTTTATTTTCTACAGCGCCTACACCGTATTTCCACCCGCTTCTATTGTAACGGTCTCAACTAAGTATATTGACAACTAGCTGAGCAACTGCTACTAGTATCCAAAGATGAAGAAGAAAGGTTCGCAAAGAGGCTATTCTGGCGCGCTGGAATAGCCTCTTATATAACGTACCAAGGTCCTAATCGAGAGCTACCCGAAACCTCCACAAACCTAGTGTTACAAACCAATCAGGAGGGCTCTAATGTGGCAAATCTGCTACGTAGTCTAAGCAATACTATATCTGGTATTGCCCCGGCCGTAGTACGACATGCTGTCTTCACAGTCATCATACCGATCATGCTGTATGGCATGGAAGCGTGGCTCACAGACGACTCTACACCTTCCATCTCCATGTTGGGTTCTTTTGCCCCGACTTCCTAATATCTTTCGCTACGTCGCATTTGACGCCAATTTCTCGATCATCAGGCTTCACGCCAGCGTCAATCTCGAATCTGTAGGCAAGATAGGTCAAAATATTCTCCTTTGCGTGTCTTGTGTCAGCTACAACGAGCCCAAATAGCTGAAAAGCGATAAAAAGGAGCGAGTAGGCACGCATATTGTTAAAGTAAAAGGAAAGTATGAATTCAGACAGCTTTCAGAATAGTAAAGAACCAAGGAGGGTAAATGTCTGTAAATGAAAAGCAACGAAGCCGCTGGGGAGGGGTTGAATAGTCAGCCAGTAACGAATGCAGCCGGGCATATGTAGCCTTCTGAGCTAGCGCATTGCAGTATTATACGACAGACAAAGTTTAGGTCACCAGATATGAATTATAATCGCATCAATTCAGAGCTATTATGGATACCAAGGGAGGCAGAAGGGGAAAAGGGGGGGGGCGTCTTCACAACAAACCAGACACGCCTTCTAAAAGTTATCAAAGGGCCGCCGCTTTCGAAGCCACAATCCCGGGTCATCCAACTCGTCGTCTGACTCGAGTATTGCATGGTTAATATTCTTCGGGTCGTACTCGGCTTCTTCGCAAACATCATCAGTGGTCCCCCAGTAGAGCCTCCAAAAGTGCACTCGCTTCTTTTCCCAATTGTGCCACACGCGCAAGCAATTTGCCCGCGTCATCCATTCCTCTTTGGGATGAGCGTAGTTGATCAATTGGATGTCAATTACAAACGTCCGGTCATCATCCTCTGGCCAAAAGTATTCCACCAGATTGTCCACATAATCTTCTAGCCAGTACTCTGGTATCTTGCCTTGCTCGAGCTGCCTCGAATCTTTGGACTCAATGATGACTGATTTTAGGCATGAGAACAAGTCTGTTATCATGTTAAACATCATGCCTTCACCGAACTCCCGACCAAAGAAAAAGTCTTCAGCATCTTCCACAAAGACCACTAGATTCTCCATAATCTTCCCCAAAGGGTATCTCCAAATCTGGCGTGTAGCGCCATGTGTTCCACGGACCACGTCCAGCTCGGGAACAAACCAAACAGGCAAGGTATCGCCGAGGGTGTTCCATTCACCCAACGTTGGCATCAGAGCAAATGATTCGCGGCAGGCTTGTAGGGGTGGGTTGATGATGGGGCGGTATAGGAGAGTGCTGTTGTCCTCGATTTCCAAGCTTTCCTCGGAAGACTGCTCCGAGTCCAACTCAGGGTTGTCCACCTCATGTTCCGTCGTCAGGCGACTAGGCTGTTCCAGACATAGCTTATCCAGGCTCTGCACCTCAGGGTCGTTTCGCACGGAGATAAGCAAGAGGCTGATGGGATGGATAGCCTGTGACCAAATCGCAAGCCTTAGCTCTGTCGGCAACCTTGAAAAGAGGGGAAAGGTCTCCATCGCGTGTGCGCTGTGGCTGCAGGTGTTAATTTCGGGTGTGATGCTGGATGTAGTATGGTTAAGCGTTAACTACTCAATAGCGTAGTAATAGAGAGCCTTGCCGCATTTATGTTCCAAGCTTACATAAGGACTCAAGGCTGTTCAAACAAAAAAAAGACCCCTGGAAAACTGGATACATGTTTGGCAATGCCTAGATTCGGGAGCAACCGCTGTGTAGGTCAATCCAATTTTCGCGCCCGTCAAATCCACAGTCGTTGGCAAAGCTTTTCCATTGGTAGCATAATACATATCGTATATTATCAAATGCTTACTCTAACTAAGAGTTCCAGATTTGGTCTCGACGGCGCTTGGTGTTCTTTGCTTCTGGCTCATCAAAGTCGACGTCAGGATCAAGACATTGTTCAAGAATTTGTCTTGCCAAAGAGGAATTCTCGTTTGATTTCACTCTTTCTTCTATTAGCTTGAAATAGATTCAGGGGATCAAGCTTCTGTAAAGAGTGATTGTCTGAATCTAATATTTTGGCCGTTTCGAAGGAGGTCTGTGAAGAAGATTTGAAGAGTCTAACTAGGCGGGTAACGGCAGAGCTACCCTTTATAATACTGCCTACAGAAGGGAACGGCGAATCACGTTGAGGTGCTACGCGCCAAGGCTAACTAGAGATGTAAAGGGGGGGCGTTTACCTGTTAGAAACACATCCCCCAGGAGCCGGTCCCGGCGCAGCGGCCGAGGGTTGACGAAACGGTCGCCGAAAGAGCGGGCGCCGGTTAAGTGGGACTCGGCTAAATATCGGTTGAGGTGCAGGTTGACAAGAGTCCTCGTCCGCTCTCCTATAGAAATGGCTCTAAAATTCCGTGTGCGGTTATATATTAAATTGGTTGACTTATGGGTACATACGACCATAGATACAGGAGAACTCGGGATCCCGTCCGCTCTCTCATAGATAAGCCTGTAATCGGCAGATTAGTAGTTGGGTCGGTGACGACCAGCGAACACCGGCTGTTGTATGTTTTTTGGGAGTTTTTTTTTTTAACAAAAACTAACCATTGTCGCTTGAATAAGGTGGCCACCGTGCAAAATACAGTGCATAACACAATTCACACTCTTATCGAACTGTCGCCCGACCGATTTCAGTTTGAGGAGACGAGGCGTGGCAACGTCTTGAATTTTTTTGACATCACAACCACCACACAACACACACCCATCATGGATCGCGATAGGGAGCGACCCCGACGGTACGTATCTCCCCTGCATGCTTGTGCAGCAAGCATCATCATTTTCCCAACCGCTGCTAACACTTCCTCCTCCAGCTTCGATGACGGTGAAGTCGTCCGCTACGGCGCCGGCGAATCGTGGCGACCAACTCCCCGTGATCGATCCCCGCGAGCCGCCAGAAGCCCAGGCCGCGATAGAGACAGGCCACCGCGCAGTCCTCGCCCACGAAGCCGCAGTGCGCGTCCTAGAAGCCGAAGCCCGCGGCCCAGAAGTCCCCGTCGAAGCCCTCCACCGCGCCAGCGCTCTCGCAGCCCCCGACCTAGAAGCCCGCGCATGCGAAGTCCACGCCCGAGAAGCCCTCGTCCAAGAAGTCCTATCCGCAGCCCTGTTCCTTCCGATACCTACATCCCTGGCGGCGGCCGTTATCTTCCCAGACGCAGATCGCCTAGCCCTGGCGACCGCTTCCGCCGAGATAGGTCCCCCGACTCGAGGGGTAGTCCCCCACGACGCAGGGACCGCTCTCGCTCTATGATTCGCGGCTCGCCGCGCAGACGTAGCTTGTCTCGTCGTGGCAGCCCGGGCCGTAGGTCGCCTTGGGGAGGACGCGATTGGGACCGCGACAGACGACCCCGCGACTTTGATAGACGCCGCCGCTCGAGATCACCCCCGTACGGCAGGGACCGCGATAGACGAGATAGATCGCCGGGTCGTTCGACGCCGCTAGGACCTCCTTCGTATAGGCCATCGTCGAGGTCACCTCGCCGCGAGGATAGATACCACCAGTCGTACAATAATCGACGCCCCTCACCACATCGCGACTCGGGCATTTCGTCAGCAATCACGTCCCAGCCGCCGTCTGACAGAGCGTCGTCGCGCCCTGGTTCTCTCCGTGGCCGCTCGCCCATTCACTCACGCGACCATTCACCACGACATGGTGGTGGCAGAGGCATGCGAGACGGTAGTCCCAGCTCGCTGCGGTCGCCGCCTCGCGGTCCAGCAGCCTTGAGATCACACGCGACATGGAGCGCTGGCGGCCCTGCGACACTCTCTCCAACACCTCGTCACCAGCACCTGCCAGGACGCTCAGATACCGATAGCCCTACACACCCGCCCTCAGGGCCACGAGGCTACATGTCGTCTGGACGAGGGGGATACTCATCCCGCGGCCGTGGCGGATGGAACTCATCTACAGCGCCACGCTCTGGCCCAGGGTCATCTACAGGACCACCCACGCCCAACGGCTCGTCAGGAATCCCTACGGGTCCTCGTGGCTCTGTTGGCGGTGGTCCCGGCACACCTACGCAAGGCCGCCCGTTCAACCCGCCGACTGGCCCATCATCACAAGCACCGCGACTCACGCTGGCGCAGAACTTGATGTCGTCAATGCCGCAGCTCGTACCCGGTGGCAAGCTGGACCCAAACATGCTGCCGCTGGTGCTAGGTGTCACGCGCGAGCTGGAGCCACATTACCGCAAGATAAAGGACGAGGAGGAGCGGCTGCGGGACGATATGCGCATCAAGCAAGAGCGCTTGCGCAAGAGCCTAGCGCTCTGGGGCAAGCTGGAGCGGGATGCCGCGGCGTGGGAGCTGCGCAGCGACTTGAGCGAGAAGAGCATGAAGAATCTCGCGGGCGAGGGGTCTGGAGGAGCGGCGTTTTAGTAGAAAAAACATTCAGGCCTCATCTGTATGAAATCACTGGGTTATTGTGTATTATGGAAAGCGTTGTATTGGAGTATAGGTTTGCTTGAGAAATGTTCTAATAGCAGGTAACAAAAGCAGAGAATTACTTTCTTAGAATGAAGAAAGAGGGTATCTATCGTATACAGATGTGTGTCTCGTAAAAAATGAAAAAATACATGGTGAACAGCCGTTGGTAAGCAGGAATATCAGAATTGAATGACACGGTCGTCTTCGTCGTCCTCGTCGCCGTCCCAGTCTTCCTCCTCGTCGGTGTCTTCGTCACTACGGAAGTCTTCCATGCCGTACTGGAGTTCGCGGACCTTTTGGTTGTCAAAGAGAATGTTGACGACGCGGCACATGCCCTGGATAGCCTGTGGTGCTTCAGGAGGGGATGGTTGATGGTCGGATTCGTCAGATGTGGGCGAACTATCGTAGCCCTCCTCATCGTCGTCAGTGTCGTTGTCGTCCTCATCCGTGTCGAGATCCCGGTACGATGGGCGGTTGGCACGGCGAGAGCTGGCTTGTCGCTTGTTCACGCGTGGTGCGTCTTCGACTGTGGGCACACGGCTACTGCGGCGGATGGCAAGAGACGGCGGCTCTTTTCTCTTGCGGTCGTTGTCTTCATTAATTCTGGCTGCTGATGATGATGCCAGTGCTGCCGGTTTGCGCAGAGAGTAAAAGGCGAGGGGTGGCTCTGAGCGGCGCAGAAAGACGTCTTCCATCTTCTCTTTCCATTCGATGCGCAGCGTAGCTCTGCGTTGCCACGGAATGTCGAGCATCGTCTTGATGGAAAGCACACGGAGATGTGGGAGGTGCTGCGCGCGGTCGAGGATCGAGTTGAGGAACATTTCAGCCGCTTCGAGGTCCCATTTGCGGATGTTTTCGACAACAATGGCACGAAGGGTACTTGGCCAGGTCGGCACTTGGTAGGGCAATAGAGCGTAGTCATACATGGGATCCGAATCGTCAATAGAGTCGTGCAGCTTGTAGTACGACAGGTTCATGTTGAGCTCGTGCAGCTCAGGGCAGCTTTCTGCCAGGCTGGTCAAGAAGGCCAGGTCCAGGGACTGATTGTGGTGCAGCTTCAGAATCCGCATGTGTGACCCGTGAGTCTTTAAGAAGGGGGCAAAGTCGGTCGAGTTGACTTCCCAGCAGTTAATCAGCTCGAGCTTCACCAGGTTCTTTGGTAATTGCGGTAGCAGATCGTTATTCATGGCTGTTGATGATTCAAAGCACAGGCTTTTGAGTTCGGGGAGTGCATTAATTGCCCGGGATATGCTGGCAACGACCTCGCGGTCCTTCTGGATTGTCTCCATCTGGCTCGCTTCTGTTTGTCGCCTAGCCTGTAAGAAGAGAGACGGTAGCTGGAAGTTTGTAAAACTGATTCTTTCAAGACTGATAAACGACGGTGTTGAATGAATACTAGCAATGGCGTCAAGATCGGGCACATGGCCGCCGATAAATCTGCCGCTCCATTCCCACGCCGTCAACCTCGTAGGAAACGTCTTGTACTGCCCTAGCTCCGTGTCTGCTGGGGCAGGAAAAAGAGCTTCGAAGAGCTCGACTGGGTACTTCCAGCGACTTGGTGTATTCAGTGCTCTGTAGGGCGGCTGGTCAAGAGTCGTGTACACGGTCAACTCGCGCAGGCGGTACGACGGCTGGATCAGTTGGCCCATGATGGCGGCGTTTGCCACGTTGATTTCGAGCTGCAGCTCCTCAATCTTGGCCCGGTAGTTGAACAATGTTTCCGTCTCTGGCCGCTGCAGCAGGGCAGCTAGCTTCTTCGCTTTGGCTGGATGAGCGAGCGTCGGGCATCGATAGAGGGCTGAGATGGCCGCCTCTGCAAACACCTTGCAAGTGGTGGCGACATTGAGAAGCCAGCCAGTCGACCCGCCATCGTTGAAAGCGTACGAGAAGATGTTTTCCCAGCATCGTAGAGATATCCTAGGATCACACCAATCTGGTATTACGCCAGGGTCGGGGGGTGGTGGTGCCGTCTTTTTCGGTGGCGATCGTTTACTCTTTGGTGATGCTGTGTTCGGTCGAGATCTCGAAGCTTTCGGCGTCGCGGGCCGACCGCTTCTTCGCGACTTTGAGGAAGTGCTAGCAGGCTGGCGAGACGGTCTAACCATGGTGATGGATGTGGTAGTAGAATTTAATAAGTGTCGCGGTAGGTTCTCTCCAGCTCTTTATAGTTGGCCGCTTTCAGGCAAGGGTTACTCTAGCTACGGGTCTGGAGTCGCAGTCTTCGCCATCCAATTCGACTTGTTTATTCGGTAGTCATTTTATACTGATGACAGGACGGCAAGTGAAGGGCTCTTATGTGATTCACGTTGTTTTGCGCAACTGTGAATATGTGTGCTTGCAAGTTTGGAGTTTTTGCACGGCCGTGTTGATGGTCGTAAACGAATGCGGATAGGCGGGTGGATCAGGTGCCCACCAATAGAAAGTCAGGGTTAGGGTTGTGAACATGGCTCATTTCATTAACAGCATATACTGAAGCTTATTGAAAATTGTATACAAGACAAACATGAAGTTTTAAAAGCCTGCCTAATTGCTCTACATTATTTTTTAGCTGCGGTGGAAACATTCTGTTCTTGTCGCTTTTGCTCCGTTTCGATCAGCCCTTCCAGAAACAACATTGGTAAATAGGTCATGCTCTTGTCATTCAAAGCCATCCTTGAGTATTGCAAATATTTGACAGCAAAAAAAGTCCATGCACGCTTTTCTACGATTGAGCTCTGTAGAGGTCGCGGAATATAGGGATTATTGGCCTCAGCGGCGGAGACTGCTTTGGCAACTCCGTCTTCGTCAAGGGTAATTCGCTGAACCTGGTCGAAATCCAAAACCCATAGGTTGATTACAGGTCGAAACAAGATTTCTATATCAGTCCTAGATAATGTAAGCGGCTCAAGTCTGTGGGTCTCATTGAAGATGGTGAATTCGGAAGCCGATGCCCCAAGAACAAATTCAACGCCCCTTGCATCAGTCTTTGCTTTCCAGTGCATGACTGCTAGGGCTGCTGCCATCTCATTGACGTAGGAGTCAATGTTTAGCCCCAAGGCATGCATTTGATTCAGATGGAGCTCAAAATTCCGGATAGAGGTGGACTTGATCTCCTGGCCACCCATGGATCCCAAGTAGAGTCGAATGAGGCAATCGTCATTGTCCTTTTCCATGTATGCATCCACTTGGTTCCTTGGAGAGATGTACAGACTAATTAGGCCGTGTCGAACAGGTGCGGGCATTGGTTCAATTCTCTCTGTAATTAGGACTGCCGTTGGGGTGTGGCAGTCGCGCTTAGCGGCGGCCACTAGCATAGGATATTTTTTGAAGAATTTCGAATAACTTTTAGTTACAAGTTTGTCACAGGCTGGGATTTTCGTCTTTCTAGCTATTTGTGAATTCTCGAAGGCTTTCTTGATGTCCAAATGCATTCGGTAGTCGTTCCATAGTTGGGGTGTATCGGCGCTCTTGGCAAGCTTCAGAGCAAACGACGTCCCTTCTTGACCGAAGACAACTCCGCCGGTACCTTGGCCGATTTTTCGAAACGGACGTCCAGTCTTAATCATTTGCCTATACAAGCTTCTTGCTGGTATGACACGGTGGATGGCGAGCATTTCCGTCATGGCAGATGCGCCATTGTAATCCTCGGGCTGATGGGCGAGGAGATCAGGGTGTAGAGCAAAATAACGGAGCAAATGGTCAGAACTTTCTTCTCCCATGGTGTCTCCCATGGTGTATCAACGAGTTTCGTTTTGCAAAGATGTTATGGAGAGGCAGAGATCCTAGAGTCCTATAGGTTGTAGTACATGAATTGCAAGATATCGAGTCCATTGCAAGACTCGTGTAGATTTTGTACTTGGATTTTATAGTTCGATTTTATAGTTCCTAGAAGGGCAAGCTTTGGTTGACTCGATATTAAGGTTAACTTTAAGCTAGATTTTCTGCAAACTTTTAAATTTCATGAGAGTAAGGACAGTAAACATTGTTGGCCAAAATTAAGATGGTCAAGGTCGATAAGGTATACCGAAAGCTTTTGGCTCTCAGGCGGGTAATGATCGTTTGGGCCACGGGCGGCCATAGGACATAACATCTTACCTGGTGTCTAGGAGCCAAACCAGAAAACACTTTATAAAGTTAATATACCACTCCTGATAGTCACTTACAACTGTTTTTTCAGACAATATCATTTTTCAGATGATGTCTTTCCTGCTCTTCACCAACACACACAGAAGGTAAAGGAGTCGACCTGAGCGTGAACGTGAATGTCGCTCTCATCTCGGAGACTCGCCATCGGACTCCGAATGTGCTCACTCAGAGGTACTTGCCCCCCCTGTGCAACCACGCCTCAGAAGTGAGGTACCGAATTATCAGATCCAACTTGACCAAGACTAGCAGCCAGCCCGTGGGTCCTTGGTTCCACCTCTACTGTAGCCATCTCTCTTGTCTGTCTTGTAAAGGCTTAGGTGAGTACCTGACAGACGCGTAATGACGCCTGCGTGGCACAAGTACCGGTCGACCCGCCCAATTTACTTTTACGCCCGAAGGGAGGGAGGGGGATGTAGCACTTCCGGGTGGTCTCATTTTGGGCGTGACGCAGCGCAGCAAGCAAGCACTCCAGACGAGAGAGTATCGTACTGCTGTGGCGAAATGACGTATAAAATAAAAATAAAAATATCCCAATCACGATATAGCTCCGTCGCAATATATCCGGTATATATTTCTCTTTCAATATTCGTTGCGTAGTCCGGCTATTCCCGACAAACTCTACCAACAAAAGTCCGGCCGGCCCAGTGCTCGCATCGCCCGGCCCGTCCGCCAGCTAAATCCATAATTTTTTTTTGGCTTGCCAAACCCCCTGGGACGCCAAACACGCCCCTCCTCTTATCCTGTCAACCCTTTCTCTCCTTCAGACTTGGGCATTCTATCAAACCTCCATCGTCTCGTTGATTTTGCTTGCTACCTTGCTTGCTTACCTGCGGCGACTTCCTCTCCTTTTTTTAATTTGCCGAATTGTCCGCTTAATCCTGCGTTTCTTGTCTGCTGCCGCCACCGGGCTCGCGTGCACCGGCAACTCGACACACTCCTCGTCCTCGTTCTCTTTTTTCCAGACCATCGCACGAACGACTCCGATCGAAAGACAAACACATACAAACAAAGGGACAAAACACCCCGTCTAAGGCATGGATAACCGCACGTCGGGCTCCCCATCCGCAGCCATGGTCAACACTACGCTCTTCGACACATCGCTCCCGCCCCTGCCGGGCTACACCCTCGAGCCGGTGCCCAACGTGCTCCCGTGGCTCTCCGACTTTTGGCTATCGCTGGTCCTTCCGGTCATTGCCTACTGGTCCATGTCGCTCTTCTTTCACATCATTGACCAGCTCGACCTGTTTCCTCAGTACCGCCTGCACACCCCCGAGGAGATTACAAGCCGCAACCACGCCTCGCGCTACGAGGTCGCCCGCGACGTCATCATCCAGCAGGTCATCCAGATCGCCACCGGTGCGCTGCTGCAGCTGGCCGATCCCCCCGAGTATATTGGCAAGAATGAGTACGATGTCGCCGTCTGGGCTTCGCGCATCCGTGTCGCCCAGCGTGCCCTGCCGTCCGTCTTGAGCGTCATTGGCCTCAATGCGGCCGCCATCTCAAAGAACATGTCGACTTCGCATCCATTGATTGCCGGCGCGCTGGCAGGCGGCTATTACCCGTTCCTCATGACCGATAAGGCCGTGCCTGCGTTTGCCGACTGGGAGATTCTCCTCGCCAAGGCTATTTACCACATTGTCATCCCGGCCATCCAGTTCTTTGTGGCCGTCTTTATACTCGATACATGGCAATATTTCCTCCATAGACTTATGCACATGAACCGTTGGATGTACAGTAAGTAGAACTACGACTAAAGCAGACGGAAAAGGTGTACTTGTGCTAACGTGATGAAACTTAGCTACTTTCCACTCCCGCCACCACCGCTTGTACGTGCCGTATGCATACGGAGCTCTGTACAACCACCCTGTAGAGGGCTTCCTGCTCGATACGCTCGGCGCCGGCATCGGCTTCAAGGTGACGGGCATGACGACGCGCCAGGGCATGTGCTTCTTTACCTTTTCGACCATCAAGACAATTGACGACCACTGCGGCTATGCGTTCCCCTGGGACCCTCTGCAGCTCATTACCAACAACAATGCTGCCTACCACGACATTCATCACCAGACTTGGGGCATCAAGGCCAACTTTTCACAGCCCTTTTTCACATTTTGGGATAGTCTGCTGGGCACGCAGTACAAGGGCCCGCGGACGGACCGTCTAGCAGATAAGGAGCGACGACAGCAGGCCAAAAAGGCCCAGTAATGGATATCTTTGCTGGGTGCCTCTCCCCGTCTTTTTTTTTCTTACTTCTACTTGCTGTATAAGAATGTATGTACACCTTTTGTAATGGCGGAGCGTGACGGAAAGGCTGAAGATAATGAGCTGGTTTTCATTGCAGTATTTTGGATGGCGTCTCTCATAGCATAATCGTAATCACTTTTTTTTATTCTTCGATTTTCCGTTCGCATGAATTTTACTTTATTTTTTCGGCTGATGTTGGTGCGCGCAGGAAGCTTATGCGCATTGTGCGGTTAAGCAAGCGCAGTGTGTACAAGGTTGACAGTTTCAGATAGTGAATGCATGAATGCCAACGGGATGCTACTCCTCGGCAATGACTCAAAAAAAGAAAAGAAAAAACAAAAAAGAAACACAATCTTAATCGAAATACACATAAAAGGGCATAATGGGAAGATAGAATGGATTATGAGCTGACGTCACCGCAGGTACAATTGCACCTGTAGGTTAGCAGTCTCGTTGGTACGTAGTACCGCCGCGTGGTGGTTGCGGCGGACCCTTGGCGTCGCAACATGTCTGAGGCGTTGCCCGCGTCTTGTCTCTCCCTGACGTCCTGCCCTACAGTGTATTAAAGCCCATACAGTACACGCGTCTGCCAGAATATAACCAGGCATTAAAGAGTCTATAAATAAGCACCTGCTCGAAAAGAGCCAAAAAATCGCGCCAGATTTGCTCTCACAGTTTGGGAGGGATGCGAGAGAGAAGACCTCATTTCCCGCTACGTCACATTTTCCAGCGCTGCTTTTTGGAGGCCGGGCCGTTGGAAGCGAACCCTTTTGGAACCTCGTACATTAGCTGTACAGTTACTGTGCTGTAGGTACATTCGTAGCGGCCGGCCCAGTAAAAGCGGCAGCCATGGCAAAAGGTGGAGTTGCCGCAAAGTGAACCAATCCAGAGGATGCCATGAGGCGCTAAACATCTTCAGCTCATTTCCTTTTTCTGCGACGATGGACGATGTGGGCATGACGGCAGCTGTGTTTAATTTACCGCAGCAGTACCTTCGCTTGCATTCTTTTTCTTCTCTCGCTTGACGGTGGTAGCAGACTGCTAGGGCCGTTGCTGCGACGCATCAGGCGAGCGAACAGCAGCTTTCGTTGTTGTCTTATAACTATATGCTGTGCAACACGCCGTCAGGCTTCAAGATGTCTGTAACAAACAAGCCAGGTTGATTTGATTGCTGGGCTGGGCTACACAGGCCAATTGGACCACTAGTTCCATGTATAGCGCAGCGCAATCTGCCTGCTGCAAGTCAGAAAAGGTAACCCAAGCTGAATCGGGTGGCCCAATGACATGGCGAGACGCTACACGCCCGCTAGTAAGGGGGATGCGGATCCAATCGCAACTGTGCATTGTTCTTCGGCCCCCCCCCCAAAATCGAATTGCGAGTGAGGTGATGGGCATTCATGTATGGCTAGTGGTTTTTTTTTCTGCGCTACCGGCCCATACAGTAGTTTTTGGAGGTGCTGTGCTGTACATCGTGGGAATCTAAAAAGTGGTGGTGCTGCTGCTCCCCCCCGACGCCGGTTGCATTCCTCTGTACTGCTGCTGCTGGAGCTGTGATCTGCTTTTGGAACGACAGATCTTTTTTGTTTGTTCTTTTTGACAGACTTTAACTTTTCATCTGCTCTCTTTTCGACACCTTTTTATTTCTTATTTTCCCAGGACCACACGCAATTCGGCGCTTCGCTGCTCGTTCACTTCGCCCTCAGTCCGAGCGCCCCCGAAAATCAGACCACCAGCCCAACCCAGCAAGCGTCTAGGGCCACCTCTCTCGCCTTGGCTATATGCCAGCATCCTTACCTCTTAGCATCCACGGCAAAACAAGCAAGTAGCTTCGACAATTGGTGTGTGCTGTAAGCGCCAGCGTGCTGTACCGTCATCTTATTCGCCACAGCCTGCAGCGCTACCAAGGAACTACTTCCCCCTGCCATTTCACGCACACAAGCAAAGCAAGCCGTGGCCAGCCAATCTTTGGTTGATTGGCATGGCTTAGTCTGTGACCAGACACGCCTTTTTTTGTTCCCTGTGCTGGGTTCCTGCATTGCGTGGCGCAAAGGCCCTGTCTCCAAGCGCCCGCCCGCTGTGCCTGCAGGGTCTGTTCTCGCTCCTGTGTTTCAGAGCCGCGACAACGCCATAGCGAATCGTTGGGCTGAGAAACACGCAAAAGCAAGCAGCAGCTTCTCGGCTCTCGAGGCGTCTGTGTTGCGGCCGAAGCGACCGCTGCTATTTTTATAGCGTGCGTTTGGGATTTGCCGCTGTTTGAGAATCGGTTGGCGTGCGTTTGCCGGCGGTTAATAACAGGACCTTATACGCCAGCGTTGCGTTTGTGATCGGCTTGTTTGCCTTCTTTTATTCGGCAGCCAGTTATTGCTCGTCACCATGGATCCTTCGTCCACGCTCTACACGTTTATCCTGTAAGTTGGTTCTCTGTTTTTTCTTCCTGTCAGGTCCTCTTATATACCCCATCACATCCCCCGCCAACCAAGCCTGGCCTACCCGCATCCAACCCTATCCCCCAGGTCTCTTCTTTGTGGATTTTATTTTCCGGCCCTATTTTGATCTGGGATCCTGGAAAACACCGGGCCGCTCTTTTCATTTCGCCGTCCCTACCATTCGTCCAGTTCCTGCGTGGTGCTGCCTGCACGCACTGCAACCTGGGGCCTTGCAAACGCTTTGGCCGTTCTGCACACAGCGACTCTCGGTCCCCTGCCACGGCGCTTCCGGGACACTGCATGCATCACCAGCGCTACTGCTGTTGCTACTGCTGCTAGTCTCAGTGTTTTACTGTTGCATTGGTTGTTCGCTGTGCCTAGCCGCGCAGTCTTCTAGCTGCCTTCTGGAACACTTGGAATCCCTGGTACGAAAACCCACACCAAGGCTCTGACAACCCCGTCCGATCCCTTGTCTTATCCCATGTTTCTGTTCTGGCGTCTGCCTGGTTTTGGAAATTATGTTCCCGTTTCCTTTTCCCTGTTCCCAATTGATCACAAAACAAAGAGTTTCTGGCGAGATGCCGAGTGGCTACTGTATTGCTTGTGCCGATGCTGCCATGTGTGTGCGGCGTCCAACACCATTTCCCGGCATCGTCCCCGATGCAAGACGCCAGGACCACCACCATGCATCAATCAGCACCGCTGCAGAAGCGGAAAATAAAAAATGCATCTGTGGCCGTTGCTATTTTCACGCAGTGGCTTGATTTTTACTCCCCCAGTCCGTGGCCTGATGCCTCGTCCCGTCATCCCGCGCCATGCCCATTTACTTCCCTGCCCTGCATCATCGGACATGAATGCTGACATCTCATCTCACTCGCAGCGAAACGGATCCCTCGGCCACCTCCGTTCACCTCATCGGCTCCTGGGACAATTTCACCGCCCGCTACGCCATGACCAGAGACGCTCGCCGAGGCCGCGGTGTCTGGCGAGGCTGCCCGTCCGCCAAAGACCTCGTCGTTTCCGAAACTGGGCGCGGACCCAAGCGAAACGCCGCCCTCCAGATGGGCCACGACTACTATTACTATGTAAGTCCTAGCGTTTGTACCCTTGTCCTGCCCTTTTATTCCGTTTGTGGCATGTGTGCATGCATGCATGGCTGTCCGTTCTCCTCCTCCTCCTTGTCAAAGCACACTACCCCTGGTCCCCCCCGGCCTGGCAATGCGACCTCGATCATCGCTGACACCGAACGCAAACAGTATGAAGTAAACGGCGACGCTGAGATATATGATGCCGCTCAGCCCTCCACTACTTTTTGCCCTTTCCTACCTGGCCAGACCGTCAATATCCTCTCCATCCCCGAAGAACGTAGAGTGCACCACCGCACAGCTTCTACTAGCCAGCTCGCCCCAGAGCTCTACTTCACAATGAACCCCGACGACAAGTTCGCCCCAACACACTCTGCGGCCCAGATGCAGGCAGACTCCGTCGCCCACCGTCTGCGCACCGCTTCGGCAATCCTCTCCCGCCGTACGTCTAGTCGCTCGCCGTCACCTACAGCTGCTGCTGCCTCATCATGGAAGCGCTTCTTCTCTAAGCGCTACGAAGAGGACCGCGGCCGCCCTGCATCCCGCGGAACCGTCTACACACCCGTCTTTGACGAAGACAGGTCCGTCTCCTCCCGCAGCCAGACACCTTCGGACGGCACCCGCACACGCGACATCTCCCCGGAGTCGCTGCGCCGCTTCCTCTGCGACGAAGACCCTGTACGACCCGCCTCTAATCTCGAGGTCCGCCACCCTCTTGCTATCCCTGAGGACATTGCCGAGGAGGAAGACGACGACGACGACAACTTTGCCTCGTCCGAAATCGCCCTCCCGGCCTTTGCTACCCGTCTCTCACCACCACCCTCCCACCGCGCCACTTCGTCCTCGACGTCCGTGGCCACCATCACTAAGCTCCTCCCCCGCCTCAACACGACGCGCCTCCATGAGATCACTTCCTCTTCTGCTATTGCGTCTCCTGCAGACGATGTCCCTGCGTTTGACGACTCGGAAGGCGACCACTCCAACGATGAGGATTCGTCACTCGTCAAGCAGCGTCTGCCTTTCTCTTACCGCCTTCCTAGACAGAGCTTTGACAGGAAGCTCGGCGGTGCTAGCCCCGAGGTTCAGACTCACTCGCCCAAGTTGCTCGCTAAGTCTAACGGCGCAGTGACCTTTGGCGTCTCGGCTGGGCTGCTGGGCAGTCCGGCAGAGGAGTGTGTCGAGGACTTTGCGTGGATGGTTGGTGCTATCTCCACGGGCCCTTGAGCAACGTCTCCTACCACTCTCCAAAAACGTGCGATGAAATAAAAGACGGACGACATGATGTGTTTTGTATGATTAGACTTTTTGGGTTTCTTTTAGTATGCTTGGATAAGCACGGCGTTTTTTTACTTTTGGATACAGCGACCCATCTCGGAACAGGCTTTCCGACGGTATATACCCTACTATGTTATTGGATTTTTTATTCATGGTTAGATAAAAATACATCACAACCACTTATTTTAAAGACACTTTTACTTGATCAAGATAAAAATCGTGTGACTTGTTGTTCTTTGTTCTCCGTGTAATACAGAGTCGTGATATCATTTCTGTTGGTACAATGCTACATGGTCGTAATAGTACATACATCTCTCCCTACTGCGCAGTTACCTCTACAGGCGCAGCAGCAGTAGCAGCAGTAGGATCATCTGCTGTTCCCTCCGTCTTGGCAGCCGCAGAAGCAGCATCGCCCTTTTTCTTGTCCTTGGCAGCGGCCTTCTTTTTCTCTTTTTCGGCTTTTTCCAGCTCATTTGCCTTTTCCTTCTCTGCCTTCTCGGCTGCGATTCTCTGCTCCTTTTTGGCTCGGATGCGCTCTACTTCTTCGAGTGTTGGGCATCTTGCCGTACGCAAGAAACGCTCTGGAACGCCCTTGGCAGCGACGGTACCGCTTCCAACCCAGCAGCCCAACAGCTTGCTCCATTGGTACTGGCTACTCTGCAGGCGCTGTAGCTCGACATACGCGGCTGCCGTCGCAAAAGGAATCTTGGTGACAGGATCGCGGTAACGTGCGAGCGTGTTGGTCACACCGCATATCGCTGGCGGCGGCTGCTTGGGCAACTTGGACATTTTGCGGCCAAACAGCAGCATCGTCTGCGTTTGCTTATCTCGGATGGCGGGCTCATGGAAGTTTTGGAACATGATGGCATTGCGTGTTGTTGCCTCGCCTGTCGATGTGTCTTCTGGGGCTGTTGCCACAGGAGTTGCCGCTTCGGAGGGGAGCTGGCTAGTAAGTTTGCTTACAGGAACCGACTCGGGTCCCATAGATTGCGCAGGATCGGTTGCTTGTGGTGTACCGACCACTTGATCTTCCTTGGGTGTTTCTGTAGAAGACACTGGCTGTTGGGGGGGTACTGGGGTGGTTGTTTCCGTCACTGTAGCGGGTGCAGCGTCCGCCATGGCGACGTCTTGTGATTCAGTGGTGTTTGCGTCTTTCGATTCTACTGACGCCTCGCCAGTCGCTTCCGTTGAAGGTTTCGGTTGAGTCTCGTCAGCGGCGGTATCCGTTTTGGACTCTGGTTTAGCATCTGGTGCTGTCGACTCTGGCTCAATCTCCTTGGCTGCTGCTGGCGTTGACTCCTCAATCGATTTCGATTCCGCCCCAGCTGCATTTTGAGGAGAAGTGGGTTTCTCGGGCTGGTCATCCGCCTTGTTTGGTTTCTCAGCTTCTGATGTCGCCGTCGGTTCTGCCCCTGCGGAATTATCATCTGTGTTCTTATCCGTAGGCTTGTCCGTTTCAGCTGCTGTAGTTTTCTCTGCCCCTTCCACAGTGTTCTCCGTCACATTTTTGGGGACGGGCTCATCAATAACCATGGCATCCCCATTTGTGGCTACTTCTGGCTGGCCGACCTCTGTATTAGGTTTTGGTGTTTGGTCTTCTGTCTGCGGTGCTGGCGTACCCTTGGCTGCTGTATCTTCCTGCTTCACTACAATAACACTTTTGTCGTCCGGGTTAAAAGCCCCCTTCGGTGCATCTCCGGCTTCTGTAGTCGTTGTAGCGTCGTCCTCCTTTCCTTTTTCATTATCCTTGTCTTTTCCTTTTGGTGGCTTTGGCTTCCTCTTTGGCTTTTCTTCAATCATAAAGTGGTAGCCTTCATTCTTCAGCCAACCGTCGCCGACGCGGCCAACACCGCTCCAAAATGTGATGACTGGTCCCTTCAACGTTCTGTTATTTAGCGCTGCAAGCTTTGCCAGTCGTTCCTCTTCGCGCTGCTTCTCTGCCTCTTCCCATCGGTTCAGACTTTTGCTGTTGCGCTCTTCGACGATCGCTGCTTCTCGCAACCTATCTTCTTGTGTCATTTGCGGCTTCTTCATCGCTTCCAATTTGGCTTGTTTCTTTTCCATCTGGGCTAGTTGCTTCAATCGTCGCGCTTCGCGCTCCACCATTTGCTGATGGAGCTGCTCTTTTGAGATTCGTGTCGTTTTTCGCGATGAGGCTCGTGTTGGCATGTCGGCTACTGCTGGTAACCAGCTGGCTCGTTCAGACTTCTTCTTCGGCCGTGCTGTGGCAGACGATGACACAGAAGCTGTATCGATGCGAACTCGTTTACGAAACTTGACAGGGATCGCTTCTTGCGCTTTGCGCTTTCGCTGTGCCGCACGGCGTTCTTTGACCTGTCGTTCCAGTTCCCTTTCTCCCTCCAGATCTTCCGCGTCATTATTATTATTATTATCTTCCTCGTCGGATGATGAGTCCATCTGGTCGTCTGAAGCCGCCGCGTCGACGTCCGAGAAGCCCTGGTCGTCGCCCTGCTCAGCAAAGAGCAGCTCCAAATCCGAATCTGGTTCCTCTTCGTTCGCGAGCATCGACTTCATGCGATTTCCCGCCGTGGACCGGCGCTCGCGGCCCGTCGCAAGCCATTCGATCTTGGGCTGCTCATCGGAGTCGCTGCCGGAGCTGCTGTCGGCGTCGCTAAGCGGGCTGGATGAGAGAGCCGCGTCCCGCTCGGGGGCATTTTCATCGATTTCCATCGTGTACCGCAGCCCTTCCATAAGAATTCGATGGGCTGTGATGCATGCCGGGGCGGCGGTGTGTCGAAATTTACCTTGCTAGTCGAAGTGGGAGCTTGCAAAGGAGAAGCGCGTCTAGCGTGGCGTTAAAATTTGGCGGGCAGCAAGCAGGCTAAGAACGGCGGCGCCATCACGCTAGCCAAGCGACGTCACAGCGTCCTCCCTCAGCCTTTTTGTATGTTCACTGTACAGATGACCAAAACATACACACAAATTAGTATCGAAAATGTAAAGGAATAATTCTTGTCAAAATAATCAATCTAACCCAAAATGCAACACCGCTGTGCTATCTATCTGCTAGGAAAATGTAACGCCTGAATATGTCGTGTGATGTGCTAAGCCATCCAAATGCAACGCCTTCCCAAAGTTCTGTACCAAATTTCCAAATCTCCCTGCTGTAGTTCATATATGTATTTACATTAAATCTCATCCATGTAATCGGCTGTTTCGTCACCCTCATACTTCTTGCAGTAGCCGAGCCAGCTACGCTGGATGCACTTGCGTGGGACAGTAGAGGTGGTAGTTGGTGCCGGCGAAGTCGGAACTGGCCCTGTCGGTGGCGAGGTAATAACCATGGTAGAGCTGGTAGTAGTTTTATCGTTGCAGCCCCAGATTCTTCCTGGAGTCTGACATGTGGTGGAAGACGCACTCGTTGTGGGCACTGATGTGCTAATATCCGTTGTCTCATCGTTGCAGCCCCAGAACCTTCCAGGAGTCTCGCATGTTGTAGAAGACGGAAGTGTAGTGGGTGCTGATGTGATGGTAGGTCCCGTTGTAGTTGTCGTTGTTGTTTTGTCGTTGCAACCCCAGAAGCGGCCGGGTGTCTTGCAGGTAGTTGACGGAACCGAGGTGGTAGTAGTGACTGCAGTGCTTGGTGGAAGGGTGCTCGTAACAAGAGTCGTAAGAGTCTTATCCTTGCAGCCAAACCAACCTGGGGTTTTGCAGGTAGTTGTGGTGGTCGTGGTGGTTGGGGTCGGAATCACACGTGTTGTTGTAGTCTTGTCTAAGCATCCAAACCAGCCTGGTGTTTCGCAAATTTCGGTTCGAGTCCGAGTTCGTGTGGTTGTTTTAGGTGGAGCAGTGGTTGTGGTATCCGTGCCGTTGCTCTCATACATCTTCCACTGTGCACAGTCTCTGCACTCTGGTGTCATTTCGCACTTTGGCACTGTCTTATACTTGAGCAGAACATCGGATATAACAGCGCGGATCTTGTGTGTTCCTATTCCTACACGCCAACCCTTATCAGCAACGACGTCATAGACGCATTCGTAGCCAGTGTGACAAGCTGTTTCCAGGGCGTATCCTGCAAATGAACATGAGGCCGTCGCACCGTTGCAAGTGCCGACATAGATGGGATCGGCGGTGTGACCAAAGTGGTAAGATCCAGTATGCATACGGGCTTGATGATTTTGGTTATTGTAGCCAGGAGGCACTGGAAGGCCAAGCCGAGAGGCTGCGAGTGCTTCTGGTACAGCCTCAAATGTGACGGCAGGCAAGCCATAGGTGAGACCAAGAAGCGACGTCACGGCACCACCGAGGGAGTGGCCAGTCACCCAGATAGTAGATTCTGGGTACATTTGAATGACCTCTCCATAGAGTGCTCTGGCTGCTGCATAGTATCGGTTTTCTTCACGTAGGGCGCCGGTTACGCAAGTATTGTTACACGAGTATGTACCGGTCGCACAGTCGCAGACTTGGTGCCACGTCCACTGGCCCTGTTGGGCGCAGCAGCAGCTGAAAAAAAGATTGTCGTTGACCTTGTCGTTTGTGGTTGTGCCCTCACCGTCAAATACAGCCGGGGATGTTCCCTTGAGTCCGATGACAACCGTTGAGTTGGATTCGTCAGCCCAGATGTGGCCACGCAAGCCGTCATTGTCCCAGCCGAAATCCAGTTGGCGGTCGAGATCGTCGATATCTTCCCAGTCGGCCTTGTCTTCATTTTCAACATATGCGTCTGCTGCCATGTATGCCATATTGAGAATGGTGTCGAAATCTGTGATATCGGGTGAAGGTACATTATCCATCGTCCAGGCATCAACGTCCATTGCGGCTGCGAAGCCCAACTGGCGTGAATGCGCTACGAGAGGATCTACTACTTCGGGGCGTCGGTCGGCCAGGCGCTGTATAGTCATAGGTCGACTCTTGAGTTTGAGCTTTGGTAGATCTACTTCATCGTATCCGTCTTCAGCTGCAAGGTAGATTCGGGATTCGTCATGGTCGACATGTCGTCTCCGATGAAGCCCGGGGTGTTTGTATGTGCCGTGATGGTAAATTTGACGCAAGCTAAACACATGTTCTGCTGGCAAAGGGGCTTCTGGCCCGTTTGGAAGCACAGGACCCGGTGGTAGGAGGATGTTGGGATCGAAAGCTGCGGTAGCTGATGTGACTGTCACTGCCGAAGCCGGCCCAGCCAAGGCGGAGAGCAAGAGAGCTGCTGCTGCTGCTCGGCCGACAGAGGAGCAGCCAAAAGCGTGTGGTTTCATTTTGTAAATGGATTTCAATCCCTCTGCTAAGATGGCGTTTGCAGTGCGGCAAAGTCCATCAAAAAGAGGAAAATCTTGAAGATGTTGGGGGCGAAGTGTAGCGTTGGGGGAGGGGGATTACGAAGTGACATGATGACAATGTTGTCATGAGCACGCGGATGGGTTGATAGCTGAAGAAGAGGTACCCACTACCTTGCTACCTTGCAAGGGCGGGAAAATAATTGTTAGTGTTTGTGCGGGTCTTGTAAGCAGTGGAGATCAGACTAACGTTCGCAGCCAGGCTAGACCGGGCAAGCTCTATGTACCTGATACTTGTAGCTTCCAGGGCCACATGTGACCCTTCCAGGGAACAACTTTAGTGGTCTGTAGGCCGTGGTGGCCCTGTTCGGAAGAGTGCCCGCCTATCGCTGGCCGCCTGCACTGTGCACTTTACTTTGCACGCCCTGCACACGCTCAGCGCGTCTTCCACAGTTACTGACCGCGCCGCCGACGTGCACCGCTTTGATTGAATTTTGCCCAACGCCGCACGCTGCTTCCACCACGCAATCATCACCACGACCCTCTTGTCCATCCAATCGACATCACAAGAGTGCGCGCGCATCGACGATAAGCTTGCCATTGCCAATTCTCTTATTGCGAGGCGCATTATATCGTCAAGATGACTGCCATGTACGTATTTATTCATCATAGCTCCTCCTGCACCTGGAAGCTTCCCCTGCGCCGCCATCGCGACACGGTGACAGCTTGGCTAACTTGGGCGCTTCGTTCTCGCCATACAGTGAAAGCTTCGATAACATCTACCTTGATCTCTCCAAGGAGAGCGGCAAGTGCAGATTTGCGGAAAACGGTTTCGGTTGGAAGCCATCGGCCGGCGGCGACACCTTCACCCTCGATAACGCTAACATCGGCTCCGCGCAATGGAGCAAGGCCACAAGGGGCTACGAGATTCGTATCCTGCAGCGCAACTCGGGCATTATCCAGCTTGATGGTTTCGCACAAGACGACTATGACCGCCTTGCTAAGGTATTCAAGAACTGGTACAGCACTGCTCTGGAAAGCAGGGAACATGCCATTCGTGGCTGGAACTGGGGCAAAGCCGAGTTCGCAAAGGCAGAGCTCACCTTCAACGTGCAAAACAAACCAGCATTCGAGCTGCCATATTCAGAAATCGGAAACACTAACTTGACGGGTCGCAATGAGGTCGCTGTCGAGATGTCCTTGCCGCAAGACGCCAACGACACCGGCACAGACAACGTTGGTGGCGCGCGTGGCAAGGGCAAGAAGGCCGGCGCCGGTCGCGACCAGCTCGTTGAGATGCGATTCTACATCCCTGGTGTGACGACCAAAAAGGAGGCTGATGGAGATGCCGGTAGCGATGCGGGCGAAGAGGAGGAACAGAATGCTGCCACCCTCTTCTACGATACGCTCATTGAGAAGGCCGAGATTGGAGAAATGGCTGGCGATACTATTGCCACCTTCCTCGATGTTCTACACCTTACCCCCAGGTATGTTGTTCCTAATTATGTTGTTCTACACGCAACAATGGCTAACTCGTTGTCCCCAGAGGTCGTTTCGATATCGACATGTACGAAGCTTCCTTCCGTCTCCGTGGCAAGACCTACGACTACAAGATTCAGTACGATGCCATTAAGAAATTCATGGTTCTTCCCAAGCCGGACGACATGCACTGCATGCTTTGTATCGGCCTTGACCCGCCCCTGCGTCAGGGTCAGACCAGATACCCCTTCGTGGTCATGCAGTTCAAGAAGGACGAAGAAGTTACTATTGACCTGAACCTCGATGAAGAGGCCCTCGCAAACAAGTACAAGGACAAGCTGGACGCCCACTATGAGGAGCCTTTGCACCACGTTGTTGCTAAGATCTTCCGCGGCCTTGCCAACAAGAAGATCTCATCCCCTGCCAAGGACTTCATCACGTACGTATACTCGCACTCTTTAAGGGGTTATTCAACAGAATTGTCAGCTAACTTTAACGCAGTCACCGCCAGCAATTCGGTATCAAGTGCTCCATTAAGGCGAGCGAAGGTTTCCTGTACTGTCTAGAGAAGGCCTTCATGTTCGTCCCCAAGCCAGCCACATACATTGCCTATGAGCAGACGCAATCCATCACCTTCTCGCGCGTGGGTGGTGCTGTAACTGCACTCTCTACTTTTGACATCACAGTCGTGATGAAGGGTGGCGCCGGTTCTTCGCAGTTCAGCAACATTAACCGTGAGGACCTTAAGGCCCTCGAAGCTTTCTTCAAGCTCAAGGGTCTACGGGTTAAGAACGAGATAGACGAGAACGCCAACATGCTTGCGCAGGCTATGCGTGAGCAGGCCATGGACGACTCCGACGACGACGGAGGCAAGGCCGACCTCGGATCCGCCGCCGAAGATGGCGAGAGCGAGGATGAGGACTTCGAGGGAGGCAGCGACAGTGACGTCGCTGAAGAATTCGACAGTGAACACGACTCTGGCTCAGGATCAGATGGGGAAAGCGGCAGCGGTGGCGGTAGCGGCGATGAAGATGAGGAAATGGAGGATGAGGATGACGAAGAGGAAGAGGAGGAGGAGGAGAGACCGAAGAAGAAGAAGAAGACTGGTTAAACAGATGACACGGACTTGCACAAAAGCTCGGCTTGGTTCAGAAAGCGGAATGGTAAGGGGGGCTTGTATAACGGACATTGTAAAGCAGAGTGGCGTTAAAAGGCTATTGGACGTGGAGCTGTTTTTTTGCATCCAGTCTTTTTTTTGTTAATTGTTTGATATAGGAATGGGACCATTACATTTAAACTAAAATCGTATGTGCGCTTCTTCTACAAAGTGACTCAGTGAATGATGTGCAAAGCTAGTAACAGAAAAGCCGGAATAGTTTTCATTGAAATGCGGATGGTATATAAATATAGAGACAGAAAATGCGATATGTCCGATATGCGGAGGAAAAGAAAGGGACAAAATACATGATTTCGAGCGCGCTATGGTCTAGGCTTCAACATTAAAACAGGGGCAATGTGCTCATTATGCAAGGCGGGGATGCGGGATGCTGATCAGATATACGACATGAGAAATGGTAATTTTGTAATCCGCAGAAAGGTCCATAAGGCGTGACCTCCACGTATCCAACATGAAAAGTGTACACACGAGCAGCAGGCTTTTTACTCGTCGGCACTTGAAGCAGGCTCTCCATTATTAGCCTTCTTGCGAGGTCGGAAAAGATCAACCAGAGTTTCGCTCAAGCTTCTCGACCGAAGCCTTGGCTGTGCTTCTGGCACCAATGGCGTTTCATCCGTGTATGTGGTGGGCAGCTGGGTCTCTGACTGAGGAACTAGAGTTTGCTGGGTATCGGCCTCGCCGTTGCTGCCTAGGATGTCTGGTTCGTCTTCATCGTCGAAGTATAAACTTGCGCGGATGGTGGATCGAATGCGGCGCAGTGAAGACCGCGAGCCTACCGTGTGTTGGTTTTCTCGCAAGAAAGCATCCTTAACAACGGCGGTAACGGTAGAAGAAAGCGGAGATGGATTAATAAACGTGCGCGAACGGTTGGTGTTCTTGAGGTTTGAGAGGTTTGTCCGCGGTGTGACAGGGCGGTCTTGACCAATCTGGCCATCGGTTTCTCTTAGAGGCGTTGCTAATGTCGTGTATGATGTTGTAGAATCAACGCTGGTGGCTAGGATCAGTGGAGTTTCCGGCGTACCCTCGCTTGACTGGTGGCCAGAGGTGCCGACGACATCGATAGGCCCTGGTGGTTCGTCGATGAGCGATGTCGCTGGGCTCACCAAGTCTTTGCCGCGAGGAGACTCAACGTTGTGTCGGTCTTGGTCAACAAAGCTGACTTTGGAGATTTTGCTCGACCGACGAGATCGCGGGATAGAACCGGCGTCGTCATTGGCAACTTGTGTCGGGTTGCCATCTTGGTCCATTAAACCAATGGTTTCTTCAATCCCGTCAAGGTCCAGCAGCATATCTTCATCGTCATCACTTTTATGCTGGCGGCCTGTTGTAATAAGAAAAACGCCGAAAAACGTCAAGAGGCAACCGCCAATAAACTTTTCCGCCTGCTGGAGAGTCGTCTTTTCAAAATCGCGATAGAGGATCGCACTACCGAGGATGACACAGAGTGTAAACATGACAAACTGGATGGGAATGACTTGTGTCGAATCAAAACGCTGCAAGGCTTTGTTGACGTATCGAATTTGCAGGATGGCGGTTCCCAACAAAACGACCAGTAGAAGGTAGGTAATGGGTGTTGTGAAGGCTCGAAGGAGAGTCGAAGAAAGCATTGACGAAACACCCTTGGTAGCTAAGGCAGTATATCCTCCTACATAGTCTGTTAGCACAAGTTCAAACATAACTCAGTCCTCTCCACTTACCAAATAGGCCGACCAAACCGAGATCAATCAAAATAGTGTGGCGGCCATACCGAGGACTGGCCCACATCAACAGGATTATGAGCGTGACGGTGACGGCAAAGTAGACCTTAAATTCAAAGGTCGTGATGGCTTTAATAATGTCGTTGGGATTGAGCTTGGTCTCTTCTGTCTTGGCGCTGAAGACAACAGTGACAACTCCCAGCACAGCAATGACCACACCCCAGAAGTCCCGTATGCGGAATCGTTCCTTGAACATGACGGGGGCGATAATGCAGTTGGACACTAGAGCCACGACTCCCAATGGTGATACGATGGACGCCGGGGCAAATCCATACGCCAAAAAGTTGCCCATTTCTCCGAGTGTGATGAGGATCTGGCCCAGCCACCAGTACGGCGACTTGAGGTAGCTTGAAGACTGCTTTGCTTCACGGCTGAGAGCCTCGGGACTCGGATCATCGGATTCGGATCCCGACAGGAGACTCGTCTCGGAGCGTATCATGGCTTCCCCTGAGTTGGTTCTGCCATTTCCATTTGGTGGCCGTTGGCCCGAGTCTTCGCGGCTTGCTGTCGCGCCGTACTGGCCATTGGGACCACCGGTTTGTGTTCGTTTCAGAGCTAGACGTGCTTGCTTTTTTAATCTAGCACGCTCTTTGTGCAGTCTGGTATGTGCGTATCGCTGGACGTTGAGCGCCAGAGCAATGAGGACATTTCCAACAATGGCTGTCACAATACCAATCAGCGACGACCATCGCTGCAGCGTGTCTCCATCACTGGGCTTGCCGCCCTTCAGTATGTCGATCATGGCATTCGCCGAAGAGTCCGTCCGCATCGCAGGCTGCGTTCTAGTGATTAGTGGTTGATAGAATCACGGCTGCTTGACCGAGAGAAGCGACCCTTGTTGGCGACCGGCGCGAAGGGCCTTTTAAAGCTGATGCTTGCCCAGCAGAACAGAGGCAGCGGCCGTTAGTTCATCGAGGATTCTCCAGGGAGCAACGATCTGCGATAACGATGCTGGCAGGCGTTGTAGTCAGCGATGTCGGCTTCTGCGGTAAAACGGTGATGTCGTATTGAAAACGCTGGGCGTCATGTCATCCGCGTATTTTTGGACGTCGGCGGCTTCGTCATTGCTGCCGCCACCGACAGGCATAGCGGTGCAGGCGCCCCACCGCTCGGCGACAAGGGCCGCTCAAGGCTAACAAACAACCCTGATACTTGCTGTCATTCACCTGCATCATCACCGCAAGGATTATAAATCTTGCTTTGCCCAAACATCCCGGTCGTCCATTTCCCACGACATCACCAATTATTCGCACTCATGGCCGATCCGACGCCAAGACCGATGCACATGCTCGATGTGGCCGACATTGCAGCATCCTCTTACAATCCATCGGCACTCTCTCATCTGCCGCGCCCAATCCCCAAAGACTTACCTCGCGGCTTTGATTCCACAGTATTCACATTTAACGATGCCTTTGAAGACCTCCTCGAGGTATCACGCGGCAACGCACTGCCGTCCATTCAGACCCGCTATGACCAGAGTCGCCTCCTGAAGCGCATGTACCCCGACGGCGAGCCAACTTGGTTTTGGGTGCAGCGTCTTCAATCCCAGGGGCTCGTGGATATCCCGTCACCGTGGATCCAGCCTATGATCTCAGGTGCAAACTGGGATCGCCTCCACCGTGAATTGGAACAAAGGGCCGGCGATGTTTGGCGCAATTTGCGAAGTGCCTGGGACGCCGAGGCGCAGAAACGTCCATCAACAGAATCAGACAAGACGAAGACGACAGAAAACTGGTGGGGAGATAGGGAATCCATCAAGTTCTCAGAAGGCGAAAAGAAGGGTCCGAATGACTTTGATGAACTCTTCTCATGGGTCCAATCTGGCGTGAAGCAAGCCGAGTCGGGCTTCAATACCTTTGTCAAGACATTAGATGGCAGAGGCCCTCAAGGCAACACTGACGACCTCAACACCAAGAGGGTAGAAACCACAGACGAGCATGTCGACAGATTTGGCTACGTTCACACAACACGCAAGGTTAAAATCATTGACAGTGAGGGCAAGGAAATCGGGACCGAGATATACAAAACTATTAAGCCTGCAAAGAACGATGAGACAGAGAGCTCCACGGGGACTAAAGACAAGGAGAATTCAAACTCGAGATGGGGGAGATAGCTTTGAAATGATGTCAGATGCAATTCCAGATAGTATATCTCGACTCAACGCTATGTACATACAGATATTGTAAAACTAATTCATAATTATTACCGCACCGCCCATCTTTTATTTCTTACCCCTTGAAGTCGCCTTCTTTTTCTTCATCAGGCGTTTCCTGGCAATCAGCTTTTGTTTCATATCGTCCTTGCTTCCACCCTCTTCTTGGTCGCCGTCGCCAGAAACCTTTTCCTTGAGCGTCGGCTTCTTGCCCTGGCGTCGATCGCCCTTAAAGTCACGCTTCGGCGGTCTACCATCTGGCTTGTGCTCCTCTGCGTTTTGCTCAGACTTGTCTTGCTGCGGTTGGCGGGACTTTTCTTCGTTTATTCTTCTGCGCTGAACAACCTGTGCGTTTTCAATGGAGAACTCAGCAATAAGTCGCTGCTTCTTGCCATTGGCATCTTCCAATTGCAGACCGTTCAAGTAACGCAGACCCATGAGGGCCCAGTGATGAGAGACATACTCGACGAAACCATAACCACGACTCTTGCCGGCTCCAGTGTCCTCGCCAACCTTTGAACCTTGCTTGTTTTCAAAGATAATTTTAGCCTGCTTGACAATACCCTTGCCCTTGGCTTTGCGTTCCTGATCCTTTTCTCTGGCGTCTGCTCCGTCTCTAGCATTCTCTTCCTTTGACAAGGGTTCCCTCTTGCCCTCCTTGACTTCCTTTGCAAATTCAACAACAGCCTTACGTGATAGCTCTTTGAGTTCTTTGGCACCGATATTACGGGGGATGTTCCTCAGAGCCAAACGAGTTAAACTGACGTGAAGCGAAGGGTTTCCCTGTACCATCTTCTTTCTTTGTGCCACACTAGCCGCTCGCATGTGGATTTCCGTCTCGGTGAGGAGGTCAAACATGGGTGAGTTTGAAGGAATAACACCTTCTGCGAGAAGATACAGGCGTCTCTTATCTTTTTCGCGGCGCTTGGCCAAAGAGTTTTGAGCAAGGTCGTTCGCCTCAGTTTTGTTTACGGCTTGTACCACACGTAGAAGTCGGCCATCTAGTGTGTATTTTCCAGTAGGATCGGCATTTTCGTCGTATAAAATAGAAGTTTTGCTGTTTGTTGTCGCAGTAGGTTGAGGGCGAGGAGCAGCTTTGAGGCATTCCTTGGCTTCTTCGATGTCAGCGAAGCAAACGAAACCAGTACCAGCAGGACGATCAGTGGCCTTGTCCATGACCACTCGCGCATATCGAATGGCACCAAAGTGGCTAAAGAAAGTCTTAAGCTGTTCGTCCGTCGTGGTGAAGGGCAAGTTTCGGACAAAGACAGTGGTAGAGTTGTCCGTCGAACGTTGCGTAACCGCTTTGCGTTGTTGGGTCTCTTCTTCGTCCTCGTCTTCGTCGTCCTCGTCCTCCATATTCTGCATGTGGTTCTTCATAAAGTTCTCCAAGTCTGCATCTAGGCATTCCTTGCCCTTAGCATCGCCGTCATCGGCATCGGGCTCGTCCTCATCTTCATTGTCGTCCTCTTCGGCACTATCGTTGCCTTCAACATCTTCTGCTTCATCCTCCTCGTTTTGTTGTTGTGTTTCCCAGGTGTTCTTATCAACTGCCCAATCGACCGCGAGTGTTCTGCCATCAATTTCTTTGCCATTGATAGCCTCGAGAGCCGCCTCAGCATTCTTTTTGCCTCGGAGAGTGACAAAGCCGAAACCCTTCATCAATCCCTTCGACTTGGGCAAGTCAGCATACTTGACCTTGCCATAGCTTCTAAAGAGATTACCCAGTTGCTCAGATGTCTTAATTGTCCATGGCAGGTTTCGAACAATCAGCTTAGGTGGTGGCTGGAATTCAGGCTTGCCAGGCTTTGGCTTTGTAGGAGCAGATCCTTCGGCGCCAGAACCACGTTGTCTTGGCTCTGCAACTTCGACACGAAGGAAACGGCCATCCCACTTCTTTTTGTCAAAGACCTTTTGGGCCTCTTTGGCATCATCGGCATCGGCGAGCGTGACGAAACCAAATCCTCGGGATTCCTTTGTGTTCTGGTCGACAACCACAGTGGCATGCTTCACAGGAAAGTACTCCGAGAAGAACTCTGCCAGGCTTTCGTTTGTGGCATTCGAGGGAAGTGATCGAACAAATAGAGAGCGTCGCTCTTCGGTTTTCGCCTTCTTCTTAGGTGCTGGTGAAGCGGCTGTGTTGTCAATGTCGGCGAGGGCTAGCTCCATGGCCTCTTCGACTTCAGGCCGGGAGCGCTTTCGGTCCTCCATTTTTCTAGCCATTTTATGACACTATTTAAACAAAGAGATGTCAAACAATAGTGAAAATTGGCTATTCTGCCTGCAAATGCATATGCATGTAAATCTTTCTGTAGCGCCTACCAAAAAAAAAGTATAGAGGTATCCACCCCGTCAAAAAGTTCTTATCTTATCGCACGTGAGGTGGGTGGTGGCCGCGGGGCGCTATGCCCGATTGGGCATATTGTTGACTTGGAACAACACGAGACGCGCATCCAAACAAAGGGTCGTTTGATGAAGACCAACGTGAGCGGCTAACAAAGTAAACCGCCAACAACGTTGTTTACACCATCGACTACAATCGCTAGAGTACTGGTCGACACGTCCAAAATGCCCACCAGAATCGCCGCCACACGGTCTGCGAGGCCTCCATCATCGTCTGGCCGCAAACCGTCTGTGACAATCAAAGACAACCGCACAGTCTCTGTAGCTGTGCCGCCGTTTCGCTTTGCCGACGCCCAAGAGAATTCCCTGCGACCGAAGATTGCTGCAATCTTCCGCGATGCGCAGCGTAACACAGCTACCCATCGCAAGCTCGTCGTGAATCTGCGCAAGATCCACGAGACTTGTTGCTATGAGCCCGCCGATAAGATGGCGGACTCGTCCAACGACTCCGACGAGGAAATATTCAACAAAGAGTTCATTCGATGTGTCTTGCGCATTATGCCGATCAAGAAAGCGGAAGCTGTTGGTGAAAAGTCGATTCGCTTCATCGGATTCTTCCTACGACATGCGAGCGACAAGGACAACGAACTGGCTGGTGAAGCCGATGGCGATTTGATGCCCGAGACTCCCACTTCACGACTCATCACGCAAACCCTTGAGGCTGTGGTTCCTCTTATGTCTGTAAAGGATAAATTTGTCCGATATCGCTCGACACAGCTCCTTTCACAAATCATCAACTCCCTCGACGCGCTCGACGACGAACTCTACCAGACCTTGCTCCAAAGTCTCCTCCGAAGAATCCGCGACAAGGAATCCATGGTTCGCGTACAAGCTGTCCTGGGACTAGGACGTTTGGCCGGTAACCCATCAGAAGCCATGTCTAATTCAGACGACGGTGATGAGAAAGACAGTGGCTTGCTTGAGAAGCTGCTCCAGGTTCTGCAGAACGATCCCAGCGCCGATGTCCGCCGATCGCTTTTGGTCAACCTTCCTATTCTGCCAAACACCCTGCCCTTCTTGCTAGAGAGAGCCCGTGACCAAGATGCGGCTACCAGACGCGCAGTTTACTCGCGCCTCCTCCCCGCACTAGGTGATTTCCGTCACTTGTCCTTGTCCATGCGCGAGAAACTCTTGCGATGGGGCCTGCGTGATAGAGACGAGAATGTTCGCAAGGCTGCTGGTAAGCTATTCCGTGATCGCTGGATTGAAGACTGTGCTGGCACGGTGAACCCCGAAGAGTCAGTTCCCAACTTTGACGGCCTTCTTGAGCTTCTAGAGCGCATTGATGTTATCAACTCTGGAGTTGAAAATGGCGTTGCGCTGGAGGCCATGAACGGCTTCTGGGAGGGCCGTGGAGATTATCGCGATGCCGTCAACTTCGACGATGAATTCTGGGAGACGCTCTCAGCGGAGTCGGCATTCTTGGCCCGAAGCTTCAACGAATTCTGCAAGGCTGAGGGCAACAGCAGAAAGTATGAGTCCCTGGTCGAGGAAAAGCTGCCCGAGGTTACTCGCCTCGCCTTTTACCTTGAAAGATATCTCAATGCACTCATCGAGTCCCACAAGAAGATCCAGGCAAACGAAATGGATGAGGAGGGTGAAGATTTGACCGTAGAGCAGGAATTCATTGTCGAGCAGCTGCTTCATATTGCACTTTCTCTCGACTACTCAGATGAAGTTGGTCGCCGCAAGATGTTTACTCTTCTTCGCCAGTCGCTCTCTATCCCAGAATTGCCAGACCAGGTTACCAAGCTTACCATCGAGGTTCTGCACTACATCTGCTCTCCCGACGCCGCTGGCGAGCGAGAATTTTGCAGCATTGTTCTCGAGTCCGTTGCCGATGTGCACGACACCATTGTTGATGATCTTCCCATTGATGATGTTGACGACAGCTTCCATTCCGCCAGATCCGAGGTCAGCGGCCTTAGCACGCCAACTAAGGGTGGACGCAAGGCCATGAACGCCGAAGAGGAGCGTGAAAGAGCCGTCAAGGAGATCGTGATCAACATGAAGTGTCTTCATATTGTGCAATGCATGCTTACACATGTATCCGGTCATCTGAAGGACAATGCGGACTTGGTCTCCATGCTCAACAATCTTGTGGTTCCCGCTGTCCGCAGCCACGAGGCACCAGTCCGTGAGCGAGGCCTTGTCTGCTTGGGTCTCTGTGCCCTCCAGGATCGCTCGCTTGCGGAGGAGAACCTCGGACTGTTTATTCACTTCTTCAACAAGGGCCACGCTGCCCTTCAGATCACTGCCCTCCATATTCTGACCGATATCCTCAACGTCCATGGAGCCCACCTCTTCTCTTCCACGCCCGCGTTGTTGAAGGTTTATGTCAAGGCTGTCAAGAGCGGTTCGAAGAGCTCTGAAGTCCAGGCCGCTGCCATCATTGCCACCTCAAAGCTGCTGCTGGGTCGTGTTGTAACAGACGAAGAGGCCTGCCAGGAGCTGCTCAAGTCGCTGGTTATCGCCTACTTTGACCCGGTCTCGGCATCGAATCAGACAGTGCGCCAGGCTCTCAACTACTTCCTACCTGTGTTCTGCTACTCCCGCCCATCTAACCAAGATCTTATGCGATCGATTTCTTTGGTCGTTCTTCACTCACTTCTCAGCCTACGTGATGGTCTAGAGGATGACGATGAAGTCGATCCTGAGGAAGACATGGTTAACATGACTACCATCGGCGCGTGTTTGGTTGACTGGACTGATCCCCGTAAATGCTACAGCTCAACAAGTCTTCTCGAGCCTGAGAAGAAGTATGTCAACGGTGATGTGCACCTTGATTTTGCCTTGGACATTATTGATCGCCTGCACGGTTCCGTTAACAGTAAGTTTCTAATTCCCGCCACGCTAAACTATGACGGATGCTAATCCAGCTTTTGCTTCAGAGGAAGAAAAGAAGCTCATTTCTGGCCTGTTCGGCAAGCTTTACGTCTCTCCAGGCTGCACCCCGGAGAAGCTTCGCGAGACGTACGACGATGTGAGCCAAGCCGTGGAAGACGGCCTCTGCTCAGACGCGACTAGCCGCAACTCACTGTACAAGCTGCATATCAGCTTGGGCAAAATCGTCAACTCTCTTGACGAGCAGCAACCCGGCCCAGCCATGCGCAGTGTATCAGCAACACAGGACAGGCAATCGAGTGAGCACAAGCTGGGATCAGACGATCCTAGTATGAAGGAGGAGTTTGATGACAGCAATGGCACCGTTATTGCAAAGTACGATAATAGAGAGACGACGCTGGACGAGGTTACTGCAGCTGTCGGTGACATCGATATGGACGATGATTCCATCTAAGCCGTCTAGTGGCCGGTTGCTTTCAATGTATTAATGAGGAGTATGGTTTTACATATATATTTTTATTTATTTCTCGAGTTGGTATATTTAAAAAGCAGATAAAATGCAATAATCTAGTTGATCAAGGGTTTCTTGTCTTCCAACACTGCCACGATTACTTTTTGCCAAGCCAAAACAGAAGACTGCCGATTCCTAGGTTGATGAGTAGATGCTGTCCGAGGCTCCATGCCATACAGTACAAATATTTCGGTGAAAATACGGTCCAAATAAAGATATGAGTTCTTAAAGCCGTACATGCGGCCATGATGAAAGCCATGCTTAAAGTTGTAAAGCCTGTGAGCAATGTGGCATGACGTACAAAAGCTGATTTATCGCCGGCTTTGTATTTTCGAATCAGGATGAGGTTTGAAGCAGATGTCCAGAAAAGAGGGCCGGCCCAGTTGCTCACAAGAGTCAGGACTCCAACAGCGACAACATTGAAGCTGCTTATTCCGTTATAGGCACTGGAGAGGTCAACAGACGAAATCGCGTTTGACCCTCCAAGTGCAAAGAAAGACGCGAACTGTAACAGAATGGACGAGGTGGCTAACTCTGTGGAGTTGAGCTGGCTAACAGTGAGTGACTTGTAGATGGTGTGAAACAGAAAGAAGACAGGAAGGTTTGTTGCTCGCGACTGGGTTATGCATAGCAATGTCAACAAATCGTGGAAAATAGCGGCTAGGTCGCGTTAGTGATAAGAGTCGTTCACGTTGGCGCACTTTATCATACCTGTAGATGTTGGACCCGTAATCATGGTTCGCGAACGATAGATAGCAATCACGGCAACAGCTGTGAGGGCGAGGAAGACTATCCGAGCTTGCCAGAGAAGCGACTGCCCACCCAAGAATTCATGAAGAACCTGAGCAAAGCCGGTAACAATCTCTGGTGCGTCCTCCTTCGTAAAAGCTAACTTGAAGGAGAAGCAGGAGGATATGAGAACTGAAGTCAATGCAACAGTCAATGTAGGCGGGATTCCGGCCAGATTAACCATCAGACGCAGCCATATAATTAGAAATATGGCAATGATCATTGACCATAACAGCTGAGGCGACGTGACAATAAAGCTCTTCACAATATCGGGTTCACCAGCGTATTTTTGGCCAGTCTGGTTCCAGCCACGGGTAAGTCTTAGTGCTCCCAGAGCAAAAGCATACCAGATGGCGCCGGAGTTTCCTCCGCTTCTGGTGTTGATTGACCGGACTCCAAGGTAGGCAATCCATATAGTTGCAGCCCAGTACCAGAAGTGTTGTTCTTCTTCCACATAGCTGCTAGCAAACATCATTCCACCGTACGATACTCCTGTGAGGAGCAATGGTAGGGTGGATTGGAAGGCGGAAGGCGTGGATTTGTTCATGACGATGATGACTGCTACCACAGCGGTTGCGAGGACGGCCAAGACTTGGCCAATAACAAGCTTTTGCATGTCGTAATTCGACGCCATGCCACTCATCAGGCTCTGTGCCTCGCGGATCCAATCAGAGACATCTTTCAACCATTCTTCACTTATGGCGTTGGCTTTGCTGAATGTTTGAGCTTCGGCGCTAATCTTACGCCAGGCACATGATAGATTGTTGACATCAGAGTCTCCCAGAGAGCAGGGGTCAACATCAGTGTTGTTGTTGGAAAAGAGCTCGGGTCCAAACACGGCAGTCACAATATTGAGGATTTGTCGAGCGTTACCCATCAAGATCTGGATCTTGTCACGGGGCGAAGGCCAAAAGGGCAGGAATTCGGGAATCAAGGCGCCCAAGTTGTTTTTGGACACTGGAAATCCAAGCAGAGCCGCAACAGTTGGAGCAATGTCCGATTGCTCAACTGCAGAGTAGAAGTCAAACTCGTTGAAGGGGCTTGCGGGTGCATCCAACTTTGGCGCAATTGATTTCAACTTGGGCGACATGAAGACAAGGGCAGGTGATGTTTCTCCAGGAGACGATGCACCATGGTTTCCAGCATCGTTCATACCATGATCTCCGCACATCACAAAAAGTGTGGACTGTAGATGCTCATTTTGTTCCATGGCGGTAAAGATTTGCTGTACGATGCCGTCCATTTCTTCTTGCTTGGGCTTCATGTTTGAGCTTCGTGGACCTGATTTGTGTCCAATGTGATCCAGTCCTAGGTAATGCAAGACCATGAGCCCCCAATCTTTATTTCCAAGTTCTTCTGGGACATGGCGGGTGACATTGTTGTCAACTTCTGTAAAGTCCTATGGTATTCTTGGTTAGATATATTCGACCTTGAAATAGAAAATTGCTTACAGAGACAAAAAAGCTCGATGTTCCATCATGGCGGTCAAAGGTCTCTGGAAATAGCTTAAGCCAGGTGTCATCTCCGTAAAGGATGAGTTTTCCAGCATCCTTGCGCTTGAGCTGAGCTAGCCACGTATCTTGGGCAGCAAGCGTCGAAGAGGTGTCTGCTTCGTCAAAATTGAGAATCAAATCTACAAACGATGGCACAGATCCAGTAGTAATGGACTTGAGCTTCGGCATCGTCACCGTTGGTGATCTAGCGTTTGCAGTGAAGGGGATAGCGTTGCCGGTTCGAATAAGACTAGTAATAGGTCAGGACATTGTTCAGTACAGGAGGAGCATGGATGGAGTACTTTTGTGTATACTGGAACCCGGAGCCATCGGCATAAACAAAATCGCTGGAGTTTATAGTTAGTAGAAATACAAACTGTGTATGCTTGCTGAAACCATACCTGCGCAGCGCATCCACAACCATGAATATCAGCTTGTCAAATGGGGCCTCTGGGGGTTGTCCAAATTCAAGGCTCTCATATTCAGCCAGACCAGGAAGAAATGGCTTGTATGGGAAGAATCCAATGGCAAACACCACAATTGAAATGGGTATTAGTATGTTGGCGAGAGCAAGTAACCCCACGCCGCGAAACCCTTGAGGCGTCGTCGACTTGGCTGTGGCCATTGCGACAGAATTTAGAGTATTCTTTTTCAGAATGGATAAAACGTGAGCTAGGGTGTAATGGACATAGCTGTATAGACCACCACAGTTAATTGGATATCGCGAGGTTGTTTCAGCAAAGCAGCAACGCGTTGTACGCGATGGTGTAGGTTGGTCGTCGTCCTTGGCTTGGGACAGATTGCGGCCCCTGTTTAGGCTGCCCAGCAGGGTTAACGGGCGGGTGTTCGGGGAAGGCTACACGCGGCGTGGGGAGTTGATTGGCGGAGACAAGTGCGTGCGCCACAGTCCAATTACTGGCATTAGTGAACTAACAGTACTATATACTATGCAGGCCAACACTGAATAAGAGAGAATTGATATATTTCTTGTTTTGAATATTTGAAAATTGTGACCCGAGTCCTAACCCTTGTACCAAAAGCAACAGTAAAACAACATGGACATTCGCCTACAAAAAACAAAAGCGCCTTCGTTATGTAACATCGACTTTACGCCTTAGCCGCCTTGGCCTTTACAACCTGCTTCTTCTTGGCCTTGAGTCTATCGCTATATTTCTGGAAAACAATGCTGGATCGCTTTTGCTTTCTCTTGTCAATTCGCTTGCGTGCTGGTCTCGGGGCATCGACTTCCATAGCTGGACATGCAGGTTAGCAAGACATCGGAACACTAAAGCTGTAGATTTCGTACCTGTTTCTTCCAGCTTGTCCTCATCTGCGCCATCTATGACTACTGTTAGATTGGCCATCTTATACTGACAAATAATATATATACATACCCTCCAATGTAGAGCTGACAGGCTCAGGCTTGGGTGCTTTGGCAAGCTCTAGCAACTTGGCAGAGAGGCGCTCAGCTCGGGCCTCCTCAGCAGGCGTGAAGACGGCGCTGGCCAGACGTCTGTTGTTGGCCTTCTTGGTGCTCGATCTGCTGCTCTTGGCCATTTTGATATGTGGTTGTAGAGTTCTTTTGTAGTGCGACGAGAGTGTTGGTCACTCGTGTGAGCAGCTGGGCAGACGAAAAAAATATGTCCCCCAATCGCAACTTTTTTGGCGGGGCCAGACGGATAGGCGATAAGTTGTGGCGCAGTACAATTTTTTTTACAGCGGCCTTCGGCACGCGCCCGCCAGTGGCCACGCTAAATTCTGGCCACCCTTGTGTGGCGTAGCGTGCAGGGGATTTAGGTGCCTACAGGCAACGGCGGTTCAAATTGTGCCCAGGCGTGCACGATCGTGCTGGTCAAAGAACGCTGGCTTCAACTCTTGTTCAACCACGCCGCCCGCGATCTCCGGCGCGTATTTCCCAACGACAAAGCACACGGGCGTACACGTGTTGTTTGCATTTACCTATACACTTACGACCTAACCTTCACTGGCATTCTTTTCAACCAGAGACTGTCATACTTCGGACGGCGACCGCGGGGAGAGGACTGCGAACCAGGGCAGCGGGCTGAGCCCTCAACATCAGAGTGAATGGGTTGGTAGAGGCTGTCACGGAAACACAAGGTTACCTACTACAATTCCTACTTCACTAAGCGATCGAGTGGTCAGCGCCGAACAGGCTGCAGCCAATACGAAATCATGAACGACCAGGCAGGAACCATGATTGCAATACCGAGACAGGACGTGTCGTCGCTGATGCGCCAAGTCCAAAGCTCGCAGCTGTTCAACCGGCAATTAGCATCCATATGTCAAGTAAATGGATTGAGGAGTACAGGCGTCAAGGCCGAGCTCCAGCACAGAATCGTCGATTGTACGTCAGTGATCACCATCAGTCCGCATAGCCGCTAATAAGCTCCCAGTAATCCAGGAAACAGCCAACGCAAACGATATCTCTCGCTTTTATCAGGTCAGACAGAGCGTTCTGAATGCTTTGGCTCAGCGCAGTCCTGCCAAGAACGCGACTGCACGAGCAAATCATGCTGCAACGCCGCTGAACAGCATGGTGAACATGAACCACGCCATGCCAACGTACCCAACGTCATTCCCATTCGACCCTCTAGGATCTACATCCAACGGCCAACACAGACCAAGGCCTCACATGACGAATTCTCTGCCTCTTACATTCAAATCGAGCCCGTTCTATCGCGTGGAGAACCCAATAGGCAACGTGAAAATCTGCGAAGGTACCAAAGCATGCCTGAGATGCTGTATCTACCCCGTGCATAAAGCTGACCGTTACATAGTTATGACACAGCACAGAAACACGATTCATTGGACGATTAACATGTCTGAATACTCGTCGCTTGCTCAATGTGTCAACAACCCTGCATACAAGGTTCTTCTTTTCTGCGCCTCCGACGTCTCTGGCGTGCAAGATGTTGCGTTTCCTCACCAATCCGAGTTAAGAATCAACGGCGCCGAATTCAAAGCAAACCTACGCGGTCTAAAGAATAAGCCTGGCTCTACTAGACCAGTTGACATCACGAGCGCTATGAGGTTGCGACCCAACTATAAAAACGACATAGACTTTACATATGCCCTGACAAACAAGGTACGCGCTACAGAGCACTAAATTTTGCTGTAAATACTAATCATATCTTAGAAATTTTATCTTCTGATAAATGTCTGCCAAATATCCACAGTGGCTGAACTGGCAGAGACTGTCAAAACACGCCGACGAATCCCCAAGGAATCTGTCATTGCAGAGTGTAAGTCATCCTTTAGCATCCCGCTGAGGCAAGCTCGCTGACCATGAAAAGTGAACAAAAAGGCACAGGACCCAGACGTGGTCGCAACAGCTCAAGTGCTTTCACTGAAATGTCCCCTCTCATACATGCGTCTAGATGTCCCCTGTCGAGGCATGGGATGCACGCATATCCAGTGTTTTGATGCCACATCGTATCTTCAACTCCAGGAACAAGGCCCACAGTGGCTATGCCCTATTTGCAGTAAATCAGCTCCGTTTGAGCAGTTGGCCGTTGACGAGTATGTCTCCCATGCAGCGAGATCGTACTATTTTACTAACCAGACTGAATAGATACGTAAAGGACATCTTGGAGAACACGCCAAAGTCTCTGGAGGCCGTTACCATCGAACCTGATGGCAAATGGGTCATGAAAGCCGAAGAAGACGAGGCGCTGCCCAGTCGACCGGCGGCAACTAACGCACTGTATGGTGTGGACGATGATGACGACGACGACTTCGAAATATCTGAAATCAGCTTCATCCCCGGACGTTCATTCGATAGCCCCAGACGACTGGCATCTGCTAGTGGCACGCCAACGTCTCAGGCATCACGCACAAACGGCAATGCAAACAACAAAAGACCAGCTCCAGTTATTGACTTGACGCTGTCATCTGATGATGAAGACGAGCCACCACGACCTGCAAAGCGTCAAAACTCGGCTACCAGCGGATTCACTCCGACAGCCTTTAGCTTTCCCAGTCCATCAGTACACATGACTCTGAATGGTCCACCAAATGGGTTTGCTTCATGAATCAGGTGTGAATACCTGTTTTATTTTCCCACCAGCGATAGTTTTTGGCGTTTTGGAAAGAGGGTGGATAAACAAGAGAGATTCCCCCTTGTTTGTACAGCATATGGAAAATGGAAAATGATTCTTCAGCACGGAGTCGGAATTGGCTTGTCTTTTCATATGCATTTTCGTAGATACAAGTTTGCATTTGCCATGAATTCGGTAGAGAAGCAATATAGTATTTGTAAAACAATTCATTTTATTCTATCAAAATGTAACTATAGATATGATGCTGAGTACGCCGTATTAAATTCAAATCCGTTATTGTCCGTCCATGCGACATTTGTGTCTTTTTTTTGCCCTCTAGATTCCGCCTCATTGATTATTCGCCCGCTAATAAAATAAACATTTTTTAGTTCCAAGATTCAAGGTTCTTGATGACGCAACCAGCGACGCCCTCCTCACGTCGAACAAGACGGCCGAGTCTCGAGACCTTCTCAGTAGCACTAAGAGCATTCGCGACAGCATCAGCCTTGCGAGCATCAACAGCAATGACCATACCGACACCACTGTTGAAGGTGCGGCACATCTCAGAGCCAGCGACATTGCCGTTGGTCTTGAGCCACTGGAAGACAGGAGGGATTTCCCATGTGCCAAATTCGATCTCAGCAGTGAGGGATTCAGGCAACATGCGGGGAACGTTCTCAACAAGGCCACCACCAGTGATATGAGCAAGGCCCTTGATGTCACCCAGGATAGGCAAAAGACTCTTGACGTAGATGCGCGTAGGGGTCAAGAGAGACTCGCCAACAGTCTTACCAGCATCCCAAGGAGCGGGAGAAGAGTAGTCAACACCAGTAGCCTGGACAATGCGACGGACAAGAGAGAATCCGTTGGAGTGAACGCCGTTGGAGCCAAGACCGAGGAGAACGTCTCCTTCGGTCATGTTGGAGAGTTGAGGCAACATGGCATCGCGAGTGACTGCACCAATGGCGCAACCGGCCGCATCGTAGTCCTCACCCTGGTACATGCCAGGCATTTCAGCAGTTTCACCACCGACGAGGGCACAGCCCGACTGACGGCATCCCTCAGCGACACCTTCAACAAAAGCAGCAGCCGATGCGAGGTCAAGCTTGCTGCAACCGTAGTAGTCAAGGAACATAAGCGGGGTGGCACCCTGAACAATCAAGTCGTTGACATTCATGGCAACAAGATCGATACCAACAGTGTCATGCTTCTTCATGGACTGGGCAATCATCAACTTGGTTCCAACGCCGTCAATAGCACCGACAAGGACTGGGGCATTGGTGTAACCAGCGACAGCGAGATCGAGCTCGCCACCGAATCCACCAATGATGGCATCAGCACCGGCACGCTTGGTGCTGGCGACAGCCTTCTTAATCTTCTCGACAAAGTCGTTACCGGCCTGGATATCGACACCAGCCTGGGCATAAGTCATGGAAGTCTTGCTAGCGTCACGGAAAGCGCGGTGGGCAATATCCTTGCGGAAGAACATGCCTTCAAAGTCAATGACCTTGGTAGCAAGAGCAGCGTATGAGGCATCAACGGCGCTGCGGAGAGAGTCGCTAACGGAGTTGATAGCAATCACACGGCCACCAGCGGACTGGAGCTGGTTACCGTCGAGCTTAGTGCCGGCATGGAAAATAGTGCTGCCAGCAGGGGGTGCCTGGACGGACATGGGGGTACCCTTGGCGTAAGATCCGGGATATCCTCCAGCGGCAACGACTACGGTGGCGCTGAACTTGAGATCGATTGTGAGGGTGCAGTTATCAAGATAGCCGCCAGCGCAAGCAAGCATGACTTCGGCCAAGTCTGTATCCGCGGAGAGCAGAGGCAGGACAGTCTGTGTTTCGGGGTCGCCAAAGCGAACGTTGTACTCGAGAACCTTGGGTCCTTCGCTGGTAATCATCAGGCCGGTGAAGAGGACACCGCGGAAAGGCTGCTTCTCCCGTCTCATACCCAAAATGGTGGGCTCTAGAATCTCCTTGTCGATCTTGTCGGTAAGCTCCTTTGTGGTAATGTTGGTGGGGGCATAGCAGCCCATGCCGCCAGTGTTGGGGCCCTGGTCACCGTCGAAGATGCGCTTGTGGTCCTGAGCAAGGGGAAGAGATCGAATGGAGTAGCCATCACAGAAAGTCAGGACGCTGAGCTCATCACCAAGCAAAAGCTCTTCGATAACGACTTCGCTACCAGCATCGCCAAAAGCCTTGTCCACCATAATCTGCTTCAAAGCCTCCTTGGCCTCGTCCTTGGTCTGGGGAAGCACGACGCCCTTTCCAGCAGCAAGACCAGTCGCCTTGATGACAACGTCGTGGTTAACTCGGTCAATGTAGGCAGCGGCCTGCTCATAGTCGGAAAAGTTCTCGTACGCAGCGGTAGGGATGTTGTACTTCTTCATGAAATCCTTGGAGTAAGTCTTGCTGCCCTCCAGTCTGGCGGCTGCTTCAGAAGGGCCAAAGCAGGCAATGCCAGCTTTTTTGAAGTGACCTTCGATGCCAGCAACCAGAGGCGCCTCTGGTCCAGGGACAACGAGTTCAACGCCGTTGTCCTGAGCAAACTTGACGAGACCAGGAAAGTCTTCAGCAGAGACAGAGGTGACGTTTTGAACCTTGGGGCACGTAGCGGTACCACCATTGCCAGGGACAGCGAAGATCGACTCTACTCGAGAGGACTGGCTAAGCTTCCATGCAAGAGCATGCTCGCGGCCACCGTTGCCGATGAGAAGAATCTTGAGGTCGGCCATTATAAAGGCGGGTGTAATTGTTCGTGGAGTTTTCGACAAAACAGCGCTTTGTTCCAATTCGAGTAGAAATGGAAGTCTAAAGTGGAATTTTAGACCCGAATAAGACTACTCTTAGAGCAACCTAGGAGGCTGAATTTCGAATGTAAGGCGGTTAGAAAAATAAGAGATGAGACTTTTTTTTGTTCTTGTTATCGAAAAGGCCCCTCCATTCTCGAGTCGCAAGAAAAAAATTGCCCCGCGCTGTTGGGACAAGCCGGAAGTGGAGTGTTCGCCCCGCCCCTCGTTCTGCCAGCAGCGGGCACTGACGGGTGTTGCTGGCTCAGTCCCCTGACCGCTCGCGCCGCCCGTAGCGTGCGCAACCTCCACTGATGCCAGCGAGCTACTGCAGAGAATCGTCGAGCCTCCTTCTACGCACCCATCTAGCTGCCCTCGATATTACGGTGAACTCTTTCTACAGTATTTGAGCAGATCAGCACTCCTATTAGCAGCACGCCTGATCGTCAACATCGCCATGTCCCTCGACCCTCTCTCACAACCGTACAACACCACGGATCCGACGGCAAGCTTCCTGAGCTCCTCGTGTTTAGACTTTCTCCTTATCGAACTTGTTCCCCTTGCCTACCGTGTTACACACGATCTAGATGGCGTAACAGCGAAAACAGACGCAGCCTCTGGTAATGCGTTAGCAGCTACTCCCAATGACGCCTCTGCGAGTGATCGGCCTGTTAGTTCCGGCGCCGTAGCGCCAACGACGAGCGACCAGAAGGAAATTGATGACGAAGAAGAGCTCGATGCTGTACATCACCGGCTTGAAACATTAGGATATCGCGTTGGACAGGGCCTTGTCGAAAGGTAAAGCTAAACATTCCCTACTGGCCAGCATAGTTACTGACCGGCTTGTGCAGGTTCTCCCGCGACCGACCACGATTAAATGACACATTAGATGTTATTAAGTTTTTATGCAAAGACCTTTGGTCATTGGCATTCGGCAAAAATATTGATAATTTAAAAACGAACCACAGGGTATGCAGTGACGAAGCATTGCTGTTGGCTTGATTTACACGGCTAACCATCAACAGGGTGTATACGTATTGACAGATAATGTGTTTCGTCCGTTTTCAAGAATGAGTACAATAGCAGGCGGACAAGCTGTTATTCGTGCCCAGCCGGTAACCAGCCCTCATCGTCAATTGTCTACATGTGTACAGAGCTAACAAGTTGTACAGTTTCTCTGGTTCCCTTGTGGAATTGTTAGAGGAGCTTTAGCGGCGCTTGGAATCAACGCCACAGTTCAAGCGGAGATCAATGAGCTCCCGGGGGCAGTGTTTCAAATAAAAACTCTGCCGATGAAGACATAAAGCTGCTTTATAGAAGAGACAGTGTAGCGGCGTTTACAAGTCTATTTTCGCTATCTATATGGGTCATAAACTGCAGCCACAAAGAGTACTGGGGGCATAATTGGAGCCTGGCGTTTCTTTCCCCTTAGCGGCTCCTTCTAATTGGCCAATTTTTGATGGATAGTATTCCGTATCCAATGACATCGATCAACCACCAGCAACAACGGCCCAGCCTCAAATCTCTCCGTTCTCTGCCTTAACAGCATCCTGCCTTATCTTGGAGCAGTTGCCTCACAGCCTGTTGGAAAAAAAGCAGATCAGTAACTAGTCAAAACAATGATTTACTACGGCTAGGCTTCTAGCTATGCTGTTGCAATGGGCCATTGTTACGCGATCGGCACCTTACTCAAAATAAAGGGACACGAAGGGGGAGGGGTTATTCACTTTTGGGGAGGGTTGTGCGCAAAGGCGACGCCCTTGGCGATGTTTCCCTTGAGGCCTTCGACAGCCTTCTCCAGGAGACCCTTCTCCTTCTCGGTGATGCCCTCGAGAGGGTTAATGGCCTTCTCGGCACCGTTAGGCTATTATCCTTATTAGTATATGGCGACATAATAGACAATTATTTAAACTGTAGTTCAAGAATCAACATACTCCGAGTTGGATAGGAACAGAGAAGAAATCGCAGCCAGTCTGCTTGGCGATAGCCTCGCCTCCGGGAACACCGGGGAGGTAGACATAGCTGGGCTCGACAAGGCCAGTCTCGCCCTTGACGGCGCGGAGAACCTTCTCAGCGAATCTTAAAAGAAAAGGATAATTCAGCCAATAATTCCATTCTTAGGGTGCGGGAACAACATACCGGAAGCCAGCGTAAGCCATGGAGAGGGTGGCGGATCCAGCACCATCCTTGGCCTTGACAACCTCATCACCACCAAACTGGATACGGTTGACAAGAGCGTCATATTTGTCATCGGGGATAGAAACAGCAGGGTTGGCCTTGCTGATCAAGGGGACAATGGTCTCGCCCGAGTGGCCGCCAATGACGGGGATAGTGAGCGTCTGAGGCTGCTTCTGGCCGATAATCTCAGCGACGAAGGTCTCGGCGCGGACAATGTCCAATGTGGTAACGCCAAAGAGGCGCTGGGGGTTGAAGACGTTTTTGGACTTCAAAACCTCGGCGGAGATGGGTACTGTAGAGTTAACAGGGTTGGAAATGACGAGGATGAAAGCCTTGGGGGCGACCTCGGCGGCGACCTCGATAAGACCCTTGACAATGCCGGCGTTGATGTTGAAAAGGTCGTCACGGGTCATACCAGGTTTGCCTATGGAAACGGCGTGTTAAACAGGGTTTTGTAGCGCGCCGCTATGACAAGCAGGGCAAAAAGTAGCATAGCACGGGTAATACGTACGAGGAATACCGGCGGGGATGACAATAATGTCGGCATCTTTGAAGGCAGCCTTGGCGCCGTCGTTGGCGGGCAAGTAGCCTGTGATTTTCTGTTGCATCATCGTCAGCCCATCGTGAACCTGCATGTGACAGCTCAGGGCGGGGGCGACGAGCCGATCGTAGTCAAGCTTACCGCAGTGGAGGAAATGTGAGAAAGGTCGGCGGCAACACCGGGAGTGTTAACAACATCGTAGAGAGCAAGCTCGTCAACGTGAGGGCTGGTCTTGAGGAGCAGCGAGAGGGGCTGAACCGGACGAATGGATTAGCAAACATAAGCGCGCAAAGTTTGGCGCATTGGAAGCTTACCTGGCCAATGCCACCAGAGGCGCCGGCAACAACTGAGATGTTTGTAAGCAAGGGCTCTGCCTGTGAAATGGATTTTCACGGTCCAAGCCAGCCAGGTGAGCTGTCAGACGATGAAATCAGAAGAAAAACGTACCAGCTTTAACCATTGTGACGTTTGTTTTGTGGTGTTAGATAAGTAAGTATGTGGGGTTAAGGTCTGCGACGCCTGAAGACTGAGCAGAGCAAACAATTGAAATAGGGCAAAGAGGTTCTTGAAGGTGAAAGCGACGAGTTACAGGAGTAAATGATGAAAGAAGATGGTTTGAGGAGAAGAGCTGAGGGGGAGGGGAAAAGATTACGGTGCAGAGTAGATTAGAGGGGGACCTGTAGATAAGGGACGCATTGGCGACTGCGCTACCGGGCCGGGCAAGAGGGGCGCTGAGCCATGTCCGAGGCGACTGCGGGGAGGGCAAGCTGGCAACAGGCACGCGCACGCTTGCGGATGACAGGATGACGCCCCTCCCTGCCTCCCACGATAGGCTCCAGCCAATAAAACGCTCACCTTTTCACTCAGTCTTCCATTACCCCATGCAGCCATCACTAACACTCTACTAAGACTGCTGCAGTGTAAATGTGCTAAGGCGCTGGGCAGGGCCAACCACGGTGAATAGCTCTAGATATTTCATAGTTTTCTCCATCGGACTGGGCGCACTCATGCCGACGGTCTTTTTTTCCCATTTTCGTAAATACTTCAACATTTTGCAACCCAACATAAGTCTCGTTTCCGTCTTCTTCCGAATCGAATGAGCCTCAACTGCCAGCATCGGCTGCACCCACATTAATCCCCCAGGCTTGTGACGTTCGGCTACAGGAAATGGCGACAATGCGCTTCCGACCTCGGGTCCGCCCGCGACCAACCTGTGCGGCTCTTTTACGCCATCGTCGACCTGCCTCTTCGGGTGTTGAGGAACAGAGTCTAGTTGGGGTTAAAAGCGTAGAACATGGTCAAATGAAATTGCGTCATGGATGGTGAGAGGGTGTCTTTTGCCAGTTGTACCAGTGCCTGAGCAGTAGGTAACTGGAACAGCAATGGAGACAAAGAAGCATGTGCTGTATGATTGGGCATGGTCTCTGGCTAAAACAGTTGGACTTCGGCGAGAAGCTCCGAACCTCCCAATTCACTACGCCCCTACTAAACCCGAGTCACTGTATGCATTAACACGCTGCATGCACATTGCAGAGCTCGGTGGTGTCTGGGTAACGGCGGCTCTGTTTAGAGCCATATCATTTTATTGATTTTGACTAGAAAGTCGGTACCTACCCTTTAAAGATGGTTGCGTTTATCGGATGATTCCACATGAACAACACCGCATCTCCCAAAGGGTGTATTTTGATCAGCCCTGTGTTTGCATATAAGCTATTCTGCTTCTGACAAGCACATTGCATCAAATTCCTATTTCTTGTTTTCGCCCTTTCAGCGCCTGTATCCCATCAATCCTGTCGAAGAGGTGCATTTAAGCAGACTCAGCGGCCTTCTTGGCCTTGTTGCCACGGAGCTTGACCTCGTAGTCAGCCTTGGGGGTACCCTGGGTGCGGCGGATGGCAGAAACACGCTCAACGGCGTGGCTGCGGAGGTCAGCGCGGTAACCAGCACGGGCGGTCTGGTTGGCAACAGCCTTGTAGCTCCTGTAGGTAACATCTCGTCTTAGCACACCACTCTTTGGTCGACAATAGCGGACGCTATTCCAAATTCTTCATCATTGGATGCGTCATCGAGTTAGACTTACTTGCGGGCGCTCTTGTTTCCACCAAGAGTGGTAGAAGCAACAGCCTTAGCGGGCTTGTTGGCGTTCTTGGTGGTCTTGCTGAGAACGGTAACACCACCCTTCTCGTTGGGGATAACACCGACAGCCTACGTCCAAGAGTTTAGTATCGCGCGTGTTCATGTAATACGTCGTCGGCGTGTTCGAAATACCTTGTCGTTGACAAAACCAGCGTGCTGTTGACCAAGTTAGTCTTCATAACCCTCCATCGTGGTGGCAAGTGTAGTAGGGACAAAGTTACGAACCTTGCGGGTGTTCTTGTTGGTCAAGTTAAGGGGATCGCTGGAGAACTGAGCACCACCGTTGCGACGGCTCTTGGAGAGGTAGCGGTGGTTGTCGCCTGTGCAAGGATTTCGTTAGCGAACCGAAGGTGATGTGACGCCACATCGTCCAATTTAGCGTCAATATGACATTACTCACGGACAATAGCCCAGATGAGGTCGGCGGAGACGTTGGAGGACATGTTTGCGGTGTGATTTGATTGGATATGCTACAAAAGCTTCTGATATCGTCAGGAGACAGTCCGAGGGGACAGGTTGAAATTGGAACCCAGCAGCGCAAGCTGTGGGCTCGCTTAATTTTCCTAATCTGGAATGGCTCCCCTCCTCCCGCCCAGAGGCTGCCGTGATTCTTCAGCCGAGCATCGATGCTCAGTTTCGCGCACGATTCATCTTATAAACGCTTTAAATTAGCATTACAAGAAAGTTAAATTTCCTCTTAATCAAATTGGGTCGCTAAACGAGGTTAGGCAGCTTGGCCTTAATTCAAACCGAAGCTTGTGAGGTGGAGAGGCATTCATACAGTCCTCAGTCCGAGTAGTTAACAGGTAATGCAGTATTCACAAAGCTCGTCCTAATCCTTTAATCAATTCATATAGGATGGCGTTTCCCGCAACTTTATTGTTTTGAAGAATTCGTTGGACATCCATGTTAATATGCGCGATCTACCAGTCCGAAACCGGAAGAAATGACGCAGCGTTTGACAGCGACCGCGGGGCCTTGCTGCGGGGCCAATTGCCGTGGATTTTTGTGACCATGGCGTGCCGTGCGTGGTGTGCCGTGAATGTGGTGTTTTTCAACTTTTCAACTTTCGGTGTTTGTAAATTCCATCGATTAGACATCTCATTTAGCAACAATGCCTCAAACTGTCCTTCTTCTCGGCTCTGGCTTCGTCGCCGCCCCTGCTGTTGAGGTTCTCTCAAAGGCTGGTGTGCACGTTACAGTCGCCTGCCGCACTATCGCTGCTGCGCAGACCATGGCTACTCGCTTTGCCAATGCCACTGCCACAAGCCTTGATGTCAACGACGCTGCTGCTCTGGAAGCTGCTGTTGCTCAGCACGACGTCACCATTTCCTTGATTCCTTACACCTTCCACGCTACCGTTATCAAGGCCGCCATCAAGGCTAAGAAGCATGTCGTCACCACGTCGTACGTCTCCCCTGCCATGGAGGCCCTCGATGCGGAAGCCAAGGCTGCTGGCATTACTGTCATGAATGAGATCGGTGTAAGTAGAAGCATACACGTGCATGTGTAATATTAGCTAACTATGCAGCTTGATCCTGGAATCGATCACCTTTACGCCATTGATGTGATTGATCGCGTTCACCGCGAAGGTGGCAAGATTCTTGCTTTCCGCAGCTTTTGCGGTGGCTTGACTGCCCCCGAGAGTATGTTTCATTTTGGCCGCCTTGTACTATAGAATAAAAGCTAACTGTACTTCAGACTCCGATAACCCTCTCGGTAACAACCCTTACTACAACCTTCCCCGCCCTATCGCTAATTTATATCAGGTTACAAGTTCAGCTGGAGCAGCCGTGGTGTTCTCTTGGCTCTCAAGAACAATGCCAAGTACTTGGAAAACGGAAAGGTCATGGACATTGCTGGTGGTGTCGACCTGATGGAATCCGCTAGAGAATATCACACCGGATTCACTGGTTTTAGCTTTGTTGCTTACGGTAACCGTGACAGCACTGGCTACAGCGAGCGGTAAGAATCTTTGATCGTAATGATGCCAACAGTAACTAATAAACGCAGCTACCACATTCCAGAGGCACAGACTGTTGTCCGCGGTACCCTCAGATATGGTGGTTTCCCCAAGTTCATCAAGCTCATCGTTGATCTTGGCTTCCTCCAAGATGACGAGCGTGCCTATCTGAAGGAGCCCATTTCCTGGAAGGAGGCTACCAAGCAAATCATCGGTGCCAACTCGTCTAGTGAAGAAGATCTGCTCGCCGCGGTCTCCGCCAAGTCTACCTTCAAGACTCCCGAGGACAAGGTTCAGTTGATCGCTGGTTTAAAGTGGCGTGAGTAAATGAAAATCAACAGATACAAAGTTGTAGATGCTAACAAAATCCAGTCGGTATTCTGTCCGACAAGCAGATCACCCCCCGTGGTACCCCCTTGGACACTCTTTGCGCTGCGCTTGAGGAGAAGATGTCTTTCGAAGAGGGCGAACGTGACTTAGTTGTAAGTCCAAATACTTACTTAGACGTATCACGTCTCTACTTTCTCTAACTAAATTACAGTTCCTTCAACACCACTTCGAGATCGAGAACAAGGACGGTAGCCGCAACAACCTCACCTCTACCCTCTGCGAGTACGGTGCTCCCGTTGGCTCCGGCGGCTACTCTGCCATGGAGAAGCTTGTTGGTGTTCCCTGCGGTGTCGGTAAGTTATTTCTATCACCTCTCTGTCTGGCTAGAGAGCCTGAGGGCATCCATGTTCATTAAACGACGCTAACTTGTCAACAGCCACGCTCCAGGTTCTTAACGGCACTATTTCCGATAAGGGTATCCTTGCCCCCATGCACCCTAGCCTTAACAACCCCTTGATGAAGGAGCTCAAGGACAACTACGGGTGAGTTGTACATCACGGTTTCATAGACCAGTTCGCTAACATATACCAGCATCTACTGCAAGGAGAAGATCGTCGACTTTTAAGCCCGAAATAGCAAAATTTACATTTGCGGTAGCCGATTGGGCTAAAATAGTAGAACCTGCTTAGACGACTTTTAAGTCTAGCAAACAAAAATGATAGATGCAGCTATGGCTTGGAGCTGAATATACCGTTGACCGAACTACCTTCTGCCCCGTGCAGGTTCTTGACCGTAAAATTTCCGCATTGTATTGCCTTTATTTCCAGTTTTTACTCATCAAAGAGATGCGCATATTTTAGCCAGAATTTCAGCAGTCCATCTGTCACTAAGCCGTCATTGTTAGTGCGCTTTATCACCCATGTCAAGGTGCAAAGCTTCAAACTGAAACAGTTTAGCGTGGCATGGTCTTGGTGCTGCGCCCCGCCACTTTAGCTGGTTCCGGCTCTGCCGCCTACAATTTGCGCGTCCCTCCCAAGGGGACCATGCTTCGTCACGCTATCCAACGTCGCCCATTTATCCTTTGTTCTCCTTCACAATCCACAAGACAGCGCATCTTTCATGCGTTCTGCTAGCTGAGCAGTTAGATTCTGCTCCGTACATCAACTGCAGATCCTTAGTGGACGAGCTCGGTTAGCAGCTCGACTGCGCTCAACCCTCTCGCATAGCTGAGTTGCGACCGACGAACATTCAGACAACTCGCCTCCATTCACACGATACATCGACACCAACACCGTCGCTTCATCGACAAGTTCACAAAATGTATTTCTTCTTCGCGCTCGTTCTGTTTCTTGCAGTATCGGCCGTCGGCTTATACCTGACGCGATCCCGCTGGCTTCACATCATCCAGGAGCTTCAGCTTCCAGGCGCCAACTATCTTTATTCTCGCCTCCCAACCAGCTTCGCGGACGACATCGAAGCAGGACTCTCCAGCAGCACATTCGATCTTTCAGGAAACGTTGAAGGCGGTGACAGTCGAGCAGGTCTCGACGATGCCAGCAAGCGAGAGGTGCTAAAGATCATGAAGAAGCGCCGCATGACATTCGACCAGGCTCGCAAGGTCTTCATGGAGAGCAGATTCAAGGCCAACAATATTGGACCCGACGGTCGCCCAAGAGACCCGAAATTCGTCAGCTTTTCATAGCTTCTAGTCTCGGTCCTTGTCGATGCAGTAACAACAACCACTTCCGTTTTGATGTGGCAGCCATGGGCGCTCGCCACGCACGTTCATTTTCATTTTTCACGGATGCATATTCAGCACATCTTCATCGCTTTTTCTACTTGTCAGCTTAGTTCGTCGGGTATATTCAGTAGCATAATTCGGTCACGGTGTTGGGATTTCCTTTTTGTAGCGCACGCGCCGCGTAATTCTTTTGTATTATGAAGAGTAGCACTGGTGATAACCAGTTGATGTTATTTAATTCAATCTTCCATTTAGTAAATGCATTGCTCTTTGTACCAACGCCTGTGTCGCCAATCATCAGTAATGGCGGTTCATTACAAAAAATAATACTATCAATATGTACAAAAGCAGGACCTGTCTATGCCGTCGAGTTCCATCACAGAGCTCAGGCAGTTGCGCGACTGAGCTGACAAATTTTGAGAACTTTGAAATGCAGTGCTAAGAACAGCTAAGAGCAATTGCTCTCCAAGAATTAGAGATTTCGCCTTAGTTGTTCTTCTTCATTGTCTTCTCGTCTCCGTACGTTCTCTCGTCACTTCCTTCGACTTCCTTTACCAAGTTGTCAACCTGAGCTGACTCCGTCTTCCACTTAGCCTGCGACATCTTCTTCTCCTTCTCAAACATCCAAGCCTCAGGTTGGCGGTAGGTGCCACCCAAGCGGTCGAAGGCAGTGAAGAATTGACCGTAGTTGACTTCGAAGCGAGAGTGGTGCAGCGAATGACAAGCAGCTCCGTTGACAATGGGGTTGTTGGTAAGGTATTCTCCGTCGTGGATAAGGATAGACCAGAAGTTGACGAAAACAAACAAGACAACATACGCCACCTTCTGCAAGGGGAAGATGAAGGGGAAGACATGGTATGGGATCGACTGCGCAAATCCGTCCAAAGGGTGGAAGGCATGGCTAGCATAAGGTGTAGGCATGATCCATTTGTGGTGAGGCTTATGCAGGTGCTTGTAGACGAGAGGGTGGTGGAGGTAGCGATGAATCCAGTAGATCCAGAAGTCGGTAAACACCAAGAAAAGGGGGAACTGTAAGAAGTTGTACCACAGGCCAGGGCCTTCTTCGGTTGTATCGTAGAGTTTGCCGTAACCGCGTACTTCGATCAGGAACAGGGGAGCGGTGCAAAGGGCCATAAAAGGCATAGACTTGTTTGCCTGGACAATCTCGAGCCAAATTTGGTTCTTGATAAACTTTGGGTGGTTTAACGTTCGGCGATCGAAAATCAAGTAGTACGACAACGTCGCGAAGACAAAGTACACGAGGAGACCGAAGATCCTATAAACATAACAGTTTGGTTAGTCATGGTGAACTCAAGACATTTCCTGCCAACTATGACAGTGAACGGGCATACCAGGTGATAAAGTAGAGCGTCACAAGCTGACGGATAGGATCATCTCGGGACATTGAGCTCAGATACGCGGCTTTTGACGGCTCAACGTGTAAAAACTTAGTCGCAGGAGTGTAAGTCCAATCCGACAAAGTTTGCGCGGTGGAGTTTGACGACATCTTGGGATAGTCGTAGGGCGCAGGGCGGATTGGGAAAAAGTAGGCGTAGACATAGTCCGTAATGAACGTGTCGGTAAGTTCAAGAACAATATCCATGGTGGGCAACACAAGCTTCTAGGCGCTTGAGGAAAAAGTCTAAGCAGAGCGTGAAGGGCAGTAGAAAAGAAGGCGATCAGATCTCCGAGTAGGGGGCGGTCGGCCGCTATTTACGTTCCTCGCGGATTTTTCCCCTCCGTTCGCCACGGGGCAGCGACAAATTCGAGGTTTGGACTAATTTGGGTGGTGGGGACCCTCTAAAAATTGGGGTGGGAACGTCACGTCAGGGGCGCTACCGGACACCGATAAAAACCCAACATAACATGTCACAGGAAGCTATTAGATCGAACATGGTGCCTGATAATAGGAATTACTAGTGATATCCTGTCAACATAGCCTTTGAAATGACACTAATATCGCATCTTTATTCTGTCAAGGACTCTTAACAAACGAGCCGCAAAGGAGACACCGTATATCCGCCGAATCGAAATACACGTAAAGAGATACGCCAAGGAACAATGCAAACCAGCGGACGGACATCGGTCTTCCGAGCTACAGTAAATGGCATGATTTTAGTAGTATATCATTACTTGAACCAGAGAAATCTACCCGTGCCTTAATGGTTGACTGGTAGGCGAAAGGCTCGTTGTGGAGCCAAGGATCCTAATCAGATCAGTATTCGTACTCGTACAGGGAACGCGATGCGGCTAGCCGGAGCGGAGAGGCGGCTGGAGCTAAGACCCTGAAGTGATATATGTACCACCTGTTGCCCACCGTCCTGGCAGCGCAGACAACTATTCTGTACCTGTAAGCCCGCTGTCGGTGCACTAGGGTCAGAATGAATTATTTCAGTATTCCTCAGTCAGTATTTACTTGCTTAGAAGACCGCAGCCTCCCCTACCTTCCCTAGCCCGACAAAAGGCACAACTAGCCATCTCCTCTCGTACCTATCACCGCAAACGACACAAGCTCTGCGAAATCGAGGCGGCTACAAGCCAAGATTACGGTCTCATCACGAACGATTCATATCTTACCCATATCTTACTCTTCGTACCATTCACGGCACAGTCATCGACATAAGCGCTTGCGCAACGGTAGTGGACGATACGGTGACTCGATGTAAAAGCTTCATCCAGAGCTATAACGAGCTCTTCTTGTACCATCTCCTTCCTAGAAAGAGGAAGTGCTCAGGGCGTGACCCTCTAGCCAAGAATAGCACCTTTTTGCGCTCTACATCGTTACTGCGTGGCGTAGACAATGCGAACTAAGATACCTTGACCCCGTACGTATACGCAGAAGCCTGAAAGTAACTGGGCCAAATCCCTCTGTATTGACTAAATATATGAGCCGAATGCATCACTGTTGCGGCTGTGTGACCGCATAGGTACAAGCAACCAAAAGAGAGCAAACCATGCAATCAAGGATTGCGCATCGTGCTGATTGGAGCTCGTCGTGAGTCGTGGGGGGTGTTCGATGCCGACTGCCGACACGCGTCGGCTACAACCCGTTCCCAGATCAGGTAGCCACTAGAAACATGACATTTTGGTGGCATCTTTTTTTTTCCTGGCCCTGCTCGCGAAGGCAACGAGCTGCCATGTTCTGTTCTTTGGTGTTGTGCGACCCCACATGGCAGGCCGTGCACGCCCTTGTCTCCAAAATGCAAAGCACGCCCATTTCGGTAGGCTTCTTTTCGCACGCTGCACGCCCCCCGTGGTGGGCCTACCGGATGGAAGGCTGCTACAGGTCCGCCGAACACAGCGAAAGCCACTGAAAGAGAGCCCTACAAAAAAAAACACAGCAAAAATGATTAGCTGCGGCTGCTAATCCCCACCCGGCCACCCACAGAAGCCCCCTGCCTATTTGCAAAGGGGGGTCTCAGCACACCAGCGACAAGAACGGCGGCCCGAAGCTTTGCTAGCGGGCCACAGAGCGAAGGCATTAGGCCACCAGCAGGCAGAGAGCTAACCGCTTCCCCCCCAGCCCTTCCTCGCCCACTGGCCCCCCTTGTGCCCCCCAGCCCGGCACCACCCCCAAACATGCACACGCCATGCACACACCAGTCACACACCCACACTGAGTTAGCGCAGCGGCTCCACTTATGCCTATCCTCTCCATCCCAGCCCGCGCCTCTCGCTGCCTTCTTCTTTCCGGCTACTCTTCCTTGTCTTTTCCTCTTCGTTTTTCCGGCCACTTTCTCCCCTCCGCAACCTCAACCTCACCACGCAACCGCCACCGCACCGGATCCAATTCGCCTTGGAGACATTGCGTGCATCAAACCTGCCCCGTGTCGCGTTCTCTTTTTTCTTCTGTTTGCTCGGTTTATCCTTCCACGGCGCACAGCTTTGTGCGATCGCGTCCGCCAACTACGTGTCTCCTTTGCGATCGGTGCTCCTGATCGCCTACGCCGTTGTTTGCATCGCCAAGTCCTTCGAGACAATCATCCATCGGATACCAAACGCAGCTGAATTGTCATTTTACAAGCCCCTCGCTGCTCACCGCCGATTGATTTCTTCGCATCATCCTTAGCGACAGGATCCCTATTGCGCGCAGTTGGATCCAGCTTCGAGATCCGACAACCAAATCCGCTCCGATCCAAACATGTCCATGTACCCTCATCGCGGCATGCCCGCCGGCCCCCCTGGCAACTCTGCTCGCCTCAACGAGCTTCTCGAACAAATTCGGGCCGAGTTCGAGACGCAGATGCGCCAGTCTGAAGGCTTCGAGCATCAAAGTACGCTTGCATATTCCCCCAGACGACGAACGCCACAGCTAACCTGACACATGCTTAGTTTCTGCACAAGTAAGCGAGATGCAGCTCGTGCGAGAGAAGGTCTACACAATGGAGCAGACCCATATGACCTTGAAGCAAAAGTACGTAAAGATCTATTGCAACGCCAGGCACGCGCCATTTTGCTAATCGCGGCATGTTCGCAGGTACGAGGAAGAAATCAGCATGCTTCGCCACCAGCTCGAGGCTGCGCGCAAGGGAGGTCCTCAGCCTGGTATGGCTGGTCCTCCCCAACACGCCGGCCCTTCTCAGCAACCTCCTTCTATCGCTCCCGGCAACGGCCTCTTTAGCGGCATCATGGCTGGAGGCAACCAGGCTGGTCTTGCTCCTCCTCAGCAGCATGTTCCTCCCCAGGAGCAGCAGATGGGTCCTGGACATCAGATGCCTCCCGGTCCTCCTGGCATTTCCGGCCCTCCTCACCCCAGCGCTGGTGCTCCGTACCAGCAAGGCTATCCCCAGGGCCCCGTTTCCAACGGAATGGGGCAGCCTCCTCAGGGCACCGCATCGCCGGGCCCTAACCGCGGTAGAGTTGGTCGTCCCCCAAATGCAGTCGGCCCTGCGACGCCTCAGATTAACACTCCGGCACCTTATCCTCCTAACGCCCAGTCTCCTCAGGTCAGCCACCCTACCCCGGAGCATGGCCGCATGGGTGGCCCAAGAGCTCCTCCCCCTCCCGTGGGCAACGCCCTTGGCGACCTTGAAGTAGACGCTGTCGCTCCTCACAACAAGAAGACCGGCAATGACTGGTACGCCATTTTCAACCCCCAGGTTCAGCGCGTCCTCGATGTTGACCTGGTCCACTCTCTTACTCATGAGAGTGTTGTCTGCTGCGTTCGCTTCAGCCATGACGGCAAGTACGTCGCAACAGGCTGCAACCGCTCTGCACAAATCTTTGATGTCCAGACTGGCGAAAAGGTCTGTGTCTTGGAGGATCACAACGCGCAAGACATGACTGCCGATTTGTACATCCGCAGTGTCTGCTTCAGCCCTGATGGCCGCTACTTGGCCACTGGTGCTGAGGATAAGCTCATTCGCGTAAGTCGACTACCCGCACCAAACTTGATTACCTACCCTTGCTCACTACTAACACTCCATTACAGGTCTGGGATATTCAGTCTAGAACCATTCGCAACCACTTCTCTGGCCACGAGCAAGATATTTACTCTCTCGACTTTGCTCGCGACGGCCGAACTATTGCCTCCGGCTCTGGCGACCGAACGGTTCGATTGTGGGATATTGAGGCTGGTACCAACACATTGACCCTCACCATCGAGGACGGTGTCACAACTGTTGCCATTTCTCCTGACACCCAGTACGTTGCTGCTGGTTCGTTGGACAAGAGCGTTCGCGTCTGGGACATTGCTAGCGGCTATCTCGTCGAACGTCTCGAGGGCCCCGACGGCCACAAAGACTCTGTCTACTCTGTGGCATTCTCCCCCAACGGCAAGGACCTCGTCAGTGGCTCCTTGGATCGCACCATCAAGATGTGGGAGCTCAGCACCCCTCGTGGCGCTCCCAACTCGGGCCCCAAGGGCGGCAAGTGCGTCAAGACCTTTGAAGGTCACCGCGACTTTGTCCTCTCTGTTGCCCTCACTCCCGACGCCAACTGGGTTCTGTCTGGTTCCAAGGACCGTGGTGTTCAGTTCTGGGATCCTCGCACGGGCACTACTCAGCTCATGCTTCAGGGCCACAAGAACTCGGTCATCTCAGTGGCTCCCAGCCCACAGGGCGGCTACTTTGCTACCGGTTCGGGAGATATGAAGGCTCGCATTTGGTCCTACCGTCCATTTTAAGGCGTTTTCAACGGAGTGAACTTTTGGCGCACGATGGGTTTTGTCAACGCTACGAGATTGTGGGAGAAATCAACCTGATGTTTCTTGTGTCTGTTTCTGTTTTTCTCTTGGCAGCTAGTAGTTTTGTTGTTGTCCTTTTTTTTTTCTATTCTGTCTGTATCTGTCTTCTTTTTATTGATGTTCAAATCTGACCCCGACTATACTCGGCGCTACTGCTGGGGCGCCAGCCGCTTGTGTCTCTGTCTCGCTATGCAGGCAGACCTGCGACTTGGCGCGACTGGTTGCAGCTATATGCTTACTCTTCTGGCACCAATGTATGGTTTAGTAAGGGGCCTATTTTGTATGTATGTTCTATAGCGGGAAAATGATGTTGCTGAGAGTGGGCATTAGGCCCGGGTTTGGAAAAAAAATAAAATGTGATTTAACAATACAGTACTGGCGTTCAATCGTGAATATATACTAATGTACAATATACATGGTCAGTGATTCATAACGATCCAAATAGGCTGGAGAATGCGTCTCCTCCTTTCTTGGGTTTCTTCTTCTTTCTGCTGGATTTATCCTTTTCCTTTGACCCGATAGCTTGTGTTGAGGCTGTCTTGTCTTCCGCAGCTACCAAAGTCGACGTCGCCTTGCGTTTACGATCAGGCGCGACTTCATGGGCAGTTGTAAATTGGCTGCGAGAGATGGTAACACCTTTGTCGCCGTCATTGCTTGATTCTGCGGGCCTCATTTCTGTATTTATTTTCTGTTTTGTAGTATCGGCGCCGGCAGTTTCTTCCTCTGGGAGAAGCCCGACAAGAGCCGAGTGCACACCTGCAATTGCCGCCATTAGGGCTATGCCTAGGGCCGCATGCTGGTTATCTGCAGCAAGCTGTGTGATGGCGCTGTCATATTATCTGTTAGTCTCTCTAGGAGTTAGTAGTGCATGGGGATTTGATGTACGGGTATGATTGTGGTATGACAACATGTGCGATATGCTGTGATTGTGCAGAAACCATAGCCAGGTGCCTCTCCTGCTTGCGGCCCTGGTATCCGATGGCAAGGTGTAATGTTTCGCAGAGTTTACGCAGTTGTCGCCGGAGTATGTTGAATGCTTTCCACCAATGGCTGGCAGAGTGCTGGTTGCGATGTCGGTGGTTAAAGGCTTCGAGAATCGGTAGAATGGAGGCTAGTTTGCTGCAGGCATCGTTGCACGCGACAGGGGATGGCCGGTTGATGCCTCTCGTGCCTTCACGTTGTGTCATTGTTCTTGTCGCATTTGTGTGATATTTTAGATGTCTTCGTGTGCATCTCGACGCCGCTGTTTGTCTCGGCCCTGCTTGGATATGGCCGGATGATTTTTGGGTATCGATAAAACTCGTCCAGTCGAAGTTGCTGGTGGAGCCTCCGCTCGAGCTAGCCACCACCTACCTACCCTGTGTTTTTATCGACCATATTCTTGCTTCACCAGCACACATAATTTCATGTGGTACCTTTTTTTACACGGTAGATATCAATTGAGTAGGATGGTGGTCTATTTATATCATTCATTTGGTGGTATGTAGCATTGTAGTTTGGCGTTGTACCCATGTTAGCACACGGGAAGCAGTGTGTGGTGGCGTACCCCAACAACTTTTGTCTGTTAATGACCAACCAGACATAATGTACAGCAAGTAAAGAGGACAGCATCTGGCACCACTTCAAAACAAATACATCAGGTTCCCTCGCTCATTGTATCCAATAGACAGACTCAGAATATAAAGACCGGGCCGCCAAAACAGGTCCGTCCGAAACCCCAGAGGAAGAGGAGGACCGTCTCCACCAGTGGCGTTGCGCTGGCAGATGGAGCAGCGAGATTGGCAGCGAGTGTGGGCGTGCCTTGGCACTAGTCACGAGCGACCAGCCGCCGACCCCGAGACGAGATAGCTCCTCGCTCTTATCTAGCGTGTGAGGCCCCCTCACTTTGCCCCAAGAATCCGTCAGGGGGGCATGCAAGGGTAGCTGAGAGCAACTGTTTTGTATTTCTGGACAGCCTCGCCAATCTCCTCCAATTGCTGTCTCTAGGAATCTCTCCCTCCTCCACCTCGCAGCATCCTCCATCGTTGACTTTGGCGTGTTCTCCGCCTCCCCGTACCCCACACGACACTAACATGTCACGACCAACGCCGACATCCAAATCGTGGGATGGGCAACCAACTAGGCGAGATTCGCCGCATGGCCCGGAATCTAGACTTGTGGGAGAAGAACAGGCTTTGCTTGACGATGACGATGGCAGCGACCACTCAATCGGCGAACCGCGCCCTCGTCGATTCGACAGGAGAAGGTAGGCCGGCACAATGGCCAATTTCTGATTTCATATTACTGACCGAATTATTGTTGCAGATCATCTGTCTCCAACAGACTAGCAGCCATGGCAGACATCGGAGGGCCAAACAGTTTTCGCTCGTTCACGAGGAGCTGGCAGCGAGCAGCGGCCTTCGCCGAAGTCATCCCTAGACAGCCAAGCTTTGTGTACACACAAGGACCTGACGGTTCAGCCAATGCTGAAGCAGACGATATTCAATACGGCAGAAACCAAATCGAACGAATGCCCACCCAGTCAAGCTTGCTAAGCCAACACCTAGGCTCGCCGCCATCAGCAATCTCGTACCAAGGGTCTACCGCTGGCCCTAGCCAGCACATCGAAGCCAACCAGCAACCAACAGAAGATTTCCGGGCCCGAGAGAGTAAACTTCTAGACGCAGAAATGGCATCCGGGGCTATTACGACATCCCTATCAAGCAGGTCGAGTATTTTTGCCAGCCCGCCTCATCTGTCATCGCCCTCCATTATCGGAAGCTACGGGTCCTATCACTCACAATATGGCACGATGGGAAGCAGCACCAGTCGACGACGCCCATCGATACGCAGAATAGAACCAGATGAAGACGTTGAGGGCCCAGCCCTTGGGGAAGAGCATCCTATCCTTGTCAAGGAAGTAAAACAAGGCGACCGAGTCGTGTTGACCGTAGAAGGTCAGAGCACGCTACCACAGTCCGTCTTCAATGCAATCAACGCCATTATTGGTGTTGGTATGTTGAGTCTGCCTCTTGCGTTTAAAATGAGTGGATGGATCATTGGGCTCACTATCATGACGGTGATGGCCGGCGTCACAGCACATACAGGAAAACTGATTGGGAAGTGCATGGAATACGACAAGAGCCTGATTACATATTCGGATCTTGCGTATGTGTCTTTTGGCCCACGAGCCCGCGTTATTGTGTCCACTCTGTTTACACTGGAGCTGGTCGCCGCATGTGTTGCTCTGGTTATTCTATTCGCTGATTCATTAGCCCTTCTGCTCCCTAGCCTGGGTAGCGTGAATACTTGGAAATGCGTCTGTGCCGCTCTTATTCTGATATTGAATGCTCTTCCCCTTCGATGGTTGAGTTATACTAGCGTCATTGGTATATTCTCCACATTCGGAAGTAAGTTGTCGATGGTAGAGGAACTAATTGTGTGGCAAAAGCTGACCGTGTAAATAGTTGTATGCGTGATTGCTGCCGACGGCCTTCTCAAGTCTGAATCCCCAGGCTCTCTCTGGGAACCAGCAGCGACCTACCTGCTCCCATCAAACTGGTTGTCTCTTCCATTGGCGTATGGGTTGATGGCTAGCCCCTGGGGCGCGCACTCGGTGTTCCCTTCAGTGCGTTCCGCTTTCGCAACGTGCAACAAAGCTCCAACTAACATGGCATATAGATCTACAGAGATATGAGGCATCCGTACAAATGGAACAAGGCCGTAAAGGTTACATTTTCTTTCTCGGTACGTATATCTTACCTTAACGAAGGCTCAATTTATTTAACGAACCAAACATAGTATGTTCTTGATACATGCCTAGCTGTCATAGGCATATTGATGTTTGGCGATGATATCAAAGAAACAATCACTTCCAACATTATCAAGACTAGTGGTTATCCCGAAACCCTGACAGTTTTCATGTGCATCTGTGTTGCAATCATTCCCCTCACAAAGATTCCTCTCAGCGCTCGCCCGTTAATCACAACAGCAGACGTGTTATGTGGCCTACACTACGAACGACCACAGACATCGGATACGAGACGTTGGATTGATGCTATTCATCGTGGTATCATCCGCATATCGGTGGTAATGGTACTGTTATTCATATCTATCGCCTTCCCTGCTTTCGATTCTGTCTGCGCCTTTCTCGGTGCCGCCCTATGCACACTGATTTCAATTCTTCTACCAGTTGCGTTTTATCTTAAACTACACTGGGAAGACATTAGTAAGATTGAAAAGGCTTTATCCTGGGCCATCCTGGCATCGTTTTCTGTCTTCGGAATCGTGGGCACAATTTGGACGTTCCTCCCAAAGGATCTTGTTGGTGCTTAGGTAGCGTTTCAAGGAGCGAAATAAAACAATCTAATTTAGTAGAGCCTTCTTTGGGACGCCTGCCACTATGAACTCCACGTGAATTCCGCAAGAGCCCGGTCACTCTAACCGAGAAACTCCGGTGCTCGCTACCTAGGTCAGTGTCTACAATCACAAAAGCCAATGATAAAGTTGTAAGCAGTGTGTGTGAGTGGGTAACTTCTGGTATTGTGGACTATCTAAATAAAAATTATCTGATACGCAGGAAGCGAGTTGATGTCTGCTTAAGCATGCACATGATAGACAAAACACACCATGCAGTAGTCTTGATACCATCAGTGCTGACTGCAATTGAATGCAGCATCTTCTTAGCAACTCAACCGTGATTGGTGGCTGCAAGAGAAGCGTCTCTTACCAACCACCAACCCACTCAAGATCTCCTTCGGCGCGCTTGTTCTGGCGCCAATTCCAATCTTTTCCCCTGGTCCAAGGGTTTTCCTTGGGTCGATCCTTAAGCCAACTCTTGTGTTGAGAGAAATCTGTAGCGCTGGGTTCTTGGTAAGACTTTCCAAAGCCCACTTGACGGCGAGGCTTGAAAGCGGACTGCCTCTCCTCTGCAACACTAGCCTGACCCCGGCGACGTTCGCCGAGAGCAGCCCACTTGTCAAAAGTGCTGCGCTTGGAAGGTGGTGAATAACGAGGAATAATCTGTTCAACTGGTTTTGCCTCCTCAATTTCTTGAAAGAAAAAGCCGTCTGCAACCAAGTCGTCATCCACGTTGCCCTTGATCTCATCAGTAGAACCATGTAGTGGCTGAACTGAGCTATCAATGTTGACACGCTTCACACTTTCTTGACTCCAAGTGCGCGAATTGAGGGCTTTGCGAGTCTGTCTCTCTTGTTCACGCTCTTCCTCTTCGTCTTCCTCCCACATGTCACTCCAGCTCTTAGAAACGGAGTCTTGGTGGCGACCAAAAACGGTTGACATGGAAAGAGGCGCTGGCTTCGACATGGTAATGGGCAGAGAGCCGGCGACAGTGAGCTTGGCGGGAAGAGGCTTTCCAATAGTCAAGTTTTTCATGGACGTGGTGAGATGAGAACCCATCATGGACGACAGAGAAGGAGTGTGGACAGCAGCAGAGCACCAGTCGACCGTCTCTTCAGACTTGGAGAAAAGATCTTCCGTGTAGCTCTCATCGTCTGGAATGACACTGAGTTGGCGACCCTCCTTGGGAGTAGCATGGAGGACCCTGGTCCACGGGAAGTTTCCGAGTTCCATCTGAGGGCTCTGAATGGATGGTGTGCGGAGCGGTTCACGGTTGGCAGATGAGACAGTTGCCTTTTCGGCTCCACAGAAGTCGTCCAGGCTTTCATCTTCAGTCGTGAAGCTAACAACTCGCATCAAAGCATCACGAGCACCAACGATAGATCTGCGCTTCGGATCCAAGTTCATGCATTGAACAATGACTTCGTAGGTGTCTTGCGACATATCCGGGAATACGTCAAATAGACTTTGCTTGTCTCGCGAGTAGTCAAGGAAAATCGGATCCGCTTCAGTGGGAGTCGTGAAGGGGTTTCTAGAGAACAGAATGTTCAACAAACAGATGCCAATGGCCCAGATGTCAGCCTCAGCTGGAGCGTAACCGTCACCGGCAGAGTCGAACTGCTCTGGGGCCATATAACGGTCACTTCCAACAGTCATCTCGTACGACCACTTGTCGGTTGTTGCAAGTCCAAAGTCTCCCAGCTTCAGAGACCCGTCTTGGGTAAGGAAAATGTTTTCGGGTTTGATGTCTCGGTGATACACGCCTTTAGAGTGGATAAAGGAGACAGCATCAACAAGCTGAAGCATAAATTGACGAACATGCTCAGTTTGCAGGGGACCATGACCGTTGCGAATAGCTTCATACAAGTCACCCTGACCACAGAATTCCATCACCAGATAGAAATGAGATTCGGTTTCAAACGAGTTCAGGAGGTTGACAATGTTTTCATGTGTGCCTAGGCTGCGGTGGAGAGCAAATTCCTCAGAGTGGTCGTCAACAGCAAACTCTTGCTCGTCGTCGGCACCATCTGACTTCTTTGTCAGGCACTTGATGGCAACTGGTTGATTGGTCATCAAATCCTGAGCAAGGAAAACCATACCGAAGGAACCATGGTTGAGAGGTGAGAGGGTCTGGTAGCGTCCCCCGTCAAGGAGAAGGCCACCAATGAATTTTTCCCGTAGGCACTCCATGCCGTGGGACGTGAAAGAACAGTTGGATGGCGGGTGAGAGCCAAAAAAAAGATACAACAGGGTTTACCGGAAGTAAACGTAACAAAAAAGGATAACGGTGGTAGTTGTACAATAACCGATGTTATTTCGCCGTTATAGACACGTCGCGGGGTATGATATAATAAATTGCCGGACGTGAATTGCTCAGCCTATGCGGGGCAGCTGATAATTTGTAGATGTGCTTGCGAAAGAGTCTTCCTAAAATGAAGACTGTGGTGAGAGAATTGAGTGATGAGAATGTACAGATATCGCTGGCAGTTTGGAAAAGTGATATAGCATCCGCAAGCGTATAGGATGTGTTCGTAGCAAAAAAGAAAAGAAAAGATCGAAAATCAAAGGCTCATTTGAAGGATTTCAACAGTATTGGAACAAAAGAAATGGATGGTCGAAACGTCGTAGCGATGGCCGCAAGAGAGCCGAGGTGGCCTCAATGGTTTGAAGAAGATGGGAGAAAATCGTTATGATGACATGGGAAGTCGTTTTCGGTGAGTGGTGTAACAGAATGATCTCCAACAACGTTGCAGGCCAAGTACAATCAACCAACGGCGGGGGTCGAAGCCGTATGGGAAGAGATGAGTATGAGGGGTGAGATGGGTGCCTGGTAGGTTTCGTAATCAGGCCAACCAAAGCGTCGCTGCGCGAATGAAAGGCGATGCACAAAGGCAAAGCTAAAAAGCGGCTACGCTATAATATGAGAGTGTCGAAAGGGGAGAACCCCAACGACTCAATCCGTGGTGGTTGGAAGGTGAGGACTGCCGGAGTAGGCGAGAGCGGTCGGTGCGAGGCGAGGGGTCGAGTGTGCAAGATTGGAGCTCGCAATTCGCTTATGTGCTTAATCTGGCGATGCAAAATAGCAACAACACTTCTTTCTCTTCGATCTAGTTGGTAAAAGTCGAGGCGAAAATACTAGACTTGCTTGCTGGGCGGCGTAGTCGGGGAGTGACAGACAGCTCGTGACTCGTACAGTTGTTGGAAACGACGAGAATGGTTGGGATGCAAGGTCGAAGAGAGAAGAAGGTCGTTAGACCAGTAGATAAGAGGGCGAGGCGGAAAGAAGGAGAGTAGAAGGAGGGCGGAAAGAGGATGATGGGAAGGTTAAGAGAGGTAGAGATGGAAGGGACAGCAAGCAGGAGAGAGGAAAGGGCGACGAAGCGGTGATGAATGGGTGGATGGATGGAACCAAGTGGAACTGGGGGGCGGCGAGTCGAAGCACCTGGCAGCACCCGTCTGCTGTTGGGAGGGTGAGTGGGGGGATGGCGCATACTAGACAAGGCCGGCAGGCGAGACGCTCGTCGAGCCCATGCGTATAGCACAGTGCTAAATACAGAAGCGGCGGATCCGTGTGCACTGTTGAGAGTCTGGTTCAAAACATGGGTAGCGTGGCGGGTAGCGACCGTCGTTACAGTGCAAATGGTACAGTGTGGCTGATCCAATACACTGGAGGGCGACTGAGTTTTGGGGGCTCCGGTGGCGAGTGGTGAGACACGTCTTCTAGTGAGATACCTACATTTGCTAGGCGAGTCAGCCATTTGGCTGGTACCCCACAAGCACATCGTCCCAGTGCGTCGTGATGGCGGTGGAGCTCGCCGAGGCTAGTCGAAAACTGACCAACGTGACAGATCCGTGCGAATATTACAATTCTGACACTGAGTCCCCTTGTTTTGTTAATGTTACCAAGGGAGAGTCTGGTTCAGGTACTTCCTGTGTTGTACCTCAGCAAGGTGGTAACGGTGTATTCTACATTACCATGAAGTACCTCTTCCACTCATGGCCCTTGGCCCCGCGCACGGTAGACGCCATTGCGCAATGAGTACTCGTCGAAAGAGACCATTGCGCAAAACCTAGATACAACCTATTATGAAAAGGATTTAGGTTTACCAGACATGAGAAAGCCAAGGATTTCTCTCGCACGTCGACAGATGTGCATCGTGCAGCAAGCACATCAGTACAGTAATTTGTTACGAGGACGGCACCTCATGACTACTGGCGAGCGGCAATTGAACACGCTCAGTGTTCTCTTGCGTGCATCTCCACATGTCCTACACGTTGTTATTGGCTGTAAAACAGGCGCTACGCAGTGGCATCGTCAGGAGAAGACCAGGGATTGTCATGCAGTCACGTACAGTGCGGGTCAGACATTGGCTCAGGCGGCCGTTTTGCTGAGGAAAATCGATTGCTGGCTACCTAATTGTCTCACCTGAAGCACGGCGATAGTCAACAAGTACACGAGACAGGCAGCCAGGAACTTGCATTGTATTGTCAACCAAGGATTGTAGTAACGCCCTCGATATAGCCCTACACTCTGGTGGCGCGACATTGGCGAATACGTAGCTATCTACAGCTCACACATTCTCAAGCACAACATCTGCAACGAACAAGGACACAGTGTAAAATACAGGAGTGGCTGGCCTAGTGGGCTACATTGTCGGTACTTGCTGATGTGTGATTTCTACACCGCCAGCAGGGTACATGTCTGTCCACAGCAGCAACGGCATGCTAGTGGCTATGGTAACGGCGAACAGATTCCAGCCAATTTTAAAATAGTACATCCTCCAGCCTAGCACCAAAGGCATGTCTGGGAGAAAGCCAAGTTTTAGTCGTGAACCTGTTTGGACATACAATTGAAGGACAGCATTTGATATTGAGATGCGAAGTCTCCATCATGTTGACAGCGGCTGTATCCATCTCCCGGGCCCAGGACGGGCCTCGCTCATCGTGGATCCGTCGCGTCTCCAGTCGCGCCTGAAAGTTGAACCACCCTTGTTTATTGCAGACAAAATAAATACCTGTAAATGGATTTTTACCCTTTGCAGATGGTGGAAACTCATGCAGCTGCAGGGACGCCAAAGTCGTGGCATCCTCGGCCCCTGACACGATTTGGTCAAATTTGCAGACCACACCGCTCTTGGGCCTACGTATCATGTACCTCCCAGTTATTCATTGGCTGCACATCGCTAATGCGGAACACCCTATATCTTCTCGAATTACTTCCGTTCATCGGACCCGGGTCTGCTGGCCAAGCTATAGTCGTATTGTTTAGCACCTGATCGCCCCAGCCCTGGGCTAAAGTAAACGTTGAAAAATTACTTTGTACAGATGCATGTGCCGCATAGCGCGGCTTCGCTCAACACCGCTCTGTGTAATTACCATGTTGACGAACTGCATATTCGTTCCCAAATGACAGACAGACAGCATATCATATTTCCCAATGCAGGTCAGACCGCTTCTCCTCTGCCCGTCGGTTCTAACCGCGCTAGTGGGGCTCACAGCAAGCATGGCCCAAGCAAAATTTCTAGCCCCTTGCCTCGTTGGGCAGCTCTTTGTTGACAGGGTGGCTGGCTAGTGCGTCGAGTCGCTTACACGTCAGTACCGTCCTCAGAAACGGATCATTCCATTTGCTTGAGAGAATAGTTCGATTGCAGACACACAAGGGACGAGCAAGAAAAATTTCTTCACGCCACATAGAGGCAGATCGAGCGGAACGGTTAGGCGCCACATCCGACATTATCTTCACCGCTCCGAGCCTTTCAAGATGAGTGCTATGCAGCCTAGTTTGATGCATGGCATCAAAGTATTGCTGTTAGATATTGGTAAGTAGTAGCAATGTACCATTGACTGCAACACTCGGTTCGAGAAGCAAAGTACTCTGATACTATGATGTTATCTTGGGGATGAATGATATTCCCTTGTCAGGTCTATCGCTAACTTGGAGAACAGAGGGAACCGTTTGCCCAATTTCCTTTGTTAAAGATGTTCTTGTAAGTTACCGTTATATTGCATCGTCCGCTGTTACTAGAGATGGTTCTACACATGCGAGGGCACCACATATCTGGTTTCGCGCATCTGACGCTGAGGTCTGACTAGTTTCCCTATGCGTTGAATGCCCTACCAGCTGTCCTTGATGAGCAGTGGGATCAACCTGCCTTCGCTGTGTATCGTGATGCGTTTCCAGACGAATTCCGCAACGATCGCAGTCGTCTTGAGGAGCATGTCCGGGATTTGGTTAGCAGAGACGTCAAAGCCCCATATCTTAAAGCGCTCCAAGGACATCTCTGGCTCCAAGGCTATGAGTCTGGCGTCTTAAAGGCGCCACTTTTCGCAGATGTTCCATCGTTCATAAAAGATGCTCATGCTGCCGGAGTCAAGGTCATAATATATTCCTCCGGATCGGTCGCCGCTCAGAAGCTGTTCTTCAAGCACACAAGCGCAACGCCTTCTGACATGTCCAGCTTCATTTCGGGATGGTTCGACACTGTTAATGCTGGACCAAAGATCGAAGCGGCAAGTTATGAAATCATATTAGCCGCCGAAAGCGGCGTAGATGCTTCTCAGTGGCTTTTTCTGAGTGACAACATCAATGAGGTTAAAGCAGCTAGAGCTGCTGGTATGCAAAGTGTGCCAGTCGTGCGACCCGGAAATGCACCGCTTCCATCAGAACTTGATTTATCAAACCAAGCAGTCACGAGCTTCCATTTTAACTAGAAGTACTCCGAGCTAAATAGTTAACTACCGTTGTCTAAACGCACTGTGATGGCTGTGTCTTGAATAGAGATGAAGAGGTGGTTATATGCCAGATCAGTGCACTGTTCTAAAAGATAAGACGTTTAATAATACATGTATTTTGTGGCTAGAGACTGGTGTAGTTACTGCTTCTTAAGTGTAACCACGAAGTTGTTGCGAGATCGACCAGGATTCACTTCCTTCTTTGGTAACGTATATCCTGCAATGGCCAGTGTTTTATCATATGTCCATAACGAATAAATCAATTTTTGAGTCAGCTTACGCTGAATATTATGAAACCCGAGCCCGTTCATCAAATCTTTCAAGCGTTCTTCAGTAAAATACCTTGAATTGTCGACACAACTGCGTGGGAGTACAAGAAATAGAGAAGGGAACAAGTCTGGGCACTCTAGATCGTCGGCCTTGTAAAGAAATTTTGCAGTTAAACGAAGCATTTCGCCTCGTAAAGCCGCGTCGGGCACAAAGTTGAGAACAAGACTTAATGAAATCATGTTGAATCGATCTGTGTCGCTTTGTGGAAGTGGCCTTTGCATGAAATCTTGTTGCAATATGCCAGGTTCTTGACTATTCAAGTCAATCCGAGTCACATCGAAGATTCCACTGTTAGAGCAAGCATTCTTGACGCTCAAGGCTCCAACTTCCAGCAGCTTTAGCCGCTGGGAGGCTTTCTTAATGTCATCAACAGGCAGCCAATCTAGAAGAACTTTCGAGGTATCACCACCCCTATCAGAACTTTGACCTTGTAAACTAGCCTGCTGATATTTTGATATCCCGCCCAGGCTCGAGATTTCTGTGGCAAGTCTTGAAGCAGTAGCCGTGTCACCTCGCCCTTGGGCAACGAGTCTCTGCTTCTCCAGTTGGTGATGTTTATTTATAAGCGTTCTGCTGGTTTTTCTTGACATCGAGGTAGAAGGTCGTGCACTTGGCGGCCGACCAGCCGAAAGACTTTTTATACGCTTCTTTTGAATAGCCATCGCGCCGATAGGAGGACCTCAACCTCATCAACGTTCTACCGGATCATCTCGATTGTCTTTGAAAATGCTAACCGTAAGCCAATTATCTCAAAAACACGTACCAGTTTCTCACATGTTTGGTATTTTTTCTCTACTTACCAATACTGGGATTTTGTTTGGATTCTATTAGACCAAACTTCAGACCGGCACTCATTCATCAGCGTTTCATCGCTGTCTTGTTAGCAAAGTGGGTACTTTGCCACGAGAACGTCCTTGAATAGTATCTATCACGTGATGCTTACCTAAGCACCCACACTTTGACTGGCAGCCCTAACAAAATATCCCACACTAGATTTAGCTGTGAACTTTTTCCGTTCCCCAAGACCGAGTGTTCAAGATCACAGTCCAACCACCGACAACTTCGACAAAATGGCCCCCGTTAGCAAGAAAGGTACGAATATGAAAGGATAGCGACGCTGCGACAATCTACACGCTAGCCGTGTCATTTTCCACAATGTATCCCGCATCACGCAGCAGCAGATCTTGCGAGTTCTGAATAGAGCGATTGCTGATGCGTTTTCTCATGTAGCTGCCCCCAAGGGCTCCAAGCAGGCCAACGCCGCTGCCAAGGCTGCTCTTAAGGGTGTAAGTATTTCCTCTCCCGTCAGAATGGTTTACAACTTCTGGAAGCGGTTATTTCTAACAAACGTATTAGACTCACTCCAACAAGCAGCGCAAGGTCCGCATGAGCAACTCTTTCCACCGCCCCAAGACCCTTGCCCTTGCCCGCGCTCCCAAGTACCCCCGCAAGTCTATCCCTCACCAGCCTCGCCTCGATGAGCACAAGATCGTTATCCACCCTCTCAACACTGAGAGCGCCATGAAGAAGATGGAGGAGAACAACACCCTTGTCTTCATCGTCGATGTCAAGGCCAACAAGGCCCAGATCAAGCTTGCCCTGAAGAAGCTTTACGACATCGATACCGTCAAGATCAACACTCTCATCCGGTAAGGAGCCTATTTACCAAAAGCTCATAGCATGTGACGTCTCGCTAACTTGAAGCCAGCCCTGACGGTACCAAGAAGGCCTATGCCCGCCTGACTGCCGATGTCGATGCCCTCGATATCGCTGCCAACAAGCTCTCCCTCGTTTAAAAGTCGATTTAATGCAAACGGTTTGAGATGATGGATTTGGGTTTCTTGAAAATAGCTGCATGTAACGGAACTGGCGCAATAAGCTTTTAATAGCTACGGTATCAATGATTAAATATTCGCATAAGCGAACAGATCTACGCGTGGCAAAATTTCATTAATTTATCCAACATCGCAAGAGTGTGGCGGCTGTGTCAATATCCCCAATGCCAATGTGCTGTAAATTGTTATTATAAGTCTAGTGTACAATGTCTAACCAATGCTCATGTCTGTATTGGACAAATTATGATCTCATCTTCTGGAGATACTGCATAGTTAAAAAGTTGGTATCCAAGAATCGTTCGACGCAGTTGGCCAGACATGTTTCCTCAGAACTGTCGAGTTTCGAATTGCGGATGTTTCCTGTAACGCAACGTTTCCAGCACATTTGCGTGAGTTTGTGTGTTTCTAAGATCGCAAGACGGTCAGCGAGAACCCTTTGGTTACAGTTAGGGGAGATGCCATACGAGACTGGATCATAGCTCGCTGCTCTTCATTAGCGAGGAATTGTCGGAGATCGGCCTTATCTTTGTCGTTAAGACGTTCAAGATCGGCATTTTCGAGTCCTGCTTGAGCGGTATTCATGGCGGAGATGCGATACGTAGCTTTGGTGATAGTAATTGTTTGTGTTGTTCGCAGAGGCCGTGGTATGTTTGCGCGGAGTTTTTCCTAGTGGCTCAGAAAAATGACTACTGTACCACAGCGCTCCTATCCTGAGGCGTTGCGGGTCTGCATCAGTCCATTACGACACACTCTTAAATGGTGTAGCTCAGATATTCATCTTCGATTGGAAAGAAAATTGGTGAAAAAGAAACCTATGTATTAATTTGCTTCCACCCATTTTTTTGCGCCGATATTCCCCTGGACCGCGTCAAAACGGCATGTCAAGTAGGCAATATTGGCGGCTATGCCTTCCGGAAGTGACCCACATTGGGCCATCTCTCTTTAACGCGTCCTCGGACGCGACCACTCCTGCTCCTGCATATAACAAAACGCTTTAGAATCGCAGTGCAGGCATTGTACCTCTGTTTAAACTCACACTTCCACGTCAATATTTGGGATACGCTTGTCGTATTTATATTCTATAAAGAAGCACCGCAACCATAATACTTCGCCTCGAGTTGGGTAATACTGTTGAGTATGGATCAATAGTAGAGCAACTGCCCATCGACCAGAGTCCGTCCCATTAACCTAATGACGTTGGATTTTTTTCTAACAGCATCAACAGTGGCGGATCTTGAATATAAAACCCTACAAAGAGGTCAAAGCCTCGGCCGCGACTTCCGTTCTGGAAGCCCAGAAGCCAATAAGGCTGATGATGATGAGCCATACTTTTCAAATGATGGCAAGTACCACTGAGCCAGTTCAAGTTTCGATAATGCTAATTTATAACAGACATCCGTATTATGCACGAGATTTGTGTCCGTGCCCAAGATGACTATGAAGCACTGCCCGATCCTAAGCCAACCTTCTCAAAGGTGGTATTTAACGCCTACCACGAGATTTTGGAAAGCTATGGCATCACCCCTGAAAAAGAGGATCCCCGGGCTAGCTTACTCTTCCTCGTTGTTGGAGAATCAGGCCCTCTGTCACTTCCAGAAAGATATGAGCTAGTTCTTGGCAGGAAACGTATAGCACTAGACTTCGGCGAGACTACTGTTGACACATCTCTACAATCACAAAGAACGGCAACATCAGTCAGTACTGAATCTTCAGAAGTCAGAACAAAATTACCAAAGGAGCAAGGCAACGCAGTCATTGAAGACAGCCGTGAGCCCCCACAATGGCAAGAACGGGCTCGTAAACGAAGGGAAGCACGCGAGCTACAAAGACAACAAGATAAGGAGCATTTTGAAGCTTCTGGGAGGGATATTGAGTTAGTACGAAAGCAGTCTGATGAGCTTATGAGAAGGGTAGACGAAGCGAAGCAGAGAGCCGACGCTACGAGCGCTGCGTCTTCTACTATCAGCCTTCAAGATGCAGAAGCATCAGCCGAGTTCAGAGAACGATTAGTCAGACGACACCAAGAATTTCGAAACGAACGTCAAGCTAGCGCATTGCGCCAAGAACGCAACGCGGAACGCAGAAGACAACAATCGGCTGAACGCCAAGCAACGAGCCCCCGGAGAAGCTCTCGTGGCTCCTCGCCGGTGAATCGAGACGAAGACATTTGGATGACTCAAGCTGATCTCTCTCGTCGACCACAAACACCAGAAGAAGTCTCGAAATCGTTATTTGAGAAGGCTGGCAGGGCTCGAGAAATATTCCTGGCCAGCAAATATTTTAACGTCTGGGCCGAACGAACTGCTACTAGACTTGAACGCGAAGCAGTTGCCCGGCGTCATATGATAAGATTTCGATGTTTTCAGGGCTGGTCCAAGACCCCAGCCTCACTATTACCAGCAGCTCAGCACTTAACTACACTTACAGCGGTCGAAAAACTGAAGCGAGCAACTGTAACACAGGAACTACAGCTAAGTTCGGCATCCTCTGCTGTTGCCCAAGGCAGGCTGATCGATAGAGCGAAAGGCTGCCTGAATCGATGGCATTGTCACCTCAACGAGCGAACCACACTTGCAAATGCTGTTTCTCAGACTGTCAATGGGGCTCTAACGGCTTGGGCGAACCACACAAGAGATGGATCGACACGGGTTGCAGACAATACAAAATTACTCCAGCGTCATCAGATTCAACGCGATTTCATCAAATGGTCGTCCAAGGCCAGCCAGTTTTCAAGATGGGTCCGCGCGTGTCGTGAGGCTAGCGATGCTGAGAAGATATTGGCTACAGCGGATACATGGTACAATTTTAATCAAGAGATGGGGGCAGCCAAGTCATTCAAAGCGGGGATACTAGATGACAAAAGGCAGCAAGCTGTAAATCTTTGGAGACTGCAGACTAGAGAGTCTGCATTCCGAGGAAAGGTCGAGTACCTTCGTGCGCTTCGATCGGTTCAGCGGTGGCAGCAGTCCGCTCAGAGTAATGTTGGGAGAGACATTTTAGCGGCGTCATACTTTAAAGCACAGTCTGCTACAGCGACTCTTCAACAGTGGAGGAAAGGCGCCAAAGTTGCCCCGAAGTTGGCTCGCTTTGCTGCGCGATCGCAAACGTACATTGCTGCGCACAAACTCCTTGACACGCTGGAAAATGAACACAAGAGGGTTGTACAGAAAAAGAAGGACACAATCCGTTTAGTTATGAGAATTCAGTATAAAGCTGCGTCAGCACGGAGGAAACGTCGCTTGTTTGATTCCTCACTCAACAAATGGGTGTCCCTCGCTACCGATCTAGAACGACAGACGCAGAGTGCTACAAGCGAAGCTGCACAACACAGCCGGCATCGCAAAACGGTCACCTTTGACACATGGGCAATTATGGGCTATGTTAACCAACTCCGACGGGAGACAGCCCGGAGGAGCGAGGCCAACAGAACCATCGATAAATGGGCAACAGTTGCCACAGTGTCGAACAATGTTGGTTCTGATGCTCGTCATTATCATTATCAGACACTTACAAGGGATAATTTGCGGGTTTGGTCGAGATCCAATCTTCAAAACAGCGGACAGCATCACACCGCCAGCAAAGTTAGAGAACAGCACGACAATGAGCTCCGTCGTCGTCGGTTTTATCAGTGGCGGCTATGGAGGTCAGATAAGGCCCGGCCTTCATACTTGCCAGGATCTGCACCCCCAGCAAATTTTCGTTCTAGCCGAGGGAGTCGGTTCAAGAACCTGAGCTACAACCCCATGAATCGCAGCCTTCAAACTGCAGTTGACACGCCCACGAGATGGACAGGCAATGCACGCCCACTGGCTTCCTTGAGCGAAGCTGCGCCTCCTTTTAGTGGGCGAAGAACCCTCTATAGCAAGAGGGTATGATGAACTATAACAGGGAACTGTCGGGCGTTTTTTTTTTTGGTTTTAGATACCTATTGATAGCATTATTTGGCGTTTGTTTGTGTGGGCGATTATTGCTATGCTTGACGCTTCTTGTATACTATATATGATGACTGTAATGACTCAAATAGCATCAATTTATAAATTAGCCTGCAGAATATCGCCGCCTTAGTGTTAGCATTGTCCAGCCCTCACTGTTCGTTGGTGGTGCTGGCTGGGGTGGTCGCGCTGTGGACGCGAGTGGGTCTGCTCAACGCGGCGACAGCTATGACGGAGCTTGCGACCAGCTTGTGCTCTCCGCTAACAATCAACCCTTGCGAGCTTTAGATACCAATGCCATTTTATTTTTCGACGCTGATAGCATGAGCATAGTTCTCCCAGGAAAGCCCTCGTCAAAGCTCCAGGCTTTGGCATGCGGCTGCTGGCGAAATTACCACATTAATGTTCGCTATTCTAGCAACCAAAGTCCGTATGGGGTCGCTTCTAACCATTACTAGGCCTATATCACCGGAGCAGCATTTACAGTCATCGATGGCTCCAAATCAACGATACAAACGATCTACGACGAGAGCGATGACGAGTTGGAATCTATAGCCATCGACGATGCCACCGGCAAGATCTCGGTCGGGACCATATCCGTTGTGCGCATCTACAAACCGTCCTCATCACCAGACGATCCGCTAAAGGTTGGTTACAAAATCAAAATAGCTATAATCAGTGTCTAACTAGGCATTAGTGGGCTCTCGAATATACGATCGATATACCTCACTCCTCCTCAACAGGGTGCTCTCTATCATGGGGCCGCGACGAAGAATTACTCGTTGCGAACCAGTACCTATCGCTCTTCTCACTCAAATCCGAGCCGCAACATATATGGGAGAAAAGCTTGCCAAGCGAATCCAAAACAGCTTCCATCTCATATGACTCAGCTTACATCGTATCTCTTTCTGCTGCCGACAGAGTTCCGAAAGTCTGGCGCCGTCTTGCATACGGCAATGATGGCGTTCGCTTCGATTTCACATACCTACCACATCCGAATGTTGTGACTTCGGTTAAATGGCGAAAACCAGTTCATATTGACCAAGCGAACAACAATATACTGTACACTTTTTGTATCGATGGTATCGTACGAGTTTGGATACCTACAGATACATCTGATGGTCTTCATTGGCTGCAATGGGGTACTATAAATGTGAATTCCGCATTCTTGAAAGATATTCCAACTTCTCATACCTGGGTTATCGGCATTTTAGATGGCAGAGACTTCACTGCAGCCGTTGAAAGTGCCGTTCAACATCGCATGAACGATGACCATACCACTGATGACATCGCAATGGACCATTTGGTCGCGATAGCCAATAAAACCCCCGAAATATGCATAGCATTCAGTACATCAGGGCTCATGGCGATCTGGGCTCTTGAAAATGTTTGCCCGGAAACCGCTACTCGACCAAAAGTACTCGATGTGTCACGAATTGAATCAAAATCTTTCGAGACTCTCTTAGGTTTCTTCAGGACGTCACAACCAGAACATACGGAAGTTCACACTTACTATGACAAAGATGCCGGTCGGATTTCCATATTACTCCATGAATTTGATGGCAGAATAGGTGTGATCTCAGGAGACATTGCGGAACTTATCAATCCAATATCAACCGACTCTGCGCTTGTTTTGGATAAAATTTGGACAGGGCACTCTGACTCAATAACCAAGATTGTGCGTAATTTTGGAGGCAGTGCTATTGTTTCAAGGACGGAAAACAAAGAATGTACCGTCTGGAAACATGTCCATGGAGATAAAGGTGGCGCTAAACGTGGCCTCGATCAACTCTCCAACATTGCCATGAATGATTCGATATTAAAGATCTCTGTTCTTCGTAAAGGTAGATTCGTGGTTCTATTGGGCCAGAAATACCTTTCGTTATGGGATTGTAGAATGCAAAATGCAGTGCTCGTCCACCAAATAGAGTACTCTATATCAGGCATTCCACTATGTTTGATAGTTTTACCTAGACCTCAGGTATCCGATTCACTTACTGCACATCTAGCTATGGTCACAACTGGTGGATGTGGCTTGGCCTGGAGAATATCGCTTCCTTCATATGGTGCTATGGCAGCTTCAATGGAAGCAGGCATTGTGGAGTTCTGTTCGTTTACACTCCCTATAAATGAACCTCTGGCCAGCGTTCTCCCCGTTGATCCCGCAGGCACTTCCCCAGTTGTATCCGGATTCCTGGATGTTTTTGCACGAGATGTCGCAGTTTCATACACGAAAAACGGACGTATCGACTTCTGGACAGCACAGGTTGACACTGATAAGGGACGAGTAGATTGGCTTTCTACGAGCTATACAGACACTGGTATGGTAGACCCAGCGTTGGCCAGTGGCAGCACGCTGAAAAAAGCTGCTCTTGTTAACTCAACACGGTCGCAACTCACAATATGGGACATTGGCGGCTCCAGGCTCGAATTCCAGGAAGACTATACGAATTCCAACTCGATACAAGATCTTGATTGGACATCAACACCAGATTCGCAGTCCATTTTAAGCGTCGGCTTTCAATACAAAGTTATTTTGCTATCACAAATGCGATTCGACTATTTGAACAGAGGCCCTGCTTGGGCTCAGATCAGAGAAATTAACATTAGGGATCTGACACCTCATCCTGTCGGGGACTCTGTTTGGCTTGGTGATGGTCATCTGGTAACAGGAGTGGGGAATCAGCTGTTTATCCATGACAGAAAGATGACCAGCTCTGATGCAACTATGACGGATCTTCGTCTTCCACAGAAGCGAGACGGTGCATGGGATCTTTTTGACGCGGTTCAGCGATTCAACGGCCCCTTAGCATTATTTCATCCCCAATTTTTGAGCCAATGTATTCTGGCTGGAAAAGCTACATTGGTCAGAAATATCTTGACTGCCCTATCTCGCACTCTTCGATATCTAATACCAGGGGAAGGTGTTGATGATTACCTTGGCCTTGATCCTTCCGACGTCTATCTTCCCGTTGGTTCATCTGACTTCTTGTTCTCTTTGCTCAGTCTGCTAACAAATATTAGGATGCACCAGTAGAACGTCATGGCGCAGGCGTCGGTGCTTTCACCACGAACTCTTATGATGCGGCAGAAACAGGATATGATTCGTTTTCAGAACAAACATCAACGTCAATACATGAACATCTTACCAAACTTCGAATCCCACAACTCTCTGGCCATGAGCAGATCCAGTTGATGGATATTGTCGAATGCGTGGCCTTGGTGGATAAACATCGACGGTCCATTGATGAAAATGGAAGTCGATTCATGCTATTCTTCCGCCAGCATGCGTTGCGAAAAGGACGCACCAGTCAAATACATCTCTCATGGCGCGAGATTAACTGGGCGTACCATTCTAACAGCCAAGATATATTGCTTGATTTTGTTATTCGACAATCACACAAGTCGATGAAGTGGGAAGACGCTCGCGAATCCGGTATTTTCATGTGGCTTTCTGACAGCGGTGCCGTTGTATGTATCGTCTCCCACGTATCATTTATGTTTCCTGCTAACCCGAAGTTCGCCGCAATAGAAAGCTCAGTTCGAAGCCATAGCTCGCAATGAGTATACTGACGGCGATACACGAGACCCAGTGGGCTGTAGTTTGTTTTATCTTGCCCTTCGCAAGAAAAACGTGCTTCAGGGTTTGTGGCGAATGGCAATGGGAAACAAGGAACAGGCAGCGACGCAACGTCTACTAGCAAATGACTTTGATGACCCAAAGTGGAAAAGGGTTGCCTTGAAAAACGCATATGCTTTGCTCAGTAAACGACGGTTTCGTGAGTATTTCATTCCGTCAATCCAAGCTGTCTGCTAATATCTCTAGGCTATGCTGCCGCCTTTTTCTTATTGGCGGGGAGCTTGGACGATGCGGTTGATGTATGCCTAAAGCAACTAAAAGATTTGCAGTTGGCCATCGCCATAAGTCGCGTATATGGTGGAGATGAAAGCCCCGTCACTCGTCGAATCTTGCAGGACGAAGTCCTAGTTTTAGCAGCAGATGAAGGTGACCGTTGGTTGGCTAGCTGGGCGTTCTGGATGCTAGGTCGCAAGGATATGGCCGTACGGGCCCTTATTGTATGTTCATCGTTATCGTTGCGTTGGTATTTGCTAACCTCTTGGAAGACACCCGTATATGCGTTGTTAGAAACCCCGGCTTCTCCAGGATTGAAATCAAGACATTTCTTGACTGACGACCCTGCTTTGGTCGTTTTGTATGCACAGCTGCGGCAGCAAACCCTTCAAACTTTGCGCGGCGCTGCCAAAATATCTCCTGGTGTGGAGTGGGAGTTTGTTCTTCATAGTGCCAAACTCTATGACAGAATGGGATGCGATTTACTTGGTCTGGATTTAGGTATGATGTTTTGGAAATTCCCCGGTGTCTGTAGAATTTTGCTGACCGCTTACAGTTCGTAATTGGGAGTTCCAGATGAGTTCGAACTCTGGATTCGCAGGTGATAGAAACCCTTTGACCCTTTTGAGGCGCCGAAGTTCGTTGATTGTAAATGACTTGTCCTCGGCTGAAGTCAAGTTGATGGGCGCCTCTAAAACACCAGCTCGGGCGGCTGTGCCTACGACATTTGATGAGCCAGATGCAAGCTCCTTGCTGGATAGCTTTGGTTTTTAATACGATATTTTGCGCGCTGTAATTATTTACACACTTGGGACTCGTAATATAGCTTCTTATACTATTTATTTAATTGGAATTCCCATCGCGTATTATTTCAGTTTCGAGGCGGGATAACACCACCAGCCTTATTTGAGCTACTCACGTGCACTACGAAACTGTATCAACAAGAGGCACTAATTCATGAAAAGCGCCAAAAATTAACGCATAAAGAAGAGGGCAAAAACAATTAAAAAGGCCAAGCAGGGGCATAAAAAGTAAGCTGCTGCTCAGCTCGAACAAACCATAGGGTAAGAGGAAGAGCGGTTGCTTAGTCACGAATAATTATTAATATTCATAGTGCTCGCGTGGTCAAACTGACCCACGACATCGCAACCTCGACAGACCAACATGGCACCGGTTATCAAGGGACAAAGCTTTACAGCTAGGGGTGTAGCTGCAGGACTGCTCATCGGAACAGTAATATGTGCGGCGAACGTGTATTTTGGATTGCAGACCGGATGGGTGTCCATAATGTCTATGCCGGCTAGTTTAATGGGCTTTGGGTTGTTTCGGCTGCTGCGGAAACACATTGAGCTCCCATTTAGCCCGGTCGAAAATGTTCTCGTACAAAGTGTTGCATGCGGAATGGCTATCATGCCACTGGGATGCGGATTTGTTGGTGTTGTGAGTTTGCCCCCCGAAGAGGCTTAGGCGGATGCTTACACATCTCATAGATTCCAGCGATGAACTACCTGCTTAAACCAGAGGAGATGGGCCCCATACAGCTAAGTACTTGGCAGATGATTATATGGTCATTAGGGCTCTGCTACTTTGGTGTGGTGTTTGCTGTTCCACTGTATGTAAACACATCGACACGAAGACACAACCAAGAAGCTAACAACAGAGCCAGGCGCACCCAGGTCATCATCCGTGAAAAACTGAAGTTTCCCAGTGGATTCAGTACTGCGGTGCTAATATCTGTGCTTCATGCAGACGGAGATCACGCAACGAAAAAGCAGCTTGATGCAGCTTCTGACGGCAATTTTGCTAGTCTGGTACCAGATGATGACGATATCGATGTTGATCAACCTGCAGAAACCGTGGGTGATGAAATCGAGCCACCGAATAACCCAACATCCAATCAAGAATGGGCACAGAATCTAAAACTTCTGGTGCTTTGTTTTGCTATCTCAGGTATTTGCACTGTCCTGACATACTTTTTCCCTGTTCTTCGAGATCTTCCTGTATTCGGGGCGGTGGCAGCTCAGAGCTGGCTGTGGACGTTCAACCCAAGTCTGGCATATGTTGGACAAGGCATAATTATGGGAACGGAGACTACAATGCATATGCTTCTTGGTGCTGTCGTCGGCTGGGCAGTGCTGAGTCCACTTGCCAAGTCACAAGGCTGGGCACCAGGTCCGGTTGGTGATTTTGAGAAAGGGAGCCAAGGATGGATTATATGGATATCACTTGCTATCATGCTAGTGGATGCCGTGATTAGTCTCGCGTACATCGCGATGAAGCCACTCTTAACCCGCACCACTCTGCCAAACACTCAAAGCAGAATCGTGGAGCTGTACCATCGCTTCACCGGACAAACCATGGCAACTTCGGAACATGGTTATGAGCCCGTCGACACCGATGACAATGACGGCTCCTTGAACGGAGTTGTTATGGACGTGTCGGATGCAGCTGGTGAAGATGCGCCCCGAGCACAACGAATTGGCCCTGCCACCGTTGGAATTGGCCTGGCCACCTCTATCGGTGTATGCATTATCGCGACCCATTATGTTTTTGGCGATCTCGTACCTCTCTATGCGACGATTATTGCTGTTTTAATGGCTCTTCTTCTTAGCATTATGGGTGTCAGAGCTCTCGGCGAAACCGATCTCAATCCAGTTTCGGGAATAAGCAAGCTAGCACAGCTTTTTTTTGCTTTCGTTATTCCGCAATCCAACAAGTCTAGCGTTCTGATCAACCTAATTGCTGGAGCAATTGTAAGTATAACTGTGCAATATTCCATGAACTACGGGAATGAATGGCTGACACGTTTTTCAATAATAGTCCGAAGCAGTAGGTTTATGTCTATTTCAAGGCATGTGAATGTACTAACAACTTCTAGGGTGCTCTTCAAGCTGGTGATCTGATGCAGGACCTGAAAACCGGCCATTTACTAGGGGCCTCTCCCAAGGCGCAATTCTACGGACAGCTTATTGGTGCAACGTGTGGTTCTGTGCTCAGTGCATTTATTTATCAACTTTACACGACGTAAGCTGAGCAATGTGTGCGCGTTGTGTGTGGTGATACTGACAGAGCTAGGATCTATGAAATCCCAGGAAATCTATTCAAAGTGCCAACTGCATATGTCTGGATTTTTACAGCACGCCTCGTTACTGGCAAGGGGTTGCCACCCATGGCTAAAGAATGGGCGATCGGCTCTGCTGTTTTGTTTGCTTGTATCACAATAGCTCGGGCCATGTCTACTGGGCACCGCTGGCGCAAATTCCTTCCAGGCGGCATTGCCGTGGCTGTTGGTAAGTATTTGCGAATCACATAACTGAAATACATTCTAATGTGCTCCAAGGAATGTATAATGTTCCCTCTTTTACTCTGGCTCGGGCGGTTGGTGGAATTGCTGCATATGTTTGGACGCAGCGTCTAAAAAACTCCACGACACCGCTTATTATTCTTGCCTCTGTAAGTTTTCCTTTCTTGCTACGTCTAGAGATGATGTTTAGTCAATTTCAAGATGGTTACTAACCAACATAGGGATTTATTCTCGGAGAAGGGTTTCTGAGCATCGTCAATCTTTTTATGACTGGATTTGGCGTGCCTCACTTCTAGCCCAGTTGTACTGATCGACAAATCTTAGCTCCATATGATGACAAAATTTATTCTATACGTAATTATTTTAGATCCCACTTGCGTGTAATTGGCGTCTTCTCATTCGTCGACCACGCAATTTCAATCTCAAGAGCTCGTTTGTTGGACTCTGCGGTAGCAAAAGTGACTGTGCCAGACAATTTTGCTCCAGATTCTAGAGCACTGGACTCCGAAGGAGGTAGTATCATAACGCCCTGCCTCCAATGCGTTTCCTTTTCAAATGGCCCTGTTGTAAAAGCAATGTCGCCCGGTTGCTTCTTCCAAGTTTCTGGAGTCTCCTCAGGGTTCGGCATGTACGTAGATGTTGAACCGGCAAAGAAATTGTCAAACCAAATTAAAAAGCCGGTAAGGCTATCAATTTGTCTTGTCAGTTGCGATGTCCATTCAGCGGTGAAGACAAGCTCATCTGTGGTGACTCTGTAGAGATCCAAGCATCGGAACGGGGATGCTGTACCACAAACTATTTTAGAGGGCATGACTTGAACCCTGACTTCATCGTAAATGTTTTCTTGCATAGCTTTCATGTCAAAGCCATATACGTCGCGCCAATAGTCAATGCTGTCGGCAACAAACTCTGGGTCTTCAATCGGGGCTATCCATAGCGTCGCGGAACTGGGGATTAAGAGTCCCCCTTCTTTCAGGTAGTGATCGCGAGCATACAAAACACTGGGAAGCATGGCCTCGTAGAGCAAACAATAGCCCATCCACTCACTGACGATGATGTCTACCTTGTCTACTGGTAGTTTCACATCCTCGATGGCACCACGGAGGCAGGTGATCTTATCAGATAACCCATTGTTGAAGACGTTTTCAGTTGCCTTTGCAATGATATCAGATTTATCCACAGCAATAACATGAGAAGCTCCTGCTTTAGCACAGAACATGCTCAGAATGCCTATTTATACCGTGTCAGTAGATTACAACAAGCGCCAATGAATGCAGCAGAAGCCATACCAGTGCCACAGCCGATATCGAGAACTGTCTTTCCAGCAAAGAGGTTCTTGTTTTCGTAAATAAAATCACGATAAGCATCTGTGCGAACTTGATCTTTGAGCATCGTCTCGTGGATTTCTAAATGTCGGTATTGGTTAGTACTCCATGAAGCTGGATGTAGGAAGATGAACAACGTACCATTGGCAGCGTATGATTCGAAGTAGTAATCGCCATTGTCCTTCTTAGGAGCAATGTTTGAAGGAGCAGGTTCCTTTTCATCTCCCCAGCGGCGATCTAGCGTCTCCTCAACAGCGAGGCGATAGTTGGCAAACTGCTCCTTGAGCGCTTCCAGTTGAGCTTGAAGCTCCTTGTTTTGTGCTGCGAGTTCGGACGGCCCAGAAGCTGCGCCCTCCGAAGTAACAGCGCTCTCATTCTCTTGCTCCAAGATTTCATCGAGGGAAAATAGCAAAGCGTCGTTTTCTAACACTGGTATGAGATATTTGTCATCAGCGAAGTCTTCGGCAGTCACTTCGTTGCGGACTGGGGTTGAGTCTCGTGTGGAGCAGCGAAGGAAATTGACGAGCTTGACACCTCCATGGAAATCCAGCCCTAAGCGTTTAAAGGTTGCTACAAGATCAAATCCCTTGGTGTTTTGGCAGTGGTCGAGAAGCTCGCGCAGAGTTGGGAAGGTCTCTGGCCCAAATGGCGAAGTGAATGTAAGCTGCTCCTCATCCGGTTCGACATCTTGCCAGTCAACGCCGTCTGAGGCTGAGGAGTTGCTGGAGACGGACATATTGTTCTTGATTCGAGTTGTCGTTAGTATTTGTTGTGGTGATCAAAGTGAAAAGACTTCGCAACGTCAACTGTGGTGGGGCAAGTCGCTGGTGAACGTCCTGGAAAAAAAAAGTTGACTGAGCTGCCCCGCCCCCACCATGGGCGAGTGCCACGCTGCAGAGATGTGATATTCAATTCTAATTAAAATTTCCCCTTTAATTTCTAGGTTATGTATACAAATAAGCCATCTATTGATAGCAATGGCCGATTAGTCGACATCATCTTCATCTTCATCGCTGTCATCGGCATCAGAGACTGGCTCACCGAGCTCGCGGAGTCGGGTCTGGAAATAGTCAGCTTTGTGCTCCTCTGAATCAATTGCTACAATCTTACCTTCTGCTTTGCCACCTGCTCCTCTAAGTCAGCAAAGACGATGAGTAAATCATCAAGCTCAGATTGAATGGCTTCTTTCGCCTTCTCAGTCTCAGCCACAGAAGCCTCCACCTGCGGAATTCAGTCAATACGAGTTGGGCGAGCGGTACATTATGAATCTTACCTGCGAAAGCTTCTGCTTAGATGCAGCTTCGGACGACTTGGCAGTCTCCAGTTGACTTTCGAGATCTTTTAGTTTTTCATCGGTATTTTCCAAAGTGCCCTTCAGTTCGGCTTGTAACTTGTTGTGTTTCGTCCGTATTTCCACCATTTCCGCGTCCTTCGCCGATATTTCTTGAGTCTTCGTGCGAAGGTCGATTTCCTTTTCTTTGGCCAACTACGACATACTAAGTTAAATCCAAGTTCCAGAGTTGATACTTTTTTCATCGTACCTTTGCCAAATCAACCTCTAGTCGACTTATTGTAGCTTTTAGATCCGCCGCCTGTGCAGTAGCACGGCCTTGGGCCTGTTGTGATTCGGCTGCCAATTGCTTTTGCCTCTGTTCAGACTCCTGTTCCGCACGTCTCTTGTATTGTTCCATGTCTGCTGTAAATCGCTTTTGCGCCTGCTCAGCATCTGCTGCAGCTCGGCGCTGTATTTGGTCGATTTCTGCTTGGGAAGATTTGCGTGTATTATCTAGCTCTCTTTGATAATCAGCTTCCTTTGCGGTCAGGGCCACCTGGATGGCAGCAACGCGTCGTTCGAACTCGGCATCTTTGGTAGCCTGGCTGTCTTTAAAGGCACTAAAGAAGTTTCGGTTAGTTCTATGCAATTGTAGTACTAGAGCACTTACACTAGTTCTAGTTCCTGTGCCTTCAGTTTGTCCTCGCTTGTTCGTGTCATTTTAGTGAGCTCCTTGGCGGCTTCTTCTTTCAACCGGCGATGCTCTGTTTGTTCTTCGATGAAACGCGCTTCAAGGGACATTGCCGTTGCTTTTGCAGTTTCCAATGCCTGCTCTTTCTCTTTTAACTGGCTGCGCAAGGAGTCCACCAGCTCCCGCGAAATACCTTTCTGTACACCATTTGTAATAATCGAGATTTCTAGTTCCGGACTTCTGTCCATTGCTCTGGATATTCGACTATAGTTGTCTTTGAAAAAGTTTACAAAACAAGAGTCGAAGTAGACCTCCGCAAGACCATTAGCTGTCAGCGGATCACGCTTTTGCGGCGTGGTTTCGAAATCGCGTAAAGCTGGATGACTGCGAAGCTGGACAAGGCGATCGACGTATCGTTCACGATCCAAACGAGACATCAACATCGAATGAAGCGCTGTTCTTGAAATTGTTGAGTCCTTTGTGGAGAATTCATAGACAATACCAAGGAGCATCGCACAGAGGCCCTGTACTATCTCTCCACATACTATGGTTGGCTGTGAGACGGCTTGGATCAAGCTTTGCACATTGCTGCCCTCTGAGAGGAAGTCGTTAACAGCATCAAGGTCTTCAAACAACCAACCGGTAAGGAGCATGGCATAACCAATTAGGATGCGATGGTCATCGCCACGATTGATGCCTGTGATGAAGTGTGCAGCAATTGTCTGTAAGCTTGTCACAACTTCTTCGCCATCAGCTGCGTCTCCTTCGGCAATGGCAAGAGCTTTTGCTTTGCCTTCAGGGTTCTCAAAAATGAGATGAAACGCGATTACTGCAGCAAACCACTGTCGGTAGGGATCTGTTGCCATAAGATCTGTGCTGGGTCGTAGCAATACATTTAAAATGTTGGCGGACTCATTGCCGCCGGCCAAGTAACCCTCAATCGCTCTGCTAAGGAAGTGCAAACGAACATCGAGATGGTTTGAAAAGTAAGATTTTAAGCACTCGCTTGCTGCGAAGCGTAGATCAAACGAAGAGCTGTCCTGAGTGTTCAACGTCAACTCTAGTAGTCCGTCGATTACATATACTCTGGAATCATCGCGTTTTAGATCCGCATTCGTAGGCGACTGCCCTTGAGTTGAGCTAACAGAGAGTTGAGCGAATGTTTCTTGCAGAGACGTCGCATCTCGAACCATATCTCCGCATGTCATGAGCGCTTCAGCCTTGATTTCGATTGGGAGGGCATCGTTGAAAGCCAGTTGTAATATTTCATGACATAGACCGTGCTTCCAGAGCAAAGTTTGGTTTTGTAACACACCGCTGGACCGTGGCTGTAAAAGTAGCCGAACGATAGCGAGAAACGCATACGTATTTCGATTTCTCTGTGTTTCCGCCCATGGCGATAGTGGTGCTTCAGCGGGTTGAGCAGCTGCTAACGACTGCAATAGTATCCCTAGTCGCTTGACACCACCCGACTCACGAAAGAGAGCTTGGTTTGATGAGTTGCGCCGTAAAAGGTTGGCCAGGAGAATTAAGCAATCTTCAACAGTACGGCCACCCTCATTGAGGGACCCCTCAGCATCAATAATGTAAAATATTTTATCGAACGCGCTTTCGAAGGCAACAAGTTTTTGAATGTCGATTGAGGTCGGCGTCAGCCCGATCAAGAGGCTTACAGCTTCGTTTCGAATAGCATCACGGTCGTCGTCAAGAACTAGAACCAGTCTGGATATGCCCAACGGGGCAGTGAAGACGCATTCTTCGGTACGCTCCGTGCGAGCGACTAGAATTGCATTGAGAAGCTGAAGTGCGTAGAGTCGGGAGTAGAATTCGGAAGACTCGAGGAACTCTAATAAGAGTGTGACGTTTTCTTGGCGTTGAGTAAACTCATCAGCCATCCAAAGCATTATCTCCTCTGAGGCTTCGGGACTGTCAGCGCTTGGGTTGAAGAGCATAAGGAGAGTCTCGAGAACCACTTTGACGGTATCAGCATCCTCGCCGTCCTTGCTGAGGCTACCAATTAGATCCCGTAGAGCAGCTGAGGCAACGGTGGCAGGAAAATCTTTGGCAAAGCTTCGTAGGCCAAGAATAGCGGCGCGGCGGTCTTCCAGAAGTGTGCCTGAAGCAAGCCTGCCACCGAGGATGCTGATGGCCTCGGTGGCAGACTGTTTAGCTGGAGCTGTCGCTATAGAAAACATGGTAAAAAGGTGAGTTTCAGAGTCGCTTTCTGGCCATTGAGTGTGTCGAGTAGAATAAATAGTGAGTAGAGGATAACTGCAGTCCACCTAGCGACTGCGCGGTAGGAGCAGGCTCAGAGGGTGCGCTGTTAGAGCTCAGGAGCAGGCCGGAGCTGTCCAGGATGATGGATCGCAAGTCCCCCTTGACGTGGTGGAGCGGTGCTCCCTGCACACAAAGCTCGTAGGTGGCCCTTGTTAGCACCAGAGCAAAAGATACTTGGCCGTTCACTCCAAGCAAAGTACCTTTTTTTTTTTGTGACCCACTTCCTCCAACTCATGCTGGATGCTAAGCAAAGACAGGTACTTCAAGAGAAGGTTATTTTCTTTTCTTCTAGCATTTAGTTGTATACTTGTAAAATAATAGTAAAAAATAGCAATATAAATAAAACATTAACAATGAACAAGCATTGTTAGATTTATGTCAAGATTGCACATCATAAACTGTACATACGCTGCTCTTGTGGGGATGTCGCCAGGCGCCTCAGCACCCGCCGGATGCCTGTTCTGATGCATCCGACAGGACTTGTGGGGCACTCACTGTGCATACAATCTTCTTTTTGCCATCACCACGCGCGCTTCAACACCACGACAATTCCAGCATTTGCCATTTGGATTTTATTTTCGTATCAAACCCACTATACCAGAAAGTCACTGCTGCTAGCAAGCGCAGGATTCTGCTGTCAAGATGGGTATTCCAGCGGCTTTCCGATGGCTGTCGAACAAGTACCCCAAAATCATTTCTCCTGTGATTGAAGATCGACCGGTAGTGATGGAAGATGGTACCGAGATTCCTGTCGACACTACCCGGCCGAATCCAAACGGAGAAGAGCTAGACAACCTATATTTGGATATGAATGGTATTGTCCATCCCTGTTCTCATCCGGAGGACCGCCCGGCGCCAAAGGACGAAGAAGAGATGATGGTTGAGATTTTCAAGTATACCGATCGCGTTGTCAATATGGTACGACCGAGAAAGATTCTTATGATTGCTGTTGGTAGGTTACATTGTCTGTTGCTTTTTCCATCTGTCGACTATTGCTAACTTCCCCTAGATGGTGTTGCGCCGCGCGCAAAGATGAACCAGCAACGATCGAGACGATTTAGATCTGCGCAAGAGGCGTACGAGAAAGAGAAAGACAAGAAGGAGCTTATAAAGCTTCTAAAGCAGCAAAATGGAGGTACATTGGCCGTCGAGAGTACTGAAGCTGTGACAAAGAAGGCTTTTGACACCAACTCAATCACTCCAGGAACTCCTTTCATGGATATTCTTGCTGTCAGCCTTCGCTATTGGTGTCAGTACAAGCTGAACACTGATCCGGGTTGGGCAAAATTGAAGATTATTATCTCAGATGCGACTGTTCCAGGTGAAGGCGAACATAAAATCATGGACTTTGTCCGCTCCCAGCGAGCCAGCCCCGAGTATGACCCAAACACGCGACATGTCATCTATGGCCTTGACGCCGATTTGATTATGCTTGGCCTGGCAACTCATGAACCACACTTTCGGGTCTTGCGAGAAGATGTTTTCTTTCAAGATGGGAAATTCCGATCTTGCAAGCTGTGTGGGCAAAAGGGTCATGACGCCCAAAACTGTCGAGGAGACGCGAAAGCAAAGGAGGGCGAATTTGACGAGAAGGACAAAGAGGTCACATTGAAACCCTTCATTTGGCTTCATGTATCGGTATTACGGGAATATCTTTCTGCCGAGCTTGCGATTTCAGATTTGCCCTTCCGTTGGGATCTTGAACGTGCTATTGACGACTGGATATTCATGTGTTGTTTCGTTGGCAATGATTTCTTGCCCCACCTCCCCGCACTGGAGATTCGTGAACACGGCATCGATACCCTCACGACGCTCTGGCGAAACAATTTACCAGCACTAGGCGGCTACATTACCAAGGATGGCCACATTGATCTGGAACGTGCGCAGTGCATTATGGATGGACTGGCGGCTCAGGAAAACTCCATCTTTAAGCGCCGAAAGGAGCAGGAAGACCGTCGCGAAGCAAGCTTCAAGCGGAGAAAAATGCAGCAACAAGGTGGTCGCCATGGCCGACAAGATGGACAAGACCGGCATCATCAGCGTCAAGAGCCAGAGCGACAATCCAGAGACCCAAATGAGCTTCCACAAGAGACACAAGATGCACTTACACATGAGATGGTTGTTAACCGAGTTGCCGCGCATGATGCAACCGCTGCCAACAAGAGCGCTGCCAGCGTCTTGAAAGAACGCATGAGAACTGGCAAGCCTGCTACACCCGTGGAACAACAGAGTAGTGGAGGCGATAAGGCATCATCCCCTTCGCTTGGGAAGCGTAAGGCACCCGACAGCTCCGAACAGACCTCTCGTGAAGGAACCAGTACTCCGTCCGATGGCCCAACAGACCCAGTTCGCCTCTGGGAGGACGGATATGCCGATAGATACTATCAGCTCAAGTTTCACAGAGCTCCAGGAGATATCGAATTTCGCCACGAAGTTGCTAATGCTTATGTGGAAGGGCTGGCGTGGGTTTTGCTTTACTACTTCCAGGGATGCCCGTCGTGGGAATGGTATTATCCGTTCCACTATGCACCATTTGCTGCAGACTTCACAAACATGACTAAGGCGAATATCTCATTCGAAAAGGGAACTATTTCGCGTCCATTTGAACAGTTGATGAGTGTTTTGCCAGCAGCCTCCAGGAACAATTTGCCAGAGGTATTCCATGATCTTATGACCAACAAGGATAGTGAGATCATCGACTTTTATCCTGAAGATTTCGAGGTGGATTTGAATGGTAAAAAGATGGCCTGGCAGGGTGTAGCTCTGCTTCCATTCATTGATATGCCACGTCTGCTCAAAGCCGTTCAAGGCAAATACCCGTTATTGAGCGAGGCAGACGCAGCTCGTAACGCAGTTGGCAGGAGTATTTTAATCTTGTCTGACAAGCACGAGAGTGCCTATGACGACATCCTCACAAACTTTTACTCCAAAAAACAAGGCTCATCGGCATTCACTCTCAATCCAAAGGCTACAGAAGGTCTTTCAGGCAGAGTCGAGAAGCAAGACGGCTACGTCCCTCATGGCGAGCTTCACTATCCTCTTGAGCGCAAGGCTTTGCCGGATTTGGAGTATGACCGTTCAATAACTGTAAACTATAACATGCCAGAGTCCGATAAGACTCACAAGTCTATGCTCCTGCGGGGAGCCAAGCTACCTGAACCAGCGCTGACCAGAAGCGACATCGAAGTTCTTCGAGGCCGCGTAAAGCCTTGGCATAACAGCAATCACGGCGGTGGTCGGGGCCGATTTGATAGTCGACACGATGATTTTAGAGGTAACGGCCGACCACCGCACCAAGGCGGGCGCGGTTACAATGGAGGCTACAACAACGGAGGTTACAATAATGGAGGCTACAACAACGGAGGAGGATATGGTGGCAACGGAGGTTATAACAATCGTGGCGGATATGTCGGTGGAAACGGAAATGGTAACAGAAATGATTTCCGAGCAACTCCCGCATGGCAACCGCCAGCACCAGGAAGCGCAGAATTTGGCCGAGGGGCTCCTCCACCTTTGCCTCCAAATGGTTGGCAGCCAGGAGTATCACAACATCACCAACAGCCCTATCACCAACCATATCATCAGCAGCAGGGATACCAGAATAGAGGCCCCTATGACCAGCGAGACTCTCGCTATAATAATGGTGGTCGTGGTAATAGATATTGATGCGGGTTAGGGCTTGAAAAAAGTCTCAAAATAGACTGCCGTTTTTAATGAAAATGAATTTCTTTTTTTAACTTGTAAATAATATGAACGTGAATTATTAAATATATATTTAAAGTAGACCATGAACATTTCTTAAGAGGACCGGGACATTTATTTTTGAAGTGTGTGGTTCATTTGCTGCTGAATAAAATAATGCTGCGCAAGCAAATGCATAATATTATTATGACTGCGTTGTTCGATAAATAATTGGGGATTAAATACAAAAATCATCGTTCTGTGGAATAATTGTAGGTGGTTGCGTGGAAATTCTATCGAATTATCCACTCACAGTTGATCTGGATTTTATTTTGTAACAAGTATGAATTTATTTTCGCAGAACCAATAAATAAAAATAGCCAGTTGTGTATAAATTTAAAAAGCGGGGCCATTATCCTGTGCCGCGGGGGCGGCGATGTCAGTGCTCACGACTCTGTAGAGTATGAGAGTATCAATCTATAAAGCGTAATGGATGGTGATGCAGGTTTAGTTGGGTATTTGGTCGATAGGCTTGCGACGAAGGTTTGTAGTTGAGTTGACATGTTTTGCAGTTCCAAGTGTCACTAACAAACATTGTTTGGTAGCTTCCGCATCGTGTTGGCGTCAATGGCGCTAGGCTGGATGATGATGAGGTTCTCCATACTACTAGAACAACGCTGATCAAATTGAGTCAGACGACGGTCAATGTGGTCCTAGAGTCACTGCTGGATCTTCTTGAGGAAGTCTCGCGCCCTTACAGCGGTGGCCTTGGTCGTCATCCTGTACATGTCGTTCAGTCTGAGTCTTATATCGTCGAACTTGCCGCAGCTTGCTGCTCCGCACGATGGGCAGCTGTCAATGCTACGGAGCCTGAACCTCACGAGGAAGAGCAACTCAAAGACTCGCTTACAAAACGAGTGTTCGATATATTCAAAACCTTTCTCGACCCAAATCCAGATGACGAATCTCTGCCTGCAAGGACACTGTTGGACAACACCGCCGGCCTAGACGCAAATCTGATGAGTGCTCGAGTCTCTGCCGATAACAGTCGTGACAGCATCGATGGGTTTCATTCTGTTCAAGCGCTAGCCGCAACTATTGAGAAGCATGTTAAGACATTGATAGAGTTCGTTACGGCGTTCAGCTGGGGCCCTTCGTTTTCATATCTGAGAACTGTTATTCACAGCATCCGGACGACCATCACGGTGGAATCAAGTTCAGATGCCTCCAAAGCTTTGAATGCTTCAGAAAAAGGATCCCTAGTTGTTCTTCGGCTTTTATCGTACTGTTGGGTTGATAGCGCCAAGCTTGGACTGTTGATCCAAGAGATATGCTCCAGCTATCTGCATTTCCGACGACCGTACCAAAACACTGTTGCAGTATCTATACCGCTACTGATTACTAGATGGATAGATCGCTACCCAGACGAATTCGTTCAGCTCCACCGACTTCATAAAAGGTTGGATGGTGGCTCTGATACGCTCTTCGACATGACCCAGACAGCAGCAGATAACGGACGGAGAAGGACACCACTTTACCCGCTCCAGATCACGCTGCTCTTTCTGATGCCAGATGTTTTTGAAGTTGCCAGCAACTTGCGTGAAGCCAAGGGCACAAGCATTATCAAGAAAGTCGCCTTTTTGGATACACTACGTAAAGCACTCAGGAACGGCAATGAACAAGCTGGCTATTGCCTGGTATCGCTATTACGTGTGGCACGCCATTTTGATGTTGAAAGTGACTCTGCACTCGTCAGTTTTGCCATGGATGTCCATGACGAAGTTCGCGATGCTATCTTCCGACCGTCCCCTGGCACGCAGCGAATATTTGACCAAGACATGGTTACTGCCGGCCTCATTAGCTTGGCACATCTGAATCTTGAAGTGTGTCTTGATTCTCTTGTTGGGTATTGTACTTCAGACGATGCTCCTGAAAGCTTCCGTATTGCATTGGTAGAAGCTTGCTGCTACTTCTCAAGTTTGCGAACGGCGTCAAAGTACAAGCCGTTGTTCCACCAAGCCTTGCCTTTTATGAAAGCTCATATGAAGGTATCGTACATCGCATGCATCTCATGGACCTGTATGGCGGCGCAATTTCTAACCATCTTATTAGTCCGTAACCGAAACCTCATCTGATAGTACCGCCCATGATGTAAACGCTGAGTTGACTTGCCAAATTCTTCGGTTCCTTGGGTCATCGCTTTCTTGCTTCAGTGATGACGACGCTCCGTTTCTCGAACCGGATGGCTATTTTTTGGATGCAGTCTTGCTCTGCGTTCTATTTCCTATGCTCTCTATTAGGAAGAACGCGCTTGATGTGACCGAAAGACTCTTTTCTACATACACACAAACACAACTATTTACGAGCGAGCGAACGGCTCAACCTTCAGTGCGGCAACAACTACGTTATGATGTATGGGTTCGGAGGTAAGTATCTGAATTTTGTCGCCAAATGGTATCCCTGCTAACAAGACGTGCTATCTGCAGCTCTACTTTCATCATACATCTCTGTAAGGAACCGCAATCGGTTTTGGAGACTCATTTCATTACATCACTGCACTCCTATATGAAAAATCGTATTCTCTTATTGAAAAAAGTCCCAGTAAGTCAGCTGATCCTGGAAAAATTGGTCTTCCTGTGCTAATTGCGTTCAGCTCTTAGGAACCTTGCCCCCCAACGTACCCATTGTGGCAGAGGCAGTGACTGTACTGGAGAAATCCCTATTAGTGGCACTCTGTTCTGCAAATATAGACACCTGTCAACTAGTGGCCGCTTCTATCGGCTTGCTCCTTGAAGAGCGTCAATTGGTGAACGACTCGTCCGATAATCCCAAGGCATATGCATCGCTTCAACGAAATCTAACTGTATTGGGCGAGATATCATCCCCAAGCTACCGCATTACTGGACTAGTGGCATTTCAGAAACGCATACGAGTCCTTTTTCGAAAGTTGGCTTGTCCAACTCCAGGCATTCTCCAGGCCTGGGAAACTGCTTTTGAGAAGTGGATTTATTTAGCAAAGGATCTCTCTACGATGTCAACTGATCTGATTGAAGAAACAATGATGTCGGAATGGCGCAATCTCTCAGGCTTCTTAGCCTCCATTGGCGGGATATGCGTCTCGAGCCAATCGGCTGGCCAGGATGATTCGCCGCCCACTGATTTGAAGTGGATTGACCTTCCACAGGCTGACAATGCTGGAGAGGCACTCTTGCATAGATACCTTCGGTTAAGCGTCCAACTATTAGCGTGTAGCAGCATCAGAGTTCGAGAAGCGACGCGTGACATCCTCTCTCATGAGATGGCACTGCAGATCAACCCACTGCTACTGAAGGCTGTTGAATCCGAAGTTGAGGTGCTCCTTACTGGGGCTTTGGGTCATCCTGACAAGGCTCAAGACAGTGAAGTAATATTTGCTGAACAAACTGCTTCGTTGCTTAAAGATATGGTAGAAAGCATCGGCAACCCACAACATTCTGCCAGTGCATCAACTGTGCACCTCGGTGTGCTCTCGCTCAACTTTGCCAAATTTGTGGAAGGTATTCCTGATACGACTACCTCTCTGAGAGTCAAAATACGTATATGTCAGCTAGTGGAGGCTGTGATTCGACGTAAAGAACATTTGAATCTACGTGACGATGTCCGCATCCGAAACCAGCTGCTAGAATTCATCTTTTCGTGGATCGACCGACCTGGTACTCCATTGCCAGAGCATGCGGCCTTACGTCTAGACGAATCATGGCGGATGCAGAAGGATTTAGATCGAGCATGTCTGAAAGCGTTGGCTGATCTTACAATGCGCCTCCCTCTGCAGCCAGCTGATAGCCAAACAGATGCAAGTATGAGCGAGATGAAGTCACAAATGTTTCAAACATACTTCAATCGTTTCCTTTCTCTTCTTAACCAGGAGTCTCTTCAGGTTGCCGCAAAGGAGCTGCAGAAAGCGGGCGGCACCCGTGATGAAGGGTCCTCAAATGCTGATTTGGCCATATCAATTCTGTCGAATCTACTAAGCGCAAATATTGATGTTGGTCTCAAGCATTCTCTAAATATTGGTTACCACGAGAGTATTGCGATCAGGACAGCCTTTATCCGCGTATTATACAACATCCTGTCTCAAGGCACTGAGTTTAGCAATCTCTCCGATTCTGCTGTGACAGAAAAGTATGATGAGCTTCTCAACATACTCACCAAAGATATGTCGTTGGCGGTGGCGATGAGCACCGTTTGCCCGGGAGCAGAGATTGATGAACTCGCAGTCTGCTTGCTTACTGTTTTCGAACAAAGGGGCCAGATATTTGATCTCTTCGAGGCTCTCATCAGGGAAGAGGTAAACCAGACTGAAAATGAGACGGAATTGCTTCGTCGCACGTCTGTTGCCACCAAGATGTTGTCTCTCTACGCCAAATGGAAAGGCTACTCATATCTACACGGCACGCTGCATAAGGTGCTGGACAGGCTGCTGCTCACGTCTCAGGATCTAGACTTGGAACTGGACCCAACACGAGTAGGAAGTCCCGAAGAACTGCGCAAAAATGCGTTGCAGCTTCAAGTGGTGTCCAAGGTTTTTATGGATGACATCTGTGCTTCTGCAGCCAACATACCTCCGTCTTTCAGGAAGATATGTAGCATTATACATGAAGCAGTGCTTCCACGGTTCCCAAATGCGAAATATACCGCCGTCGGAGCGTTCATCTTCCTTCGCTTCTTTTGCCCTGCGATTGTCGCCCCAGAGGCAGAAGGACTTGTTCCCTCGCCGCCGTCAAAGGAAATGCGCCGCGGCTTGCTCTTGATTGCCAAGATCATTCAGAACCTTGCCAACAATGTCTTGTTTGGTACTAAGGAGCCCTACATGTTTCCGCTCAATCAATTTCTGGTGAAGAACATTTCTGTTGTGGTTTCATTCCTTCACGAAATCTCTATTCCACCCGATGATCTCCAATTGGTACCATCAAAGGAGACGTTCGATTTTGGATCGTGCGTATCTTTCCATAGATTCTTATATGACCACTGGGACCATCTGCGACAAACTCTGACGGCGAGAGAGAGAAGAGAGTACGTGAGGTCTCCTGATTCCATGGCTCGAAGCCGATCACCAATCTTGGAACCGCTACGAAGTTTGGTTGCGAATTTAGGTCCTTCGCCACTGGCCATATCTTGGAATCGTCCACAGATATCTATAAATGGGCCGCCTCTCTATGCAAGATTTCAGAATTTCATGCTACGGAATGCCTTCAAGAGTACGGAGTCATTCCTTGCATCCCAGGCAGTCTACGATGGTGGCGAGACAAAGGACGGTCTTTCGATTCTCAATATTATTCTACGCCACATCGAAAACGAGGGAATCGATTATGAAACCCTTCTATACTGTTACTTGAAAATTGCCAGCAGACTCTGGCATGAGCCGTTTGTGGTATTCGTGGATGCAACATGCTACACAGGGAAGAACGAGCCCCGAGATGACTTCTTCAAAATGTTGGACATGCTGGCCCCCGTAGAAATGTCACAAAATCTTTGTCGCATTTACATTTACAATATGAACAGCGCTTTCAAACGGTGCTTCCGCCGACTACTGCGAATTTCAACCAAAAATGAGTATAGCGTCTTTCACCCAAGCAATGTGGAATATCATTTGCCTAGCAATCTGGACGACTTACAGATATATTTCAACCTCAGCCACATGCTACTGCCCAAGGATACCATAAGTGTTATGTCAGATGGGCGTTTCATGTTCCACCCTATAACAAGACTATCTAAATCCAAGGGGAGGGTGGAAGTGAGCGTCAAAGTGGGCAGCCAATTCCTTCAGGTGACTACCCTGAAGAAACAAGAAATTCTCTCGGGCCTACGGCTCAGCGCTGTCATCAACGACGTGTTTAGATTATCAGATGTAGAAGAGGCAGCAACCACGATGCAAGCCGATGATGAGGCTTCATTTGGGATTCGGGCTGATGGCGGTAAAATTGTCATGTGTTTTACGAGCGCTAAGAAGGCTGAAGTATTACATGCCATTCGAAACGCAAAAGGCAAACAGGGCAAAGATGGCAGAACGCACAAACATCTTGAGCGACTTATTCGGCCTCAGGATGTACCTGGCACGCTTTTGAACCTCGCATTTGCGAACTTATTAAGCGTTGACCGTGGCTTGCGAGTCGCTTCGTACAACTTACTCGGTGCCCTGGGGCGTGCATTTCAGTTTGATACTGAAACACGTCTAGTTTGTACTAAAGGTAAGAAATCCAGACTTCATCGGTGTGGCTAGTCGCTAACAACTTATAGATATCAGTGTCCCCATGGACCCCAGTCGGTTCATCATCAACATTAGTACACAACTTGCACACTCGGAGCCGCAGCTTACATCTGACTTTTTGACTGAATTCTTTGTGAGTTGGGAGACGTTTCCGGACGAGCAAAAAGCTCTCAGTCTCGCATACATGGCACCATGGTTGTCTGGACTGCGCACAAACGTGCTCGTCAATGAGGCAGACGGAGAAAAGGGCCGGGATAAAGTGGCCGCCATCTTTCACAAGTTTATCGATCTAATTGCGTTGGATCAGACACTCTCATATGCGCTAGAGCAGTCAGTATGGCCGCTGATTGTTCAAGATGAAGTTCTGTTGGAGATATTCCTCGAGGAACTTGTCAAGGCTGCTCTCAGCTTCGGCATGCAAGGCGAGGTTATAGAAACGATCGCTTCTGTGATTGCAAATATCTCGTCAGTAACAGCACGAGCACGGTCACTAGCCCGCCTACGAAAGGCTCTTAACAGGTCGTCCCTACGCCCGACGAGGCACTTACCAGACAATGCGGTGTGGTCTGAGATTTGCTCCATGCTACACATATGCGTGGCGCTGTCATTTGACAGCAGCGTACAATCGCAGCTCTTTCTACCTGAAATTTTCCACGTGGTCACAATGCTTGGAAACATTGGTACTCGCCAAGTTCGATCCATGGTTCATATGCTCCTCACAAACACAGTTCACGCCATCTGTGCATCTTTTACCCTAGACGAGCCACGCTTGGCTAAAGTAAGGGCCTGTTTGGAACAGCTCGCAGAACCAAAGGGAAGTTTCTTCGCGTCTAATTCCCGGTTTTCACGCGAAGGCAACCAACCCGTTCAGCCAAACGAATCTGGTTCCAATTTGGCAGCCACAGAAAATCTCGTGGCCATTCTATATGACATTTGCAACATCGCGGCTGTATCCACCGACATGGCCAACGCGTGGCGATCTCGCTGGATGAGCCTAGTTGCGAGCACGGCGTTCCAAAATAACCCAGCTATCCAACCGAGAGCTTTTGCCGTCATGGGCTATCTGGCGAGGCAGGAAGTGGATGACGATCTTCTCTATCAGGTATTGGTAGCGCTCCGCAATAGCGTGACTCAATTTGGTGAAGATGGCGATAGCGAGATGCTCATATCCATCATTACGTGCCTGTCGCGAATGATGGCAAATCTGCCTTCAGCATCTCGCTACGGACTGCAGCTATTCTGGCTGGCCATGTCACTAGTAAGGCTAGTTCCGGCCAGTCTATTCAACTGCACCGCGCAGTTCCTCGAGGCTATTCTTGGAAATATTGGCGGAGCCGGGAACGCGCGAGGCGATGGTATGGTTACACTGCTTCTCCAGAGCAGAGGGCAACTTGACGACGCAGCCCAGATGTTGGATGATGCCTACGGCATTCACTTTGACGAAGAAAACTTTCATTTTGCAGTCTGCGCATGCCTGGTACGAGGCCTAACAAATTCGGCGACAAGACATGCCGCCATCCGCGTGCTATGCTCATTCCTGGAGCTCAGTTCGGCTCAAGAAGGCCTCAATGTGCGGTCATCTGAAGTATTGATGGCGTCCCCATACCTTGCCCTCGGGTTGGCTCGCTGCGCCGACTTTGAAGATTTGCGAGAAGGTATTTGGTCGGCAGGCATGGACCCAGACGAGATTAAGACGATGCTTGGTGTGTTTGGCCGACCAGAAATCCAGGCAATGGAGGATAAGCACTTGCTTCTCGTATCGACCATTGAGCTGGTTGATTTCCAGTATTTGGAAGATACTGCCCAATCAAGAAGTCTTCTTTGGCTGAATGAGCTGGCCAAGTCTCGGCCGTCTGTGTTTCTCCATTTGTAAGTTTGCTGCGTAGCGATTGGAAAATGTGACAAACATGCTAATGACAATAGGTGTGGAGTGATGCCGTCTATTCTAAACGACGTGCTAATCCACGGGCAAGACTCCGTTGCGCTAGAAGCGGCACATACTTTAGTGGCAACCTTGACATCGGAGCAGCGATATTCGAAGGCGATGGGCTCGATGAAGCAGCTTACAAACGAGCTGGAAGAGCTGGGCTTTTCTGGGCTATGGACATCCTCCTTCCACCGGCCATTGCAAAACAAGAGCGCTTGTTTTGAGATGACAGAAAAGCTGATAGAAGTAAGTCCCTTTAACTCCTTTTGCCTGTTTTAAAAATCCAGCCTGCTAACCAGACGTGCAGCTTATCGTCATTTAACGTGGGAAAACTGAGTTGTCTTCGGGGCAAACAATCGAAACGTGGTGCTATGCATCAAGCTTAGACATGGGTTGGAAATAAGTTGGAGCGGAATATGAGCGATTTCTTTTGTTTCATTTTATTAACATAGCGAGCGAGAATAAATATATATATATATAGTGTAGATTTTGTTGTTCATTTTAACCTCGCCCTGCCGTTACGACGCGTGCTAGCAGCTAAGGAACCGAGTGGTACTTCTAAGGTACTGACACCTGTTTCATGGTCGCGTTCCGCTTTTGGCAACGCTAAGCGGGCACCAAGTTGGTGAGTAACACAAGCCAATCCGACATCGGCAGGCGGGCACAGAGGCACCTAATTTTTTTTTTGGGAGCAGCCCCACGAAAACGTACCCGGATGCTGCGTTTGGCGTGGCAGCAAGCAAAATAACCCCACCAAAGAAAGTTGTGAATACAACAACGCCGTGCCGTCTGCTCTGCTGCATTGCACTCGTCGTAGCTACTGTACCAAATAGTGCTGCGCGCCACTACCACTCTTGCTAGTCAATCGGAGTGTACCTGATCCCCGAGCGGCTGCTTCGTCTACAGCTACACCGCCACCCTACTGCAGGTCGCTGTTCAGCTAAAGCCGCAGGACATTACACCTTTTCTTTTAACCGCTGACCACACTGTCCTCTCCTCATCAAGAGAGGCAATTGTCTAGTCCAAGAACCTGTCATTATGGGTGAACCCGTCAGAATTAGCATCCTTGGCCAGGATAGCATCGTCGTCGACAATGGCCTCTGGCCAAACTTCATTGTGAAAGACCTCCTCGACAACATTCCTTCATCGACCTACGTCCTCATTACCGATACCAACCTCCACAACCACTATGTCCCTCAGTTCGAGCAACAATTTGCTGCGGCCGCGGGCCCCAATGCTCGGCTATTGACCTACACAATCCCCCCGGGCGAAGCCTCGAAAAGCAGAGAGACAAAGGGCGAGGTGGAAGACTGGATGCTCTCTCAGAAATGCACGCGCGACACCGTCATCATTGCCCTCGGCGGTGGTGTCATTGGAGACATGATTGGATATGTCGCCGCTACTTTCATGCGAGGCGTCCGCTTTGTCCAGGTCCCAACAACATTGCTTGCCATGGTCGACTCATCGATTGGTGGCAAAACCGCCATTGACACTCCCATGGGGAAGAATCTTGTCGGCGCTTTCTGGCAACCGCGGCGCATCTTCATAGACATGACTTTCCTCAACACACTTCCTGTTAGAGAGTTCATCAATGGCATGGCTGAAGTCATTAAAACTGCTGCCATCTGGAACCAGGAAGAGTTCGCCGTCCTCGAACAGTCTGCTACAGAAATCCTCGCTCGCGTTCGATCGTCTGATAAGGACAGGCTTGTTCCTATCCACGATACACTCAAGCGCATTGTCACTGGTTCGGCTCGTGTCAAGGCGGAGGTAGTGTCCAGCGACGAAAGAGAGGGCGGCCTACGCAACCTTCTCAACTTTGGCCATTCTATTGGTCACGGCATAGAAGCCATTCTCACACCCCAACTACTTCATGGAGAAGCCGTTGCTATCGGTATGGTCAAGGAAGCTGAGCTTGCGCGTTACCTTGGCGTACTCCAACCTGGAGCTGTTGCCCGTCTTTCCAAGTGTATTGCCGACTACGGCCTGCCAGTGTCCGTTGAAGATAGCCGTGTTGTAAAACTCACGGCGAGTAAGGCCTGCCCTGTCGATGTCGTGCTCGAGAAAATGGGCGTGGACAAGAAGAACGACGGCGCCAAAAAGAAGATTGTGCTTCTTTCCGCCATAGGCAAAACCTACGAACCCAAGGCCACCGTCGTAGCCGACCAAGACATTCGAACGATCCTCTCTCCTTCCGCCATTGTAAACCCCGGTGTTCCTAGCTCACTCAATGTCACCGTGACGCCTCCTGGTTCAAAGAGCATCTCGAACCGTGCTCTCATTTTCGCCGCACTTGGATCTGGCCCCTGCCGTGTTAAGAACCTTCTTCACTCGGACGATACAGAATACATGCTCACAGCGATTGCACAGCTAAAGGGCGCATCTTACACCTGGGAAGAGAACGGCGAGGTCCTCGTCGTGAATGGAAATGGTGGCAAGTTGACAGCAACGGATAAAGATATTTACATTGGTAACGCTGGTACGGCTTCGCGCTTCCTGACCACAGTCCTTGCCTTGGCTTCTTCTACCGACTCTGCCAAGTCTACCATCCTCACAGGAAATTCGAGAATGAAGATTCGTCCCATTGGACCATTGGTTGACGCTCTTCGCCTGAATGGCGTGTCGATAGATTACTTGGAAAGTGAAAAAAGCCTACCACTGCGCATTGGCGCTGCTGGTGGCTTCGAGGGCGGCGTTATTGAGTTAGCAGCCACAGTCTCCTCTCAATATGTTTCTTCCATTCTTATGGCTGCACCCTACGCCAAGAAACCCGTTACACTGAAACTTGTTGGTGGAAAGCCCATTTCACAGCTTTACATTGACATGACTATCGCCATGATGAAGTCGTTTGGTATCGTTGTATCCCCCTCCACTACCGAGGAGAATACCTATCACATTCCCCAAGGTGCTTACAAAAACCCTGCGGAGTATGTTGTGGAGAGTGATGCTAGCTCTGCTACGTACCCTTTGTCCGTTGCCGCCATCACAGGTACCACGTGCACTATTCCCAACATTGGATCAGCCTCTCTGCAAGGCGACGCTCGCTTCGCTGTTGAGGTTCTCAAGCCTATGGGCTGCACTGTAAATCAGACAGAAAACTCCACAACAGTAACAGGTCCAAAAATCGGCAACTTGAAGCCTATTCCTCACGTCGACATGGAGACAATGACCGACGCTTTCCTTACCGCTACCGCATTAGCAGCAGTCTGCCCCGGCAAGACCCAGATCACCGGAATCGCAAACCAAAGAGTCAAGGAGTGCAATCGAATTGCAGCTATGCGAGAGCAGCTTGACAAATTTGGCATTCAGTGTCTCGAGCTTGACGATGGCATCGAAATTCTTGGAAAGCCACTCTCAGAGCTCAAGGCTCCGTCCAAGACTATCCACTGCTACGACGACCATCGCGTAGCCATGAGTTTCAGTGTTCTTTCAGTTGTTGCCCCTCAACCTGTTATCATTACTGAAAGGGAATGCACGGGCAAAACTTGGCCAGGATGGTGGGATGTGCTCTCTCAGTCATTCAAGGTGTCTCTTGACGGCACAGAGAGAGACGACGATGCTCACAGAGATATTGATGCTGCCCCCTCGCTTGACGAACGCTCCATTTTTGTGGTGGGTATGCGAGGTGCTGGCAAAACTACGACTGGCAACTGGATTGCGAAGACGTTGGGTTGGGAATTCATCGATCTGGACCAGGAGTTGGAGAAGCGCTCTGGTACCACCATTCCTGAAATGATTAAGGGCTCTGCTGGTTGGGAGGGCTTCCGTAAGGAAGAGCTTAACCTTCTCCGGGACGTAGCGCAAAAGCAGGGCACCAAGCATGTCTTTTCATGTGGTGGTGGCATTGTGGAAACGCCTGAGGCAAGAGACCTGCTCACTGCTTACACTAAAGCAGGCGGCAAAGTTCTTCTCGTTCATCGCAACACCGATGAAGTTGTGGAGTACCTCATGAAGGACGAAACACGTCCAGCATACACGACTGAAATCCGTGAAGTGTACGAGCGCCGTAAGCCCTGGTACGACCTCTGCAGCAACTACACCTACTACAGCTCCCAGTCCAGAATTCCTAACAACGCCGAGATTCCCGCTGAGTTCAGTCGATTCGTCTCGCAACTCTTTGGAAAGTCTGACCATCTTGGTGCTGCCCTTGGCAAGGAGGAAAGCTTCTTCGTCTCGTTAACGATGCCGGACATTCAAAGTGCGGCCGAGCTGATTCCCCAAGTGTCCGTTGGAGCTGATGCTCTTGAGCTTCGTGTTGACTTGCTCAAGGATCAGAGCAATGACTCCATTGTGGAGCAAGTATCTCTTCTCAGACAACTAAGCGATTTGCCCATCATCTACACTGTTCGCACGAAGTCCCAGGCCGGTCAGTTCCCCGACGACAACTCTGCGCGCCTCTTGGAGCTCTACCAGCTAGGCCTTCGATTAAACGTTGAGTATCTTGATCTGGAAATCTCTCAGGACACCGCCGTCCTCGAAGCCGTCTCAGATGCTCGCGCCTCGACTAAGATTATCACCTCACACCACGATCCCGAGGGCAAGCTCACCTGGCGCAACGCCTCGTGGGTGGCTCACTACAACCGTGCTATCCAGTACGGTGATATTGTCAAGCTCGTTGGTATGGCAAAAACTATGGAGGACAACTTTGACCTTGCCCGCTTCAAAACCAACATGGTGGAGGCTCGCAAGGTGCCCATCATTGCCCTCAACATGGGCGAGGTTGGCAAGCTCAGCCGCATTCTCAACGGCTTCCTTACTCCCGTTTCTCACCCAGCACTGCCCTTCAAGGCGGCGCCTGGCCAGCTCAGTGCTGCTGAAATCCGCCAAGCTCTCAGCCTGCTAGGCAACTCGACAAGGCAAGAATTCTACCTCTTTGGAAAGCCCATTTCCCAATCCCGATCACCGGCACTACACAACGGGCTCTTCCGTATGAACGGTTTGCCTCATACCTACGGCCTCCTTGAAACTGATGATGTCGCGGATGTCCAGAGCGTGCTCGCAGACTCCAGTTTCGGCGGCGCGTCCGTCACTATCCCCCTCAAGCGAGACATTATGGATAGACTTGATGAGCTAACTCCTGCTGCAAAGACCATAGGCGCTGTTAACACCATCATCCCCACGCCGACCACCGAAGGGGGCAAGAGGAAGCTTGTCGGCGACAACACGGATTGGATCGGTATGGTGTACGCCTTGCGCAACGAAGGCGTCACGCAGGCGACGGACGGCCAGTCGGGCGCCGTCGTCGGATCAGGAGGAACAACCCGCGCAGCCATCTTTGCCCTCAAATCGCTGCAGTACAGCCCCATCTACATTGTTGGGCGCAACCCGGAAAATGTCGATTCTCTCATTGCCGAGTTCCCTGCCGACTACAACCTGGTATCGCTGGCTGGTTCTGCGTCGGCGGCAGACGAGGTGTCGTCTCTGCCAACTGTCATTATCAGCACGATTCCAGGCGACAAGCCGATTGATGCGGACATGACAACAACGATAACCAAGGTGTTGCAGGGATTCAAGAAGCCCGGGCAGTCTTGCGTGCTCTTGGAAATGGCGTATAAGCCCAGCGTTACTGAAATTATGAAGCTAGCCCAGTCGGCTGGCAATTGGACCACCATCCCTGGGTTGGAAGTTCTTGCTTCGCAAGGATGGTACCAAGTAAGTCTACTATTATCTACAACAGGTTTTGTACTATTTGTCACTAACCATCACACGTACAGTTCCAGCTCTGGACTGGTATTAAGCCTCTTTACACGGATGCTCGCAAGCTAGTCCTAGGCGAGCTCTGAGAAAGGGCGTCTAACAGGTAAAAGCAACAAAAAAAAGCAGATTTGTTTACGTCACGGTTTCGTTTTAGATTTGAAAAATATTATTGATGTCATTTTAATAAATTCTACGTATTCACTAAGACCCATGTTGCGTTCCATGACGACAGACGTGCTCATCACGATCCATAAGAAGACGTCACACATTTCATCACGAAGAGACTTGCAAGTGCAAAAAGTTTGATGGAGCAAATTATCATGTGAAATTTGGATGGGGGGAATCGAAGCCACGCTTGGGTGGCAAGGAGACTATGCTACATAAAAAGGTATTGTACATAAAAAATCGTTGTTTTGTCTATAAAGCCCAGCCTCAATACCTGTACGCGTCTTGCGCGTTATGCAACCCCGTGTAACGCCATGCATAAAATACCAAGAAGAAAAAGACAAGACTAGGAAAAGGTACCAAATCGCTATATCATTACTGCCGATCCGAAAAAGAGCGATCGGCGCTCCAAAAAAGAAACAAGGACGCTGCGTATAATATTTCGAGGGGAAGAGGGGGGGGTGTGAAAGGTGGATGTCAAGCCATTAAAAGACAAGCAAGCGGTTCAACGTGAGAGAGAAAATAGAAACAAGCTGGCAGGCACGCCATGCCATGCAGCCGACTCAAGGAGCATAGAGAGGAAAGAATCTTTGACGTTGCAAAAAGTACGACGCAGCCAATGACGCAAGGGCAAGTAATCGGTTTGAGCGGGGTTTGGTGGTGGTAGTGGTGGTGCCAAGCGGTGCTACTGATGCAGTCCAAAGTGCGGCAGCCATCAGTGCTCTCTCTCTGGTCCAAACGATCCGCGGAAGAGCCCATTGCGTCCCTCTACCTCATACCTCATATTGAGGTGGCAGTGAGTTGCATGAGACGCGGACCAGCCAAGATAATTGCCGCAACGGTAACACCATGGATTCCGGCTCTTGTTTCAAGAAGCAACAAGCCACACATCCGCAGCGCCCAATCAAGGTTCATCTCCCACGGCAGGGTACGACACTGCCAAAACGGCAGGCCGCCCAGGCGATGCTGCGTAGTGAGCGTGTGAGTGATGTCAGTTGGGCGAGGGAGGGTGGGTCATAGACCTTGCCAGTGACGTCACCGGCATATCTTTCTCTGGACCCTGCAGCAAATGCGGACCCACTTGTCGGCCATCCATTGGTCCGATGGCCAACAAACCAGTCCCCCCCTCGCATCCCAAGTCGTCAAAGACAGACAGTTCTTCGTAGCCCCACGCCCAACGGGTGCTGGGGGGAGGACCCTGGATTTTCGAGAAGCCACCAGAGTCAGCGGCTTAGACAGCTCGTCGACGCTGCTTGCCGGGAAGGTCGACCTCAGGGTGGCAGACACGGTAGTGTCTGGTGAGAGCGTCGGCACGGCTGAAGGACTTTTCCTCGGTGCACAGGTCGCAGCGGACCTTCATCTTGCGTGCGTTGTGAATCGTATCTTCATGGCGGGTGAGATCGTAAGGTCTCGAGAAGATGGACTGACACGGCTTGCCGGTGCTGGGGTTGATGCGGTCGCAGCGATGAGGCCCAGCCTGAGTGTTGAGAGCGCCGGGTACGTTGCTGTTTTCCTGGACGCTGGAACCATGCCCGTTCTGTTGCTGGCGATGGCCCTCACGCTTGTGCTTCTGAAGCAGTGCAGGGCTCTCAAAACGGAGCGTGCATCCGTGATATGTGCATGTGTATGTGCCTCCATCGGCAGCAACGTTGGCTGGCTTTGTAATAGAAGCCTCTGACGCTACAGACTTGCGTGGTGCGGTAACAGGAGCGGGTGCTGGCGCCAAAGGAAGTGAGATGGGATGGCGCTGCTCGTCTGTAGGGCGTGGAACAAAGGGATACTGCTGAGGGATGCGGTTGTCATAGGAGACTTGAGAGTTGGTAAAGTCATCCAGTCTGGCAGGCATCATCAAGTTTCCAAGCTGGCCAAAGTCAAACGATGCTGATGATGGCTGAGAGAAGAGTGGAAAGTTGTTGCCGTCATCGTTAAAGTCAAGCAAGGCATCCTTGGGCGATATCGTCTTTGGAGTATCCATGTTGTCAGCGGAGCCCTGCAGAGAAAAGTTTGACTGCTGCTGTTGCTGTTGCTGCCTAAGCATGTTGGCCTGCTGAGTAGACCCCAGCTGTGTTGGTGCCGCAAATGGAGACATGGCTTGGTAGGGTGACAGGCGAGACGTTGAAGATGATGGCGATTGTCCCGTGCTCAGATGCTGGTTGGCAGCAGCGCTGATGCACTGGTTAAAAATTTGGCTGCTGGGCGACGTGGCTGTATGAGACATGGTTGGCGATGAAGAAATAATGGTGAAGTTGGGGCTGTAGAGCTCATCGCCGTACACGTCGGTGATTGACCGTTCCAACTTGGGAACGTTTCCGTAGGCAGCTGTCCAAAATGGTGAGTTTTCATTTTCTTGGTCATCTTCATCATGCTTCTCCTGTCTCTGCGGATTCATACCTCTTCTTCGCTTGCCTGCCTGTTCACCTTCACCAGGCATCGGTGTCATGGGTGAGTCACCGGCGGCGGAGCTGGCTGCTGAAGCTGGATGGGAGCGTTTTTGGCGGTGGCCCATCTCAGGTGCTGGTAAAAGGCTGCGATCAAATCTGGCCTTGCCGTTGATAGTTGTCGGAGCGGCAAAGCTAAAGTCCTGGACGCCTTCAAGGTCGTGGAAGGCATCAAAGGCGGCCGCGGCCTTGGCACCGGGATAGTAAAAGGCAGCGCCCTGGTTTGCCGTCATGTCGGCGACCTGTACGTCGTGGAGGCCGTCGATGGGGACGTCGGTGATGGCGATGTGTGGGTTCGAGGAGTTTTGTGCGTATGGCGAAGCAGGGCCGATGGAACCCATGGAGGAGAGCGAAGACTCGCGCTGGTGGGAGCGGCCTGGAGCAAACTGGGTGAAGATGCCACCAGCGTCCGACTGCATGGCTGCGTCGTCCAAGTCTCTGGATTCGGCGTCAAGGAAGTCCCAGTTTCCCAAGTCTGGTTGTGAGGCAGCCCACTGGTCGATTTGCAAGTCTAGTGTCGGCTCCAGCGTGTCGAGCGTGGTGGTGGTATGGCTTGGTGACGACTGTGTAAGAGTTGCTGTACTAGTAGCGGTAGTAGTGTTGTTGTTTGTTCTGTTGTTGATGTTGATGTAGTGAGGAGAGTTGATGTTTTGCTGATCGTCTACTGAAATATATCGATGAGCAGCTATCATAGTCGAGTGTTAAGGTTGAATCTAGGAACGTTGGATGGTGGCGAAAATCGAGGGACTCAAACGCTTAAGTAGGCCGGGATGAGCGGGCCAAGTGGTGGGCGTGTCGATAATCAACCCAGAGGATGTTTACGCAAGGGCCCCACTTTAGCCGACGTCATTGGCCAGCAGTCCATGGAAGCGTCTAGTTACACACCTAGCCTATTGCAAATCAAGTGCTCTAGGCTGGCTGCTCGCTGTAACTGGGCCCTCCGGAAGATCGAGACGCCGCTGGTTTCTTATGCCTAGCTCTTGTTCATCGCGTGCGTGCCTGGAATCTTTTTTTTTACTATCAGATGCGTTTTCGTATTCCCTTGTGTTTAGGTTTTTCATTTTTTAGTTGACAAATTTAACACACACAAAAGACAAAACAGCTGCTTCTCCCCCCTTCTCGCATTTTCCACTCGTCCCGTACAGCATTGCTTGGTAAAACTCGGCATCGCGGAACCTCTCGGACTCACAGCATGCCATTACTACCGCCGAAGCTGGTTCTTTGTAATCCCCTAAAGTCCGAACACCACGAAAAAAATCTCTTTTGCACTACGCTCTTCGGGTTTGCGTCTCAGCCCGACCGCTAAGTAATGCTGTGGTAATCCGGATATTGGCGCCTCGTCTGCAGGCAGGTTGCTAAATCTAGCACCGAGAAAATTTTCCCTTGTTCAACTATCCTGTTTCCGCCGTTTTCCATCTTGCGCCGCGAATGCCCGATCCAAACGAAAACGAGCCACGCAATCAGCAGCCAGCAAGCACCGCTAACAGACGAACGCTCCAGTGGGTGCCATGGCCACTAACCCAGTAAAAACAGAGTTCGGTTAGCATGCGCCACACTCTGCCAAGCTGCCTTCAGCCACACATGGGTGACTAGGTGGCCGCCTGGTTTCTTCTATCAAAATGCATCACATGACCCATGGGTCGTCGTCCCTCTCCCAACGCTAGGCACCTAGCTTTGCCCATGTTGACTCATATTCTGCTCGTTTTTAAATGGTATTTGTATTGTTTTGCAAGGGGGCGCGGATGCCCACGCAAACGGGATACGTTATCACTACGGCGGCCTAACAGTCATTCATAGTGCACTCGTAACAGTGGGTTCGTCATCTGCTTAAGCTAGCTAGCTACAGTAGGCTACGTCCAGCGCCTTTAGCGACTCTGGGGGTGGGGGGGCGTGTAAAAGCTGGCCCGGACGACCCATTCATACCCAGCTCTATTGATCCAGGCTATGACTATGATTAGCAGCCAGCCTTTTGTGCTGCATGAAAGGAAAAAACTTTGTACATGGCATTTTACCAATTTTTTTTTTCACATGTGGCTTTTGACGTACATGAGAATTTTTTCGATTAGTGTGCTTGGCTTTTCCTCCCACCCTCCATTCTGCTGCGTTGGGGTGTTAAAAACTCGTCTCGGCTTGCCCGGCTGCCGTCTCATGCTGCCAAAGGCCGGCCAATCAGGCGCCGCGTGGCCATCATCAAGCACAGCCACGTCTCGCTTTGCTTTCTGTTGGGCGGCCTCGGTCGCAGCTCATGCACCTTCTACCACCACCACCTTCGGCCTCGCGACCACCACGCTGGCGCGGTTGTGAGATCAGCTCGTCCTGGTCGGCGCAGATCCTGGTTAACCCCGGCCGAGGCTGCATCTCTTCGTACTGCTTCTATTTTTTCCATTTCTTTCCGCATCCATCCCATCATGCCCACGTTTTATCGGCCGCCGCGTCGAGGGCAGCACCACCGCCATCACCTCCATCCCTCCCATCACATGCTGCATGGGCCCTCTCTTCATTCTAGACCATCCGTCAGTCAGAGACCTGCGTTGGGGTTGGGTCTAGGTCGAGACAGCTCAACACTCACGCACTACGTGTCCCATCGTGAATCCATGGCCGCCTGAATCCGGACCCTCGGCCACTACCGTATCAGACATGCCCGCGTGACCACTTGGCTTTCGTGTCCTAGGCGTATTAAACACTCTCGAGTTGCGTATCTTTCGTTCTTTTACCCAATAAGGCAGTACCCATATTGTCTTTAGCCAGCAATAGCCCACCCCCCATGCATAGCTTGGGGGAAAGACAAGCGTTCTGACTCGCCTCGTGCATCGTAAGGCTGCCACGGCATACGACCACGCAAACGAGCCCCAATCACGATGCGAATCTGGCTCGTGCTGCCTGTTCTGGTCAAATGGAGGCAAATCCTATTTGTTTGTAGCTACGTATATGGATAGATTAGAGTAGAGGCCTAAAAATTACTCTTTTGGGTGTACAAATGCGAGAACCGTAACATACGGCGGTATGATTGGGCTCTCACAGCGCAAGCCATGTCCCGTATCAGCCGCCCCAAGATGTCCTATGGGTGCGTACATCACAGAGAGCTGATTGAATGAGTAAGTACGGGGCGCCAAGGCACAAAACAACTATACATCCAATTGTTACGGATTTATATTGGATGATTAATTTTACAGCCTTGCAAGTTGTGGCACAGAGCTGATATTGCGAGTGAATGCATGGAGTGGGCAGCTGACCAAGCAGAACCACTCACGACGATGACTCAACCAGCCCAGCCCAAGGCTTTGAAGCCTTGCCCAGTTTCGCATCTCGCTTGTTGCTGCTGCTGCTGCAGACAATCAGTAATATGCGAGGCATCCAGATCACTAGGCATAGAGATTGGACCCGTAGCAGCTGACACCTTAGGCAGCACTTCAGCACAGCTTGACGCAGCTCCAGATCAGTAGAGCATGCAACCGTGCAGATCAGCCTACGCGTAATCCTAGTATGGACATTATGGAGACGCGATGTTGTCAACGAACACGCGGTCACAAGAGATGAATAGGACAAAAGAAATATCACAACGGGAGAACTATAGTTATTGTTCAAGGTTGCCGTGTAGGCAGAATTTCCATTACCCCAATGTAAACCACCGTTCCCTATGGTACAGAACACCGAGAAAGCATGAACCGATCCCGTAATCATCATGAAACACCCGCCATGTACGCGGCAAACCACCTGCGTCCGGCTAATCCAGTTCGTAACAAACATGCAAGCAAAAACAAAAGACGCTTAACCACCGAAACCGTAGAGGGTACGGCCCTGGCGCTTGAGAGCGTAGACAACGTCCAGCGATGTGACGGTCTTGCGCTTGGCGTGCTCAGTGTATGTGACGGCATCACGGATGACGCCCTCGAGGAAGGAGCGGAGAACAGTGCGAGTCTCCTCGTAGATCATGGCAGAAATACGCTTGACACCACCACGACGAGCGAGACGGCGGATAGCGGGCTTGGTGATACCCTGAATGTTGTCACGAAGAATCTTGCGGTGACGCTTAGCGCCGCCCTTGCCGAGGCCCTTGCCGCCCTTGCCGCCTATTGCATTGTTAGTATTGTTTATTTGTTTGTGCCGATGTGCATTGGTGAGGATGGTGATGCTGGTTGATAACCAAGTATCATCTTCTTCTCATCAAGTGTGGGCATGGTTAACTTACGTCCAGACATGTTGATAGATGTGTTGTGTGGGGGTGAGTAAAAAAGTGTGAGTTGTTTGACACTAAGTCGATGCAGATACTGAGCCAAGTGGGTGGACAGGTCGGAGGCGGGCGGCGTGCTTAAGTACAGGTGGGCCAGATCAACAGATCAGTTGGAGGGCGACGCGTGTGTGGGCAGGTGGGCGGCATACGTTGCAGGCGCCAGAGGGGCAGCCCATACCAGCGAAAAACAAACACGGGCGAATTAAAAAATGCGACACACGCAACGGGCAAGGATTAAAAAAAAGGCAACCAAAAGCGGGCCCGATGGTTTGTATTTTTTCCTGCCCTTCTATTGGCCCATTTAGCCCTTATCCATTTTATCGAATGGCTAACAAGGGCAATACTGCAACAGAGACATTTTTTGCGCCTATTCGCGGTACCAACTGCAGCCGAGCATGCACCGTGTATTGGTGGTTCACGACGCGTGCTTGCCTGCTCCCTTGGGACTAGGAGAGCCGGCTCCAGCGTCCAATACGGGAGGGGTCTCCGGTAATATCTCACTTTTCCTAAGGTTGGATCAGATGGGTCGCTGCATGTGTGTGGTGGGTTGTACCGCTCGATTTTGACGGTTTTGTGGCGGCCATGTGTTTCTGAGGTGCCGTAGGGTAGGAGACGTTGAGTTGAAGATGTCCACGGCCAGAGCATCTTATATGCGCCTATAACACACAATAAAATATTTATTTAAATATATGTGGTTGTTTTATATTGTCTATTGTGCATATTGGTGGTATTATATGATATTTTGTCAATGATTGCTTGTTGATAAACACTTCAGATACAAGAGCCATCAACAATCATACGACTCCATGGATGATGCCATCACTGATAACGACTTGTGACGCAACATGGTCTAATGGTGAACGACTATATGCCCATAACATGTGCGATGAATTCAAAAGTAAATTCAAATTTAAATGATAGTAAATTGTAGCATGAATAAAAAATACAATCACAACCTACTCTAGTATACAAACGTCTTCTCACTTACACCGTTTTACAAGCATACACGCATACATCTACATTGTGCCACCACCACCATCACCACCATCACGTAGCCGGCATCACCAAAAATGGATAGTGATCCACCAGGGAAGCGGGAAAGAACACCACCCGATCTAACGAAAATGCTGCCTTCCACTCTGAGATGATGAGACACGCCGCGCCATGTTACAGAAAGGCTGGCATGCCTAGACGGGCCATCACGTAACCACAGTAGGGCAGGTAGCTAGGGGCAGCGGGCATCGAGAAAGATCGTAACAAAGTGGCTCGCCGTGCATGGTGACCAACGAGATCTGAGCCAATGGGACAGTCGAGCATCACGCGAAACGGGGGGGCAGCAGCAGTAGGCTAAGGGAAAAAAGAGACACGGAACCGATATATCGCAAATTCCAAAGTATTGGCTGGACCTCCTTGAAGGGAAGCACGCTATTGGCCAGAGCAGTAAATCCGGCACAGCTGATGGCAACGCGGAGCAGGGAATAGCCGTTGGTATGCAGCATAATACGGTATGTTTGGTGTAATAAAAAAAGGGAGAATAAGAAATTCATTGTGGAGGCGGCAACCGCCCATTCCTGATTAGGAAAAATGCCAGTTTTTGCGCAGTGTCACATATTTTTTTTAGTCGCCACAATTAATTCACACACGCAAAACGCGCACAATCAGCGCGGCGCACGGCCCACCCACCACCCACGCTCCAGATCAGTCGCCCCAGTTGACGCGAGCTAGCGATGGGTATTAAAGCAAGCCCCCCGCCTTCCAAACTCACGCTTCTTTCTTCTGCATCAGCATCCAACAGCCCCACAACAACAACACCTTTGATCAACAACAATGGCTCGCACCAAGCAAACCGCTAGAAAGTCCACTGGTGGCAAGGCTCCTCGCAAGCAGCTTGCCTCCAAGGCTGCCCGCAAGTCTGCCCCCTCTACCGGTGGCGTCAAGAAGCCTCACCGCTACAAGCCTGGTACCGTCGCTCTCCGTGAGATCCGTCGCTACCAGAAGTCTACCGAGCTTCTCATCCGCAAGCTCCCCTTCCAGCGTCTGGTAAGCATTCACTTCTACGTAATCACCCCATCAATCAATAATCTAACAATCATTTTCAACAGGTCCGTGAAATCGCCCAGGACTTCAAGAGCGATCTCCGCTTCCAGTCTTCCGCCATTGGCGCTCTCCAGGAGTCCGTCGAGTCTTACCTCGTCTCTCTCTTCGAGGACACCAACCTGTGCGCCATTCACGCCAAGCGTGTCACTATCCAGTCCAAGGATATTCAGCTCGCCCGCCGTCTCCGCGGTGAGAAGAACTAAGCTGGATAACATGGCTTATGTTTTGGAATCATGACTTTGCTTTGACACGATGGAAATCATGGAATTGGGGGTTAATCATGGCGTTTACAATGAGAACTTGCTTTACAGTTGGGATGTATATTAAAGCCTACGGCGCAGCTTTAGACTGCCGGAATGAAACAGACGACACGTCTCACTAAAATCACATCAATTTGTCTTCGCCGTGAACATCACTTTCTCCTGCATCTGCGCCGTCTTGATATGATCACTAAGAAACCAAGACGCGACGCGCAGTAAATAAACACTAATCACATCTAACAGCGGCTTTTGAGATCGCCTGGAACGCGAACCCTTGTCGCGGCAGTGGGGGCTGTCTTATCCTCACTGGTCGCCGACACTCGGGCAAGCGTGCCTTAACTACAGCGAGACATCACGTCCATGCCGACACGACCACGTCGGGCTTTTGTCCTTTTTCACATAATACAGTCCATCTCAAAAGCAGCTTGCATCACGTCTAATTAGAGAAAAATATCATGTAAAATTAAATATTTGTAAATTCAAGTCTCCTCCCTCCTGTATTTTTACAGAACCGATTTCCATGGGCCTGCAGACGGCTTCTCAAGGCCCATGAATGATGCCGCGACACCCAAGTGGTCCACGCCCCAGAATGTCTGCGTCTCACCCTTTGCATTTGTGCATACGAGCCACGGCAACCCAAATGCCTGGTCGGCAAACGCCTTGTCTGTATTGGCCATGAGCAGCGACTTGCCCTTTGTCGGAACGGCCTCCACCAGCTTGGCGTAGTCTGTGGCGCCCAGAGCACGTTGCAGGATGGGCTGGAAGACCTCAGGCTTGTGGATCTCAGTGTGCTTAGCCCAGAGCTCGTTGGACAGAACATCAATCAGCTCAACCATGCGTGTCTGGTTGCCGTCGAGGTCACGCAGAGCGGCGAGGTGACGCATCAGGTTAAGAGTCATGATGGGGAAGCCCGCCGGGATGTCATCCTTCATGGGTATGTTGAACATGTTGGCCCACAGGCGTCTCTCTCTGTCGATCCAGAAGTTCTTGTCTGTTATAGTTAGCATTGTGTCGTGTCATATTTGCCCGACAACGAATGCCGGCTGGTCGGGCAAAATTGGCGTCGGCTACATACTGGTGATGTTGATGGGGGCGGTGTTGCCACAGGCCTTCATCAATCCACCCAGGAAGATGGGGATATAGGTGACTTCGCAGCTCTTGAACACAGGGTCATTCTGCATATAGTTCCACAAGTCAGCTGGATTGTCTCTCTTTGGGCTGCCTCTCAATGAGGTGTAAAAATGGCCAACCGTGCAAAACGTACGCGCAACAGGTGGTACGCGACATAGCCGAATGGGCTCACCAGGTCCACATAGAGGGTAATCTTTGGAGAAGCAGGCATTTTTTCAAGAATTGTACAGTGGTGATTCTTTGCCAATTAGAGAATAAAAAGAACTGAAAATGCAAGAAGCGAAGAAGCCGACCGACCGAAGACAAGCGTACATATATAAAGCCTCGGATGTGTTGTAGGCTTTAACCTCTTTCAGGTTTTGCGGGGTTTGCGGCGGACTTGCTCTCGGCAATCAGCCCAAGCCACTGACTTTACTACAGACTCTGGACTGGCAGCTCCCAATACGGTGGACGACAAAAGCGACAGAAATCTCTATAGGAAAGGTAGATAGCCGGCTAAAATTTACGACATGCAGAAAAAATGTCTCCTAAGAAGCTGTGATTATTTAATTTGTATTTAAACTAAGTCTGTTTGTACTGGGGAGTCTCTTCTTCTCAATCGCCAAGACAGCCGCTTCGTGTCCCCTGTAAGGCGTCCAATAGCGCTGTAGTATAGTGGCCGTAGGCTGATTTCCAGGCAGCAGACCGGTGGACCCCGCCAGCGGCCAATGGAAATACACCATTCGCCTTTCGCGCTGGCCTCACGCGTACCATGATTGCAAGCTTCTGTATTTTTTCTTTGCGACGCAAGCTACGGCTCTCCTCCATCCCTGCGGTTATCGCACGACCACCTGCCATATACTCGACATAAATAACCGATAACCGTAATTCAAAAGCAAGACTACGAAATTAAATCATCGAATTATCAGTCTAAGTGGTGCATCGTCGTCGGCTCGAGCAGCGATAACCATGGATCGCAACTCCCAGTCCGCTGGCCCGGGGCCTCGCCATGACGCCGCCTCGGGGGTTACCAAGACCGAATCAGCGGCAGACAGAATGGCTGCTCTCAGGGCAAGAGTCAACGCAGCTGTTGGCTCAAGCAAGGCCAAGGGTGGTCTCAATGTCGGCCTGCATCCCGCGCTGGAGGGTCTAGGATCTGGCAAACTAGATTCGCAGCAGACGCAAAATAGCCTATCAAGCAGTCAACGGCCGCAGCCATTTTCTGGAAACCAACGAAATAACAACCTGAAACGCAAAGACGGACAGGCGAACCCATACATGGCCGACGCGGCAGCCTCCGGTGCCGGCAGAGGACGCCAATCGAGGCAGCTCAACTTTAATCAAAAGGGAAAATACATTGCACAGGCAAACGCTCTACGCCGACAGGAGGCGTTGGAAGCTTTGAAACGCCGTGTTGCTGAACAGACAAGAAAAGCAGGCATTGACGAAGACTTGGACGTCGAGAAGAATTTTGTCGTTGAAGAACCACCAGCGATCGAGTGGTGGGATGAGGGGTACTTTGAAGGTGACACATACGACAACATTGAAAATTTAAAGCTACAAGGTGAAGACAGTCCTATTACCGAATATGTACAACATCCAGTGGCCATCGCACCGCCGCAAGATGCCAACGCCCCGGCGCCAAAGCCCATGTTCCTTACAAAGAAAGAAATGGCAAAGATCCGCCGCCAGCGCAGAATGGCCGACCTCAAGGAGATGCAGGCCAAGATTAGTCTAGGATTGGTGCCGGCACCGCCACCCAAGGTTAAGAAGGGCAACCTGATGCGAGTGCTTGGCGACGCTGCCGTTAAAGATCCTACTGCTGTTGAAGCCCGCGTGAACCGCGAGATTGCCGAACGATACGAAACACACATGAATACAAACGAAGAACGCAAGCTGACAAAGGAACAACGGCACGAAAAGCTGCAAGAAAACCAGCAAAAGGATGCTGACAAGGGTATTTATCTTCTTGTCTTCAAGATCAATACACTAGCCAATGGCCAGCATCGCTTCAAGATTGGCATCAACGCCGAGGAACTGGCTCTAACAGGCACTTGTATCCTCAACCCCAAGTTCAACTTGGTCATTGTTGAAGGAGGAGAATGGAGCATTACCAAATATAAGAAGCTTATGCTTAACCGAATCGACTGGACAGAGAATGCACCATCGAGGGTACGAGATGAGAAAAAGGCAAATGCGAAGGACTGGCTGGTGGCTGAGGACGAGAATGGAAACCTGAAGGATATTTCTATTAACAAGTGCACCCTCGTTTTTGAGGGTGAGCAAAAAGTCCGCGCATTCAGGAAATGGGGAAGCAGAGTGTGCGAATCCGACTCAGATGCTAGAGAAGCACTGGCAAGATCACGGATGGACAGTTTCTGGTCCATGGCCAAGGCGATGCCCTGAACGAGCAAACAGAATACTATTAAAACCTATTGTATTTATTTTTCACACTGCTCTTTTTCATTTTCTACAGGGAGCATTTTTTGCATTATGCACAGGACAGGCACAGCAGGACACAGCGATGCATCTTGATAGCAGCAGATAGAGTCTAACGTCAGCTAGGCATTCAATTTTATCCGGCATTGCTGCATGCGTTTTTTTAATCAATGCAATACACAATCATGCATATATATTTGTACCACCATTTCTTACTTTCCCCTCTCTCCTGCATCGGACACGTTATCGTGGCCCGTTTGTATGCGGGTGTTGCCTGACAGCAGACGCGACCACATGCAAACTCGCCCAAAGACAAGACGCCAAAAAAGCACAACGTCATCTCCACCTGCACCACGTCACCAGCCTACACAACATCTTCCACGCAACGCGGTGCAACCACAAGGCTGCCTGCTTCTAGTCGATGCCTGACTGCGAGAGCTGTGCTGCTTCCCGGCCTCAGTCACCGACGGCATCGCGACGCTCAACTCGACACAGCAGTCAAGCGTCACAATGACGATTCCAAACCACACCTTTGGCGCTGACTGCCGCCTTGCGCCGCTCGAGCCGTCCAGCAGAGACGACGACATCCCCGCGCTCGAAGCACAGTATTTCTACTCCTCTGCCATTACCATTGACGATCCCAACTGGACTAGTGCCCCTTCCGACGTCAACGGCAGCGGCGCGGGCAAATCCCATCTTCGCGCCTTTGGGCGTGGCGACAATAACGCCCTGGAGAGAGCATGGCGGAGCTTAATGTCCAAAAACGACCGAGCCCTGCACAATGACCTCAAGAAGAAACCAAGGCTCGACAACGGGGACATTCGGTGCGATCCGTCAAAAAGAGACGACATTGTCCGTGTTTTGGGCCAGAGACACTCCCAATTACACCTCAATGGGCTGAAGACGGCAGCAGCTCTGGTCCAATCCCCGACATTGAGAGCTGATACAAATAGTACTGTATCCTGCTGCGAGCAGCTCGCCACCGACATCACTACCGAAATTGACCAGACGTTTTGCTCTGAAGTACGACACGCCGACCCGACGTTGCAGGTTGATATACTCGCACACGATGTTACAACACTCGTCACTCGCAAGTCTTCCAAGGACAGCAGTGATGGCAAGGCCACAACACCGACCGCAATGGCAATCCATCCCAGAAGCAGTGGTGAACGTGAAGGAATGCAGTCGCTCTCTTCGACGCCTCGCTCCGGACTCAAAATGGCTACCAAGCATCACATTGACGCCGAGCACGAGCATGAAGCTGGTGGACGGTCTAGATCTCTATCCCAGGCTACTAATCGTTCAAGTCACACAACTACTGGCTCTGGGCTTACTGGACAGCCGTTTGTACGCGCTGCTGCTCGCGACGACTCACGACCACCAAGCGCACCCTCTCAACCAACCGAGGCTACTGCTGCTACTACTACTGCCAAACCAAGTACACCAAAAGGCGACAACGGGCCAAAAGAAACCAAAGTGCAGACCCTCGAACCAGAACAACAGTCGGTGCTACAGGTCACAGTGGGTGTTTCCAAGCTCCATGTCGTCTCGTTGCCAACCCTGCAAATGAAGCCGATTTACTGGTCGCCTGTGAATGATGTTGCCGTTGTGACACGAGCAACATGGTTTTACAGAGATACAATGTTGCCTGTGACCCCAGTGGTAGCCAACCAGCTCGAAGCCGGTTTCCAAGAGATGCAGCCGTGGACCGAGACATGGCGAGACGAAGTGAGATGTGCCATCGACATTGGTCCAGATGGCGAAGAAAAGCTATCCCACCCTCTATGGCCGAGCCAGAACAAATCCCGCAAATCGATTAAGCAGTCAGAGCTTCCAACAATCTCAGCTGACTTGTTCTGCTCCTCTCACTGCTCCCAAGGCGACGCAGCCGCGCAAGGCAGTATTGATACAAAATCACCCCAAGAACCAAACAGGCCATATGCCAACTACCACGTCATATACAAGGATACAAAGGACGCGTTCTTGCTCAAGCCCTCTCTTAAACCCTCTGCGTATTATGGAAGACGGCCGGTCTACGCCATTGTCAAGGGCTTTGCAGTTGGTATTCCCGTCACTCGCGGATTTGATCGCGAGATTTGGGACCGTTATCGTCTGAACAAGTTTGGCAAGAAAAAAGTAGAAGCTGAAGAAGGCGTGAGCCAAGATTTTGCAGCCGAAGCTTCTCTATGTACAGCTTGCGAAGTAGAACGAGAACGCGGCCAGATTAGCGACTTGGTTCTAGTCGCCCACGGAATCGGTCAAAAGATTGCCGAACGAGTCGAGAGCTACCACTTTACGCACGCCATTAATAGTTTCCGGCGCTCTGTAAATACGGACTTGCATTCGCCCTCTGTGCAAAAGGTGATGCGTGATGGATGCAATGGACTCATGATCCTGCCGCTCAACTGGCGTATGGGCATCTCTATTGAAGAAGACGACATGCGAGAAGGCGGCGACGTCAACGCGTCCACCAATTCGTTTGGTCTCAAAGATATTGAGCCGGATACCATCCCCGCAATCCGCAGCATGATGTCAGACGTCATGTTTGACATTCCTTTCTACATGTCGCAGCACAAGAACAAGATGATTTCGTCGCTAATCTACGAAGCCAACCGTGTCTACCGGCTCTGGTGCGCCAATAATCCCGGCTTCGCCTCTAAGGGCCGCGTCCATCTTATTGCACACTCTCTCGGTAGCGTCATGGCCGTTGATATCCTCTCCCGCCAACCGACTTATGTCCCCGAAATCGACCTCAAGGCACCGAGCCCCAGCTCACAGTTCCTCGAGTTTGATACCAGCAACCTCTTCTTGCTCGGCAGTCCAGCTGGCTTCTTTATCCTTCTAGAACGCGGTGCTCTTCTTCCCCGACGCGGCCGACTTAAGCCCGGTGCAGACCGCGCAGATGCCGCCTCGGAGAGTGTCACTGGTGAAGCTGGCCAATTCGGCTGCGTAGCTGTCAACAACATCTACAACGTGCTCGCCAAGGAAGACCCCATTGCCTATCTTCTCAACGGCTCTGTCGACGTTGCCTACTCATCGACCCTCAAGCCCGCCTATGTCCCGAGCTCCGTACCCTCGCTTCTAACCAGCATGGGTAACGCGGTGCGCCAGGTAATTCCCGGCATGACGCCCGCCGCTGACCCTCTTGCACAAGAACCTGAGCGCCCATCTGCTATCCGGCTGCCGTCGCAGTTGGAACTTGAAGTGCACAACTTCACACGCGAGGAAATCGCCGAGAGGAAGGCATACCTGCTCAACGACAACGGCCAGATTGACTGGTACCTTCAGTCGGGCGGTGGTCCCCTCGAGATGCAGTATCTCAACATGCTGAGTGCACACACCAGCTACTGGACAAACCCAGATTTTATCCGGATGGTGTGCCTCGAGATTGGCCGCAAGCCTGGCCGAGCAAACACGTTTCCTGTGATGCGAGCCGCTAAAGCAGGCCGACGAGGCAAAAAGGCGACCAAGTAAAGATGAACCTGAAAGAAAAGAAACCCCTACCAATGTATTTAGCCTAGCGAGTTATTATTTTCCGTATATACCCCTTTTTGTATTCAACACTTACTGCTTTCACTCTTAAACGAAGCAGTCTTATCAGATCACCAATAGACAACAGGTTTTTTCTTCTTGGAAAGCAAATGCCATGCCCGTTAAAAAATGATATGTAAAAGTGAGAAACTCCTATAATATGTATGCAATCTCCGCGCCCTATGCTCTGCTTCTACGCCTCCTCATCCCAGTCCATCTGCTCCAACTCCTCGTCATCATACTCCATGTAATCATCCTGGCGACTGCTCGCCATGGCCGCTGCAGCATTCTTCTCTGCCGCCTTTTGCTCTGCAATCCTTGCTTCTTCAGCATCCTCCTCTGCCTTGCGCTTGATATCCTCGTATCCCCAGGTACTAATACCCTCCTGGTCCTTGGACTTGAACGGCTGCGCCATGGTGCGCAGGAAGCGCCGCGCGCTGCTAATCGCCATGTCGGTACTAAGGTTAACATCAACGTCCATCAGGCCCTGGTTGATCCACTTGGGCAACTGGACACGCTTCTTCTGGAACCGTCTATCAGCCAACACCATGATTCCGTAGTCGTCTTTGCCTCGGAGAACACGGCCGAGACACTGCGCGGCGTGGCGCATGGCATCGAACGACAAGAAGTCGTTTTCCTTGATGCGGTATGTCTCGCGGAGGAACTCCAGTCTGGCCTTGAGGATACGCGACTCAGTGTACTGGAAAGGCACACCGATACACAACACAGTACGGCCGTACTGGTGGTCGAAATCGATACCTTCCGACACCTTGCCACGGGCGACACAGAGCAGGATGGCGCCGCGGCCGTTGCAACAGGCGGTACGGTACGTCTCTAGGGCCAGGGACGTTTCTTGAGCATCGGGTGTCTCTACCAGAATGAGCTTGTACTTCCAGACCTCGTCGAGGATGCCCATGCCCTGCCACATGCTGATGATGGACTCCATGTAGAGATAGGACGGGAAGAAGACGACCATGCCGTCTGGCGTGATTTTGGCGAATTCGGTCAGCAGGTTACCATAGTTGCGTACCACACTTGGCTCGTTGCGGACTTGGAAACTTGTCGACACAGACGCCTGGTCACTGCCACGGGTGACAATCATAGGCAGGAAAGACCGTCTTGCAAGCGTCATGGAGTACGATTCCTGGATGACTGTGGTAAAGTCGAGCATCTTGGGGTACATTTCCAGTGGGGAAATGGTTCCCGATGTAATAATCACAGAGTAGAAACGCTCAAAAACGGGCCGGATGGCAATTGCAGCATCGAGACAAGTAAAGTGGAGGATGGGGTTCGGCACTTCAGCCGTGTCGGACTCGTACGGTTCAAGAATCAGCAGGAAGCCCTTTTCGTACGTTGCTACCAGCGTCGCAAAGGTGGCGACCTCTTGCAGCGGCTGGTAGTCTTCGATATTGGTCAGCTCCAGCGTTCTGACAAGTGATGTTAATCGTTCCGCGCAGAACCGCAGGGGCTTCTTTTCTATAAATGTGTGTTCGCGAAGATGAGCAAGAAACGATGGTGGCGTCTCTGAAATGACCTGGCGAACCTTCATCCTCGTCTGTTGTATGTCAGTGTTGTATTCTTAGTAGAGGCGAATGTCTTGCTCACCTTGAGGTATTCTATAAATCGTTGCAGGAACGCAATAAAGTGTTCTGCACGGCGGATATTGCCAGGCACGGCTTCGTTCAGGAGATCTGCTGGTAGCACTGGATTCGACATGAATGCGTCTTCCTGTCGCGCTTCATCGGCATCACGTAGACCTTGAACGAGCTTCTCATACTCGTTCTGCAGCTGTTCCTGGTCCGTGTCTCGCATTTCCGCAATCTTCTCCTTCAAGTTTTGCGCTCCGCGCGTCGCACGCCGCAGCGAGTCTTCCGTAATATCTGTGCTGAGCGACTCAATACATACGTTGTCGATGTTATGAGCTTCGTCGAATACAATAATGTTGTCTTTGGAGAAGTCCTTGGAAACGCGTTCCGCAATCTTGGGATCTAGCAGGTAGTGATATGAGAAGATGACGACGTTGCAGTATTGCATCTAGACTTGTTAGAACGATGTTTGTAGTGCGGTGATGAGATACATACCATGCGTCGAGCGGTAAAGTATGGGCATTGTTTCTTTTCCTCACCGTATCGGAGAAGGTCTTCGAAACTCCAGACACCATTGGGGATCAGATTGTGCGGTTCCAGCAGGTCAAGGTTCTGTCCGCTTAGTTAGCAGGGGGGTTTGTTGTAAAGAGACGTTACATACGTCATGGTATGAACATAAATCGACTTCCTCGCCCTTTTCCTTCTTCTCCTTGACAAAGCCAGCAGTTAGACTTCGACATCTGGCATCGACGATGGAACCACTCTTTTCTCGCTTGACAGACGGGTGCAGACACAAGTTCTTTCTCGACGTTAATCCAAGACCGCGGAAGTCTTCCTCGTATCCCATCTGCTCCGTTCTGTACTTCATCAGGGCCTTCAACTCGATTAATGCCTTTTCAATCTCAGACATGGTTCTCGAGCAGTAGATAAGTTTGCGCTTCTCGGGCATAGCCTGCTGGTATGCCACAATCAGAGATAATAGAGAGACGGTCTTTCCGGTACCCGAAGGCATTTCCAATATACAATGACCTCCCGCATCGAGAGTTTCTGGCATCAGTGTTAGAATTGTGCCTGTTTTCAACCTGTGGAAGGGTACAAACTTTTCAAATCACACATATAACTAGTTGAGTTTTAGCACAAGTAGTCCTGTTTGATGGCCAAGTTAAACTTACGCATATTGTTCTATTTAGCAGACGGTTTAGCATTGGTGAACCTTGGTGCAAACGGCAATGTGACAAACCTGGGTAAATCCTGGGATACGGGAAGAGAACTTCGAGTTCTCTGTGTGAAGGTTAGCAAAAATATCTACTCTGTACATCATCTTGATCGTACCCAATCTTAAATCTCATTTTGGCTGTATTTTTCTGAGCCCCCGTGCCCAGATGGATGAATTGATGACACAGGGCAGTCTCTGAAGCTATCGAATGGGCGTCACCGTGAATCTCTTTAGGTGTAATGTGCTAAGCTGTCGCGCGGTCACGTGATGGAATATAGGGTAATTGGAGGCCCCCAGTCTGCCTCGCTCGTTCGGCATGTCCTATTTTGGGAAATATTCTTAGTTTTGTCTTATACTTGCATGAGTGGCGATATTGATACATCATATCAACTATAGCTTTGGTTTTATATGACTCGAGTGTGTCATGCGGGCTACTATGTCGAGTCTATGTTAAACTTGCGTGGAGACTGCATAGAGGGCTGGTGCCAACTGTTAACATCCCTGGCATATATTGAGCACAGAAGGTAACCACAGGAGTCCAAAAAATTATAAACAAAAATAAAATCCAAACCAAAACAGAATATTAAATAGATTAGTAACTACGTTTAAGGGCCAGATGATGAGGAAGAAGCTACCCATAGCGATTGATTAAGTTTTGGCGTTATCGTCTCCGATCGCAAGGTGGCTCCATCTCTATGGGGCACCTAAAATCGTACGATAGGCTTTGGAACATAGGCAGCCTCTAATCTGGCAATTTCGTTGTCAGTCAAAACCACCTTGATAGCCTTGGCGATTTTGTCGATTCTGTCCTTGCTGCTCAGCCCAACAATGGGATTGACACCTTTGCTCAGGCACCAAGCCGTGGAGATGGTAGCCATGGGAAGATCTCGTTCCTTGGCAATCGCTTCCACTACAGATACAATGGCCTCGCTTACAGGGTCTTCCTTTTGGAACAAAACTGACAGGCCCAGGTCCGTGTCGGCGCGAATGGAAGCATGGTCGCTTGAGTTCCACGGGCGCGCCAGCAACCCGCGTGCGTTTGGAGACCACTATATCTTTTATCAGCTGCCATTAAATATCCCCTAAAAAACATACAGACTTACTGGAATCAAACCAACTCCTATCTTCTTGCAGTATGGGATCATTTCGCGCTCCTCTTCCCTGTAGAGGAGGTTGTAGTAGTTTTGCATACTGATGAATTTGTGCCACCCATGCTTCTCAGCAATGTTCTGAAGCATCTGAAACTCCCAAGCGGGCATCTTTGAATGAAACTCGTTAGTTTATGTTAAAAAATGCATTGCAATATCAACACTTACCGAGCTTGCTCCAATATATCGTACCCAGCCATTCTCCACCACGTCATTGAGGGCTCTCATGATCTCCTTATAAGGTACATCCGGATCGATGCGGTGAATCTGCAGGACATCAATGTATGTACCAAGACGCCTGACACTGTGTTGAACCGCATCAAAGATGTGCTTTCGTGATAACCCGGCACGATTGACCATTCTGCCGTCGTTGGTGTAGGACGCTAGCAGCGGCAACGGAGGCTCACCAGGTACACTGGTTCCGAATCGACACTTTGTTAAAATGACTACATTTTCGCGGGGGATTTTGTACTTGTCGAGTGCTTTTGCAATAATTTCCTCTGAACGGCCATCGGAGTACACGTTTGCCTGAGCATGTTAGCGCGGGGTACTAATTGGATGTGTTTTTTTTGTGATCTACCGTATCCCATGTATTGATTCCAACTTTGTATGCGTGCTCCAGCAATGGAAGGGCTTCCTCTTCCTCTAGAACCCACTTTGCCCAGTCTTTGCTACCGTATGACATGGCACCCAGGATAATCTTGGAGACTTTGAGACCGGAATCGCCCAGACGAGTGTATTCCATGTCGGTAGATGGGGGTTTAATGGCCAGGTTGGCGTACACATTTTGGGAGTCTTGCGCCATGACTGTAACAGGATTACTGTATGGATTTGCTGCAATGACGAAGCTATGCTGCGTATAATTGGGAGATAGAGCATCGGAGGAGCGTCATCGATGGGCAGTTTAGAGGTGATGTAGGAGCGGATTTAAGGACCCATAGTCTGCTTATCTCCGATCACCGGTTTGATCGGGAGAGGAATTGACTGATGTTAGAGATCACATAGGTCGACTGCATTTCCCCGAAAAATCATTTATCGAAAACTTTTATGGAATAAAGTTGCTGTGTGGTGTGTGTGGTATTTCCGGACGTGAGCCGCGCCTCAGGCTCTGGTGAGGCGTTTGAGAAATGGAGCCCAGGTCCTTGCGCCGCAGCGCTAATGCAGGCGTGGGGAAGGCCTGGCGCAGGGCCCATTGCAGCTCGCATTGTTGATTTATGCAGCGGAGCCACGCGCGGCTATTGCGTGGATGGGAAAGTGCAACAAAAAGGGAAATGTATTCAGTGTGCATGCAATTATCGCATCACCAATTCCATTGCGAAAGAAACAGGGCCAAGACAGCGAAGCACGTGACACGCGAACAATCTCCCCCAAATTGAAATGGAGGGGGGAAAATGGCGGAAACGTAAAACGGTAGCAGCACGTCACATCACGCTGTAAAGGTGTGTGTGTCGTGCCGTGCAAGCCTCGTTCTGGGACGGCACACGAGCAAAACGCAGGGGGAAAATAGAGTAGAAGCAGGGTATGGGCTGACAAAACCGTCCAAGATTGCCCGCACTGTACCTACGTAGCGCTCGCTAGTTTTTTTTGTTGACGTTGCTGGGCTTTTTAATTAAGTTGGACGTCACACTTGTCATCGAAGCTAGGTTTGGCTGTCGTTGTACTGTAGGCAAAGAGGCGCGTGATCTGCTTGCCCGGCCCTGTTTTGGGTTTTTGGGGGGATGCGGCGGCGCGGGGGTTGCTCTGCTGGTGCTGGTGGTAGCAGCTACAGCGGTTGTTGGCTGCTCTGCGAACGGCCCTCGTCCGGTCGCACCAGAGGAATGCAAGCAGTCGTTTTCTTTTCTTTTTACTTGCTTTCCTTGCTGCAAGCATCACTGCTATAAAAATAATGCAACATTAAAAAAAAACACACCGACCACGCAATTCAAATCATCGCCAATGAGCTGTTCTGCTGGCTGCTGCAGCATTAAATTTCATTCCCCCTAGCCACTATGCCTGCGCTACTGATGCAGCCCGCTGTGCGCAAAGTTTCCCTTACGCCCATGGGCACCACCCAAAAAGACCCAAAAAAAGAGCAGCAGCGGGGCACACCTCCACTGTGGTTCGTGCTTTTTAGCGGACACGGCAGCCTGGGGGAGGGGCATCGTGGCTGCGTTATCGCCCAATCCAGAGCCTTGATCTGCCCAACCACAGCGCTGCACTGCATTTGCTCCCTGGTTCTGGGCTGCCACACCAAAACAACTGACTTGGCTGAAAGCGCACTGTGAGTGGCTTCTGCTGGCCAAAAAGAGGCGCTGAGCCGCCTGTAGAGTACAGTGAGTACACTATTCCCTACCACCAGCAACAGCCACTAGTAACAGCCACTGGCAACAGCCAGCAGTTAGTTAGCAGTGGCACGCAAGCAAAGAAAGCTGTCTGTCTCGCTTCCCGCCGTCCTCGTCTCTCTCTCTGTCTCCCCCCCTCTCTTCTTCTCCCATCCATTTCTGTTTCTATTTCCATCTTCATTGTCTTTTTGTCCTTCTCCTTTCTCACACTCTTCTTCCTCTCGCCTACAATTTGTGACCTGGCCAGTTTTTTAACCTTGTCGCTTTTGCTACCAATCGCCCTTGTTCCTACAGCGATTCCTCGTCTCCCTGCGCCTTTGTATACAACGTACCCCTCTTCTTTCTAGCCAAGCGCCGTGTACAAATCAACAACCATTTTCTCTCCGCGCAAACCGATTCTCAGGCTTCCTTGTACTGTCTAGGCCGTCTTTATTTCTCTCTTGTCGGTGTCCAATGATTGCACTGTTGCCTGGTTCTCCATTTCGCCAGCGACTCTTTTACAGTGCTTACTGATTTGTGAGTCGTCCCATCCGCCCACCTAGCCAAGCCAACAAGCAGCCTGTCTGCACACTTCCAACGTGCACCCCACTCACTATACGACGCCTGCCAGCGCTGGCTGCCCCATCCGCTCTCCAACACATGACTACGCCGCTGCGAATAGCGTTGAGCCTGCGCTGTTTTCCCATTTTCTAGCGATTCGTCTCGACAAATATCTCCATGATTCTCTACTAACATTGTCAAATGGGCAGGCTTTGAACGATTGGCGTCTCCAAGGCGTCGATTCACTAGTTCGCACGGACTCGTTATAATAGCCGCCTGCACCCCATCCTGTCGCCATACGACGCCACAACTATCGCCATTTACTGTTTACCAAGCCAACCTTTGACATATTTTGACCTAAAAACAATCCAAAATGGCAACAGCAACGCTGCCGATGCCTATCCCCGCCAGGGGACCGGCTTCGGCCATTAGCACACCTACTATTACCCCTCCTGCGTCTCTCGAGGTCGTTGCATCTCCTCCTCCGCTCACAGAAGCGGCACTCGCGGCAGGCCAGAGCGGCACTACTGATAACAGACATATTCCTATTTGCCCAACAGGGCCAGCAAAAGCCACGAGCGAGCTGGAAACACCACCTCCGTCACCAGGAACACAAGAAGAATATAAACAAGAATCGCTCTTGTATCCGCCAGACGAATATCCTTGCATCGAGGCAGGGCCTCTTACTCTATACGAATTAAATGCTGGCCAAGTCGCTAGAGCCATGACACATCACGCCAACCAACCCTTACCACCGCCATCGCTTGTGTTTCCCTGGTTTCATGGCCTCCATCCTCTCAATCATATGCAGCAAACCTTTTTTACTGGGCGTCGCCGAACCGTACGAAAGCCTCCTTCATGCCTCCGAGGAGTCGTTGTGGTCAAGGCAGACGGCGACTTGACGCTCTCCCGACTCAAGGGTGCTATATCACCCGACGAAATCATGCAAGACGGGCCGGCAGCCGAGTTTGTGGACCCCGACCCCAGAGAAGGGTTCTCGGTGCGAAACTTTCACATTCAATCCGCCAAGATGGCTCTTGTATCCGACATTATTGTTTATGGCGAGGACTGTCCTCATACCCGTAGAGTGGGTTGGGAGATAGCAGCAGCTCAGCAGGCTTGGCGCCAGAGAAACGATATTCATAGCGAACCGCTACAGGTGTACAATACGTTTGTCTGCACCAGTCCATTTGAGGAGTTTGAGGAGCTCTATAGCGAACTGGTAGCAGTCAATGGCACTGGTGTGTCTACCGGGCATGTAATCGATTTCGGCCAGCAAGAGAGGCGCGAGATGTGGGACATGACACGGGCATCGGAGATTTCACACAACGTTTTCATGGGCCCAACTCCCGAGCAGGGCGGCGAGGAAGAGCAGCAGTTTGACGTGCTAATTGAATGCAGCGACATGGCTAGGCTCAACCCGGATGCTCTTCGTGATGTGGCAAAATGCACCGACGAAAAGGTTTCGGAGGCGTTTCACGATTTTCCTTCGTCAGGTAGCATCCTGCCGCCGACGTGGTCCCAGACGGAAGCGGACGGCATTCTGGCAACGTGCAAATGGGTATACCATATTGCGCACGGGACGTTTCCTGAGTCTGAAGAAGACGGACACCAACAAGGCGAGGATAGCATGATGCTTGACACCGAGGAGAGCAAATATCGGCCGAGACGGATCCTGATCCACTGCGCCGACGGATACACGGAATCAAGCATGCTCTGCATTGCCTACTATAGCTACAGTACAGGCCAACCTGTGCCAGCTGCCTGGCTGAGCCTGCATACGGAAAAGGGCCGCAACTTTTTTGCCTACCCAACCGACGTCGCCCTTCTCAAAGCCATTTCACCAAGACTGATGCTCAACTCACCGGCTTGCAAAGATCGATGCCGCGAAGAGGTGCTGTCTATGGCCCGGGACGAGCCTGATTGGCTTCCCGGGTTAGACGGGTCGTTTCCAAGCCGAATTTTGAACTACCTGTATTTAGGAAACCTGGGCCACGCCAATAACCCTGATCTTTTGCGGGAGCTGGGCATTGGACAGCTGCTGAGCGTGGGAGAGACGGCAGCATGGCGTGAGGGCGACTTGGAGAAATGGGGCGAGGACAACGTGTGCATGGTGCAAGGCGTGCAGGACAACGGTATTGATCCGCTGACGGACGAATTTACAAGATGCCTCGAGTTTATTGAGCGCGGGCGACGGAACGGGACGGCAACGCTGGTCCACTGCCGCGTGGGGGTGTCTCGGAGCGCGACGATTTGCATTGCAGAGGTGATGCGGACGTTTGGCATGTCGTTTCCGCGGGCGTACTGCTTTGTGCGGGCACGGCGACTCAATGTGATTATCCAGCCGCATCTGCTCTTTGCGTACGAGCTTCTGCGGTGGGAAGAGGAGCTGCGGCAAGCGGAGCAGGCCGAAGCAGCAGCAACGGCAACAGACGAAGAAGCAGCACAGTCGCCGTCGATGCGGCGAGAGCTGGACTGGGGAGACATTACACGCGAGATTGCGCTGATGAACCGGCCATACGCGCGATGAATGAGGCCAACACACAATTACGAAGCATTTTTGGGGTTGAATAATTTCATGGGCTGTGATGCCAGGAAGTCCATTGGCCAGGTATATTTTTGTCTTGATTGTTGACGCTAGGGTATATTATGTTATAGGCGTCTTGTGGTCCCAATGACCCTTTTTTTCTTGTCGTTGGTTGAGTTTTGCATCGGCGTGCTACTGGCATAGCGCGGGATGCGTTTGTATGGATGACAACGACGAGTATGACTATGACGAACGAACTGATCTTAATTTGAAGTCTATATTTTCTCTCACTTGCTTCTTGGCTCTTTGTGTTTTTGATGTCAGGCCACTTGTGCAGATGTTGGCTGTTGTACTGTGGGTGGTGTGATGTGCTGTGAGTGTATATCACCGTTGTGTTATGCATCGGAGACGGCACAAGTGGAGTAATGGAGTCGTAGTCGCCTATACTCGTTCAATACTGCCCGGTACAATATAGGCACTAGTAAGGTAATAGCAGACATGGCCAGCCATGGGCCGAACACCATCACCACCATCGCCAGCCATTCTTTGTCTCGCAGTCGCTCACTACACTATTCCCAACAAATCCTAAAAAATACCTTAAATACTGCCTATTTCCCGGTGTCTAATTTCTCAGTGGGTACAGTACGTGCACATTTTCTTTCTTCGCAGCAGGCCCGTCTGCTCGTCCGTAACATCCCGACGCAAACTGGGCCCCCGTCTTCCCAAGGCCGGGGCCAACCGAGCCCGCCATCTTCTCCAAATCCCCTTTGTTCATCCATTTTCCTTGCTCTGGCCTGGTCGGGGCCCCGCGTGGGTCGCCATTCTTCCCACCAATACTAGTACACCAATACGACTATTATTCGCCTAATTGACCAACTTGTAGGGGGAGACCTGCCCCATCTGGCTTGCTACGGCGCAACAAAAAGAGCCGGGTTGTTCTTTGTTGGAGAAATGGGCTGTCCCTGTCTTGCCTGACGACCCCAACGGCCGCCTTTTCTCTGTAAATTAGGTAGTAGTGCACATTTTTTAATTGGAGAACAGACTAGCAGTAACATACCTTGCCTTTTTTTTTCGTGTCATAATTGGAGAAGGCAAAAAGAGCGAGGGGCGGACCCGGTCGATCATGACGCTCGTCCTTTCTGTTACTGACTGCCACCACCACCTCACAACCCAACCTAGACTCTCTCTCCTCCTTCACACACACCATTTCCTTTTCTTTCTTTGGGTCTTGTCCGAGGCGTATGAGACCAACAGCGGAATTCGCAGTAGCCGCGGCCGTGACATAGAAACAAAAAGATCAACAAACTCATTCATTGCATCCCATCATGCGCCGCTGCTTCTCGGCGTCGGCCAAAGTCCCCCTCCAGAGCCCGCCGGCCCGCGCAGCCCCCCGACGCTCGTCCTCGAAATGGTTGGTTTTTGGTGTTGAGCTTTGGTTGAACTCTCTTCTAACGCAAAGGTTTCTTTGGACAGGCTCCCTATAGCAGCTGGCCTCGTTGTAGCAGGCGGCGCTGCCAAACTATACGCCGACACCACACGTGAGAGCATGTCGCTGAGCCGACAGGCCGCCCAGCGCATCGACGACGAGCGCGAGAAGCGCAACGCCATGCTGCTCGAAGTGTATGGCAGCGGCGAGAGCCTCGAAGAGCTGGAAAAGGCCGTTGCCTTTTACGAGAGTAAAAAGTAACACCGCCCCTGTTCGCCTCATTCACTCACCAAGCTAAGCTGTGTGTCGTTCCGGGCTGAAGTATGTCCTGGCGGCACAACAGCAGCAACCGTAGCCTCGGCCACATGCGAAAAGAATGCATGCTCGGCACACAGCGAGCGGCACGGCTAAAGAAAACGATAGTTCTCGCCTCCCCTCTCGAACACATACGATTTAATGGACGACCTCGAACAACAGAAAGTGCCTGTGCATTTTTGCGTTGGTGCGTCTGAAAGAAAACGCACCCTCAGTAACGAAACAACGACGCACACACACACACACATCTTCAGCACCTACAAACGCAACTCATATGCACGTACATACATGCACATACGCTACCCATTTTTTGTTTTATAAGCATTGCGCACGGCGTCTATCGAATATATTTGCTTCTAATATAGTTTATATTTCTTTTGCTTCTTTTGCACCCATCGGCATCATGTTTCGTCCCGCCTTGACGCGCACACAAACTCCTGAAATAGCGAGCAACTCTTCACGACCAGATTTCGTTTCATCTCGGTTTTTTTTGCCCACCCATCCAGCCCATTTAGGCGGTATATATCTCTCCACGCCATAGTACGAATAAGAAAGCAAAAAAAAAAAGAAAAGAAAAAAGTTGTCATACCACCAGATTCCGTTCCGTGCCCAAGCTTCTCTTCAGATGCTGCTAATGAATAATGATGTTGTTTGTTCCCCAATGCCATTTCAGCTCTTCATACCACCCACGATCAACGGAGGAGCCAATTCCCTGCGCTTCGGCCGCGCTCTTACCAAGCACATTTCGCTCAGTTTGGATGCCATGCCCACCGACACGCTCGTCACAAACTTGGGCATGTCGCCCAGATGCGGGACCACTTCCACCCACTTGTTGTACGACATGCCTTCGTAGTAGTATCGGATCAATATGAGACCCATGTCTTTTTGGTCTTCCTGGTCTCTGTCTAGGGCCTCATACGCCGCGCCAAAGTCCTTGGCGACGGAAATCTGCTGGTCGACGTCCTCCTAGGAGCGGAACAGCGCGCGGTGGCCGTTGCCAATGGCAGTGTAGATGCAGCCACGTATATAGACGGCGATTTCTGCACACAGGAACCGATCACACAGCTTATACACCTCAATGTAGTCTCTCAGCACCGTCTTGGCAGTCATCGCTTCGGGGTTCTGGGCTGGTGGCGGCGGCGCGTGCGGCACCAACGACGAGTAGCTGTATAGCACGCCGACAAACAGAGCAAAGTATTTGGCGTTGATGTCGGTAAAGGTGAACTTGCCGTCTGACTCGGTAAAGCATTGTTTCATGGATGTCGCAAAGTACTCGGAATTCTGCACCATGACGCCCTTGTGCACGAGAAACGTCTCATTGTCGACGGCGATTTCAATGGTTTGCATGTTGCTTCTGGACAAATGGCTGTTTAGTACAAGAACTGCTAGTGTTTTCTCCAATGCCTGTCGGTCTTGTCTTACTTAATAAACCACGAGGTGCGATAGTCGGACAGTAGAAGCGACTTTGACTTTTCTTCGACGGCGGTATTGTGTGAGGTCTTGGTTCGTTTCTTGGGTGGCTGCTTCATGATGTCAGAATACAATTCGGCTAAGCCCGAGTCTGCCTTAAATGCCCCCAGCTCTTCTACTCGTATCGAATCGAAGTCGTAAAGCAGTGAAGCTGAGAAAGATGAATGTTTGGATGGTTTGGTGAAAGGAAAGAGAGTATTTCGAGAGGTCATGGAAGTTTCACGTGTAGCGTTTTGCCGAGTATGGAGAATGTGAATTCACGCGTTTGTTCTATTTTTGTATTATTTCATTTTGAAGCAAAGGTGAAGACAAGAGTGAAGTGAGTGTGTTGGCTACTAGACTGGCCTTTGAGTGTCGAGCTGCCATCTGCCAACTGGCACACAGTTCACTTCTGCATAAAGTGACAATGGCAGGCAGCTGCCAGGTGCTCACTTTTATTCACCATTGTCAAACAACAATGCCAATAATGCAGAAAATATGTACATTCATCATTTTGCTATAGACCCGCGTCATTCAAGACCCAAATCTGCGCGACTCAATAGCGTGGAAAATATTTACGATAACACGACAAACAGCACGCTTTTTAGTTTTCCTTCACTTCATCGACACCCTCCATCCATTTACAGTACGGGAACCGAGACGGCGACATTATTCTTGCACTTAAAGGGAGTCCCGTCCTCGGTCGTCAGATACATGTCCCAGTAGCGCACGTCGTTTCCAGGATCCGTGTCGGGGCAAAACGTCCAAACAGCCTTGGGTGCTTGGGTTCCCTTGTATACGAGCTTTTCGCCTTCGACCGCAAACGGACCAGTAATATCATCCTTCTATAACAAGTGTTAGCACTCAACTACAAGGTCTAACAGTGCAGGATACGTACACGGGGGGCATCGAGCAGAGAAAACGCAGCTTGCCACCAGCCCTGGCGGCCATCTTCCTTTCTAAAGTACACCTTGCCGAGATCCGCCGTCGATGTCAGGCTGCCAGACTTGTCGAGTGTGACGCCCATGTAGGGCGCATCAGGGCCCCAGCCTGCCGAGCCGCCGAGATAGCGATATGTGATGCGGACGTACTTGATCAAAGCCAAGTCCTGGTCCTTGATCTCGAGGAAGAAGCCCGACGCAGCGGGAACTAGCGCGGCAGCAAGAAAGGCAGTGAATTTCATGATTTAGGGATTTGACGTGCTTGGATTGACCACTTCGTTTGGCGAACCGGTCCGTCGTATTTATACGTGACTTTGGCTTACACGCCTGCTTACGCTGTTGCCGTCACATCCCCGCGCGACGGCCCTCACTCGGCCCCATCCGAAGACAAACTCTAGCTCGAAGCATGTGCATATACTACGTTCCATGGACCTGGACGGTCGAATAGTTTCGGCGATAAGTCGGTGTCGATGGCGATGTGTCCCTGGCGCGTGCATGGGATGCGCTACGTCCTCTATGTCGCCGAGCGGCCATCTCTCATCCAAATTAAATCCTCAAAAATCACTGGAAATCCACAATCGACTTTTAAACGTCATTCAGCACAATTCTATTTCACAAATCCTTCAAAATGGACTTCTGCACGCCTCAACACCGCAGCCGTTGCGAGAATCCGCCGACGCTGCGTGCATAATCGGATCCACACACAATCCAACTCTTACTACAATCTGCATAACGCTAAATCTAACCTGCCATTATGCTTGTTCATCGCGTCAAATGTCGCCGCCAATTGGCCGAAACCCGGAGCCGACAACCCCGTCGCATACACAAAGGTTGATATAGCCTCCCTCGCAGGCTACTCGCACAACTAGGGTAGGATCCTCGCCAGTCTCCCTTTGCCCACCAAACAGACAGACAGACGTTGTTGCTAGCCTAACGAAAGTCTTTCTTCAATGTCTTAGATTCAGGATGCTATAGCGTTGGGCCCGGCCAGTAACGCGCCGTCTTCTCAAACCACACTCTGGCAACATGCCAACAATGTCTCAGAATCGCCCTGGCCACCTTGAACATTACCAATTCTATCCCTTGTGCAATACATCCCATTGCCTCCTGCCGTAGCCCTTGGCTTGAATAAAAATGCTTCATTGTCCACATCCCACTGCTGGCCTTTTTTTGCCCCTTGTCTCTATTCTCGTGTTGCGCCGTCACATCCTCACACCTCTCATATCACAATGCGCTCGTCACTTCTCACATCGCTGCTGGCCTCGACGGCCGCAGCCTTTGAATACCATATTCTCATGGGCTCGATGCTCGATTCATATGTTGCGCAGCAGAAATATCTTGGAAGGGAGCCCGAGCTGCCCTGCAAGGAAATCCTCAAGGAAGCCATGAAGGCCCAGCCCACCACACCCCCCGTCATTGTCAAGGCACATGAAGACGACAAGATCTTTGGCGAGTGCCCATTGACAGCGGCCGTTGAGCTCGAAGCCGACATGCGTACCTACTCCGCCGACATCAACAAGTGGGCGTCGAGCGCCATGGCTGAGATGCAGCAGTACAAGGCCTGCGGGTTCACGGCCGTTGACGCGCCCGAACCCACGGAAACCTGCACGATGAAGTTTGTCGCTGAGGCCGATCTGCCAGAGCCTACCAACACAGAAGATCCCAAAAAGTCGGCCAAGGAGACCGAAACCAAGAGCGCAGCCAAGGAGACCATTACACCCAAGGCGAAGAAGGAGGACGCCAAGGACGGCAAGAAGAAGGCCAAGAAGGAAGAAAAGGACGAGTTGTAAAACCATTCCTCCCTGTAACTTAACTAATACACCCAATTGGAAATATACTTTTTCCTTTTCTCTTGATCAACATGCATCAACCTCCCCCCCCCATGTGCCCGTAGCCGATCTCTCATCTCACCCCACCTTGCCGCCGTACCTTTTTCAACCACGCTTGAATCAACCACCCAAAATACTTGTGCGTCTTCGTCACAGACACAATGTTTTCTCTTGTGATTTTCGACTTCGACGGGACCCTCTTCGACACCCACGAGTCCATCGTCCACTCCATCCAGCTCACTTTCAAAGCCCTCTCCCAGACAGTCCCACCATCCGCCTCTATCCTGCGCTACATATCCGCCGGTACCGGCCTCAGCGATACCTTTCGCGCACTACACCCTGACCTCACACCAGAAGAAGAAGCTAAATGGGAGGCCGAGTACCGCGCCAATTACGCCGAGCACGGTCAGCCACTGATCCGCGCGTTCCCTGGCGCCCGTGAGCTCCTCTCGCACCTGCGCGAGGCCAAGATCCCCATTGCCATTGTCAGCAACAAGGGCGCAGCGGCTATTACGACGGCACTGCAAAATAACGGGCTCAGCGAGTTCTTCCCAGCCGACTTGATTGTTGGCGATAAGACGCCTGGAGCGACGAGAAAGCCGGATCTGGCGAGCTACGACAAGGTCCTTGTGCCAGCACTCAAGGAACAGTATGGCATTACTGAGTTATCTCCTGCTTCGGTGCTCGAGGTAGGCGATACGATTCCGGATATTCAGTTTGCGAAGAATATTGGCGGAAAGTCGTGCTGGTGCCGCTTTGGATATGGTGATAAGGTGGAGTGTGAGAAGCTCCAGCCGGATTACATCGTTGATTCGCTGTTAGAAGTGATACCCTTGGTCTCGGGGCCATAAAGCAGTGGATACTACAACATGAAAGACGGACTTTTGGTTTGGGAGATTCAGTTGGCATTGTACGGAGCAAAATAGGAGACAGGATGACCAAGATACTGGTATTGGTTGTCATGACCCCAGTAAAGTCACGACGTTTACGTGTTTGTAACATAGTGATTAACTTTAATTCTCAGTTTGTCCTTTACTGGCTTGCCTGTGTCAGTGGTGTGAGGGTATTACGAAACACGTCCTGGCATAGAGCGAGGAAGAAATCCGTGAAGCAACGGAAGCCGGGGATGCTTTCCTCCTCCGGCCATCTGGTTGGACATTCAGTATTTCCGGCTCGGGAAAAGTCAAAGTGCCCCTAAGAGGCGAATGTTAGTCACACCTGCATAAATATCTTTCCTGCTTGGCTATTAAAGCTTGGCAAACATGTTCAAGTCCATTCTGAGCCGAGCGACAAGAACCAAGCCTGCCGACGCCAGAGCCGTAGAGCCCGCGTAGAATATGGCTGCTCTATATGGCATGATCGACGTTGCCGACTCGGCTCCCGCTGCGCCAATAAGAAAACCGGCAATTGGATTTCCAAGTAAATCACCCACGAACCAGGCTGTCATCGCCATGCCCATACCTGCCACTGCAAGACCCGGGCCAAGTAGCCTTCCAACCGCCACGGGCATGGACACGAAGAATGCGCCGTTGGACACGCCATTTAAAACGGCAAACACAATCAGCAGTGTGAGATTTGACGAGAAAGGCCAAATGGCAAGCATGGTTACTGAGTTAAGCAACATGGTCAGCAGAAGTGTGTTCGTAGATCCGAGTTTGTCGCATGCAATGCCGGATCCCACACGGCCGAGTGCCATGCATGCATTAAAACACGCCATCAAGCCAGCCGCAGCCGAGCCTGAAATGCCAACCGAGCTGGCAATTAACGGCAAGAAGAAAGATGGTACATAGAGCGCAAAGATGCCCACGGCACCCGAGACAAGTAAGCATGTAAAGGCTGCGTTGCGAAACAAGCTCAAGTCCACTGCCGTGGCGCCCATGTTCGGCGCACGCTCCTTGATCAGCAACGCCGCAGGCACTCCCGTGACGAGCGAGATGAGGCCCATGGCGCGAAAACTCCATGCCACGCCAAATCTGTCAATGATGGCCTGCAGGATGACGGTCATAACGGTGGCGCCGACGCCGCCTCCAAGCTTGGTGAGGCCATTCGCGGTGCCGAGCTGGTCACTGAACCACTGGACCGGCAGATTGTTGGCCATTGTGTAGAGAAAGGCCGAGCCTATGCCATATAGTGTGCCGCTGACGAAGAGCCCAGGGATACTACGGACGCTGAAGCTGCCAATGATGTTGCTTGCCCCAAAGAAGACAATGCCGACCAGCGTTGCGTGCTTTGCGCCAATAGACCGGGCAATGCGGGCGCAGACGATGCACAGCCCAACACTCAGTGCCAGACCAATCGAACCAACAAACGAGAGTGTGGATGCGGGAGTCTCCTTGAGTGTAGTTTGGAGCAGTGCTGTCTGCAGGATGCCCCAAGAGCCGGTCCATGCGTTGAGCCAGAAGAGCTGCACAGCGCACGAGAAGACGACAACCCAGCCGTACCCGCCGTCAGGGATGGCATCTACTGCGTTGGGTGGCGGGATGGAGTCATTAATTGTGTCGTTAACTTCCGCCTCGATATTAGCATGGCGGATATCGGTTAGCGAGATGCTTTCAGTCTGAATGGATGTCATTTTTGGGGGTTGGTAGCGGACAGATGCAAGTGCAGTGGAAGACGCTGCTGTAGATGGTTCTGTTGCTGTTACAAAGAAAAAAAGGTAGAGGAGAGTGAGAAAAGGCGGATTGAGTGAGAATGTTTGTTTGGTGCATGCACGTTCGCGGCCTGATGTTGTAAGTGGGTGGGTGTGGCGATGACAACTCTGGTGGGCGAGCGAGATCTTGATGAGGGTTGGGGTTACTCCTGCCAGGTGCCAATTGAGAGCTGCCAACTGTCAGAGCACATATGCCAGCTGGCTGCCAGCCGTGTAAATTTCCACCAATGCATAATATATCCAAGCAACGCAAGAATTATTAGGAATGATCGCGAACAAAATCTAGAAACAGCAGAAATCTATGACTGTAACCCGCCAAAAGTGCAAAACCAATACGCCATATCCTCTAAATCTATTCTATAGTCGTTAATCATGCATTTGCGATGGTCACTTTCCACGCCCAACCGCTCGCCATCATCACGCTACTCGCCATGGCCAGAGCAACGTACACTCTGTCGAATCCATACGCCATCATGGTGTACTTGGCCACACAGCCGGCAACAATGCCCATCCAGACGACAAAGAAGCCCGTCTCCCACCACGCCTTGAGCACGTCGTCCTTCTTAGCACGCTCAGCACTCGATCGCATCGTCGTGCCCCAGCCATCCGCTGTCAGGGTCATCATGCTCCAGACATGCACGGCGGGCAGGGGAACATGATAGAAGAAGATGCCCGGAGCGACCCAGGCGAGTTCCCGCGCGCTGAGGCGGTGCGGGTTGCGCACAAAGTTGTATAGGACGCTGACAATGACACGCAGCACAAGATCCAGCACAGACACGACAATGAACTGCTGCGTGGTGCAAAAGTAGTATACAACGGCAACGGCAGCAATGACAGGACCAAACTCGCGGCGTGCCATGCTGTAAAACAGAAGCGGATTCGTCTCGAGATAGACTCGCGGCTGCAAGAGAGATTCCATGTGCGTGGCGCGTGCCCAGCGGACTTGCTGCTTGAGCCAGCGGGATAGTGTGTTTGGCGTGTCTGTGGCAGCAAGGACATCCGATGCAAAGACGACGCGCCATCCACGTTTCAGGAGGTTGGTTGTCAAGTGACGATCCTCATTGATAATCTACACAAAGAAAGTGTTAGCAGTCAAAGGAGAAAGACAATTTGTATAGTGGTTTGCGTCACGTACCATGCGTTTACCAAAGAGGGTTTGGAGATACCAAGGAACGAGGATAGGTGGGAGGGCGGATAAGCGAAAGACGGTTGTTGGACCACTCTGGCAATCACTCGTGGCTGCCGCCGCGGGCGTGGAACGGGTGAGATAGAGCTCGCCCCAGTAGACGGTCGAGGCAAGCTTTGTGACCATGGCTTCCTGCGCGTTATGCACCACGAGACCCGAGCTGGCACCGCCAATGGTTGGGTCAGCGGCAATGGTATCAATGGTGCGGTGCAGCGAGTCTGGCGATACAATGGTATCCGAGTCCGAGGACCAGAGGAACTCGATGCCGAGAATATCGGCAATCACCAAGGCGAAAATATACGTGGTGAACATGATGCCCTTCTTGTGCATATGGCGCTGGCGGATACAGAGCTGGCGAATGGCATTGGGGCCGGTAAACGAGATATTGTTCTCTTGGTCGAGAATGGCTCTTGCAAGCTGCATGCAGCGGCGAATGACAACCTGGTGACATTCTTCCAAATTGACAGGCTGCTCATTCTCATGGGCCATGGCAATCAGCTTATCCATGAGGCTCTCCGCCACCTCGCCAAAGGGATCGGGAATATGCAGGGTCATGGAATTGTCAGGATACACGCGGCTGAATACCTGCATCATTTCCAAATCGGGCTTTTCGTCGCCGTCAATGCCGACGAGCAGGAACGAGCATGATTTTGCCGTCTTGTAGCTCTCCATGGCGCGGGTAAATAGGGCCGGATCCTCTCTCCAGCCAACCACGGCCGCCATGCATTCGAGTTTGGTGTCATGCAAGATGCCGCTTTCCGGATCATTTGCAGAGAGTGGTTCCTTTTCCTCGGTCAAAGACTTTTCTCCGAGGGACGCAAGGGGCGCTGGTGTGGTGACATTGTAAAAGTTGAGCCGGCGGCCTTCGTTGCAGAAACGCGCCAGCTCAGCGAGAGCAATGGTAATAAAGAGATCCAGGCTGACGGGATATCTGCTGTGCATGGTGGCAATGTAGCAGAGCGGGAGCGAAACAATACAACCGAGAATGTACATGAACATTCGGGCGTATGAGACCGGTCTGCCTCGGGCTGCCGCTGGGACAGAGTACGGCTCGTCCCCGTAGATGCTCATGTTTGAAGGAAAACAAGAAGAAAACGAGTGACGGTAACGAAGGTGAAGGAGTTGAAAAAGGCGAAACTAAAGAGGGAAAGGATGGTCAATCGCCAGGGTTCACGCTCAACGGCGTAGCATTCATATAAGGATTTGCACCGCCAAGTCAACTGCCTAAGCTACTAATTACAACGAGCCATGCCATGGCTCTCGGTACGGTACCGATAGCCTTGTAAGGAGTCACCTTCATGCAATGAACCAGGCGTCGGGATTTAGGCTTCTGCTGCGCCACGGGCGGAAACGTGCAGAAAAAGAGCTTTTGCCTTTTGCTTCCATTTTATCAACGTAGCATTCGGTTGCTTATTCACGATGGGGCTGCAGGCAGAATACGAGCCTAGCCAAGGGGGCTATGAAAAGAGGCGTGACCTCATCCGGCAAGGGTATGCAAAGCTCAGCAAGTTCACACCCTTCAACCCGTTGAAAAAGGTTATTTTGTACAATTTGAGAATACCATTGTACGGTACAGCGTTAAAGGCATTTGCATTTACACCAAATTTGGCTTCTTCATGCCGCTGGTTCGGCCGCACGTTAGACAAAGAACCCCTTTTTCGGCGGCGGCCGTAATCTCCAGCGACGATCCCATTAATCTCAGGCTGTGGGCCTTGCCTGAAGCGAAATCTTGACTCGCTGGCTCCAGCGGTGCGACGGGAACAAAACCTTCCACTGCAGGATCGGGGCTGAAGAAAATAAAGGCAAAAACGCGGACATGGGCGCTGATTCAGCTCCCATTTAGGCATTGGTTCGGCCCCCGTATTCCCCCCGTAACCCCTTCTAGGCTGTGCTGTGCTGCCTTAGCGTGTGGCGTTTTCCAAGGCTAATACAGAAAATACGGCGGCGGATTAAATATCATGAAGGAGAGGCCCTGATTGCTTCCGACTTTGTGCACATTCGAGTGAAGAGTAGAGATTCGTTTGATACGCAAAAATGTCGTACATTTACAAGAATAACCGGCTTGTACCGGCCATTGTCATCTCGATATGCCTCATTCTATTCTACTGCTTTATTGATCCGTCCATACAGCCAGGAGAGACGCTGCAAGTCGTCTCGGTGGAAAAGACTAGCGAGCAAGCCGCCGCTATAGTGCCTCAAAAGCCCATCACGGAGGCTACTACACCACACAAGGCAAATCCGCCGTCACAACCAACAAAGTCATCATCATCATTACCAAAAGCATCTTCATCCCCTTCATCCATACAGCATAATGGTCTGTCTGCCGACGATGTCCTGCTCATCGTCAAGACAGGCGGTACCACCATCTGGAAGCGCCTGTTGATCCATCTCACTACATCGCTGGATGAGAACCGCATCAAGCCTGAAAACATTGCCATCTACTCGGACCAGACCCAGACGGTCGGCCGTTTCCAGGTCATTGATGCGTTAGCCAACATGACATCTGAAATGAAGGCCAAGGAAGATTTCGCCGTGTACCGCCAGCTGCCCGAGTACGACTCCCACAACTACTACGTGGAAGCCGCAGGCGTAGCCGGTGATGAATGGGGTCCGGTCGGCGGCTGGATTATTGACAAGTACAAGTTTGTTCCCCTTGTCGAGCACGCCGGCGCCCACTGGCCCAAGGCCAAATGGTACATTTACATGGAAGACGACGCCTATCTCTTCCTGCCCAATGTCATCTCGTACCTCTCGTCCTTTGACGCGTCCAAGCCTCACTATCTCGGCAGCTATGCCGCCAAGTCCGACGTTATCTTTGCCCATGGCGGTGCCGGCTTTGCCCTTTCCCGTGGCGCATGGGAACAGTCCTTTGGCAGCACCAAAGAGAGCCTCACATCCAAGTACTACCAATACACCAAGGACCACTGCTGCGGCGATCAGGTGCTTGCGTTGGCGCTGCGCGACCATGGCGTAAAGTTTGGCGAAAACGGCGGCGACGGCAAGTTCACCTGGGGCTTCAACCCGCTTGTGCACTGGAACTTTGCATTTGAGCAGTCCAACTGGTGTAAACCCGTGCTGTCGTGGCACAAGGTGCACAGCCGCGACGTGGCGCGGTACTACGACTTGGAGAAGTCGTGGGACTTTAGCACTAAGGGCCCATTGATGCATGGTGATTTCTTCAAGCACATGATTCTACCCGACGTCAAGAAGCGTGCCGAGTGGTGGGATAACCAGTCTGGTGTGTACTCTGTTGCTTCTGGAAACAACGAGTGGTCACCGAAGCCGCCCAAGGAGGCCAAATACGATGCCGCCCTCTGGAAGAAGGCCTGGCAGAGCGTGGAAGACTGCGAAGCCGCCTGCAAGAGCTGGGACAAGTGTATGCAGTGGGCATATGTCGAGGATTTGTGCAAGATGGACGACAAGATGATGATGGGCCAGGGATATGCCGAGGGCATGTCGCAGCGTAAGACGGCGCTGATGCACACGAGCGGGTGGTTGTATGAGCGTCTTGAAAACTGGAAGTGCTCATGATGACTAGAAATCTTTTGGGTATAATTTTTGCATAGAATTGGGCGTTTTCTTTTTGGCTTTAGCGGTATTTGTATATATATTGGGAATTAGTAATGCAACTAATATGGGAGTGGGAGTTCAGCCTCGCTGCAGCGCGGGGCAGCGACGATCTCAACCTCTCCTCTTCATCACCATATCTGTAGACTACTTTCAAAAGACTTGTGAATTATAGAATCCGCATTATTCATATTTGTTGGGGGAATCATGGAGTCGAAAATTCAGTACTTTACAGCACCAGCAGTTACCGCCAGCGAAGCGCCTCTGCCACCGCTCACCATTTCGTATAAAACCGTGGGAAATCCCTCTTCACCAGCCATCCTCATCCCGACATGCTTTGGCGGCAAGATTGAAGAATCGCTTACATTTCTATGGCGGCAAACAGGCACCGAACCACCCGTGCTGAGCAATTACTATGTCGTCATCTGCGGCTTGCTGGGCGGCAGTGAGTCATCGTCGCCGTCTAATGCAGAGCAGAGCATCCGCGGATCCAAGTTTCCCAAGGTCACTTACAAGGACAACATTGACTTGCAGTACAAGTTGTGCCGAAGTCTCGGCATCCGCTCTCTAGTCGCCTACATTGGCTTCTCCATGGGTGGTCAGCAGGCATACCACATGGGCATCCTGTATCCCGACTTTGCTCATCGTATTATTGCGCTGGCCACGTCTGCGCGCACAAGTATGCACAATAAGGCTATTCAAACCGCTCTGCGTGCTTCCATTATCAACAGTGTAGACTGGTGCGGCGGCGAGTACAAGACGCCTTGCCGCCAAGGAACTGTTGCGTTTGGCAAGGTATTTACAGGATGGGCCTTTAGCACCGAGTGGTTCGACGCTGAAGGGTGGAAAGCTCTTGGATTTAATACTATTGAAGCTCTCTTTGAAGACGACGAAAAGAATGGTCTTGGCTCGTGGGATGCTCACGATCTACTCTGCCAGTTGTATACTTGGGAACATGGCGACATTTCGATCCACGGCCCACAGCCCGGTAATCTCAAGCTGGCTCTAGAGCAGTTGAAGATGCCGATTTTGCTTCTGCCATGCCGCACCGATCTATTCTTTCCTCCTGCACATAGCAACAGTGAAGTCCAGTATCTGGCGCGGGGCACCATGACTGTGCTGGACAGCATATGGGGACACATTGCCGTTGGCGGGTTTGATCTGAAACCAGAAGAAGCATTCCTTCAAAAACAAATCAGCGATTTTTTGAAAAAGTAAAACAAACATAGATGAACAAAAGAAATCCCTCAACAAGGATTGTCGTTCGCTCGGCAGTTGCCTGGTACATGGCCAGGGTAGCATTCATTGGCGCGGGCCTCGATCTACCGACGACTGACATTGGCAGACATGTCGTACCCTGTCTGGCCAAATGCAACGCTGCATCTATGTGTTTGCGAAACAAGCGCAAGCGAAGATGGATGGCTGATGCGTTGGCTGGCTGCGATGGTCGCTGTTGAGGCTTGGGATGTGATCGACATCTACGTAAGGTCCGTCTAGTTTATATAATAGACAAGAAAAAAAGATGACGATGAATCAGCACATTATTTGTCGGAAAATATGAGAAGAGGCTACCGTCAAAATGTATATAACTTGGCTTTGTCGCGGCTTCATCGTCGTTCTGTTCATCAAGGACATCAGCAACCTACCATAGACCTACAATTAAATTCACAAAATTCCATCATCGCTACAGGAACAAAATACAAATCACTCACAATGAGACTCGCTACCATTGCTAGCCTTGCCACCCTCGCGGCTGCTCTTCCCTCTCCCGAAGGCATCACCCGCGAATTCTCCCTCGCTCAAAAGGGCTTTATCCTCTCATCTCCCGCTAAAGAGGGCAAGTTTATACCATCTGTCTCTAAACCATTTCCCAAATTAACCGTCATAGGCTCCTCAATGGCCACCAGCCTGGACCCTAGCTGCGACGTCCTGCGCGTGCCGCTCCAACACATGGTCGAGCACTGCGGCAAAGTCGCCCGCGCAGCAGAAAAAAAGGCTCGCCACGGCCCAAGCAAGCTCATGGACGAGTACTTTGGCAGCAGCAGCCGAGAGACACGCAACACGGTGGCCGACAACTTTGCCCTCTTTGGCCGAGAGTGCTCGCGCCTCGACGGCGGCGTGGTCAAGTACATGTGCAACTACTCGCGAGACCAGTGCCGCTCTGCCTCCAACATGATGTATGTGACGGAGCGCGCGCGTGTCACGGAGATGATGCTCTGCCCAGCATTCTTTTCTCAGTTTGACTACCACCAGGCCACCCAGTGCGATATGCGCGAGACCCCTGCCCAGACAGCCATGCTGATGGGTCTGGTGGCCATGAGCAAGCATGTCACTGGGATGGAGTGGAATAGCCCGGACAAGACGAACGGTGCAGAGTCGTATGCTGATTTTAGCCAGTTTGAGGGCGAGCCTGGCTGTGATAAGGCTTAGGTCCTCATCATGACACGGTGATCTCTACGAGAACAGAGGCCTAGCCAGAGCAACTGTTGGAGAGTGTCATCCGTTGAATAATATGCTTTTGAAGTTTTCAACTTTTTGGTTTTATTTCCTTCTATATACGAATTCATTACTACAAATATATATATTCTGTTTTTACATGAAATGTATATCCTGCTTTACGCGACCCAACGCACCAGTTTATGAGCAGCCAGCGTAAATGTCCTGGCCCATTCTAGCGTAGGTATCGGCATTGTTGAGCGCGTCAGCCGTGGACAGCGCAATGCAGGCCTCATAACCATAGGCACTGTCGACAGTGTTAGCCTCCATGTGCGTAGTCTCGTGTAACAAGACGTTGCCCTGGGTCTGGGTGTTGTGGCAGGCAGTCGATGAAGAGACGGGCTTGTTGAAGTAGACGGGGCACAGGTAGATGCCATTGTTCTGGTAAGCAACCGCACCATCAGCGCAGGTCTTGTAGGTGCCAGGCGAGCACTGGAGCTTGCTGTTGCAGCCGGCGGGCAGGGAGTTGTATACGCCCTTAACGGTGGCAATGGTATCAGCGTCGTGAGCATGGAACCAGGTGTCCATGCGCGACTTGGTCAAGCCGCCAGGGGCAGCTGCGGCAATGTCGTTGCAGTTAGTCTGGGCAGTCTCGAGCGATGACAGCTGGCCCTCAGTGCAGGGGATGACCTCGGCGCGCTGGAAAACCGCAGACTTGTGAACCTGGAGGGCCTCCTCGCCGTTGACGGCCAGCGAGAGAATCTTGCCAGCATCGTACTTGGCGCCGACGCGGTTCAGCGTACGGCCGTTGTCGGTGGTGTAGGGGATGCTGCCTGCAACGCGGACGGCGTAGTCGCCGCCAGCGCCGAGGTCGTGGATCTCAGCAATGTCAATGTTGACGTCGAGAGCACCGCCGGCGGGGAGAGTGACAAAGGCGGTCTCGGGGAGATCGGTGTCCGAAACAGTAATGTGCATGCCCTTGAAGGCAATTGGGGAGTCTAAGTCGAGTCTGTTAGCAAGCGCATCCACAAGAAAGTTGTAGCTATTGATGTGTATGTATGTATATGTCTGTATGGGGGAACATACTGCCAGAGGTAACATGTACCTTCTTTGTGGGCGAGTCGCCGAGAATGGTACCAGTCTTGAGAAGCTTGAGCTCAGAAGCACCAGGGTTGCGGAAGGTGGCCTTGATACCAGAGTTACCGACACGCTCGACGGCAACGTCGAGAGCGGGCTGGCTGGTAGGAACAGCGGCGGCGAGGGCGCTAAAGGCAAGGAGCTGAAGAAGGGACTGCATGTTTGTGTTGGAGATGAAGACAAGTAAGCGTAAAGAAAAGGGCTTGGAATTGAGTAGTGAAGATATTCAAGAATCAATTCGAGCAGGATATCGTCCTACTTTATAGTCGTCCCATCTGCCCATGGGGAATAACCGCTCTCCCCACGGGGCACACACCACTGTAAACGTCTGCGTGGGAAATGGGGATAAACACTGCTTATCCCACGGGCTAATTATATTCACCTTCCTGCTTCGGAATGATAGGCCTCAAAAGCTACAAGCTGCGCTTGACTTGCGCCTAACTCTTGCCAGCTCGGTTAACTTTACGACGAGTTTCTCCGACATAGTTAGTGAAGGTCTTGTTTGGTGCCGCTGGATGGGCTCGGTTGTGACTTGTTTGGGGTTTGAAGACATAAGACCTTCTGGAAACAGGCACGCTGATGGAGATCTCCCTACACTAAAACTGATCTAGATCCAGTTTGGGAGGTAGGACGAATGACCTCAGAGGCTTGCCCATCCATGATCGGCAGTTGGCCGGGGGTTTTTGCGTGTGCGTGGCTGAGGGTGCGCCAGCCCACCCCCGTACAAACATATCAACCTCGGCGGACATGTCCAATAAGTAGTAATCCAATGGGGGCTAAACCAGGAATTAAGTATTATGCAAGTTGCTGATCTATGCAAGGCGAGGGTAGCAATGACCGCAGGCGGCTTGCATATCCTGGACGCAGCCCTGCTTCTTTCTGACCAAAATGCCAAGCAGGACACGACCGTTTACTAAAGTGACAGCAGAAATGCCAGTGTCTGCTTTTAGTGAAGAGTGAAACGCTGGTAATGGATCCTCTTCCCCACAAAGCGCTGTCTACACATGGCTGTATCCTATTTCCCCCGCCTCCCCTTTCTTAGGAAATAAGGTGCATGCACGCGAGGTGTGTGTAGTCTGCCGATCCCGCTGCTCATCATGAAACCAACATCCGTACTTGGAAGGACGGTTCTAGGCGAAGCCGAGAGGAGCCGTACTGGCGCTGCCTATCACTCTGTATTCTGCACCAAAGCCCCTCATGGTCTATGAATTGCCCAGCTCCAAAATAAAAATAGCCGACGTGCTCTTCTGGAAGCGATTCGTGCAAATAGACTGTTGTCTTGCCTAAATAGGAAGGCCGGCCTAGTCCTCTATTGCTGGACGACGCTTAGCCCACTTCAGTAAGCTTACGGAAACCTTTCGTCTGGTTTTTAATTATTCACTGGGGTAGATTGATGTTTTCCAACTTGCTGTTCCGTATTTATACAATGCGGAGAGCTAATCCTGTTGGCGCTGAGTTATATATCTCCATCAACGGCCTCTCACACCGCCAAAAAAAAACAAATAGATCAAAAACATACAACAGCCGGTGTTCGCTGGTCGTCACCGACCCAACTACTAATCTGCCGATTACAGGCTTGTCTATGGGAGAGCGGACGGGATCCCGAATTTTCCTGTATCTATGGTCGTATGTAGCATAGAGTGAGCCAATTCGATATATAACGACATAATTTGGGGAGCAGGTTGTTGCAACATTACTTGAGACTATGATGTGTACTATTATTCGTTTGGCTGGGTGGTTGTGCGGCTGCATCCACATTTTTGTCCTCTGGAGGACCGACCTTACACAGTCCCGCTAGTTCTTCTTGCTGCTCAACATTTCTTTGAAGGCTTGCAAGTGCAGCAAATGGCCACGGCGCTGGTGTACATAGAGTGCATATGCTGCGCTTGCCGAGGCTACAGCGCCTACAGAGATGAGCGATGGCCATTTGAACTGCTCGGGCCGGAAAAACACAATGGTTGATGCATATGAAAGCATGTCAAAGAGGCTTTGCCAAGCGGCCTCGATCGACGAGAACGCGCCTCGGCTATCGGCCTCGACTTCCTGCATCTGGTGTTAGCTGTGGCGTGCATAAGTGGCGTCAAATGCCTTACCTCTTGAATAATAAGCTGTACACATAGGTCAAATCCACGCAGTCCTAGGCGACTCAGGATAGTTCCACCGACTAGTCCAGTGGCAGACAGCACAGGATTCTTTTCGTAAACCAAAAATACAGCTGTACCAGCGACCAGCATCGTAAGCTGCCAACTGCTCAACCAGAGACCCGCCCTAACAGGTCCAATAACACCAATTAACCACGGCCCTACCCATGTGGCGAGAACCTCAAACATTACGCTGGCGGTTCTCGCTGCGCCAATCTGCGTGGAGGAATAGCCCGCCGACAGCAAATATGTAACCATTTGGCCAGCAAAGCTGAGAACCGTAAGGTAGAGTAAAGAGCCAGCAAAAGAGGGCAGAAATGCACGGTGGCGGAAAAAAGTACCAAAGTCGGTAATCGTTTTGGAGACTACAACAGGTACATGGCCCCAAACTTGGCTGCGCTTTGGACCTAGCTCATTGTCGTTGGACTGTACCGGTTCATGTTGGGGGAGCGCCAGTTGCTTGACCTCTTGAAGCTCCGGAACTTCATAGTACACGCGAGCAATAGCAAAGTATTCGATGGCAATAGAAACGGCATTCATGCCAAAGTTGAGAAGAATGGCATGCTGCGTCGAGATGCCGTCAACGAGGGCAATAAACAGCGGACCAATAAGCTTGCAAATCAAATCGATACGACGCATTTGGGCGTTGAGGGTTCGCAGAGCGTCGGAATTACCTGCGGCTACGACCACGACCTAAAGGCAGAAAAGCGTAAGCATGTGTTCTGCGAGTCACAAGAAGGAAGAAGCCGTACCCAGTCCTTTTCCACAGACACCAAGTTCATGATGGAGCACAACTTTTCCACGCAGGCCAAAATGGTAATTAGGATTAGCATCCCAATCTTGCCGCCGGGAATAGAAAGTCCAAGAGAGAGTGCATAAAAGACACCGCAAGATGCCGCAACAGCAAGCCGCTGGAAGACTATTGAAACAGTCGCACATTAGCAACTAAACGCTACATTTATCATAAGATAATTCTCTCACCTATAGACACACGGACCACATTTAAGCGATTCCCAACGTCAATATAGTGTCCGACAGCCGATGCAAAGAAGATCGCAGAGAGGCCGCGGGTGAGTGCATAGAGAGACATTGGCAGCAAGGTGCCAGGGAAGATGGTTGCCAGATATAAGACGGCACCAAACTCGAAAACTCGTGAGTTCCATGTTGACATGAAATGCGATAAGTAAAGTCGACGGGCAATTCTAGGCGGTACCCGGCCATCTGGTACATTGCTGGGTGGCAGCAAGGGCGATGTTTCGGTGTAGTCACCGCTGCGGGCTTGTTCAACCGGTGTCTCTGACGCCATTATGCGTAGAAGCAGTTTTGTTTAGATAAATGAATGGTGGTAATTGTGTTTCCATGGTGAGAAGGGGTTTTTGTATATATATATATCAGCTGGTGGCGGGCCTGTGTAAATGGAAGCACTAGAGAGGCGGCGGACTGGAGCAGACACGGAGTCCGATGAGTCCGATTACATAATGCAGCTTTGTGAAGAACTGGAGGGCATGTTGCAGGCACCTGGCGCTGTCTGACTCGCCAACATTGGTTACATAATCGGACTAGTTTGGGGCTCCGTCTCCGATAATCCCCACCACGGACTCCTTCTTTCTTTCCAGCGACACACAGCTGGCGCGGCTGGCACACCTGGCAGAACCCGGCAGTCGCTCATATTAATATTTCCCGAGACACGGCGCCACATCTTCTAAGATGCCCGTCCGACGCGCCTGTGATGTCTGCTTTAAGCGAAAGGTAACGTCCCTGCCGCCTCATCCGCGGGTACATCCGCAGTTAGCTCACAGGCGACCGTGCTTTAGATCCAATGCTCCATTCCAAGCCCTGGATCGCCATGCGACTGGTGCGACCACCATGACATCCCCTGTACTTTTAGAAGGGGGCCACAGACGAAGAAGAAGAAGAAGCCGTTGTAAGTGCTGTGTTTTTGTTTGTATTAAAAATAAAAGAATTCTATATAATATAACCGCGACGAAAATTAACAAACGATGTGAGCAGGGCCTCCAGTGATACTCTTGGCCAGCTGCGAGCCCAGGTGGACGAGCTAGAAAGAAGGATGGCTGAAGGTAAAGATCAATCTACTGAAGTAACCAGTCTAGCTGTCGAAAGGGACCGGATAAGTACCAGAAGCCCGCAGTCCGAGGGAAGCCAACCAAGTCCCGCTCCTCCGAATCAAACCGTACCTGCACCGACGTTATCAAATAGATGCTTGGACGCCAAATGGTACTTCAAGGGAATGCAAATCTTGTCACCACGAGGTGCGGAATGGATGTCATCCAGGACCGGGGAAGCTGTCGATCTCGAGACGTTTCGGCTCCTCACCACCGTTAACAAGCCGCCAGCCTCTGCTTCTCCACCATATTTTCCTCCACAAGAGCTGCACCAGCTCCCCGAAGAGGAGGCAACATTTGAGGCGATAGGCATCTTCAACCATGCCAGCATCCAGTATAGTCTACCAATGCTTGACCGAGTCCTGTTTCAAGAAACAGTGAAGCGGGCCTACATGCAGCCCTCGGATGCGGTCTCAATGTCCTTGCAGGTGCCCGCAAAGGCATGTGTTTGGGCTCTCCACGCCATGACGAACCGCCTACAGCGTATTTGGGGCCATGGTGATCGAGATAGTGAAAAGAGTGCACAAAAGGCCCTCACCCTTCTCCAACTTGTTGCTGAAACGCCGAGTCTGGAAACCCTCCAGGCCACTCTGCTTCTGGTGCGTTTCGCACCATGTCTAGATAAAGGCCGTTTAAGCTAACTAAAGACGTAGCAAAACTATCAAGCCCTTGGCGGCCAATGGCGAAAGTCTAGCTTCTTACATATGCAAGCATGCCGCATGGTGTGTGACCTTGGCGGCCACTTCTTCCAGCCGAGAAAGGGTGCCGTGGCCGAGGATGGCATGGCTGCACGCCAGACCCGCTGCATCAGAGCATTGTTTTGGTTTTGCTACGTACGTGACAAGGATATTGCGCTTCGTTCAGGCACACCGCCGCTGCTCACTGAGGATTACTGCGATTTGTCGTGGCCGCCGTTGCCAGGCATCCTGAGCAACACCAACACGGCAGAGCACACCTACCAACTTTCCAATGATCCCCGCCTAAGCATGATAAAAGAGAAGGCCTGCCGCCTCTTATTCTCTCCAAAAGCATTTCAATCAGTGGATAGCGAAATATTGCTTAATATTCGCCAGCTGGACGTCGAGCTTGAGCAGTGGAGGCTGGCGATTCCTTCTACGATACGACCTAGGCTTGCTATTCCCGCAGGCCAGCCTCTGCTTCCATCCGACGCTAGCATGTTACAGAGGATTCAGTGCATAAACCTCCAGCTTGATTACCACTATACTGTCGCCACTTTGCATACCACGGTTCGAAGGTGTGGTAATACAAAAGAAGACGAGATCTTACCCGAAGATCTCCACAAGGTTATTCATTCTAGCGTTGACTTGTCCATTGAGGCCAGCCGCTCAACATTGGCCTTTTTCCGAACCTCTGTAGATATATTGGGAGAAGGCGCATTTCAGTAAGTAGTCTTACAGACCTTGCAGACCTCCAGCAGTGAGGTTATGCCGTTACTAACTTCGTCAATAGGTACATATCATTATACGTGTTAAACGCCGCCATGGTGTTATTCGTGAATATCCTTATCCATCCATACTACCGTGGAGCGCAGTCCGAATTCGATCTGTTAACCGCGGCCGTTGATGTTATCCAAGGCATCTCCTCTCGCGCTTTGTCCACATACGAGATGACGCACTTGCAAGAAATCACCCGCTTCATAAAGGAGCTTGTTAGGCTTGGGAAGTGTTCAATTTCTAGACCGGGAATTGAGGACGATCACCACCACCATCATGATCATCGCCATGATCATCACCATAATGAATAAGTCCGGGTGCTCTGGTAGTCTGATAAGAGTAGAAGGTCAGGCAACCAGTTTGTGCGTTTGTTTGTTGTAAGAGCGGACGTCTCTACCAAGCTCCAACATTGAGTATCAAGTATAACTTATATAAATTATAAATAATGTACATCTACTACGCTAAATTAGCATACAAAATGGAGACAAATCAAACAAGCAAGAAAAATAGGTTACCACTGGTGTTCGCTCGTCGCCACTAGGGCCACTCTGATCTGTCGATTACGGGGTTAGCTATGGGAGACAGGACGAGACGCCGAGTTATTCTATTGAGATAATTGCTTTTACTAGAAGGGGAGCTAGCTTACTGTATAGCAATAGATATACTAACCATAGAGAGAGAGGTAAACCAGGACTGCGGCCCAAATATATATTCTAGATAGTATAATAATACTTATGAGCTCGTTTTACATATCAGTACAAGTCCCAAGTACATATTCTATTCGTTGTTTAGATAGGAAATACTTGTGTTTTTAGTTGTGCTCGAATAGATAGGGTGTTTGATAGGTTAACCTTCGCAAATAAGCTTCGCCGACCCCTTGTTATTATACTTGCTATGTTCATTGTATCGCGATTATTTTTGTAGTAGTTTCGCACTGTATTTTTTAATTTGATATGATAGTGCTATTATATGGCAAGTTAGCTCATAATATAGAAATCTCCCCCTGCTTCGACTGTCCTTTATCTTAGTGGTAGGTCCAAGTGTAGTGGCAAAGCACGGTTTGCTTTCTGAAGGAGAAGCCATTGGCGTATCTCTTGATTAAAAAGAGCCCTACCAAGGCCATCAACGATGCGATCTTCGCCCAGATAATCATCCTCAACATTTTTATACAGTTGCAACGAGGGTCTCAACCCTGGTGAGGCACCTTGCTGCTGTGTTTGTCTACTACTGCCCAAGATATCGTAGCTAGAAGAATAGTCACCCTCAGTGCAGCTAAGGATACCGGCCTGCTGGTTTCTAAGAAATTCTTCGACCGGTAGGTTGCCCGCCAGATATGCAATGTCCAAGGCAGTGAATCCACTTTTGTCCCTTGTCGTCAACAGAAAATCGCTCCTGGCAACTTTTGCTTTCTCGACTTTGGCTCGCCGTCGGCGCCTTTCTTGCTCCCTCACTAGCAATGTTACGACATCAAGCTGGCCCGTGTAAGCGCCTACATGCAACGGGGTAGTCCCATCATCGGCCTGCATTCCAGTTTCAGCATAGCGACGCAAAAGCATCTTGACAATAGGCGCCCAGTTGCAAGCAACCGCCCAATGCAGCGCCGTCTGCCCACTATAGTCTCGAGCATTTATGTCAGCGCCGTAGTCGAGGAGCTCTTTAACGAGGGCTTTGTCGCCATGGATGCAGCTCCAGTGCAGTGCAGTGCGTCCGTGAAAGTCGCTGGCTGCTATACTTGCTCCATGTCCAATAAGGTAGGACACAATGAAAGGCTCCCAGGTTCTTGAGGCCAGGAGCATTGCCGTCCATCCAAAGACCGTCGCATCAATCGTAGCACGACCTCTTTCGACGAGGTCTGCTACCATGTCGGCATAGCCACTTTGAGCCGCCCAATGAAGCGCAGTACGACCATTCCGGTCACGAAGATCGACATTGGCCCCCCAATCTAGGAGCAAACGGACTGTCTTCTCTTTTCCAAACCAAGCCGCATGGGTCAGCGCCGTAGCACCTCCAACGTGATCTTCAGCGTCGATATCCGCGCCGCTTTCAAGCAATGCTAACAGCCGCAGGTCATGGCCGCTATTGATGACAGCAAGAAGACCATTGACGACAGAACTTCCAACCGCTTTCCTGTCTAGCATTTCTTTCATCAAGGCGTGCATGTTGTGGCTCGTCAGCCGTTGCTCCATCCGAGTATGGATGTCATGACCCTGGCTGGTAATATTCGTGAGTAATTCAATCACATTCACCCTCCGTTTCACCTCGGCTACATGCAACGCTGTCCAGCCATCTATATCTAAGCTGTTTGCATCTGCCCCTGTACGCAACAACAGATGCGTCATGGGCTCATGCCCAGTAAAGGCTGCTGCATGTAATGCTGTGAAGCCGTTATTGTCACCTTGGTTGACATCGGCGCCCAGTTCGATCAATATCTCTACCACGTCCATCCTCCCAGCAAGAGCGCTCCAGAGAAGAGTGCTTTGACCCACGTTATTCTTTGCGTTCACGTCAGCTCCATAGTCTGCAAGCAAGCGAGAAATAGAACAATTGGCGACAGTCCAGTGCATAGGAGTATTGTTGTAGTTGTCTTCTGAGCTTGGATCTGCACCGTTGCTTAAAAGGACTCTTGATGTTTCCACATGACCCTCGGCAACTGCCCAGTGCAATGCTGTACTTCCCTCAGTATCCTTATAGTCAACGTCGGCCCCTTCCTCCAAGAGTATCTGCACTGCCACGGGACTGCCAGCCTCTGCAGCTAGTATTAAAGCCTTATTTTGTTGTAAATTGTCCGACTGGCTTTGTGTCACAATGCTGAGGAGCAATTTGACTATGCTGTGGTAGCCACCCATGATAGCCCAATGCAAAGCCGTCCACCCTTCAATGTCTTCTGTGAGATAATCTGCCCCATTTGCGAGCAAAGCTCTACAATTTCTTTGTGTCCATTTGTAGCTGCCGATATTAAAGGAGTCTCTCCGAGTTTATTAGAACTGCCCACCTCAGCACAGCCTTTGAGTAGAAAGTCTGCGATGTGGGTATGACCATGTCTAGCTGACAGGAGTAAAGGTGTTGTCCCGTAGCCATCTGTGCAAGAGACGTCCACATTATTGTTGATAAGGACTCTCATGACTTCACCTAGGCCCCAGTACGCTGCGGCGTGAATGGCGGTAAAGCTGGCAGGGTACTGGTTATGCCAATCACCTGTGCGGTATTGAGGGATATGTAAAACCTGAACACATGAAGCAAGTCGGTTATCATGCCACAAAATGGACAAGATCAATGCCATAATTGCTTCATCCAAGTAGCTCGATGCGTGAGAAGGCCAGTAGCAACAAGCATATTCAAGAAAGCAATACTTATTCAACCGCTCCATCATATCATTTGATGTAGAGCATGGCCCTGTTGTGAAAACATCAAATGATATATAAGTTAAACAAGCTATAGCAAGCTCTTTTTCATACTCTCTTGATAACCGTTCAGGGTACTTCTGTAGGTGTTCGTGTAGTGTATGATGAGTAAGTCTCACGCGACCGCTTTCGCTGTCAATCCTAATAAGTCCAGAAGACACAGAGAAAACAATAAAATTTTCGTATAGAGCATCGCTGTATATATCGTCTGCACCAGGGTCAGTGCTTAAAGCATGGAGGAGTTCGTTCATAGTTAGTAGTCTCCGGGCGTAGAAGACATAGGAGAGGACTTTTAGTGCAAAGTGTTTATCCTCTTCTCCTGATGCGTCTATTCTTCGAAAAGAGTCATCATAGAATTGATGGATGTCTTTTGCCAGGGTGCCGAGCGCCTCACGGACTTCCGACAACCTTCGCTTGCTGCACAAATAGTTTATTTGGAGATGGGCCAGAAGGAACCTTGCTTGATTGTCAGCTTCTATCAATTGTTCTTTTGGGGAATGGAATATATATACATACATCCCATTCGATTGCTCCGAAAGCTTGCTAATAATCATCTCCCTGAGCCCAGAGTCTTGAACTAACAGCAACTTGAGCCTTGCGTTTGTATCCAGTCGATGCTGTGTGTATGCGCGAACATCTTCCTGAGAAGCAGCAATGTCGATCTGTGTCATCGATGAAAACCTCCCTTGAAGGCTTATGCTATAGCGAGATGTTATAAAAAAGTGAATTGAAGATTCAAGCTTCAAAAATGAGTTGACTAAGCTTTCCCTATCTTGTTCTGCGCACTCGTCCTATGTCAAGGTTAGGGATAGGGGGTTTTCCATAAAAGATACAGTAGGAGAATTGCTACGAAAACATACTAGAGCGTCAACAAAAATAAAAGAGTTCTCAAACAGCCCCGACAAAGACTTTATAAGCAAAATAAGATCAGTTTCAGTCGGGTATGACCTTTTTTCAATGAAATTATTGCGAAAGGCCCGAACTTCTGGAGGGAGAGGATTGCATTGCTCTGCTAGCTGCCGGGCGATGCTAGACCAAACTTGCGACGCAAGGTGCGTATTGCTTTCCTTATAGTTACAATAGACATAAACTATTGCTCTGTTTGTTTCAAGAACGTTGCTTTCGACGTAGCAAACTGCGGCCGACCTGTCTGTTGTTAGCATGCAGAACTCTGCGTAGCCACTATAAAGCACTGGTTAGCGCTTTAGCAGCTATCCATAGTAAACTTTACATCATCACAGTCTTCCCGCTACCAGCTGAAGAAAATTAGCGAGATATATAAAATACGTGGGTTGATGGCCATACGGTCTCCGGGACACCATAAAGTGGATGGCTGTCTGCTGTATACCCACTTCTGGAATGGACCAGCATTCAGTAGCCATTGACCAGTGTTGTCGCAGTACTTTGAAAATATGTCTCGTTGCTGTTTTCTGAAGTCGAAAGTCGAGAGCCAATCTAAAGTGCTATCTCTCTCTTGACCTACAACGACGCGTGAGATACGATCCTAACTTGTGGAACGTGACTATACTGACTGTCCAGGTATCGATTTATGTTATTCGCGCCTTGGGTTGAAGAGTATATGGTTTGTTCTATACGATCCAATGACGAAAAGGCTCTTTGGAAATTCCCGCGAACTTCTCGTGTGTTTTCATAGGTTTGTGTCGCACTAGACAGCGTAGCGTTCTGTACGATATCTCGCCCACGTTGGACCGCTTTCTGGAATTGACGATGTGCCTCCTTTAACTCCTTGTCTTCACCAGAGAGTAGAGACTGAAAGGCTTTGACTAGTTAAACCGTCAGCATCGATATTGTATCTATTCTTTGTATAGAGTCGATCAAAGTTCAGAACGAAATCTACTTAGCACTAAGCTTTAGATAGAATAGATGTGAAGAAGTGATAAATATTAACAAGAATTTTGTGGAGATCAAAACATTGGACTACACATACCGACACGTTTCTTTTGAATATATTTGGTGTATGTTCCGCAGAGTAAAAGAATTGAACTGAAGACGGTAGTAATCGCAGAGTTCAATCCCAGTACTAACGGGATCTGATGCTCCCACATCTCTATTCCAGTGAGATAAGAGTTCACGTCAATAAAAAATTCATCAAGTTTGTCGTAGTCGCCGGACACATTATTTGCCGTCTGCGAATTATTAGATGTGGACATGTTGTAAATGCTTCAACCTTACCGTGATAAGATATCGAACAGCGCTAAATATAGCCTCGCTAGGAGGAAAAACCTAGACTCTGGTTAGATTAACATAATTATGATAAGAGTAATAGAGTTATACCGCTTTGCTTGCCTGAGCTGCAATATCGCTCAAGGCTTGGATTGGAGCGAGACTATCGCGGATTAGACCTCTAAACCTATCCCATTTTGATCCATCGTGACGCTTATGATTGAAAGATTCCCTTTTTTGATCAAGCTCTGCTAAAATATCACTGATGCTAGCGGTCCGTCTTATTGTGATGCCATTTTTGTTGCCTGTAATACGAACATAGTTGACGATGGCCTCCTGCCACATTAGCATGAGATTAGGGGAATTATCCCCTATTATCTCACTTTGCGACATTTTGCTGGTTATTGAACCACATCTAAGGCCTGTAACGAGTAGCTGCTGTTATGAGATTTTACGAATGGCTTACAAGTCTCGTCTGAGACGAGGCGGTGTACCCCTGCACACGCTCGATTCCAGGCGTACGCCTAGAATCGAGTGTGTGTACGCGCCGAGTCGAGCGGCTCGAGACGCATCCCGGTCAAAGGCGTTACCGAACACACTGCCGTCATTATAATGGATCCGGCGTTCGTATTTTCTCCTCATGTAAAGACTGAGTTCGCGCAATACTTACAAGTCAATCCTAACCGTCGTCGGATATCCCAAACAGAGCAAAAATCCATGATCAGTTGGCTCACCGATCCTATAACGCGCTCTTATTCTCAGCAAGAACACAGCCGTCGCCACTATGTTAAAAAGACATTTGCATGGGATGCAGAAAAACAGATTCTCGTAACACCATCAAATAATTCAAGCATAGAACGAGAAAAGTCACGAATCGTGGTCACAGAAGACGAAATCTTAGAGACGGTAGAAGAAATACATAGGAACAATGGCCATGCCGGTTGGGATGCGACTTGGAGGGACGTCAGAAATGCTTACTACGGAATCCTACGTGCAGATGTTATATTCCTACTTCAGCGATGTCATATATGCGCACATAATCCCCGCAAGCGACCGAAAAGAACTCCCGTTGCGTTAGAACAACCAGATGCTACCGCTACTATTGGTTTGGACTGTTTAAATCTTGATCTTATCCAAGATATTCTAGTCCACAACACAGAACAAAACGCCAATCGACTGGAAACTTAGATCCCATATCTATGGTTGCCACGCAATATGAACATAAGACATATATACACGATCTTGGGAGCCTAGTCGGATGCAAGTATAGTGGTAAATTTTGGGCTACTTACAAATTATCTGCTTTCTTAACCATTGCGCGACGACAAAATCGCTCATATTTTCATTTTCTGTGCTCAGGATAGCACTATTGTCAATTCCTTGAAGTGAGCAGAGCAGCAAAATGCCCGCGTTAGTCTTGAATGTTTCCAAAGGTACATCTGTTATTAAACAACGTTCAAATCTTAGTTGTACTGATTTAAGCCTCTTGCATTGTTTGAGGAGTTGAATACAGCGTGAGATATGGAATGCTGGTAATGTGAGATGGTTTGTCTCGGAATCTGGGAAATCACGCCAGCTAGCGTCGAGGTCGATCTGACTCTCCCAAGCGAAATCCAAAGACTCGATGTTCTCACGACCGATGCGGCCGACTGCAAGAAGGAACCGAGTGAGGTCTTCTATATCTGTCAGATAGAACCGTGTGCAGCGATACGCCAATACTAATGCTTCTTGGCGCATCTGTCTGTTAACTGCCAGAAGCGTAAAAGTCTTGCCCAGTGGAAAATAGAATCCACTAGGATCACCCAGGCTTCTACAGAAGCTTAAATCCTTCCCTCCAGAGTATAGCTGTTTGCTTTGCCACTTTGCATCTTGACATGTGAATCTGTAGATCTTGTCACGTATCTCTTGGGGCATATTCAGCAACCTTGATCGATCTTTAGGTACTGAATTGGACCGCAGTTGCCATTGCAAAGTAGGCCGAGGAAGGGTTTGCGTCTTGATTTTAAGTTCAAGTAGCCGTGACATAGAAAGGAGGTTAAATGCTTCCTCTATGGTGAACAAGAACGACAAGTCTAGTCCAAATTCGTATTGAGCATCAACGAGGAACTTGTAGAAACCAACCGAGCCCAATTGCTGAACTGTGACAGTGCTACCCTGCCACGAAATCGTCTGCAAATTATTAAGTAAATGAGGTACTTTTTTGCGCGAGAGATAGACTGCCTACCTTTGTCTCGTTGCCTGTCGGAAATATTGTAGTTGAATCTTGCTTACAGCGCTGGTATCTTTGCGCTCTTCCAGTGCTTGCATATTCTTTTTCAACTCGATCATATGGAAGATCGGATATAGGAGTAAGATTAGAGTAGAAGCGGTGGCCAACATGATCAGAATAAACAGACTGATCGATCGCGTAGCCAAGTGCCCTCTCCATGTCCAGGACTGTCGGTTTCCGTTTAGCCATGGTGAGGGGTTCTTTCTAACCGGCTTGTAGAGGCTTTGTGTTGATGAACAAGGCAAGTAGGTTAAAATTTTTTTCTTTAAAAAAGCCAAAAAAAAACAAGCTTGCTATGTGCGCTACTCACCTAGTCTTTGTTGCCTTTTTAAGAAAAGTTTAAAAATAAAAAAGAGAAATAACTTTCTGGACGCTTGAGCAGAACCCTCCATTGAGAGCGAATAGTGGGTCTTTAGTACTGTAGCGCACGTGTATAATGCACTGAGTGAGGATCACTGACAGGCTACATTCCCACCTAGAACTAAGTACCTAGATGCTTCATTTCCATGCGTCTCTATATTTTGGCTCATCAAAAATACAGTACAAGGACTGCGTAGAGAAACTTTTGTATCACCATATGAAAAAAATTGCATATTTTCTTCTTTCTTAATAGCTAGAACAGAGTTGGGGTTTACAACATTTCTACATAGCAAACCATGCAGTTTCTATAGCACGCCGGACCATTGCCTCTATTTCGTCCCAACGCTGCGTAAGCAGTGTCTTTTGGCGACGCGTACCCACTTGTAAGGATTGTATCTCCAACTTTATGCCCTGAATAGCATCCAAGTATTCTCCCAGTAGGGGCGGTAGTGATGCAATAGCCTTTGCGAGAGTTCCCTCGGTATCCTCCTCACCGTCAATATAGCTCTGCCATTGTGAATCAACGCTAGAAAGTAGCCGCAGAGCAACCCAAATATCGTCGTGCTTTCTTGAATCATCGTGAAGCATCAAGGTCCCAGTATGCCCATTTTCAGTCAACTCAGCCTTGTGTCTTGAGTTCAGTTTCGGTAGAATCACGTCATTAAGGCACAGCTTGTCCCATCGGTTTTCTTTTAGTAGAAAGCCATATTCAGCCAACAAAAAGTCGTTTGAATGGTTACCATACGAAGTATAAAGTTCATCGCCTTTCTGGTAATGACGGTCTGTGGTAATAGTGTAGCTTTCCATCGAATATGATACGGAACAGCCAGTGTCCGCATGGTTAAAAAGATCAGCAGCTGGGAGCAAAGAGAGCCGGTCATGCCAAGGGAGCCGTAGCGTATCTGAAGTCTCGTAATAGAAAGATCTTGTGTTCACAATAAGCCAAGCATACAAGTAATCTTGTTTGCTTATCTCAACAAAGGCATTTTTGAACATACCCCAGTCTCTCTCAAACATAGTATACTGTTTGGTTAGTATGTCTTTGGCCTCTACTGGAAGTAGTCTCTGAAGTTGCTCCGGCCATAGATATGGTAAAGTAGCCTCAAAATCCGACCATTCTGGTACTGATTTAGTCCATTTTACGGATCCATTATGATGCAGAGCGAGGTCTGCCGCTAGCGAGCCATGTAGAGACATATTCGCAGGCAGGGTCTGAGCGACATTCTTCGAGATGCTGTGCAGGCTATGAATAGCCTCGGTCGGGATAACCATTATGATCTCATCAGACTGAAGATTGATTAGCAATTGCAAAGCCGAAGTAGCCGACGAACCTTTAGGTTACGAGTAGCAACTAACCCAACTCCACGTCCTGCAATGTTTGCTGGCGTGATGCCGAAGATTTGCACTCCTTGATTAATAGCCTCGAGAACGAGACTATTCATAGTTTTTGTCATATTAACGCTATAACTTAGATGGTAATGGCGAGAGGGATGATTCGTAACAGTTCACAAGAGTTTCGACTGGTCATATCATGGGGTGGGGGTGGGGCTCTAGCTCCGTATCGCAGCAACCCTGCCAACGTAATTCAGCAAATCATAAACACACTATTTTCTACGTGTATTATTATTTAATACTATTAATATCATCTAAAGACGTGAGACTTATATTAATGTAAGCAAATTATGTCATGAGCCAAGTAATATTAAGCCTTCAGGGCATACATTCTTACAGGCAGTAACCTTTTCGGTGGTATTTCAGGGAATCCACGCTGAACATCCGTCTTTACCAGATTTAGCCCTGCTAATGTAAACAACTTTCGGAAGTCTTCATCGCGTCTAGTTGAGCATTAGTAAAATGAACAGAATATGATTCACTTCTGGCCAGGAGTGATGGGCGTAGAACGAACCTAGTAACACTTCCATCTACATCGTCAATCATCTTCTCGTTTCCAGAACTCAAATTCTCCTTGATAACCACAAGGCTGCTGTCATCTCTTAGTGTTGTCTTACAACGCTTGAGACAGTCAACTATCTCATCATCTGAGAGATAGCCTAGGCACCATTGAATCCAGATAAGATCGTACTGAGCGCCTTCTGTAGCCTTCCAATCCTCCAAGCCAACATTAAATATATCGCAAACACCTTTCTTCGTCTTTAAACGATCTGTGAATTTTGCTACAGGCTCTACCACATCCACGGAATCGGCTACGTGGAGAAGAAGGCCTTCAGTGATTCTTCCAATGCTTTGCAGTAGACGTTAGTGAACCAGACCACATGTCTGATGCTGCTAGTAAAGGAGGTATTTGCCACTTACCCGGCTCCAACGTCAACAGCCTTAGCTACTGGCTTCCTTTCGTTTTTGATACCTACTCCTAGCCTTGCTAGAAATGTTCGTGAACCTTGAAGATCGATCCTTGAGACAGAACCGAAGCCCGGAACAGTTGGAATACCACCAAGCATACCGTTTATGTCGCTTGTCACGCTTTCCCAGTATTTTAGGCCCATTCGACTGTTAGCTGTCTCATTTTTGGTAGCTAAATGTTCATCTTGCGTGGTGCTCGCAATAGCTCTGTCGGAGCGCTCCATCCTGTAGGTTATTATTTTGGTAGTAACTTGTTTGCCCGTGGTATAGTTAAGAATTATAGCAGATAAATACGGTGGGCAAGATCCATAAAACCATAGGAGACTCTAAATTTCTAATCTCAGTAAAAATTTCAGGGTCCCGTATAAATTGAACCGCAATTCTCTTGTCTAGATGTGTGCATTGTGCTTTTAAGTTCGACAAAATTCACAGTTAGGCTCACGTGATGACGAAGAAAGCTAACAACATCCGCCTCCACAGCACGTGCATAAAGTCTTGATGAGCTATTATACAACCAAATTAGTTTTATATTAGTTTTATTTTAATATTATTATGGGTATATACAAATGTATCTGATACTAGAGGATGCATGTATTTGTGTCGTTCTGCAGCTGATACGTTACCAGGTCAATTGACGACCCATGGAACTTGTGGCGTACCCGTAGCTTCTGACACAACGACCCATTCCTTAGGGATGCAGACGAAGCCAGGAGGGTACCTAGAAGGTAGGTATATGTATACCCAGCCTTTTCTGGTAGCTCCCTATATGCACCAGAACAAGAATGGAGAGCCACACATAGAAGTATGACTTTAAAAATGAAGGGCAAGAGAACAAGAGCTAACATTATAGTGTGATTACAGCCCATTTCCTATAAACTAGATCTATAAACAGCCCTTATTTGCAAGGACCAGAGTTGTAGACAATCACGTTCCAGCCAGTTGGGTGGAAGATCTGGCCGGCGGTGAAAGCAAAGTCGCCACCAGAGAGGCAGTAGGCCTTGATCCAGGCGGCTCCGTCGGCAATGGAGCCGTAGCTGGCAAGTGTCTTGGGGTTAGGAGTCTAAAACAAAGAAGTTAGCATATAAATTCCTCAAGTGGATAGCAGAAAAGATAAGACACTCACATCGTTGCACCAGGAAATGGCAGCGTTCCAAGAGCAGCTCACACGACCGCAATTTCCGGGACCAGGGCCGTTGGTAGGACGTCCAGGAACCTTGCGTAGGTAGTTTATGCCATCCTGGACCTCCTTGGTGGTGGCACCGCGCCAGCGGCCGAAGCAGTTGAGCTTGGAGGTGCTGAAGTCGGTTCGCTTCGCGAGGGCGTGTTCCTCCTCCGCGGCAGGAGTCTCTATTTCGAGTGCAGCAAACTCGGCCTCGTAGTTGGGGTTGATGGCAAGCAGCTGCTCGTGGACGGCCTCGACGGTGCCGTTCATCTTGATCATCTCGCCGCCGGGTGTGGCCTGGACTTCCCACTCAATGGGCTCAAAGGTGCGGCCCTGGAGGGGATCTTCACTAAGAGGGGATGCCTACTATTAGTTAGCAACGCTTGTCTTTAGATCAGAGGGTTTGGGGATGTGATGTACCGTGGCGACACCGAGAAGAAGGGCTGTGGCGAAGAAAACGTTGGCGAACATTGTGTTTGTTTGTTGTGTGTATGAGCAAAGATGAGGGAATTGATTTTGTTTGGAAGTGATTGATGAGGTGTTCAATGTTTGGGCAGGATGATATGTCTTCTTTATAGTAGAATATGTGATGTTGAGTCTCTACTTACAGCTCGTTCGTCATCCAGTTCGGACACTAACATGACTACAGCTTGTCGTCCCTTGTTGAAAATCGGTGGTAAAATTAGGTAGCAATCATTCCGGCGACTTACTTGGCCTTCATCTCACAATCTTTGCACCCTTATGAAGAGACAAGATGAGTTGGAACGCCGGTTGGCGGACGCATTCCGTCGTTGGCATGTCCATGATGTCGCTACAGCTTACACCAGGACCGCTACATTTTGGGGCTGCTGTGGCGCTAAATTGTAAAAGGCCGTCATAGGACCGCACATCACACATCTCCGTCGCTTGTGCAGATATTGTTTCCTGCTTTAGTGGGTCAGAGTGTCTCGCCGTCGTTATGCCACTGGTCGCCGTCGGAAAGATCGTTCCCATGACATCGTGGAGATGATGGCGACTTGTTCCCGCCGTCAGCACTAATACAGCCTAGTGGCTTGAGATACAATCCCCGCTGGCTCGCCTTACTGCCACAACTGGACCCATCCCATATGTAGAGAGTTAGGCAACTTTAAAAAAACCCGCCGGACCGCATAAGCCTTGTCGGCTACCATGGTAGGCTACTTCGTTCCCAGCGTGCCAGGGTTCGTTCTCCATTGTAATAACCTTGTAACCCTTGTACCGCCTCGTTCCCAGTGATCTAGAAACAGTCTAGTGGCGTTTCTGCGCGTCCCACGGAGTATCGTCCTGGTCCTCGCGTCCCACGGACTACAAGCACAGGCGATCAAAAAATGGGAAAGAAATATAGAAAAAGATTAGAAGGGAGAAATGAAGAGATTTGAGCTTTGAAAATTAAAGGGAGAATTTGATTGAAAGAGAGTACTGAAAGTTTATTGACGACGTTACTAGTGAAGCATCACGTTATAGTTAGGCATAAGGCGGAGCGCGCCAATCGCGTGTAAGTGATATCAAAAACCAGCAGCGCACGCATCCACAAAGTAGTGCAATGGTTAAAGTGGGAAACAGTCAAATAAATTAAGATAAATAACTAAATAGTAAAAATCTAACACTTGCTGGAACGGACAATGACGTTCCAGCCGGTAGGGTGAAAGACTTGGCCAGCCAACGCGCCGTTGTTGCTGACACAGTGAGACTCAATAAACTGAGCACCATCCGCAATAGAACTGAACGACTGAAGTGTCTTGGTTTGCTTGGTCTATATTTGCACATGTATTAGTACCACTGCGTTTTGAAGCTACAAAGAACAGAACAGAGGACAACTTACGTCATTGCACCACCAAATGGCATTGTCATACGAGCAGCTAACACGGCCACAGTTGCCAGGACCAGGACCGTTGGAAGGACGGCCCTTCAGGCCGCGCAAGTACTGAATGCCTTGGATGATACCGACATCCCAGCACTTGGGCCAGTTGCAGTTGAAAGGGGCGCCGTGGAAGTCAGTGCGCGCTGCAAGCTCGCCGCGGGCGTGCAGGGCCTTCATCTCCTCCTGCGTGTGGAAGATGTTGTGGCTAGGGTAGTTGATGCGCATGTGGTGAACAACCTGCTCCATGGTACCATTGACATGGATCTTGCTGCCATCAGGTCCGTCAAACTCCCACTGGATCTTCTCGACGCCGTAGCCTTCAATGGCATCACCAACGACGAGCTTGCCAGCATTGGGCAGCGCAGCGACGCACGAGGTCAAGGCCGTGGCAACGGTGGAAGTAAGGGCAAGGTTGAAGTGCATTTTGAATGTGGTTTTAATTGAAAAATAAAAGATGAGGATATAAGTTTGAAAGTGTCTGCGGAATTCAAAGGTAGTCTGGTGTGCGCGGTATTTGTTTTTATATGTAATAGCCAACCCTTTAACAACAACTACAAAGTATAATCAACACCCGCGATCCGTCTAGCAGAGAGACAATATCTAAACCCACATATTAGAGTCAAGTAGAAAGTAACCGAGAGATGATGCACGTTCTTTGGTAAGGCGAAGTGGTCCATGATACCCATGCTGCAAGGTATAAGCGAATGTGTCCGAGCGTGTCGCCCATCATCCCTGCTGCCCAACAAGGTCTCATCGGGGCTTTGATATAACCACCGATGCCATGGGTCCGGGCTACGGTCAATCTGGCCGATGAACGAGGCCGCGGGGGTGGAAAATTCATTTCTGGTGGCGTTGACCGCAGAATCCACGCGCTTCTACACTTCATTCTCACCATCACCGTCGCTCTGCGGTACTTGCCGTGAGACATGAAGTTCTAGGCAGCAGAATAGTATTCTGAAAATTGTCTCCGAAAACACGAACCATGATGCTGGGAGTGACATTCGTCTTGAGGTAGTAATGCAGCTTCTGAATAGTATTGTAGTATCTCGCCGACTAGAACGGCTCGACTGACTCGGCAACTACTTATATATCATCTAAAGCACCAGCAAGTGCTTCCATAGCTACATCATTCACTTATAAATATACCTCCTTTTCATAATTCTCATTTCTTTCGCAAAGTCACACACAACAATCATGAAGTTTGCTACCATTGTCCTTGCCTCTGTGGTTGCTGCCACTGCTGCGATTGACCAGCCTATGGTTGAATCTCCTGTTGTCTGGGAGGTCGAAGCCTTCAAAGATGGCCCGACTCTGAAGCTTGAGGGCACTATTCAAGAGGTCCATAAGCAGTTGGTGGAAATCAACCACAACTATGACACAGACTTCAACCTTGGCGCTGCCAGCGACAAGGCTGCTCGTGACTTGAGTAAGCGAACCGACTTTAGCCATTCGCACACCATCTGCGGCAACTTTCCCGGCACCACAGTTGACCACCTTGGCCAAGGCATCAGCTACCTTCGTGGAGTGGGTGGACGTCCATCGATGGGCGGCCGAGGAACCTGCGGCCGCGTGAGCTGCTCTTACAACACCGCTATCTGGTGGTGCAATGACGTAAGTATTACTTATTCTGTACATCGAAGAAAAGAAGCTCTTGCTAAAATGAACATACTACTATAGGATGCTGGTGTGAAGACGCTCGCCAGCTTTGGCTCTATTGCTGATGGTGCGCAGTGGGTTTGGAACAAGTGCGCTGGCCGTCTTGATAAGGGACTTGCCCAGGGCCAGGTCTCGGGCCAAGCATTCCATCCTACCAACTGGAACGTTATTGTACGCAAGGACAAGTGTTAGTCGATGGGAATGTTGTCATGGATATGAATACTAGCAGTATGAAATACGCCTTAGAGTACAAGGCATCTTGGGATATATTAAGGCTCGCTAATGGAACATGATTTCAGACGGAGGTCAAGATATCTCACTTTAACCGTGTAACCCTTGTCACAAACCGCTGAAATACCGCCTCCCATGAGAACTTGTGATTCTTGGGGATCAGGCTTGCTTGGTACTGCATTGAGGTCGTTATCTTGGACTAGGCCACCCCGCGCACGGTTGCAGTTGCTTGGTCCTGCTGTCTTTTGACAGATGACTCGTGGTTCGGTTCGGCTATGAATCCCGTGTTCCATCACTTGTCAAACTGGATGTCTCTATTTTTCGACCATAATAAACTGAAGGCGTTGATGAACTTTTCGCACGATTGGTGTTTGGTGCGCAACACAATCGGGTTGTTGGCGTATCGGGAGTCCTTGCTGGCGTACACATACCAATGATTTTGGCGCGTTTTATGAGGGGTGATTTTCATGACGGAAGTTTCGCCGCTCTTTATCATAGTTCCAAGACCATCTCCCTTGTCGCTAAAGTATACGGGATCGTCACAAAAGTTGTAGATGGTGATGGTGGAATTCGAAGGGATGTTGCAGTCTTCCATCAAGTCGCTATCTGAGCCCGGCGGTAGGTGATCGGGGTACGAATAGTACTTTGCGTTTGCGGTGGCCATGAAGCTTAAAAGGCAAACTAGGTATCGCGTCATGTTGAAACCTGTCAAGACAAAACAAATGAGATAACCCAGCAGTAACCACGAGAAACGCGATAAAAGGCGCGCGACAACTATGGACATACCCAAGGGCTTCTTATATATGTACTATGCGTAAAGGTACTATTTAAGCTATTTAAGGCTTTATCTGGAACTACGGGTTGTCTATATAAGGTCGGTTGAAATTTAGTTGATACCGTTTGGCGACACAGTTTACCACATATAAGCCAAGTTTCACTCCCAGCTCCGCATGTCTTGACTATAGAACAATCGTATTTTTAGTAGACTGTAGGGTTAGTATATTTTATATGTGCTCATATGTATCCATATTGCCATATACGAAATTCGTAGGCTGATTAGAAGTGTGTGTGTGTGTGTGTAGATTGCACCTGATGATGAGACCATGTGGCACCACTTATACGGTCGCAACCCGCCCAGTCTTCTTTGGCTACCTAGTTTTGTAGATGTGTTTATCAAATCTAAAGTAAAAAGATAGAGAGCCACTATGAAAATCACAAATTATATTTCAGCCTTTATTCTGGCTACGGCGACTGCTACCACTGCTACTTCTACCATGGACATAGACCTGCTCGAGGGTCTACCTGAATACTTGGAAGGACAGGACGAATACCACGGATGACCATTGTATTTCAAAAACAACTGCGATTATACACTCCTTGTTTGGCGATCCGATGGGCGATCCACCATCAAGCTTGAGAGTTTCCCTGGAGGAAGGACACTATCCAATCACACCATGGTCAAGAATCCCGCACACGAAACGATTATTACCTATGTAATTTCGCCCTATGACAAGATCCCCATGAATGGGAAGGGCGGCATCCAGCTGATTTACAATCTCCGCGATACACCGACAGACATGGACTTTACCACACAAGTCACCGTCTTGCATAAGAACCCGTTTGGCTTTCGTGACTATACGTTTGCTACTGTTCTTCACAACTTTTGCGACGGCGGACAATATTCATGGGTGGATACTAGTCGGAAAACACATAACCATTTCAAGTGTCAGGACAACGGGCGTAAATTCTCCTATGCAGCAATCTGGATGTTCTTTTGCATGGAGAAGCCAAAGCTAGAAGGGTAGATGACGACTATATGTAGCTGCATGTGTCGACAGTAACGCATGGCCAACTACTTGGAATGGAGGACGATGAAGAATACCAACTAGAACGTTGATAAAACGATACTGACTCACGGCATAGTTAGTTAAAAAAACAACTAAAAATCTAAATATAAGTTTACTATGAACCATTGGGGCTGACTTCACATTAGCGCTTTGCCACTGATGATGCCCTCAGCCACATTGTTGAAACCCTCCGGCTGTCGCCCATCTCCGCTTCGCAGAGGTCAAATAAGGTAAAAACTTTGTAATTAAGTTAGCGATTCATGTTATATTAGGATTTTTTAGTGGCTCACGGCGCTCTACCGGCATCTGGCGCACGCATTGCGTAGACTTTGGCGCTAGCTGCGTCAGCCCGTCTGGCGCCACCAGGAAAAGCCAGACTGGAATGGGCTAGGGTTCAAATCTTGCTAAGCCTATACGCGTACGATGCGTCTTAAAATGAGGCGTAGCCCTGTCGTCGGAGGACGTTCAGCTAAGCTTTTGCCTACTGCACGGTATATGCCACATCTGGTGAGATCTAAGCGAGACCGGGGGCGGCATATGCTGCTCCAAAAAAGGGAGACTATAGAAAACATGAGTCGATATAGGTAGCTTTGTAAAATGACCGTATGCATGGAAACTATTAAAGAGTCGTTGCCTGCTCTACATGCTCGTCCCATCTTTTCGGTCAATTGCTCTATTTGTATACTACCCATGGATTAAAACTTTTTTTTCTATCTGTTTCTTTCTTTTGTTTCATCGTTCTTGCCAATACTTGATATCATTTCACGTCAGCAAGCAAATCGATTGCCCATCATGTCCTTCTTTCGCCAGGTCCAGGCCTTGACCTGGAAGAACCTGCTCGTGGTGGCTTTCCGCCATCCCGTAGGGTTTCTGTTGACATTTTATTGCGCGCCTATTGCCATTCTCATTGTTCTGGCCATGATGCCCACGTGGATTCTCGGCAACCTTGGTCGTCTATCCCGCCTCGAATCGCCATCGGGCCTTACAACCCTCAACAATGCCATTTTCGGTGGCCAGAAACTCGTGATATCACAAACCCCGAACCTAGGAGCCGATGCACTGGCTGTCATTACAAAAATTACACAGTCTGTTGACAAAGACAAGCTGATTCTGTTTCATGAGCCCGTTTCTCGCCTCGGCGAAGTTTGCAACCCTCGAGGCAACGAATGCTTCGCGGTGGTCCGGTTCATGGATTCGCCAGAGACGGCGATTGATGGAGCGTCTGGACGAAATGCGACCTGGAACTACAACATTCGCACCAATTCGGTTGCTACTCCCGGGCACAAGGGCAGCGATGAATCTGTCCTGCTGCCATCCAAGCAGCCATCAACAGCGCCATCACCAACTCCACACTGAGCCCCAACGTCTTCATGTTGTCCGGCTCTCGATCGTCTGAGGACTCAGACCTGGCACGAAAGAATGATGCATTGGACATCATCACGAGGATATACCTCTTCATCATGTTTGGCTGCCACCTGTACACGGTCTACCAGATGACCAGCTTCATCACCATGGACTGCGATGTCGGTGTCTCAGCGCTTGTCGATGTCGTGGGTGGTATATACGCGCCCTTTACACGAACTATAAGCTGGGTTCTCACCTTTGACATTCTCTGTCTGCCCCTGTTCATTACCTTTGGTATTGTCTACTGGAGAGTCTTGTTTCCTACCATTGGTGATGCAGGTGCCTTGATTGGATGGCAGATACTGCTGGGTCTATCACTGAATAGCGCTACAGCCTTTGGAGCAGCCCTATTTAGCAGAGCGCGTATTTCTGCTGTCTCTGTGGCTGGTGTGTTCCTGTGTATCGCCATGGCTGGCCAGTTCTACCATTCTCGAAAAGAGCCTGAGCTCGATATTTCTACCCTGTGAGGACTATACTGGCTTTTCCCCATGAACTCATACATCTTCTTCATGTTGAACATGACGCAGTGGTCTGTGGCCGGCCAAAAGGCGCGGGTTTCCGAGATACCACCTTCTCTGGGCTCTACCAATCCAGATCTCTTCCAATTCTCACAGCTCCCGCTTTTTGTGTCCATGGCACTACAAATCATTTTCTACTTTGCTTTCGCACCCTTTGTTGAATGGGCCATGCATGGAATCAGCTTCCAATGTCGAAAGCTTGCTACAGCTACCACAGCAGGAAAACCTTCTTCACTGCCTGTATCCCACTCGCCTGATTCACCGACTGCCGTTGCGCTTCATCTGAAGAAGAGCTTCTACCCTGGTCTCTTTCGTAAAGTCTTTTGCTGGGGGGAACGCAAGCAGCCCAAGATGGCCATGGAGGACGTCACCCTGGAGACACACAGGGGCCAAATTACATGTTTGGTTGGACAAAACGGCTCCGGCAAGACAGCAGCTCTGCGCATGATGGCTGGATTCACGTCCATGGATGCCGATGAAATTTCTTTTGATACGTTACCCTCGCAAATTGGCATATGTCCACAACAGAATGTGTTGTGGGAGGACCTGACTGCGCGGGAACATATACTTGCTTGATCCGGCATCAAGGGCAGCAACGAGACCGACGAGCAGATTGACCAGCTTATTGACGACTGCGACCTCTTACAGAAGACAGACTGTCTGGCCCAGGATTTGAGTGGCGGGCAAAAGCGTAAGCTCCAGCTTGCTTGTACATTTATTGGGGGGTCATCCGTTTGTCTGGTGGACGAGTGTACCTCTGACCTCGATCCCCTATCTCGCCAGGCAGTCTGGGATCTCTTGCTACGCAGCCGAGCCAACCGATCCATTATTCTGACAACGCACTTCTTGGATGAGGTGGACGTGCCTGCTGATCATATTGTAGTTCTGTCAAAAGGCAAAGTTGTCTGCAAAGGTACTCCAGTCGAGCTCAACAGCACCTACGGCGGAGGCTATCGCGTCGTTGTTGAGCGTACCGAGAAGACCATGGCGGCCCTGGCTGCTTTGAAGCCTACAGTTTCACGGGATACGCTCGTTTTCCAAGTGGTCGACTCCAACGCCGCCGCCAATCTGTCCAAGATACTTGAGCAAGCCGGCGTTCTTGGACTTAGAACCGGTCCCTGCGAAGAAAGTTACGAGAATTTAATACCATAACCTCTCGAATTATTTGACGGAGTTACCGCGCGTTTCTTTCGCTTGCAGCCCGGCGTTCTTTTGAAAGCTGCTGTAACAATAGACTCGGATTAGATTATTCACAAAAACCCCAAAGAGAAGCACTCGATTGATATCGAACGTGGTGTTCTGAGGAGACTCGGGGCACATCCGATAGTAAAGTATGGCGATCGCACACTCTTGCTATACGCACCACCGAAATATATTAAGATACCTTGGCTGGTATGACAAGTTTTGTTCCTTGGGTGCCTAATGTAATCAGTGTGTGGTATGGTATGAGCTGCGGTAAACGCGCGACTAATGGTCATCTACCACCCACCTTGTTAATATGGCCATTCTTCCGTGTGTCCGTTTTTCCACTTTTATCCCATCCGTTGTTGACCAAGCCCACAAACAAAAGGGCATTAAGGCATGACTTGCATGGGACGTGGTGTGGTCCGAGATGACCCTCCCTTCTCTACTGCAGCGTGCAACGGGCGGCGATTTCATTTCGCAAATCTTAAAATCAGGCTGGGCCTCGGCCGGTGCCCAACGAGAGTTCAGGCTAGCGAATGTGATGGAGGTCGTGGTCGGTGCTTTGTCGGGGCGCCACCCACCGTTTGGTCGCTAGCAATGCCCTTTCTAGGGAAGGGATGGATGGGAGGATCTACGCTAACAAAAGATCCAATAGCGTTCCTTGGTTGACGACTTTTCCGTGTGTCATGTGGCCGAGTCATGTTGTCATCCCGTCGGGACAATGGGTTGAATGAAACGAAGAATTAAAACGGGGAGAAGCGCGGCCGAAACTTTAAAAAGAATCGAGATGGAGAAGAATAAAATCGAGATGTCTCTTTGAGAAGAATTTTTTTTTTTTTTTTTTTTTTTGGAATTATCGTGTGGAGGTTGCACGATCTAGGAGGCGCTATAGATTTTCCGTCTCGTGGTTTTGTTTTTGGAGCGCTAGGCGAGCCACCCGGTGCACCTGGTGGGCGCCGAGTAAGCCATAGCCGCTGAGGCTACCCTGTGGCTACCTGGGGCCCGCTAGAAATGGTGCCCTCCCCGCTGTAAATACCCCACCGAAGACCACGCTGATGCGCGGTGTGAAATGATCGGTCGGGCGCGCTGCCCCCCCTTACGCGGTGACTAGCCACTTTTAACTTCGCTAGGGCCCCCGCTCAGAACCAACAACCAACACCGTAAACTTTAAACGCCACCAACAACACAACCTGTCCCGACAGAGCGGTTTGCTGCACAATCCAACCAACCAGATAGAATGAAGTGGAAATTCGTCACATTATTACCCCTCATCGGCAGTGTGATTGCTAGTGCGTTCTCCACCACCGCAGCCTGATTTGTGCCGCTCTTCCGTGCTAACGCCGTCACAGGTCCTCTGCTGGTCAACACACAGACGGAGAGATCCGTCCAGATTATTGAGCGATCCCAACAGAGCACGGATAGCCTTGGGGGTGGTGGTTACAGACGATCTCAAGAACAGAGCGATTGGGACGGTGGTAGCCACTACTCCTAAATGTTCGTTTGACCGCGAGAATAAGCTCTACGACCTAACGCCCTGAACTCTGACAAGTACCATGCGCTGCTGGCAAGCATCCACGCCTTTACACATCCTGTTCTCCTTTTTTGCTTTGGCTTCTGTTACATTATATTGCATACATAGTACACTTTTTTATGGTTCAGACATATTTTAGCAGGTATTCTTATAAGCTTAGCATATAATGGAATCTAGAGAGTAGCTACATTTCTTTTTTAACTTCGTGTTGGTGGCGTCTGGCTTAATCCTGAAACCACCAGGGATGCCCATAGTCCGTGCCACCAGGCCCCCACTGTGATGTGATGGGGGAAGCGCTTGCAGCACGCTGTTGGGTGGCCCCGTTTTAGCACCAAGCCTTTTCAATGCCTTGCCCTCCCGCTCTCCATCCATTCGTTGTTCGATCTCCAGTCGTTCCTTTCTTGCTTGTTTTCTGTCTCAGTAGTTGCAATCATGTTAGATTTTGAATCTGGCAATCGATTGCTCAACGCAATGCAGGCTTCTCCACTCTTGCAATCGCTATGCAGCGATCCAAGCCAACTCGCTCCCGCTATGTTCATCCTCAGTGCGCCATTCAATCTCTACCAACTTGCACAAGGCTGTACCTATATCCCCACCATATCTGGATTACAGTGGTGGAGCAAATTTGTAAGTTGCGTTGTATTTACTCAGAATGAGACAGGCAGGATTCTTTGCTAACAGTACACAGGCCATCGCAGGCATTTTAATGTCAGTGCAACTGCAATTGCAAATACAGCTTCCTGGTGATGCATCGGAGTCTGTTAGATCCGCGCATGCAATTGGATCCTTGGAGTCTATTTTGTTGTGCATTTCACTCCCTATATTTCACTGCTGTCCTCCTTCTCCCTCACTCCTGCTAAGTATCTATCTACCTTTGAGTATTTGTCTCAAAGCTAGATCATTTTGGCTTTCTCCATCCAACTCATCATCCGAACTTGCATCTATACTGCTCAGGGTTGTCTTCTTCGTGCTACATGAGCAACCAAAATGGTCCCAAATTCCAGAGGAAAATCGACAGTATCTCCAAGAGCAGGACACACTTGGCTTCTGGACGAGATCTGTTTTACTCTGGGTATTTCCACTTCTAGTTCAAGCTAGAGCCGGAGAGTTAGCTCTAAGTATGCTAATGAAACCACCGAAAGGACATACCCCGTTTGCTCTAAACCACCGATTCCAAACAAGATGGGCAAAAGGTACAGTGTTGTCCCTTCTTAAGCCTTTAGATGAATGTGTTAGGCTAACCTGGATCGTATTTGTGGTAGCTGGGCAAAAGAAGAATGCTCTGTTGAAAATATTTCTCAGAACGCACTGGTCCATCTTTCTTCGCGGTAGCATTGCAGCATTTCTTGTGAAAGCTTTGAACCCTTGTGTTGCGTTTTTGATTGAGCGCTTCACTAGAACACTGGAAGTGAGCCACAGAGATGCAAATTCCTCATTCAGCCGTTCAGTGGAGGTTTATCAGCTGACACTACAAATGTTTTGCCTTCTTTTCGGTCTGATGGTTTGTTGTACTCTACCCTTCTACCATGAATTACTGGCTAACTGAATTTCAGGTGATGCGAGCCTACTCGGCATCTATTGATGCCGAGGTCAAAGCTCGTCTTAGAGGTCTAATCACCATGGCCACATTCAGCAAATTACTTTGGCTTTCAGATCAAAGTTTGTCACAATTCTCAGACTTTTCTTTGCTTCGCAACGATCTAGTCATTGTACAGAATAGTGTCAAGGCTCTTCAAGATATTAGCATCAGTCTGCTTAGTGCAGTGTTTTGCTCTTTTATCCTATGGCAATCCATCGGTCTCAATGTGGTTGCAGCAGTCTTGACAGCTCTTTGTACGTACCCTATTCAATTGGTATTCCTTTGTGCTTTTTGACTTATACTTTATATTAGGCTCAGTATTTCTTTGTAGCCTTTTGGGAGAGCAAGTCGCAGTTAGCCGACAGCAATGGGGTAAAGCCTCCAAGGTTCGCGTGGCCGAGAGCGCCAAGCTTATCGAAAGTATTAAATATGCGAAGATGACTGGCGCTACCAACATTACAACGTTTATCCTAAATCGACTACAGAAAGCTGAAGCTGCCAACCGAGACGCGTGTATGAAGAAAAATACTTTTCGCTTTATGTTCGGTAAGTCTACTGGTCGCTAGTAGTATCTTTCCCTTCTAACATTCTTCTCTCAGTGGTAGGAACGCATGCCATTATACCAATTTTTGCTCTCGGAAACGACCTCTTCAGGACTGGGATATTGGTCAATATTCCTCTTCTTCTCAAAAGTGTTGCCCTAATCTATTGGTTCTCCGAAGATTTAACAGTGGTTCTTCAAATTCCCGAGGTCTGGGCAGCGGCTGTCTCGTCCTGTTCACGGGTAGAGGATATTCTGCGCACTTCAGCTCATGAGAGTTCAGCCACTCCGATGAGGCACATTGAACCTGCACAACAAAACCGCTTCACAACAGCGATCGAGTTCCATAATGTCAGCCTTGCACCAGCTGCGGATCGAGCGCCTGTGTTGACGAATGTGTCGTTGTCAATTGTTCGTGGTAGCTTCTCGGTTCTTACCGGTGCGACAGGCAGCGGGAAGACTCTCTTCGCCCGAGGCATCATTGGTCGCGCTCACAAAACTCAAGGCACCATAACAGTTCAAGATGCAGTAATTGCCTATTGTGGTCAAGATGAGTGGCTTGTTAACGGATCTGTCCGTCAAAACATTATTGGGGACAATGCATACGATGACGCGTGGTACACCTCTGTTATGACAGCCTGTGTTCTACACGAAGATATCTCATGTCTTGAAAACGGCGATGAATATGTGGTTGCATCACTTGGAACTAACATCGAGCATGCATTTCGACAAAGACTTGTAAGTTATACTATTAGCCATGTCAAACTCCTCTAATGTCGCCCTAGGCCCTAGCTAGAGCGATCTACTCGCGGGCTCCATTGCTTATCTTGGACGACTTTCTTAGTAGTCAAAGCCCATTAACATCAAGGCGATTAGTTGCCCAGTTGTTCGCGTTAGGCGGAATATTGGCTAATGGTAGAACTGTTCTCGTCACAACGTCACATCCCGGTAAATTATAAATCGGCAATTCGTTTTAGACATCAAACTAACTTCCTTTAGAACCATTTTATGATTATTGTAACCAGATATTACATATAAACGAGTATCGATACATTGTGAGACGCCTTAGCCCGATACTACGCGGTCCACGCCCCCCCCAAAACTCAGACAACGCCGATCAAGACCAGCGCTGCAATACCCATCTACCAGCAGCTGGGGACGATCCTGCGCCAGATGGCATTGCATCTCAGTTGCGAAAGGTACCTACTGTTACAACTGATTATCAACCCATTTCTTACTCGGTCTATCTGCGACAATTTAACTACCCCGTGCTTGTCGCTTGGCTGCTGGCGCTTTTTGTCACAGCGTTTTTAGAGGGTATACCTCGTAAGAATCTAGATGGCCGTGCCGCGTTTTATTTTTTTCAAGTATTGACTATTTGAAAGTGATATATCTTCGGATATGGCTTGGTGCGATCACGCCAACCCAGTTTCCGTTTATGCAATGCTTTGCGTTGACACTTCTGAGTGGCTTGGCCTTCGGTATTAGCGGATAGTAAGTTTAATTTATTTATACTTATCGTCATCTATCTCCACAACTTTATTAACTGGTAGCAGCCTGTTCAATGTCAAGTTAGCTGTTAAAGCAGCGCAGTCACTTCATGATAGACTTCTTCAAACGATCATCGGGTAAGCGCCACGAAGCATCTGCTGATATCCGTATCTGCGGCACAGAGTGATTACCAAAAAACGTAAACTAATGGAAGGATTTAAAGCTCAACCATACCTGCCTTGAGCTTGGGTAAATTGAAACTAGCCATTAACCTGTAGGCAACATTGTTCTCTTGACTTCGCCGACCTACTAAACCAGCTATAGATTCAATGAGAGTATCAGCACTGCCACGAGGGATTTACCAAGCAACGTATTCCAAGTAACATACGGTGAGTAGCTAATTTTGCTGCCAGATTCCACGTCTAATAAGTACAGGACTCATGACAACGATACAAGTCATCGGCGTAATGTTTTCAGTACATAAATCAGGTCTCTGGATGGCTGTTGGTATCCTATCATCTCTATGCGGTATCCGGAGCCTTTACTGTTATGCTGCGCAGCAGCTAAAGTTCTTACAGCTAAGTACGACTGACGATTTGCACGGCTATTTTGCCGAGACAGTGACAGGTGTTCCTCATCTACAATGCTTCCGTTCGCAGCGATTACATTTGCAACGAGTGCGCAAAGCTATCACCAACACGCAGATAGTGTCGTATAATCTTGATTCTCTAGAGGCCTGCATGGCTATGATGGCAGACATGTCCACGCTGTTGCTAGTTACATCGTTTGTCTACATTTTGGGTCACGCAGATGTTCATCCTCACCTCGCTGGATTTGTACTGGTATTGCTTCTCTATACAATCCAGATTATTCCCAGAAGGATCAAGCAATGGCATAACATGGACATGGCCATGCTTGACTTGCAACGAGCGGAACATTTTATCTCTACAACCCCCCAAATGGATGCGGAACGACAAAAGCCAGCGCTACCAGCCAACTGGCCAGCTCAAGGTCTTGTTGAGTTTGAGAATGTGTCTATTGGATACAAGTAAGTCCACCTTGACATGATTTATTTTCCGTGCTGACTTGTGCGATAGCCCTGCTGGCAATAGCCCTGTTATTACCAATGCAACTTTTAAACTTGAGGGTGTCCAAAAGGCGGCTATACATGGACCACGCCAAAGGTATGGAGAACTCAAGTCATATGTGCGAGGAGAGCACATTACTAACTCTTGCAAATAGCGGTAAAACGACATTGGTATTGTCCATGATTTTACTCCTCCCTTATGAAGGGTCGATTAAAATTGACGGCATCGAAGCTCGAGATATCCCCCGTGACAAGTTCAAACAGATATTCACCATTATTCCGGAGTCTCCCGTTGTATTCCCGTCTTGTTCAATTCGTCAAAACCTACTCACTGACGAAATTATCGACCCTGTTCGTGCGGATGCTGCCCTCAACCCTGATGGCATCCGCTTCCTGTTTGACGACAACATGGATGAAAGGCTCACCTTGATAACTAAGGTCCTTCGCGGGGTAGGATTATCAGATATTGTCACGAACTCCGGTGGTGTTGATTCAAAGTTTTCAAGTCTTGTTCTATCCCCAACACAGCGTCAAAAGTTTTCTCTTGCCCAGGGCTTGGCCAAACATTATGCGACACGGACCAAGATGGCTATTATTGACAGCACAACTAGTCATGTCAATACAGCGGGACTAGAGCGCATGATTTCGCTCATTGACGAGATTTTGGGTGTGGACCCCGACTGTATGGTCATCACGCTGGCCAGCCACTCTGATGCAATCGAAGGGTCACAGTATGTGGCTCGAATTGCAGGTGGTAGAGTGGTCAAGTTCTTTGTTGAAAGTATGCTGCACAGGAAGAAGACTGCTAAAAACAGAGTCTTAAAAAGAAGTCTAAAGAGTCCAGCTACGTTAAGCGAAGAGGAACTCGTGGGCGAGGTAGCAAGAAGAAGCGAACAAGGCAGGCGTGAAAGGGGACGAAGGCAGCGGACACCGTCACCTGCATCTTCATCGTCGTCTGCGGGTTCTCAGCCAAATCCAAATGCAGTGGCCGGCCCAAGTACATTGCCAGCAGCACCGCCACGGCCTTTATCACCACAGTCATCATCGTCGCGGGCTCCATCTCCTACTTTCAACCTTACGCCAGAGACTTACAGCACTCGCCGAACAAGTTGCTCCCCTGGAAGTGGACGGCATCCTGAACCTCTCCCCCAGGCATCTTCATCAAGCAGACCACGAATTGAACCAGCGCGCCGTCGCAGGGGCCGAACAATAAGACCTCCCCCAGTAGTCCGCCCAAGAAGCCCCCCCATATCGGATGACAGCGACGACGACACACTACCGGAAATCCCTGGCTGGATGGTTGACTTTGCAGATGACTCCATCAGCGAGTTAAGACGGCATGAGTTGTATACCCGAATCTTTGAATATGGAAGCTTAAGGATGGAGAGGTTGTTACTTCGACACGCCCAACGCGACAATGCGATCTTGCAGCATTTCCATGAACTTCACCACAGTGACGAGCCACATATTCTCCAACAGCAAGTAAGGGACATTCAGAAAGTGACGGGATTCTACCACAAACTACAGAGTGCGCTCGTGGTGGCGCGTTACGCGCGACAACAAGGACGCTGCTAGAAAATGTATATGAAGAGGAATCCGTGGATTTGTGATTTACTTTCATTTTTTGCTTATGCTCTCTTTTATATGTTTTACTACGTTGCAATCTTTTCTTTCTGTAGTTTAGTTACTTGTACTTAGTCAATTCATGTCCCGCATTTTATTTGTTGCCACACTTCTTCGTCTATGTATAAACCATCATCGAAACACCATCAGACCAAGGCCCACACCTTCTTCTATTCAAGTTTTAGCCAATTAATATAGAACAACAAATTGCGACCGCAGCCTTACGTATTTTGAAGCGTGATCTAACCAATTCACGAAATAGCGTGTGGCGTGGCGCATTCCCCAACTCGTTTAGTCGGCTGCGGAGGGTCATCATGAATCAGGCGCGCCAAAAACTCCAAGTGGTCCCGCTGAGAAAATATTAAATCGCTTAGAACCCCCCCCTTTAATGATGTTGCCAATGGTAAATCTGACACGGAATAGGAAGTTTGACGCATGACATTGTGACGGGCATCGACAATGGCAGCGCGGCACCCGGACACTGGCCGTATCGGCCATGACGACGCCGTTTACACGGCCGAGCGGATGTCCTACGCACTATGAGATAATCCTCGAGACATACCGTGGCACCGTGTATCCGACCCTCATCTCCAAACCGCTAGAAGATGCTGTATACTCTTCATGTGAGCCGCCAGGATGGAATGCACTGGGGCCCAAGAGTATTTTCCACTTTAGTACTGCTGTGTGCCCTCACAAGCATATAGCCTACGAGATAAATACTATCCAGTATGGTTCCTACTCAACCACCTCGGCGTACTGCTGTCACAGGTAATAAGAAGCCTTCCTCTGAGAATATCAACCCGGTACACTAACACTAAGCAGCGACCACAGGCTTTCGCAGTCTGTGTATAGCCGTGGAGCTTTAGATACCAACACTAGTCACATATACGCCTTATATGCAATAACTAGAGCAGGTGCTGTAAATATACAACCAGGAAGTAGCGCCAACGCCCTGTCTACCGTAATATTTACTCTCTTGCTGGAAACCCCTTATATGATTACTTGGGACAGATAATATATATCGATGCTCACGCCAAAGCCGCCATGGGTCCCTTGCATGAATGAAGGCATCCGAACTTGGAATCCCGCCACGCCATATACACCAACCTTGTGCTGGGGACGGGAGGTGCCGCTTTGTTATACCACTTCGTCTAGTTACGTGCCTAGATTAGCACCAATGAAATGCCCAAAGAGGTATCTGCCGATGGGATAATAAAGATTGTTGCTATTATCGTCGTTGTCGCCGGGTGCGCTTTTGGCGCTTCCGCCAGAGACGGAAGAACTATCGCGAACTGCAACAAAGAAATACGCAGCTGACAGGAACTCAGGATGTGCAATTGGAGAATAGGAGCGATGAGCCGAGCACGTCGTTGAGTGATGCTGACACAGAGTCTGTCGTGGACGGACTGCCCAAGTATGAGCAGGCGATACAGTCGCGGGTGGTGGATGCGACTGCGCACCCGCCTGCGTATAGATCGAGATGATATTTACAACGGAACAAGAAATAGTATATCGATGTTATTTAGCGATGAAGAAAATAATGATAATATTAATATATATGGTTGCGTTGGATGGACGCAAGTATGTCCTGCGACTTACACGATACCCATAGTTTATTCAACCAAACACCCATCTAGGTGTAATTCATAGTAAATATGTAAACATAAACATTTTCATTTTATTTACAAATGCCTAAATGCCTGATAGTATTTAAACTCCCTGTTGACCACCTCCGCCAAGCTCAACACCATAGCTCAACTGCTCGGCCAATCCGAGACGTCGGCTCAGGAGCGGACAGTTAGTTCACTTGCCAACTCAATGAGGAGGATGACCATGAGCCTTCACCAATCCGTAATGACTTAGCAGGCTTTTCTAAGATAGAGCCCGAAAACCGTGTTCGAAAGGCATACATTCTAACCAACAGACCAATTTACAAGGATTACCTTAGACATGTATACAAAGTCAACAATATTCTAAGGGTATCTCTTGTACTATATCACGAACATACTGTACAATTCAATAACTATTAAATCAATCAATTCTCCGGATTAGCTAGAAGTCATAATTAGCGCACTTGATACACCCGCGAAGTCTCTTCGGGTTCCATTCAGACGAAACAAGGTTATGCAGCAATCCGTCACCAACACACTGAAACATTAGATACTGCAACCTGGTGCTAAACGAAAGGCATTATAAAGTTCAAACTGAAATTAGATCAAAAAAGGCTGGTGAATATGATGCAGTCCGAAATGTCCAGCAGCGCGGGCCGAGTACTACTTTGTGGCAACGACGTAAAAGATGCGCCCTCCTACCAGTATCTAGGGGTCGGCCCGCAACATGATGCCTTGGATCTGATGGGAACGGGACAGCATCTTGAATTCTACGCGCGAATCAAGGGAGTCCAAGACGTTCGATCCAATGTGGAATACCTCATGAACAGACTAGATCTTGCTGCACATGCCAAGACCCAAGCAGGCAACCTCTCTGGCGGCAACAAGCGAAAGCTGAGTCTAGCTATTGCACTTATGGGCAAGCCACCAGTTGTAGTGCTTGATGAGCCGACGACAGCCATTGACGCTATAGCCAAGCGGGCCTTTTGGTGCATTGTGGAGGATATTGTCCATGATCATTCGATTCTACCACGGTATGTTACCAGTCTCAAATGAAACAGTCCAGCAAGACTAATTTACCCTTTTGTAGGCCCATAGCATGGAAGAGACTGAAAGACTAGCCAATAGAACAGCAATTATGGCCTCTCGCATGCTTGCCATTAGCTCGACAGCCCATCTACGCACCAAGTACGGCCGCGGATACTGTGTCAGTCTCTCTCTTCAATCTGGTGCCCACGCCACAAACGCGGAAATGCAGCGAGTGTTTTCCTTCTTCCAGCAGAAGATGCAGGGAAGAATCACGCTCGAGCGAGACATGGTCCGCGGCCAGATCTGGTTTGTCCTGGCTCCGAGCACCCACACTCACCCACACTCACCCACACGCCAAGATAATATGTCCACACTCTTCGCCCGGCTGTACAGCGACTATAACCGGCCCGCCAAGATTGAGCGGCAGCGCCTGATGGATAATGCAGACCTGATCATGCCAGAGGATGCAGCGTGGGCGTACTATCAGAAGCTTGTTTCACAGCAGGAGCTAGCTATGTTGGCCAAAGTCGATATGAAGGCCTTTGTAATTGGCCTGGAAAGCTTTCCCAATCTCAGACGGGTTATAATCACGCCGCTAGCTCATGGGCTTATCTTTGCTCCCGGATACGAGACGCCGATGATACGGGCATTCCCCGAGGCATTCAATTACTCAATGTGTCGAGGCTGGGGCAGCTCCGATTGTTACTAAAAAGCTGCTGAGGCTCTTTCGTGGACTAGGGATACCGGGTCAGTCTCTTGTGAATTTGTTAGGGACAAGTGGCGCGGCTATCGGAATGTCACTCGCTCTCTAGCAGAGTATAGCCATCTTCACCATGTAACAAAGCTGATTGTCGAGGACTCTCTTATCCGCGTTGGCCTCAACATCAACATGTTTGAAGCACCAAACCAAGACTACAGCAACCTGGTTAAGATTGTCTCGCGGCCTGGGTTTCAGCGTTTGGATTCATCTCTGATCACCGGCGGCGAAAAGTGTCTTTACTGAGAGGTTCTGCGCAAGGGTCTTTTCCGTGAAGCGCTGGCGCAGGCATCTGAGCTTCAGTCGTTGACCTTTGCCGCCGATGTAGAGGAATTTTTCAGCGACAATGACCCATGCCGAGAGCCACTCCCACTGCGTATTATATTTCCCGAGTTTATATTACTGCGGCACTTTCGTCTCTGGAATTTCCCGGTGGAGGCCGCTGATTGTAATCGCTTCCTATCAAAGATGCCAAAGACGCTGCCGCGGGTCGAACTTGTACTTTTAGTGTTCTTTCGCGAGGAAGAGAACAATCGCTATCTTCTGGGACAGATGAAACTAAATCTCGGTTGGTATTCATGGGATTGTCGACCCAACTTACGGTTTGCGGGAGAAGATAAATCGAGCCCTCACCAAGTAGGGAGATTACACTGGTTGGATACAGAGGTGGATGATTTTCTGTACGGTGGAGGTCCCAATCCGTATGGATTGCCAGATGGTTCATGGCCCAACTTCATCTTGCTGCCTTTCGGTGTGCTCAGAGATCCATTCGATCCCGACTACGAAAAGCCATGAGCATCTTACAGTGAATACGATATAGACGGTGACTCTCGCCCGTCAGAATTTGGCAAACGCCAACATGAACTGTTGCAAAACAAGTGAAAAAACGGCTATAATTACTTGCGAGTATATAAAAGCGAAATATAAAAGTACTTCCAGCAGTCTAGCTACTGTTGCTGCCAGTACTAGTGCTCTTATTATTCTAACCGCGGGACTGAATCTGGATAGGCACAACGCCGCCAAAGGGGCCGCCGGCAGCCTCATTCTGACAACGAACAAGACAGACGCCACTTTCACCAGACACCTTACCAGTGCAAGTCTCGCCACTGGGAACGGTGAGGATCAACGGATGGGTAGACATCTTGGTGTCACTATTCCTGCCCCGGAGGCCAGGAGCATTCTGGACAATCTCCATAGGAGACCACTTGTCGCCCGTGGCATCTGCACTCAAGTAGCACTGATAAGGGCCTGCGCCGTCACCATTCACCTGGTACATGAAGACGTAGAGCTCGCCGCCACCATAGACCTGGGAGAGCTTCTGCCCGCCATTGGCGGCCATGATGGTGGGAAAGCTTTGTTCTAAGCTATTATTGCCACGGGCGAGCGTGGCACCAAGACCAGTTGGGTTGACCATTGCCAGCGCAGCCTCTCGGTCAATCTTTCTATCCATCGGTGACACTGGCTTTTGCTGGGCCGGCGTCAAGTGTATTGGAGGATGTGGCTGCAAATTCAGATGCTGTGGTCGCTGCTTATTTGCCGGAGGAGCAGCACGGCCCATGAATCTGCTATTATAAACGATTCTAGGCTTGGTCTTTACACCAGAACCCGAGTTGCCACCAGCCTTATCGCCCGTATTTCCATCACCAGCACCGGCTGCTGCTGCCTCGGACTGTTGGCCAGGACCGCTGCCGAAAAAGGTAGCATCCATCTGGAAGGGAGCTCGGGTAGTGCCGCTCCGAGAATTATTGGGTTCGACGCCGAGACCAATAGCCTTGCCACCAAGATGGCCCTCAGCGTTGATGATGAGGCGTGGCCGGCGACGAGCTGCATCGACAGCATCGAGGCGGCAAGCAAGGAAAGCTGCTTGCTGAGAGTCATTTTCGATTTGAATAAAGATGTTGTAACGAGATTTTCCAAAGATAACAACGAATAAAATATACAAGAGAAGAACCTCGCTAACACGGGTATTAGCTAGTGATTGTTGGTGTCGCGGGTGAAGGGCGGAGTTCGATGGGAAGCGGGATATCCAACGATTCATATATCTGCCTTGCTTGCACTGGGGTGTAGCATTGTTCATTGTAGTCACAACATCACATTGCAGTTATATGTCTCGCTACTACCCGTCCCTAGTATTGAAGCTGCGTTCTTTTTCTCCCCAACGTCCCATCAGCGCTACGTGACAGCCAGTAACGGCGACCAACACCACGTTTACAGGAACAGATATCCAGATGCAACGCCACGCGACGACAGGAACATCTAGTGGCCAAATATCAAGCGGAAAGTAAACCTAACGTAGAGTTAATGGGCTTGGAAGGTGATTTCGTGGCTCCATGTGGAGTAGATGGTAGAGAGACGTCTCTCTTCCATTGAGTACACCGCCCTACAAAAAAGCGCTCGTAGCAAGATACGCATACAATCTCTTCAACCGTTGTGCACGATAAATTTTCCATCTGAAAATGAAATATACGTCATTGGTGTAGATGGCCGAATTCGGCTGCATCACGAAAACGAGGCGCACACTCATGCAATTCAGCCTTGCCCCGTCTGCGTATAATACTGTAGACAACGCGCGTCATATCCGTTTATTCCGTCTCCATGTAAATCTCTAGTTATGCTCCGGTTTACAGGAAGCTCCCGGGATGCGCGTATGTAACAATTATTTGCGTTTGCTATTTTCTTTCGCTAACACGAAACCATAGTGAAGCTCATTCTGCTATACGCGGCGGTTGACGCGGTGGTAGGATCAGCCGCTGCCGCCGCCATAATCGCCTTGGCTTCACATATAGAGTGTAAGCCCGCGAGTTCTTCCATGTATAGTATGGGAATTGTAGCAGCTGTATCAAGGGCAGTACTCTTGGGTTTTTCGGCGATGCCGCTGCTGAACCTCCCACGCGCCTACTTGTACGCCTTTGTCCATATCGCTACCAAGTTTGTGTTTGCAACCGCGTCCACGGCTATTATTTGTAGCATTACGATAGGTACAGGTATATCTCACCATACAATTTACTTGTGAGCACCAGTACTAATTTACATAATAAAGTATCGTCAAAAATAGTAGGCGCAGCTGCTCTGGCGACGGTACCATGGCTCGCAGAGGACCACACCGTTTACATGTGCAAGTCTTGTCCAAGAAAATGCCACAAAATATACATACTAATATTTCCCAGACGCCCGAACCCACCAAACTGGAGGATTTATAGAGTACAGCTTTCAGCGGCCACTATCACTATGTCCTGGCTTCGAGATACTTTGGATGGCCGCCTGGGATGCTTTGACAGGCTACGTGTTTGGCCAAGCAGCAAAAAGCTTTGGTACGGACACCGCCATTATTATTTTGGTAGTAAATTATTTTTTACTAATTTTTAGCTATGACAGGCGTTGGATTCTCTTCTCTTGGTACTGTTGCCGCCGCAGGGGCTACATTTGGCGCCATCATGGGCATCCCAGCGTCCATCTTTACGTTTATCATCAATGTTGTCAACAACGAAAGAGAGCATCACGGATTCTTGGTAGAGCAGTGTTATTCATATGATACAGGCGGCGAATTACCGAAACCAAGTATATCTGCTGGAACACCGCATGAGACACCAGAAAAGCCAGCGGTCCATGCTTGCACACAACATACTCAAACAGCAGAGCATCCAGTATAACGCGTTTAACTTCGTTTTTTCGTCTCTACTGAGCCCTTATTCTTTTGCAGAGTACCAGCAAAGAGGAACAGTGTCGCCAGCGTCATTGAGATACTGGGCATCAGGAAAAAGTACATCCAGCTCAGCAGGGTAGCTAGCGCTGTGGCTGCAACAAGAGCCCAGGCCAGCGGCGCGACATGCGGCCAGACATCAATAGGTAACGCGTCAATATACCATGTCATGAAGGAACTCAGGCCAAGAAGCAAGGAGACGTTGAGACCAAACCCCATGTGGAAGCCGTACCACGTGCATTGGGAACCAAAGAAGTTGAACTTGATGACCTTCATAGACGCAAACACGGCGTTGCCAGCTGGGCCAACGTCTGTTTCGGAAAACATGCCGCCGATGGTGTGTCCGACGAGAACAAAGGCCATGGCGGCTGCGGCTGCACGATAGAGCGTAAATGTTGTCATGAGTGATTTGAGCGTTGGTGATGTGGAAACGCGGCGTTGTTGCGAGACATACGAGGTTTACTTGTCTCGGGTAGCTTGCAACAGGATGCGCGTAGATACAGCAAACAAGGCACGTGCCGCGTATCTACAGGGACTTAATAGTAATAAAACGCTGAAAAAAAAATTATTTAAAAATTGAATTGCTACATATTTTTATTTTAAAAGTAAGACGTGTTTCGTAGCTGATCCCCGTCATTGAGCCAACTTTTGCTCACGCAGGAGCAGCGCGGCGCCGAATGCCAACAGAGACGAAACGACGGAGAATGCTAACACAGTCATTAATAAAAAAAAGAGTCAATCAACGAGACAGAAAGAAAACGAACCGTGGCTATATTCCAAGCCGTTGACATAGGACGTAACAATGGCCTTGGACACGGCTCCAGAGGTTTCGTCGACATAGTTGACATCGGTGACTGCTCGCTTGATAATCTGCCGTTCCGTTGTCAGCAAAAAAAATCCCATAAAATACAGTGGTATTGGAAAGGAGTATTACCGTATCAATTTCTAACAAGGAAAGCCCTTGAGCGATCAGTCGAGGTCGTAGCGTCTGCTGCACGCCGGCAATCATCAGCGCGCTGACGGCGGCCATCCCGAGAACCATGCCAATCTGAGTGGCTAGGAAGAAGCCCGAGATGCCTGTTGCTTTATCTTGAGGGTCAATGGCGGCTTGCACAGCAATGAAGATGGTGCTCTGGATGATGCCACATCCCAGGCCACTACCTATGTGTCAGTTACTGGTTGCTCTCTTCTTACAAAGAGGAGCTCACTCACCCTGGAAAAATGTACAAGGATTCTGCCCAGCTAGTATGCCCGTTCCAGAAGAGAAGAAGGAGGAGGTAGCTAGTCGCTGAAGTAAGTGACGCAATAATGGCCAATGTCTTGTATCGACCGGTTCTGTTACCGAGGTTAGCCAGCCACCTTGATTACAACCATTGAGGCCGTACCTTCGAATTAGATATCCCGAGAGAATTCCTCCGATAGCGTTACCTGCCACCGCAGGGAACAATCGCGCGCCAACAGCTGTGCTAGAGGACCGTTCCGTGACCTGAAAGTAGAGCGGCACTGTGAATGTCATCTGAACGAAGGAAAGTCAGCTTAGACATTGTAGAACTCGTGTTAGTGATGTATACGTACACCTGCCTGGGCAGCCAGTATACAGCCAGTAATCAGATAGCATATCAGTGCATCGCGACTCTTGAGTAGCCGCAGGGGAAACAAGGGCTCTTTTGCCCATCGGGTCTCTGTGACAATGAAGAGCCCAATTAGTACGAGTCCAGTACCAACGAGGACGAAGACGGCTGGGTGCGACCAAGGGATCTTTTGACCGCCAATCTCTAGAGGTAGCATCAGTGACAAAAGACCGAGGCCGAGTGTGATGGCGCCTAGAAAGTCGATCCGGGCCAAGTTCTCTGAAGTCGTATTTGAAGACGCCTGTTTGGGGGCGCCATGGCCTTTGGCTTCGAGGCTTCGGAAGATGACCCAGCAGATGACAATGGCGGCAATGAAGACGGGGACTTGTCCAAGAAATGACCTATTCATATGTGTTAGTCAGTTGTAAAGAAAAGAATAAAGAAAAAATGTACCATCGCCAGCCCACGACATCGGCTAGCCAGCCACCCAGTGGTCCGCCCAAGGTTCGGCCTCCGGTGGCGATGACGTTCATATAGCCCTGCCAAGTTGCGACGTCCCTAATAGGGACCAAGTCTACAAGGGTGACTAGGTTAATATTGAATCATGAGAGAAAAGGGTCATAGTGAAGGGTGTACCTGTGATGACGACGGCGGCTAGAACCATCATGCCAGCTTGACCGAAGCCCGAGACAACACGGCCGACAAGGACCTGCCCCATAGTCTGACCGATTCCTCTATATATTTTGTTAAACATTGTAAAGCTTTAGCTTGGCACACGGTCTACTTACACGAGTGCGCTAAAGAGTGACGAGATTGTTAATACAGACACGCTTGGAGTGAAGAAGAAAGAACATACCATCCTGCACCAAAGAGCCCATAGCTGACGAGCAAAATGGGCTTTCTTCCGTAAATGTCGCTAAGTTTTCCATACTTTACGATCTAGTTAGTACCGAAAATTATTTGAAGTGAAAACCAAGGCGCTCACAATGGACTGCGTGCAAGACGCAGCCAGCCAGAAGCTGATAAAGAGCCAACTGGAGTCTTCCAGATCCTGAAACTCGGACGAGATGACGGGATGCGTTGCTAAAGTGAGAGATCCATCCAAGTTGGATGTGAAGACGCCTGAACTTGCGTTAGTACATGAAAATGTATGTCACGATTAGTCCCACCAATGAACAAGGCGCCTACGACCTTGGCGACGAGACCGCTGTGTTGATACTCAGTGTCTGCGTGGGCTTCTGGAACGGCAGCCTCTGTATCGTGTACGGTCCCGTAGTTGTTAGACACGGCATTTTGAACTGCGTCTGAATCGTGCCTGTTGGTTTGGTGAGGTGCAATCAATGGGGCCGTTTCACCGTCACTGGCTCGTCTGTGCTGGATATTTGCCATGGCAGTACTTTGGCAAATTTCACACCAATTGAAACTTTACTTGGAGGATGTCAGTTTTGGTGTAACTAGAAAATTACAGAGACCTCTCAGAACATCAATCGACCACCCTGCCTCCCTCTACCGTTCCGCACTAAGATACTCGGGGCAACCCGAAAACGCAGACGAAGTTGGAGAAGCCCTACCTGCCGGCCGGCATATAAAACGCAGTCAGCTTTTAGTTCTTTGTAAACAAGCATGCCGGTTCTTTCATTCACCCCGGATATGTGTACTCGGTAAATCATCTAGATGTACTGTAGAACCTGTTAAACGAAAGAGCCACCCCTCTGTTCGTCTTCATCGCCGGATGAATGCCTCACCGCCGAAGCGAAATGCACAGTGACGTTCTGGGCTTGTAGACTGCCGTCTTATACGGACGACCCCATGTCGGATACTTTACAGAGGTGCGTCGCGGGCGGCAGATCTACCGATTCCAAGATTTGGTGTGGGTGAGATTTACCTTACGTGACATTACACCGCCCAGGACTGGGCGGTTCGTGAGTCGGGTACTTTTGAAGGAGGGCCGGGTATCGCGTCCGTCAGCAAAGCAGGCCAGCCATCCCCGGGTCCCACCAGATGCACCAGGAACAGGGAAATCTCGTCGTATAAGGTGACAGGCTAAATAAACGCTGATCCATGATTTACATTGACAGCGTAGAATAGCTGCGGGGGTTACTTAGTGATGATGCACACGCCCTCCCCTCCCCCGGTCTGACTTATTGTGTGAACCCCCGGACCGGAGGTGTGTGAATAGTGCGATGTTCCGAGGACAGGGAGGGTGTGAATTAAATGCTGGTATATTTTCGAAAAAGCTCTTGTAGACGACGCTGAATAGGAACTCGGGAAAGCCATGGCCGACGGTGAAGAGCACGCTAAGCGGTTGGGGTAGGTGGCAGTTTGAGGGGGCCACGAAAGGACCGTTTGGTTGTACTTTTGGCGAGTTGTGCTTTTTACCCAATTACTTTGATCGATGGCGTAATTTTGGAACGGTTTTCTGCCATTTAGTAATTGTTCCAATTGAGATATACATATCCTGTAGTGCGTCTACACGGTCTTCACAGGAGGACGAACAATTCAACATACAGGTTGAGGACTCTCAACAACAGAAAAACAAGGAAAATTATGGACGGAATCTACAAATTCCTTTACCCATTGGCGCCACAAGAGCGCACCAGAACCAAGCCCATGAAGGTTCTTGCGCTCGGCCTGCCCCGAACTGCCACCGACTCTCTCCGCGCTGCCCTCAACATCCTCGGCTTCTCCTACGTCTACCATGGCTTCGACCACATTGCCGACGCCGAAGATTGTGTCAACTGGGTACAGCTGTGGAAGATGAAGCAGGCCGGCAAGCACATCACCCGCGCCGACTTTGACCGTGTCATTGGTCACTGTGAAGCCGTCACAGACATGCCAGCGTGCATCTTTGCCAAGGAGCTCATCGAAGCATACCCCGAGGCCCAGATCCTGCTCAACTACCGCGACGTGGATGCGTGGCACAAGAGCGTCGTGACGACTTGGAGCACAGCCGAAAAACAAGCGGGTGTGATGCACCCGATCCTGTGCTGGTTCAATGCCAAGATGTTCTGGGTCAACCTCAACGAGATGCGCCTGACTTATGCCGGGCTTTGGAGAGGCAACTACCGAACAAGAGCCAAGGACTCATTCAGAGACCACTATGCTATGCTGGACGAGCTCACAAAAGATATGCCCGCGGATAAAGTAATGAAGTGGAAGGCCCAGGATGGATGGGAGCCGCTGTGTGCGTTTTTGGGCAAGGATGTACCAGATGAGCCGTTTCCCAATCGAAATGCCCTCGAGGCCGTGGTCAGGCGTGTGCTGGATAGTCTGATGCAGCATGCCAACGAGGCCTATCGCAACATGACCCTGGCGATGTTGGTGTCGACAGCGGTTGTGGGAGCAGGCGTTGGTGCAGTGTACTGGCGAAAGTTACAGTTGACAAACTAGGTAGTTGTACGTCTTATCTAGTATGAAAAAAGTAATGGCTTTAATATCTGCTTTGTACCTTATGTACCCTTGACAACACTACGTATAAGTCAACGAACCATATACACCCTAGTTCAAAGTAAACACCATATTTCTATCCTGCTTTTACTCCTCTATTACTCAACGCCACCAGCAAATCCTCTTTTGTCGCCGCCAACTGCGCTACACGCTCTGTCACGTACGAACGACAGTCCGTCGTCAGCGCATAGAGATCCTGCATCACGAACCGATTTCGCAAGCGAATCGGCACACCCTCCTCATACAGCGCCCGTTGCATAAACGCCGACAACAAGCTTCCCGTCGTCGCACCGCCGCGCACAAACGGGTTCGTCCAGTACCAGAGCCACTCAAACTCAGCAAGGCTGCGCAGACGCCGACCAACAGACCGGGATCGGCGAAGCGTTGCGTTCCAAAGTTTCGTGAGGCGCGGGCGAATAATTCTTGGGATATTGCTGCTCTTGGCATGGCACAAGAAGTAATTATCCCGGCGGTCCTGAAACACAAGCATCTCCAGGTCGCGATACGCAAATGTCCACGACTGCACTGCCACCGTCTCTGGCCGCAGCGCCTCTTCCATGTCCGACACGTCCTGAAAGAATTCTTTGGTTATAGTGTCCGGCGTTGGAGGCAAACGCTCTCGCATCATATGCCAGATTTCATCCGCCCTCGGGTGCCCCTTGATACCAAAGCTCCAAATCAGCCGGCCGTAGACACCCGTCCACCGCTCAAGATAGCAGTTGCGCGGCTTCCCCGTCCGCCAACCCGGTGAGACCTGCTCGGCGAACCAGGTCCCGTAACGGCGAGAATTGGCCAGCCGCTGCTCAAAGGCCTCAAGGGCAAGCATCTCAAAGGCATTGGGCACCGCGTCGCCGTAAGCCATGAACCGGCCCATGAAGCGGAAGTGGTCCTGGCCCATGGCGTCTGTAGGCTGTTCGGCCAGCACCTTGCTCCATCGGAGGCTTTCTTGTGCGCTACACCCCCTAGCAGACAGTGAGCGAGTCGTCAGACTGGTGTGCGTGGGGGCGGCGATGGGCGGGATCGACACAAGCCGCAGCGTGACATCGCTCGTGATCCCCTGCCTATTTCGGTAGGCGTATGTGCTGGACGAGGTAGAAATGTGTCCGAGAGAGGACAGTGTCACTGATTTGGCTGCTGATGACGAAGACGCCCAGCAAGGCACAACCAAGTATAGGATTAGTTCCGTGCATGTTCGGCTGTGAGGAGCTCGGATAGGCGTTAAAGTAGCTCCGCAGACGCTCATGAGGGCGGCAATGGTGGCTAGATTGGGCGACCCCGACGAAATTTCTTGGATAAGTAGAGTTGTTTCATCGGGGAAACGATTGAGGAGAGTCTCTGGTGGCTGGTTCAATTGGAGCGCTGCTGTGGTGACGACTGAGGTCATGATGTCAAACCGTGGTGTTTTGGCCTAGGGGAGGGAAAAATTGGATCGCGGAGGCCAAGAAAAAACGGAGATAATTTGAGAGATGCTTATAAGCTTAGCAGGAGTTTAAGGACAAAATACAGGGCTATTATTTTGGGGTGCGTTGTGAAGAAAAAAACCCGCCGACGTGGTATTGTGTAAGTGGTGGTGTGTTGTTAGACGAGGCGAATGCAGGCCTGTCTCTGCTTATGCACACGCCTTGGTGAGCATCTCTCCACTAGATACTTCAATTCTGTATCCATGCCGTGAAAGATGTCCAAGATGTAATTCAAAGGCCATTTGTGGTGGCTGTCGGGCACTTTGTGATACGCCTGCCCCAGTGACATACAGCGCGGCTTATTCTTTGGCTATACGCAACCAATGACCCCAACGCTGCCCTCACAAAATCATAGCTGTCACTGTAAGGCTGGCAGACTTGACTTTGTTCTTCATCACCGAAATTTGATATTAGTTCGCATCGCAAGATGGACTATTTGCATACCACCGTTCGGCCACTGCCTTGGCTGCTTCCGCCTATAGATGGCTTCGCTCAAATCCATTCCCTCGATCTGGGACCATTGTTAGCGGACTACAGCTATCTACAATTAGCACTGCTACTAGCTCCATCTGCATTTGTGCTGCTTGTATCGCCTTTCCGGATCTTGCAGCTACGCAGGGCCAACCTCAAAGTCCTGCCCAACTACAGAGGCGCCATCAAAGCAGTACGTCCATTCCGTCTCTTGAACCAGTTTAATGTGTACTGACGAGAACTATTTAGATACTGGCAGCTTCCATTGCCGTCCTAGAACTCGTTATTTTGGTGGTTTATCTTCAGTCTACAGTAGCCCGCGATGACACAGCCATTGGCATTCATGTTGCCGTTGTTGTTGCCTCCCTCTTTGTTTGTGTACTGTCATTTTTCGAACATGGCCGCTCTGTCACGCCATCCACCATTCTTATTCTGTATCTGTTTGCCTCGATAGCGTGTCAGTCCCTACAGCTGCAACAAAATGGTCTCGACAATCTAGAAATTCTCTACGCGGACCTTGTCCTGAGATTTGCCCTTCTTATTATGGAGTTGTCTAGCAAGAGTGCTTATCTTCGACACCCATATTCAGAATTATCTCCAGAACAAACAACTAGCAGTGTCAGCCGCGCCTTTCTGTTCTGGCTCAACGATCTGATTCTCCTCGGAAACTCCAAACTGCTGAGCAGGGCTGACCTCCCACGACTTGATGATGGTCTAAGGTCCAGTCCTCTTCGCGAGCGCATGGAAGATATGTGGTTCAACGCAGCAAAATCGACACCGACCCCAGAAAAAGATGACGGAATGATGCTCCTCTGGGTCGTGTTCCGGTTCTTCCAGCGCAGCCTGCTCTTCAATTCTGTACCGCGTCTCATGATGATTGTATTTCGATACATGCAGCCCGTATTCATCAACAACACGATTCGATTCGTGACGGAGCCTGCCACTGAAATAAATGAACAAATCACCGGCCGATACCTCATCCTTACAGCAGTTGTCATCTACGTTGGCCTCGGTGTATGCTTTCTCTCCTCTCCCACTATTTCTCTACCTTATTAACCACTTGTATAGGTTTCATTCTGTATGTACTACCAAAACCACAACCGTATCAAGACCCAGTCTCGCGGCGCACTCATCGGGCTCATCCACGCGCGGTGTCTGACAGCCACAGATGGCGCCTACGAGAATGCGTCGGTCGTTATGCACATGAGCAGCGACACGGATATCATGGAGAATTTTGCATGGCTGTGCCAGGAGATGTGGGGGCAAGTCATTGAGCTCATGATTGGCATTGGCATGCTCTGGATGCAGTTGAGATGGTGGTGTCTTATGCCGCTCGTCATCATTGCTTGTAAGTTGGCTAAGTACTAAAAGCACTAAAGCTGGAGATGTTGACCTTGATTCTGTAGCATCGTCGCAAATTGTGAAGTGGACAGGGCGTCTGACGAGCGAGTCCATGGTAGAATGGCAAAAGGCCAAGCAGGATCGCATTGCCATTACCACATCCTTGGTGGACTACGTCAAGAGCATCAAGATGGTATGTCTGCAGACTCTATTCAAGAAGAGTGAAACTAATATTGTTTGTCTTATAATGTAGATGGGTATGACGAGATCTATCACGGATATCGTCCAAGCCTCGCGTATCAACGACCTCGTCACAGGTCTTGACTATCGCTGGATCGTCGTGTACTTCAATTTGACTGGTAAGTCTTTTCTTCTGGCTTTCAGTATCTACTCTTACTAATACGAGCAGTAAACGGAATTTCTATCCTCACGCCCGTCGTAACACTGGTAGCATATGCGGTGGACGCACACCTACGCGGCAAAGAGTCTCTTGATGCCAGCACGGCCTTTACCTCGATTGCCATCATCACGCTCGTCACCATCCCCGCCAATGTCATTCTTGCGCTTGTCCCGCAATTCGCTACAGCGTACAGCTGCGCCGCTAGAATCCAAGGGTATCTGCTGGCGCCGTCTAAGGACGATAAAAGGACTCTTCTTGGCTCACCAACATCGACTGAGCCCACTCCAGCTATCGTCTTTACAGACGTCTCGCTACGCCCAGCTGCTACAGCAGATATTTGTTTGAAGAAGGTCAACATTTCCTTCAAGAAAGGGTCTCTTAACGTCGTCTGTGGCCTTGTTGGAACTGGTAAGACAACGCTGGCCAAGGCAATCCTTGGCGAAGTCACCGCAGACTCAGGCACTATAGCCGTCTCAACCAAGCGAATGGGATACTGTGCACAGAAGCCATGGCTGATTAATGCCAGCGTTCGAACTACGGTATGCGGCACAGAGGACGAAAAGAGTATCGATCATGAATGGTACAAGACGATCATCCATGCCTGCGGGCTCGATGAGGACTTGAAACAGTTGAGCATTGGCGATTCCGAAGCAGCTGGTAGCCGAGGTGTAACTCTTTCTGGTGGCCAAAAGCAGCGTGTTGTACGTAAATGTCTTACGACACACGACTGTGAATGCATTATACTAACATCAAGATTGATGACTAGGCCCTCGCCAGAGCAGTGTATGCGCGACCCGAGATCCTCGTTCTGGACGATGTCTTATGTGCCCTCGACGCCAAAACAGAGGCACATGTGGCAAAGATGCTCCTTGGACCGGAGGGTATCTTCCGCCAGCATGGGATAGCGGTTGTTTTAATCACCCACGCTAGTGAGTCTGACCTGTTGCTACTAAATAAATGCATACTTACACTATGACAGCCCAATATCTTCCATTTGCCGACCAGATTGTCGTCCTAGGCTCTGGTGGAATCGACGAACAAGGGACCTGGGATAAGCTCCGTGCTTCGACAGGCTACATTAGCAGGATCCAGTCGACAACCCCGAAGAATAATGCTAACCCAGAGCCAACTGACGTAATATCCTTTAACGCAGGTAGATCAGCACCGGTTTCTGGTGAACTACTACCCTCAGACGACGATAACGATGAGCTAGATCCGTCCAAGAGAGCTGGCGATCTCTCTGTATACTGTGTGTCTGCCTCCCCCTAACGAAACAAGTTATTAGCTAACACGGACTTAGACTACTACTTCCGCTGCGTCAACATGGCAGCTGTGGTCATCTTCTTTGCCTGCATCGTCACAGACGGAGCAGCATTGGCTATTACACCGTCTGTGTTGCGTGCCTGGTCGGAAGCCGGCGGTGCCCATATGTGGCTGTACACGACTCTCTACGCCGCATCGTCTCTGCTATCGCTTGCTGCTACTGGTTCCGTAATCTGGTACGTTTCCTCTTTATTTTACAGCAATGCTTTCTAACATTAGTACAAGGTCTGCCTTGATTCTCATCGCCCCCAAGGCCGGTGAAGTGCTTCACTTCCGTGTACTCAAGACAATTGCCAGGTATGTCCCCTTTGTTTTCGATTCAGATATATTCCTAACCTGTATCTAGTGCTCCGCTATCGTACTTTTCCACAACAGACTCTGGCTCCATTCTCAATCGGTAAGTTACCATCAGACCGTACAAAATGCCAGCTAACTAGGGTTAGATTTACCGAGGACATGACCTACGTGGATCACACGCTGCCATACCATTTGATGAACTCGTTCTGGAGTAAGCACAGACCATAATTAACGATTGAAAAATCTCTCTAACGCGTGTTGTAAGGCTTCTCGCGACTAATCTCTCAGCTCGTGCTGCTCTCCATCACGCAAATCTATGTCGCTGTCGGCACACCCTTCCTCTTCTTCACGCTATATCTGCTACAGAAGCTCTATCTCCGTACATCGCGACAGATTCGGTATATGGACATTGAGCTGCGCGCCAAAGTGCTCTCCAGCTTTCTTGAGACGGTAAGTTCCCTTCCTTGAGTTTTTACGCTCCCTGCCTAACATCGTCTAGCTCGAAGGAGTCTCGCACATTCGTGCTCTTGGGTGGCAGTCACAATACGTTAGACAGAACATCCGCGATCTCGACATTTCTCAGCGACCACATTATATGATGCTATCTGTTCAACAATGGTTATCCTTGGTACTGGACATGCTTGTGGCTGGACTTTCTGTTCTCATTGTCGGTCTTGCTGTTGTGTTTCGAGCCTCGACTAGCGGCGGACAGATTGGCATTGCGCTCAACATTGTGCTTACCATTTCGACAACCCTTACGCGTCTTCTACAATCATGGACTCAGCTGGAGACCTCGCTCGGTGCCGTGTTCCGCATCAAGTTGCTGGAAGCGACGCTGAAACCAGAAAACAAGGAAAACGAGTGCATCGAGCCCCCAGCACAATGGCCAGCTACAGGGACTATTGAACTCCAAGATGTAGTGGCCTCTTACAAGTATGTAATCATATATCTCCCTTTGTTCATTTGCTAACAGGAAGCGTAGTCCCAAAGCCATTGCGCTGAATGGCATTTCGCTCACCGTCCACTCAGGCCAGAAGGTCGGCATATGCGGTCGCACCGGAAGGTAGGTCCTGTATTGATGGCCATGTGCATGTGATATACTAACCCAAGAATGTTTAGCGGCAAGTCGACCTTTTTATTAGCACTGTTACGGCTTGTGGAAATGGATTCGGGCACGATTCGCATCGACGGTATTGACCTGGCGACGTTGCCACGCGAGTCGATCCGCGAAAGGATAGTAGCTCTTCCACAGGACGCATTCATGCTCAATGACACGATACGCCGAAACATCGACCCAGAAGGGATTGCTTCAGATGAGCAGATTATTGCGGCTCTTGAAAAGGTGCGGCTATGGGACATTATTGCGTCTCGTATAAGTAAAATCGCTTCCATCTCAACTGGCAGCACTGCACCTTCAGGGGGTCAAAGTACAACTACCACAGCAGAAGCATCTGATCCCTTGAATGCGCCACTCAAAGAGCTACCACTTTCGCATGGCCAGTTCCAGCTGTTTGGTGTGGCACGGGCTCTCCTGCTCAAGACACGGTCCCGGATTCTGCTACTGGACGAAGCAACGAGCAACGTGGACCTCGAAACAGACAAGACTATACAAAGAATTGTTAGGGAAGAGTTTGCGCAACACACGGTGATTACCATCGCCCACAAGCTCGACACTATCCGCGACGCAGATACCATTGTCGTCATGGACAAGGGACGGATTGTCGAGATCGGATCTCCAAATGCCCTGCTCGCCAAGATGGATGCTCAAGAAACGATGAGTGGAGAGCAGCCGATGGGAAAAGCATGGTTCCGAGAAATGTGGGATAGTGCTCATCTAGAATAAATTTTTGATCTCTTCTATACAATATATATGGCTTTTGTTTTCATATATCCACTTATGATAGCATCCGCTACAACTCCGACTCCGACTCCAACTCCGACTCCAGCTCGGGTCCGATCAACAGGTTATTTGGCATATATACAAGCTTGATCCCCTTTGCCTCAAATTCCCTTTGTAACCGGAGACTCTCTCTTTTGTAAATGGCGCCATCATACTTGACTGTCTTGAGGCTTGGAAACCGGTGCGCTGCTCTCGCTAGCGGAAACACATCAAACGTAGATGGGCGCCCCTCCATCAGTTCAATAGTATGCACGAGCGGCGGGAAAAACGACACCCATTCGTCTTCCGAGGCCAAAGGCGCTAGAATATGACCATCAGCATACAAGTGAACTCGCTCCAAGTTGGCCAAGCCGCGAAGGCTCAGAACATACGGCATCTCGAGCATCTCGGTATATTCCAAGGTCCAATCCAAGCCGAAAGTGCTGTGATCCCACACCAGCGTAAGATTACGAAGATTAGGTTGGTGCTCTTCCAGCATCTCAACGACTTCAGTGAGCAGTAGAGCATCCCCCATCATGCCCCAGTCAGTCCACGTATCACTCAGGTCAAATGTGTAGGTGAATGTCGTCAGGGCCGGAAACCTTTTGAGTAGGCCTTCCCAGACCGGTTTGGTGGCGATGGAGCCTATGATGGCTAACTCGACGACGCTCTGACTAGGCATACTCTCAGGAATTGCGTTTGCTGACAAATGGGATAAATGCAGCTTTGTCAGGTTTGTTGCCGATTGGACCAGTCTGCTCCAGCCTTGCGAGAGATTAGTCTGATGGGGGCCAGCGCTCTCATGACGGGCTGGCTAGTGGAAGCTCATCTCGTGTAGCTGAGGAGCGATATTCTCCAAGAACCCCGTGGAGAGGGATAAAGGGTCGTCTTCTACTACGTCGAACGCACATGCCTCCAGGTTTCGGCACTGCGCAAGTAAAACAGCCCGTAGAAGCTGAGTAGGTCCTTTAGAGAGGACCCATTCGTCGGAAAAGTAGCCAGGGTTCACGCCAACAGACATCTTTTCAAAGCGTACAAGATGAGAACCTGGAAATGCCTGGTCGGCTGCCGCATTCAGAACATCGGCATCCTCCGGTGTAATATACCACTTTTTGGCATCGCCGTCTCCTCGCACGGGACGCAGTTTGTCAACGCTCCGAATACTTACTCGCTTCACTAATGCTGCCAGGTCGGGCCTCTGTATCAGCGTACTTCCCAGGCGAGGCAGATACGCTGTCCTGGGGTACTGGTAGAGCAGCGGCGTAAGAACCTCGTGCAGCATCTTGCTGGTTCGTACCAATGCTGCTAGCGCCTGTTGATCGCCGTGCCAACGTCGAAGGTCGCTATAGTCATAGATAATAATATAGGGTGGCCTTAGCAATATATGGCCTATTTCTAGAAGAATTTCTGCTGGCAAGCTGAGCATATTGGCCCTCCCCATAGTTGCGATCCGACCTGATGATGTTGGCAAGTTGCAAAACCTTGCAGGCAGCGGCGAAGTTCAGCTGAAGGACGACGTAGGCTAGATGAGGGTTAGGGTTGTAATGACATCCCCATCCATTACTCGCAACCAGCCCACCACGCCTAGCTGCTGCTACTCATCGGGGATTGCACAATTTCATGTGCACAATATCCTGCAATTTCCGTTCCCCTTATTCTTGGCTGATTTTTGCAAAAGCAGGGAGCGCTGTCCCACGTTCATTGTGGCGCGTATTCCCGCGGGGATCGATTCCACACAAGATGAAAAAGGGAGAAGAGACGATTATAATTGGCGTAAATATTCCATCCGTGTGCAGCTCCGCCCTATTCAGAGGGCCGTGCGCAGCCTTGTTGGTTCAAGGGCGGCAAAAATTACGTAGATACGCGCTTCCATCTGTGTTTTTTTTTGCCCTTGTTTTATTTTCATTTTTACACACGCTCATTACCTCTACTCTCTTTAACAAAATACATCCATTAACCGCCATCATGGTCAGCTCCAGCGTTGTCGCCGCCGCCACCACCTCCATTGTCTCCCTCTACAACATTGGCGATGCCGAGAGTGTTGGCGCGTCCGTCATCTCCGCCGACAAGACAGCCACTGCGTATTCCATTGAGTGTATGAACACTGATGAGTGCGGTATGCCCGTTGGTGCCACAGTCACGCAAGGCCCCTCTACGTGGGCCTACACCGTGGTATATCCTGAGACTCCTGTGTAAGTAGGGCCTTACCCTCGTGCAATTCTCTTCTTTTCATGCGCCATAAAAGAAAATAATGCTAATTTAGTTCTTGTTTTCTGCAGTCTTACCCTGACTGCAAACTGCAAGTGGGACTTGACCAGCGACAACGGTTCCTGCACCACCAGAGTGCCCCCTGGCCTCAACGGCAGTCCTGGTGGCTTGAGAATTGTCGCCACGCATGGCCTCCTGCAGAGCTTTTCACCCGTCACAGTTACTGCTGGTCTTGAGAAGGTAGCTGCTGCGGCTACTGCTTCTAGCTTGGTGAGCAAGCCCACCGGCGCATCTGCCTCTCCTTCGTCCTCCCACAACGCGGCGCCCGCTGTGACGCAGCAGGCTGTCTTGGCCGGTGCTGCGGCTGTTGCTGCCGCCTTGGCCCTGTAAGCGATGTGTCTAGCAAGGGAGACATGATGGTTCTCTCTGTCTGCAACATATGCCAATGCAATTTGTAGTAAGGAAGTAAATATACCATCCAACATGCAATTGCCCGAGTCTCTCTTGACAGCGCTGGTCTACCCATCCCGTGCGGTAGGCAATACGGATTCTAACCAACAACAGAATATTCAAAATAGAAATAGAAATACGTGCGTATAGAGTCTGAGACTTGATCTATATATTAGAAAGATCTGGGCGGGGTGTTGCCTCAGCTTATCCAACGAGTACGACGCTTGCCTGTGTGGCCTGTGTATAGCTGAATCAAGAGTCGCAAGTCACTCGCAAACTACGACTGAAATAATAAAAGGTCCACATCCGCCCTCTAATTTACAGAAAATCAGAAAATTGTCTACTTGCATCTCTGACGGTATGTTTTGTCATGTTGTGGCTGCTTTAGCTGCAGGAGCAGCGACTGTTATGATGGCCTCGCCAGTAACAACCAAACCGCTAGGAGACGAGTTCGGATGAAACGTAATGAAAGCCGAAATTTCGCGAATTAAAGTTGAGAACCAAGAACCAGCTACAGACAGCCCACTGCTAAGTTATTTGCCTGACGAGTGCATTATTGTTATGCATGTTTCTCTTTAGAAGAACTATTGTATTTTCCTCACTGGCACTTCTAATATCAGCACTAGTCTATGTTGTAAAAAAGAGTAAAAAAGGAATTCATCATATATACTCACGTCCATGTCTATTCAGCCCCGCGGTTTGATTTTGTCATGTTCTCAATGCCCGTCTTGGTCTCTGTATGCTCGGTGCTCAGATCCTTGTGCTTGATGAACAAGCTAGCGACGGCACCGACAGCGGCCAATGCCGTGTAGAGTATAAAGATGTTGCGCATGCTAAATGCAAATGCCTCCAAAACCGCATGGCGCTGTGCAGGATCATCCAGTGTCTGTGGGATGCCAACATTGGCCGCAGCATCGCTGCCAGACAATGCATCCAGCACGGGTTGGCTGAGACCAGCAGCAGCGAGAGCCGAGTGTCTCGATGTCATGCTGTTTTGAAAGACGACACCGCCTAGTACCACTGACAGCGACATAGCTACACTGCGGAGGAAGAAGAGAGCCCCCGAAGCAGCGGCAGTGTCTGCCTGGCTGACCGTGTTTTGAATCGCAACCACGGGCGCCTGGAAAAGAAGAGCTGGTCCAAAGGCACCGATAATCTGCAGGCCAACAATGACGCCAATCGTGGTGTCGGCACCAAAGATGATGTACAGACCCGTGCCGAGGACCATGAGAAAGCAACCACTCCAGATAAACGCCCGGTAGTTGCCAGTATGGTTGATGGCATAACCAGAAATGATCTCAATAATAGCCTGAACCACAATCAGCGGCAGCAGCAACAGACCACTGCGGATAGGAGAGGCTTGCTGCACGCTCTGAAAATACAGAGGCATGTAGTACTCAATGCCAATCAAGACCATGCCATGCGTGAAGACGACAGTAAAGACGGCATTGTTGGACAGGTTCTTGAAAACGCCAAGCGGCATCAGCGGGTACTTGGCCAGACGCTGCTCATTGTACAAGAAAAAGGGGATCAACAAGAATCCAAAGACAATCAAGCAAATAACCGTGGCACTGCCCCAAGGGTACACGGCGCCGCCCAGCGTAAGTCCCAACAGAATCAAGGTCGTGATGGCCAAGATGGACAGACTTCCCAGCCAGTCAATTGCCCGCAGCCCATCCGCAAGCTTCGTCCGTGGGTTATTGACATCCAAGTAGACAATCGAGAGCAGAAACGTGAGGCCGCAAATGGGGAGGTTAATCCAGAAGCACCATCGCCACGTAACCGCCTGCGTAAAGGCACCACCGACCAAAGGGCCCGCCGATCCAGCAATGGCCCAGACAAAGCCTGTGTAGCCCATATACAGCGACCGCTCGCGCACGCTAAACATGTCTGAGATGATAATCATACACAGCTGTATTAAACAGCCACTCGCTACACCCTGCAGTGCTCTTCCGGCAATCAGCATGGCCATATTCACGCTCAGCGCGGCGACAATACTGGAGACGGCGAGCAGCGTGATGCCAATCAGATAGATGAGCTTGCGGCCCCAAATGTCGCTGAGTTTGGCCCAGACAGGGCCCGTCGCGGCATTGGCGAGCAGAAATGCACCACCGATCCAGACATAGCCCTCAGCAGATTGCAGGTCGGCGCAGATGGTCGGGATGGACTGGGCGATGATGGTGGTGTCCAGGGCGGAGAGGAAAAGACCGAGCTGATTATGGACGTGTTAGCAATTGACGATGCTCTGCAGGGCATTGTGACACGTACGTAAAGGGCAGCTAGAATCAAGCACACTTGAAGCTTGCCGCGAACTTTGGGGCTATCTTCCGTTGCGCTAGAATCACCGCTGAGCTCTGGCTCGGACACATTACCAACCTGCGATGGCACCGGCGCCGCGACAGCATCGCTCTTGACCTCTGTCATTCTCAAGAAGCTAAGCGACGAATTGCCGAAAAATAAAACAGATTTTTTATTTTCCAATACAAGATTCCTGCTTCGACTTTTGGTGGTAGTGCCCAAGAGAAGATGATAAGTTCACGCACGGTCGTCGGCGAGAAAAAGGAAAAGACGAACCAACAAAAAACAAGCCAGCCTGGGAAGGGAAATGGCCACAAGTGCTTACAGGCTGCTGTTGGTTCTATATATTTTTTTTATTTCCACCGAACAGGGTGCCCTAGGCTAACAGAGCAGGGAATCACGTGTCCCTACACCCCCCTAGCATGCTACAGAGATGCGACTGTAGGTGTAGAAATTGTGACGGTAAAATATGTTGGCGATGATATTTCTATTGTATGCGTTCTTCTAATTGGCGTCGCGTTTTCCTCTGTTCATTGGTGGCTACGTTTGCTCATGGGCTGCGTTTGCGCCGTGTGTGGTGAGTGTTATCGACACACCTCCTCGCTGTAATGCCGGTGGGAAAAGTGACTGTACTTTTCTACCGCAGATGTAAACTCCTTCCATTACATAGTAACAGAATCATTAAAAGTGCAACATACGTAAACTGGAAGACACCATCATGGTACGCAGTAGAATCATCTTTGACACCGACCCTGGCGTCGACGACACCCTGGCCATGCTCCTTGCATTGGCCTCGTCGGCGGACGAAATCGAGCTCGTCATGATTTCCGTGACATACGGCAACGTCACGCTGCGAAGATGCCTCAAGAATGTTGTGGCCATGTTCCACGTCCTCGACAAAGAGATGGCATGGCGCATGGCCAATGGCAAGCCGCTCAAGTACGAGTCGCTAAGAACATACAAGCCCACAGTGGTTATTGGTGCAGAACACCCTTTGGAGGAAGAAACACTCCGCGAAGATGGATTCCACGGCGTGGATGGCCTCCATGGCGTTCATGAGGCATTTCCCGACCTGGATCCAGGCAGCACATGGGAATCTTTGTTTGACGAGAGTACACCAGCATCCACAGCTGCCGTCGCAGAATACTCGCCCTACTTTACACCGTCCAAAGTGCCTGCGCACAAGGCTATTTTACAGCTTCTGAGAGACGAGCCTGCCGACACCATCACCATCTGCGCTGTTGGACCCATGACGAATCTTGCCCTCGCCGCGGGTGAGGATCCAGAAACGCTGCTCCGCGCCAAAGAGATTTGCGTCATGGGCGGTGCTGTCGAAGTGCCCGGCAACATCACGCCGCTGGCCGAGTTTAATACGTTTGCCGACGCCCTCGCTACAGCGCGAGTCTTTTCGCTCACATCGATGGTTCCGTCATCGACGATGCCTACGGTACCCCAAACACTGGCCAAGCTCGACGCATATCCAGAGCAGCTGTCCCGCAAGCTCAACCTGAGCCTGTTTCCGCTCGATATTACAAACCCACACCTTCTGATGAAATCTTTCTTCTTTAGTTCCATCACGGAGCACGTTGAACACGGCAATCCTCTCGCACTATGGATCAATCACATCATTGGCGCCATCTATCGCCGCATGGAGAGATTCATTCCCGCAGACAGAGAGGCGGGGTTGCCCCTCCACGATCCTCTGACTGTCTGGTATAATTTAACCAAAGACAATCCTGCATGGAAACTGGCACCCAATGCACCAGAGGATATTCGCGTCGAAACATCGGGACAATGGACGCACGGCATGCATATCTTAGATAGACGCGGCCGGAGACGTGCTCCAGGCGCAGACGTTAGTGGTGATGCGGCAGCGGTGGATGAGCTTCCAGGCGACGATATGGGCTGGTTGAGTGCACGACGTGGCAACAGGATCAATCGCTTTGTAGAGAGTCCTGGACATGACAAGTTTGCGCCAGAGCTGATGCAACGGTTGTTTGGCTGAGAAGAAGCAATTTAGAGTCTATAATCCTACGAATATATGACAATATCATTATCACTACCAGAATTTTCATCTTTACACTCTCGCTCATCTAGACTCCTCCATCACCTATGCAAGACCTCCGAGAACTGGAAAACTAGCTGGACATCCATTACTAGCCGACTTTTCTGCGTCTGCCGACTTCCCCTCATCTGCCACAGCTCAGAGGCGGACAATAGCTCGTTCTCTCGGTTCATCTTGTCCCCGTCCACGAGAAACACACCGTATTCTCCTTTCACCCTTACCTACATCCACCGTGACAAAGACAGCCACTCCCCGGCAGAAGCCATTCACGTCAGACTTTAGTCTAGCACCCGGACGGCAGGGCAAGCAGAAAATAAGAAACCCCCCCAGTAGAATTAACGCCTACAGCGGGTAGATCCATACACTAGATGCACCCACTCTTAGTTCATACAAAACAAACATACCGGTCCCCAGCCCGGCCCTGAAATACCTTGCTTCTACTGTACACCGGGGGTATGTCTCCGGCCCGGTGGCTTTTTCCTATTAACGCCCTGCTTGACAGCCGCCCCCACGGCCACCCCCACTGATCCCCAACCCGCATCTCACACCCCTGGCTAGCGGCAGATCCGGTTATCCACTTTGGGAAATGCGCACGCCCTCCCCGGACGACTGCACGGAAAACTTGACATTGCCACAACGCTAGCTTCATTCACCCATGCAAAGAACAGGTTTGATTTCTGCCGCCGTATTACATGTCCCCGAAGAGAAGAAAGGCCAGTTGGGATTTTTTGGTGGTAGATTTGCTCCGGGGGTTACATCCACGTCAGCGGTCTGGGGGTGGGCTTCCATGGGCGGCAGTACCCTACATCAAACCGCGGGACGCAACAAATTCAGAAGCAATACCAAGAAAAATGGTGGGTTATGAAAGGAAGTGTTAATATGCTAATAAAATACTATAGATGCAATATTTCTAACAAATTCCACCAAATATAGCAGTTTCATATAGCCTGTCTGTGGTTCTCCCTTTTGAACAATTCTTCTAGTCACTCTCCTCTATGAATACATGCCAACCTGTGCAAATAATCACACGGCGATTAAAGCAACTACAATAAAAGACACTTGCTGATTCTCTAACGCTATATAGGCGACCACTCTCGCTCTGAAACGCGTCGCTGGCTCCCCAGTTGGCAGGCAATAGCTCACAACACGCCCCAGCCGCCCAAGCTCAGCCCACTACCAGGCCAGCCTATACTGCTTATATTCCTCGTATAAAGCACTTGACCGGCGTGAACCGCATACATAAAACAATGGCCAAAAAAGACATCTACTACAAGAGTCACAGCGACGACGAGAAAGCCTGTGACAAAATGCCATCAAAAGCCAATATACCTCGAACGATGCCCGTGGCTAAGGTTCCTGACGACACTGGCATCTGGAGAGATGCACCTATCCTGATTGGCAGCACCAAATTTGAGCCGCTACCAGATGTCAAAAACATCATGATTACAGGAGGAGCCGGCTTCATGTGAGTGAATCCCAACATCTTGACGGACACATAAACTGACCATGGCACAGCGCGTGTTGGCTTGTCCGTCATCTCACATTGACATACCCCGACGCGTATAACATTGTTTCGTTTGATAAACTCGACTACTGTTCTGCTTTAAACAACACCAAGATGCTGGATGGTCGCAAAAACTTCACATTTTACCACGGAGACATCACAAACGCAGCCGACGTTATGGACTGTCTCGTCACGCACAACATCGATACCGTTTTCCACTTTGCCGCACAATCCCACGTCGACCTGAGCTTTGGAAACTCGTATGCATTCACACACACCAACGTCTACGGTACACATGTCTTGCTAGAGAGCGCCAAGACAGTAGGCATCAAGAAGTTTATTCACATCTCGACGGACGAAGTCTACGGCGAAGTCACCGATGACGCCGAGGACCTTCTCGAAACGAGCATTCTTGCCCCTACAAACCCCTACGCCGCGAGCAAAGCTGCCGCAGAGATGCTTGTACATTCATACCAAAAGAGCTTCAAGTTGCCCATCATCACCGTCCGCAGCAACAATGTCTATGGACCCCACCAGTATCCCGAAAGTGTGTATACATCCATTCATCCCATTTACTGGCGTAACTGACCATCTGCTTGATAGAAATCATCCCCAAGTTCAGCTGCCTCCTGCAGCGCGGTCAGCCCGTCATGCTCCACGGAGACGGCACACCCACTCGCCGATACCTGTACGCAGGCGACGCCGCGGACGCGTTTGATACGATCCTGCACAAAGGTGTGGTACACCAAATCTACAATGTCGGCTCCAACGATGAAATCTCCAACATGACTCTCTGCCATAAGCTGCTCACCTATCTCAATATTCCACACAAGACCCACGAGCAGCTGCACCAGTGGGTCAAGCACACGCAAGACCGGCCGTTCAATGACCACCGGTACGCCGTAGATGGCACGAAGCTACGTCAACTCGGCTGGGACCAGAAGACAAGTTTTGCCGATGGGCTTGCTATTACGGTGGACTGGTACGGCCGCTTTGGCGAGACCTGGTGGGGGGACATTACGCAGGTGCTGACGCCGTTTGCTGCGACGCCAGAGTCGGAGTCGGAGCCTGAAGCAGAGGCTGGCTGGACACCGACGAAGCGAAAGGCGGATGAGGACGGCGTTTTGCTAGAAGATACAGGGCACAATGCCCAAGGGAGCTGCAGCGGCAAAAACGGATCGTCGCCAGCACCCAAGGGGTGGGACATGCTCGGTAGTGAGAATGGCGAGGGGCCGCTGGCGAAACGACGCAAGATGATGGGGCAGCAGCAGCAGGTCAATGGGGTGTGCTGTTAGAGAGCGGCTATCGTGTGGGATATACATAGAATTAGACAGAATTGGTACGTAAAGATAAGAAGCAGCAAATATATTTGTACAACTTCTTTTACTATGCTTAGTGGATTATCATTGCAACTGCTGTGTCCTCTCCAGAGGCATTCACTATGCTAGCACTGGGGCAGTACAACACATAAATTTCATATCATGTGAGACGAATTCATTGCATTTGATATTACCAGTAAAAGAGAAAAGTAATTATTGAACACCAGCGGCGGCCATGCGCTGGAAACACCCGCGGTACGCCTCATGCACCTCGGGCAGCTGGTACCCATACTCCTTCATCTTATTCTCTAGCTTCTCCGTATCCAGCATGCAATTGCTGCGTCCCGCCTTGAGAACCTTGGCTTGTTCCTCGAGAGAGAAGTTCTTCCACGTAAAATCTGGGCGGACGTACTCCTTGAACAAAGCCAGCACCTCGTTGTGTGAGATAGCACCCGGATTTGTAAAGTTGTAGACGCCCGTCTCGTTGTTCTCTGCAAGGATGACAGACGCCGGGAGCAGATCGTGCAGAATGCTGTTGGAGTTGGGGATATCGACCACGTATTCGTACTTGGCAATCTTGGTGACAAAGTTGCGCGGGTGCAGGTCGTCGCTGACGGGCATGCGGAGACGCAGAATTAAGCAGTTTGTGTAGTATTTCATGACCTGTCCTAGTCAGTATGCTGCGAATAACATCCCACGTTTCGAAAAGACTGCTGCTGCTCTCACCTCTTCAATGTGGGCCTTTGTCTCTGAGTAAAAGGATCCGGCAAAGTTGGCCTTGTCCGTCTCGCGGAAACCAGCACCGCCAATGGGATGCTCTTTGTCGTAGCTGTAGATGCAGCCCGTAGCAAACACAGTAATGTGGATGCCCTTGAGGAAGCATACATCGGTCAAGTTGAGCGTTCCAATGACATTGTTACGCAGTGTCTCTTCCTTGTGGTCTTCACACCAATCGACATTGGGTCGGCCTGTTGAACCCGCCGCATTCAGGACATGTGTAGGGTTCACTCTATCCAGTTCAGCAATTACAGCTTCTCTGTTTTGCATGCGCACTGTAGTAGTGTACACTTCCTTTCCTACAATTCAAAATTGATAATTATTCACACTTGGAGAAGAAGCAGACAACACATACCTTGACTCTCTAGTAGCGCCTTCAGGTGGGCGGCAACCCAGCCATCTCCACCCCAGATGAGGAAGACGTTATTTTGTTTGGTAGAGGCGGATGCGGTCATTGTGGTGGGCTATGCTAACTTGGTACGGGGCAGGCTGGGTTTACAGAGAGGGAGAAAAGTTTAGGAGGAGGGTATCGAAATAGTTTTGTTCATCTATCATTTCAGGTTCTTATATCCCGTGTCGGGCTGGCGTGTCCGTATACAACTAGACCAGCCCATCGCCCGAGTCAGGAAGCTGCAGCGACGAGACGTCGGAGGCTTACCGCTTACTTGCGAAATAGCTACCGGGATTACAAACAGAGACACATTAGTGTAGAATGAAGCTTCTCTGGCCAACATATCGTCGTACTTTGGGCCGATATACGAACCATGGCAAGGGAGTGTGCTAGGGGGTGTAGGGATGTGGCGGTGTAAGCGTAGAGCGCCAGGGCAGACAACAAGCCACCGACGTAGCGCTTCCCCGCTCTAAAAGGACACACCGGGGTGAATAATACGTCTGGATGAAAACGGAGAAAGTTTTTCAAGTGCCTGGGAGCTGGTAATTGACAGGTGAAAAAGCTTACAGGCCATGGTGGCAGAGCAGTGGCCCGTTCTGAAGTGGATAGTTCAGAGAGTGGTTGGTTCATGGCAATTTTTGGGCAGCCAGTTGCAGCCACTTTCAGCCGAAGATACAAAGAGTATATTAACAAACATATACAATCAATAAAAAGTTTACACTTCAGATTCATAAAAAAATAGATTCAAACAAAAAAAACATACAACAGCCGGTGTTCGCTGGTCGTCACCGACCCAACTACTAATCTGCCGATTACAGGCTTGTCTATGGGAGAGCGGACGGGATCCCGAATTTTCCTATATCTATGGTCGTATGTACCAGAAAGTAAGCCAATTTGGTATATATCCTGACACTTCAACTGTGCATGAGTCGACTCGAATCGGGATTCCCAGACAGGACGCGGCATTTGGTACTTTGTAAATCATGTTGTATTGTATACTACTAGTATTGAGCGGAAAATTTCATCTCGCAATTAGGTCCACTCGGACCACTTGTGGCCTTGTCGGTAAAACAAGCCGTCCTTTTCAAATTGCGGCCCTTCTGCTTCCAAGATGTGGGCAAGCTCGCAGCGATTAAACGCAACCTTGACCTGCTGCTCTGTGTAAAACGCATCAAACTTAGCAGAAAGAGCATCATTCAAGTTTTCCACGTTTCCTTGCGGATGCAACGAGTGCCATGGCCGGACGCATGTCTCCTCCTTGCACGACTTCAAGACAAACAGCAGCGCATCGAGGCGTGCCACAACTTTATCCAAAGCATGCCCATTTAAACTGGCTACTGGTGATTCCCTTTTGGTAGTCGACAAGAGGTTGTTCAATTGCCCTGGGTCGTTCTAAGAAGGAATAGTTAGTGATTGTATGTTTGGTTCGGCCACGTTTACCCACCTTCATGTCATATAGTTCGTGTTCGTTGGTGCACCACACCGAATAGTACAGATTCCAGGACGGGCTAACAACTCGCAAAGCTTTGTATGTGTTATTCTGAAAAACGCAGTCGTCGCCTAGTCTGCCACCCTCACCTACGGCAATGCCCCAGTACTCGACATTGACGTGCTCTTGACGATGCTTCGCTGCATCTACTATACCACTACTTGTCAGTGGAATGGCTGTGCCGTCAAATCTGGCGTTTGCAGGCGCTGCCTCTCCAATGAGGCCCATAATCGTGGGTGCCATGTCCGTGTGTGTTGTCACAATTTCCGTAGTGTGGCCTTCAGGGACGCCTGGTCCACGGATGATGAGCGGGATATTGATGTCTTCCTCAATACCACAGTCTTTTCCAGGCTGCAGTCGATGCTGCCCAATATGGAATCCATTATCTGTGGTGTATATGATGTAGGTATTATCCAGAATATTGAGCTCTTCTAGGCGATGAACGACGTCTTGTACTAGTTCGTCCACTGACTGGAGTGTTCTGAGGCGCGCTCTGTAGAATTCATCGTAGGCGTCTACATCACCATCCTCAATCTTGGGAAGCTTGGCCATCCAGCTAACACCCGAGGGATTCTCAGGATTGAAATTGTGCGTTCTCGGGACTTTAACGGTTTTGAAGAGATGCTTGTGGCGGTCGGCGGGAATAGGCGGCGTAAAGAAGAGCGGTTTGTACTTTTCTGTTGAGTGATCACCAGTGGTGTTTTCCCAGACATTGCAGTGAGGAGCAACGGGGGAGAGGCCGAGGAAGAATGGTGCACTGTTACTTGCCGCTTCGTCTAGAAAGCCCATGGCCTTTTTGGCGAGTACGTCGGCTGTATGATGACCTTCATAGCTGACTGGAGGTTCCTTGTTGCGCTGGTAGGTGCTGTTCAAGTATGAGTATGTAAACGGGTCCAGGAGGAAGTCCTGGAAGCTGTTAGGCACAAAATATCATAATTGAGACGAGGGTATATCTTACAGAGCCATTCCATCCTGCGGCATGAGGGGCATTGTAATTGTCTGTAGTGTGCGCATTGAACAACTTGCCCGTGTAATAGGTGTTGTAGCCAGCATCTTGAAGCCACACAGGTAGGTAGTTTTCATTGAGTCCTTGACTGATGAATTTTGGATAGCCACCTATTTGGAAAGTTAGCTTATATGAATTTTCCATTCTCTCTTCTAAACCACTACATACCGTGAGGAGGATTGACGTCGGTGACGTTGGTGTTGTGCGCCGTTCGCCCAGTCCACAGACTCACGCGAGCAGGACAACACACAGCTGTGGTGCAGAAATGGCGTTTGTAAAAGGTTCCACGGTCTGTCATGTGCTTTTTCAATAGAGGCATATAATCCAATGACTGCATATGCATATCTTGGTCGTCTGTCAAAATCATCACGACGTTTGGTCGCTTCACATCACCATTACCGCTAGCACCCCCAACCTGGCTGCTGCCGTCCACTGAGTTCAATAGGACTTGCTGTTGTTGCACATTTCGAGCAATTGCACCACTGGCACAGACAGCAAGTATTGTAGTAACTTTCATCAACATATTCACTGTATTGGAGACGACGTTTGGTGTAGCAGAAGGGAGAGTGGGAATCCAACCTGCTGTTTACTCCAACACAGCTGAACTCTTGACAACGTCATAATTAGGTCTTTGTGCCGGATTGTCTGCGGCAGTCAATTTCCTGTTCAAGGTCCGGGGGTAAATCTATGTAGGTATTAGCTAAAGTCTCCGATGTTGGGGTATGGATGCATGCTGACCGCCCCCATGCTACTTACACGCCCACTCCGTTTTCAATCCTACGCAAGATGCACGCCTGGGGTTAGTGGCCATCGCAAGATACCAACCGGGGGATTCCCTTGGAAATGTGTTGGATAAATGTCACTGGTGGTGACAAGGTAGAAAAATCAGAATAAAGGCACCGAAGAATCGAGAGATGGAGTTCAGGTCCATCTAGTGCTTACTACTACTGCAGCACGTAGAATTCTTGATTTCCGTGGCCATATATTTTCAATATCTCAAAGTTTGTGAGCCATTGCAAATTTGTACATCTTCTGCTTGTATACCAAATTCATCACAACAACAACATGGTTAGAAAAGAAACACCATCGCCTGCCATGTCTGGCACAATTGACCCCTACGCTTTCTTTGAAGCCCTCACAGGCAAGAAGATTGATCGCACTATTCTCACTGTGTCAGAGGCCTCATCCTCTACGACAGCATTCAATGATGGTTATGATGATGACTTTGCAGAATTTCATCAGTCATCGCCAGCCATGGGAAAGTTGCCTCGCCCAGACCGGCCGCCCAAGGATTTCGAGCTCAATGTCGGAGCGACCAATCCGTACGCATTGGTGGAAGCGGTTCTTGGCTACAGACTAGACTACAGTACACCAAAGGTTGCCCATCTCATTTCTAGTGTTCTGGCCACAGACTATGACGAACTGTTTGACATGAAGCACAAGTCCGTTCTCTACGCGGGCCTGGACTATGACGAGCAACACAATCGCACATATGAGCTGAAGCGTGAGGACATCAACATTCTCCATGACTGGGATTTCCAGACACCGGATCTCTCTGGTGTGCAAACCCTAGCCGATCTTGAACGGCTCGGTCTCAGTGACATGGGAGCATCCAAAATCAAGACGGCTCGTCTACAAAATGGAAAGCTGCATCTCGTCCTTGACGCTACTTCCATCACGCGCACCGCATCCAATCGCAATATCACCAGAACAGTCAATGAGATGGTGACGCGATTCCGAGCTCAAGACGAGCGAAGTTTTGGGTGCCCACCCAACACGGCATGGCGTGATGTCGAAGAGCACGTTTTCAAGAATGCCACACAGAAGCTCATCTCCAACTTCAACCACCAGTTTGATCTGGGCCACAAGGAGGACGACAGCATGAACATCTATGCGGACCGCAAGAACATTAGGTTCTTTGATGGGCCTGTACAAGGCGCCACCAGCAACTCGTGGCTCATTGCCGCTTTGTTTTCTGTCTACTGGTCAGATATTGCTATTATACATCAGTGCTTCCGTGGCGATGGCCTCAAGCGCAGTCCTGATGATCGCATCCGCCACGTTATCAAGCTCTACAACAAGGGTGGCAAGCGCAACAACGCCGAGGACCGCACACTGCTCGTCGACTACCAGGTGCCTATCCACAAGAACATGAAGGAGCCTGTCTACTGTCGCGCAGCCAGCGGCAATGATTACTGGCCGACTCTCTATGAGAAGGCGTTTTCCATGTGGATTCAGCGCTCAGATGTTGACCGCGCTGATGCCACGCAAACGGCATATGGTGATCCCGTCAAGGCCATGGCGCAGATTGACGGCAAGAACCCGCAGTACTTCTTCACCAAGAACCACAGCAACAGTGAAGTGATTAGTCTTGTACGTGGATGCTCCCTCAACTATAAGACGGTTAGCCCTATGTGCGCGTACACCTACCCGACAGGTAACGACTTCCGCGGCGCCAACATGGTGGCCAACCATGCGTACTCTGTGCTTGGGTGGGCAGATTACGGTGGTCGCCAATATATCGTGATTCGAAACCCCTGGGGTATTACGGAACCAAGAGGGTTGACAAGCTGCCCTGGTGTGATTGAGCAGGTCGATGCATCAATCTGGCCCCAGGCATCTATGCTGGACGCTGGAGGTATCTTGGCGGTAGACGTAAACATGTTTGATACCTATTTTGCTTGTATTGGGAGAACATGTGTATAAATGAGAGAACAGTATATCGTATCAAACATTATATTATGTTTTGCACAATTATAAACTCTGAATACAATATCTAATATTTTAAAGTCTAGAAATCTTGGCGAAAACTCGCTCAGCTTACTCAAGATAGTCGTAAGACCACCAGTCGGTCCAGACAATGCCGTCATTACCAACAACATAGATCTTATCCGGCCTCTCGTCCCTCGACGGGTTGTTAATCTCCACAATCTTGCCACCAGTATGTATCTTGTCAAGATTGCGCACACGGTCCCAGTCATACCACTGATCCACCTTCTGATACGCCCTCTGCTTCTTGAGGAGGAAGCCATTTCCTGCATGACCTAAGTTGCCGTTCCCGTTGGCTGTCGGGTAAATCTCTGTACCAGCAACCACCGTGGCTGGGAAGCATGTCCAGTTATCCCAGTCGCCCTTGATCTTCTGGCCAAACACAGATTGCCAGACGGTACTGTTCGCGTCGACTCCCGTCACGCACAAACGGCCGTACACCACGGCGGGAACAATGGTACTGCCAGGTAGAAGCTGGACATTGTCGTAATGGACGGCATTTTGTAGGTTCCAGGCGCCGTCCTTATTGCGGATCGAGTGCAGCGCAGATCCCGTGCTGCCGACAACGAAGATGTGCAGCTCGTCATGGTACCAGATTGCCGAGACGGTTGTGCCAGGCTTAGCTACCCAGCCGAGACTTTCGAAGCGATACCACACGTTGTAAGTCGTGCCTGTGGAGACAGAGACAGAGCCAGTGCGGTCGACACCGAATAGAAACGTCGTCGAGCAGTCTGGTGAAGCCGTTACTGTCAGCGGTGTTGCAGGGGCCCTGTCCGTCAGAGGGTCAACTATGAACCAGTCGCCCCATTTCTTAGTTGCTTGCTCAAAGTAGCAAGCCCAGACCTGGCCGTTCTTGTTGGTGGCATAGACCTCGAGGAACTTGTAAGTCTTGGTCCACTGCGCTGTAACCGAAGTTCGCAGAGGAAAGTCGGGCATCCGTTGACGCAGTTGTGCAGTTTCCACATGCCAGTCTCTTCGGCATCTCTGTTCCAGTTGGTATGGACAATCTGGCCGTTGAGATTGACGACAAACAAGTCAACTTGGGTGGTAGGGTTCCAGACGACAGCCATGCCCTCACCGGCTATCAGCTCCGCATCGCCAAAGCCAGTCCATGGTTGCCATCCAATGACGGGAGGCGGGCCATCCGGCGATGTCCAGATAATTGTGGTCCATTTCGAGTAGCCGTAGCCCGTGCCGTAGCTGTAGCCCGACTTGACACTGATGGTATATGTCGTCTTTGGCCATCAGGGGCTCACTGTCCACGACTCCGTGTACCCATTGTCGACATCTTTTTGGTACGCCTGTGCACCACGTGCCTAGATGCGGTAGATGAGCTTGCTGTAATAGTTGGTGTTAGGGGCATAGTGGTTCTTCCAGGTAACAGTGATGCGGTGGCCGTCCCAGTTGGTGACCTGCAAGTCCGAAGGGGCTTCTGCATAATCAGGGGACGGTAGAGCCCGCGAAGTTCCCGTCTGGCCGCATCGGGACGCCTCATTGTAGTTAATTGTGGTTTCCTTGTAGAAGTTTTTCTTACAGGGGAGGCCGGAATATATCATCAAAATTCCTAGTAGAGAGTTGGATTCCACACAGACCACTGTAGGGTGTGAGCTCTTGTTCGCATTGTAAGGGAATGTACCTTTTGGACAGCCAGTTCCTGCCGTAAGTACCTGCACGACTTTGAGCCAAGAGCAGTGCTCAAAGACCAGGCGGAGGGCTTTGAGAGTGGCCTTTAGCGTGTGCTGCCAGGTACAGGGTCCCAGCCATTACCACTTCTTTCCCATTTGGAGTCATCCTTTACACGCACCATTAGAAGCTCATCCTACGTAACCATGGCGCCGCCAATAAGTAAGGCGGATCATATTAGGATTTCAGCTCTATTTGCTGCTGGAAAATCAGATAAGGAAATATCACCTATAGTACTGCGACCTGAATCCACCATTCGTCGGCTTCGCCTCAATAGAAAACGCTATGGCACCACTCGAGCTCCCAGACAGAAATCGGCCGGCCGACCGAGGCTAATAACTGACGATATGATGCGTGTTCTCTGTGAAAGGGCCAAAGACGACTCGACAGAAAATCGAGAAGAAAATATTGAATTTTTGAAGAAACGGTTTGGTATTGAGCGGTCTCTTAGCACTATCAGCCGAAGCTGGCTTCGAGCAGGCTATCCGTGGAAGAAGACTCGCCGGGTGGCCCAGCAGCGGGACCAGCTGCTACGGAACTGGTATCTTCAGAAATTGATACAGTTCTTGTCCTACTAGTCCTTGACGAATCTAGCTGTAATATTCTCACCGCCTAACGTAACAAAGGCCGAGTGCCACGAGGAGTTAATCCGATCTCAAAAGGAATATTTACTCGAGACAGGAAACACCAAGTTCTGCCGGCTTATACACAGGATGGTGTCTTTTCTTACGAGTGTACAATACAGCGACTAACAGCACCGTGTTTGAGGATTACATAGTGGAACTGCTACAGTATTGCGGCAGATTCCCGGAACCCAAGTCCGTTCTTGTGATGGACAACGTCTCCTTCCATCATTCGAAGAGGATTCTAGCTTTGTGCGAAACAGCAGGGGTAAAAGTATTATTTCTTCCCCCGTATTCACCAGATTTAAATCCTGTGGAAGAAATTTTCTCAGAATTGAAGACATTTATGAAAAAGCATTAGAAGCATGAAGGTGTGCAGAGCTTTCGTTTGATGAATTTCTTCGACATAGCGTTCGACGCCTTGGGCGTCGCCATAGGGACGAAAAGGGCAACTGGAGGAATCTCAATGCTGAGGGCCATTTCCGCAGTTCCAGAATTAATATTGTGTACCCAAATCAATAAGAAAATGCAAACTATTCCTGCGCTAAAATATGAAATAGCAGAACTCGGCCAGAAGCGCAACCCAGCGCCAAATGCGAACCCTTGACTGCGAATTGGGTTGGTCGATATTCCGCAGGTAGCCAAAGAGAATGAGATCCATCAACCATTATCCAGTCATCACCCCCTCCTATGTTTAATTCTATATTATTTTGCAGCTTTAGAGGAGGCGTGCCGTGTTCATCTAGCGAGAATATCGCCGATGTAATCCACCGACTATGACCCTCAAGTGCATGCTTGCAACTCCCAGTCACAGCATCCCATATTTGGATTGCCTTATCATCCGAGCCAGAAGCAATACTCTGGCCATCTAGCGAGAATATTATCGATGTAACCGAATAGCTATGACCCTCAAGTACATGCTTGCAACTGCCAGTCACAGCATCCCATATTCGGACTGTCTTATCATCCGAGCCAGAAGCAATACTCTGGCCATCTGGCGAGAATATCACCGATGTAACCGGATTGCTGTGACCCTCAAGTACATGCTTGCAACTGCCAGTCACAGCATCCCATATTCGGACTGTCTTATCATCCGAGCCAGAAGCAATACTCTGGCCATCTGGCGAGAATACCACCGATCTAACCGAACGGCCGTGACCTTCAAGTGTATGCTTGCACCTGCTAGTCACAGCATCCCATATTCGGACTGTCTTATCATCCGAGCCAGAAGCAATACTCTGGCCATCTGGCGAGAATATCACCGATGTAACCTGGTAGCTGTGACCCTCAAGTACATGCTTGCAACTGCCAGTCACAGTATCCCATATTCGGACTGTCTTATCATCCGAGCCAGAAGCAATACTCTGGCCATCTGGCGAGAATATCACCGATGTAACCGGATAGCTGTGACCCTCAAGTACATGCTTGCAACTGCCAGTCACAGTATCCCATATTCGGACTGTCTTATCATCCGAGCCAGAAGCAATACTCTGGCCATCTGGCGAGAATATCACCGATGTAACCGGGTAGCTGTGACCCTCAAGTACATGCTTGCAACTGCCAGTCACAGTATCCCATATTCGGACTGTCTTATCATCCGAGCCAGAAGCAATACTCTGGCCATCTGGCGAGAATATCACCGATGTAACCGGATTGCTGTGACCCTCAAGTACATGCTTGCAACTGCCAGTCACAGTATCCCATATTCGGACTGTCTTATCATCCGAGCCAGAAGCAATACTCTGGCCATCTGGCGCAAATATCACCGATGTAACCGGATTGCTGTGACCCTCAAGTGTTTGTATGCAAGCACTCCACTCCGGACTGACTGGCGAGTCTAACGACAAGCGACCAATTCTATCTTGCTGGAAATTCGTTCTTGTCAAACTGTTGGTAGGACTGAACAGAAGCCCGGATATATATATTTGCAGCGGGGCCAACTCAACAGCAACTTTAAAGTAGCGCAAAAATCTATCTGCATCGTGGATAGTATCTCTAAGCAATACATCAGATACTCTTAACTAGTAAATATATTAGCTAATTGGGTTAATATAATAATATAAACAACTTACAGTAAGCTCTTTCAGTTTTGTGATGGATTGGACCCCTTGCGAAATTTTACCCAACAAGCTCAACGCCTCGATCCAGTATAAATACTTTTTCTGCATGAATTGATTGATTATCTCTATAATCTCAGTTTCCGTAGACAGAGATATACACTCTCCTAGATGGTCAATCCAGTAAACAGATGAGTATCCCACTGCTGCAAGTGGATCTGGATCTGGTCGTTGAATGTTCTGGAATCTATAGGCAGGATCAACTAGGTTGTAAATGTCCCGTCTCAAAACAGCCGAAAGTGAATCCAGCGAGTGTATAAAGACTTTATAGTGTACATCTTTGGGACCTGCAGGGAAGATCTCGTCACTAGCCTGATCTTTCAGAAAGTCTACCGCTGATTGATGCACGGTCGCGATGACACCACTCTTGGTAGAAATGAAAGAGCCGCACGTGTTTAAAATCTCCTGCAATGCGCCTGAATCTTCCGCCAAGTTGTTGGGAAGCTCCACTATTGATGGCAATTCGTCAATGGTAATAGGACGATATACCGTGCAGACTACTGCTAGAATCCGTATGCAAAGGTCCGCAAAGTAGGTACTATTGACTTGATCAAGCATTCGCCTGTATAGAGCTTTCAGTCCAGGCGGGAATAATCCTCTCTTTATGGTGTCTAACCCGGCCCAACAAGTGAGCCTACGAAGGTGCTGACACACAAGGGCTACCCATAAGAACGTATCGCTAGCATTGTCGGCTAGGTAGAGTGAAAGGTTGTCGTGTTGAATTTGTGTATATCCTTTCAGCGCCTTCAGCTCTCCCACTTTGTGTTGTATATATGAGTGCACTGCTGAAGATACGGAGGCAGCATTCAGCTCCAATGACAGTTGACTGCCAATGTTAGGCCGATCAAGGCGCTCGGCTATCGCTAATTCGTTTCGACTGGAGACGAGCCATTTAATACGTGGGTGTGATGCATATTTGTCAACAAGTCCCAGTAGAAGTGTTAAATCCGTTATACACTCGTCTAGCGCGTCGATAAGCAAGTATGTTTCGTCCAGTTGATCATCATTCACAATTTTATCGAAAAGCTGTGACAAGGTTACCCAGGTATTTCTACCTTCCACCAGCTTAGCGTCCTCGTAAGCCTTTCGAAGATGAGGCATGAGCGAAGGTTGCTGCTTGACCAGCATATGGATCAATCCACGCAGCACTGCTGTGCCGCTACTGATGCGTTCATCGGTTGCTTGGCAGAAAAAGTAACACACATTAACCATCCATGCAGATGCTTCTAGCTTATCAATGATGGCGCAGACAAGCATTGTCTTTCCTTTCCCAGGATCTCCTCTCAACCACAACAGCCCGTTGTCGCGCCTGCGCCACTGCTGAAAATCTTCATTAGTGAACACCCAGCGGTACGAATCTTCCAAAAGACCTCCTTTTTGAGACAAAATTCTAGCTTTATCATCTCGGGGATCTTCTTTGCTTAATGCCTCTATGCAAGCCCGATCTTCTGCCAGCTCCATACGTCGATCCATTCTGGCTGCGACTCCGAGCTGCTCTCGCATAAGCTGGACAATTTCGTCCATAGTACTTTCCAGTCGCCTTCGCGACTCTTCTGCTTCGCGTTGCATCCTCCTGAGGGTTTCCACGCTTTGCGCTGACTGGGCTTTGAAGAACTTGGTTTCTAAATCTTGTTCGGCGCTCTTTATTCTTGCTAGCGTGCCCTTCCAGTCATCATAGTTTATTGCTCCGCGAAAGAAATTCTTTGTCCTGCTGCGGTATAGGTGAATTACGCAGCGAATTTGAAACTCTATAACAAGAGAATAGAGATCAGTCAGTCGACTTGCCAGGTCTGCTCTCCGAACGGACTCCATGTCCTCTGGCAGTAGAAGCGACTCCATGGCAGCGTAGTAACGCATCTGCGAGGTAACATACGTGAAGCCAGTGCTACGAGCCTCTTCCGCCATAACAGGGTTCTTTAGCATCGGCAGAACCAGCGATACGCCGACCATGACTATAGATGCTTATGGTAAGTCTTTGACCGTGTCCTTGATATAATCCTCAGCCCACGAAACTATACCTGCTGTTTTCGCAATAGCCTCTTCAATAGTAATCTTTTGTCCGGCAATAGTTACGCTTGTCTCTTTGTCTGCCGCATGCTTTAGACTAAGTGTAATTATTGTTTCCATCTTCTGTCGACGGGCAGCTGCGTCTCCCTGGGGAATCACATTTGTAGCGTGGTCAGGATGGGGTGTCTGTACTATTGGTTCTATGAGTAATGTTAAATGTATAGCAAGATTGCTTAGAGATACGAGAGTGCTAACCTTGATACAATGACTTAGAGAGCAAGTCTTCGTATGCTTCTATTAGCTCACCATGGCTGACCTTTAGCGTATCGTACGCGTGGTCCCAAAGTGAGTCTGCCAGTGGTGCGTCATTCTCGGCTGTTACTGGCGAGGCGAGAGCTGCTGTAGTTGAATTTGCTGTTTTTTTTAACAAAGCCGTCGGGGTAGCCGTTTCAGTGGTCGTATTTCTGATGGTAGGAGCTGGGTTGTCAGATGTTCCAGGGACAGTACGAACTGACTCGATTGCGGAGTCGCTAGAGCGTGATGATGTGGCGCCATCAGGGGTAGACGGAGACAGTAAGTTTGGCAGTGTTTTTGGTGTCTGTTTGGCTTCTGGCCTCTTGAAAGGCCAAAATTTATGTTTACCCATCTTGTTCCATGAGATGGATGCTAAAAGTATACATACAGGAGGCGGCGCGGGGTATTGAGGCTGTGATACTGTCGTGCATAGGCGGTGAGGATGAGCAAATCTCATGCATACTACGGAAACAGGAAGCTGCATCTGCGCAGAATAATTAGTTATAATCTATCGTTCTATTGTTATTTTAAAACTAAAACGCTGGCTATTTAACAGTGCAATGCTCCCGATTTCTCCCACCAGTGGGAACCTGTGGGCACCAAGTGGCTCTGACAGGGAGGCTAAGATACTTGCATCTTGAGCTGGGTCTGTACCTGGGGCAAGTTTACCCACGTTTCTACTGAGCAGATATCATTTCTGACCTGTTCTATGGCATTCGCAGGCCTTCCACTTTGAAAAGAAAAGTTCTGAGGAACGGTCTCTTCCATGCAAGTTGCAATGCCAGGTGTACAATAGAGGCTCCAGGGTATGTGTAATTAAGAGGTGTAGGGGAAAACATGGTCTTGGCTCGTCATATATATAAGGCATATGGCTAATTGCCACTCAATGAATTTTGAGTAATACTGGGATTCAACTAGGCAGATACCAGGGTATTTAAGGCAGGAGATAGCAGGAGGATGTGGCTCTATATAACAGCGAGGCTAGGTTAGGTCAAGGTACCCGCAAAATGAGGGCAGTTAACCGTTTGACGGCTCTAGGAAACTCTTACCACAGTGCGCTACCGCTGGGTGTCCGTGCGCAGAACAACTACATGGTCATTTTTTTGATCAAATATTTCGGTCGCGGCTGTATGGATTGTTGTTTGTGAAGAAATAGAGCGAGTATTTATCACGATGTGGCCAGGCAACAGCGCTTTGAACTAGCAAGGTGGTTATTGGGACCACGTGCGTCTCTATTGTTGAATCCACAAAATACAAGAAAATGGAAGCTAAAAGCTATGAATCCTACAGAGCATTCCCCTAGCACCCATAGCTGCCTAGTTGCTGATTGAAAATTCACGTTGGAAATGCCACTACAGTCCTGTTAGCGAGAGGAAAGCGATCGCCATGGTGCACGATGTCTTACTAAAGTAGTATGCCCTTTCCAGGCAAGAAGAATGGGCAGACCCTCTTTGAATCCCTGTCCCTTGATTGAATCAGTATACTCTTTCACGCTGTTATATCCTCTAATCACGAGGAAGGACTCGGTGAGCTCGTCGGTTACAGCATCATGCGGCCGCTGACCAGGTAGCCAATCTGCCACCCAGCTCTCTCCGCCGTGTGCCGTTGTCTTGAAGGTGTCATCAAATTTTTGAAAATCGCTCTTGACCCTGGCTTTGAATTCGGGTGTAGCTCTTGAAACTGGGAACTGGTTGTGCGCAAACTCGACCACTGCCGCCTCTGCCGGACCACCATGGCCAAAGATGGATTCTGCGACTGGGACCTGTAGCAGAAGTGTTGATTGCCCGAGCGTCTTTTTTAGATCACTCTCAAATGTTATATATAAAGTCGATTGGGCAACATTTTTAATGTCGTTTTTCCACTCCACAATGAGCTGTACGCCAGATTGGCCTTCGATAGTTCCCACAGCTACATGAGCTGGGCCATTGGCCTGCTTCGCAAACGCAATGGCGGCCCCTAAGAGGTCAGCTTTAGAGGACTGACTTTCGGTCAAATCAGATGGCACTGAATAACGTCTAATTTCGACTGTAGGCATATTTTTGGCTGTAATGATAATGGATTGTTAGATTGTATGGTCGTTATACTTGGTCAAGAACGTAAATGTGAGCTTTGGCGGAGCAATGGCAAATTATAATGACCTCTGCCTCTATATATACATGTTTATTCCCTCTTAATTCTCCTTATTACTACAAATTAGTAGTATATATGGTTTGTAATCCGGCAATCTGTTCTTGTTGGTGTTTTGGGCATTTGTCAGGTCGGCAACTTAAGATTTCCGAAGGCCGAGCATGTTTCCACTGATGCTTATGGGCTACAAGCCTCGTTTTAGCATTCTCGGCTCTTCGCGACAAAGATTCAAATGCGAAGGGAAGGAAAAAGAAATCCTTAGTTAAGCGGAGTAATTATTCATAGGCCGCGTCTCTAGGAACTTGAACCATCTTGACTGGGGTGCTTGATTGCCTACCTAGTCTATCACCAACAAGTCGATTGGTCTATCCACACGGCGTGGAACGCTTGCCATGGAATGTAAGCAAATAATAATCAGTATAAGAAAAATGACATAGAGGAGTTGCCATGTAGACAAACAAGGTACAGTATTTACCGGCTGCTCTAATTTAGATATTTGTCTCTGCTATGTAAATCACCGCCTTGCAAATGAGGCTGAGACACCGCCTCACGACCCACAGGCAGCCATTGTGCACCTTCACGGCATAGCCTGTACGTGAACTCTTCCACATATTCACACTCTATTTCCCCCCAAGTGGCACGGCCATTTATTCTTACAATGCGTCCTTTACTCCAACGCAATCTAGAAGCTACCAACGGTGTTCTTACACTAGGTGCCGCCCCCGACCCCTACGAGTGGCGGGAGCGGCCGCCACCGCCAGCTATCGTTCGTCCTCCTAAAGCCTACATATCTCGACTTCCAGCCGAGCTATTGACCCAAGTTTTCGAACATATTCATCGTGAACAGTACTCGTACAGCTCATTTCTACAATTGGTAAGACACTTTTCTAACCCCCTTTCCACACACGGTGCTGAGGCGAGACGAGACCTAACGCATCCAAAAATAGCCATCTTCCCACGTCAATCACGCATTCTACAACGCTTCACACATATTTTTGTACCGCAAAATAGAGCCATGTGTGTCGAATTCGCCAAGGAAATTACCTCTATTGTGCAGGACACTACGAGAGAAGCCTATGCTCGGCAATCATATCCGCGAACTGAGCATCAATTTCAACGTTTATGCCTCCCTCCAACGCGAAGATTTGTCTTGCGACATGTTTGAAATGTTGGTTTACGTACTGGACCATGCGCCGTTGACTCAAAGCCTAGATATTTATTCATGCTTTTCACGCCATGGCAGCGTACTGGAGCAGTTCTTTCTAAGCGCGCTCAGCAAGCTACCGCAGCTTCAGAGTTGCCGTGTGCGTGGATATTCAGAGCCCCTCTTGTGCAGCTCAGAGCTGTATACAAGTCTAAATCAAGCGAAATGGCTAAAAAGTCTCAAATTGGATCGTTCCGACTACGCAGAAAAGGTTGCCGGAATAGAGACCCCTCCAACGACCGTGAGTGATGATTGTGCATAAAACCGACTGGTATCACCCATTTACATGAAATTTTAGATCGAGAGGTCAGGATCTATCACCGAGCTATATCTTTTCGCTGGCGAAGACAGACGAAAAGGTGTAGCTCAAATATTACGCTGGCCGAAGAGCTTAAAGCGGCTTAAAGTAGAAGCCCAAGCAGGCTACGGCTACCAAACAGATTTACGTTTCTTTTTTGAGGCACTCTCAATACAAGGAGACTCGTTGGAGGAGTTGCATATCGGTTATTTGGATGACAAGATCGGATCACACCTTGACCTAAGCCCTTTTACAGCGTTAAGGACTCTCACCGTATCTCGATGGTCGTTTCCTTACCGAGACTTAGAATTTTCGGAGAGTCTCGCGAAAGGACTTTTAGCGCCACAGCTGGTGGAATTCTACTGGAATTTCAACATGATCGAACAGACACAACCGGATTTGAGTAGTTTGACTGCAGAATCTGTAACTTGGATTCACAAGTTTGGCCTGTTTGCTGCTAAGCAAGGCGCCAAACTGAAGCGCATCAAAATTAAGTTTGAACCTCAAATAGAAGGCATTTCGGAAGTTTATACGTGGGAATTGCTCGACCCAGTCAAGGAGGATCTTGCTCTACATGGCATTGAGCTTGACTTCGATCGACCCTTTGCCACTAAGCAAGCATTTTTGGATTATATGCAGGGCATGCGTGACGACGAAGCCTATTGGGAACGAAAGGACGAGGAAGAGGCCGAGGCAGAACGAGCAAGGAAGGCACGCATGCCAAAGGATATCCTCATCAGTTATCAAGAGTGGATTAGAAGAAGTCCTGAAAATGCTGCCACACCAGAAGAAGAGGAGCCGGATTTCTCTTCAAGAGAGTTTCATCTGGTAGAAGGAAAAGATATTCGGGAATACTTTCCATTGGCGCCAGCTCTTGCGAACGACAGCGACGCCGCTGATTAGGGACCAGTAAAACGTTTGAATAACGATTATCAATGAGAAAAATAATTTAGAATTAAATATAGTATTTTTCCAACACATGTCTGCGCAAAATGTAGCAGTGTAGTGATCCTTTACAGTGGTGGGCTAAAACGGAAGCGGGGACCACCACGCCTAACACTGTTTTATACTTTTCCACCTTATGGCTACTTTGTTTCATCATCACCAACTACAAGGTTCTCAGGGTCTTACCGCTGGAATCTTATAAAATATCATCTACAGGGATGGAAGCACGCCGAAAACGGCAAAAAGTTAGCTCGGCCTGCCAGAGATGCAGGCAGCGTAAACTTGGGGTAAGGAATCTCATGTGCGCAAACTTCCTGTGCTCAGTGGCGTCTTTCCACAGATGTACAAGGCAATCGCTAGTTCCAATCGCTAACTGTTGAGAAGTGCGATCGTCAACGACCGTGTCAGCTATGTATCCGAGCAGGCGCCGAATGCATTCCACGGCATGAGTCCGGCTCCGAGCCTGGATCTGTAACGTCAGGCGAGCCTGTGCCAATCGGCTCCGATTTGTCCAATGGGCCCAGCTCGGCAGAACTACCAGAATCGAGCATTGCTGATCTCAGCTCCCTAGTACGCAGAATATCCAAGATGTTCGGTAAATAAATGGTGCTAACGGAACGACTAGATCATCGCAGCGATGAATCAAGGAGCGGCGCATGACACATCTGCCTTGCCTGGGGGGCATAAAGTTATTGACGCCGGAGCAGAACGGAGATCGTGGCGCCAGATTATAGGGTTTGAGATGCCCAATAATTCAAGGTTACATGAGCTAGTGGACAAGTTCTTCGTTTCGGTTGACTGGTTCATGATGGTGAGTGGTGCTGCAATGCATTCCATTGAGTCTGTCTAACCTGCCTCAGGTTTTCCATGAGCCTCTATTCCGTCAGCGATATCAGGCCCTGTTAGAATCCGACCAAGTAGCATACCACGAAGAGAATTTTCTCTGGTTATTTGCCGTGGTTGTTGCACTAGGAGCAAAATATGAGGCGAGGGCCACTACAGTGTCTGTCCAGCGTGTTGCGCTCGAGAAATTATCTCTCGACCTGCTAGCACAAGTCGAGGCTCGCTTTTTGAATCTTATTGGATGTGCTACGCTGGAAGCGGTCCAAATATGTATCCTTGTGGGAAGTTGCCTCCTGTTTAGTGGCCGACCAAATGTTGGACTGGGCATCTCCGCTGCAGGAGTCAAGATTGCCCAGGTGATTAATCTGCATCGTGAGAAGCGGTGGACCGACTCATCAGCGGCTGTTCTGGAGACAAAGAGGAGAACATGGTGGGCGTTGGAGGTCTACGATAAGTACGGATTCAGCCCGTCGATACATGGTTGGAAGCTAACGGTTACAGATATGCCGCAGTTGCATTTGGACGGCCCTGCACAATTGACGATGCCGACTGCAGCATCAATATGATTTCGGATGTCTTGGGAGAAGCGCCCAATCCACTTCTTATTTGTCATCAACACAAATTCCAACTGTATCGGATCATGGGTCGATTTATCGGACGTCGAAGGCTCCCGAATGACCTTCGCAATGCAAGGGCGATCCAAGAAGAGCTTACTCAATGGCGAGATCAACTGCCTAGCGAGCTACAGATGGACACATATCTCAATGCATCGGATGAAGAGCCGACATGTATACAAATGCAGGTACTCTCTCTACAGCTGACCTACGATAACTTACAGATTATACTACACAGATCTGTTACTGTAGGCGAGGGGACCAAGGTACGAGCTACGCCAGATGGCCTTTACTCGCTCGAACAGCTCCTCGAGGCTGGCATGCGAACAGCCTCACTTCACAGATTCCCTCGTATTTTGCAGGCTTCCAGAAAGACGCACGCCGACATGCATGTCGGCATCACGCTGTTTACAGCCGGTGTTGTGCTGTGTGTGATTTGCCTGGCGCAGCCGCTCTCTCCAGCAAGCGAACGAGCAAAGCAGGGTATTATGCAGATTATCAGGATGTGCAAAGATAATGCAGACAATCATAGTGCTGCTTCCAAACAGAGTGTTGCTATTCTGGAACGCCTTGTTGCGGTAGTCTTGCAGAGGGAGAACCAAGTTATCACAGGCCAAGATGCTGCAGCAATCACAGACCCAGCAAATACATTAACGACTGCACCAGAAACATACCAACTGGTGGCACAGAATAGTGAGGCGGCTACTAGCCAAGTTGTCGAACTACGCCGCTCCCAGAGGCAACCACACACAAACGAACAAAGTGAAAGTATATCGGGAACAGCTACAGAGCAAACCGGCCTACCATCTGCTGGTTTGGATTGGATGACAGATCCGCTACTCATGACGGATTTTGAATTCAGCGAGGCTAGTCAGTTATTCTTGTGGACAAACGATGCCGACTTGGACGGTTAAGGCGCTGAGTTTTGACAATCCATTCATCTATATTGTTACCGGCTATGTTTCCAGAAGACTTAGTCGTTGCCACCACCTCCTCCTCCGCTGTCACCACCGCCGCCGTCATACCCACCACCTCCATCGTATCCGCCCTCACATCCACCCTCATAACCACCTCCATATTCGCCCATTGGGACACTCTCTGGTTGCGGATCGTTGTTCCACCAATAATTATTCGTCGTATGGTGGTATCCGGTTCGCTGGCAACACCCACAGCAGCACCACGATATGAAACCAATGGCCAAGAACGCAACGACCAACGGCACTGCAATCGCGACGCTTGTAAGCGAGACGCCGCTTGATCCTGAAGATCCACCTCCAGGGCCAGCCAGCGGTGAGCCTCCTGCCGCACAGCCTCCCTTGATCGCCTGTGCGTTGACTGCTTGACCTGGTATCCAGGACGAAATCTCAAGAGGATAGCTACAGTTTGTCTGCAACTCTGGTGGTCTAGGGTTGAGGAGCGGTGTATCAGCGGCCTCCCAGTCCACGACCCATGCGTGGTGATAGAATCTATCACGGGCTGCGCGTGGCGCTGTCGCAACGGCACGAACAGATTCACATATCGGCGCGCTATAGGACCCTTGTGTTGGAAAGAATGGGTTTCCCGCCGTTGCAATTGTAAATCCACTGCGTTATGTCTTGTTAGTAACCTATCTTTTTGGCAGATAGTGGATGTCGTACCTAAAGCAGCAGGTTGCTTCTGACATTGTGTGGAGTGCTGGGTCTGCCCAAGTGTGTACATGCATTCCGTACGCGGTCCATCCGCTAGGACAGACTGCTGGACTGAATGTAAGATAGCGAGTTTCTATACCCGTAGTTTTTATAAAGTCGGGCGGCTGGCACGTCTTATCCTTGGACAGGTCGGAGAAGAAGAGCGTGTATGGAAAGTACCCCGTCATGCCTTTTCTGGACGTGGTCGTAAAGGTGGACGTCTTTGCAACTCGAAATCGGCCATTGCATTCAGAAGACGGCTTGAATTGTGTGACAAGTGGCTCGGTAGGGCTGGTCGTCGTCACAAGCGTCGTTGTCGCCGCAGTCGGCGCCGGTGTGTCTGCCGACATGGCGCTATGATGTTGCTATAATGGAATTATTACAATGATCGAAAAAGAAATGGAAGCAAAGCGAGAATTAGGGGGTCTAATTTATATCCAAATCGTACATGGCCTCCGCGCCTCGTTTAGATCGAACGCGTCTCGCATAGGCAGCTCGGATAGAAGACGCTAAGTTTGTATTTTTTTACCAGATTGGGAAATCTAGCTAAGATTTTACTTTACGACTCTAGCAATAAAAGCCTAATTTTACCGATACTCTTCCTGCGAGGCTAAAAATAGCGTCGAGGTGGCTTGGATGCGCGACTGTGGTGATTATGGACAACAATGAAGCAACGGTGTCTATACTTTAGGGCACTATGCTGACCTAATTGAACCTTGTAAGTACAATTAAGATGATATTAATTACGATCGTCAATTTTTCTATTTTACCTGTATTTATTTGTGAACTTCTATTGGTATTGGAGAGGAAGGTCTCCAAGGGAGTGTGCGCATCACGCTGCCTACCCTACGATGAAGGCGAAAGCAGTTGTAACCTTCCCAAAATCATGGATAAATTTTGAACGCTAACCAACACGTAATTTAGAAAATATACACAGATTTTAACTTTTACATTTGCAATTTCTTCGCTGTTTGTATTATCTGTTACAGGACGTTAGAAGCAATGGAAGCGAGTATCTCATGTTGAAGCGTACCCCCGCTTGACAACATTATTAATTCTAGCTAATCAAAATATCCATTTATAATATCTTCGATTTATAATAGACAGGTATAGCCACTTTGAAAGCTTATCAAGAAGATTCTGGATCGCGGGTGTCATCTCGGAGCAAGTCCGCCGGAGTTGATCAGCCCGCAAGGTGCAGCTCCGACGGAAGGGAGACGACCCCCGCCGCCACGAACTCTATTCTATCGCGATCAGCAACATCGATTGGTTCATGGTTGCTCTGGCGGGGTATGAGCGTCGCAATGAGGCCGTTTTACTATAGCTCGCTTAGCAAGAAATGTGATAACTTAGACCAAGGCGAGAAAATATAGCTCAACGTATAAATAGAGCTCCTTGGCTGTCCCACCAGCCATCGTATCATACCTTTTTCCTACCCATCCATCATTACTTCTTCCACTGATACACACATCCCATTCTAAACAATTCAATATGTCTGACGCAGCTGGAGATCGCGCCCCCGTGCCTGACCAGGCCGAATTCAACGCCTGGTTCCCCTCCAAATTCTCTCTCACACAGTACACCTCTCCCAAGACCGACTTTGACGGTGCCAACTACCCCAATGCCTACAAAGGTGGCAAGTGGAAGATCCTCCTGATTGCTACTCAGGAGCGATACCTCAAGATGGCCGGCGGCGAGTTCTTCTCGACAGGTAACCACCCCGTCGAGATGCTTCTGCCCATGGTCCACCTCGACGCGGCCGGCTTCGACATTGACATTGCCACACTCTCCGGCGACCCTGTCAAATTTGAGGTGTGGGCTTTCCCCAAGGAAGACGAGGCTGTGAACTCCATCTACAAGAAGTACGAGGATAAGATCCGCAGCCCTATCAATCTGCAGGATCTCTGGGGCAAGGACGGCTTCAGCTCCGAGACGCCGTATCTGGGTGTCTTCATCCCCGGTGGCCACGGTGTGCTCAACGACGTCCCCTTTTCCAAGCTTGTTGGCGATGTCATTCGCTGGGCTCACGACAGCCAGCGATACTACATTACACTGTGCCACGGACCTGCGAGTATGCTTGCTGCCAATGTTGGCAAGCCCGAGGGCAGCAACTTCATCTATGTTGTCTACGAGATTGTGGTCTTCCCCGACTCACTCGATACGGGGGCCAATATTGACATTGGCTATATTCCCGGAAAGATGCCGTGGCTGGTAGGCGAGGAGCTGAAGAAGCTTGGTGTGAAGCCTCTGAATGCAGGCATCACGGGCCAGGTGCACCGTGATAGATTCCTTCTCACGGGTGACTCGCCGCTGGCGTCCAATGCTCTTGGCAAGCTTGCTGCTAATACTTTGCTTGAGGATGTCGTTACGAGAAATTATTGAAGTTGGCGTATTTTCACCCGAAAACATAAAGCAAGTTCAATACACAAGTTTATATATAATTTATTCTAAACCATAAATCGAACTATTTGTTATATTTTTCTTTGGAGAAAATGACTATGCCGTTTCCATAGGCGTGGAAAGAGTAAATTTTCCTAAGAAAATATCAGGTTAGCCGAAGTTTTCTATGCGGTTACACAACTCACCGTTGTCGTCAAAGAAGGGACCCCCGTAGTATTCAGCAGCGTTGGTGCATTCATCCAGAGCTTATCTCACGAACATGGAAATTAGAACTCGAACTCCCAGAGTGTATAGTTGAAGATGGGACCAGCTCGGCTTTTATCCAGTTTATAAAGAGAATGCTCTGCTGGGATCCTGCTAGGTGAGTGACCGCATTAGAACTGCTCAATGATATCTGGCTCAAGAAAAAAGAGTAATCTTGGATGAAGCATTGAATGCAAATAGAAAATTAAAGTAAAGATATTTGAACAATGTGATTATAGCTATGGTTCGGACCCCTTTGGTAACTCGCTTCTTTCATCGTTGTGCGCTTCTGTCTCTATGTCTAGCTTTGATATGCCTGTGCCTTGGTACGGCATTTCCAACACGTCGTCGAACGCCCCCGTCAGAGGTTCTGCCTCAAAGTCAAGAATGATCTCCTCTAAATCGCTCTCCTCTCCATCATAATCATCTTCGCTTTCTTCATCTGTGTCTTGTGCGCTAGAAGCTTGCCTGGCTTTCTCTGGTGAGAGGGCTGCGTGCTTTTTCTTTGCCCACACGATGTCTCCCACGATCGGCTTCCGTGCTGAATCCAAGCCTATCTTTGTTCGTTTCAGATGCACTACGTTGTATGCAACCGCAAATATCTCCTCCTCTGTAACGGCTTTGGATGAATGATGTGTCTTTTTGTCCCCAAATGAGACCCCAGCGCCTACATCTAGGACAGGCACGGGGACACCCAGCGCTTCTGCTACAGGTACTGTCACACCGACGTGATGTTTGTTGTTGACTGATTGGCTACTCTCCCATACACTGTTGGTTGCAGTTAGGAACCCAGTGATGAGATATCCTCTGTGTCCGTGTTTCTCCCTTAGAAGCTCCGAAACGTCCGTAGCATAGAGAGAGTTTTGCATTAGCGCCTGGAAGTGTTTCGCTGGGTTTTCCAGTGTGTATTGCTTAATCATATCTGAAGTCAATGTTGTACTGTCCTTGGACTGTCTTTCTCCATCTATGCGCAAGAACTTGCTCAGCTTCGCGTAGGCTCCCGGACTTGATGCGAACTCGAGGCACTCCTTTCGCTGAGTCGAAACTTGAGGGACCGGAAGAATGGCCTCTAGTATCTTTCTCGCGTCTTGCTGCCACGGCGCATACTCATTGAGCGGCTCGTAAATGTCACCGACGACACGGCCAATCATGGTCGATACATTGTCTGCGGAGCAGGGGTTACCAAGCACAAAGAATCTCTTGTGCTGCATGCTGTATATAACGTTTGATTATGAATCTGATTTATACTGTTATTAGTTAGGGCTTGGATTTTGAACAGAATTTGCTGGTATTATTAGACCCCATCACAGGACCTGCAGATATCGCGATTTGGTTGTGCAGAGGGTAGCGAGGGCAGACGCCAAAAGGGTCAAAACACGGAACTTTAGCGGCGGTTGAGCGCATGGAAATAAGATAAGACCCTAGAAAAAGAGTCTCGTGCCGTGAGAATGCGGGCTCAGCCGCTGGGGCTTTGCAGGGGCTGAGACGGCTGAATGTGTGCGACGGGGACACCTCCATGGCCGTGTGTTCCGGGTGGGGGGAGAATTGACTGATGTCCTATTGAAATATTTCACATCAGCCCAGTTATTAGATGGGGCTTCTTCCTGATGCATTTTATACCCAGCTAGTACTTATATCCTCTTTTGTTTGTTTAGATATGTTCCTAGCTTAGCATGGATCTACAGCCAAGCATTCGCCTCGTGGCCACGGCCCATCCCGAGCCGGGTAGCGCGGACCGCACCTGGGGAATCAGGATATTTACCAGCCAAGGGGTCCTGGAGCGAACGATTAAGGATCCGTTCGATGATGTGCAGCATAGCGAGTGCCAGTGGTACCTGGACAACTACGCCCAAAACGACTCATTGGAAAAAGGGCGCGCAAACAAGATCGAATGGCAGTTGGGAAAATACGCCAAAAACCTGGCTAGTCAGCTGGATCTTTCGCTTACAGAAGGCAAAAACGTGGATCTGGAAATATGCGAAGCCGACCTAGAGGGCGATGCTTCCAAAGGAACTATCCACCAAATCTACTGGGAATTGCTGGAGGATCCGTCCGCATGGGGTCTGCAACAACTCCGTCTTTGGGTACGCAGGATGCGATCGTCTGAGCCTACGGATCTCCACCCTCAGTCGACAGTCTTCCAAGAGAAGCCTAAAATCATCAATATACTCCATATTGTCGCCCGGGATAGCGAAAACCTCGACGATGTCAACCCGATCATGTCACTAGGCATCCTTACCGATATTAATCGAGAGCTCAAGTCGAGAGGTAGCGGAGTGCAGCTAAACATCGAGTCGATCAAGCCGGCGAGCCTGAAGCAACTGTCTCGCCATCTTCTCAGCCTACGCGGCCAACATAGGAACCAAGACATTCACATTATACACCTGGATGTGCATGGAGATGCAGACATAGCTGGAGCAAATCTATATTTGGAAGATGTGAAGACAAAGCGGACGACACCACATGCGGTCGAGAAAATCGCTGCAAAGTTTAACCTAAATTCCGTCACAAGCCCCTTTCTTGTCCTCAACGCATGTCAATCTGCCGTCGCACGTCACGGCGACTTTGCCAATACGGCAAAGGTGTTTTCCAAGATCGGCTGTGCGGAGAACGTGTTGGCCATGTCGTTTACGGCGCTCGAAACGGCTGCTTCACTATATCTCCAAACATTTTACAAGCAGCTGATTTTACATGGGCAGACATTCTCACATGCTGCCTATGCTGCAAGGTGTGCGTTGCGAGGGAATAATCTGCGAGATGCCAGATTCAACAGGAAGCTGACATTGCTGGATTGGTTTGGACCAGTAGTGTACTCCAGTGTACAGGATACATCCATTGTGTCCCCCATCATAGCGGAACCAGTCGTCGAAGGAGAATATTCGTCCAAATCGCAAGATATGAATACTCCAGAAATAGTATACGGCCGTGCCTTTGACTTGAGTACTCTTGAACGAGTCCTCTTCAAGTCACGTATGGTATACTTGTATGGACACGCATGGATTGGAAAATCCACATTCTTACGATATGCACAGCGAATCTGGGAACAGACCGCACTGGCTGACTGTATAGTCTATGTTGATTTCTCTCAGGGATTTGTCCGGGATACTACAAATCTGGCAATAATCATGCTTCAGCAGTTGTCTGTTCCTGTGACAAAAGGCAAAGATCAAAGAGCGGCTGTGCTGGAGCACATCCGTAACAAAGCAAAAGTCTTGATCATCCTTGATGGTTTGCACGCAGTATTTTCAGCATTTGAGCAAATTCTCGTTCCTTTGAAAGTAGATGAAAAGGTTTCGGCTGAGTTTGACGCCTTTTTCAAACATCTAACAGATGCGTGCGACGGCGGAGATAAACAGTCCCTCATCATCTTTTCGGGCCGTTCACCCCCCCTAGCCAGACAGCGTGTAACACAGGTGCAAAGCCAGCCATTCCATCTTTCGTTCGACCCCAGATTCAGGGCAATGGAGTTGGAGGAGCTTACACCGGCAGATGGCTTACAGCTTTGTCAGGAACTCATACAGCCAGCCGATCCCACTTCTGCGAATTTTATCGACGGATATATGCTCTTCAGTAGACTTCTACTGGGGAACCCAGGCCTAATGTGTGCCTTATGCGACGAGTTTAAGCGAAGCGAAGTAGAAATTGGAGAGTTTACAAATGGGCTCCAGCAGGGAGAATGCGCCTTGTACCAGTCTCTTTCAAACACATATGCTAAAGATGGTGGCATATTCTCGGAGTTCCACGCTTTACTCCATGGCCTTGAGCTTGGTAAGCTATTTGCTCTCTTGTTTCTAGGCGGGCTATTTTGGCACCAAGGTCCCTATGTTATAATGTATAGAGACTTCCTATCGGCTCTCGGTATCTGTAATCGGGACGAGGCGGTCACTTTCGTCATCGAATTCGCCAGTGAGCGAGGGTACATCCGGACACGGAGTATTCAAAACCTTCAGCGCATCAGTTTCATTCATCCTGTATTTTCACTATATTGCAGAATTATCCTGCAAGATGTTTATAACTTGTTGACTTCGAAAGCCGACTGCATGACACCACCAGAGCCTCGCCACATAGCAGTGTCGCTCACCAACACAATGACTGAGAATTATATACGCGCAATGAAGGATCTTTCTCCACTGTTCAAACAAACAGAATTCTCAATACCATCAAATTTGAAATCCATAACGTGGTTCCTCCAAGACATCGAAGACCAGCGCACATTCTCTTTAGCAACAGAGCAAAGCGCTGGACTGGGCCGCAGAATCCAGCCACACCATCTTGCCAATCACTTCCAGAATGCCCTTACATGTATACGACTTTGTATGAGCAAATATTTGAGCATTCCGCCCAATAAGTGGCCTCTCACATACCTGATGCAAATATGCATTCATGTCTTAGCGGCTGGCACTCAGAGCGAACGTTCGCTTTTTATCCGTCAATATGACAGTCTCCTGAATCATGTTTTCAGCGTAGCACCAGAATTGATGGCTTCTGACTGGGAGCTGCAACGCTTCGCCGTCATGACAACCGTGTATATCCTTACCATGTTCCGTACAAAGAATATATCGAAACATGAGCCACAGCAGTGGATGAATCGTATCAAGGCTATCCTACTGGCGAGAAAATGTATCCATCCCACGGACGATGACACTGTATTTCTGTTAGCAGAACGAATGTGCGACATGTTGACAGGCAAGTTTGATCAGTACAATGTGGATTGGAAAGGCTTCTTCAAACAAGTAAGGGGTTACCACGAGTCTGCCAAGGATTCACTGCATGACGAACAACTTTCTGAGTTTATTCCGCGCGTTATTAACAGTGGCAGCAACGGGGTAAAGGTCGCTCGGTCTATGCTACTCAATCGCCCATATCCTTTCATTCAAGTTGCGAACAAGAAAGTTCTAGATGTTGTCATGTGCCTAACGCCCAAAACACAAGAAGAGTTAGAGGCACAGTCCAAGAATGGCAATGAGACCGGGTCACCTAGGATTGAGGGCGCGTCTCTCAATAAAGCGCCGAGTGAAACATTATTTGAGAGCGATAATTTCAAAGAGCTTCTAAGTCTCATATCAAAGACCCATCTGGACAAAGAGCGCGAAGAAATACCCATGACTGCTTTTCTAAATGGATCTATGCGTCAAGCATTTGAACAATGCCGCAATATCGAGTGCCTCAACGCCGATTCGCTCATGGGCATCTTCAAAGATGAAGCCACTGGGATGGACATGATTGAGACCGCCACAAACTCTGGAGACTGGTCGTCTGCCATCCAAAGCCACTACTATCTGATGGAATCCGCCCGCATGTCTGGCAATATTGCTCTCGCTGGGGAGCACATTTTGGAGCTTCAGCGACTTTTACAAGGCACAAATGACCCCAGGTACGAGGGCGACATTAAGCTATTCCAGAATATGGGGAATCTACTCAACACCCTCAGCAAGGCAGCCTACACTGTGAACGACCAGAATAAAATCGATACTGCTGAGTTTAATAAGCTCATGCACCAGAGCCAATCCATCTTGATGGATACCATAACAGACGAGACGCGGCGCAAGCAGGCTGCAGCCGCCTTTACCGCTACCAACGCACTTGTCCATAAAGTAGGCAAGCAAATTCCCATGATGGATCCAGAGGATTGGAACGACTTTGTCAAAGGCACCGCAGACATTGCGCGTACTGAGGACCCCACTCGTGTGCTAGGTCTGGTCCAGGAGTTAGCTACATGGAAAGGGCTCGCCATGGACGCAGCTGCGAAAGACGACACGCAAACTGCGTTGCTCTATTACACTAAGCTGGAGAAAGCATATAATGAGGACAGCGTTGCAGCCTTTATCTTGGGCCCTGAGCTCGCCAAGTCACGTTCGTTAATAACGTGGCCAATTGAATGGGGGCAGACAGTTTTGGATTGGTCAGACGCAGTTAACGCTCCAAACTTTGAACTGGCAGACAGGCTGCTTGCGAAGATCAAGACACTTGCTGAAGAGTACCGGACAAGCAGTGCATTTACAGATGTACCAGATGAACGCAGAGCAAAGACATGGCTGTATTATGAGATGTACGACTGGACACATGTCTGTTACAAGGCCTCACACCAGTACGAGACGGACCCGAGAGCAGCCTTCCGCGCTCTGGATGGTGCGCTTAATCGCACTGATGAGTTTTACAACAGCATTGCGGAACTGAACAAAGAGCAGGTAGGGCAGACAGCGGTGCTTGCAGCAACGTATCGCATGAAGTGTGCGGTGGCACTTATGGGGGGTCCAAAGCTGTGAAGCTCGCCATTATACTCTTAAACAGTTAGACGGAGCTTACTTCATATCTTGATCTGTACGTAATATGTATTTATGAAAAGAAATATACTGAGAGTTTGCCAAAATAATCCATCCTTCACAACAAAACATGTAGCATCGTTATAAAAACAAATTCCTTTAGCATCGGCGGCAAGCAGTATCAGGGCAGTAGCCGTGGCTGCAAGAGTAGCTGCAAAGACCCTTGTAGCTATCATCCTCACCGGCGAGAGGGCAGCCGTCGTATCCAGAGTAGCCTGGCTCAGCGGCAGGGGTACCGTAGGATGTGCACTGGCAAGGGCCGGGAGGGCAGTATCCGTGGTTGCAAGCGAAGTTGCAAAGACCAATGTAGTTGCCAGACTGTCCGGGGGCATTGGTACCACCATTGCATTGCTCTGCGAGTGCGTTAGTATATGGTTTAAAAGTCAGTAGAGCTAAGGATGCTTACGGCCGGGAGGAGGGCTGCTGGTAGGAGGAGGGTTGGTGGGCTTGGTAGTAGTGGGAGTCGTGGTAGGGGGAGGGTTGCCAGTCGTAGGAGGGGTGGTGGGCTTGGTAGTAGGAGGAGTGGTGGTAGGAGGAGGGTTATTGCCGCTAGTGATGGGAGGGTTGGTTCCAAGAGAGGGCTTGGCCTGGCAAGTGCTAACATGGAGACCAGCAGTCAGGGAAGCCAGACCATCGCCGACAAGGGGATCGTCAAAGCCAGCAGGGAGAGTACCGACGTAGGCGTTGAAATTGTAGATACCGCAGGGGCAGACGTTGGAAATGTCCATGAGAGAGTCGCCATCGTACACGACAGAGCCGCCACGCTTGAGAGTGAAGTGCTGCTTGCCGACATTGGCAGGGACAGTCACCAGGTTGGCTCCAGCAGGCACATCCTTGGTAACAGTCTGGCCACCAGACGTGATGGTCAGGGTTCCGGGAGAGGTCAACATGGTAACAACGTAGACCTCGTCAGGGAGAGTCTGCCAGCCATCAGGACGGCCCATGAAGTAGTTGCCACTGCCGTTGTTGGCGCCAACCATGGTGGTATCCGTAGCATCACAGTTGATGCCGGCAAGGGTGCGGCGGTACCAGTAGATGACCTGATCCTTGGTGATGAAGTCGTTGACGGAAGTAGCCTTGGCCTTGTAGGCAGCGATGAAAGGTGCGGACATGTCCAACCAGCCGTCGTGGGGCATATCGTTTGTCCACTTGGAGTTACCGTCGTCGTAGTGCTTGGAGGAGAGAGGGCCGAGGTAGTGCGACTCGCCGTAGTCGTTCCAGGTAACAAGTTCGACCATGGGGAAGCCCTGCTGGAGAACCTCGTTCCAACGGTTGTAGAGAAGAGCACCGCCGGGGAAGACCCAGTTCTTGCTGTAGGAGACCTCGGGGCCGAAGTGGGTAGAGAACCAAGGAGAAACGGGAGCCAGATAGGGCTTGCCGCCGAGCCATGACTTGTACGAGTTGTCACCATCCTCGACGGTGACAGTGTGGCCGGGAGTAGGGGCCTTGTTGTTGCCGTTGTTGTCCCAGCCAAGCCAGTTGAGGGCACCGTCGATGAGGTCGGGGCTCGATTGTCCGGGGTGGAAGTTGGGGACGAAGTAGACGTTGCTTCCAGCGGCGGCTCGAAGAGCGTTCATGTCGAGGCCGTCACCGGCAAAAGAAGAAGCAAAGACACGGCCGTCGACCTTGAGCTGGGCAGGGCGGTTGGCGTACTGGGCAATCTTCTGACCGACGCCGTTGGCGTTGCCGGGGCTCCACCAGTTGAAGTCGAAGGAGATGAAGACTTTCATGCCGTTGTTGGCGGCCGAGTCGTAGGCATAGCCGAGCTGCTGGTCGGTGTAGCCATCAACACCGATGTTGAGGGCAAAGGCGTCGATACCGGCAGCCTTGGCGCGCTTCATATCATCATCGAAGTCGGAGGCGCTGTTTCGGTCGCCGACAATACCAATCTACAGAAAGTCATGTTAGCCGATAACGATTATATAAGGTACGTCAGGTAGGGCTGCTACACACCATGAAATGGCAAAAGACCAGACGATCGGCGCTGGCGGCGCGGACCTCAAGCGGCGCGGCGCCGGGTGCAAGGGGCGAGCCCTGGACCACGGCGGCAATAGCCATGGCCAGAAGGCTGCCAGCACGGAGGGTAGAGTAGAGAGAAGGCATGGTATGGTGGTCTTAAATTCACAGCTAACTGACGAACTCTGCTGGTCCTTCTTTATTTACAGAATGTGGACTACGGGTGGTTCTTATATGCTTGTTCCATGGCCGGATAGCAAAATGCTGGGGGACTGTAATTCCTCCGTCATGCGAATAGTTTGTGAAGCTTCGCCGTGAAAAGGAATAATTACTCCAGGAATTTTATCCGAGAATCTGGGGGCGAGAGGAGCCTACATTGGCGGGAGAGTAGCCAGGAACGGAGCTTGGCTCGTGCTTGCATATGCTATTCTCCGCCGCCGTATGCGGGATAAGAGCCGTGGAAACGTGGAATAGGCCCGATCACGCGGATGAAATGGGCTCCGACAAAGCCGGGGGCTTCAGCGGTTCATCGGTGTTGACTCGATCCTTTTATTCCGCCAGGGGAGGAGAGGGTCATGACGCTGGCAGAGTGTGTCATGGCGCGTATACAAGCAAGAGTTAGCATAGTAGTAATATTTAACTGATTTATGTGTATTTTATAATTGGTACAGACGAATTGAAACTACAAAATATGGCTACCCATCCACCAAAACCAAACAAAACAAAGCATCTTGGCAAATCGGATGCATGTCCCGATGAAACGTTTCGCTCCAACAATAGCCGTGCCCAATTATTGTCGGCGGCCGCAAATATAACTCCACAGCTCTATAATGGGCCTAACCACAAACCGGCAAGGATTTACCCACGAGCGGGGTTTCTCACGCACAACCACGCTACCAACATCGCCATAATCGGCCCTTTGATCTACTACACGCCACCGGCTTACGGCTTACCCCAGAACGCCTCCCAGCCAAGGCGATTCGCGGGGGTTTTACGGTTACTAGGTATAGTACTGTATATCAGTATAAAGGGCATTATCATCCCAAGCAGCACCAACACTGCTACAGGTTTGTCTTTTTCATTGAACTATACAACGTAGCGTCCTTACGGGACGAGCCCCTGTTCAATGACTTGCTCCGCTTCCTCGTAAGGCCCGTGGGTTAGCAGTAGACCACAAGATGGAGACGGTGCAGCATCTAGCGTAGCAAGGCGAGACTGCAGCTTGCTCATAAATTTAGATTGTGCGCCACCAACGGCACCAAGCGTAGTCATTAGGGATTGGAGAACATCGCCAGATCCCAAGAGCATGCCGTCGGACCAGGCGGCTCGCGGTGCGCATGTCATGACATCAATTACACTGTCGGCGACCTTGAACAGCTTGATTTCCTGTAACAAGAAACGGTTTTGTTAGAAAATAACAGAACACCTCAGAGTAAGAGGGATGGGTGTACGTACCATGCCGTAGCCATGTGAACGAATGGCACTAGCGTCAATAGCAGCAAACGTAGACAGAATCTCCTGCCCGACTGTAACAGGGAGAAACAAGGAAAAAACAGAATCAGACGAATACGATGCAGCGCACTGTCCCAAAAGATATTCCCACGCCAGAATCCGGATCCAGTGCCTCGTGATGCACAAATCTGCTCGCTGTGTCTCGTTGAAGCCTAGACCCTGCTTCGCCTCGTCGCCGGGGTTGTAAGCGCCAATTGTTCGATTCACTGTGGGTGGCGAGTCGCCTTCTCTTCGCGGACGGCGCCGTGACGGCGACGCAATCGCAGCGTGTAAATGCGAAAACAGCTTCGTCAGACTAGCAAACGCAACGAGGTCCACGCCCTCTACATAATCTTGGCTATCCGGGATCGTATCGATGGGGTGAAGTGTCGAGGGGAGGTTATTCTGGATACAAAACGTCCTACAAGCAGTCAGTCAACCAAATTCACAGGCAGTTTGCATACTGCAACATACCGCTCCGTCATAAAAAGTAGCCAAAACGCTCGAACGTTGAGCGCATGTTCCGACAGGTCATCGGTTTTGCGCACATCCGCTTGATCTAGTCCCAAAATATGTGCATATGCAATCGCCTCGCGCAACAACAACCCCGCCGTCATCAATTTCGTCGTGTTGGCGTAGTACATATGCAGGAAAAAGGACGTCAGAAACGACGACATGGTCGCCCGCTCGCGATAGTCAAAGGTCTCGCGACGGCGCTGCGCATCCTTTGCAAAATCGTGAGAACTATGTGTCGCAAGTCGAAGCTGTGCAATTGTCGCAGCGCATACTGCCGACGCCAGCGAAAAGGCCTCTGGGTCGGCGTTGTGCGATGAGATTTGCGCAATGAGGCGGCTGATATTGACGACGGGCCATATCGAGAAGAGCCGGCGACGGAAGATTTCCAAATAGTGCAGGTAGACTTTAAGCGGGATCGGTGCCTGGTGGCATGTGAAGTCTAGTGAGAGGCTCGAGTCGTGGGATATCGCGGCGACTGCAGATTCGTCGCTACTAGGGACTGCGTGTGTCGAGGGGGTCGCCGGGGTCTCTGCCACAGGGACAGCATGCACAATCGGTTGCTGCGGTGGACTTGTGCTTTGTGTTGGCGATGTTTTATCTACCTTGGGGATACGCGGGCCCTTTGGTCCTCTCTTGCGACGCTGTTTCTGCGTGACGCACTCGAGGCATCGCTTCTGGCACTCGCGACACGGCCGCTGCTCGTCACACTTTACTCTCCGGAGGACGCAGACATCGCAGGCGGCCTGGGTCCTGCGTCTGCTGATCTGGGTGGGCGGTACATCGACCATCTGCGGCATTGGGGAAAAGGACGACAAGAAAAAAGGTGGAGTGTTTCAGGGTCCCCGTCCAAAGGAAGTGTTGCAGAAAGAGGAGAGCATGAGAAAAGGGCTGAATGGAATAGCGAAAGGAAGGGAAAAAGAAGGGTTTCCGGGACTTGGGAATTGCATTCATGGGCGACCGGGCCCCCCGCGATCGTCAGGGCGTGGGCCAGAGCTTCGGGGCCTCCCATTCTACTCTACGTACTGTACTTTTCTCTCCCCGCAGTCGCTGGCTAGCGTAGTAGCGCCGAGAACGTGGGCATGTAGAGTACCCGCAACAAGCCGACGGACGGGCTGACTGGGTTTGAGGTTTAGAGTGTTGGTTTGGTGGCGAGCATCCGGCCCGATTGTGGTGAAGCCATGGCGCTGCCTTGCATGATGTGGCAGTTCACGATTTACAAGCACTGCGATACAGAGATGTGAACTACATAATTCGTCAATTTTCAGAGTATGAGAATTGATGGCTACGGTGAGAAGAGTCGTGATTCTTGAGCGGGATATGACTCGCCGGGCCAGTAATATTTGCCGGCAGGCAGCGGTTCATATCCATAAATGTGCGGCTTAAAAGAAGATGAGGCCATATAGGTGTAATAGTACATCCCTAATATCAGTAAAACACCGTTTGAATATGCCGAGAATACAAACAGGGACTGGCCGATCGGCAGCAGCTGCTACTCGTAGGTTAATTCTATGCATGTGTTTATTTCTTTGGTACAGTACAACGGTACATGTTGAATTCCGGCTAAAGTCAAACACCCATAAGCCTAGCCGAAACTGACCCCAACAGTGGCAGAGACAAACTGACATATATTTAATCTCGTGTAGTCTAGTGGGCCGCCTACTGCTTGCTTTTTTCTATCAGAATTGATGAGAATACAGAATGTATGTCTGATCAAAGGAACTGTAGAGTGGTTGGTTGTTGTGCTTTGTCCCGAGAGCCGCTGTAACCTTGCGCATTGTTGACAACGCTTCGGCAAGACCGGCTGCCACCCTACAACCACTGCAACTGAGTACAATATGTACACTACACTTTGTTTGTAAGGGCAAAAAATTGGTTCACATAAGAATCATATATAACTTTATTAAATGATTCATCGCGATTGATTTTTTATGTGTTTTTAGTAGCTATTATATATTATCTCTCTACAGAGCGGTTGTAAATACTGTCAGCAGTATTTCTTGGTAGGACATGCAAGGAAACCAACTTAAACATCTTCATACGTTTTTTTTATTAAAAAAAAAAATAAATAAATGGAGAAGGGAAACAAGTGTCACTAGAATAACAATAATTGCTAATAATAATAGATGAAATTATTCGGTCTGGATAATTGGTGTTACGGCCACTGCAGGTAATGGGCTAGCCGCGCTACCTGCACAAAGCGCCTAGTCTATGGCAGCTACACTCTCACAACGCTGTTGCGGTTGCGACATATGGACCACAAACTTACATAAAAGATGTAAAAAATGTGGCAAAAGCCACAAATGCATTATTTGTCTATACTGGCAAGCCATGAATGTACTCCGGATTCTTCGTAGCCAACCGTCTGAGCATGCCGAGACTGTACTGGACAATGATCCAACTGTGGCTTGTCAAAAAGAAGAACCTGTGAGCAATAGTACAGCAACTCTGCAGCAGCTAGATCGTGCTCAACAGACATTCTTCAGCCTCATTTATTGTCTTTATGCATTCACTCTGTCATCCGATTCGTGTTTACCCTCGCTTAGCGAACAGTTGCCCAATTGAGCGGCATCATAGGCCCACCGCGCACCGATGCAAATGATGCCGGTTAGCCGGATCAAGCAAGGCTACAGCGCGCTAGACGCATCCAGATCTGCACGTCTTGCCAGCCCCAGGTGCTTTTAATTGCGCGAAATATACAAAGGTTCTACTGTTTTCGGATGATACGGCAGGGTGTCGTATTGAGACGAAAAAAAAATAGTTGCGATAGACAACGGACGGCAGTTTTTGAGGCATAAGTACGCTTGCCTTGCCTGCCCTCTGGGGAAATTCCTTTTTTATCAATCTATTTGCTACAGCTTTCCCCACCAAAAACGCACTGTAAGATCGCAAGCATGGTCAAAGCTACCGCTGCTGCTCTGCTAGCTGTGGCTGGCATTACTGCCAACGCCGCCGACATCGCCAAGATTTCGGGTCTCTGGGGCGAGCTTTCCACGTACAAGGATAACGCCGCCGATGCTTTTGGCGTCCAATATGTTGGCTTGCCCGACGGGTGCCAAGTAGTAAGCCAGCAGCGCCTTTTCTACGCCGCACTGAGCGCCTCGTTGCTAATCTCTCCATTGCCAGGAATCCGTGAGCACACTGCAGCGCCATGCGCAGCGCTTCCCCGACAGTGTCGATGGCAAAGTCACCGGCGGCTTTGCCGAGAAGCTGGCCAATTTCACCAAGGCGAACAAGAATCCCGGATTTACAGGCCCTCTTGCGTTCCTCAACACCAACTCGTACATTATGAATGGGACGGGCTTGCTGACCGGCATCGGGGCGACGACTGAGTTTGCGCGTGGTGTGGCGTTCTGGAACCAGTATGGAAGGACGCTTTTCAACGCCTCTGTAAGCCAGCTGCAGTATGACTCTGTGTTTGCCAGCAACGGAAGCACGCGGCCCAAGGTGACGCTGCGCACGACGGGCCAATCGCGCATCGAGAACAGCCAAATCAACTGGGCACTTGGATTCTTCGGGCCGTCGTTCAACTCGACACCGTACCCTGAGCTCACGCAGTGGACAAGCCCGTTTGACGTGGTCATTATCCCCGAGGGCGGCACGGAGAACAACACGCTCGCATCGTACGACAGCTGCACCAACGACAACAGCGACGACAATGGGCTCATTGCTAGCCGCCACCAAGATGCCTACAAGAAGATTTATCTGCGGTCCGCGGTCAAGCGGCTACAGGCCCATGCACCGCAGGGTTTCAACTTTACTGTTGATGATCTGTATGCAATGCAAATGACGTGTGCTTACGAGCATGGATACATTGGCATGTCGGACTTTTGCAATGCCTTTACCGAGCACGAATGGGCAGGCTTTGAGAATGTGCTCGATCTTCAGTGTAAGTTGCCTTATACAAAACCGACAAATGACAGGCCTCTGAAACAGGCTGCTGCTGCACGCACCGTTTGAATTTGCTGACTTACTGACAATCTCAAAGACTACTACCTCTACGGCTATGGCAACCCGACAGGCCGTGCTCAGGGTATTGGCTATCTGCAGGAGTTGATTGCGCGTCTGCAGGGGACGTACATTACGTCGTCCAACTCATCGGTCAACTCGACCTACGACAACAACGGCAAGACGTTCCCGCTGCACCAGGACATCTACGCGGACTTTTCGCACGATGACATCATCATCTCCGCGTTGACAGCCATGTCCATGGACTACTTTAAGGATGCGCCCACGCTGGCCAAGTTCCCACCCAGCACCGATGGCCACTTTGTGCTGTCGCGCTTGACGCCATTTGGCGCGAATCTGATTACCGAAGTAATTGGGTGTGCCAGCAAGGACCCCGAGGCCGAGTTGCACCCGCGCGTGCAATACACGCCGACGCAGCACGGATACGACGCGGGCAATGCGGCGCACAAGTTCATCCGGATGCGCCTCAACAGCGGCATTTTGCCTCTGAACTCTATCCGCGGTGGAGCATGCGGCGATCATACGACGGGGCGTCTGGATGGGCTGTGCGAGATGTCGGCGTTCCTGAAGAGCCAGGAGAAGGCGTACGAACTGAGTAACTACAACTATGCGTGCTTTGGAAACTACACGCTGCCTAGTGGCGGCAATTCGACTAACAAGGCGATTGACTATGATGGCACGATTGTGCAGGGCAAGCAATACTAAGCGTAGTTAGTTAGTGCAGCGCTTTGTACCTACTGTAGTTAGCTAGCTACTGCACTTAATTTCACCTCCTCTCCGAGTATTCCGATTCACCGCAAATAACAGAAAAAAAAAAGACGGCCAACTTGCATTCCGGACCCCTGGTACTGCAGCGTAGCATTGTAATTGAGCCTCATAAAACTGGGGATATGTGTGCAGGATGACTGTATCCCAAGAAACGTGGGAATAATACTGCATATGGTGGAAAACGCCATCTTTTAACTACATCCGGCACGTAAGCGAAGTGATAGATGACAGCCCCCCAGCCCAACGGTTGAGCTAACTGCTGGCTGTTTGTTTGCTGCTGCTGCTGACATCTGCTCCGACTCCGGGAACTCGTACGTCTTGGCTAGCGCTAGTACCAAGATACGGCGGCGGCGCTATGCGATTAATTGTGGACAAGCCAAGCGGAGTAAAAGTATTGGGATATTCAGCTCGCCGCCGCCTGTCATCCTCACGGACTGCGCCACCGAGGGCCAGCAATAGTAAGAGTGTCTCTTCTTGGCGACTCGGCGAGCAACTATTACTCCAAGTGTGAATATTGGGAACCAGTGGTTATAGCTCTCTAAACAATGCTTAAAAAACAAAAAGATAAGGCGCACGCGATTCAGGAACCATAGGGCAGGAAACACAGCATTTGCATCGATGCTCACCTCTGCACTGTAACCCTAAACCGTTCGCTGTAACCCCAGCCAAGCGGCAGTTGATCACGGTGGATGAGCCCGCTAAACAGAGTCAGCTTCAGGGGGGCACCACTCTCATCTGCCAAGCCGACGCTCGCCCCTCCCCCCCGGAGTCCCCTGGGCCCCGCCACTGTCAGCAGCAGTTACAGCAGGCCAAAGTCGCCGGCGCACGCCGGAGGACTCGGGGCCATCAGCTGTCCTAGGCGGCCACTTTATCCAAACAGGTACCAAAGTAACATAGATAAATACCCAGTGCCGCTCGCTCCCTGGTCGGATCATCTTTTTGCTCTGTATCTCCAAGTTACTCTACTTTACTCTGTTTTAACTCTTCCAATTTCTTTCTTTTCAACAACCGCCAAAATGCAAGTCACTGCTCTCATCACCTTCATCGCCGCCTTTGCCGGCATTGCTCAGGCCGTTGCTTGTAAGTGGAAACCAACTCTAATGCAGTGTTTGGCCCCCAACACGTTGCACAAGGCACAACACGCATGCTGTACAATGTGCTAACACTTTCTATTTTAGTGCCTCCTGTCGACTCTTCCATCAAGCGCGATGCTCAGTCCCCTGACTGCGGTCACTGCTAGAGGGCTCTAGACTTCTGAAAACAGAAAAATGGTTACTCGCAAACCGATCCTACACGCGCGCGACCGTGTATAGAAAACAATTATAGACAAGGCGGTCGCAGCAGCGTGGTGTACGGCGGTTTGAAGGACCAGATGTTGCAACAGCTGTAGCAGCATCATGTACTATTACAATGCTCGTTTGTATACAATCGGCGCACATACAAATAGAATACCAAAAAAATTTGAAAACTATAATCCGAATTCTCATTGTTTTAAATAATGTGCAAGCATCAAAAGTACTTGCGGTATGGTTGCGACTGCGCAACGTGGGCGTCCGCGTTGCCATGCGCTGGAATAAATGAGGATTCCCAATCGGGCAGTTCCGAGCATAATGTGTGTCATCTGCCACCACAAATGGTAGTGCCGCAGTTTTCATATCCGTCTCAGTGTAGTTTGGCATTGTGAACAAGAGGAAGAGTATGTTTGGAATAGAGATAACTAGTTCTAATATTACGAGTGTGGAGTGGTTTAATGATGGAACGTTGATCATTAGGCGCCGTCTAGCTTGGATTAAGAGAGGAATGGCTGCTGTCGCATGCTATATAGCGGACGCATGGATATGTACAAGAGCTTAATGCTCAATTTTGAGGGAAAAGTCGACATGTGGTACACCTTGGTGAATTGCGCTCGTAGAGATGATGTCGATATCTACAAGGAGATAATTGTTAGCATGCTCTTACACAATTAGGGATCTGTACTTACCATTGCAGACGTACGCCTCGACATTCTCCTTCGAGAGTCCGCCGGAAACCTCAAGCAGAAAGTGTTTCTTGCCCTGCCAGCGCTCCTTTAGATTCCGCGATGCAATCTTGACGCCATCTCCCGTCAAGTTATCCAGCAAGACGATATCCGCTCCCGCCTCAATCGCCTCATCAGCCTCTTCCTCCGATTGAACCTCCACTTCAATCTTCAGGGAGAAGCCAGCTACAGACCGGGCTGCCACAATGGCTTCAGTAATACTACCTCGGCTCCAGATATGGTTATCCTTGAGCATAACCATAGAGCTTAGATGCATGCGGTTGGCGTCCGCTCCCCCGACAAGCATGCCATACTTCTCCACGAGGCGGTAGCCAGGCGTTGTCTTGCGGGTGCCTGCCACTATACCCGTATAACCTGCCTTTCTGCATACGTCGACAAGTTCGCGGCTCTGTGTCGCAATACCTGAGCAACGTGCCAGCGTATTAAGAGCGACGCGCTCACCGAGCAAGAGGCCGCGCGCTGGGCCCGAGACTGTCGCAATCTTCATCTTGCCGCCGGTGGCAATCAAATCGATCTGATCGCCCTCGCTTGCGTGCCATTCGACCTGGCATCCGCACTGCGCAAACACTTCGTCAACAAAAGGGCGACCTGCGATGATGCCAGCTGATTTGCCCCAGAGCGTGGCCTTGCGAGGCTGTTCTCCGACCACAAAGCCCGCATAGTCGCATGACGGGGTGTCCTCGTCGAACCAGACCGTCACCTGTGTCTTCCAGCTTGACGGTAAGAGATGAGCAAGGTTGCCCTGTTCCAATGGGGTTGTCATGTTTGGTGTGGTTGGTTTGGTAGTTCCTTTGGGTGCAATAGCCGCACCGCATGCCACCAGGCTCAGTCATATATAAAATACTTGAGTGTCAACGACGCCCTCCGATATTGGAGATTGGAGGTGACGCTTGAGCGAAAGCCGAACGTGTCCGACATCCAGGTGCTCTATGTATCCACTGTGCTGGGCTACGGCGAAAACCCATCCAGCAGTTGACATTGATTCGACTATGAAACAATGGATACTGTCGCTAGAATATTGTATTGTAATTTTCTTCACAAGAAGCTTGCGTAGAACCAAACTCACATCATTTTTCTACTCGCAGAGAGTATATGGTGGAATAAAATGTCTAATCGCGTATAAGAGAACGCTCTACATCTACACCGTGACGCTTTCCGATTTGCCTGATTTGGATCGAGTTGTGTAGTAAGTGGCGTTGAGGGTGAGGCTCACAACGGGTGGTGTGGTGGGTTTCATGGGCCATGCCGAGGCTGCTCTCCAGCTGGGCGATGCCGGCATTCCACCTATCGTCACCGTCGAAGCCGAGGATGTAAATATAAATGGCCATCTTGTCTGCCTCATTTAATATACATGATATTATTTTCCATTGTTCCGAACACAGGGAGACTGTTCAACCTGGGCGCACTACAACCATGGGCCGACTGCCATACCCCAAGTTCCACTCGGAGCTGGACTCACCCAAGCACGAAACACTGAACGTGTTTAAAATCCTCTCGTATAGCCCAAGCACTGTCAACCACTGGATCAACATAGGTCATGCTCATTTCAAGTCTCTTTCTCTGACTAAACGTGACCGCGAGCTGGCTATTTTTCTGAGTACGGCCAAGTTCAAATCCACATATGAGTGGACGCATCATCTCGCTGGTGCTTCTAGAGTCGGTATTACTAAATCACAGTTGGTTGAATTAGAAGCAGCAGGATCAAGTACCCAATACTTTGGCAGCCGCAAGTTCCGCGCTGAGGCTGGCTTTAGTGGGCGAGATGTTCTTCTGCTTTCCTTGGTTGAGGCCATCATTGAGCACCCACATGTCAGCGATGATCTCTGGGCAAACGCAAAAAAGGTCTTTTCTGAACGAGAAATCGTTGAGCTCATCTCTATACAGGTACGTCTCTCGTTTTGGACAGGTTGTCTCCGTGGCATGTAAAGAGACTAACTGTGTTTTCTCTGTAGGGGTTCTACTATACCCTGTCTCGTCTAACGACCGTTGTGGATATTGATCTAGATGCGCACGCCAAGGCGAAGCTCTGAGTGATTGTCAAGGAATTAGGGTGATTTTGAGTCGATTTTTCTACATTTTAGGGGCTAAATTATAGCACATTACCACGTATGCATATTAATGTGCGTTGTATTTTATATGCTCTTCTGCCACAGTGTATGCTTGTCGCCATCGCCCTTCTCTAGCGCGTTGATCATCGGTGGAAGTATGGCATGACTATTTTGTTAGAAAAGAAGCAGGTAGGCTGAAGAAATGGTGCGACATATAGATCCTTTTATATATTTCAAGTTATAACAGATCACCTGTTTTCATAGGTTCTGTTTGGTGTATTGGCTTCATCCAAGTAGTTCTCTGGATAACTCGATTCATATAGGCGGGCGTTGAGAAAAGGTATCTCTAGTATGCACTAATACACTCCATTAAAACTATAAGCTGGAATAGGAAATAATACTGAAATACAAAATAGCTGACCCAGATTATCTGGGGAGACTAACCGGAATACCATCTGGTATATCGGATAGCCTTTAACAGAACGCCATGCCGCCGCCTACCCGACAGCCTCGTCCTAGTGGCTTAATGGAGATGGGAACCCCTAGCCCTGACGTCGATGACTGCTTGTGCATTCCACCGCACCTCCAGATATGAAGCCCCCCAAAGGCAAGCCCATGGGTTCTGCACGCTTACAATAGTTGCATCCTAAGTCAAGTATAGAAGGTGGCTTTTCGCCACGGATCCTCTACGATAAGCCTCTCTATGCAGATGCGGCAGGCCACTGTAAATTTATATTGTACTTTTGTCAAGCCTCATTCAGGCTGCCATTGGTCCTCCATCGTCACAAATGGCGGTAACCCAATAACACATTTCGGCAGTACCGAACAACTCGGCCGATTCTTTCGACGTAAGCAATGAGGCAGGATCCTCATGAGGACGGTAATCTCTCCATCCGGCGTGCCCACCGAGGCAAAATCAGGGTTTTGCGAGAGAAAGGAAAGGTGTGTGGTAGCAGTGGGGAATAGCGCCGGTGGCGTTGCGAGGAGGCGCTAATTGGCTTTGCGCGAGTAAGGCTCTGGTTTCAAACAACTTTGTTGGCCGTCTCCGATTGTGTGTGCCCCTCTCACATTCTCCAGTGTATTGAGTTACTGGCGATATTGTGCCTGGGAATCGACAGCTTAAACAAAGTACTGCGTCTGTTGTACTCATCCGTAACTGTCGACTGCAAACGCGGCTGTAGACTCAACGTGCTGAATGACAAGGTCGGTCCGCTACCACGGTGAAGTTCCATTGGGCGCCTGCACTAACCAGCAATATTGAGCCTTGCCCCCGCCGTCTTTCTCCTCTTTGCTAGCGTCCGCCACACCAGCAAACATGCTGCATCCCCGCATGATGCCTGAAACACGCCTCCCACGGGCAGCGCGCGAGCTTCGGTGTGCCCATCGCGATCATCTGGGATGGATTTCACCTGGTTAGTCGCGCTTCTGTAGTAATAACAGATATGTTATATGATGTTGCTGGTGTAGCTCTACGAAACTATAGCTACTAGCACAGGTACGGGGGTATCACAAGCGCTAAGACGTAAAAGAATCCATCACAATCCCAACCGTCTTTTGCAGACGCTAGGCCAACTTGGCTTCCTTCGTCCCCCCAAAAGTTCCCTTGTGGCGCGGCCTCGGTGCCACGAGATGCGCATCAGCGCCTTGCGATTGGCGCCGCCCCCGGCCATAGCACTCCATTTTGGTCCACCATTCATCGGGCCCATACCCCGATTCAGTGCTATAGGGCACTCTGCGACAAAAGCTCACAGCCTGATGCATGCTGAGACTAATGTTGGTTGGCCGCTGTTGGCCGGCGCTCGGTCGTCTGGTCTTGCCCTCTGTGCTGTTGGTTCCTGTCTTATTAGACCCTTTCCCCCTTCTCCGCAGAGTACACAATAGTAGCATGCGCCTCTTCCAGTCTTGAGATTTGTTTGGAGGTTTGCTGGTTCCCGGACATCACAAACAGGGGCCGTTTGCTCCTTTCTTATCATTGAGCATTGCTTGGGCCCTTCTCTGCCAACCAACGACTCCAAGTCGTCATGGCTACCATGTCGTCTGCGCTTCGTCGCAGCTACGATTGGGAGGCCAATGACAATTCATGGGGACCCCAGAATGGCGACAATGCCGATTTCACCTTGGTCTTTGAAAATTCCATCTTGGCCATCCTGCCCGCTGCCTTTTTTCTGGTGATCTTGCCTATGCGCTTGCGGTACCACTGGAAGAAACCCAAGGTAGCCATGGCCGGTATACTCTACGGGGCACGTGTTGTAAGTGGTTTCCTCTTTTAAACGTCATCGATGACGAAAAATACTAACTAATTCGTGCAGACCGTCACACTGGCTATGCTTGCGCTTGAAATCGCAAAGGCTGTCACTTGGTGTACGCGGTACAATGACTCGTCGCTTGCCCTACTGTCTTCGACGTCCATAGCTGCGGCTATTCTCGACTCGATCTCTACACTTGGAGTATTGATGGTAGTGCATGCAGAATACTTCCATGCGCTGTACTCTTCGTCTTTTCTTGGCGCTCACCTCTCGCTCTGCATCCTTTTTGATGCTGCCAGAACTCGAAGCTTTTGGCTGCGACCTTCTTTTGAAACTGTGAGCTACCTCTCACTGGTCATTACAATTCTCAAGTTTGTTCTTGTTGGACTGTTAGAAACCACCAAACGGCTCAATCTCGAGCGCGACGGCAACAACAAAACCCCGCTCTTTGGCGAAGCCAAGGGCGGCTTCTGGAGCAGACTCACCGTTTTCTGGGTCAACTCTACCCTCATCACGGGCTTCAAATACCAATTGACCGTCGCAAGACTAGGAACACTAGGCCCAGACTACTCGGCTGCTGAAATATCGGCACAGATCGCCCCGTTTTGGGATGCTGCGGATCAGACATCGCCAAACGCCCTGGCTTGGGCGGCGTTAAAAGGATTTTTTTGGTCCTTTTGGGCCGCTGGAATCCCTAGAGGTATGCTGAATGCCTTCAAGTTTATGGCGCCATTTGTGGCGCAAAAAGTCATCGTCTTTCTCACAGATGATAACCCTCCGAGTTACGCGGCAGGAGGGTTGGTTGCCGCCTCTGGTATGGTCTACGCAGGATACACGGTGAGTGACACCATCACAAGATCACTGTGTAACATGACTGAAGCTAATGGTTTGTCAGATGTTTGTAACAATGGAACAATATTATATGAATCGTCTCGGGACGAAGATTCGTGCCGCGCTTGCGACGCTGATCATCAGGAAGAATCTTCGTTTGAGCCATTCCAAGGCTAAAGAAGCAGCAGCCATGACGTTGATTACAACAGATATTGAAGCTCTTGTTCTATCGATGCAGCTGATACACTCACTATGGGCCTCTATCCCATCGCTGGGGGTGGGCTTGTATGTGCTCTGGATCTTTATTGGCAAGTCATTCTTCGTCGTGACCTTTCCCGTATTCCGTAAGTTCAGAGTGCTATGGATAAATCCTTCAACTTTCTATTAACATGTATAGTTTCACTTGGCCTTTCCACGTATTTCGGAGCATTTATGGGACCAGCTACCATTGCATGGAACACGGCGGTACAGAAGCGTGTCGCAGCTATGAACGTCACTCTCAACCATATAAAAGGCCTTAAGATGATTGGTCTCGATAGGGTGATGGCAACCTACGGTCAGGGGCTTCGTGATTACGAAGTCCAGGTTTCGAAGGGTGTTCGTAAGCTTCGCTTGTGGTACAATGCGTTTGGTAATTACCCGTGGCCCAAACTTCTAATATTGGTGAGCTAACTATTGATAGCCGGGATTGAATGCTGGGGTACCGCTACTTTCCTGATGTTGGGCGGCACGGTCTGGACAGTTTGGCGTGATGGTATTGATAATGAGACGGTTTGGCCTGCGCTCGCGTACATTGATCTCTTGACCGAGCCCATCTTTGTCCTTTTCAACATCTATCCTCAGCTCACTGCCATGTTAGGCTGCTTCCAACGCATCCAGGATTTTCTAAACACGGCTGAACATGTCGACTCTCGGCGTCTTATGCAGCAAAGTGAGGACCTTAACGATGATAAAGAAACAGCCACCTCTACTGTCGCCATCACGCTGTCGAATGTTAGTGTCAGAGGAAAAGATGAGAAGAACAAAGTTTTGAAAGATCTTGACTTTTCCATCAGTCAATCTGCTCTTTGCATGGTAGTTGGCACCGTTGGCACCGGCAAAACCGTCTTCCTCAAAACATTGATAGGCGAGACGGTCATCGACGGGGGTACGTTGGATATTTCAACCAAGTACTTTGCATACTGTGACCAAACAGCATGGATGCCTGATGAAAGCATCCGAAATGTCGTTGTCGGAGATTGTGAATACGAAGAGGGTCGATACCGTGAAGCTGTCGAAGTGTGCAGCCTGTCCTACGATATCTCGCAGTTCCCAAAACGTGATGAGACACTTGTTGGTCACAACGGAGCCAGCATGAGTGGTGGCCAAAAGCAAAGATTAGTATGTGCATTTCTTTCTTTTTCTTTCCTTATAAGAGTCCGGCGCAGCTAACAGTCTAAAGGCACTTGCCAGAGCAGTGTACTCCCTCGCCCCAGTCGTGCTATGTGACGATATCTTGAGCGCGTTAGATGCAGTTACATCTGTTGCTGTTTTCGAAAACGTGTTCGGCGCCAATGGCATCCTGAAACGACAAAATCGCACTGCAATTTTGGCCACTCATTCGGGTAAGCAACGAGATGCGTATTTGAGACGCGAACCACGGCTGCTAACAGGTCATAGTGCAATGGCTCACCTCTGCAGACCAAGTCATCGTGATGGAAAATGGTACTGCGAAACCCCTCTATGATGAAAATACCATTCTAGAGTATTCAAAAACGGCGGTGCTCTCTGCACACCGTGACACCACCCAGGATGATGATGAGGCCGTCCAGGGCCGCAATGATAAGCTCGAGCTGGAGATTGCCAAAGCCGCTCAAGCGACCCGCGGCAGTAATCCCAAGCTGTATTCTTACATGCTACAAGCTGTCCCTCGATGGCAAATCATTGCATTTTTCTGCGGATTCGTCCTGGTTGCCCTTTCCGAGCGGTTGCCTAGTATCTACGTCCGAATCTGGGTTGCCGTTGCGCCCAAAAGCAAACTCTACTTGATTGGTATGGCCGCGTTATGGTTGGTTGACATGCCTCTCTGCTATCTAAATGGCTACCTCTTTCAGTTGATCATGGCTCCTGTCATAGCGTCGAGCTTGCATCGCAGGTTCATGGAGGCAGTCATGGCGGCTAAACTAACATTTATCACGGCTACGAGCAATGGTGGACTATTGAACCGGTTCAGCCAAGACATGACTCTTATTAGTCAAGAGTTGCCTTCTGCATTCGTTGGTGCCGTTTATTCGTTTAGCTTCATGTTTTTCAGCGCCATCGTCATTCTTGCTGCGGGACAGTACTCTGTTATCTTCATCATTGTCGTCCTTACTGGATTTTATCTCATCCAACTATTCTATCTCAAAACGTCGAGACAGATGCGTTTGTTAGATATCGAGGCAAAGACTCCCCTTTTCACCAGTTTATCCGAAACGCTTTCTGGTATTGAACATATCCGCAGCTATGGTTGGCAAGAGGATGTCATTGAGCGCTGCATCGGGTACTTGGACCATTCCCAGGTGCCATTTTACTTTATGATGTGCATTCAACGATGGCTATTTCTGGTGCTCAATTGTGTGGGCACTCTGCTATCGACTGGCCTGACAGCCATGGGAGTGTACTTGAGCAAGACTACCAGCCAGCCGTCTCTGGGTCTTGCGTTGGTAGGCATTCTACACTTTAGCATTTCTGCGAGCAGATTCGTGCAGAAATGGACTCTTCTTGAGACATCCCTTGGTGCTATGGCTCGCACCAAGACCTTTGAAGAGGAGACGCCGACTGAGAAAGATGAAGGCACATCGCCGCCACCCGCTAACTGGCCAGCGAACGGAGTGATTGAATTCACCAATGTCAGTTCAAAGTACAGGTGAGATCATTTCTACAACTCATATACTTCGAATCCCACTAACAGAATAATTAGCCCTGAAGAGTCGTCGCCGCTGATTCTCAAGAATATCTCATTGAAAATTGAAGCCGGCAAAAAGGTTGTGATCCTTGGTCGCACAGGTAGCGGAAAGAGTACTATGATTCTTACGCTTCTCAACTTCCTAGAGATGCAGGGCTCTATCACAATCGACGGTCTTGATATTTCGAAGGTTACACACGGAGACTTCCGCAAAGCAATCACAACTATTCCCCAAGACTCGGTCGAGATTTTGGGGACCGTTCGAGATAACCTCCTGCCGTTTAGCATGTTGCAACGACTTGAGTACACAGTGGAATCCGGCAAATTTGGAGTAACGAAAATGACAAAGAACGATATCACGCAGTGGTCCACGTACCGTTCTGAGGAACTGGAGACGGCGCTGACCCAGGTTGACCTCCTTGCCCACGTTCTAAAAAACGGTGGCTTGGACACGCCGATGAAAGACATGCATTTCTCGGCTGGTCAGAAACAGCTATTCAACTTGGCGCGCGCTATCTTACACAAGAATGATACAGGCAGCCGCGTCGTGCTGATGGATGAAGTAACGAGCAACATGGATTATGAGACGGATGTGAAGATTCAGGAGGTCATGGATAAGGAGTTTGGCGATTGTACGCGTATCATCATCTCCCACCGAGCTACTGGATACACAAATTGTGACATGCTGGTGACGATGCACGAGGGAAAGATTGTCGAAGTGAAGGATATGCATGGAGAAATGATTGTAGTATCAGAAGATGACGCTGTACTATCGGAGAAGCAGTAGGTCGAGTGGCGAGTCCATGGAAAATAGTTTGATTAAATACACGAAACAAAGTTCTTTTTAAAATAGGCTGTTGCATCGCCTCTTCTTTTTACTTCAGGTTGGGCTATATAAAGATAGCTTACTCTAGTCATCCATATATTGCCATAGCTTGCTATTTTTTGATATTTTTCTTTACAAGCAATTTGCTTGTCTTTGTCTTGTTATACGAGGTGAGGCAGCCTTACACCCGTATGCGACCCACGCCGACACATTACAGTGCAGACCACCAAATCTCACAGCCTGGTGCATAAAGGAATCGATGCCCCGCTACCATGTTGCCAGCGTCCAAAAGTTAACCATTGCTCACGAAGAAATGTCTAATACAGCATCGCCCAATTCTCGTAACACTCCCCCACTCCACTTCCCGCAGTTTCTCAGTCTTCCTCTTGAGATTCAGCATCAGATATGGCGCGAATGCATAGAAATACCTCAATTTGTCCATGTCCATGTTTACAGTATTAAAAAGGCACCGTCTCAACGTCCCATCCATCCAAATACTCCTCCCACAAGCCGGGGCTGGTACCGAATCAAGAACGAACTAGGCAACGTGATCAGCTCGTTTCCCTACCGTGTGCACATACCAGCACAGGAGGGATGGCAGCCAACTGTTCTTGTCAGTGTTAGTCGTAGCGCACGCAACGTCTATGACCAGGTCTATCGTGTCCGGATGCCAGTTCGCACCGCTGATGGCTCGCGTATACTTCGTCTTAGCCCGGATTTTAACATCGTCTGGATCATTGGTGATAGAGCTTGGATACAAGACATACAGCTGACGAGCTTTCTGCACGATGTCATGGCTTACGACCCACAGGGTATAGGTATCAAGCATCTTGCCCTTGGAGGAGGTCATCATAGCGGACTTAGCGTGTTAGCGAGCATGTTACCACCTACTCGCCCCAAGCCCTTAGTGGAGTCCATGGCAAAGATCTTGTCATCTAGTATTGAGACATATTATGCGGTTCTTATGCCCGGCATCAATACCAAATGCCCATACCAACCACCTTTTTACGACTGGTCGCAACCAAGAATGCCTCATTCGCTCATATATCAGCGAGTCCCGTGTGAGCCTCTACCGATCTACGACGAGAGCAAGTATACCGGGCGATATGGATTCTTTCCGAGTAATCTTGCTCAGTGGATCAAAGTTAAAGAAAACTACGGCGCGAAGAGACACATTCCAATGCGGTATCTGGTGTCGGTATCCGGACTTGTACTGGATGGCTACGTTATGGACGATGCGTTTATGCAGAGGCTCAAAGATTCGTCGTGTCCGTGGAATCCACCTATTCTTGAGGGGAATCGTGTGCAGGATGTGCCTCTCTTACCAGCAGTTGGGTTCTGGAGTTTCCCAGCGGATATATTTGAGGCGGCGTTGAACATTCGGAGGCATGACGCAGCCACAGCTACAGAAAGCCTTTCACAAGACAATACTGAATTTTGGATATTGGATTGAACTTATTCTTAATGAGCAAAAGTAAACACGGAATATAAATAATATTAGTCTAGAAACACTACCTTTTCTGCTACCGAGTCTCTTGGTGTCCGAATTTTATTATCGTTTGCTTCGGTGTCCTCGTACCCTACAGCAACACCACACAGAACTTTCAACTGATCGCCAATCTTTACTTCGCGTTTTACCACATCTTCGTACTGAGCAATACTGATCTGTGCACAGCTCCCTAAACCCATCGATGTAAAGGCCAGCAGCAGGTTCTGGAGAAATAAGCCAACGCTTAAAGCCTCTTCACCCTCAAGCTCGCTGTCCATGCAAATAAGTAGCCCGACGGGTGCTCCGAAAAAACTATAATTTCGAAGGGCAGCATTCAGTCGATTCGGTTGATCGTCTCTTGCAACACCCCAGCCTTGGCCGTAGAGAAGACCACCGAATTCCATACGGCGCGGGGTGTATTTTTCAGGCAGAACAGGGATTTTTGGTAACTTGTGTTCTGTAGCGGCGGCCGTCAAAGCATCGCTGAGATTCTTCAGCGAAGCCCCTGTAAGGATATACAGTTTCCAAGGCTGTATATTGGAGTCGGACGGCGCGTGGTTGGCTAGTCGAATGGCCATTTCGATAGCATCCATGGGAACTGGTTTGGGAAGAAAGAGTCTCGTCGAATGGCGGCTAAGGATAGCTGTTTCAAGCGACATAGATATCTGTCTAGGTGGATCAGCGGCAGACTCTGTCTCCATGATTGCATTTATAGTTCTAATGGACATATTTGTCGTGTTCTTGATGGATTATCTTTTGATCTGTGGGGATGAGATATAGAGTACTAGGCCAAAGACGTGGTCATCCCATTGCTTTTATAGTATTTGCATCACATGTACTTAATAGTTGCACGGCTTCTACTGATGTCATTTGTAAATGCATATACAAACTTGGTAGCTCGTATCCTATAGATTCGGGTAGATGCATCGGACGCTACCCCCGATGCCCCCAACTGAACCCACTAGACTTCGCCGGTCGGCAACAACGGTCGTTGCCAGCCGGCCGGTAGGCTCGGATAATGAGATTGTAAATGGGTTCATATTATATGCAGAGTTTATATATTTGTATTTATTGACAAATACTTTATTTATATACTAATTCTTTACTAAATCCATCTCTTCACCAATAGGTGCTATATACGTGGGTCATCAAAAGCGATGATTTGTTAGTTAGACTTGCTCTACTTGGAAGTAGCCCAGCCGGTTCTAGGACCGTTGGGACCGTCCTCAAAGACAACAAAGGCGTTGGTCAAGGAAGGTGAGCCGAAAAAGGCACCATCACCACCGTCGCCGATGGTGAGGCGGTAGGTACCATCAGCTCTCTTCTCCTTCAGGTTAGCACCAGGGACTCTAATCTGAGAGCTGCCAATACCAAAGATGAAATCGGGCAGGACAGTCTCAGCAGTAATGGTGCTGTCGGAGATCTGGCTCTTCCAGGCGCTGAAAGCGTCACTGGGAACGGAGAAGCCAGAGCCGCCAGTGTCGACGATGCCGCTGTAGTTGAGTGGGACAAATTCGCCATCACCAATGGCATAGCCAGTGGAGGTAATAGTCCAGAAACCACGAGACGAGTCCACATCAGTGTAAGTGATGTTACCGGTGTACTTGGACTCATCGATGAAGCCAAAGCCAAAGGTGCCGTCAGCCTGGTGCTTGATGTCAACTGTGAAGACAGGCTGGTTGAGGTGAGCCTTCAAGTTGGAGAAGAGCGTCTTCTGCTTAGGCGAGGCAGTGTTGATCTTGTCAAAGCCGAAGCCAACAATGCCAGAGACAGGGACACCGAGAATGTTGTCGCCGTTACCCTGCTGGTAGACCTGTGTCGCGTACTCGACACCCTGGCCGCTGACGCTGGCTCCAGCAATAGAGACAGTGTCCTTATAGATGGTGCCCTTACCACCAGAGCCATCGCCGTAGCCGATTGACCACTTGCCATTCTTGACGAGCGAAGCGGTGTTGCTAGCGGTGTGATTCCACTTGGCCTGGCCAGCATCAATTTTGCCCTTGGTATCGGCACCGAAGAGCCAAAGGTCACTGGAGCCAGTATCGAAGAGGAGGTTGAGTTTCTGGGCAGGAGTTCCCACAAGAATCTCGGCATAGTACTCGCCGTCAGGTCGAGACTTGCTGTTGTGGGCAGTGGTCGAACCGCTGCCGTCATCTCTCGGGATGACAGTACCAATAGGGAGATTGGAGCGCTGGAACTTCTCATTGTACTTGAGGTTAACGGTGAATTGGCCCTTTTCGCCAGCAAAGTTGACGAGGGGAGCTGGTACAGCAATGGCGCTGGCCAATGAGCCGTACGCAAGGATGGTCTTTAGAAGAACCATTGTAGCGATATAGGTTTGTGATGTGATGAAGATAATATGATTCTGGGACTTAGAGGATTGGGAATTGCTGGCTCTACTTATAAAATGTTCTTCAACTACGGAATAAGGGCCCATCACCAGCTTTTTATATCTATCAGCTAGAGTGTCGAGTCCGCGGAGAGACTCATCGCTGGCTATGGCGCTATAAGGTGATAGTCTTGCTTGATATGGTATCAGACCTTGAGAGCTACCATTTTCACATTGCTTACAAAAGTGCTACAGCCCAATGTAGCAGCTGTCATCAAAGATGGTCACGGCGTGCGAAGTGTTTCCCACAATGTCTGGAGCCGACCTGCTAGAAACGGCTTGGGCCGCTCCGCAGATGGCGCAAGCGAGGTGGCATATGGTTATTTTATAGCCCTAGTCCGTGCGAGTGCTCTCAATACGGGAACAAGGTTGGCAAGCGTCATGTTTCGACTTCGATGATTACCTTCCTCTTTGGATCGTCAGCGTTGCATTGGTATATTGCCGACGCTCAAGGCGTTAATGTGGGCACCAATGGCGAACAAAGCATCAGGTCGGTATGTGTCCGGTGGCTGTTCTTCTGGCACATTCCGATCTTGTTTTGTTTTGTGTTTTTTATAACTAAGCTTGTTCTAAGTGTCGCTTTGCGTGTACTGTTATAATGTTGCAATTGTTGGGAGACCTAGGGTTGAATAGCCCAATTACGCTACTGGTCTAATCACATGCAGAACTAGTCACAAACTATATTTTTTTCCCCGCGCAGATAACAATTATTGCAAGTTTCCAAGCCACAATTCGCTTCAATCTCTTTTCAACCAACCTTCTTTACGGTACACCCTCATATGCAGCTATGTTTGCATTTTTCTGATATTTATTCTCTGTGTCGCGCACATGCAAAGTGTATTCGTAACAATGAATGCCTTTCCTGTACAAAGCTCGGACATTGCCTATTACAAGCGTTATGCCCCGCTACACACGATGAGGAGTCATACCAGTACACGTAACAAGTACAAATTCTGTAGAAGATAGAAAAAATTGCAAAATCTTAGAATTTCTATTGAACCTATATCATCGCACTAAGCGCACGGTTACTTCTCTTTCCATCATCAATACCAAAACAATGTCTACTACGACGATGAGAAAGCCGCCTCAAGCGCCACCACTCTTCAACGCCACTGCTGAATCCGCTTTGGCTACTATCGAGGATGTTATCCAGCGTCATCGGGCTACGATCGACAAGATTGTGGCTGAAGTCAATTTGAAGGATGCTACATTCCAGAATGTGATGCTTCCCATTTTGAAAAGCGACAACGAAGCGGACACAAAGAAATGGGTCAATGGATTCTACCAGCTTGCTGCAGACGATGAGGCTCTACGCGATGCGTCCAGAGAAATCGAAGAAATGATGGACGAATTCGACATTGAATGTGATACAAGGGAAGACATCTTTGCACTTGTCAATGCCGCCTATGAACAAAGACACACAGAAAATCTGGATGCCGAATCACTTCATCTTTTGGAGAAGGAGAGGAGCAAGTTTGTTCGTAATGGGATGCTTCTTCCTCCCGGTCCCAATCGACAACGATTGAAAGAGGTCAAGGCCAAAATTAGCAAGCTATGCAGGCAGTCGCAAAAGTTGCTGGATGATGAAACGGGTGGCGTCTGGTTTACGCCAGAGGAACTTGACGGTATACCATCCTCCTCTATAGAAATTGAGGCTTTAGAAAAGGGAAGTGAGGAGAACGCGGGAAAGGTTAAAGTGACGTTCAAGTACGATCACTTTGGGCCTCTCATTCGATACGCGGCAAACGAAGCAACCAGACGGGACTACATCGTTGCGGAGACAAACAGGGTGAGTGACAGTTTACCTCTAGAAAGTAGCAAACTAACCTTTAAGACAGGCTAATGAAAATATACCTCTATTCAAATCCATTATTGAGCTTCGTGATGAAGCGGCCCGACTCGCTGGGTTTCCAAATCATGCCAGCCTGCAAATTGGTGGTAGAATGGCAAAGACTCCGGCCAGAGTCAATGTGATGCTTGCTGATTTGCGGAATCGCACGGAGAAAGGCGCTAAAGCTGATTTGGATGCGCTGCTTGCATACAAAAAGGCAGATTACGAAGAGCGGTCAATTCCCTTTGATGGGCGCCTGTACCTATGGGACAAGGCATATTACAGTCGCATACGGATGGAAAAAGAGTTCAGCTTTGACGGCACAGCATTCTCGCAGTACTTCCCTGCCATGGATACCTTCAAAAAAATGCTGAGAGTGTTTGAAGAAGTCATGGGATTTAAGTTTGTGCACCTCAGCGAGGATGACCGCGCACAGATTGGCCCAACTGGTAAATCCGAAGATCTGACTTGGCATCCCGATGCCGAGATCTACAGCGTTTGGAATTCAGAAGATCTTGGTGGCGAGTTTCGCGGCTATCTGTACTTGGATTTATATCCCCGTGATAACAAGTATAGTGAAGACATGAGCCTTACACTTCAGTCTGGCTTCATGAAGGACGACAGTACTGAGTTTTATCCCTCGGCTGTGCTGATTTGCAACTTGCCTACCGCAACAGCAACTAGCCCTGCGCTGCTAGAGCACGAAGATGTTGTAACGATATTCCACGAACTTGGCCACGCAATTCACGATTTAGCGGGAAAATCCAAGTATGCACGTTCACGCTCTGTGGTATGGGACTTTTTGGAGACGCCCTCACAGATGCTGGAGCATTGGTGCTGGACCCCGAGTGTTTTGAAATCGCTATCTAGCCACTGGGAGACAGGAGAGCAAGTTCCGGACAAAATGATAGACGCCTTGCTTAGCACACGCGGAATGAATGCCGCTATTGATGTTAGAGATTCTCTTCTGCGACCGCTGTTTGACATGGCTATTCACGATGTCGCCACTGCGGAGGATATAAAGGCACTTGACTACTGCACACTCTTTAATCAGCTCCGCCACGACATACGTCTAACAGCCGGACCAGAAGACATCGGAATGGGCATGTGAGTATACAAAAAAAGCTAACAAAATGCATTTACACAGCACTAACATATGCATGTAGGGACTGGGGCCACGAGTATCTAACGATTGATCACTACATCACGGGCTATGATGCCGGGTACTATAGCTATCTGTGGTCCAACGTGTACTCAACTGATATGTTCTACACAAAGTTCAAAGCCGATCCCATGAACAAGGAAGAGGGCCGAAGGTATCGCCGTATTGTGCTTGAACGTGGCGGCAGCATGGATGAATACGAGTACCTCGTGGAATTTCTAGGCCGTGAGCCAAACCAGAGTGCATTCCTCGAATCGAAAGGGTTACACACTCTAGAGTAATCGTCATACCAGCGTTAAAATGGATTAGAGTTCATTAACCTTCAAGAAATATCTGATTATTACTAAGTCATTATATCGTTCTATACTACATGCAAAATACCACCGATGTCTTGGTAGTTCTCATGGCCTGCATCGCCACTTACTGCTCCTGTTGAGCCTTGGCCTTGGCTAGCTGTGCGGTGTCAAGATAGCTGCGAATCTCCCAGATCTGCAGACCATCTTCACCAGCGCCCTCCTCAGCCTCCTTGATCTCGTACACAAAGCTGGTGGGAACATCGACAGCACCCTTGTCGTTCTTGAGATGGCAAATAGTCAGGCATTCAGCGTGCACGCGGTACGTGCCCTCCTCCTCGTTCGTCACGAACATGATGGTGCGCAGGTCGCGGGTCAGCTTTTCAAAGCTGCCCCAAAGGGAAAGATAGTCCTCCCAGATGGCGTCTGCACCCTCATTGATCTTGCCATCAGGAGCGTAGTTGATGGCCTTGGAGGCGTAGAAGCGGGTGGGCTGCTTGGATGCAGCGTGTATGTCGGCGTCAAAGACGGTGGCATATTTCATGTACCATGCAAGAACACGGTTCTTGGGTAGTGTGGCCAGGGCTGCTCTGTCAAAAGGGGCCTTGATGGAGAGGATTGATTCAGGCATGGTGTAAGTGGGATTTAGGTAGAATGGGTATGGTTAAATGGAGAGGGCAATAATATGATGGATTGATATCGGATGAACAGAAACAATGGAGGGGCAAGCGTGAACATTATATACTGGCGCTTCTAAGACGGCCGCATCGAAACGCCGATGAACTATCCACCCGTTCCTCCGTTCCTCGGTCGATTAACAGGGGCCGGATATGCCGCTGTGGCGCCCGCAACATCATGTTACGGCCGATCCGCGCGTTAGGTGGAGCTGCCGAGGCAGGCGGAGCCCGTTGAAATGACAAACGATTTTCTTGGAAAAAGACGACTATCCCCGTTTAGACAACGATATAAATGTATAGAAAAGAGGCATCCTGTCAAGATTGAATTCGCTGCAATTATTAAAGTATTATGCCCTATATAACGTAACGATTTAGAGCCCAGCCGACTCTCTGCGCGGAAGGCCGGCCTTATCGTAAACGCCGTCAATTAGCTCCAAGACGCCTTTGCTCTCGTCCAAATTCACCCAGCAAGCCACTGCTCCCTCGCCGTCTTTATTACCAGCCTCTGCTGCTCGGATCATGTCGACAAACGCCTCCAGCTGGTATCTGTATGTAGTCCACCACTTTTGGCCGCGCTCTCCCCAGTGCGAGCCGCCCTTGTACGCCGACAGGCCCTCTTTCTTACCAGTCAACTTGCCATTAGCGTCCTTGTGTGTAATGGTCACGCTGTGGCTCATGTATGGACCAACAAAGTTATCGAGATGAAGTCGAGCTTTGGTCAACTCAACCGTAAATGATGGTGTCGCGTCCCAGAATCTGGGGATGACACCCAGTAGTTTTGGTGTATTTAAATCACCATGCGTTTTCGATGTGATCTTGGAGCCATCCTCGGGATGCGTAAACACAATTACTGTGTCCATTGCCTCGTCGACTTTGGGGTCCTTGGCGTTGATACGTGCTTTTGCTTCTTGGATGTCAACGGTCGCATCGCCCTTACTGTTGCAAATATAGCGCGCGGCGGATAGCACATAGTTCAAGTCCATGCTGGCACCGCCTGCAAGATCATACCGGAACCGAATGTCGTCCGAGGATAAAATACCGCCGGGAAGAACCATGTTAGTACTGAACGACTCAACTTTGCCATACTTGCCGCTCTCAATGGTTTCCTTGACGAGATGCGCGACGGGGTGGAAACGCCAGTGGACGGCCTCAAGCACCACTTTGCCAGACTTGTCGGCAGCAGCGCGAATCTTGTCAACATCGGCGGCTGTAGACGCAATGGGCTTTTCGACGAGGACATGTTTGCCCTTTTCAAGCGCCTTGATCACCCACTGAGCGTGTAGCCCGTTTGGCAGCGCCGTGTAGATCAGATCGATGGCTGGATCTGACAACAGCTCATCGTAGGATCCGTACGCTTTGGCGTCTGTGAGCTTGTACTTGTCAATCTGGGCCTGCGCCTTATCTAGCGCACGCGCAGCAACACCCGCGATGATGATGTCGGCATGGCTCTCGACAGGATCAAAGAAGGCCGTGAAGTTGATGGCCGCGGCGGAGAGGACACCGGCGCGGAGAGGCTTGTCAGTCTTGCGCAGCGCCGCCTTTTCCTTGGCGACGCCGTTGCGGAAGTTGTGGAATTTGATAGCGAGCTGTGATGGGAAAATGTTAGGTGCGGACTTTGCGATGTAGAAAAATACTTTTGGAGGCTTACTTCGACAAAGTTGGACATTTTCAACACCTGGTTTGTTTGTGTTGGCAGTTGGCAGTTGGCGGAAATGTGCACCTGGCACAGTCGGCGCAGCTGGCGGCGGTGTTGCTGCAGTACGGGCGGACTTTGCGATGACATAATTCTGCCGATGGATTCAACGCCTATACAAGAGGCACTATAGGTCGGACGAAATTGCTTCAAACTCCGCAAATGCTTGCTTCAAGGCCATCACTTACTGTGCGAGACGCGCGTCTGTACGAATTGTCAATTTAGGTTAAGTCGAGCCGTGTACCGTGAAGTGGCCGCGAACTGATCGCTAGCAGTGGCGTTCTGAGAGGCGCTGAGCGCACCCAAATTAATACAAGCGACATAGTGTGCATATTGATTCATTTCGCATTATATTTGTAGTAACAAATGTATTTATACAGGCAATAGGGTGCTCGGCGATTCTCGGCCACGAAATTGGAGATACCTCGCGACTACCTGGAGTGGGCCCTTGACGGTGACGACGCCTTCAAAGCAGGACGAAAGATGAGGTGCTGTTTCGACAATGAGCTGCATTGTCTCGTCGGCATCTCTCAATGCATCAGTTGATGAGTGCCGCATGGTTTCAGGCAGGTTCAACTGCGTCCCCATCATCCCCATGGCCAGCTCCAGCACGAATGACCAGTATGTGATGAGCAAGCCTGCCGACTGGGTCGTCTGAAAACACAAGTGGTCTGCTCCTTTCTCGAAAACAGGGATACACTCTGGGTCAACTTCTTTGACAGCGTCTGACGGTTCATAAGTCGAGCGCCAGTAGAGGGGCCCTTTCTCAGCAACGCTCCAGTCATCAAGCCATTGTCTCAGCTCGAATATTGATATTCGGTAGTCCATGAGAAGGGTTTCTGTGATGGGCAGATTTGCCTCTCTGCTAATTTCGTCTGTTGTTTCCAGAGCTAGCTCATCTGTTCGCTGTAGCAGAGCTGGGATATGCATCGCGATATCATGAAGAAGCTCCCTCCGTGTCTTTTTGAAATTTTGAAACGGGTCGTGTATCCAGTGCGGTTCTGCAAGAAAAGTTGACTGACGCCTTTCAAGCGCAACAGACAGCTATTCATGGTTAGTGAAGATCTTTTGTCGAGGGTGGATAGCTTACAAGGATGCCTCTGAAACCACTGAACGCCTGCCGTAAGTGCTCTGTTTCGTACGTCTCTGGCCCTGACATTTTCAAGACCTCTAGTGCACCGCCAACATGCGCTTCAAGGGCACTGTTGAGTCCTTGTTCATTGTTCAGAAGCTACTTACACATCAGTATATGCTAATCAGATCTCTCTTGAGATGGTTACCAACCTCAAATGCTTGGAATGCCACGGTAATCAATAGAAGTACATGTAGCGGCGCGGTAGATCCTGGATCGCGCGTGTACTTTTTGACCACCTGTTGGATATGGGTATGCGATTCACCCAGCGCGGACACATATGACGACTGAGCCAGGGCAGCGAGCTTTGCATCCCCTCTGAGCCCTCCCATATATGCGGACAGCAAGCTGAACATGGACATGTCCATTACCTTCCAGTTGAGTGCTGTGACGGGCAGCAGCGCACGTATACACAGAGCAATGCTGGAGTATATAGGGTCCTTGCGGGAAATACGGTCACCGCTGAATATTCTCGCCGGTGCTAACGGCTGAAAATCCTGCACCAGCGCTAGCAGCGCCATACGACCCGGTGTCCGGGCCAGAGCAACATTAGGTGCGGGATGTGGTGTGAGGCTGCGGCCATGGCCTTTCTTTTGATCATGCAGAGCATTCAACAAAACAGCTCTGTCTGACTGATGCTTCATGTTTGATTCATTTCGATGAACAAATGTCCTTGATGCCTTGGGGCCGCTGCACTGGATCCCAGCAACAGCGCACCGGCGGCAAACAGGGCTATCGAGATCGCACTATTCCGATTAGCGCCCGCGATCATCTGCATGGACCACTCTACGCACTTTCTTCTTCTTCTTCCGGCACTCGTTGCATCCCCGTGACGCGCCCGGATACAGCGGCATGTTTGGTTGATGAGGCGTTGTAGGGTTCAAGTTGCAAGCTCGCCATCGTCGCACTTGTGGATTCTATTCGTTCGGCCGGCCCGGTGTAGTCGATGTAAAGCCATGATCAGTGCAGCACGGTAGGCTCGGAACCGCGAAGGAAAAATAAAATCAGAATGAATTCGAGCGGTCTCTAGTACATTTCGAAATTTCGGCATTTTGATTTCAAAGCATCATGGCGAATGTTTTATTCCGCGGCGTCGCGCAGATTCTACGGCATGTTTGGTAATCTTCATACTAGTCCCAAACGGGAAGCCACTGCGCTTGCCCGCCAATTGACATCACAGGCGGGGAGCTTCCAGACGCTCGGCTGGCACTATAAAAGTGTCAATGCTAGCTCTCCTCTCGTCTTCCTTTGGGCAGATTATACCACAGACACACTCTACAACAGACAAACTATCATCACCATGATTCCCAACACGGCAATTGTCCTCATCGACCCCTTGAACGACTTCCTCCATCCCTCTGGCAAGCTCTACCCTCTTGTAAAGGACAGCTTAGAGGCGTACGATGCCCTCAACCACATCAAGCAAGTAATTGCCGCTGGCCGTGCCGCCAATGTGCCAATCTACTATGGCCTGCACCAGATGACCAAAGACGGCTCCTACGCTGGCTGGAACCACATGAACGCTACTCAGATGCAGGCCCGCGACCACACAGCCTTTGATGAGAAATTCGGTGGTCAAATCTTGGAGGGTCTTGAACCTGAGTTGAGCAACGGCGATGTTGTTCTATCTCGTCATTGGAACAGCAGGTATGTTATTTTACGCTCTTGGTTGCGAAAATGGGAAACTGTGTGCTGACGATCCCCGCTTCAATAGCTCTTTTGCCAACACCGACTTGGAATACCAGCTACGCCAGCGCGACATTACCAAGCTAGTTTTTGCTGGTTTGACCACGAATACGTGTCTAGAGACTACTGCACGATACGCGCGTGAACTGTAAGTTTCTCTTTCATTTTTGCCGCGTTAATGGAATCAATTGCTAACTGTCTTGAAAAGCGGTTTCCACACCACGTTGCTGTAGGCGGAGACCTGACCGACATGGTTGATATTTGCTTGCCCTAACTAACCTGTAAATAGGACCGACGCCACCGCCGCTTTCTCAGTCGAACTCGCTGAAGCTGCTACGAAACTTGTTTGGCCCTTGATTGCCGACAAGCTCATGACCACTGCAGAATGGGTTGCCAGCGTGCCCAAGGACTCCGAGCCAGCCCTTCAAGGTAAAATATAAATCGATAAGGGCGCGAACAGCGCAACAGTACAGTGTGGTTATCGGTTTGAACTTTTCGGCGTCTGGGGAGAGGGGGGTGGCGAAATGAGTAGCATAAATAACGTATTGTTAAATTGAAATACAATTATTATTAATAAACCTGTTACATGAAGTAGAGTTAATGTGTATCTTGCTTCATATCCTAAAGCTTGATTATTGGCCCTTTGTTTTCTTTCTCACGAAATTTATTATATAAGGCACTTATGGCACGAATAAGGCGTAGAAACAAACAAAGCAGGCAACTTTATTAATCCTTACACGAATCAACGATTTCAGTTATCACGTATGTCAACAGAAGTACTATGTGGATATCACAGTATACTTACACAAACTTTGTATGTAATAGTCATCTTTAAAGTCTATACATATAACGAATGCATACCACACATGATATTCTACAAAGATTGATAAAATGGGCAATTTTACAATATCTATTAAAGAATACTTGAAAAATTGGCCAAAACCGAGTCTGCCTGGGCCTTTTGCTTGCCCCTTACAGTTTATTAGATAAGAAGATTAAATTCGACAATTTTCTATTCAAACTTTGGACTGATTCTCAGCGTTCTCCAAATCCAAGAAAGACTTGGCCGTATCCAGAAAAGTAGAACAAACGGCAAAAATTCCAATCCCAACACATTCTTGGCCCTGGTCGTGTCAACCGTGTAGTGATCACCAGCGACCGCACCTGGGACTCCCACGGGTATCTTGTCCTTGATATTGGGCAGCTTTTCGCGTAGTAAATCGCAAACTTGCTGCTTTGAAAACGATCCTCCAGACATTAAGAATCGACCTGGCTGTTCTGTCTCGAACGCGAGTCTGTGAGCTTTAGCAACATCGCGGACATCAACATAGGCAGGTAGCGGTGTAGAAGGGACCTCAATCAGAGATCCATTCATAAGAGCATATATTTCGGATGGAGATTGTCCTAGATGCTTCAAGTCGCTAGATCCAGCCAGTAGTGGGCCGTACACCATGGTCGGGTTAATGGTGGACAGGGAGAAGTTGACTGGGGTGGACTTGATAAAGTCCCACGCCGCCTCTTCCGCCAGTTTCTTGCTACCACTAGAATGATGTTAGTAGCTTGAGAATAAAAGTTTAAAGGATATGATACTAACGCATAGGCCAATCCACGCTTGTCGTCTTTGGCGTCTTGGTAGGACATGGGGTTCCATTGGGACTCATCATAAACGTGGCCAGGTCTTGGTCCCTTTGCAAAATCGGCAATAGCAGCAAACGACGAAGTCAGGACAACACGCTTGACCTGGGGAGCAAATGCTGCTGTACTCTTGAGAATGCCCTGCGTGCCTCGAATAGCAGGGATGATCAAATCCGTCTCGTTGTCAGTGATCTTGTATGTGAACGGCGACGCCATGTGGACGACGCCATCGACACCCTTGACAGCCTCATCAAAGGCACCGGGTAGTGTTATATCGGGAACGATTTGTGTTTCAAGAGAATCTTTGTGGTTTTTATGGATATCGGCGAGACGGTTGCAGCTGGACTGGTTTCGTGCCGTAGCCCGTACGCGGTAGCCGTTGGAGAGGAATTGGGCGACAGTGTGATTTCCGATGAAACCAGTACCGCCGGTGATGAGAATAAGAGGTCCACGGCTCATTTTGAGAGAATATGTTGCGGGTTTGGAGCTATTGGCAGTCATAATTCTGCGAGGGCCTCTCTGTCTTATATACGGATTTGTTGGATATGCTTAGGCGCAGTGACTTCCCTTTTAGGAAAGGCTGTGGAAGTGCTACACATTAGGGCTTCTGCTTACCGAACCATGGACTTAGGCGATGGCGATGGAAAATCCGGACGATCGACGAGCGATTGAATTTATAATTTTGATAAAAAAAACTCCAACGGCGATTATCATCTAAAGGCGAGGCGCGAGAGAGAGGGACGGTTTACAGCGGGCGGTCTATTGTAATGGAAAAATGCGTTTCAGTCATTAGTATCTACAGCCTATAATTTTTCCGATATACAAGTCCCTCAATAAAACCATCTTCGAAGTGCTCGGCCAGTAATACCACCGAGGATGCCAAAGCTCGCGTGCTGAAAGGTATACCCGTTGTCGGTAAAGACGGCACATTGCTTGGAAGCACCAGGGTTATCGACATACTTGGGCGGGATAGAAAGGAATGACACGTTTTGAGCCTTTTTTGTGTGCTTCTTGAGCTTGTAACCATCAGCACCAAATACACGACTGGTGTAAGCATAGGCGGGGCCTCGGCGCTCCAATGCCTTGGAATCGGGATTTGGGTCAAGCGTGTGGAAGAAGGAGCCCCAGATGTCGTTCATAAATTGAGAGTGCAAGATGTCATCATTGCTGTAGTAAGGTAAAACGGAGATGGACTTGCTGTTGAGATTGCCCCAGACTGGTAGAACATCAGCAGTGTGGCACGTTGCGTTATAGTCGTGGTTGGGGAAGCAAGTCGGGGTGACTTCGCTTGCATTGGCCTGTTGGTGACCGCTGCCAATCTGAACCTGGTAAGCGGACGGGAATACCGAGACGGCGTGGTCGAGGATATATCCTTGGGCGCAAGACCATTCTGAGTAAGTGACAAGATCACCAACCATGTTGCGAGTACCGTCCGGGTCGTTTTTGTCGACCTGGAACACCCCAGATGCGAGGATCTTGGCTGCAAGTTTTGGTGGGAAAAGAATAGGTAGTCCGGCATCCAATGTAGCCTGACTGTTGCCAATACTCTCCTTGAGAACACGGTTGACGAATAAAGTGCCTTCATTGGCAACCGTAGAGAACATGACGGGGACAGCAGAGGGCAGCTTGCCCGCCTGAATGAGCTCGTCGAATTGGCCATCAATGATGCCGCTGTGGTTATCATCCACCATAGGCAAGAAGGGTTCAATGGCAGCGACAAATGTGCTCGAGTGGAAGTATCCGTTGGCCACAGCTGTCTTGATAGTGTTCAAAGCAAGAGACATGCCCGGCGCACTGTTGATGAAGGACTCTGCGGGGGCTGACTGTAGGCACTTGACGAGATCCTTTTCAGACAATTCAATGCCACACTTGACAGCGCCAGCAACCTGAGGCGTGATGAGCTTCGTATAGACCTCACGGGTGAACCAAGGTAGATCGACCGGCGCAGACTGAGAAATGGCGCCACGGAACATGCCCTTTGCAGCAGAAGACGACAACAGTGCCACTGTGCTTTGTCCACCAGCAGATTGGCCAAAGATTGTCACTTTGGATGGATCACCACCAAACGAAGCAATGTTGTCCTGCACCCAGCGCAGAGCTTGGACTTGGTCCTTGATGCCCATACTGCCGTCAATAAGGCTGTTTGTCGCGAGGAAGCCCAGAGCGCCGAGACGGTAGTTGACTGTGACCACGACCACATCGCTACGGCTGGCAAAGTTACCGCCGTCGTAGTCGATAAGTGAAATGGCGCCTTCGACAAAGGCACCGCCGTAAAAGTAGACAGCGACAGGGCGCTGCTTGACAATGGCAAGCCGGCTAGAGGGTACCACGGGTGTGAAGACGTTGAGATATAGGCAGTCCTCGGAAGCGTTCGAAGTATCGCCGTATGGGGATTCGGCCTGCATGCAAGAGGCAGGTAACGTAGTGGCATCAATATCTGCCTTGCCGCTGTAGTTGCGAGGAGCCATGAAGCGCAGCTTGTCGACAGGAGGGTCTGCGTACGGGATAGCGAGGAAGCGGAAAGATCGTTTGTCTCTGTATCCCTTGATGTTAAGCCCACCAGATGGTACTGTCACTTCAGATGAAGGCTCATGCTTGCGGTTGGTGTCGCTGCTCGGGGCGACTGTGGATGTACACAGCGCGGGTAGCCGTTTGTCGCATTGAACTTCTACTGAAATGCTGGACTTGACAGTGTAAGCTGAGCATTTGCCACCATCCTTTACCCAGAAAGCAACATCGTCACCAAGATTGTCGGTTTCAACTAAATAGGTCAATTGAAGTTGTAGTTCGTCGCGATGAGCGGTGGAGAGCTCCGATATGGTCACCAGGGATTCGCCAATCTTGGAGCAGGCTGCAGCTGCTGTACTGTGGTCGAGGATATCGCGAACAGCAACAAATGCCGTCCCGTTATTTTCAGGGCCGAGATTGTTGTAATGCAGTGTCTGAAAGGTTGCCCCTACACCTTGAGGAGCAGCGCAGGCTTGTCCGAGGACCTGATTTACAAGCGCCGTCGCAGCCAGAGAGAGCTTTTGCGACCGCATGATGACTGAAAGTGGATCAATTGTATGCTAGGGCATCACTGGCAGAGCGATCGGGAGCTACTCGTTATATACATTCACTAGTCTCCTGTTCGCACGGCAGTTCCGTCGTTTAGAGGGGAACATAGGCGCCGGCAGCTGGATCTAAGCAGGGATGTGAACAGCCTCCACATCGAAAAGTCGCCTGAAATGGGTACGGGATGCGCTTTTCAAGACGCTAACGATGACTACGGTGGGTTTCTTGGGAGACTAAACGGTTTGTGGGGCGTTGGGTGAGAAAGTAAAGGGCATGGCTGCTTTTGGTAACCGATGAGGAGAGGATGATGCAAATTTTGGAGCCTTATTTGTGAGAGTATATCCATAGAGCAGAATTGTATTTATTTTAGATTTTTAAATAAATTTCGCAATTGTCTTTTTGTTGTTGGTGAGACTCATCGATGTGGTTGTTTATGCCGAGGTTCTCCACGCAACGCTTAGCTTCTGAAGAAATAACAAAACAAGGCTAACATTTAGTGGCGTTTGGATCCCCGCAAGCCACGGCTTTATATTTGCAGAATCGACATGCACAATGCGATGCGCCGTACATAAACAACTTTAAGCTATATATGAATTGAGTGTTTGTGGGTGAGTACTTTGCCCCTCAGCTGCGCAATCCACTCTTTCTGATGTTCTTTTTTTTCAGCTCATAGCCTCCTCCACTCCTCATAATGCTACTGAGAATATCGCCGATCCACTTGTAAGCCGCGTTCGTTGCCAAATACGGCTACCTATACGTTGCTTCAAGGGCGGGTGCACTTATTGGCCCGGCACTCCAAGTTATCGGAGCAGTCGTTTTCATTCGCACAGTAGACCCCTACAGTATTGCCTCACGTTAGCATCTACGCATCTAGAATAGCATTCAAGTTACTGCTGCCTGTGCTTACCTTCGCAATGACCCTCCCAAGAGCAAGGAACAGGAGAAGGAGGCGGGGGTGCCGATGAACCGGGCTTTGCGCATCGGCCATTGCTGCAGATGAGGTTGTCGGAGCAGTCGTTGTCGCTGCCACACGAAGCACCTAGTTGAGAGAGCATTAACTTATCATCCGTGACTCGCTTGCAAAGACCCTATCTGGAAACTGTACCTTCGCAGTGGCCTTCCCAGGAGCAAGAAGTTGGAGGAGGTGGCGGTTTGCTGCCTCCACTCGTGGTGCAGCGGCCGTTGGTGCAAGTCGAGCCAGCAGGGCAGTCTTTGTTGGCGCTGCATTGGGGTTTGCCTGGGGTCAATTAGCACAGGGAACACATGTAAGGGTCAATCAGAAACCCACTGTATCGAGAAATAGCACTCAGGTACGCCTGGCCAGACGCGGATAGGTTGTCGCCGTCCATGGGTGAAGTCAGACCGAGACCGCCGCCGTCAGTGTAAGCATATCCCATGATTCTATCATCAGCCTCGAGAAGATCGACTACATCGTAGATCCACTGGTTGATCTGGTTCTGGTCCCAACAAGCCGTAAACTGGCCGTTGTCGTGCACACACGCCATCTCGGTAATGAGAATCGGCTTGCCGTATGTGTTCCAGTAGTGATCAATGTCCTGGCGCACACCGTCCATGTCGGCCTTGTACACATGGATTGCCGTGAAATCCCACTGTCTGTTTAGATTTTTCTCGCTAAACTGCTTGAGCCACCACTCGTCCTTCTGCATGCACATGGACGGGCTACCCAGAAGCGCACCCTGCTGGCCCTTGGGTGCAATGTACTGGTTCCAGAGACGTACTCCCTGGTCAACATTCATCTTGGCCGATGTATCCCGCCCGTCGCAGTCGGGCTCGTTGAATCCCAAAAGGTACTTGGGCACGTCGGCCATGTGTGAGAATTCATTGAAGCGCTTCCAGTCCTCGTCGCCGTTGTTGCCAGAGCCCCAGAGCATGGACACGCCGTAGACTTCGTCATGGCCAGAAGGTCGAGGGTTCCAGTCATACCACCATCCCAGGTGATCTTTCATGAAAGGGATGATGCGGCCGCCCGCTGAACCTGCCTTGAGGCCATTGCCGGGAGTTGGGACCGTCGAGCGAGCCTCTGGCGTAGGAGAGGCAACTGTGAGGGTTGGTGCCACAACGGCAATAGTACTGTGTTTCCATGAAATCGACATTGTGAATGACGAGTTATGTCATATTGAGTTTTTAGAAACGTCGTCGCTGGTCGCATACTAAATATACCTCTATCTCTATAGAAGGCTCGTTGTTTTCAGAGCACCGGATATCTGCATCGAGCTATACAATGCGCCAGGACTCTCAAGAAGGTTGATTAAGATGACTACCCAATCAGGAAGATCTCACCCTACGGTATGCCCTTTGTTCCCATCCGATGCTGGAGGGCTCGGCTGCGGATTTCCCAAATGGGACGGCCCGAGCCGGATGTAAGCAGCAGTATTGACGGGATCCTGTCGATGGGAATTCTTTGTCTTATTATGCAATATTGATTCTGGAAATTATAAATTTTCCCTTCTGGGTCGTACGTGCTATTTTCTTGGACATTGTAAATCTGCACGTACGCCATAGCTTCTCTTGTTAGATAGTCCGCAACACCCTGATTAGTCTACATATACAGATATACAATTTTTATTATACTATTACACAATTTTCAAATTACTTTATGGCACAAATTACATAGTGTTATATATATATCAACATTGCAAATACTAATTTCAACCATTCCCAGACAATGTAGCTGGGTGTGTCAACCTACCCTAAAGGGATACACAGCTTCGTCATTTCCACATCAGTCCACCTTCTCAAGGATAAAACGTCATCTTGACAAATGTAAACGGTTAGCACCAAATAGTTACATAAAAATAAATCCCGGCTCTTTTCCGGTCTTGCTGTCTACGCGCTGTAGAGGTTCATGGTGTACCGCCACTAATACCCCTTGGTGGCTGCCCATCATCCACAACACCACCGGCAATTGCAAAGAGAATTATCAACCAAAATCTATCGGAATAAGCCGCCGTTGACGCCGTCCTCTTCACAATCATTACCCATCCATGTCTGACTGAGGCGCCTTTCAAATTAGCCACAACCCCGGTCAGCCCGCCAATCTTCATATGCAGTATCAGCCCAATTGCATTGCATTACCCCATGGGACAGGCTAAGCCTAACTAAGAACCCGGCGTTCCGTCCGCTGGTTGGCGAGTTCGGGCGGCCGATAGTGGCACCATAGCGGTGCCTTGACTCGGGTGTTTCAAAGCATATTCCTAGTTTATGTTTGTCATGGACTCCACCAGCGAACCATACTAACGCTGTTCGTGGGGACCCCACAACATAGTAACATGAACATAGTTTCCCCTCGTAAACCATCGCATCTGACCATGGAAGAGTCGGCACAGCTGTGGTTTGTGATAGCACCCCGAATAGGAAGCTGGATACCAGACGCAGTGCCCGGCTTTAGATTCGATTACGTTGGCAACTGCCATTGGCTAACGTCCTGTAGATCATGCAAACTACTGTAGGACCTCCAAGAGATTGCGATCGCGGAGACGGGGCTTGGGGTCGCGCCACTCGACCGTTCCCGTGCTTGGCACCGCCTGTCAGTCGATGAATACTGTATTGGGCACATAGAGGAGCACGAATACAACCATTGGTAACTGACACAGTTCCTTTGGTAACAGACTCTTCTCTGGCACTGAATAGAATACCTTCTGTTTTATCCGCCAACCCGCTTCCTGGACTACGCTCACCTGCCTGCACTATGAGGGTTGGTGACTCCGGGAACGCGCCGCCGCCGAAGCATTCAGCAGCGCAGTGGTGTATCATTGCTCCTAAAGATACAGCCAGGGTCAACGGGGCGCTAAGCTTCGATTTACATAATTGCAATCGACCCTGCCTTCCTGTTTCGTCCGTCAGCCTGATCCTCCAACGTAATGATCTACGAACCAGCACCAATTCAACCAGTGCCTGATGTAGTAGCAGCTGCAGGAGCCTGGCAAGTTTGCCGATACAGGGCTACGGTAACTATGGAACGAGCGGTAGAGGGGAAACTAAACTGCATGGTATCATATATCCGTTGGCTTTGGGGAAGTGTATAAAAAGCAGCTGTCTCGACCGCTCTGCCAGGTCGTAGAGAAAGAGCTTCCTCTGCAGTAGACTCTTGTTGGTCAATCTTATACCCCCTTTCTCTTTCTCTATTACACATTATCACAATGGTGGTCGTCCCCAAGATTGCCATTTTGGCCTCGCTTGCCAGCCTCATTGTCGCGTCCCCCGTCGACACTACCATCGGCAAGCTTGCCCTCTTCCACAAGCTCAAGGCTATCCCCTCGCAGTGGCAGGAACGCGGCCAGGCCAACAAGGATGCTACCATCAAGGCCCAGATCGGTCTGAAGCAGAGTAACATTGACGGTCTCCAGGCCAAGCTCCTCGATGTTGCCAACCCCGAGAGCCCCAACTACGGCAAGTGGTTGTCCAAGGAAGAGGTTGCCAAGTTCACCGCACCCCCCGAGGGCCACGTCGATGCTGTCAAGGCCTGGTTGGCCTCTAACGGCATCCACGATGTCAACCAGCCCACCAACGACTGGATCGAGTTCACTGTCCCTGTCTCGACTATGGAGAAGCTCCTCGGCACCAAGTACAACTGGTACACCCACCAGGACTCCCCCAGCGCCAACGCTATCCCCCGTACCACCGAGTACAGCGTGCCACAGCACCTCCACGACAAGATTGGCATGATCACTCCTACCACTGCCTTCTACAACCCCGGCAAGGTCATGGCTGAGGCTGCCACTGCCGACGAGACACACGACAAGCGCGCCACCTGCGACCCTACCAAGGCCGTCACTCCCGCTTGCATCAACTCTCTCTACAACGTCGACTACACCAGCAAGGGCCAGTCTCTCGTTGCTTCGACTCTTCTTATTGCCCTTGCTGCCTCGCACTCTGACTACTCTACCTTTGGTCAGAAGTACTCTCCTGGTCTCCAAGACTTCAAAGATGTTTCTGTTTCAGGCGGCTCCAACCCCGGCTCTGGAGACCAGAACACTCTGCTTGAGGGCAACCTCGACACCCAGTACATTGGTGGCGTTGCCAACCCCAACCCCAGCCAGCTTCTCGCTGTTGGCCCCGAGTCCAACTCTGGCTTCACTGACGAGATTGCCAATCTTGCTAGCTACCTGACCTCTTCCTCAAACCCCCCTACTGCTGTTTCCACCTCTTACGATGGTGAGGAGCAGAACTTTGACGGCAGCTACATGGACCGCGTCTGCAACGAGTTCATGAAGGCCGGTGCTCAGGGTATTTCCGTCTTCTTCTCTACCGGTGACTTTGGTGTCGGTGGTATCGGCGAGCAGAGCTGCAACCAGGGCTTCTACGCCAACTGGCCCCCCAACTGCCCCTGGGTCACCTCCATTGGTGGTACCCAGTACGACTCCAGTGGCAACGAGGTTGTTGCTGACTTCTCTCCTTCCATTACCTCCCCCGGCGGTGGCTACTCTTGGCACTTTGATGCTCCCGACTACCAGAAGAACGACACCACCGCCTTTGCCAACTCCCTCCAGGGTCAGGGCTACGACGGCTACTTCAACCCCTCTGGACGTGGATACCCCGATATCTCTCTCGTCTCCAAGAACTACCTCGTCTACGTTAACAACCAGCTCCTCTACGCCCGTGGTACTTCTGCTTCTGCCCCCGCCTGGGCTGCCCTTACCTCTGTCCTGAACGACTACCGCAAGTCCAAGGGCCAGGGCAACCTTGGCTTCATCAACCCTCTTCTCTATGGCAAGGGCCGCTCTGCTGTCCGTGATGTCACCAGCGGAAACAACCCCGGCTGTGGCACCAACGGTTTCTACGCTACCCAGGGCTGGGATGCCGCCTCTGGTCTCGGATCTTTTGACTTTGCCAAGCTCCGTGCTTTGCTTTAATCGAAGAAGAGCATAGTGGATGAAATGTAAATAAAGTAGATACACATGAAAACAGATTAGCGTCATTTTGAATATACTTTTATAGAATCATCATTGTACTATCTTTTATACGTGCGAATGTCATCATTGCGAATATTGCACTACGCAAGTGAGGGCTACGTGTACAATATGTAGATGAAGATGACGAGAATGAAAGCTCATGCCCCAAAATATACACCGGAAATGAGGCACTATTTACAGAATATTTCGACGCTAATATACCGAGAGGAATATTGTGCAACTTAGGCGGCAAATGCCTTGCGGAGAGCAGCAAAGTCAATGCTGCCAAGACCGGTAACTGGATCCCATCCCTTGGTAGCATTGAAGCCTCCAGTACCACAGTTCGGGTTACTTCCACTCGTGATATCACGGAAAGCGGCACGAACTGTCTTGTCAGTGTAAAGACGCTTGTTGATGAAACCAAGCGCTGATTTACCGTTGGCAATACGGTAGTCATTAATCTGTGTAATGAGTGCCGCAAAGATGGGAGTAGATGCCGATGTGCCCTGGGCTTGATAATCATCACCCTTATATACGATAGGGATAGGGGTTCCGATCATTGCAACGTCGGGAATTCCACGGCCAGACTTGTTGTATTTGCCCTCATAGGTATCAGGGATGGTCTTGATGTACGCCGCAGTATCAGCCGACTGCCAGTCAGGGACGCCGTAGAGGTTAGAGAAGCCGCCGCCGCTGGAGCCACGATCGAGCAATGAGAAATTAGCAGCAACCTCTTTGCTACCGTCTGCAGTGAGCTCTGTCCCACCGACGGAAGTAAGCCAGGGACATCCGGCTGGATACGTGGGTCTAAAGCTGCCGGTGCAGTAGCTGTCCAAGGCACCGACGCCATAGTCGCCAGATGAAGTTATAATCGTGATGCCGCGCGCGGTGGCCTTGGCGAACTCGTCACACACACGGGTCGTGTACTGGTTGGCAGTGTCGTGCTCAGCACTAGCATAGGACAGGCTGACAACGTGGGGGGTCGTTTTATTTGTGTTGAGAAAGTTTGTAAAGGCAAGGAGTTCGTCGTAGAAATCGCCAGAAGGACCGATGTGGAAAATGCCTGCCGGGTTGGGGTATGCTAGGGAGACCTGGAGTTGAATATCGAGTGAGGGTTCTGCGTTATCGGCGTCGGGCGTAATCTTTTTGCCAATATAGTAGTCTTGGTAGTCTGTGGTGTTTGGGGTAGTGGGATCGTTGCGGCTTAGGAACAGCGGCATATCCGTGTGGACGGCATCATCGCCATTAGCTAGAAATGCTGCGATAGATGACTTCCCGGTGCCCTTGTAGTCGACGTTGTATAGCTTGCGGACGCAGGATGGAGTAAAATTCTTGGTGCAGTCGGAATTAGAAGCGTTGGTGGCAGGCAGAGCCGAGCTGGCGGGAATAGCTTTCACGGCTTGCGCCTGCTGGTTATAAACAAAGCTCACAGTGGGCTGGATGGTATCGATGACAGAGTGGAGTGATTTTGGGACAGAGTACTGTAAAGCGCGTGCCATGGTGCGGCCCGTAGCGTCGTGCTTGAAGATGGAGTATTCTGTCTTGAGCAGCTCCTCGGCCTTGTGAACGGGAAGCTCAATGTGTATCCAATCAGGCGATGGCTGCGAAATGGCATCTTGAGAAACACCGATTGCGCGGAGCCATTGGTGAACTTTCTCTGCGTCATCGTCTTTGGGGGCCGTGAATGCTTTGATTTCTTCCTTGCTGAGCCACTTGCCATAGTTTGGACTATTGTGATCCGAAATGTCGTTCAGCTTCGCGTGAAGGCCCTGGATATTGCCCTGCTTAAGTGCAATCTGCAGGGTCATGGTAGTCTCTGGCGATGGCTTTCCCACCGTCTGCCAAGAGCCTGGCGCAGCAACCTTTTCGAGTATGGTAGGTGCACCAAGCAGCTTGTGGATGGTGACATCAAGGCTAGGGGCGGCCGAGGCTGTCGCCGCCAAGGCGAGGAGTGTGTATAACGTAGGTAGCATTGTGAGAGTAGCTGAACCAAACGGCCAAATCGAGTTTACGAGAGTGGAGGGGAGACCCGGATAACGGGCGATGGATTTATATTAAATCCCGGTGGAGAGAAGCCTAGTTGCCATACAACATCGCTTCTGGTCCATGCTTGGATCCTATTCATGTTTGGTTGCATTTGCCTCTTTGGGCGAAGCGACCTGCAAATGTACCCCGATGGAACAAAAGCCGGGTTTCTGATTGGCAAACAATGTAGACATGACCCCAGCGCTAAGTATTGTTTTTTCTGGGGCTCCTCTCTTTGAGGAAGCTGCTTGATTGTACTAGTCCGTACATGGTAGTTGGACTGGACATAAAAGGGGAGTGTGTTCCACGAAGCGATTCATGGCTCCAAAAAGATATTTCCGATGCGGTAGATACGAAATCACCCACCATCTGATTCTATATTGGCAAACGCAGTCCATTTGGTAACCTTTTGAGCTCCCTTTGGGCTCGGGTGAGTGTTCTGTAGATGCAACAATGCACTAGTCATAGAAACCGTAGTTCGGTCGAAAGGGCTAGCGAGCGTTCTCCCACCAATAAAAGGACGAATTCAAAAAGCTTCCGTCGTCTGCACTGTTATGTAAGTCCGTCATCTGCCTGCGGCCACGATAACTTGATACACGTACTATTTTCATACACAGTTGCATCCGCTAAAATGCCTTGAATTGTCTCCCTCTATGAATCCAGAGCACCACAATTTAACACTAAATTGGCGGAACGCAAGGTGGATCTCTGAATAAAGGAGCCAGGGCAAGGTACCGACGCCAAGGGTACTTTTTAGAGTAAACAACCGGTATAGCTGTACAAGTTCTAGCAAGCAAGGGAAGAAATATGATTTATTGTATATTAACCAGCCGATATGTATCTACATCGTTGCTTCATTAAGTGCCTCCATCTCACCACGCTACCACAAATTCTCACCCAGGCGTATCAACAAATATATTGTTGCTACTTGTCCGGGCTAACGGTTGTAGGAAGACGTACGCGTAGCCTCGATCTATATAATCGCAATCTTACCTGCCTCTCTGCTAGCGTTAGATCCTCGCTATAAGGGGATGGGAATGGGGTACGGAGGGCCCCTTATAGTCAACCACTTTAACCTTATAAATCGGTAGTCTGCTGCGGACATTGCGCAATGTGGCATTTTTACACGAATATCATCTTCGTAAAACAGCTCGTGGCTTGTTTCCGAAGTTGGTAGTTTGTCAATATATTCAAGAGCCAAGGGTACTGTTTTGGATTTTGCCACATACGGAAGCTGTACTTCTACACGAAGAATCCAGGACTGCCATACTGGAACTGCGTTACCAATTCTGCTCATACCATCGCGCTGTGGTATTGGACTGGATTTCGTGGTCGTGAATGGAATAAATTGGTTCGCTTGTTTCTCAGGTAACGCCAACATCTTGCGTCGGCGCTGGGGTAACGGTAATATACGCCTGCTAGGGCTTTGAAACGGATCAACCAGTGTTATGCCAGTGATGGTGGGTGATTGCTCGGCGACGGCTTCCGTCGTTTGGAGTGGTGTGACTGGGCGACGACCAACCCATTCGGTATCATCAACAGACGTGGTACAAGTCAAATTGCCACTGGTTGTCGTGTCATAGTCATCATCGCTGTCGATGTATTGGGCATCGACTTGACCTTCGTCTGTAGCGGCAGGTTCAAGCTCTTCATCTCCGTCGTAGACATGATCTGTATCGGAAGCCACTTCAGTGCAATTATCTTCATCTATACCCCATATATGATTTCTTGTCGTAATAAGGCCTTCGTTAATATTGTCGGACAGCTCTCGGCGTAGTTCTCGTGGCTGTTCTTCGTTGATAACTGCATCGCAATCGGAGTCGCTACCAATGGACTCTTCAGTGTCACCTGAGTCGGGAGATGTACAATCGCTTGTACTTTCCCTTTCACGGTATTTATAGTCCAACCATTGACTCCAGTTAATACCAAGACTAGCTGGGGTAACATATCCGTAGTGGCTTGAATGGTCGGGAGATCGAAAGGCACGAGACACGAAGCACCCAATCAGAGCCTGCAGGAACGCGCCGACAAGGCAGCCTGCTAAAACGCAAGTACGAAGACTGACGTGCATATGAAGATATATACAACCTTCTTTATATATTATAATTTAATTTGAATAAATGACATTATATCGGCTGCCACTCCTACTATTCTGCTACCAAGGTAGAATCCTTCCGCGCTGCGCCGAGCCGGGAAACGGACGAGTGAGGTACGATCTTCTCACAGCCTCCCACGGAATATTCAAGTCCTTATCAATGGAACCCTTCTGAATCGGCGTTGGGTCAATTATGTACATTGGTTCATCATAGACAAGTTCAATCCCACGTTTTTCGAGATATGCACTCGTTTCTCGTAGTAAAGCCCAAGGTGTTAAAATTTCTAGACCCCACAGCTCCGGGCGGAATCTGACCAATACGCGGTTTAGCTTGGCCTGATGATCTGAAGCAAAATCTGCCAAGCCCCGGATCCAGGCTATTTCATCCTCTTGTAAGTCCTTCAAGTCGTCCTCTTGGCGAGCGGCATGGCCAAATTGCCAACCAAAATCTGTGAGCTGTGGAGCAACAAGTTTGTGACCAACTGCAGGAGAAAATGCCAAACCTGCTCTATTAAATGACCATCGTGATAGACATAATCCTCTTAAAGCAGGGAAATCGGAAACATTAATCATATGCGCTTCTGGGTCGATACTTGACGAAATATCTACCATCTTCAGTGTCTCCAGGGTGGTGCGGTGGACGGATAGCATTTCTCCAACTTCCTCTGGACTGATGGATGACATACGGCCCTCGTAGCGGAAATGTTGCAGTTGGCGTGGCCATTGGATTAACCCAGAAAGCATTTGGGGAGACAAGCCCCAGCCTTCTATTCGAAGAGATGTAATGGGCCCAGTGCCTGGCTTCTAGTGATTGTGTTAGTCGGTCCATGGCAGGAAAGCAAACGATATGATCGTTTCACTGGCTAGATCAGCGCTACAAACTTACTAGGTTTTGTACAAAGGCATCAGGACTAGTAAATGATTGAAACAGTCCAAGGAGAGATAAACTCTGCAAGTTTTTGAAATTAAGCATGGTTGGTAATACGTTGTTCATGGCGAAATCAGGTCGAGGCGCGTCAATCTCAAATGATGAGAGATTGTCTGCGTTACGTGCCACATTTTGGATAATATGCAAAATCTCGTCTGGGAATTTACAATATAGATCCATGAATACTATTCTCTTTGCAGATGGGAACCAAGACGCGATGCGTTGTACCATGCCGAGTTGGTCTCGTATGGTGTGCCGTCTCTCTTCCGAGTCGTATTCGCGAATGATGATGTCAACCTCTTGGACATGGTCTCTCAGGGACGGATTGGTAGATAATGTGTCATGTAGCTTTGTAATCCAGTGGGCACCCTCAGCGACTGACAAGCGGAGATATGAGTACATATGTGGTGTCGCAATACGATACAATTGACGGGTCACTAGGGTAAGTTGCGCCTGTAGTGTGTTAGATAGCAGGAACGTTAGATCGTGTAATCGCCAGAGCAAATATTTACCAATGCCCGAGCACGTTGTCTAGATTGATTTCGTCTCTCATATTTGGACATTATGCAGTTTACAATCTCAAGCACAAGCTCCTCTGGCAAGTTATTGAATGACATCATTAACAGCGACGTCTGTCGTGACGATGCCCCTTGATGCTGGCGTTTTGACTGGCTATTCGACCGATATATTGAGGGCTTGGTGATTTTCAGATAATCTTCCAATTGGTGCCAGAGTAGAACTGAAATGTGACGACACCGATTTAGCGGATGGATTCCAGTTGTTGGGAAGGTTGAGTTGGCAAAATGGTTGGACACAAAGCTTGCTTTGTATCATATGACAGAGCCTCATCACGTGGACATTGGAAGCAAATGTTCACGAAAGTTAATTTGATTTTCAAATTCACAAAACTATTTTTTTTACTTGGAAGAACAGGAGACTGAGATGTTAACCTGTACTGAAACAATGGTCTGCATAAATGACCTCTAAGCCACTTCTTTAGTGGCATCGCCTAATCTCCATTCCGTGCTGTTGGCTTCGCTGTTATCATCGTCAGGATCTACCCAATGATGGCTTGTGGCAGGGATCGGGAACCACTTGCTTAGCGCCCAATAGAGAAGACTCGAGACAATGAATCCTCCAAAGAAATTGACATTGTATATGTATTGGGCGCCAACAGGGACATCAGCGCCGACGGCACCCGCAAAGCCGACCACATTGATAGCGATGCCACCGAGGTATGCTGCGTAGGCGCGCCAATTGATGCCGTAAGTGTACCAATATGGCCCACCAATATCATAGAGTTTTTTGACCTGAAGATAGCCTTTTCGCAGAAAATAGTAGTCTGTAATCATGACACCAGCAATCGAGCTGAGAAAAACACTATAGGCAGCGAGATAGGTTGTGAACTTATTGGAATCGGTGAGCAGATTGTATGGGCACATGGCCAATCCTACAGCTGCACAGATGTAGCTGCCTCGGCGAATGTTGATGTAGCGTGGCATCAAAGCGGTCATGTCGGTAGCAGCAGAAACAGAGTTAGCTGCGATATTAGTGCCCAGTTGCGCGAGAGCAAATGACGTCGCAATAACAAAGACGCCGAAGCGTTGCGCAGAGCCTCCATCGTCGAGGAATTTGCCGAGTAGCTCCAACGGATCCCAAATGGCCTCGTTATAAATGATGGCAGAAGAAGAAGACACCAGAATTCCCACCAAAGAAGTAAGAGCAAAGCCGAGTGGGATGGTAAACAGCTGAGACCAAAGAGCATCGTTTGGACGAGTGGCAAAGCGGGTATAATCAGGGTCGTTGACGATGAGCGTTGAGAAATTGGCAATGGAGGACATGATGCCTTTGATAATCTCCCAAGCCAAAACACTGTCGTGGATTTTATTCTCTTGGCGAACAATAGGACCAAGGCCTCCAGCACGCACAATCGCCCAGATTAAAAAGGCAATACCAGCAAAAGGCACTGTGCAGGACTTGACGGTAAACAGATGGCGGATCTTGTGCACGGGAAACCATAGAAGCGGCAGCGAGCAGAACCAAAAAATAAAAAAGGAGACATAGTCCGCGGTAGTAGTAGCATCGCTGTGAAATGTATCGGGAATTGTTTTTCGATCCCACGATTTCCAAATGGACCTGATCATGAGGTAGACGCAGTGGCCGCCGATATAGGTCTGGACGCCATACCAGACACAAGCTGTGCAACTGTTAGCAATCATACACACGATCTCGCATCACCTAGCAAATTATACTTACCCATGCCGGCGCGGTTAATTACTGGCCACAGACCACCCCAGATACCAAACGACGAGCGCGCAATAATGGGAAAGCCAATGTGATGCACGGCGCCGATCCGTCCCGTCAAGACTATGAAACAGGCGGCGATGGCGTATCCTACCCACACACACAGCCAAGCCTGCCACCACGATAACCCCGCGAAGACCATGGATGAGGAAATCATCCACGTGGAAACATTCAGAGACGCCGCGATCCAGAACGCGATATAATTCCAGGTGCCCCATAGGCGGCGAGCGGGCTCGACGGGCTTGAGATCGTGGTTCGTGAGCTACGCGACAAAAAAAGGAATAGTTGTTAGCGGAAATCATCGTGTCTGGGTCACGAGGAGATATACCATGAGCTGCACCGTGCTGAGCCCTGGCTCGCTCTCCACGGCGAGCTTGTCTGCCCAATAGCGCAGACGCGATTGACTGGCGTAAGATGTCGGCGATACCATGCTGTTTGGAGTATTCACGAAGTCGCGGGATGAGAAAGTAACAAATAGAAAGACCGAATTTTGTAGCGGTGGGTGGCTGCCGGCATATATTGACCAATGCCTGTTAATTTTGCCGCAGAGCCCCCCAACTGATTAGCATAAGGCTGCACATCTTAGCGATACGAGCGGACGATGGGGGGAGTCTAGACCGTTACTAGCGGCATTCAACTGCTGTAAGGGTCTCAGAGTGACATCGAGATGGGCACATCGGTGTGGGGTGTGGGTTTGTATGGGAAAATGCCGATGGGTTCTGCGTTGCGTCTATGCGATCTCTTCGGCAGATAGCTTATATACACAGATGATTAGAGCGACTCGATTTTCAGTTTGGCACTTATTCAGCTCTGCGACCGGGATACGTTCATCGGTCGCACGCCACAATCATGACACGCCACGATGGGGAAGATTTACAGGCGTGTGGAGCTCCGACTCTGCGTCCAGGGTGAATTGCATGTGCATATTTACAGAAGCCGTCGCTATTACATGGATCTCTGCATTGCAAGACTTCTTGGAAGTGAAGATGTTTTTGTGTATAGTATAAGATGCATGTTACAGAACTCTGTTGCCTTTGTTGCGTGGTCCGTCGTATCACCTAACGTCATCTGTGGAAGTATGTACCGTGGGGATAGATGGAGACGGCCCTTAAAGTTGCAAGGCTGATCGGTGACTGTAGTGCGACCGAACAGACAGATGTAGAGGCAATGGTAATTCCATTGGCAATGTTCACCTCCAATGCCAATCTGACGCTAACCGTGTAAAAATCTTTACTTACTTGCAGGAGACTCGGAAAACTTGCCGACGAGGTGTAAAAGTGTATCGGCGTGAGAGGTAACTATTAAGGCCCAGATACGCCTAGACACCGTCCAATTTGAGCATTTCTCTTTTGAATATGATGACGTCTGGAACTACCAGGGATATACGAGACTATATGGAAACTAGACTTCACTTTGCGTCTATACAGGTCAGTTTTGACTGGTGGTTTACAATGCCGATTCCGCACAAGCTGCGATACTAGCACTGCGTGCCAGAGGGATACTGAGAGAGGCCATTTTCCCCCACATGGTAATAAATAAAGTGAATGAAACGTATAGAACCTATTTTCCTTGACTAATCTGGAGACCTGTACCGATTATTGATGTGGTCCGGGAAGTGGGCGAACATCGTGAGGCGTGTACCCATGCTTAGTTGCAAATGCTCCTATAACTGGAGTCGTGATGTCACAAAAGGTGGTTCTCCAAGAAGCGGCAGTCGTAGATCGAGAATTATTCGATTTCAAAGAGGACCTTTCTTCCCAATTTTGCAAGTAAACAGTGCCACGCCGCCATGCAGAGGCTTTCGTCTAAGTCTAGTGCCGCCGCCCTACCAGCAGATCGCCAGTCAGCTTACGTGGGGCGACAAGCCTTTATTCAGTGGGGATGACGATGATTTCAAGGCACTGGACAGGCGCTATAGACGGGTAACTTCCAAGGTGGACATTTCTTTGGCCCAGTTAGTGCTTGGCGTCGTTTAGGCCGTCTTCTCGATGGTTGTTCACAACGAAAGCCCACGCTCCCGCTAGCCGCCAAGACGCCGCCCACATGAGCGAGCCAACTTGTAGGCACGATCTTCAGGTCTGGTGAGCCTTATACAGAACGCAACAAAAGTCGCAATCGAACACACTTGGCCCATTTAGCTAACCCTAGTCGCCAGTAAGCAACCCCATGCACCGTACCTTACACTAACCGTGGGGTTAACGGCCGGATATAATAGGCTACAACGAGATGAGCATTACTGGTGACGTCAATCGAGTCCGGAACGGTGTGTTTGCTAGCCTAATGAATCCAACTGCTATACATCAGAGGAGAGCTATCACAGAAATATGCCCCCTCCGCTTTCGGCAAGTCACGGCTTGGCATCACCAAAGTATTCTAGGCCGTCGTCTTTCCGTAAAAGGAAAGCACGATGCTGAAATCGCAGCTTCCAAGATGTTACAAGGCCAAGACGTAAAGACCTCTACCGAACATTGATTGGCCTAATTAGGACAGGGACTAATTCACGTCTCAACATCTCTCAAAGTATAAATATGTGACGATATCTCCTGTTGTGATGAGTGTTTGATCTCACCATCACGCTCCAAAACAACAACCTCTACCAAACCACATCCTCCTCTTCAAATCTTCACTATGCAGACCAAGACTTTCCTTGCTGCCGCTATGGCTCTCCCCGCCTTCACTGAGGCTGCCTCTTGCGTCTACCGCGCCGATGGCTCTGCTATCCTCCGCCGATACAAGATCAATGCCGATGGTGTTGACGACGTCCCTGGCATCTGCGGTGGCCTCTGGGACAACATGAACGGCCAGGGTGCCTGCCACGGTGCTATCCCTGGCTGGTGCAACGACAACGGCGGCGGCAAGCTCGAATGGGTCTTTGACATTGGCGTCGCTTGCAACTCTGGCGCTGTCGAGGCAGTTTGGTGGGAAGCCACTAAGAACCGCTTCGGTGACATCCACTGCAGCTTTGGACCCATCTAAGTCCGTGGCTCTTTCTGAGTTCCTTACAAAGGATTGTATGTATATATAATGTTACATCTTTTATATATATTTCAATAATATTTTATGGCCCATATATACTAAAAAGGACCACTCTAACACGGGCCAATGAGCTTTTGCTACTCACAGCAGGCGACGACTCTGACTCGTCAGCCTTGCCTCCACATGATGCTGTGACGTGGTGACGAACTTGGCTTCAGCTCTGAAAGCGTTACCCCTTCTTCCTAATGAGAGCATTTGTTAAATTACAATTGAAAATTTGATTTGTACAGTAAATTTTCTCTTACATCTAACCCATGCTTCCTCATCTTCCCAATGAGGTTACCACTCTTATCCTTCAGTCGCCGGCAGAAATTCTCTCGGCGAGGCTGGTCTGCCGACACCTCAACACCATAGCTTCTGGAATAACAGCGAAGCTCTTCTTCGAAACGGTGGAAAGCGATTTAAGTAGAAAAAGCCTTGCCAAACTGGAGAACATTTTGTCTTGTAAGACACATCGTCTCGCAACGCGATGCATCGTGCTTGACGCGCGCCAGTTTGGTACAGGGTTACTCTGGCCACGCGATGGAGAAGGTTTCTTACAATTTGACGCTGGCAGCGCGTTACGTGCGCAAAAGATTCTTTCATCATTTCCCAATTTGGAGGAAATAGTAGTGGGAGGAGATACTGTCATCAGCCACCACTTAACCAACCATCCAACCCTCTTTCCTCGCGATGTTTTCTCCTTGATGCTTTGTCTGGTTTCGACTACTACACAGCCTATTCGGCATTTTTCAGTAGATTGGTCGACATCCATGTCGAGTGATGACTTACACTCAATTTCCTCCACACCATTCACTCGAGATGAATTTTGGCGTCGCTGGGGAAAACTGCACCGCCTGGACTTGAAGCTGCGGGTGGACAACGACGAGCGCGATACAAAGCACGTTGTAGACCTCATATCCCAGGCCAAGGACCTCAAAAGCTTGGCATTCAACCAACGCTACGGCGAGGGCTGTGGAATGTTGTTCGACAGCCTCCTACACGTGAACTCATTGCCAAATCTTACGCACTTGAGGCTGTGGGATGTCGGACAGTTCACATCCGCGAAGCTCATCCGTTTTTTAAACCGCTTTAAACAAACACTTACCAACTTGCGCCTGGACAATGTAATCTCAAGCGGAGACTGGGGGGGGGGGGGAATATTCAACGCGCTACGACATGGATTTACATCACTAGAATGCATCACTGTGGCACATTTGAATCGTTGGGACAGCCCGTCATACAAACAAGACGGCCTATTCTTCCGTCCAATTCGCGCTAGTATTCAGGGCATTGACGCTGACAATTTTGAATTCTTGGAAAAGAGCGACCGTGTCAATAACAGACACTTCTGTGTAGTGGGGGTGCGATATCGCGGGACATTGGTCGATTCAGCGTTACAGCACATAGCAGACGCTATATATTGTGAAGGATATCCCCCATCGGGCACGCCAGAACATGAGCCAGAACGCGTCAGAGAGCCGTGTATACAGCTTCCAACTCTACCTGACGAGGGATGGTACTATACTCAATATCGACCAGAGCAACGCTGGTCACGCCATTAAGTTATGGCCTTGACTGTCAGTCTTGTTATTCATAGATGTAAGAGCGAGCAGTCAATTCCGCTCATTGATTAACCACTGCACTTCGTTCCGTGATGGCACTCGTTCTAGGCCTCAATGCGAGAGAGGTTGGGAGATGGCGACTCTCCAATACCTACTATCGACGTCTTATTGTTCGTGCCGTTGATAGCCTTGCTCTCTGCGCTATAGAATTACGAAACCGATGTTATGACTAAGAGATCTACAGCCTTGTTTATTGCCTTAATATCAGACTGTTCATCTACGTCGTATCAGCCTGAATGAAACAATCCATTGGCCTTCCCGTAAGCGACTGCTACGCTGAACGAACGCGATGGATAGCCCCGTCGCCGTTACTCGGACCTTGAGGACTACAAGCAAGTATAATGGCATCCTGACGTAATCGTCTACACGCCGGCACTTGGAGCCTCGGCGAGAATCCCCCCCGCGAATCACCTTCTCCATCGGTTTTGCTTAGTTAACTTAGGTAAAAGTGTAAATGCGCTGCAGCCCTTCCATCACGCGGGCGGCGCAGGGCTAGCTTCTTCAGGAAGGTTAGGACGAAACATACTGTCAGAAGTCGCCCAATGCGGCTAAAAGCGGAGAGGATGCTACCTCACGACCGCCAATACAGCTTATCATGGTGCGTCTCCGGATTTCGGCCCCAGAATGATTACCCCGGATATAGTTGCTTTTATTTTTATGTAATGCAATTGAACCCTTGAAGCACATGGGATTGCAGGCCGGAACGACGGCATGGTGCTAGGCAAGGAGAGAACGCCGATGGTCAGGCCGGGGGGACAAAATCAGTCAGTATATATAGAGTAGGATGGGACGTCTTTTTGAGACAAGTTGGAACACTGTAGCATCATCTCTCTATTCATCATGAAGACCTCCACTTTCTTTGCCCTTCTCTCCACCGCCGTTGGTGTCCTGGCTGCCCCTGCTGAGGAAGCCGTCCACGGTCCTCGCCGCGCCCCTGTCAGCGGTCCGTTTGCCAAGGACCGCAAATCTAGATTCGGCGCCCAGAACGTCCAGAGCCCATGGGGAGGTTCTGTCCAAGAGGGCCGTGGCTGGCGCACAGTTACCGGCACCACTGTCATTCCCAGCGTGACCAACCAGAGCCCCAGTGCCGGCGCTGCTGCGTGGGTTGGTATTGACGGTAGGTCTTATTTCTTTAGCTCTATCTCCTTTTAAGAAAAACTAACTCTTTCCAGGCTACTCCTGCCCCAACGCCATCCTCCAGACAGGTGTTGTCGCCTGGGGTAACGGCGATGTCGAGGCCTGGTACGAATGGTACCCCTACGACCCCGTCTACTACGGCTCCCGATTCCCCGTCAAGGCCGGCGACAACATCCGCATGAGCGTCAATGCCACCTCGTACAACTCGGGTACTTCGACTCTTGAGAACTTGACTACTGGTGTGTCCGTCACCACGCCCTACAACAACATGGGCTACTCGCTCTGCCTCAACGACGCCGAATGGATCATTGAGTTTGGCGGCGGTGCTACTGCTTTTGCTGACTTTGGCACCTGGGATATCCGCAACACTGGTGCTAGCGGAGACAACGGCCAAGCCAGTGCTAATGGCGGCCGCATCACCAACGTCGTCATCAACAACCACCAGTACACCCAGTGCGGCGCCAACTCTAACGGCATGCGCTGTGTCTGGCAGTAAATTCTCCAAAAGGGGGGGTTTGGAAGCTGCACGTACATACAAAATAAAGACGACTACCTCATCTGAATGAGTGCGAATCCTGGAGATTGCTGAGACCTTGACAACGCGAACCATGACCCATTGCAAATAACCACATAAATATATAAATACATACCTATTCCTAACCACTACATTTTCAACAAACCCTATTATTGAACCTATTTCGACAATTAAAAAACGCACTCGTCTGGTTTACCGGCAATGGTAATGAAGCTGAAAGATCAGCACAGGAGAGGGCGCTGTATGGCGCCACTAATAAACACGAAAGACGAGATAATTTTACGCGCTAAATACACTACACCACTCACTCACCATTTCCCTCACAACTCAATCTCGCCATTGAGTTGCACACCAAAATGAAGAAATCGTCAAGAGTCATTGTGGCTCTTACAGCCATCGCAGAGCTCACATCTGCAGCCTCAACACGGAAAGTACCAGCCTCGCAGCGAATGTTAGACGGCATCATTGCCCGCAAGCAAGGCATCATTTCCTCCGGCGCCGCCACAAGCACCCTCGAAAGCGGCATTCTCGCCATTGCCATTGAGGCCACCATTGCGCAGTATCCCGAGACCAAGGCGAAGTTGTCTTCATACTTGGAGCAGATGCTCAACGCGGCTGCTGCGGATCTTGGTAACGCGACCCTGGACGCCAAGAAGCCACTTGATCGGTTCTCCGTCGCCACAGCGATTGACGATGCTGCCGATGCACACTTGTTCCCCAACTCCAACACGACAGATGATGCCTACGCTGCCGTTTTAGCTTCTCTGCCCCTGCAGACGCGTAATCCCGACGGCGGCCTGTGGTACTACGTGTATCCCGAATGGAGCTACCTGGATGGTGTCTTCTCCTTGCTGCCGTTCATGGCTAGCCTTCCAAACGCTAATTACACAGATATGGCGCTACAGGTGTCACTTTTGGCTGATCACTGCTACCATGTAGAATCCGGGCTATATGTACACGGGTACGACTGGTCCAAGACGGCTGTTTGGGCAGACAAGGCTACCGGTGCGAGCCCCTATGTTTGGGGCCGATCTTTGGCGTGGTTTTTATCGGGACTCGTGCAGACATGGGATCGTATGGATTGCCATACGAGACATAACGATAAAGAAAAGTCGACTTTGTGTGAGAAGATCCGGTGCATCACAGAAGATTCCGCAAAGAACTTGATTAAGTTTGCGGACGCAAAGACTGGCGCATGGTGGCAATTACCGACATTTCCTGGGCGCGAGGGCAACTTTTTGGAAAGTTCCAGCACGGCGCTTTTCATCTTTGCGCTGCTCAAGGGCCTTAGGACCGGAATGTTTCACTCCAAGGAGATCAAGGACGCGGCGCTGCGAGCTTACGGGTACACAAAATGCGACTTTGTGACGCGTGAGAGTGACGGAACTCTGGGGTACGACAAGACTGTTATAGTTTGTAGTTTAAACTCTACGGCTACGTATGAGTATTATACACAGCGGCCGATTGTCAAAGATGGGTTGCTTGGAGAGGCTGCGTTTGTGCTGGCTTCGTTGGAGGTGGAGAGGCTCTAAATGGGCGGATGGTGTACTAGTACAAAGTCAGAGTGTTGTATTTAATTTATTGTATTACTCTGAAATGTATGCAAACGACTTTGGAACGGAACATTGTGAGTTTGACATAAGTCGGCGGTGCTCGGATCCGAGCCCGGGTCGTCGCTGTAGGTTGGTGAGCTGCACCTCGGAGCCGAGCAACGGCATCATGTAGATGCTTTAATATGTTCATGAACAAATTCGCATTTCATTGTAAACAGATACAGGTCTATCTTGATCTCATATTATATGTATGTAAAATGCAGTGCTTTACTATGGATATAAATGTGCCACACAACGTGCAAACGCAAGCTAAGGTTCGTCAACTAAAATATGCAACCAAAACAATAACATGTTCTTTTTTGTACCATAATAACCGATATTTTAGTCATGGTTCGTGCTCTTGGCTCTCATTCTGGCACCGAATTTCCACAAGACAATAGGAGCAGGGGCTGCAAAGGCAAGGAATGCAAAGCCCAGGACACTGTTGCCCCAGCCATAGCCAAGAGCATTGTACAGTGCCGGGGCAAAAATGGGAAACGCAAAGCCCGTGACACTGCGCAGGAATTGCGAGGCAGCAGAGGCAGATGCGACATGTCCGAGATAGGCCTCGGTGACGTACGCCTGCATGGCCTGCGTGTTGAGAATGATACCGCAGCCAAAGATGGCAATACCGATATCAGGTCCGATCCAGTGGGTGCGGTACTCGGCCGTCCACCCGTAGGTGAAAATACCAACGAGAACCAAAATAGCCCCAGGGACCATGAGCGGTACACGATACTCAGGGGCTGTCTTCGTGCCACCTGCACGTTTCTTCAAGTATGCCCAGGTCTTGTCCATGACCTTGCCGCCAACTTGGGACGCCAGTGTGTATCCAATGACAAGAGCGAGGTAGTGCAGACCGCCAATGAGCTTGCTTTGGCCGTATCGGTCGATCCAAAGAAGAGCAAATGTAGACAAGACGATGTAGAGCAAGCCAAAGTTGTACGCGAGGAGGATACCCATGAATTGAATAGTAGGGTGCGTGCAGAGCATGCGAACGGGTCGAGTAAGAGATCGTGTAAGTCTTGCACTGAGGGCCTCGTGGCTGGAAGCAGTGTAGTATGCCTGGCCAGTCTCCTTGCGCAATTTCGCAGCCTTTCTGTCGAGGAGAGTGACTCTAAACGTCTCGGGGAGGAAGAAGAGACCAGCCAGTACAAGCGCGCCGTCAAAGATGGAGAGAATCCAAAAGATCCATCGCCAGCCCACGGTCTGGGTGACGGCACCGCCAACAATGGGACCAAGTGCAGGACCAAGAAGAGGCAAAAAGGTCGAAATGGCATACGACTTGCCGCGCTGGTCAGATGTCCAGATATCCGCCAGCACCGGGTTAGTAACGGCGAACTCGGCACTAGCTCCAAGGCCAGACATGATGCGGCACAGAATAAGCACGCCCGAGGACTTGCTGAAGCCAGCAGCTGTGTTCCAAATGATGTAGTAGCAGGCGCAAATAATCCACACGGGCCGTCTTCCAAATACTTCTGTGCAGGGCGCCAGGACCATGGGTCCAAAGGCAAACGCGAGAACGTAGATGGACAGGAAGATTTGGGCGTGCTCCTCGTCCGTCTCAAAGTCGTGCGCAATGTCTTGTAGCGCGGGAGCAAGCATAGCGCCGGACATGAGCGTCACTAGGCCGCCAAATGAGAGCAGAATCGTAATGGCCATTTTTTTAAGCATTCTCCAGTTGTATGGGTTTTCGGGGTCATTGTCGCCATCCCAAGTGACCTGATAATTGCCGTCAGTTAGCCTTTCGCGTCAACAGCACAATGAGGTGTAGTTAGGATTCTTACCAGCAATGGGTCGGGCTGTGCTTCTTCTTCTTTGTCTGTTTGGAGTTCGAGCGATCCAACATCAGTGGCAGGAGGGGTAACTGCCTTTTCCACGTCCGCGACCACTGGTTCGACGACTTTGGTGTCTGTCGATGTCATGGTGTTGACAATGAGATGGCGGCAAGTTCAAGATCGGGAAGTGGTTCAATCGACAGCAACCAAAACACAAAGTAAAACAGAGTCAAGAAACTGTCTTATGGAGGAAAACAATGCAGATGAAGAAGATACAATGCAAAGAATGGGATAATTTTTAAATGCCATGATCTCGGCACGAAATATATTTATGGTATTTGTTTGTTCTAGGGTGGCGCCATACTTCGGTCCCAGTGTGATTCCATATCCACACTGGGGCCGGCACCACAACTACGGCCACTACACAGTGCTAGCCCCGCCTCGGAGATCAACCCTCGGTGCAACTTTTCGGCATGCGCCAGTCACGCTGACAGTGCAGCATGTCGTGCCGATTAACAAACCACTGTTTTCGCGTCACTCGCAGCCGAGATGCACGCGCCCCCCCAGCCGCATTTTGCATTAATTATTTTTGGCGCTAAGTTTGTAGCTTTACAGCTCAGCTGCACGCAGCCAGTCAAAGGTGTCCATCAGCTCGAAATTAAAGTCTGGTTGGTCGCCAAAGTCCCAGCTGAGGAAGCCGGTGCCGAGTGCGTGTGTGTCGGTGTTGAGGCACTGATCCAGGACCTGCTGGATAATGTTTCGGCAATTGGCACACAGCTTTGCATTGGGTGCAGACGGCCGGACCCAGTCAAAGAATCCTATGAGCAGGCTTAGCTGCTGGATAATGGTCGACCGGCTAATGCTGGCGTCTTTGCTGTGTTCGCCGGCGCCGAGAAGCTCCTGGCACAGAATGCCGGCAGCCGGTGCACCGTAGGAGAGCATCTATGAAATTATTGTTAGTGAGGATATGAGAAGTTGCTATGCGGCTTTGCTTTGCTTACCAGCCATTCGAAGCTGCGCTGCATAATGGCATCTGCAAACTGATCCTTGTGAGTCCAGAAGTGGAGGGTCAGGCTGGCCAGCGCGAGGCTCGTCGCAAGCAGCGTGTCCTGGTCATTGTAGCCGTAGCGTATGAGGAGCCTGTCCACAAAGAAGATATTCTGGAGGTGCTCTAGATGCGTGATAATTTTGATGTATGCAGACCGTGTCTCGTGAGGAGCGGCATGGAGATCCTGTGTGGTGTATTTAATGCTTCGGGGGAACTCACCGACCAAGGCGTGTTGCCGACTCTTTAAGCCACTATAACACTATTAGAATGAGAAAATCAAAGGCAAAGACGGCTCGTACAGCAGATACTCGGCACTCGGGTGGCTGTTGTTGCCCATGGTCACCTCGATCAACTCGTCCCGAATCAGAGCCATCATGCACCGGGCTCGCGCCACGGTGGCCGGATACAGACCGCCGCTCGTGTTCCAACCGCGCTCGTCGAGAGCACTGATGGCACGGCTTAGTGTTTCAGAGTCGGCTATAAGGTCCTCGTCGCTGAGGTCAAGCGGTAGCGGCGCCGTGTAGTACCGATGGCTGACAAGCGGCGGCCGGCCGGTGACCATGACGCTGAGCTTATCTAACACAAAGACGGCTGCAGCAACGCGGCGGTTGTTTTCTGACCATGCCGTGGGTCTGTATGGCGTTTCTGCATCTGATGTTTGAAAGTTGGAGAAAATCATGTAGTTGACTGTCGAGCCTTGCACTTCCCAAGTCGCCAATGCTAGAAGTCATGGCCTTGTAAGTAGCTATCCAGCAAATGACTAGGATAATACTCACCTAATTCACCATCTGTTAGAGATACAAGTGTACAATATCTTCGGTATAAGTCTGCGAGCAAGTCACTTTCGTCTGTAAAGTGCTTGGTGAGCTGGATGCAGTAGTTGACGTGCATTTTTGCCGTCTTCCGCGACGTGTTGGCAGGTGTCCGGACGAGCTTCCTCGGAATCAGAGCATCCAGAATATCAGAGACGCGTTCCAAATGTGTCCAGAGAAACCCAATGGACTCCCATCTTGTGTTTGGCCCAACAAACGCATTGAGCCACGTCTCCCAGTTTGGATACGGGCCTCGCAGCGGCTTTGCTGTATTGTTGGATATGATTTGCGCAACATGCTCCAAGGTTTCCTGCTCACTTCTTGAAGGTGATTCTGACAGGACAACACGAAGCCATTGCACTATGCGGTGAGCCGCAAGATGTACCCAGCCTTTTGGTTCAAAGTGGCCATCGAGATACTGCATCTGCGCATTCTTCTGGCCCGGCAGCACACGCAACACCTCCAAGCACATTTCCCGTATCGAGCGCGGTAGGCGCCCAAACACCGTATCTTCGCTCTGGACGAGTTGATCTGTATGTGAAGAGCTGCCATACGGGCTCTCCTGTGTCGTTGACACTAGATTTGGTTGTGTTTCTTCTAAGGCCGACGTGTAGCCCAGGCGCATCCGCTTGGATGGTCGCGGCGTCACTGGCACCGCTGGCTCTGGCTCTGGCTCTGGCCCTGGCTCTGGCCCATCTTCCACCACCGCAGCGGGCGGCACCTCGTGAGAAGACGCAGCGTCTTTTCGCACAGCTGTAGCAGAATAGACGCAATCGCCTGTCCTGTTTTTTGAGCAGCAGCGAGAGCAGGCTGGGCGGGCGTGGTCGCAGGCGACTTTGCGGACACGACACGGATCGCACGCCGCCTGTTTGCCGTTGGGACGGAGTTTATGCGCCGCCTCTGATTCTTGCACGCTGGCCATTGCTGGCGATAAGATAGCGAATCCAGGCGTGTCTGGTGTTGCAAACGAAGAGATTCCAGTTACCGTGGTCGCGGCATTGGCAGGGCTGCGTTTGCCGCGTTTTGGCAAAGTCGGCTGTTGTTGGTTTTCAGCGCCCGGGCAGCTGCTCTTTGCAGTGGGAATTTAGGCGCCAAACACGGCGATGTCAACACCGTTATCTGTCAGACGCACTATAAAACTGTATCATTTACAAGCATTTACAAAGTGAAATAATGAATAAAATGTTCCAATAATAAACATAAAAATCTCAATGTTTGAGTCTACATAAGAAAAAGTATTTTAATCTAGGCTCAAATCGTTTTTCTATAGTAGAAACGCCGGCTATGCATATTTACCGTGTAAAGTCTAATACAGCTTAGAACAACTCAAGTATACACCCTTACTGTGATAAGCGTTGTGCTACGATGCTTTATAAAGATTAGTAGCTGTATGTACATCGATTCACTGAAAAAGTTCGAAAATTCTAGAGGAATCAATCCATTAAAGACAGTATATAGCTAAATACGATTCCTCTCTGTGGATACCCACCTAATATCTGCTTGGACTATGCTTTTCAAAGCTTTCTCAGTATCAGCTTACCACTACATTCCTTTAGGGCAGAATGTTACTTGGCAGTAGGAGTGGCTAGCATGATATAGCAGGATAGCATTTAGTCGACGACGTAGGCAGTAGCAGCATCGGCATCAGAGCGCTTGTCAACAACGTACGCGGTAGCGGCATCGGCATCAGATCGCTTGTCAACCACATATGCGGTAGCAGCATCAGCATCAGATCGCTTGTCAACAACGTAAGCGGTGGCAGCATCGGCATCAGATCGCTTGTCAACGACATAGGCAGTGGCAGCATCGGCATCAGAGCGCTTGTCAACAACGTACGCGGTAGCGGCATCAGCATCCGATCTCTTGTCAACGACGTAGGCTGTGGCAGCATCAGCGTCGGAGCGCTTATCCACAACGTACGCAGTTGCGGCATCCGCGTCTGAGCGCTTATCGACGACATAGGCGGTGGCCGCATCGGCATCAGAGCGTTTATCGACGACGTAGGCAGTCGCAGCATCGGCATCTGAACGTTTGTCAACGACGTATGCCGTAGCGGCGTCGGCATCAGATCTCTTGTCTACGACATACGCGGTAGCAGCGTCAGCGTCAGATCGTTTATCGACCACGTAGGCGGTGGCAGCGTCCGCATCGGAGCGCTTATCAACTACATATGCGGTAGCTGCATCCGCGTCGGATCTCTTGTCGACGACATAAGCTGTTGCGGCGTCGGCATCAGAACGCTTGTCAACAACATAAGCGGTGGCAGCATCTGCGTCTGAACGCTTGTCGACGACGTAAGCAGTCGCGGCATCAGCATCGGAGCGAGCAAAAACTGTTTATTTGATTAGTTACTAGTTATTACAGGTAGCGTTGAGGCATACCGGGTGCTGCAATGGTGGTAGCAGACAGCGAGGCAATGACGCCAACAACAAAGGTGTTCTTGAAATGCATGGTTGAAACTGTTTCAGTGGAGGTTGATCAAATTGAGATAGGCGAAACAAATCTTGCTTCGAATAAAGTATAGCTTTATTGTATACTGTCTTAGTGTTTGAAAGTGACTGCCTAACTATATACAATTCTGCCGATGAGATGATGGTGTGGACCCGAGAAACGGGTAAAATTGACACACAAAGGCACAAAAAGAAATGAGTCCCGAGAGTGTACAACTGAGATTCCTTGTCACAGGCAGGACTGTTCGATTGAGGACTTGGTCACTCCCCCAGTATGCCGATGACAGCTGTCACAGAGTGCTGTATGTCTCCTGGAGCGGTAACAGATACTGCTGTAAAAAGTCCTTGCAATCAAGAGAAATCTTGTCCAATTCACTCCAACATCAACGAGAACTTCCTGGTTTACTGCCAATCTGGGTCGTTGCGGAAGACAAGTTGCTGTGACGCAGCCTGTCATCGACTTACACGCTCCAGCTGTGTCGTGACATTCATGTCACAGCCGATGACTTGCACCGCAAATGATGGAATTGTAATTTTGGACCAATCGCAGTGTCTCTGTCAAGTTAACTGGTTCTACACACCTGTGTTGGCTTCAACATGACTTTTATCCCAATTGTGTCGTTGCTGGTCCAGCGGGCAACCCTCGGATGATCAGCCACCGCACGACGACGCTATTCATGTCAAGGCCACAGACATCACAGCCTTCTACCGCACGTCAACCTTGAGATTTATCGTTTCTTTTCCAATTATTGCTAATCTCAAGCGAAATTAAAATATCGCCAATATACAATGAAGTCAGAAGACTCTGGTACACGGGCATCCACCCCCACCATTACAGAAGAACAAGATTGGACAGCAAAGGATTCTGATGGTCTTTTGTCTTCTGAAGAGAACCAAAGAAGCAGCAATGAAAGAAACAGACACCAATTCCGAAGACCTATTTCATTACAAATACATTTTATAATCTTTTCCATTTATATTTGCACTCTGCTTGCCATGGGCATTCTCCTCGCCAAGAATTGGACATATTCAAAGAAGCCGTTTCTATATTGTGCGTATTCGGCAGCCCGATTTCAAGATATTGGATATTGCTAACCACTGTATGATAGCCCCAGCAAATGAGGCAGTCGAGTATTATGTGGGCGAATTTTCTGACTCCAACGATCCGCATGGTAAATATGTTGGCGAGCCGCGGCCATCGCTGGAAAAGGCATGGGAAGATCTATTAGGACGTAAGTTTGATATGCAATACCTACCTAGTTGAGCGCTTGCTAAGTCGCCAGCCATGAATGTGCGATTATCACTGGATGATGTTCGCGCATTCGGTCGCGAAGCAACTGCCGTCGGCATGTCTGATGGCAGCGGTTATCTTGGAACATTAAATGTGTATCACGAATTGCATTGCGTGGTAAGTGAGACCCAACGTATCGGGTTATAATTCGATTATACTAAGTATTTGATAGCGATGGCTTCATAAATACATTTATCAGGACGAATATTGGCCAGGAATTGATGACGAGCAACGAGCGAAGAACAAATACCACAGCAGTATGTCTTGCACCTTTTCCCGCAAAGTCGAAAGCCTGTTTACTTACCACGGCGTATTACAGATCACTGCCTCAACACGCTCAAGAGCTTTGCAATGTGCCACGCAGATGTTGGACTCGTCATCTACAGCTGGCAACAAGACAGACTCAAACCCGGTGCAAACGGCACTGGCCATACCTGTGCAAACTGGGAAAAAGTTGCCCAATGGACGCGAGAACGCACGGTCGACATGTATCAGCCCGGTCTGATTGTTCATCCTTCACTAGGTAAGCTCCTCTCATTATCCCGACTCGTTACTATGAACGACCCATTGAACGAGCCTTTTTTCTCCAGGACCCGCGTACCCGGCTGGGAACGAGGATACGGAACATATTCATGGTGCGCTGCATGAACATGGTAGCAAATAAATCGGGAAGGTCAAGGCGGCGTGGGGCAAGGCTGCAGTAACAGCAACAGCGGCCAGCCTGTGAACGGCTAGAAGCTAACGGGGTAGCCCCAAGTAAAGCACAGGATTGATTGGTTGTATTTGTGAGAGACTCTGGGCCTATCAGCACTTTGATAGATTAGGCAGCATAACGTTGTACCTCGGCCAATGTGTCATCGTGCTACAGCGAGCTCCAACTATCCGGGATAATCCATGTTGTGCTAAACACCACAACACAGTATATTGATTTAGCAATCAACGTTAATTGCTATCAGCCGCGGAGATTCTTAGCCTGCAGATGTCCACATACACGCCGTCTAGAAAGCTCTCGCCCTGTAGGGAGTCGTGTTCGTCGTATGCTTTACGTACTCTCTATCTATCTATAGTATGCACATACAGCCCCGCGACTCCCGGATGACCAGAAGAACAGGGCTATTTCGGCTAGTTTTGCTGCAACATTCTGCTGCATGGAACCCTTGCGTGCCTCGGAACTTTACTTCCGCATGCGCTGAACTGAGGCTGTCGTGCATCTGCAGAGGATAAGCCGCTAAAAGAGGGGGAAGGTGGGCATACAAGAAGCACAGTCATGCAGAGGTGGGTAGGCTTGGCAGCATGCAAGCTTGACTGGATAGGGAAGTTCTCTGCGTGCGAAATTCGCATTTGGTTACTGACTCTTTTCCATTAGCTGCGGGAGCTCCGACATCTTCCTTTACAGCCTGATTTGGTGGGCATCGGCGATGGCACACACAGCCTGTCTTACTTTTCTCACTAGGCCCGTGGCTGCGCGGCCGACTTCCAGCTTCGAATGCTCAACTAGGTGTCGGGCAACAAGGTTGTCATATTATTTCTTGGCTTTAAAATGAGTCAATATCTACACCATCCGGTCTAGAAGCTCACGCTTGCAATGGCGTGAACGAGGCTGAGCCTTGCGACTGCTTATACGCTCTACGGTTGTCGTCGTGTCCTTTGCCCGTACATGCGGGGGACAAACACCCAGAAGTCGATCATGGCACGCTTTTTTGCCCCAAGTGCCGTCGGCAATACAGAATGACCGTCCGCCCAATCGTGCCTTTGAGAGCATGGCTCAACAGCGACTACCGCAACGCGGGGGGCACAAGGCCGGGGTGTATACGCCACAATACATAGTGCACGGTATCTACGGTGCCGGTTACCCTTTTTAGGAACTTTGGTGCGGTTGTGCCGCTGCCGTGCACACACAGTCTGATGTAGTGTTGTTGAGATTAGAAGGACATATCTGCCGCCGTAACTAGCAAAGAACACGGAGGGCCAACATCCCACAAAATATCGTTAGCTGTCAAATTACTAACATCAATACTAACGGCTATCCGCAGGCTCGCTTAGGATGCGTAAACAAATCATACTTGGGACAATGCAATACTAACGTGGCGGCTGGCTGGTTAAATTCCACTAAGGGCAGCGCTCTAGGGACTAATGCGCCGCTTAGCCTTTGAGGCGTCCACTAGAATCCTTCTTGTGCAGCCTAGTTTGTCAAGAACAACGCCAACCAGCCAATGGAGCCCCCAAGCGGCTTGCTACACCACAAGTTGGTTGCATGTCAGCTATGGTAGTGGCTTCGGCGATTATCTCTTGGCTCTTCCACTGTGTTAGCTCTACGCTCAGCTTCGTTCAGCCCGCTCCAGCCCCATACCGCAGCGCTAAACTACCTCTCTCGCAGCGGCGCGACGCTTTGGGCGTCGGGCGTTACGTCGATTATCACGCCAACCTCGCCGCATCGAACGCCAGCGGTTCCCCGTAGAACACCAGCGGAGCCACTTGATCTCAAGGTAACCCGCAGTGTCTCTCTTACATTGCTACAGCCGTGAATCCAATATTCTTTAGTTTTTTCCCTCTTTTTTCAGTATGCAAAATGCAGACGCAGCAGCAAAACTTGAAGAACAGCGTCGACGAAACAGACTAGCTCAGCGTAGACGCCGTGAGAGTGAGTACAATCGCCATCAGGAGCTCAATGCCAGGCCACGAAGAAGCTCTCTAGTTGATTGCATCAAAAGGTATATGGGACTATAGTTTCTGACTTGTATCGGCACTATAGGACAAAGAAATCGAGCAACCAGCATATCGTCGGTTAATAACGACGCCATTGCTCCCATCGTGGTGGATGTACAGGATCAGCAACCGGCTGAAGATAAAACGTGGGACTTTGCAATTGACAATGAATTCTTCGACTCGGCATTAGAGACGCAAGATGATCTCGTGGACCAGTTCCTTCATCCTTCGCCTCCTCCTAGCACTGATTCACTCTCTTCATCGAAACAGACAGACGTTCCAACAACTGGTAGTCTTCGAGATAAATCACATTTAACAAACGGTATTTCTGTGGAAATTCCCACGGGTTTAACGGATGTTCGTCGCGAATCCACCAATCAAGAAGACTCAAATAGTCCCCTCCGTCAATTTTTATTAACTCTTCAACAGGGTGATCGAGGTGCGTAACAACTGGTTGCCTGGCCGTTTTACGAATGACATGCTGAAGCATCCCTAGAACTGGCCCAAGATTCATACAATAGACTCATTGCACTATTACCACAAACAAATATAACTCAGCACCAACGTTCTGATAGCGCACATAAACAGCTCATCAATGTATCCGACTTTGCACAGTTCAGTGGTAGTGGTACGGCGTGCTACAGCGCTACAGGATCATCCTTGGGGAGAAGCCAGAGTTTCTCGTGGCCGCGATCTGAGTCTCGCCCCTCAGTCGACAGTCATAGCGTTGATTCTGCTGCTCGAGAGGTTTCCTTCGAGCGGATCAGGGAGTTTGTCGAGGACGCTGGCTTCGAAAGTCTCGACGCGATGATGGCCGCCTACTACAACTCAAATCTGTGTGCCAGCTCCAACCAGCGCCCGACGCAGGCGGTTGGTCGCTCCAGAAGACTCCGAAGCTTTCTATCAGCGCTGCATCGCAACCATGCCGAATGGGGTGATCAAGAGCGAAGTGCGTACAGAGAAGAAATCGCCCGGGCTGCAGAGGGTATCTATGCCGACGAGCTGTCCGACATGGTACACGGTGCCACAGGGATGAATGGTGCAAAGAGATTATCTATACCTGGGTCAGCAAAATCCTCAACGGAAACAAGTCGAGTGTACATTGCCCACCGCATTCAGAGTCTTGTTTCCGATCAAGAAATGCAAGATTTCATGCGGAAGGATCGAAAGGATTTACAAGATACGGTAAGGCGCTTACCCGGGACTCTCTAGCTCCTTTACTAGTCCTAGCTAACAGATGCAAGGTCGCCGAAACGTGGTCACTTATCACACAGCTTATTTACAGCACGGGACAATCGCCGCAGCAGAAAGCGTCTACTGCATGCATCATTCTGTATCTTCTAACATCGCCAGCTGCGACGTAACAGAGATTCTGTAGAATTTATACAAGATTTATATTTACGAATAAGTATATTAGTACAAGCAGTAAGACAGTATGTTTTTATGAGGAGTTCACATTTTCCGGACCAGGGTGTTCACAATCCCAGTATGGTTGATTGGATAGAGAATACTGTTTTTTTTATTTATGAAATACATTATATGACGTTCTCAAATATCTTTTTCTTCTGTATCGCTTGCCTCTTCATCAGTATCCTCCGATATTGTGAAGTAGCGATGAGACTGTAGGCTCTGTGCAGCCTCCTCCGTTTCATCGCGGCGTCGCGCTGCAATCTTGCCTCTTCGCCAAACGTAAAAGGAAAGGCCACATAGTTCCAAAACAATAAACACAGCCGCCATAGACATGATTGCTCTTGGGTAGCCTGTCATGGACATTCCGAGAAGCAAGTTGCCACTAGCCGCGATCATTACTCCCCGCCCTGTCCAGATATGGCTATGTGAGATCCATGTGCGCTTATGGATCTTGATAAAGTCCATGTGATGCTTGTATCCCAGATAGGATTGCACGAAAAGCAGACCCACGATTGTCAAGCCAATGATCTGGTGGGCAGTATTGATCTTCTTCTGTAGTGTCAGTCCGACACCCATGCCGCCTAGTATGGTAATTGCAGCTGTTAACTGGATGATCCAGTGATATTTGAAAGACTTTGGGCTACCTGATCGCATAGCCAACACACCAGATGGGATGAATAGGAGGAATGCAGCAGCCATGAGAGCACCGTGAATGTGTAAAGCGCGGTTGTTCAACGTCCACTTCTTCATAGCATTCAGAATGCCATTGGCAAGGATATCAGGGTCTTCAGAGGCAGCATACATGGTGACACCAGGGCGGATGAACGGCACAGATGGTAGATGGGGGACCTTGCTAGTAGCATGCTCCATGTTAACGTAGAAGCGTCCCCAGCCGCCGTTTCCAGCGTGATGTTTGTGCATCTTGAGATGTACATCATAAGTAAAGGTATCAAACTCTTGCACTGCATTCCAAGCCCAGATCAGCGGCTGTGATGTGGTCTTTGCGGCGATAGTTGTGCCCGGCCACTTTGTGCAGGAGTAGCACACCAGCGACACCATTGCCGTAACAGTTCCTGCTGGGGAATCGTTCATTTTCCAACTTGAGCTCAACACTCGAAGATCTCCTCCTCCAAAATCATTCTTCTTCACCAGCGTTGGCTGTGAATGGCCCTTTGAGGCACGCACGCTCACAATCGGCGACTTTCCAGACGCGGGGTCGCCATAGACAATCACCATAAGCGACCCTTTCATTTCTTCGCCAAATCCAATTGCAGACCATCCTTTGGCTGATTTCATCGGACGTGTATGAGTAAATGTGACATAGACGTTATGCTCATTTGTAGACTCGTTGCGGTGCAAGGTGAAGCCGCTACAGAAGTCGACTTGGTTGTCGCCGTAGCCATACTTGCAAAATTGTGCCGGCTCAGCCGAGCACAATGTAAAGAGGTAAAAGAAGAGCAAATAACAATATTTCAACATGATAATTGGTATTTTGGTGTGCTTGCTTGCTAGTCGAGAAGTGAACTAGGCGAGATGAGGAGATACCCTGGTGGCTGTTGTTGGCGGTTGCGCTTTATCCCACGCTTTGGATTTTGACAAAGCGCCCATTCGCAACAGTTTACAAAAGCCCTTCTTTTTACTAATGGTTCTTTGCTCACACTATCGCCTGGGGTGGCAGGCCTTGCATACGTGGCGTGCAGGACGCAGATCAGGCTGAGCGAATCAGTGTGGAAGATGACAATGATGACAGTCTATGACAGGCTGTGACGGCACTCAGGGAAAGTATGACAGGCGCAAGGTAGATGACCCTACAACCAGTGTAGCCGCCTTGACTTGACAGTACAGTAGCTCTATTCGAATTTTATAGATTGAGATTATGTTGATTGCCATAGGTTTATTGAATGGGGCGTGTTAATGTATGCACAGTAACAAACCAAGGATGTAAGACAGATTCCCCGCCAATAGACAAGCTAGGCTGTAAGTTACTGCGAGTATTCAGGCCAGTGTTTGAGGATCTTTCTTGGAAACACATTATTCCTCTGTAGTTGAATTTATTGGAATTAATCATGTTATACCAAATATCAATTATTGGCACTCTTTTAGCTTTTAGCTGGGCATTGCCTGCACAAGAATCTCGTCTCATTGAATCTACACCAACTCCATCGTCATGGCGGAAAATGCGGCCGGCAAGCGACTCTGCAATAGTCCATTTAAATATCGGAATCAAACATGATGAAAATATTGCCGAAGAGTTGAAGCGAAGGCTTCTTCAAAGTACGTTGATCTTGGACTTTGCCCGCACCACAAAACTGACGCGTTCTAGTCTCTGATCCATCGAGTGAAATCTACGGCCAACATCTTAGCAAACGGCAATTAAGTGATCTGTTCAAAGCGCCTAATGAAGCAACGATCGCAGTCGAGCAATGGCTGGTATCAAACAACATTACCACATTCAAAAAGTCTGTTTCCAGCGACTGGATTAGGGTTTTACTGCCACTGAAACAAGTCCAAGATTTACTTCAGTGCGAATACTTTGAGTTTCAAAATATCTTGGACGGCAGTATTCTCGTTCGCACCACAGCCTGGTCTATACCGAAAATATTGGCACCTTTTATTGACGTTATCGAACCAACAAACTCCTTTTTTCGCCCGAAGGCTTCCAGCCGATATGGCGGGCCACCACCTCCTGAATGGGAGCAGAAGGGCCGTTTGCCTACCCATGCGGAGCTCTCTGAAGAGGATATACTAGAGCGAGGACATCTTGATATCCCAGCAATTGACGAACTCCCGCCAAACCCAACCGTCATGGATGCATGCAATAGATTGGCTGTGTCTCCGCTTTGTCTGCGTGTCTTATACGGCACACTTTCATACAAGCCCAAATCCATTGCCACAAACAGTATGGGTGTTGTTAATTTCCTAGGAAACAACAACAATCGGTCTGATATTAGGCGCTATCTTGATCTCTATCGCCCTGATGCTGCTGCAGATGGCGCAGCCGAGGCCTTTGAAACAGTACTTCTTGCCGGTGCCGAAGATATCCAGACGCCAAACACCGAGGAGCAGTTCGCTAGACACATGGGGCTCGAAGGTGCTCTAGATGTGGAAACAATCCTAGGAATCGGGTACCCTACGCCACTGAAGACATGGAACGTTGGTGGCCAGCCACCATTCCAAGCGAGTGTGAACAAAGTGAACAATGCGAATGAGCCGTACATGGAATGGTTGAACCATCTGCTTGAGCAAGATACTTTGCCATCTGTCATATCGATATCCTATGCCGATGAAGAGCAGACTGTCCCCAAAGCTTATGCGCAACGCGTGTGTACTGGCTTTGCACAGCTAGGAGCTCGTGGTGTAAGCGTTATTGTCGCATCGGGTGATGAAGGTGTTGGCAAGGACGGGACATGTGTAACAAATGACGGCAAAAACACACCGCGCTTCATGCCTGCATTTCCTGCCTCGTGTCCATTCGTCACCGCAGTCGGCGCAACTCGACACTTTGACCCTGTGTTTGCTGCATTTGACGGCCGATCAGACTTTGTAACGGGCGGTGGGTTCAGCGACTATTTCAGTCGTCCAGATTATCAGCACGGTGTAGTGGACAAATACTTGGCCTCGATTGGACCCTTGCATGAAGGTCTATACAATACCCAAGGACGCGCCATTCCGGACGTGTCTGCACAGGGATACCACTTTGCTGTGATATACAATGGGACAGCACACCTTTTGGACGGCACGAGTGGTTCAGCACCAGTCTTTGCTGCGATTGTTACTCTTCTCAACGACGCGTTGATGGCGGAGAAGAAGCCACCCTTGGGGTTCTTGAATCCGTGGCTGTATTCGGTGCGAAAGGGACTACGAGATGTTACGTATGGTAGTGCTACAGGGTGCAATACGACGGGATTTCCGGCGACAGTTGGCTGGGATGCAGCCACGGGTTTAGGGACACCGGTGAGTTTGATCGCACAATTTTCTGGCCTTGTTTTGCTAACAATATCATCATAGTGGTTCCCTGAGTTGAAGGATTTGGCGCTCTCAAGACAGTTCCGCTGGGATCATCCATGGTACATTATGCAGTAGCGTATCTTCTGTATATAAAATCTTGAATATTACAAGTTATTTTTATTTTTAAAAAAAATGAGCGGAATATTTGCTTCTCTTCTGCGGACTGGAATTCGTTTTCCTGGGTTCGTCTAGAAATGTTTGATGTTTGTCGGAACACAGCGATGTTTACAATCAGCGCGAAACTTTTTAAAAAATGCCCATCTCGGCAGTAAATTAAAAGTAAATGGGCTCTTACTCTACTAGAATACCATACTACGCATTTTTATATCCTTAATTAATGGTGGTGATACTCTCCGTCGCCTCCCTCCTTGTACGCGTAGCCTGTCTAGGTTAGCACTAGCTCTGAGGCGCGCTCTCATTGAAAACATACCCTTGGATGGATGAATCAGCCAGCCGGGCTTCATCATATCAATGGTTCTCTTTTTGGTCCAGTCGTCGAGTTTCTTCCAGTTTGCGCATTGGTGAGTTGTCGAGTTGGCAATGGGCACCAGACGCGTGGGAGACCATTGGTACGTGATGATGCCCACGTCTGCGAGACACATGATGGATTGCCGAAGGAAATCAAAGCAGTGTTCTACAAACCGAGTAAGTCTTTCGTTATAATTTCAGATAGACTGGCGAGTTTACCTTTGTGTAGGCGGTCTGCTTCCGCCTCTGCTGGAGTCCTACTTCTCGAGTAGAACTCGGGGTATGTGTACTGCCATAATCGTTTCTGAATATGAAAAATGGACTAGTTAGAACTAGTATCATACAATTGGATGTAAAAGACTTACAATGCAATGGAGCTGGTGGTAGACGTTCAAGGTGCCGAGATAACCACGACCCTCTGGATCAGCAACGGCGATGTCCTCACGGCCATAGCGGGCAATGATTTCCGGTTCAATGATGATATTTTCGCCTAACAAACATACGTTAAGTTTCATTTAAATTTCACATATTAGAGTGAGAATTTAAACTTACTGTTGATGAGGTCATGCCAATTCTTGTCAATTTCTTCCCTAGGGAATCCAGAGAAAGGGCCGTCAGAGAAGCTGTTCTCAACAAAGGTGGTCTCGGACCATTCAAGGGCTTCAGCAGCAGGCGCTATTGTAACATTAACAATAGTTTCCAATCGGAGAGAGTAAAATACTCACAATCAATCAATTGAAGCCCGTTTTTTCGTATCTTCGCTAGCTGACTTTGCAAGTTCAGCGTCGTTCCGATGTAAATGGCAAATAGGACAAGGTGGATCAGGAAGAAGCCAATCCACCATCTCTTTTGCCCATAGGTACGGGCTCGAACACCCCGGATTTCTTCCTCGTCAAGAAAGGAATCACCACTTTCTGAGCCGTCAACAGTCTTGGTTCGAATTACAGCAGCCTTTTCCATTTCTGCCTTGTTAAAGAAGAACGGGAGCTTTTTCTTGGTGAAGAACATGGTGGCGGAAGACACAGGTCCTGCAGAGGGTGTATTGGCTGTTGATGCTTGGGTGGACGTGGGTGCAGAATTTCGTCTAAATGTCCGGCTCTCAAAGACACTGAGAGAAATATCCACCTAAACCAGTCTTTGAGCTGCTGAAACGCCGTCTAGACTCTGTGTAGTAGGTATGGCATGTTAGTCCGTTGCCCCATAGTATGGTGATGCCCCAGTGGCGTGAGGCTGCAGCGGTGACATGACCAGCGACAACCCAGGGCAAATGTCATAGCCGCACACTCAGCTGTAAGGAAGCTGAACGCTGTGCGCTGTGTGCCGTCCAAGCGTTATTCGCCGTTGGTCGAATTAGGCAAACTGGCAGCATTCGCGACCGTGGCTCTGTGCAATCTTGCTTTCGATTAGGAGAACAAAAACATCTTGAAATATATCGCAAAATATATTTTTAATAAAAGATCTTCAAGTATATCTTGTCACAGCGAATATGTCCAGATATTGGGCACTGCTAGTACTCCACACCAGCCGATTCGCCAACATCGATCCGAGGACTACCAGCTCACCAACATACAATCTCAAAGAACGACATGACGTTCCAACAGATTGGAGTCGGATTCGACGAGCTGATGAAAGACACGAATTTCGACTAGAGATTGGCGTCAAGCAAAGGGATTTTGCCGGCCTAGAAAGGCGCCTGTTGGAAATCTCTGACCCTTCGCACCGCAGTTACGGAAAGCATCTGTCGGCGCAACAGGTCCACGATTTTGTTGCACCACTAGATGAAACCATTGATAAGCTTCATGAGTGGTTGGAATGGCATGGTGTAAGCAGAGATCAGCTGCAATACAACCCTACGAGAGACTGGATTACCGTTCCAAAAATCACCATATCAAAAGCAGAATCACTTTTGCAAACTAATTACCACGTCTACCGGCGTGATGGACAAGAAGTGGTACGAGCAGAGGAGTGGTCGCTGCCCGCAGATCTCCACAACCTCATTGACACGATTCATCCTACCAATTCCTTTTTCAATATTCGATCCGAAAATTTAACAAACTCTGACGCTTCGTCAAGACCAATAATATCAATGAACCACTATGCAGAGGATCTACCCGACGGCCTGGCGATATTAAACGGTATCGACGTTGCCAATCCACCGCTTGATCTCACGCCAGAACAAGTGTGTAATATCACCGCAGTTACGCCATTATGTCTTCGCACACTATACGGAACATTGAATTATACCGCAAGATCAACGCATAAAAATAAAATGGCATTGTGCAACTTCTCGGGCCAATTCAATAATCGAAGCGATGCCCGGCAATACCTCTCAACCTACCGCCCCGATGCCGCCTCTGCTGCGGATAGCTTTGGCATTGTGGAAATCTCGGGTGGTGATAATCGGCAATTGGCAGCGACTGAAGATCAAATAAAAGAAGGGCTTGGGAAAGAAGGTGGACTTGATGCCCAGGTTCTCTTGGGAGTCGGCCATCCAACGCCGATGATCACATATACAACCGGTGGTGCTCCTCCCCCCTTTGTACCCGACTCATCTACTACCGAAAACGACAACGAGCCATTCCTTACTTTCATCAACTGGTTACTGAAACAGACGGATTTGCCTACCGTTCTGAGTATATCATACGCAGACACAGAATACACTGTTCCGCCATCATACGCGCAACGGGTTTGTCAAGGGTTTGCACAGCTCAGTGCTCGTGGCGTGAGCATCGTCTTTGGCTCTGGTGATTGGGGTGTTGGAAATCCCACCCAATGCCACGACAAGAAGGGCAAGTTGCGCTTTGCTGCAAGATTTCCAGATAGTTGCCCATACATTACATCCGTTGCGGCTACGCGGGGTATCGATCCCCAAGAAGTGGGCTACAATGAGAACAACCACTTTGTGAGCGGTGGAGGGTTCAGCGAATATTTTCCACGACCAAAATGGCAAGATGATGCTGTCTCTGGATACTTATCGAAACTGGGTGGTCTGCACAGCGGTCTATACAATGCGAATGGGAGGGCATATCCTGATGTGGCAGCGATGGGTTACCGCATTGTCACAGTTTGGAACGGCAAGACTAAAGTCGTTGACGGAACGAGCGCTTCAGCACCGGCGTTTGCAGCGATCGTTGCACTCCTAAACGATGCCCGCCTAGCAGAAGGAAAACCTCCTCTAGGATTTCTGAACCCCTGGATATACAAGGTGGGTTTACAGGGCGGCTTTCATGATGTTGTGAAAGGCAATACAAGGGGCTGCAATACAACTGGGTTTCCAGCGATGAAGGGCTGGGACATGGCGAGTGGATTTGGCACACCAGTGAGTATTCGAGGTATGTCAATTTGATGGTTTACTGTACTAATGTGATGTTTCAGTGGTTCCCCAGGCTGAAAGAGCTCGCTTTAGGGGAGAAGAAGGAATGGTCTCCTTGGTACATTCCATCGTGGCTGCATCGGTAGAAAGATATTAGAATAGCAATAAAATCCGTTCTTCTCACAGTTTTCCCAAGAAATTATGCTCTGTTTCTCTGCAACTCCTCTCTAAAATTAACTTTCGTAGGGAGTCGCTCAAAGTTTCCAAAACGGGACAGCAGTTACGCCATCTCGCTCTCTGATTGGTTGCATGTCACGCTTCTCATGTGCTGTCACTGTGACAGTCACTGAATTTTATGGGCGTCGCCACAATTTTGAGCAGCGTTGTGGGTTCGCCCCAGTGCTTCAGAGTAGAGCGACAGAAGATAGAGTCAATAGTGGTTTCGATACGGAAGATTAAGCTTCATGATTTTGTGTCAAGAACCATACTATCTTTGACGTTCTCAACGTGGGCTTTCCACAATTGTCGATATTTCTCAATGCTAGCAGACATGGCAGCTACTCTACAATACGCGAAGCAATTCAGTTGGTCTAAAATAACAGGTGGCAAAACATCGCAGTTTCGTCCGATCTCATCATCAGCATCCGACGAAGACGAGCGCGGTTCGACTGAAGGGCTACTCGAAAAAGGTTCAACAGAGGAACCAACCTCCACTCCTCCTAAATCACCATGGCGTGAACCAGCATTCTTGTTTTGCCACGGGGCGCTATTTGCGTTTTACCTGCTAGTCCTGGCGCTGGTTGCTGGAAGTAAGCGACCTAGCTGCCATGGAACACCGTATTGTACGTCAAACCTTTTAAACCACCTGAAAAGACTGGAAAAATAAGCAAACAAAGGTTAACTCTGTGGTTGGTAGCACCGGCTGCGAACATAATTGAATACCAAGATACAAAGTTTACCCTCGAGGATCATATCCAAGACCTGAGCATCTACTCTGGTGCGCCATCTCCGGAACTCGACCAAGCATGGCACGATCTATTGAATAGTACGTCAATTATGCCAAATTAACGAAAAGGAAGAGCCCGTACATTTTCTAACATTGTATAAAAGGTCAGAATGTGCGCGTTGAGCCAGAATATTACAAACACTACGGTCGCGAGCACATTGGCGTTGGTGTACCTGGAAGCGACGACTACATTGGCACACTAAACGTTTTCCATGAACTACATTGCATTAAGAGATTGCACCAATTCATGTATACGGAATATTATTTTCCAGATTTTACACCGCATCAGCTGGAAATGAATAGGCTACACAACGGTATGATTGAATACCACTCGCGCTTCGTGGGGTCCACTAGGCTAACTTCTACAGAACACTGCCTTGACTTTTTGCGACAATCAGCCATGTGTCATGGCGATGTTGGCTTGATTACCTATATTTGGAGATCCGATAGTATCCAACCTGTGGTTAATGCAACCTCGCATCAGTGCGTCAACTGGGAGAAGTTGTATGGCTGGAGTCAGGATCGGGCGGTCGACATGCTCAAGCCAGGGTGGTTGGTGCATCCCACAAAAGGTATGATTACACAATATTGAGCGCAGTAATATGCCTTGAAAATTTGAATGCTAATTTTACAAATATTTTAGGTGTCGTATATCCAGATGGTGAAGGCGATCGCATTGGTGCGATTGATAAAGACATCCATCACTAGAGCCCAATTCTGTAGACCACTTGTAGCTTCAATGGCATTAAAATAAATTTTCAAAATATTTTACAAGTAACCTTTTATAGTGTTTAAACATATTTTCGCTTTTCTTCATAATTATTGAATATTAGTTGTAGAAAGTGAGATACGTAAACAGGCAAATATATCAAGTCTGGGCTGTCAGTCACAGTGACCGAGGCTTGTACTGTACTATGACGGACCCAGCACCAGCACTCTCCGCGCCAGAGCCCTCCACCGCCAACGTGCGTCTAGTGCCCACTGTACCTTCTAATCTTTACTTACCTTTGTTTTAGTAGCAACTAGATATATGCTGGTAAAAAAACGCTTGAGTTAATCACAATTGCGTACAAAATGTCGATACGGAGCGCCAACAATAGCGATAGCGAGGAAACGAGAATCGGGGATTCACCCAGAGACTCAGCTCTCGAAGTTGCTGCTTCCTTGGATCCGTTCGTTCCATTCACCGAGATAGAAGAACATAGTGGTCGAATCATTACGGTTCGAGCGGCAGCCGTGGGAATTTTGTGCGGTGTTCTGGTCAACGCATCCAACATTTACATCGGCCTCCGTGCTGGGTGGACCACTTCTGCCAACGTGCTAGGTGTAAGTTTTGGTTGCTGTTCCGCATTTATGACCATTGATTATTGATAAAATGTTTGCAGGCAATCGTTAGTTTCGCCGTTCTGAAACGTTCTTCATCAACATTCGGCCCCCATGAAAACAACATCGCTCAAACTCTGGCGACTGCGTCTGGCGGCATGTCCAACGTCTTCATATCCGGAATCCCAGCACTCTATCAGTTGAATTTGCTCACAACACCGGCCAAAGACTTCTTTAGACTTGTTATTTTAGCCACGATGGGTGGCTACTTTGGTTTGTTATCGATTGCTCCTTGTATGCCTCACCGTCTACTATTTCCAGCAGCCAATTACTCACAATAATGACAGTGCGAAAATTCTTTATAAATACTGCATCGCGAGAACTAAATCTCGTTTTCCCTTCGTCTTTCGCTACTGCGGCTACTATCCGAAGCATGCACTCAGCTGCTGGTGGAGAGAAGCTGGCACAGCGCAAGATGAAATGGACAATAGTCGCTTTTTTTGCGGCAATGGCGTTGCGCATCGCATCCATGTTTTTACCAAATGTTCTGTGGGCAAGTATACCAACACATTATTATCCCAAATCTTGGCTAATTTTGTGACGTGCAGAACTGGCATGTGTTTGATTGGATCGCGCAAGCACGGCTTTCCACTGCCATCACCAAATTTGCGTTTGTCGCTGAAAGTTGGGGATGGGTCATTGAGTGGTCCCCGGCAATGATTGGTTCTGGATTCTTGGTAGATTTTAATGTTTCCAGCTCTTTCTTCGCCGGTGCTATATTTGCATGGTAGTTATCCTTGTTCCACCAACCTACTCAAGCTAATACTCCATAGGGGGTTCCTAGGGCCATACCTCGTGTCGATTGGCTCAGCTTTTGGCGAGCCCTCGGATTCAGCGAATCCACCCAGACGGATATCTTACACCGCGATGTCAACCAAGTTTTCAAGCTCAGACCACCCTAGCCCTCGATATTGGCTTCTGTGGCCCGGCGTAGCATGCACTCTTGCTGTTGCTTTTCTTGGTATGACATACCGGCAGACATGCTTGACGTATTTTACTAACACGGTCACAGAGCTTCTATGTCAATCCAAGACCATTTGGAAATTTCTGCTCACATTGACGAAGAAAATGTCCCAGTCGCTCATTAACCTCGTCCAGACTCCACAGCCTCGATATGAGCCGATCGAACAAGAGACGCCTGTAATATCTGAGAAGCGACAAGATCTAAAGGAACTTACCTTACAGATGTGGCTTCCTGGGTTGGTATGCGTCGTGCTGTCTGCCATTGTTATTCTGCGTATCCAATTCAAGATGCCAGTTTTCGAAGCAGTTGTTGCGCTGGCCATGTCCTTTTGCTTGATGTTGGTTGCTATACAGGCAACAGGTGCAACGGGTAAGTTGATATCAATACCTGCAGCTTTATCTGCTAACAATCAATAGATACCACCCCAATTAACGCCATTACGAAGGTGTCACAGGTTGCGCTGGGGTCGATCACACGATCAACGGGCGCGACAGTCGAGGCTGCCCAAAGGCTAAACCTCGTCGGTGCCAGTCTTACGAATATTGGTGCTTGTCAAGGATGTGGTGCGTATCATATACGACAAAGCGAATTCCTTCTAACAATTATACTAGATTTGATGGGTGACTTCCGTGTTGGCTTCTTACTTGGTACACCAGTGCATCTTCAATACATCGCTCAATTGATCGGCACCCTCGTTGCATCACTTGTTGCTCCGGCGATCTTTCTTCTTTTCACAACAGCTTATCCTTGCATTATTTCTGGCGATGCGAGCTCTTGCGATTTTCCTGCCCCGACCGTCGCGTCATGGCGTGCCGTCGCCGTGGTGGCTAGTACACCCAACCCGTCAATACCGTCTTCTAGCATATACTTCTCCATCTCCATTGCAATCTTTTCTGGAGTTTTGGTCATTGCCAAACATGTTTTATGCAATAATGGTTATGGCTGGATAAAGACTGTCTGGCCCAACATGATGATCTTTGGGTTGGCATTTACGCTGCCGAATGCCCAAACACCGACAACGATGATGATTGGATCGCTTATTGCGGCGTTCTGGAAGTCTAGAAATGCAAAAGGATTCGAAGTGTATGCCTTTGGTGTTGCAGCAGGGCTTGTTGCGGGGGAGGGCATCGGCGGCACAATCAACTGTGCTCTGTCTATTCTCGGCCTAATATAAAACCCCACTCGTTTTTAAGCCGCCTTTACTAGATTAGTAGTTTTCCTATCTAATTTTAAACTAATAATTTTCAACCAGAAATAGAAGACAGACTAATGCAGAAGTAGTGTCTCATTGCCGCTCAGCGCTCCATTCTCCCACTTTTAGCAGATTGTTCAAATAAGGCTCCGAAGCGTCGCTATAGCCCGTCCCTGAGTTGCTGCTTTCTTCGGAGCCACATGCAGGAATCAATATCTTACTAAGACCAATATTGCTTTGACGTTTTATTCGGTCCGAGCAGCGTTCGACTTGTTTTATAACAAAGTGGTCGTGTGCTCAATTGCTTTGTGTATATATTGAATCGTGCCCTCGAGATTGATATTATTCTTCCACTTCTACCGATCATATTATTATTCATTAAGCTATTAGAAATTCTGGACTTACGATGCAATATACTGCCTTGAAGTGCGTGATTTACACGCTACTCACGTCGGCCGCCCAGGCCAATGTCATAGCTAAACCACCTGCCAAACATCTAGGAAGCCGTGGCGATGTTGGCGAAATTGTCTCTTGCGTCATGCAAACAGGCAGTGATCAGGCAACTTTGGCAGTCCATGATGTCGCTGGTAACTGGCGCTGGTCATGGACGGGCCAGAATGCGACACAACAGGGTATTCCACAAGACTTGCAAAAATGCATCAACGACAACTCGTTCTGGTTTCAGGATGCCAAGTGGATCAGACAAGGCGAGGCCATCGTCACCATCTACCACCATGCCGCCCTCATGATTAATCATCTACCTGGCCACCCTGATGATGGAAAAATTGTCTGGGGCACTTGTATTAACCGTGACAACATGGGCTCCAGCCACACTCTGGAGATACTCCCGGCGCACCATATTGCCATTGCCACCACCTCCGGTAGCGCGACTAGCAACATCCAAATCTTCAAGACCGACACTAGCAACCCTCTCGATCCATATGCCAAACCTGTTCAGAGTCTGAATGGCATCGCTGTCAGCCATGGCCTTCTCTGGGACCGCACTGATACCCAACTCTGGGCCGTCGGCAACAACATTAACCCAGAGCGGAAAGATTCCAACTATGTCGACTCGGCTCCAACTCTAGCGAAATGGAGATGGGACGATAAGAAGCAGCTTTTCGGATCATCTGAGCCTACCAAAACATATCGCATCAGCCAGCCAAGAGCTTTGACAGAGGAGTGGTGGCCAGTGAGCGGAAGTTACTGGTGGGATGGCGCGCACGACATCACGGGCGTACCCAATCAACGAAAACTCTTGATTGCTGTCGACGCGGATCTTCACTCCTTTGATATTACCACAGAGAAGTTCGAAACTGGAGACTCTGTGGCCAACAAGTACTTTGGTGGCTTCCGACCCAATGGTGATCGCCAGAACATCCCACGCTCCGATGTCAAGGGCATCAGTCTCGACGCTAATGGGAATGTGGTCTATACCCAGGCTTCATGGAAGAGTGGACTTGGGTATCAATACACAGTTTTATCTGGAGGTCAATTTTATACGACTGTCCGTTTCCACGGTGGGAATGCGGCGATATACAAAGCGCGCTTCTTTTCCGACGTTCCAGGGTGGCCGAAGGCCCGTACTTAGTGCAGCTGACTGGAAGCAAGATAGCGGGCGAGCGATATCCAGATGGAAAAAGACAGGGCATATATTTGTTTCATAATCAGTGACAATTTGTTTAATCTAAATAGATCTTATGATTTATTTCCATTCGTGGGCTTCTTACACTCCAAAATGAACATAAGGAACCTAATAAGCAGGAGGGCTGGTCTCCTGTTCTTCGTCGCTCTCATCAACACATGCGACTAGCGTTACATCTCGTGCTAGTCTGCTCAATTCCTCTTCTAAATCATCCGTCTTAACCGTTTCTGATACCCTGCGAGTAGCGCACCCTGTCCGATTATGCTCCACTTGCCAGGCTTCTCGAAGTTGTCTGGTGGCTAAGTGAAGTCCGAGACAGACAGACTCATCGTTGATCCCATTATCTCTCAATACGTTGTACGTCAGCCGTGCCATTTCAACCCACGTTGAGTCTCTAACGTCCCACAAAGTTCCAATGACATGACGAAATCCAGCCAATTGGAACCCGTTGATAAGATGGATGCCATCGTCTGTGTATTTGTTCTCCTTGACTCGGCCAGTTCCACAGGCTGACAGATAGTCGAGAAACGGGGCACTGTCCCACAGGTTCATGTCTAAGAGACTTTCAACGGTTAAGGGATTACTTTGCCAATCAACTAGTCTTATGTGGCTCTTAGACGGGTCGCTTAGGTTTGTATGTCCATGGCCAGCGAAGTGGAAGATTGAACAATCACGCAGCTTTCCACCAACGTCAGTATTGGTACGACAGTTTTGAGATGAGATGATATTCATGTCTTCGCAAAATTTCTGAACGACCATCGCTTCATCTTCTGCTGATATAAGGTTGACCTGCATTCCTGGCGTTTGTGGCATAGAAACAATTAGAGCCGTCGAGTCATTGTTTGCTATGTCCAACTTTCCCTTTTGGCGGCCATATATAGTTGACCGCACGGACGATGCGTAAGATGACATAACTTTATCCATGACAGTATCAAAAGATCCATTAGTGTGGTACCCTGCTGCATGGAGAGGGAACTTGGTCAATATACCCGTAGAAATCCGCCAGAGGTGTGGCCACTTTGCTCCAGGCGCAGGTGGTCCCTTGAATCCTAATAATCAACAATAGGTTCAGTAACATTATCCCACAGCCAACGAAGTGTTTTTGATCCCCTAAACCATTCTCCTGGGTGTAGAGCCCAAGGTCGTCCAAGTCGCCCGCGAGCTGAGGCCCTTTAACGTCATCTATACAGATAATAAACGCATCGCAACGAAGATGGTAAGCATTAATAATAACTATAGGTCCGTCTATTACTACACTGTTCATTTCTGATATGGTAATAGTTGACGGAAGAAAATCATAAAAGTTCGTTTTTTGTTGGATTTCCGCGAGCAACTCTTTTAACTCAGCTTCAGAGCCAAATCCCTTCGTTCGCCATTCTGGAGAATTGTGTGTTGAGCAGCAGTCTCTCGGGGTCTTATATAGCATGTACTGCATATCCATAAATCTTTCGGCTAATTGCGGGTGATGTTTTAATAGTCTATCAATCTTTGCATGCCTGGCGTCCAGTGATCGTGACAAAATGTTGCGTGCCCCTTCCAGGTGAGACAATGCCTGCGTGGCTGGCTCGCCCAGATAGAGCGATACCGCAGCGGCTGCGGATGCAATACCGTGTAAATGTTTAATAAGGACCATTTTGTCTGCTGTTGATAGAATCCTGATTTCCATGTCTTCGCAAAGATCAATGGTTCGACATGCAATCTTATACATGTCTGTCAATTTTAATGTCTAATAATTCCGGGGGCTATCAGAGGCTCTTTAGGATAGTAAACTATAGTACTACTATAGACAAGAATCAACAACCAGGAAGTCTGACTTGAGAGCTCAACTTGATAATGATACTCCGATGCACATTGACGATAAATATATCCCATGCACCCTCTACACATTTTAGACTCTCTTTATGGTCCAATTTTGTCATATTCCAAGTGGTAGACGCGAAGTCGCTGTTTGTATATTTACACGCCGACACAGAAGTGCATGGTCCATGCGTATAACCAGAGCGCCGAATGTTATTGATTTGCTATATAACCAAGTGGGATCAATTTCCTATTTTCGTATGACGAATTATTTCCTCACAGAGCTTGCATTTAATATACCAAAGGATAAAATTACACAAGCCATTGTGCCACGAGCCTCGGAGCCGGTGTGGGCTTGTTCAAACATTCACCACGCAGGCGGTGGGATATTACAAAGCAAGCTTAGAAATAAAACTACCTCCTGCAAACCTCATCGCATCGGCGCATTTTCACTCTTGACAATGTTAGGAACAACATTCAACTGCACCAGATAATGTCGCTCCCGAAATCACCCTCCAAGCCAATCCATGTGCTCGTCAATGGCGCCAACGGCTATCTCGGCGCCGCTGTATGTCGCTCATTTCTCCGCGCCAGAGCGCCTCCCGGCCGCCACTATGTTGTCTATGGATTGGTTCGCCGCGAAAGCACCGCAGATGCACTCGCAAGAGATGAAGTGATACCAATTGTTGGATCGATTTCAGACCCAGATGGCCTGAGCAATATCCTCTTCGGCCATAGCAAAACATGGGATGTCATCGCCACCTGCACAGAGCCGTCGAAGGTTGATGCCGCGGTAGAGGCCCAACATTGGACAGATATCATTCACATTATTGTCAAGCTTGCTACCTCGTCGGTGGAAACCGCCAACATTCGCCCGTTTGTGCTCTGGTCATCGGGATGCAAGGACTACGGCACGACTCTGCTTCATGGCGACTCGCTGCTGAAAGCCCATGACGAATCATCGCCCATCCAGCCTGTTCCCCAGATCAAAGGCCGTACGGAAGGCGCAAGAAGGGCTATTGAAGCGTCAGATAAAAACGGAGGATCTGGGGCCTTTGACATTGCAGTACTCCGTCCGACACCGCTTTATGGATACAGCGGCAGCTATTATAGCGCTGCGTTTGCCTACATGGATGAGTATGCGGCTGCCATCCAAGGCCATCGCCAAACAGCAGACAAGGTGAAGCTCGGTATTTCTGGGCAAGGCATTCTCCATGGCCTTCATGTTGATGACTGTAGCGATGCCTACGTCGCCCTGGCCGAGACTGCTTTATACGGTACGACAGCAAATGGCGGATTAGACGCTGAGGCAGGCCGAGCAGAGGTATCTGGGCAAGTGTTCAACATTGGAACAGAGGAATACGAAACGGTAGAACAAATAGTCACGGCACTGTCTACAGATTATGGCTTTGTCGGCGCGGAGTTCGATGTGCCTGAGCAAGATCTTCCAGAGAGCATGCGCAATAATACCAACATGTACGTCTTTGGGCATAGTCAGTGGGTAGCAAGCGAAAAGATTCGCCGCTTGACGGGCTGGAGGGAGAGACGCCCGCTGTTCTATCAGAACATCAGTGTATACCGGTTAGCCTACGAGGCAGCCAGGCAGACTGGTGATGATGTAATTGGTAAGGTGCAGCGCCGGTTTGGAGGCAACTGGAATGAAGAGGCCAAATGACGACAGTATCTACACTGGCGCATCCTCACGTAACCAGTGAGCAGGTAGCCAAACACACAATCTAGCATTATTGAATGTAGCACTTTGAAGCTCAGAGGCCATAGTCTGGCTTGCACACCGTGCCTACTACAGTACACCTTACACCTACCTCTCCCAATTTGTCGTCCGTTCGGTAGCTCGCCTTATTCTCGTCCTGGTCTGCCCTACCGAATGTCCCCTGGCCCTTCGAACCTTGTACAACAATCGAAAGAATACGAATGCAGGTCTAAGACAACGGTTAAATCAGCCTTGCAAATACGCCGCAAGACAAGCTGTTAGACGCAGCACCCACACCCCAGATTCTGGTCTGTCACCCAGGACCGGTACCAAATCGCTCTCTCCCTCTCAGCTGAGGCTGAATCGGTGGGCGTTGATCGCGCAGAACAGCCCCATTGCCTCGCCTAGGCGCTGCGTGGACAACGTTAGCGGCTCGCCAAGACAAAGCAAAAATACCTTATTTCAATAAGCTAAGTCATAATGAACTCAGCTTCCGCTCGTATTCAATTAAAAGTCGTTGCGAGACACGAGATGGTGATGAATGGGCGGGTGGTTGATCCCTCCCCGTACTTTGCACCCAACACCAGAACTGGTTTTCCCAACCTCCGCGGAGAATAGCCCTACCCCCCTCCTCAATTGCCGACCTCGTTTTTTATCGCTAATATAAATGGCAAAAACGGCTAACTGGAATACCGGGATTATGGATAGTCATGAGTGGGCGGGTCAATACTCTGTAACTTGCGTTAGGGCGGCGAGACGAGTGTCAGCAATAAACTCCTCAGGGTCTTTTTTTTTGTAGAGTACTTTGTACTTGGGCCGGCGTGACGATCGGTGAGAGGTGAACGAAGGGTTACATTGGGAAATGGCGCCCAAAGAGGTTCTAGCGGCCTTCGTTCTCCTCTTCCTTCGTGACCATCCAATGCAATGCTGCCCTGATCCGACTCATTGTTTGTACTTTTAATCCCAGCAGAGTTACAGCGTACCTGTTTTCACCTGTTCCGGAGACGTCTGTACACCTCGCATGAGTTGGGTGGCATCGCACGCAGACAGTGGGTTCGACCGAGCTGAGTGCTACTGTGCTGGTAGGGTGAATACGACGGAAAACACGGCACTCGCCGCCCGTTGGTATTACCGTGGTCGGCGCATATCCAGGACGTACGTCGTTGGTCGGCTGTATTGCGACGCTGTGCGCATGTAAGCAGATCGGCGCTGGTGCGTCATGCTTTGCTGCGCTTCTCGCACGGCGTGATTTTTGTTTCGCCTCGGTGATAAGACTAGCCTGGCGATCAGACGGCGGTGTTTATGCCGCTGACACATACTAGCAGAAACGCAAGGGTGATGATGTGTTTGGAAAGCGAATGGGCATGGTTGTGTAGTACGCATGAGCAGCAGTCGCTAGGCAGAAACATAATAGCCTGCATATCAGGCTGGGAAAGAAAATGATGTACGTTTCGGTGGAATGGAAACATGTTATGCAGGTATGGCATAATTCATCCCATTAACTTGCAGGGGAGCGTAGCAGCATTTACAGCACACACTAGGTCAGAGAGGGGACGCTACCCTACAGGAGAAATGCATTTACAAACAGCGACTAGACTAGAGACTTTGCATAGTACAATAATGGGTTAATATTTTGAGTGTGTTTTAAAATGGCATATTTGTTACATCGGTTTCAAAATGGTGATTTTGCGTCTCAAGCGTTGACTCTATCAACATTCGAGACTCTGACTTTCTGTGCGGTCCTTCTTATCGGATCCGGCCACCTGACGAAACAGCACATATCAACACAATTTGCACTTGTTTGCATCACATCATTAAATCTATCTAATTATGAGTATACCAATATTAAAACCAAACTCTACCCAAAATCCTTTTTCTTTCGAGCATGCAATGTATTATTCCCGACGATGGCGGCTTTAAGCGTCCCACTTAAGCTCCAGGATCGCCAAGCGAGATCCAGGCGGCTGAATAACGCCCTGGAAGGCAAAGCGCGAGTCAGCCTCCTTGAACAAGGCTTGCCACTCGTCCAAGCCACGTTCTCGGGCATTGCCTATTTCCATCATGGTGATGTCCATGGCTCTATAGAAAGAAGACTGGTTAATATAACATGACAAATGATGATATCGAGAGAACTAACCTTAGCTTGCGCTCGATGGGGTTGGGCAGCACGCCGGGTGGCGGGGTGATGCTCTCCATGATAACAATAGAGGCGCCCTTCTTGAGCGAGGGAATCAGCGCACGTAGAATCTTGACACAGTATACATCGGACCAGTCGTGCAGGACCCAGCGGAAAAGATAGGCGTCGGCGTCCTTGACAGGCTGCTCCTGGAAGAAATCGTGCGGCATGAACTCGACTTGGACGCCGTCTGCGAGCTTGGGCGCACCGGCCAACACGGGGGGAAGATCCTGTACGATGACCTTGAACTTGGGGAACTTGGTGGCCAGCGACACGGCAACGTCACCGTGAGAGCCGCCGACATCAACAACAGTAGCAGACTCGCCGAGCTTGTCCCAGCCGTAGCCCTCGGTCAAGTGGCTGGCTGCATATTCGGGGCCGGAGATGAAGAAGCTCATAGCACCGCCAAAGCGGCGGGCTCGCGCGGGGTCTTTGCCGAGCTCTTCAAAGAAAGAGCCATCAGTGTTGTTGGCTAAAGAGAAACCCTAGAATAGAGACTATTAGCTGACTATTGATGTAAAAGTCTGTCAAGAAAATACTGACGGTCTGGTTGGGCTCCGAGGCTGCCGGCCACTTCTGCAGAGCGTCGACAGTGCGCTGGCCAGCAGGCCACATGTCTTCCACGCTGGAATGGAACCAGTCGCCCATGCCGGCATCTTGTAGAATAAGCTTGGAGGCATTGGAGTGGGCAACAAAGCCTGGACGAGGCTCAGCAAAAAGGCGATATGCGATGGCAAAGCGGAGGATGCGCGTCACAGCAGTCGAGTCGACGCCAATCTTGGCCGCGAGGTCGGCGAAGCTAATGTCGCCATCGACAGGCACGAGCTGGACAATGTTGTAGCGGGCAATAAACTGGAGGTATACCGATCGGTTGTGCTAGCAAGCAGGGGTTTTAGCTAAACTCCTCTCTTAACTCCGCATGCTGTCTTGCAGAGGCGAGGTCTCACCTGGTGCGTGTAGAGAAGCTCGCGAGGGCCTTGGAGCAGCTCGTTGAGCTCTTCGCCGGCGAGGAGAGCTGCTTGGCGACACTGCTCGAGCTCCTCGGGCAGCTGGAGATCGAAAGGACCTGAAGCATCAAAAGATGGCTGGGGGAGGCCCTTTTCTGCCAGATAGGCGTCGATGCGCTGTGTGTTGGAAGCTACCACAGCAGCTAGCTGGGCAATGTGGCCTGGGGCAGCAGCAGCCATTGTATAGAGGGTTCAGTAACTAAGAAGGGGCTATGTCTGGGTTGGAAGATGAAGAAGATGCTAAGAGGAATTGCGTGAATTAAAAAGAAGACAAGAAGAAGAGAAGGCGATGACGAAGCAGAGCAAACAACTTTTTTTTTGGAGTGACGGAGCTGGCGCGGGGGCGGGGGACTTTGGGTACAGTGCAGCGCAGGTACTTGCAGTGAGGGGACCCCGCCTGGACTGCCACCCAACCACCACCAGCAGACTGTGCCAGTGTGTGCCAGTGTGCTTTGTAAGTCAGGGACGAGTACAGCGGTGTTTGGGCAGCCTGCATCCGTGCTATCCGGCCCCCAAAAGCAGTGTAGCCACGATTGGGGGGCGGTGGCGGGCGTCTATGGGGGAGTTATGCGCAAGTCAGGCTGTGGGAGAATTGAGAGTGCAGCCAAGGCTATGAATGAAGCCATGGTGAAGGAACTGGATTGTGGTTTACGACAACATTGCCTGAACGATTTATCCTCGCACAATTAAGAAGCAGCATATTTATACAAACAGTGTGGTATGAATAGTTTCAAGTGTTTTTTGTATTGTTTCTACCTGTAGTAGTAGTAGTAGTAGTGGTGGTGGTGGTGGTGATGATTATGTACTTTATAAATGCCATTCAGTCGTGAAATTGTAGTTCTACACTTGAGAGAAGAAGAAAGAAAAAAACGAGGCCCATGCTCCAACGAAGCTTTTGTTCCCCAGACGATTTACCAATCGTACTTGAAAGCATCGTCAGGGTCGTCGACTTGTGTCGTCTCGCTAGGAGCTGCGGCAGCGACAGGAGTAGGGACAGGTGCAGGAACAGCGTCGGGCTGGCCGACAGCAGCTGGAAAGAGGGGATCTAGTCAGCATCATATCATCACAAGGGGATGCAAAAGCGAAGGATGAGTACATACTATCAGGGACGGGGACTGCAACGGCAGCAAGGATGTGAAGTCCAAGGACAGAGACGGCGATGTTGAAGAATTGCATCTTGAAGGATGATGGGATAGATTTGGATTAATGGTAAGACTAGTGGTAAAAGGGTTTATGGAAAGGAGGATGAGCGTGTGTTGAAGTAGTAGTCAGCAAAGGGCGGCGAGGGGGAGCAAGCTATAAGGCAGCGTCTGGGAGCGGTAGGAGTTCGATGGCGTACCTTGGATTAGCGCTGCTCCCCAACGCCACTTTTACTGTCCATGATAGCCGTGCGCAGCAACTTAGGTCATGCTTGCTTCCGTCCTCCTGCTCGCTCGGTGAATGCAAGGTATACATCACCGAGGCTTGTCTACTTTGTGCCGCGCCAGCCAGGGCGGACTCCTACTACTGCCGCCGCCTCTCCTCGCTTGCAACGTGGTGTGCCTGGTGGATGTTCTCACCATGTTTTTTGGGGCGTGGAGGCGTGGCACCGCCGCTGACCACCATTCCAGACTGATACGACTGTATGTAAGTACTTTGGACCCTGGCGCTTCGTTTGATACACTTTTGGTCTGCGGTGCGTTTTGCCCTTCAGGTTCGGTAGGCCGGCCAATGGCATCGCTGCGCGTGGGCACCTCTTCTAATGGGCAATCTGCGGACGGAGACTAAATCGCCATGTGCGGTGGTGCATGCACTCAAAGCTGTTCACTGCCGCAGGGTGGCATTGAAGCGGAAATCTCACCAGAGTTTGGTATTCCGTCGGTCTCTCGTCAGCTTGGCCCAAGCGCCTACCGTGTGCGATTGGGTGGCCCACAGTGCCTGCTACCCGGCGTCAGCAATGGGTCGCTGCTTTTACGCCACTTTCAAGGCTGATCGTACAAAGTACAGTGGGTGTGTGGGTGTGTGGACGCCACCGCGCTACGAAACCCACCACTGAACATCTATCTTCTCCAGGTCAAGGGACAGGGCCCAACAACCCGGCACTCTCTACGCCCTATGACTCTGCTAATGATTGATGGGTGGTGTGCTGATCTGATACTTGGCCGTAAGTCGCCTAAATTACAGCACCTATAGCACTGTGCTGTGCTCGGCATAAAACAAAAGGCAGTCCACGTAAGGCAGACTGCACGCAAGGATGGACATTTCGAGTTTAGTGTCTGTCGCTCCCCAAAGATCATCATTTACTTTCTTGTTTTGCTTTTATTATAATCCTACTTTCGCATTACTATTGGTTCGCATTTCCCCCCCGCTTGCCCTGTGCACAAACCCATCAGGACACTCCACCAGGGTTTGCCCATCTCCTAAATTACCCTTTTCGTCTCTGGCGTCACTTACAGGGGGACACCACAGACATACCACCTCACCTGATTGATTACATCAAGGCTGCTTACTGTACATAGTACAAACGGGCCTCTTTCACAGGCAAAGCAAGGGCATGCAGCCGAAACCTGCAAACAAACCAAAAGCACATACCACCAACAAGCATCACAACACTTTTTGAATTCTTACATCCCCAGCAAAACGCGGAGAAGCGAGCTGATACTGCCCTATTGCCCCTCTTTCTCTTTCTCCATCTACACAATCAGCTCTGTTCGTCAGCAGCCTCACATTTCACAGCTCACTTACAATGGAGAAATCACAAAGTTACACCCGCGTGCCGGCGTCAGAGTCGGATAGCTTCAGCGACGATGAAGTCCAGCAGAGCCATCGCCACCGGTCTTCGCTGCTCGGCTCGTCGACAGTACGAGGAGTTCTCACATTACTGGGCATGGTCACCATGCTAGTGCTTGGCTTTGTGCTAGGTGCGAATTGGCAGCAGATTACGGGCCGCCCTCATCGTTATAGTAAGGAAGATACTGCTCAAGAAACAGTCAAATGAAGAGGTTTACTAACACCTAATAGTTCAAACGGGCACAAACCGATATTATATGAAATTCAACGGCACCTTTGCCCAAAAGTCTAACCCCGTCAGCGACGCGGCCTGGGATTCCCTGTTCCCGAAGAAGCTGGGCTTCATCAAACACCCGACACTTGCACCCAATGTCGCTGGCGTTGCCGTCTTCCACGAATTACACTGCTTGGTATGAGATAGAAGCGCCCTAAAAGCATGTAAAAGAAAAAAAAACTAACTGTTGCTTCTGTTACAGAACATCCTGCGACAGTCGTACTTTGCTGCCTTGGACGGCACCATCCAGCAAACGGCGACCGAACACACCGACAACAACCACCGCACAAGCAGGCACCATATCCGCCACTGCTTCGAATATCTGCGCCAGTCGCTCATGTGCGTTGCCGACACAAATATAGAGGCGTTCAACTACACAATAGGCGGCGTCACGGGCTGGCAGTCAGAGCGCACATGCAAGGACTACGAGGGCATCAAGGCATGGGCGGATCAATGGGGAATGACCCGCCATACCGCCATAGACGAATTCAACAAGGCGCATGCCCATACCCCGGAATAAATCCATGTACGACGCCACTCTAGTTAATGTTAATGTAAAAATACCATCATGTCATGCAATATATCATTTTTTTTCTTTTACGTGTCATTGTCTCCTTTCATCAGTTTTCTCAAGCTAGGTGGTGTTGTAGAGGCAGCCAGCTCAATACCAACATTGATAGCGACTCATCTCATTGGAGATTTGCTAGTTTTCAAAACCTGGAACCAGGTTCGATGAGAAATGGAGAACAGCAATTACGTTGGTTCAAGGCATTTCAATTAAGTAGTCATTAAATAGTACAATATTCGTGGTTGTTTACATGATGGGCAGGACAGCGTCGTCTAGTGCGGTACCTTTAGTGGCGTAAACTGCGACTCGGGCGTTATCTTTGGGTCGATGAGCACACCAGGCGCAAAGATATCAACGGCGTTCTCACGGTTCCACTTCATGATGGCGTCAAAGTTGGCACACTGGTGAGTGCCCCAGGTGCGTGCCGTCACGCCCTTAACGTAGCTGGCATTGCCCAGATATGTGTATGTAGCGAGCGAGACGTCGCCGCGGCACATGATGCCCTGGCGAAGGGTTTCTATACAGTGGTCTGCAGAAAAGGCTTCTGTTAGTCTTGAACACCAAAAAGAAGAGGCAAGGATATAAAAGTCGGGTGGCGTACTGATATGTCGTGCTAGTTCGTTGCGAGCGAAGCCCTGGACATGCTCAAAGTAATGCTCCTTGTACACCCACTGGCGGATCTTTTTCTATACTATGCGTTAGTATATATTTTGACAATGAAAACGAATAACATACCAAGCAGTGAAGCTCATGTGTCATGAATATCTCCGATGCATAGCCCGAGCCATCGGCGAATGGTAACGAGGTGACATTGTAATAGTCTAGATCCTCCTTCGATACGCGGATCGTAGTATCTGCCGCGCAATATTGGTCAGCCTCATTCATTCCTTTCAGGTGCAACGGCTGAAAATAGAGTCTTGCTTACTGTCTAAAAGGTCGCGCCAGGCTGCGTCGAGTTCGGGGCTGGGCTCGCCAGCAAAGACGGTGCCAGCTACTGTCAATGAGAAAGGACGGCTGTCCCCGTGGAAGACATTGGCTTTGGCAATTGCTAGATATCAGTCGCATTAGATGAGTGGCCCAAAAATGAAGACAAGTTGGAGTGACATACAGGGGAAGAGGTCAGGGTGATAGTTGCGCAGCTTTGCTTGCAGGCGCAGGTTCTCGATGCCGAGAAAGACGCAGATGGCTGTAAGGACGAGGTAGCCGCCGATGATGAGCTGCTTGAAGCTCCTCGGTGACTTGCTTGTCCAGCGTGACGATGTTTGACGCTGGCCTTCGTAATCGCTGCCCTCGTCGTTGGACGACGCGTAGAGGCGCTCCGTGGCTGGGTCCTGGTACTGCTGCTTGTCCATGGCTAGCTATGGCTATGGCTGTATATGGTGATGGATGATGCCTGTTTGTATGTGGTCTCCAGCAGTGGATGCCCCCCGCAATTACAGGTGTTTCGGTGAAGAGAGCAGGTGTAAAGCAGCGGGAAAAAGTAAGAAAGGAGGCTCTTTCAAAAATCGCAAAGGATAAAAAAAGTTGTGAGAAGATGACGCACTTCGGTTGTCGCAGCTGGCTGTGCTTTGTCAACCCCTCGTGGGCTGGGCGGGTGAGCGGCACGCAGCAAACGAAGGGGACCCACCTTCGGTTTTCGCCTCATATCGCTGGGTCGGTGTGCCGGACAGGCCTAGTACGTACCCTGTCAGCACAAAAGATAGTGGCTTAAAGCGGCACCGCAGAATGCAGCGGTTGAGCCCGCAAACACCATCGATGCAAATGGGGGCGGGTACCCAAAGCTCCATCCCCACGCTGACGATCTGCGTGCTGACCTGCGCCACTTTTTCTTTTTTGGGCATTATTAGCAGGGTGAGCGAAGGCCAGGTCCCCATTGAAAGTTCCTTAGCGTTGAAGCGTTGGCTAGCGCCCAGCCAAACAGCTGTCGAGACGCCGTCGCATGGCCTGGCAGGGGTCTTCGTTTGTGCATTTGGTTCTGGGGCCGCATATAGCAGCTGCTTTTGCATGAGTACAGTAGGTAAGCCTAAGGCCGCACTTTTGCCGGCGGATGGCACGCACCTGGCACAGCTGGCAGAGGCTCACTGGGCACTACACTAGACCTACACACACATGCTCATCATCCGTTTCCGCCGCAACTCTTACTCATTCTGAAACCATGCTGGTCGGCTGCATTTCGCCCCCATCCTGTTTTTTGTTGGACCTGGCCATGATCTCTTCGCCCGTCTGCCTCGTGGTGGCCGATAGTGGTGGTGTGTATACTTCGTATATGTGGTGGGTAAAAGCCAGCCGCACCGCCTCGTCTTTCACCCGATCAGCAGCAGCCAGCAACCAAAGAAAAAGCTGAATGTACCACCAGCTGAATGAAGCACCACAAAAGGGCCAACGGCATGTTAGATGCGTTCGTGTGCCGATGGCTGCGGGAGCCGCCGATGCAGCATCGTTCGTCTGCCGGGATGCACAGCCTGGTTGGTGGATGGATACCCGTGCGTGCATGCGTGTGTGTATGGCCTCGTTCTCACAAGAGATGCAGTTTCAGCAAAAAAACTAGGCTCGATTCTCATCGGCCGCCACCCACCGCCATCCACCTTGATTGCATACTGTAGTCAAGGAAAAAGAAAACGTGCTCTTACAACTGCTACTCTTGGACAGAATAACATCCAAATTGCCATACAAAAACTGGGGGCGAGAGAGTCATCTCTCGGCACTCAAACGAACGGCGGGGCCCGTGTCAGCATCGCTTCTAAACCATGCAGTCCATGGCCACGCTAGAAGCTGAGAAGAGTCGGAGATCCCTACTCGATGCAACCACACTTGCAGAGCGTTCAGGCAAATTGCCATGCACACAGTGTCGCCGAAAAAGCTAATAACAGAGCCTCGTTTTCGCCCCCTCTCCGTTTCTTTATTTTCCGAACAATCCATCTTCATCTCTCTCTTCCCTACGGTGGCATCTCTCCTCTTCTTGCGGCTCGTTTGTATCCTTTGTCGCAACCACCGCCACCACGCCCTGTCAGAAGGAGTCTCAGCTGTCTCGGCCTATCCATACACACCATCCATCGTCTGCCGGTCTTACTTGCTACCAGCCTCTCTTGTCTCGTGCGCGCATTTATTTGTTGTCGCCGTTGACGTGATCCAAAAAGTTTCCGTCCGAGGGCAATTTGTCCTCTTCCTACAACTCTTCTTTATTTTTGCACCGCCATAACTTGTCACCATGGGCTGGACCGTTGGTAACTTCATTGCCCTCGCGGTTGTTTTCGCAGCGCTGGCCGTCGTCAGTACGGCCCTGCGCTTCTGGGCCAGATCACACACCAAGGCCAGAATTGGCCCTGATGACTACTTTGTCATTCCGGCGCTGGTATGACATTTGCCAATCTATCGCAGCGAGAGGGTTGTCAAACTAATTTTAAATTACAGATTGGTGTACTTGGTATCGCAGCCACAATGATTGCTGGTAAGTTGGCCATTCACGCTTCCCCACGCGCTAGCCAGACTAACGGCCGCCACCGCAGGTACCCAGTTTGGTGAGATGGCACAGCACCAAACCAACGTTATGGGCCCCAATGGTCCTGTCTACACACCACAGCTCCGTGCTTATGAAATTGTAAGTGCACGCATGAATAAATGCATAATCTGTTAAGCCATTGCTTTCTGAAACTGTCCTCTAACATGGGCCATTCTGCAGTGCAACTACATTCTCCAGTTGCTTCCCTTGCTCTCGCTTGGCTTCAGCAAAATCTCCGTCCTCTTCTTGTACCGCCGCCTCTTCCACATTCACCCACGCTTCATGATTGTCAATGCCGTCCTCATGGGTCTCGTCATCACCTGGGCCGTGTCCTTCTTCTTCGTCACGGCCTTTCAGTGCAAGGACCCCGCATCACTCTGGGCTCTGTTCGAATACCAACGCACCAACTGTGTTCAGACCGTCTCTTTCTACTACGCCGTCTCCATCACTGGCTTCATCACGGACTTGATGATTCTTGTCTCCCCCATCTACCTCATTCTTAAGCTTCACCTTCCGTGGGGCAAGCGTATTGCCGTCGCCTGTATCCTGCAGCTTGGTATCCTGTAAGTGCCAATAACATATGCCGCACCATCATGGCATCATATTCTAACATATTGCTAGTGTCTGTGCGGCTGGTATTGCCCGCTTTGTTACCTTTGTCCAGGTTGGTCAAGGCTTCATTGCCAACATTAACGACCTCACCTGTAAGTGCCAGTCACACCAAAATAATGGATCAGTAAACTGACAATGTCTACAGACTTTACCACCCCGGTATTTGCATGGACCATGATTGAGAGTTCTCTCGCCGTCGTTGGAGCCAACCTTCCCCTCCTCCGCCCCGTGCTTCTCCAGGGCCACGAATCGTGGCAAATTATTCTTACCAGACTCTCTGGTGGAACCACCAGACGCTCCAACAACAGCAACAACAGCCACGGCAGCAACATTGCGCCTCTGGGAATCTCGCCGTCATATCCTGCTGTGGCCCACGTGCGCGGCAGCCAAGCCGACTCTTTGGAAATGGATTTGCGCAGCTCCCGCAGTGAATCCCACAAGAACCTCAAAATCGAGCGATCTCGTGACGGCTGGTAAAAAGCAGCCTGGCCTTAACCTCTCTTGCATTTTTGCTTTATTGCTCTTGGGTGGCGTTTCGTGACCGGTACATGGGCATGATTTTGGATTTGAATTACGCAATTTGACGACCTTTGGACGGACCTGTCTGTACATACATACGGATATAGATACCATGCATAATGAACATAGCCTTATTTTTACCCTAAACGAGCGCTCCCGCATACAGTTACTGATGGATCTCCTCGAATGTTCTGCTGGTCTCATGATGCCCGCCTTCAATAGTTTATGCAGGCGTGCATGCCAGCTAGCCAACACTTACACAGTCTCCATTTCATTCACGTTGAACGACCCAGCACCACCGCACGCCTCTGTTCCCTATATGGACGGTGGCTTGCTTGATGGCCAAATACGGACGCATTGTCAAGGCAGTTGCCTATTGTTTGTATGCTTCTATATGATTTGACGAGGCTCCGAGTGAGGCTGCCCTGGCCGAATTTACCTTGGCGTCAGTCTCGGGCGCTGCCGTAACGGGACATAGCCGATGAAAATAATGGTCTGCCCCATCTAGCCGTGCGTATTGGTTCACCATAAACTTGATTTGGCGCTGCGGCAAGGCGATGGTGGAGGTGGATCTCCCGACGATACGAACTTCCTGACGTCATTTTTGCCTGTTTGGATCATACATAGAGATGGGCTACGTTGTGCTTTTAGCGCTAATAGAAGAATACGAGGATCACCCTGCACTTTGCACAAGGCTGTGGTTTTCGTCCATGGCATGAAGTCATGAATAATTGTTTGTGGCAGTTATTGTAGTCGCTACCACAAAGTCGGACATCAGGTTACACTCTCCTCCTCTGTGTATAAATACAACCTCTTGTCGCATTGCTTTCCTTCTCAATCAGACTCAACAACAAACACAGTCACACAATCACCATGAACACTCTTCTCACTACCGCTCTTCTGGCCTCTGCCACCCTCGCTGCCGCCGCTGCCCGCGACGACTGCGCTTCCCAGGCCATCGCCATGAAGTCCTGGACCATCCACAACTTCAACTTCAACGCTTCCAAGGTCTTCACCACCCCTGCGCACCAGTTCGGCGATGGCTACGTCGGCTTCAACCTCTTCAACACCGTCACCAATGAGGAGCGCCGCTGCGACGGTGGCGCTGGGCGCCTTGACCCGTGGTTTGTCGGTGACGCCAACTTTCAGTGCCGAACCATGAATGGCGCCAATGATCCCAACACGGTCTTCAACTTCAACCTGGCTTCAAGGACCGTCAAGCTGAACCAGAGCTTCGAGTGCCCCGGCTCCGTTACGCAGTACGTCGCGCAGGGTGGTGCTGATTTGTCCAAGCACGTCGGCTATACCAAGACCGAGTACCACAACTACGGTTGGACGTATCCCCCTGGCGGTAACATCTACGAGGCGTATAGCGAGAAGATTGAGCCCTTTGATGCCGAGCTTACTGTCGACTCTATCCGTGTCAATGCCTAAGTCAGCAGACGACAAGAGACTGTCCCTAGCTCTACGATTACGATTATACATGAACTAGTTTTTGTAATTATTTAATTTGACATGCAATTGACTAAACTTGCTCAAATCGCACCAAGACTACCAAATTGCGTGATGGATGGCACAGGGAGATGTGGTAGGAATTGTGACAGTGATATTCTGCCTGTTCGCATAGGCACCAGATCTATTGGAGGAATAAATCAACCTCTTAGGAATCTTACGCCAGGACCGCCGCAAACCCCATAATCGGCGCGATAGGCGGCGTTTAAAGTCTCTCCGGCCGGAGCTCTTACCCGAAGCGTGTGCAATGTAACCATGCGGCGCAATTCAAGATGCCGATGGCCAAGAGGTCCGGGGAAGACTATCAAATATATAAAGAAGCTCTATTCATTAAGATTTAACTGTTTTATTCTGTGTAAAAAGCATTCTATTCTCTGTAATTATATTCTCTTCCGTCATTATGGTTGGCATTTCGCGCACTGTGGCTGCAGCCACCACCCTTCTTGCTGGCGCGGTATCAGCAAAGTCTATCTCGCTGACTGTAAGTTCAAGACATTATATATTTTTGTCTTTACATAAACGGTTACTAACACGGACTGTAGTTTGACGAGCTCAACATCTCCAATGAGCAATCGTGCGGCAAAGTCGAGCTGAGCAACACAGTCGGCTACCACGTAAGTATACGACTACATATTATACCATCTTAGAAAACCAATCTATTTTTCTAACACAGCCACTCAGGGCGTCTTCCCATCGAGCGCCTTCTTCGCCAACGTCGAAGTCTACAACACCACAGCGACGCCCGCATGCCACCGCAACGCCCATGACGAAGTGGGCGTCTTTGACCAGAAGCGCGCCACATCCGGCTCCAACGTCGCCTATGGGCGCATTGGCTCCGTGGATTTCCAAGTCTCTGATGCTAACGCGTTCTTGACTGGTGACGCATCGCTTGACGTCAGCGTCGTCTTTACCAAGGCCGAGGTATGTGATCACCATATCTTACCACTCCAAACAACTACTAACATACACATTTGTACGTAGCTCGCCAACAAGGACAACCTGGTCACCTTTGACACGCTGATTTCCGACTTTGGCGCCCTCGACGTGCGCAAGACCTTCAGTTTCCACACGGCCAAGGATGGCTTTGGACCCTACCACATCCACGCGCCCAACACGGCCAAGTACGAGTTCTTTGAGGTCGAGGCGGGCGTTGGCGTTGCGGGCGAGTCGTCATTCCGACACCCGACTATCTTTGTGGATAATGTCCAACTGGAGACGGTTGCCAATTAAGCAAGACGAGGCGTAGCGATCGGCGCCAAGCACGGAATGGGCGATCAGGCTGTTGGTATGCCGTCCTTCAACGGTGGCTTTTTTCCCTACGGTAGCAGGACTATGTGCCTGGGTTAATCGTCATTTAACTCAGCGGAGAGACACTAATTTTCCAGACATTCAAAGATAAAACGACGTTTGTTTTGTATAGGCGGAAACATTGCTACATTTTACAATGTTATACACAATCACACGTACTCTTAGCAAACGAATGCGTTTTCAGAGTGTATTTTGATCGTTTTGGGGGGCGTCCAGAAATTTAGACACCTTCCACTAAAGTATCTGCATGTTTAATGGAAGAATTAAAACACAATACATATTCTCCCGGGACCAAAGACATGTCTTCCCCCGCTCATGGCGGAATCAAGCGAATAGATGGCCCGCTAGCGTCGCATCCGGCCAACCCCCCGCAGCGCTAATAGATTGCGTGGTTCTTTTTCCCAATTAACCTATTGAATCACCTTCCCATTGTGGGCAGCTCTAGCTTAGCACGGCAGAAATATTGTTGCGAGGTTTATAATCAGGCTTGTCCCGCCTCTTTTCTCAGCGCTCAAGCTAGCTACGCCGAGTTCCCCATTGATCGCGTGCCTGTCTCACTTTCTCTCGCCATGGTCCGCCTGCTCTCCTCGCTAATCCCCTTGCTGGGCTCTGCGCTAGCTATCCACCCCGCGGTGCTCGAACGCAGCGCCAATCCCGCTGGTAGCCTCGTCGCCCGCGCATACCCCGACGAAGCCTTACGATGCATTCAGGTCGAAAACCCTGTGCTTTTGCCTAACAGCATTACGCAGGATGATGAGACAATTGCGCGCCCGGCACACGAGCTGCCGTCGTGCAAGCAGGTTGTTGTCGAGCATGTCTTTGGCAACAGCTATGGCGCGCCCTTTGTCGGTGTGTACAGCTATTTCAGAGCGCTGCGATTAATCAATTAACATTTTAATGTAGGCGACTACACTCCTCCAGACTGCAAGTTCAACCGAGTTGTTCTCAACCTGACCATCACCTCGACAGGCCTCCAGTACGACCGTCTTGGCTTCATCTGGCTCGGCGACAATGAAATCTGGCGCACCACCACGGCCGAACCAAAAGCCAAGCCTGGCATTGTCTGGACGACCTGGAAAGAGGTCACACCTTTCCTCTCGCTCTGGAAGACCAAACAGAAGCTCATCTTTGAGCTCGACAATGTCGTCAATGACATGTACACCGGCTACCTCAACACCACAGTCACCGCCATCTTCATCGACGATCCCAGCACGGGCGCCAGCGCACCTCCCGCCGACCAAATTGTCGCTGTTTCCGCACGCCGTAGTGCCGCTGGCCAGCAGAGCTCGTGGCACTATCCCACTGAAAAGACCGAGCTACAGGTGACTCTGCCGCGCAACATTAAGCGTGCTGTCTTTTCTGTCGCCGCGGCTGGCCAGCACGACGACGAATTCTGGTGGCAGAATGCTCCTGACGAGGCGATGCCATATCTTCCCAGCGACTATGGCTTCAAGGGCGGCTTCCGTGAAGTGCGTGTCCGCATTGATGGTGATGTAGCTGGTCTTGCATGGCCGTTCCCCGTTGTATTTACCGGTGGTGTAGCCCCGGGATTCCACAGACCCATTGCTGGGCCGCAGGCGTTTGATATGCTCGAGCAGGAAATCGATATTACCCCGTGGCTTGGTGTCCTGTGTGACGGTCAGCCGCACACGTTCTCAATCGAGGTGGTTGGCCAGAGCGATGCCACGGGCGTCTACGACTTTTGGTACCTCTCAGGCAAGATCTTCCTGTGGTTGGACGAGGCAAACTCTATCATAACGGGAGACAAGCCGATTGTGGCCCTGCCTGACAATAACTACTTGCCCAATGTTCAACACTCATCAGACAACGTCACAACATGGACGCAGACAGTTACCCGTACAATCGAGGTTGTTGGCATCCTCCACCGTAACGGAAAGCTGATTGCGCCCAACTGGTCCCAGACATTCTCCATGGTCAACAAGGGCCTGGTCAAGGATAACTACCAGGTCTTTAATGCCAAGTACACGGGCCGCGACCAGAGCACCGTGAATGGCGCTTCGGTCTACTCAGTCCGCTACAACTACCCCATCTACCTTGACTACAACACGTCACTCGCTGGACCCGACTACACTAGCAGTACTCGCGCTACGTTAGACCAGACCATGGAGCGCACTGTCTCTGACCAGACTGTCTACTCGAATGGCCTAGAGCCGTTCCTCGCTCAGATCCCTGGCCTTACCGGCTCGGATGTAAACACAAAGAAGCACAGCACCGTGTTCCAATACACCCTGAAGAACGGCACCAAAGCCTACAACAGCACGGCCGATCAAACGTGGACACTAAGCGGCCTGAAGAGCGGCGCCTCTAGTGCACACCCGCTTCTCTACAAGCGCGATGTCTCGGAGAAGAACCAGGCCTACACCAGCGACAAGACGTATGTCTATGGTGGTTCTGCTGCTGCTGCTGGCGCTATTGGGCTGCAGGGATCAACCGCAGACGGCTCCGTCAACGAGGATGATAGCCGTGGATCGCCAGCACAAGGTTTGTCCAAGCAATTTGCGCAGGACGACTTTGCCTTCCGCCCATTCCACAGCTTCCTCAACAACATGATCAACGACGAAGGACAATCTAAGTAACCAAGTTATGCGCTTCAAGCGAACATGACATGCTACGTAGATTTTTGTATATGAGAGTAAATTCAAAAGATATATGCAAATGCTAAATATGAGTTCGTTATACATCGTCATCATAAGTTTTATACAAGTCCCATCCTGGGCACCCATTCTGCTTCTTCTCATCCGTCGACACTCGCGCCATGTTTAATCAGCAACGCCGCCAGCGTTGTCGATCCCTCTTGCACCGCATAATGAAGGGCTGTTTTCTCATGACAGTCTTTAAAGTTTGCATCTGCCCTCTCCTTGAGAAGCATTTCCACGGCGCTATTCCTTCCCGCTATAACGGCCCTGATGAGAGGTGTTTGCTCCATGTTATTTAAGATGTTGACATTTTTCGTCTTGCGGATAATGTAGCGCAATATGCTATCTGTCGACGATTCCACCGCAATATGCAGCGCAGCTTGCCCGTTAGGCCCGAGCTGCGTCAGGCTCGCGCCGCTGTTAACCAGAAAGACCGTCATCGGTTCATCGTGCTTCTCCAGCGCTAGATGCAGCGGCGTACCTAGCGGTGGCATGGATATCGTCGCGACAGACTCTGTCGCTGGGCTCTCTGACCAAGGTGGTGGCGGTGGAGGGTTATCCGTTAGTTGCATCAGCGAGGCTGCGAGCACGTCGTTCTCTGAGAGCGGGCGGCGTTCTTGGGCTTGCTTGTCGGGCACAACCAGGCTCTCTTGAGTCTCTGTGAGGCCTAAGCCTGCCATGCCATTCATATCCAGCGAGAAATCCTGCCCGGTCCACGAGTCGCCGTTGCTAGCGAGTACGTTGGACGGCGACGCTATGCCGATACCCATGATGGCATCAAATTCGAAGCCGGCATCCTGCGACACATACTCGCCTGGGGCATCGCCCTCGATGTTCTTAAGTGCATCCTCCAGTGCGGCAATCTTTTGTTTTTGGCTAGCTCCTAGTTATGGTTCGTCTAGTTAGCTTTGCGCCGCCACCACGGTGTGAGGACCTATAAATACGTACTGTAACGTACCTGGGCGAGGCGATTCAGCTCTTTTTTTCTGTCGTTCTTGATCTTTTGCACTTTAGCAGCTTCAGCGCGCGCCTTCGACGGCATAGTTCCTTCTCACAGGTTACATTGATGCGCGCAACAACTGAGGGGAAGGTAAGCGGAGTGTAGGGTCGGCCGAGACAGATCTCAAAAGGTCCTTCATCCCATTTGAACTAAGCCCTTTTGCGTGATGGGCCCATGCTCAAACGTGGCGTGCATCCAAGTAATAGTGCATGTGTTGGCGCCTGTGGCGGGCGCTAAAGCAAGCCGAGGCTGGCCGCCATTGGGCGCATCCTTCACGGGAAAGGCTTGCGGGAAACAAAAGAAGAAACGGTGTTGAAGATGTCGTAGATTGAGTTTGTCGATGGAGTTTAGTGACTAGATGTGCTGTACATATAGGTTTCATCCGTAACATGGGATGCCGTTGGACGACAGGCCGAAGAGCTGGGAAACAGGATCGCCTCCTTCCTGACTCGTGACTACTTTCTCGTTGCTATGTTTTCCATAATCGTTGGTGAAGCAGGCTGTGGCTTTTAGGTTCTGCTTGAACACGCAAAGGCTTCCAGTATTGGTACCCCCTTCACTAGTAACCACCAATCTTCATCGGTAAGCGCTACGAGTACACACGATATATTCTATGGCTTGTCGCAACGTTGAGTCCAGCAATTTAACCGCCCACGGGGTTGGCTTAGCGCCGTGCGCGGGATCTCCTTACCCGTGCTTATTTCCACAAGATCTCAATCGTGCTGTTTGATATCGCGGGGTATTTCGAAATTTGTATTTTTAGTATTCTTCTCATCTATGAGTGGTGATGAACTCTAATTCTACATTTACTTTGCTGATAACCATTAGATGTAATCGTCGAGCGATTAGATAATCCCAGAAACGCTAACTTTCCAAACACTTAAACCTAACAAGTACACACAGAACTAAGTATTAATTACGCTTTATTTATTAAATACAATTAGGAATGTATATAGAATAACCCATAAAAATCCTTTTATTTTTAACCTTTTTTTAATGTTATTTGTATGGGTAAATTGGGAACGAGGCAAGCTACCCTGTTGCTCAATATTAAATGTATTTTGTCGCTATATGCTCTGTCCATATCTGTCAACACTCACCCACAACCTTCTATAATGTGAACAAAAAAACAATTACCCATTAAATGTCTATATAATTATCTATTGTACAACAGTTACTCTATCAAGCCAGTTCATCTCAACGGTTATCCTGTAGGAAACGTACTGTCGGGGCGTCATTCTGTCATCTTGTTATCCCACGGAACCGAACCATAGAGCTTTTCTCCCGCAGAGACATGTTTCAATACTAGGCCAGATTTGCCCCTGCGCGGCAGTATATGCTTCAGAACAAGTACCTCCCAGAACCAGCTCGTAAACACATACACAGACATAAACCAAGCAAACCAGTTCATCCAAGCACTCACGCGGAGCAACGCACCCGATATCTTGCAGTCCCTAGCTACACTGGAGGCCCTACTGTTATAGTACTCTTTAAATGCTGCAGCAATGGCTTCTGCTGTGGGCTCGTCTGTATCGCTCTCATCAGTAGCTTTGCGCAAGCTATTCACAAGCGCCACCGCATCTTGTATACCCATGTTGAAATTGAGGCCGCCAAACGGAGACACCTTATGACATGCATCGCCAACCAGGACAATGCGTTTATAGCTCCATTTCTTAGCAACGCCTTCTTCTAGAAGTGACATGCTGCTTGTTGTGATTCTGATCGCAATGTCCATAATCATGGACGCGTCTGCGACAATGAACTCCTTGAATTTGGTGAGAATCTTGCTCTCATCATCCCTCGTAAACTCCACATGCTCGAATGAAGGTTTGTCCAGCTTTTCGCAGATATGGATAGTCGCTTTGTCGTACTCGGACACATACATTAAACTCAAGTTTTTGCTGTGTGTTTCCGATACAGTACCTCTGTGGCTGCAGCGCGTAAGATTCATGGACATGTACTTGAAATGTGCTGGAAATTGTCCCTCAGCCTCCCAAATTTTGCGATCGACGTCGTTGTCGCGTAAAGCCATTTCTCGCATTATTCGGCGCGTCTTGCCGCGGCTGCCATCGATGCCAATGACGATAGAGCCAGTATATATCGAGCCATCCATACACATCACAGATACATCATCTGATGAGCATTTAATATCAGCAATCGTCTTGGAAACGAGAATTTTGTCCTCGCTGGGCCGCAGAGCTCTGTTGAGAATCTCCAGTAAGATCTCGCTTTGAAAGCAGTATGCATGCATACCGTGTCTATTTTTCTCAAGTAAGAATGTATTCCCAGTAGAATCGCTGAATAAAGCTGTACTTACGCATCATTTATGTAATGGAACAAATTGCTTTCGTGTAGGAAGCCAGCACGTGTGTATGTTGTTTTGGTGGTGAGGGCGCATGCATCTTGGCGCACCTTTTTGAATAGCCCCAGCTGGTGGAATATTCGTATATTTTCTGGGTTAAGGATGAGATTGTAACCATCTTCAACGATAATCTCGTCGTCCTGCTCCAAAAGGATAAAGTCAATGCCGGCAGACTGGATCATAAGTGCTGTCAAGAGCCCAGTCGGGCCGCCCCCAATGATGATGGCTTTGAAGTTGGACGCCATAGAGTGTCTGTTATCTGCCACAGAGTATGCGATTCTGTACAATTCTGGGTTACATATATGCCAATGGCAGTGAATCGGCGACGCAAGAGGATGAGATAAAGCTGTGATGGTTTGGATCGTTTTTAAGGTTGAAAGCGTTGTTAACTAAAATCAGCCTCAAAACACGCTTGGCAAGTATTCTGCGGCTGAGCTTATTTCAGGACACCTGGTTCAAAAAAGCTTAGCCACTTTCAAACACATAAATAAACAGGGAAAAATACATAATTATATCCGTCCATTTGTGTTATGAAACTGAATGATGTGAATATTATTTCATAAATTTAGATTTTATGTGGACAACTGTTATTACACAATTAGTCCTGATCATGCTCATTCTACTCTCAACTCATTAGTGCAGCTACAGCGCATCTTTCACTTTCGTATAGCGCTCCCAGAAGTCCACTAGAATGCCTCGTAGAAGCGCCAGGGATGCTGGAGGCAATGACGGCATGCGGTGAGGCTGAGCAAGTCCACGCGATCAGCAGCCTAACGAGGCCTCCATACCATTATTCACGACTCCGTCACAGTCTCTGACAGCCTCAACTGCTCACACTCGATTTGCATCTAACATTAGATTTTGCCTTGTCTGCTGCATACTCAGAAAATGTCATTTCAGGCTGCGAAGCGCGCATTCTACATCCCCGCCCCCAACTGGGACATCCCCGCCGACTCGGATCTCGTCGTGCTCGGCCGCCTTATTAAGGACCCAAAAAACCCCGAACGAGCTATCCCGGGAAGTGCACATGTTCCATTGCAACCGCAGCGCATCTACGCCGGCGAGAAGCCGGGCTTTTCTTATATCAGTGACCAGCTAAAGGGCGGCAAGATTGGCATTTGGGCCAAGGCGCTACAAGTTGTGGGGGGCGGGCTTGATCTGAGCCAGACAAAGGAGTACCTGGATATCCACGAGTTCGAGACGCTGGAGACCAAGTACTTTGTTCCGGATGTTGACTATATTGCCAAGGCTATGCAGGACGAGGGAGTCCAAGGTTTTCTGCACGCCACGCACAAAAGAGAACCAATCTATCTAATCACTGGTTTGAAGATTGCCCGTGGCGCCAAAGTTACAAACAAGACAAACGTGGCACGAAGCGTGGCGGGAGAAGTCAAAGGGGATGCTACCATGTTTGGTGCGCCTGTCGAAGTTGGACCTGAGGCAAGTCTTGGCTCGCGAACATCTACGCTGACCTCGTTTGCGGGGTCGACGGATTACATTTTTGCGTACCGTTTGGAAAGAATCAAGATCAAGAGGAAGAATGACGAAATTACGTCTAAAGATTATATCAAGGGCGCCATGTTTGGCCGTGATGGGGACGACAGTGATGATGAGGATGAGTTTGTGGCTGAGGAGTTTACAGAAGTCGATGGTGCAAGAGAGGATGAGTATGAAATTGTTCCTGCGGATGAAAACCACGTCACTAGTATATAAAATAGATACACAGTAGATTTATACCAAGTTTGATTTCATTTATTACATTTGGGTATCACGGGTATTAGCATTTGTTTAATGTGTTCAAAACGGTTTGTAGAAGGCCTCCATCGCCGTACGCCGGTGACTTAAGCAGATCCCACGGTAAAAGACTGCTTTGCTTCTGCTGATTCTTAGTTTGCATACAATGACGCATAACTTTGACCATATTGTTCATCTGTTGCAGCTCGCGCGGTAGATCGGCGTAGATCGCAGCATCTTCTGGAGATAAGGTTTTAATGCCTAGTCGAACGCATGTCAATAGGTTTGCCACCAGTGCTGCTGCTATAGGTGTTGCAAATGAGGTGCCGGATATAAATTTTGTGGAAAAGTTGCCATTGGCATCTTTGCACTGCACTTCGACGCCATCTCCAAATGCATAAAAGATAGGGTGTGCCTCGTTGTCATGGGGATTGAATGTGGAAATGTGCCCATCGCCATCAGTTGAGCTTATACCAAACACATTGGCTTCCCGTGCTGGCCATGCTATTCCTTTGTGTGCAGCATCATTGCACGTTGCAGCAAAGTAGAGTGGCTGCTTCCTTGCCCTGGTCGACTGTTCCATGGCCTGGTTGATGACAGCGACTCTTTCATCGAACCCGAAACTCATAATAATCACATCCACTTCCCACACTGTGGTTGCATGGTAAATAGCCTTTTCTGTGTTAGGAATAAAAGCCGCACAGGAGAGAGTTTACAACAAAGACATACCTGTGCTATTCTCGATTGAACTTCGATCGCATGCCTGTTCTTGAAATCCTTGCGTCGTTCGCAAATCTTGGCGATATATACTTCAGCATGAGGTGCAGCATCGAGAATAATTTGCGCTATACATGAGCCATGACCATCTGTATCAAAGTTCCACTCTGATGTACAGAATGACTTGCAATCTGCACTAGAAATTCGTCCCTCTGCTATGTAATTTTCTTGTAGTGCATCTGCCAATTGAAGCCCAGTGTCCAGGATGGCAATCTTCACAGAGTGCTCCCTCTGTTGATCTTTGGATAATCGCTTTGAAAAAGAATGATACATTGCGTTGTGCACTCCTTCCAGTTGTCGGCGCCATCCGCGCCCAGCAATCTCTTTCTCTGTCAACTGTGTTAGAACTATTGCCTCCTCGCCATGGGTCTCGTTGTTTGTATCACATAAAGACCGGAGCGGTATATTATATATGTCTAGCAAGACCTCCTCTAATGGATAGAGAACCCTCTCAAAGACGTACTGTCGGATACTTTCGTCTTTAGTATCGATGAGGTCCAACCCGTTATCTTGCAGCTGGGTTGGGTCCAGACATGCGGATGTAGCTTCAAAACAGCCATATGGCACGGTACCAGCCGATGCACGACCTTGAAATTTACGCCAGCTGTCACGCGCCGATAGAGCTTGCCAACATCTGTCCTGGTTGTCCAACATTTCTAAAGGCGTACCTCGTAATACTTGTAGTAAAAGTATGCCAAGCGAGAGGACGTCGGGAAGACAATGCACCTCTGGTAGTTCATCCAGTTTGGGCTGCACCGAATCTCTCATAAATTGTATGTTCAAGTATGGGCGTTGGATGCTAAATGAATGATGCTTAACTTGGAAACAAATCGTATCAATCGTTAACGTTGCCTACTTGTCGTTTAGTCTCTAGCCAATGCATGACCTCATGTAACATACCTGTAAGTCGTGTTCGTCGATCTTATAAAAGTGAAGAAATGTCGTTACAATTATGATGGATAGAACAACACGTTCCTTGAAAGGTATCGTTGACAGCAGAGAAGCGCGACCTTGCGGCTGTTTAAGCAACTCCGCCAGGGTCATAAACTCACCATCAGGAATTTTAATAGGTCCTGATGGATCAATGGCTGGTCGCATTTGCCAAAGCCTCTGCTCGTAAACCATAATATTCGGAACGATATTAGATTTGGTATTTTCAATAATGCCACAGAAATTCTTGTTTATCTCCGTCTTGAACTTCCCTCTCGAGCTGTTTTGAAGAATTTTAGAATGACCTCGTCAATGGCATATAATCCAGTGCAACTTACATTCTCTCTTTTACTATGACATCGGTATCTTGCCAACGAGGTGATATATGCTTTGTTGGAAACATGATACGAAATAGAGCATCCTGCTGGGCTAGGCTATTGCCTCGCAGAGACACTGTCTCGAATCGCTGGTGTTGCGTTAAGTTTAGCTTCATCGCTCGTTGTAGATGGAAACGTGTATTGCAATCACAACACCACGACTTCCCGAGCACATCAAATAAGATCTTGGAAAACCTTCTGACATGTTTAACGGGGTATTTGGCAAAGTGACGGGGGCATTCTGGTGCGTCGGCTCTCTGTAGGTGCATATCCATCAGCAAGTCAAAAGCTAGATCCAGATATCCGAGTATAGTAGCTCGATCAACTGATCGCTTTTTATATGGTCGTATAAATTGAATTAACATAGCGAGAGAATTCTCGCTCCACTCGTTGTCTTCAGGGAGGATACGGAATAGCGCTCGGAGATTCGGGTGTGACTCATTCTTTCGGCGCTCGAAGCCCAGCTCGCGATGCATTTCTACTATCCCTATACATTTGGATGCAGATACAAATGCAGCGTCTAAGCTATGCAGCAACTGCCGGAATAATTTGATTGTTGCCTCTGGCCATGTTGATGCTGAATCTAGGTCACTTGTCTCAAGAAAAGCGTTGATACCGAATGTCTTAGCGATATATTCGCAATAAAAGTTCTCAGTTTCTTTTATGTCACTCCGTTCCTGTTGATTTGAATCGGAGAGATTAGCAGCAACTGTTTTGGCAACTGCAACAAATGTTGGCAATACTGCGGCCAGAAGACGCAGTGCTTCCTCGGCATTACACTCAGGTGGTGTTGTAGGGACTGAGAATCCCGCAAAATTGTATATCGCTTCCATGGAATATGCTCTAACGGAACGACGGTTGCATTTGTAGCAGGTTGAAATAGTGCTGACTTGATTGTTAATTTGGAAGCGTCGTCGTATTAGAGGCGTTCTTGAATGCACAAGGCTATTTACCCCTCACCTTCCTGCATGGATACGTGGCTGGTGATGATCTTCTCACTGCGCGACTTTAGCGGAATAAACTTATGAAGAATTCTCAATTTTAACAACCAAAAAGTAGTTTAATGTGTGATCTGGAGCGCATAAATCATTTCGCTATTAAAATGGCCACAAAAGACGCAACGGAGACACAGGTGGCTGAACCACTAACCATCTTACCAGTCTCCTCTGACGCACAGCTGTTGGATATTTGTCAAATAGCAACAAGATGTCGAGAGCTGTTGCTGTCTCTAGCAAAGCCAAACGAAAATTCTGGAAATCCAGATAGCGAGGCTAGCAAGCAGCTCACTAGCTTTAATATTTGGGCTGCAAATGTTGGCGTGTTCAGAGCGGCATCTCAGTCTCTCGCAGCGCGCTTGAAGAGCATTCCAGATATAAGCACGAGTATGCAGAAAATATTAACTAATCTGGAAGTGAAACTAGGTAAGAAAATGAGACTTAATTGTGCGATTTGTATCTTATATTTACTTGTTGCAGAACTGAAGCTCGCCGAGAGTGCGGAGAACGAAAACACATCTGGTGAAGAGACCGACGCAAGTTCTGATCGTTCCTCCATTTCGTTCGACAGCACGTCTCAACTATATAAAGACGGACTTGGTCTTTATATCAGTTGTAGTAAAACGTGGATGGCAATAAATAGCGCGATCACAACTCTTCGACAGCTTGGCGTTCGACTCCATCACGCAGGAGCTCGCCACAGACGCGAAAGAATCGACAGATTTATCAGTATTAATGGAAACAAGGACGTCTATAAGCTATTCGACCACTTGGCCTTTCAAATGGTTGCAAATCTGTTTCCGAAAGCCAGCGATACCCTGAAAGAGCGAGCCGCAACATCAATCGCCCGTCGTCGATTAAAGCTCCTTTATCTGGAGACACATCAAATGAAGTTACGAGAAATAAAGACCGTCTCACCAACACCGGACGTCCCTATTCCAAAACAAAATATTATTAAAGAACCACATCCAATACGCAAAGCACCAGGTTTACAAAAGAATTACTCTACTAGTATCAGCAGAGTTACATCGCCATCTATGTATCCAAAAACTCAATTGTCAGCAACAGTTGATACTAAATGGCAGGGAGTGGAGAAGGCTGTATCAGTATCATCTATCCGAAGCGTTGTAGGACAACTCCCAACTCTTCCAACTATTGATAACACAAGCATGTCATTCACCTGTCCTTATTGTTTGCTTGTTTGCCCTTCGACTGAAGCAAGCTCCGCCAACGCTTGGCAGCAACATCTAATTCGCGATTTAGAGCCATTCTTCTGTGTATTTGATGAATGTGATATGCCTTTTGCTTGTGGTCAGTCCCAGACAGCATGGGCTCATCATATGAAACAAAACCATGCGCTGCCTATGTGGAATTGCCCGTACTGCCCACCGCTGGGGGCCAATAGCAGACTTTCTTCTTCCATGGAGCTTAATAATCACTTAGAAAATTCTCATGCGGATCGGATTTCGCAGGGACTCCGAGATGTAGCTGTTGAGCATAGCAAGGTCCAAACTAATGAGATACTTGGCAAATGCCCATTTTGCAATGGGTATCCTGACGACATCGATAAAGAATTTCCAAATCATTCATCACGGGATGCCATTAAATCCCTTGAAAATCATATTCGACACCATCTTGATGACATTGCCCTACTGTTATTACCTATAGATATGGGCGACGATGTGCAACAGGACGGCGACTCAGACGTTGAAGCAGAGAGAGGCAACAGAAGCGAACAGAACGTGGAAGATTTGGAACTTTTAATAGAGCGGTTTACTGCATCCGCTCTACGGTGCTCCCGGGTGGACTGTGATTGCCATATTGATCCTTCTATCCTAAGTGGTAGCTGGGCGAACTGGGAAGATTTTTGCATTGGTAACAGGACTCTCTTCAACGAGCAAGGACCTGTTATAGGCTGCTTCGACCCAGTATATCGAGAGTCCGCAGCCATTGGCGAATGGGAATTTTCATATCCCCGTTCTCTCGCGCGCAAGCTGATCCGGAGTAATGCGGAATTTCCAAGTGTGGAGCACGATACGAAACTGCGCGAGCTATTTAACGTTGGGTCTTTTACCAAAGATCATACATCTAGCCTTTATGGTCCCGAAACAAGAATGTACAGAATGATGGAATCTTTACGTCAACTCATGTCCACCAGGGGCCCATCAAGCGACTGGTACAAATCTACGATCCCTAATCCCGCACCCAATAGCTGCAATTGGGTGGATAGCTGTGATCAGATAATACGGTGGAAGCGTGGAGAGGTCAATCACTTAACCATCATTGGCTCACATGGCTGTGGGAAATCTGTTCTTAGCAAGCACATCGCTGACTCGACTACAAACCCTCTATGCTACGTCTTTCTTCCAGACGATCAAATGATAAAAGGGAGCCATATAATGGCTATTGTATTATATCAACTTTTCAGTCAGTTCCCAGACCTTCTGGAAACGCTTTCATCACGAAATGAGATTGTTGATGACTCAGGAAGGATAACTACAACACGCGTATACAATCTCTTGGAGCAGTGTGGATCACTTTCTCAGTTTCCTATTTCTTCCATCCCTATGGTTCTCATCATACTAGATGGAATATCAGCGAGCAACTGTGACAAGACATCCAAGATGTATATACACCGCTTGATGAACTTAAGAGACAGTCGATTTCGATTCTTAACGACGACTCAAGACCCAGACGACATGGCTTTAAAAATATCTAATGTAACAGAGAACCTCTACTTAGCTGAAAATACATCTTTTACAGAAACACGTTCAAGGACCTTTGAAGCTCAGCTAGATGTTCTGTTCAAGCAAAAAGCTTGGCCAGCAACGGTACGCGCCGAGATTATTCGCATAACTTCCACCAACGCGCGAGACTATTTATACGATAGTCTTTCTCTGGAAGTCCTGAAGTCGAGTGCCTTTGAGCGCATTGTGGTCAACAGAGCAACTTCGAAAATTACCTTCCCGAATGAAGCCAAAGATGCATTCAACAAATTGGCACGTGAATCAATGTGTGATGAGGGGATACGATTTATTTTATCATGCTTGATCATTGCTCGCCGACCTATGTCAAAAGCTGAAATCCAGAATATCCTCGCCATTTCAGGATATATACCAGCCCTAGTTCAAACACTACGTCATAAGGGTATAAATTCCGAAAAGTCTGCCGAAGATCATAAAATTCTAGATCACTTCTTCACATGGCTTCTGATAGACTATGATGGTTGGATTTCATTTCGCCATACTACTCTTATCTCATTTACAATTGAATTTTTGGATATTGCTAGCGGTGCTGTCCGAGAAGTTGACGCTGCTCTGGGCTGTGCACAATACCTTGATCTGTTCAATAGGATGAGCAGAGACGAGATTCAAAAATTGGATTTGTTACACTTGTTACCATTCGCCGCCACTCTTTGGGAAGAGATATTCTCACATTATCCAAATTTTATGCCACAAGAAGAGTTACGCGAACCTATGATTGCTATCTTTGACGTTGAATCTGCAGCATTCCGCACATGGTTCCCTATACATCGCGAGATGTACCGGATTGGTAATCCGCCAGCGGAACCATATAACTCGCTATTGATAGCTGCATACTTTAGAGCTTCATGTCTTGTTAAAGCTTATCTTACCGATCAAGTTGCCATTGATAGCACTGATGGAACTGGTCGAACAGCGCTCTCTTGGGCTGCGAGTGATGCTTCTGTATCGATGGTTCGCTTATTGTTATCCAAAAATGCGAATATCAACACAAAAAGCATACATGGATTAACACCACTCATGTATGCAATTGATAGGCGCCGCATCGAAATTGTGAAGGAGTTACTTGACTACGACGCATACATAGAAGCTACAGAAAATACCGGAAAGACACCCCTAATGTACGCAGCGCTTGTCGATGACATTGACATTATAAGATTACTGATGGATCGTGGGGCAAATATCAATGCAATGGATGATTATCGGCGAACACCTCTGATTTACTCTACCATGGTCGGCCATGCTAATAGAGTTCTAATCGCCAAGCTTCTATTGGACCATGGAGCCAATGATTACATGGAAGATACGAATGGTAATACAGCACTTTCTATTGCCATAGAATTGGACGATGCTAAAATGGTATCTTTATTGGTTCATACAATCGAAGATTCAACACAAATCAATCATAGACAACGCGCCCTCTGGCTAGCTGCGAGGCTAAACCTGATTGACCTTGTCGCCATACAACTGGACGCTGGCTCTGTGGCTGACTTCTTGAATATACATGAGCGCGAGAGCTTCAACCTGAACCGTCTTCATGGAACAGAACCTGTAGCTATCTTGCTGCTACAGCGCTATGTGAAGAAGTATATACAAGAGGACGCATCTCGTACTTGCTTATCCTGGGATTCACGGGTTCCTTATAATTCTATAACAAAGGCAGCGGAATACTCGCGATTATATGCTGCAGCCGTTGAATTGAAAGACTTTACATCGCTGCTTGAAAGAATAGAAAAGGCCGAATCTGTGCATTTGCTGGAGCGATCAACACTTTTAGCCGAGGATGTTTCTAAAATATTAAGCGGCCCATTACCAGCTGGAGTGGAACACTCGAGTTATGCTTTGCAATATCTTTCTGCAAGGATATTATGCTTAACACAAAGATCAACAATGTACAATGATCGACTGACATGGCTAGAGGGGGTGGCTCTAGATACAGAAGAAATGGTATCAGATGTTGGCGCTGCGTTCCTATTAGCAACCCAGGAATTGCTACTGGAGGAGTACATTGCCAAAGGTCACTATACGTCAGCCATTGATTTAGTTGTTTCAATGCTCGAGTGCAACTATCTCACCCGTGACCCAACTAGCCACGAGCACTGTACTTTGCTAGTCATTCTAGCAGAGCTTTATCGATACAATTCTGACAACGAGAAGGCAATCGAGACGCTTGGACGCGTGCTTGGTAATATTGCCCATGAGGTGACAGATCCAGAAAAGATAGAAGCGCTTCGACTTCTTGCAAAAGATGAAAGGCCTGCTACTATGAAGCATGTCGTAGAAACACTAGATGCGGATCGACTTGCTATTTTACATATACTACTGGGTATATATTGTAACATGGAAATATATCCTGCAGCCTGGGGTGTTATGAAAGAAATGGTTGACATCGCCAATCAACGCTCACAGATCCATCTACGAATAACAGCGGAATTCAGCGGACCTCTTCCTTGAGAATGAGCATGACGCGTTATTTTTATCTCTGGTTATAGGTAGTAATTATATTACTGTTTGATAGCTTAAAGTAATTATTGATACTCGACTACTTAGATGCGATGCACTTGAATATACCTTTAGCGTAACTTTTTCTATTTAATTATAAACTATTTGCTACGCCATGGAAGATTTAAGCATCCGCAGCAGCTTCTCCAGCTCGGCCATTGCTTCACCGCCGCCTGGAAGACCAGGCCCCCAAGAATCATCGTCAAACTTCATGTCGTTTAATCCCCAGAGAATCAGTCCCTGACGTGGCCCTTTGATATCTTCGAGATTGATAAACTTGGTGGCAATATCCTTTATGGCGCGCCCATGGCCATCTCGAATGAATACTTCCAAAACAGCCGCTGCTACATGGAACAATGCATCGCTGCTCACCATCTTCTGGGAGTGGTCGAGAGTTTTGCCAGCAGCTGCTGCGAAACAAATACCCGACACAAACGGCAACATCTGTGCTTTATTGCTGCTGTTAAGGGCGGGGTTATTTCCAAGGACGGCTGTAGTGGCTTCTTGGAGCTGCTCTAAGAAGAGCCATGCTTCGTTGTGTATCGTGAAGAGATTGAAGCAGTGACCGTGCTTCACCTCCCATTGAATGGCATCGGCCATCTCGCGAATTAAGCCTGGTGGTGAGAGCGCGGAGATACGTAACTTGGCTGCTTCCACAGTCGCCTTGAATTCTGGCTGGAGATGCGACGCGCTATCTGTATAGCGTTGAGCAAAGCCCGAATTCAACGTCTCTTCAAGATGAGCGCACGTCCATGGTTCTCGTGCGCCAGGGTGCTCAAGACGATGGTTGACGTAAAGCGAGACGTAACCCATAGGCATCAAGTTGCGTCTGTTATCCTTGTTTACAATGACTTTTTTCTTTGTCTTGCGCTTACTCTGCGGTGCTGCCCAATGGGTAACTGATGTGCCAATGCTCAGGGAATAATTTTTAAAATAGGCCTCTTTTGTGGTCGGTAAGTTGCCGACAAAGAAGGATGCGTTGCCTTGGATGTCCCAAAAGGTTTGCAAATCTTCCCAAACACAATCAGTTCCAATCAAGCCTTCGTTGCGAAGCGCATGGTACAGCTGAACGACGCCAACAAGGGCACCTGGTGTAGCGGCGTACGGTAGACCTTCATTCTGTACGGTAGCCCGCATGTTTTGTATTAAAAGACCACAATACATTGGGTTGCGCTTCAGAAAGGTGAATGGTGCCGTTCGAACTTTGGGAAGCAATCCTACTTCGACTGCGATTTTGCGTGCGGCCCAGATGGGGTCATCATCCCAGAGACTTGTGGCTCGAATAACTTGACTGCTTTGAGCGGCTGGCACCTTCAGCATCAGATACCTTATCCGACGGCTTTCAGTTTGCATTGTACCTAGTCCGTCGCAGGTTTGTGCATATGTATGCAGGATGTCGAGGTATACTTGGACAGCAAAAGCAAGCCAGAGAGGGCAAGACTTTTGCTTCTCGTCTGCGATATATGCCAATCCACGGGTTATTTCGTCCACTACAGATAGAGAACCAAGCTTGGTAACAAGGAAGCTCAAATCTGCCATGAGTGCAAACACCGCTGTCATGTCCTGCTTCCACTTTTGACGGTTGCTCAGGTTGGACCGACCTAATGTTTCATCGTAAAAGCCAAATTTTCCATTATACTCTTGAAGTGACAGGCCATTGGAATCAAGACTGGCAGCAAAGCTAGCTACCAACGTGAGAGTATTGGCAAAACACATATCAGCCAAGTCATAAGCTGCCAGGTTGTATGGATCTCCAGGTTCCTCTTTGTCCAGAGGGCTGATACCCATGGCGCTAGACAGAGATCGGAAATAGGTATCGACAAAGGGTGCATACCGCCCACCTCTTTCAGCAGAGGCTCAAGGTCAGCCTCCATACTGCGTGCAAGCTCAAAGGACATGTTGGTGGCAACAGAGACGGCGGCAAGGTCTAGTCGACCCATCGTGTAGTCGGCCCAAAGCTTATTGATTTCATTTCGAAGCTGCCCATAATCGTCTAGCAGTGCGGTGACGGCAAATACAATATCCGCAATAGAGTTACTAGACTCTGCGATGTACTTGGTCTGTGATGGTGGGGGAGGCGGAACGTCGGGTGCGTTGTCAAACTTTTCAGAAGTCTGGTATACTTCTAGCGTGCTGAATAGATTACGAAACAGTCCTCCGGATGGCTCGCTTGCAGGTTTAGCCTTTGTACCAGTATCCTTCCACAGCGGCTGAAGAGTTTGCCTGACCTTCTCCAACACCTCTACAAAGTAGGAGTGGCTCTTCTCTGACTGGATGCTGACCTTGACGCCGTGTAAATTGAGCTTTTCGGCGAAGCTTTTGCGGACCATGATGACTCGATCGAGGGCTTTTGCAAAGTAGGGCGGGATGGCGACACCACTGCAGCTAGCTATATGCACAGCCATGGCTTCAAATTCCTTTGTCTTCACGATATGGGTCGTTCTCAGGGAGCTCTGTACTGGCACAGCTGCAATGGGAATATTGGTCTTAGCTTGTTTCCGGGCCTTTCCCTTGAGCCTGCCTCGTGTAGCTACAGGATTTGATGCTAATGAAACGGTGCCCGAGTGATAACCATGATTGTTAGCTGTGACGGCGAGCCACTCTGCGACGGTGTCTGTGTCGGATTTATACTGCTGGTAAATACCAGACAATGACGATGGCAGCATTGCGATCTATTTGACGGAATCTATTTTCCTGATCGGAGGTGGTTTTGTTACAGCTAGGATGCGTTCAATTGGTTGCGTGCAAACAACTGTGGCGGTGAGGTGGAAGCGGCCAAACACATTTGACGCGTGATTGCCTGAGGCTAAGTACCGAGAGACGGTTGTTTCTTTCACATTTCCAGTGTCATTTGAAAATTAAAATATGATTCTCGAGTAATTCTCCAGGAACTACCCGCGAGATATTGGCTGGATTGTATATATGGCCTTAAACCCAGCAAAGACGGCATGGGGTCCACGAAGCCCTACTCAAAGAGAGAGGCAACAAGGGTCAGGATTAACTTATCAATCGCCTTCCCCAAGCAAAGCAAGCTGCTGCCCAAGAAACTCAAATAGTACGCGAATTTAGGTATTAAGTTAGATAACAAGCGTAGGTGGGTACATGTACATCCACAAGTAGAAATTTTACCTTCTTCTATGGCGTATTTGGGGGGGCGGTGTGAAGAGTGAAAAACGCCATACTCACTAAGAGCCCCAGCTTGGCGTTTCATGGCGTAAGCTTTATCTTGCTGCCAACGATCTCTGACATGGCGCTATTAGTCAAATGAATCTTGGAAACATCTGTTTCAGGAAGGTCCCAAGACTCCAGACAAAGACTATTTACCTAGTCTTCAGGACTTGAAGTGGCCGCCCACGATGGCATGTGCCGAGATGTCTTTCGGCAGTCCCAGTTGCGACAATGCGCACAATAGACGCGTGTCGCCAAGACTCTCAAGAAGAGGAACCTTCTGTTCGAAGAAATTCTGGGATATGGCGTGCACTGCTCAGCTCTTGGCGACATACACAATAGGAAGTTGGCGAACCGATATTTACTTAATGGTATAGGGTAAACGATTTAGCAACCATTGTACCGATATCATGAACCTCGAGTAAGATGTCTATAAATACCAGGCATTCTCTCATTCTTCAATAGTTGCTCGTCATCATCACTACCATTATCTTTTCTTCTCTTTATACAAAATGGTCAACTTTAAGAATATTGCCTCTGCCCTCCTCGCTGCTCTGCCCCTCGGCTTAGCAGCTCCCGCCCCTGCCAGCAACAATGGCTACATCATCACTCTCAAGAAGGACATTGCTGCTACTGGTATTGAGTCCCACATTGAATGGGTCAACCATGTGCACGCCCGCAGCCTTGGTCGCCGCGACCTGAATCTTGCTGGTGTCGAGAAGACCTACAACGTGGGCAACTTCCACGGCTACGCTGGTGCCTTTGACGATGCCACCATTGCCGAGATCCGCAACAACCCCGATGTTGCTGCCGTGGAAGTAGACGGTGTCATCACCATGTTTGACTTGACCACTCAGTCAGGCGCAACCCACGGCCTGGGCACCATCTCCCACCGCGAGTCTGGCTCAACCCAGTACAACTATGACAGCAGTGCCGGAGAGGGCACATACGCTTACGTCGTTGACTCTGGCATCCGACTCGACCATGTGGAATTCAGTGGCCGCGCAACCAACGGATACAATGCCTACGGTGGTACCTTTACTGACCAGAACGGCCACGGTACCCATGTTGCTGGCACCATTGGATCCAACACATACGGTGTCGCCAAAAAGACCAATGTGATTGCCGTCAAGGTCTTTGGCTCCGGCTCTACCACCTCCAACAGCATCATCCTGGACGGCCTCCAATGGGCCATCAACGACATTGTCCAAAAGGGCCGCCAGACCCGCGCCGTCATCAACATGTCGCTCGGCGGTTCTGCCTCGACTGCCACCGATAACATGGTCAAGAGCGCGTTCGATAGCGGTGTCTTGTGTGTTGTCGCCGCCGGCAACGAGAACCAGAATGCAGGCAACATTTCTCCTGCTCGTTCACCCTACGCTCTGACTGTTGCTGCTGTCAACGCCCAGTGGACACGCTGGTTCTGGAACTCTCGACAGGCCAGCAACTACGGCTCTGTTGTAGACATTCACGCCCCTGGTGAGGAGGTTTTGTCATTGGCTATTTCGTCCAACACAGCTACCGTAAGCTTGACCGGCACTTCCATGGCCTCCCCACACGTTGCTGGTCTCGCTGTGTACTTGATGGCTTTGGAGAACCTGACTACTCCTACTGCTACTAAGAACCGCATCATTGCTCTTGGTACTAAGAACAAGGTGATCAACAATGTGTCTGGCACCGTTAACCTTCTCAGCTACAACGGTAACCAGTAATTGGAGGTACAAGTTTAGGTCGCCACCATGGTAAAATGTCAACGCTGAAAATAAATATGAAAGTCCATGTAGAGCGTAGTATACATAGATGCATATACACAGAAAATATTGAGAATATTCTTTGTTCTCTTTTCGAATTTGCTAATCTGTCAGTGCTCGTGAATGTCCTCACTATGTATCTCCACTCATTCTAAAACTTGGGCACGATTAAAGGTTAAAAATGTGATTTGACAGTACATACAACCCTTGTTATAGGAAAATTCGGGAGGCCACCCAGTTTTCGCCCACTGTTTGACTTCACCCAGATTTGGTGATCGCTTTGAGAAGTTCTCAGAGAACAGTTGCTATGATAAACCCATCAATGAAGGCATTGTCAACCACGCCCTCGAATCCTGATATGCGCGGCACAAGAGTCGCAATGACGCTTTCCTCGGCACCAACTCTAGCTACTAGCGTGCCCTCGCCAGTGCTGCCTCCATGGCCGTCGATGAGCTGCTGAACAACATTGTCGATGAGAATGCAGCCGCCCTTGCGCGTCAGCTTAAGAGCCCATTCAAAGTATTTGGTTTGATTCTCCCAGTCTGCATCGATAAACACCATGTCAAATTGTCTCTCCTTCTCGACGAGCTCGGGAAGGACTTTCAGGGCATCACCAAGGATGACGTGGGGGGTGAAACCAGCTGCACGCAAGTTGTCACTCGCTACAGCCTGGTGTTTTGGGTCAATCTCAATGCTCGTCACGGCAGCGCCAGTCTTAGCTAGCCAGATGGACGAGTAGCCGCCCAGCGCACCGAGCTCAAGGACCGTCTTGGCTCCCATGAGCCGTGCCTGGATGGCCAGGAACTGGCCTTGGAGCGGAGAGACGCTGATGGGGGGAATTCCGCTGGCCTCTGTGTTGGAGATGGCATGTTCTAAGTCCGGATCTTTACAGACGAGAGCCTTTTCAGCGCCCTGCTCAATGGAGGTGATGTGGGCAATCTTGGTAGAAAGAGGCATGCGAGCCATGGTTGCGAACGGAGTATAGGTAGGTGCAGGTTGGAAAGACAGAGTTTAGGATGAAGCTTGGGCAAAGTACAGAAGGACTCCTCTGACAGTGCAGTCGGTGCAGAGGTTCACAATGGGTTTGAAAGGAAGCAATCACAACTCAAACGGCTGGGGAGAGATGGGAGCGACCTTTTTATCCTTGCGTTGAACTCGTCATGGTCGTGGATACTGCAACGGTTAACACCCATCTATCCAATCCCACTTGTCGTCCAAGGAAGCATCGTTGAACCATTTTCCATGACAGCGTCCTCGGCTACCGAACGGACGCCGATGAGGGACTTGTTCCGTTCTGTACATGGTGATTATCAATCTACAGCGAGTCCGGATCATGGCGTCTGGAACTTTTTATCAGATCCTGACTCATGGGTTTGCGCTGAGCTTCTCTGGGATGTCGAAACGACATCACGCAATTGGTATCCATCGCGATGGCCGTGATGATTTTGTCTGTAGCTATCACAGTTCGACGGAATCATTGGCACCGGGAAACGTTGCGTAGCCTTGCAGCATAGGGCGGTGGCACACAATCGGATTGTAATCCGTTGGCTGAGATCGGCAGCTCTTCCCCAGACTTGGCAGGACATTGGCCGCATCGTAAACAATAAATGGAACAACCAATTTAGTCTCGCCATGTTTTCGGTCTCTTCCCGACTTGGTTTGGTTGCCTTCCAGATTTGGATAGCGTAGGCACTCTCCACTTATATGGTGTCTTCGCCTAACCCAGTAAACTAGACACCGTGGCGAGACGCTAAACAATCGTAAGATTGCAATACGAAGGGCGCAACACGGCACATACGTTCCCAAAAAAAAGGTGCTCACCTGTACAATGATGGCCTTATTAGTCCTGTAGGCCATGAGTCATGGCTACGCAATACCCTGATAGATGTTGGCCTGAAATTAAGATACAGGCGTAGAGGAAAGCGACATTCCGCAACCGAGAAAGCAGGAGATTAATACACAGCCCTAGTCATGATCAGATGGCGCTGACTAGTCCAGATGGAGAACTTGCACACGGTGAATCTTTCCCCGAAGCGCAGTTCTATGCGCGGATGGGGGACTCATCATTGCCAAAATAGGAAAGAGGGAAGAGGACTGGCACGCTGTGTTGACCTTCATCAAATGAGTTGCCCATGAAGAAAACAAAATATGCCATGAAGCGACACGGCAGTTGTCCGAACAGGTGCAGTCACACAGTCCGATAAACTATTTAAGAGCATCATTGTATCTCCTACGACATCTGGGGTCTCCAAGCCCATTGAACGCCTATTCTCTACCACCCAAAGAAATAGAACGAAATCATATCATGGCCTTCTTCCTGTCTATCTTCCTTGGCTCGCTGGCCGCTGCGTCACCGCTAGGTGCGCTTGTTGTCAAGCAATCTCTTCCGGGAGTTCCCGACGGATGGCATCGTCAAGCTTCTGCTCCAGCTGACCACGGGCTGGACCTCCATATTCGTCTTCGCGAGGAGAACCTTGACGTCTTGCAGCAGCGCCTCCTAGAAATCAGCGACCCCAAACACGCCAACTATGGCAAGCACTTGTCCAAAGGAGACGTCGATGCTCTGACGGCTCCCAAGAAGGACAACGTCGATTCCGTCACCAGCTGGCTCAAAGCAAACGGCCTCGATGTTGGCGAGGCCAAGAGCGGATATCTACAGGTCACCGTCAGTGTAGATCAGGCTAAGAAGCTGCTCAATGCAGACTATGCCGTCTACAAGCATGCAGCAACTGGTCGCGAGGTGGTTCGTACCACGAGCTACAGTTTGCCCCAGAACTTGCATGATGCCATCACCATGGTGCAGCCCTCAACCCTCTTTTCTACTATGGGTAGGAGCACCAAGGATTTCCTTGGCATCGAAAGATACGTAAAGGAAAATTCTGCTGGCGGCAGCTTCGTCGGTCCTGCATCTTGCGCTGACGGCGCTGATACGCAGTGCCTTCGGGACAACTACAACATCAAGGGGTACACGGCGGCATCCAACGCAACTATGCTAGGTATTGCCGGTTTCTTGGAGGAAGTGCCCAACCCTGCCGACCTCTCTCGGTATTTGACAAAGTTCGACCCTAACTTGCCATCCAACATCACGGTGCCGCTTGTCAGAATCAACAACGGATCAACCAGCCCCGGAGGTATGGGTGAGGCCGATCTGGACGTCCAGATTGCTGTTCCAATCACCTATCCTATCAAGACTACGTTCTACTCCACTGGTGGCCGCCCTCCCATTATTCATGACGGAATTAACGACAACGAGCCATACCTGGAAGCGTTGACGTACCTCAACGGTCTCGAGCACCCGCCGCAGACCTGGTCCATCTCGTACGGTGACAACGAGACCAGCATTCCCAGCGAGTATATGGACGCAGTGTGCTCTCAATTCTTGAAGCTTGGTGCCCGAGGCGTCAGCGTCTTGGTTTCGGCGGGTGACGATGGAGCTGGAACTGTCAACGGCTGCACGGGCTCTAAGGTCTACAGCTTTGACCCTGCGTTTCCAGCCTCCTGCCCTTGGGTCACCGTCGTCGGTGGCACCGCGTACTTTGGCGCTGCGGAGCAAGCTCACCCTTTGGGTGGCAGTGGATTCTCCAACCACTTTACTGCTCCGGCCTACCAAGAGGACGCTGTAAACGACTACATTGATAGTTTGAATGGTCAGTGGGAAGGCATCTACAAGCCAAACGGCCGTGCTTACCCTGACGTAGCTGCCCTGTTCGAGCCGTATCCTATTTTTTACAAAGGCAACCCCGATTCAAGCGGTGGCACCAGCGCGTCTGCGCCCACCGTCGCATCCGTAGTTGCGTTGCTCAACGATTACCTCGTCTCGAACGGCAGGGCTCCCCTTGGATTCCTTAACCCATGGTTGTACTCAATCGGCAAAGATGGCTTCACCGATATCAAGACGGGCTCAAGCAACGTTTGCGTTCGTCGTCATGTCAGGCCTACTCGCTACGGACAACCAGCTTTCCCTGCTACCGAAGGCTGGGATGCGGCGACTGGCTGGGGTGTTCCCAACTTTGGAAAGCTTTTGGAGTTAGTTAACGAGACACATTGATAAGAATAGGCCCGTCTATGGAGTGGAATAATGATCTAGGAAAGGTGCATATTATTTCTAAGCAAAACTATACTCAGATATCACACTATCATACAGGATTACATACATCTTGTTTGGAATTGTCTACCGCGCAGCACCAAACCCTAGTGGACCATCTTCTATATCTTACAGTGCATGAGGCAATCGTGTCCTCACAATGGCAAGACGGTAGTCAATATGGCTTCCCTTTGGCGATTTAGAACTGTCACTTCCATTTGCTCTTCTGTAGCACCTGGTTGGGCAACGACAAACTCATATGTATCCCATACGGCGTCGAGTTTCTCAACCAAGCCCTTAGCCAAGGCGCCATTATAGACCCCTTCCTGTGAGTTACACTGGCTCATAATTTCAACGCACTGCTGACGGATGTCGGGATCGCCACAGCGAAGCAGGATCTGGAATACGAGTGGCCCGATACCTACGTCGGTGTGAAAGATTGGCGTTCCCGGGCTCTCTGACTTCTTTTTAGCTTCTTGCACGGCCGTCTCCGCACACGAAAGCATTTCTCGATATGTTTCCGGCGTGCTCTGGAGCCAGCGTCCAACGATAGTACCATTGGTGTATGTTGCTGCCGACTCCATTGCGAGTACATGATACTGTAACGTAAGCAGTGCGATGCCACCCGCTTGATTTGAAAATGCGTTTCGTCGGGAGGATCGTGACCGATAGGGCTCAAAGGCTACCCACCACTGCCTCAGAGCCTCCAGTACGTCCGGCGCGAACTTGGTGGGCTCCGAAGGCATCGACGAGCTACATACCAGTCGCAGAACAATGTATGCTAATGCATCTCGTGCCTGCCCTAGTGATCTAAAGTGGCCTTTGGTGCTGATCATTTGTGACGGACTAATTGTAGGTATCAGCGCGTCGGGGATAGCGCGTTTCATTGGCACCGGGGTGTAAAAGAGCTGTGTAAAGCGGTCAGCAAATTACGTTGCCCTCAGTCATGAACGGTGTCGTCTTTCACCCTTTTGGATTTCTTACCCAAGATATCTGCGCAGACATGCGGATGAAGAAGGCAGCCAGATGATTAAGTAAACTGTCCCGGTCAATGATGGTGTTGCCGTGGACGACAGTGCTTTGCTTTGCCTCGCGGAGAAATGCACAACCACATCGGAGCAGTCTAATTACAGACTTGTGCTGTCCTCGAAGAATCTACAGGGTGAACTTGTTAATGAAAAGAGGACGCTTGGATGGAGGTGTGACAAGAAGGTGGGCTTACCTCGACGCAGATAAAGATGGCGCAGGACAGGAGAGATATCAGGACGACATCATGCCTACTTGACCGAACGCCTTCGATAGCCCTGTTATATAAGAGAAGGGTTGACTGTCGGTCGGTTGCGGAGCGCCGACCGGAAATGTAATCTTCATGACACAGAGACAGGACAGCCACAGCATCGCGCAAGCAGGGCTCAGCATGTACGATTTGCGGTATCCAGTACTCCCAGAGCTCATCGCTGACAAAGGTGCCGAGTTGCTGACGCGTGTTGCGTAGGTAGAATCGCAGGGCTTTGGATCGTTTCGTGTCCTCCAGGGCAGTTTCTGCTAAGCTCACGAGAGCATAGCCGTCGCATTGGAATTTGGCTAGCGTACCTAGACGAGGATAAGTAAGTATGTTGGTTATGAATAGTTTAGATTAATACACATCTAAAATACGCACATCTTTTGCAACGGGGCTTCTGCTGGTCACATTTGATTCGCCGAACTGCAGTTTGGGCCTCTCACGTTAGCGAACTAAACATACAAGCACTGCTTAATACAATATGGCCAAGGCGGGTGGGGCGTTCTTGGCTTAACCATCGAATACTAACTTCTAGAACGGCAATATGGAGTTAGTAGTTGGACGCAAATCACTTCGGGGCGCCTGGCGCGACATACTTGCATGTCCTGCATCCAGTGCGGACCTTAGGCGCGCTACGGCGTAAGCATTTCTGCGGCTGCATGGCGGCGCTTGACTTGAGAAGACAGAATCGACTAAGACGCCATCAATTAGGAGAAGGAAAAAAAGGTCGGGCAGGGGCTTTGGTTTGGATGTTCTGGCTGAGAGAGTGATCCGAAGCGGAGGCACCGGAATAGGCACAAGTGAGAGAGCCTCGCATGTGTTATGTCTTCATTTGGCACAAGCGATGGCACTAGTCAGTATAAATATGGAGAAAGTGGCAAGCGATTCCGATCCATTTATATTTTGCGACGCGGCCAATTATAAGAGCGCTGAGTCGTTACTTTGAAGCTAAGACGAAAATGGACAAAGGAATCCATTATAAGAATTTGCTCACGGAGACCGACCGGAGTTGTAAGTATTCAAATTCAATAGTAGCTTAAATAAAATATTTTGTTCTATCAATCCGGTAATTGATTGTAGAGATGCATCTCTCGTACTGAGGACTCCCACACCAACTACGAGCCAATAGCCGACAAGGCTTGCTGACGGCGGACGTCCTTGGATCCTTTGTTGTACCGCTAGCTTTGTAGACGGTCGGTTAACACGAAGGAAGTTTTAATATGTCTCGGGAATGGGCGATATATTTCGGCAAATGCAGCGACCGTACACCGGGGTGTAATCTGGAGACTCTCCCGATGTTTCTTTGTACAAGGCTACCTAGCCACACCTTCAATATCAGTAAAAGTTCCATCCACCCTGTGGTTGCTATCGCTTACAGGCTCCAGGGTTGGTGCTGCAACTATGGCGGCTTCCATAGCGCCATAAGGGCTCATAAAAGAGATTGCAGATGGGCGCTATGCCGGTGACGCCTCGTTCGGGCCCTCGGTAGAGCTAATACTACTATCTCCGTATTACAGCGACTTACATGAGTCTTTGCCCCAAGGTAATCTGGGTCATGCCATGGTACCAAGAGTATAACTGCCGCCGCTCTGAAACGCGGGGAGATTACCGCCATAGCAGCCTGCATAGAATCTTCGGAAATAGAAGCCACCGCTCTGGTTGTACGCAAGAACGGGAAGTCCGAATCCCCATGGGGCTAAAAAGCCGTCCCATATTTCCATTCATGGACACGTGCTTACCTGCCTAAACTAGTTCAGCGAACTTCTATATATTCACTCTTGTAACCGTGCCCGTGTTGTGATCCGTCCATTCTACATGTGGAGATGAGGTCGACAGATAGGCATAGCTCTTTAGGCGAGTCATGGATTAGGGAGTTGCCATAGTCTTACGGGGATGGTGATTACAATCTATTCCGCTCGCTCATTTGGAAAAGCCGATACTTGGTCATGTACAGGAACCAGGAAATAGCCGCGTTGGATACCCAGAAATGTATTTAGATCATACTTTTGTCCCTGCCACTGGAGTAGAACTACTACTACATTCACTTGTCTGCCCTTGATTGCCCCCCAATATCCCCAGTCAACCTTGAGGCTCACCAAGTCTCTGAATCTTTACATCATGAAGCAAGCGAAGCACTCTCTTGCTTTGGCTCTCGCCGGCTTCATTACCAGTGCTTCCACGTCTCCCACTGCTCCTGTCCCTGTTCCTGCCCCTTGCGCCCTGATTCGCGACGCCCAGGTTGCAGGCAACAAAACTGTCTCTGCCAAGCTCGCGTATGACTGCTTAACCTCTGTTCCTCTCGGAAAGAAGCAAGCTCTTGATCTGGTCGACTCGCTCGAGCCCTACCTTGAGTGGCAATCTGACCCTACCTACCTTGCCCACCCGCCGGCCTGGTACGAATACCCTGCGTATGACTTGTTCGAGGGTCTCAAAACTGTTCGCAAGAACCTCGTTGATAACAACTATGCCAACGAATATGCTTTCCATGCCGACCTTAACCTGAAGGTCTTCCTCCCCGCCCACGATGGCCACCTTGCCTATTTTTCTGACCTTTTGACCAACGGCACTAGATTTGGTCGTCCAGAAGGTCTCGTTTCCATCTCACTCAACGGGTCATCCATTCCCGTCATCATGCTTAAGGATGAGGCAATCAGCCAAGGCAATCAAGCTAGGGTTATTACCAAAATCAATGGCCTTGAAGCTCATACCTTCCTTGAGAACGAGGCAGCCATTGGCTGCGGCTCACAAGATGCGGATGCCTGCTACAACGAGCAGTTCTTCCAGCTCGCGCAGGCCGTCGCCCATACACCGCTCGGTAACCATGCCCGTGGCGGCCGCAGCTTGCTTGTCTACCAGGGGCCCAACACTACCTACACTTTTGCAGATGGTACCAACCATACCGTGGACAACATTGCCACCATTGTGGGCGATTTTACCTCGGTGAAAGATGGTAAATCCTTCTATGATACTTTTTGCACTCCTGCCCCTCCACCACAGAACAATGAAGCTCCAGGTGTTGCTGTTCACGGCGCCATCCCAGGGTACCCTACCCCAGTCCTCATGGCCTCAGACGGTGTTGTGGCTGGCTTCTACCTTGATGGCGCAGGATATGAAGATGTTGCTGTCATCACCCTTCTCTCGTTTGAGAGTCGCAGCTCGTACGAATTCCAAGCTGTTGTGCAAAGCTTTCTGGCCAAGGCCCGCGCTGACGGCAAGACCAAGCTCATTGTTGACTTCCAAGCCAACGGCGGTGGTAGCATCGTGCTTGGCTACGACTTTTTCAAACAGCTTTTCCCTGACATTGAGCCTGATGGCTACTCGCGCTGGCGCCTCAATGGCGGTTTCCTCGGCCTTGCACGCTCGCTCTCCAGCAACCCTTTCGCAGGCCAGCCTTGGTTCCGCTGGCAGGACGACCTAAACATTACCAATCTTCCCTTCACCAGCTTCAAGGATAAGTTCGGTCCCGTGGCAATTAACAACGACGCTTACACCAACATCATGCGCTGGGACCTCAACCACACTTCCCTCGGGCTTGAAGTCACTGGCTACGGCAACCGCATCGATTTTGTGTCGCCTTTCAAGGCACAAGACATCGTCCTTCTATACGACGGTTTCTGTGCATCGACCTGCACCCTGGCGTCTGAAATGTTGCGTATTCAAGGTGGTGTAAAGTCTATTGCCGTAGGAGGTCGTCCCAACACCAGAGGTATGCAGGGCGTTGGAGGTACCAAAGGTTCTCAAGCTCTCGATATCGCGGATATCTACAGCTTCACCAGCAGCACTGACGGCATCAACAAAGGAGATCGAAAGGAATTCGCCCGCTACACGCCCCTGGCTATGCAGCGTGCCCGCGGTGCAGGTCTCAATGCCCGCGACCAGATTCTTCGTGGCAACGTCGAGGATGGCTTGCCTGCCCAGTTTGTCTATGAAGAGGCTGACTGCCGCCTGTTCTGGACACAGGATATGCTCACCAACATGACTTCCATCTGGAAAGCAGCCGCCTCCGCTGCCTTCCACAACGGCCATTGCGTCGAGGGAGGCATTGTTTACCACAATGCTACTGCCAACACTACTGCTCCGGGTAGCTCCGTCAACAAGGCTAAATACACTATCCGCCCTGGCACCAACATCCTCGAGGGCACATTCCCCAATGATGATCGTACCCCCGAGTTCTTGGCTACTTATATTAACAAGATTATTATGTAGTATTGTTCATAATTTCTTTTTCAAGGTTTGAAGCTGTGTAGCTGTATTTATACAAAAGGCTTCTATAACAGATAGTGACAAATTTAAATACATAGTTTGCTGCAAGTACAGTTGGTTATAAACAATAAATCTATCTCCTACTGCTTATTCTTGAGCTGATAGATGCAGATATAAGTGCGCATTCAGTTACTTCAGCTATTTATTAATTTACTCATCTATTCTCTCTATTTTTTATTATATTTAATCATCTATGAGCGCACTGCACCTGGCCCTTCTGGTATCGTAATTGTGGTTTGTTACATTCCATCGTCGTCCTGTAGGTCAGGGAGGCCGCCGTCGCCTATTCACTTAACCATACCAGCCATTTACAGTGCTGAAATATATATAGGAAGTTTATATCATATGGCTATTATATAAGTATGTAGAAGGGAAATATTATCAGATCAGTCGTAGATATCTTCACTGTTTGGGAACTTCTGTCGCTCACGAGGATGGCATTCCACATCTCCAGATTATCGCTTTCAATAAAGCGAAAATAAAACATTTGAAATAACAGGACAGCAATAAACTTTGATATTTATATGGAAAACTAGAAAAATAATACTGGCAATATTTTGCTTCCAAAGACATGACGGCGATATTAGTGGCGATTGGTGTAAGCTTCTGAGGCCTGTGATCGGCTGACGGTCGAGCAGGCTAGGTGCCAACTTCTTTCCAACCAACTTTCATCAGAACTTATCAACAAGACAATATGGTAGACTTACCAGGAAATATCATTGATGGAATCATCGACCATCTCGATGAGCCACTGGCTGTGTATGCCGCCATCTCCACTTCGTGGCAGCAGTGCATCGAGCGCCGTACGTCAGTTTGATCCTTTACCACCATTGGAACGAAGTATGTGGAAGCTAACTGGACCACAATCTCACAGGCTGCTTATTACATTGCCCGTACTTGCGACTACGCTGCCGGACGAAAGAACTGCGATGGCGCCCCTGCCCCCATTGCCCCTCCCAAGGGTCTTCGTATGGTCGTTGGAGACCCGTACCTTCGGTGAGTCGGCACTCAGACAGGCGTTTTATCATGAGGGAATTAAACTGGAGTTTATAAGAAGAATAAGATAGATTGAAAACAGGCGGCTTGTGAATTAGGTCATCTACTACTCCCAGGTCTGCAAAACGAACTTGTGAAAAGGAAAGGAAAAAATATACAACAGAATGATATAATCACATAATCAACAAGGTCCGGGAAGCCATTCGAAAGAGCTCTGTGGTGTCGGATAGAAACCCTGCGGTAGAGGCGGTACGGGAGGCACCTCGTCTTCATCCCAGCTTTCACTGCCTGATTCCTCCAACTCACATACACCTTCACTAGTCAATGTAACTGACTCTCCGCTGCGTAAAAGCAATGCTTCTGTTGGCTTAACTGATGTTGTAGATCTTGTGCGGAAACCAGGCGAATGTGAGCGACGATGGTGATGAGTATCTGATAGACCACTTGCTGAGTCTACCATATCCTTGACGTCATCCACATCGTATTTAGTTCGCCGAGGAGATTTAAATGAGCTTAAGGTCTCCAGCGATGGCGATGGCTTGACTTTGTTCCAGAAATGCGTCCTGGATCACCAACACCGCCAGAAGCTTCTGAGCCATATTGAGTACGACAGTGAGCGACAAGCGCATAAGGAAGCTAGTGAGCCGACGTGAAGCCGCAGCCAACAACGCAGCCTTCACTGCCGCTGTCGCCAAGTTCTTCCCAGCTCAGGCGACGTTATCTCCGGATATCACCGCCCCTCTTGCTCTACGCTTTTCTCCTGAATCTCCCCGAAACCCAAGGATTGAGCGTGACTCGCCCGAGAAGCACGATGGTGACCAGATGTGGACCATCCGAGATATATACGGCCACCTACTTGAGTTCGACACGGCTCAAATAACGCTCCCTCTTCCTACGGTGCAACGTATTACTGCATTCGAAATTTGGTCAACAAGGAAAATTCACCCGTCATGTTATCCTCCTCTATTACTTGCAATGCCGAGTGTAGAAGAGCTAGAAATGATAGCATTCTTACCAAGGCGGAGACAGGTGGCTCTTCGACCCCCAATACGGTCAGCATTATTTAAGGCTGCTTGACGAATTGAAATGATTTTGCTAACAGTCACCCAGAGCGGCGCTAGGAGACGCGCTCAACTCCATCTCTCTGCTATCAGTAGCCAAGTTTACCCTTGATTTTCAAGAGGGCGACCCGTGGAACGAAGCATTTGAACCTGGGCTCCTGCTCGAGTCTCCAGATGCGCCAGATACTGTGAGCATGGGTCTTGCCAGAATCAGCCGCCTCCCCACGTTGCGAAAGATGCTAGTAGTCGGCGACCTGGCAATTACCCCTACCCATTTCCAACCTGTCGTGTCTAGCCAGGAACAAGACGTGCCAGGCCTACGGGAGTGTGAATTTTACATTGGCGCCGTTACGCCACAAGGCCAGTGGCTCTTCAGTAGGAGCACCAACGGACTGGGTTCGAACGAGGCTGGCGAACATGAATCTGAATTCACTGATGACGAAATGGTCGAGACGCCGCCGCCTTTTGACTCGGAAGATTCAGACACGTCCGACTTTGCACCCCACAAGGCCTGGGATAGAGAGAATGGCGAGATACCGTACATACAGTTTCGCTCGACGCCAGATTGGTCGCTTTTCTCACCACTAATCACTGCACTTACGCGCTGTGTTACGGATTACCCCGACCTCGAAACTTTTACGGTCCATATTGGCACAGTATCGAATATTACGGCGCCGGTATTGCGTATGACAGAGAGGACGAAAAATACAACGCCAATATGCACCTGCCACGATGGTATATATTCTTCCAAGAAGAACACAACTTGGGGTGGGAGATACCAACGGAGTGGCTAGATGCCTTGTACAGCACAGTAGAGAAGGGTTGCGTGTTGGTTCATAGCAAGAACAAAGATACGGTACTGTGAAGAGAAGAAATTCCTCCCATTTAGTACACAATGTTCCTCCTACTTGTTACAACGCCTATTTACAATGAATATGAAGACTTGAGCACGAGAATTGAGTCTATCTCATGTCCCAGCGCGTTGATCTTGTGGCGGCGAGTTAGACGAGGGCTAGTATCATAGTTCTGGGCGTCTTCCGTCGGCACCCATCTGTACCATTTGCGCCCACCAAAAGTAAAATTAGTATCCACACCGAAAACTTTCTATACGAAATGTATGAAATATCAATTGGGAACTATCTATCATACCCAGGGTGTCGTTGGTAAAAGGTCGCATTTTTTGTGTTTTCTTCAGCCTTGTTGCTCCTCGTTCGGGCTTTACCCACTCACATCGCGGAATGACACACTCTTCACCCACCTATTACCTAGAAGGTGAGTAATCTCCCGATAATAGATTTCTAGATTGTAGTTACCTGTAAATCCGACATACTACGTTGTAGGTGCGTAGATGGGGTCCGGTTGCAAACCCACCTTCAATACCCGATGGAGCTCAGACCACATGCGAGTCTAGAACACATCCTTGATACGACATCACGCATCGATTTACTTGGTCTTGCCATAGCTGGGTCACTGCTTATGGTATCAAATTTATCTGGCCAGTCTTCTTATCGCAGAGTTAGCTATCTCAGCATTGAGTGTCTCATTTGTATAAAGAGGGAGCGTAGGACGCTCAAATCCACTTCCATAAAACTGGAGAGTCGACCTACTTCGCAACATCTATAGAGCATAGGGCGCAATTATGTACGCTATTAAGCTATCAATCATCTTTGCCGCCACACTAGCCGCGTCTGCCATCGCCACGCCGTTGTCCGGCGGATCGAAGCTTGACATTGTCAAGACAACCGTCAACGCCAATGGCGATATCGTGGACTGGGTTGTGCGCGAGTCACAGGGCGACATCGCGGAGCCGCCTCCCTTGCACCTTCTCAGCCGCTCCGCTGAACATGAAGAGATCCTGAAGAAGCTCATCATTGGAGAACAAGGCCCACCAGGCGCCGTGCCACGCGTGCGTGCCCGCAACGGCTCGACTCCCATCGCGGCCGTACCCAAGCCGCACGTCGATGAAGCCAACAAGTCCATCATCAACGCGAGAGATGTCATGGCTGGCTTTGCTGCTACGGTCGAGCAGCGCGTTACTAACCGTGGCGGTTCCGCCAAGTTCAACCTTTGGAACCAGAACCTCGCCACGGCCCTGGATTCATCGTCGACGCTCGTTGCCGTCAGCCGCACATACTTTCCCGACAGCGGCCAAGTGCTTCAAAACATTCAAGCCGGAATCTTCGCAACCGCAAAGTATCCGCAGATGTTTGTCGCCTACACAACCAACACGTGGACCAAAAACGGCGACTACATTGGCTCCGTCAACACTGACTTCAAGGGATGGGTGCAGTACGACACGCTCGTGTACCCCAAGGTGAACTTTGACCCGTCATCATCGCTCGGTGGCACCCAGTACGAGCTCGAGATTGGCTTCCACTGGCACCAGGAGAATTGGTGGGTGCACGTCGCGGGCCGCTGGGTCGGTTACTACCCGGGCACGCTCTTCTCAAAGTACCCCGCGCAGTCGCCCCAGACGCTGACGTCAAGCGGCGATGTCATCAGCTACTACGGCTGGGTCTGGTCGTCAAGGACCGACCCCCGGTCCCAGATGGGCAGCGGCGAGAATCCCGACTGCGGCGACGTGGCCAAGGGTACCGTCGCGTACATCAAGAACCTCAGCTTCTTCGACCTCAACGGAAACCCAGCAGACCTTGCGCCAACCAACGTCTACGCAACAAACCCCAACTTCTACAATGTTTCGGTTTACATGGATCCCCCGGGCTACTGGGGTCGTCACATGTGGCTAGGTGGATCGGGAACGTTGCTGCGTATTCCCTACCCGTGCCCAACAGGTTCGCCAGCCAAGTGAGCCACCAATGGCTGGTGAAGCCAAGTCACAGGATGAATGGGCGACCTAAACCACTTTAGGTTAACAAACAAAGGCACAGCAGACTTGTATAACAGCGGGAATATTCTACAAATCATAAATTCACAGTCAAACGTGTATATATTACTACTTGATTTATACCAACTAGCCCTTTGAACACTACTACTCAATCTTGTTAACAGCAGTTTCTTACTAGATACTCTACTTTCGTAGAGCGTGTCTGGACCTCTAGTAATTATCTCTAGCGGCGGTACTGACTTGTCGCTATTGTCGCAGGGCATATCGTTGACCCAGATGCAATAACATCGTCTGCGAGTCTCGCGGTGAATTCGAGGCTGATCAGCCCACCACACCTTCATGGGAATGATGAATCGGTCGCTGATTGCTCTTGGCGACGACCGCGGAATGGATTTGGAGAGGCAATCGTACCGGGATATGGCGTGGATGCTAAACGGCCTTGATAATGACTTGGACGAGCGTTATGTTTCGCTAGCCTCGCTTGTTGTTTTACCACAGCGATCGTATAATATCGGTACGACTACTTCGCAGGCGCCACTAGTAAAAGCAGGCCAGCTTATGGCATTGGCATTCGTAAACACATCTTCAGCGTGGATGGAGGCTATCGAGAAATTGCATGAGACTGGAGCGATCGTAGGGTCATCTAGTAAGGAGTTGGAGGCATTGCACCAATCTTGGTTAAGTTTAATGGGTTTGGAGTTCTACAACGAGTGTAGAGTTGGGACATAGCAGTTTATTTATGACATGACTCAGTAGTGAGACGAATATATATATTTAAAGCCTTGGAATATCAAGGTTTGTAACCGCCTCCCGTCGAGCCAACCTTCTCACTTGTTTTAGTATTTCCTCTCTTTTAAGCCAATATTTTCTTCTTTTGAGACTAGAAGCCCAGGCACTCGCTCAGGTTGAACAGAAGGGTGCACCGCAAAGCAATAGCCTCTAGGGTGGCAAACATAGTGTTTTGAGCAGGATTTGTCTCACCCTGGCGGCCATCTCTAACGATAATCATGAAAAGCGCTCTTAGAGCATAATGGGCGTCATTGCCTGCTGCATGAAGACGGCCATGCTGAATATTGAATTTACCTAGCAAAGTCTCGAGTCCATAGCGATAATACAGCCCGAGTGGATGCTGTGCAGCCTTAGATGTATCAAGAATGTATACGGCGCGTTTGACCATGTTCAGGTCAACATTGTTCAAGAATTTAAGGTCTGAATTGGTTCCATGAGCAACAAGAATATATTTGCGACAGCCAATGATTTGAAAAACCGGGATGGAAAGCTATCGATGGTGATGAGCTCCGTGCCGTTGATGCGGAAGCGCCTCTCGGCTTTAATACAGGGTTTTATCTTTTGATTGATGAACTTGTAGGACCGAATAGCAGTTATAGGATCTTTGGATGGTGTGAGTAAAAACCGCGTGTCAAAAATTAAGACCCCAATATGGTAGCGGTGTCCTGGAGAGAGGACCTCGTACCCGCTACCGGTGTCGATATCGACCGACACAAACAAAAGATCCTTAATCTTTGTGCCTGGCAAGGTTTCCACATTATGTGATGCCTTGAAAGGATAGTTAATGCCATCTATAGAGCCATATCCGAATATTTGCCGCAGCGCGATGTTTTCTTCGCGTAGAATGCCGGTATGAGGTCCAGGAGTCGAAGCCATAATTTGATAGGATGATGCTGCATTAAGTAAACTACGTGTGAACAGACGGCTGTTGAGCCACCATTCTTTTTTAATAGTTTATACTTTAAATTACTGTTAAACCTTATAAATCAAGAAGGAAGAGTTTCGCTCAAAACTTTTGTGATGTACAAATTTTCTCACAAAGAAACTTTGCATATAGCTTTGACTGATTTTTGTGGCTCGGGCATGCGAGGGCTACCCAGGAGAACGATTGAACCTGCTTGATTTCAAATATATATCACGCACATACCATATTTACACCCTCTTGTGTATTGTTACATTAAGAGGTGGTCGAATGTATGCAAATAAGCCCTGCTGGTTCAGCCAGTCCTCACTTCCCTCTCCCAGCATGTAATCGTACTCAAAGAAAAATTGAGCCGTAAACAATCGCATCTCCATCCATGCGAGTTCCTTTCCGATACAGTCACGAGGACCTGTGCTGAACGGCCTAACAATTGCAAGGTTATCATCAGCAAATTTGTTGTCATAGAGTTCATGCGTCTTGGGAAGCCAGCGTTCAGGGCAAAATGCTTTTGGTTCAGCAAAGTATTTTGCGCTTTGGTTTGCCGCACGTGCAAATATGGTAACTTTCACCTGTAAAACGTTAGCAGATATATATCTTTAGCCCATAAAATTGACTCACGTTATCCGGAAGCGCTTCATCGTTGATGCGGACGTCCTTGGTATGACGCGGAGGAGTCTCGGGAACTGGTGTGTACAGACGCAGCGTCTCGTTAATACATGCAAGCATGTACGGCAGATTCCTTGTGCTTTCAATCGTCATAGCGCTTCGATCCGAGAACATGGACAGTTCACTCTGCAGCTTTTCCTTGGCAGCTGGATTCTTGTCCAAAAAGTAGATGAGGCCGGCCAAGGTGGTTGCTGTAGTTTCACTGCCGGCAAGGAGAATAGTAATGCACGACGTGGCAAATTCCAAGTTGGAGATGGCAGTAGGATCCGTATCTGAGATCGTAACGTCTGAGATTAAGGCATCGCCAGTTTCCGTGGATGCAGGATTCTCAAGTGCGCGGGTGATGGTGCTGTGGATGCCACCCATGAGCTGCCCTTCCTTCTTAAGCAGAGAACTTAAGCCAAGAAAGTTGATTATGCGAAGCAATGGTGGGAATTCGTAAAGCATTCTTCGGAATGCAGCGGCAAAGAAGTGGTCAGGCACGGACCCCGTCCACTCTTGATAGTCGCCGTTCTCTAAGCACCCCATGTGAGACCCGAGCACCAAGTGGACAATAATGTCAAAAGTCGACATGTTGAGCCACTTTCCAATATCAAACGCCTCACCTGAGCTCTCGCGCTTGGCAATCTGATCCATGAGTGCTGTCGTGTATCTCTCCACTACGTGGCCACGGCGCTTGAGAGAAGCTGCTGTGAATCCAGGAACGAGACTCTTTCTCAGGCGCCGATGCACCTCTGTCGGAGCGTTAATCATCGAGTTGGCGTCAAACTCGGCAAAGAAGCCCTTTTGCTTAAGACACTCAGGCTTGCTCCCCCGGCCAGAGCCGTAGATTGGCTCCCATCCCAAGCTGCCATCAATAGACAGATGATTGGGGCCGACGCGTACAATTGGGCCATATTTTTCATGCAGCCTTTCAACCTCTACCACGGAGAAATCACCGCGGATGCAGTTTCTGTACAGGAACGGTAGGTAGAACGCAGCATAGTGCCCTGGCCCGGGGTATTTACTGAGAGGATGGAGGTACAGGCGGTATACAACGACAGAGAGACCACCGAAAAGCTGTGCATTTACTCGTTAGCGCGGCAGGTATCAATCGAGTTAACAAGACGACATACTATGGCGACAGCAGCTGCCACACCTTGGTGCTCTGTAATCATAGCGCAGGCTAGCGGTTGGTGGTGCGGACTACAGATGGCTAGCGAGATGGTCGTGGTGGACGGGCGCTTGCGTGTAAAGGCCTTGCTGAGGGGGGAAATCGATTGAATTTGTAGAAAAGATGCAGCTTGAGGCTGCTGAGAGACTGTACGCCGGAGAGATTAACTCCTCACATCGCCCACTTTTGCGCTTCGACCTCGTAATCACTCGTTTTAATGCCTGTATTTTCTATATTCAGCGGAGGAGCACAGCAGTATTAGCTGCCTCTTGATTGGTCTTTGGAATGCGAGCTACGCCATAATTGGAGGCTTGCCCACTTCCCATCCAGCCGCATCTGCTGCCCTGAATCATGTTTTCCGAGCCGGTCGGACGAACCCGCCACGGCTGAGTTTATATAACTACGGTTTCGATCTTCAACTTTCTCGAAATTTCAACACATAGTGGGAGTGGTGTTTTCCCTCTTTTTGCCGTCTGATGGCCAATCCCACATACCCCGCCTTGCATGTCTGCGTTGTTGCATTGCTTGCCAAGCTAGCTCCTTAGCGGAGCATTAGCTTGCAGGTAGAGTCAGTCGGCGGTTCTGTTGCTGCACCGCAAGAAAGGGCCGAAGCTATATCTGGTCGGTGGAGCTATGGGCGTTGGCTTGGCAGACCGGTGATATTACGGCCGAAAGAGCGAAGCTATGGCTCAAGGAGGGTTACATTGGCCTGCTTGAGGACCTCGACAGGATGCAATCCGGCTCTTTGGCTGCATTGTAAGTGAGGGGTAGACAGCTATACAATGTTGTTCGGAGACAATGGGCAAGTATAAAGAGTGCGGAAATAGTTGGCATGGTCGCTAAGTGTAGTGATATTGTTTGTTATTAAACGCGAATTCGCTATACAAGGTGTGCTATACACTCTGTTGACGATACTCAACCATGGCTCTCCATCTTCTCAGCTTGGTAGCCACTGTATCAGCTGCAGCGCTTGCAAAGAACTCTCTCCCTTGTGACATTTACGAATTTGGTGAGACGCCCTGCGTTGCAGCACATAGCACTACTCGTGCCTTGTACGCAAACTATAGCGGCCCATTGTATCAGGTCGTTCGTGACTCGGATGGCTCTACCACCAACATCAACACCAAGTCTCGTGGAGGCATCGCCGACTCTGGTTGGCAAGATACTTGGTGTGCCGGTACAACTTGCGGTATCAGCATGATCTACGACCAGTCTCCTCGTGGAAACCATCTTAGCCGTGCTCCCCCAGGCGGCTTCAAGGGTCCCGAGCTCAATGGCACCGACAACATTGCCAGCGCAGTCGGCGCACCCGTTCTCTTAAACGGCAACAGGGTCTATGGCGTCTTTGTGTCCCCCGGAACCGGCTACCGCCGCGAAGATGTCAACGGAACAGCTGTTGGTGACGAACCGCAGGGCATCTACGCCGTATTTGACGGCGCTCACACCAACAACCAATGCTGCTTCGACTATGGCAATGCCGAAACCAACGCTCTGGATACAGGCAACGGCCACATGGAGACTATTTACTTTGGCGACATCAACGGCATGGGCAACGGGAAAGGCAACGGACCTTGGATCATGGCCGATCTGGAGAATGGCCTCTGGGCTGGCAGCAAGGAAGGCAATGACCCCGGTGTACCGTCTGTTCCATTTCGTTTCGTGACGGCTGTAGTCAAGGGCGAACCTAACCACTGGTCCATCCGTGGCGCTAATGCGGCCTCTGATCGCGCCATGTCTACGTATTTCGAGGGCGAGCGCCCCAAGAACGGCTACAACCCGATGAAACGTGAAGGTGCCATCATTCTGGGCATTGGTGGCGACAACAGTGATTGGTCACAGGGCACGTTCTATGAGGGCTGCATGACCGAGGGCTACCCCGATGATTCCATTGAAGACGCGGTCCAGGCCAACATTGCTTCCGCTGGCTATGACATTGCGCCGTTGATGGATGGACCCAAGGTCTCTGTTGGATCAACCATCTCGTTCCGCGCAGGCAGATCTGGAAACAACTACCTTGCGCATGATCCTCACGCCGGCAACATTAGCATCCACACTGTCACCGACGGAAACTCGGCCGACGAGAAGAAGGCCGCGAGCTGGCGAGTGCGCACGGGTCTTGGAAACGCTGGATGCTTGTCGTTTGAATCGGTTGACCGCGCTGGCACATTTATCAGACACTCTGGGTTTAAGTTACAGGCCGACAAGAATGACGGCACGAAGCTGTTCCGCGAAGATGCTACGTACTGTGCTGTGCAGGGATTCAGTGGTGAAGGAACCAACTCGTTCCGAAACTGGGGCTATGCGGCGCGCTATTTCCGGGTGTACAATGGGTTTGTGTACACAGCGAGCAATGGCGGCCCGCGTGAGTTTGATACAAAGGCCAACTGGAACAATGATGCGTCGTGGACTGTTGTTGACGGCTTTGCGAGCTAAACGTGTAGTTTTGTAACAGTTAGACGAATTAACATGACAGAAGGAACGAACTAGTAATTGAGAGCACACTGTCCAACTTCTGATACGACACTGCAGCATCGATTTCATCCTCTCGGGCGGCTGTCGTTCGCTTGAGAAACTGGTTTTGAAGGTTTCCAAAACGGATGCTCCTGAAATTAGACAGAAACTCTTCCATGACCTGAATTCTTCGGTCAGTCGCTTCCAAAGTCCGCTTGCGTCTGCCAGCCGCATATTTTCCAATCCAAATTGCCACAGCAGTCAACGCTAATGCTGTAAGCAATGGGCTGAGAAACGCCAATCCGATTTGCGTACAAAGCATGAAGGAGCCGACGGCGATGACAATAACGCTCACAAAGACTCGAGTTATAATGATGATGCCATTCCTTACAGCAGTACCATCTTTGGAGATGAGTACAATGGCCTTGCCACGTGCATCCACCCAGCCACATGACGGCGGTTGTGGTTGGAAAGAACGCAACGCGATCTGAACTGTGAGATAGGCTCGGACCCCCATGGCCCATTTGTTAAGAACAGCATACGTTTGGGATTGGAGAATGGCAAGTCCGAACTGCCTAGATTTCCATTTGAGTTAGAAGGGACGTAAATTCTTTTTTTTTTTTTTGATAGCGAAACTTACGCAAAAAACATTGCAAGAACAAGCCAGACACCTTTGGACACAGGGTTATCATTGTCAAGGCAGTCCACAATGGAGCTGACAATGAGAGGTTGAACAAGGGACAAGCCACTCAAAGCAGCAGCAAAGAGCGTCGAGATGATGATGGTACCAACGGACCTCCAAAAGAACTCCCGGTCTGTAAAAGGAGCCTCTCCTCTCTCGTTCAAACGATAGGACGCATCAGGGTGAAGAGAGATCCTCTTTAGCGTGTCCTCTGTTACGCCGACTTTCTTGGCGGCGGCAGCCAGTGGAATGACCCATGCAAGGCAGATTTTCGATAGTGTGCCGGCTGCCTCTTCATACAATTGGACTGTTCCGTCGCTACGGTCGGCCGACAACTCACGCGAGATCAAAATCTCCCACACAACGACAATGGTAACGGTAACCACGAGCACGCAGGTTTGCAAGGCTGCAAGCGCCATCACTGCAGCGATCTGATCATTCAAGGCAGCCACTCATAGTGAATGCACTCGGATACCGTCGAGGATGGCAGAAGCGATCAAATAACAGTCAGCGACGGTCCCAAACCCACGAACGGGGAGATCCAACCGACACCAACGCAGAGCGATGCAACAAGGAGCAAAGCATAGCTTGCTGGTGCTGCATCGGTTCGAAGGGTCCAATCGAGAGGAGTCTTGGCGTAGGCTGCGATAGAAGCGACATGGAGGAGAGCGAGAATGCCCGTGAGGGACTGGAATGGGGTCAGCCTTGCGACGCAGCGGCCATTCTGATTCGACTTACCGTCTCAAGAATTAACCTCGACGTTATATAAGCGCCTCACCTGTTTTCCAAGCTTTTTAAAGCAGCGCAACAGCAACGCTCAGCGCAATAATGCACGCAGCGGGCGCGATTCCAAAAATCGCATCCTGGAACAATAGCGCAAAATCGAGGCTGCCACTGGGAAGCGTGACCATTACCAGCTCTATAAACCTCCCATTTTTATGCTCCTTTTTCGCGTGTACCGGATGTGAAGAGCAGTAGTTTCGAGCTTCGCGACGGATACTCGTCAACGATTCATACGGACTGTGCAAAAACCGCAGCCTGACCAGATGAGGGTTGTTGGTTCAATATGCATCGGGGCAGGCTCCGCGCTAACCAATTGGGGCGCTTCGGCCGCGAGGGACGATTCGGCCTTCCCAGATGAGCGCTGCACGGCCGCTAATCCATCTGGACATGCGCGATTGGCCGGTGAGTTGCCATAGGGCGCTTGAGTGGCGCTAGACTATGCTGAGTTTGTCTCACTAGACTGAGGATCCACAGGTGCACCGAAGCCACTGGCTGAGTGGCTTTTGGGAGTCTGGGGGAAAACCTAGCCCGCTCTCTTCGTAGACACGAGTCGTGTGTGCAGGTCTGTCGTTGCGCAAAAGTCCCTTGCCTGGAAATGTCTTGCTATACTCAATGTAGTTGGGTGCAAATCGTTGGTTTGCCCATTTCAGGGTGGCAGGGCAGCTGTGGTTATGGGCTCCCGGATATAGCATCGATGTTTTGATTGCGTTGCAACGCGCGATCGCGGTGAAACGTGGGGTTTTCCGCCAAGCGATCTTCGCCAGGGAATAAGAACAACTGCGAAGATCATAGCCGTCAGAATAAAAGCATGGATCGGTATTCTAAATATCCCTTTTAACTATATTGCAACAATTGGTCTGAAAATGGTGCGTTCCTGCTGAAGTTGTTGGAGCACGAAGCAGAATGCAGACCGTTGGATACCACCACCCACTAGAGCGGACAACTCAGAAGTTTGGTACTGTATCATTGCGCCATGGACCAAAGTTGATAAATTCAACCGCGAAGAAGCGCTGGCGTAACTAGTAATTGTAGATCATACGGGATAGTGCTACTTGAAATTTCTAAACTGAAGAAATGGCACTGTAACGCTTGACAGCTGGCAAACGACACTCAAATCATGTGACAGAAGACAATAAGGACACCGCGCAATACAGCCAGCAGCAGAATATCTTCAGTATATATTGAAGGGGAGATTATTAAAAATTTGTTTTCGACGTATTAAGTAAGAAATCATGATTAAGAATATTATCTCGTCTCATCTAGCCATGCCCATGCGCTTTTATGGACAACGCCCAGCTCAACAGATGGTGCCGGGTAGCCCGGTAGCAGTCAGTTGAATGGCGGCGCACAACGAGAACAATTCCTCGGTTTTGTGCTGTGAATTGTAGCCGACAAGAATAATCAAAGAAGACGAAGGAATTAAATACAAAATGCGAATAGTTATGTAACAGTAGGTTTTTTTTTTTTTTTTTTTTTTTTTTTTTTTTTTGGTTCGCAAGGCATAAACTGGGCGTCAGGTTATACCCATTAGCATTTGGGCCTAGCAATATGCACAAATAATGCATGCCGTTTTTATGCAGCACAGGACTTGCCCACGTTTTTGCCCACGTTTTTGCTAGGGTCCCAAGTCAACACGGCATCACCATGAACGCTCCGTCAGTGGCCGCCATTCCCATCCTCCGCAGTTACCGATGAGGCAATAACATCATCAACTCGCTACGGGGCTGCTGGGAAGCCTCTTTTTCTCTGTCTCTGTTTTCTCAGTCATCTTGGTATCGTCCAATTCCACCAAGATGACCGTCACTGAGAGCGTCTGTATCGGCAATGCAAACCCCTGTACCAGGAGTAATTACTACGTGAATCCACTGACTGATTCAGGCTGGTGGATGGCTATTTAGAATTCTCCATCGAAGGTTGAATCGAACTACTAGAAAGAGACTAGCACCAACATTTCGAGCAACGATTTGCGGCGTCAACCCCTTTTGACCCCCTGCTGGCATTTCGTCTGGTGGGTACGGCTGTTGTATGGAGTAGAGCTGTCAGTAGCATTGCGATCTATTGTCAGTGCAACTTGCAGCAGCCCTGCTCAATATGGAACGCGGTCGGCAGATGTACAAGATGAAAGGACTACGGACCATCGCCAAGGGGGCCCAAGATGCTGGGGTCTGTAACGCAGACAGAGAGACTTTTCTGCATAGCGGCAGATGCGTCTATTCATCCAACAGGGCTATCGCGGAGCTGGTCATCTCCGGCTGCTTCCCATTCTAGTAGGTGAAAATGCCCCTGGCTGTTGATCTTCTTTTGTATATAAGCTGGTGATGGCTTTCGCCAATTGACAGGAAGCGTATCTTGAGCGCTCAAGGCATTCTTACACTCTTTTCATTTACCAGAATACTTTCTCCAATGCCTAGTCTTTCTCTTCGTACCGTCCTGGCGCTGGCCGCCATGGGCAGCGTGGCCGTCGCTGCGCCGCCTGGTGACTCTCTTTTGCACAAGCTGTTGGGAGAGCATGCGATTCTCGAGCAGGTTGTTGCGCCGTCTGCCTGGAAATTGGCGGGCAAGCCTCACCCCGAGTCTCCCATGAAGCTGCAAATTGCGCTGAAGCAAAGCGATATCACCGGCTTGCAGGCCAAGCTCAACGATATTGCAGACCACAACAGCCCCAACTACGGCAAGTGGTTGTCCAAGGGCGAAGTCGACGCTTTCACGGCCCCTGACGTAAAGGGTATCGAGGCCATCACGGGCTGGCTTAAGGCAGCTGGCATTGCTGACTCTGCAATTTCTCAACCATCAGCTGATTGGATGCATGTCGAGATTCCTGTTGGCAAGGCTGAAAAGCTCCTTCAAGCTAACTATGGCATGTACAACCACGACGATCATGAGGATAGCCTTATGCGCACGCTTGCATACGCCATTCCCGAGGGGCTCCACCAGCACATTGAAACCATCCAACCCACAACCAGCTTCCTCTACAACACTGCCAAACGACCAAGTGGCATTCAGCCCAAGCCCCAGCATGTTCGCCGCCGTGGCGGCATGAGCGACTGCGCCACTGCTGCCAGTCCCGATTGCGTTCGCCAGCTGTATAATGTTGACTTCAAGGGTCAGGGTCTTTCGTCTGGTGCCGTTGTTGTGTTCAACAGAGACACGGCCAGTACATCGGACCTGGCCAAGTACCTTAAGGAGTACGATCCCAAGGTCCCTTCGGGCACCAAGTATACTGAGGTCTTTATTGGTAATGCCACTACGAAACCCAAGCTTAACAACATGGAGCCCAACCTGGACACTCAAATGCTTGTCTCCCTGAGTTACCCCAATCCTGCCAGCATGATCCACGCTGGGCCCGACGACCGCCTAGATCGCTTCTTCGAAGACCTCCTGAGCCTGACGGACTACATCAACAACCACAGCAACCCTCCCCGTGTCGTGAGCATGTCGTACAGCGGAGATGAGCCCAAGCAAGCCCACCCTTACTATGAGCGTATCTGCAACGAGTTTAGCAAGGCCACTGCCCGTGGAGTCTCTTTCTTCATGTCTTCCGGTGACAACGGTGTCGGCCCCTCCAACAACCAGTGCACTACGTTCCGCCCTACGTTCCCGAGCGGCTGCCAGTACATCACCGTCGTGGGTGCCACTGGCATTACATCGGATGGAACTGGAGAGGTTGCAGCCAAGTTTGAGTTCATTGAGAATGGTACTAGCGGTGGTGGCTTTTCTAACCTTTTCCCTGCCCCTGACTTCCAATCAGCCAACACGTCGGCTTACATCTCCAACTATGTGCCGGCATCCTATGATGGCAAGTACAACAAGACTGGCCGCGGATACCCCGATGTCGCCATGCTCGGTAAGAACTTGAATATCATCTTCAAGGGTAAAGAATATCTAGCCGAAGGAACTTCTGCCTCTAGTCCCATCTTTGCGGCTTTGATTGCTCAGATTAATGACATGCGAGCGGCCAACAATAAAACTAGTCTCGGCTGGCTGAACCCTCGTTTATACACGGATGTAGCCGTTCGAGCAGCCATGAGGGACATTACCAGTGGCAACAACGCTAACTGCGACACCAACGGCTTCACCGCTGAGGCTGGTTGGGATCCTGTTACTGGTCTCGGAACATTTGACTTTGCTGCTTTGCGCAAGGCCTTTGCCTAGATTTTCCGTGGAGTCTGGTCTCCCTTTTCTTTCCCTTCGATTACAACCATTTTTAACCAACCCCCTTTTTTGTATATTGATTTTGCCATCCTACCATGATAGCATACTAATAGTATCAAGTACTTGTATTGACTCGGCTATGTTTTGCTGCTGTATCTACCGATGTCACTAGGCAGTTGAATGTCAGACTTTAGCTTGATCGGCAGTTGTGGAATCTGCCGCTGAAACTTTTCCGATCTATGGTTTCAATAGATGATGCTTGCTCGCTTAGGATATGCGGAAGGCATGCCATCTACCAGTGCTAAGATTGGCCAAGTCCGGATCAAGTCCGGATGATTTTCACTCGGTTAGAGTGTACCGGCAGCTGGTACTGAATGGGTGGCGTTGAACTAGCGCCCAACCACTCAGTCCTATTGCTAAGCATAATTGTCTTAAGCATAAACGGACGCTGCGGTTGAATTGGTTTGGCAAGGTGCTCTCAACAGTACTATATCCATAACAAGCCACGAATGGTGCAACAAAAGTTCACTGAGATTGCGCGGCGACGGCTGGCTGATCCAAATAATTTCGGGTTGGATGGACAGGCTCTGCCAGCCTTCTCAATGACAAAGAATGCCAAATATTGCGCGGTAATTACACACACTAAATGCCCTTGGAAGAATTGTCAGCAGCAACAGTATTGTCTCCTTCCTTGTTGAGATCATGATAAGCAATGCCAAAGGTGCCTATATTTCCGTATGGTAATGAATGTAACCCACACAGGACGGCAGATGATGGGTCAGCGCCCCCCTTTGCCACGGACGAGTTGGAAGCGTCGGCGTTATTCTCGCTCGACCGAGCGTATCTCTCAGCAATGAAGGATGCAAAAGGTTAATGTCACCACACGTGACAACTGCCGAGGCATTGTAATGCCAATGTGAGTGAAGCCAAAAGGTTGGTGATGCCACTATGGACGGGCCGTATGAGGAAGGTGAGGGGGCCGTCAAGATCACCAATCGCGCACATGGCAGCGGAAGTGCTGGAACCGGACTCCTCAGCTGTTGGAATACCCGGCATGGTGGGTGTCATTACCTGAGCGATTGCGTGGACTACAAGACGCCCATTTGCGGGGTATTGTCGCAATGTGCCGTAACCAGATGTAACGCCAGAGCATTCACGTATTGCGACCAGGCGCACGAAGATGGCCAAGGCCGCCATCTTTTCCAACGCAACAAATGCATTTTTTTCTTCATTAATTTCATCTTCAACTGTCAGATTTCCCCGCCATGTACGCTTGGCGATTTTCCGTCTTGGCTGGAAGGACGCCACAGCAGATCCAAGACATTCACTCGCGAACGCACATGGCTGGCCAAACAATGCTAGCGTGTCGGGGCCATGCCCACTTGTGGTATCGATTCCTGATCTAATTATGGCACCTGTCTCCATCGAACCCCACCCTGTCACAGAGAGATAACCGTATACTAACGAAGTGGGTGCCTGTAACTGGCTCCAATCCCCACGCTCTGGTCTGGCCGCTTGCCTGCCAACAGCAGCACCACCTCCTCCGCAACGATACCGACTCTTCAGAATGCTGCTTCTCTAACGCGTGACTGATACCCCAATAGCAGCCTGCCTGTTTGGGAATAGCGATGCTCCCCGCGGTCTTTGCTTTTACGTCACGCCATCCATCCCTGTTCCATACGTTTGCGGGGATGTTTACTCGGCTCTTCCCACGAAACCTAGCGTTTTTGATCCAAATAGGAAAGTTTCATCGAACCGGTCCTATGAACGTGAACGCAGATCATCCCCCAAGGTTTTCGGCGCAATAGAAGCATGTTCATGGCGGCGGATGTACACCGAACATGTGGGGGAGTCGAGGAGCTTGCCCGATAGTAGAGCAGACGTTGGGGCGTAAGCTTCGTTTGTAGAGACGGTGATGCTAAAGCAGCTTCTTATTACGGAAGTCCGGTAGCATTGGGTTATCTTGTCCTTCTGGATATAAAGAGGTCGACTGCTGCTCTCAAGTGGAGCTTTTTTGTTCTTCAGCAACCCAACTTCATCCAACAGTTTCATTATCCACATACAAGGCATCTATCGTCATCATGGTTGCCATCTCCAAGATCGTTTTCGTTGCCTCTGCCGCCGTCGGCGCCATGGCTGCCCCTGCTCAGGCTCAGTTCGGCTCTCTCGTTCAGTTCGAGAAGCTCTCTGCTGTTCCCACTGCCTGGGCCTCTGCTGGCAAGGCTGACGGTGCCACCGTCGTCAAGGCTCAGATTGGTATTAAGCAGAACAACATCAAGGGTCTACAGGAGAAGCTCATGGACATTGCCAACCCCGAGAGCCCCAACTACGGCAAGTGGCTCTCCAAGGAGGAGCTTGCCAAGTTCACTGCTCCCGCTGCTGCTGATGTCGATGCCGTCAAGGCTTGGCTCGCCGCCAACGGCATTACCCAGGTGTCCATGCCCACCAACGAGTACGTTTTCCATGTCTATTCTGCTATACCGCGCATTTCCATTGACTAACCTACTTTCACTAGTTGGATCGAGTTCAGCGCTCCCATCCACCAGCTCGAGTCCCTTCTTGACGCCAAGTACGAGATGTACACTCACTCTGAGACCGGCCACAAGGCTCCCCGCACCACTGCCTTCTCTATTCCCGAGCGCCTTCACTCCGTGATCGACGTTGTCACCCCCACCACCACCTTCTACAACAGCATCCGCCCCTACGTCCACAACTCTGTTGCTGCCAGCTCCAACACCCCCGCTGCCATCAAGTCCCAGTACAACGTTGACTACACCCCCGTTGGCAGCTCCCTCGTTGCCACCACCGGCTTCCTCGATGTCGGTGCCAACCACGACGACTTCAACAACTTTGTCGCCAGCTACTCTTCTGGTGCTCCCGACTTCCTTGACGTTGGTGTCAACGGCGGCCAGAACAGCGGCGACGGCAGCCAGCTGGAGGGTAACCTTGACACCCAGTACATGGGTGGTCTTGCCAACCCCCTCCAGAGCGAGTACCTCGCCCACGCCCCTACTGGTGCTGACCAGACCTCGTTCAACGACGCCATGCTGGCCTTGACCAACTACCTCCAGACCACCGACAAGGCCCCTACCGTTGTCTCCACCAGCTATGGTGGTGAGGAGAAGTACGTCTCCACCAACTACCTCGACCGTATCTGCAACGAGTTCGCCAAGGTCGGTTCGCTCGGTATCTCCGTCTTCTTCTCCTCCGGCGACTACGGTGTCGGTGGCAACGGCGAGTCCAGCTGCCGCTCCGGCTTCTTCCCTACCTGGCCCGCCTCGTGCCCCTACATCACCAGTGTTGGTGGCACCGACTTTGATGCCTCTGGCAACGAGGTCGTCGCCGACTTCTCCAAGTACAGCAGAGCCACTTCCCCCGGTGGTGGTTACTCTGGCCACTTCCCTGCCCCCGACTACAACAAGGCCGTCACCTCTGCCTACGCCAAGAGCCTTCCCGCCTCTACCCAGCAGAAGTTCAAGGCTACCGGCCGTGGTTACCCCGATATCTCTCTTGTCTCCGTCAAGTACCCCGTCATTCTCGGTTCTTCCACCAAGTCTGTTCTCGGCACGTCGGCTTCTTCCCCCGCCACCGCCGCCCTCATCGGTCTCATCAACGACTACCGCCAGTCCCAGGGCCAGCCCAACCTCGGCTTCCTCAACCCTCTTCTCTACTCTTCCAAGGTCAGCGCTGCCATCCGTGACGTTACCTCTGGCTCCAACAAGGGCTGTGACAGCACTGGTTTCCCCGCCAAGTCTGGCTGGGATGCCGCCTCTGGTCTCGGCTCTTTCGACTTTGCCAAGCTCCGCCAGCTTGCTTAAGTTTTTTCATGAAACAAACAAAGTAAATATTGCACATAGCAGCTAAATAAGTAAAATAGTAAAATACAAATTTCACGTTGATGAATTATTCTTCTCTTTCTTTCGTGATCCAGGTGTATTCAATTACTACCCTTGTAAACGATGTCATTCCTTAGCAGCGGTTGCAATAAGTTGTTCAACAATGGCAAACGCAAACTCCATCATTGTTTCCTTCCACAGCTGCTCGGCGATACGCTTCCCTTCCTCCGTGTACAGAATTGGCGCCATCGGCTTGATTCTTTGCATTGACAGATACTGCCCGTGAACGCGGTCATTATGATGATGCAGGGCTGCGTCAGTGATATGGCGCGCGCCCACATCAGAGGTATACCCCGACATCCGTATAATTGGCTTAACGATTCTTCCACCAGGGTCAAATCCATCTCACGATTAAACTGTGTATCGTGCACCATGCCTGGTGTGGCCCAGTTAATGACAGCAACAGAACTGGGCACGATGCTCGCCAGCTTCCGAATGAAGAATTGCCCAAGCAGTTTGGAAACCATCCTGCGGTCCGTTAGGGCAGTAGCGCTAGTCAGTGATCCTTTTACATCAAGGGCTGGGAGCAGCGGCACGTTGGATCGCTCGCTGAATGAAGTCCATGCGCAGACATCTGACAAAGTGAACGTGATGCGCGACGGGCCATTTTGGACCGCCCGTTTCGCTTTGGCAATCGGTAAAAGTAATGATGCCAATAACGCCGTAGACAGATAATTAATCTGTACTGTTACTTCATGGCCTGTGGTTGGGTTCGTTTCAAACTTGGTAGCGCACATGCCGGCATTCAAGACAATGTGATCCATACGGTCGAGCTCTTCGGCACGTTTGGCAAATGCAAAAGTGGACTCGTATGATGCGAGTTCCACCGGCCAACATTCTATTGTGGCTTTATGGCTACCGAGACTTTTGGTTAAATCGGCAATGGCGTTCGCAACTTTGGTTGCATCGCGAGTACCAACGATGAGTCTTTGTGATGCCGAGACCGAGAAACTGGCGCGCTACTTCGAGGACAATGCCGCAGTTGGCACCGACAATGAGGGCTGTTTTACCGGATAGATCGACATCGGTAACAGGTTGAGCAGTGAATTTGCGCTGACGGTCTAGAAAGCTAAGCCGTGTGCCTTCGTTTTCTGGCGATATGTGAAAGTCTAGTCGCGAGGGTACTGACATGGTGTGACTATGAAAGGGGAGGTGGTGGTTTGGTGTTCAGTGACTCCAAGTGCATTCACAGCACGGATATATTTAATATATATAAAGAATTATTCAAGTTATTCTTGGCATTTTTATTGATTGGACTGGACAACGTGCACCGTTGGATGGATGGCAAGTCATCGGAGTTTGGCGAGGCTGCGGAGAATGGGTGCGGACTGCGAGCCTCATTTACAAGAAGGCGCGGTAGGGCGCATGTATCTCAGTAAGTGCATAGACCATTTGAATTATATTGGTGGTGTATTTAAATTAGCGTGGTTTTGTATATCTGACGTTGTATTTGGTGGTGCTTGTTGCGCTCATGGCACATGTTAGTGACGGTGTGCTGAAGGAGAGCGCTAGCAGCTTGTCGGTATAAGTCGATGATCATTTTATATATATAGATAAAGTGTATATACATTCTACCGACTCTAGTGAATATATATACAGTTTTGTTCCGGCTAATCATCCCAAAAGCTTCTCCCACCATATGTATTGCCAACGTGCAATCTAGATGTGCCCTCTGCTTGAACTGAATTGGCAGAATTCCTGGTTTGCTCGTTTAGCGACCGAGCAGAGTCAAAATCACTTGACAGTTGATTGCCTATAAATACCCTAGCAGAATCTGTGGTGTTTAAAGCTCCTATAATTGTGTTGTGTACCTCATTTGATTGAATTGTCACTTCAATAGTCTGAGCCAGTATTATGTCGGTGGACTGGGCACATTCCGCCATAAGTTCCAGACTTGGCGCGTCATTCAAGCATTCAACTTCCTGCTTCGCGAGGTCCTGACGCTGTGATTCAACAGGAACCAGAGCCTCTAGGTCTTCCAAAAACTCTTTGGCCTGGTCAATGAGCCTTTCTAATTGTTTACCGTCGTAGAGCGCCCATCTCGCTTTCTTAGCAAGACTCGTTTTCTTTTGTCGCCTCTGCGTAATTTCACCAAGCTTGGTGTGCACAGATCGTACAACTGGACCCAAGTCACTATCTGTATAAAGTTGCAGTTGCTCTTCGGTCGCGTTGATTTCGTATCGTTTGCATGATTTCTGGATTGCTTGATAGAGAAATCCAATTTCCTCCAAGATGCTGCGAATCTGCTGCGCCAGCTTGTCGTCTGGTGGATATCTTGTGCCTTCGTTGATAGATGCCGCTTCCCCCCAGCGGCTTAGTCTCAATTTCAAAATATCGATTTTTAATTGGCATCGGCCAAATTCATCTCCAAAATGGCGAGCGAGTTGAATATATTCGAAAGAGTCGACGCAATTATTGAAAAGTGCTGCTAGGCTCACGGCACCTGCGACAACGCCAAAGATCTCCGCCATGAGCACAATAATGAAATACGCACTAAAGTTGAGAGTAAAAGTAGTTATACTATACTAGACTACGTACTCTATTACTTTGATTATTCTCAGCTGGCTTTAGTTGGTCAATAGTAGGTGAGAGATTACCCCTCTTCGCTACACGTGACAAGTGTGGTGCAATAAGAGTCGGCCCGGCGCGGTCTCTGACAGCCGAAACTTCGTTTTTCTCATTCTAAATACAGTGCTGCATTCCATTAGCGCACATTTTCAAAGAGATCAAACCAAGTTCTGCTCTCTTTGAAAGTTGTTAGCAAAACTTATAGTCTTTGTCTCTTTAACATCGTCACACTACTACCGACCTCTGCCAAGCAAGTGGAACTCTCTTATCATTGGAGGACAACTTTCGCTACATTACCATGTCGAAGTACGGGAAACCGAAGCGAGTTAACTCTTTACCTATATTTTATGATGTGTATGAACAAATACAAACGGATTCTCCGGTTAAAAACGAGCGGCATCTCGGGATAAAGGATGCTATTAAGAATATTGCTCTGGAGGATGAATTACGATTGCGTATGGGAGAAGGGTTCTGTCGCGAATACCTCTCTGGAGCAAATAATATTGTTGGTTCTTTCATTGCTGCTGGCAATTCCAAAACGCAAATTGGCCATAATTTTACCATCAACGAGTATAACGTTAACACGAAGACTATCGATCTTCTCAATAGCTGCTTGGAGGCTTTCAAGATACGTGGCGCAGTAGATGATAGCAAGGACAATTCAGATCTCCTTGAGGCTGAGCTCGAAGGACACAAACTTCTATTTGAGCGGTGGACTAAAGCAGTTGGCTTTACTGGAGGGACTTTGATGGCTCAACACCACCGCTACTTGGACGAACCCAAGATACTATCCACAGTACTTGCGATTCTAACAAAGCTTCATAAGCATATTAAAAATGAAGGGAACGCCGATTTAGTACGCGAAAGCTATACGATGGACGCTAGAAAGAGAATAAACAGAAGCACTGCATACCACTCACTTTTGGGAAGCTTAATTCAAATGCTCTATGAAATAGTCCCACCAGATATAGAAGCAGGCTACGGCAGGGAGGATGGGAGTAAGTATTATGTACATTGCTTATGGCACAATGGGCTTATTGAACGATAGATTACACAAAAGGCGAAAGCCACTCGACGGGGACGAACGAAGTTCAGGAGATTTTGGCTCGATTAGAAGAAAAGGCTTTGGGTAAGATACGAGGATTCTTGCTGAAGCTTTGCTGTTGCACGATAGCTAATCTTGTAAAGACGATGAGAGACAGAAGATAAGGGCATGGGTCCTTGGTCCAAACGCGGTAGATGGACCAGATCTGTCTATCTACGAACGCCAGCGCGTGGACAACACGTGCAATTGGATATTAAACGAGCCAAAGTTTCTTGAATGGGTGTCGCCTGATTTCATCGACAACAATTCGAAAGCAATGTGGCTGCGTGGGCCTGCTGGCTTTGGAAAAACGTTCGTTTGTGCAAGGATAGTCGCTCATCTTGCTTCCACTCTTGGAAAACCGCTTGGCTTTTTCTTTATGTCTTCTGGAATAGGCTCGAGTTGCGATCCTTTCAGAGCAATGCGCTGGTGGTTATCCCAAATACTTGACAATCGCTCTGTATTGACTATTTTTCGCAGCGAGTGGCTTCTACACCCGGAACCAGTGACAACTAGAGGAAGTGTTGTTCGCTTGTTTGAGCGAGTAGTCCGAGAAGTGCCGGGATGTACCTTCGTTTTGGATGGCCTTGATGAGTGTGTTGCGCTCGAGCCAAAGAGTCCACATGCATATTCTGAATTGGTATCTGAATTCCTATCAATCATCTGGAAAGCAGCAGCAAATACGAACACGCGCATCATGGTTGTGAGTCGAGATATGTCAGAAATTCGACGATCCATACCGGATACTGGGTTCAGATTTTTCGAACACAATTTAACAATCGAAGACAATCAACAAGACGTGGCTCTATATTCTATGAGCATTGTAAACAAAAGGCTTGGAAATAAAAGCACAACTCTCAGAGAGAATATTGCGAAGCGCATGGCTGATAGATGCGAAGGCCAGTTCCAATGGCTGTATTTGCAAAGCAAAACGCTAGAACGCTTACGTTCATTTAATGAACAACAATTGGAACAAAAGATCGGTAAAACACCAAAAGAATTGAGCAGCATTTATGAGAGTACATATGCTGTAATATCACGATCTGATGACTATGATAGATCTCGTGCAATAGCAATACTACGATGGGTAGCATTTGCGATCCGACCTCTATCCGTAAATGAGATCACTGCAGCCTTGCTTGTCGAAGAGGAAACTAAGGACTTTCCTGTCGAAGATTTGCCAGATGAAATTGATGAGTACTACGTGGATGATTTGATTATTGCCATATGTGGAGGGCTCATAGAATTACGCAAAAATCCCACCAGTAGTGAACTTGGGCTACAAACACTTCATCTGCCACACTTCTCCGTCAAGGAGTTTCTCTTACCAAAGCTCACCATGGAGGCGACATCAGTCGCCCTAAGTGCGAGTCCTTTGTTTTCCGCGGAATATGAGGCGAATACAAAACTCGCAATCTCGTGTCTACAATACATCAACTTTGACAATGTTTGGGTGGATGATGGTGTGGACGACAGTGATACTCGCTTACATGTACTACGATCATTCCAGGAATACGCATCAATATCTTGGCATCAGCATATGCAAAAGGGCGAATGTCATGAACCCAGCCTCACTAGACTTCTTCTCAATTTTTTTGGAGTTCATAACCGCAATTGGTGTGCATGGGTAAAAGCATTGCCCGATGATGACGGAATGCGCAGATTGGGTCGACTTCATTGCGTTTGCTATTTAAACCTGCCAGATGTAGCTGCTAATCTCATTCATCAAGCTCTTGATATAAATGAGACAACAATGTCTGGTAGTACTCCCCTTTTTATTGCATCGAGGGAAGGGTATATTGCTATTGTAAAGTTATTACTTGATAACGGAGCAGATGTTAGCAAAGAGAACAAGTATGGAAGAACGCCTCTCCATGAAGCTTCTGGTGAAGGGCATACGGATGTTGTAGAGCTTCTTCTCGGATATGGAGTATATGCCAAATATAGAGCATATATCAACAAAAAGGATAACTACGCCAGAACAGCACTATATTGTGCATCAGCTGAGGGACACGTCTCCACGATTGAAGTCCTGATCAATAAAGGAGCAGATATACATCATACTAATATTGATGGTATAGCGCCATTGCATGCGGCATCACAATACGGCTATATAGAAGTTGTGAAAGTATTGTTTAACAACGGCGCAGAGATCAACACTAGAGATTGCAAGAACAATACTCCACTACATGCTGCATCATTCGCCGGCCACCTGGAGATTGTCCGCTTTCTAGTCATACACAAAGCAACTATCTCTGCTGCAAATGAGACTGGAGTTACACCACTTCATAGAGCATCAGACAACGGGCATATAAAGGTTCTTAAAGTTCTACTGGAGAACGATGCAGACATCAATTCTACCAGTCGTAACGGAGAAACAGCATTATTTCGAGCCTGCCTTAAGGGAAACTTAGACATAGTCCGGGTTTTAATCGAGTACGGAGCAAGCACATCTCTCGCGAAGAAGAATGGACGGACGCCGCTTCATATAGCTTCAGAGCACGGTTATACTGAGGTTGCTAAAACGCTGCTTAACAACGGTGCCGCAGTTGATGCATTAGATCTCATTGGTTCTACTCCATTGCATGTGGCATCGGCTAACGGGCACCTGGCTGTAGTTGAACTCTTGATTAATAGTGGTGCAGACGCAAACATTACGGACAGAGATGGAGAGTCTCCTCTTGCATATGCAGTCACTGGCGAGCATTTTGAGATTGCGCAACGGCTATTCGATGGCTTTATCAACTGGAATACACTCGATACAAACGACCTACCGTTAATAAACTTGGCAGCATACATTGGCCATGTTGAAACTGTACACCGTTTCATTGATCTCGGTGGAGATATCTCTGCCACTGCTGTGAAGGACCACACACCTCTATTGTCCGCTTCTGCTGGTGGACATGTAGAGCTAGCTAGGCTATTGGTACAAAATTGCTCTCATATCGACGCTACGGGTGAAGATGGATGCACAGCACTATATTTAGCGTCGGAGCGTGGTAATGTCGAACTTGTCAAGATGCTACTGGAGAACAACGCAGATATCAATATCGCCCATAAAAACGGATTTTCAGTACTTCATGCTGCATGCAGGAACAGTTCTTTGGATGTTGTAAAGGTACTACTTGATTATGGCATTGATATTAACGTATCACATGATCTTATTGGCCGCGCATCACCTATTTTTGTCGCGTCGATGGCTGGTCACTGTGAGCTGATTCAATTGCTAATCGATAAGGGAGCCGATATATCTGCTATGGATAATGAAGGGAATGTACCATTACACTTTGCATCTTCTTTTCAGAAGGTAGAAGCTACAAGAGTGTTGCTTGACAATGGTGCTGAGATCCAGGCTACTAATGACGAGGGAGAAACAGCTCTACATCTCGCTTGTAAGGATGGACATTTGGATGTTGTGGAACTGCTTCTTAAAAATGGGGCTGATGTTAACGCTCTCGATAACCAGGGGCGAACTCCGTTGTTTCAAGCATCTGTCGAAGGTCATATCAATGTCACAGAAGTTCTACTCAATAATAGCGCAGATCCAAGCGTAAGGGACTCGGACGATCATACGTCGCTATACCCAGTATCCCCCCGCCGTTCTGCGAAGCCTAAAAAGCCTTTTCTTAAGACCGAAACAACTGTTGATGTTGCGGACAACTCCGGACTCGCACCACTACATGCAGCAGCCAGTGTTGGCCATTTGGAAGTTGTCAAGGTATTGATAAAACATGGAGCAAATATCAATTGTGAAACCAAGGATGGATGGAGCCCTCTTCATTGGTCTTGTTTTAGAAGGAAACCGCAAATTGTTGATCATCTTTTACAATGTGGCGCCGAGCCTTCATGTGTAGATATCGCCAATCGCTCACCGGTCTTTTTTGCAGCTGCCTGGGGCCATGGATCGCAAATGCTCGAAAGCCTACTATCATATGGAGCTGTATTTGATTCGAAAGACTGTTATGGAGCTACTCCTTTACTTGCTTCTGTCCGAAAGAACAATATAGAGACTGTACGATGTCTCTTATCTACGAAGCGAGTCAGCCTTGATGTGGTTGATAAATCAGGTCGATCGTTGAGCTGGTGGGCATCACACAATCGTAACCAAGAAATCATGGATATGTTGATAAAGCATGGTGTATCTTGTCAAGCAATATCTCCGGATATGACGAGAGATACAACAATAATCACTAAGAAGGCGCCGAAATATTGCGATGCGTGTTGGCAAGGTATTTATGTATGCCACAGGTCTTATTATTGTGATATTTGCAGTGGCGGAACTTTTGAATTATGTTATGAGTGTTTTAGTTGTGGTCTAGGATGTTTCAAAGAGACTCATCAATTAAAGTAGAGCAAAGTTATAAAATTATACTATCCAGTTATTTATATTTCTACTGGAAGGTTTACATTATAAACGTCTATAGCTTATAATCTAGTAGAATAATATTTTTATTTAAAACAACAGACTTATATTATTCTAAATCACTGCTTATGAAAGAGTATTCAAACACCCAGAAATTTCTCTCTACTCCCATTGGACATGTGTAGCTTTATTTTGCCGTTCGCCGTTACCTACTGGCTATACTTCAAAGGAGACTGCTACTAGTTACAGCACGTAAGAGATTAGGATCAATCTTCTATCATTTAGTCGTGCGAGTCGCAATATGACCAGTCATATTGCATGGCAAGCGGGTTGCACCATCCGGGCCGCTCCTTGCCATACGCGGCTCACTACAGGCCGCACGACGGGCTATGGGAATCTGCCAATACGTCACCTTTGTATCAGTAATGTCTGAATTTCCATGTTTTCGTCCCGTCTTCTTGCGGGATACGCCTCTTCTGCATACTGCAGGTGACACGCTGCCCATCGCTCGCGTCCAATGGAATGCTGTGTGACATGCATGGGCTACTGCAGCGCTGCTGTTTAGAGCCTTGTCTCACTGAAAAGATACCGTTTATAGAAAATGGGGATTTTTCGTATTGTGCAATCATATTTCTAGCCCCTGTGGCTGCTCTTAAGCTCCTGGTACGCTTTTACTGTCGCTCCAAGCTTGAATTTTTCGGCCTTGGAAGTAAACAGCTGGTGACTATGTCTATTACTGGTGAGGAAAAGTTTTTTCATTCATTTGCTGTATAAAAACATAATAACTCGGTTTGTTAACGTGCAGTAGACGAGAAACCTGCGGTGGACAATGACTCTGCCGTCTCCTTCAGAGCGCAGCAGCAGGCACGTCTCCTCCGTAAAATAGACTGGTATCTGCTGCCTATGCTTTTTATCATGTATTTATTCGCCTATATTGATCGATCAGTCAACCGGATTTTCTTTTTTATTCACTTCTAATTTTTACTTAGTGCCAACATTGGCAATGTCCTGACACTAGGGATCCAAGAAGAATTGTCTCTCCATAGCAAACGCTCCAGCCTTGCCCTGCTCATCTTTTTCTTTCCATACTTCTTCTTGGAATTTCCCTCTAACCTAACGTTGAAGAAATTCACTCCTCATGTCTGGTTTACTGTTTGCTTGACGGGCTTTGGCTTGGCCATGGTCTGCCAGGACTTGGTTACCAACTACGCCGGGCTGCTTACCACCCGCTTTTTCCTTGGCGTCTTTGAGGCTTCCATGTTTCCTGGTAGCATGTACCTGATTAGTGTCTGGTACAGCCGAGACCAAATACAGAGCCGATTTGCCATCTTCTCCGCATTCATCATGTTGGCTTCTGCCGGTAGCGGGCTACTTGCATTGGGTATCGCCAAAATGGACGGCATCGGTGGCAAAGCTAGCTGGCGATGGGTCTTCATTCTAGAAGGTATTGTGATGCTTTTTGTTGGTGTCGCCGCGTTTTTCGTTGTCTGCGACTTTCCTGACCAGGCGAAGTGGTTGACAGAGAGCGAACGAGCCTTTCTCCAGACCCATCCCAAGACGGAGGAAAAGGCCAAGGACACAATTATTTTCCGTGATTTGGTTGATTTGTTCAAGAAACCGCACAATTATTTTATGGGATTTGCAAATTGCGGTAAGCAGCTTCTAGCTCTCTAGACTTGCGGCTTCGTCGCTAACACCCGTCCCGGTAGCCATGATTACCCAAGGATATGCTTTTGCCTACTATACTCCATCTGCCATCAAAACCTTTGGATACAGTACTATTCAGATCCAACTGCATTCCGTGCCTCCATATGCAGCCGCGTTTGTTTATACAATGACTGTTTCCCTGCTTGTTGACAGAACTGGCATCCGCTTTCCTTACGTCTTGGTCTCGTCATTGTTGGCCCTTACAGGACCAATCATCTTTTTAACAGTACACGATAATCTCACTTTGTGATATTTTGCCGTCTGCATTGTCATTATTGGACTTCAATCCATGCTTTGTGTCAGTATAGGTTGGTATCTGACCAATTTGAACGGGCGCAAGGAGCCTGCCATCGGATCGGGTTACCTTGGATCCATGGGCAACTTGGGCGGCTTCTTTGCCCCTTTTATCTTTTCGTCCGATACCAAGACCCAATACCGACCCGGATTTATTGTCTGTCTCACCATGTCTGTTGTGGGGCTTACTGGAGTGACGCTCTATGGATTCATGATGCTGCGCAAGAGGCGAAGGCTGCTAAGGAATGGTGAAATAGGCACCTAGTTGCCGTCCCTCTAATTGACAGAGGACAAATTTATTCCCTTTTTACACTCTAAAGAAGACTGAAATTTACTGCCTCACTTAAAATTTAAATTGAATAGCTGTATAATCATAGATAGACTAGGTTGTAACAGTACCTACTGGTGTGAAAATTGGATCCTTTGGTTTCTCATCTTCCTACTCCGTATACTGACTCTACACTGCCAGTCTATCGAGTCCTGTTATAGAACCATCCGCGTACAGTTCTCTCCATCTAAAGATTTACTCTTCCACTGGCGCTACCTTCAGTCTTTCAGCCCACCTTGCCATCATATCTTCAATCGCATCATCCTCTAGCTTTTCCATGGCATCAGCGTAATACTTGGCGGTTCCTTTAAACATGTCCAACCACGATACAAGTTCGCATCTGGAGACAAGTACATCATTTTAAAATAGTCTTTTCGCTTTACGGCGGGGACATTTCCATGGGCAGCCAAAAATTCGTGACGGGACTGAAAAATGATTTCCATGGCCTCCAGCAACACCTCCTGGGTCGGTGTACGAGGTGCTAAATCTGCCAGCTTTTCCTTGAGTAGCAAATAAAATGAGAGATGTTGACTTAACGTATGGTCGAACTATATGAGTATAAACCGTCTATCCCCAGATACCCTACAGACTATAGACTGCTTTTTTGCGACGATTCGTGCTACAGTTCAGAGAGTTATAGGCATTTATAATGATGTATATTAAAGATCTATTAATTTCGAATTAATAGGGGTTGATATAAAATAATATTGACTAGGCTACTTAACGATAAGTGCGATAAACTCTGACGAGACACGTTTTATTTCTCTAATTCTAGCCAGCCTAATTATGCAAGCGACAGCTTCTTCATCCCAGTAACAGGATCCTCAGAAGCATCAACACAAATCAGCTCAGTATTCTCCAGTGTGCGGCTATCATCACGTCCTAGCATCAGCACATTTGTTGGCTTCTCGTCCTTCTTGAGAGATCGCCACTGCCACGCCTTGACCAACGCGCGATCCATGTCCTTTTGCTCAAGAACATCAGCGACCCATTTGCCCAAGTTCGGGAGGAACTTGAAGGCATGGCCACTACCGCCAGTAGCGCACATGACAGCATCCAGGCCTGGAACTCTGTCAATCACGTAGTGGTTGTCATATGAATCCGTGTACCAGCACAGTCTGCTCATCCAGATGTCAATGCCTGCCGCACCGAGATCCGGCATATAGTTGTCGACAAATCGCTTGATGACTTGATGGGCCTTGACTGGGAGATCGATAATGGCCTCATCTACGGACCAACGGGTGCGGGGGACACTGCGGTCTTTGCCGTCGGCTTGCTTAACGGGGTTGGTGTACTTGATTCCACGGTATCCAATCTTCATAACACCATTGTGGTCGACCGGGAAGCCGTACAGGCCGCCGTCTGCTCCTTCGCGCTGCTTGAACATCCATGCAGGGAAGTTTGCATATGAGTATTTCGTGCGCAGGGGAGAGTCAGCAGGAATCCTGAAGAGGGCGACGCTGCCTGCTGTTGTTTCGCAGAGGCCGTCCATCTCGGGGACCAGAGACGGTGTCCAGCCACCACAGGCCATGATGACTGTAGCAGCCTCGTGTGTCTTGCCATCGGCTGTCTTGATACCACAGACGACCTTTCCGTCGCCTTCTTTATAGACGAAAGACGAAAAGGCGCCTGCAATGGGATCGAGGACAAACTTGGCTCCGGCCTGCTTGGCCTTGTAGAGAGCCAGGAGACAGGCTTTGTCGGCGGCAATGACACCACCAGTAGTATCCATTATACCGGTAGCCTCTTTGGCAAAGGGCGCTAGACTGTGTGAAATACCACGCTTCTTTGCCTCGGCAAGATCGTCAGCGTCGATGGTGGTGAGGACGGATGGCGGTTGGCCTGGGATGTTGGCGTTGGCAGCAGAGGCCTTTTCGAAGTCGGTCAACTCTGTGCGATCGGAGCACATCAACACGCCATTGTTCATCCAGACTTTGTCATCCTTTGTGAGACCGTTGGCCTTATCCTCGTCAATAGTATTGAGGTCTTCGTTCCATTCGTTCCACATGACCAGAGCCTCGGTGCTCAGGTCAGAGTACTCTTTTTGCCCGCCATAGGCAGAGCGAATAATTTTCGAGGCATCTGCATGATGGGAAGTGACCAATATTAGCAGATGTATTCACACAACTACAGGAACATATTGTACAGCTGCTCTGTAGACTGGTTGGTGGCAGCCAGGGTTAGGGTTGGTACTGACCAGCAGAGGCAGCATCGCAGCCTTCATAGTACGAATAGTGCGACTTTTCGTATGGCTGCTTGTCAAAGACTGTCACATTTTCATAACCACGCTGGGCAAGGTGCAGGGCGGTGCTCAGGCCAAACGCGCCTGCACCAACCACTACGATTGGCTGGTTCTTTGCTGGTGTGTGTGGCGACATGGTGGAATGCAGGCAGGGGGGGGCGAAAGGATCAATGCGAGAAAGGGACCTAGGCTTCCGTCAAAAGAAGCATAGAAAAGAGTCTACAGTTAAACTATTGATACATGCTTCCGTATAGGTTCCCATATGCCTAAATGCCGTCATTCGCAGTGCGCAACCCGTACGGCCACATGTGCTAATACGCAAGTAATGTCCATTGTACCATGATGCCACTCTGAGGATCAAGCTCGGGAATCTGGGCCGAGCCACGAGGAGGAGAGTAAGCGTGCATGGAAGTCTACGGGGCTTGCCGAAAGTAGATGAGAGCGCCGTTGAGCAAGTTTCCCCACCATCCGGGTTCTCGCCGCAGCCTTATTTTGATTATCTGATAATTTTTCTCGGATGCTCGGCCACGCTAGGGCGTTCATCGCAACCAATGGATGGGAGGCTCTTTGTTGGAAAGGGGCCATGAAGGTTAAGTTTAGACCAAACGAGGCTGGCATATATGGATAGTCGGCTTAGATTAGCTTTGAATTTATTGGTTCGTGCAGGTAGAATAATGGAAAAGACTGATCAATTCTTTTCATTGAACTTTATTTTCGTTTTTATTAATTTAATTTTTTTCACATCTATGCGCGCGCAAACCCACTGGCGCCACCACCGTCAAGCACCAACTCCGTCCAAAGAGCCACTGATCCGCCGCTAGTCACATTCCCATGTGTTAAACCCGGCCGAAGCCTTTCCTGAAAGAGAAGCTCGGTGGCCATTTCGTGTGAACGAAGCCTGCGGACCACCTCTCAGCTGAGGCGCGTTAAGTGCCCAGCCGGATCAGACGGCAGACACAATCGGGCATGTAGAGTGTTGATTGCGCGTGGAATGTCCAGGGATTGAATCACGCACGAGATACAGCGGTGACCCGGCTCTGCATGCTGTTAGCAATTAAAATAAACAAAGCTGCAGCTTGGACACAATAGCGCGGACCGGTGCCGCCGCGAGCTGAGATGCAAAACTTACGCTGTGAAATCATCTTGAAATGGATATTCTCTTCGCTGAGAATAGACAGCATCTGACTTGTAACTTGGGACATGCTGCCGGCCCGGGTGCCAATTAGCGTGATGATGGCGGAGTCCTGGAGGACCGTGAGCTGGCCGTGGACTGAAAGCTGCTCCTTTGCGCGCCCAAAGGATGCCAACTGACTCTCGTTGAGGCACAGCGCCATGTTGACTTCACCGGCACTCGTGGAAATAGATGAGATGTTGATGGAGTGCTTGTCGAGCACACCGAGTACGCTGTTAAGCAGACGGATAGGCGAGGCGTGCCCATCGCATTGCAGGCTGAGCGCGCAAATATGGTCTTTGACAGTGATTGCCGCACAGCAGCCCCCGCCAACATGTTCATCGCGGCATGGTGTGCATGTGCCAGAAGGGTGATAGTCACTGTCACTATCGTCGCCTTCCACATCGGGTATAATGACAGTTCCTAGGTGATCTGGATCCGTGACATTCTTGATCCGTAGCAGAATTGGCAGTCTCGACTTGATAAGCTGTTGAATGGCCGCAGCATGAACAACTTCTGCACCATTCAGTGTGAGGGCAGCAACATCGCCCAGTGTCATGCACTCTATAGGCTGCGCACCAGGCACCTTGAACGGATCCGCCGTGAGAATGCCGTCCACCTCTTTCCAAATCTGCAGCTCGTCTGCTCCAAGGCTTATAGCACACAGGGTCGCGCACAAATCTGTATACCCGCGCCCAACCTCGCCGTCTAGCAACGACGTCGGCGTCTGCCCAAAGAAGCCTGTGATGACAGGCACGCGGTCACCGCACTTGACTAGGCGAGCAGCAATCGCCGCTGTAAGCTTTGCAAAGAACTTGTCGTCGACCTGGCTTGCCGTCTGCGCCACAGCACTCGACAAATCGACGTATTCGGTATCAACCCCCTGTGGACATAGTTAGCATGGTGGCGCGAAAACTGGGCATGGGAGCCCCCGGGCTGTGGTCTTACTGCATCCTCCAGGACGCCGCACATGAGCAGACATCCCAACTTTTCTCCGACGCTGATGATCTGGTCCTTGACTCGTACGTCGCTGTAGTGGTTGGTAGCAAGGGCATCCGCCAGAGAAGCTAGTGTTTTCTGCGTCTCGAAGCGCAGACGGTCAGCTAGAGACCGACGAATGGCAGGGTTGCGAATAAAGCGGCTTGCAGCAACTAAGTGGTCTTCAACTAGTGCACCCAGGCGTTTGTTTGTCGCGCCAAGGATGATGCTCCGGTCGTGGCATGCAATGCGAGCCTCGTTGAATGTGGTGTACAGCTGGAGGAGCCTGCAGGGGGTAATTTAGTTAGCTGCGTCTGCAAATGCGCTATAAGAAAACCTTGCATGCAAAATAAACAAATATTTATGTATATGACAAGGTTATTTTTTGGGTTAAAGCAATGCAAGCAGACGTACTGTGTGGTGGTCCCTTCGGCCTTGGATGCCGCGCTGCATGCTGAGCACACGACTGCTACTCGGTTCCTCTGTAGTGATATCCTAAATGTAAGAAAGGCAGAAACATGTTAGCAAGATTGGCGCTTGTCCGAAACGTTCGAAAAGTGTGAAATCATGTATTAGAGTCGTGTCTTATCGTACCGGATGATGTCGTTTGCAATCTGTTTTTAGAGTCCAATCCGTCAGTACGCATAGACAATGTTTTTGAAGCTACAAAACATACCTTGGATGCATATTTGCCTATGCTGGTGCCGCCGTATTTCTGAACAACCCAAGGAACAGCAGAACCAGCATCGAGATGCCTATTGCTGAGGCGTTGCGGGATCGTCATGATGGATTGATCGAATCTTCTGGTCAAGTAAATCGTATTGTGTCTTTTTTACTGTTTGTGTTTACTTGTACCTACGCCCTATTCACATACGGGACCGGCATCTACCGAATCATTCTATATACCACTACTACCACAAGCTAGACGCGCACTCGGTGCACGGCGTATCAGCACCTGCGCCTATCGTATGTTACCGAATTACTCTCCTTCCAGAACCATATCAATTCGGCACAGAACCAAGTCCACAAGACGTAATATCACAGGGGCCACGCTGCTGGGCTTACTTACATCACCTGTTGTTGCCCTCGGACCTTGCCCTAGACAGGTTCGAGATAGATGGCGCCAGACTAGTGGAATTTTTTAAAAAAAGAAAATTATTATCTTTTTTTTTCTCGTCTAGCGCCTCCTGTACCCATAATCAGCTCGGCAAGAACTTGCCGGTCCCGTAAACGGCCCGTGGCCATCAAGGTTGGCTGCTGGGTCCCTGAGCATCGACGCGATTCCTATTCCGTATATAGGCTACGACCCTACATTTTGCAGCGTTCCTGTGCCTTGCTAAGCACTGATAACATCCTGCCCGTAGCTTTTTCCTTTCTTCCATTGTTTCTTGCTTTTTTCAAGCTTCTTTTTGGAGACTTGTTTGTCAACGGCAGCAAAAGCAGTCACTCCAGCAAGGTGGTTCGCGCTGTCTCACTAACACGAAACCTGGGCTGCATCCCCATTTCTTCAATCCTTTCCCATTGTTACTTCTACTACACATTAGCCCAGCATGGATAACGAGGGCATGCTCAACTCGGACTTCTTCTCTTTGAGAGGTCCCAAGGCGGACAAAACACGTCGCTGGTATGAATGGCATGAGCCAGGCACCAGCTCTGCGGAGAAGAAGCTGCTGCTGAAGATGGACTTTTTCATCTTGCTTTACACCTGTTTGGTACGTTGCATTTAGCGGATATTCCAGTGCCGATCTTTTTCTCCTCGGCATCTGGATATCCGTAGTCATCTCTTCTCTCAGTGGATCCCAGATGGGATGCCCTAGTTGTCAACGTCTGCTAACATGATGCAATAGACTTTCTTTGTCAAGTACCTTGTATGTCTGTCTTGCAGCTATTGGCTTGCTGGTAGCTGCTGTCCAGCATGTGTGTTGTCTTACTAACATAACCTTTGCCCTGGTGTAGGACCAAACCAATGTCACCAACGCGTGGCTTTCAGGCCATGGAGATATGCAGAAAGCCTTGAAGGCAGGTCCTGATGATCTCAACTGGTACACTACCTACTTCAACATCGGTATCATCATTGGTGCACCCATCTCGACATGTCTCATCACCGTCATCCACCCTAGGTATTGGTTGCCTGCCTGTACTTTTGCGTGGTCCTTTTGTGTGCTGTTCATGTACAAGGCCCAAAATTCACAGACCATCTTCGGCTTGAGGTATGCAGCTAGTATTTCTGCCTTTTGAAACACCACCTAACGAATCCTACGACAGATTTGTCTGCGGCCTATTCGAAGCCGGCGCCTATCCCGGTTCATTCTACATTGTACGTCTTCACTGTGTTGTCTACAATAAATTGCCAGACTAACATGCTTTCTCTCCAACGATAGATTGGTAGCTGGTACAAACGATCTGAAATCAGCAAACGTACTGGTCTCTTCCTCTTCTCTTCAACCGTCGGCGCCATGACCTCTGGCTTCATTCAGAGTGGCTTGTAAGAGTCTCTCTTAAATACGGATCATGATTATTAGCAGCTAACAAGACGATAGATTGAAGAACATGGATGGTCATCTTGGTATTGCAGCATGGCGATGGCTTTTCATCCTCGACTTTTGCCTCGGCATCCCAGTTGCCATTTTTGGCTTTTTTGTTTGCCCCAGTACGGCCTATTTTCCCTATAAATTTGAATAACCTTCACTAACAGGACATAGATGAGCCCGAGAGCAAGCGTATGTGGTGGATGACAAAAGACGAGCAGATGATCGCCATCAAGCGTATGCGTGACGATGGGCGAGAAGCCAACGGTAAGTGGGATCTGGCTACCATCAAGAAGATTCTTGTCTCATGGCAGCTGTACACCTTCGTCGTCGCCTGGGCTTTTATTGAGCTCACATGCGGTGTCAACCTCATGCGATGGCTAGGCCTCTACCTTCAAAAGGTGGGCTACAACAAGTACGACGTACAGAATCTGCCCGCTATTGGCGGTTTCCCAGTAAGTTTCGTCTAGTGATTATAGTGGAGGGATCTCATCTAACAGGATCAGCAACTTGCATGGATCTTCCTCAGCAGCACAGTAGCCGATCTACTGGATAACAGAGCCCTTCCATTCTTCTTGATGGCCTTTGTCCAGCTCCTATGCTACGTTGTATTCTACGTCAACACCTCAGACCACTCTCTGCGATTGGCCGCCTACTATCTTGCCACCTCCTACAACTCTCTTTCACCACTCCTGGCATCATGGATCAACTGTTCCTGCTCAGGCAACAGACAAATGCGTGCCTTTATCAGCGCTATGATGGTTTCAGTTGGCTAGTATGTTTCTTTCATCCTTAAGCGTGTCCAGACAGACAGATCCACTAACATACTTCGCAGTGCCGTAGAAAGTCCTGCCCAGCAGGTTCTATTCCCTGTTTCTGATTCACCTTACTTCCAAAAGACTCACGGCTATGCATTTGGTATTGGCATGATTGTCGCCACCATGGTTTGGGGTTCAATTGTCATCCCCGTCATCAATCGCTACTTCGGCCCCAAGGAGGCCTGCTGCTCCGTAATTTGTGAGCCCATGTGCTGTGGCCCTAGCCCTTGTGGACCATCCAACCAGCAGACTGAGAGCGACCGTGAAGAGGTTATCCATGAGTATGGAACCATCAAGGGTGACAACAAGGTTTAATGCATATATATACATTGCATGTGGTGGATGTGGATTTTATGGAAGACAAACACAATTTGCATATTCTAGATGGTGGATTTTCGAGCATAGATGGGTATTGTGAATAGTTGCATTTTGTATGTTGCTGTAAATCATAGTCACAGAGTGTCGTACATAGAGAAATCGATAAATGGAAACGTCATTTTCATTGGCAAGTAGGTCAATTTGCAGAAAAGTGCTAATACTAGGAAAAAACAGCAGAAAATTATACTATCAAATGATGATAAAAAGCAAATTATCTACACACTCGCCATGGGAGGCGCCACACTAGCTCTGCTGACAGCGGCTGGGGCAATTGTGAGCTGACGGGTACTCTTTTCCAGACGAATATCCTCCATAGACGCGTCAGCAACTCTCATAGCGTCCAAAACAGCCATAGCAAGGGCCATCTGATCCTCAAGACCGACGGAAATTCGGACAATGGCCTCGCTCAAGCCGTAACTAGCCGCCCACTGCTTCTCCTTCTGGAACACAACCTGGACATATGGAAGTGCCAGGGTAATGGGAGCGCCAATAGACGGACCCTTGCACACCTGGATGGCATCATAGAAGGCAGTGGCGACCTTGAGGTTGACAAACTCAAGTGTAAAGAGGAACCCGTGGCCAGGGGTGAAGTCATCTGTGGACTGGCGAAGACGCGCTTTGTAGTTTTCTGCTGACCAGCAAGTGCTGGGGTGGTAGACGTGTGTGAGTGGGCTGTCTGGGTGATGATCTCTTGTGAGAGGCTCCAAGATGGACACAAGATACGAGGCGTTGCGGTTCATGATAGTGCTTCGTTCGAGGTAGTTGCGGCTGTTGATCTCGAGCTGCACTGCGTCAGCGACATAAAAGTAGTTCGTGTAGCTGGTGGAGATGGTGCTTTTGAGGTTCTCATAATGAGGCATTGCTGGGTTCAAGGCGATACTGGCGATTTTAGCAGTGGAACTTGCACAGACAATCTTCAGTCAGCAACTTACCTTCCACAGAGGACATCGGCATATCCGTTAAAGGATTTTGTCAAAGAGGTTATCACAACATCGGCGATATCCATAACATCAACATTTGCCGAACTGCCGATAGTGTCATCAATTATGACCAGAAAGCCATACTTGTCGGCCAAGCGTCGGATGCGATCCAAATCGACAGTGCGAAGCAACGGGTTGGAAGCACATTCGCACCAAACTGCTTGAACAGGACGCTCGTCAGGGTTCTTAAGGCTCTTAATTCGAAGAGACTCCTCAAACTGATCGAGCTCGACAGTGGTGCCAAAGCCGTAGAATGTGCAGGCTTTGGAAAAGTCCTGTTGGACCTTGACGGTCAACTCATAAGGGAAGCCAAAAACGACCATCTGCGCACCAGGCCAACTCTTGAGTGCTTTCGTGCAGTTGTAAATAGCAGACATGCCTGCGGGAAACATGAAGACGTCGTCTGATTGGACGTATTTAGTACGCGGCTTGATCGGCGCGCGGTCGAGGAAGTTACCAATGCGGTTACGCACAACCACCTCTGCAGATCGCGACGTGATGAAAGCTTTGGGGGTTTCCGTCTCGCGTGCAATCGTCATAGTATCCAAGTTCTTGATCAAGTCGTCTGCAAGACGAGACGAAATACCACAGCCTGTAATGCGCCAAAACACTTGGGCTTTGGCGGCATGAGTAGCAGGCAAGAGGACGGCAAACAGAGGCTGACGAGTTGTTGTGAGTGCAGATCCATCTTCCGGTCCATATTCGACGTCAAACTCCAAGTTCAGCGTCTGAACTTCCTCCTCAGGAATTCCTTCGCTGCCATTAGGCGGTGTGCAGAGATACGTCTTACAAGCATCAACGTGCTCTCTGGCAGGAAAGACGAGGGCAATTTGAGTCTCATTTCCGTGCTTTTTCAACACAGCCTGGTGGACTGCTACAATGCTCTCATGAATAAAAGATCGTGGGTATCCGCCCTTCAAGATTCCTTTAACTCTGGGTTTGCCAAGCGCAACGTCGACGACATCCTCCCATTTAGGCAGATGGACAGACACGGCGTGTGGTCTCTTAGGAATAGAGGTGCCAAAAGCAGGCGGTTTCGCCAGAGGAGTAGTTGACGCCATAACTGTAGAATGTGAAGATAAACAAACAAAAAAGATAGAAATTATGAGAGTGTCGGTAGATAGACGCAGAGTAGACGGGCAGTATGACCCAATATCAGTAGAACCCGGAGAACGGCGCCACGGCAGTCATCTTGGGCCGGATAAGTCGGCGCCTGAAGACGAGGCTGAAGTCCTGCAAGGACAGTAATATCTGAAATAATGTAAATATTAACCATATTTCTTTTATTCATATTTTTATTATATTTTTATTAGACTTCCTAATCGAGTTTTCCGCCGCGGGCCCCAGTTTCGGCACCGCGCTCCGTGTCCATCAAGGGCCCCAGCTACACTCGGGGCGGCGGCGGGCCTCGATTTAATGGATCATGTAGTAAGCCAGGCGTTCGCTTATTATTAAGATGCAGAGAAGATGGTACGATGATATTTTGGTGACGTAGGATGTGTTTTGGGAGGGATCGTGTAAGCCGAGGGGATATTTAGGCCGGCAGATAGCGACGACGTCAGTTGGGTAGAACAGAGCGCCTCTGTTTGTGAAACCGTGGGATTTCAACATTTACACTACACTATTTTGTATCCTCAGTCTATCCAATCATTCGATATGGAGTACACAATCTACGGTTACGAGGTATGTGCTTTGCGGCGGATATGTACGTTTTCACAGCCATTGACCTTTGTGTAGGGAAACCCACGCACGCGCATCTTGCGCATCATTGTACGTCTATCTACCTTCACAAAAGTTATAGAAAGCGTATTAACGTCTGCAGGCCGCCCATCAAGACATCAAGATTAACCTCGAGACCGTCGTCCCGCGCCAATACACCAACGTCGACACCCTGCTCGAGCAGTTCCCCCGAAGCTACGGCAAAATCCCAGCATTCAAGGGCGACAATATCAAGCTCACAGAAGTCCCAGCCATTGCATTTGTTCGTATTTCTCGCAAGCCCCTTCTTCCCACCAGCTAACACAGTGGTTCTAGTACCTAGCCAAACTCAAGCCTTGCACACTTCTCGGCGACGGCTCCCTCGAGCAAGAAGCAGAGGTCACGTCGTGGGTAACATGGGCCAACATGGAACTCCTCATCGTCATGGCCAAATGGTTCCTCCCGCTCTGCCCCGGCCTTAAGCGCCCTGCTCCGTATAACAAAGAAGCCGTAGCGGCCGGCAAGACCGCAGCCCTGGCATTTCTCGACAAGCACGAGGCCCGCATGCAGGGCGTTGAATTTCTAGTCGGCAATAGCATCACCATTGCCGACATCTTTGTTGCTGTCTACATTTCCCGTGGCATGCAGTACATCCTCGGCAAGGAGTGGCGCGACTCCCACCCGAATACTATGGCGCACTTTGAGCGTGTGGCAGCTTGGGGCCCGACGAAGCAGATTGTGCCGGAGTTTGAGAAGATTGATGTCGAGCTCCCCAACGAGAACCCCTACGCTTAGTTTCATACGTCGTCTACAATGAAAATTGTGCCCAAAGGTATCGTTGGTCAGAAGGAGGAACCCGTTAACCTGTGTGCTAACCTTGGTGGCAGCTGCATTTCCACAAGATTCCTCATTTTGACGGTTTTGATTTCATCGCATTTAGTGTCTTGGCACCGAAGATGGATCGGATGACATGGCGTTATTCCGCATTTGTATTCAGGCTAATTGTGCTGGTCAGGATGAATCGCAGGAACCTTGAGGGCTGGCGCCGCGGTGATCATCTCATCTCCGATCAGATAAGCGAGTCTCATTCGCAGTGCTGATCACCACGACTAGCATACTATGGGAGTCTGTATATAATCCTCATAATAGTAATTTATTTCATAAAAAACGTGGTTTTATATTTCTGGACAGTTTAATGCTTCTTTCATCTGCAAATCTCTGATAGTTGACCCCTAGGGTAGCGATACAGTGTTGACAAAAAGACACTATGTTTGCCATTCACCCTTCATCCAGCGATTTACGAAATCCAAACCTGCTTCAGGCTGACTCTGAGCAACTGAGTGCCCAGCGTTATACACTTGCATAAAGGCAAGCCTCTTGGCGTGCTTGACCTTGCCGTACTCCTTGCCGTTCAAATTGATGGGCGTCAACTTTGCTTCGTTAAACGCCTGCTTACCAGGCCACTCAAGAGCAGCTGTCCAAGCCTGATTACCGAGCCATGCGCAAATAAAATCAGCATCGCCCGAGTATGCAAGAACAGGAATCTTGGTCAATATTTCTGGGATCACACGGTGGCGCGGCTGCATCCAGTCACCACTTCCCACGACCTCTTGATACACACCGCCATTGCAGCGCTCGTATCGGCGGTTTGATTCGACACCAAGTGCTTTTTTAACCTCAGCCTTGTTCAGCCACTCGGGTGCATAGCCCTTGTACTCGTCGCCCGATCGGACTCGAACATCGTAGTGCGATCTCCCAGACCGGCCGTAGATGGGGAACACGGCATTGTTGCACACTTTGGTAGCCTCTGAGCATGCCGACTCAGTAAGTGAGTCGTAGCACTTTTGAATATACGGCTCGCACTTTGCAACACCCTCTTCCATGGCTTTGCAGTCTCCGGCACCAAGCACCGCAGGATGGCCGCCCTTGCCGCAGGCCATCGGAGCAAAGTGTCGGTACTGCGACAGACAGTCTGTGAGACCGTTGCCAATCAGCAGACTCTTGAGATTGATGTTGGTGTAGTTTTTGGTGACAATTTCGTGACCGAGCGCAGGGATCCAGTGGCCTGCGTAGGATTGCCCGGCAATGTGGAACGGCTGCGTACTGTATTGCTTAAACTTGGTGAAGAACAGGTCCAGGAAGGCAGCCATGTCTTTGGCCGCGGCGACGCTCGACTTGATGTGGTTTTTGCTGTATGAGAAGCCAGTGTTGACAGGCTGTTCGATGAAAATAACAGATGCATTGTTATTCCAAGAGTGTGCATTTCTCACAGGCTTATGGCTCTTGTCAGGGATTCGTGAGGGGCCGAGTGAATCAAAGAGGCCGATTAGCGACGAGCATCCAGGGCCGCCATTAAGCCAGATTAGAACCGGGTCGTTTTTCGGATCGTTGCGCGATTCAAAGAACCCTAATCCAAACCGTTAGTTCAGAAATTCGAGATTGTAAGAATATAATTACAAAAGAAGATGTGCTTGTCGTCTTGAACATCGTCTAGGTAGCCGCTATACTGCTTTACGGTATCGACTCCAAGTGTTCCTGGATCCAACTCTTTTGCTCGCAGCTGATAGTCCGAGATGTAGCTCGGGTGTACTTCGTTCGCATATGCTGCTCCGCCAATACTTGCGCCGCGGATTATATGATCCCATTCTTCGTCGGGTATAGGCGTGATGTCTTCCTCCGGTGTAAACGATAACGAGGCGAGCGCGACAGACGCGAAGAGTGAGTATGTAAGACGCATCTTTATCGAAGAAAATTCGGAACATAGACAATACAAAAAACAATAACAGAGTGATTCTAAGGAGCTGGGTTGCTTTTATTGTCCTCAATATTTGACAGTTCGAAGGCGTCTGTCACAAATGGCAATATGTTGCAGCGCGGATGCAACGCCAGGGTAACCCCCAACGGGAGCCTGGAGAGAACTACTAATGTCCCAAGCGTAGTATTACAAATTTGTTTCGGATCGAAATGCGAACAATTCAATTTGGGAACTATTACGTAAAAACAGAGCTCTGCATCAAGTCCACTTCCACTGATGCGCCATTGTGCGCGCTTAGCTGGAGTATTTCGGTAAGGCGTTTCGACATGTCCTGCCTGGTGCACGAATTCGCCAGCTCTTCAAATCGGTGTTTCCATCTAGTTATAGAACATATACAGAGAGGCATATGATCATTTAGAGAAGCCGGCATGTCAGCTGCGCAGGTGCATGGGCGCTGAGTGTGCGCCAGCCAAGTAAATATGACGAGCGCACTCATCACAATGGCAAAGTCTGCTAGCGGATCTGGTCCAGGACTTGTAGCATCTCGTCGCACATTGAGCTCAGCTAGTTTGACAATTTCTAGCGCATTTCGCGTCGCTGGGCCATCTGTCGATATGTTCGCCCACTGCTGCAATTTACCGCTGATACTTTGGACCTTTTCGAGATTGCGCTGGTATTCTGAAAGTAGGCCGCTATCCAAATCAACTTTAGTGTTCATCGCTTGAATATCAGAAAATATAAACAAATGTAAGATGTGTGAGAAAATGTTTGACTCTGCAATATAGCTTCGGACCTGGCTGGCGGCGGCTTTCCAATCGTCTGACTCCTTTGTCGCAGGTCGAGCGAGATAGAGCGAGAGAAGCTGCTTGAGTCTTAATGCGCTCTGGTCGTTTGCGTTGCTGGTATTAATAGTGTCCAATATTTGCAAAGTATGTTCAATTACTTGCGATGATAGTTGGAAAGGGAGAATAAAGTTGGTAGAAGAGTCCGATTGCGCATTCTGGCGCTGCCAGATATCGTTGTAGAGGCTACATAATCCAATATGTGCGTCTTCAACAAGGACCCCCTCTGGACTTATGGAGTGTATCTGTTGTAGACCAAAGCTAGACGTAAGCAATGATCGATCTGGCTCTTTCGCATGGCGGTTAAACCAAACGTCCATTCCATGCGCATTCCAAAGCGTCCAGGTGGAGGGGATAGCGACTTGCAGTTCGTTGGCCTGCAACTGGGGTGCTTGAAAGGATAGTAGTGACATGTACGCATCTGCTTTGAATAATACAGAAATTGTACGTTTCCAACGTTCAATCATGCTGAGTTTGTAAGGTGCAAACTCTCCTGGAAAGTGTGTGAGACGGTCGTCTTCAAAGTTGTCCCGGTTAAAATACCCAATTTGGCGCATTGCCGTGATTAATAGGCCTTTGAGAAGTCCTGCTCGAGAGATCAGATCACCATCACCCAAATACATGGCAAAAACAATATTGAGAATTGCTATTTGGTATAGGTCGGTTGGCCAACTCTCAACTCCCTTGATTGGAATCGATTTGGTCTACTATAGTTAGCTATACAAACAATGTTTGTAATTAATGTTCAAGATTAGACTCACTAGATCTATAAACAGTGTATCCATTAATTGGCGATGCAAAGTTATCACAACAGGTCGAATATCCGGCGAATGTAACCAGGAGGCAATCATAACAACAGTGGCTGTGATTCCGAGTGGTGGAGGTTGAAGGTAAAAAGTTGGTGCGTGCATAAGCGGCCATTTGTGGTGGAAATCGAGTTCATATGTTTGCAAACCTTGGTCGATCCAAGTTTGGTCGTTTTCTGGTACTTCATAGTCGTCAAGTAATGCCTTTGACGAAATGAGCTGTGTAAACTGCGACAGACCGCGAACAGCGGCATGGTTGCGTACGTTCGCCGGCACTCTAGCGGCATCTTTAGCACCCGCTGTGAAAAATTTATTGGTGGCAGCAAGACAATACGTGCACTCAATGCCACGTTTTGCACATAACGAGCACTTCTTGCCGCCGTCGCACTTGGTTTTGCTGGCGTGGCATGCATCGCAGGCTCTGACGCGCCGCGAGTTCGGGACTACTGCGTGGGCATCGTGCCTGGCCATGTGCCGGCGCAGGATATCGCTAATAATAACAATCGCAATTAGAAAGAGTTTAATACAAACATTATGTCATAAATACTATGTGATAGCTTACTTACTTTCTGGTAAACGACGTGTTGCATATTGTGCATGTGAAACTGCGGTTCTCGTGCGTTGCCTGGTGGCGCTTGAGGTGTTCCTTGCGAAGAAACGTCTTACCGCAGTGGCAATCGTGTTGCGTCATAGCGATAGCCAATGAGCTTAAACAAATAATTAAAGGAGCTCACAATACAAATTTACAAAAAGACCAACAATGGAACTTTTGTGAAGAGGATGGAAACGTGGCAGTTGCTGGCAGCTGGCAGAAATTCTAATGTTGCCGAAAGTCTAAGTCGGCGCCCGGGCGGGAGAGTTGGGATACGCCGATCCCGTGACTATGGGTGATGGTATATGTAAGCTGCTTGAGGTCGGAGAAGACACCATTCACAAGCCGACAGCCGGCGTTAGAGAATTGGAGAATTGGAGAAATGTGTAAATCCGCGACTATAATTGGATTAGTGTCAGTGGGATAAGATTTCTGACGCAATTTATGCACATGTATTGCTTGTGTGCCGAAATTTCCGCGCAGATTTGTCATCCCACCTTTTCGCCGACCGCTGTATCCCATCACGATTCCGGCAGCGTTTGTGGGATATCCCACCGAGTCACCGCATCGCGTAATTGGGCTATTGCCTATTTCGGAAGTATGACATGATTGTTGCTTGCATAGATCGGCTTGGTAGACTTTGCAAGTGGGAGCCGACCTGAAGTTATCAAGCAGCCCTGCGGAGTTTAGCGATCTATCTATGTCGACAAACGGTCTCATAGAAAAGTATATATAGGCGACGCTTCTCCCTCCCCAAGACGCATATTCTATCATCATCACTCAAACATTTCTACAACAATCACCAAATACACACACTCTCAGAAACACACATATATACTTTAAAACTCACTATGTCTATTCAAAACGTCACCATTGCTGGAGCCTCTGGCTCTCTCGGAGCTCCTGTTCTTCAGAAGTTCATTGACGCTGGCAAATACCACATCCGCGTTCTCAAGCGCACCGGCTCCAAGTCAGAGTTCCCCGATGGCGTCGAAGTTGTCGAAGTTGACTACTCATCACTGGAATCCGTCACTGCCGCCCTACAAGGTCAAGACTTTGTCGTCTCAACACTCAGCACCCTGGCCGTCGGCGCGCAGCTCACCTTTGTCGAAGCTGCTGCTGCCGCCGGTGTGAAGCGCATCGTGCCATCCGAGTTTGGCTCCAACTTGGATGTCCCCAGCGTTCGCCAGCTCCCCGTCTTTGCCGACAAGGTCAAGATTCAAGACGCTCTCATCGCCAAGGGCAAAACATCTTCTCTCACATACACTTTTGTGTACAACTCTGCCTTCCTCGACTGGGGTCTTGAGCATGGCTTCGTTTTTGCACTCAACAACCCTACTCCCATGATCATCGAGGACGGTAACCGCCCTTTCAGCACCACTACCCTCAACAGCATCGCTGATGCTGTCGTCGGTATTGCCAACCACCTCGAAGAGACCAAGAACCGCGCCGTCTACATCCATGACACTATTCTTACCCAGAACAAGATCCTTGAGTTGGCCAAGCAGGCGGCTCCCGAGCGCTCTTGGGAGCCCGTCAGCGCCAAGCTTGACGATCTGACTGCAAAGGCGGACGAGCGTCTTGCCAAGGGTCTTTACGACATGGAGACCTTTGCACCATACCTCTTCCGTGCCATCTTCGACCCTCGCAGTGGCGCCGAGTTTAAGAAGACCGACAACGAGCTTCTCGGCGTCAAGGGCGTCACTGATGCAGATGTTACTGTCATGATTAAGAAGGTTCTCAGCAAGGCATAGATGCATAGATATATAGAATACAGCATTGTTTATCTCAATTTATCTTTTTGGTTTAAATTTATAAAACTATATCTCTCATTTAAAGTACATAATACATATGGATACATCTATCTAGTGAAGCTCCTGCATCATGACGCCAACAAACACCATAAGCACGGCAGCATACGCAAAGGTAGCTGCGAGCACCGTTTCAATAGCCGTGGCCCACCACACCATGACAAATGCAAACGCCATGACGCAAAATGTTGTGACACCGAGGTGGACAAAGACGTCTCTCTGTAGCACAAGAAGCCACATTGGGCCAACGAGAAATGCACCGGCGACAAGAACGCCCACGATACGAGACCAGTGCGCTTTGCTGTAGCTAGAGCCCCGTGTATTAAGAATGGGCTTGGCGCAATCTGCATCTTTGACATTTTCCCAGTGACCATGTATGGTAGTGCAGCCTTTTAGATCAGATGAAAACTTGCCCTTGTCATTCAGCAAGTCCACCATGGTGCTGTGATCGTGGTACCGCTCGCTCGAGACAATAAACGGGTCGTCTTTTCGACCAACAAAGCTGACCATGTACTCATGGTCTTTGACAGCATCAACTGAACGCTATTAATGCCTGATACCTAAAAAGCGACCGATAAAAATACGTACTAAATTCTCGAATGGCCGGGCGCCACTGGTCCATCGTGCGGACTCCATGGTCTGCATCGAACTGGTGGTTCATTGCCAACCACACGAGCTTTCGTTGCAGTTTTCGAAGATACATCCGATGCACATCAGCAAGTGTAATGCGGTATCCCTCATCTGGATCTCCAGGCTTCAGCAACCCGAGAGATGTTTTCCAGCGTGAGGCCAATGATGGGATACGCTGCGCTATGCGCATGCACCCATGTTTATGGATATCTGCGGTCCTTTTCCAGGAAATAGCATCATCAATGGTTGTACCATTGACTTCGAGTACTCTTCCACTGAAAGAAGCATCGCTGCTGACTACAGTGGTAGCGTCTTCTGTGTCGCTCATGATGGGATAGTAGGCAAGGGGTGGGGATTGACGCTGAGAGAGGCATCACCACTAACACAGTATGGGCTCTTCTTTGATTAATACGAATTTACTTACACAGCCCTCATGGAATATAAGCGCCCACAGTGCTACCCCGTAATTTTCGGCATCCGCAACTCACGTTTCGCAATCTGCACAGGAAGCGCTTCCGCCCGTGTCTTAGCGCCGGGAAATCGTCGTGGCTGCGCAGCCATTGGATGCGGCGGCGCGTACTCCCGCTGCCGTCACACCATCTCGATCCCAAAGAGGAAAAAAAGTACAAGAAGGATAACGGCCTGCGCTGCGGCCCCCTCTGTTTTGCGAGGACGGGGATGCATTTCAGCCGTACGCGAGGTCTAGAGCGTGATAAGGGGGGACTTCGGCAACAAATTTTGGTGATGCTTGGTGGCTGAATGCTGCTACTGATCTCGCTTTTGCCGCTGAGGAAACTATGCGCAGGGCTTATTTACGGAATGGATGCGGCCAGCGGCCTGGTTAAAACATGTCGGCATTTAAACTTTTGCTCTTGCGGACGCTTTGAATATGTTTTCTAGGAGTGTCAATGGGGCAGTGATTGAATTGGGTCGAGGCCCAGTGACATTCGCTCTGAACATAAACTGCTGCAAGAATGTTTGAGAGTTGTTGGGGTGGTGCTGCGCGCTTACAGCGAGATGTTATAAGCTATCGCTCGACATACTCCCTGCTCTATTTTGGGTATAGACATCAATTCGCAGACTTTCCAGAGTCTCTACTTACTCTTTTCACTTTGCCTCCTTTTAATCGTATTTTTCTTTGTCCATTCCAATCAGCCATGTCTGACAAACTCCTCAAACCTATTCCCTTTTCCATGAGCCACACCAAAGGCAAAGTCACCTTTACGTACGAAGGCGAGGACAAAGCGATGGCTCTGGAGATTGCAAAACGGCACAAAATCCGTCTACTGGAATCCTTTTGCGACACGGAAGTTAGCCGAACCGGTGCCACCATCACCGTTGATGTAGAGAAAAAGACACGCATTACCATTGCCCGGTTGGACGGAATCTACTTTGTCACCACCTCCACCAAGAATGCCATGAACAAAATGGAATACGCCTTCCCCTTTGCTATTCTGCCTCCTGAATTCATCGACTACGACAAGAAGCCCAATCTGATTGGACCCATCTCTTGTACTATGTCTTCGAGCATCTCGTGCATCGACCTCGACAAGGCCTTTGAGGAACAAGGCGCAGCTGTCTCTCAGACTGTCGACAGAACGGGATTGTTCAATAGGGAACTTTCCGGATTAAAGTCTATACCTTCTTTTTAGGTGATTTGCTGTGTCCATGAAGCCTATACAGTACTGGATATGCTGGACAAGGTGGTTCTTAGTTGGAGGACGCGTACTGCTAGTGTGTTTCTAGAAAGTCTGTTTTAGTGTTACAAGTTATTTGTCAATTTATCAATTTGGAATTTCGCTCGCTCTCTACATGCCCAACTGTCTAACTAATTGAAAATAAAATGCGCCAAACTCCTCCAAAAGACACGCTTGCTAAAGAAAATTTGTAAAGAGAAAAAAAGAAAACAAAAAACATATAATAGTAAATGACAAACTCAACCCCAATTCCCATTACTGCTTCAACTCTTCTTGTACTGCTTGTTCCTTTGCAAGAAATAATTCCTGCTCCTTTGCACTCTTCTCCAAATCAACAAAACCCCAAATGGCAATAATGCTCACCACTGTAAGCGGCACCAGGAAATAAAATGGTGTATGGACGCGGTTCATCGGCGACACATCAATAATGGCACTGGCAACCATGGGGCCCAGAAAAACAGACGCCTTGCCCACCGTATTGAACAAGGAAAAGAAGAGAAACTCATGACCCTTGGGAGTGACGCAGCTAATCATGAGCGGCCCGTAGCTAAAAAACGGACTGCTGAACAGGCCGCTAAAGATGCTAAACGCCCAGAGCTCCCACTCGCGGTGGAAACCAAAGCGCCGTGTCCAGTTTCCAACCATACCCCAGATGCAGACCACCAGTACGGAAACCATGGTGGCGTTGAACATAGTTTTGACAGAGAGTCTAAGCTTTTTCTGAGTTTGCCAGTACATGGCAATACCTGCCGCCTGAGAAGCGAGCGAGACCAAGAGTAGGTTGGCCACTTTGTAGGCGTTGAACTGGATAATGTTGTTTTGAATGCTGACGATCAGCACGAGTGACGTGATGAAGCAGTTTCCAATCATGAAGAAACCTAGCAAGAAAAAGAGACTCTGCTTGAGGTTCCAGATTTGCTTGCACGATTCGACAAATCGCCAGACACCGACTGTGAGATATGTTTTGCCAGCAGGAAGCGGTAGACTAGCGCGAGTCTTTTCCATGATGAACCAAGGTAGCGACAGAACGAGCCACATGACACCAGCAAAGGCAATCACCACAGAGAATGCCCAGTTGTTTGCCCGAGTACCCGAGTCTGCACGCAGCGCATGCATGATTCCAATAGAAATGGCCAAGATAACCACTGCGCCAATAGACTGGATAGTAAAACTGACGTTGCTGAGGCGCGATCTTTCCATTTGCTCTCGCTTATCCAGCTCTTCGCCGCTAATATCGCCTTGGCGATACGACAGCATAGAGTCTTTAATGGTCTGGCTGTTGCGAGCTAGCGCTGGGAACGATGCCGTCCAATATGTAGTGGATAGTTGAAAGGCAATCATACCGAGAATATATAAGGCCACGCCGGCCTCCCAATTTTGTCGCTCGTATACACCGAGCCACGCAAAACTCACAGCCCATCCAAGAACTGACCAGATAATGATGATCCAACGACGGCCGGTACCAAAGTCGGCATATACGTCAATGAGTATGGTGAGGACACCCTGGATGGCAAACGAGATACTGTTGGCAAGTAGCACGATAGATGCAGGTTCGCGTATAGAACCCATGAACATGAGCTCGCCTCCACGACCGAGCGCTGCTTGTTCGAGGAGATTCTGGAAAGCTGCGGTGGCAAAGTAGAGCAAGCCGATACCGCTGGCACCGATGCTGTAGATGTACCATGATGTGACTTCGCCAGTGGTTGTAGTGGGAATATTGTCTTCCATGTCGACGGCGGAGGCTTCGAGGACATCGGACGTTCGTTTGGTTTCGGCAGAGGCGATGCCAAAGGCCGTGTTGATGCGCTGGAGGGCAGGGGCTGCGCTGCTAGCCGCTCTTGAGCGACCTCTATTCTCTGAATAATCCATATTTTGTCGTATTTGTACAGACTCGGAAATGTATCTCTACAAGCAAATAATATGTGTTTACCACAGAGGGGCAGCGTTAGTGGCTGGGAAGCTATTGATTTATACGTCAGCTAAGCCGTACAAGTGAAGCGTATCGCAGAAGCCTATTAAAAGCAAGTACACCATATGCCATCGTAATGTTTTGCTATCAGGCAATCCAATCGAATTGTCTTTGATGCGTGCGCCGTTCCATCGGAAGCACTGCGCTGGTTAGTCACGCGGCATCGAGCGCTGCAACGCTTCATCAATGAACCCCAAGAAGAAGGGTGTGCGGGTCTCTAGACATAAAAGGCCGTTGAACAGCGTAGTTTTCTAGTGGAATGCCTAGAAATGGCAATGGTTTGGATGCAACGTGGTGGATGGTGTGACGCTGCCGCGGCTAGGCGCCGTCAACACCAACCGAGAATAGAATAGGAGTACTATTTATGTCTCACAGAACACTAAAGACATCAGATATTGGTATCACGGGCTGTGCAAATTTTCTTTTATTTTTTTAAAAGCATTTCCGGCGTGTATTTGTTGAGGCGGACCACAGCTATGTAAGTCTCCGTGGCGCTACCCTATGCATTTTGCAGCCTGTTATGAACGTCGGAGCATTTTTCTTTTAGTACCATTATTATGTATGTATTATAAAGCTGGAAATATTGATCGACTTTTTAATTATTATTTTTAGTGTTTTTAATATATTACAGTAGTGAAAATGGTCGAGTAACATTAACGACAGTATTCTAGCCATACAAACTCCGCTGCTCTACGGATGACTCCTTCAAAATTGAAGCAAAGTAAAACCATACTCGCGATTTAAAGGTAGTAGCGGAACTTTTTATTCTGCCAGTCTGTTTCATCAACACCGTCGCGCACCAAGTGGCTGTCGGGGTCCTCCTTTTCCAATTCAGGATCAATGTGTACACCCTGTGCGCGGTCTCTGCGCTTGTTCTCCCAGGCCATATATTGTCGGAGCACGAGAATGATGACTGTAGCAGCGGAAATGCAGACCAAAATACCCTGGAATGCTGTGTTATATCTAGGAGCTTCCTTGGTGAGGAAGAGCTGCGGGCCTGCAATGTTGCCTGCGCAGTAGCCAATGAAAAGAATGGCCAACACGGTCGTCTTCTTGGTGTATCCTGCAATGTCGGAGCCGATAATAGAAAGAGAGATGGGGAAGGCGGCAGAGTAAGCTGGGAAGAGCCAGATACCGCCTAGTCTTGTCCATTTGTGGTCTGTTGGTGTGGCATAGACCATGACGCAGCCAATCAGAGAGACGATTTGCATGGCAGCCATGACGGCACAACGAGAATACTTGACGCGATGGACGAAATAGGTGCTGGAAAGAACAAAGAATAAGCCGAAAGCAGAACCGGGCATGCCAAGCAGCAGCGTGGTAAGCGTATCGAAGCCGAATCCTTGAATAATAAGACTGTTAAACGAGGTGTATCCACCGTTGGGAATGCAGGTGCAGATGGTGAAGAAGAAGAGCAACCAGGTCTTTGGGTCTTTCAAAGCCTCGAAGAATTGATCTTTCTTCCATTCGTTCGTCTTGAAGCTTCGCGTTTTCTGCTGGGGGCGGCGGTGGGCGTAGACGCGCTCTTCGGGCGTCAGGAAGCGTGCGTTGAGAGGCGTGTCAGGAAGAAAGATGAGCAGAATAATGCCCCAGAAGAAGGTAACGAGAGCAAAGATGATGAATAGCCAGCGCCAGGCGGCAATGTTGGTTTTGATGTGGCTGATGGCGTAAGCGAGCAAGCCTCCAACAACAGAGGCTGATGTGTTGCCAGCGAACCAGATACCGTGACGAGAGGCATGCTCGGACGGCTTGTACCAGAGAGTGGTAACAAGAGAGAAGCCGGGAGAGATGGACGATTCGAAGACACCGAGAATGAAGCGTAGCGCCATGAGACCACCAAAATTCTGGCCGCCAGCGTGGGCTCCAAGGACAACAGCCCAGATTATGACACAAACCGTGAGGAATTTGCCAATGGGGAATTTGACGAGGGCAAGTGAGGCAGGGTACGAGGCGATGAGGTAGCCAAAGTAGAAGATGGAGGAGACCCAGGAGAAATCTGTGCCGTGGAGGTTCTATTGGGTGTGTTAGTCGCAGTATACTTGATATTTGGAGAAGGTTGCTGCTTACGGTATCGTGCTGAATACCCAGAATAGCTGTGTATCCCAGAGTCGTCTTGTCGAAGAACTGCAGCGCGTAGGAAAACAGCAGCAGCGGCATAAGACTAGCCATACTCAGTTAGCAAAACCATTATTTTTTGTTGAAATTGTAGCAAACTACTCACTGTCTGTCAATCTTCTTCACGAGACGCTGCTCCTCTTCTGGAGTCCAGACAGGCAAAGGCACAGTCTCAGTCTTTTCAATCTCCGCCTGCGACACCGTCTGCACGACGACATCACCACCGTCAGTCATTGTCTTTTCCATGGATGTTTTCTCAGAAGAAGTCATATTTCAGAGGGTTGTTGACATAACAGATTCAATAACTCTTATTCATCGCAAAATGACCTGCTTCTCTAACCCCCATTTATACAAACGGCCTCCATGCCCCTCCGAGGATGAAATGCCGGCCAACGGCATACCCCGGATTACAACGCCACCACGCTCCCCCAACGTGAGGCTTCAGCAGAGTCTATCTAATGGATCTGTAGCCGACGGGGCGTATCTGGCAGGTCACGGCAGAGGAGGCCGGGATTCAGCGGAGCTCAAAAGTAGCTCTCTCCACAGCAATGGCCACTTACACGGCTATGCAAGGCACCGCCCCGTTGTTCGCCGTTGTATTTACCCACGACTGGCTAACCGTAACCGGTCGGCTACAGGAGCCAATAAGATTGCTTGTTCCCCCGCATTGTATAGTGGGAAAATTCGCTGCCTGTTAAAAAACGCCACCGGCCCGCCCGGTGCGTGACCATCCCCCAAATAATCGGGGCGTCGGTATTTGTCCTCCGGGGAGGGGACCGTTGTTGGAGTTTTTGGGTTCTTTCTTTTCCCTTCTTCAATCAATTACGGAGAATAGAGCAAAGCGAGTCAATATGCATCATGCACGGTCGAGAAAAGGTACGTATCCATGCCCTTCTCCCTGGCTCGGGTGCCCACTGTAAAGAGATTGCCTGTCGGCTAACTGGAGTCTCCGCAGGGTGTCTAACATGTCGCTCCAAAAAGGTCAAGTGTGATGAGCAGATGCCCAAGTGTCGTCGATGCCATCGCCTCGACCTGCAGTGTGAATGGGCCGGTCCCAGATCGCGCCCTGCAGCACGGCCGAAATGGAAGGATTCGCCTGTGTTGACGAGGATCCTCCCCAAGACGTCGGCAAAGGATCCCAGCTGCTCCAATGGCATGTTTGAGATCTCAGGGATGTGGTTCCCCTCTTTCAGCAACCCCCACGCTGGTCCAAGTACATCGCATCTATTGGATGATAAGGCAGCCAATGTCGCTGCATGGGATGATGCAACCTTCTTTCCAGCTTGGAATCAACTACCTGCTGAAGAGATGGGGTTTCCAGCTGATCTCTTTGATTTTGGTGCTCCTCTGCCTGTGGCGGATGATGCCCTCATCCCCAGTGACAAGCAGCAACTAACTCACTCCCATTCATCGTCATTACACGTACACTGGCCAACACCAAGTCCGGAGCCTTGGATTGGCGTCAACGACATCACATTCGCACACAATGTCGTGCTCTCGCCGTCATTCTTGCAGACGGGCAAGGAGGCAGATGCGCTACAATACTATTCCACAGTCTACCCAACCATGACCATTACCAAGACAGTAAGCTGGTCAAGTTTCATAATTGTCTTGCGGCATGGTTCTCAGGATCCGATGATTATGCACATGGTAATTGCAGCGGCTCTCATGGATCTAGCGGCGTCACAAAAACACAACCCGGAAATGTGCAGAGCAGCCCGTGCCCATGCAAAGGAAGGCATGACACTTCTGAGCGATGCCGTCGACAAGTCTATTCCCGAAACAGCGGCCAGTATAATCACGGCATCATATTTCTTGTATCGCTACATGGCGGTAGAAAATCAAGATCGCACGATAATGAGGGACTGGAGTGAGCGTCTCTGCCGCTATCTGCAACGTAACCGGCTTTACAGACTATGCACCGATCCACGAGGCGCCAAGGACGACCCTGACGCCCATCAAAATACTGTGGAAATCGCCTCTAAACGCTACGGCCACCTTGCACGACTTGTGATATGGACATATTACGAAGATATCATAGCAGGCATGGGTGGATATGGTGGATACATGTCGCGCTACCTGTGCCAAATGCCAGAGCGAATCAGAGAGGTTCAGTTGCATTCTACTGCCGAACTTGAGTCCGTCTGGGGTGATGAGTACCCCGAGAAGGAGATTGTGGATGACGTTGAAAATGCACCAATTGTCACCTTTTTACACGAAGTCATGGCCCTATATGCCGATGTCGCCAGGGTGGCCAAGTCGTCGTATACAGAGGAAGACAAGAGGGAGATTGAAGACGCTATTAATATGCTGGAAAATGTAAGTCTATGTAGACTTAAATTTTGTATATCTTTGCTAACAATCGAGACAGCGCTCACGATCATTGATCCGTCTCACAGCCATCACCACACAGCCGCGGTCGCGAATCATGCTAAACGCCGATTATATGATTCCCTATCTCTACGCTCTACGGATATACTGTTTTAGAATATTCTTACCAGATGACGATTTGAGCGCGCCTGCACCGCCTGCTGTTCAGTCAGCCGTGCATTCTATCCTACAGCTTGCGCAGCGATCGCTGTCAAGAGGTGCTCTGGATCCCATGACGGCCCGCTTTCAGTGGCCTTTGTTAATGGCTGGAATTGAAACTCCGGATAATATTCATAAGGAATGGGTGCAGTCTAAAATGAAGACGGAGCGTACTTCCAAGGGGTTTGAGAAGGTATTGGAGGTACAGGAGGCGACAGGAAGACGGATACCCATGGCGTTATTTGCACAGATACTCTCTGGCGAGGGCGAGACGTTGAGCTAATTTTCAGCTATTATTGCACATAATATGAAAATGGTATTTATCCTCACAGTAGAGGCGCTACGAATGTGTGTGTAGCGTTGGAAGGGCTGGTGGAGGGCAAATTCCAGACTCTATCGGCACCACCGGAAAATGCCGAGAACTCATGGCAGCTCCTTCATCTAGCACTATGTCACTTGGGCTTCTCAAAGTGAATAAGCCCTATAGTGTTTGATTATATAGTATTGTAAGCATTTTGGTATGTCCCAATGTCCGCCCGAGGGTTGGCAGAACGGTATTCTAGTATCAGGCTACATTGTGGCTGTGAGAAGCGGTACACTCTATGGTTTGTTGTATAATCTTCGTTTCTAGGCCGCAAATCGGCATGGCGCAATGAAATAATTGCACTAGTACCTCGGAGAATTATAATACAAGGGTTTTCTTTACAGACCCTGAACTTTTTCCCCATGATTCCCCCAAACTTTGGGGTAAATCATATCCGATGTCGGGAATTAGATACCTGACCCAGGAAATCCCACGACTCCGCAGCGCCACAAAACTAAACCGTTGGGCTATGCTGAAGCGACGGTCGGCTAGCGCAGCCAACCAGCGGGCGACATCGTGACCATATCATGGAGAAGAGTCAACCCCGCGGGGAACGGCGAAACCGACAACCGACGAGCGTGGGATAATTGGAGAAATACTTCGTGTCATGATGTTTTTCTGTTGTATATGCCGCAGACATATGCCGGACATTATAGACGTATATATAGAGCTTGACGTGGTCGCTACCATGACACAATCTCACAGCATACTATTATTTACTAGTAACTCATACATATTCAAGAAATCAAAATAAAAGTTTCGCGACGACATCATGACCAACGTTACTACCAACGGTAATGGCGCACAGCCAAAGTCTGCTGCTCCCGGCACAGACGCTGCCTTTGCTGCCATTGACGGCCTCGATACTGAGCTCCGTGCCATTAACAAGAAGGTAAACTATTCTCTCTTCACTCCCATATATACATAATAATTAACTGGTATCTTTAGATCTGGGAAAACCCCGAAACCAGTTACGAAGAGGTCCAAGCCCACGATAACATCGTTGCCATGCTTCGCTCGCTCGGCTTCGAAGTCACACCCCATGCTTTTGGTGTACAAACTTCATTCTCATGCGAAGTTGGCACTGGCGGCCGCGTGGTTGTCTACAACGCTGAGTACGATGCTCTTCCAGACATCGGCCACGCCTGCGGCCACAACCTTATCGCCACATCCTCCATCGCCTCGTTCCTTGGTGTCGCTGCCGCCCTCAAGGCATCTGGCGGCCCAGGTCGTGTTCGTCTCTACGGTACACCCGCTGAAGAAGGCGGCGCCGGCAAGGTTCGCCTAATCAACGCTGGCGCTTACAAGGACGTCGATGCCTGCCTCATGGTTCACCCTGGCCCTCCCAACCCTCCTCCTCAATCTGCCGACGGCCACGGCTGCTGTGCACCCTCGGGTGTAGCATATGCCACATCGCTCGCCAACCGCAAATTCGACGTAACTTTCACTGGACGAGAAGCCCACGCCGCTTTGGCGCCTTACCAAGGCCGCAACGCCCTCGATGCTGTGGTTCTCGGCTACAACGGCGTGAGCATGCTGCGCCAGCAAACAAGACCCCACGACCGCATTCACTCCGTCATCAAGGCCGGTGGCACAAGACCCAACGTCATCACCAGCTTCACCAAGACGCAGTACTACGTGCGTAGCGCGTCGATCAGAGAGGCCACAGCTTTAGAACAGAGAGTCCGTAACTGCTTGGATGGCGCTGCGACTGCCACAGAGTGCTCAATCGAGTATGACGAGTATGTTTGGACAAATCATTGAAGATTGCATGCTGAATAAGAAGTGCTAACATAAACTAGACACGAGGAATATGCCGACTTGCGTCCCAACCGTACCATCTGCTCGCTCTACGCCGACGCCATGGCCCTGCCCGCCATCGACTCCAAGGTAGAGTGCGACTTTGAGCATGCCCCTGCCTTGTCTGGGTCCACCGATCAAGGCAATGTTTCGTACGTGGTGCCCAGCTTCCACGGTGGTTTCTCGATCCCGTGCCCACCTGGCGCTTATAACCACACCAAGCCCTTTACAGCGTGTGCTGGAACCCCCGAGGCCCACGATTTGGCGATTGCCGCGTCCAAGGGTATGGCTGCTGCTGGATTGACAATTTTGACTGATGAGGCGGTGGCCAAGAAGATCTGGGAGGACTTTAAGCTGGACAGAGAGCAGGATAAGCAAGAGATTGTTTAGGCAATGACATTTGATGAGTAGAATAGGCGGATGCTGTCAGACAATTGCATATATTATAGGGACTAGAGGTAGATTGTACAAACCAGTTCAGTACTCATAGGTAGAGAATATCGCTGCGCTCTCCCTTCAAATAATTTCTATTTGCTTTTCGTCGCTCGAGACAGAGTGCATGCGTTCGCGGCCAAGGCCCGATAGTTCAAGATGGACCATGATGCTCCCTGTCTTACTGAGCCTCGTGAAGTAGCTACAGTCTGAAGGCACAGACCAACAAAACGAGTGTGGGGAGACGATACTCCCAGACGCCAACTCCACAATATGTCCTATCAACACACTGCCTCTCTTATTCACTACGAAGATTTGAAGATACTCTATTATATTCACCTCTATTACAATAAAATCCCAGCTCCTTTTATTTCGAAGGTGGTTATTGACAAGTCATCTAATGTATATTACCCATTACCCCTCATACTTGATAAGGCGCACACTTCAGACATGGCCTCGGTGCTCACTGAGAAGGAGATGGGAAGTATGTGACAGGGACCAATATCCGAGCGGACCAGATTGGGAAAAGTCACAGGAGGACCTCAACATAGTGCCATGGAATAGCCTTCCAAGTTCAATTTCAGCTACATAGAGTTAAAATATTAGGAAAGTATTACCATGCCCGTAAACTTAATAATGTAACTAAGGCTGTGGCGAATGTGAGTATGTCTGTCTTGTTGGTGTATCGATCGCTTCCGGAGGAGGTAGATGTTGTCGAAGTAGAGGTAGGCGACTTTGACGGAGAAGTGGATGATTCTGACGTATAAGAGGGCGGTTTTGAGGTGGAGGTTGGTATACTCGTTGTTTGTGAGAGTGGACGTAGGGTATAGGAGCCTTCAAACATATCGAACTTGTCCTTACCACCACAGAACTCCATACTATTTCCTGAGCAGCGCAAATTGCAGTCAGGGTCGCCGTCCGTGCTACGACCAACGATACTGTTACTGCACCAACACTCAGTGGATGCTCTGAAGCCGGCAAACCTGAAACTATCAGCCCAACATGCGTTCTGGCATGACGAGTGGTTGAGGTTGCTGCTGCTAACCGCGCTGTTGTACTTGTCAAGTGGCATCTTGTCCCAGATCAGGTAGCAGCCGCGGTCGATCCAGCTGTCTGCAGGATGGCGAGGCGGCGGCGCCATAGCCGTAGCAGACGGCTTTGGTCGAGTAGTGGAAGAAGTAGTAACATCAGGGATGGCGACACAGTAGGACCAGTAGTTCCAGTTCTTGCAGTCGACCGTAACGGACGGATTCCATTCGTGAAATGTCTCTGGAGACACCTCCCATCTTCTGCGCACCGTTTCACACGGCGTTCCATCGTCATTGTCGAACCAATAAGCGCAAGAGCTGATTGTGTTTGGATCGTAATGGAGCCCGGGCTTCTTGTTTGCAAGGACAGCGGTGGCAGCTAAGCTTAGCGAAATGAGAGACTTACAGAGCATTGCTTTTGAGTAATTGGTGTATAATGAAATATAGTCTATGGTGATTGGCGCAAAAGGGGTGAGAAAAATAGGCCAAGATGAGGCGGCGAAGGGGAATAAAGATCGCGATGCTACAGAAGTGGTATTAGAGTGAGTTATGGCTGTATAGCAAACTAGTGAATATCTCTCCAACCCTTCTTAGCAACGTAGGACAAGAAATATATTTCCTGTTATTCTCTATATTGGGTGATGAAGCTAGGAGAGTGTGAAATGTCTCCTTCAGTCGGCCAGTCGGTGGCTTTTCTGGTGGCTCGCCGTTCGGCGTGCAAACCCTCCACATGTTTGCAGAATGCGTTTACACTCGGCCAATTGACCCAATTTAGCCCCTTTTTAAAGCGGCGATGCCCTTTTCTGCTCATAATACATGACCTTTTGGTGGATCGCGCGTAGGCTATGGAGCTGGGTGTTCCTGACAAGGCTCTCGATGGGCCCTGAAAAGATCGAGAGAGATGGTATAGTAATAAACAACAATAAGAGTGCAGATGGTGATACTGCACCAAGATACGATTCTCCTTTTTCCTTTCTCTTGTCTTTATTCCCCCCATGTTTTCCGAAAACGTGTTCAATTGAGCGCCCCAACAAGGCTGCAGGCGTTGGCGCCACTGTACTTGTAGATTTATAGTAAGTGAGAGTTCGAGATCTCGGGTGCACTGAAAGCCTACCAGCCCCATCCTGTTTTTGAAGGATTTTAGCACGTGGCTAAAAGAGAGCATGACGAACAAGAATGCATTTACAATATATCTAGAATTATTCATTACTATCTATCTACCCTAAAAATTATAGCAATATCTGTTTAAGGACTGTATATACCACTTGCCGTTGTGCTTAATGGTAAACGCACCAAAGAAAGCGCTGACGACGCCGGCAGTGATTCCTGGAACCAAGTATTCCATTATGGGGTGAATTTCTTATGTAATACAGGCTATTTTATTATAATTGAATACCAGATTACAATTGTCTCCATTCATCAAATACACCATCACACAGCTACTAATATAATGCTAGTGTTCGTGAGTTCTGGGTCCATCGAGGTGCGCATCATAGTCTCTCGCCAAAGACCAGGCCTGGATCCGATCAAAGTCGCGGCATGTATGCCATGTCTCCTGTACCTGACGCGTCCGATGCCTCACCGCCGAGTATTCAAAGTACATGGGTGTCAGGTCGGATTGGCACATGACGCCTTGGCGAAGATAGTCCAGACAATGATCTGTACAGCTTTAGCATCGCTTTTACCAAGAAACGGTGGCCGGGGTAGAACTTACACATGTGCTCAGTATGCAGAGGCTCGGGATTGTACGGCTTGTAATATTCGGGGTTGAGATTCCGTCGCAGCATATTCTTTAGTCGTAAAATTAGCTTGGGAGTCAGTTGTACCGGGATTTAAAACAAAAACTTACTACGCAGTGTAGCTGGTGGAAGACATCGGCGCCAACCGGATACCACTGCCCATGATGGCGTGTGGTCTTGTTAACCCAGTCCTTGGCCTCGTCTCCGATTAAGTCAACTACCTGGCCTACAATTCTCAAGGTTAGAAAATAGAGCTTCTGTAGCAAGCAAGAAAAAGACATACCTCGGATCAATTCTTCCCAAGCCAAGTCGATCTCGTCGCTGGGCTTGCCAACGTACTGCGTTGTCCCTGGCTCAACATGGCGGTACGCAGTTCCATCCTCCGCAAATTTGATACCACCTGTGAATTTAACCTGCTTAACTTTGATCATGGAACGTAATGGACCTGTTGTTACTCAATTGTTAATGTCGCCCTCGCAGCTTCAATGAAATCCCCTTACCCATGTCAGTTTCGAATCCGGCCTCGTATGAAAACTCTGGTGATGTTTTATAGCCACCAGATGAAATCCACGCTGTTACTAGAAGGGATAACAGCCATAGAATTCCAACTAATATGTTTCTATGCCTCGAACGCGACCTGCGGTCAGAATCGGCGTGATAGCTAGCAGGCCATGACTCGACGTCGGCGATGGTCGACTCAGAACGAGAAGACAGACGAGGACTGGCAATTAGACCCTTTTCCATAATAAATTGCATAAAAGATCAATTGACTAAGAAGAGTAGATGGTAATAGAAGAACTCGGCGTATCTTGTGAAGAGAAAAAGAAGTTGGCGGTGGGTGTTGAAGGGTATCACGCAACTACCAGGCTTGGTGGGGAGCCAGCTAGAGACTACGGCAGCACAACATGGTCAAGGTATTGTGGCGGGATATCCCTAGCAGAGCTCAAAGACGACCCAATTAGCTTTCTTAAACTTCAAACGCACGGTTCGTCACGCGCCCGCAAGGGCCGCCGAAGACGGGGGAGCCAGCCCAACCCCAATTCCAGGACAAAGGGCGTGTAAATATCAGTCAAGAATCGCTGGCTGTAGCAACGATGCTGCCAACCAAAGACATGTACTGGTACAAATCATCAGCCACGCCTGAGGTAGTAAGTAGTCTTGGAGCTAATACATAGTCATATGCAATATTCACAGCTGAAATATCCATGTGAGCACTGGGTAGCATGTTTCCTGTTGGGAAAACCCAAGGGTCGACGCTTGTCCCATGAGCCAATCAAACGTCAATGGGCGTTACATTGGCTGAAACTGCGGGAACATCGTAGAGCGCCTTACGGCCGACAGGAGCGGATGAATAGCTCCAGACCAGGAATCACCATCATAGGGAGGGACCATGATGACCACGGGTGGCTTGCTGCAGGGATTCTGAAGCAATCCTTTCCTAAGATCATGCCGCCAATGTGACATATTACTAGTGCGTTTCCAATACGTGTATACATCTCGGCGCTAACAGTCGGCACAATTGCCGTTGGCATTGCGCCGTGGACTCTATTCGTGGCGTCGATAGCTGGGGGCCTTACTGATGCTAGTGAGCTTTACTCGGTGCCAGCCGGTGCTGATGTTTCAGCCAACGCGGGGAGGCAACCGCCAAGGGCGATCATAAATCTGGGGCTTTTTGCCAGATCGGGCTGCCAACGCGATTGTATCATCTATACGAGAGGCGAGAGACGAGGGCTCCTTCTGCTACAATGACACGCTGCAATGCAGAAGGATGAAGGCCTCGCTTTCTGGAAACGTAACGTGCATGGTGGTGGCAATTTGCCATGACCAGTTGAATTTACGTCTTGCGTCGCCACCACATGTCGACAGTATTGGCGATGTAACTTATATCGCCTGCTAGAAAATAAAGGGACAAAACAACAACAACAACAATGACCCTGCGCACAGTTTTGGCAGTGGATGAAAATTAAATTCTTCTTAAAAATATATACAGTACACACCCCCAACAACGCCATTTCAAGCCCATCTAGCCTATAGGGTGAGTGCCCTTCTTGGTCTGCGCACCCTCTGGCCGCTGCAGCGTCCCTCCTGGCAAGTTTGTTTTGATTTTCGCGCCGTCCATCCACTGGACGACTTTGTCATAGTCGCGGCATTGTCGATTGATGCTAAAGTCCAACCACGGCTCGGTTGTGTGATCCACCCAATTGTAGGTGATGGCGTGCATGTCGGCGTTGCACATGATCACTTGTCGCAGCATCTCGATACAGTGGTCTTGTTTGAATCAGCACTACTGTAAACTCCTCGTTGAGCAACTCGTTGACTTACCAAGGTGGATTCGGAACTTTTTCGGCACCGCAAGATGGCCTGCAAACGACTCAGAATGCACAGCGTAATATTCCGAGTACGAGTTCTTGCGCAAGAGATCCAGGCAATGCATTTGGTGAAAGGCTTCCATCGAGCCCATATACCCGCCCCCATACTCAGCGGGGATGCGAACGCTGCTGTTGGTGAGTTTTCCCATTTGGCGTATTTCTTCTTCGGGAATGGAAAAGACGCCGCCTGCCGATTGTCAGCGTTGTGAGATGGGGAGCGAAACGACCGTTAATGCATACCCTTTGTGATGCGATCCCACGAAGCGTCGACTTCAGGGTTGGGTGGCCCGCGATATTCAGAGGGCTCGTCCAGGACGCCCTTGAGCACCCAGCTCCGCTTCTGTGATGCCGCTTTAAATGCACTGTCTATTCAATAATATTAGCACACTTCGGCCGGAAAATAAACGTGAAGAAGCGCAACCATACCAAATTCACGCGTGTAAAGGGGCTCAATTGGGTCAAAACAAGCAGATGCCTGTCGAAACCTCACAACAGATGCCGTGAAGAAGCCAATTGATGCGAGAAGTAGCACACCATGAAGTGCCCAGTAGGGCCCCCAATGATGCCTGGTACGGCCGTTGTAAGACGCTTTGTGTAAAAAGATATCGTTCTCGCCATTTTCTGTGTCGGAGTCACGGAGCACAGCGTAGCGTTCTTCGGACATGTCTATGTATACAATTGGTCGAATATGAAGGTAGAATGGATGAAATGGAGGAGACGTGATGAGAGGGATGAAATTCTGAAGACCGAAGAATTGTTTTCTGACCGCTGAGTATTAAGAAGAGCGGCGCACTTGCGCCCCCCAACCCCTCGCCCTCTTCTAGAGGGAGGGGGGGCGTGTGCATCCAGTCATCATAACCCCAAGTTCATGTACCAATACATGGTAGGCCATTGAACCAAGATTGTAAATCTGCATGAAATATGACAAACTTGAAGGGTAGTCTTTATCACTACTATGATGTGTTGATCATATGTGTCATGGCAATCTAGATTCATGCAAGTGCTGACCCATGATGTGCAATCGCTTGGAGGTAAACGAGCTGCGGTAGGTAATTCTTTTCAGCTTTGTGGAATACTGTGGAGATTTCTCCAAGGCGGGGTTTCTTGGTGTGAAATGTGACCTTTGTTTATCCAGAGGAGAGATCGACTTCTTACCAAGGCCGGCATCCAGAACGTCAAGATGCCGACTAGCCTGCCTACGATGCCGCCATATGCCGATTTTCACCGCACTTATGGTAGCAGAATGCAGCCAAGTCTCCTAATCCCGCGTAAGCCAGGGTCTTTCGTGGCGGTTTCAAGAATCCCCGAGGTCGGCGCAGCTGAAGAGGGTGTCACTGTTTGCCAAAGTCACAGCCTGTCAAGTCTTTCGCCATTGTACACAGGTAATAAGGTGGCGGTTCATGTCAGGTATTTTACTAAGTCGGTCAAGTTACAGTGTCGCGGTTATAATTTATTATAAAAGAACGCTGATCCTCAGCTCAGGCGCACTAGGAGTTTTAGATACCGTCAGGCACCACTTACACCGTTTCTTAACCAATATCCGTTCAACGTGCCAAACCATCATGCAGAACAAGATTCTTCTCACAGCCATTTTGGCTTTTGTTTCTAGCGTCGCCATCGCTGCACCTATTAACGGTATGCGACTACGGGATGAATGTTTCGCCACAAACTCATGTGACGGTAGTTAACATGGTATAGGCGCCGACGAAGACCTCCTAGCTGGTCACAACTCCAACTACAAGCGTGGTGAAGCTGAAGACCTCCTAGCTGGTCACAACTCCAACTATAAGCGCGCCGAAGATGAAGATCTCCTAGCTGGTCACAACAAGAACTACAAGCGTGCCGAGGATGAGGATCTCCTAGCTGGTCACAACAAGAACTACAAGCGTGCCGAGGATGAAGATCTCCTTGCTGGACACAACTCCAACTACAAGCGTGCCGAGGATGAAGATCTCCTAGCTGGTCACAACAAGAACTACAAGCGTGCCGAGGATGAGGACCTCCTTGCTGGTCACAACAAGAACTACAAGCGTGCCGAGGATGAAGATCTCCTTGCTGGACACAACTCCAACTACAAGCGTGCCGAGGATGAGGACCTCCTTGCTGGACACAACTCTAACTACAAGCGTGCCGAGGATGAGGACCTCCTTGCTGGACACAACTCCAACTACAAGCGCGCTGAAGATGAGGACCTCCTAGCTGGTCACAACAAGAACTACAAGCGTGCCGAGGAAGAAGATCTCCTTGCTGGACATAACTCTAACTATTAGCATGCTAATTGAGAAGAACGTTTAATTGTCTTCTTGTGAATATTATTGCTACTATTCTTTTTCCGTATCTGTCTCATCTGCTTCATCCTCTGAGTCAACCTCAGTATGCTATCACCGTCGATTGCTACCACGGTCTACTCGACATTAAGTGACAACGACACTATGTTACAAAGTATAGAGTAGTAATAGCTGTGATAAAGGACAGGATAGGGGTGGCACAGAGATGTCTAAATATCAGGCTAAGTGACCAATAGAGCCTTTTTAAAAGGATAAAATAAAGAACTGAGAGAACTCTACTTTTATAAAGTGGCTTTTCTGGTTTTCGCCGTTACCGCCCTGGTGGTCGTCAACAAGCTGGTGGATATTTGGTCATGCGTCTGGGCTGGTACAACCTGGAATCAATAGCGTGGTACTTTTGACCCAAGCTAGGAGCCATCAAATGAAATATGCACAGTCTCAATACATGTTATGGATTGAACGGTGATACTGATTCGCTCGACCGACCAGCAAGCGGAGCCCGAGCATGGGGTAGGAAATTACATGACTGCGTTTATTTTGGGGCAAGACGACGAGTTAAAAGGCGGCTAGAGGTCATGACTATACAATCTGGTATTGTTGAAGCTAGCGCACGAGAGTAAACCATCATTCGAAGTGGTATAAGCGGTTCTACTTCTCCTCTCAAACCAGATTTTGAACCCCCTACCAAGAATTTCCCACCCAATGTCCTCTACTGCTTTGCCGCTGTCTCTCACAGCATTCTTCCAGTGACATGTCCGTGCCACCAGCTCATCTTGGCAGCAAACCAAGCTCCTGTCTTCTGCGGTGTTCCACCGCCCCGTAGCCTTGTTTATTTTCTCAATTACATCAATGCTCAGTTGTTGTCAGGCTCTACTTGCAGTGTGCATCAATAGCCCTTAAGATACGATACCCAAATCAGCCATGTTTCCAGGTATCCCCAGGCGCGTGGCTCTAACGATTGCAAGGAGGTGGCCTAGCGTAGCATCACGACATGGGCACACGAACAATCGAGATCATGCCAATGGACCTACCGCACTAGTCTTTTTGAACATGGGCGGCCCAGCTAGCCAAGCTGAGGTTGGAGATTTTCTCGAAAGACTACTTGTAAGAAATGAATGACGATGTCAACAAAGTCGACAAGGCCCATCCACTGACACCGGCGTGCAGTCGGACAGCGATCTGATTCCATTCGATCGGTTTCAATCCACCATTGCTCACTTCATCTCACGCATGCGAATGCCCAAGATCCAGAAACAATACGCGGCTATCGGCGGCGCGTCCCCGATTCGTCGCTGGACCGAAAAGCAAGCTGCAGAGACGTGCAAGATGCTAGACATCATCTCCTCCGCAACAGCACCACACATACCCTACGTTGCATTTCGATATGCAAGTCCACTCACAGAAGACATGTATGCAAAGCTGCTGGCAGACGGATTTGGGCGTCGCGGTAGGGTAGTGGCCTTTTCTCAGTATCCGCAGTACTCGTGCGGGACGACTGGCAGCTCGTTGAATGAGCTGTGCAGATGGATGTAGAAGCTGGAGGGACAGGCCAGCTCATCACGAATCAATTGGAGCGTGATAGACCGCTGGCCGACACATCCTATGTTTATCGAGGCTGTCGCGCCCAAGAATGCGATGAGTCGGGTTGTTCAATGTCGTGAGCTGTTCAAGCTGTGTGAAACTTAATACTAGAAAGCGAAGCGCTGGTAGCCCGAGTGCAACACAAAACCGCTCACAAAACTGCCGGTTATGTAGCCACCCCTGAAGCAATCATCTCCTTTCTAAATATGAATATTACTCGTATACATAATCTATAGTACAAAGATACTAAGTCTCCCTCCTTTCCTTGCGCTACTATAGATCCTTTCTGATTGTAACGGGCTAGGCCCGTGGAGGTGTCGGGTAGCTCTCGACCAGGGATCCATGTAAGTCATATAAGAGGCTACTCCAGGCAGCTGGAGTAGCCCCTTTTCGACCTCTTCTTCTTCATCTTCGGATGCTCGTAGTAGTCGCTAAGCTAGTTGTCAATATACTCAGTTGAGACCGTTACACAGTCTCCTCATTTGACTGCGACGAGGCCTCCAGGTGACCCAGAATGAATTTAGCCAAGATGGTTTTGCCTTGGCCAGCAGCGCCTTTTATCCGTAGCATGGTTTCATCGTTACCCATCGTTGAAAAGCTGGTTGGAGTACAAAACCGCTCAGTGTGCCAGGAGTGGGATCGTCAATGTTGAACTCTCTGAAGGATGCAGAGTCCGGCGCTTTCAATCTTTTGATGTACCGCTTTTGGGTTTGCAAGAGTTCTACATTGTAATTAGACACTGTGTATTGATGTTTACCCATACATAGAGGCTACTTACGTTCATCTAGCTCCACTAGACGTCGGCGAACTACTTCCGGTGCACGACTTGATAAACTCTCGAGCCGGCTTTGTATCATAATGTAGTCTGCGTCTGACTGGTCGCTGAATTTGACAATATCGGAGTGATTTGCATTGATTGACAAATGATCGTGATCTTTTTCATTCGGCCTGGCATGTATGGCAGACGCACGTGGCACCATTATAACATTTGGTCCAGATCTGGTCCACTTCCCCAGCTCTTCAGACCACTTATCAATTGTCAGTCGTACTGGTTTGCAGTCATCAGAGGGTTGGAATATACCTGGACTGTTGTAGTTGTGCATGTTTCAAAAACACATAAAATTCTGGAGTCTCGCAAATTGAAGCGCTCCAAGGACATCTTATGAAGTAGACCCAAAAATGGCGATGATTCGGACAGACTTCTAACCAACTCTTCATTTGGCTTTCCTCGAACCATGGTCATCAAACTCTCATTTTCGATACCCCTATTAGGAACACCAAAGAGAAGTAGAGCATAGCAAGAGATGAAAACTGCTCGATCTTCGATATCACCGTCGGAGGCCTGAACGAGACACCTTGTACGGATGCGTCAGCATGGAAATTCATAACATTTGTTGTTGCATTGCAGCATATCATACCTGTTTTATAACAAGATTACCGAGACTATGTCCGATAAATATTATCGGTCGATTCTATGGTATGCTAGCGTTAGTACCATGAAATTCACTCTGTATGTGAGGTTGGTCTGCTCACCTTGGCCGATGCACGTGTACTCTTCACGCTTTCCAGTAATCTTCTGGATAATTCCAAAATAGAAGCATCTGATAGACTGCCAGGCAGCTTTGTATCGTAGCCATAAATGAAGATGCGCGAAGTTGGAACTGCCTCTGGGAGGAAATCACGGAGCCACATGTCATGCTTCGCCCTCGATTTCCAGGAGCCAAACGCGTGCCCACCAAGTCCGCTAACGGCAATGATGCTATCGAATTGTTAGAATATGTCTATTCGCGTCGGTAGCAACAAAAGACGGTTCGATGTCACTTGACCACTTACTCGACGGAAGCGTCCTCACCCGGGTCAGAGAGCGGGGTGAGACCAAAGAAATCTGAGTCAACCCTCAATCGAGAGGCTGCCTCGAATATGTGACGTTTCAATTCGATCTCCAACTTGTCTGCTTTGATCGGTATACCAAATGTGACGGTGGCCACCCAGAAACGGCTGGAGAGGCTGGACGCAGGCCCCTTATCCAGCTGCATCACGTGCTTCCGTACTGGCTCCATCTTGTAACGATAGGGATGTAAAAATTAATATGAAAAAAAATATTTAGAAATTATGAAATAATCATAGATTATAACCATCTCCAGCAAACCTTGTGTTTACCCTACAAGATTGGTGGGTATGTTGCCGGTGGCTCTACAAGTACGCCGCTTCTTAAGAACCACGATATTCAATCTTATCTACGAATATAAATAACCCCATAAATTCGAATAGAATTTCTCTCTTCTACCAAAACTAATTCGGAGCACATCACACGGATGGAGCAGACCGTTGCCGCTTGCTTTACTTCTCAGCGGCCACAAGCGCGCCAACATTCAGGCTGCTGTCATATTTATTACCGTCAATACCTTTTTGAACAGCAGGGCGGGCGCTGATTTTGTCTATCCAGGCGGCCAAACTTGAAAATTTGGACTTCATCTCCTCGTCACTAATACCCAGCGACTTGTGAGCTTTGAGGTGAGCCCATGCGCCAATATCCGCAATGCTATATCGTCCTGCGCCTTTACCAGCCAGATACTCTCGTGGTGTCCCGCTATGCTTGCCACTCAGGTGAGTTTCAAGAACTGTGTAAATGCGTCGGATGTGGTCGCTGAAGCGGTCTCGTGCGGCTGCGGACGAATGAATCAATTCACGAACCTGCTTGCAATGCAAAATAGCCCGACATACCAGGGGGAGCATCTGGAGACGCTATGAAGAATCGGCCGTGGCCGTGAACTGAGGCTGCATTGTGCCAGAAGAAGAGCCACTGGCTCATCTGACTCCTCTCGGCCGGTGTGGTGAAGCCAAAGAGGTTATCCTTGTCATGGTGCTCCTGGAGATGGACGAGAATGGCGGTGCTTTCAATGACTGAGACAGGGGCGCCAAAGGTGTCATCAATAAGAGTAGGGATTTTACCTATATTCACAGAAAATTAGTACCTGTTATGTGCCAATTGTAATTGTGAGGGGGTTCGTGCCTCCAGGGTTCAAGACGCGAAACCAGTCCTTCTTTTGCTCTTCTGCCTCAAGATCCACGAGGCGGATATGGCATTCGGTTCCATACGCCTCCTTTAGCTCTTCGATAAGTATTTGCACCTTTTTTCCATTATTCGTATTCTCCGTGAACAACTGGAGGCCCTTTCACAATGGTTCAAGCCCGGTGTCAGCTCCCTGATTGATGGAATGGAAGTGGCGTAGCTGGTACCTGGGCATTCCTGACAATATCAGGTGTATCTTTATGATATGTGACTTCCATTTTCCACTTCCGATAGCGATTACTAACTTTATAATCACACCAAGGCCGCGATATGCACCTCCAAGACAGTTGTTGCTGGACGCGGAGATCATGTGCGGGGCATTGTTGGCTGCAAAGCCTAAAGCCGGGCCGACCCGTCGCTACTGAACTTTAGTATCTGCATTTGATTCGCCACTCAAAAACATAGAAGCTAGCGGTAAGCAGCGTGCAGTCTGCAGGTCCTATTAAAGCAAAGGTCCACACACCTACAACGCTGAGAATACCACGGCCGGCGCCACTGTGACGATTTCTTGTGAACACAGATGAGATACAGCAGGGCTATATCGATTCGCTACCCTAGAGCGAATCCCAAATCCCCAGAAACCATGCAACATAAACTTCTAAACTGTATTTGTCGGATCTATAAGTCAAATTTTAGAAATATAATTTAGAAATTGTTTTACTAGAAATCAATATGAAATTTACACAACTTATGTATTGTACTTTATACTTTTAGATTGTTTTAAGACATCAACTTTCCTTCACATCTCCGTCCTCGGCTCCATGGCTGAGGAGTTTATCTACAAGGACTCGTATCAGGTGACTGTGGAGAATAGAGGAGCAACCGACGACTATACACAATCGGATACAAACCAGCAGCTAGCGTCTACATGCTCAACTGGACCATGGCAAGTCGAATGACATATGATCGCAAATTTCCAGCCCTAGAGTTCAGCGATAAGACACTCAGGGTATCTCCTGGCGGAGAAGCCATGTTTAACGTTACGGTTAAGCAGTCAACTCAGCTCAATGAAAGCCGGTTTCCGCTATACTCGGGCTGGGTGACGCTCAACTCGACAGACTCGCCGTCACTAAGCATCGCATATCAAGGAGTAGGCGCGAAGCTACACAGTATGCCGTTGTCACGCGGACTTCGAGTAATCGGAGTCGATTATGAGGAGGTTGGAGATGGATATGAGTTTTCCATTGGTCGAGGGCCAGTTATAGACTTTAATATGCACTATGGGTCAGGGCTGGTACGTGTCTTTGTCGTCCCAGTAGACGAGAGTGGCAAGGATGACGAAGGCAAAATGAAACAGACAAAGCAGTCGCCTTTCAAAAATGTCGCCAGCAGGGATTGGGAATTTTGGGACGGAACCATGGTGGATGATACAAATGCGCCAGAGGGGCGGTATAGATTTGTCGTCCAGATGCTTCGCTTTCATGGCGATGCTGCCAATAAAGAGGACTGGGAGATTAAAAGGTCGACCAACTTCATTATCCGGTATAAAGGGAATTAGATGCAATGGCAATAATTGAAAGATTAATCAGTCTACTTATGAGTACACTGGATCCATTTATTTTACTTAGTATAATGTTGTGCAAGTTTATGGCATGGGGTTGTGGATTACAAGTAAATTACCCATTTTCGTACTATATATTACCCACCTAGAAATCGAGACCGTTTCATGGTTTTCTTTCTTTTAAATAACATTCGATAAGTTACCCAAGTTGGCAAATATCTTGTCAAAGCACAGAGCGAGTTTTATTATTTGAGAAAAGGTCTGTGCAAAACGTTGTCAAACTAGAAGCAACTCTACATCACTCTGCCCATGGTCGTCTACCTAGAAGATCATCCAGGTCAGCCTCAAGCCACCACAACCGTTACGGACAGGGGTGTTGCCGCATTGCCGTCCTGTCGTATCACCGTATTTCCTAAGGCTGAGCGGCTGAAGAGGTAGTGAAGCTCTCGCCCATGTACGTTTCAAAGTATTTCTAATTAAGGGGTCTTTCCAAAACCCGGTTGTTCAAGATCGAATCCTTAATATGTGACTGGCGCCATTCACAGCCGTCCACAAGTTTGCCTGGCCTTTTGTCCGGCTTACAGAACTCAAAACTAAACAATGCCCGCAACAATGCGTCGTGGAAGCGGTGCGTCCGCCTTTCTCAACAGTCTTGCCGCTGCGCTGGCCGTGGTTCTGCTAGCGGGCGCCATTAAGCTCAAGACACAGCTTGTCGTGGTATCGCAACCGAACGATGGCTTCACAACGCTAGACATCAATCCGTCCATGTGGAATGTCGGTGTTACCATTGTAGGCAGTGTTGTTGGATTGCTAGCAAGCGTCGCCTTTTCCGCCCAGGATGCCTATCTTACACGAATGCGACTCGCTTCTACGCGCGGCATGTCGGCAATCTTTCTCCGCCCGTTAACGGCTATGCGTGGCCTACAGCAAGTTGCACGGGGCGAGATCAACGCGGAGAGGGCGTTGCTTGTGCTGCTCATGCTGGGAACGGCATTGTCTTCTGCGGTTACGGTGGCCTTATTCTCCGTCCAAGACGACGTCGTCAGCGTCACCAATACTCACCCTTCATTTCCTCTGGCTAGCCTGGGGATCGGTAGCAACTTTTTCCAGATCACTCCAGACGGGGCGGTGTTCCCCATTGTCGTACCTCTTCTCGGGTCAGGAAGAGATATCAACGTCATCCCCTTCGTCGAATCTTTTGTTTATCGCAGCGCCTTTATCCAAGGTCAGGCCGCTAGGTTAGGCCATATTCTGAAACAGCCGCTGAATGACGAAGGATTTCTACCCGTCCAGGGACTGCTTGGGTATACGACGTACGGTGATCTTTGGACTGCTGGCGTGGGCATCAACGCCGCTAGTTACGCGACATTCCCTGGTTTCAGCTCTATCCTGCCGCTACCTGTTAATTACACGCTCAGCAGCCTCAGCGGCCAAGTGTATGGCGCTACCGTCAATGTAACTTGTGAGAATCGCACATCGTCATATGACATTAGCACAAGCAGACCGATAATTTCCGGTGTTATTGTGACTGCCTCGAGATTCGGGGAGGAAAATGGAAGCTTCAGAAACAACATCACCATGTATATCGACCGAACACAGCAGGACCTGCTGCCAATTTCCTTCAACCTAAGCACATCGGCTTCTGCCCAACCAATGCACGTCGTTCTTGTAACGGATACGCTGGGAAGCAATGCGCAAGTATTTGAGTGTACATACCAGGGCCGCGAGATAGTTGTCAACATTGATATGCCAGGACCCAGCATGCCGCTTTCAGTTGGTACCGTTGCGATACAAGGGCCTGCCATTAGCCCCTCCATCATGCGTACGCTCGTTGCAACTCCTCTCCAGAGTATTATTGGTATTCAAGGCGGCGGTAGTATCCTGGCTAAGGCCTTTGTTGACGCCAAATACAATGACGGCGGGGACAATACCACGGCGCATTTCGGTGACGTTTTGGCGACGGTGCTGTCGCAGTCCGGCCAGGCTATCATCTCAGCAGTCAAGCAGTCGGTTGAGATCCCAAACCTCGACAGTAATGGCCTTCCGAAGCTCAGCAGGGTTTTTCTTGACGTAAATCTTGTGGTCAAGCGGGTCGGTGGTGGAAGCTATGGCTGGATAGCAGTGTATGCCGCCATTCTTATGGGCAGCTTGTTGGGCCTTGCGAGAACCTTAGTCGGAGGAAACGCTATTAATTTCGATGCCCAGGATTCTGTCATGCTGCTTTCACAGGCCATGAAAGACAGCAACATCAAACCGAAGGCTAAAGTAAGATTTTCTCAGGAGGTTGACCAAATACAAGTAGTAGGGCAAGAGCAGATTCCGGAGCCGTCTAAAGAGTAAATAGTATAATCAACAAAAGTTTCAATTGAATAATACTTAAAGTTCCATCTGTCATACATGATTCAGAGTAATGGCCTCGGCCGACGCACTTTAAATACGCCATTTTGTTCTTCTGTTTCTTCCGAGATATATGGCTTAAGCCCACAACGGTGCTAACCGAGCAGCCACAATCGAATGCCCTAGATCAGTAAATTTTAAGTTACATTATGCAAACTTTGATACACAGCCACTGTGTTTGTTTGCACTTGGCTACTTTAAATATATTGCAAATAATTAACTCATGGCTATGCTGTGCACTGCCTCCCTCCCGCGTCCCGATGCTCCGCCCCCGACCTCACACGTTTTATAAGTCCATGTTGCCTTCAGTGTATCCCTACTACGATTTTTTACCGATCACTTTATATCTTATTACTCCAGATCAATTATGCCGTTGGCTGATCAACTGAGCCAAAAGTTCCAAAGCTTTGGGCTGAACAAGATGACTTCAAACCAACCGCCGCAATATTACCAAGGGTCCTACAGTTAGTGGAAATATTTCCATACCAATATAGACAATCATACTGACAGAAACCACTTCCTAGATCAACAGCCACCCAACCAATATCAGCAACAGCCGCCCAGCCAAGCTCCAGCCCCGTATTACCAACCTGCGCCAGTGCAGCAATACCCTCAGTACAATTCTTCTCCAAGCAACACTCAGTATGCACCCCCAGCTGGGCCACCCCCAGCTGGGCCACCACCTGGTAGCCAGCCGACACTGGCCACCCCAACTGTACCTGAGGCACCATACCAGTCAGCCTACGTGCCAGGGAAGCCAATGTTGCCGCCAGGTTGGGCCACTCTCCATGACGCTGAACAGGGCCGTTGGTATTATGTGGAGCAAACAACAAACAGGACACAGTGGGAAGTTCCAACACTTCAGTCCCCTGCACCGCCCCCTCCTCCCCCAGGGCCTCCTGCCCAGATGCCACCAGTCCCAGACACGCGCCCTCCAGAAGGCGCCCGAGATGGCGGCTACTCTGCCTATGCTCCTGCTCCCCCTCCCCCCACTGGCTATGCTGGGGAACAAAATATGCCAAGTGAGAAGAAGTCGAGCGGAGTAGGTGGAATGGCTCTTGGCGCTGCTGGTGGCCTTGCTGCTGGCGCTGTGGGAGGAATGCTTCTCCATAAAGCCATGCACCGCCATGATCATGATGGGTACTATCAGAGTGATGGTGACGGCGATGACTGAGGCATGGTGTCTCATTTACATCGACTGTATAAGGAAGAAGTAGTAGGCAGAGTTATAAATACAACGCACTAGTATAAACATGATACCCGTATACGTTAAATTAGCACCACTGCTAGTACATACGACCATAGATACAAGAGAGCTCGTAGCAAACTTTGGCCGAGAGAGCGCCGCCAAGGATATCCAGCTACAGAGATCAAGCAAAGTCCATAATATTAGCAAGTTAGCAAGATACATATTACAATTGACACCAAAAAGTACTCAGCTAATATGACACGCTATCTACAACATCTCCAATGATTCGGAACGGGGCTTGGCTGTAACTGGTGACCTGCTGCTGTACTGGGAGATGACCATGGCGCTGGCCGACAGGATCACCAAGATGAACACAGGCAGTAGTGCCCATCTCGCGCCCATCTGCCATTAGAACTTGGGTTAGTGATTCCATGCTAAACGGATGCCTGTAACGTACCGTGAGGCGACATATGGTCTTCCACTCTGATCGAGCTGCCGTCACGCTCGTGTCCTTGTCCAAAAGCGATGACACTGCGCACGTCCACACTTCCCACGTCGGTGTCTCATCCCAGCCTACCCCGCCGAAGTAGCCATTGAGGTACAAATGCGACTGACTGATGGAAGTCCCGGACACTGCGAAGACATAAATGAAGAGGGCCGTGACGGCAAGGGCCATGGATGCTGCGAGGGCGGTGGCTGCCCAGTGCCCTGAGCCGTATCCAGACGCATTTTGCTTTCTTGCGAAGCAAAACCTTCCGACTTGGATAAAAACAACAAGCTGCAGTATGAATGCAATGACACCTGATGCGAGTTCGCATCCGGGTATGGCCCAAATGTTAGCGCTCTGCACGAGAACCCATGGCTGCTCAAATGTGACGTTTTGATGGTACGGAATCATTGGGACGGAGCTGGATTCGTCGCCTTGGCCATATGAATAATCGTACTGATCGTGCAGCCTCTTGAGATCAGACATGCGTATTTGGATACGATATATCGATATCAACCTGGCTATATGGCTATATCGATATTGATATATATCGATATCGATACAAATCTCCGACCCTTAAATGGATATCCATGTTGATATCCATTTAATATTCTATCCCTGATTGGTCAAAAAATCTTATCAGTGAAACACATCGTGGCGGTGCTCAGTTCGTTCTCTCGCCTGAATCTTGAACATTTTACCGTCAACATGGCTACTTATCGTCGATCATCAAGCTAAATTTTCCTTCTAAAGTAAATCCAAACGCAATAGTTGGGGTTGTCTCAAGCAATCTCTAATACTTTGCCTTTAGCGGCTGTACCAGAGTAACCGATGCTTTCCCAGCTCAAGATACAGGGTAGGCTGTGACTATGTTAGTGTCTGTAACAAGTTACCTACAATACCACCTAGTTTGCCAGTAAATCTAGGTACAGGTAAGCAGCTATTAACACATAACTTTTTCTAAGCAACGTGTCGGGCGCCGCCTGTTATGGAGGCTCCTTGTTCGACAATCTCTCCCTATAAAGCACAATTATTTGTTACGTAGATCGTCCGTCTGCCACAATAGCCTTATAGTGTCTTTCTAGTATACTCCTTTAGCCTTTAAGCTATCTCTTTATTCTAAACACAAACCTTCGAAATATTTCTATTAACGAGATCCTACATACGTTGCCAAGCGCGCCGCGGAATGCAGGTCTCACCGACAGGTTACCCCTAAGTGCCCTTGTAGTGTTCCTAGAAGCAAGTCCTCCGCCGCTGCTTTGTAAACTCAAGCTTACTAGCTTGTCTCTGAAAATATACCAGCGTAAGGACTTGGCTTATTATTTAGAGATATTTTTCTTGCTCTTACTTAAGCTTTCTTACTTATTTAGTAGTTTATAATTGCGCCTTCCGAAGCAACAGCTACATCTATACCTTTAATTATAGACTAGCCGATTGCTAGTATAGGTCTGGACTTCTCTTTTTTCTTTAGGTCTACGTATCCGGATGACAAGAAACAGGACACTACGGGCTGGACACGTAAACGTAAGTCCAGAGGTATTGTACTATACCAATGCCTCTATTGCCCTGGCGATTCTCCGTGGTCGAATCGTAAGCGAGACAATGTATTGTATCACGCCCGTAGGTGCTATTCGGATATCATATCCCGCTTTGACTGCATACCTCTAGAGGGGAGCTCTGATATTATAGAAGAGGAACTAGATACGAAACGTTCTCGTATTGATGCTTTCTTTCCCTCTCGTATCCCCGATCCCGCTCTACGACGGGTTTTCGATCGCGATCGGTACCTCGATGCAATCATCGGCCTGATAACCCGCCGCCGACTCTCTTTCTCTGCAATCGCTTGGGTCGAGATGCAAGAGATGATACTAGCGGCTAACCCAGCCATCGAAGACCTTCTTATAATCAGCCGGGGTCCTTTAATGCTACTTATCGATGCCACGTACGACCTCTACTCTTCTCAGCTGAGGGCAAATCTTCAGTCTTCTACTTCGAAAATCCACATCTCGTCTGATCTCTGGACATCGCCTTATCGCTATGGAATACTGGCTTTGTCAGCGCGATGGGTTGATAAAGACCATCAACCACGAAGGGCTCTTCTAGCGATGCCGGAATGCCGCTATAGCCACGGTGGCGAAACGCAAGCCTCTCTTATTATAGACACGCTTGAGAGATATTGAATCGCGTCTAACGTAGGATATCACGTTTGAGACAATTCGACGTCTAATGATACTTGCTTATCTTACCTATCTCTTCGGCTTAGGCGGGACCACGGGGTAAAATTGTTTTAACTTTATTCTTGAAGTAATTCTTACCTTATTATTAGCTGTCCTTCGATCCCTCGAAGCGTCGGATACGCTGTATCGGCCATATCATTAATCTCTCCCTTCAAGCGTTCCTTCTCGCGTCGTCTAAAGAGGCGCTTATTTCAGCTCTTAATGCCATAGATAATAGCACCAGCGACCAGTTATTCGCCCGATTCTACGACACGCTGCACGATGCTGGGGAATCGATGCAAACAACTGAGATAGATTAACAAAGAAGGCTCTCGCGAAATTGCAACCGTATACTTGAGAACTTTACCGGTTTGCAGCATATTTCGCCACTACGTAAGGTATATAATATTGCGGTTTTGATACGTAAATCTACGCTTCACTCGGCTTTTTGGGATGATTAGATTAAGCTCCGACTCGGCATAGATAATACGACACGTTTGAACTCGTGGTATCGATTGCTCGATAATCTTCTGAGGTATCAAGCACGAGTGAAGCAGTTTCTGGTTGACCATGACAAGGAGCTCCAAGATGATATCCTTCTAGCGTCCGAGTGGGAATTTATTGAACGGACGCACCGTTTCTTGCAACCGTTTGCCTTAGCCACATTGCTTGCCGAAGGAGCAGGATCCACGCTATCTTAATCGCTGTCTATCATTGATGTTTTATTGCTGCAGTACGAAAAGTACAAAGTTAGTCAAAATAATCATTATGTCTCTGTTTAATTTAGCCTTTACTTACAGGCTCTTATCTCTAACACGCAGGAACTTTATAGTTCATAGGAAACGCTAGATCGTCACATGGTCCACTGTATTTATATGGGCTGGTTTGTGCTTAACAAATACTACGCTTTGTCAGACCAGACGCCAGTGTATGCAGCGGCGCTCCTGCTTGATCCTTCGAAGCGACGAAAATACATTGAACGGAATTGGAAAGAGCCCTGGCAAGCTCCTGCTGTTGATACCGCTCGCGAAATTTAGTTAGAAGAATACAAGTCTACGGCGAGCCCTGATTTGCAGGTTCCTACAGATGCGCCTTCTTCTGCTAGCAGACAGCGTAACGAGCTGGATGAGCTCTTAAGTGATATAGCGGTGACTGGCCCGATAGTAGGCGATGCTGATGACTTCGAAACATTTAGTTGTGCTCCTCCTACCCGGATTACCGGATCTCCGCTCGAGTGGTGGCTACATTCAGACCAAAGGAAAGCGTACCCGCGGCTTTCTCGTATGGCAATAGATATCCTCTCCATTCCTCCTGAATCATCTGACGCAGAGTCTCATTTCTCATCCGCGCGCCGCACGCTATCTTGGGATAGAGAGCGCATGACGTGCGAGAATCTGGCGAAGGTGGAGTGTGTGGGTAACTGGATACGGGAAGGTATCATTGTTCCCAAGTCGCGCGGTGGTAGGGGCGTAATTTCGAGCGTAGCTGTAGAATTCGGCATGGATACGGAGGTTGAAGACTTGCTAGACTAGATCACCGCCACATTGACATTGAATCTATAAATAGATGTGGCTTAAATGGATATCAACCTTGTTAAAGTGGCTATGTGGCTATATGGATATCAAACTGGATATATCGATATCCAAATAAGATGTTGGGCTTATGTGGATATCGATATAAGGCTCGAAATTTTGGTGGATATCGATATACGCAAGTCTGTCGTCAAGGGCTGGAATCCAACGACTCGCATGAGGTACGGCGCGCCGAGCCCGTCTTCGACCAGAGACTGATTCAGATCCTTAAGAATGTCTGCAAAAGTTTCTGTGAAGTCATGGACAGGCGCCCTGCATCTGCCTTGTGGCCACTTGGCCGGGTCGCGGTCTTCATTTACGACGCCTTCAATGACAGTCATGTGCCATGACGACGGCGGCAGGAGAGCAACCTTGGTGTTCAGAGCGATCTGTTGACTAATAAAGGCGTAGAGCTGTGTTAGAGCCCCTAGAATAGGCGAGGTTGGGGGAATATGAGCGACGACGGTGTTGCCGGCAAAGGGCTGGACCTCGCCAGAAGGTGAGAACTTGCTAGGCACTGCAGGCGGATACTCGTTAGAAGAGGACATTCTGAGCGTTCGCAATTAGCGTACAAGATCAGCAGCCTTTATCGCGTTGGAGGGTAATGCTCTGCTAGCTGCTGCACCGAGTGGTTAGGATGTATAAATCAGCGCTGCAAATTGAAGTTCGGCTGTAGCGTCGTGCTTACTCGTCTGAACTCAGAGCCTCACCCCAGTTATTCCTACAACTCTCCATATCGATCAAACCAACAAAGTATTGGATATATATATATATATCGCCTTTTTTTATATTTATCTTCTTATTTATTATTATAAAAGCAGCCGATATTTAATACTTGATAGTAAATTATATTTAAAATATGGATGTAGCAACATGACCATATTGGTAGTAGCGTCAGAACGCTAGTCTTTTCATCAAGTTTTCTAAAGAAAAAAAAAAAAAGTTTGAAAAGTAATTACCAGTACAAGCCTCTGTCCCCACGTCCCATACTAAGTTAATACGCAGGCCGGATGCGGCGGCTTTAATTGGGTCGTCGATCTCGTCCTATCAGCCTTTCTGTGACAAACCCTAGAGCCTCGCGGTCATTCTACGTGGCATCTTTTTAAATTCACAACGTCTGTGCGCGCGCGTGAGAAGCGTTCAATTCCATTTCACATTTAGACCATCACACTGAAATGATACATGACCAATATTAAGGGCGCAACAAGACACCTACCAGTCCCTGTCTTCCTTATATACACATCTGTGCGACAATGTCACCAGCGGAGGAGCAACAAGCTGCCGCACGGCATGCTATTGACAAATTTCGAAAGAATGCCGGCGCAACGGTTAGCCAACAGCAAGCCGCAACGGCCAAGGACCGCCCGATCCCAGAAGGATTCTGCGTCAGTAAAGTCAAGATACCGCCGCCTGAGGCCACTGACGCCCGCGCGCACTTTCTCGAAGCTGTCGCCAACTTAAGCACAGATCAAGAGGCGTTCACGCTGCCAAAGTACGGCGATTGGGAGGGTGAATGGATTGGTTCGACCCAGAAGCCTCAAGCGGCCCTCGACGAGCTTTCACAGAAAGACAAGTTTGACATCATTACCAGAGAACGTAAAAGTGATGTGGTTATTATGCACGTGCACGGCGGAGCATATATGTTTGGAAGTCCCATCACTGCACGATCCATCACCCTGCCCCTGAGTGCCTTGACTGGTGGTAGATGCTTCGCTGTGAGATATCGCTTAGCACCCCAAGTTCAAGCCTTGTCCCTACAACTTGATATTTTTATGGCCTATCTTTCCCTATTGTATCCTCCACCGGGAGCGTTTCACTCACCAATATCCCCTGAATCTATTGTCTTTGCTGGAGATAGCTGCGGTGCGTCCATGACTTTCTTCATCATTCAGTTAATTCTAGAATTGAGGAGAAAGCAAAATACACAGCGTCCAACTGTTCGCTGGTACGGCCAGGTCGTCCATGTTCCCCTACCGGCAGGTGCGACTGCTCTCAGCTTCGCCGGCGACCATTTACTTTGCCTGCCTTCCTATACCACGAACCTCCAATATGATATGATGAACTCCGTACCACCATACAGAAGCTCGACTGGTGTAGTTGATGCTCTATGGCCGTCCGACCCACCCCGAGGAGATATATCGTGTGAGCTCTCCGCTATGACTTCGATCGTCTATAATCCATATCTTGCTGATTCATGGCGTGGATCTCCACCATTATATCTTGCCTGTGGAGAGGAAAGATTGAGTGATGGATCAAAATTGCTTGCCCAACAAGCCGCAGCAGATGGCGTCATCGTACGTTTCGAGGAGTATGCCTGCATGCCCCATAGCTTCGCGGCAATGTTACCCAAATTGCCGCAAACGAAACGCTGCCTAGGCAGCTGGGCCAAGTTTATTATGGATTGTGCTGGTAGGAAAAGCATGCAATCTGAGGCAGTTCGCGTGGAGATCGGGAATCTGCAAGAGTCCAAGCTAGACTTGTCCAAGCTTGTCAACTTTACTCGCAGTGAGGCTCTTGATATGATGAAGGCTAAACGCCGCACACTCCGTCCCTGGACTGGACCAGATATAACGACAAAATTATGAGAATAGTGGCTCCTATCCCAGGGTAAAAGAGGACGGGACTATGTCAGAGTTTGTGTCTCTCTGGGATGGTAATCATCCATTGGAGATATTGCTTAGTATTTATTCCGACGATAAATCACGGTCACGCAATATCAGGCTCTCCAATCTAGATAAATTGACTTGCTATACTATGAATTTGTACGGTAGCTCAGTTCATCTACTTGAATGTACTAACTTAAGACTGTTGCCTAATCATCACCTTGACACCGATATTGGCCGGGTTTACGACAGATTCCCTCGTCGAACCACTATCACAACGCTCTTTGAATATGAATATCGTACTGGACTTCCATTGCAAGCCGTATTACCAATCACCAAAAGCTTACTAACTACAATATTTGAGGCTGCTAGTCAACTTTCTAAGAGTCCAGGATTATCTACCAGGTGATTATTATCGTCTATAAGAATAAGTGACTTCAAAGATCAAATAAGCTTACTAGTAAGTACTAGAGATCTGGATAATCGCGTATGCAGCTTGGAGAGTCACTCAGTCAAGAAGATACACAAGACTTATTAATATTAGACTGGAATAATATAGCTGAGCAGATCACATGAGAAACTCACTCTGGCGGCGGACGGAGGCAAAGGGTTAAATTATATGTACAACGATATAGTATCTACGGCAAGATAAGACACAATACGCGAACATATAAGATTGTAAAAGCAACCTCTGATGATGAAGATTATAATTGAACTTGAATTATATGGCTTTTGTGGAGTTCTTCATTACGGGTGTAAAATGTATTCTGTACGAATCGTGCGACATTCCTTATGCATGTACGTTAGTAGCAATAGTAGTGATAATTGCTAGGCAATACCAGTATAATATAAGGCAATAGAACATTCCCCAAGGAATTGATGCTCAGTGGGAAATACTTACAAATTAATTCTATAACTTATATACTAATGAAGTACAATATATCTCAACCGTCTTCTCCATTCACAGTATCATCTTCAGGATGAGTCTTATACCAACCCATCACCTCCTTGAACTCATGGCTCATTATATGAACCTTTGCGTCCTTAGGCTTTGTCACATTCATCATTTGATCCATTGGCACGGCATGCTTTTCCTGCCACGCCAAAATAGCATCAAAATCCCTACATTGGTGAGCCATGTTGAAATCGGCATACGGATGAACCTGTGCATCTACCCATCGATGGGTATACAAGTCCACGTTTCCAGCACATTTGATATTTTCGAGCAACGTAACCAAGCAATGACCAACATGCAAGTCATGGAATTTTGTTGTGGCAGTGCCATTTGGGAATTCGCTTCCATAGTAATAGTCAAAATTGTTGCGTAAATTCATTCGCAACGTATTTAGACAATGTATCTGATGAAACACGTCTACCTTGGCAATGTATGCTTCGTTCCCGAGTCCAAATGATTCGGGGAATTTGGCTGTGTCATCTGGGTCCTTGCCCAAGCGAATTACGTCAAGTCTTGAAATCGGAACAGCATCTCGAGTCTGGATTCTGTCCCAGGCTGCGTCAACCTCAGGGGAGGGATCTTGGCGAAAGATATCTTTTGTTCCTGTTTCTAGAAAGGTACCGTTCATTTTCTTTGACAGAACAGGTATGTTAATTTGTTCTAGAATTGGAGCTAGAGAAAATTATCATTAGAGAAAAGATATTAATATCGCCTTGTGATGTGCGTGGTATTTTACCTACAGGGATTTGATGTAGCTTTTAGTAGCCAATTTCGCGAGTGGGAGGGCTGTGAACTCTGCCAAAGTGCAAGTGAAGCCAATAAGCAGATTATGGATATAATCAACATGATGATGTTAACTATAAGTATACATGCTGATGGGCTCTTCCAATGACTCTGTTTGCGGTACTTTTCTTTCTGGTGACTTTCATTTCCCAAGAGATAAGCGGAATCAGGAATAGGATCAGTGTCTTCAGAAGCAGAATGAGGATCAAACATGGTTCTTGTGTTTATGTTTAGCGGTGTCTTAACGCCGTATTGGGACTGAATAAGGGTTAGATATAATGCTCCTGTGAGGCAGCGTAGGTCTTTATTTTTGAGCTGTTACGAGTATCCACTGCGATGTGACTGCAATAATGAGGTGGCAAGGGAACAGGACGCAATCGTCTTGTATGACTCGCCGTGGACTTTTGTATAAGCATTTAGTACAAGTTGCAGGTGGACCTTTTGGTGTAGCTTACGCCACCGGAGACATATGTCGAATGATACAGCAATAGCATAGTACATTTGTCGGAGACATAGCGGCCGTGAGCTCAAGATGTGGATTTAGCCGAAAACGTTATAAATAATAATGTAAATATATTACTCAGCTTACGGAGCTACTAAGTTACTCCCTTCATTATTTCCTGAATATAAGGCAGCATTATTGACCCATCTCGCTTAGTTTTAAACTTAGTATTAGTTTAAAACAAAATAAGGGTTAACGTAAAGACTATTCAAGATGCTTCAGTCTGTTGTTCTCGCGATTTTAGCTGTTGGTTTTGCAGCTGCGATTCCTACTGGTATGTACTCAGTTTTCCAATTCGTGTAATGAATATCTCAGCTAAGGAAACCCCTTCCTCGATAGTGTCTCCCGATGCTGTTGACTACTACAAGCTTGGCAAGAGGGGTGAGGATGCCGTTGACTACTACAAGTTTGGCAAGAGAGGTGAGGATGCCGTCGACTACTACAAGTTTGGCAAGAGAGATGATGATGCCGTTGACGTTTAAGAGTGCAAAATGCAGATACAGCAGTTGACACTACATTAACGTAGCGAAGAATATATTAAGTCTATTAGCGTAACATTCTAGATATTGGTGTACATTGACAACCACTGTAGCCATACAAGAATAAATTGACTCAACAGGTCATTGTTGTATATGTTGCCTTGAAGGTAGTGTTAACCTCTGACGACCTTATTTACTGCCCTAGGAGCAGGGCCAACGGGTTGGGATTAGCACATATAGATAAAATATCTTAGTAAAAAGGTCTAAAATATATATGGTAAACTAAGAAGTGCAACTAGAACAACAGTAGTATAGAAATGTAAGAGTTAAAAGGGATAAAGAGAAACAGTGTAATGAAGTGGCTTGGTACTATGTAGAGGTCTGTCCTAGTAGTAGAACAGTTGGGTAATAACAGTGTAAGTGGATGTGAGTCGTTTGTTTGCTTGTGTATTAATGTCGCCCTTACAGGGATTAAGACGTGCTGCCTTAACGGTGCTTTTGTGACGGCGTTGCATAAAATTCCTGAATGGCCGGGTGCCCAGCGGAAGGCCACTCTCTCAGTTACCAAGCGCCTTCTTGCCTCGAAGGTACCAATGGACGATTTAGCATTGTAGCAATCTCTACTGAATATATTGACAACTAGTTGAGCGGCTACTACCAGTATCCGAAGGTGAGGAAAGAAAGGTGGCAAGCTCAGATGAGCTTATAATACAACCATCCACCACTCACCCCAACGATGACGCCAAGGTTATCCAAAAAGCAGCGAAATGTGGTTGAGATTATATATCATCAAGATTATAAACCTCTGTATTGAGAGGTTATAGGTGACTATAACGCAGAAACAGGTACATACGACCATAGATACAGGAGAATTCGGGATCCCGTCCGCTCTCCCATAGATAAGCCTGTAATCGGCAGATTAGTAGTTGGGTCGGTGACGACCAGCGAACACCGGCTGTTGTATGTTTTTTTTTTGCCTTTTTGTGGGATTATTTATTGCCGTGGTGGAGATATGTTAGTGTTGGGGATTTGGTGTAGGGAAGAATCGACGCTACAAGGTCCAAGGGGGCCTAGTTTTGCTTCTGGCCCACTAACGGCGGCCTCCTCGCTGTGATGCGTGACAATTGCATTTACATAGTGGCGACAATGATGATGTCAACTCTCTCCAATTCAGAAACGTATAAATAATGTAGCATAGATGTAAAGAACACAGCCCAGTCAGTAGCCATCGCCCGTAGGTGATGAGATCACCGACCAAGTTGTGCGTGCCTTCAGGATCCTTTTTGTCCACCTGGAAAGTGCCGGATTCGATAATCTTGGCGGCCAACTTCGGGGAACCAAGATGGACACTCTAGCATCAAAAGCGGCTTGGCTGTTTTCAATGCTGGATGTGAGTGTAAGTAAGATCTATGAGTTAATAGGGGTGCTATTGGCATTTGTAGCTGGTGGATCGCAGACTGCAGATTCACACCATGTTCTACTATAGAAGGAGATTTACCGCCGAGAGCTAAAGTTGGGGAAAAGTTGATCCATCTCTTTTCAGCCTCATTCGCACTGGGTAAGGGTTTCGGCACACAGGAGGATCAATTTAGCCTTTTCACTAACTTATGTGGGATTACACGCTAGCATTGGAGCCGAGCCGATGCATGTGGAGTTTTCTTACCGTCTACGTGCAAAGGCGCATGCCGCCTATACCGGCTCGGCAAACTGATACCGCCGATCATTCTTACGCCACATGTTCCGTTCGTTGTACACTTGGCGGCGGAGGCTGATGGAAGTGTTGACAGTTCCAAGCTTGCGCCTGTTTTTAGATAACCGGCGTGCGTCACACCTAACGTAAGGTTCTTTAATGTATCAGCATTGTGTCTAGGGTAAAGGTACCAGCATAAACTCATACCTTTCACTGTTGAAATTATCTTGTAGCTTAATCGTGCTTCCTCTCCGTAAATACTAGATTCAGCTCCTTTACAAAGAGAGTAAATGCATCCTGATCCTCCTTCATTAGACGCGAACCGTCTTCGTTGGGTGCGAATCGCACATCATATTTGTGCACAAGGAGAGCAGTCACCGTTCGCAACTCCATGTACGCGAAATTCTTGCCAATGCATGAATAGCGCCCTACAATTGACGCAGTGTTAGCGACTGGGATAAATTATCTGGCTAAAAACATATGGGCTCATACCAAGGGAAAATGGGGAAAATGCGCTCTTGTCAAGAATAAGTTCCGGGCGAGAGTACCATCTCTCAGGAATGAACTGATTCGCATCTTTATACGCTGTCTCTGCTATATGTAAGAAAACTCGTCGTCAGCATGGCCTTGAATGGAATCTAAAACAGCGGAAAGAAAGGGGATCTCATACCTCTCCCAATCGGCTGGGACGGAACGGAGACCGTGCAACCTCCCGGAATGTGAATGCCGTCCACTTCGATACCTTCTGGTGGCGTGATGCGAAGAAGACCAGCCGGTACTGGAGGATGCATGCGAAGGACTTCATGAATAAATCCGTTTAGCTCCTCCACCTTTTGAAGTTGACTATCTTGTACTTGATCAGCGCCGGAGAGAATGGGATCAAGTGCAAGACGAAGCTTTTCGACTTGTTCTGGGTAGCGAGCCAAATATTGGAACATGTAGGCCAATGTTACAGCCGTTGTGTCACTGTAAAAGCCATGCTATCGTTAACCCTGGTGTTAATTCTGCTCTTCTACAAAGTCCACGTACCTTCCTGCCACGATAATGAGGCGAGAATCTCCAGCAAGCCAATGATCCCCCCAAGGGCGCCCTTGAGCATTAGATTCCGCACCAAGAAGCCAGGTCATGACGTCTGGGTTCTCCATTGTGATCTGCCAGAAAGCGGAAAGAAAATGGATTAGTGCGTGAGATCATAAGGCTGCGATTTGAACAGCAACAATTTATGGCGTACCTTGCGTCTCTTTTCTACCTGGTCCATGCACCATTTTAAAAACCTTCGTTCGGACTCAAGAACACCTGGCAAGGCTCTCAAGATCAAGCCCACCCAGGGAATGGGGATGAGCCACGACAAATGCTGTTGACCTTCGTGCAAAATTTGCATGACAAAATGCTCCTTGTTATCCTTGAGCATGTCGAATGAAGCGCCAAACGCTAGGTCGCCCATAACGTCAAAGCTGAAGAAGTTGAATAGCTGGGATACATTGACCGCTTTCCCCTTGCCTGCATAGATCGTTTCGTCCAGTTGCTTCAAGTAAATGTGTACTCTGTGCTCAAAGTCTCGAAGAGCTGCTCCATTGTTAATATGCGGGCATAATTTTAGCAACTGTTGATAGTTGTGGATTGCGCTGAAGGACAAGGAAAACAACAACGCATACCTTTCATGGAGAATCCCTTGTCCCAGATCTTCCGACGCTGAGCGTGCGCTACTACGTCACGACTTTGATGGAGTGACTTGGTAGGATGCCCCATGTCATACCAAGTGGCTTTCTTGCATTGACTTTGATTTCCGTAGATTGCAAGGACCGCTGCAGGATGAAGCACAGACAGCTCGTTAGGGCCTGGATGAGAGTTAGTGAATTGGCAGAGTTGCGAGTTCGAGGCGGCGATGCGGGGGAGAGAAGTGTGGGTGGTGGAAAGGATATTTTAGCTGTGCATTATCTTACCAACGCGAACAATTGGGCCATAGGTTTGATGTAGGTCAGCCAATATTTGGTAATTGTTCGTCTGCCCGCAGCGATAGGCGTGGTACAGTTTGGAGATCCTGGCCAAGCGCGGGCCGGGGAACCTGCGCAACTGGTGGAAAAACAAGCGATACGTTACTATACTGGCAAACAAACCAGCGAAAAATGAGCAGAAAAACCAGCTGCTGGTGCCGATGGCGGCCGTGACCGAGACCTGAGCTCCGATCGAGAGCCAAGCAACCAGCCCAATCGGCCCCAGACATGCCAACAGCAACAACCTCGGGGCTTGTAAGTGATGTTCGCCATGAATAAAGTAAGCCCAATGAGAGGCGATGCCGAGAGCGAGACCCAGTGTCGCTTGTGAACGTGGAGTTTCTATAATCGACGTCATTGTCGCGAACTGTTTGTGCGTTGCTCGAAGTAGGCGGGCCAGTGAGAGAGCGAGAGTTTCAGCAGCGTAAAGACGAGAGGTGCGCAGGGCAAATAGCGTGAATCTGAAAGACTTGCAAGCAGGCAAACGAACAGGGCGACAGGGCTGCCTGCTTTATAGTACTTTTTGCAGCCGAGCCGGACCAGGCTGAATGTCTCCGCGTGGCGGAGGGGTTGCCCAATGCGACGCCAAGTCTGGCGCAATGGCGCGACTTGGTCGGCATTGGGCACAGGCTTTCGAGGCTGAGTATAAACGGCTACTATAAACGGCTACGGTAGATTGGTGGTGTGGGGTTTAAAAGTTCAGTTGAAAAGCCAGGGCCGGCTACATGAACTGACCCAGTTGAACCGAGCCGAATGGTTAGCTTTTGTTTCACCCATCACACCGTATTATAAACAAGCTCGGCGAAAAATACAACTATCGCCCTACTTGTTGGTTTTACCGTTCTTTTTATCGTATTAACTATCGGAGGACTGTGTGCTAGGCGTTTGGTTTTCACTATGCGTACACCAACTATGGCTAGACACGCTACCAGCAGTTTAGATAGCTATGTTAAAGTAGTGATTGGTTGCCCTAAATAATTTATAGTGTCCACCGTACGCCGAGCCTCCCGCATCCCCGCAGTCCATCGTACTATAGAACGACATCCCCACCACAACATCGGATCATCCTGCGTGGTGGCTATACTCCCTCTACAGCATGAAACACCAAGTCACGATGCGGCGAAGAAAAAACACCGCTTGCCAGAGGTGTCGCAATGACAAAACAAGATGTGAAGCGCTCCCTGACGACCCCTCTTGTGCCAGATGTCGGATGAACTCCTTTCCAGATTGCTCTAGTCCAACTCGGAGCTGTCAATCGTAGGTCAATTATTCCTTCAAGTCAGAGCAGCATACGAAGCGTATATATTGACAATCAAAGCTCTCCAGCTTCAGCAATCAATCCCACAGAGCCGGTTATGCCAGGGCAAGTTACGGGACCAGTGGATCAGATTTTGCGTACCTTGCAAAGCCCCCATGATTGCGTCCTCTTTTCCTCCTGCCCATTTGTTGCAGACTACGACCTGGAAAGCCTCTCCCCAGAGAGCATTGCTGAACTCGCCTTTAACCAGTGTTTCTCTATCCCACGCAGACACATCCTCCACCAGTTGATGATGACATACTTCCAAGTAGTTCATCCGGTTATGCCGGTGGTAGACGAAGGATTAATTTGGCGGGCTCTTACTGAACACGGCCCGGAAAACAAGATATCGCTGCTGCTTCTCCAGTCAATCATCTTTGCTAGCTGCTCGGTAAGAAACACCTTCTTCAGCTATGGTGACTATTTTTAATATACGAGAATCTGACAAAATTAGTTTGTCCCTCTTCCGACACTGTACGAGCTGGGGTACAGCACCCATAACGCAGCTCGACTGGACTTTTACCAACGCGCAAGAGTAAGAAAGCCTCATGGCCACATCCTAGCCCAAATGGAGCATTTCTAATCTATGGTAGACTTTATTCGACCTAAACGCTCAGGCTGATGTTCTTGTCCAAGCGCAAGCGGCGACCTTGCTCTCCTACAGCTCGTCATTGCAAGTCATACAGTCAGGCCGAATATGGATAGCACGTGCTATTCGCATCGCATCAACTCTAAACGATAGTCTATCGACAATACAGACTCCTTACACCAGGTCCATGGTCAAACGATTGTGGTGGTGTATTCTACTTCGTGACACCAACTTTTCTGTGGCCCTTTACCAACCACCTCAAATATCCCCAGTCCATCTCGCAGTGTACGGAAGTTGGCTTGAAGAATCAGACTTCGCTTTTGAGATGGAGGATTCTCTCGTCTATAGCAAGGCTGACAAACTTCGGTTGTTGGAGGCTTTGCGGCAGCGGTGCCAGGTCGCTATGATCTTAACTGATGCGCTCCAGATCATCTTTCCTTCTCTTGAGTACTCCTCGTTATCAAATTTGAGCAACCGCTTGGCTCAGGATGCAGCCAGTCTGGACGATACGCTGCTAAGCTTAGAGTGCTGGGCTGAGCGTTCCCCGCCAGTCACTATGCAGGGTAGCATTGTCTCAGACGTCGAGAAGTTTGTATCCTTGATGTCGCATTTGACTTATATGCTCTTTCAGTAAGTCTGCAAAACGGATCGTTGGATAGCAAGGCATAATTGTAAAAGTGATAGCTAATTTGGCATTCAGTGCAGCAAAATTGACAATCACTCATCACAAGGCGCTTATACTGGAGCGCAGGTCAAGAATCGATCATAGAGCACCTACAATTGCTGCGAATGCCTTGGCAGCCGAAATCCATCGTGACGTAGATGGACTAATAGAAACGATTGAATATTTTGCCTCCTCGGCGTCCTATACATCTTTTCAAATCATCCCCCAAAGTGTGTAAGTGGCAATATCCATTAACACGAGCAAAAGGAAATACCCCGGCACTAACTAAACCGAACCAAGACTCGCCTATTCTGGGATGCCGTTAATCTTATCTGCAATAGATTACAAGCTAGCACCCTCTTATTCAGAAATGGTCACAAGAAAGAGGCGATTTGACGCTCTCTCAGCGATATTGCACCGGTGTCGGACCATATACGAAATTTCAGACGTGGCCCTTGCCTGCATAAATCAGATGCTTCAATTTGCGTATGCAATAACAAGGGACATTTTCCTATCTGGGAAGAAGTATGTTGCTGTCTACCTGCAATTTGTATCCAAGCCTCTGTACACGGCAGCTGACAATGAGTATCTAGTGGCAATGCCCAAGTTAACAAATCGCTGTCAAACCTATCCATAGTGCGTAGAGCCACAAGCTTGCCTGACGCCTATACTCTATATCCTTATGCATATCTTTGCATTACCAAGTTGGTCGAGCGAACAGTATCCGGTGGAAAACTTGTGGTCCCTGTGGGTATCTCAGATAAGATTTGCGCCTTGCCATCGACTCCCATGAGTAGGATATCAATGTCGGATTCAGTGAGCCTTGCTCAATTAGAGATCATTCCCAGTTCCGGTACTGGGCGGCCGAATAGTGTATTGGAAAGTTCTAGTTATACCACATGCAATAGCAGCAATGGGTTGTATTCTATGGATGGACAACAAACAGCTCAATTGGCCAAGGACGCATCCAAGGATACAGCCGAAGCGCATGTTGATTTGCTCGCGAAACACGTAATGTCTCTGTTGGCACGTAATTCTGGCAGACCGGGTAGGACAGACAAGGGCTCTAATTCCTACCTAGACTATTTGGATCTTGATGTCTAAATTATACGCAAATATATCTGGAACTTTTATATTTTTATTGCTTAGGTCACCTTTTCTTTATCTTTGTGTTTTAGTAATATTCAGCATATTACGCACAATCCTGGTTATTACCGCTGCTCTAATGTTGAACAAAATCGGAGGCCCAGTCTCCATTCAAGAAGTCTGCGTCAATGATGTCAAGAATGAACAGGCAATCAAAGACATCAAGGGGGGGAGGACTATGAAGGCTGTCTTGAGGTGGAAAGCAAAAGTATCAACACTCCTGTATTTGCCTCATGGCCCGGTGTCGACGGTTCGCCTGCGCTCGGCGCTCATCCAGGTGCTGGTTGAACGGATTGTCTGGTGTACAACACGATTTGTCGTCTTCTGTGCGCGAAATAGCGTGCAGCGGCGCTGCGAGACGGCCCAAGTAGGATGGAGAAATGAGGATTCTCAATGAACAAGACATTTATCATGGATCCCGCATGACCGATTTCATGGGTTGCGGTCTTACCGTCGTCACGGTTGTGGCCATTCTCGACGCAGGGCTCGGTAACAAGGCGGCAACCATCAAGAATATACGCCTTGCTTCCAGGCTTGCCATTGCTTTGCGGCAAATAGCAGTCGCCTACTGCGTCGAACCCGGGGAGATAGTAGAGGTTTAGTGACTCGTAGGTCCCCTGATATTGACATTGACTGAGCGACCACTGCGACCATCCGAAGATGAAGAAGGGGCTAAGCTTGGATGATCTGTTAGGTTCGTCTAAGCTTACATGGAACTTGAGGCCTGCACGGGCCTCTTTCATCCCATCTTTCCTGTTTGCGGCTTTGATAGCCTTGACATTTTTGCACTAGTTACGGACGGGTGGTCACTTGGCACATCACTAAATGAAGATAGTTCCAAGCCTAGACTGCATCGTTTAACTTGTAGTATAACTCTTCGAGGGACACCTTGAAGACTTAGTGTATAGATTGGCTAGGATTGACTTCTGAACGAATTGTCCGTGGATATCCTGGCAACCCTGGGAGACAGTGGTGCTGTTATCCAGCAACGACTTGTTAATCGTTGTGCCTCGTTTGTTATAGCTCTCGGTTATCTTCCTAGGAGGTTAAAGCAATTGTATCCGTCTGTGAAACTCCCGCGGCAACAAAGTGCTAGCAAACAAAAATGTAACTTGTTTGTATATTAACGTCTATATATGAGATAGAAAGAAGACAACAAACTTGAAGAAGAACAAATGCTTCCCATCCTTCCCCTCCTTCCACAGGTTACTTCTCTATTTGTATACAGTATTGTTGTGGTCCTGCCAGCTGGCGGCTTTCCTTTGCCAGCTAGCAAGCGAACCCGTCGCGTAGCAACTATTTCGACATCGTGACTGTCGTGAGCGTTGTGACCGACAGACCATGGAGCGATCCAGCAAGTCGTGACAGGTATTACTACAAGGTATTAATACCCTGTATCTTTATTAAATAATTGATATAAAATATAACTACAAGTAAAGAATAAAAATGAAAGTAAACCAGAAACCCGGAGATTCGTCCACTTATATACATTTTAGCAACGCCCCTGTTGTCGCGCGTAACGCGCCACCACGATCGCACTCTGTAGTTTGTGGTAGAAGCCCGACATTATCTGAATGTCCCTTACCTGCCGTTGGAGAATATGAGGCTCGTCACTGTGGTGAAGTGCATGGAAATGCTGCAAGATCGCATTGTCCCGTAGACTGTGCCGAAGTAACAACCTCTCCATCCTTACGCTTCCATATTCAAAGATTCGGGTATACAACTCATGCCGTCTCAACTCGCTGATGGAGTCATCTGCAAAGTCAACCATCCAGCCAGGGATTGCCGGTAGTGTGTCGTCGTCGCTGTCATCCGATATGGAGGGGCTTCTTGGCAGGACTACTGGGGCTGGTCTTATTGTTCGGCCTCTGCGACGGCGCGTTGGTTCAACTCGTGGTCTGCTGGACGGAGATGCCTGTGGGAGAGGTTCAGGATGCCGTCCACTTCCAGGGGAGCAACTTGTTCGGCGAGTGCTGTAAGTCTCTGGCGTAAGGTTGAAAGTAGGAGATGGAGCCCGCGACGATGATGACTGTGGTGATAAAGGCCGTGGCGGTGCTGCTGGCAATGTACTTGGGCCGGCCACTTCATTTGGATTTGGCTGAGAACCCGCAGACGACGATTAAGATGCAGGTGACGGTGTCCGCTGCCTTCGTCCCCTTTCACGCCTGCCTTGTTCGCTTCTTCTTGCTACCTCGCCCACGAGTTCCTCTTCGCTTAACGTAGCTGGACTCTTTAGACTTCTTTTTAAGACTCTGTTTTTAGCAGTCTTCTTCCTGTGCAGCATACTTTCAACAAAGAACTTGACCACTCTACCACCTGCAATTCGAGCCACATACTGTGACCCTTCGATTGCATCAGAGTGGCTGGCCAGCGTGATGACCATACAGTCGGGGTCCACACCCAAAATCTCGTCAATGAGCGAAATCATGCGCTCTAGTCCCGCTGTATTGACATGACTAGTTGTGCTGTCAATAATAGCCATCTTGGTCCGTGTCGCATAATGTTTGGCCAAGCCCTGGGCAAGAGAAAACTTTTGACGCTGTGTTGGGGATAGAACAAGACTTGAAAACTTTGAATCAACACCACCGGAGTTCGTGACAATATCTGATAATCCTACCCCGCGAAGGACCTTAGTTATCAAGGTGAGCCTTTCATCCATGTTGTCGTCAAACAGGAAGCGGATGCCATCAGGGTTGAGGGCAGCATCCGCACGAACAGGGTCGATAATTTCGTCAGTGAGTAGGTTTTGACGAATTGAACAAGACGGGAATACAACGGGAGACTCCGGAATAATGGTGAATATCTGTTTGAACTTGTCACGGGGGATATCTCGAGCTTCGATGCCGTCAATTTTAATCGACCCTTCATAAGGGAGGAGTAAAATCATGGACAATACCAATGTCGTTTTACCGCTATTTGCAAGAGTTAGTAATGTGCTCTCCTCGCACATATGACTTGAGTTCTCCATACCTTTGGCGTGGTCCATGTATAGCCGCCTTTTGGACACCCTCAAGTTTAAAAGTTGCATTGGTAATAACAGGGCTATTGCCAGCAGGGCTATCGCACAAGTCAGCACGGAAAATAAATCATGTCAAGGTGGACTTACTTGTATCCAATAGACACATTCTCAAACTCAACAAGACCTTGAGCTGGCCAGTTGGCTGGTAGCGCTGGCTTTTGTCGTTCCGCATCCATTTGGGGGGTTGTAGAGATAAAATGTTCCGCTCGTTGCAAGTCAAGCATGGCCATGTCCATGTTATGCCATTGCTTGATCCTTCTGGGAATAATCTGGATTGTATAGAGAAGCAATACCAGTACAAATCCAGCGAGGTGAGGATGAACATCTGCGTGACCCAAAATGTAGACAAACGATGTAACTAGCAACAGCGTGGACATGTCTGCCATCATAGCCATGCAGGCCTCTAGAGAATCAAGATTATACGACACTATCTGCGTGTTGGTGATAGCTTTGCGCACTCGTTGCAAATGTAATCGCTGCGAACGGAAGCATTGTAGATGAGGAACACCTGTCACTGTCTCGGCAAAATAGCCGTGCAAATCGTCAGTCGTACTTAGCTGTAAGAACTTTAGCTGCTGCGCAGCATAACAGTAAAGGCTCCGGATACCGCATAGAGATGATAGGATACCAACAGCCATCCAGAGACCTGATTTATGTACTGAAAACATTACGCCGATGACTTGTATCGTTGTCATGAGTCCTGTACTTATTAGACGTGGAATCTGGCAGCAAAATTAGCTACTCACCGTATGTTACTTGGAATACGTTGCTTGGTAAATCCCTCGTGGCAGTGCTGATACTCTCATTGAATCTATAGCTGGTTTAGTAGGTCGGCGAAGTCAAGAGAACAATGTTGCCTACAGGTTAATGGCTAGTTTCAATTTACCCAAGCTCAAGGCAGGTATGGTTGAGCTTTAAATCCTTCCATTAGTTTACGTTTTTTGGTAATCACTCTGTGCCGCAGATACGGATATCAGCAGATGCTTCGTGGCGCTTACCCGATGATCGTTTGAAGAAGTCTATCATGAAGTGACTGCGCTGCTTTAACAGCTAACTTGACATTGAACAGGCTGCTACCAGTTAATAAAGTTGTGGAGATAGATGACGATAAGTATAAATAAATTAAACTTACTATCCGCTAATACCGAAGGCCAAGCCACTCAGAAGTGTCAACGCAAAGCATTGCATAAACGGAAACTGGGTTGGCGTGATCGCACCAAGCCATATCCGAAGATATATCACTTTCAAATAGTCAATACTTGAAAAAAATAAAACGCGGCACGGCCATCTAGATTCTTACGAGGTATACCCTCTAAAAACGCTGTGACAAAAAGCGCCAGCAGCCAAGCGACAAGCACGGGGTAGTTAAATTGTCGCAGATAGACCGAGTAAGAAATGGGTTGATAATCAGTTGTAACAGTAGGTACCTTTCGCAACTGAGATGCAATGCCATCTGGCGCAGGATCGTCCCCAGCTGCTGGTAGATGGGTATTGCAGCGCTGGTCTTGATCGGCGTTGTCTGAGTTTTGGGGGGGGCGTGGACCGCGTAGTATCGGGCTAAGGCGTCTCACAATGTATCGATACTCGTTTATATGTAATATCTGGTTACAATAATCATAAAATGGTTCTAAAGGAAGTTAGTTTGATGTCTAAAACGAATTGCCGATTTATAATTTACCGGGATGTGACGTTGTGACGAGAACAGTTCTACCATTAGCCAATATTCCGCCTAACGCGAACAACTGGGCAACTAATCGCCTTGATGTTAATGGGCTTTGACTACTAAGAAAGTCGTCCAAGATAAGCAATGGAGCCCGCGAGTAGATCGCTCTAGCTAGGGCCTAGGGCGACATTAGAGGAGTTTGACATGGCTAATAGTATAACTTACAAGTCTTTGTCGAAATGCATGCTCGATGTTAGTTCCAAGTGATGCAACCACATATTCATCGCCGTTTTCAAGACATGAGATATCTTCGTGTAGAACACAGGCTGTCATAACAGAGGTGTACCACGCGTCATCGTATGCATTGTCCCCAATAATGTTTTGACGGACAGATCCGTTAACAAGCCACTCATCTTGACCACAATAGGCAATTACTGCATCTTGAACTGTTATGGTGCCTTGAGTTTTGTGAGCGCGACCAATGATGCCTCGGGCGAAGAGAGTCTTCCCGCTGCCTGTCGCACCGGTAAGAACCGAGAAGCTACCACGAACAATTGACAACGACACATTCGTCAACACAGGCGCTCGATCCGCAGCTGGTGCAAGGCTGACATTATGGAACTCGATCGCTGTTGTGAAGCGGTTTTGTTGTGCAGGTTCAATGTGCCTCATCGGAGTGGCTGAACTCTCATGAGCTGAAGTGCGCAGAATATCCTCTACCCGTGAACAGGACGAGACAGCCGCTGCCCAGACCTCGGGAATTTGAAGAACCACTGTTAAATCTTCGGAGAACCAATAGATTAGGGCAACACTTTTGAGAAGAAGAGGAATATTGACCAATATCCCAGTCCTGAAGAGGTCGTTTCCGAGAGCAAAAATTGGTATAATGGCATGCGTTCCTACCACTGAGAGAAGAATGTTAGAAGGGAAAGATACTACTAGCGACCAGTAGACTTACCGAACATAAAGCGAAAAGTATTTTTCTTCATACACGCGTCTCGGTTGGCAGCTTCAGCTTTCTGTAGTCGATTTAGGATAAACGTTGTAATGTTGGTAGCGCCAGTCATCTTCGCATATTTAATACTTTCGATAAGCTTGGCGCTCTCGGCCACGCGAACCTTGGAGGCTTTACCCCATTGCTGTCGGCTAACTGCGACTTGCTCTCCCAAAAGGCTACAAAGAAATACTGAGCCTAATATAAAGTATAAGTCAAAAAGCACAAAGGAATACCAATTGAATAGGGTACGTACAAAGAGCTGTCAAGACTGCTGCAACCACATTGAGACCGATGGATTGCCATAGGATAAAAGAGCAAAACACTGCACTAAGCAGACTGATGCTAATATCTTGAAGAGCCTTGACACTATTCTGTACAATGACTAGATCGTTGCGAAGCAAAGAAAAGTCTGAGAATTGTGACAAACTTTGATCTGAAAGCCAAAGTAATTTGCTGAATGTGGCCATGGTGATTAGACCTCTAAGACGAGCTTTGACCTCGGCATCAATAGATGCCGAGTAGGCTCGCATCACCTGAAATTCAGTTAGCCAGTAATTCATGGTAGAAGGGTAGAGTACAACAAACCATCAGACCGAAAAGAAGGCAAAACATTTGTAGTGTCAGCTGATAAACCTCCACTGAACGGCTGAATGAGGAATTTGCATCTCTGTGGCTCACTTCCAGTGTTCTAGTGAAGCGCTCAATCAAAAACGCAACACAAGGGTTCAAAGCTTTCACAAGAAATGCTGCAATGCTACCGCGAAGAAAGATGGACCAGTGCGTTCTGAGAAATATTTTCAACAGAGCATTCTTCTTTTGCCCAGCTACCACAAATACGATCCAGGTTAGCCTAACACATTCATCTAAAGGCTTAAGAAGGGACAACACTGTACCTTTTGCCCATCTTGTTTGGAATCGGTGGTTTAGAGCAAACGGGGTATGTCCTTTCGGTGGTTTCATTAGCATACTTAGAGCTAACTCTCCGGCTCTAGCTTGAACTAGAAGTGGAAATACCCAGAGTAAAACAGATCTCGTCCAGAAGCCAAGTGTGTCCTGCTCTTGGAGATACTGTCGATTTTCCTCTGGAATTTGGGACCATTTTGGTTGCTCATGTAGCACGAAGAAGACAACCCTGAGCAGTATAGATGCAAGTTCGGATGATGAGTTGGATGGAGAAAGCCAAAATGATCTAGCTTTGAGACAAATACTCAAAGGTAGATAGATACTTAGCAGGAGTGAGGGAGAAGGAGGACAGCAGTGAAATATAGGGAGTGAAATGCACAACAAAATAGACTCCAAGGATCCAATTGCATGCGCGGATCTAACAGACTCCGATGCATCACCAGGAAGCTGTATTTGCAATTGCAGTTGCACTGACATTAAAATGCCTGCGATGGCCTGTGTACTGTTAGCAAAGAATCCTGCCTGTCTCATTCTGAGTAAATACAACGCAACTTACAAATTTGCTCCACCACTGTAATCCAGATATGGTGGGGATATAGGTACAGCCTTGTGCAAGTTGGTAGAGATTGAATGGCGCACTGAGGATGAACATAGCGGGAGCGAGTTGGCTTGGATCGCTGCATAGCGATTGCAAGAGTGGAGAAGCCTGCATTGCGTTGAGCAATCGATTGCCAGATTCAAAATCTAACATGATTGCAACTACTGAGACAGAAAACAAGCAAGAAAGGAACGACTGGAGATCGAACAACGAATGGATGGAGAGCGGGAGGGCAAGGCATTGAAAAGGCTTGGTGCTAAAACGGGGCCACCCAACAGCGTGCTGCAAGCGCTTCCCCCATCACATCACAGTGGGGGCCTGGTGGCACGGACTATGGGCATCCCTGGTGGTTTCAGGATTAAGCCAGACGCCACCAACACGAAGTTAAAAAAGAAATGTAGCTACTCTCTAGATTCCATTATATGCTAAGCTTATAAGAATACCTGCTAAAATATGTCTGAACCATAAAAAAGTGTACTATGTATGCAATATAATGTAACAGAAGCCAAAGCAAAAAAGGAGAACAGGATGTGTAAAGGCGTGGATGCTTGCCAGCAGCGCATGGTACTTGTCAGAGTTCAGGGCGTTAGGTCGTAGAGCTTATTCTCGCGGTCAAACGAACATTTAGGAGTAGTGGCTACCACCGTCCCAATCGCTCTGTTCTTGAGATCGTCTGTAACCACCACCCCCAAGGCTATCCGTGCTCTGTTGGGATCGCTCAATAATCTGGACGGATCTCTCCGTCTGTGTGTTGACTAGCAGAGGACCTGTGACGGCGTTAGCACGGAAGAGCGGCACAAATCAGGCTGCGGTGGTGGAGAACGCACTAGCAATCACACTGCCGATGAGGGGTAATAATGTGACGAATTTCCACTTCATTCTATCTGGTTGGTTGGATTGTGCAGCAAACCGCTCTGTCGGGACAGGTTGTGTTGTTGGTGGCGTTTAAAGTTTACGGTGTTGGTTGTTGGTTCTGAGCGGGGGCCCTAGCGAAGTTAAAAGTGGCTAGTCACCGCGTAAGGGGGGGCAGCGCGCCCGACCGATCATTTCACACCGCGCATCAGCGTGGTCTTCGGTGGGGTATTTACAGCGGGGAGGGCACCATTTCTAGCGGGCCCCAGGTAGCCACAGGGTAGCCTCAGCGGCTATGGCTTACTCGGCGCCCACCAGGTGCACCGGGTGGCTCGCCTAGCGCTCCAAAAACAAAACCACGAGACGGAAAATCTATAGCGCCTCCTAGATCGTGCAACCTCCACACGATAATTCCAAAAAAAAAAAAAAAAAAAAAAATTCTTCTCAAAGAGACATCTCGATTTTATTCTTCTCCATCTCGATTCTTTTTAAAGTTTCGGCCGCGCTTCTCCCCGTTTTAATTCTTCGTTTCATTCAACCCATTGTCCCGACGGGATGACAACATGACTCGGCCACATGACACACGGAAAAGTCGTCAACCAAGGAACGCTATTGGATCTTTTGTTAGCGTAGATCCTCCCATCCATCCCTTCCCTAGAAAGGGCATTGCTAGCGACCAACGGTGGGTGGCGCCCCGACAAAGCACCGACTACTACCTCCATCACATTCGCTAGCCTGAACTCTCGTTGGGCACCGCCGAGGCCCCGCCTTATTTTTCATATTTTAAGATTTGCGAAATGAAATCGCCGCCCGTTGCGCGTTGCAGTGGAGAAGGGGTAATCTCGGACCACACCGCGTCCTATACAGTCTATGATAAATGGGCCTTCCGATTTTCGTAACGATGTCTATTCTAAACGCACCCAAATATTGTTACAAAGTACTTCTGCTTATTACTAAACTCTTAGTATAGAGAAGCAACTAGTATCCTATAGCTCTTATTGGCCAAATTGAACAGCGCGACCACGCAATAGCACTTATAGACATTCCCCACAGTTTACACCTTTCTTTAGAGCAATCATCCCATGCTAGTTATTACCTAATGCAGATGCAGCGTAGCCTCTCGATCTCAACGCCCCATTTCTACTTCTCTGACCCAATATCAATTACATTTGACCAGCATTTCCATTCACTTCTCCCATAAAACGCCGTCTTAAAATCTCCTTGGCATGTTTAAACCGCTATTAACCGCAGGTGAGGCGTTGATTAGTCACGTGCCGTAATGTCTTCGTTCAAGTCCCCAACCACTTGGACGCCAAGATCCCCATCCTTCCCGTAGTATGGCTGCTAGTGACGCTGTGAAGAACTATTCTTCTGACGACTTGACTGACGCCCATATCTCTGAATTTTTAAGGTTATACTTCTCCTTCGCTTTGTAGAGCGAAATGTCTACATGTACCTCGCTGTTTGAAGGGAGATCATTGTGAAGAAGTCGGCTGCATGTTGAACCGATCACGTGTGCTTCGACATGCAGCTCAGACGGCATACCGGCGTTGCTGTCAAAGGCTGTTTGCCAGCCAGCCGACAGGCATCAAATCCCGCCCCCATGCAGGTGAACATCAGCGCGCTATATCGTACAAGTACAGCCTGAAAAGGCCAGTCTGATTCTTTTACAGTCCATCCAGACCTCGAAACTTTTATGTGAAGATGCCCTCAATATTTTCTCGACTGAAAAGAAGGCGCGAGCAGGCGCATATGAGCATCAACGTTGATGGCCCTTCAGCGCCAGGGCCAGGCGAATCGCAAGTTGCAACTGAGCTACACGAATCCAACACTGAGTCTGCCATTGCGCAACCCGATCAAGCTCTGCAGATGACTTCTATAGAACCAAATTCAGACGATTCAACGACAGAAGCCATGCAGCCCCTTTGGACTCAAGCATACCTGAAGATCAAGGTCGAGGACGCGCCACTGATGGACGAATATGAAGACGTTCTTTTAAAGGAACTGCCACAATCTGTCAACGCGTCTACTAGTGAAGCAGAGCAATCTATACCAGAGCATTGCTATTTGCAGTGGATGCGGGAAATCACCGACCTTGGCCTACGACGGATGGACGAGAAGACGATGAAATACCATATTGCGGGTAATGAATATGTCGTTAAAAGGCAGGTTGCTCAAGTCAGCAATGCTGTACTGAAGTTGAAATCTTTTATTGCGGATGCTGTGAGTTCGTCCCCTGCTGCCTCTGTGGCGGTGGCTGGGATTAGTATGCTTCTTCCACTACTCACAAACCCAAGTACTATGGATGACGCAAACAAGAGCGGTACGACGTATGTTATATCTAGGATGCAATTTTATATCGGCATAGAAGAGCAGTTATGGCCCAAGTGCGTAACACTGTCTGGAGACTTCCGCAACAAGCTTGAAGACGACCTTATCAGTCTTTACAGAGCAATCATAGTTCTTCAAATAAAAAGTGTTCTCAGGTTCTACAGATATTGGATCAAAACGACCGCCCGCGATATGGCAAGGTGGGATGACTGGAAAACTATGCAAGAGGATGTGAAGGCTGCTGAAGTGGTGGTTGCAACATACTTTGATAAGCTTCTACAACTCGACTCTCGCAACTTACTTCACAAGCTTAGCATACAGGCCGACGACAATACAATTTCGTTTCAGGCGATTCTTTCTAGCGTTAATGCGATAGAGAAAGATATGCAAATGGCTCTCCGCCAACAAGATAATCATCATCGAGAGAAGATCATGTTGGTCCTTACCAAAGAGCAGCAGGATTGCCACCAGGCGTTCAAGACATCTGTATACGAAAGACATAAAAACATCAATCCAGATCGGGTAGAGGGCACCTGCCGGTGGACACTTGAGAATAAGCACTATCGCGAGTGGTATAGCAATGGCTATAATGACCTCCTATGGGTCTCAGCAGACCCGGGATGCGGCAAGTCAGTCCTCGCAAAGTCATTGATTGACAAGGATCTAAATGAGACATCCGCATCCGTCTGCTATTTCTTTTTCAAAGACAATGATGAACAAAATGGCCTAACAACGGCATTGTGTGCGGTATTGCATCAACTGTTTAGTTATCAGCCTCATCTTATACGTCATGCATTGTCCGCATGGCAACAAAACGGCGACAAAATTCAGCAAGAAGAAGAACAGCTGTGGCGTATATTTATGGCTGCCATCGCCGATCCCGCATTCAAAAATACAGTGTGTATATTTGATGCTCTTGATGAGTGCAGGTCAAATGACAGAGGCTCCTTAATTAAGAAGCTAGAAATATTCTACTCCCAAGCACATATAGCACCGAAGCAAGGCTGGCTAAAATTTCTCGTTACCAGTCGCCCATATGACGACATACAGCGTCAATTCTATCAGACTACACAGTCATTCCCTCACATTCACATCCGCGGTGAAGACGAAAATGCACTAGTTCATGAAGAAATTAGCCTAGTGATCAAGTTGCGGGTAGATGAGCTTGCCGATCGTCTGCAGCTAGACTCAGACATACACGATCGGCTGGAACAGCAGCTTCTGGCAATGGAACACCGCACGTACCTTTGGCTGTATCTAGCCATGGATGACATTGAAACCCAGTTTCGCAACAGCTTGGAGCCTGGCGAAGAATCTATTGAGCTAATCCCGACCTCAGTCGATGCCGCGTATACAAAAATACTGGAGCACGTTGCCACTGATAAGAAACACGACGTAGAGTTGATTCTACAAATTATTGTCACGGCGCGGCGCCCTCTAACGATTGAAGAGATGGCTGTGGCACTCGGCATTGCGATGGATCACCGCTCGCAGTCTAATAGGAGATCAGCGCTGCGATCACAAGGCTTAGCGGAAAAGATTCGCCATCTTTGCGGGCTCTTTGTCTTTATGCAAGATTCCAGAATCTACTTGATACACCAAACTGCGCGAGAGTTTTTACTTCGCAAAGAGAAGGTATGGTCTTTCACGCAAACCGATGGGGATATCTTGCTGTCCAAGATCTGTATTAGCTTTTTGCTACAAGAAGACAGTACAATTGAGAAAAGCCGAAAGGATACTGGCTGCGAGTGTTTTCTAGAGTATGCAGCAGTGTATTGGGTGGACCATGCCAGGCAGATACCATCACAGATAGAAGCACAACTTGCAACACAGATTGATCAGCTTTACGACGTTAATACTGGGATTTTCGCGTTATGGTGCGAAATCTACTGGGATGAAGAAATAGTATATCCAGAACAACCTCAGAACAACAGCAACATAATTATGGCCGCCATTACTGGACACACACATACCATACAAAGATACATACAATGCGACCCAGAGGCTATCAACACACGGAGCAGTAATATCACATCAGCGCTATACTGGGCTTCTGTCCAGGGTTATCTTACTATTGTCCGACTCCTACTCGATGAGAGAGTAGATGTGAATGCACAGGGTGGCTACTATGGCAATGCGCTGCAGGCTGCATGCTCCGAAGGTTATATTGATATTGTCCAACTTCTTCTTGATGAGGGAGCAGATGTGAATGTTCAAGGTGGCTATTATGGCAACGCGCTGCAGGCTGCATGCTGCGAAGGTTACGTTGATATTGTCCGACTTCTTCTCGATGAGGGAGCGGATGTGAATGTACAAGGTGGCAAGTATGGTAATGCGCTGTGTACTACATGCTATAGGGGTTATGTTGATATTTTCCGACTCTTACTCGATGAGGGTGCGGATGTGAATGTACAAGGTGGCTTCTATGGTAATGCGCTGTACGCTTCATGCTTAGAAGACCACGCTGATATTATCCAACTTCTACTTGACGAAGGAGCGGATGTGAACGCACAAGGTGGTTTCTATGGCAATGCGTTGCAGGTTGCATGCTTTGAAGGCCATGCTGATATTGTCCGACTCCTACTCGATGAGGGATCGGATGTGAATGCACAAGGCGGTTTCTATGGCAATGCGCTTCAAGCTGCATGCTCTCATGGCTATGTTGATATTGTCCGATTCTTACTCGATGAGGGAGCGGATGTGAATGCACAAGGTGGCGAGCATGGTAATGTGCTGTATGCTGCATGCTCCGAAGGCCATGCTGATATTGTCCGATTCTTACTTGCTGAGGGAGCGGATGTGAATGCAAAAGGTGGCTACTATGACAATGCGTTGCAGGCTGCATGCTCCGAAGGCCATGCTGATATTGTCCGACTCCTACTCGATGAGGGAGTGGATGCAAATGCAGAAGGCGACAAGTATGGCACTGTGCTTATACAACGTCTCAGAACGCCTTCTCATTCATCGTCCGATTACCATCCGACCGAGTAGCAGAAAACTCACGCGCGCTGCAGGAAATTATCACTTGATTGAACAGCATGGCTGAAAAGGGAGTTGACTCAGACTTCAAGCGAGGCGAATCCCTCTTTGACAGATATTTTGGCGATACCAAGGTTTCCCCTAGTCCAAGCCTAGGTGCGCTGAGTGCGCCTCCATAGTACGCTGTGTCGTTCCTGGCGATCTAGGAACCATTGGTGGGCTGCTGGTAGATGAAGATGCGCGTGTAATGCGCAAGGATGCATCAGCTTTTCGCAGTTCTACCACACACTTTGAAAAACAAAAGTACTTATGCCGAAATAATACCTCACTTACTACATATGACCACAGATACAGGAGAATTCGGGATCCCGTCAAGCTCTTGTATTGAGTTCGACTCCCTCCAAATATAGATGACTTAACCTCCAGTTTCGGCGTTCTGACTTCTGTTTTTGTGTTTTTGGAGGTCATTAAACCCCAAGAGTCAACTTTTTGTCATGTTTTATTTTGAATAATAATTTTGACAGGATACTTGGTGGGCCAGAATCCGAGGCAATACAAGGCTGTAGCTCGGCGAGTCGAGCCCAAGGCTAGGGTAGGTTGTATTGCTTTTATAACATCGCAAGGAGACGGTCAGCTAGGCCCTATTCAAGAAGATAGATAGTATCATCGAGGCCAAATATAGTCTGAATATATAATAACACTTATTTATTTGTATTTACTTTTACATATTTTACGCTTCCTTTGTACAGTTTATGTCAACTATGTAGCACCGTTAAAGGCAAGCTTGTTGACAGTGTCAGCACGGTTATCGGTAATGGCATCCTGAGTAGCCGTCTGAACAATGTAGTCGCACAGAGCAGGTCCGGCAACAATATTATCTCTGCTAGCAATGTATGCAGCAAGACCGGCAATGTGAAGAGTAGCCATGGAGGTACCAGTGAGCGACTTGGTAGTGCCGCCAATGTAGGTGGACAAGACCTTAACACCGGGGGCGAGAATGTCAACCAGAGGACCCCAGTTGGAGTTGACGTAGCGTGTGTCGCCCTCAGCAGTGCCACCGACAGTACAGACTTCAGGAGTATTGCCAGGCGAGTGAGTAGAAGCGTCGGCGTTGTCGTTGCCAGCAGCGACAGCGACAAAGATGCCCTGCTTGATGAGGTTGCGGGCAGCGTCATCCTGAGCATTGGAGTTGGGACCACCAAGAGACATGTTGACAACAATGCCGTTGGGGCAGTTGCGCTTGGCGGCGTCATCAGCAACGCTGTTCATGGCCGCAATGACGGCAGAGGTCGGACCACCACATTTGCCAGAGTCCTCGTTATACTCAAGAACCTTCATGCCGTACAGGTTGATGCTCTTAGCCACGCCGTATGTCTTGCTTCCAATAGTACCAGAAACGTGAGTTCCGTGGCCGCAGTTGTCAGAGTCGTCATCACCGTTCCAGTGGCCAACCATTTGGGCACGGCCCTCGAATTCCTGGAGAGAAAGTAAAAGTTAGAGTCTGTGCAACTGCCACAGTGGTAAGACCGTCATAGACTCACAAGGTGGCTGGTCTCAATACCAGTGTCAATCACGTATGCGCAGACACCGGCACCGCTTCCAGCAGTGTCGTAGGTGTACTGCTTACTGCCCTGGGCACGGTGAGAGATGCGACCAAGGCCCCACGTAGAGCCAGACTGGGTGACAACTCCATCAGGAGTAACAGTCTGGTCCTGCTCAATATATTCGACCTACGTAATGTTAGTATTGCAACAACGCGGGTTGCCCAGATTGGCTTACATTGGGGTGGTGACGAAGAGCGTCCAGTGCGACAGCATCAAGCTTGGAAGCAAACCCCTTGAACGCACCGCGGTATTTGTGCTTGGGCTGGACGTGTAATTGAGAAATAACAGTGTCGAGCACGCTGGGATGGGTATCCTTGTGGAGCTTAACAATATAGTTGTTGGGAATAAGATTGGCGCCACGGGGGATCAGCAGCGGCGCAGGCTCCTCGCGCTTAATGGCAGTGGGCCCGGCCAGAGCAAGAGACAGACAAGAGAGAAGGACGAGGAGCTCCATTGTGTAAGAGAGGATATGAATGTTAAGCGATGAAGATGTAGATGTAGATACTCTTTCTCTTCAGTTCAAACTGGTGGGCAGCTTTCGAGATCTTTATACAAATTCCTCTGTAGCCCTCTCGGTTCGGTATCAAGCGTCGCCAACCTGGTGGCCATTTCCCCTCTTCGCTAAAACACTAAAACAATGCGTTGCTGCTGATTCAAGCTCGCTTAGCCCATTTAAGTCTAACAAACGCTATTGTGTCTGTCCCCCGCACAGCCCAGCATTCGGCAAATCTCCCTGAACTATGGACAAGGGCCATTACTGGCCATTTATGTCGCTGCAATTTGCCGTGTTTCTAGAATTACCCCAATTGGGACCGTGGGGAAATAGTCGAGGCCTAGCCTCATGGGGCAGCTGTGCTGGAAAGTGAGAATTGATTGTACCCGTAAGATGAAGGTAGTATTGTGTCCCGTACACCTGGACAGCGCCCGGCGTAATATGGCCACACCGAATAGGAAGTTCATGTGGAGCTAGCCCAAGCTATCTAGGTCTAGTACATGCATGCTAAATATATAAGTATCTTTACCTTCCTAAATATGCTCAAAGCGGGATCATTCGGTTCCTGTGACCTGGTCTCGACTGATAGAAGCTTGGAGTCGAAAGATGATGATTTCAATTCGGTGACTGTTTTGTACAAAGCCCGTATGCTGTAGCCTTTACAGACCTATCGCATTTTGCCTTCTGTGACGGCAGTATTACAAGAAGAATAGATGCGTACCCTAGAGATGAGGCATGAGAGGCTTTTATTGAAAGGGAGAGTGCTACTCTAGCGCGATAATGTTTCTAGACTAAAACATGCTTACTACTCTGAAACTTTAATCTAGCGCCACTACAGACCATACAGTGCCTGGAGTTAGGGGAAGGAACGTGGCTTCGTGAGGCGGTTTATTCCTCTGTCAGCCTGTCGGTTCCAGCGGTCGACTAGCGTACGTTGCCGTCTACAAATAACTAGACGAAAATAGAACCACGTTCTAGAACACCAAGTGGAAAACCTCTGGCTAGTTGAAGCTGCCTTGGAGCAATTGACTGAACAGCGTACCTCGGTTCACACGTTATATCCACGCCGTTGAGTAGGCAAGGCTTGTCAGCATCATGTTTGCAAGGCTGCAAAAATACGTGCAGATCTAGACTTGTTACAGAAGGCTGTGGCCACATTAGATCGTGGACACTGAGTCAAAATATTAAATGTCAAGCACTTTTTGTGACTGTTTACCACATCTGTACCCCTATGTGTTGCTCATAACCTACCTTGAATACATAATTCTGCCATCACTTACTATTTTAAAACTCGTCAAAACGATTCTATAATTGTAAATACTTTCCTAATTTATGTGGAGCTTGTAGAAACCCAGCAACCGTCAGCATGCCTCCTTGGCCAGCGGTCGCACCCAAGACACTACTCTGGCACCGCTAGCCTCAGCCACACACAGATCTCCAGCACGGCAACGTAGTCACCTCCATCGACAAAATGACATATATTCTCGCCTCGAAGGGTAAGAATAGCGTTGTTGTTGTACCTTCTCGACCTGTACGACAAAAACGATTTACTCACAAAACCAAAACAGGCTGCGCTGCCTGCCGGTCCGTACCTCGCATGGATTGTACCTCACTTCGATGCTAACTCAGCATCTAGGCGGCGTCGAATCAAATGCAATGAAGCTCGTCCAGTGTGCCATCGCTGCGTGAGGTCTGGCCTTGAGTGTGTCTATCCTCAGAGCACAGCTCACATAGAATCATCTATTCCTCTGTTCCCCCAGCCGTCCACCACGCTGTGTCCCATTGAGGTTGAGCCCAATGGCCAGGAAGTGGACATTTTTGGCGCATTTCGCAGCTCCATTGTCGGCATGGTTGGTGGTAGCTTCAATCAATCCTTTTGGCTTGTTGATGTACCACGGGCAGCGCAAATGTATCCTTCCATATGGCATGCTGCTATTGCTCTGACTGCTATCCACCATTGCGCAAAGTCGGACCAGGGAAGAATTCGGTATTCGGCACCCGGTCAGCCAGTGTCGCATCTTGCTCGCAATAACCAGTACACTACGGCCCTTGTGCACTTTAACAAATCACTACGGTATCTTTCTGAGGCCGTGGCACAATATCGAGACAACACGCCGTACATGCAGAAAGAAATGATCATCATAACTAATATGATATACATCGGTATCTGTAGTATTCTGGAGGATACGAAGCAGACTACTCAGCATCGTATCAATTTGATAAGGCTACTGGAACATTGGCGATTCGGCGAGGATGATCCAGTTTCTCGCCACGGCGTCCTTACATACGACGATTTGCTCTCCATCCTCTTGGTGATTGATGGGAATATGGATGCAAGTGCAGAGCTCCCTCACCGACAGGAGCGTCCATGGGCCGTTCAACTCCCCACTCATGCCGGCTTCACGTCTACTACTCAAGCGTATATGGGGCTTTTACCCTTCTTGTATCATCGACTTTACGGTAAAGAACACTTTAGAGGGCCTGGATTTGATGGACCTGGAAAGTTTGCAACTCGCCGCCGTTTATTGGCCTCGTATGTTGCTAAACTGGATCACTATGAGCGCTCGACGAAGTACATGACGACTCACGATCTAGAATCATTAAAAACAATCCGACTGATACTGAAAGTCTACGGAATGAAAGAAGAGCTTCTACGTAAAGAAACTAGAGAATCGTTTGTCGAGGAGCAGCGGCGGATATATCCCATCCTTGGGGAGATAGATGAACTGCTTGCTCAAACATCGCCCCTGGCAGAACCATTCTCAACAACGACGCCACCGGTCAATTTTTCACTTCGACCGTTTTGTGCAATACATCTCCTACTTGAAGTATACATGGACGGCTATGTCGTGCGACGTAGTCTTGAATTATTTCAAAAATGGCCGTTCAACGATGTAGGAGAGACCAGTTTTCTGATTCACAGTCTCTACCTGGCCAAACAAAAGTTCGAAGTCGGCGGCCCTGAACGCACAATGAGCTACCAGAAATCAGGACTCCCAATAAATCCAACCTATCCCTTTGGTGGTCTAGAGGAAGGTGAATTCGACGGATGTAGCGGCTGCGAGTGTATTGCAGAGGTTTTCGTTTGCATCGATCATAGGGTTAGAGAACACAAGGTGCGAACTATTGAGTCGCAGCAATTTGCTCTGTTCCGATGTGTTTACGAGAGTCGAAATGACCTGCCATGGACCTCATTTCTGCTGGACTACTAGCGTCACATAAGTTATACGGCAGCAACGGGTAGCGAATCTGAAGTTGCTGGAGAACTGTGACAAGGCGGGGAAGTTTAATGCAATTAACTTAAGCTCATATCTATTCACTTCCTGCCGTAACACAAAATCACACTGTTCCGTTCCAGTGAACCCATGTTAAAAAAGCACAAGGAAAGGGGTTATAGCTTGATCTACGTCGTCGTCTGGTACATACGACCATAGATACAGGAGAACTCGGGATCCCGTCCGCTCTCCCATAGATAAGCCTGTAATCGGCAGATTAGTAGTTGGGTCGGTGACGACCAGCGAACACCGGCTGTTGTATGTTTTTTATCATTTTTATCCTTTTTGCTGCTTTGAATACCTTGAAGTGCTTTCGTTCTTGATAATTACGAAGTATGAGTCTTGGGAGGCGATGCTCTTCAAGTGTTGTGGCTGGCCCGGCTGGTTACCCGATTTGGCAATTTTCATTTTTGCTATCAGTTAGCAAAGTCTGCAAACCAGATACCAGTAAAGAACAGAACTTTGGCAGAAATAAATTAGTTATTGACTTTAAATCATGCTATTTGCTCTTTTAGTATTGAATTTATCCGAAGAGGTGAGTGCTCGGTGGACAAGTAAATCGCCAATACGCGCTGGAGGAGCTTCAATAACTGTACTAAGCGGAAGAAAGTCTTCAACACCAGTCAATAGCACTATATGCGAATTCACGTAGACAGTTGCCTAATTATTAATTACATAGACAATATTATGTCTCTCAAAAATAAGTATTTTTACCAAGACGATTAGCTTAAGAAGGTAGGTACTAAAATATGAAGAGTTAGTACTCTACTTAAACACTCTACAGGTGTGCACAGTTGTTACTCACAGAGTCTACGCAATGTCAATATATCTTATTCTTCGTAGGAACATTACATGTTAAATCAACTCCAATATTCCGGGTTTATTGTATTTGTATTAATTAAATTTTCTATTGTTTCTATATAGTTTCTACACAGTTGACAATAGCTCTAACCCAATGCTACAGAAGTTATCCATCTATAGATCTATAGGTTACCGCCGCCACCTTAGTCACAAGGCATGGCCGCCCCTCAGCGAAACCAAGTCAGCCACCGCCTCCAAGACTAGCATGACTTTTTTTCCAACTTCCATATTATACTATTAAATGGCCTTTCATCAATTTAGCCGCTTTCCCCGTGAAATACGGGAGGCAATATGGCAGCACACAGTCTACTACGAATCCGAAGTCTGCCTCTGCTGGCCGTCCAACACATGCAGAGGCTATCCTGAAGGTGCAGGTGCCAACTCACTTAATCACTCTCCGCAACTGCCCTTGACTGTCGATACGGCATATCCTGTAGCAATGCACGTGTGTCATGAGTCGCGTGTCACCGTGCAACGCCCTAGTAGTGGCATACGTTTTCGAGCATCGCAGGCTGCCGGCTGCCCTACGCCATTCAGACGATATTTACCTGAGCTTGACATCCTCTATTTCAGCGAAGGCGCGGCATCTGTGTTGCGTATTGGGGAACGACTATCTAAAGCGGCCCGAACAGTGCAACAAAAGCTGGTGGATGCAGCCTGGCATGACATTCTCAAGAAAGCCAAGTGGATTGCTTTAGAGGGTCGGTGGTTCACATTCCACTATTGGGACCTCCAAATGCTAATGGAGACTGATGACTGGTGGGATGACAATCATGTCCGTACCGAAAGATCCCACGAGCTACAGAAGCGGCTATCCTTCGTCATGGCCGGTTCGACGCCAATGGAGCCTAGCCCTCGGCACTTTGAGAGATTCAAAGCACCTGGGAGGCGGTGCAAGCTTGTAAATCTGACGGCTGAAGAAGTGGCGAAAATCAGGGTAATTATTGATCCTAACGGTGGTGCGCTCGATATTGGTCCACAAGAGCTATCAGTCGCCATTGACCTTACTCGCAAGTACATCTTTCACGGCGGCACGTGGGAAGAAGGGGATCCTATTTGGTGGCGCGATGATGACCTCGAGATTGTCTCCCAGACATTTGTAGAATACCAGACGGATGGCACATGGAAAGAGGTCTGCCAGCAGCGCATGTTTTCACGCAATGATCTCGAAACTAGTCCTCCTATTTTGGTGGAAGATCGACCAGATCCTGAGGTAATCAGGGTAATTGACACGGAGATTTCATCGGAGCTTTGGGAAGAACCACCTGTAGTGGGTTGGTTATAGGTCGACGATAACTGAAGAAGTGGCACTGCAGTAGACCTTGAACACAAATAATTATGTATTGGCTAACTTATATGCAAAGTAATCTGACTCTGCAGACACGCGATATTAACTATGAGGCTCGTCACCTAGAAAAGATGTTCCTAGTATAGGGTGGGAAAGAATCGGCCCCGTTAGACTGTCTACAGAATGATCCTTTGACCACTCCATCAGCTTATCCCAATTGCGGCACTGGTGCGTAGTCTTCATCGTCGGCCACGGCCATCGATAATCGTCTTTCCAAGTGTACGTGTGCAGGGAAATGTCGCCGTGGCACATGACTGTTTGGCGAAGAAGATCAATACAGTGATCAAAATGATCTCGCTGATCTTCAATAGGATTTGGATTGTGGTAGTAGTCGGAGTAATAGAATTTTCGGACCTGGTTGACACAGTGCAACGTGTGAAAAACGTCCAGCGTCACAAGGTAGCCGCCCTTTTCGTCATTGAGTGGAACAGACGAGAGGTTTGCCTTCTGCAAGTCTTCTCCCTGAACTCGCAAATTATTATCTGTGTCTTGTTAGTGGATATTCATGTAAGTGAAGGTGAGTAGTTGCGCGGACATACAGTTTAATAGTTCTTCCCATGCCTCGTCTAGCTCTTGTCGTGGCTTGCCTCTGTATTTGCCATCCTCAACTAGGTCATGGACAATTACTTTTGTCTCGTATTGTAAGGCTGTTCTCGCCGGAGCTGTCCATTTAATTAGCACCGGTGGGGAAAACAATAGCAATCTGTGACTGCGTCTTACAATAGACTTCACCAGCGCTGCAATCACACTTTGCGGCATGGAGCTTCGCACTCCACAAGTATAGTGCGATTGTGATGCAAGTATAAAATATAAATGCACCAATGTGTACGTATTTCTTTAGTTTATCATTGCGCTTGACGGCGACCGGTGACGGCAAGGACTTTTCTTGTGCCTGCTCCGCGCTCAAAAGGTATTCGGTGTCTTGAGCATCGGCAGGCCCATGATCCTCGGAGAGTGATATTTTGGAATACATTGCAATGATAGTTGTAAAATAAACATGTCTGGAGCAACTTTGGAGAAGTGAGGAGAATTTCCAACATAACTAGAGGGGGTAGATACTAGACGTCCAGGACCGTGTCTTTAGCGCTTACGACTGTTGCCCACTGTGGCGTATGCAGCACTGTAGAATGCTCCGAGGCTCTCGAAATGATGTACAGCTGTGTAAGGTTACATCAGATACCTCCACACAGTAGACTTTATGCCGCATGTTCTATTTCTGGGCAATGATAAAAGTTGGGGTTGTCATTGGGTACTGTTGATCGTACTGGGGGTTAGGCTGCCTTGTGGATGTAAACAAGGGAGTGTGAGTGAAAGTATGAGGAGAGCAACGTATATACGCAAGAGGAGGATGTTATGATGCTGTTTTAACGGAATTTCATTATTCAAATCTAGGGGCTATTCTGATTGGTTTCGACGCGAGCACACCATATGGATTAATAAGCTCCCTATTTGCCCCATCCAGCCTGGTTGTTGTAGAGGATATCAGGGTTCTGCTTCTCAGAACGCTTTCCCCAACCGGCCTGGTTATTGTAGAGGATGTCAGGATTTTGCTTCTCGGAGCGCTTTCCCCATCCAGCCTGGTTGTTGTAGAGAATGTCGGGGTTTTGCTGCTCAGAGCGCTTCTCCTCAGCTTCAATGGGCGCAGCAAGGGCGGTACCAAAGAGGGCAAGGACAAGAGGAAGAGAAAACTTCATGTTGATGAATGTTGAGTAAGTTGTATGATGAGTTGATACTTCTGTGAATTGTGTGGATATCTTGGTCTAGGGCTGCGGACGTACTAGGTATCTATACAAGCCTGCTTCAAGTGTGCTATGGATAGCTTGACTCTCGGAGCAGATTCGGAACGTTGCAAGCTGGTTAAGAACATAGTCCATGGGTAACGAGCATACTTCGGGCAGCTAGCACTCCCTGGGGTGTGTTGTAAGTCAGTCTGGGTTGGAGAGGAGCGTGCGATCCAGCCATTGCGCTAAGCGGTGTCTGACGGCCACTAGCTGCAGAGTCTGGTCACCATGCTTGTGAACATTAGTTTCGTTTTCAAAGTCTCCGGTTGGCGCTTAGGAGGGGCCTTGACAAAGAGTAGAGTGGTGTGTGATGGTTTTACGTGTATAGATGGAGCCATCGCGAGAAGATGGCAAACGGCATCACAAGACCGTCAAAGTCACAACTCAGAAAAATGTTATATTTATTCAGAAAGATGCGAAAGATTTATCTTGGATTATTTCCTATTAGAATATACCAAATTACATGTGAATGGCAAGTCGCGGGCAGAGTTTGGATTTTTGCACCCGCCATGTAAGTGCCTCTAGGAACGGAGCGGAGAGCCGGTAGAATAAAGTAAATCAGAAACAAAGGCTAAATCATTTTGCCCCCACGCTAACTAGCATTCCCCGCATCTTTGTTGGATTCATCAAGTATAGATTGTACATGGGGGTCTAGTGCTTACAAGGCCTGTGCTGGCTTACAGCGACAGCCGGTTGGAAGGAGACTTTTAATGCTCAAAGTCATGCATTAATACGGCTAGGATATAGTTGGGTCAATAATATGACGCAAGTCGCCACCTCTAATGCGAAATCCGTTCTATATATCCTACGAACCACTATCTCGTGGCGGCATAGATGGCGACCACCACAACGCCACACGCCTGGGAGTGGCGCACACCTTGCCCGATGGAGACTTATACCAGCAGCATGTTACAGCTTCGGCGGGTTTGGAGATTTCCAAAAGCAATGTAACCTTCCGTATACTTGATAGATGCAGCCAACTTTCATATCCCGTGACGTTGCTTCCCCAAATGGAGGAGGAGGCCGGCTGTAAGTGACGCACACTCTGTGGTTGTGTTGTTGGAGTACTGGCTCTCACCTAAATTCTGCTCTACGGTAGTTGATATTCCAAGACGTTGGAAATTCAGTTTGACCAAACTACTATCCAAATTATTTTGGAATATTCCTTTGCACAACTGCTTTACCACTTACGATGGTGCACTCAACCTTGACTCGATCCTCAGACGAGGTGCCGTTCTTGTCGACAGATGAAGAGAAAGATCTTTTCTCGGCATCCAGACAGGCATCATGGCGAGTAAAATGGGCTCACTTATTGCCTTATTCTGGGTTTCTAAACCTAGTGCTTTTGGTTATGCTACTAGGTACATGGACGCACCAGACACAGAGTGCATCGAAAGCATACATTCCAAATGAAGTCTATTGTGAGTAAAGTTGTATTTGCATGCTCCGCGAAAGTCCTGCTAACTTGGCGATAGCACCGGCACAAGAAGCAGTAGAGTACCAGACAGTTGTTTTCAGTGGTGGTCTGCGCGAGGACAAGTCCAAGTTTGTAGGATCTGGTTCGTCTGTTGACAAAGAATGGGATGTTCTCTACAATGGTAAGTTTTTTCAAACGAAAAAGGAAAATTCATTACATTTGAGCCAACAGAGAATTATTCAGATGTCTTAATTTCGCAGATTGACGCCAAATCTGCCGCGAAGCTGCCCAACGCAACATCACCCTTCACTCACGACCCAAGCCATTACATTGTCGAGCTCGACGTCTTCCACCAGCTACACTGTGTCAACATGCTGCGGAAGCTAGTCTATCCGAATGTCTATCCAATGGATCTTACATCTGGTTCTGAAAAGGCTGAAGATAACATCTTCCACATGGAGCACTGCTACGAGCAGCTGCGTCAGTCCATCCAGTGCTCGTCAGACATTGCCACTATTTACTGGCAGTGGAGCGAGAAGAAGCATAAAATGCTCGGCAGTGTAAGGACGACGCATACATGCAAGAATTTCGAGAAAATCCGTGATTGGGCTGTTGCACACAAGGCACAGACAGACTTGGACTTTGACGTGCATGTCCACGGAGCAGCGTTACATCCATAGTTTTCAGTAATGAAGATATCATAAAAATATTATATTAATTTAATTGTTGCTCATTTTGCGCATTTGGGATACTTTACAAAAATCTTCGTCCCCGAATCCTTCATGCCGCCGGGATGCCCGCCAATCATCTTGACGCAGTGGCTTGTGTGGTGATAATTCGCAGTATACGAATCCAACTCCTGTGTCGGATCCAGCATGATTCTGTGCAGCCGCTTCCAGACAAACATGCAGTGCGTGACATGCCAGTCAAAAGTCGTTGTGAAGTGTCCGTAGTCGCCCAACGCCAGGCCATCCATTGTGAGATTCCTACCAGAGGCGATCTCATACGGCCAATGACGGTCCTTGTACATGTCTTGTGCATCCTCCTCATCAGCTTCGGTCAAGCATGACTTGGGTAGCCATGAGTGCAGAACGATGCTGTATTGGCAGTCTCTGGCCTTGGCTTCTTCGGGTGAGTTGCCGCAGTCGCCGTTGGACCAGGCTAGAGGAAGACCGGTTTTGGGGTCTGTACCATCGGCAGCTTGTGGAATGATGCGTGCGTGTGAGTCTAGAGTAAGGATAGAATATAAGGTCATGGACGCTCCCATTGCAAGGAGGCCGAGAAAGAAAGCCGTTAAAAGAGAGGCCCATGGCCGCTGTCTGGGCGGAAGACGCTGGAATTCCTCTGAGAAGTCGCTAGATACATCGTCGACTTTGGAGTACTCGATTTTGGGCTCCATCTTGATTGTTGACTGTAGTTGCGAGGCTATGTTCTACAGCGTGTTTCTCTTTTTCTTTCTTTCGTTCTTTCTTTCTTTTGTTTTGGAGTGTTTTACTTGTGAAGACAAAACAGGTCTAAAAGTAGAAGCCTTCTTGATAATCGTCGGACCTGTCCCTTCTTGTTCCTCCCCCACGGAATGTGCCATGGCCACTGGTAACAGTGCCGTACCCGCAGATGTAACACTGCAACTGCAGTATAAAGTAGTCTAAGCTGGGGCGTAGGTAACGTGGAGTCCGTGTTAAAGCAACGGCGGCGTGAGATTTTAGCATCCTTGCGGGGCAAGCAAGCCAGTTCGTAGAAACTCTCCGGTTCTTGGCTTGTTGCTGGAACCAGCCACACAGACGACAGTAGAGGCGAAGAAAGAAGATTATTGTATTACATTGTATTGGTTGTATATCCAATGTGTTAGCTCCCTAAAAATTAATAAATACGTACGTCCACCTCTGTGGGAACACCTTCGAAGTTGCCACAATAAGAATACAACGCCACCAAAAACCCCAACCCTAGCAATACGTGAACGTGTACATTCTCACAAAGATGGTGCACAAAGTCAATGGTTTTGATGATGTGCAAAATTTCTAATAACCAGTATATAATACTATAGATTTTTGTGTGTATTATATTCCAGGGAAATCCAAGCAATACCTGCATCCACAGCAAACAGCATTGAGGGTCACGGCGCGCCCTGTTGTAGACATGGCGCCGCTTTGCACAATATTTTGATTTATAAGCTCTGTTTCTGCCTTCTACACAATCACAATCCGTAAATACAGCATCATCACAGACACCATGACTTCAAAATCAGATGCTTCCAACCTTCCCGAAGGCATTCGCAATCAATTTCCCAATGGCGATCTTCCCACGTCAATTCTAGAGCTTACGCGAAACTCGGTCTCTGAGCCCATCTTCAACCACTCTCTACGTGTCTATCTCTTTGCAAAATGGCTGTCTGAAAAGGAAGACCAAGGCTTGGATGATCATGCGCTATCACTGCTCTTTGCAGCTTGTGTTTTCCATGATTTGGGCACCTGCGACGCCTTCAATGGCCCGCAGCGGTTCGAGGTTGAAGGCGCCGATGTAGCCAAATCACATTTACTTGCCCGCCAAATCGCAGAATCAGATGCGCACAAAGTTTGGACAGCGATTGCGCTACACACAAGTCCAGGGATCGCTGAGCGCATCGACCCTTTTACTAGGCTAGTCAGGCTCGCAGTGCTGATTGACTTTTCGCCTGCCACCAGATCAAGCCTCGGCGCTGTAGAGTACGGGAGAGAAGTTGAGGCTCTACTCCCGCGACTGGATATTGAAGAGAATCTTGCCAAATCTGTTGTATGCCAGGCCAAGGGTGAACAAGTAGTTCCAGATAAGACAACATATCCCTCTACACAAAAGCACCCGGCTGGAAGTTGGCCTGGGATGCTGCTAAGAGCACATTTGGAGAACCCGGGACATCAGGGAAGAAATCCAGCATTTTAGCTTCTTTAAATTTATACTTATAAAATCAGTAATATTACTTTCATATATGGGTTGCTTTTACTTTCAGTTCGCCTACACTTTATTAGTAGCGTTAGCGCAGAAATTCTAAACATTCAGTATTTGCAACTTTAACTGCGAAAAGGAATTTACATCTATTTAACCAGGAATCTTCCTGTGAGTCTACCTTCCGAGCTTCTCATCATTTGTGGAAATGGCTGAAAATATGCTGCCCTCTACAACAAAACAAACGAAACAACGTTCGAAATACAAGAAAATTAGCGAGGATACTCCCGTCGACAAACTGCCGTTGCTAGGCAAAGCCAAATTTCTCCTTGACCTTACCCATGATACTTGTAAGGAATGCCGCACCGTCGCGAAAACAACACATGCAGCTCGTTTATTCGCGCTTCTTGCTCCAATTTATTGCGATGGTTGCGAAACCGGGCATCCTGCAGTGTGGTTTTCTCCCGAAGACCGAGAGAAGGTGGACGGCAGCCCTCGAAAATGCATCACATGGCGCGGCAGACTCTCTGCTTGTAAACACTTGTCCATTACTTGCGCAGAGATTGAGCAGTTAAGATGCCAACAAAAGTTCGCCAACGGCACGACAATCCTAAAATGTGTGGATGAAGAATGCGCAGTCGGTGCCTGCTTCCAATGCCGTGATCTAGGCAACGGCGACAATATGCTACGCAAACCGTGGTGTTTCATATTCGAAGAGGGTACCGAAGCCGATCCGTACATGTTCAACGTCCTGCAATCAATCTATCATCGCGATGCAAAAGCGTTCTGTGGGCATATGCAGATGGACTCTTTTCGGTTGGAACGGCCAGATCTTGTTGAGATGAGGAGATATCATCGTCGCGCAAATCAAATAGCATGCATATTTTGCAACTGCCGCATTCAGCTCAACACGCGATGAACATGGCAACAGGCTAGATCCAAATCTGGGCTGTCACTTGTCATTTGTTCACAGTCTAGCTTTGCACAAAGGCAAAGTCAGACGGGGGGACTGGGTTATGATGCTTGACGCCGATAGCACCGGGCTGATGCGAGATCCTGCATTGCAAAAGTCTTACTTGGTGCAATGATTCGACGTGCAGCACCAACAGAGAGGGTCTACTACTAGCTGTTCTGATAGAGTTTGGCCACAAGATGATGATCCCAAAGACTTTCTCTCAGTTCAAGGCGACCGAAGCTGACACTCTCCAAAGAGAGGCCGATGGTAAGCGTCGCTGTCATCAAAAGTCTACCGAGATTGGCCGACGACAAAATACCTGGAATAAGCGTCGTTCGGTCAAGTCACTGCTGTTTTTGGGTCTCTTCGCGGGCCTCGTCTTTTTAGGTACTGGACTTTGGCTGCCTCGTTACCTTTGTGATAGTTGCCGTCCGCAGGATGACCAGTGATATCTCGGGTCGGAACCCCAACAAAGGGACAGGCGTTGCTTTGTTTACGTACTTGGTTATGATACGAATGGTTTTAGTAATAAACGTTCCCTTTTCATTGAAAGTTCTATGAATGCTTGTCTCCAGAGTGCCATCCTCCCATCGACTAGCAGTAGTAGATCTACTCATACAAATAAATATTTCTTATGCTTCGTTGCTTCTTTACTGTCCTTCCTCCCAGTCAGGGTTCTTCTTCAAAATAACCAGACCCTCTAGCGTGCTGCTCAAGCTAATGTACTTTTCGTCCTCAAGCTCAGCTCGCTCACCATACGCCAACAAGACTGGCGTGCTCTGTGTCTGCCAGCCAGTAATAGTCTTGGGACGACCTGCTTGGCCAACAACATCAACAGCTTGACCAACGCGGACATTGACGCTGAGGGGCTTCAGGTCCTCATCAAGGGTGACCAGGAATCGGGGGTGCATCGCCGTAACCAGGAAGTAGAGTAGGTAGTGTGATGTCGACGCGATAAACTCCTTGGGGTCAAGCATTGCAACCATGGTGGCGAGGAGACCAGCTGTGGCAACAGGCGAGATGACCTGTCTGTCGGTGTGGAAGGGGTTAATGGACATGGTTCCCTTGCCCATGTGCAACAAGCCCTGAGCGATGCGGACCATGAAGAGAGCATCCTGATCACGGTGGTAGTAGCTCGCAAGTTGGCGCAGTAACTGAGCTAGACGGGCGTTGTTGGTACCAGCTCCGAGCATACCCATAGCGAAGATGGCGTTGATTGCAACTTCAGGGTCAGTGTCGTGAGAGTATCTCGAAAGCGTGTCGTAGACCTTCATCTGGGGGTTGCTTGGGCTAATAAGACCCATAGCCAGAGGCACAGCCTTGCGAATATTGGCCTCGCCGTAGTGCATCAAGTGACCAAACTGACGAAGCACCATTTCCTGACCGATGTCTTCGCCCATGGAGATCAAGGCAATACCAATGACGGCGTAGGCCTGGAGCAGCTCGTCACCCTTCTTCTCATCCGACTCCTCTTGGTGCTCGTTGCAAATGTGCAGAAGCTCCTGAATCTTCAGTACGGCACCAGTACCAGCCCAAGCGCAAATCTCGGCTAAGACGGCGGTAGGAGTAGCCATGGGGTGCTCAACAGCCTTGAGAGTCTCCAAAATGACATCCACTTCTTCTTGGCGGCCAAAGAACAACAGACCCAATCCGAGGGCGAGGAATCTTGTCCACTTGTCCGTCAACTGGTTCTTGCGCTCGTCATCCATAAGTGTTGTGACGATGGCCTCACTGACATCGGGGTGTGATGAGCCAACAAAGATGAGACCACAGGATAGAGCAGCCATGGCGGAAATTTGCATCTCCTGATCAGAGTCGTTAATGAGGGGCAGCAGCAGCTCCAGAACCTCTTCCTTGTTGGAACCTGCGTAAGCAAGACCAAGACCCATAATGCAAGCAGTTCGGACGAGGGGACTCGAATGGTTGAGCTTGTCAGCATCGCCAAGCAATGCCAGAGCAGGGTCGTCTTCCATTGTGATGCCAGAGTTCATAATACCAATGGCAAGCATGGCACCAGCGGAAATTTCGCTCTCAGTAGAGTAAGTGTACTTGTCCACTTTGTCAAGACCCTCTTCAACATCCCACATCAACAGAGTACCAAGCGATGCAACAGTAGACATCATACCATCACCCTTAGTCTTCCATACCCAGCTCTCCTTTTCGCCGTCTACTAGCATCATCTTATCATTACCAAAGCCAGCATTAACAAACGCGTTAACAAAGGCCGCAGCGAGGTTATGGCGAGCAGAGTCCAAGTTGGTCATGCCAGCAACACGACTGCTCTCGAGATGGCTCTTGTAAATGTCTTCTGTGGTCTTGGGATCGAGGATGTTGAGCTCTTTGCCGAGAGCTTTGAAGTGGTCGGACAGCTTGAGGTTGGATAGGCATTCGGCGAGTTCCTGGTCCTTTTCTTCGTCCTCTTCATTGTCAAGCTCGATGCGCTGTCTGGCGATAAGGAAAGCCAGCTGCTTCTTAAGAGCAGGGTCTTCGGCTGTTTCAAAGTCGGCGCGGATCAAGTCGATATCATGCAATCGGATGGCAAGAACCATTGCCTGAGTGTATCGCTTGTATTCCATGTAGATCTTGTGGGCTGTGCGAAGGAAGATTTCGTTATCAGGGTATGTCAGCAAGTTGACCATGCTGACCATGTACAGGCAGACTCGGGCGTAGGTGTTTTCATCCACGTATTCGGGCATCTCTTTGATAATCTCGAGTTCACTCATCAAATCTACGGCATCAGCCTCTTGATTGCTCTTAATAAAAATGGGAACGAGGATCAGAGCCATATCGATGAGATCCTTTGTTGACTCCTCGGCGGTAATGCGCTTAGCGTAAACCTCACCAATCTCAAGAGCAAGGTGGCGAACATATTCGTGGCCCCAAGAACCAATGTCGGACGTTGGAGCGAGGAGTCTGTACTTGAGGGTATCCTGTCTGTCTTCATCGGAAAATGTCATACCGATGACGGAGAGGACATCAGCCAAAGAGGTCTTGTTCTCGCCAGCTGGCCACTCATCGTAGAGCTTGGTGAGAGTTTCGTAGTGCGGTCGGAGGAACTTGAGGGGCTTGGGAACGGCCGTCATGGAAGAGGTCGAGGTTTTTATCGAAGTCTTCATCGTTTCTAGAGCAGTCTTGTACAGGTTCTTGTTGGGCTCCTACTCGACGTGTCAGCGGGGTTCCAAGAGGCGCGGGACCAGCAAAAGCGTAGCCTACCGTCAAACGCTCAACAATCATGTCGAGCTCGCTCTTGAGTTGTTGGTCTTCTTCACTGAGTTCTTCACCGGCAGCTGGATATCCAATTAGCAAAACAAAGTCAATCGACGCGATCCAAAGCAATGCAGCCACATACCGTCCTTCTTGTCATCATCCTTGCCCTCTTCCTTCTTTCCGTTGAGGACAGGCTTCTCATCCTTGGGCTCCTCGGCGGCCTTGGCTTTGCCTTTGCCCTTGTCGGCGGGCTTGGGCTCTTTGACGTCCTTGGCCATCTTGTCAAATGGACAATGTTTCGCAGCGCAGAGTTGCTATGGGTTCTCTTCGAGGTAAACCTGAATGGTGGCGGGTGTCGGTCAGACGACGTGGAATTGCGTAGTCGTCGGGGGCGAAGCAAAAAATAAAGCGATTATAAAACGACAAAGGATTGCCAATCTACTCGAATTCGCAACTCTCTTGGGTGTAGAATTGCTTGCGTCCCCAAGGTTGCTGTGCGATGCTGATGGAAGGCGATGGAGCCGTGGAGTAAAGCTGTCGCTGGGGTCGTGGCACCTTGGCCGTAGCTCCTACAGTACGCGAGGCGGTTGCCGCCTGGCCGCTGTTGCTGATGCGATCACGTGCTGACTCAGAATGCTGCGCTACCCGATAAGCTGAGGCGGCGTGGGTGCGGGCAGCCTTATCGTCCAACCCGGAAGGCTTATCGAGAATTTTCCAAAAACCCCCACTACCAGCGACATCGTCGGGTGTAAATCTACAACAATTCCATATACACCTGCAACTTGCTGCATTTTCTATACGAAAAAGCCATTTCAGTTTCACCATGAAGTTGGATACCAGAGCTCTGCGCCATTTGGCGGCAGAAGACTGGCGAGTTCTCACTGCTGTACGCACGCATAGACCGGTTCGCTATCTATTTACAAGGCTAATTCACACAATTACAGGTTGAGCTCGGTAGCAAGAACCACGAAATCGTCCCCACGCCCTTGATCGAGCGCATGTCCCGTCTGCGAGGCGGCGTCAGTGGCGTGCATAAGAGTATATCAGCCCTGGCCAAGGTTGGCCTTATCGCTCGCGTCAAGGAAGCAAAGTACGATGGCTATCGCCTGACATACGGCGGTCTCGACTATCTGGCTCTGCACACGCATGCCAGCAAGAAGCATGTGTACAGCGTCGGCAACCGAATTGGTGTCGGCAAGGAAAGTGATATTATGGTTGTCGCAGACCACACTGGAACACAGCGCGTCCTCAAGATCCATCGTCTTGGTCGTATATCCTTCCGCTCAGTAAAATCGAACCGCGACTACCTCAAAAACAACAAATCGGGGTCATGGATGTACCTTTCGCGGCTAGCAGCCATGAAGGAATTTGCCTTTATGAAGGCATTGCGAGACGAGGGAATCCCGGTACCCGAACCCATCGCTCAATCGCGACACACAATCGTCATGTCTCTCATCGACGCCTTTCCTCTCCGACAAATAGCTGAAGTACCAGACCCTGCTTCCTTATACGCAGACTTGATCGCCATGATCTTACGTCTCGCTAAGCACGGTCTTATTCACGGCGATTTTAACGAATTCAATATCCTCATCAAAGAAATACGATCTACCGATGAATCTGGTCAGGAAGTCCTTAATCTGGAGCCTGTTCTCATCGATTTCCCTCAGATGGTGTCGATGCAACATATGAATGCTGAAATGTACTTTGACAGAGACGTCAACTGCATCAAGCGCTTTTTCCAACGCCGTTTTCATTTCACAAGTACAGAAAAGGGTCCGTCCTTCAAAAATGCGATGAAATTGCTTGGAAAAGACGGAGCTACGAGACTAGACGCCACTGTAGCAGCGTCTGGGTTTACGAAAAAGATGTTGAAGGATCTAGAGGCAGCTGTTCGCGAAAAGGCTGAAACGAGAACTGATCAGCGCGATACGGACGATGAGGATTCCGATGAAGAGGAAGAGGACGATGAAGATGAGATTGAATACAGTGACGCTGAAAATGGCGAAGACCAAGGCCCTATTGTCATCAATGTCGGCCCCGATGCCGAGGTTGCGGAGGAACCAGCTGCTCTTGATGACGACATGTCTAAATTAGCCGTATAGTTGAATTCATACCCAGGTTCTCCATCACATTAGAGTACACGTCTAAGATTTCGTGTGCAACATCATCTATTATTTAAACTTGATATATGTATATATCAAGACGAAGGCATCTGTATTCTTCCTTTTCAGATGTAATTTGATTAACAAAGTAAAGTCTTAGAAGCAAAGTTCTGGCTTCCCACAATTCAGCAAAGTTTGAGCAATCTCAACCATACATGATGTTCCGCAATCAAAACGAGCAGCAAATAAAAATCAAAAGGCAAAAGAAAGCAGAACAGAATCAAACGCAGAAATTGAAAAGCTGACCAACTACTGTCTCATATGATTTCTTTAGCGAGACCTGACTCCCAGCGCAGCATGGATGTAGAAGATGATGCATAACATCATGGTTAGAAACAATAAAGACATTAACGAGCACTCTACTTAGAGGCAGCGGGCTTTAGGGGGGAATGAGAGGGGATAACAACTTCGCTAGCAGCGGCTGGATCAATTGGATCAGGTCGGATCGTTGCACCTTCGTCACACTCAGATTCACTGAGAGTCGAGGTTGCAGCTACATCTGCTTCTCCATCGAGGGCCGTCCTACTAGCAAAGTTAGAAGTTAGAAAATACACTACGCCTTTGTGCATACTCGGGAGGTCCATTGTGGGCATCCGAGGGTCTCTGCACATTTGCATCTCCGCTTGATGAGGCTGAAAGTCCACTACCGCAAGCTGGTTAGCCACATCACAGCGCAACAGAATGGTTCACTCACCTGCGAGACTGTGGAATAGATCTCCGCCACTGGGATTGCTGGCCGTACATTGCCGGATTGAGACCAACAAGAGGCGTTCCGTATGCACCAATGTTATATTCATTGGTGCGGAACTGCCGACGCTCAGCAGTCACCCGCTTCAACTCCTTTTGGGCTGGGGTATCAGCGTAACGAATGTTCATCAGCAGCCCTTCTTCCCCAATACCAACGCCGTTAAACTTGCGAATTACTTCGTCACAAACCTCGCGGTTCTCGAATCTACCTGATGTTAGCTCATTCGACAATGATCAGGACTCTTCAACAAACCGAGCAAAGCCAACACCTCTGCTGTTGCCCATGCTATCGCGGAGGATTTTGCTAGATAAAATGGTATAGCCGAGGAAAATAGTACCAAGTTCCTAATGCACATTAGTAGCCGTGCAACTTCCGACGTTAATCCACAACGTACAACTTCAGTAAGAGTTTTGGGTAAATTGGAGATGTACAAATTGGTCGACTGGTCGTCTCCTTCGGCCTTGAGGCGAGAGTTAAAGGACTCCTGTACTGAATTAGCCTTGAAAATCAATTTACAGATAATGCAATCATACTCTAGCGAATCCAACTTCGTATCCAAGTCGGTGAAATCCCCGGATGCAAAGTTCCGAGTCTGCGGCTTCGAAAAACTTCGCGAAGCCAAAACTATTGAGTGTCAGCGAGCACAACTTATGGACATGAACAAATATAATAACCCTTTGCAGGCACCGGTTCCGGTATCAATGATTGCCTTGGAAGTCTCAACGGGCCCAAAACGAGAGGCAAAATGATACAACAACTCATCATCTGTGGTCGGGTGAAGGCCACGGATGTAAACGTTGCGGTTGCCCGAGATGCGATTTTCAAGGCTTTGGTCCACGTTCTTCATCTGCCCGGCGGGAGTAAAGACTGCCGGAACTGCTTTGGGAATAGCAGGTTCCTTCTTCATTAATTCATCCAGACTACGGTCTGAAATCGTCGGGATTGTAGCCTTTGAGCCTTCCGCATGGAGGGACGCCATTCCAATCTGTTGTGGAGATGGGGTCGTATAAGAGGATCTGTCGAGGCTGGCCACACGGGCACCATCACGATGAGCGTTACCATAAAATGGGGTTGCAGGGGTTGATTCGGTGGTGGAATAAGATCCGCGACGGTTCTCCAGTGCTGGTACATCAGAGTGTCCTCGTTCCATAGCAGGTCCTGAGGATGCCATGCGGTTCGGAGTGTAAGGCATGACAGGGACAGGCAAACCCACATAGGGAGCACCGTAAGCGTTCGAAGCGACAGAGAAGTTGGGGTATAAGGATTCGCTGCCACTACCGAGCGCCATGGGTTGGCCGTGCATCGGAGTTACCATGAGATGGCCGTCAGGTCCCATCATAAAAGCGTGACCAGGTGGCAGGTGTAGGGGGCCAGCACTGTTGGGAACGTTCATGCTGGATAAGCTCATATTGGCAAACTGGTTCATGATAGAGTTCGGGTCAGCAGCAGCATGGCCATTGACTTGGCTAGTGTGGCCGTGTCTTCCCATCGGATTGGGAAGGAACGCGGGAGCAACAGGATTGCCGGAATCCATCCTGCGTAGTAAACGATTAATCCTTGAGAAGGGTGTGAGATTGAATAGGATGTTGGAATCCCTTATGGCAGTGTGCAGAGATCGGGAGAATACGTCTTGATCAGAATCTGAAGATGAGCCTTCCGTTAGCTGAGATGTTTTGAGGCGAACCATTTTGAATGATGTGTGTTATTGAATATCCGATGTATCTTCTGTATCAATAAAGTGGCATAAAAGAGGGAGGCAAATGGAATATAGGGTAGGGGGTATAGCAGAAAAGCTAGAAATTTTATGATATTTATTGACCAGTCTTGTTTGACTTTGCTTTCGGTGGTGTTGAAAAGCTAGACTGATGTATGCGGTGAAGGGGCAAATTTGAAAAGCTTAAACACACCTTGATCAATTCAAGAATCGAGGTCTTAATGATTTACCGAAAATTCTGGGAAAGATATCTGTAGAAAATTGCAATTAGCATTCGAATTCGTGGTTGTGGATCGAGGCTTTAGAGATGATGAGGCATTGCTTCACTTGACCTTGGAGTTTGTGTGAATTTTGCAGGCCCCTCACCTTTTCCACTGGTGAATTTTGTGAGACAAAAATTTGTTGAAGGGTGGCAAGAATCGAAGCTTGATTCCAAGAGGTGTTAAGTGAAGAAGCAAGGTAATGTAAAAGCGAGATGAACACAATTGATGGAAAGCAATCTCAATGTTGGGGATGCTGGGGTGACGGAGAAGAGAAGAAAAGAAACAGTCGCCAAGCTTGAATCTTTAAAAAGATGGACGGCGTCGGGCTCTTACCTGCTTGAAGTTGCAATATGAACTACTGAAGGTAGGGGCGGTCCTTCTACTTGGTAGACGAACAGGGGAGTCGACTAATAATCTATATTTGCGGTGAAATCGTCGCTTCCCAGAAGTGTCGCGATGGTGCTATGATGGCAAAGAAGAGAAGGAAGCGAGTTTCTGCGTATTCCGATGTAGGCAAGGTTGCCGTTTGAGTAAGCGAGGAAGGAGGCCGAAGTTGGCACCTGGCACCTGGCAATATCGCTTAATGCAGCTGTCAAAGCTGGCAGTAACAAAATCGACCAGAAAGTGATCTGACGAAGGGACAGAACAAGCAGAATAACCTTCACCGGGTGCTCAGTTGGAAAGTAGGAATGCTCTTCTTCTCGAAAATTAGCCACAGAAAGCCTCTCTGCTTTGGGATGGAATATATACTGTGAACGTGAAAGATGTAGTGCTATTGTGATTTGTTCGAAACAATCTCAGCTGCGCCGTTATTTGCAGTAAGCTAACAGTTTTGTAGACGAAGACGTATGCGACCAAAGACGTCAAGTATGAACACGCGTGTAGCAGATATAGAGTCGATGTGTATACAGTGTGTATATCGAATATTGTCGGCTAAGAATAGTCGCGCGCAAGGCTGGAGCCAAAGGAATAAAATATTTCGATCAAAGAGAAAAGAATACAATATGAGAGCTGGGCGGAAAGGACAGTAGCGACAACGATGGAGATCTTCTTTTGGAGGAAAGGGTCGCAGGCTATTGATAAGAGGAGGAATTGCGAGAGGTAGGAGGGGGCGGATGGACAGCCTCCCTCATGGAGAGGCATGTCGAGTTGTTCCTTTTTCTCTGATACCTAGACATCCCTTGCGACACGCAGGGACCGGATCCCCTCATTGATGGCGCCCAAGAGCGACGTTCACGGCGACGGTGGGATGTCGAGGGAGGCTCACCCAGAATTCATCCACAAGTCTCCCCTTTATTCACAGGTTTTCGCCGCGCGCTTCTAGCAGACGAGGATTAAGACGTGATGAGCATGGCACGGGGGACAAACAACTTTTTTCACAGAAGCGCCGCTGTTGCGGCGGTGATGGCTTTATTGTTTTACTTGCTTTGTTTGCTCATTGGCTGATCCTACAAGTAACACAGCCCCATGCATGCGATATTTGCTTCTGTTGCCAGAACACCCCGAACTCAGATAATAACCACGCCAAGAGCGATCCCCCGCATCATAAAAGTCTACCGCCACTCGGAGATTCCAAAGTGAGACAGTAGTCGCCCCTGCTTTAGCATATGTACAGCACGATGATCAAGGTTGCTCCGGTACAAGCGCATAGACGATAGCGCGAAGTCTACCATTCGAAAGAGGAAAGGCCCCATCGGTACCTTTGCTCTTTTAAGACGGTGCCTGGTTTTAACCCATAACGGGCCGCACATGTGGCGACCACCAAACAAAAAGCAAGTCGCCAAATATGACAGCCAACGTTTGTGTTTATTGTCTTTTTTTTGTTCATTGCGAGAAGAGACAAGAAGCCACAGAACGAAGCCATTGTCCCCTAGTGGAAAATGCCTTGGATAGTCGGTCTAATTAACCAGTGAATCATAAATCCGGACATGGCGGGGTAGTGCCAATCTATGTTAGCGCCTTTGCGCGCAGTATAAGTGAGAGATTGAAATGAGTGTTTCATTGGTGATTCTATTTTCTGTAGCAGTAGAATAATTATAAAAAAGAGGACATGAAGAAAATGCATCATGGGCCAGACCAGAAAGTCCAGCTGTCGCGGCGGCCGTATCCAGGGCGTCCTGAAGCGGATTCCCTCTCATGGAGTCGCCCTCCCTCTCTCTCGCTCCGTGTGTTTCTTCTAGTCTAAGCCCTAACCCATTATAAAAAAAAGTATGTTTTGTTGTAAGGGGGGAAGCAAAGCTTACATGTCGGCTTTATTTTTTGCCAACTCTAAAGATTCCCAACCCGAAGAAACAAGCGCCGTCACGTGTTTCCAACTTGTTCCCCAAGAACAGCGTATATGCTCCTTTTGAATCTGAAAGCAAAAGAACTTGCAAAACCCGCCCGAAAAGTAAGTTTTTAAAACAACGAGTAAAACAGTAAAGAGATCCGTCAACATCGCATTACAATGAAAAGCGCACAATAAGCACCAAAAACAGAGAGGCGCATTAACAGTCGCTTAAGACCAAACGTCCTCCTGGTACTGGTTGGCAGCTCTCATGCCCTTGACGACCTCTTCACCCTTGGCCTCGGTGATACCACGGCCTTCGGCGATGATCTGGGCGAGGACGGCGTTGACTTCACGGGCCATACGGGCAGCGTCACCGCAGACGTAGAAGAAAGCCTTCTTGCTGAGGAGCTCGTTGATTTCGGTAGCGTGCTCCTTGAGGCGGTGCTGGACGTAGACCTTCTTGGAGGTTTCGCGGGAGAAAGCGGTAATGAGTTCGAACTTGTCGCCGAGGATCTTCTTGTATTCCTGTAGAAAGAGAGGCTGGTTAGTGTGTGTTTACAGAAGAGAAATGCGAATCCGAAAGTCGTGGGGAAAAAAGAACTTACAGCCCACTCAGGCTCGTAGAGGAAATCCTCCTTGCTGTTGCGAGAACCGAAGAAGAGGATAGTCTTGCCAACATCGGCGCCGTCCTGGGCCTGCTTGGCACGCTCCTGGACGAAAGCGCGGAAGGGTGCAACACCAGTACCGGGGCCAATCATGATGACAGGGCGGCCGGGGTCCGAAGGCAGCTTGAAGTTGGAGTGGCGGACATGGACTGGGACCTGGATACCAGTGTACTTTTCGCGGGGACCGGCGAGTTCGTATGTGAGGCCGTAGGCGGTGGGGTTGGCATCTTCGTTCTGCTTCTGCTTAAGGGCGTAAATGTAGTTGGTGGCAACACCGCGGAAGGGTTCCTTGCGGCCGGGGAGGGCCTGCGACTCGACGACGGCGGTAATGGCAATCTTCTTGGGCTGAACAAGAGACGAGGAGGAGATGGAGTAGTAGCGGGGCTGGAGCTTGGTGATGCCTTCAATGAGGGCGGAGAAGGGGACGGTCCACTTGGCGCCCTTGCTGACGGAGCTGAGGAAGCTGGTGATGTTGTAGAACTTGTTGTTGGTCTGGCTGTGGAAGTAGTCCTTGTCGCTTCCGAGGCGGGTCATCTCAGCCTTGGCCTCGTCGTTGGGGGCAAATGCGGCGAGAGTAGCAACGAACTGACGAGAGACAGGCGCGCCGATTTCCAAGTGGTAGCGGAAGATGGCATCGTAGGTGGTGGGCGTGGGGAAGGGGACCTTGGCGGTCGGTTCGAGGGGCTTGACGCTAACGACGTCGGCGCGTCTGTCAGTGAGGCCAAATATGTCGAGGGCACGGTCAACTTCATCGCCGGCGTTGGTGGGCCAGATGGCAATGTGGTCACCAGTCTGGTAGGAGAGGTTGGAGCCGGAAATGTCCACCTCCATGTGGATGCAGTTGCGGTCCTTTGCGTTGAAGAGCTCGCGGGTCTCAGCAATGTTGGCGATGAAGGGGTTCTGAGCGTTAAAGGGGCCCTTGGCGGTGCCCTGGAGGTGCGCCTTGTTGGGCTCACCAAGGTAGACTTCGGGAGAGTCGCTGGTGAGCTCAGGACGCTCAGTGATGCCAAATGTAGGCTCATAGACAGCTTCGCGCTCCTCGAGGCCCATCTTCTCGGCGAGGGCAGCCCACATGGGGTCCTTCCAGGCAAGGAAATCCTCCTCCATGGTGCCAGCGCCGTCGTCACCCTCACCAGCGTCACCAATGCGGTGAGCGCCAAACTTGGTGAGCGCCTTGTCGACATTGCGAACCATGGAGTTGTAGTGCTCATATGTGTTATTTCCGAGGCCAAAGGCGACGTAGTTTAGGTTTCCGAGAGCAGGCTCGTTGGACTCGGAGAAGGTGGCGTCCTCGCCGGTGACAAACTCGTAGAATTCGACAGCGTTATCGGTGGGCTCGCCCTCGCCGTAGGTGGCGAGGACAAACATAACAATCTTGTCCTCGGGGACAGTGTCCATGTTATCAAAGTCGTACTCCTCGAGATCGGCAACCATGGTCTCGAGTCCGAAGCGAGACTTGCCCTCCTTGGCGAGACGGGAGGCGTAGTCTTCGGCCGTACCGGTCTGGGAGCCGTAGAAGATGATGCAGTTCTTGCCGCTCTCCTCCATCTTCTCGATAAAGTTTCTGGTACGGCCAGCCTTTGCGCCGGCGCCGGCTGCGCCAAAGGCATTGGCATAGGGGTCCTTGGGCACAGCCCAGAGCTTGCCCTTTGTGAAGTAGGCGGCGGTTCCGACAAGGACGGCGCCGAGGACGACGACGTCGAGGGTATCTAATTCGGCCATTGTTGCGGATCTATGGCGTTGCAGAAAGGGGGAGATGGATCACAAGACACGGTGACGCTGGGCCAGCGAGATTATGAGGAGGCCGGGTTACGGAGGTGGGCGGCGGCCTTGTTTTGAGGAGAAAGGCGGCTTAGCCGAAGTAAGGTGAGGTGAGAAGGCAGAAAAAAAAGGGACCGGCGGCGGCTGGCGTTCGGAGTGGTGGTGGTGCTGCTGTTGTTAGCGTTGGCAGCAGCAGTAGATTGGAAAATGCCACAGTGGACGTAGCCGCCTAAGTTGTGCCGCGCGCCGCCTGTGATTCTGTCTGTTTCGATAAACTTTTTTTTTTGGCTCGTGCTCGTGTTTGCTGGTGCGGAGCAGGCGGAATTGGGAGGCGTGGGTCACGCTGATGACGGCAGCAAGCCTGTGCTGTGTGCGCTAAGCGGCGAAGGAATTGGCGGGCGGTGACCACCAAGAGACACGCTGGCAGCAACTCGTCTGGCAGCTGAACGGGGGGACTGGTGCGACGTACGGCACCCAAGAAGATCAGACAATCCCGAGTACAAAAGCCGACAGGCCGGCTAGGAGGGAGGCCCAGGCAGCCGAACGGAGGCGCCTCTACACGCAAACTCACAAAGCATTTATTTGCAGATAGGTAGCGGAGTTGGTAATTTATCGTGTGTTTATTTTCAATTCCATTTTTTCTTATTTTTTAGATCAAGATAGGATAGAACAGAGGCACATTGCCTAATAACACGGCGTACATGCTGCCCACGTCAGCCCAGCGTCTTTAGCAGCCAAGGCCCCAAAAAATACAGAGCGATTGCCAAACACCCGCCGGCAACCGGAGTTGCGGGTGAACCTCAGGCGGCCAGCCAATTGGTGCGTGCCCCTGGTGCTGAAGATAATAAACTCGGGATTGAGCAAGAGGCCAGCTAACAGATTAGTAAAGTGCAAAAATCATAGCAAATATTCACCTCTGCGGACTGTGACGGGCAATATTTCCACTGCAAAGAAAAACAAGAAAATGAACCGTCTTTTCCGTCTCTACATCCCGGTCAGTCCGCATCATATTCCGCGGCTCTCCGAGCTGTGCCTCCGTGGACATTGCCAGCGGCGTGCCTACAACGCTACAGTACAGCATATTTCAAGGCCTAAACAAGGCCCAGTTAGCGCGTAAAGGCGCCAGTGAGGGGACATTTCCGAGCCGGCATCCAAAGCCGGGATATCGACCGCAGACAGTTTGTAACTATAATTTTGCAACTCAAAAAAATTCCCTCTTTTCGTTTAACATGCATCCGGACGCGCCGGACAAGGTTTCCAAAACGTGCAGCGAGTTTCTTCCCAATGGAGCCTTGTACTCTGCCAGCGTATGCGTTTGCCTGCGTCATCACGGCCCAGCAATGTTGAATCGGGCAATCTTTCCCGGCTTTCTGGCGCCTCAGCTTATCCCGACCGTAGTCCACCGGTCACGTACCAAACTGTGACTGGGCTTGATTCGGAGTGCATCGTTCGATTCGCGAGAGGACTAGCCCACATTGTAGATCGAGACGCGGGAAAGGGATTCCTGGTGTTCCTTTGTTTTGCAGGCGTGGCCTCTTGAGAATATCGAAACACGGCCAATTCGACGTGGCTTATCTCAGCCCGGAATATCAGCCATCCTCTCCCTATGCGAGGCACCGATGATGCATTCAGCCCAGAAAGCTTCCGAGTTGTACTGGGAGGAAGAGCCTCGTTTTCTCAGACAGGTATGCACCACAGCCTGTTTAGGTAAATGGGGGGATGTGACGCCATGAGAACAGCGCAGGTCTTCCGTCAAGCCATTTTTACTGAGCGCAAGAGGATTCTTGTGAAACATAGGGTGTAATAAGCTTTTATCGAAGCCGCATATTTTGTGTCCATGAATCCACATAAAGAAGGGTCGCAATGCGTGTTGATTCCCATGTCTGATGTAGCATCTCCCCACCGCCGAGACCCCGTATTAAACGCGTATTCGGATCGTTGTTCGCATCAGTTCAAAAACTTGTTTGTCCCTTGGGCCCTCAATTCAAGAGGGCGATTTACCGGACACTTTCTCTTTTTGGTGTCAATCTTGTAAAAGCCATGTGGCGTTGCTCAGCTGCATGTGAGGAGGCTTCTGGGCGAATGCTTTGCCATCGGCGAGGCTGCGGGGAGCGGTCAACGTAGGTTTGAGTTCAAAGGGTTTGCGATGGTTTTCTAATGTTGTGTCTTGATCTTTGGGTCTTACTATATGGGTAGAATTCATTTTACTAATTTATTTTTGTATTTAAATAACTTGGTGGTTTGGGGAAAAGTACGGCTTTCTAGTAAGGGATCTCGTACTGCGTTGGAAGGCGGAAGTTTAACTCGAACAAATTGACAACCTTTCCTACTTCAAATCGCCTCACCATATATGAATAAACTCATAAATTTATAAACAAGACAAGAAAGAAACATAACCATCATATGAGAATCGCAGAACACAATTATTATTTATATGGCATTTTCTGCGAATTATTTCTTGACTCCGCGTGCCCCCTACCCTGCATACAAATAAAATAAAACGCGCTAGTAGAGAAACCGTTTCCAGAAGGCTGCCTGTGCTTCTGATCTTGATCGCCCTCCCTGCTCAGCTAGTGGGGGCCCTAACAAAACGGCTGCCCAGTGCCTGGCACCGCCTTAACTTCACAGGGCATGGACTGTACTGGCTGGGGCCCTTTTTCCAGTGGGTGGTTACCGGCCCCTTGCAGGTAACGTGCTGCAGCCTCCGCTTTTTGTTTGGCGCGTTGCTTGGTGGCTGCGCGCAGAGGGGCGCCAGCCTGTAGCAAGCACCAACCACAAAAAAAAAGTGAGCACGCTGGCTGCCAGACTAATCGGGCCACCAGTGCAACTGTGGGGAGAGACGGCCAAGCTAGCCACCACTAACCACCACCCGCCAACTCCGCCATTTTCTGAATCCGATCGTTCAACCTTTTTCAATCGTCCGTTATCTGCTGCGGCATCTCGTTTTGCGTCATCAACAATCGTAATCAGTATTTGGTGGCGTTTGTACTTTAGAAACCGCTGCTCTATCCGACAACAGAACCGTCTCAGCGCCCGTTTCAGCCGCCCGTCCTCTGCCGCGACAAGCTGCCCGCATATGCTGCTGCTTTGACAAGTACATGGCACGGGGCTGCAGTCCCCTCCAAAGTCCAATTGAAAATGGGTGAGTGTGGGCGTTTTGTAACTCTTTAGCCTGCCGCAGCATCTGTCGGCCGATCGGTCTGTCGTCGCTTTCGACTGCCGGCCTGTTTGCTTGCTTGGGGCTTGTTTGCTACCACCGTGATATGCTACTACGTAGCGCTGCGACACCACCGCTGACTGACATTCTGCCCATCCAGCTCCGTCCCAGACACTGCCAGACAGTGGCCAAGACCAAAACAGCTACGCCGCTGCTCGAACAGCCGTGCGTTTACCCGAAGACGACACCGCCTCGAGAGACTTGGCCTTTGACCAACCTCCCAGCCGCTCCATTACAATCGACACCATCGCTGCCAGAGTACCGCTGTCGCATTCTCGACAATCGTCTGCCGAAGCCTCCTCCGCCGTATCTCATGCCTCCAGTGCTGCGGGCTTGACATCTCCCCGCGCTGGCCCACCGATCCCTCTCCCTCCTCTACCTGTCGAACCTCCTAAACCTGCGGGCTATGGCCATCATCGCCAGACGTCCATCGTTCACGGCATCCAACACTCAAGAAATGGAAGCGTTGCTAGCCCTACGACAGCAAGCCCTCTGAGCCCCCAAATAATTGCCGCCGCCGGCTCGACGCTCGATATGCAATCTCTCGGAGCTCGTTTGGAGCCCGACTTTGGGGCTACTGTTCGTGGCCCAGTGGGCATTGGCTTGCAGGGCAGTAATGCCATGGGCATGCCCGGTGCTCTCGAACGATCGCCATCCAACGTTGACCTACCTCTCCAAGGGCAGCAGCCGCCTCGCTCACACGAACGAACCAAGTCGAGGCGTGAACAACCCGGTCATCACCAAAGCCTGTCGCGTCACCAGAAGGAGGAACAAAAGACAGTGGGCGAATATGCTCTACACGTCCTATTTACTTCAGTATGCTAATATGTCTCGTTATATTCGTCTTGTACAGTGCTAACATGGCACAGTTTATCGCACAGGCAGAAGAAAAGCTCAACGACTGTATTACCGTCCCCTTCGATCCCGAGCCACATATCGAACAAGTTTGCGGGCCTGGGGTTGACACGGCTTTCGACCAATTGATAGTTGCCCTCGGCCATATTGCTAGCCCCAAACCAAAGGCGTTGATCGACTCCATGATGCTTTGGCGAAAGAGCAAGAGTGACGCTGCCAACGAAGCACGAATCTCTTTTCAGCAGATGCGTAACAATGCACCAGTAGGCGCACTTACTCGCAGAAATACCGAACCGTTGGGCATTATGGGACCAGATGGTGCTCCTCCCACTACGGCTCCATTGGCAGCAAAGCAGGAATTTGTTGCCCAGGCCGAGAGGCGATCGACAGTATCCATCTATATCCTTTGCCGTGTTCTGTTAGAAGTTATTTGCCAGAGCAATCTGGCATCCATTACGCCGGAGATGGAAGACAAACTGGAAAGCATCATCTTTGGCCAACTCAAGGTTGCGGACGGTGAACAGCTTGCCAACTCACCTCTCAAAATGGCAAACTGGAACCTCTTTGCGCAGCTTCTAGGACACATGAGCGGTATCAACTTTAGAGGCGTCACGCGCCGGTTTGTGGACGATATCGCACAGTCGCTACAAGAACGCGCTGTCAAGAGTCCCACCGTGCTCTCTGGAAGGGACGCAGATAGCAGTAAGGTTGAGTTGGTGCTGGGCGGTATGAAACATCTACGGATGAAAATCTCGCCAGAGAGTGCCTGGGAACAAACCTGTGATTTCCTCATTGCCCTTGGCCGCCTCTTCACCAAGTCACACGGCCAGCGTATCAAGTCCGCATTCTGCCAGATATTTGACGTTCTTCTGATCCCCATCGCCGCCAAAGCAAGCAACAGTCATCTAATGCACCCAAAGTGGGCTGAAGTTCTTGCCTCTATCGGACCTAGATTGTCCCAAATGCACGTCAAGCCTCGACACTGGCAGGTTGCCTTCCCTCTTACTGCAACGCTCATGTGTGTGTCATCTCCAGATACATATGGCCAACAGTGGCTGCAGCTTATTCTGCCGCTCACCCCTAGATTTAAGGATCGATCAACTCGTCCTCTATGCCTCCAAGTTATTTCTCGTATGGTTTGGACATATTTGTACCGAACCAATGATGGACCACAGGTGGCAGCACGAAAACTAGATGATGTTATGAGACTCGTGTTGCCAAGTGCAAAGCGTACGCTGCAAGCATCGGATACTGCTGTTACAGAACCACTTCTCCAAATTATTAGAATTATCGGATTCCGATACCCCGAATACTGCTTCCGAACTATAATATTCCCGCTCATCAGCGCAGAGCTCTTCATGTCGAACAAGGAGCTCAAAGTCGAGCTACTCGACCCGGACCGCATAGTCATTGGTATCCGGGCTTTTCTGCAGATCTTGTTTGACTTGGAAAAGGGCGAACAAGGACGACCTCCTTTCCCAGAGTACGACTTGGCATCTATGCCCACCAAGTCACCACCCTCTTCTCCATCGCCCCCGACCTCAGCACGCAATTCTCTGTCGAAAAAGGAAGACACGATATCCAGACCGGTGCTGACACATGTTCTGACTGATGGCGTGCGCGAGAACTACCTAAAGTTCTGTGAGGTATTGGGCAAGATCACCATCGTCTGCGATAATACCTTCGGTGGACAGGCTGCTCTCGACGAAAAGTTCAACAGTCCTGGTGCCAAGGCTCCCCCTGCAGATACGTTTGGTTTCTCAAGACGAGACGATAACCAGATTGCTCCAGATCAAAAACAGGCCTTCTATGAACTTCTGCATGTTGCAGTGGAAGCATTGCCTCGATGCCTGCCTCGTGATATCCCGTTCAACTCCATAATCAACCTCCTTTGCACGGGAACGGCCCATGTGCAATCTAATATTGCAGAATCCTCTGCACACTCACTCAAGGCTATCGCACGTCAATCTCACTCTCAGCAAGTTGCCATGGGCTTCGCGCGATTCATCTTCAACTTTGACGGTCGTTACGCCACAATGTCCGATGGCGGAATGCTTGGCCCTGGACATATAGAGAGTACTCTCAAATTATATGTTGAGTTGTTGCAGATCTGGATAGAAGAAATCAAGCATAGGACTAGGGAGGCAACTAACAACCATGCTGAAAGTGGTGCCACGGAGCGTGCCGTCAACTTGGATCTGTCCAGCATTTGGGCAGAGGTCGATCAGGCCGAAGCTCACGGCCTCTTCTTCTTATGCTCCCAGTCCAGGCGTGTCCGATACTATGCAGTCACTGTGCTCCGCCTTATCACAGAGTTCGACAAGGCGCTGGCAAAGGAACCAGCTGATGAGAAGTCGGCTCTTCGCCTGATTGACATTCTCGAGAATGATGCCAACGACATCATGGATTTCAGTGACGAGTCTTTATCTATTGCTGAAAAGAGCCGCTTGCAGCGGGGACTGAGCAGTGGAAACGGCAAAGGTGCCGTTGTCGAACTCTGCACAAGCGACATCTCCTACGACTCAACAGTTTGGTTCAAAATTTTCCCCAAGCTGATCAAGACATTCTACGACAAATGCCCTTTTGGAGTCACCATCTGCCGAGATTTGGTGTGCAATAGGATTATCCAAATGTACAAAACAATTGTATACTTGTCTGAACCAGCTCGGGGTCCGTACTACGGAGGGGAGGCAAATAGCCGGGGCCCAGGGCGATCGCCAACTGCTCAACCAGAAGTTATGATTGAGCAGTGGAAGCTCTATCTCATATTCGCATGTACAACCCTTGCCGATCCAGGAGCCCTACCCGGTCCTGTCACGCCTACAGAGCCTCAACATGTACGAAAGGGATCGCAGAAGACCGTCGCCAAGGACAAGGTTGTAACAGCTAGAATGCTGTTCAAGTATCTTATTCCGCTCTTGTCTGTATCGTCTGGTTCGGTTAGAGATGCTGTTGTGGTGGCCATGGGCTCCATCAATATCGATATATACCGAACTCTACTGGAGGAACTCCAGGGACAAGTATCACGATGCAGTGACGAAGCTCGCGCACGAATTCACCAGCGCACAAACAGCGCCCCCCGGCGCAACCGTAAGATGGATTTGCTTCGCACAGAAATAACGCATGTTTTTAAGAGAACAGCGCATTTCTTGCGCGATCCGCGAATCTATCAAGATGACTTCTTCCCTACAACACTCGCAGCGTATGCCAAGGACATCAAGCTATTCCTGATGGATGGCGGAGTCCAGTTAGATTGGGAATTCCAAAAGCTTCGCCAACACTATTGCGGGTTGGTTGAGGTACTCTTTGAAGGCATCAACAAGACGGCAGATCCTTCGAGATGGATGACCTTTGAGTCAAGAAAGTCGTCCTTCTCTCTCATGGAAGACTGGTGCGGTTTCTCCCCTAATCAGCCACAGATTCGACAGCGCGAAGACAGCATGCGACGGTCGATAATGGATCAGGAAGCGCTACGAGAGCGCGGAACTCTCACAGCCGCCATGGAGATTGAAAAGAGAAATCTCCGCACAGCCGCTCTCAGTGCAATGGCGGCCCTCTGCGGAGGACCAATTAGCGTCACAAACGAGAGTGGTGCAACGCTTCAGTTCGATATTCGTCGTATGCTAGCTTGGATTGAAACCATTTTCAACTCCGGCAACGACAAGATGAACATTATAGGGCAACAGGCGCTCAAAAACCTAATCATTCACAACCGCGAGCTACCGTATCTCCTGGACCACTGCGTCGCCCGCTGCTACCTTTCCACGACGGCCAAGATTATGGAGAGCTACTTCATGGTCATTTATGACGTGCTCCACGAACAAAAGGACTACCCGTTCCAGTTTTGGCGAATTCTAGGCCTATGCCAATTCATGCTTGGCAATGAGCAGAGCGAGATTCGCATCAAGGCGGCGGGTATTTTCCGTCTGCTTGATGCCAGCCAGCCTCGCAAGGCGCGCCTGGCCGATTTCGATATTAGTATTTCGGACAAGACACAAGCCGTGTACAAGCTGGCGCAGTTTGAGATTGCCAAGCGTCTCGCTGGTACTTACAACGACTACGCATTCTTTGTCTTCTCCGAATTTACTCTGTACTTCAAAGACCTCCAGCCTGTCGCGCAACGTAACGTCATTGCTGCCGCTCTGCCTTGGATTCAGGCTACAGAACTGAAACTGGATCCCAATGGTGGCCCAACCGCGCATTCCTACGTGCTGCTCGCCAATCTTTTGGAAATCACTATCAAATCTAGCGGTGCGCTGCATAATGAAGTCCAAGCTCTGTGGCAGGCTCTTGCTACTGGGCCTCATCCTGGCAACGTCAGGTTGGTTCTTGACTTCATGATGCAGCTCTGTCTTGAGCGTCGTGAACAAAACTTTGTTGAATATGCCAAACAAATTGTCGTCTTTCTGTCGACTACAAACGGTACACCCGGAATCAAGGTCGTCGAATTTCTCCTTATGCAAATTACGCCAAAGGCAATGGTGCCGCACGAGAAGAGGGAAGCAATGGCACCACCTGCTGATGTCAACACATTACCATACTGCGCTGATCTGGCTGAAGTCTTGCCTGTGGGCACTAAGCAGGCGGGCTTTTCACTGGGCCAGCTTTCTTTAATCTTGCTGGTAGATCTGATGGTCGCTCCAGTACATCTTACAGCAGATAATCTACCCCCTCTACTGCATGTGGTTACTGTACTCTGGGATCATTACACGCCCCTGGTACAAGAGCAAGCTCGCGAGATGCTTGTCCATCTTATCCACGAGCTGGTCATTTCGCGTCTCGACGATGCAGTAGAGACGGCACAGAAGGAGAATATCCAAGGCCTGATTGACCAAATTCGGCAGCATGACCGGTCTGTTGTCTGGGTCTATGAGGACAGCAATGGAAAGGTGGACGAGCAAGATAATAAGGTTCCTGCAAGCATGGAACACTTAACGACTGAAGTGGTCAAGACGTTTGAGCTGACGTTCCCAGGGATTAAAGAAACTTGGGGTCGCCTCTCATTGACTTGGGCTACGTCGTGCCCAGTTCGCCACCTTGCATGTCGATCGTTCCAAATCTTCCGATGCGTCTTGACGTCCCTGGACCAGTACATGCTTGGAGACATGCTGGCACGGTTGTCCAATACGATTGCTGACGAAGATCCTGAGATTCAGTCCTTTTCTATGGAAATTCTGACGACGCTCAAGACTCTGATCGTTAAGCTCGATCCAGAGAAGCTTCTGACCTTTCCACAACTGTTCTGGACAACCTGTGCCTGTCTTGAATCCATCAATGAGCGCGAATTCTTGGAAGCCGTGGAGATGCTCGACGAGCTGGTTACCAAGATTGACTTTAAGCAGCCCAACGTGCGGCGCATGATCCTCGATGGCCAGCCTGCTAGGTGGGAAGGTAACTTTGAAGGACTCACGCTTCTTTTGCACAAGGGCCTACGGTCATCAGCGTGCTGGCAGCCTACTCTCAACATTCTGGACAAGCTTGTTCGACTTCCAAACGACCCTCTTATTGGCGACGACAGCCGTCTGTTCTTCTCGCTGCTGGCCAACTTTCCTCGATTCCTCAATGAGCTGGACCAAAAGGGCTCTGCGGGAGAGGAAGCTCTTAAAACCGCGCGAATTCTGCTCGCTGAGGTTGATCGACAGGGCCTGGAAGCCATTGGCATTGTACTTGACGACTTCATCTCTGGCAAACTGTCCCACGGCCCCGACTTCCTTGGCCAATTCTTCATGTCGCTGCGCGAATACTACTTACCACAATACGACTTCCGCATGGTCACCTTTTTAATTGGCCTTCTCACCAACTCGCTCTCGTGGGTCAAAGTGCAAACCATGCAAATCCTGTGCGTGGTGATTCCTGAAGTGGACATGCGCAACCCCGAACTCGCAGGCCACGGCTCGGATTTGATCTCCCCGCTGCTTAGACTGCTGCAAACCGAATTCTGCATGAACGCCCTCGAAGTTCTCGACAACATCATGACTGTATCCGGCAGTCACATGGACAAGCACCATCTACGCATGAGCATGACGCGCGCAACCTCCAAGACGATCCGCAAGGAATACGAGCGCACACAATCGCTCTTTGGTATTCCAGAGGCATCCGGCTGGGCAATCCCCGTGCCCGCCAAGAAGACAGAAGCGACACGGTCCAATATTCACTCGGCCTTTTACATGTGCCAGAGCGCCGAGGGTCCTACGCCTGAAGAGACACCCACGGCGGGCGTCGAGTTCCAAAACGACGGCTTCCGCTACGGCTACTTTGAAGCGCCAGACCGCAGCGAGACGATGCTGTCCGACGAAGGCCGCGAAGAGCCGCCCGTGGTTGATCTGGTTACGAACCTGGACAGCCTGGACGACTTCTTTGACGAAGATGTGAGCCCGCACACCGACGACGACGGCCGCTCATCGCGCACCGTGACGGAATACACACCGGAGTCGTTTGAGTCCGGCACCGAGCTCTACGACGAACAGATCCTCCCCATCCTGCACCAAGCCTCGACCAATCCGTCCTTCCAAAACGGCTTCGTAGACAGACCCGTCGTGCCTATTGCCTCACCGCGCGATCTCGCCCCGAATACCATGAACCCAGGCGCCTTTACACCGAACCGCCCGGCGCTTCACATGCGGTCCATCACGTCCCCGTCTGCTCCGCACTCCTTCCATCACCAGCAAGGGTACCAGCCTGGCGACTTTACCTCTGACGAAGAGTATCTGTCTGGCGGCATGTCTGATGCAGACGATGAGCGCCCGCCGCCTCCTAACACTGGCACATTTTATCTTGACGAGCCGCCTCTGTCACCAAACCAGCAGCATGGCGGTGGTACCGCACCGGCGTTCCGTCGACCTCCTCGAAAGGAAAGCCGTGGTGCAAAGAGCATGTATACAAGTGGTACCGGCAAGATTGGGCCCCAAGACATATTGTAACAAACAAACAATACTGCATTGCATTGGGTGGCATGTTTTCTCGTTATTTTGTTTACAGTTTTACGGTTTAATGTTTGATAGTTTTTTTGTTTTGCGGTTTAATGTTTGATAGTTTTTTTGTAAATAGGCAGCTGGTTTTCTCGTACGTACACAGCGTGTTTTAGCATAGGCGGCAACTCTTTTATATACAAGCAAACAAACTTTCTTTATTCTTCACTTGTCCTGTCCTTCGATGACCATGACTAGTGATATAGAACTGGAATCTATTAAGCTAACAGACTCTTTTCTACTTCATCGATGATAATCTAGAGATTCTTTTTGAAATCCTCAGAATGTAGGCACACTAGCGGCAGCAGCATCAGGAGCGGCATGTGCTGCCCATGAGTCCTGTGATGCATCCTTCCTGTCACTATCCTGCTTTTCCATCATAACGAGTGCTGTGACAACAATCATGTCGAGTTGTCGTTGCGACGGATTACCCAAGATCTCAAGTGTGCCTTCTTGGAAGAATGACCATGCTCTCTCCAAGCTTGCCAGGACACCAGTTGTTGAGACGAGCTCCATGCGACTAGATAACCAACCAGGCTTTGTCCATGTACCACTGAGAGCATCTGTGACAAATTCATAGTTGCTCGAAAAGTTGCTCGGCTTCTTCATGGCGGCGTTGCCCCCTTCAATGTCGATAGCAATCTTGCTTGAAATGGAGACTTTGGCAATAGTGTGTTCGCTGCTAGATCCCTTCTCCGACGGACGCGTTATAATGATGGATTGCTTGAAAATGCCCTTTTTCTCGTACTTGTAGAGAATTTCTGATGTATGCGAGTCGATCACGTCCATGTATCGGCCGCTCCAGCCAGGGTAGACGATATCAAGACGGCGGCCCATTTTCTTGCAAGACCAAAGGGCGGATGAATGAGATGTGTTCTGTTTATTGCTTGCAAAATATAAAATATACAGATGCTGTATCGTAGATAGATGCGCTCTGGACCCAAGCTACGCAGAACCATGACGCACGGCCTCAGCCTCGTCTGTTCCTTGCGTCAAGACCCCGCATTTGCCTTGCTGAATACGCTAGAGAACAGTCCTAGTGGCTGTACGTGGCTTTTGAAGGAACTAATAATATACGCAGGCAAGTTTGCAAAGTTACATGGTGAATCTCTGATCCGTCATACACGGGTGTAGCTTGCTTAGGGCCCAAATACACTAGTGAAACAACGACATCAAGTGAATGCTTGTTAAAGTAAATATCAAGTAATAATCTTTTGAAATGATTCTATTTAACAAGCCATGTAAAACCCTTCATTGCCACAGCCAATACACAAACCCAACACCTTCAAAACGCCCAAAATGCATAAACCGTTCCCTGTTTTCTCTAATATCTGTGTCGTGTCGAGTAATCCTTGGGACTAATCACCAGACCACGGCCCTTCTTGGCGCCTCTATAAACCGTCTCAATAATATCAATCAACTCCTGCTTGTCCTCGAGGACCCAGTTGAGCTTGTTATTGTTACCCGTGCCGAAATCGCACATGATGTGTTTATTGCGGAAGAAGAACATGATGGTGCACGGGTCATAGAGCTCTGTATACATTTCAGTCCAGGTTAGCGCGTCATTCTTAACATCTAGATATAGAAAAGAATAGCTGTTTTCACGTACCGTACATCTGGTTAAAGTCGGGCACCTGGTCAATGTCGCAGACGTACACCACCGCAAACGACTTGATCTTGTCGGCAATCTTGTAGAGTCCTTCGTCCTGGCGCATGCAGTCCGGGTCCCAGTCGCGCCCGAAGCGGATGACGACGAGACGCTCTTCGTCGGAGAGGATGGCCTGGTCGACGTGCCAGCCAGACACGAGATGGGGGATGACGACGGAGCCCATGGTTTACTGTTGCTGGTATCGCGGTTGAGAGTAAAGGGTCGGTTATGGAGACGGAGGAGGAGGGATCGCAAGATTTGTTTTTGGTTTGTCGGGGTGAGTGAGGCTGACGGTGATGTCCTGTTGCCTGGTGATGCTCGCGTGGTTGGTGGTGGTGATGGAGGGGCAACTTTTTTTCTGGTGGTGGTCACTGGCAGCGCTCGCCTGCCCCGGTATGACGCAGGTGCCCGCTTTAATGAATACAGATAAACTTAATGGTGTAAGTCCACCATACAAAGAAACACAATATTATATTTTGTTGGTGAGTTGATATTTTCATTGAGATATTCATGTCTAGGTTTTCTATACAAGTGCAATTCCTCCTCTTCTTCCAAATAAAAAAAAACAAAGAAATTCCCCAGCTTGTCAATATAAATACACAGAGCAGCTCTCTTGCCGGTCTGAATGAATGAAGATGGACTTTTTGAAAAAAGACAAAAACAGCGACGCCAGAATATGCTTGGGGCCTCTTTCTTTTTTCCCTTTCCTAGCCACTTTTGAAATGCTTACTCGTCATCATCCGACTTCTCCTTGTCGTCCTTGGGCTTCTCGATGCGGCTGCGGTTGGCTGCCTCGCGGTCGAGGTTGGGGAAGACAATGTCGAAGACATCAGAGTACCAGGCGACAGGGTGGCCCTCAAGACCTTCCTTGATGTTCTAGAGAGATAGTTAGTAAAGTTGCAAAAATGGATTACGGTTATCGTGAATACATACCGCAGGCAACTCGATCCAGTCAGACATGTTGTCCTTGGGGAAGATGATGGTCTTGCAGCCAGCGCGTCTGGCTGCAACAGTCTTCTCGCGAAGACCGCCGATTCTGAGAACCTTGCCAGTCAGCGTAATCTCACCCGTCATGGCAACGGTAGGCTCAACAGGGACGTCTAGCGCAAGCGAGAGGAACGACGTGGTCATGGTGATACCGGCAGAGGGGCCGTCCTTGGACACAGCACCATCAGGCACGTGCAAGTGAATCTTGGCCTTGTCGAAGAAGGGGTTGTCGGGGAACTGCTTGACCATGAACGACTTGGAGAAGGAGTAGGCAATCGCCGTCGACTCCTTCATGACATTCTTCAGGTTACCCGTAATCTCAAGGCCAGGACGTGTGCTGGGGCGCAGAGGAGCCTGCAGAATCGACTCAATGTACATGGCTGCGCCGCCCATCTGCGTCCACGCGAGACCCATAGATACACCAGGGGGGCTGACGTCGTACAAGCGGTCCGATGTGAAGACGGGAGGGCCAATGTAGTCGGTCAAGTTGTCCTTGCCAATCTCAATGTTGACAGAGTCGGGTACCTGTAAAGCCTTGCGAGGCTTCTCGGTAGTCTCGCCCTCCTTGGCCTCGGTGGAAGGCTGTTCCTTGCCCTCTTCCGTCTCAACGGGCTTCTTCTCAGCCTCTTCAGCAGCCTTCTTGCCCTCCTCAGTGAGAGCATCCTCTTCAGGCAAAACATCCTCGCCTAAATCTTGGACAATCTTCAAGGCAGACTTGCGGTAGACCTTTTCAATTTGCTTCTTGAGGTTACGCACGCCAGACTCGCGGCAGTAAGACTTGATGAGCTCTTCAATGGCCTCGTCTGTCAAGTTGACGTTTGCGTTCTGAAGACCAGCAGCCTCCTTGGCAGCGGGACCGAGGTATTTGTTGGCAATGGCCTTCTTCTCATCGGCAACATAACCGGAGAGGGTGATGAGCTCCATGCGGTCAAGCAGAGGGCGAGGAATGGTATCAGTCATGTTGGCTGTGCAGACGAACAGCACCTTGGACAGATCGACAGGGACATCCATGTAGTGGTCCAAGAAGGAGCTGTTTTGCTCTGGGTCAAGCAACTCTAGTAGAGCGGATGATGGGTCACCTTGGTATCCGCGGCCAATCTTGTCGACTTCGTCAATCAGGATGAGAGGGTTCTCAGTCTGGCACTTCTTCAGCGCCTGGATGATGCGGCCAGGCAGAGCACCGACGTAGGTTCGGCGGTGACCCTTGATCTCGGCAACATCGGTCAAACCACCAACACTGAAGCGGTAGTATTCCCTGTTCAGAGCTCTAGCAATCGATTTACCAATACTGGTCTTACCGACACCAGGAGGGCCGACAAAGCAGAGAATCTTGCCTTCCACAGAGCCTCGGAGCTTGCCAACAGCAATGAATTCCAAGATGCGGTCCTTGACATCCTTGAGGCCGTAGTGATCCTCATCGAGCACCTTGACGGCATTGGGAATGCCAAAGTTTTCGGCGCTGCTCTGGCCCCAGGGAATCTGTGTTAGCCAGTCGAGGTAGTTTCGGGTGACGTTGAACTCGGATGCGGCGGTCTCAAGGTGAGCTAGCTTGTTAATCTCCTCATCAAACACCTTGCGGACGGGTTCAGGCATGGCAAGCTTGTCAGCCTTTTCCTTGAACTTCTCAATCAGCTTGTCCTTGCCGTCAGACTCGAGACCAAGCTCGCGACGGATGCCCTTCATCTGCTCCATCAGCCAGTACTCGCGCTGGCGCTTGCTAATCTTGCTTTCGACATCCTTGGTGATCTTGGATTGCAGCTGTGCATTCATCAGCTCCTTCTTGAGAACAATCAGAGCCTTCTGCATTCTCTCTTCAATGTTCATGCAGGACAAAACCTCCTGGAGCTCCGTTTGCTCGCCAGAGGAGACTGCGGCGGCAAAGTCGGCAAGCTTGGCGGGCTCTGAGGTGACGTTTCCTGTCGACTGGCTCATGGAGAAGGTCGAAATCTGATCGCGGAAGAGGTTGTTCATAGTTGCAACCTCCTTGAAGACGTTGACAATTTCGTTTGTAACGGCGCGGATGACCGGGCTCTTGGGATCGTAGGGCTCGTCTGTGAGATTATCGACGTTGACAAGACTAACGGGGTATTTCTTAAGGAACGAGGTGGGCTCGTACTTGTCAGCAGCCTGGTCAGGCTTCTTGTCGACAGTGGTCTCCTCGAAACTCGCCACGACATCGCCCTTCTTCTCGCTCGTTGTATCCTCTTCGGCGGGTGTTGTTGTAGCAGTCGACTTTTGAGGGACGGGTTCGGGTGTTTCGGGCTCAGCCTTAGTGTCTGCCTTCTTGACATCAGCACCACCTGGAGGAACCAGGCTAGAGAGCTTAATTCGGCGGTGAGGATAGAGAATGGCAGTCAGAGCGCCTTCTTGTCCGTGGATGGGGAAAGCGCTTGTAATCTGGGCAAAGACACCGACATCGTACACATCGTCAACATTGCGAATCACGTCAGAGTCCTCATTTTCGTCCTTGAACAAGAAAGCACCAACGTACGGCTGGCCGCGCTTGATGGACTCTGTAATTGCGGTGGCGACATCGGGGTCCTTGATGGTGATGGCCTTGTAGAAGCCGGGGAAGAGAGGTCGTCGCGCAATGGGGATTGCAAGCACTTGAGGGTATACGTCAGGAACAACGGGCTTCGTCAGAGCCTTTTCGGCAGATTTGCGGCCTTTGCGACCGCCGTTACCAGAAGATCCATCACCGCCGGAGCTAGAACCACCAGCCGCGCTGCCAGCACCGCTTTTGCCATCTTCTTTTTCCGCACCGCTGCTTTCGGTTTTGGAAGAAGATGCATTGGATTCAGCTGCTTTGCTCTCGGCGGCAGCAAACTCCTTCTTTTTGTTCTCGAGATTCGCCTTGATCTCTTCTTCGGAGAGTGGCTCCGTCGCAGGCTCAATCTGCGAGTCGAAGAAGTTGCCCTTGTCTTTGCTGTCCTTGTTCAGCCATCTTGACGTCGAAAATGGGCTATGCTGGCAGAATCTTCCCTGTGCGGTTTGGGTATATTTGGTCGATCGGATGCTGGCACGGGCAGCAGAGGGAGTAAGACGTCGGGCGTGGGTGTGCGTGGCATGCTCGAGGAGAATGCGCCCCGAGACGCGAGACCGTGGGATCATCGTTTCGTTTCGATTATATATATGTGGTAATTATGTATTATGACAGCGATAGCATTCGGTAGAATTGAACCCCCTGCGAGCTACTGCAGTTGTTGGTGGCGAGCTCCCAGCGCTCCGAGGGGAAGCGTGCAAAGGAGTGAGGGATTCGGAGCACGTGAATCGGCTAACGGCGAGTGCTGGTGATTGTAGTGCACTTGCCAATTGTCAATTATGTCGAGGTGCTCAATTCAGTGCTGCGCAAGATCGAAATCGACGAGATTCGGAGTTTTTGTGATGAAGTGTCTTATTATTAATCGACTGTAGGCCCCCAGCGTGCCGAGTAATGACCTCAGGAAAGGAAAAGTGCTCTGGTCGGCTTAACTCCGGCCTACGGCGGGCGACATCGGCTATAGCTCGACCTCCGACAGCTGGTGCAGGTGAAGTTACAGTGGACCTGTGTACTGAGAGCACGACAGTTACGCTGTACGGTGATGTTTAAACAACGAAACTTCCAAACTATCTATAACAATAGAGAACTATCACAAACAATATTTAACAAAGGCATTTAAAAATTGTTGTATTTACTTTCACCGATTTTACTTACAAACAAAAACAAACCACGTTGCCAATATTTCTTTGCTACTCTCTCCGCAATGTCGAGCAACCCCGCCTCATCAGCTATAAACAAGGCAAAGAAGCAAAAGGAAGAAGTCGCGGATTCATGGGAGGATGAAGAAGTGTCTGAGGATGAGCCTGTGACTACTATCAATCAATCTCAGCCCTCAGAGTTTGCTACGCCTCTCACATCGCCGCTGCCTAACCCTCCTCCGCCTACACGAATGTCACCATATGATGCCACTGGAGGATGGGATTCACATCAATCAGAAGCGCCAAGCTCATCATCTGCCAGGAACGACGGTAGGAGGCCAGAGAAGACAGACGCTGTGGCTCGCAGACTCATTGCTGCCGGCTTGGGCCTCAAGGCACCAAAGCAGACCGAAGAGCAAAAGGCATACCAAAGATCAATACGTGAACAAGAGAAGAAGAAAAAGGATCAAGAAAAGGAAGAAGAGCAAAGAAGACTAGAAGAAAAACAAAAAGCGAAAGCGGCAATCTGGGATGATTAACATAGACAGCTTCAAAGGTAACGATGTTCTTAGAAAGGTACACCTCACCACGCTAACAATCCGGCTATAGCATGCAGTCCCATATTGCCCTGAAAATAAAACATAATAAATTCGTAACAGCCTTTGTTTTTGTTTTTTTTAATTTTATTTACGCGCGCGCGACGGACTAAGTGGCGGAGTATGCGCAACTCGCTTCAACACTTGCATCGTTCCATGACCAATTCTGACAAATCCATTTTCGGCACACCACAGCCAAACACTAGCGCCACGAGTCAGAAGCTCCGTACGTCACTATGCAGCGCCTTTAATCCGCAGCTGCGCGGGGAGATCGGGGCAAACCCGAAACCCATTTCCAGACAAGGTGCGAAAGCTGAATGGTGATGCGCCTTGTGTTGGGTGCTTACTTGGAGTCGTCCCAGAAGAGAAGACCCTTGTGCCACCGCTCTACCTGGCCTGTATATTGAAGCTGTCCAGCTTACAAATTCCGCTGCTTGATCGTCGACATGTCCGCAAAGATGGGGTCGCCAGAGGAATTAGCGACTCGGTAGTGGGGAAGCTCCAGCAAGATTCGCTACGGCCAAGCAAGCTTCCGCATTAGCGTCGCAGCCAGTATAAAGACCTCAAGGTCTTCCCCCGCTCGTTTTGTAGTTTACGATTCATCCGTCAATTCAACAACCAATAACACAGTAAACATGTCTCTCCAGCCCATCAAGATCTACTACTGTACGCTTGTTTCGTTGGTGCCGCCCCCACGGTCCAGCCGCATCTTACTAACACGGCATCTTCTTCTGTAGCCCGCGGCCCTAACCCTCCCAAGGTGGCCATCATCTGCGAGGAGCTCGGTATCCCCTACGAGAAGGTGAGTAACGCCACTATAAACTCGATAGTGGTGACAAATGAAGAGTATCATTAACAGAAGATTACCGTAGGTTGCCGTCGAAAACTCCAAGAGCCCCGAATTCGTCAAGATCAACCCCAACGGCCGTGTCCCCGCCATCGAGGACCCAAACAACGACAACCTCATTCTCTGGGAATCCGGCGCCATTGTCGAGTACCTCGTTGAAAAGTACGACAAGGACCACAAGATCAGCTCCGCCAACGAGGCCGACAAGTGGCACCTTCGCCAGTGGCTCTACTTCCAGACCACCGGCCAGGGCCCTTACTACGGCCAGGCTGTCTGGTTCTACAAGTACCACCCCGAGCAGGTCCCCTCTGCCCAGAAGCGCTACATTGGCGAGATTGAGCGAGTCTGGGGCGTTCTTGATGCCTCCCTCAAGGACAAGGAGTACCTTGTTGGTGACAAGTGGTATGTATTCTTCCTGCGTGATTAGCATCTGCACTGTTTTTTTGTTCGCTAACGTCTGTCATTTAGCACTTACGCCGATATTGCTTTCCTTCCTTGGGAATTTGGTGTACACAACTTCATTGGCGAGCAGGTCAAGCACATTGATGTTGAGACCAAGTACCCCAACTACTGGGCCTGGTACCAGCGTCTCGTCAACCGCGAGTCTGCTAAGAAGGTTTACGCTCCTTAAATAGAAGGAGAACAATTTTATACAAAAAAGAGCAGTATTTAAAGTTGAACGTTGCAATGCGAGCAATGTTAAAAATTCTTTTAAATTAAATCAATCAGTTAAATTTCAACCGTGTACGCCGGTCATGCGCGCTACCCTATGCTATGCTGCGCCGAGTTAGGCCCTTCCTGATGGATCAGACGAATAAAAGTCGCCTGTGAAAAGACCCGTAGCAATATATAAAAGACTGGTAATATTACACGTATTTACACAAAATTTCTCCAAATATTTAGCTTTTGAAAGCAACCCGTCTGCCCTGCCTCATTATCACCAGCTCCTTTTCGCCGCCAACGTGCCGTGTCCCAATCTCCACGCCCTCCAGCCCAAGCTCAGTTGCCCGCGCATTCCATAGTATCTGCCTGACTGAGCCGTTGCCTTCGCAAAAGACATATCCCATTGGCCACTTGCTGCGGCCTAGAGCATCCTGTACACCCTTTGTGGCAGCTCTCTCTGCTACCAGAAGGGCCATGACGCGCCCAGCCCCAGGGGCAGAGGTACGCCAGCCTGGAGGAGCACCAGCAAACGCACCCTCGAGCTCACGTATATGCTGCGGCCCTGACCGTTGACTCCCGCCCGCCTTGCACTGAATGATCATCCGTATAGTATCCTCGCCGTGTCCATTGGCACCGCCAGCCTGATCTGGGGGCGGGACAGCCCATGTTCCAAGTAGGTCGATGCCGTAGTCTGATGCGCCGCCCACTCTTTGCAGCGAAAAGCCGTACTTGGTCAAAGTATCGGCCACGGTGTATTCATAATGCGTTCCTACATACACTGTCGACTTTTCGTCCAGCCCTGTGCGTTTTGAATATGATAAGAAAGTTGCCAAGTCAGAGTGCTGAGCTGAGGGTGACGGCGGGTAAACCAGTGTTGCGCCGCTACTGCTCCATCGCAAGCCGGTATTAAGAATACTTCGAGCCACAACGATTGAAGGGGATATTCGACTACAGCCTGTCACTAACCGAAGCATTGCATATCAGATCGGACGGTATAATGCAGCGCGTCGCGGATGTTGATAGTACATGCACGTAGGTTCACAGGCCGGGGTGGGGGACCACAATTTTGTGGGGACGTTTGGAGAATGCCTTTTTAAAGGAGAATAAGTCTCCACCGTTCAATCCGATCTGCTACAACAGGTGCTCAACACCTGCCATCTTCCGTAGTATAGTGGTCAGTATGCGAGCTTGTCACGCTCGAGACCCGGGTTCAATTCCCGGCGGGAGAGATCCGCCAACACCCAAAGGGTGTTTCCTTTTTTGGATTTTTTGCCAGTCTTTTATTTACACCACTTGCGCCAAATAAATAACGGTAATTGAAGGATTTACAATATTATAAGCACACACACAGCGAAGATCAGTATTGCAAATATTTTTTTTATTTGAAAAAAAAATAAAAAAGCAAATAAAAAAAAATTGACATCAACAAGACAGTAGTAAACTGCTGTGTCGCCCCAGCTTCTCACCAACGTCGCCTATGAAATGTGTTAGTGTTAACAACAACCACATCGAAGCGATTATAAAAACTTACCACCATGATTTGCGGCGCCTCGCCGCCCAAAACTCCTCCTCCTCCCCCTCCCACCAGACTTTTGCCCAAGGAGTAAGATACTCCACGACGGCCTTTGCCTCCGCCAGCTGGGCCCTCTCGTCGGCGGTCATGGACTCGCCCGCCATGGCGAGAATAGTTTCTGCCCTCGCCAACTTTTCGACATATTTCACCCGGAAATCAAGCCGGGCGTCGTCTTTGGCGTCACTTTCGTCGCAGCGTTTCCACGGCGCCCTGATGCAGGCGAGGACCAACGCAACCACGAGAACTGGAATGACGTAGTCAAAAAACTAGCAATCATTGTTAGTAAACATTGTTGAGTGTAAACTTGTAAACTTACAAAGTTTGTCATTGTGTGCGCTTTCACTGCCAATGGTAAAATAATTGTTTGGTGACAAAATAGGAGAAGTATGTGGACACGGGATCCAAAGGTTGTTTGTCGAACGTGGTGACAGTTGCCACACATTTTATCATTACGGCCAAGTAGAAACTTCATCTTATTCCACCAGGATAATTGATCAGTCGGCATATTGAGATTTTTTGTAAGTTTTGGAGTGTTTCATCTTCTTCTTCGCTTGATAACCTAAACGAACTAATAATGTTCACAGACTTTTACTATCAACAACTTGATTGTGTATGCAATCCTTACCTTTGTGCTCGACAGAGATAGAGACCGCGACGCCATTGAGGAACGGCGAGAGAGAAGACTCGAAGCCGCGCACCGGCTCTAAATGCGGCTGGCTTTGGTGAGGGCCCGATCGAACCTCGCCGGGCCCGAGCCCGTGAATGACAAGGAGAGAGAGGAAAGAGCGGTCGCTCTTGTAACGGTTCAGCTCGTTTCGCGCTGGGTGAGGCGGTAGGACGAGGAGGAGGCCGAGGCGGCTGTCACGGCTTGTTAGGATAATGTGCAACATACGTTACAATCTACGTTTGTACTAACAATCTTTATAGATCCTACGATGCCTCTACAATGATGACACAGTTTGACAAACTTTAATTGTATATAGCTTCTACATGAAATCACAAAAACTATGTCCAAGCAGCCCTAACCTCCTCCGTCCACGTCTCAAACTCACGAACCCGTCCATCCACGCCCATAATCTGCCCTGTGTGAAGGTTCCTATTCAACGTGGGAACAGTAAACCAATCGTGATCCTGTCTACACTGCACTCCGTCCTTATGATCGGCTGTGCTGTTACCATCCACGCAAATGATCGTCGTGATGCACTTTTCGCAAAACGACTCCATGCACAGCACACATATTCGAAAGTCATCTGTCGAGGGGATATTCTCTAGACACTGCGCGCAGCATCTGTCTGTCGACAGAATGTTCATCAGCTTCGGTTCTGGTCGCTCCAACACGGGAGATTCGCTCTGTGTTGACTGCATGCTGACATTCGGGTTGACGTTGCGCATCGACTGCGCGAGACACCTTGCCTTCTCCACATCGCCAGCGGCTAGAAGCAGCCACAGCAGGTTATCGATGGCGAATTCGTCGTTGAGCGGCTCGGGGTCGGACAGGAGAGCGAGGTTTTCGACGATGAGGATGCTCAGGATCTCGCGTGATTCGTCGTGTCTGCCGAGCAGTCTGTAGAAAAGGCCAAGATACAGTGCTGCCGTGTTAATGTCGGATCCTTGGATACTCGCTGGTGTCTCCAAAAAGCGTTGCTCATCCTGCTTCTTCATGACAACTTCGAGCCTCTCGATCCAGTCGAGTGCTACGGGTGACGAAAGACCTTCACGCAGAAGTTGCAGTTTATACAAATGGGCAAGCCGTTGGAATGAAATCGCATGTCCTTGCCGTGTGACAAAGTTGCCACGGGCCCGGTACTCGACGAGGCTAATTTGTTCAAAGACGGAAATTGCACTCTCAATCTTGTAGCTGTATGAGCAGACAATACCGTAAGCCAACCGCAGGTATAGAATCACAACAGGCTCGCGGATGTCGTGAGCAGCAGATATGGCTTGTTCTAGCGTCCTGAGGATAAAATCAGCTTCGCCAGTCTTACTGGCGGCCTTTGGGATACGGTCAATGACAAGTCGCTTGTTGTTCTGATTCAGAACCAGCTCAACTAGACGGTTTTGACCCTGGGTCTTATTCGTAAGCTGCAGAGACATGTCGTGTAGAAGCTTCATCATCTCAGCGTAACGACTTTCGTCTGACAAAGCTTCCAAGTACGAAATTTCAGCCTCAAATCTTTCCCACTCGTTGAGTGTAACGCAAGTGCTTGCCTTGATTGCACGCATAAAGTATTCCATGGCGAGCTCTGTCTGATATGTCGAGTAGTAGCATTGGGCAGCGAGGTAGTAATCCTTGTACAGGCGCCATTTGCTCCGGTCAAGTGCTGCACCAGTGTATTTGCCTTCAGCCTGGCAAGCCTCTTCTAGCCGGACACAGTCAAGCGCAGGTGCAAGGGCCTCATAGTATCGCTCGTCCTGATACAGGCACCATGAAATTCTACCAAGCGTTTGCTGCTTGTCGTCATCCATTGCCAGGGCCTTCTCATAATACTTGAGGGCCTTTTCGTGTTTGCCGAGGGCGAGGTACGTGCTGCCAACGCGGCGGTTCAAATGTCCAGACTCTTTGCAGTTGGTCCACGCAATAGCTTTCAACATCCTCTCATCGAGGTCAATCTCGAGCCAGTGGTTTTCTTCATCTTCCCACATGTACCCTGCTTGACGCAAGGCCACACTCTGAACAATGTCGAAGCAGAACATCGTGGGAATATATACTTGACAATCTTCTGCAACCCAGCATCTGGCATAGTATCGGCCGATAGCCTCGCATAACATGGACGGGTTTACCTTGAGCTCTGCCGCAAACGCTTGTCCTTGAGGGGAGAGCCCGGCCACAACATCTTGGTCTTGGAACCAGCGTAGTAGAGCTCGGAGATTGCGTTCCATGAGAACATCAAGACCCTCGTCGTTCTTCTGGTACATTGATGTCCAGTCAACAATAGTGGCCTCATCGTTAAGCATTCGGTATATCATTACACCAAGGTTGCGTTTCTCTTCAACAGAAACCAAGGTCGGGTCCAGGCAAGCCATGTGTTCTTGCCAGTACCAAGCTGCGTACTGCTTGATGGCCTTTCTACCTGATCCGAGATTGTAGCTCTGAAACCACTTTTCATCTGTGAAGATGCGCAGACAAGTCTTGACAACGTGGAGGCGTGCTTCAACGGGATCGAATTTGATTCTTGAAATGAGATGATGCTCAGCCTGAGCCGACTTGAGATTCAAAAAGAATTCGCGAACAGTGGTATGGAAGAATGTGACGACTGTAGTAGACTTTTTCGATCGGAACTCCATCTCACTTCCAGTGATCACAGGGTCAATGCTTCTGGCTGGGCTTGCAGGTGATCCGGATCCACGCCTTTCTCGTAGTGTTGATACGCTAGATACACTGGATTTGCGACCACCAGCAGTGGCAGTATGCCTTAGCGGACTGAGGCCACGATCAGAGATGGCAGATTCGTCGACACTGATCCGGCCAGTGGGACTGATCCGCGAGAAGGCAGTACCAGTACGTCTCAGTTCTCGTTGCCTGCGTTCGTAGTCCTTGATGAGGTCGTCGGTCGTCATACCATCTTCACGCTCCAGTTCGAAAAAGCATGAGTATTGCCCTCTCAGTGTCTCCTCTAGTCGGAATGGCGGGTCACCAAAGAACAAGATCAACGCGGCCTCCAATTGTTCCAGTGTAAGAGCCTGCTCAGCGCAAATGATCCAACGTAACATTTCGTTTAGATCCTCTGCTTCCTCTTCCGAAATCGCTGCCGACAGACTTTCCAATGTCTTCTCCAGCATGCCGTTGATTTCTTTGGGATACGTCTCAAGACTCTTCAGAATAGATCGTGGGTGGCGTTTGCGGTTGACTTCGGCCAACATAAACTTCGCAAGGATAAAGAGCCCATCGACTTGAGCTTCCATTAAGTGGACCACTTTGTCCTTGAATTCGTTGGTCGTTTGATTGAGAATGCGTGACTGCAGAATACCGCGAGCAATGTACGCGGAAACGTCGTCAGCACTGCGATCCGGAGTAATTTGTATAGTCAAAAGTAGGTCGCCACTAGAATCTCGATCCAAGGCTTGCGTGATAGTTTCCGTCATGTATGAACGTCCAACTAGTGCAAGGCGTAGAGCTGAGCATCTTGGTCCAGCCGCAAAATCCTCTTCCTCAGGTCCCATTTGGAAGAGTAGCTGAGACATTTCATCGGCATCTGCTTCATCAATTCCGTCCAAAAAGATGAATGTTGGCTGAAGGCAATTCTCCATCTGATGAGGTTCGATGAAGAGTCTGCGGAAGGCGCTAGGTACAGTACGGATGTCATCACTGCTATAGAGACTGTTCATGAGCGCCTTTCCGTAGCTAGCATCTGCTTCGCTCATTTGGTAAGCAAGGTCGCGCAGTGCTTGTACGCAGGAGCGGGTTTCGGGACCAGTGTCACGGAAGAAAAAGTATGCCAAGCGTGGCATGGTTTCGAGACAATGTGTAATAATGTGCGAAGTCAGGAACGATTTGCCCGTGCCTGGACTGCCGTTCATCCACAGGAAGGGCTTATCACCTCGAAGCCATGCCTGTAAGCTTTCATCTTTTAACAACCAATCTCCAGTTCCCGCAACCCGAGAGCGCTCAAAGGCTGTATAAAAGTCCTTGGGGAATGGCGACGGTTGGAGGATATTTCGCAAGCGATCTCGTCGTTCAATATCAAGCTGGCCGAGGTGGTCAAGGTTGAGATTTTGTAGGTTTTCATTGACAGCAATGACTAAATCCTCGACTCGGTCGGTCTTGTCGTTGATGTCGGCGACGCCTCCGTAGGTTTCAGCGATGACCTGACGTTCTTCTCCGAGGGTGAGTATCCGCAGCTTCTCCATTGCTGGATCAACAGGGCTACCTGACCCTAACAGGCGTTTAAAGTATGATTTTAAACGACCCTGTCGGACTTCCTGAGTCGCGATGATGATAATTTGGAAAACCGTGGCCAAGATGGTAACAAGCTTCTGCCGCAGCGTGTCGGACATTGCATGCTTCGCATATACATTTAGTCGGCCAGTGAAATCCTTTAATTGGCCAAAAAGTTCCTCGATAGAGTCGTACATCTTGCTCACGTTCTCTGCAGCGCGGACCATGTACATGACCGCTGCGAGGACGTGTGCGGATGGCGCGAACACTTCTGAAGCTGGGCCGCAGGCTGCCTCACCGACGACTTCGATCGGCTTCATGGCCAAGGTCAAGGCTTTGAACAGGCCATGTCGCTTCTCTCTAAAGTTGCTGAACTGCTCATTCTGTTTGTCGATAATGGCGATGAGCTGGTCAACTGTCTTGAGCGGCGGGTTGAGGGTAAAGTCGTCGAGCAGGACTCCTTTCTTTGAACTTGTGGACAGTTTATATTGCTTGGCTGCATCAGCCACGATGGCCGCAAACTGTGCGTCCATGGCTGTTGCAGCACGATCTGAGCGTATAATCTGTGTTACAGAATAGTAAAGTTGTTTGATTGATAGTGATGGGTGGCTAGTGTAGTATAGTGAAGAGTAGCTATGGTACAGTCTTTGGCTGTACTATAAGAAGCGTTTGTCGATAAATAGCCAAGGTAGGAAAGACGGTGCGATCCACAGCAGTTGAGACAAGCTGTTATTTTTAATCAAAGATAGCTACCGGCAGCACAGCAGGGAGCAAGCAATAGTGAAGCGAGTCGAAGAGTATGCCTGTGTCGTCATGTAGTCAGGTGAGCTGCAGGAGGCGATGTGAGCAATACGGGAGTCATCCGCCGCGGGAGGCTTGATGGCTACCGATTAGCGCGGGCGGGTTTGGCTGGAAAAGTGTCTTGGATCCAACGTGCGCGCCTGGTTTGTGTGTCTTACGAGTGATCTTCAGGCAGTGCAACTGTAGTTTCCAGGCAACCAATATAGTGTAGTGTGTGCGCCGCGTGTCTGGTGGCAAAGCTATGTCGCGGGTTGGCAGGGCTGATCGAAGGTGGCATTTAGCGGTGGGACAGAGTGGGAGCGTTCTGCTGACAGGCATCACAACGTCGCATTGCGCAGCTTCAGCATCATTCTGGCTGTGCGGGAGCTGAACGCTGGTGTGCGTTTCAAGTGGATGTCTTGGGTGTGGGTGAGATTTGGGGGCTGATGACCAGCTGCTGGACAGGTGGCGGCAGTGCCCACTGGTGTTGACAGCTGGCTGCCGATTGACAGATGGCAGCTGTAGAGAAATTTTTATATTTAAATAAAATGCTATATAAAAATACACTCGTATCAAACTCTCTGTTCACAAGGCTCTGTGAGGCACACGAAACGGGTAATCTGGGGAGAACAATAGCAGGCTCCACGGCGGGCGGGCGGTACCACCCGCCGCTGGAGCCTTATGCTTCTGCGCCACACCACCATTGTTCAGTCGGATGAGGCTCAGACAATCGCGTAGATTTACACCAATCAAACTATCCGATCGTAATTAGCTCTATTGTACAAGTTTTCTCTTTAAAGAGACGTGCAGAATACAAACGATTGGTTTAAATTCCAGTTTATAGTTGGCCTGGCTTATAATAAAAATTGATACAATGCTATGAGGAGTCTATGAGTCGTGATATGCGTAATAATTTTGACATGTCCAAAATGAAGAAGGATCATCCAGTATTTATCCTTTTTTCTCCTTCACCACATGTCGGGCCCGAATGTTCCACCTTCTGGCACAGTCTTGTATGAACAAGCTTGCCAGTCGCAGCCCTGTTTGTACACTTCCGTCCCCCACCAGCTAAAGCCCTTCATCCAGCCTGGATACAGGAAGCCGAAGAAAACAACGACGATGCCAAACGCGAGGCCGGAATCCAACGCAGCAGATAGCGTCATAGTGTACTTTGCCCACCAGGCGCTGGCGCGGCGCTTGATAAGATAGTTGAAGACGTAGCAGACTACAGCCCAGACAGAAAAGTTGAGACCGGTGGCAGGAGGGATCCAGGCCATGGCGCCAAAGACAACAGGTAAATTGACTTTGCGGATTATGGAGCCGCGGCGGTTGCGTGCATAGAGCCATAGTGGGATAGGCAATAGGGCACCAAGGGGGAAAGCCCATACAAGCGCACGGTAGATGGCATTGGGACCAAAGAATTCGGCTGGGCCGACGACGCCCCAGAGGATAGAGCCGTTAAAATGGACGCGAGCAATGGGGCAAGTGAATCCGTTAAGCGCGTCGGGGGTGCACAGGCTGGGCACATTGGCAAACATCCAGTTAAGGACGATGATTTGGGTAACGGAGGCGATGAGGGTGGCGAGGATCTGGACGGAGAACATGATGCGCGGCGGGATCTTCATGTAGTGACCAAGCTTGAGATCGGATGCAAATTTGATGCCCTGGGCAGAGGATATGTAGCCGTAGGTGACAAAGAGCATGTTGGCAATGGGGCGACCGGGGAAGACGACGCCACAGATGAGCTGGCAGATGAGGTAGATGGATGAGTGCTGGTTGGTGACAGCCATGATGATGCCGTTGGGGATGAAGAAGACGGCACCAATGCCGAGCGCCAGCAGCAGGCCGTACCAGGGGAGGTGGATAGGATAGTACTCGACAATGAAGATACCAATGGCGGTCATGGAGAGAGAGGTGAGGATGTACCACCATGCAGGGGCTTCGGGGTAGCGCTTCATCAAACGCGAATGAATATCCTCGCGAGAAATGAGGTTGTCGATATTGGAGGCGGACGCGTTGGATTGGTGCCCGAGCGAGGCGGAGGAGGTCGTCATTGGGTCGGTGTTACCGTTGCCGCTTAACGGAGCGTAGGATGTAGTGGAGGAGGCTGCTGGGCCTGAGGATTTGGCTTCAGTGAGGGATCGCTTCCATGTTCGCCAAATATCGCGCCCGTGCCAGCAGAGTGTGTGGGTGAGAAGCGCTGTGAGGCCGGCAAACTGGACGGCGTAGGAGAGGACGTAGGTTATGGGGAGGAAGACGCGTGAGTAGGCTGCATAGGCTTCGCGGTCAAAGAGGAATTCTGGCGTCAGGATCTTGGAGACGTCGTACACTTTACCCGTGTTGTCGAAGACTGCGGCGGAGAGAATCGGCATATAGGATGAGTAGAGGACGTTGGTGTAGTAGCAGAGGGGCGCGAGAATCCACATGACAATTGAAAGGCCGCCCATGACGTTGACGGCTGCCCAGAATGGCACAAGGAGCGGCGAGCCGACATATGTGATTTGCGCCCAGTCAAAGGTCATGGGGAAGAGGCCCAGACCAGAGGTCACGCCGAAGAGGTTGGCGAGGACGACGCTCTTGGGAGCAAACCATGTAATGACGTTGAAGTAGCTAAGTGCAGGCATCAAGAGACCTGGGAAGAAGTAGAAGAGGAATGCGGCCGTCCAGACCACGTAGAAGAACTTCCAGCGGCTAATGGTCCATCCGTTGGCTGGTTTATTCTCTTGCTTGTGCAGCGTGGAGAACATGGCTGCTGACATGAGCGTACCGGGCCAAATCATACCCGATGGGTTGACAAGGAAGCGGCGCGCCATGCCTGCGAAGCCGTAGCCTAGGACTTGGGTTGATATAGTGAGGAGCAGCTGGTATGATATGGGCGCTTTCTGGTTATAAAATTGTGTCTGCTCAACAATGACGTCGGTAGCAAAGGCGAAACCAAAGGCGACGTTGCTGCTGACATAGACGCAGGTATGCTCCTTTTGGTTCCAGCGACCTTGACCAAGCCATTGTCGCCAAGCTCTCAGTGTCTTATGTGTATCGCTGCGTGTTGGTGGTGAGGCCGAGCAGAGTTCAACAGCGGGGCTACGCGGCAGGCGGTGGCCGTTGACGAATTTGTCTTCTGGGTCGTAGTCACGCTTAAAAGCAAAGTCCCAAAGGTGGCCGAGTGGGTGGACGAGAAGGAGGGCGATGACGGGCGTTATGGCGACACTGGGGTATCGAAGAGCAAAGAAAAGGTTTGTTGAGGAGCCAAGGATGGCGAAGAGCATGGACAGACACCACATGCGCGGGGTATTGATTGAGAGGGATGTATCGTCTATAGCAGATACAGAAGCGCGGACAACATCATGAGGCGAGTTTTCTTCTTCCTCGTCAAGCGAGTCGGTGTCTGAGTCGAGCTCGGAGTCTATGACAGCCGCCTCGTCAAATCGTACTGACGATGTTGAGGAGCGACGACCGGGCTTGTCTTCGCCTGCGCCGTCAATCATGTCGCCGAGCAAGGGGGCTTCAGCGAGGCTGAAGCGGCCCTCTAGGCCGGAAGCGAGCACTGAGCCGTCAATATCTTCGGATAGCCTTGTTGCCGTGGACGGCCGGGATTGGGACCGTGAAGACCGGCTTCGATGCCGGCGTGAACCACCAGAGGCATTGCTCGTTGTTCTGTGGAGCGGCGACGACGGGCGCGGTGTGGTGTTTATAGAGCCGTATGGGGAGGTCGTGGAGGATGACGCATTGGAAGATTGCTGCTGCCGGCGGCGGGAGGAGCGCTTCTTGGACGCCATGGCGAGCTGCTGGAAAGGCACGAGCTCGATGGAAGTACGGTCGTGACCGGCGGCAGTTATCGGGCTATCGGCGATATCATGGCGTGGTGGTGAGGAGGCTTCGGCGGCGAGGAGAGGGAAAGGGGGGGAGGACGAAGAGACCGCGGTGTCGGGCAATGCTTGAGCTGCAGGCAAAGTTGTAGAAGCGAGGTTGGAGTCGGAAAGAGGCAGCGGTGGAGGTTTTGAGTCGGATGACGGATTCTGTGTGGGCCGCCCCATCAGCAATGGTGGTTGTGAGCGAGACACGCAGAGTGTTCGGCTAAAATGCGAGACTGACAAATTAATAATTGCAAGCAACGGGATTGGATAGAATAGCGGATAGCAGGCATGGGCATATTTTTCCGGGAATTAATATTTCGGGCTTGGGGGCTAGCTGAAAGGAAACTGCACGGAACGGCGGTAACTGCGGGCGGGAAGGCGGATCCTCAAGGTAGCGACAGGCTGTAGAGGTGCTATTGCAGGGGTTGTGTGCCCAGCTGCAGGTGAAATGTGATGAAGAAGACAACAACAGCGTGAATTGGGCACCAGAGACAGGCTGAGGCTGAAAGGTGTCTTGGGGGAAGGGGGGAAGGGGGGAAGGGAGTCAGTCATACCGAAGCTGAATCTGGCTGTTGCGTGTAAAGGCGTCTAGGCGAGACGGGCCGAGATTGGCGGATGCGTCTGAAGAGGGAGAGTGGCACGGCAGTCAATAATCAATAAGCAATGGCGAATGTAACACTGGGTGTATTTTAAACGTAGTTTATTTTGCTGCTGGGTTGTAGGTGTAGATGCTGAATATCGTACGACGGCAGCTGGCAGCCCTTTGTTATATTGGTAGGCGGCTGAGAACGGAAGAGGCCGCTAAACCCCAGCCGGAAGAGGCGCTGCAGGAAACAGCCAACGGCTGCAGGGGTGGTGGTGCAGTAACGAAATATGGGTGAGGCATTAAAAATAATAAAATGTCATTATTAACAATTAAGATTTATTTCTATGCGATTCAAATTATTTCCAGAATTTTATAGACTGGTTTGCATTGTCTGTGGCTCAAACTATGTTTTCAATGTTTTGTAGCATACATCACACTTTGTACAGTAAAAACGTTGCTATGTAGCGCTGAGACGGCCCCCACCACACCTGTGCGGCGGGTAGAATCTCCCCGTGCCCACCAGAGAGTCCATTGTATACACCATCTTTACACACAACCCTCACCATATAGACACAGCCCGCAGCGTGCCATGGCTTCTGCAAAGTTAGCAAAACAGCAGCTGCGCTCCATTGTCAAGGCCAGACTCGCAGAACTACCTCAAGAGGCAATAACATCCCAAAGTAGGCACCCGTATCCCGCATAAAACCCACGCAACAATCGCTCACCTTACCATCCTAGGTCGCCGCATATTTGATACCCTCCAAGACTATAGACTCTACAGAGATGCAAACAGAATAAGCATATACCTTTCCATGCCTGCTGCAGAGGTGCAGACTGATGCGCTTGTTCGCCATGCTCTGCAGGCTGGCAAGCAGGTCTTTGTCCCATACCTGCACAAGTCCACTCTCACAACACCGGACACACCAACCCGCGTCATGGAGATGGTTCGCTTGAACAGCATCCAAGACTACGAGTCTTTGCTCCCCGACAAATGGGGCATCCCTAGTATTGATGCCGCCACAGTAGCAGAACGGGAGTGCATCTTGGGAAACGACACCGCTACCCTAGATCTCATGTTGGTGCCTGGTGTCGCCTTTGATTTAGACCAGCAGGGCTCTGTAAGGAGACTAGGACATGGAAAGGGGTTCTATGATTTCTTCTTGAACCGGTACTTTGAAAGACAGGGCACAAAAGAAGGAGGGTTGAAGACAATTGGGCTTGGGCTACAGCAACAATTGCTAGATCCATTGGCTGGTGAGAGCGTGCCCATGGGACAATATGATCGTGTGCTTCACGGTGTAATTCTGGGAGACGGAAGCATAAAAGAGTCGAAGTGAGGTTTCACAACATTATTTTGCGTGTATAAGTAGCGTCTAATATTTAACAAAACATAGAGATTAATCTGAAAGAGTCGTGTTTGATACAACGGTCTTGGTGTTTTGGCGTACTATCTACGTAGAGACTCTGAAACTTTGGTCGTGTGCCACAGAATAAGAAATCTCATCATGTGTCGGCATATTATAATCGCATATGCCTCTTCATATTAAAGACGGCGTTTTTCTTTAAAAAAAAAAAAATAGCGGCCGGCCAACATGCACGTCATGCCGCATAACACTCTCCCACCTTTGTCTACCAACTCGGAGCCGGAAAAACTCACGTGCGTCATTTCGCCCGCCGCCCTGACTGCACGCCCATTGCCCCGCCAAACTTGCCCCCCCATATTCTTTGCAAACAAACCAGCATCCTTGATTGCCGTTTGACCCTTCGCCTTTGATTTACCATTGCTTTTGTGCTATTTCTGTTTGGCACCGTCTTTTGCATTTGCATCTAATCAAATCAAGGACCCTACGTTTGCTGCGTAGGTGACCGCTACCTCATTTCCCCCCCCACGTCTATAAAAAAGCTGCATCAAGGTTGCGTTCTGAGCAAGCCTGTGTTTTTTGGTCTGCTCAAAACCTCACCCCTCTCCTATTTTTAACTCACCCTGGTCTGCTGAGCCGCGTCCTGTGGCACGTTTGACAAGCCTTTCTCTTGACAGAGTACAGGTGTCGCAGCAGCAACAGCAACAGCAGAAATATCGACTCTGCAGGTCCCGCAACACCGATCGAATCGACATACACTCGGCATCTTCACATCATGGCCACCAACGGCACCGTGGAGAGCTTTGCGCCGCCCGATGTGCTGGCGGCGCTCATGACTATGCGTGGCGGCGAGACGGAGGCTAAGAAGACTGCTCACGCCTACCTTGAGAGATTCCAGAAATCGGTTCGTTCAGCTTACTCCGGTGGTGATGGATTGACTGAGTGACATGGTCAAACTAACAGTGCGTCTGATTTATAGAAGGACTCGTGGGGCACCGTCATGGCCATCCTGCAGTCTAAGGCTGAGGCTGAGACGATTTTATTTGCAGCCATTACCCTGCGAGGAAAGGTACATACATGCGATGACACTGAAACCCAGTTTGTGGTGAGATTGCTGCTGATTTCTTGCTAGATTACATACGACCTGTCGACCCAAGTCCCCCCGACCGAACTTACCGCCCTGCGAACCCAGATCCTCCTCCTAATTAAGCACTATGGTGCCGGACCCAAGCCTATACGCGTGCAGTTGTGTGTCTGCTTAGCCATCCTGGCCATCCAAATGAAGGATTGGAACGACGTCCTGCCAACCGTGGTCCAGGCTCTCAGCGATAGCCCGGACAGCCACGCCTGCATCCTCGACTTTTTGCGCGTCCTGCCCGAGGAAGTGACCGAGGGCCGAAAGATTACCCTGACTGTATGTGGATTGTTGTGCGAATCGCTAGAACGAGTCGAGCTTGGTGCCAGAATGCGCGACCCCGACGACATTCGACCGACTTCCCGCCCGCCCTCGATACTACGTGGCCGAGATCTAATGTGTTTTGGATAATAGGAAGAAGAACTTGCAGACCGGACAAAGATTCTCTTGGCAGACAACTCTGATCAGGTCGTTCAGCTCCTCATCAACTACGCCCAGTCTTCGCGTGAGTTTATTCCTGAATCTTCTATGATAGACTAGTGGTGCAAGATGCTAACCAACAGTAGCTAATGCTTCGCGAAACCCGCAACTTATGGAGTGCATTACTTCGTGGCTCAGAGAGGTGCCCGTCGCCAACATTATCAACTCACCCCTCCTTGACGTAATCTTCAACGGTATCGTTGCCGACGAATGTAGCCAAGAGGCTTCTGAGTGTCTTGGCGTCGTTCTTCGCGAGACTGGTGACGTGGATGAAAGCCGCGACGCCATTGCCATCTTATTCCCACGAATCATTGCCCTTCAGCCCCGAATCAAGGCTCTTGCGGATGAGGAGGACTCTGAAGGTCTCAAGGCGCTCACCAAAGTGCTTGCTACTGCCGCTGAGAGTTGGGTGGTTGCTATTGCACGCGAGCCCTCGCAGTTTCGACCACTGGTTGATGCTGTTCTCGAATGCGCTCTCCGCGACCAGGAACGTGATGCTATCGACTGCACCTTTATGTTCTGGTACGAGCTGAAGCAGTACTTGGTGCTGGAGCGATATATCCAGAGCCGTGTGGAGCTGATGGAAGTCTACTCCAAGCTCGTAGATATCATGCTGTCGCACCTCCAATACCCCAAGCCCGACTCTGGCAACGAGACCGATTTGTTTGATGGCGACCGCGAACAGGAGGAGAAGTTTAGAGAGTTCCGCCACCAAATGGGCGACACACTAAAGGATTCTTGCGAAGTCATGGGCGTCACCGAGTGTCTCACCAAGGTGCTCAACTCAATTCAGGTTTGGATGGGCAAGTATGCTAGCCAGGTAGAAGGCACCAAGGTTCCCGAATGGCAGCAGCTGGAAGCTCCTCTGTTTGCTCTGCGTGCCTTGGGCAGAATGGTGGACAAGGACGAGGAGATTGTCCTGCCCCAGCTTATGCCTTTGCTTGTGCAGATCCCTCCCCATGAGAAGCTCCGATTTGCCACGATTATGGTCCTGGGTCGCTACACGGAATGGACAGCTGCACACCCCGAGTACCTGGAGCCACAGTTCAACTACATTGTCAACTCGTTCCAGTCTGATTCGCGCGAAATTATCCGAGCTGCAGCCCTCTCCATCAAGTTCTTCTGCACAGACTGCAAGAACTTGCTTAGCGGACAGGTCCTCCAACTGCAAAGCTTTTACGACCAGGTTCTTGACAAACTGCCCGATCTAAGCAAAGAGGAGGTTACAGAGGGTGTTTCCAGCGTTGTTGCGGTCCAGCCTGTTACCGAGACATATCGCCTGCTTAAGACGTACTGCGATCCTCTCGTCCAGCGTCTCATGGCCAAGGCAAACAGCGCAACAAATGAGGAAGGCAAGCTGGCGCTAGCTGACCACCTGCAACTAATTACCATCTTTGTGCAAAACGTGACGCCAATGGTCAACGCTGGCGAAGAGAACCCGGCAGTCAAGTACTGGCAAGAGGTGCTGCCCATCCTGTCGACGGTCCTGGACGGCTTCCTGGATTTCAGCCCCATCTGTGAGCGTGTCTGCCGCTGCTGGCGCCACATGATTATCTCCTACAGAACTGCCATGGCGCCAATGCTTGGTGATATGGCCAACAAGCTTGCGCAGGGCTTCAACACGTCCCGAGAAGGCTGTTTCTTGTGGGTTACCTCTGCTATTCTGCGCGAGTTTTCCGAGGACCGTGAGCATGTCGACCAAGCGACAACCGATAACATCTACTCCTTCTTCGAAGCTCAAACAACGACATTTTTGCGCACTATGAATGAGCTGCAGCCTAAGGAGCTGCCTGATGTTGTTGATGACTTCTTCCGCTTGCTGATTGATGCGCTCTTGTATTACCCCCAGAAGCTGATTCCATCTCAGCTCTTGGTGCCTATTTTCGAGGCGGCCGTGTACGCCTTGACACTGGAGCAGCGCGATCCGCTCTCGTCGACTCTGCACTTCTTGCGCGACTTCTTGTCCTATGGCGGCAACAACCCCGCGAGCAGTGAGCGTCTGCCCCCAGCTACCGCCGAGCAGATTCGCGACGTTGTCAAGACCGTTCTTGCTAGCCACGGGGCGGGACTTGTTAAGCAGGTGATGGCGGGTATGATGATTACCTTCCCACGCGACTGCTTTGCCGACGGTAGCGGCGTCTTGCTTGCTCTGTTTGAGCTGTTGCCCGTGCAGACCAGCGACTGGGTTACTGAGACGATCCGCATGCTTCCCGAAGGCACCATGTCCGCCGCCGAAGCCGACCGACTGATGACCAAGATTCGAGAGAAGCTGTCTAGCGGCGACGCCGGTGATCTCCGCCACGTGCGAGTGCTGCTGCAGGACTTTACCAACACGTACCGCCGACGCAATGTTGCTCCTCGAGATGGTCTTGGTCAGCTTGAGGCCACCCGCTTCCAGTTTTCTGGGTAAACTGGCCAGCGACAAGTTGGTAAGAAAGAAGTCAATTTATTTTATTTTTAAGCAGGATGTGGCGAAGGAGTTTTATGGAAGATGAGGAAATGGAAGGGAGATATGAGAAATAATGGGAATATGGAACATAGAAGGGACATTTTGCATGGAGTAGGACGGGAATGGATTCTAGCATTTTGAGTGCGGATACAAAAAGACATGGGATTTTTCTTCAAGTCAAAGTTTTTTACAGATTTCTAACTTGCACATATGGGAGGACTGCGCAAATTTTTATTTTGAGAGATAGAGAGAGATGGCAGAGTAGTGAGGATGAATGAGATGGCATACTGTATGCTGCTAACTGGTGCGATTTGTTGAACGACTTTTACGGTGACTGGCATCGTGATTGGCTTATCTAATAGGCTTGATGAACTGCACAATGTTCTTTATGTAAATCTACATGAATGGAACTACCATGCCATGAGATGTTGCGTATGTTGTTGGAAGTATGAGTATAAAGAGCTGTGAACCAGCGAGAAGTGACGTCTGTTACGCCAGAGATAGTCACGCTTACCCTGCACTTTCTCATATTCAATGTGCATTGAATACAGCTTGCTTTATTACAACGATAATTTTATTAAATTTATTTAACTCATTATAGCCTAAGAAAAGATAGGATTGATAGGCATGTGTTACACTATGACCACTGCACACCGTGAATTTGCTGGGTACCGCTTGACTCACGTAGTAACAGACAGTGGGGGAGAAGGCGCTAGAATTTATCCCGGCGTGTCATTGTAGGGCGCAATCGACTTCCAGAGCAACACGGTGAGATACGACTCGTCCTTATCTTTCTTCTCTCTTTTTCTCTCTTCATTTGCTTTCTTTTGTTCTCTTCATTACCTTTATCTGCTAATTTTAAAATTTGCAATTCTCTGAGATTCTTCCATTGCTATTGTTGGGGATTCGCATACGGACTACGCAAACAAAAAATACACACATAAATAAATTATGACCGCCACCACCACCAACACGACCAATGGCCACGATGCGGGCGTCGTTCAGCGCCGCAGTGATGAATGCAACATCCGCTTGATTGCCTGGGATCCCACCAACGAGGAGCATTTTGAGCGGATGGTCCAGCAGAGACTGAGCTGCGGATGGGACTCGGATGCCGTGGGTGTGTGGAAGAAGAAGCTGCTTGACGGCAACAAGTTTATGTACTGGGTGGTGAGTAGTCCCACGGTGAACTTGATATATAGATTGTGTGGAAGAGCTAACTTACAGTAAACAGGTTCTCAAGGACGAGTATGCAGAGAGACAGACGCTGCTTGATGCACACGACCAACTCTATCCCAAGGTAAGACAAACCAGCAGCCCGCTTACCTACCATCCCCAAACAAGCGCGGCAAACACACAAAAAGAGCACATAAGCTAATAATAGAAACCTAGGAACGGGCGCCCATCAAAGACACAGCCACCGTCCTCGGCAACTCGCCCCTCGCACCAACTCACCAGAGCTTTGTGCCCATTGGCCATGTTGCCATTGACAGGTACCCGGAACGCAACGAGGTGTTTGGCATCGCCATGAGCACCATCTGGATCAAGTCCTTGTACATCTCAAAGTGAGTCTTTCATGTCCCACATCTGTGTGCCAGCCTCGGGCTAGCAAGCAAACCTGGCTGCGGGCAACGCAGAGAGCAAACATGTTTTACTAACCAAAACACACCACACAGGGCCATGCAGACGAGCGGGCTGGGCATCCAAACGATGCGAGAGACAGAGCGAGTAGCCTGTCTCCCGCCGCTCAACGCCTCAGCGCTCGCCCTGGACACAACGCTGGGCGTTGCGCAAAAGTCCGAGGCGGCCATGAAGGCCTTTTACGACGATGTTGGCGCGCCGCGGCCCAAGAAGATGCGCTCCAACCAGGAGTGGTACACCAAGCAGGGATATACGCTTATGGACGTGCCTGAGACTGATTCGCCGCATGTGTTTACGCATTATATGAATGAGTATGGTAAGGGAGACTTTGTGCTGCCCACGGTGTGGATGTACAAGGCGATTCAATAAGGGCCGAAGATGCAACGTTTACGAAGACTAGTAGCTTTTTGCGACAAGGACGACAAAGTGGAACAAAGAAACTGTCAGGGGCGCGCGTGCTTGACTGGTTAGGGCGGGCGTAGATGGGGTTTCAATGGCGGACATATACAAAAGAATCACGAGGCTGGCGGTATAGACGTTAGAACGAAGGATAGATTATATCATCAGGGATATAGATGCATCTGCTCGGCTCCGAAGCCTACAAGTTATTTATATTGCTTGCATTTCCCCATTTTCTAGGTGGTCTTTGAGATCATAAATTATTATTTTTTTTTTCCCTTTTGGCGTCAGCGTGGTGATATCTGACTTACACCCTACCTCTCCGCTCAACCACTTCCCTCTTTTCCTCTTCCCTTTCATCTATATTACTACTCTACTATTTGAGTACGTGACGTTGCTTTGGCTTTGTTCTGGTGTATTTCCTTTGTACAGCAGAGATGGCACCAAGGAAGGCCAAGGCGGCAGCGGCCAAGAAGATAGGCAGAGCAGCACAACTGAAGGATGCATCCATGTCTACTCTTTCACAGACAGAAAACACCGAAGAGGCCAGCATCTTCTCAAAGAACACGGAAGGTGAAGAAGATTTTACCCGAAGTACACAGTACAGCGTTGTGGATGAAGATGATGACTCCTATTCACGGACTGAGAAGCCCAACAAAGGCAAGCAAGCCGCTGCGGCTACAAAAGCTGCCCCTGCGAAGAACGCTGCCGCAACAAAGAAAGCCACTCCCACTAAGGCAGCTGCTCCGGCTAAGAAGGCTACCCCGGCCAAGAAAGCTGCTCCAGCCAAGAAAGCGACCCCAGTCAAGAAAGCGACCCCAGTCAAGAAAGCGACTCCAGCCAAGAGGGCGACTCCAGCTAAGAAGGCTGTCCCAGCTCAGGCAGCAAAGGGCAAAGGCAAGGCGACGGCCAAGAAGAACGTACAATTTACAGACCAAGACACCACTTATGAGGACGATGACGCAGACAATGAAGCCGAAGACGACGATGTGGAAGGGCTCGACAGGGACCATGCTCCCAGTGTGTATGGGAATGCACCTGTCATGGATCCGGCTCTCAAATTGAAGAAGCTACAAGAGGCTCGCATGGTGCTCAAACCCGCGATTGACTACAAGAGTCTTACTCTAAGAATGGAACAAAATATCCACAAGGCCAAGAAACTCCACAAGCAGCTCCGAAAGAAGCCCAACTCCAAGATCCCCAGAGGCGCCGGGCTCGAGATCCTCGAGATCCACGCGTGGCTTGCACTCATGGAGGAACAAGCGCTGCGCGGCAAGCAGTACAACAGCGAGCGAGATCCCAAGGAACTCCCCTCGCTCCCCGAAATCGTACCAGACACTGATATCACTGTCAACACTGCTCTTGTAGGGCCTGACAACACTGCTCTTCTTGCGCCCGCATACAACCTGCGCAAGCGCAAGGCAGACGGCAAGGTGCTGGTGCGCAAGTCCAAGAAGCGCAAGCCGGACCCTTCCTCCGGGACCGTAGGGGTCAAGTGCACGCACTGCGCAGCGTCGTCGCCAGGCTTGATCTGCGACATTCTCTGCACCGAGTTCTCTAGGTGGGCTGTTGAGTGCACACCGTGCAATAGGCTGCGCGCCACAGACCCTGAACATCGTTGCACAATTTCCGGCAAGTTGGTATACAAGAAGTATCTCGAAAGTGATCCCGTGGCGTTCCCCAACAATGCGTGCATCAGGTGCACGGGGACGCCGCTCGCAGTCTTCTGCGACTATGATCCGTATCTCGGCATCCAGTGCAGCTCGTGTAGGGGGTCGAGCCACTGCGCGATACTGGAAGAGGGAGAAACTGAGCCTACACGTCTTATCAAGAGACCGTGGCCGTTCACCAAGGCCATGTTGCCGTTTTCCCGGCGCGCGTGCGATACATGTCGCCGCATGACGGTAAAGGCGCAGGAACCATCTAGTACGCGCTGCTCGTGGCTGGATGATCGTCGAGTCTGGGGCAGGGCGTGTACGCGATGCGTCTCCGAGTCCTATACCTGTCTGGGGGAAGAGTGGGTGATTCAGCACCCGCCGTCCGTCAGGCCTCCGGCAGACTGGCGCCCTCGGGTAGCAGGAGGCACGGGATGGGTACACGTGTCGACGTCGGGACACTGGCGAAGACCCTGTACATCGTGTAGGCGCGATGAAGTCAAGTGCGCTGTCAACCTGCGCAGGCATGAAGTGGCGTGTGCGAGATGTGCCACATACGGCATCGACTGTATCGACTATGTGACCAACAAGCTGTATCATGTCTGGTCGCTCGCCGAGGTCGGGTATCTCGATCACGGGTCTCGGCCATACGAGGCCTGTGCCGAATGCATCCAGAACAGAAGAAACTGTGACCGCCAGCGGCCCTGCGATTCGTGCATGCTGGCCGACACACCAGGCCGCTGCGACCCGTATCCCGAATACACCCAAGACGATATCGTCTCGCGCAGGTTAAACATTATCCGTGGGCGCATGGATCCGGCCCCAGGCCCGCTCTACTATCTCGCTCTTGGCTATGGGCCAGACGGCGTCAATGACATCAAGTTCGGCCATGATGTCACAGACTGGATCGGACCGCCAGGGCCACTCTGGCATACCCATCTCTGGTTGCCTGCCTTGGATGGGGAGCCGGACTGGGATCCGACACTATTGCGGGAGAGGTTCCATCCCCAAGGTATCCCGCCATTTAGCTCTGAGGGTGGTTGGCTGCCTACTAGCCGACCATCCCTTACGACGGTGCTCCAGTTGCAAACAGCCCTTCGAATGACTATGCCAACATTGGTACCCCCTGCGACATACACCAGCTGGGCCATGCAGGAGGACGAGCTGCAACGACTGCGCCAGACCTTTAATGAGCGCGCCAGTACGGTCGAAAGGCCGTATACTGACCACACGCACTGGGACAACGGCCACACGTACATTCGCGGCAACGGCCGCAATGAAAAGATGCGCAATCCCTTTGTCGTGCCACGTCACTTGCCTGGCACGCCGCCGGTCGAAACGCTGGACATGGAAGGCGAGGTTCGCCTGCTGTATGAAGTGGCATGGCAACAGCGGAACCTGGAGCGGCCCAACATAGTCAACCAAGCAGTCTTAATCCAACCCCGGCTGGAGCCTCTACGGGTGACTATGATTCCAGCGGAGGTGGAAGATGAGGAGCTGGACAACTTGCACGGAATAGATGCCGAGTGGGACCCCTCCGACGAAGATGTTCCTCTGGATGAGCCCGAGGAATTCGCCTTGGGGTTCGCTTTGGGGCCACTGGCTGTGGAGGCACAGGTTGTGGCGGCAGACAACGCGGCAGCAGCCAATGGGGCAGCAAATAACCAGGCAGCAAAAGGTGCGGCAAGAGACGGTGCGGCGGCAAGAGACAGCGCGGCACCAGCAAACAACGCGGAGGAAGGTGACCGGACCCGACCAACAACACTTGCAGAGATTACCCGGTCCCAGGGACTGATGGTGCCATGGTACGAAGCCACACATGCACGCTTTGTTCTCGAATATCCAAACGGCGAGCCGTGGACGGAGATGATCATGGATCCGGCGGTATACTCATGGGCATTGGAACAAAGGCACGGCCCGTGGAGACCTTGGATGACCTTCAACAGGGTACTGCTGCCAAGATGCCCGTCGGTCGACGCACTGGACCACATGCCGTGCCGGGCCAAGGCGATTACCACCGGAGTCCGCATGACAGACCTGTGCATTGACCAAGGCTGCGGCCGCCCAATACCTGGCACGCATATCTGTGAGCATAATGGCCATAAGGCGCCTGTATGCAACGAGTGTGCCATGCGGAGCAAGAAGCTCTTGTTCCTCGAAACGAACAACGGTCTCAACACGAGCGACTTTATCAACATGAGGGCATACTTGTGCGTGGGCTGCCATGAGACGTTGCGTCATAACCCGGCTCGCATTGTCAACATGCGGATCATGGGCGTCAACACCGTGTTTGGCCAGTTTGTCGATCAGGCCGTCGTAAACTGTCGCCTGCCGCTGCCCGATGGGTCCAATATATCCTTCCGCAAGGACATCCTGCCTCTCACCGGCTGCGCGTGCGGTACCAAACTGTTTGCTCACCGCCAGTGCAAAGAGCATCGCATCCGCAATGCAGAGACCACGTTCCGCCAGGCCTACTTGATGAGAGACTGGATCATCGCCCAATACGGGAGCATGGTGTGTCCTGCCTGTATCGCTTTCAAGCCCATAGAACAAGTGGCGCGGCCGACAGAGAACCTAGATGCATTAGGCAGGTTCCCGTCGTGGGTGTGCCTAGCCTGTACTTCGTGGGTCATCAACGCAGAAATCAACACCGTGGAGGGCGATGCTGTCAATGGCTGGCGCGACTGGTTTGAATCCGATAATGCCGCCGAAGTTGTCTTTGACAGTAGTGATGAGTCTGGGACGACCGATGACTCCATGAGGATTAATCCAGACGATGAGGATGCTGAAGGCGAACTTGTTGAAGGCGAGCCTCAAGTCCAGCCTCAAGGTGAACCGATGGATGAAACGTAAGATTTCGACTGAGACGAGTGCAATTGCCAAACGGTTCCCATGTTAGTCTTTTTCAAGTATAAATATAATGTTAGCATTTTTGTCTAATTTTGACAGTTTTCCAAACACGTAGAATCGAGGTTATCAGGGGGGCGTGAAGTCTGACGAAATATTGCATTACAGAATCCGTATGAACAAATAATGGCTGTAGATAACAAAAAAGGTACTAGGAAGAAAAAAACCCATATTTGACGTGCAAAGAAAAAGAAGAAGAGAAAAATGACGAAGATGGGGAGAGCAACAAGAGAGAAAGAAAAGAGAAAAAAAGGGAAAAAAGAAAGGATGTGACAGATGAAACTGATATCAATCAAACGAAGGCACCCAATACTCCTCCTCTGCTGCCCATCAATGTGATATTTCGATAGAGCCCAGCACCAAAAAGACACCTGTGAGTCTTGTGTCTCTGCCCGCTGGATTTCCTTCCGCCCACCGAGACCACATCTCGTCCGCCTGACTGTGGCCTCCATTCCTTCGAAACCGACAAAAAGTGACGAGAAAAAACACACTGTGAATTTGCTGAGGACAAATAAATGGCCGTAAACACAAATAAAAGCAATGTTCAAGAAAGTTGCCAGGTTGGAACGATGCGGGGTATGTTGATGAAAGCGATTGAAAGATGCGCGCATTTAAATCGTCGGCCGTCCATATCAATTGTCGTCAAAGTAGCCGCAATGCATATATTGCCATGCCCGAGTCTCACTCGGCACTTCAAATCCTGCTCCTTGCATCGTGGTGATTGTTTCCACCTCTTTCTTTTCGAAATCCCTTCTTGTTTCAGTTTCGTGGTTGCGGCATCGAATATTGTTCGGCTCCATGCTGCCTATCCCGGGAAGATGTGACTTTTTTTACGCGGGCCATCCCCAAAAATTTCCACCCGAGTGGAAATGGCGCCCAAGGAAACAAAAAAAAAAAACAGAGCAATGACAGTCACCCCTTACATGATGACACACTTGGAGCAGCAGCCGGCCTCAGCCTCGCCGCCATCCATATCCATCTGCTTTGGGGGGTTGTGACCAGAGTTGTTGCCGCTGCCCGTAGAGTAGCCCTGCATCTCGCGGTTGTATCTGCGGATCTCACGAACAAGATCGTAGAAGGCCTTGTGAACGTTGAAGCGGGACTTGGCTGATGTCTCGATGAATGTGCAGTTGAAAGATCTGGCAAGAGCCTCACCCTCTATAGACGGCGTGTTAGTATGTAAGAACAATTCCGCATCATGTCTCAAAAACACGTACCATGTGTGAAAACCTCACGCTCGCCTTCCAAATCGCACTTGTTGCCAACAAGGACCATGGGGCAGTAGTCCTTGTCCTTAACACGCAGGATTTGTTGCTGGAAGGTGGTGATTTCCTCAAAGCTCTGACGGGAGGTGATGGAGTAAACAAGCAGGAAGCCTTCGCCAGTGCGCATATACTGTTCGCGCATAGCCATGTACTCTTCTTGGCCAGCGGTATCTAGAACATCGAGGAGGGCATCTTCGTCGTCGATTTCGCACTGCTTGCGGTAGGAGTCTGTGTGAGGGGTCGGCCACGTTAGCAATCTGCGAGGTTACAAGCAAGCGGCATCGAGTCAGTAGCGCCATCTGACGTTGCCTCGAGGGAGAGCGTAGGTACGGCATAGCCAGCCACGGTAGTTCAAAGGCAGCAGATGAGGCTACGTGTACGACGGGTTCGTTGTGGACTAACCTTCAATCGTAGGGTCGTATTCATCGACGAAGTGGCTACGGACCAATTGGATGGTCAAGCAGGACTTGCCAACACCACCGCCACCGACAACAACGAGCTTGTACTCGCGCATGAACTAAAAGATGATTTGTGAGCTTTGATGCCGACTTGACAGCAGCTTAAGACCCATCCGGCATAGCGGCGCGGCCTTGGAGTAAGCTGTGTACAGTGGAAATGCGTGGGGCCCATACCTTGGTCGCTGAAGCCATTGCGGAAATATAGCTTTGTGAATGTGTAAATAAAAGACCTTACGAAGATGCAAGGCGGAGAGGAAGTAGAAATAGAATATCGAAATGCAGAAAGCAGACGGCGGTAATCGGCTCGTGAGCTAGCGCTGGCGTCGTGGAAAGAAGGGGGTGACGAGGAAAGTCAATGGCTGCGTAGGCGGAAACTGGGTCGTCGGACCGAAGCGGCAATGCTGTCGAGAACACTATTGCACAAATCGAGCGGCTGCGGGCAATGCAAGATTGAGAAGCCGATACAAGGAAGAGACAGAGGAGAGGGAAAAGAGAATTAGTTGGCGGAGTGTGTGTATGTGGTGATGGTGGTTGGAAGGAAGGAGGAGGAGGAACGGGGCGCGGAAGAGAAAAGGGAAAGGGTGGGTGAGGAAAAAAGGTAGGGGAAAATATGGAGCAACAATGGGTTGGGCACGGCGGGTACAAGGACCAGAGGGGGTGGTAGGCTGTAGAAAAGCGGCTACAGAAGGTCACCCACAAGTACCCAGGTACCAGGTCTTTCTTTTATTCTTTGGCTTTCAGTGGACGTTTAGGGGGGGCTGTCGGGGCGGGAGGCTTTTTAGTGGACGCATGAGCCTAGAAGACCAGAGAGGGGGGATGCCTATAGGGGAAGAAAGCAAGAATAAAAAAAAAGAATAAAAAAAATTGAGGTGGCAGGGGGCGCTATACTGGGCCGAGTTGGGTGTGGACTGGTGGTTCCAACTAGCCACTGCGGCGCTGTGGTGCACTGTAGACGGATGGACAGTCCGCTGAACGCTGTGGTCTGGGCGGATCGGCGGGTGGGAGGAGGGGCGGGCAGAGGATCCAAAGTTCCAGGCGATTCCAGAGCACTATAAAAAGATGCAGCAAAAAGGGCATGCGACGAGAGCCGGCGGGCAAACAAGAGTGCATTTCCAATTTTGGAGCAGATGACTGACATGCGAAAATTACAGTAAATATCTTCAAAACTGCATTGTGCCGTCCTTTTCCCCCATGATTTTTTTCGTCGGTCGCTCCCTTGCATTTTCTTTTGCTGGCTCGGCGCTCATACCTCGTCGCAAGCCACCGTTTCCCCCTCTTGTCGGCTACCGACAGCCTAGACAATGGCCCGCCGTGCGCTGGAGGCGGATCCCCTAGTGGCAACCACTGCTCACTAGCGCCACACAGTTGCCTCTACCCGTACTGGAGACCACCCGCTACGGCGCACACTCGTCCTGAAATGGCCGAGGTACCTGTCTGGCTGCGGGGAATTGCCTGTGCCATCAGGTACTTTGCATCCCGCTATCAGCGGAGCTCTTTAGCACCTGTGGGAGGAGCTAGCTCGCCAGGCTAGTTTATCTGGCACACTAAACTAATCATTCGTCAATCGCTTCAGCTCCGAAGCGGGCTTTTCTTGATCCTATTTTTTTTTTTCCCTTTTTTATTAATCTATATTTCTTTTAGCTCAAGGGCAAGCTCAACTCAATGCGGACCTCAAGCCTCTGATGGAAGTACATATTTGTAAACGTCATAGGTAGCAATAGGTGCTGCATGCCTAATTTTTTTTCAGCAGCCTTGCTAACACAATGTGTCAGATGCGCTTCGGTGTACTCCGGCGCATTGCTTGCTTTGACACGACCCTCAGCTATAGACGGGTTGCATTATGGGCTCGACCGAGGATCACGGTAAGTGAGGAGCCAATGGTATACTCAAGACAAGATGGTAGATCGAGGATGAACCACAGACGTGTCTCTATTTCTGACTCGACAAAGGTGAAAAGCAAAACACCACGCTGGCTTGCTTGGCTGGCCATGGTGGTAGACATGACTTGTAGGGCATCTCATTGGCTACGAAGCCGCCGCCACCCAACAGCGATAAAAATGGCAACCAAAAAACTGGATGAACAAGCATCAGTGTAGACACTAAGAGCAGAAAGAGAAAAAAGCAAGGCTACAGACAGCCGTCTAGGCAAGCCTTCACATGCACGGCGCGCATTACCTGCAGTGCGGGCTTGCCGGCTGTGGCTATGGCTATGGCGGTGGGTAGTTGATGTGCTGCAAGACTATGATCGGGCCCCAACAGCCACTGTAAATGGTTTGCATTGTCCCTGCAAATCGCTGCAAAGGACGCTGCAGGCCGCCTAAACAGGAAAGCAAACAGTCGTCGTCCAAAGCAGCAAACTTTTCCCAGCGTCGGGCTGCCCGCCAGTTTGCCAGTGTCAATCCTGCCTCCGCCACCTGGCGCACCTGTCAAGCCTGCCAGAACGCAGTGCCCTTGCTTCAGCAACCTGCACAGCATTCTGCGCACCCAATGCAAACTTATCTGCTGTAACACTTCTTTCTTCAACGATAGCCTAAGCAGTACAGTAGACACAAGAAAATTCAGCCTAACGCTTTGTGGCGGCCAAGTTACATTTGCCCATTTCCCTTCTCTACCCCCTGTCAACACGCACCATGGCGCTTCTCCCCCCAAGTCGCCTCAAAGTACCTACCGAATGTGCCTCTCTGCGCTGTGGCAACTAAAGGCCACCGCCTTGCGCAACGCTCTGGCGCTCACTCCTCAACGCCATCGTCGTTGCTTCTTGCCATCCTGACTACTTCATTCGCTGGCCTCATGTGTTAACCGCGGAGGCCAGGAGCCTCTAGCCTTGGCGGCTTGACGGCATCTGCCAATCACCAGAAACAGGTGATGTGTGCGCTCCAGAGCTATAGTACAAGACAGCCAGCCCATAATGGTCTACTTTGTCAATACTCGTCAATCAAGGATCCGTTCCCCTTTCGTCTTGCTCTTCATTTCCGTGGCCAGGGTCAGCTTTTGGTGAAGATTGTGGGGAAAACTTGGCTCGTGCCTCGCGCCTGGAACGGCCACAGGAGCCCAACCTGAGCACGCGGCTTCCTACAAACTATAGGGAATAAAACGTGTGGCCGTCTACTACGCTGGTAGAGTTTCCATGGCGTACATTCGCTAATTATCGTGTAGTCACGCTACGCTTTTAGTTGACGACGATTCTGGAAAAAGATGTGCGCTAAAATTGACTCCCAATCTTCCCAACGTCACCTCTCTCCAATCCCACACCACAACACCACTGTGCACCATCACGCCTGCATAGGCGTTCGTACGCACAGGCATGTGTGCCCTCGGGGACCTTGTTCCCTTCAGGACGCCTCGCCGACGAAAAGAAGCAATTCTATCGCTGTAAGCTCCGGCCGGATCAGTGCCGCGACGGTAGACTATCGCCTGTCTAGTTATCTGAAAAAGAGGACCATGTGCGCTGTGGCGTTCCTGGCAAGCAAGGGTCCAACTGGGCTCCCCATTTTCGAAGCGTCGGCCGGACCAGGGGTACTGGACGCTTTTGGCTGGCGTCCGCTCGGTGTCCCATCCGTGATATTAGTGACCGCGATCAGCCAACCAGACACGATATCACGACCATGGCTAGTGGTCATTCCCCTCCCCAAGAAAGTGCGAGTCATAATTAGGATAATTGAGCCCTTCATCAGCCATCAAAGAGGAGCCGTTGTTAAACAGCTCTCATTCTGCCGAACACATTAGGCCCGATAGCAGCAGAGTCATTCCCAGCAGCTGTATAGCCCTATGTTGCGGAGACGCGTCTTTCCGTCTACCCAAATGCCTGCCAAACTAGTCGGTTCGTACGCGATGCATCATTTAAGCCCTGCCAAGCTAGTGTTGGCGAGCCGCTGGCCATGACTGCATACTGGACAAAGCGTCTCTAGTATCTAACAGAGCATCCTCGCTTGGCACCCGTCAAACAAATCCTTTGGCACATCCTGTTGGGGGACCTTCAGCACTAGTCCAAAGCGCCCACACTAGCGGCCAAGAGCAAGTTTCTTGCCATCAAGATAAATGCGGCTCGCCTGTGTTGCAGTTTACAGAACCCAAATCTCGGGCAGGCAATTGGTCCTTGACCCGCTAGTGTGTTCGCCAAGCCTGTGTGGCGGTCACCGTGCATGCTTCTAGAAAACTAGACTTCCGGCGGGTGGGCGACGGCCGTGGATTACCGCGCCATTTTCATGCGCGGCCCCCATCACCTGCATTTAGCCCCCTGTCGCTTGACCCTGAGGCTGTCGCTGCTGGTAATTCCGTTTTCTTGCCTGGGTGGCATGTTTGAGGAGAATCCGAGAATTCATTCATGGATCTTGTGTCTAGCCCATTTCCCAGGCATGACGTGAGCGCAAGCATCTAGACTCACTGTCGGATCCGACACAGCCTGACTCGATCAAGTTACCAGCTTTACGGGCTGTGGCGTAATAATGCCCCTTATTCGCATATTAACGTGGAACTACACAACCACATCATCTGCCGTGTTTAACATGCCATTTCCGTGATGTGGAGGGCACCGGTCACGACTAGCGTTGCCGATCACTGCGAGTAAGACACTTCGATGCATCGCTGCGCTGCGAAGCACGGGCGATTAGCTTGTTTCATGTTTTAAACAGACCCGAGTACGACTGCTAATTACAGCAACAACACCCGCCTGTCAAAGGACGAAAGTGCGGGTACTACGCACCGGTTATACGGCTTCCACAGAGTGAACATGTCACCTTATCGCCTCTTAAAGTTGTCTAGGTACGCGATATCGGATATGGAAGCCACTGTTTTTCGGAGAGTCGGCTATCTATTCCTGTTTAGGCGTGCTTAAATCGGTAGTAATGGCTTCCCTGCGACCATCAACATTATCAACGACTTCTTTCACTAGACTCTCCATGTATTCAACATCCCTAATGCGGTTAGTAACTAACTGCCGAGTGTGGCTGAAGGCATTCGAGAACGTACCGTCCGGTCAAAGTGACGGAGTTTCTAGCCTCCCCCCAATGTGGGTAGCTGCCAACCTTGATGCCCTTTGGCTCGACCTTTGCCGCCAGCTGTGTCAAGTATGCGGCGACGGTGCTCTCAGGGAGCGGTGTGGAGATAACAATGCGCGAAATGGCTTTGCCGTCAGGGTCCATAAGGCGCGGCTTAATATGAGGCGTAAGCCCTTCAAGCAACGCTTGGACTGATATCGTTTAGCAAATATTGATCATGGCAGTATCCTTAATTCGACTTACATAGGCGAGGGATGCCAGGGAGGATGTGGACGTTGCCGTTCACCACTGCGATAGGCACCCACATCTCTTCGTTGGCAAAGATAAACTGGCTTTCCAGAGGTCTACTTTCGTCCATTGGTAGTGTCACCATGCGCAACTTTGCTTGCAGAGCAGGTGAATCCTCCTCCCAGCTAAAGTTGGGCTGTTGTGGGTGTGGCTTGCTCAGACGCTTCATGCGCTCAAAGGCAACTTCGTATCGCTTGAGCGGAAGATCAAAAGCCTTGGCGATCGAGTCGTATGTGATGTCGTCATGGCTGCTATCTGTTAGCGTGCGACATCAGTGGAATAGCCTAGGAGACTTGCGTTGGTCCAATGCCTCCGCTCGTGACGACAAAGTCGTAGTTGGCACTCATTTTGCGGACGGCTTCCATGATGTCACCCTGATCGTCTTCGACAACTTCGACTCGTTTCAATCTCTGTATGCTGTTAGTGTTTCGTTGCTATACGTCAGCTGAAACGGAAACACACGTACAATACCCATAGAAAAACACCATTTTGCCATAAACGCCGAATTGGTCTGTCTCGTGAGCAGCTTTTTCAATCTAGCCGACAGGGGCTACTTACATCGACCGTCTAAAGGCAATTAGCGACAAAACTCATTTACCAGAATCCATAAAATATTCACCTTTCCATTTAATACTTCATCTCCAATGATCAGGCAAGCTGCGGTTTGGATCTTGCGACTCGCGTTGGCTGCGGCCGCCATGGTAGCGATTCTTGGGCCGACGCGTGCGCCGGAGCTAGCGGATAAGGATGTGGAGGGAGCAAGGTGTCGGGATAGTTGTGAGATACGGGCAAACATCACCTATTGCGAGCGGTTGCGTTGTTGTGAGGTTGCGCCGTTAGTGAGAGGTTTTGTGGGAGGGACAAGCTGCTCGGCTTGACGTCAGCGATAGCGATGGGAGCTGTAGCGGAGCGCTTTCGGGGATCGGGGTCTACTGGTCCGGGTGGGCGGAGCGACAATAAGCTCGATCAAAACAGAAGACAGCGAAATCGACGGCAGAGCTTTCAATTAACGATGACTGAGGTAAAATAGGTCGAAGCACACTCTTCGTTTTGGTTTGAAGTCGCAGTGATGCCGTTGGTCCAAATTGTCACATGTTTATTGCTCGGGCAATACCCCGGACTAGGAGGATCTTAGCTGCAGCATCCTTGGCGATAGATGCGGGGAGAAACTCATGCTAAGCTATTTTATTATACTTAGACGCTGAACTGCTTCTGATTGAAAAATGTTGGAGAGCTAAGTACCTCATGGTGCAAGCATTCGAGCGGCTGGATCAGACGGCAGAGCGCTCCTCCATAGTCGCACCAACCGGCGGCCACAACTGGTCGCTGATCCGTTTCTGGGCTGCTTACGAAAGATGATCACATCAAATATTATGGATAATAATTAACACTGGAATAGTCGGGAGCCTTGCGATAGCCGAGACAGTGTAGTGCAGGTGAGCTGGAAGTACGCCGGCTATTCACCCGCCACCTGGGAGATGATCATCACCAAAACCGTCTCGCTGCACGAGCCATGAAGCCAGTCAGTTCGCGGTTTGTTAGTCACAGCTTTGGAGACAAGTTGCGCTAATTTAGTCAGCCCTTTGTTTCCTCACATGCATGATGCAGAGGAGCTGCACTCCTCACCGCAATGGCCAACCACCGTCGCTACTACATGCACGGCCACGCGTAAGCATGCGCATGGTAATTCTATGCTAATTGGCTTTGTCACTGCCGGATGCTGGTAAACTCAAAAAAGCGTGTTTAAAGTGCCGAAGGATATCAATCGTTTTACAGATGGCGATTCAGGCACCGCCTTATCTAATGGCGGCGTAAGAACAACGTAAGACATTGTGCGTTAAAGTTTGAGCTAGAGACGGCCGATGATACCGCGCGCAGGAGGCGATCAACCACTTCTCCCGCGTGGCATCTCGCAGTATCACAGGAAATTCGGGCACCCGCAATGTCTCATGGCTCTTTTGGCGAACTCCCTCGGGCAATGGTTCGCGTCTGCAAAGCGACCTTTTCTCGTGGCATTTCATTTCCGAAAGAGTTGTTTAGTGCGGGTACAGCACACATACCCAAAAAGGTGCTTGGAGCTTGGGCTCGCACAGATACACGCGACACTAAAACAATTCTGTATTACATACTGAGCTAAGGAAAACAAGGTGCTGGTTAACTCCGCAATGGCGAAGTGCCAAGCCGGCACGGCGCCCGTCCACATCGGACTTCCTAAACGGAAGCTGGATTCAGTTCACGCTCGCCGAGATACGAAGGGTGATCCTGGGTAACTGTTATCAAATGGCTTCCACAACAGGGTCGAAAGGGCCTAACTTCCCTGTCCGGCAATCGAGCTAGCAGACCAGGCTCCGAGGTGGACCTAGATTCCCGTGTTTTATTGGCTACACCGTGCCTTTTCCCCGCGCCCTTTTGTTTTGCATGGGTGCTAGAGAGACCTTTTGCAAGTGCTAGCTTGATTGCCTTCCCTTTTGGGCTTTGGTTCGACGGCGTGTGGTTGCATTGCCTCTGGCCTTTGGCAGAGGCTGCATGATTTGTGGCGACGGCCACCACAGCGCCGGCCATGGTAATCCGTGGCGTGTGCCGCTTTCCAAGCGAGAGAGATGTACGCTAACCACGTTGGAAGCCGGTTGGGGTAAAGCAAAGGTTCTACGACCGAGTTACAACCAGGATTAATGGATCAGCGGTATAGGCCATGCGCGGGGAACTGGAGCTTCCGGGGAGCTATATAAGCTAGGGGATCATCCCTCCTGCTTTTTGGAGTTTTCCATGTAGATCAGACTCGGATCGTCACAATTCGTCACCTGTCAATCATGAAGAGTGCCCTTGTTATTGCTAGCATTGCCGCTTCGGCGCTGGCCCTCCCCTCAGACACCCATGTCCTTCACCAGAAGCGCGATGGTGTCCACGCTGTTGCGTTTACCAAGCGCGAGGCTGTTGCTGCCCATGAGACCATTCCCTTTGAGATTGCCTTGAAGCAGAGAAACATCCAGCTCGCTGAGGACACCCTCTATGACATGTGAGTCGCTGAATTGCCCTACAAGTCGAGAGAATGCTGGCTGACTGTTGTACTCGCTCAGCTCCAACCCCAAGTCCCGCAACTATGGCAAGCACTTGTCCAAGGCCGAGGTTGTCAAGATGTTTGCTGCTGACGATGCCCATATTGACTCTGTCAAGAGATGGCTCGTCGCTTCTGGCGTCGACGAGAAGGCCATCGAGGTCAACCCTACCAAGACCTGGATCCGTGTCGATGCCCCTGCCCACATTCTCGAGAGAGCGCTCAAGACAAAGTACCACGTCTACCGCAGCGTCCGCACCGGCAAGGACCACGTTGGTGCTGACCACTACAGCCTGCCCAACGACATTGCCGACAAGATTGACTTTGTCCGCCCTGGTGTCTCCATGATCAAGGCCCGCGCTGCCGACCCTCCCAAGAACAAGCCCAACGCCATTAAGGAGCAGTTTGTCCAGCTCAACAGTGTGCAGCTCCAGGAGATCCAGGATTCCATGAAGACTGGTGCCGCCAACGGCGCTGTTGGTAAGTTTTAGCTTCTCTTCATCCTTTTACTCTTCCTTTACTAACATGGCCAGCCCCTGCTTGTGCCAAGTACATTACCCCCGACTGCATTGCTGCTCTCTACAAGATCCCCAAGGCCACAGAGTCTAACAGCACCAACTCCATGGGTATCTACGAGTCCCTTGGCGATGTTTACTCCCAGGAGGATCTCAACAACTTCTTCAAGAACTTTGCTCCTTGGATTCCCCAGGGCACTGGTCCCAACTTGGACCTGATTAACGGTGCCACCGCCCCCAACCCTCCCGAGTCTGCTGGCGGCGAGTCCAACCTCGACTTTGACATGGCCTACCCCATCATCTACCCCCAGACCACCACTCTGTTCCAGGTTGCCACGGATGCCTACTACAACATCTTTGGTGACTGGCTCAGCGCCATTGACCCCGACTACTGCTCCCAAGATCCTCTTTACAACAAGCACAAGATGTGCGGTACTTTTGAGCCCACCAACGTTGTGTCCATCTCCTACGGTGGCCCGGAGGACCCTACCCACCCCAAGGATGCTCACGTAAGTCTACGTTTCGTTTTTTAGTCTACCACTTGTACTAAAATATAACAATAGCGCGAATGCAACGAGTTCATGAAGCTTGGTCTCATGGGCATCAGCATCGTCGTCGCCAGTGGTGACGCCGGTGTCACTGACCGTGCCGGCTACTGCCAGGGTCCTTACCACAACATCTTTGTTGCCGATGATCTCTGTAGCTGCCCTTACATCACTGCCGTTGGTTCCACTGTCCTGCACGACATCACCAAGGCCGAGGTTGCCACCGACACCTTCTCGTCTGGCGGCGGCTTCTCCAACATCTTCACCCGTCCCGCCTACCAGGATGCCGTTGTCTCCAACTACCTTCTCCGTCACAACCCCGGCTACTTTGCCTACAACACCTCTGAGGGCAACATTCCCCCCAACTCTGGCATCTACAACCGTGGTGGCCGTGGCTTCCCTGATGTCGCTGCTCTCGGTGACAACGGTGTCGTCGCTTCCAACGGCGGTTACTACCTTTCTGGCGGAACCTCCATGTCTGCTCCCATTGTCGCTGCCATTCTGAACCGTGTCAACGAGAAGCGCCTCAGCCTCGGCAAGGGCCCTATTGGCTTCGCCAACCCTGCGCTCTACGACATGTACAACTACAAGGGCACCTACAACGACGTCACTGTCGGTGACCAGCGTCTTGGTGGCTACGGCAGCGACCGCTACCCCAGCGCCTGCGGTAACAATGGCTTCTCTTGCGTTCCTGGCTGGGACCCCGTCACTGGCCTTGGCACTCCCGTCTACACCCAGTGGGAGGCCTACTTTGTCCAGCTGTAAATACGTGGGGGAGTAAATATGAGAAACGAACATACTACCAAACCAGATGTGTTTATGCAAACTTTAATCTTTACATACATAAATATATAGCAGAGTTTATCGAATATAGTACGATTTGATTAATCAACAAAAATATCCAACTTTTCTTTTTTGTGATAGTTTGTAGGTACATGACCTGATTTGCGCATCGGCCCACCATGACGAAAAGGCTGAGCTGCCGCAACACCCGATGAATATGCACGTCTTGCATCTACATCTATTTTCCCCGATTCGGATAAATAATTGCTAACTTACCACCGTTTCGGATTCCTCGGGATGCCTCTTTCGCTGCACCGCCGCGTCATTGCCACTATGGGCAGTGTGTGTATAAGCCACCACTAGCGCCGAGGCTAACAAACGTCGACGCCCGCAATCGAAAACTCTATCTATCATAGTGAGCAGGTAAAAGCGTGGCGCAGCCCTGCTAGTGCCGAGTCAATGGCAGAGTGGACAGAGTTTCGCCAAGACGACCGTTGACGCCGATTCGTGCAAGGCCCATTTCCCAAGGCTGTGCAGGCCTGCGAATGGACTGACGCATGTTTGCTTAGCACCAAGAGGATTATGGCGCGATGTTTGTGAAGGGACGCGCAGCCACTCTTGGCGTGGAGAGATCGCGGGGAGTTGTTTGTCTATATAAGGGCGATGGGTTCTGCCACTTGGATGAAGTCGGATTGTTTTAGAACATCTACTTGTTTGCTACTCATATCTGTCTACCTCTACTGCAAACGCAATATCTTTTCCTACTATTATTGCTTTCTACTTCTACTACAATCACACAAATAATGGCCTCTGACAACAACGTCCGCGTTACCTTCAAGGGCTCCGAGAGCCGCTCATCGTCCCCCCAAGAGCCTGGCTCTCCCAAGAAGTATGCTTCCGCGTCACTCCCCAAAATTGTTTCAAAAATACTAACAGTGCTCTAGGAAGTTCCAGATTGATGCTGCCCGCCACACGCCGTCGGAAGCCGCGCAGTTTCTTGGTCCCCCTACCGTCGAGCACGGATATCCCCAGGACAGCAAGCATCGCCGCCACTCGATGACTGAGCAGGAACGCCATATGCTCCGATAATACTCAGGAGATTGTTGTTGCTTTTTTACTTTTTCATCTTTATACTTTGTACTATTATGATGTCTAGCGCGCAACGAAATATAGAGTTCAATTGAAACGACTGTCCATTCTTATACCTTACTGCATCTGTGCTTCTTTGCAGCCTTGTTATTGCCAACTGTAAACGGAAACTCTCATAGCGTGCGATGGAATAAAGGCTTAAATGGGGGCCGGGTCAGCCATGCGAAGGCAGAGGGTATCGCTCGTCTCTCGCGTCGCATAGCACGCAACTTTGCCAAAGGCCTGCATTTGTCCAATCTTTGCGTCAAACAGATCATAAATCTGATTGCTCTTAGTGGTTGCCTTTAAACCATACATGTAGATCATGGCGGGGACCGCAGGGATGGGCCAACGCGATCCTTGAGGATGCGGATCTTCAGCAACCCACGCGGCGCTGCGGAAGCACATTTTGCCCAGCTCAACGTTCAGGGTTCGCTTAAAGCCCCTGGTCTTGTTTTCAAAGTATCTTTTTCATGAAAACTTAGTTCTGTGTCCGAGTCAGCTAAGCAACAGGACTTACACGGCGCCGTTCTTTGAATCCCAAGCGGTTGTCTTTACGTAGACTTCGTCACCGATCTCGACTACATAATTAACTAAATAGAGTCAATAAATCTTGAGGCTAACCACAGAAGAACCACTGTGGTTACAAATCACGTACCTGCAAAGTCTTCGAGAACGTTTCGAGAACCTTGGGCAAACCGCCACCAAAAGTGAGCTATGCCTGGTGAGCTCTCGAACTGGAGTTAGGATGAATTTGTTAATTTCATTCTGTGAAACAATAAAAGCTTTTTATCCTCGGTCAAACTTACCTCCACAGATGTACCAGCATAAAAACCACCACTGGTTTCACAGATACTGTTCCAGTCAATTCCAACCCAAGTGTCCAAAGCGAAGCTGTCCTCCCAGGGCGTATTCTCTGCAACTGCGATGATTGGGACTTTCCAGTGACCTTCAACCGCTCTAATTCCATAAGAGCGAAATTGTTGCTCCTTGGTCGCGCCACACGCGTTTGGCCAGCTCATCTTGGCGCTGACAATTGCTGCTAGAGCGGCGGCAGTGAGAACGGTTCCTGGAGCATGCATGTTTTGCTGTTGTTGTTGCAACGTTTCAAAAGAATATCGGATAACGCCGAATATACCAGAAAATAGGTTGCAAGGAAATAAGCAAGACTACAGTGACGTGAACCAGACCCTTTTATACTTGAAATACACACTCATCTACATGTACACCACAGCGTCGTGGAACATTGAGAACCAGCGGCTAAATATGCTATCACTAACCTCATGGATGCCTGAAAATGACAAAGTATCCTTTGTATTGGCCTTCCACTACTTGACATATTCGGAAACAGTTCCGTCAAGCCCGCAAGGCTGTTCATGTAGTAGACATCGTACGGTCTAGCACGATCTTCGAGTCAGGTGGCTGCTTGACCTGCCTGTTACATTTTAGCGCGGCAATTTCCAGGATACTCAAGTACGGGCAATTGCGTAGCGCAGCTTATCAATCAGTTCTGTGGGTGCATTCAAATACTATCTGTATTCAACAGCCGCTCAGAGGACCGTGGGCGCCGGAAGGAACCGGAAGTTAGCCGGCGGGTTGATGATGTTGCTAAACTTGGGTTGGTTTAGCGAAGGCCGCACGCTGTTGATCGCGGCAATTGAAGTAGGTGACGCTGCTGCACTGGCGACGGCGATGAAGACATTAGATTATTTTGATCCCGAGTCGGCAGAGTGTGCACAAAAGCAGTTGTGCAAAATACAGTGCCTTTGTGCAAATTCAATGTTTTTGTGTAAAGGAAGAAAGCTCGCGCAACAGTTTGTCCACGCATAGAGTTACCACGCAGAGTTCTTGTCTCTTTCACACAACCGAGAAACTATATGTGCTTGGTCGATGCTAGTAGCTTGTTGAAGACTTGGCCCTACTGATGCACCGTCGTTAAGTACGAGTTTTACAATCTCGAACTGGTCAATTTTCTCATATCTACTTATATTTAAACTAACTCTATCTTTTTAGCAGTAGTTACTATAATAGTAGTATCTATAGATAATCGTACAGTAAGATACTTGGCTCTTTTGTTGATAGGGCAAATAATAAACACAAATATCTCCATTATATACCTTAACATATCTTCATATGACATGGTAAAGGTGTGTATCGCACCCATACTAAATCCAAATAGTGCTGCTAGCATTTCTGGGCTGTTTTCAAGAAGCTTCTCAGCTATTATTTTCTTTAGCTTTCTGTAAGAAATCTCTTTACGTTCTTGTGATTGATTGGCGTTGAGGTGTTGAACTATAGCGAAAATTAAACGGAGAATTTCGTCTCGGAAATTATTCGAAGGTTGAGCATCCCATTCCGGTGTGGTTCGGTTTAATACAATGTAGCAAACTGCGTGGAGAACTCTGATAGATAGTATTCTCTCATCCGCTCTCATAAGACCATAGACAAGTGAATGTGGTGCAGCCACATGCTTTGATAGCACTTCAGACCTTGTTAATGTTTGTATTAATGCTGAGCCAAAACCGCCAGCCATAGATGCGAATACATCGAGCTGGCGCAAAAGCCGTAGACGGTTGGTGATCCATTGCTCCGGGCCAAAGTTACCATCTTCAAGCTCTTGGTAGGCTTTGTATGGCCGAAGAAGATGAGAGGATAATATGCTTAAAGTGTCTCGAGGTAGTAGCCATAGCATATTAATAAGCTCTGAGTTAAGCTGTCGTTGAGCCTTGTCGGTGGCCAGTGGTTGGAGTAGAAGTTCACTCCAGTCATCTTGCATCTCCACAGCTTGGCTTTGAGCGTCTTTTAAGCGCGTTGTATGGATGGTAAGAAGTAGCGTAATGAAGCGGATTAAATCGAAACCCATAGACCCATTCAGGAGAAAGGCTGCGACCACGCTATTTGGCTGCTGTATATCATCATGTCTTGCAATTAGCTGATCGCCAAAGCTTAAAAGATATGTTGTCGTGGGCTCGCTAAAGCGCTTCTTGCTTTTACTCCACGAGTTGTCGGTGGCGTTGGGGACAGGGAAAAGTGTGCCAAGAGCCTGTTTCACCAAAAGCTGATTGACAAAACTCTGGCAATTTCGAAAAATAGTGTTGAACAATAATGAATCGTCCATTAGACTCTGTGAGAGTTGCAAGAGAGTGGCACTTATTCTTCTTCCAAGCAAACCTTTTATTGCCGCACAGATTGCTCTCGATGCGTCCAAAAGGACTTCCCGTTGCGTCTTTAGTTTCTTCGACCCAGTAAGGTTGCATCTTTTAGCTTGCTTTAAAAAGATCTTGATCACCTCTTCCTCTTCCAGGCTAGTCTCAAGGTAACCAGAGAATACGCCTCCATAGACTTGCTTCACCGCGCCAAGGGTATGCTTTTTCTCTACGTCTAGCATATAACGCTCCAAAGCTCGTTCTTTCAGGCCCGTATTCTCCTGGTAGAGAATAACAGATTCTTGGAGGACTGGTGGTTCACCGTAGTCCCACCCGTCAATGAGGGAAGATGCAGACTGCTTATCCCATAAAAGCGCAGGTAGAGGCCGTGGTGATATAAGACAACCCCCTTTGGTGCTAGTGAAAATAATTAGATTGTAATCTTTCTAGGAGAGGGGACACTTACTTCTCAACACCGCTCTCGATAATTAGTGGGCCAAACATAAAAGATAGGTGTACAAAGCCAGTAGGTGCGACTGCGTTCAAAATAGCTCTTTTCTGACGAACCGCCTCATTGTAGAGACTTCGTATGAAAAACCCCCCAGTTGTAGCTAGAGTGGTTAGTAAAAGTGACTTTCCTGTTTCAACAAAAGCAGAGGTATAATGCTGTAAACGCTCTGTTGAATGCTTAGATTTCGAGAATCCAAACTTCATGATCCACTTCTGGAAGGTCTCAATTTTATCTTGAACATGGTTAGATTATAAATTCGTTTATTAAAGTTAATGTCGAATTGTGTACATACCATCCATAACAGTATTATTTTGTAAGAGCGCCATGTGATCCCAACTGCAATTTGACTCGGTAGTATCTGACTGTTTACAAGAAAGACAGAGACGTCGAGGTCTATCTGGGATGCCAAGATCATTAGCGTCATTCGGCTCTTTAAGTTTTTTTATTTTTCCATTTATAAGTATATGGAATGGAAACGGTCTCTCAGTCCTAGAAACCGTCAAGTTAGCAGAATTTAACGAAAAATATAAATCTTTCATGACGTACACACAATGCCTACTACATTGTAGGTATAAAGGAGTTTTGATGAAGTCTCGACAATGATCACATATTAAAGAAAGACAGACTCTTAGCAGTCCCTCAGTTTCTATACGCCGTCGGTGATAGTCTCCCTGTTCTAGCTCGAGAATCTCAACTACATAACATTAGCTACAACCTCTAACTGAAATAGATGAAAAACGCTCAACATGTTTCGAAGAGCTGTACTTGCCATTAGGTAGCATTTCGAGGCTTAGCTTCTTGGGTTCTAAGAAAGCCATACATTTCGACAAGTTATTTTTCGACGGCTGGACCAGGGTGTCGATATCTAAGAAGCCTATTGTAAGTTAGCAGCTGATATTGTTCGTTGTCACATTTGAAGCTTTATTACCAGATGATTGCAACAAATAACGAACACACCGGTGTTCTGAAGATGGTGTACGATCGTGAGCTGTAAAACATAAGTCGCGGGCATAGTTGTCTGAGATGGGAGCAAACGTACCTCTAGCTTTCGCTATTGCATCGTCTAGAAGGTCAGCGGCGTTAGTTTCTCGTTTAAAGAAAGCGCGCTGATCGTTTGCTACTATAGTGTTCAACATGAGATAATAAATTATAGTGTGGATTTGCCGAGCGTTATTTACTTACTCCATATGTTGATCAAATTTTGGAAAATATGGCTATCAAACGAAGTGCTGCTTGCCCCCCAATTGAAGGAGGAATCATTGTCGGTGTCAGCCTTCCAAATCTCATTAAACATAAGGATCATATTACTGATCTCTCGCGTGGCACTTCGCCAATAGAGCTCTTGGAGCCTTTCATATAGAACGTTAGTGGCGATGTCCAAGTCTTTCGGCAGAAATGTCTTGTCTAGGTTTGTTACGTCTGCCATTGGGTTAATTATGACTGCGACTTATATATCGCTGTGTGAAGAAAGCTTGCTCTAGTACTACCGGCACGATAGGCGAGTGCGTCTATATCGGATTAGACGGAATTGAGCGATATACGCGCTAGTTTGGTCAACTAATAAACTTGTTGCCTGAGAGCGGGGTTGAGAAAACAAAAATATGGCTAATCTTCGGCTTCTTACGAGCGTAGAGTTATAAGTTGACTGCGTTACACACGACTGCAGCGCCTTGTGGTGAAGCCAGCCTTCACAACGAATAAACGAATTCCGATTTTTGATAATGACTCCCAAGAACAACGCGTTTCCGCACGAGCTCAATAATAACAACAAGCACAAGTTTATCAAGCGTATTATTTCTAGCCCGGCCGCTATTCGTTCCATTCTCGGTTTCAGCATCCAGTCGAGCGCTATAGCTGGTTCGGCATCTACCTCCCTTGCCACTAGCAACAATAGCACTGCCACCTCACAGGCGGTAGTCGAGCTTTTAGAATATGTAGATCAAATCCTTTTTGGACAGGATCTTCGATTTGGCCTGTAGATCTACCTTTGTTAAAACCAATATTTTAGAAGATTATCTAACACTTGTGCAGTTGAACTTAGTCTACAGAAATATCTGGGCAGGATTGATGCTCTCCCACAAAGTCGACTATGCGCGGCAGACAAAAACTTAGCAAAGTTCGAAGCGTATGCAATACTTAATCGAGCTAAATCCGCCAATTACAGCGACGTCTGACAGACTATAGAGACCTAGAAGTCTGGGATTTAATAGCAGTTGCTGTAAAGCACTCAGCTGCAGTATACAAGGATATCCATGCGCAACAAGACTACCAAGGCTACTGGATTAAACCAACCACAGTTATCAACCACATCAAGGCTACTAGTATTGAAGTCGTGGATATTTACGGCTATTCTGTAGTTGTTGTCGCTATTCGTGGCTCGGCTAGCCTTGATGATTGGTTTCTAAACCTTAACGGCGACCCTATCGCTGCAGGTATCGAAGATGTATGTTGACACGTCTTTATACTCTGAAGTGTTACACTCTCTTTGTAGTGTACATCCGCCATTCGGCTAGTAACACTCGCGACTTCACCAACTCTACTAATCACCCTCGTCTACAGGTATTCGATGACACTCATCGATGGCATCGCGGGTTTTTGGATTCGTTCCGTGCCAGCGAGGGCGGCATAGCAGACGGTATTCAGAAAGTGACGACTAAATATCCGCATGCATGTCGCATATTATTTACAGGTCACTCAGCCGGCGGTGCCATCGCCCAATTATGTTACAATTCATGTAGCATAGAGAGTTCCACCATTGCCAAGGCCATCAAAGGTTAGACTATCTCCCCTCCCTTTCTATATATAAAGAATTGCTCCTATTTACACACACGCAGCATTCAATCAGATCAACTGTGTCACTTTTGGTGCTCCACCGATTAGCACAATACCTATCACGCCACACACAGGGTCGGGTGTCTTTCTATCCGTTATCAACGAAGGAGATCCCGTCGTCTTGGCACAGAAGGAATTTATCAAAGCGATACTCTCGGTTTATTTTCTCTCCAAGGAGGATTGGGATGCCAAGTGTAGCCTAGGCTTTGCTATCCCACCAGCAGAGTGCCATATCAGTGGCACATGTATAGTGCTGAGAGATAGTAACGAAGATGGCGAAGAAGAGGTGTTAGAGGCTGTTGAAGTACCAGCCTCCCTAGTTGAGCGCACATTTTTTTCTAACTTTCTTGTTCATGTAATGTCGCTTTACTGCAGACGCATAGATAGCCTAGTATTAGCTGCAAAGAGTAATTAAGATGGGACGCCAAGTGCCAAACACTGCTCTCTCACCACTTTCTTCCAGATTGGCGACCAACACATGAATTACGATTACGACAGCGTCAAACACCGCAATAGTTCGATTCATGCCCTTGATCATTAATCAAAACCCTCGATCCACGTGATGCCATCTCCTTCAATATCCTGCGTCGCCCACAACCCGCCGGTTCCCGCCTAAAAAAAATGTCTCCGTCCAGCAGGCATCTTGATCGCTTGCACGAATCAGGACACCACGACGCTCGGTCCCGAACACAAGCAGCACGATGATCCAGCCCGAGCCGAGAACGTGACGATCGCATCCATCCACTTCCCTGGCAATAATCCCATATCCCAGCCAGCAAGCTCTGTGCAAAATTAGGCTTCTGCCTTCTGGAACCCGCCCGGGGTGCTTACTGTGGACTGCAGTGGGGGCCAGGCTAGCGAATATCCCGGTGCCAGAATAGGGAGTTGTAAAAGAGAAATTCTAGGCATCAACCAAAGACGGCGATTTTTTGACTCGCGAGAGGCACGGGTAGACATCATGGCCCGGTAGTCGGCAGGAAATCGCCAAGTCTCATTGGCGGAGGAGCCAGAAACCCTGACGCACGGCTGGGGAGATCGTGCTTGAGCCTCGTCTTTTGGGTGGTTCTCTTGCTGCAGCAGCTGCAGCCCTGTCAGGGAAAACCCCCCGACTGGCTCTCAAGTGGAGATGTCGCTTGTACGAGAACATGGATGGGCAGTGTTTCTGGCGGATGTAGATGTTGGATGTTCGGTCCCGAGCAAGAAAGGGAGTGGTCTCGATTGAGATGGAATAGCGGTCATCATGATGTCAAAGAGCTAAAAGAAGATGCCTCCAAGCCGATGGATTTGTCTATAAATACAGACTGGATTCCTCTCGACAAACGATTCTTTTCTTCTCATCAGCATCCAATCATCACAACCACAATCACAACAACTTCTTCTTCCAACTCCACCATCTATTCATCATGAAGTAAGCCATCTTCGTCTTCCTCCTTCACCCTCCTAATACACCCAACTAACCAATTCGCCTCCAGGGTCTCTGCTATCGTCGCTATCCAGGCTGCCCTCCTCGGCGTCTCTTCTGCTGCTGCCGTCGAGATCCGCGGCAAGACCTGCACTGCTACTTGGACCGGCTCCAACTCTGAGGGCGGCGGTGGCCCTGGCCAGGCCCCTATCAACAACAACGCCTGGGGCATCGACGTCACCGGCATCAAGAAGGTTCATCAGACCCTCAAGCAGACCGGCAAGAACGGTGTCATTGACCAGCACATTGGCGATGGCTACAACATCGACACCCACGCTCAGTGGAACTACGGCGGCAACTCCTGGTACCGCTGCTCCCTCAAGAAGGACGGCAAGGAGCACCAGGGCAAGGTTGCTAAGCAGCACATCTCTACTGGCACTGTCTCTGTCACTACTGACAAGTGCACTGTCACTTTCCCTTGCTAAATGCGAGGACATATACTCTGTACATAGATCTTTTTGTAGATTATAATGCAAATTTTCATTTGTTTCTCCAGAACAATCACTACTTTAGTTTGAAACTGAATATGCTAGCGTCGTCTAGGAAAGAGCTTCATCAACGTCATTTCTCAGACACTGTCTGCCAGACACCAACACATGCTTTTTCTAACATGCACACATGCAATTCCCGACGTATAGCCCCTGCCTCTTATTAAACGGGAATACCACACCAAGTTACTAATCTGCCAGCGATTGTCCTGTTTCTCTTTTCGATCGCTTGGCATTCTACGGCCCTCTCTTCAGTACTTGATCGACGCCTCTGCCGTCTACCTGACTCAGGGAGGGCGGTACCACCACACGACACAGCAACAACCGGTTTATTTGCGAGAAAAATTAACTCAATCTGTGAGTGACTAGCAAGGGACGAATATTAAGCAAATGGATAGGATGTACTCAATGCATATTTAAACCAACATCAATCTGCTAACGAGTCGCTCCATCGCGATACCATCGGCCCGAGATGGTCTTCCCCAGTCAGTGACATCTCGCGTGACAGCTCCCCAGGCTACACAAGAATCCATTCCCTTACTCTCCTATTTCGCGGTTGGCATGATGAGCGGACAAAAGCACTATTGTAGGCAATACAGCACATGTGGGTAAGATGAAAATGGCCCTATAGTCTGGCGTCCGGGCTACTTCCCAATGGCTCCGGCCCTGAGGAATGCAGAATGTGGCCAACCCCTTGTGCAGCATGCGCGCATGGCTTCATAGGAGATTGCGACATACTTAACCCTTCCAGGACGAGAACATTGTCGCTTGATTGGCTACAAGCCGCTCGGAGCGGTAGCGCCCCGACGCAGAGACATGGTCTTACATTGAGCCGCCTTCCATGCCTTGGCTACCTACCAGCCAACAGAACACGAATGACGCCTATGATTTCATCCCAGGTGTACAAAATTAACCCAACATCCTCTCTTCTGCCTGTACCAATAGCCAAACGGAAAGAATTGCTCCTCAGCAGCAGCATCCATAACGCCAACATGCGGATCCAAACCGCCGCCGCGCTCGTCGCGATATCGTCATTGGCGTCTACGCCATTCGCCATGAACACCAGTAACCCAGACAACAACTACTCATGCCGCTCCGACAAGCACCCTAATCCCGTCGTGATGCTGCACGGCCTAATGAGCAGCGCGCTCGTCGGACTCAACAAGCTCGAAAAATGGCTGCAAGACCAGGACTTTTGCACGTTTTCACTTACATACGGCATCTCATCGCTGGACCCTACTATTGGCGGTATAACGCCTGTTGCTGAATCAGCCGTCGAGATTGAAGACTTCATCAAAGACGTCAAAAGGCGCACTGGTGCCTCCAAGATCGACCTTATCGGACACTCTGAAGGCGGATTCCAGGCACTCTATGTTGCCAAGTTTGGCAAAATAGCGCAGGATCTCGACAAGATTGTCGCCATTGCACCACCCACACATGGAGTCCATCCGGTATCCATTAGCGAATACGTTGACGGGCTCAAGGCGCTGAACGAGCTGCTCGCAGGGCTGTCGTATACTGCTGCAGGCTGTGGTGCTTGCTTTGATCTGACCGAGGGCGGAGGCGGCGTTACGCGCCTGACTGATGGGAAGATTGTGCAACCGGGCAACAAGGTGACGATTATTGCATCCAGGACGGACGAGGTGCTTTTCCCGCCAGAGACGGCGTTTGTGCACGAGTCTGGCGTGACGAATATCTGGGTGCAGGATGTTTGCCCCAAGGATACGACACAGCATGTCCCCGAGGGCTACGATATGAATATTTGGAACATAGCGCTCAATGCGCTCGAAGGGAAGCCTAAGCGACGATTCCGCTGTGTGGCCTCTCCGCCGGCGTACCTTGGTGTTCCTGTCCATTCTTAGACCTGGACGCTTTCAAGACGATAGTATAGTTATTTGCATGTATATAAGTGGCTATAATCCAACATAATACACGGCATTTGGGTTCTTCACTGCACCAATACACAAACATACCTTTCCAGTTCTCTCGTACACCTTCTCTCAATCAATTATGTGAACACGTACTCTTGTCAAAGTGGTGCTTTTCTTATCAACCATTGGCGTTCTTATTCACCAGTATAATACACGGTATTTCCTCCTATTGTACACAGAAAAATGCTCTAATAAAACCCAGTAAAATAACGCCGTCTGTATGCATAGATGCTGCTCATTTCTCTTCAGTTCTTCACAACCCGATCCTTGCTCGGCATGCCTCCCACTCTCTCCGGCTGCGACGCTTTCTTCGCATCGCGCTCGCTCTCCGGCAACCCCCACCACTCTCGCAGAAACTCCTTTTGCGCATCAGCCACCTTGTTCTTGGCCTCTCGTGCCCGCTGGCGCTCCAGGCGTAGCGCAAACCACTCCTCGCGCGCGGCATCGTACTCGGCCTGCGTCGCGTGCTCCTTCATGCAGCTGTTCATGACGCGGTGGGGGGCTCGGCAGGAAAATGTGACGGCGAGGCCTTTTCCTTTGGCGCATTCGGCAAACGCTGGTCATGGTTAGTTAGTAGGCGAGTTCGCAGTGGTTGTAGGAGCGTGACGGCGCCGCGTCGGGGGGATAACAACGTACCCTTAATCTCTTCAGCGCATGACTTGCGCACTCGGGCGTAGTATATGTCTCGTACTTGCGTCTCTTGCGAAGCGGATAGCGGTAACGGGTTTCTGGAAGGGACCGTCAGGCGCGGCGTCGATGAGTCCGCCATGGTGATTGCTCGAGATTTCAATGGCGGATTTGCCGCTTTTTAGTCGTCGCAATGTTTTATATGCGTAGGATTCGTAGCAATTGACTACGTGACGGTGCAATTGTGTGTCGTTGAAAGACAATTGCCGCGATGAGGTGATTCCCGCTGGAGGTTTTGCAGCTTGGAGGCTGCGTAGTTGTAATTCCCCAAGATTGGGCGGCAGTATTAGCTGACCGCCTGCCTGATTAACGGGCCGTAACCTGCACATCTGCCCCTTTTTGTTCTTTTACGAGCCGTTACGATAAAATACAGTGAGAAATATATTCAATTTAATTTTTGACAATTCACTAAATACAGTATTATTGAAGAGGCAATTAATAGGGGCGTATTTAAAAGAAACGGCACTACACGAAGGAAAGGAGCGTGTAAAAACAAACAGTACTGGTATTAAGTCTTCAATTATACAGCTCGCAGCCTTGGTATCAAATCGACATTCCCAGCCGACAAAAACAAATACTCTATCAATTTAAACAGAAAAAAAGTGAAAAAATCATGATTCACCAGCAAAGCCAGTCAAATTAGGAAGGACGCTCTTCTTTTACTGCTGGTGCTGCTGGGGGTGAGCCTGAGGAGCCTCATACGGGTTCTGCTCGTAGCCGGGCTGGGGAGCGGCATACACGGGCTGAGCAGCAGGTTGAGCAGCAGGAGCGGCGGCAGGCTGAGCCTTGGCCTCCTCCATCTGGTGAGCCTCGCTGGTGGTGGGGTTGTTGTTGAGAGGGAAACGGCCCTCCTTCTTGCCCTTGAGGTAAGCCATGAGGGTGAAGACGAAGGTGCCGATCCAGGTGAGCCACATCAGCGCACCGAGACCAGCAAGCGCAGCGTAGATACCCTTGTAGGCAGCCCAGGTAAGAGTGCGAGTCTGCAGAGATCGGCCAAAGATGCTATAGTAGCGGGAAGCGGCACCAAGGGCGGAAGCGACATCAGCGGCACGGGCCCAAGTGGCGAGCCACATGATGATCATGAAAGCGTCGAGGGCCAAGATGGCAATGATATGGTAGAGCGAGTTGTACTGGGGGACTCGGACGGTGACAATGTTGTAGGCGACAATGATCCAGGTGAAGATGGCCTTCTTCAAGTTAGCTATACAGTCAAAAAAGTCATCGTAGTGCAAAGTAACTTACACAGGCAATGGCGAGCGCGGGAGCATCACCGATACCGTAGCCGGAGCCAGTGGCAGCGGCAAGGCCAAGCAAGATGATGGAGAGGACGACTTGGCCGATGCGGAGGCCAAAGAGCCACATGGGCATCTCGAGGACGTGACTGGAGGTCGACATGGTGAGAGATTTCAGTCGAGTAGAGTGTGACAAAAGGGAGCAGTAAGTTGAGAAACGGTGGTGACAGATATGAAAGACCGAGCTGTAGACGGTGAGTGAACGAGAAGGTGTTTTTGTGCGGATGATGAGATCTACAAGCCCCGAGAAGGCTGAAAGGGGTGCCTTATGTATTCATAGGTGAGTGGATGAATGTATGACCCGAGCTCGCATATCTCCTTTCGGGCGGCCGTCTCGCACCACAACAGCTCGTCTAGGCGTCCGAGGCATGACTCTACTGACTACAGCCTTGGGCCCAGGCTGGATGCGGAAGAAGAAAAAAGAGGATACGCTATCCGCGCCCTGTCAGCCCAAGGGTGAAATGAGCTAGGAGCTCGCAAGTACCAATTCAGCTGTAATTTGCCCTACCATGTACGAGATGTCAAGCAACGCCACGTCCGTTGGCGGGCCCCATCCAAGCTCCAACTCCCATCAGCCGCAGCTGGCTAAAGACTGCAGCTGCCGAGATTGGCGGGCAAGCTATAGCGCAGGCTTGTGCCGCATTTAGCACACCAGCATGAACGTCGCAGGGCGCGGTGACGCATGATGTGCGCCAACGTCTGGGCCATACCGCTTTTACGGCGGACGTATTCTTATTCGATGGGTGGTGAAGCTGTACTGTCCCGCCACTACCAAGAGAGTTCAGCGCCAATGGTGCCACCAAGACGCCGACGTACCACTCGTTTGCCGCAAGTCGGTCCTCGCAAAAAGGAAAAGAAAAAAAATTTCCTTGCTCTCGTCAAGCGCTCTTGTCAGTCGGCGACAAATCCCACGGCGAGCTTAATCCTAATTCCATGCCGCCCAGAAGCCGCTGGCCCTTGCTTCCGATCGGCCCTGGTGATTGGCTCGGGAGTCGTGAATTGTACGAAAGAAGAGGCTACGACTCGCCCAAATGGGCCTAGGGTGCTACCCATGCGCCATGGCGGGTCTCAGCTGAACGCCAAACATGAGGTTTTTGGGCTGTGCGATGCGGCATCCGACTGGGATGTAAGCGAGACCCTTGTCTTTGTTGAAAGCTTGACCAGAGAAAAAAACGTGCGTAGTGCGGAATCAAACTGCTGATCTGCCTTGGGCGCCTGTTCATGCATTTGCCAGCGGAGCATGACCCTGATGAAATAGCCGGAGCTGGTTGTGCTTGTTTCCGCTCCTGTGTTTGGAAAGTGAGGCGAACATGGGCAATGAGACAAGTGGCTTTTTTTTTTGGAGTTGCGGATTTTCCACCTGCTTCTCTTTTTAGCACAACCAGCTGGCAAAATTGTGTGCCACCTGTGACGGGTGTTGCCGGCTGGCAATGGTGTGTACCATCCTTGTTGGTTTGCCAGATTAAACACAGCTGGAGGTTGTTGGAAAAGGAACTCATCTCGTAGAGCAAGTGTGGTGAATCTCCTCGCATACGATAAATTAAACGCCCTCCGGTCTCAGTTGTCTTGAGTATGAAGAACGGAGTCCCCGCAGATATACTGTGTTGACTGCAATGCCTTCAAGTTCTGCGAACGGGCATCATAACGAATCTTCGGCAAATACGTAACAGTTACATGCATCTACCAGGGACAAGGTTCGTGATCGTCGACAAACGTCCTGTAAGTGAACTCGCTTTGATATTAATTTATATATACAGTGTTTCTGTTGAAAACATCCCAACAACACACCTTTCGCCCCTGATGGAAAAACGCCCACAGCCCCGTTTCGCCATATATTAGCACACCCACCCATGCAGAATCAACACACCAATAAGATAATCCATCCAAGCGAAAGAGTCCCGCGTATGGGCTTGTCCACAATAAATGGACCTAGGCGCAGTCAGCCTTGTACACGCCTGGTTTTGTCCAGAGCTTTCATTATGGACTCTTCTGCGCGCGTGCCGGAATGCTCATTCACCACTTCATGCCTCATCATTTCATCATCTCCATATTGCAACAACCTGCACTGCAACCTCAAATCTTCTCGTTGGGGCCAGCAATCAGAATCTTGATGACCTGGCCCTCATGAACCTTCTTGAAGGCATCTTCCGCCTTCTCAAAGGGTACAACATCTGATGCCAGCCTCTTGACATCAACCTTGCCGGTAGCAACCAGATCAACGGCTAGCTCATAGTCTCCTGGGCCATAGCGGAACGATCCGCGAACGGTAACTTCCTTCAAGCACATGGCCATGATGGGGAATGTGATGTCACTCTTGCCCATGCCGCCTTGGACGTAGGTGCCGCCCATGCGAACGAGGTGAATAGCAGCTTGGATAGAGGGCTCAGCACCGCTAGCGTCGATTACAATATCAGCACCGTTGGGAACATTAGCCAACTTCTTGATAGCGGCAGCATTCTCCTCGGGGGCGATGCGCTGGGATACATAGGTGTGCGTGGAGCAAAAGCTGAGAGCAAAGTCAAGCTTCGACTGGACAATGTCAACGCTAACTACCTTGGACGCTCCGTAGGCCTTTGCAACAGCAGCACAGAGTAAACCGACAGGACCAGCGCCCATAACAACGACGGAGTTTCCAGGCTTAACTTCGGCCTGCTTAACAATGTGGACAGCGACTGCCAGCGGTTCAATCAGAGCACCCTCCTGAAGAGAGACGGTCTCGGGCAACTTGTAGCAGAAATCAGCAGGCGAGGCCCAGAATCCAGCCAGAGTACCGTCATGAGGAGGAGTAGCGGCAAAGATCATGTCAGGGCACAAGTTGTACTTTCCGGAGCGACAAGCGTTGCAGCGGCGGCATCCGTAGCCAGGCTCGATAGCCACGCGATCACCAACCTGCAGATGCGAGACCTTGCTGCCGACCTCAACAATAGTACCGGAGGACTCGTGTCCCAGGACCATGGGATCATTGACGACAAAGTGACCAATACAGCCATGGTGCCAGTAGTGCACATCCGAGCCGCAGATGCCGGTGAAGTTTACGGCAACAATGACATCGTGCTCGTCGCTGAGGACAGGTCTAGGGCGCTCCTCAAACTTGACATCGTGAGTCTTGTTGAGAACAAACGACAAGTTCTATACCGGCTTTGTTAGTACGATTTCAAATGTGAAATGAAACTGGAAAGTAAAAAACTAAGAGCTTACGCTGGCCTGCGCGGTCGCAGTAGTGGTGGTGGACATTTCTGACAAGACTGGGCGCTGGCGTGACGATGAAAGCTGAAATAGGCAAATGGAACAAAATGCACAGACTGCGAAGTTACCGATCGATTCGAATGAGAAACTTGAGACGAAAGAAAATTCACAATAAAGGATGCGAACAAGGTTGGGATTTTATCTTACTGCCCGAAAAGCTCTGCCCGCCTTCCCCCCACCAAATTTCTATGGCGTTCGCCCCCCGCGATTTTCTCCCCGCCAATTGGTGCGCTTAAGGAGCCGGTGCAGGTCGGGGAATTCGGCCACCCTCGCCGGCTCAGGCGCGGGTTGCCCTCCGCAGCCGTTTTGTGCCCAACGAGCCTGCGCATCGGAGTAGCCCCATTGGAGCAAGGCTTGCGCAAGCGTACCTGACAAGCGTGATCTAGAAGCACAAAAAGAAGCGGGCTAGTACAGATGAATAGTGTATTTGCTACGATGGAACGCCCCTCTCCCAGCTATGACGCCAATCAACCTCGGCCAAATCGGGGCTCAACCCGAACCGCACCATAATGTTTAAAGAAGCGTCCCCAGTACTGATTCATATCGTTTTTTCCTCCAGTTGTCTTGTCTATGCTCTTTTTGTATTCCAACTCCATGCATCGCACCGGCCAGAGGACTCTACCCGCGCCATCCTCCCATCCAATTGGCCGCTCGCCGTCAAATGAGTCTTCACACTCGGGCGCGGCGCTCATATAACCCGGGTCGACAGTGTTCATCGCAATGCCCTTTTCCTTCCAGAGCATCTCGGCCTCGGTCTCTGTAATCATGTTGAGACCAGCCTTGGACATGTTGGTGTGCACATGCTTGCCGTGTTTGGCCTTGGTTCCGCGATGTTTTTCAAAGATGCCCTCTCGAGAAGACACATTCACGATGTGACCTTGCAGCTTGGCCCCGCCATTATTCTTCATAAGGGGCGTCAGTTCGCGGATAAGGATTAGCGGTGCAAATGTGTTGACACTATGAGCGGAGATGACATCTTCATAGGGAATCTCAGACAGGCTCTGAACCCATGATGACGGACCTTGGTCGACTGAGGTAGCGAAGATGTCCGTATTTGTGCCAGTACTTGTTGATTGTCCATCGGTAATCATTGAGGCCGGCATTGTGCCATCGAGCTGGTCGCGAATTCCACCACGGACTCGCGGTGTATAACCAGACGCTTTAGGCATGATAAAGCGGGGTTCATCACCAGCCAAGAGTTTCTCTCTCTCTATAGCAGTGTTTTCTTTGGCAATGCTATCCGTCAATGTCTGTGCGGCATTGTTGACGAGGAGATAGACACCACAGTCCTCAGCCTGCCATCCACTCCATCGTTCAATCATGCGTTTAATCTCTTTCGTCGCGCCAAAAACGTCAGCAGCGGTTCGAAAGTCTGCACCAATAATGGCCAAGTCGTTGCAAGACCACAAGTGCTTGTCCTCCTTCAATGCTTCAGCAAAACGCAGCGCTGCATCTTCGGGGTAGCGAGTGGTGACAATTACTCGTACGCGCTGTCTGAGAAGACGACGCGCTGTGTGGAAGCCTAGATTCACTCGGCCACCTGTGATTACAGCCACTCTGGTTTTCGAAGAAAACGCAAGCGATGTTTTCTTTGTAAAATTGGAGCCAGCGACATTGAAATCACCACATGGCACACACATGGATGGGAAAACTCCGTGCGGTGTTTCAATGATGAAGCGGCATATATAACATGGTTTTTTCCATGTTTGTGCTCGTGGTTGGGTTTTCATGGTTTCCTGAGAAAGACTGGCCTGGTAATCCGCCTGGATTTGATGATGTGTCATCTCCTCGTCTTCAACCGATTTTGATGTCGACGCCTCCTTCAAAGTGACAAGCTTCATCAGCGCAGCCATGGCGTCTGACGCGGCTGTTATCTCGTGCTCGTCGGAGCTGGAGGCTTTTATGTCTTGAGCGATGCGAATGCTGTCTTGTAGAGCCCGCTCAGTCCTTTTCTTAGCCTCTTCTTGGCGGGAGGTCTTGGTTGCACGAGCTGCGAACTGCGCAGCGCTGCCATCATCCCCAACCGAAGACGGTCCTCCTGTACCGCGTATGTGCTTGATAATCTTCGTCAGAGTGTTTTCGTAGAGTAACTGACGAACCTCGGGCCCGGCAGGATGCTCCGACAGTAACAAATGCGCTCCAATGGCTCTGCTGAGTGGCGAAGGCTTCGGCGACAAATGCAATGCCAGCAAGCTGGGCGAGGAGTTTGAATATTGTCCATCGACATCGTCGCAAATTTGAGAATCTAGCTGCAGCTGTCGGGCAATATCTTGTGCAGGTGCAGTTCGAATAAACCGTTTATACTCCATGGCTCCCATGATACTATCTCCAGAAAGTGAGAATGGTATGGCCGGGCCTAGAGTGTACGAGGCACTTTTGGCCCGTTGGCATTCGTCAGGAAACCTCGTCTGCATCCATGCCACGCTCTCTGTAAAGGCTTCTAGCCACGCCAACTCTTGCAGGGGTTTCGGGCATCCGTAGACTATGCCATAATGCATTAAATAGTAAGGAGATTCCTCGGGTATTGTCCGCCCAAGTCTGGGGCGTCGGGCTGTGTTGGTGGTATCTCCATGGCCGTGGATATATTCAAAGCTAGCAAGTGCAGTTTGAAGCTGTGAGTGGATCTCCACGGGATATATCGAATCCATACCATTTTCAGAAATGGGATACCGTTTTCCAACGGTATCGAATAATCGAATACACCAGTTGTACGGAATCAACGCCATATTGGGGCCACGGAAACGGTAGTCCCTCCACATCGCAACGCAAGGCTTACCTGACTCCGACGGCAGCTTGCCAAGGGGCCGGGTTCTCCGCATCCGTGGTCGTGTGGTGTCCAAGGCAAACAAGTTCCTGATATGTGCCCTGTTTTTTCGGTGTGAGTTTGGTGCCATGGGAGTTTTGAGAAGGTTCGGAAATCTGTCGTAGAGAGCCACAATTGCATTATTTTCAGCGGCTTGGGCCATCTTGAGCAGCGAGAGAGCGTGTCGGAAGATGGGGAGGACGCTAATGACGGCTTCATATGACCACTCTCGGCGTTCTAGTTTGTGTGCGCAGAGGTCCAGGATCTCTTCTGTTGGCGGGTCCTGCATACACTGCTCCCAGCTTTGATTCTGATCCAGGGTTGTTGGAATCTCGTCGTCGCATAGGAGAGCGTTCCTGACATCCTTGGGTAGAAACAAGGACAATGCCCTGCGGTCACCAGCCTTTAGGCCCTGGCGTCCTCCGTAACACCAAAGGCCCCATGGGCCCGCGTTCTCCCACCACTTGCCTGTCCCTGGCCCTGCCCCTGTCCATTCGAAATCGAGAAAGACTCCAAACAGGTCAGGAACCATATCTCGCATCCCACTTTCAATTCTTGTCGCGATGGATTCAGGGCTATTGTCACTGAATCTCTTGTCATAGCTTGAGCCTACGGCCACACTGCGCAAACCGTGGCTGTGTTGCTCCCAGTAGCCATGATCTCCAGCACCGTGCCTCATCTTCCAAACTTCTGTAAAGGCTGCGTGGCGCCAAAGAGACGATATCTCGTCCAAGGCTTCCCAAGAGCTTTTGATTGATTCCAGCCTGCTTTCAAAGAGCCATCTCCATTCTGGACTTGTTCGAATGCTCTCAATCAAGACGGCAGACGCCGTTGAGGCACGGCTCAAGCGAACAATGTCTACAAAGCTAAGCTTGGCGAGAATAGGCTCGTGCAGCTCGGGCGGCAGCAGGGACACGTCCCTAGCGATGCGCACCAGCCGCTTCGGGATGTGTTGGTCATTCATGTTGTCGGTGAGGAGAGTGAGAGCAAAATAGGAGCCATGCTGCTTCGTTTAAGAGCTATGCGAGTTGTGGAGTCACTGCAAAGCCTTGTCTGCCTTGCCGTGCGTCGCGCCCTAGGGCTGACATGTTTGACGAGCTATCGAAGTCGATGGGGCCAGGTGGAAATCGTTTCATGAGTCAAAAGATTTGCCTTGCAGGATGTTCCATCGGCAGTTTACGGAGCTCACAGTCGGTGTGACTGTTTTGTCCCAAACGAGAGGCGACGATGGAAGAGCATAGAGCCTACATCGTGGGCAAGCATATAGGAGTGGGCGGTCGCATAAAATTTCTAAAGCTTTGTCAGTGTAGGAACCGACGCTGATATCGCATTCTTTCTAGAAGAGGTGGCAGCCTCTTTGTAGCGTCCGATGTGTTTCGTCGCCAAACGTCATAGATCGACGCCGAGGCTACACGCTTTCCTGATCAGGTTATTCCGCTAGACAGAAACATTATTACCGTTCCGTTTTGAAATAGTATAATCAAAAATGGCTGCCACCCTCCAAACGGTCAGCCAATATCTCTCCGGCTTGGCACAAGTGCAAAAAAGGAGGCGTAGCTCGTAAAGAAGCTTAAAATGTCGGGGTCCGCACCACCTCAGTCGTCGCAAACGAGCCTCACGCGTCGCACAACACGGTCGCCGCAGATTCAAGATAACCACGAATTTTCTTAGTAGATTTTCCAACGCCAGTAAAAATGTCGATGACACTGGAATTACAGCCTATTCCAAGTCATACTCACCGCAATGAAGTGTCAGATCCATTTGAACCAGCTGCGGATGTACAGGTCGCTCGAGCCAAACAGAAGTGGAATGAACCGAGCATCAATAAGTATCGTCTTGCCGCGACCAGCATCGCTTTCGCGCTCGTAGGAGCTAGTGATGGCGTCTATGGTGTATGAAAGACCTTGTTAACCCATTTTGAAATAGCTAACTGTCCATAGGCACTTGTTCCATACGTATGTCGCTACCATGCAGGGTAGCCGCCCAGTCAAGCCCACAGCTAATCAGTGATAGATCCGACCCGATTATGATCTCAGCACGACAGTCACGTCGCTGATCTTCGTTACTCCTTTCGTTGGATATACAATCGCTACAGCCATTGTAAACACGGTGCATATGCGTCTGGGACAGCGCGGTATCGCTGTCATAGGGCCACTATGCCATCTGATTCCGTTCCTCGTCATGGCTATCCACCCGCCATACATTGTCATGCTGATTATGTACGTCATTGTCGGACTAGGTAACGGTCTTGTAGATGCGGCGTGGAATTCGTGGACGGCAGACATGGCTTCAGCAAATGTGTTTGTAGGTATGCTCGGCGCATTCTACGGCATTGGGTGAGTATATCCGTCTTCGTGATGAATCACCATCTAATAGAATGTAGTGCAACTCTGAGTCCCTTGATCGCGACACAACTTATTAGCACGGATAGGTCATGGTACACATTCTACTGGACCCTGGTAGGAGGTGCAGCTCTGGAGCTTGTTACCAGCACTGCTGCTTTTTGGACAGCAACCGCCGAAGAGTACAGAGAACACAATGCTCGCGTCGGAGGAGGTGACGAGAAGAGTCGTACCTGGGAAGCTGCTAAGAGTCCAATCACATGGCTGATGTCGGCGTTTTTGTTCATCTACATGGGTGTTGAAGGTATGCTGCAGCGCCTCTCAAGTGCATCATATGCTGACCTTGTCTAGTGTCCGTTGGTGGATGGATTGTGGATTTTATGATTCATGTCCGGCATGGGAGCGAGTATGAGTCTGGTCTTATCCCTACTGGCTTCTGGGCTGGTGTAACGGTTGGCCGCATTGTGCTGGGCTTTGCAAACGAATATCTCGGTGAGTCCTCTTCTAGGGCTTTCGTACTTTTAGCTGACATTGTAGGCGAACGTGTTGCCATTGCTGGCTATCTTGGCCTTTCTGTTGTTGTGCAGCTAATCTTTTGGTTCGTTCCCAAGTTTGTTGTGTCTGCCGTTGCAGTATCATTCCTCGGATTCTTCACTGGCCCTCTGTTCCCAGGAGCAATCGTTGTCGCCGCGAAGCTACTCCCAAAACATCTACACACGCCAGGGATTGGCATTATTTCTGCCTTTGCGGGAAGTGGTGCCGCCATGTAAGTGTCTATCAGTCTCATCTGAAATGAGATGCTAATCTTCTAGATTGCCTTTTGTCGGTGGTGCTATTTTGGGAACAACTGGCGTACAAAGCTTGCAGCCCTTCGTGCTTTCGCTGTTGGCTAGCTTGATAGCCATTTGGATTCTCTTGCCTAAGCGCAAGCATAACGAAAGCTAAAGGCACCTCTGCAGATAGCCACCTTTCTTGCAAATTCATGTGGAATCATTCATCATACAAAAGTGACACTGGCGATCGATGCCGCTTGTGCTGCAAGCGCCATACTAGTATACGGTGCGAATATTATAACCACTAGCATCTCACGTAGGTCGGTGTTGCAAACGCGGGGTCGACACCCACGCGGTGCAGCCACGGCAGCTTTGGCCTATGAATGAGACCGATAACGCAAGCGGCCACACATACGTCAACTTCCGACGCAGCCGAATGGACTTTAGCCATGTTGGCGTACAAAGTGAAGAGCATGCTTGCTAGTTTCTTTGTGACGTTTTGACGCCTGCTTTGACAATGAGGCTGTATGACTCTTCCGCCCCAAACTTAATGTTCCACAGTTACTCGTTCCCCCGCATGAGTTGACTTTGCGGAGAGAAGGCTGTGGCAACCCGCTAAGACTACAACGCTAACACGCAAGTCAGCGTCGCATTTCAGCGCCTGCTGGTGCTTATGCATGGATTGACTTTCCTTGTTACGCAGTAAAGAAGTATTCTGGCAGAGCCCTGATCCTTGCATATTCATTTGCAGAAATTCACCGAACTCAGCTGGATCGATTGAGCAACTTTCTCGGCGAAATCCATAATCGAAATCCACAGTCTTCTATTAAGCCGAATACAACGTAGCACGCTCGGCTTCTTGATCCCAACTGGCTTCTCTCCTTTCGTGTTTGCGCCCACACGGTGCGCCGAATACTGGCCTGACCGCCGCCCGTCGCCTCATTAAGCAGCGAAAACGTGCGTCACCCACTCCAAGAGGCCATAGCGGAAAGCAAGTCGCCACGGAGCTGCTATCCCCGTGTCCAGCCACCAAAGTATCTGTGCCGTCGGCCTCGCCCCACCGGGCGTTGGCTTGTCATTTGGCTGTTTAGGGGGCGGCCAACGCAGAACATCGCCTGGGGGAGCGCAAGGGAGGCCAAAGTCTTAGCGCCTCGTGACAACTGATCTGGATCTCGGCTACCATTGGCCCGGCTGGTAGAATCCAACCGGTTTGGTCCAAGAGTGCGATTGGATGGCTTCCAAGGGAGCCCTGTTCGCTGCCTAGCCAGAAATAGGTCTTCTCCGGTGGCAATGCTAGACATTTGCGCAGACGTAGAAACTAGTTCTTCGTTTGTTTGCTTAAAATTGACCAAACTGGTAGTGTTGACCTCATATCGCGGTATACGAGTGGCGTTCGGACCATTCTCCCCGTCTGCTAACTGCACGGCAACTACATCACGATTGGAACCAGCAGTATTGGCAGGTAGTGGAGAATAGCTGGCGTCTTGCATAACCCAATCCGTGGCGTAGGCGCTTCCAACGGGCTCATCATGGTCTGAGCACGCTGCAATCAATAGAGCGGGCGGCACATCCGACGACGGCGCTTCCCAGGACCGTCGGCTACCCACAAAGAAAGTTCTTCTCTGTCGTCTGTGGTACTTCATAAAGTTGCCCGTGTAGTAATCACCCTGGCCAAACCCTGGCGTAACGATGCTGTTTCTTCTTTCTGGCTAAATAAAACCGTTCGTATTGGGTTTCCGAACCGGCGACGGTTGGCCACAATCCCGACGCCGACATTGTAGGTAACAGTCGGTATGAGTAGGGAGGAATAACTTGAAAGGGGCTTTCGCGCTACAACTCAATCTAGCGCACATTTATACAGAGAATGTAGCAATGTATTGGCTGGGATCTCGCGCCAGTGTTGGGTCTAACGGCCTGCGCTGGTGGTCTCTGGACCCTCGTGACCAACTTCCAATACATCCCTTCAGGTCGTAGCAGGGCGCTTCCCCTCACGCCGCCCCCAGCCTTATTTTACTGGGACCCAATAATTGAGTTTCGCCAAAACAACACCAGAACATGCCTCAGCAAGACATGCTCAAAAATTTGTTCGCCTCGATAATTCCGTCTATAGGTTAATGCTTTTCGTCGCTGTTGTTTTCTTCCTCGTTATTTACCCAGGTCGCCAAGGCGGGTACCAGGCCCAGCAACACCAAGGGCCCCATTAACGTTTGATCTCCGAGGTGGCTTGACTCGCTCGCTGTTCGGCCGCTTTACCTGCTGTCCTCGACGTCATTGGCGTATGTGGGTCGATTCGCTGCCAAGCAAGCCATCGAAATCGACGCCTCTTTTAACATTGACGACCAGAGGAAAGCTTTGTAAAAAGAAGAACGGGAGAGGAGCCAGAGGCGCTATATATCAACTTGGTTGAAGAAGAGCATTCTCAGGTACCGCTTTTAGTGATGGGCAAATGGCACGTTTTTCTTTCTCCATAGTGGTGTGTTGGGGCTAGGCCTGATCAACTGTCGATCGGGGACCCTAGTTGGGTGACCATGAAGACAGAGGATGGAGCGAGACCAGCTCCTTCACAGTGCAAGGGGGTTTCTAAACGCCGGACAAAAAAGGGCCGGGGCCGAGTCTGTCATATGGCTATGTTTGTTGGAGCCGAGCCTAGCACTGTCTTGCAATTGTCGCCGACTCGAGCAGAGGCATACATACAGGCCTCTTCCCCAACCTGGCCACCCGTCGTTTGTTGATCTCTGTTGGCTGCAGCGCACGGCCAATTTCTCGGCGCCATCCAGACGCCTCCTGCACCCCGCCCAGCGATCCCACCTTTAGCTGAGGCAGGACTCGCGAATAGCACCGTCTCGTTCGCAACGCCCTCTGATGCGGGATAGAAAATTTTCTTCTGTTTTTGGGGGCCTCTGCAGCCGTGTCCAACATGAGCACGGGCGGCAGCAGCGTTCTTGGTAGCTGGGGCTACGTGTGTATTTTGGCATTGTTGCGGTGCTGCTCCCTGGAATTTAGACTAAGAAAAGCCACCGTCTTACCGAGATGAGGCAAAGAATGGACGGGTGCAGACCCCGCCGACGCTCCGTGCTATGTTATTGTGATTTTTTTATGGCACGCAATGGACGAGACTACGCCCTGGCAAGGCAGATCTCTTAACTTTTGGGTTGAAAAAAAAAAAACAGAGAAAAAGGGGGCAACAGAACGAGATGGCCTGCTAGTTTCTAGTGCGCGCGCGGACAGTCGCCAGCCGGCGCCAGCTGGTGCCAGCCGTCGGCCGTGTCGTACAGTGCCAACACCACCGTATAGGCTGTTTTTCTCCAATTGTGGCGGTCCCATCACCTCCTTGTCTCTCCATATTTTCTCCATCTTGGAGCTCACGAGCCTGAACCCACTCACACCAACCCCCGGACCGGACTAGCCCCAATCGAGTATACCTGCAATTAAATCCCATTTCGCACAACAAAGCTGAGGAGAAGGAAGCGCTGCGTTGTACCGTTGGAGTCCCTCGTTTGGCTCGTGCCTCAGTTCGGTCCCCTGCCCTTCCACCCTCAGCCCGTCCGTCGGTTGGTACGCTACTCGCCTCGCTCCCTATATAACTGTCACACCCCCTCCAGCTCCCCCACAGCCTGGTCTCCTAGAGGTATACCCTATCCTTTTGTTTCCTAATTAGCTATACTGGTCGCTATCTAGCAGTGCCTGTCATGGCTATTGGCAACATCTACGTGATTGCTGGCGTCGCCGTCATTGGCGGCGCCCTCTTCGGCTTCGACATTTCGTCCATGTCTGCTCAGCTTGGTGAAGCTTCATACACCTGCTACTTCAACCAACAGGGACAAACCGAAGATGGCTGTGGTGGTCCTCACCCTCTTACCCAAGGTGGTATCGTTGCCGCTATGGCCGCCGGTTCCTGGATCGGTGCCCTCATCTCTGGTTTCCTCTCTGATCACTTCGGCCGCAAGTACACCATCATGATTGGTTGCATTATCTGGTATGTTGAAATCCTGACACTAGCTGGGACGATACGGGCGTCGATTGCTAACCTGAAAACTATAGGCTCATTGGTTCTGCTATCTGCACTGCTTCCGTCAACATTGGCATGCTCATTGTTGGCCGTATCATCAACGGTTTCTGTGTTGGTATTGAGTCCGCTCAAGTTCCCGTCTACATTGCTGAGCTTGCGCCTCCCTCCAAGCGTGGTCGCTTCATTGGCTTCCAGCAGTGGGCTATTACTTGGGGCATTCTCATCATGTTCTACATCTCGTACGGTGCCTCGTACATTGGCAACAACAAGCCCGACGACTACAGCACCACTGCCTGGCGTCTCCCGTGGGGTCTCCAGATGCTGCCCGCCGCCCTCCTTTTTGTTCTCATGATCCCTCTGCCCGAGTCTCCTCGCTGGCTCGCCCGCAAGGACCGCTGGGAGGAAGCTCGCACCGTTCTCGGTCTTGTTCACGGAAAGGGTGACCCCAACCACCCCTTCGTCGCCTACGAGTTGCAGGACATCAAGGACATGTGCGAGTTTGAGCGCCGCCACGCCAACGTCACCTACTTCGATCTCTTCACCCCTCAGATGCTCAACCGTACCATGATTGGTGTTTTCACTCAGATTTGGTCCCAGCTTTGCGGCATGAACGTCCAGAGTAAGTTTTAAATGTCTCCCAACAGCCATTCAGTTTGCAACTATGCTAACCACTTGCCTCCAATTAGTGTACTACATCACCACTGTCTTCACCATGGCTGGCTACACTGGCCAGACCAACCTCCTCGCCTCCTCCATTACCTACATCATCAACGTCTTCATGACCATTCCTGCTCTTATCTGGATGGATAAGTGGGGTCGCCGTCCTACTCTGCTCGCCGGATCCGTGCTCATGGCTCTCTGGATGTTCACTGCCGCTGGTCTTCTTGCTGTCCACGGTGTTCCCCAGCCCAATGGTATTGGTGGAGATTTGTCCAAGTCCATGCTCGTGTCTGGTGCCCCCGCCAAGGCTCTCGTCGCTGTCACCTACCTCTTCGTCGCCTCGTTTGCTCCCACCTGGGGTCCCGTCTCGTGGACTTACCCCCCTGAGCTGTTCCCTCTCCGTCTTCGCAGCAAGGGTACCTCGCTGGCTACCTCTGCCAACTGGGCCTTCAACACTGCTCTCGGTCTCTTCGTCCCTGTCGCTTTCCAGAACATCACCTGGAAGACCTACATCATCTTCGGTGTCTTCAACGTCGCTGCCTTTATCCACGTCGCTTTCCTCTTCCCTGAGACTGCCGGCAAGACTCTTGAGGAGACTGAGGCTATCTTTGAGGACCCCAACGGCATCAAGTACCTCGGTACTCCTGCCTGGAAGACCAAGGTTGCCACCAGTGCCACTCGCTACGCCGAACGTGGTGATCTCGAGGCCAAGCGCGCTCTTGACGAAGAGAAGCCCCGTCTCGAAGACGCACCTGCTACCACCACCCCCACCGCCTAAATGGGTTTGCACGAACAAGAGCGGAACCTATAAATACGTGTCGACCACTCGCTTGAGTGGAGTATAATTTGTTTATTGTCCGTAAAGATTGTGACGTTAATGTCGTTAGTTACGATCATGTTAGACGCCTTGATACCAATATTGAGTTTATTTTGATTATTGCACTTTGTTCAATTCCTATAAAATGTGAATGTCAAGTGATGTAAATACATAGCCCCAAACGCCGTAATCATGTTGTGTCATGTAAGTCGTTCCCGTCGTCATTTTCCACATTGCTTGCAAGATCCCATTCAATCCACCGTCGAATTACACGGTCAACCTTCCTAACTGCCTCACGTTTTACCTCCACCTCAAACCATTCGCGATGCTCTCTCCCGCATGCTTTGCAGCTGCCAAGAGATGCTTTCATGCCAAGACCTGCCAACTCGATATGGATCAGCCTCTCTACGCGCTTACAGTGTGGCGTTTGGCCATCTGATAGGCCTTGTGGATAATATCTTAGCACCTGGACTTCGTAGCCGCATTGTCGCTGCCACTGGTTCATTCGGCGCTGAACATTCGCTGCACGGCCAATTTTCAGCAGCATGGTCTTGGAAGACGAATATGCCGAGACGGACGACGCGGCATCTCCCGAATCAGAGTCCGAGTCGGAGTTATCAATCAACGACTGTGCTGCTGCAAGCGGTGCCGTGTTTGTAGGCGTCAGCCAGAACATGTATATGTACCCAGGCTCTTCTGCATCAACGTATGGCCGCGCCAGCTCAGTGAGCAGAGAAGAAGCAGTGGCGGCGGGCAGATTATTTGAGATGAGAGATTTGAGACGCGCGGTATGTGATTTGGCAGTATGTAGTCGTGGTCGCCCAACCACAATTTGCGGAGGACTCTGGTACTTTGGTGAGGCGTAGTGCTGAGCTGGAGCAGAGGAGACACGGCGGGGAGATGTCGTTGGTCGGGGCCGTAGCGGTTGGTCGGCAATTTCGTCAATCGGGATAGAAAAACAGCACAATTGCAGACTGCTTGATTGTTTCTTTCGCGATGCAGTAGGCCGTCTAGGGTCCTTTTCGTTGAAGCCGTCGGGATATCGATGTGCACGCTTGACTTGCCGCACTGCAGCTGGCGGTGGCCTCTTCTTTTCCTCCAGGTCCACCAAACCGAGCCTATCCGCCAGAGTATCAATGCTAGTTCGCTCTTCGCGGATAGGTTTCATGCTTGGTTTAGGTCCCGGACTCGAGGCAGCTGAATGAACTGCTTGTTCCTTGTGCTGCCAGCAGTACAGGCTTTCATCGGAAAGGTCGAGCTTGGAGCGTTTGCGTGGCGGTGTATTGCCTGTCGATACAGAGCGGCGACAGGGCCGGCCAGCCGACGTGATACCGCGACATGTCGAATTGGGATCTTTGGAGTCGGATCTGGCGAGGAGAGACTCGGGAGTATTGGCGACGAAGGGCATGGTGCCTTGTTCACGAAGAAGCGAGGTTATGCATTGAGAGCTGGCGCCGTAGCGGCTCAGGGTGTCGTGTGCTTTTTGAGACAATAATGAGACCGGACAAGTAAATAAACAATAAGTTTTGTAGGCAAATTCTGTTTAGCTTAAGCCCTGTATATACAAAAGACAAGCCGTTGTGGTTTTGTTTGGGGAGTTGGAGGGGTGGTTGGGCGTGTCAGCCTGGCAGGTGGCGAGCGAGCGCGCGTGAGTGTGGCTGGGGCCAGTGGCTTAGGTCGAGTCAGGTTGAACAGGAGCAGTGGTGTAAGTGACTAGCTGACTAGAAAAAGAAACGTCATACAATTAAAATAAGGAAGTAATACAATAGATTACCGAATGGTGGACTTTATAAATTGGCATGTAATTGTTTGCAGGCCAAGGTTAAGAGTACTACAGTTACAAGAAATCAATATTTCAACAAACACATTCCAAATATATATTGCAACAAACTGTATGTGTAATAGTCATCTAAAAACTTGATACATGTAAAATATTTACACCACACATGATATTCTAAAAAGATTGATGGAAAACGTAATTTTATAATATTTATTAAAGAATATTTGAAGATTGACGATAAACGAGTTTACTTATAACTTTTGCTTACCTACTGCGCTTACTAGCTAGGTATACCAACCTTAATTTCTGAATGATCAGCAGGGATATCTCTAACTGCCGCACGTTACAGATGCTTCCACCGGCATTAACAAATAGCCAACTCCGTTAAATCCTTACCAATAATTCTTTGAATTACTCAGAATTTCTCCGCATTTAAGCCTTCGGTATTATAAATCTTATTGTTTTCGCTGTCGGCGACGGCGGCGCGCCCCCGCCAGCGTCGCCGACAAAAGTGGGGACTCTCCGCTCCCGTCTAGATCTAGAGATCGGCCTCGTCGGCGACGCTGGCTATAAGAACCGACCTCGTCCACGCCGTTGAAGCTCTCCTTTTTTTTCTGTATCCTACATCACAAACACTCTCATACCCTCAAGACTCTTTTACAATCAAGAAACCACAATTTCCTCACCTACTGAAGATCTTACACACCTCCCTTACCGCCCACAATCACAATGTCTGCCTTCAAGTACACCAACAAACTCCAAAACGCCCGCGTCCTAGTTGTTGGCGGTTCCTCTGGCATGGGCTTCGCAGTTGCCGAAGCAGCTGTTGAACATGGCGCCATCGTCACCATCGCTAGCTCTACCCAGGCCAAGCTCGACAAGGCGGTTGCTCGTCTACAGGAGCACGCCCGCGCCGTCAATGTCTCCCCCGATACCATTACCTCTGCGGTGGTCGATTTGTCCAAGGCTGATACCATTGACGAGCAGGCCATCAAGATGCTTGACGTGGCTACCAAGGATGGAAAGCTGGATCACATTGTTTTCTCGGCCGGAGACAGCTTCACCCCCAAGCCTCTTCCTGAAGTCAGCGTCCAGGAATACCAGCAGCTGATGATGGTGCGAGCCATGGCCCCCATGGTCATTGCCAAATATGTGAACAAATATATGAACGTCAGCACCAAGAGCTCCATCACAGTTACTAGTGGCACTGTTTCCTGGCGTCCCCCCCGTGGCTGGGCCACAATTGCCGCTGTCGGCTCCATGATTGAGGGTCTCACCCGCGGCCTCGCGTCTGATCTTCGCCCTGTCCGTGTAAACTGTGTTACTCCCGGTGTAATCCGCACCGAAATGTTTGACGGAATGCCCGCGGAGCACTTGCCGATGATCATGGATACCATGGCCAAGGAGTCTATCCTCGGTACTGTCGGCACCCCACAGGAAATTGCTGAGGCCTATCTATACTGTATGAAGGATTCATTTGCCACTAGCATCGTTATTGAATCCAGCGGTGGCCGTCTGGTTGGCGACTCCAAGCCGGACATGTTTGGCAACTAAGAATGTATCCGGTTTTTGGTACTATGTTCCTTTGATAGACTTTCATAGATTTACGAATTTAACGCTCTTTATTATGTCATATGTATTCGTCATTTTGTGTCGGTGGCTTGTAAATGTGGCCGATCCGGAATTACAAGCTCATCATCGCTGAATTGGGTCGTCCATTGATCGCAAGTACCAAGAAACTCGCGCATGCCGGTTGCCTTGCCGGCAATTAGATATTCTGCGTCCTTTGACAGATAGAAGCGTGCTCCTCCACAGTATTTTATACCAATTCCAGGAAATATCTCTCGTTGTCGGGTCATGATATTGATGAACATCTCCAGGTCGTATTTGATAGGCTTTGCCTTTGCCGGGGTTGCATCGCTGGGTGAGGGGTCCATGTAGTCGAGTAAAGTTGTCAGGAAGCTGAAGAAGATGGGCGTGCATATTTGTGTATTGTAGAGAAAGTCGGATGATGATTTGGTAGCTTCGCGTACGAGTTTGATGGTATTCCGGCCGGCGGCTCGACAATGCGGCCAGTTGGAGTCGTGTTCGGATGGTTCGTCAGGATTTTGGGTTGCAGCCTTTGGGCGGTGATGAATCATTATGGCATCGGAGTTCAATATCGCATGCAGCCAAACGATATTTCCTAGATCAGCTTGGTCTGCCACGGCTAAGTCGCTGCAAGATCGGGGTAGGATCAGACGGATTCTGACCAGATGTTCTGCCAGCTTGTCGAGAGAATGACTGCAAGTCTCATAGTCGAATTCGGGAGCATACAGCTCTTCTGATATCCTCCCCATCAGTACATAAGCCAATATTATATAGTGATAGACGATCGGTGTGCTTTTTCGTGAATACGACTGCACCGCAGTGATCAGTTTGTCAAAGTCTTTGCAATATCGCACAGCCTCCACTTTAGGAGCCGTCATCTCTGTTGTATCTTCCTCTTGGAAGATTTCATCGGACATGGGAAAATCAAGAACCAGCACCTTATCATCAAGAACGTGAAGCAGACCAATGGGGAAGCATAAACCACGGTCGATGATGAGGATGCTCCAGACAACGCGTCGTGCCTCCTCAGCTTCAATCCAGCCAAGTTCACTACTGGTGCCTCCAAGAGCGAAAAGCTTCACTTTCCTCTTGCCATCCACCTGATTATAGCCTAGGGCAACGGCTTTACGCCATGTTTCAGCAAGCAGCATAACCGCTGAAGCAAAGTCTAAGCGAACTGCTGATTCCAAAGTGATGATCATTGCGGCCTGCAATGTTTCTAGACCGTGGTCAGCGGCACGCATAACGTCGGTTAATTTTGAGCGACAATCTTTGAACCAATCATCACCTAGGTCGCGGAGCTTTTGGTCGCGGTGAAATCTTGCCGAGGCGGTGGCGATGGCGAGAAGAAGAACTTGCGGTACAGCATCAACACCACCGGACTTGAGCTTGGATAGTATCGTAGGCTTATGAAGAATGGGGAGGCTCGGGTAGAGCTTTTCGAAGAATATTTCTGTTAGCTCCACCATCTGGTATATCGGCGGAAGGCCACTGGCCGGGACACCCGGTGACGATTCGTCTGGTGTTGGCATCCCGTTGGTGTTTTGGTTGAGGGGCTGTGGAGGACTACTTATAGCATTCGGTATTGTATCCTGTTCCAAAGTTTGCTGAAGATTGGCCGCGTAAAAGTCGTTACCAGCGCCCGGCAAAAACATGCCGCCAAGGTGAAAAGCGTTTATGACATCCATGTTTGTTGGCATCCCGTTAGGGATGAAATGCGGTGGCCATCCCACAGGATCAGCAAATGTCGGTTGAGAATTGACCGCACCATATAGACACATGTCACCTCTTCTAACACACGCCTCACATGCTGGGCGGGCACCCTGCCTATTGTCAGCAAGAATGAAGATCTTGATGCTACTACACACTGACATCGCATTTCTTTTTGCGTGAGCGGCAAGCTATGCACACGTTTGCAGGTTTGGCGGGTGTTGTCATTATCAAAGTTTCATAAATTAGATGGCATGGTAGGACTTATAACTGAAGATGGCGGCACTAAACTGATGTGAGAGATACTGCGTATTCATCGCGGAGATCTGAGGCTCCGGCCTACACCAAAGCGGCAGCCACGTGACGCTGGTATAAGTGACGATATTTGGCACCTGGCAACAGTAGCTGTTCATAACAGACATTGGTGCTAAGTAAACCCGAAAATAGCAATAAGGAAAATCAAGAGCTCAAAATAAGAAAGGAAAACTCGCTATGCATGACAAATAAAATCATGGATGAAAATGCAGCGCGTCTGCGCCCCTGGCGCCAGCCAACACGCCCGCTGAGAGCCAAACAGACAACCAAATTCACAGAGAAGGCCGTGTAGGCGGCGCGATATTGAATCCTACAATTCCTTCCGCCATTACAATATCGTCATTCGATGGCCGTGGCCGCGAGCATACAGATACTCGCCGTCCGATGATGCCATCGCCGCCGACCTCGAGCGATAGTGGTCTGTTTAGAAGCAGCTCATAAACGCCAGAGTCATTCACAGCCTCACAGCTAGCAAATGATATCTCGCGAAACCGGCCACAGTCTTTCGTATCTTTGGTCATGTCGCCAGTAGAGCTGTGACTCCGTTAGCTTTACCTCTTGCCACGCATCGTCAGACTCACTGTATAACGACATTCAAGTTGGACCAATCCCGCAGCGTTTCAACTGACGACGGCACAAGTCGAACATGCGTAGCCTGCTGGCTGCTTGGACTTCCCGGCGTATGAAAGGTAAGGTCGCCACTAAACGAAGCTGGTGAGGCGCGGTTCGATACCGGCGGGTTGAGAGCAACCAAGGCACCTCCACGAGGTCTGTCGCAAGTCTCCGGGCCGCACATATTTGGAGAATTATAATTCAAAGGAACCTCTTCCGATCCGAATCTCGTCGTATGGGTTTCGTCTTTGCCAGGATTTCGTCCTGAACGTTGCCGTTTGTTCACTTCCACGCCTGGCACTCCACACTCCTTATATCGACAACAACTCGCCTTCGGAACGCAACACCAGCTGACACTACATTCACCATTAAAAAAACGTTCTCAAAACACCTTTCGTCTCTATAAGTACTCCCCGTCACGTTTCAACCGTCCGCCCATACACATCATCCGCACGGCCCCGCCACGACTCTTACTAGGTAGGCACCCTGATGAGCAGGTTTGAGTGGGATTGCTCGGGATGCTGGCCACGCTGCCACCCACGGCCTATCAGCGCCTCGGACCAGAGGATTAGAAATACAAACGAGACACATGCTCTCTGCGGCTACAATATGGGATGAGGGGCAAGGCAAATAGGCTACCAAATGATATCATTGCCAGGTGGGCGGGGAGGAGGGGGCCAGCTCGGATGTCGTGAGCGCGGGGGGCCATTCACGCCGTTTTTCTATTCCTTATTTTCCATCATCCTCTTCTCTTCTTCCAAAAGTTCTCTTTTGCGCAAATCCGCTCATAGAACCATTGTCCATCATGTCTGCCACCACATATAGCCTGCCTCCCCTCCCCTACGCCTACGATGTACGTTTCCTCTCTCCAATAAACTCAGTCGGTAAAATTCACTGCCACACAATGCTAACTTCCAATTGTAGGCCTTGGAGCCCAGCATCTCCAAGCAGATTATGGAGCTGCACCACAGCAAGCACCACCAGGCCTACGTGACCAACCTCAACAACGCCCTCGGCTCTTACGCCGCCGCCGTTGCCGCCTCCGACATTCCCGGCCAGATTGCTCTTCAGGGCGCCATCAAGTTCAACGGTGGCGGTCACATTAACCACTCTCTCTTCTGGGAGAACCTTGCCCCTGCTGGCACCCCCGAGGCCAACACCACCGCTGCTCCTACTCTCATTGCTGAGATCACCAAGACCTGGGGCAGCTTCGGCGACTTCCAGGCCGCGTTCGGTAAGGCCCTTCTCGGTCTTCAAGGCAGTGGCTGGGGCTGGTTGATCAAGGACACCCACGGCCTTCGCATTGTCACCACCAAGGACCAGGACCCTGTTGTCAGCGGCGAGGTCCCAATCTTCGGTGTCGACATGTGGGAGCACGCCTACTACCTTCAGGTAAGATTTGACTTTTTATCACAAACACGACGGTTAGACAAGAATAAAAAGGCTAATTGAAGACGCTGTAGTACCTCAACGGCAAGGCTGCCTACATTGAGAACATCTGGAAGGTCATCAACTGGAAGACTACCGAGCGCCGCTTTGCCAATGGCCGCGACGACACCTTCAAGGTCCTCAAGGCCTCCATCTAAACGAACGTTATGATACGGATAGAACGGAAATTATACGGATTTGTATCGTGTTAATTGAATAATTGTTTTTATCCGCTCTTCTGGAGACTTGCCGATGTTCTGATACTGTGCTTCCAATATTGTGGTGTTCCCTTCACGCGCGTACCTGCAGCTTGTGCAACTCCCTTCATCTACCCGAGGGCTTGATGTGTGTCCCGTTCAGCTGAGCCGGTAAGGATGCTCGTGCCGAGAGTGGTACAGACTGAGAACAAGATTAGAGCGGAACGGGACAGTGATGATCAAGGTGGACGAATGCGGCTGTTTGCTTCGATCTTCGAATCCCAGTGTTTCGCATTAAGCGGTCGTACTCGGTACTTTTAAAAGTATACTTTGTGAAATTACTCGGTAATGAATTGTATAAATAGAGTGCAAGATTCTTCTCTTTGCCAGCATTTTGTGAGTAAACAACACTACAGAATACTTTCACTCGCTCAGTATTTCTTCCACAACCGCAAATAATGAAACACACAATCACTCTTTTAGCGTTTGGGTGTGTATATCTGAATAAACTTTCTATGATATATTCTAACATACACAAACAGAGCGCTTGTTGTTGCGACTGATCATACCGTCACGGTTACAGAAACAGTAACTGCCTGTGCCCAATCTTGTTTCTCTGCTGTTACGATGTGCAATCCCACGTCCGCCGTCTCCAGCGAATCCCCTGCACAGACTTCCGCTCACAGCATTTCAAGCTACACGGCGATTTCTTCTGAATCTCCCGAAGCTACATCCTCTTGTGATGCTTACAGCTGCAAGGCGCCATCCTACTCCGATAAAACTGCCACTGAGACCAAGCACCACCCCAAGACCACGACGTACACTGTTTCCCATACCATCAAGCCTACAGTCAGCACCGCTTCGGAGACAATTTCTTACGAAAGCGGCGCACTTCCTACCGGTACTAGCTCTTCTGAAGTCCATTCACCCTGCGGTCCTTCTACCAAGCACCCAACCTATACATTCCCCAATGGCTCTCATCCAACATCTGAACCTTGGTACTCTGGCAAACCGACCGGCAGCATGATTCTCACAACAAGCAGCAGCGTGTCCCACCCCAATGCAACCAGCAGCAATTCCTTTTCTATTGTCATTACAACCGACAAAGTGTCTCCCACTCGCCTCTCATCCGACTCGCAACAACCTTCATCGTCAACCGATGACGACGACGCTCCGGAGTCTACATCTACAACAGACGACGATTCCCCCACTGAAACGGAGCCTCCATCGTCAACTACAACCGACGATGATTCCCCTGAAGAAACCGAAAGCGCTCTTCCGGTTTCCACCGGCGGTGATGATGCAACCTCTACCTGGCGCACCTCAACGCTTCCCAAGTCTTCAAAGACGATCATCAGCGTCAGTGCTGCCCCAACAACCATGCAGACGAGTCACAGGGAATCGTCTACCTCATCTACTGACGGACCACCCGAATACTCTGACCCTCCTTCATACAGCTACAAAGGTCGTCGCCGCATGTAAATAGTCACAGAGGGAGAAACCTAGATTGTCTACCTTTCTTTTCATTTCTATTTGAAAAGATAATTCTATAAAATCTATCATAATAAACATGCATTTTTTCAGTCCCTAAAGTAAAGCGTCATTATAATCAACCATCATGGTATCCCACCCATCGTCTTTGTTTACTGTCCCTTGGACAATGACACGACGGCCCATTTGCCGCCCCAAGCCCACTTACGGGAACCAGAGTCGCCGCCGCCATTAGGAAGAGCTCTAAGCTCCTCGTCCTTGCCGGCCGGAAGCCCAACAACGACATCAGCCTTGCAAGTTCGCAGAGACAAGACGTTGATGCCCGAGCCAGCGCCCATGGGGCCAATGGCCTCTGTGAAGGAGGTTGTAGGGTCCCACCAGGCATCGCCAGTCAGCTTGCGGTAGTTGAGATCGCCCTTGAAAATGACAATCTCGGCCTCCTTGAGCTCGTCAGCAAGAGAGGGCTGCTCGTGGGGCAGACGCCAGAAGCTGCCGCCGGCAGTCCAGTAGCGGTTAGGACGCATGACAAGCTGTCCCTCGGCGTGGCACATAGCCCAGTCCTGGAAGACAAAGAGCAGGTCATCATTCTCCTTTTGCGTGAGAGGCGCAGGGGTCTTATCTAGCGTAGCCTCCTCGTCGGTCTGGGTCTCAAAGAAGGCACGGGGGTTGGAGATGGCGTTGAGCAGAGCGCTGAAGTCAGTAGGTAGCACGTCCGAGACGAACCAGGGGATCGACTTGGGGCGGATGACAATCTGGGTAGCCAGGCCCGTAGCAAGGAGGAACCCAGCAAGAATGAGATCGACATAGAGCTCAAAGCCAGCATTGTCAAGGACAATGTCGACGCGGCGCTCAGCCTTGCCCTCAGCACGGGCCTTCTTGAGGATCTCATACACGGCAGGGAGATCGTTGGAGAGGATGTTGTTCTCGGCCTTCTTGCGGGCCTCGCTGCCCTGGAGCTTCTGGATATCCTCGTAGGTCATGTTTGTCAGGAGCGACAGATCGGTGGCGTTGCCCCAGAGGCAAATCTCAAAGAACTCGCGGAAGAGAATCTCCTCGGTAGCCTCGTCGGGCTTAGCCGTCTTAGTCTGCTCAATGAACTCGCGGTAGCGCGCGGCGAGCTCGAGGACAGCATTGCGGGAGGTGCGGAAGGTGTCGATCTTCTGGCGCGCAAACAGGTCGTAGCCCTTCCAGTGCGTGCTGAGCGCGAAGAAGCTGCTGATGCGGCGGTACATGTAGCACTCGGAGAAGAGCCAGGGGACGTCGAGCCATGTCGGGTTGCCGCGCTGCTCGAGCTCCTTGTTGTAGGCGGCGGTTTCTTCGGGAAAGCCGTCCTCGGGGAGGGGGCTGAGGACGCGGTCGTGCTGGACTTCGTACTTGAGGGCGCCGAGCTGCTCGACAATCTTCTTGCCTTCGGCCTGCTTCTCGGGGTCTTCTGCCTTGCCGACGGAGCGGTAGAGGTCGTCAATGGCGCCGGTCTGTGCGACAAAGGAGGTATTAGCTGACAGTACAGAGGCAGCAGTTGCAATTGAAAGACGGGGGAGGAGATCGTACCAGAATGACGGGCCATCTGCTGCGAACAGAGTCGCTAGCAAAGGACTTGGGGTCGCTTGTAACGGACTGAGCTGGATAGGAGGAACATGGTTAGCGGTTTTGTTGAGGAGGGGCAATGGGAATTACTACAAGTAAGCGCAGTTGAACGTACGGGTCTTGGTGTCGTAATCCATTGTGAAGTATGGCTGTGGCAATGAAGGAAAGAAGGAAAAAAGAAGGTGTAGGACAGAAAAAGGAGACGCTGGGCTGGCGGGACTTTGTACCAGAATGCTTCTTTTTAAAACTACGCAACCAGAGTGACAACAAAAAGGCTATCGCCAAATGGAGGGGCAGGGGAAAAAAATATTAAGCGGGGGTGAGGGGCAGGCCACCGCATCGTACAGCGGGCGTACAGCGGACATACAGCGCGGTAGATGCGCCGTAGGGTGCCTGTTACAGTGGGTTTGGAAGCTCCAGTAATTCATCTCCACAGCAGACGTCATTTACACTGGAGCCGGTATCAACAGCGGTGACAATGCAACAATGCGCCCGTTTTTTTGTTTGCGATTCTGTTTCTTTTTTTCCATTGCCTTCTCTGGCTGTCTGTTCTGTATGATGATGGCTGTTGAAGGAAATACGTAGTCCATAACACATAAAGTCTACAATGTACAACAGCATCCAAGGACATCGTCACGTTATATGCACATGCATCTACCACCAAGATATAAATACACTTTACATACAATCTTCTTACAACTGCAAAAACAAAAAGGGCATCATGATATCATCATGCTTCTCTAGCCCCGTTTCTATGTCTCCGTTCCGTTTTTTTCTTATCACCGTAACATACCGACGCACTATGCAGACACCCCCTTGTACTTCACTACCCATGCCCAAATGCTACCACCTTTACGGTACAATCACGCAAATTGTAGAAAGATAAAAATTAAAGACAATATAATCGAGTTGTATATTCACATTAAACAGGAAAATAAACAATAAAAATACGTTAAATCGTTAGATCCCATCCTCCACTACACTTTTTCTTTGCCACCTCACTCCACCCCCCGTACAAACAGACGCTGCACAAACACACTGGCTCATACTTAGAATGTGTCAGTGTCTTGGCTAGCAACTGTTCCAAAAGTGTCTGTATCATGTTAGTCATCTCCATACAAATGTGCCCCATTACAAAGTAAACATACCTCGTTTGCGTCTTCTCTCCTCACGAGCCGCTTCATCTTCAGGGCTCTTGGGTGTCATGGCGCGCGGCCCACTAGGACGTCGGGCAGGCATCCCCCGTGCCGTGCTGAGATTGCGGTTCTCAAACTTGGGGCTGCGGTCTGTAAAGTGACTGACTTGGGTACCCGTTCCGCTGCCGTAGCCGCTCTCGTAGCTCATGTGTGCGGCGGGGCTGTCCTTTTGCAGCTGCGAAATTCGAACAGACTTCTGCGGTGTTTGAGTATGCGGGCTCTCGATTGGTTCCTTGGGTGGTCTGGGTGGCGCATCTTGTGTTGACCCCAAAGCATAGTCCGTCTCGCGAGCCGCTGCCGACGACGTTGTGCTGTATCGGTTCGTGTTTGGCGGCAGCCTGCTTAGGCTTGTGGCCGATCCAGCCCAGTCCGCTGAGCGTGGTGTTTGTGGCGAGTCGTACTCTTGAGCAGAGTACTCGAGCGCTGTGCGGTGTCGTTCTGTCTGTCCAGATCGAGGCTGAGGATGCTGCAAGTTGACCGAGTTACGGTGTGCCTTGTACTTGGGGTCCTCCGAGATGGCAAAGGCTGGGATGGTAGGGTGGGGGACATCTTGCGGGAGTTTCTCGTGAATCAAACTAGGATTCGAGAAACCCGTGTGCAACTTATCTTCGCCGTACGGATCATGTCTGTAGCCATCCTCATACGAAGCCAGACTGGAACCGGACCGCGATGGCGGTAGATAGTCTTCGTACTTGCCGCCCTTCTTTGACGTCCCGCTTCCGCGGAATGCCTTACCGACGCTGGAAGCGGTTGTCTCGGACCATCGTGAGATCTTGGGGAACCATGCGGACGAGCTGCTTGATTTGTGTTTCTTGCCCTTTTCGCTCTTGGGCGTGTTATCGGCGCTGATGGCAGCTCCTCCATTCGAGCCGCTTCCTGGATGAGATGATGAGTCTAGTGGTGCCGAGCCACCCCGCGGTACCTCATCAGCATAAGTAGGAGATAAGAGTTCCTTGGCAGCAGTTGTTGGCTTGGGTGTTCGCTGACCGTCTTCGTACTGGTACTCTTCCTCATGCTCGGGAACAGTGCTGATGCGATGATCGGAGAATGTGCGTGTTGCCGTTCCTCTGGCTGTCGGTGGCCCCGATTGCGCAGTATACCGAACTGTACCAGCATCATCCAGATCGTAGTCCAGGCTGTCCTGGTCTCGGTCGTCCTGGCCAGCTAATGGTTCAGCAGACTGTGCACGACTACTGCGCACCGGACCTTGGCCATTCTGAGCCTTCAAGTCGTTGACTTCGCCAAGGAGCTGAACGAGCATGTCCTCAATGCGCGTCAAGTCATTGGTGCCCTTGTTGCTCAGACCCTGTAGGGCTCTCTTCCAGAGATTCTTCTTCTTGACAACCTCTTCCCCAGTACCAGCCTGGGAACCGCTTTGCAGGGATCGGGCTGCGGTTGAAGGGTATGGCTTGGCTCCCTGAATCGCCTTTTCCATCTTCTCCGTGTTTTCCACGTTGGCAAAGATGACATCATCGCTGGTGTCCTGAACAAGCTCCTTCATTTCGCGGAATGAGTTCTTCATCTCGAGAGCGGCGTTCATCAAAAGGGCAACAATCTCGGTGTCTCGAGCGCTACGTTGAGCGTCTCGTACCATTAACTAGATACTGTTAGCATAGAATTCACATATAAGTGCTGGTGAGTAGATTCTTACATGTTGCATAAGAGCGACAATGTCTTGGTTTTCGATACGATCCATACCACCACCCATGGCAGCATCGTAGAAGGGGGAAGCAACACCTTGTGAAAGTCCACTAAGATGTCTGGGGTTGTTCTCCTTGGACGTATAGAATGGATCCTCCGCCACAAGACTGTGATCAAGATCGCCAATGTCTGCAACCTTTTCACGAGCAATGGGTTCTGGTGTAGCATTGGCCGCGTTAGAGATGTAACCCTCATCATACTTATGCGGCATGCCAGGGCTACCGGTGTAAGGTGCTCCATAGGCATCATCCAACTGGCGCTCTAGGAACTGGTCATCCAGCGTCGGATTCTGCGCAGGGCTTGTGTCTTCGTATGGGTTGGTAATGATGGTGTCTCGCTTGCGGTCTTCTGATGTGCGGCGCCAATCGTTGGCATCATCAATGTTATCGTGGCGCGCAGCATGTGCAGCCATTCCAGCCGCAGCACCAAATGCAGCAGCTCCAGCGGCAGCTGTAATTCCAAGACCAGATTTATCGTATGTCTCTTCGGCGTAGCCCTTGGGGGTTGGAGTAATACGCCCAGAGTGCTCCTCCCAGTCGACCTCCTTTGCATGGCCATCGAGACGCTCTCCCACAACGGAGGGGTTAGTGACAAGATCGTCGTCATCACGGTATCCAAACATGGGAGTAGGGTCATTTAGATCGGGAACAGCGCTGGCGCTCATCTTGGGTTGCTCCTCATAATCCATCTCATCCATGCTCGGTGTAGGTGTTGTTCGAGGCTTCCACTCACGGGCACGCTCCTTAAACGATCTATTGCGAGCAACACCTACAGGTTGGAAGTCTGACTCGACAGCTCGTCCTTCGGCAACAGCTTGTTGTCTCATCTGCGCAGCCTTAATAGCAGCCGCGGCGGCTCCAACAGCTCCAAGGGTAATAGCAGCTTCGGATGCTGTGGGCGAGTGCCGTTGTCGAGTTTTGGCAACTTTTCGGCCATTCTCATCCAGCTCATATTCAGAGAATTCATGAGACTGTGCAAGGGATCGGGCCTCGGGTGTCCCGCGAGTGTCCTCAAGGAAGTCTCTACGGCTGTCAATAGACATCTTGTCTGGGCTGACACCACGGCTGTCCATCCTGGCAGCGTCCTCGGCTGATATGAAAGAGTCACGAGCTGCGCCATGGTACTCATGTCCAGACGCACCAGTAACAACGGATTGCTCCAGCATGGAGCCATCCACCAGCGATGCAACAGCAGACTCAACTCCAAACGGAGGATGGATAATGTTGGGATTTGCGTTGGCACCTCCACGAACCTGTTGACCAGCAGCAGTCTCGGGGAAGTACTCTTCTCCTTGCTGTGAGGGCTTATGCATATCGGGAGTGAGCTGGATAGAATCGATTGACTGCATCGAACGAGGTTCGTGTTGTGGGTTTGGTGACTTTCCAGGTGACGACATGACATCCCCGGTAGATTGCATGCTCCTTGCTCGCTGAGGCAGAGGCGCTTCGCTGCCAGCTTCGGTGTACCCCGAAACGCTGGGGATAGGGCTAAGTCCACGAGCTCCAGCTTGATACGGAACATATTTGAGAGGCGGTGGGACATCCTGGAAAGTATGGTAGCTGTTGTAGTACGAATCCTCTGGGTAGTCGTTGTACTCTGGCTCGCGCGTATTCTCCTGAGAATAATAGTTGTCTTGGCTCATGGGCACCTTTCTGCCAAACTCGTCCGTTTCGTATTCTTCAGCAAACTTGTCTTGGCCACGAGGGAGCGCTGTCAAGTCGCCTTGAGAAACATTAGCATGCTGGATAGACATGGGAGGTAGAAAGTCGATGGGTGGCTTCGTAGCGGTAAGATGTGAAATCGGCGCAGCAATGGCTTCTGGCATATCCCGCGAGAGAATCTCTTCTTCAGCTGAATGTGGTCTGTCGGTATCTGCCGAAAGAATGGACGTTCTTGTAACTTCTGACGGGTTGATATCGCTCATCAAAGGCATAGGCGGGGCAGGATCGTCCGCAGCGTCAAATTCCGTACCATATTCGCCCAGGCCACTGCTCCGTGATGACTCTGCTCGACGGCGTCGTCGCTCCCTATGTTTTCTATCGGATGTATCCTGGCTATCCATGGCCGAACTAATACCTCTTGCAGCCGCAAGACCAACTGCACCTGCAGCGGCGGCTTTGAGGAGACCCTCGCTTCGGCGAGGCGACGCCGTAGTGTAATCATCACCAAGCGAATCCCGACTAATACTTCTCAGGGAGTCATCATCATATTCGTGTCGGGCCTCTCTATTCCGGCGCTCTCGGCGGGGGCTATCTTTGGAACCATCAGCTCTGTGGCTAGATGAGCGACGACGCTCAGAATAGCCCTCTTCACGAGATTCCCCCGTTCCGGTCGATGTGATTGACGAGCGACGGCCCTCTCGTTTGCTTTGCTCACGCTTGAGCGCACTAAGCTCTGGCAAAATCAGTCGGCGAATGGCGTCTTCCACGGTTTCCAAGAGCTTAGGATTATTGATGGACGACGCCTTTGAAGCGCTTGAACGAACAGATCGAACATCGAGGGATCGCTGGCTTGTTGCTGACGGATTTGTCGATACAAAACTGGAGTCTGGCACACCCGAGACATTCGACTCCTGGTGACTGCGGCTGGAGCGACGACGGGGAGATCGAACGTCTTCCGATGCATATTCTCCGCTGCTTGTTCTGCTCTTTGACGATCGCTTCTTCTTATCGGAGGACTCTTTTTTCGATTTATCAGAAACTCTGGCCCGCTCGTTGCTTCGTGTCTTGCTGCTTCGCAGCGCTTCATGGGCTACCGCTCCGGCTGCAGCGCCAATTGCTGCACCAGCAAGGGCGTCGCCTTTACTGCGGGTGGTGGAGTCTCTGACGTCGCCGGACGGGCCCGTTCCGTCTAGGAAGCTATCGGTGGGAATGGCTGAGATCTCGGACGGATTTCCTGGCATGTAGGCGATTCGCTCCTCGGAGGGGATAAGTGGGCTGGCTGGTCGGCGGCGACGGTTGCCTCGTTCAATCTCAATGTCGATGGGATTTCGCGAGACATTCGACTCTTCGGTAGCAGATGCGTAGGAAGTCATACTATGTGCGTCCTCGCCTTCTGGGAGGTCTAGGTCGTGGGGGCTGCTGCTGGCGTCGACTGGAATACGGCGGGTCATGGAAACCTTGCGGGATCCCTTGGTCTCCGTGACTTGGAAGTGGTCACCTTTGCCCTTTTTCGACGGGGTAAGGCGGACACGAACACTGGGTTTGCGTTCTTCTGTGCCAGATCCAGACGCCGAGACCTTGCCGCCCTCAAAGTATTCGATTAGGAGGGACGTTTGGGAGCGATTGGCTTTGTGGCCGCGGGTTTTGATGGTGACGGGAGTGCCGTCTTCTGGTAATGAGTAGGTTGATTTGTCGTCTCCAGGTCTGGAGATGTCGGTAGCTAACTCGCTTGGAGTCGCCGTGTCGGTTTCTGTAGGGGCGGGAAGAGGAGGAACCTTCTTGGAGTCAACCATGTTGACCTGTAACTAATGGCGGCAATTTCGCCGCAGTCGAATGGAGATGCCAATTCCTTATGCAAAGGTCGCGCACGAGCAAAGATCTTGTCCAAAGATGAATTGCAGGAGGCGAATTCCGCAGCAGGAAGAGGAGTGTATTGAAAGTCGAGGCGTTGTTATTGGCGTATCAAGACATCCAAAACTGGCGTAGTCCAAAAACGAGAGACGATGACGCTCGAAAGAAGCAACTTCTGCGACAGGCGTTAGACAGGAACAATAGACCCGGTGATTTCGGGGTAGTGAAACGAAATAGAAAAGAAAAGAAGAAAAAAAAGACGAGGTAAAGTGATTCAACGTTCAAAGGGTAGCAACAGAGAGGAAGAGAGGGCCACCTACAAGGTTGGTCCCAATCAGGCCGCCGAGGCTAAGGTGCTGCTCGGGCAACCGCTGCAGGCGTGTGCGGAGTGCGCAAACCAACAAAATTAGGCCAAAACTGGAGAAGAGAGTACAAGTCGATGCGCCAAATAAAAACGAGGAAACGCAAAAAGAGCCAATCTAGACGGATGACGGGGAGCCCTTTTTCTTTCTCTTCAAAGATGGACGCTGGCGCAGAAAATAGAACTTGGGTCTCACATGCACTCTACTCGCATGCCACAAAGAACAAAGGAATAAAAAAAGCAGGACTGGAATGCGGGAGGGCCAAACGGCGGTCGCAGTTGGGGAAATCCTCGTGATAAAAGAAAAATGAAGGCCAAAAACTGGGTGGGAAGAGAGGGCCCAGCTGGAAAGACGCAGCACACACGCACAGTACAGGCACACACAGCGGGCAGACAGACAACGGGGGTCGCTTGTCTCTCAGTCCCCAGTCAGCGGGAGGGACAGCGCAGGTTGAGGCTTTGTTATTGTCTCCAGAGAGGCGACCAGGATGGGGTTGATGCGCTGGCGGTGCCGATGAGCCTGTCCAATGAGTGGTGTATGCTGGGGTGTGGTGGTTCCGCAGCACGGGTGTGCTAGCGTGCGAGGGGCGTGCGTTGAATGACGACGGCCGATGACAGAATGCGACAAAGTTGGATGTCGGTGATAAGGGCCTTGGTTTTATGCGTGCTGTAGAGCAATGATGCTTGTTACGAGTGAACTTTTGGTGATGAAGACGACAAGTTCTTCTCCAAAATGTCTTGCTTGTCCCAAATTTTCACTGCTTAGCTGCCGGCCCGGCCAGCTGGCAGCCATCTGGTCAGTGTGTCGCACACTGCGGGTGAGACGAGTTGGCAGACACAAGCGATGAGACGAACGTGCAAAGAGCCGCTCGAAAATGAAACTGTGCAATTGTAGACAGTGCTGTTTTGGGAGAACAGGGCACTGATTGGGTAGCAATCGCGATGTCGACCAAAGCCTGTGTGCCCTGTTTACTACATTGTGACGTTGAGTGTCGTCCAATACATCGGTATCGCGTGCGTCTGCGAACCGCTGTATCGTTACGTCCCAGCTAGGCGGTTCAAGAGGCAGCAATAGCACATCACACCAGATGTGCTGGATTGGCTACCAACGTGGCGCTTAGCCCGTCCCTCTAAAATTACTCTACTTTGTATACACGCCTTGTCTACTTTTCCCCTTTCTTGCGCCAGATATCTTTTTCACTTTGGGGGAGTTGCTTGGCCAAATCCAGAAGGGGGCGTGCCGGCAAACGTGGGCAGACCCGCTGGCTGAGCGGCCCCGCTGGCTGCCATGGTAACCAGGCCCGTGGATGTTTGGTGGCTTCAGGCCATCTTGGACGTTTCGGGAGACGAGCATGAAAATCTCCTTGAAAGAGAAGAAGAAAATCCCGGAGTGACGATGATGCAAGATGGAGGAGAGGTCGTTGGTCGTTGAAAAAAACGAAAATATCCACTCTCGGCAGTGAAGCCGCAGCTCAGACAATAGGAGTCCGCATTCCGTGTGCTGCAGCATTCCAGTACATCGGTAATTAAGTATTATAGAGAGATGCCAGAATACCTGACTCAAATACAGTCGGAAGAGACAGCTTAATAATGAGAAACGCAAGGTTTAACATATAAATTTCTTCATGCCAAATTTATGTTGATGCAAAGCCATCATCTACACTGTCTGTCGGTTCAATATCCTGTAGGGTACTCTCATATCAACGAGCTACACGCTGCCTTCAGCTAAAGAGAAAAGAAAGCAGCCATCTGCCGGGTCCCAAACGCCACTCTCTCTAAAAATCATGGAAAACAAATTTCAACGCCCCTGTAATACACATAGCCCATTGCCATAATCACATCTCACCTATCGACGGTCTGTTGTAACCGCGGGCGGCGGCACCGTCGGCTCGGCAGGCCGCTCTGCATATTCGGGCGGCATGGCTCCGTTTTCCATATCTCGAAGTTGCCTTGGAACATGCTCTGCAGGATGTGCAGCAGCTGTAGCAGTAGCAGCCGCAGCGGGAGCATCGCCAGTCGTCTCGGTAGCAGCACCAGCACCAGCACCCGGACTGGCCTCAGTGCTGCTGGCTTGGGCCGCATCTCCCCCGGCGGGATTCGCATTGGCCTGAGCGTTTGCTGCTGCTCCAGCCACTGCGATCCTCTTCAATTCATAGGGCGGCGGCGCTTCGCCCAACTCGTTGAGCCCCTCATTCGATCTCATGCCCCCCCACACGTTCCACCTGCCCTGGCCCAGTACTCGTCGGCCTCGGGGATAGAACATGAGGTTCCCATCTGGAGCTACAAGGCGCTCGCGCGGCCAGTCGTAGTAATTATCGGAGGGGCGTCGTCTTCGCCGGTGGCAGTACCATAGACAAGAAACGAGGCAGCATAAAAGAAAGACGGCGGCAAGCGGGCCGATGACACGGATGAGAGAGTCCTGGCTAAGGCCGGGGTCTGGCTGAGTGTTCATAGCGGCGGCGGCATGTGTCGTCACGGTCGACGGGCGCAGATGCTTGTATTATATTTCATGTATATTTTTCTCTTGGAGTACTTTAATTGTGTCACCTCCGGTGGTAGTGGAAGAGCTTTGAGTTGCTTCTCGTTTGTACGCAGACGGTGGTTGGGCTCGAGAGCGGAAGTGGCGGAATCCGACCAAGAGAGCTCGGCTCGTCAAGGTGTTGAGCGTCGGAAGCGGTGGGCGGTTACGGAGAGAAATTAAATGTCGGAAGCAATCGTAGTAACAAAAAATCACATTGCAAAAGACGAAGGAGACGATGATGATGATGCAAGAAAGGAAAACGGCTGGTGGCAACAAGATTTGTCTTTTTGTCTTTTCTGAGCGGGAGGGAAAGGCTCTCTCCTCGTCTCTGGATTTGGAATCTTGAACAGCGTCATGCACGCTAAAGTGCCCAAAGACGCACTGCGGGGGTGGGCACCTTAGCGCGGATGGTCCGCTGAGCCAAGGCCCAATGCGGCATCGGCACCAGCATCCCAGCCTCTAAGATAGTGGGCGATGACGCCAGTAAAAAAAGAAAAGGCCGGGGGGAGGGGGAAACCAACAGAATTATATTTGAAGCTGATGAAAATGAAAATATTGGATTTTGTGATAAAAAGCGGGCATTTGGAGTAATTATTAACCAGCAATAATTAATTTGGATGAATAATCTATCCACCGGCATCTCTATCCTTTGAACGGAGCTACGGCAGACACAAAATAGGCTGTCTGTATATACCCGGCGTGGCGCTGTATGGATGCAGTAATTCGAAACCACCGTTTCATCTCGTCTAGAAGGATAAATAGAATAATAATAAGCAAAATTCAATTGAATTTAAGGAAGCAAATAGAAGGCAGAAGCTTATATGATAAAAGTTTTGACTTTTTGTCTCTTCATTAATTACAAATCTAAATAATAGCTATGCATGTGCAAAAAACCCCGCTCGTCTATGTAAAATGTCCCATGTCGTTCGTTTCCTTATTCATCCAGAGCACCGCTGCTCATATTCGTATAATATAAAACAATGCAAGTAAAAAAAAGAGTATTAGTTCCTAAGCAAGTCGTAAAGGTGACTGCTTAAAGGAGGAGCTGGGCAACGAGGCCGGCAGCAATGGCAGCAAACGCGCCACCAACAGCCAGCTTGGTAGAGCCGGAAGCAGGAGGAGGAGTGTTGGTGGGAGAAGTGCCAGGGGCAGTAGTCGAGCTGTTACCAGGAGCAGCAACGGTAGATGTGACGATGGTAGAAGGAGCACCAGTCTGAGAGGTGACAGCGCTGCTGGAGGCGGGAGGAGGAGTAGAAGAGGAAGCAGGGGGGGCGGCAGAAGAGGATGCGGGAGGAGGAGCAGAAGAAGAAGAGGGGACAACAACAGCAGAGCTGGAAGCAGGAGGAGGAGTGTTGTTGTTGTTGCCGCCGCTGCTGCTACCACCAGTAGCCTTCTTTCCGTCGACAAGGATGCTCTGCCAAGTACCAGAGCGGTCGCCGTAGGTGTACTCCTTGACGCCGCCGTTGCCAGCGGCATTGCCACCAGCATAGTCGGTGATCGTGATGCTCTTGTAGTAGGCGTTGAAGGGGGCCTTGGAGAAGTCGGTCAGACCACCAGCCCAGTCACGGGTACCAGAAGGAGAAGTAGGAAGGCCAGCGCCCCAGGTACCGACGCGGATGCGCATAGGAGTCTGGGGGAAGCCGTTGCCGCCAGCAGCAGCGTCGGCAGGTGTAACGGTGCGGACAAGCTTGTTGTCGACGAACCACTTGATGGCGTCCGAGGTCCACTCGACCGAGTAGAGGTGCGAGGTGCTCATGGCGTTGGCAACGGGGACCTTGATCATGCGGTTGTAGGTGGCAGTGTTGCCCTTGGCAAAGTAGTTTGACTGCGCGTTGCTAGTGTCGGCACCGACAAACTCCCAGTCAATCTCGTCGAGGCAGTCTGACTCAAAGACGATGCTGGTCACGATACCGGCCTCAGGAGCAGCCTGGAGCTGGACGTCGACACGGCCAAAGAAGATGTACTTGTTGGACTCGATGGTAGGCGCCTGGGTGGACGAGATGGAGAAGACGGCGCCCTGGCCACCGTAGGTAAGCTGGGTGCCCGGGACAAGGCTGAAGGCATCGCAGGCGCCCTTTGTGAAGTCGCAGTTAACAGAGGTACCCAGAGCAGGATCGGCAGGGCAGTTGGTCTTTGTGGGATCGCAAGAGGTGGAAGTCTGGGCAGACGCGAGCGAGGCGCCCATGGCGATGACCGCAACGGCGGTGGTTGAGAGAGACTTGAAAGCCATTGTTTATGAAGAAAAAAACGAAGGAAGAGAGGGTTTCTTGCAAACGAATGTAGATGCAAAGGATGATGGGGAAAAGAAAAACAATGGGAGTGTCACGGAGGACCAGTCTCTCTATATAGACAGCACATCACCAGTTCCTGGTGCCTTGCCCTGCCCCTCCTGCCACAGGTCTTACACGCAGCCGGCTAAACGACAGACACCGTATAGAACCAAACGGAGAAAAAATACGAGTGGCTCACCTGCGCCCGTTGCGTGTTGCCACCAGACCAATGGAGCCCAGTGATGCAATCGGACGCGCTAAGACATGCAGGGCCCAAGAGACACAGCCACTCCTAATACGAAGAGAGCCAGTCACAGAGCGCAAACAGCTTGTGAGTAGGGCCAGGGAGAAGGATGCCCCCCGCTACGTTACAGTCCGGAGCTAACGACGGGGCGTTTATGCAGAGAGATGGCGTTTTTGCTGCACGTATTTTTAGCACCGCCTGCTGGGCCAACGCTGGCCAGCCCCGTCTTTTTTCCTTCTACCAATGAATTAGGCAATCAGCCGATCAGCTTAGCCGGCAAAGGAAAGAGGCGCAGGGTCTTTTTTCTTTTTTGCGTGAGGGCATGACGATGTCGTGACTAAGTAACTAAGTGCCCGGCCCGGCTGGCTGCGGTCCGCACACCGTGACGGGAACAGAAAGGGAAAAAAAAAAAGGGTCTCGCCTTTTTCTTTTCCCTTTGTGAGACAGAAATAGAAACAGGCGAGCAGGCCCGGCGATGCTGATGGTCGGGTTTCAGAGGCATCAGGCTTACCGCATTCCAGTCGTGCTGTTTGCAGAGCGCGTCGTGTCTTGGAAATCTTCCGATACGTGTAATTACAGGAGCACGGGTTTAATGAGTTTTGGTATAGATATTGAAGAAAAAAGAAGCAAAGATGTTACAAGATAATATTGGCTGAATACACGCGGATATATCAGTGCCGTGATGCTGTGCCTGCTACGTCATCTTGGCAGAGATAGATATGGCGCACGGCTAAAGATGTTTGTGGGAAAACTAGGCCCATGCCGAGGAATCAGGCCATCAGGGGGATCGACACTGACTTGATCTGGGCCGTTTAAGATACCAAATGGGAAATTTGACTAAATACGTGGATTTTCATTATACTATGTACAGCATATGTATCGTGGTGGCATATTAAACACCGTCTCTGTTTTTGGCACGTGCCTAGTGCCAGAGACCTTGCCCCTCATTTCTTCTCATAATCATTTACTTGTTTGCTGTGCATGACGAGTTTCTTTCTTTTCCTTTTGTTTTTGTTTGTGGGTTCGACCGCGTTCATTATATAGCCAAACGCCAAGCACTTAGAGACTCATAAAGTACTTGCTCATCTCGGGGTACTTGGGAGAACCAAGACCAGAGGCGGGATCCCAGCCAGGAGTAGCATCGAAGCTGTTTCCGTTGCAGGCAGCGGAGTCGTCCTTGGCCATACCGCCGATGGTGACGTCGGTGAACATGGCAGTGTTCTTGTAGAGGGCAGGGTTGGCAAAGCCAATAGTCTTCTTACCAGCAGCCAGGCGGTTCTCGTTGATGAGGTTGAACATGGCGGCGACAACGGGGGCAGACATGGAAGTACCGCCGTTGGTGCCGGGCTGACCGTTGAAAACATAGGCGCCGTTGTTGCCAATAGCCGAAATGTCGGGGAAGCCACGGCCTGCCATGTTGTAGACACCGTTGCTGCCGTCGGCGGGGATGGTGCCGTCGGTGTTGTTGTAGCCCTGGAACGAAGGTGCATGGTTGGCCAAGAAGCTAGAGACGGCGTCGTTCTGGTAGTCGGGACGGACATAGTAGTTGGAGAAACCACCACCAGGGGAGAACTGGGTGAAGGCGACGTGCTCAGGGTCACCGGCGTTGCTACCAGAAGGAAGCTCAGTAGCACCGACAGAGGTCACGTAGGGGCAGCCTCCGTGGACGATGCCGGTGAAGACGGAGCCATCGCCGGAGCAGCGGCCACCGTGACCACCAGCAACACCACCGTCGCCAGAGGCAAAAACGATAGTGCTTCCCTGAAGACCGAGCTTCATGAACTCATTGCACTGGCGCTGAGTGTACTTGAGGGGCCAGGTACCCTCCTCAACACCGTAGGAGAAGGAGAAGACGTTGGAGGGCTTGAAGGTACCGCAGGCACGGCCACTGGAGCTGCCGTCGATGCTGGTGTCATCGCCGTCGCAGAAAGAGCCGTCAATGGCGTCAAGGAAGTGGTCGAACAGATCCTGGGACTGCGACTTGCTCTGGTAGAGCTCAGAGCCCTGGGGGTAGATGATGGGGAAAACCATGTCAAAGTCAAGCGCAGCCTCGCCTACAGCCGAGTTGGGGTTGGGCTTGGAGCTGCCAAAGTTCAGCAGGTCAACCTTGGGCCCGAAACCCTTGGGGATGTTGGGAGCGTAGTTCTTGTAGAAGATGTCCAAGTCCGACTGTCTGTACATTTCGTCGCTGTCCTCAAACATACCCAACTTGTTGTTGGGGTTGGCGGTAGTTGGCGCATCGGCAATCTTGTACATGTCCTTGATGCAAGCAGGTGTTATAATAGTGCCACAGTCAGAGGATTGGCCCTGCGACTGGAGCTTGGCAATGGTATCAGCCGACAAAGGCTTTGAAGGACGGTTCTTGCGGATGGGGTTACCCTCCACCTTTCTCATCTTGTACATGGCAACACCAGGGGAGACGAAGTCAACGTGGTCAGCCACAGCAGCAGGTAAGTTGTACTTCTCAGTACCGAGGAACTGCTTGGCGGTGTCACGGCTCTCAAACACGTTGTACTTTGTGTGCAAAAGGTTCTCGAGCTTGCCAACGGTACTCTGGAACTCGACCCAGCCCTTGGACTTGGGGATCTTGATGGAGGCGGCGGGAACACCAGCCTCGACAAGCCACTTGGTGACGGCGTCGGCGGAGCCCTCGGCCGGAGCAAACTTCTCAGCAACTTGCTCGGCAGTCCAGTGCTTGCCATAGTTGGCAGAGTCGGGGTCGGAAACGTCCATTAGGAGGTCCATGCCCTTGTCCAAGTTGTTCTGCTTCAGGGCAATGCGAACCGGGACGACATTATCGAGAGCAGCACCGGCACGCTTAATCAAGTGAGGAGCGTTGCCAATGTTCTCGTGCTGAACGTAGTCGGCGGGCATGCCAAGTGCGGCAGCCACAAAGGCCGAGAGAAAAATAGCAGCCACCTTCATGGCTGTCAGGGATAATGTGAGGGTATAAGAAATAATTAGACTGAAGTTGGGAGGGCTGGCTGAAGAGAAGAAGCTGTCGAAATAGCAGGCCCGGGCTGTTGTCTTTTATAGCTGCGATCGATGATATTAGACCGCCCGAGTTTGATAAGTGAAGCCATTGTGGGGGACGACATTATTGCCGGTTGTTCAAACCCACCAACAATACGGTGGATTCATGCCCTCGCTTAGCGGCGTTTGTGCCTTGGTCGTCCGCCCCGCGATCCAAAGTTCCTCACACGATACTACCTACCCCATTGGATATCTCCAAACTCAGCAACTCGCTATACCACCACGTAATGATGTGCATTACTGGCCCCCGCGGCCTTCCATTCGCAGCCTAGCCCAGCTTCCAGCCGTTATCCGTTGCTGAACTTTTGTATGCCGTGGAATAATCAGGAGACAATGCAACTGTGCGCGGAAAGGACGGCCATAGCGTCGCTGGGAGAGCGGAGCCCAGTCGCGGTGCCGATTGCCCGTTCAGGAAGCTAGCTAATATGGCGTTTCATCTTGACATCCTATCGTACGCGGGCACGCCAAACTGGCATCTGCAATACTCCGCACGACGCTGTCATGGGGCTATCTGGTAGCTCGTAGCGAGCTGATACCCTACGTCAAACTGACACTGCCGGCTTGGCTCGCGATATTCACCGATGGAGGCTGGGCTTGGCAGCGACAGGGCCGCTTTGGGAACGCTACCACTAGATGTCGAAGCTGCACTAGAAGCACCAGGTTAGATGCCGACATTAAACTATACTCTAGGCCCACAGTCGCGCTTTTCCTTTTTGCCGGACATGTGCTTACCCCAGAAACCCCCTCACGGCTTTTATGTAGTAGATTCGGCATAATATCAATACGAAGCTTAGATAGCGCCGCCCCGGAAGTTTGACCTGAACCTTGTTTGTTGGCACGTGCTGCAGATCAACCGGCGGGCCTATTCAGTAGGTGGTGGCTGAGATTCCCTAATCGGACGACTGCCGTAGCGACCTTAGCAGTACAGGTACACGAATTGGTGCTGAGATGTCCGCCATCTGCTTGTAAAAGATCAGCCAACCAGGTGGTAACGTTCCCCCAACGCTACCATTGAATTATACGTCGCGTTAAACCGACCATCGCCGACCTTGATTGCCGTTTATAACCCGTCGGCCATGATCCGGTCTCCGTCTCGAACATGGTGTTTGGGCTCTCTGTCAGTGCTCAGTAGGATTGTGTTGTGAAATCGCGCTTGCACAGTATTGCTTCATATAACAGTGATTGCATCCTGCCTGTGATTTTCGTCTGTATCATTGCACGCCAAGTCGACAGCTAATCAGATTCACTCTATGGTATAATGGCAATCAACGCCTGCTCCAGATTCTCAGCCACAGCCACCATCTCTGCCTTACGTCTTACATCGTGTTTGTCGTTGCCATCAGAGCTGTCTCGGTATCACTGAAATATCAACTTCGATAATTTGACACGATAATAATTTTCGTATTTGATGAAATCCTTCTCTAGTTCCGTTCGGAGCTATGATAGTGTAAAAAAGTTGAAGGTGGGACTTGTTGGGAGAAGCTTCAATGTACATTCTGTACCGCGTGGTGGTGCCCCGCACCCTGGTGGATGCTGCGCGTTAACCTGTAGTTTGCAATCCATGCTTGTCAACCCAATACTGCCGAGCTGTATGCAGTGCAAATCGCCCAATGACGACATGAAATCAATCTGAAATGTCTGGTAATATTTTAAGGCATGCCTTCTAACCCAGAAACTGGTCCCAATGGCGGGACCATGGCCAATCTCACGACTGCATTTCCAACATCCTTTGTATATGTTCAGTTCGATCCTAACAGCAATGAGAAGCGCAAGAACGCCAAGAGCCACGCAGTTCGGCAGGGAATTTTAACCAAGAGACAAACTCAGACCAGAGACGGCAACAATTTTAAGCATTATTCACCCTCACCGGCACGGTTGCAGTGGGAGCCGTTTGATGTGCTGCCTGTGCCTGGGTCGCGGCTCAAGAGGCTTTTAAATACCCGTGAGTCTCCATTCTCTACGTGAAACAAGGATTTTTTCTTTTACTAAAACACAATTTTCAGCTATCGCGTCTCGATTGGTAGAACCCGTGTTCAGCTTGGAAGGCGACAACTCCTTTCTAAGCTACCAGACGGTCTTTCGCACTGGCTTTCAAGATGAGGCCCTACCGCATGCTCTTATGACGCTTTTGACGCATCAGCAACCATCTAATACCGACCACTACAAGCATAAGAGTGCCGCAATCGGCGTTATCCAGCACCGTCTTGCTTCGACCCAGACTGCTGTGCTTCCGTCCACCATTGGTGCTATTCTCATGCTCGCCAGTGTAGAGGTAACCGCCGACGCGTCTCATGTTTCTTGATTCAATCTAACAAGTCTTTGTAGTGCCATCTAGAAAATATATCCGGCGCGGAGACGCATCTAATTGGCGTCAAGAATATCCTCGCCCTGGCGGATAAAACCAAAAGCCACCTACCAGACCAGCTACGACGAGCCATCTTCTGGCAAGACTTGAATTCATCGCTGCTTATTGGTACGGCGCGTGTTTTCGAGTGTGCATATTTTATTGATTCCCCGCTGCCAACTTCGAACACACCGAAAAATGTGCCGCATGGGTTTCAGAGACAACGTCACCAGCTAGGCGACGATTTTGTTGGTGCTGTCTCACAGCTCATGGAACTCGAAGCCACTTGCCAAAATGCTGATGCAAAACACGACGCTGCCACAATGGCTACCATTGATGATCAGCAGGCTCTTATTGAAGACCGTTTATATCATTGTTGGAATAAGGCTAGGACTACTGCCAACACTCTTCTACAAGCATGCGCGCTTGCTGCGTACATTTGCACATACATGATGCATACGGACATTTGGCAGAATCACAGAATCCCCTCTGCATGCGCGTTTAAATTACTTCAGCTCTTAGAAGCCCAAGATTTGGCCGTCTACCAGGATGTGTACCTCTGGCTACTGGTCATTGGTGGCACGCTTTCTACGCCGGACGTCCAGCAGCGATATACAAAACTTTGGCAGACATCGCTTGATATTAAAAAAAGCGACTGGAAAGATATCGATGCGACTTTACAAGGATACATATGGCCTCGCAAGATTTCAAATATGTGCAAGGCTGCCTGGAGAAAGTTCATTCCATGAATTCATTACAACATTATATCTACTACTGACTATACTTTTGCAACCACGCAATCATGGCCTTGACACCCACCTCGAACTGCTCTCCAAAGTACACCGCCAAGTGGTGTCCCTGCAAGTCCACAAACTCCTTGGGCTCAGCCATGGTCTTGAAGGTCTCAACCTGTGTGGCGTATGAAGACGCAACGGGATCATCTGTCGCTGCCAGGAGCAACACTGGAGTAGGGCTGATCTTGGGGAAGTATACTCCGGGGCGAGCCTTGTAAATCGAGTGCAGCGATGTGATGGCGACTTTGTTGTCAAACTTGTTTCCGCCCTCTTCGGTCAACTTGAAGGCACCTTGCGCCCAGTTGTACGCCGTGTCGTCCGACAGCATAGACTCGCCCTTGCCTGTGCGATCAACATCCGACACTGGCCAAAAGCGCCAAAAATCGGCCTTTTCGTTGGCTGCGTCGCGACCAAGTGCACGCGTTTCGGCATACTTTTCATGCAAGTACGGAGGCCAGTTGTTGTAGTCGTATTCGCCACTCTGCGAGGGCATGGTTAGGATGACACCTGAAATACGGCGATCAAAGGCCGCAGCACTAAGACATGTTAGCGTTGAGAAGTGGAAGGCGACCGACAGAATCAACTTACGTTCCTGCGGCACCGCCAGAGTGGCCAATACCCCAGATAAAGACCTTGTCAGCGTTGACGCCTTCAAGGGTCTTGACAAATGTTACAGCGGCCGAGTAGTCATCAGCCTGCGCGTTTAAATCGACTTCGTTGCGAGGAGAGCCTTCAGAGTGACCAAAGTTGCGGTGGTCGTAGGTGAGGGCGTTGAAGCCAGCTTGCTGGAAACGCGTGGCCCAGTTTTGCAGATAATGCTCCTTGAGCAGTGCAAGACCTTGTGTCAGAATGACCGTGGGCGCATTGGGTGTTTCTGTGCGGAAGAGGTTGCCGCGGAGGAGCAGGCCGTCGTAGGCGGGAAATTCGACGCGGGTCCAGGCTGCCATGGTGAAGTCTGTGTGAGGTTTAAGGATGGTGAGGATTATAATTTAGGAATGATAGGTGACGTCGGAGAGCTACATATATATAGATCTAGACGCGTGATTTATGATTAGGAATCGAAGAAGCGATTAGCTTGGTTTGTAAGGCCATCTATGAAGCTATTCCCAAATAGGTTGTAGGTAGTTACCGAATTGGGAAGGACGGCAATCGTAAATCTGGAGCGTCGATTAGAAATGCATCTGGGAAAATTATGGCGCCGCCTATGACTGTGCAATTTCACCATCGTGAACAATTTCTCTATGAATAGACAACCCAAATCACGGTGAGCGCGTCGAATGAGTCTTTCGGATGCAGGCAGCCGGCGAGAATGACACTGTCCAATGATTTGGGAACAACTCGCATAGAGCAGAGTCCAACCTCCACAACTGTATGCGGCTGACCGAGGAAACCCCCGCGACATTACGGCGCTGGCAGCCCTCTCTCTCCTGTTCACCATGAAAATTCTTCAAAATCACAAATCATGACAGAATTTTTCGAGAAGAAAGGGCCTACCGAGCTCATTGTCCAGATTTTATCTCTCTGCGACTCTGTCCAAGACTGTATATCGCTGGCTCTCTCATGTCGTCGCATCGCAGCTATTTGGGCGGACAACGGCACTGGTGCTGGTATTGCCTGGCAGATAAAGCTGCGAGATGCTCCTAGTATTGATGATGCTCTTGTTGCTGTGAGTCTTCCAATGCTGACTATTGAGGAACCCTGCTTCTGACAAAATATAGATCCGCGCAACGCGGCTCGTGATTGAGGCTGAAGCGCAGGGTCAACCTGGTCCCAAGGACATCCCCATCGGTCCGCTGACAAAACAACAATCTCCAGCTAGTCTTGCAGAAGTATACGAGATATGGAGGCTGCATCAACTCATCTGCAAAGCAGAGACCGCGGTTCTTGGGTATCAATGCCCGTGCTGCCCTCCACCAGACGTTGCCTCTATCGGGGAACTGTCAGGAGTCTTTCCACTTGAGCTGCCAGAGCGGATGCCGAGAGTGCGACCAACGGTTCACAAGGCAATCTATAGGGGCTATATTCTATCGGCCGTGTTGGCAGGCCACTACAAAGAACCCTTGTTTGTCAGTCTAGCGACCGGCAAGCCCAGAGATGAGGTGATACGCATGCTCTGCTCGGAAGGGTATATTGAGCAGTTCCCAGTGCTCAAGCCCATCAACAGCCCGGACGAGGAAGAGGCCATCTTCTCTAAAACTGGCGAATGGATGCATAAACACATGATGGACGACGTGAAAGCCCGAGAAGCCATGGCACAGAGATTCGAGAGCGGCACCGGTCGTGCAACGCAGTGTCCTGGCGTGGACGAATGCCATGTTCACCTGTTAGACGGCGGAACTCATGCAGACGCTCACTATCTATTGTGGGAGCTAATGAAGATTTTCTGGGTCTGGGAGAGCGAGCTGATGCCGTCGCCTGCGGTCAAACTTCCACCAGAAGAAAGGCCAGTGCTACATGGACCAATTGCGCAGATGATATCGCCGGTCGGATTTAGCGCCTGCAAGATTGGCTTTCCAAATGAAAAAGGCAGCGAAGCAGATTTTGAAGCTCTTGCTCTGTTCCCCGATGAGCCTGAGAAAAGGAGCATCTGCTCGGCAGTGGTTAACACGATATACACGCACTCGGGGCTGCCCAACTGCAACACCCAGACTGAGGAGCAGGCCGGGAGCATGCAGACCAAGTTCTTCCATTACTTTCTGCGCCGGTATCTGGGACTACGATTTGTAGGCGGCTTCTTCTATGACATGGATGCCGAGATCAGCTATGTTGACTTTAGCTACTCGCTCAACATCTTTGCCTTGGACGACGTGTCTGGTCGGCGCTGCCTTCGCGCGGCGGAGAGCGCGGGGACCACAGGCTTAAACTCTGCCAATTTCTTAGATGGTTCTGAGATTATGGAGAGATATGATCCAGAAGTGACGTATCACTATGACAATGGACTTGATCCCGAGGGCAGAATCACAGTAACAGAATAGCATTCATTCTGGCGGTAGGCAGGGCAGGCAGCATTTCTGGGCATGAGCCAATTCTCGGCATATTTTAGATAGAAGATAGCAACATGCATTTCGAATACACCGTCCCCTGTAAATTCTCGCCCGGCTATAGTTGTTACTTTGCCAGCTGGCACCAGCTGGTGAAGCTGTCACTGGTCCCACGTGACCCTGCCTCAGTGAAGCTTTCATGCAGCATTCCAGCGAGGCAACCGGCGGACATGGTTCGGCATTACGAGGCAAAACCGCCCCGACCGAAAAAAGAGATCCGGGGGGATGGGATTCAGCAGCAATGGTTCGCGCACCCGTCGCCCCCAGAATCCCATCGAGGCAGTGCAATCGGGAGGGCCTCATCGCAACAATGACGTTGTTTGAATAGCAGCCTTATAGAGCAAAAACGCCGGTCCGGGAGCCCGCGCCCACCGGCCGAAGGAGGCAAAAGCGCACGCAAGGGCATCGTATCGGCGAAGGCGAGAAGGCCAAGCAATTCCACTAAAGAGGGAGGAACCCAGGACAGCGGCACCGTTGCCCAATCTGGCAGCCAAGGGAAGCTCGGGCCCGCCGCCTGTCGTCCCAGCGCAATGGGCTTTCAGGGCGGGGCACTGTCAGTGACATGCTAGCGAATAGAGAGCGCAAATGGCGGCTGTTTTAAAAGGAGAAAAATACAGGCTGGTTAAAGATGAAACATAATAAGCGAGACAAAATAGAGAATAATATTTTATAATGTTCTTTTTTTTTTCCTTTTTTTATAAAAAAAAGGTCCGGAGATGCACACAAACAATAGAGCCGTCAGCGTTACAGAGCATCAAGCAAACACAAACTGCACACTGCACGCTGCACACTGGGGGCCAATGCCAGGGGGACCCGGGGGGGCTTGGTTGACTCGCTTGGCGGGCCCTGCTAGCGCGCTTCTAGAGCGTCTTCTAGGCCCGGCGCTTCTCACGGCTATGGGGAAAATTCGCCCAGTGGAAATTGGGGTGTCAGCACAGAAGGACAAGCGATTCATGGGATATCATGGGGATGGGGGCAAACGAGTGCCGGGGGAATTTAATATCATCTTGCATTGTAAGTTACAATATGTTCTACAGTCTATCATGTGTGATGCTTGGGGTAACATTGGCGGGCGTTTTGGATGGCGTTCCTCTGAGCCAACTGGAAAAAGTCAGAAAAGCGGTGGGATCGTGTTTTTCCGACCTGGCGTTTTCGTTTTTCTATTTTTGTAAGCCACGAAAAAGCCGCATGTTGTCGGCAACCCATCTATACAGTATACTTTTGCTTCACAGTATGGGATGCTTTAAGCTCACTGCACTGGAATGTTTCTTGCGCCGTAGCGTAAAAAGGCTGTCGTCTATCTAGAGGCTGTCGTGTGTCTCATGCATTCCCGTCGGGTCGGCAGTCGCCGGTTGCGGTGCGCGGCCAAGACAGGCGGTGCCAAACCCTGTAAGTTGGCGGCTTTCACAGTAAGTGCAGCACTGTAATCAGAAAGCAAGCACCGCTTGTAGCGCCCTCTGCCTTATACTGGGAAATCCTACTGTGCACGCACGCCCTGCATCTCTGGGGACCGCGCCATCATGCAACCCAGCAGCGAACTCCGCGAGTTCGCAGGAATATGCTGCCCTGCTGCAAGCAAGCAAGACACGGCCGCCCCAGCGATCAGCACCGACTCCAGCTTTGCATGCTTGCATGCTTGCTTCTCTTTTCTCTTTGCCCTGATATGCCTGCCCGTTGCGAGGACCCCTGGACCCAAGTGCCTGTCTCCGCCGGCCTTTTTCCTGGGCGAAAAAAAGAGTCCACTGACTAGCATCGCCACCAATTTACCAGGGCCCGAGTAATGCGTCCCCTGCCCACCCTGCCCACTCTCCCGGCGACCGACCGCCTGTAATTCGCTGCTGGGCTTAGGCTTTCAGCGGCGGCAGCGGCCACAAACCCACTGTATCTCCACCGCCGGGCCCCCGAAAACCACCAATTGCCGCCTGCCGATAGTCAGCGCCAGACCCCGATAATCAGTTGGCAGCCTTCCTGCCCCCCCTCCTGGATGTCGCTGATGGCCCCCGCCCAATAAAACAGCTCGGCCGCCCAGCACCTTTGCCACCCACGCTTGTGAAAGCCGAGATCCTTTACTTCCAACGTCACCGCCCGCGGCAGCCTACGCAAGCAAACCGAAATAGATTGAATAAGAAGAAGACAAACGACAACCAGTCTTTTGTTTCATCTCTTGCACTGGCGCACGCATAACATCCTCACTTAGTTCGCCGGTTGCAGCACTTCGGCCCATCGCTCGACCAACACAACACAAAACACCACTCACACAACTTCACTCTGCTCGCCACATCATGGCCGCCGAGCTCATCATGCCTACCCTCCCTGGCAACCAGCAGCAGTCTCGCCATTTCCTCCACAACCGCCCAGTCCAGCACACACGGTCGCACTCCTACCAAGTCGCCCCCGCTCCTCTCAACACCAACCTTCCAGCTCACCATGCCTCTACGCCTCCCTCTCCCACACGGAGCGGCAGCATGACGCCTGGTGCTCGTCCGCTATACATGCCCGCGGTGCTGCGGCCCAACTACGAGTTCCCTCCGCAGCCGCTGTCCAAGTCCCCCAGCGCCAACTCCGACTCGGGCTCCGACACCACCCTGCGCCGCACAAACACAGGCCTGCTCAGCTTGACCGGCCTGGGCGCCATCGGCAACCGCCTCTCGCGCCGCTCTACCATGGAGAGCAGGAAGAGCGTCGAGGGCGAGTGGAATCTCGACATGTACCCAGAGGTCAGCAACCAGCCGACTCGTAAGCATTGGAAGGTAAGCAAGCAAGAAGAGCACGCGGGCACCAAGAGCAAGAAAGTTAACAAACCCCCAAAAAGCCCGATACCGAGTCCACCATTTGCGATGACGCTAGATGCTTCCGAACCTTCAACTATTTTACCCGCCGGCACCACTGCCGCAAGTGTGGCAACATCTTCTGTGACTCGCACTCCAACGCTACGCTCCCTCTGGACGAAGAGGCCAACTTCAACCCGCGCGCTGCCCCCTCGCGCACCTGCAATCACTGCTTCGAACAGTTCAAGTCGTGGCAGTCTCGCCGCAACAGCGAGTCTATCCCCTCTTCTACCGCTGCCTCGACCGTCACCCCGGCCTCTGCCGTCCCCAAGAACATGCGTAGCCCCGCCATGCCTGCCAACCCTCACATGGACAACTTCAACCTCCCTGCGGCAAAGGACGTAGCGGCTTCTGTCCCCCGCGACTGGAACTGGAGCACCTTCTGAAGAAGAGACCATCCTCCGCAATTACCGCTACTATTATCACGATACTACTCCCCCAACGGCTGCTTCCCGAACCAGCGGCTAAGGCCATGCTGCGCTCCGGCCATCCATCCCCCCGCACTTGTTGCGACGGCCACCACCTACGATACCCCGTTCATTCGAGAACAATCTGCTGCGAACCCAGCTCCTTTCTCGAGAGCATTGAAATATGCTCAGAACGCCTTTTTCATGTTTTTTGCTTCTTTTTTTTTTCTTACCACCCGTTTGCTGCTGCGTTTTGTCTTATCAGCGAAGCATAGCGATTACCACGTACGTACGCACGGGCCAGAGAGTGATAGCCGCTCTCCTTATCAGCGCCAGATGGTACCAGCATATACATCTACCAGAAGAATATTTGCAAGAGACGCAAACTTATATATATTATACGTAATGATGCAGTTAGTCTTATCTTTTTAGTAAGATATTTATTAGAGATTTTGAAGCAAATCCTTTTCCGACGCCGTGACTTTTAAACATCAATTCCATAAAGTATTAACACTACACCAAGGTAATCTATCACAGCCATTGGCAGTCAATCTGTACCATAGATTGGTGATCATGTAGATATAGTGACAACCACTAGTCCATCTCCCATCGGCCACTCTTACCACCATCCTTCAACACTACCCGCAGCCCTTCCACCACCATCCCCCGATCTACCGCCTTACACATATCATACACTGTCAAGGCCGCCATACTCGCCGCCGTAAGCGCCTCCATCTCTACGCCCGTCTTACCATCACACGCTACCGTCGCTACAACCTCCACCTTGTTCCCTGCAGGATCGAGCTCGAGATCCACAGAGACCTTGGAGATCGGAATCGGATGGCACAGCGGGATCAGGTCTGGCGTGCGCTTGGCTGCCATGATGCCCGCTATGCGTGCGACGCCCAGCACATCGCCCTTCTTGAGTGTGTTGGAAAGAATGAGTCCCGGGGCTGGGCTCGACTCAGAGAAGCGCACGGTGCATGCTGCTTTGGCGATGCGAGACGTCACGTTCTTATCGGAAATTGAAACCATGTGTGCCGCGCCCGACTCGGAGACGTGTGTAAGTTTGAGTGTGCCGTCGTCGTCTTTTAAACGTCGGGCAGAGGTTGAAAAGTAGCGCGTAGATGGGGAGAAAGTAGATGTTGGCATGGCGAAGTGGTTGGATAGCAGGGCCTTGCCGCGTGGCGAGATCGGGCCTGTTAGAGATGGTGGTGTGTTGTGGCCTACGTCACTGTTCAGCTTGGATATCTTATCACTTGTAGAAAATGATCGTAGAAAGAAAAAAACGCCTTTTTATATGCTGCGCTATGCTGTATGTAATGTCCGGAAATATACAAAACAAAGTAGACAACTACCCACCTATCAAAATCATGGGCCGGTTCTTCATGTGCTCCAGCGTTCCGAGGCCGGCGTGTTTAGCCTTTTTTCTCTTTACCGCCATGCCAATGACATCGAGCAGTTCCGCTTCGTTGGGTGGTGTACCAAGCGGTTGGCCAGTAAGTGCCGAGTTTTGCTGGCGCTCGGTTTTTAACGTCTTGAGCGCTTCAAACGCTTGTTCGTCAATGGGCTCGCCGTTGTTGGACTGGCGGAGAATATCTCGTAGGGAGACTTCGGCGTTGCCAAATAGACAGACCTTAAGATTTCCGTCGCTGGTAATGCGCAGGCGGTTGCAGGTACCGCAAAAGTTGTGTGTCATGCTGGTGATGAAGCCGAGGCGTCCCGCAAAACCTGGGATATGCCATGTCTTTGAAGTGTCGTTCTTGTGGTCTTGGACTTTGCTCAGCGTCGGGTGCTGCTCCCGAATCATATCCAGCATTTCGTCGTAGCCCAGCATCTTGCCCTTGCTCCATTTGTTGCCGTCAAAGGGCATGTACTCAATAAAACGGATCTCGAGGTCCTTTTCGCGTGTCAACTCAACAAACGGCAGGATTTCACGGTCGTTGACGCCACGCATGACCACGCAGTTAATCTTGAGTTTTACGCCGGCGCCCAGCTTGTTCATTTCCAGAATGCGGTCGATGCTCTTCTGCACGGCCTCGAAGCCCTTTCGCCTCGTCATGATTTGGAACTGCCACGGGTCCAGCGTATCCAAGCTCAGGTTTATCCCCGTGAGCCCCGACTCCACCATGCTGTCGAGCTTTCTATGCAGCGAGATGCCGTTTGTAGTAATACACAGCTCCTTCAGTCCATGGCTTCGAAGCGAGCCGATCTGACTCATCAGCGGCAGAATGTCGCTGCGCACTGTCGGCTCGCCGCCTGTGAGCCTAATCTTAGTAACGCCCTGCGAGACGAAGCTGGAAGACAGCATGACAATTTCTGGCGTTGTGAGAAGGTCGCGGTTCGGAGAAAGAGGCACGCCCTCTTCGGGCATGCAGTAAAGGCAGCGCAAGTTGCACCGCTCGGTGATGGAGATGCGCAGGTAATCATGCTGCCTGCGGAAGTTGTCGGTAAGGAAGTCGGAAAAGGGTTTCGCATCGCGGATCTTTTCTCTCCGTGACGGTGCAAGTTGAGTCTGTGTATGTGATTCGGTAGAGGGAGTTGCTGCTGCTGCTGATGTTGCAAATCGCCGCCTTGTAGTGGCGTGCCTCGTGCAGCTGGTGCGGGCGACGAGGCCTGCCCTCATGCTCTTCATGGCGACGAATGTGGTGATGTTGGAATTAATACATTTGATAATAAATACAATCGGTAATGAGCAAGATGTGGTGCAGTATCGTTTCAGAACAAGCAGACAAAATGGATGTTGGAGATGTTGGAGAAGAAGAAAACGGATTGCAAATGGCAGCAGCCTCAGTAGTTGGAAGGGCGCAAGTTTACAGTGGAGCCCCCCGCTGCAGCTGCGACGTCGTGGCCGGAGAGGGGCGAGTGCCGGCACCGCGGTTTCCGCTACTGAACCACAAAACACTAACGGCAGACCCCGCCATATCATGCACGTGTCGCGCGCCTTTCCAGGTAAATAAATTTCCAAGATATCCAGAACAAATATCTCGTTGTTCTACATACCAAGCTTCATATGCTAACTATTTTGTTTCATTTTTAACAGTTGCGCCGCTCTGCAGGCAGAGCCCAGACGGCTCTCTCGTCGCTAGCCTCAACGCGTCCACCGTGACCGTGATATCAACACAGTCGCTGCGCACCAAAAACACCATCCAGCTACCTGCAAGTCTTTCCAAGCCATTCTCCAGTTTCGCTTGGTCGCCCTCATCGAAATACCTCCTCGTGGCCGGCCCTGAGCAGATTTACGTCTTCTCCGCGCTCGATGCTTCCTTCAAAGCCGCCATTGATAGTCCCGGTCTCGGACCCGGTAAGGCGCCGCTTGTGAAATTCGGGGCGCGCGATAGCGAGGTCATTGCTTGCTCTGCAGTGGGCCTCAAACTCTCTATATACGACTTATCCTCGTCCAGAGCCGTCGATGTGGCAAACCCCAAGTTTCATCACCCAGGCACAGCTTCCAAAACATTCGCTATTCGCCCAAAGACAGGCGACCTCGTCATATTATCTCGCACAGCGGGCAAAGATGTCATAAGTATCCATGATCCGGTGACGCGCGAGGTCCAGCGCTCTTGGAACGCAGACTCGGTCGACGCGCAGGGCGTGCTCTGGACACCTAATGGCGAGTGGCTCTTACTCTGGGAGTCTGCAGCCCACGGGCACAAGTTATGGGTCTACACGCCAGATGGCGAACTATTCCAGGATTTAGACGCTGGTGTTCTCTCACAACCAGAGAATCTCGACCTTGCACCGGGCATCAGACTCTGTCAACCTAGCCCGCTGTCCGATCTCTGCGCCATAGCAGACTACTCAACGACCATCAACATCATCAGCACTGCAAAATGGCGGCGTGAAATAGCACTCACACATCCGTCTACCATTGAGCCCACGGATTCTCTCCAAGTCTGGCAGGAACAGCTTGGCGTATCTCCAGATGGCCAGCCAACATGCACATTTGTCCGCGCGACACAAGCCATCTCGCCAGGTGGTCTTGCAGATAGCAAGGCATACTCAGCGGCCGCGGCAGAACTCAAGACTGGATGCGTTTCTGCATTATTCGATGTTTCTTCTTCACTTCTCGCCACAAAACTGGAGGATGCACCGAGCACTCTCTGGATATGGGACCTCTCAACTGCTGAGCTCCGCGCCGTGTTAGTCTTCCACTCACCCGTCACTTTCTCATGGCATCATTCGTCGCGCGAGTTGCTTTTGATCTCCTGCCAAGACGACACACGGCCCGGAGTCTCTTATCTGTGGGATCCTTTGTCACAGGGGCCTTCGACACTGCTGGCGGACGACTACTTGCTTCGCAAAAAGCCGTCCACAACGCCTGTCAAGCCACAAATAACATGGCTCAACTTGAAAGACCAAGATCCTATTCTGTTTCTTTCCAATGATCAAAATGGGCGACTATTGAGTTTACTAGATGATGATAAGGAAATGAGCCTGTGGAAGGACGACGATGGTGAAGATCAGTCCACTGTGGACGACACCTTTGCCTTCAAAATTACATAGTTGATCTAATATCTACGAAGGATCACCAAGAATCTAGAGCTTATCGGATTCTCTAAAAGCTGCATCGTGGTATTTTTCATTATAAGTTGTATGTATATATGTCATGACTCTAAACGCTACAATCAAAAAGCAGAACCGCCTCCATTTTAACCCCCAAAGTTCATCTTTAGTGCAATCGTCGGCTGACCATCGTCGTCATCACCATTGTCGTTGTTTGCGGCCGTCTGTCTGCCAGACTTGATGACTTGTTCCAACAGCCCGCGCTGCGCTGCGCTGAGCGAAGCCACAACACTTCTAAAGGTATTCTGGTCTGCTTCTGCAAGCTCCAATAGTCGGGAACTTGTCTCACGATACAGTCCCTCGCCTTCGGCAGTGGCCCGCGTCATGAGCGTCGGGATTACCAGGCTCATCGCCGCAGCCTTCTTGTCCTTGTCTACAACGCCAACATACAACGCGAGCGTGTGAGCGACCAGAGATCTTGCCTTTTCCGGGTCTTCAGCCTCCGTGTCTGTAACAAAGGCAATGAGTCGGGGAATCAAGTATCTCGATATCGTCAAATCAGCCGCTGTTGGTGATGACTGTAACAGGAGAGATCGTACACAGTTGGCAGCAATCTTAGCAGTCTAGATAGCATCTGTTAGTATAATGTAGATTAAAGTCGGCATAGAGTGTGTATCTTACCATTCGGTCGTTTAGACACTCAATGAGTTCATCAAGATATCTGGCCACTAGGGGCTCTGTCGCTCCGAGATAATTCCTGCCTCCAGTGAAGAGGATGGTTATAGCAAGCAGCGAATTTCTAACGCAGAGCAATGCGTTATCAGCCTCTCGTTTTTGCGCATTCAGGTAGATGGAAAGGAAACGGCGAAGGCAGCCCAGCAGCTGCGTGTCGGTAGCCACCGGTCCATCCTGTGTTTCTCTCGGCGCATCCGACATGCTGGTGACGAATCTCTTCAGAATGGCAAGCGATTGTGGCGCAATGAGCTCTTGGCAGGATGGAGTGGCCAAGATAGTCGCAAAGATGTGGATAATGCAGGCGTGAAGATCAGTCTTGATGATGGAGGGGAATACTTCAGCGGCATCTACCAAAGCCTCGAGCGACGTCTTGACCAGAAGGATAGCCTCTTCGTTCATCTGATGACGCACAGGTTGGTTACCCTCAGCTAGGTTTGGCAGCATGCCCGAGAGAACAAGGACAATAATGCGAGTCAGCTCAAAGAGCTGGTCAATGTCCTCTGAGAGATCACCCTCCTCTGTCGAATGACGACGTGCAGAAGGGTGAGTAACACACATGGATCTCGCAATGTCAACAATAACCTTTTGCACATCGAGACCTTCTGTGAGAACCAGGCGGTCAAGGAGATCCATGCTCTCAGCGAATACATCAGGTCTGTAAATCGCGTGGCCAGAAACACTCGGGTGCAGAATCTTCTTGAGAGCTTCCAAGATGGCAAGCATCTGCTCCTGTGTAGCTAACGAATCGGTTTGGCCAGGGCGAATTGCCAGAGCCTCAAAGGCCAGTCCAAACAGCACGAAGAAGAACGCAACTGGTTCATCACGGTAGTTGATTCCAGACTTGGACTGACCATTGGTGTTGAGGCTTGTTGCTTCCTTTCCATCTAGAGCATCAAAGACAAACTCACTGTCCTGCTCGATGAGACTAGCAATGGCGTCGACAAGCTTAAGCCAGGCGGCTTGGTAGAATCGTAAGAGGGTCTCACGGTTAAGGGCCGCGTAAATGGAGTCCAGGCTGCCAGACAGAGATGGTGGGCCTAGCGTCATGGAAATATCGGGCTCGAATCTCAAGCGCGCAAACTCACGCAATGATTCTAGCCACAGTGGTGTGAGGCTTCCAATGTGCGGCTTCAAGACTTCCAGCAGGTACTTTTGCTCACTGCTAGCAACTTGAAGCTCAGCCCATGCGGAAAAGACAGAGATCTTGATCATGGTTTGTGCGTTGGAACTGAGCCCTTTCAGGTCTCCGATACCTGCATTCTCAGTCTCTGTGGAGAAGTTCTCGAGAGCGCTGACGAGTGTCTTCAGAATACGGCCCATTCTGTCTACATCCGTAACAATCCCAGTGGCAATGAAGCTGGCGCAAACGCTGACAGCTTCCGAAGCAAGCTCAGGAGATGAGTCTGCGGCAAAGGCTGGTGTCAAGGCAGAGCTGATCTGCGCTTGGTACTGCTCAAGAAGCATGGCTTCTTCAAAGTCAGGGTCAGGAGTCTTGCCAAACATCTTAAGCACAACACCGATAATCTTCAGGCCCCAAATACGCAGCTCCAGGACACTCGAGGTCGAGGCAGAGAAGGCCATGCGAACAACATCAGCAATCTTAGCCTGCAAAGCAGTTTGGGCAATAGATTCGCCGTTTGCCGCAACATCCTTGGCTACAATAGCAAACATGTCGAAGATACATGAAATGGCAAAGGTGCGAACTTGCCAGCGAAGTGGCTCGGCCTCTGAAGATGCTGCGTTGGGTGAATCATCTTTGGTGCTACCAGCAAATCCAGCGACTTCTTCATCTTGAAGATCTGGCATGCCCGATGCAGAGGCAACAGCATTTGCGCCTTGACGCTGGAGCTTAGGTCGAGTCATCTTAAGAACCTTTTGGAATAAGTGCAGCCAGAAGCCAGTCTCTGTGAGGCAGGTCTGGTGCATCCAGTTGCGGATGATGTTCTTTGTTGTCTCCTGCTCGGGATTGGCATCCAGAAACAGCCAGAACTGGTCTTCGAGACCCTCATTAGCAGCCTCGAAGACATCCTTAGGGTTACGCTTCATGATGTTGTAGAGTCCGTCAACAGCAATCTCCTGTATCGTGGCCTGATCCGACATAAGATAGCTTTGCAGACGCTTAACGTAGTCTGCGAAATTCATTTGGCCAGGCGCATAGAGGGACAGGTGTTCCAGGCAGGCTAGTGCTGCTTTCTGAACAGCGGGCTCATCCGACTTTTGGAACTGATCTACCAACGTGAAGATGAGCTCTCTTGACTTGTTTGCTTCCTGAAGATCAGGACCAAGAACATTGATGAGTGAATCAACGCATTTGGCCAGAGCAGCTACAGTAGAGAATTCAGCTTCGAGATTCATCGATACAGTCGAGGCAATCTCGGTATGATGAGTTTCGGAGACGAATAACTGCGCCAGCATGCCGAGGGTGCTTGGGACATAGCCAGCAAAGCTGAGCCCGGCAGCATCAGACGCCAAAGACAGTGCCTCGAGAGCCCAATAGTGCACAACAGGGTGAGGGTCATTGCAAAGAGACATGAGAATACCCAAAATAGTCTTCAAGTGGTATCCCGCAGCCATGCCTCCGACCTTGGTCTGGATAGCACCAAGAGCCATCGCACAACCAGCTCTGGCACTAGGTTCACGGTTGCCCACGATTGTGTCAACAAGGTACTTGATTTCGGTATTGGTGAAAGCATTTCCGTAGACGTTGCATAGTCTGGCAACTGAGGCATAACCCAAGCTGCGAACATACTGGTCCGGGTCAATGACAAAGTCGCGGACAATGTCCTGGAGCAACCTCTCAACGGCAATATCAGAGATGCTACCTGCCGGGGACTTGGTTTCCTTCACGGCAACTCTCATAGTAGCCAAGATTGCCGTCGCAATGTTAACATTAATGGCCGCTTTCCGGGCAGGGTCTCGCTGGAGAGATCCAGCGGACGCAAAGGTACGGATCTGTTCAAGGATACTCTCCTGCACCTTTGCTGGAGTCAAAGGGAATGCAAAGGCGAATAACTGGATTGCAGTATCAATGACTTCAGTGGCTGCTGGTCCTGGTAGCTCATTGTCGCTCGCCCTTGTACCAATGTAAAGCGCCGATGCATCATGCTCTATGCTACCACAAATAGGAGAGTTAAGAAGTTGGTCAATTGCGTCCTCTGGCGTGTCAAACTGTGGTTCATCGGATACCGTCGAGTCATGCTGACCCGGTAGTCTGCGAACCTTGAAAGCTGAGACCAGACTTGTAATACCAAAGCCACTGTTATCTCCAACATCCCAGATGGAGTCAAATGTGGCAGCAGCATTCGCAATGGAGGCACTCAATGAGTTGGGCGTAAAGTTATCAGGGTCGGCAAATAATGAGATTGCAAGTGTCAAAAGGTTGGATTGCAGGAGAGCTTCGCTGCCACCTGCAGGACTCTGGTTGACGAGCTTGACATAACATTGCAGGACACGTCGCTGTACCATCATTTCCAGATCCTGGAGCTGAAGTGATGGGGTCAGTCGCTGTGAAATATCATCTGTGATTCGCTTGGCTGGCAAGGTGCGAAGGAATGCGCTAGTGCTCTGAAGCATGGCAGCAATACGCTTAGATACGTCAACAGTGAGCAAGCGGTTATTGAATTCAAGGAATGACAGAATAGAACCAAGAGCGCATTCTCGAACGTGAGTTAGGAACGATGACTCTAGAAAGCTGCGTGCAGATGTGTTTTCTTTGGCCAATGGCTTTGGCAACGCATTCTTCCACAGCAGAAGCAGTTGTGAAAGATGAATCTTGACAAAGTTTGGACCCAGAGACATCAGACCACCAATCAAAATCCAGGCAACCTGAATCTGTGTCGAGGAGACTCGGAGCTCAGATTGGCCACTTGACTTGAGCAGATTCGTAGCCATGGTAAACACGCGGCTGTTAATATCCAGTGAGCCATGTAAAGGACGCAATGGACTAGCACTGAGCGTGGCTGCCAGGCCATGAGCGAAGCCGATACAACGGCGGGGTGAGTTGCGTCCACTGCCCAATAATCCAAGCTCACGTGTAAGACTGTTCATACACACAGAGAGGCAAGGAAGCAGCTGCTGAGGGCATGCGATAACGAAAGTCTTCATGCACTGCGAAGCAAATACCTGAACGGAGTAGCTCGGGTGCTGTAAAACCTGGAGAAGGCCGTCGCGGCAGGATTCGGCAAAGTTGTTGGCCGCAGATCCGAGCAAGTTGATGAGTGATCCAACCACACTTAACGAAGTGATTAGGATATGCTTGGAGGGCTCCGGGCGTTCAGCAAGTGCTTGTGGGTAATTCTTCAGCACCTTGTTGATCAGCGACTCCGCGGCGGCGATCTGACCAGACTCTCCTAAAATTCTACGACCAATAACATCTTGGAGCAAAGTCTCAATGATGCGGCGTGACATGAGCAGTCGATAGCGGTTGTTGAGAATAGTAGCGTTTCCAAGAATCTCAGTGGCAAGCACCTCGAGAATTGTAACAAAGTTGGCCTCGATGATGTTCTCACCAAGGCGTCGGAAGAGCTTGCTGTAGCATACACCGACTGCTGCACGAGCCCGGTTTGAGGTTGTAGGCTTAACATAGAAGCTAGAAAGCTCTCGCAAAATATCGTCTAGCGTCATAGCAAGGTCTTGTGTTCGCTTGCCGCCCGGTGCGGGACTTGCGGATCGTGAGGGTAGCTCGTCGTCGTCGCCAATTATGCCGGGATGTGTCGACTGTCGCTTCAGCTTTGGCTTGGTCTTCTTTGCCTTGGCAGTGTCTGCCGCTGAGCCCTCAACAAAAGCACGTGCAAGGGCTTCTGCGAAAGCAGTAGCAGCAGCATGGCGAACCTGGCTGTTGGATGAATCAAAGGCCTTGAAGAGCGCGGATTCAAGTTTATCAAAGTCGCTCGAGTTTTGAAAGTATTGCGTGTGTGTAACCAGGACTCTGCAGCACTGTGCAGCTGCGACAATAACCATGGATGCTTTATCGCCGGATACCAGGTTCCTCGCTTGCTTCCACATGTCTCTGCAAACCACCTCGTCCATGGAGCCCTCAATCAAGGACACAATCTTTCCCAGAGTGGTCAGGCAAGCCGCTCTCAGGCCCGCATTAGTAGAGGAAGCTTTGAGAAGCTTAATCACAGCTGCCGAGGCAAGCTGGTGCAAGCTAATAGCACTGTCTCCCGCGGTGGCGAAGACGTCACCCAGGCAGACGACCGCGGCATGCTTAGTTCGCGCGTCCACCTCAGACTTGGACTTGGCGCCCGAGATGATTGTAGAGAGGTCGGTTATCGTTTCGAAGAGCAGCTTTCGGTCGCCAATGCTGAAGATGTGTGCCAGGCATTTGCCCAGGTTGTTTCGTATGGCCCTCGAGGGAAGAGGGGTGGTCAGGTTGATGATCTGGAACACCTCTTTCTTGACGTACATCTGCTGCGCAGTGCAGTCGTCTGCTGAGAGAGTCAGGACATAGTCGACGAGTTTCGCAACATATGTAAGCAGAAATAGATCTTGCTGTTCGGCAGGGAGGGCCTTGAGCTTGGCGACTTCGAGCTCAGGGTTGGCGGTGGCCCTTGATGATTCGTCGATGGATGGTTGTTTTTCGGGAGGAGGCGGAGGGGTGTCGTTTTCCTGATCTGACGACATCTTGCGCAGCTATGATTACCGCCGGTGCAGCGGTTTCCAGCTGGAATTGCAATTTGTCGATAAACAGACCGTTCGTTGCAGTGTGGCAAGTTGGAGGAAGCGCCAGGGGAGCCGTGGTGGGACGGTGTCTTTATGTGGGGAAAAGATCGTTATCCCTCCAAAGGCACATTGTCGCCTGCTCAGGGGGGCGACGGGATTGTAGTTAACAGTCGATTTGTCTGAATATTGATTTTACTTATTTACTTATTTATTTATTTTGTATAAATTATAAAATATTTAGTATACTATTCATTATTACGAATCAAGCTTTGCCTGACACCTATCCCGTAAAGAAGTGGCGCCTGCTACACTAAGGAAATATGTACACCCAACAAGAACTAAACAGGTGCCATGTCAATTACAAGCGGGATATTATTTATAACCATATACAATACTTGTTAAAAGAATTGATCACGAACTTGGGGGCACCCCTTTTATCCTATAGCCTAGGTTATTATATAATGTTACTATCGAGTACAATAAACTAACGAAGAGCTACATTACTAAATCAACAGAGTAATAAGTAAATACTATTGCATAGTGTCTGTAGTAAATAAGCCCGCCAGATATCTACGATAAGATTCAGCACTTTACTTCAAGTATGTTGCTCTATAATTAGCGGACGGTAGGTGTATACTTAGCCAGGATCACCTACAATGGTGCTGTTCAACCACGAGTCAACGCTTAGTTGGATATTTACTAGACTAAACTTTGCAGACTCCGCAAGTCCGCACGCCGGGGATCAAACCGGACACCAACGTCTCCTGCCCTACGGCTCCGTTGGCGAGATTTATTTACCGACGGCGTTAAACGAATCGCGCTTATTTTCTCATAGATTCTTCTTCAATCTGCTACTGTTCTTGCCGTTACCTCTCTAACCCTTGCGCTACGCTCAACACTCTGCCCGTCACTACAACAACAACAACAATCACAATGGCAGACAATACAGAAACAATGCAAGCCATTGGTATTTCCAAATTCACAACGCCTTCGGGCTATGAATTAATGACACTCCCTCGTCCTGCCATCGAGCAGCCTGACGAGCTTATCATTAAAGTCCACAGCGCCAGTGTCAACCCCGTTGACGTCAAGAAGGCTAATGGTATCTTTAAAATGGCTTTGAAAGACGAGTATATATATAGCTTGGATACTGTCTAGTTGCATATGTGCTAACCGATTGGTCTAGATTTCCATACATCATAGGCTACGATGTTGCTGGCGTCGTCGCCGAGGTGGGCAGCGGTGTCCGCAACTTGAAAGTCGGTGACGAAGTGTACGCCCGTTTGCCGGAGATCTATCGCGGCTCCTGGGCGGAATATGCCAAATCGACAGAAGCCTTCGTTGCGCTCAAGCCTACCAATATGTCCTTCAACGAAGCCGCCTCCCTTCCCCTTGCGGCCGTGACTGCGCTACAGGCATTCAACCAGTACAGCGGCTCGCTCGAGGGCAAGACGGTGTTTATCCCAGCCGGACGTGAGTAAATTTTGCTGGTCATGCACAGAAATGGTTTGTTGATAGTTGCTAGTGAGCGGAACCGGTGCGTATGCCTGCCAGCTGGCTAAGAATGTCTTCAAGGCAGGCAAAGTCATCACTACAGTATCCACGTCCAAGGTGCCCAAGGTGCACGACCTGCTTGGCGACGGTGTCGTCGACCAAGGTGAGCTGCAAAGCAACGAATATCAAAAGCCGCATAATCTAACAATATCTAGTTATTGACTATACTAAAGAGGACGTGCTGAAGGCTATCCCTCCGCGCTCGGTCGACTTTGTCTTTGATACTATGGGTCAGGCAATGGACTTTCTACCTGTAATGGCTGAAAAGGACAGCTTCATTGTCTCCATATCAACACTTCCATCTGGAAAGACCCTACAGAATGCCCCCATCTTGCGCGGCGCCAGTAACCCTTCTGTGCCATTTGTCGCTCGCGCCTTTCTTGACGCGGGTGACGCCTACAGGCGCTGGCGGGCATCGCGATTCGGCGTCACTTACATGTACATCTTTCTGGACCCTAATGCCAAGGATTTAGATAAGATGACCAAGTGGGCAGAAGAGGGTAAGATTAAGGCCGTGGTGGGCACGGTGGTGCCGATGAAGCAGTTTGGCAAGGTGGTTGAAGCGCTGGAGGTGGTGTATAGCGGCAAGGGTGGCCTTGGAAAGTCTGTGTTTGAAATGGCGTAATGTAAGAAGATGACGAATATTTGAATATATGTAGTAAGTTTACATTGGAAATAACCGTGACTTATGCAACAGGGCTAAATCTGGGTTCAACAAAACAATACGGCTAAGCACGTCATCTCTATCCGTTCTCAATTGTAAGCCATGAAAGAGGGTATATCACTGAGTACATTGAATATATAAATTCTGTCTAGGCTGTGTACACAAGTCAAAATTACATCGTTTTTCAAACACCAATCTGGGTGCGCTTTATAAGCGCTCCAGCGGCGTCGGCATATGCAACACCATTTGAGCATCCTTGAGAATATCCGCTCGGACAATGGTTGAGATCTCCAGCTCGTTGAGAAGCCTGCTTAGCGGGCCATCACTCCGCGAAAGCTTAACACCCCTTGGAAGCAGAGACTGGGCGGCTAGAAGTGGATTGGTTCTTACGACTACCTGACACAATTTGCCGTCTATCTTGCCTAGTGCGGTACTAGTTGAGATGGCAGACTCTGGCTTGATTTTCTTCAGACGAGGGAGAGGGACTTCTAGCTCCAGATCAGCGGCTCCGTCGATTGCCGTGACACGGCCGTAGATCTTGCCGTCTTCCATGGTGAGATCGATATTAGCGAGCCATTTGGGGAGCTGATATCCATACACCCCTCGAACGCGAGCAAGCTCTGTGTTAACAGGAAGAGCCAAGACATGGCCAAAGAACTTTCGGTCCCAGACAGAGCGAAGCAGCTGTGTCGTACTGAAAGACTTTTGGCCAGGCTGACGCACCATGATGGCTATCGATACCTCGTTATAAGGGTCATTGTCGCAGACATGGTAAGCATAAAATGTGAGGGCAACCATTCCATAGCCGGGAAGAACTACCAGCGGCTCCAGTGGCTCTGGTAGTCGTGGCCGTAAGCGGTTAAGTGGCGCAATGTAAGCGAGCTGGATGCTGGAAGTGCGATAGTAGAAGTTTGGCGCATAGATGCGGCCGACTCTTGAATCGACCAGACTCTTGGGGATGGCTCGGAAAAAGTCGAGGTTAGATTCGACAACAGGATCTTTGGCCACCTCGTCCAGGTCTGGGTTCATGCCATAGCGATCGTAGTACCCGCCCTTTGGAACTTGAACCTTGTGGCCACCAAATTCAACCTCAATAGTTGGACTGGCTTTGTCACTGAGTAAACAAATGTCAACTATAAAAGCAACCGGGAAAGGAAATGGTGGGCTGCTTACCTTGGTAGCTTTGTTATTGATGTCATATTGTGTATCTCTGGTGAGCGTCACGATGCCCCCAATGGAATTCTGCAATAAAGTATGAGTCAAGCTATTTATTTAACCACGAGCAGAAGAAAAGGTCGCGAAATTAATATGAAAGTACTGGTATTTCTGAACGCAGGGCCGGATATTGCCAGAAGCCGTCGGTACAATTCATGTTCCGGAACGGAAGTAACTCCCATATTTATGGTCCATAAGACAAACACCTCAATTTCCAGAAGGCAATATCACTACACGATTTACAGGTAGGATAGGGGATTATCACTGCCCTCTCAATGTCTCTAGGTCGGATGCAAGCTTCCATCTTGATGCCACTCACTGCTCACTTACCGTTACATGCCAAGAAGAGACAAGAGGAACTTCACACTCCAAGTTTGTAAAGATGGTCGATTCTATAGGCTACAAGTTCAACGATCTTTTGTTCCGCAAAGCAACTCCGCCAATCTCAGTTCAGCCTAAGTAGTCAGTGCAGTTGAGAGAGGATAACTTCTTCCGTTGTAGCCGCTCCGCTCCGTTCTTTCCGCTCCGTGTTGAGCTTACTGCAAAGTGTACCTCCAATTCACAGCGTTTTTTGTTTTCGATTAGCAAAACTAAATGCCCTACTTGGGCTGGTATCATTTTCCCGGATCCGAGTTCTAGTAACGTCGACACTTCTACTGCCCTTTTAGCCCACGTGTAAACAATCTCTTCATGCCCGTTAACTTATAAGCCGGCGTACTAGTAAGAAGCAGCTTTCAGGTACTTATACTCAGCATAATTAATTCATAGAGATAAAACATCGCGAGAAGAACCCCCTCTATTGAATAATATTTAGTGCAGTGCTTTGTGCTCTTTTTTTTTCTCTATTTTGCATCATTTTGGCTGGAAGCAGAGTGCTGAAGGCTGAGTGTGAATTCATATTACAGGGCCAGAATAGCGTTGTCGCGGAACCATTTCAGGTACTGTACCTTGTGCAGCAGCCGCAGTGCACGGGCCACCTCTCCCCTCGAGCGACCTGGTTCTCAGCGACATCGTCATCTTTTTTTTAGTTCCTTTCGCAACCGCTATCCCAACGCAATTGGGCGGTCCATACTTTAAAAGATGGCTGCAAATATTCAAAGAATAGTCTCTCTTTTACCCAAAAGACAATATGGACCCTCGAATTTATCCATCCCGAAAACAATATGCGGCAACTGCCTGCGCTCCTTTACAACAAGCTCGACATCCCTAGCTGGACACAACAAGTGGTCGAAAACAAAGCACATCAAGGCCGTCACCGACAAGAAAAAGATGTCTGAGAGAACAGCTTTTACAAAACTCATTGCTTTATACTCTAAATGTTAGACATTACCTACCTCTTGACTACTATATAAGCTCAGCTAACATGCTTTCAGTATATGGTGACAACATCGCCTTCAACCCGCAACTAGCCAATGCGATTTCCGCAGCGACAAAAGGTATGCCAATCATCACGTTTATCCAACAAACATCCTACTAACAGTACATCTCTTTACAGCCAGTATCCCCAAGAACCTCATCGAAGCCGCCGTCGCGCGTGGCCAGGGCCGCTCGACTACCGGCGCCCAGCTCGAAGCCATAACATTCGAAGCGCTCATGCCGCCCAGCATTGCCATCATTGCCGACGTTGAAACAGACAACAAGACGCGAACGATGCACGATCTCAAATACGTAGTGAAGAAAGCGGGTGGCATCTCCAGCTCCAGCGCCTTCTACTTTGCGCGCCGTGGCCGCAGCGTCTTCAAAGCAAAGGACAAAGGACCCGCATTATCAGACATGCTTGATGAAGCCATTGAGCACGACGGTGTAGAAGATGTCGAGGATTCTCCGGATGGCGGCTTCGTCATGTGGACGGAACCATCGGTACTCATGGCCGTCACGGAGGCCTTCTCGAAGAAGTTTGAGCTCGAGATTGCCGAAGCCGATATCGTATGGGCCGCAAACGAGGATACAAAAGTCGGACTCGATTCGGACGAGTCGGCAGAGGCACTCGATACACTGCTTGGCGGCTTGAAAGAATACCCCGAAGTAAAAGGCTTGTACATCAATACTCATCGTGGGAGCCTCTCGCAGGAGACGTGGGACAAGGTAGAGAGGCATATCGATGCGTGAGTTAATATATACATAAATGTTACATAAATTTTTAATCCTGTACATTGAGGGCGCGCACCGTCCACTCTCCCCAAAAAACGCCAAAGTGCAATGAAGTAAAGATGTTCCCGCGCTAGCAGCATTGCATACGCCAGCAATATCACGTTGTGTTGTACATTGACATGGCCTTCTCTTTCTATACAAGCAGAATGCCACGTCATATTTTTTTTGTTTTTCGTCCGTAATTTATTTCGTCTCGTTCTGGGGATCCGCGGCTCGTAGGCGCTCCTGTTCAAACGCCTTTGCCTGCTGCAGCTTCTGCTTCGCAACAAGGCGCTCGTACTCGCGCTTGAGCTCCTCGCGGTCTCGCGGCAGCTTGTTGGTCTGGCTGTCTTGGGGCCAGAATCCGGGAACAGAGAATCTGTTATCGAGGTTCGTGCCAAAGTAGTACATGATGCCAATTGGGAACATGACATACATGCCAAACTGTGTGCCAGAGTCACGTTAGCTACGGAAGTCGAAGCCGCCAATGGCATCTGCAGTGAATAGGGCGCACCTTGAAGACTTCGAGATTTAATCCACCCATTTTTGCTATATGGAAACTGTTTGCGACGTGGTTATGCGATCGGTACTGTGGATGCGTGAGGTGGACTTTTGTCAGAGGGTTGACCAGGAGGTGGTGCCGCTATGCTCTTGTGCGCAATAACCTCGATACAGCGGTACACATGTCAACCGAGAGCAGCAACACAGAGCGAGCAGATAACAATATAACAATGCTTATTTGATTCAAGTCCTATGTACGCCGCATCTACCTTCGTAATCGCTAGTGAATATTATTTTTCTTTTTTTTTCTTTTTGGTTCCTGGGTTCTGATGCTTGGGATCGCGAGATCCACCCCCAATATAAAGGCCTGTTCCCTACCAGTAATATGCTTCCCTGCTTAAGTAGCCGTGTGTCCTGTTGCTATGCATTGCTACGCTCGCTAGCTTTCCTTCAAACGCCATATTAATGTGAAGTGTTTTTGTTTTGGACAAAATGAACGTAAAAAAAATTAAAGAGAGGGGAGAAAGATGAAGGACATCGTTTGTCAGTTCAAGAGCGCCTGTTACGTGCTCTTTCGGCTTGCATGTCTTCCATGAGCAGCCTCTCTGTGAAACTTCGAGGTGTGCCTGAGAAGGCCCCAGATGCGATGCTCGCACGATAGCTGCTTGGGTCGCCTTCGTCGAGACCAGATTGGTCTAAGCTGCCAACGATTGAGTCCACCTTGCCGAGAGAAGCGGCACGAGCGAGCAACTCAGGATCTTTGACCACTGGCATCATAACAGGTCGACCTTTATAGGAGCCTATGGATCCAATGGTGAACTTGGCTGCAGCCTCGTCTGTTTCTACCTCTTCTGCTTTAGGGCGGGAACGCTGGATAGACATGGACTGTGTCAATGAGCTCGACAGAGCGCTAGCGGTTGTCTTTGAAGGCCGGACCTCGAGCATGTCGTCGGAATCGGAATCGTCGTCTTCATCTTGCACTGGTCGTGTAGCCTTAGGTATCGGCTTCATGCCAGGTTCTGTCTCAAAATCAAACATGTCGTTGTCTTCGTGGTCGCGAGCGTGGTCTGCCTTTGGCGGCGTCTTGGCTGTTTTGGGGTATAACGTGGCACCAGATTTGGTGAGGCCGCTCTTTTCTGCTGAGCGAATTGGCATCTCCATCTTTGCAGGGGGCTGCTTCTTTGGGCTTTGTGGTTTTGGCTTCCTTCCTCCACCAAGCGATAAGCCTTCGTCTTCGGACGAGTCGTCGTCGTCGCTGAGCTGGTCGGCAGAAGTATCCAAGACGTCTCCCGATAAGCCAAGGTTTCCGGAAGCCGTGCCCGTATAAAACTTGCGGGGTTCGTAATTGTTTTGAGGCGGAGTGACAGTACCTGGCGTTGTCGTATTCGAACTATCGTGTTCAGAGGATGCTTCTTCCGAATCAGGGTTCACTACAGTCCAAACGGCGCCGTCCTCAAACGGTGTTCTCGAAAGGGCTCTCAGAGCGTCGGATGACGAAATTTTGCGAGGCGGAGGCGAGAGTTCCACGTCATCTCCAAGGATGGAGTCGCATGAGGGAGCCTCATTGCCTGGTATCGGAGACGAGGGGCGCAGGTTCATATATGTGGGAAGCTTGGGGGAGGCTGTAGGCAGCACTTCTTTGCCCATGACGTCGAAGCGAACCCTCCTGGGGCTCTGCTGCGATTTTGCCGAGCCAGAAGACTTGCGCAAAGCGCTCTTTCGGACCTTGCCCTCGCTCTTGTCGGACGAGATGGACGACGTAGCGTCCTCGCCTGAAGCGTCGACACCGTTGTCGGTGGGCAAATCGCGGTGACCCATGGTATCTTGGTCCGGAAGCGTGTTTCCGGCGGCGCAGTCGTCGATCAGGGCGTTGGGGTCGTCGTCGTCCGCACCGGTGTGAGGCCGCCCTGTGTGCGCAAGTGTGACTGGTGGTGGTGCTGGCTCGGCGGGGTGGTGCTGGCCAGGCAGCTCTTGTGCGTGGCTGTCGAGCAGCGGCAGAAACGAGGGCGGAAACAGGCCCTGTAGCTCGTGATGTCGGTCGCGTGGCCGGCTCTGTGTGTCGTCGGTGCCGTGGGCAATCGGAGAGTGGTGGGATTGGGGGCTGATAGGTGAGATTGAGTCACCTGTTCTCTGGTGTCGCAAGTGCGGGCTAAGCGTGGGGAAGTCGCCAAAGGATGCTTGGACGGCGGCGGTGATTTCGTCGGCGACAGCTGGTGAGGGAGCGTCGCGGAGATGCGATTCGAGATTCTGATGGAATTCCGCGATTAATTCCTGACGGTAGGCCAGCATGCGTAGTTCAAGATCCTTCAGCTGTGTGCGCAGGCTGGCGACAACAGACTCCATTTTGGCTTTTCGGTGCTACTGACTAGCGGGCCGCTGCAAACAAGCTGGATCGCCTGCAAGCGTTTAGTGGGTGCATAGTACAGTGGGCGGGCAGTGGTAGTGGGAGCAGCAGTAGAGCAGCAGCAAGCAACAGTTGTTGTGTGAATTGGTGGTGATGGTGCTATGGAAAAGGAAAACCAAAAACAAAAATGGTAAATCGGTAAATCCAATCACCAGAAAAATGGAGAGTGGCACTATATTACCTGGGTTGCCATTTTTTTTTTTTAATTTTCTATTTTCTTCCATTCTCTCTTCTAATGCAACTGACACCTCAGCGCCGCAACGTGGGCAGCTCTGGGCTCGCGCGACACCCGCATCCAGTTTTTCATACCCCGCCTATTGGGGGTCCTGCCACGCTAACTACAACTGTACTTAGTGGGTGGCTGGTGCCTACCAGAGAGTGAGTGGTTCGATCAGGGTCCTCGAACAAAGCTCAATTCAAAGTCAGCAAATAAATATTAAAAATAGAATTATTACAATTGACGTTATTCGAAAATTCCCTGCAGATGTCGGTGGTTTTAGGAACAACAGCACCAGCAGCAACTGCACTGTTGGGTGCTTGCATACATCGGTATAAGCAGCGTTCACCGTAAAGGGCACAGTAGCAGCATTACGGTCTAGATTGCTTCCAGAAACAAAGGTACCTATTTTAGGTTTACAGTCCTTTTGCCATTGTACCCCGCCCAAGTTTACTGTTCCATTCAGTAGCCATAATCTCTCTTCTATACTTCTCACGCGACCTCGCAGCGGTTCGCCTACATGGGTACGGGCATAGCTGACAAGACACCGGTTTGACCGCTTCTTAACATGGCGTCCAATGGCATCATGTCGACAGCAGCATTAATCTAAATTCGATTACTATTACTTTACCCGGACAGTGTGGGTGGAGAAATTACCGTATTTTGTCGTCTTCTTAATCGTTTCGGGGCAGTCCGCGCCATCGTTTGTAACAAGGTGACAATGTCTTAATCGTCCACCATGCATACGACAGATCAACTATCGAACGCTGCTGCCTCATTACCGTCCAATTTCAGATCCGAAAAATCTTTTCCTTATGAAATATTTAATTTTAATTTTTGATAATTAATTTGAAATTATATAGTATTTTTGAAATGAATTGGCTCGCTTTTGTCAACTTCAGGGTAGCTCCCGCTGGCTGACTAACGACCAATAGCAGCCTGCAAGTGTGAGCTTCAGTCGCGGCAACGTCGTCAAGCTGCCAATCTGTGACAAACGCCCGAACCATACCGCAACCTTTGTAAATCGACCCGACAAGCCCAATTCGATTTCACAAGCAGCACATAATACCACCATAAAGATCAAAATGTCGACAATCCCGCCGTCAGCGATGCAATCGGGCCACGCGCCCATCATTCCGCTCTCGTTCAATGCGCGCCAACCCGAAAAAGTCAGACTTTATCCCATGACAAACTATACTTTTGGTGTAAAAGAGACACAACCCGAAGAAGACCCCTCAGTCATTGCCCGTCTCAAGCGCCTCGAGGAGCACTACGTGGAGCATGGCATGCGCCGCACCTGCGAAGGCATTCTCGTTTGCCACGAACATAACCATCCCCATATCCTAATGCTGCAAATCGCCAACGCCTTCTTCAAGCTGCCTGGCGACTACTTAAAACCCGAAGATGACGAGGTAGAGGGCTTCAAGTCCCGGCTTGACGAACGACTAGCCCCTGTTGGCAAGCTTGGAGAGGGCGAGAAGGAAGGCGATTGGGAGATTGGCGAGTGCATTTCGCAATGGTGGCGCCCAAACTTTGAGACCTTTATGTACCCTTTTATTCCGGCCCACGTCACCCGACCGAAAGAATGCAAGAAACTCTATCTCATCCAGCTCCCGAGAAACAGTAAGTTTGAGCTTGTGACTCTTCAGCTGCTGTCTGCTAGTACTAACAAATATCCCTACAGAGACGTTGAGCGTGCCGAAGAATATGAAACTTCTGGCCGTTCCTTTGTTTGAGCTATACGAAAATACAGGCAGATACGGACCTCAATTGTCGGCTATCCCACATATTCTCAGCCGTTACAACTTTGAATTCGTCGATGATAACGACAACGTTGTTGCCGTGACACCAGGAGACGCTCCCCCAGAAGGATATGTTCCCAGAACAAAGGTTCTGGCTGGGGGCGACGACACCGATATGAATGAAGAAAATGGAACCAACTAATTCAAAAGAGGATCATCCTAGTAACGGAGTTTGGCGTATAATAGGTGGTTTAGACTCAAGCAGCGGGGCAGACCAACTGCTCCCGCATGTATTCATTACAATTCATACTCATTATTAGATCTAAGCTTTCTCTCCTTGAATGGTGGCCATGATTTTACGCTGGTGCTTCATGGCGCGAAATTCGAGATACCAGATGCCCTGCCATGTTCCAGTGGCCTGTGAAGTTAGTCGACGTGTAAATACGACAGTAATGCATAATTGACATACCAGTTTGCCATCCTTGATAGGAATGGTAAGGCTGGCCCCGACAAGGGCAGATTTGATATGGGCCTGTAGAACGGTAAATAGTTGTATTTAGACATGGAGCTTAGAGAGCTTACAGGCATGTCATCGGGGCCTTCGTCGCTGCTATGGGTTAGTTGAAGTGACACATTGGGTTTATTTGAGACTTACTCGTGGCGGTACAGAACCTCGCCGTTAGGTCCGTATTCGGGTGCAATTCTATCCAAAGCATCACTCATGTCGTCACGAACGGTAGGGTCGACTACAAGAAGTCAGTGTGTGTGAAGCACGATTCGATCCGTTGAACCTACAGTTCTCGTTGAGGCTTAGGCCGCAGCTGGTGTGCTGGATAAAGAGGTTGAGAAGGCCAACCTTGTAGTTGCGAATCTCGGGCAGCGCAGACACAATCTGGTCGGTGATGAGGTACGAGCCGCGAGCCTTTGCGGGCAAGGTAATCTGCTTTTGGAACCACGACATGGTGGCGTAGCTGGAGGATGAGTATGCGGGGGTTCTTTCAAAGCCTAGGAGCGCCAGCGGAAGTGTCCAGACAAAGTTAAATAAGCTTGGAAAGAGACAGATGAATAGAAGAATAAATAGCAGTGCTATTGTCGTAGTGGAAACGTGATGGGTTCGATGCGGCATCTCGTCAATTTTGCGTGGTGTATGATGTAGCGTGTGGGGCGTCAAGTCGGCCTGGAGGTTTTGACGACCGCTGGTTTAGTGGTATGCATGACGTGAACAGGCCGCGTGTAACAAAAGGAAATGCCATTGACATCCATATTGCTGTAGAATAGTCAATTCAGATTCACAGTTCATTAATTGAGGTTGAATTTCATCACAGAGGTTTTGGAGGGGAGAGCTTCGCCAAGGCGTTCAAGTTCAAGAGGATGTAGTTTAACAAAGGAAACATGTACAGCTAGCCTACGTTCTCATGCCTTCTAATCTGATACAAGTAAGTTTTGGTCTATCCCGCAGATAGTCGCTTCAGAATCATTTTGCAATGGAAACAAACACCCGATATCTAACCACCTAATTTCAACAACCGCAATTTCAACAACCGCAATAACATTATGAGAGGGGGTAAGAGGTTTCGGGGAGAGATTCGAGGTGCTTTCGGTTGTGTTCGTTGGCCTGTCTATTTGTTAGATTGTGTCACAAGCTGCAAAAGGGCAAAGCAATTCTCACGTAGGGCTGGCCGCAGTAGCCGCAGACGGCAATTTCGGGTTTATCTGTGTTGATGTAGATCTTGGGGTGGCCCTTGCCCTCACCAGTGCCTTCGCAAACAACCATTGAGCTGTGTGTCCAGATAACAGGCTGCTTGTGGACCATTTCCATGGCGGAAAGAGGTTGTGGCTGCCAATTGGGTTAATATCATCGCGTCTTGTAGCTGGGATTTTTTAAGGGCTCGTCGGCGCCGGGCGTACCTGGAGATCGAAGTCGGTCTGCTCAAAGCGAGGACCAGTCATGGCGGAAACTCTGGGTTTTTGAGTTCTAGACCAGACGCCAACGCGGTTAGGAGACTGAGGGAGCTCTCGTTCGGCCTCGGCGAGGGAGGTTTCGGCCTTTGATGTCGAGACGGAGGATTCGAAGCGGCGGGCGGACATGGAGAAGGCCCGGTGGGAGACGCGCAGGCTGCGCGAAATAGAGCCAATGGCCCTAATCTGGGAAGCGGCCATTATTTTCGGATTGTGTTGGTGATGGATTGAGTTGCAAATGCGGCCGTTGCAATCGTCGCTGACCTGGCAGAGAACGTTCGTTGATGGCGACGAACCACAGTGCGCAGATTAGATATCCGGAAAAAGCTAATTCCGGCCACGCCCAACAGTGCAGTGCGACAAGCTCCTCTAAAAAAAAAGTTACCAGCCTGTGCTAAGCTTCCAGTAGGCATGCGCCTAGTAAATATTTATTTTTGCTGGAGTCGACTATTCAAAACTTCACTCTTCCAGCTCACCAATTCACGATTTGCTTGATTCGAAGATTGCATTCTAAGGGCACAACACACATCTCTTCACCATGGCACCAGAAACACCAAAAGTAGCCTCATCGAGGCTTCTGACGATGAAGTTTATGCAGCGCGCCGCAGCGTCTGCGGCTTCTTCGCCAGACTCGGATGGGCAGTCTAGCAAGAAGAGAAAGTATGAACACAGCTCACCGCAAGGAAGACTGAGCGACGCAATCGACAAAGCTGCTATCAGAGCAGCACTAGAAGACCAAGAATCAAAACGATCAGCCGCACTACAGCAACACAAAGCTGCCGACACACATTGGGTGCTTAAGCCGTCCATCACAAAGCCCACCTCTGCAACGCCACCGACAGCACCGATGAATATTGTGTACGTTGGATATGGAGAGATAGACTCTGCAGACGATAGTGCAGACGGGGAGGACGTTCCGTCGCAGGGACGCACGTCTACGCGCAAAGCCAAGCCCCCAAAAGTAGATGTAGGTCACAGCCAGCCACAGGCACATTTGTACACCGCTAATTGTACCACAGAAGAAGGAATCAGACGATGATGAATCAGACAAAGATTCGGGCGACGAGGACTCCGACGACTCCCCGAAACGCAAGAGAGCGGCGTCCGATGCGAACCGAAGCAGGTCACAGTCTCGATCACGTTCGAAACAACCAACGGCCGAACTATCTAAAGCCAAAGAGTTCCGGGATAAGAGGAAGAAAAAGGACCTTAGTCTGAACAACATGACATCCATTTCCAGTGGTGGCGGCAACTCATTTTCGAGAAAAGGCGGACGCAGGTAGTTTGAGCAAACGCCAGTCTACGGATTGATGCATGCATGCCTAGGATCGTCGTTTGCATTTGTTTTTTCTTTGTCATATACCCTGCATATCGGAACGAGCATGGCGTTTTTGAATTTTGGATAGGACATATTTGTTGTATATAGCATAAACGACTGAATGATATTACCGGTCTCTTGCTCATGTGAGCAACCAATAAATTGCTGCCTGTTGATATAGTAGAAGCGGTATAAGCTTGTGTCGTATAGCGCACTGATAGTGAATGTAGTTGCCTGGTCGCACCACCCGCGTGCCCGTGCGTGCGTTGCATGCCGTGTGTTTTGTTGAAAGTTTGGTTGGGCAGCGCTCCGATGACGGAATCAAACGAAGGGAAAAAAAAAAGAGATATGCATGTTTCACTGACACCGAAAGAATACATTGGCCCAGCGCCTGCATCCCGCCGGCGCCAATCATTTCCGCATGCACTGGCGTGCGCTTGATGTTTCACTACCGAGGCCCTGAAAAGGCGGTTCTTCGTGCTGCTTCTGGCGCCCGCACCAAGATCCGGGGCTCTGTGTCAGTAGGCTGCAAGCGCCAGATCCACTGCTGCACCGTCTGGCCAACCCCGCCACTAGCGCCATTCGCAACCTTTTTGGCCATCTTGCCATTTTGCCCCGGCGCGCCACAATCGAACCCTCCAGCACCAACCGAAACAAGACATCATCACCAACTGCAAAGTACCGTTTGTTTTTGTTTTAATCGTGCATAGCGGCAACTAAGGGCGTACAAAGTGGGATTCTGTTTCTTCTTCCGGTCAATTTGCTTTCCATTGATCACCACTGGGCCGTCTGACGATGCCTTCTGCCGACAGCTTGCCGGTGAACAGCCGTGAGGCTGCCGTCGAGATCTTGACAGATTCTCTAGAAAAGCCGTCCTTGGATACACGGGAGTACCGTGTTATTCGCCTTCCAAATGGTCTCGAGGCTATGCTGGTCCACGATGGCGAGACCGACAAAGCCAGTGCTGCTCTTGATGTCCATGTCGGCAACTTCAGCGACGAGGAGAGCATGCCTGGAATGGCCCACGCCGTCGAACACGTACGTTATTCGTCCTATTTATTTTGACAATGCAATATGCTGACATTACGATTCTGCCAGCTGCTTTTCATGGGTACCAAGAAATATCCCATCGAGAACGAGTACGGCCAGTACCTGTCAGCCAATTCCGGCTACTCCAACGCCTACACCGCTGGTACCTCAACCAACTACTACTTCGAGGTTGCCGCCAAACCCGCCAACGATGGCGAGGCTTCCGACTCAAATCCTTCCCCTCTGAGAGGCGCGCTCGACCGATTCGCACAATTCTTTATCGAACCGTTGTTCCTGTCAAGCACGCTGGACAGAGAGCTGAAGGCGGTCGACTCGGAAAACAAGAAGAACCTGCAGAATGACACCTGGCGCCTGTATCAGCTCGACAAGTCGTTGTCTAACCCTAATCATCCGTATTGCCATTTTTCTACTGGCAATTTTGAAGTGCTCAAGACAATTCCCGAAGCGCAGGGCATCAATGTTCGCGACAAGTTTATGGAGTTTCACGACAAGCACTACTCTGCAAATATCATGAAGCTCGTCGTCTTGGGACGCGAGTCTCTTGATGTACTGCAAAAATGGGTCATCGAATTCTTCTCCAACGTTGTCAACAAGAACCTTGCCCAGAACAGATGGGAAGATGAGCCTCCCTTCAGAAAGAGCGAGCTTGGCCTTCAGTGGTTCGCCAAGCCCGTCATGGACTCACGGGAGCTAAATCTAGTGTTTCCCTGCTTAAATGAGGAGCAAATGTTTACTGGTCCCCCTAGTAGATACGTTGCTCATCTCGTCGGCCACGAGGGCCCTGGCGGTATCATGGCTTACATCAAGGGCAAGGGATGGGCTAACGGACTGTCCGCTGGTGGTTACGATGTCTGCCCAGGCTCACCCTCTATGTTCGATATTTCTGTCCGCCTTACCGAGGAGGGTCTTAACCACTACAAGGAAATTGTCAAGATTTTCTTTCAATACATCTCGCTGTTGCGCGAGTCTGCTCCGGAAGAATGGATTTTCGAGGAGCAAAAGGGTATGGCGGATGTCGACTTTAAATACAAGCAAAAGACCCCAGCTAGCCGATTCACTAGCAAGACCAGCTCCATCATGCAGAAGCCGCTACCTCGCGAGTGGTTGTTGAGTGGAAGCAGCCGGTTAAGAAAGTTTGAGCCTGCGTGGATTAACGAAACACTCAAGCTCTTTGAGCCAGAAAACCTGCGCATGAGCATTGTATCAAGAAGCTTCCCAGGCACATGGGAAAAGAAGGAGAAGTGGTATGGCACAGAGTACACTGCTGAAAAGATCCCAGCAGACTTTATGGCGGAGTTGAAGGCAGCAGTCAACGTTACGAAAGCTAACCGCCTCCCCGAGCTTCATTTGCCTCACAAGAACAGCTTCATCCCTTCTAAGCTAGAAGTAGAGAAGAAGGAGGTGGCCACTCCCGCCTTTGCACCCCGTCTGCTGCGTAATGATGCCGACTGTCGTATTTGGTTCAAAAAGGACGATACCTTCTGGGTCCCCAAGGCCAATTTGATTGTCAGCCTTCGAACACCCATCACCCATGCCACCGCCGAAAACAGTATCAAGAGCCGTCTATTCACCGAGCTGGTTCGCGACGCTCTTGAAGAGTACTCCTACGATGCGGAACTTGCTGGTCTCCAGTATACTGTTTCTGATGACGCGCGTGGCCTCTTCCTGGAAATCTCAGGCTACAATGATAAGCTGCCTGTGTTGCTGGAGAGAGTCGCTACAACTATGCGAGACCTTGACATCAAGGATAACAGATTTGACATTGTCCGCGAGCGGTTGATCCGCGAGTACGAAAACTGGCAGCTTCGGTCAGCCTACCAGCAAGTTGGAGACTGCATCTGGTGGCTCAACGCCGAAAAGGAGTTCACTATTGAAGAACTTGCGGAAGAGCTGCGAGGTGTTACTTCGGACCACGTCCGCCAGTTCCAAAAGCAAGCTCTCTCGCAACTTCATTTCGAGGTCTACGTCCATGGCAACATGTACAGAGCCGATGCTATCCATGTTAGCGATATGATTGCGTCTATCCTCAAGGCTCGCAGCCTCCCTCAGACCCAATGGCCTATTGCCCGCTCGCTGATTCTCCCCGCAGGTTCCAACTTTGTGTACAAGAAGGAACTTAAAGACCCAGCCAACATCAACCACTGCATTGAGACTTGGTTCTACGTGGGTGACCGCGGCGACCGCAATGCCCGCGCCAAGACTCTCCTGATCGACCAGATGGTCCATGAGCCGGCATTTGACCAGCTCCGAACAAAGGAACAACTCGGCTACATTGTATTTACTGGCGTACGAAGCTTTGCCACAACATGTGGATACCGTTTCCTGATTCAGAGTGAACGAACCCCAGACTACCTGGACAAGCGTGTGGAAGCATTCATTGTGCAGTTTGGCAAGATCCTAGACGACATGAGCGACAGCGACTTTGAGGGCCACAAGCGAAGCTTGATCAACAAGCGCCTAGAGAAGCCCAAGAACCTCGACCAAGAGACAGCCCGCCAATGGGGCCAAATCAGCAGCGAGTACTTTGACTTTGAGCAGCGTATGTCTTTTTCTCCAACACTATGAATCCACAAAAAATACTAACAAAATCGTAATAGACCAACTCGATGCAGAGCTCATCAAGACTCTTACCAAGGAGCAGATGCAGGAATTCTACAACCACTACCTGCACCCGTCGTCCAAGGCCCGCGCCCGTCTTTCAATTCACTTGCACGCACGAGGCGCCGAGGAGCGCAACACGAAGACGGTTGAAGCCCTTACAAAGGCCGGCTTTGCCGATGTGCCCGAGGAGCAGCGCCAGAGCCTCGACGAGCTAGAGGCATACCTTAAGGAGACAGGAAAGGCCTCTGCCACAGATATCGAGGAGCTGGTCAGCCAGATTAAGGAACTTGGCCTATCCCAAAAGCCGCTGCCCGTGGAACCCAACACTGCCGTCAACGGTGCCTGCGCCATCAATGCGGCTGTTGAGATTACAGATGTCCGCAGCTTCAAGGCTGGTCTGGCAGCCAGCTCAGGGCCACGCCCGTACGCGGACATTAGCTCGTTTGAAGAGACGGACCCGAAACTATAAACTGATGTGTTATGATGGATGAAGGACTTTTTGTGTTTAAACGGTAATGCTGCAAGACTACGTAGATGTTGGAAATGCAAATTTCAAGTTTAGATCCGGAGAAGGAGAGAAGAGGACACTGGCTGAGGCTGTTTTCAGCATTCTAGATAGTGTACAGTACAGATGTTAGAAATGATATGATTATTTGATAAGACTCTACCCCAGTGTTTGTTTCTACTTTCCTGGCCCAAGATTAAACACACACGCCTTGGGCGGCCCTCTACTTCCAAAATGCCATCCCCATCTCGCAAACAACTGCCCATTATCGAGGAGAATGCGCCGCAGCAGCTCACTTCGATTCTTTTCAGAGGTCGGCCACTCCTGATCCTCTGATATATATGGCTCCATGACCTTTAATGCCTCCCGTATCCATTGCTCGGCCTCTTCTTTGGTCTCTAGTCTTCCTCCAGCAACTATGCGCTTCTTCAAATCCTTTATAAAGGCTTCCCGTTGCGTCGAAAACGCAGCATACAGAACGGCCAGCAGCATATGCGAACGGATCGAATAGTCCAACATGCTGGCATCCACCCCCTCGGTTTCTTTTATAGCCACTTCTGTCAGGAATACCACTTCTTCTTCGCTTCCCACCTCCGGCTCCCATCCTCTTAGGCCTGCATAGACACCAGCTCCTCCATCGGGGAAGCCAGTCCCTCGAATATCGGATTCCTTCGATCCGTCTAGATCTGGCTCGACGTATGTTGTTGCGGCCCATGCTTCAGGTGAGTACCATGCCTCCCACTGCCATATCTCAAAGTGGCCTCTTGCTACCTCGAGACCGATTTCATGCGGTCTCCATATCCACATGGAATCTCTCTTGGTTCGAGGCTCCCGCTCCATAGCTACGTTGAAATGCTTCAGCCAGTATTTCGTCTGGGTTTCCGAGTATGGGCGGACTAGATGGTTCTCTTTGCGCTGAGACTCAATGGTCTCCTGGAGAGTAGAAATGGCAAGCTTGTATAGTAGCGAGACGGGGAGTGTGGGTTGTCTGTACTTGGTGGCACGCACGCAATAGGCCCAGCGAGGAAGCTTGGTATAGTGTCCCGGGTCTGTGTCTCGTGGGTCGCCTATTGGACTATGTGTGTATGTTAGGTCTTGCAGATTCGGGAGGCGGTAGAAGTGGATGGATGCAGGCTGCGCGAGGAACTCTGGCGAGTAGAATTGCTTCCAGGTGTCCTCGCGGAAGAAGTCGTGAAAGTGTGCATGGAAAGCGTCATAGTCGTCTAGCAAGTCTTCAAGCGAGCCGTCCCCAAGTTCGTATGTGCTGTGGATGCATGCCTCGATCTGAGCAAAGTAGAACATGTCCAAACTTCTATAGTCTGTTAGCAGAGTTACTTTCTTTGCCTCTTTTTTTAAATAAAGGCAACGGCCCATTGACGCACCGATTGAACTTTAGGTCTTCTTGACCAAAGGACCAGCCGTGGCTGCTGAATTCATCTAGCGCATCAAAGATACCCTCATTATACTTCTGGTAGTAGAATGCTAGGCGTACCAAGTCTTCATGAGTGTCGACTGCTAAATCACCAGCCTCTGCGGCGCTAACAAACGCATCCAAGGTCATGGGTTGTTGATCTGCCATGATGATGAATGAGGACGCCGAGCGGTGAGGAGTTATAAAATTGCCTGGTCCAAGACCCTATATATAAATTATTATTATTTGATATTATCTTTTTATGTGATTGCCTAGAGGCGATGGTAATATGCGTGATGTTGCAACATCTACAAGAGCCAGGTTTGCTGGATGCCTCGAGCGGTGGCGTTTACGCGGCTCTCCACATCGTATAAATTGCACCAGGCAACCAGATTTGTTGACTTTTGTTCGTTTAGGCATATTTTTGTAAATAGTTTTGTCGTTTATATTTCTCTTGTTTACATGTTAACCATTGACAGATGTTCTTTTTGTATGTAGATGTGCCCCAGTAACTGTCCGAATCTCCATGTAATAATACAGTGACGTGGTGCCGCTGGACAAGGCTGGCCGTTCCTGTCCAAGGAGAACCCTTACTCAGCAACTTTTCTAAAACTCTCCGTCATCATCTGCGGGAAATACTGTGTTACAACTAATCTTCATTACTAGTAACTGTAAATAAAACATGACACTAGAAGCGGACTCTCCATCCACCAGCGAAAGGCTGTCTGCGACTAACAACGACCACAATAAGCTAGACGACAATGCGCAGCCTCAGCAGAGGCCCAAGGAGGACTGGTTTGCCTGGCTGCAAGTCCTCGGAGCATTTTGCTTAAACCTGAATACATGGTATCTTCGGCCATTAATAATAATATCTGACAGACCAGCTAACAATCGCTTCTAGGGGCATCATGAACTCGTACGGCGCATTCCAGACCCTGTACCAGCTTAACAACCTCAACACCTCCTCCAATATATCTTGGATCGGCTCCACGCAGGGTTTCCTTCTATTTTTTGTATCTGTCTTTGCTGGGCCTCTATTCGACGCAGGATACCTTGCCGCGCTGCTCTGGGGAGGTTCTGTATTGGTGGTTGTAGGCATGTTCCTACTAAGCATCACCTCAGAGTACTATCAAATCTTTCTTACCCAGGCTATCATGATGGGACTGGGTTTCGGCTGCTTGTATCTGCCCGCTCCAGCCGTGGTTTCACAGTACTTTGACAAACGAACTGCTTTGGCCATGGGGGTTTCATCTGCAGGTAGCGCAATTGGTATGTTGCTTTAATTTGCCCTCTGGCTTGTGATCACTACTTACCTATTCCACAGGCGGCGTTATATTCCCTATCGCATTGACACACATCAAAGACTCTATCGATTTCGGATGGGCTACTCGTGTTCTGGGCTTTATTCTCCTTGTAACATGCCTGATACCGGCATGTGTTATGAAATCTCGTTCTCCTCCCAGAACCGGCGGTGCGTTGATTGACTATGCAGCCTTCAAAGACGTCCCATATCTCCTGCTATGCTTTGGCCTCATGTTTGGCTACATGGGACTGTACATTGTCTTCTACTATATTGAACTGTATACGCTAGACCAGACATCAGCAAGCAAAGGTGTCGCTGACTATGTCTTGGTTATTCTCAACATTGCCTCACTGCCAGGCCGCGTTATTGCAGGCTATTATGCTGACAAAATTGGGTCTGTTAATATCCTGGCATTGTTAGTACTGATTTCTACAATCATGACGGCATGTCTTTTGGCTATTGGTACGTCGGCAGGCGTCATTGTCTATTGTATTCTGTATGGCTTTTTCTCTGGCGCTTTTATGGGTTTACCTGCTGCGGGAGTTATTAATCTTACCGACGACAAGAGCAAAATTGGGGCTCGGTTAGGTATGACGCTTGGGGTAGTGGGTGTTGGCGTCCTCATCAGCAATCCCATCGCAGGTGCCATCCTAGGTGAAGAGAACAATTGGAAGGGTTTGGTAGGTTGGTGCTGTGCGTTACTCGTCGCTGGCACTGCGAGCATGATGGCAAGCAGAATTATTAAGAGCGGTGCTGGCATCTCCAAGATATGACACGATGGTAGGCATGTATTCAGTTTCTTGTATTATTGGTTATTTCGTTGAGTGTATTTTTTCCTTTGTACAATTACCTCATAGACCTGCTACTTTGATAAGGACAGACTTTGTTTCCATAAATGTCTCCATACTATGAAGGTAGCTTTCTCTCTGAAGGCCACTGCCCTTTTGACCACCAAATGGCATGTCGTCACCCTTGGTCGGACTCGTGCAGTTGACGCCAACTGTACCGGCTTCGAGTCTCGAGGCGACTCTCATGGCACGGTCCAAGTTCTTGGTGTAGACAGCCGCATATAGACCATGCTCTGTGTCGTTGGCCTTTGCTATGGCCTCTTCTTCTGTATCAAATGGATTGATGATGACGATGGGACCGAAAATCTCGTCCTTCATAATCTGAGCATCTTCCGGGACATTGGTAAAGATGGTGGGGTTGATATAGAGACCCGATGCTGACTGCTCGTCCGTGACTAATGTTCCACTCTCCTTACCCATTTCTATATAGCGAAGGACAGTAGCATGTTGGATCTTATCCGCTTGTGGGCCGTGATTAATGGCTGGATCCGTGGGGTCTCCAAGACGAGCCGATGTGAAAGCGACTTTGAACCTTTCGAGGAATGACTCGGCAATGCTGCGGTGGACGTAAATGCGGGAGTTGGCCATGCAAGTCTGGCCACTTATAAGTTGGATACTGAACTGCGTTTCGCGGACCGCAGCCTCAATATCTGCATCGTCGAAGATGATTGCAGGCGACTTGCCACCCAGCTCGAAGACTAGCTTCTTCATATTGGAGTCAGTGGCCATCTTAGAGATGAGCCTACCTGTGCGGTTAGATCCGGTAAATGATAGAACGCGGACATCCATGTGGGACGCAAGTGCGGCGCCTGACAGTGGACCATGGCCAGAGAGAACATTCAAGACGCCCGGCGGGAAACCTGCTTTCAGTGCGAGATTGGCAACATAGAGGGACTATATCGATGTCAGTTTGAGTAATATTAGTAACAACGAATGCATTAGCAAAGACGTACTGTCAACGGTGCCTTTTCACTGCTCTTTAGTACCACAGCATTACCAGCAGCCAACGCCGGGGCGACCTTTTTGCAGAAGAATACTAGAGGTGCGTTCCAGGGAATAATAGCGGCCACAACACCAACAGGCTGCTTCAGTGTGATGTTGACGAAGCCAGGGGTGTTTAGACTGGAGCTTCCTTGTGGGTAAGCTGCTTCGGAGAAGTAGCGGAAGTACTTGGACCCAGCTGTGGCGTCGAAATATGTTGACACGGGCCGACCCATGGACTCAGCTTCCAAATTGGCCAGTTCTTTTGTTGATTCTTGGATAAGATCGGCTAAGCGTACAAGGTATCTGCCTCTGTCGTATGGAGAGAGCGCTGCCCACGCTGGGAATGCTGCTTTGGCGGCAGCTACAGCATCATCAACGTCTTGCGCGGATGCTTCGTAGACTATGTTTGGGATGTGCGTTAGATAAACAGGTACTATTACCGGGTTTGTCCATAAAAGGACCCAGGATGTGTACATACCCTTGGCCAATAGTTCACCCGTTTTTGCCGAGGGCAGGTCAAACGTTTCGTTGGTACTTGAGGGCCGGAACTATAAGAGTGTAAGATTAGCTATAGATTCGCCAAGCATGGCTCTGCGTATATTGGTTGGTTGGTTTGTTAGTCTAGCTGAAAGTGTAGCGTAGAAACGTACTTGGCCGTTGATGAAGAGGCGAGTCTCTGGAGTGGTCGCCATTTTGGTGGGTTGTTTTCTTAGCTTGTGTATTTTGGAAGTGAAAGACAGCCTCTTCAAGCAGCAGCAGTGTTTCAGAAAGCAATAATACCGCAAAAAAAGCCGCGAGCAGAGTCAATAAACAGCCTTTGTAAGCAAAACGGTCAAGAGAGAAGGGAAAAGGCACCAGCAGCTGTTCGGCACCTAAAAACAACTAAACAGTGGTTTCCACCCCCGCGCAGGCCAAAACGGGGCACCAATGCAAGCGAAGCCGTAGAACAATGCTTGGAGTGGAACCACAAACGAAGAAAAGGCCCGGAAAATAAATTGTAGTGGCGTGTTTTAGTGGACGGATGGCTGCGGCCAGCGAGACGAAACATGGGACAGCCGGCCCCGCAGTTGCCTTTTTGGAGTACAACCTCCGAGATGATAGATTACACAAGGGATTCTGTTTTTCTGGTGGTGGTTCGTGTGCTTGTCCAGCATGCAAGCCATGTTGCATGAGTGTGTGTGGGAACGTTTTCAATTCGCTCTCAGGATTTCTTTTTCTCTTTTACATGCGGCTCTTTTTCCTTCTCCCTTTTCTACATTGTTCGCTACATACAAAATGCACTGGCTGTACATACTCTAATTACTCCTCCTCCTTCGACCATTCTCACAAAACCACCATGGCTTCATCTACTGGTGGCTTCACCAGCGAGAAGGCCGCTTCCAAAGACGGCCATATTTCACCGATAGATCACGGATCCTCCGTAGACGGCGACCAATTCTACGAGGATCCCAAGGCTGCTCAGCGCCTGCTCAGAAAATGCGACTTGCGCCTCATTCCCATCCTCGGTAGCTTGTATCTCGTGTCCTTTCTGGACCGCTCAAATATCGCCAATGCGCGCCTTTTCCACCTGGAGACGTCGCTCAATATGCCGTCCAACGGCTTTAACAATTGTCTCTGGATTTTCTACCTGCCCTTTGTCGTTGTCGAGATTCCTAGCAACCTGTTTATGAGTCTCAACAAGATTAAGCCGAACCACTGGCTCGCAGGCGCCATGTTGATTCTTGGTATGTTTCTCGCCGCATAGTTTCTATATTTGCGCTTTCTGACCTCATTCTAGGTATTGTATCCATGTGCCAGGGCCTCACAAGGAGCTATGAGGGACTTCTAGTCTGTCGATTTATCATGGGTATCATGGAGGCTGCGCTTCCGCCAGGTGCATACTCTTCTACCCCTCACAAGCACGCGATCTGTTCTCCAACTAACCCGTCTCCCTCTGCTCTAGGCGCGGCTTTACTAATTGGCCAATATTATAAACGGAGCGAATTCTACATTCGCTTCTCCTATTTCATATGCTTTGCTTTGCTAGGAAGCGCATTCAGCGGCGTATGTACACCCGTCCCAGCATATATCCTTTGTTGATTCTCTGCTAACAAACTGGACAGCTACTAGCATACGCCATATATAACCTAGACGGGCTTCACGGCTACGAAGCATGGCGCTGGATATTTATTCTCGAGGGCCTCTTCACCTTCGCCTTTGGTGTCGTAGCCTGGTTCATCATCCCGTCGTTTCCCCAAGACGCCATTTTTTTAACTGCCGAAGAGCGCGCTATGCTCCTCGCCCGTTTACGCCACGATCGCGGTACCGAGAGGCTGGACTTTAAGGGTATCAATTGGATCAGAGTGTTTTCCGACTGGAAAGTCTGGTCGTTTACGATTATTTATTTTTGCGCCGACATGGGCGCCGCCTCTATTTCCTCCTTTACGCCCACAATCTTGGCAGAACTGCACTGGACGGCGCAGCGCGCCCAAGTAATGAGCATCCCCATCTGGATGGTGGGCATCGTTGTTACGCTGTCGACGTCGTACGCTTCGGGCAAGCTCTCACTACGCTGGCCATTTGTGCTGGTCGGAGCCATCTTTGCCCTGGTAGGCTTCTGCATCCAGTATGCGCAGATCAATCCTCCAGGAGTGCGCTATTTTTCGCTCTACATTATTGCTTTTGGATCCTTTATGCAGTTTCCCATCCTCATCGGATGGCTCAACAGCAATCTGCGCGGCCGGCCGCAGCAGGCCATTGCTAGCGCGGTCCAGCTTGGCGTAGGCAACTGCGCAAACTTTGTCGCAAGCAATGTCTTTATCAAGACACAGTCGCCACGATACCCTGTCGGTTTCGCTACGGGGATCGGCCTAGCGGCGCTAGGCGTGCTCTGCACAATCCTGGTAACTGCAGCCCTGGCGTGGCATAATCGACAGTTTGATACTAGGAGGAGCAGGACAAAGGACGACGACCAGGAGCATTTTAGATACGTGTTATAACGAAATGGCGAAAGAAAAAGCCAGCTTGACCGCCTCCCCATAGATGTACATAGCCACGTCGTTCATGAACCCCAATCCAACTACGAAATACTACCGAGAGACAATCGGTCTTCCCCCAAAACCAACCACCCTTCGCTTAGAGTAGCAATGCATCCAGTGGCACGCTAACTGTAGAGTTCATATCGGAAATACGCTAGGAGGGCTCAAGCTGACGCGCTGCGCCCCTCCGCCCCTCATGCTCTGCCAAAGTCCCTTAGTGGCGCCCGGCCCTTCCCGCGCCTCGTTCGTCCCGTTGCATTAATTGGTGTGAAATTAATTGGAGAAGGGATCCAAATGGAAGCAGACCCCACCATCCATTCCCACCAAAACCTTCAAGCCATGCTCCCACTTTACAGCACTGTCGGCAGGTGCTGAAGGCTCTGAAATCGACCCACCACGTGATGTGCCAGCCATTAGGAGCACGTTCGGCGACGGTGTCAATCTTCAAGACAACACGACCAGCTCTCGGCTGCACCCTGTTGTTTCCCGTTTGTCCAACACATACAACTATCCCTTGCGGCATGTGTAGCCGTATAAAGCGCAGCTGGCTCTAGGACCTGCCGTGAACCGAGCGCCCTGTCCTTCTTCCTCCTTCAACCACAGACATCACCGCTACTCGCCCATCATGTCTGACTCCAGAGTCGCCGGGTTTCTCGTCATCGATATCGGCATCACGGTGCTTGCTCTGGGTGTGGCTGGTCTCCGCGTCTGGTACCGATGGTCGCGTGGGCAGCTTGCCACCGCCGACTATCTCATCAGTTTTGCAATGGTGCGTAGAGGAAAGTCGGCCATCGCTACCAACGAAATCACTAACGCTTCCCATTAGCTCACTTCTTTTATACACATGATTATCGATATTATTAGTACGCCTCTTGAGAAGACTGTCTAACTTATAGCTCGCAATTACTAACATTTTTCACTCCAGTTACTGCAGCGTTTGGCTATGGCCGCCACGAGCGTGATCTGCCGGCAGATCTCCAAAATTCATGGAAAACTGCTCTTGTACGCCCTCCACTGTTTGTGACCTCTTGGCTTTTGGGCTAACTAAGAAATGGTAGACATTTTGGCTTATTCAAATATTTACGAAACCACCGCTCATGTTCAGCAAACTCTCGGTGACATTCGTCTACCGCCGCCTCTTCTTCAATGTGGAAGATTCGGTAGTCCGCATATGTCGCATTATTAATTATACGCTCATGGTTGTCCTGACGGGCTTCTTCACTGCCGCCACGCTTGTTAGCATGTTTGCGTGTCAACCGATACAAAAGGCCTGGCTACCGAAGACACCAGGCGTATGTATCGACACTACCATCATGTTCAACTATGTCACCAGCGCTATCAACATATCTACCAGCTTATGTCTAATCGGCCTTCCACTGCCGGTGCTTTACATGTCAAAAAACAGAGAAATTGAGATTAAGCAACTGTTTGGGTTAATCTTGTTTGGCTTAGTGTACGTTTTGTCTTCAGTAGAAGGGGCCTATCCGCTGAGTTGCTAACTTATCGTAGGGACACTGCGATTTCCGCCGTCCGTATGTACATGATTTCCGATCTGCATGATGTCAAACAAGACTTTACTTGTAAGTTCGATTTACAGTCGTCCTCGATAATGGCAGATCTAACCAAAAACACCTAGGGAACATCATTCCCACACACATTATTATCGTTGTCGAAATGAACATTACTATTATTGCAGCATCGCTTGTCGTTATGAGGCCCTGCTTTCAGACCATCTTCGACAACCTCTTCCCCGGGTCACCTAACGCCAGCCACAATAGGCCTGGTCATGGGAACTCTAGTCGAGTTAGGAGGGCATCCGGCTACATTAGAAGCCTGGGTGAGAGCAGTAAGAGCGCATTACGTGACCCCTCTGTTCATACCAGCCCAGAGGGCGTTGCTGGTATCACCAAGACGGTGGACATTGAAATGGCGAGCCAAAACGCCAGCACAGAAGATATTCTTCGCGGTGAGTTGTGTTTTCTGACATGTTCTTGATGTGTCGCTAACAGGCATAATAGAAACGCGATTAAGAAATCCTCTTGATCGGCCAGAGTGGCACGAAGAGACGGAAAATAGTTCTCAGAAGAACTAAGACGGATATACGAACGAGCTGGCTCTTCCCCAGCATTACGCATGACTTTTTTGCATTTCAGCATGGGATATTACGGCGCAAGTTTTACGACCTAGACAGATTTTGGTTTGCATTCTATCGCACGAGGGATCCATCAAGGCCCTCGACTCATCATGATACACAATTTGAGCATTTTTTGTTTATTACAATTGGATGTATAGTATTTTTAATTTGGTTTTGGAGTCCTCCGAAATCAGACCGCTTAATTGAAAGTCACTTACACTTGAGCAATGGCATATTTTTAGCTGTCAATTTGGATACTATGTATGATGTTTGAATGTTGAACTATATACAGGCTGAATCAATTTAAGCCGAGACAGATTGGCTTGCGAGGGCTACTGTATTTTCACCCTCGCGAGCACTGTCGTTGGCCTTCTTCTCCTTGGGATCTGACTGATCTTCGTTTATGCAGATCCACCAGCCCGACATTGGCTGAACAGCTGTCAACGCGTCATCCGAGGCCGGTGCAGTGGTGACTGTAGCCTTTTGTTTCTCGTTTGCTTTGGCCGCCTGTATGGCTGCAGACCCAGCAACCATGGTACACTGGAAGAGCTGGCCATTGTCATCGAGGAGTACAGGAACGGAAGCCGAGCCAGGTGGGATATCGGGAATCTTAACTCGCGGGTATTCTACCTCAGCCACCTTAGTCGGCTCTGGAACACCGCGACCATCACCCTCGTACGAACCCAAGGGCTGGCCTTCTGAGTTCCAGAAGCAGAAAGCCGTGATCCAACCAGACAGGAACGGCACGGCACTCGCGCGAGAAGTCTTGTGCGCGATGGTGTTCCAAAACTGGGTGACATCTGGGCTATCTGGCTGCTCAAACGATCGGATCATGTTCTCAAGAATAGGCTGTAGCTGCCGTCTAAACTTGGTTGGCTCCTCGCCCAGCCGGTCAATGAAATCCAGTCGCTTCAGGATATCCTGCCAGTCAGACAGCTCGCCCAGCAGGGTAACGGACGGGATACCGCAGCGCAGCGAAAACCTGTAGGAAAAGTACTTTTGCATGGCTCCCATGAAGAGCACCGCAGCGACTGAGCGGTCCTCGTCGGTTGTGGTGGTAAAGGACGGCATCACCCAATCGCTGAGAGCGGGGTCCTTGACATTCTTTGCAATGAGGTTCGTCATTGATCGAGCCATGCGGCCGAAATCGACGGTATGGCGAGTGCCAAAGTCAACGACCTCGAGCTCCTTCTTGTCATCATGTTCCACAAAGAAAGTGCGCAATTCTTCGGCGTGCGCTTTGATGTAGAAGCTGAGTTGGGTTAGGATGCTGAACCAGACGTCTTCGGGGCGCAGTGTGAGATGGTGGTGGTTGTTGTAAGCTGCAATGGCGGCGTGTACGAATCCGTTGGATGAAGAGGTGGCGTTCTTTTCGGCAATGGCTTTCGCATTGTACGACGTTTGCAGGATTTCCTGGAAGGCCTTGGAGTCTTGGGGGAGAGCGACGTCAAGGATATCTTTGGTGTTGGCCGCTGGTTCTTTCTCCCAGGGCTCTGCGGCGTGGTCGTTGACGGGTATAGTGACGGGCATGTTTTTCTGTGAGTGTGTTTACTGATGGTTGCAAGTTTCTATGACGATCGCGGCGGGCACTCTGTACTTAAATGTTGGAGTCCTCCCCAAGGTGGCAACGCAACGGCTTTGGCGTCGCCACTTAAACTTGTTAGTGTCCTCGCGTGCTGTAATAGGCAGTCGTTTCAGCCGCTACAGGAAGAGTCGCAGTCGCTTATTAGCGGCCACTGCTGCCTGGGATGCGCTACGCCAAAATTGGCAATTGGAAGTGATGCCGATCAAGTTTATTTTGCTCGACTTGCGTCACCACCCCTCTTTGGCTTCCATCACAAGCTAAGATAAACGTGCCCCGCGATCTTGGACGATGACGTGTGTAAGCGACAGCTCCCATGTGCCGAGATTTGACTCATGGCCCCCAATAAAGCCGCCGAGGCAAAGGCTCCGGCGCAGGCATTCATGAAAGAATATTGCGCATGTTGGTAACAACAGCAGTATTTCTCTTTTTGCAGCTCATACAGCAGATATTATGACACCAACAAATAATTCACCACTTGCAGCCGTCAAAGCCCTGACATTCGATGTCTTTGGCACGACCGTTGACTGGCGTGCCTCGGTTGTAAACGAGCTCCAGCGGAACATCCAAGACAAACTTTCCGGTTCTATATCTGCCGAGCTACGCGAGCGCCTGAAACAGCTCAACGAGCAAGATACTGGTGCGAGCGAACCATGGACTACACACTTCGCCAATACTTGGCGTGATTCCTATGTAGACTTTGGCCACCAACAGGCTCGCGCGGGCCAACTGGACAGCGCCAATTTCAAGACGACGGACCAACATTTCTATGATAGCCTCGTCGAGCTTCTAGGAGAGTGGGATCTTGCTGGGCTGTTCTCTGCGTATGAGCTCAAGTCTATCAGCCTCGTGTGGCATCGACTAGTGCCTTGGCCCGATACAGTTGCTGGTCTGGCCAAGCTCGCTGCACCACCATTGGGGCTTGTCACAGTGACTCTGACCAATGGTAACACGGACTTGATTCGCAATTTAAACGAATTTGGTCAATTGGGCTTTCAGCATCTCTTTTGCGCAGAGATGCTGCATGCCTATAAACCTGCGCCAGATACGTATCTGGGTGCGGCGCAAAAGCTAGGCTTACAACCTGGAGAAGTGGCCATGGTGGCAGCGCACATGAGTGACTTGGCCGCTGCGAGGAATGTAGGCTTGCGCACGGTGTATGTAGAGAGAGAGGACGAGGAGTGGTGGGATGCTGATGACGAGAGGTTAGCGCAGGCAAGAGAATGGGTGGATGTCTGGATTAGCAAGGACGAAGACGGGTTTCTGGAACTTGCTAAGCAACTCACGAAGCTTCAAGGCCAGTAAAGGGTTTTCAGCTCCATCTTGGCAAACTGCTACTTTAGATTATGTAGCAAGGTTTCCAAAGCTGGAATAACACCGCCCGACGGTTCCTGGCGGAAATTGAGCGTAACCACGGCCCATTAATATTAGTGCTAGCCTTCATTTATACAGAATGATTCATTCTCCATGTAGATCACTCACACCAACTCACTCTCAATCCAAACTGCTCGCCACGACTCATTTCACTCCAGAGTCTTACAGAATCTAGGAGTAGTAACTAACAAGACAAAAAGGTATAAAAGTAGCAGATCCAATTCCTAGACGTAAACATGCTCTTCTCAAGTTAAACAAGTCTGTTGTACTTCACTACAACCCTACCATGCATCCCAACAGCCTCACACACTGCTCCTCGGCCTTGTCGGCTTTGCGATGGCCATCGGTCGCAAATGCTGCTGTGACCGATACAAAGACGTGTCCATCGATAACCAACAGGATGTGGCGAACCACTGCTACTCCACATGGGACGCTGTAAACAGTGGTGCGTCGAGCGCTGATTACTGTGCTGGCATCTACTGTATCGGGCAGAAGTCGGGCGTCATTGGTGCTGGAAAATGTACCGTTGCCGCGTACAATTGCGGTATGTTTACAGATTCTAACCGTAATCATATTCTGGGTCCAACGAGATAAATTTATAGGTAACTGTGCGAGTGGTCAGGTGGGCTGCCGTGGATAATGGGTACAAGTGGTGTAAGAGAGCTTAGCTATGGGTTTGATCAGGCTCTATTTGTTAACCCTGGGTTATTCTAATCTAAGGTCTATTTAATCCATTATAGTTCTAACGTAGTATATCAATAGCTAGATAAGAAACTCATATCTATCACGCACCACTTAAGCTGGGAACTGATGAATTCACCCTAACGGTGAACCTACCAGTTGTTATGGGGTGCGGTATACGAGAGATCTTCAACAGAGTTGTTCTTGTTCACATAATAGACATCCAAAGTGTTGCTTCTCCGGGAGACGGCACCGATACCACTTGCATGAGAGACGGTGTATGCTTCCGATAGCGTGATGTGGTACCAACCGCCTTTTTCCCAGAACCTGGCGCAGCGGAGGGACTCGTCTTGAGCAATATAGAAGACCTCCATATTATCAGACGAGCGAGAAAGCGCAGCGAGACCAGTGACCCCGGTAACAACGCCCGGGCCCACGAGCTGGAAGTGCTTCCAAGGCTGGTCATCGTACCAGTAGTAGTCTTCAAGAGAGCCCTGCACACCAACAAACCAGACCTCCATAGTGTTGGATTTACGAGAGACGGCTCTGATGTTGCCGCTGGCTGAGTTGGGAGGGGCCAACTCAAAGTCCTTCCAGTCCTGGCCATCGTACCAGTAGTGATCGCGCACACTGAGGTCTTTGCGGGTGACAAAGACCTCAATGGTGTTGGAGGCGCGCGATACGGCAGCGAGGCCACCGTACGAAGTAGAGACCACACCTTCGGGAATAAATTGCCACGATCCCCAGCCTTTGCCCTCGATGTAGAAGTAGTCCATAACACCACCACCTGGGGTAATAAACCAAACTTCAACGTGATCCTTGTCGCGAGCGACAGCAGCAATGGGAGACGTGTCGTAAACGCTACCTGGAGGCGCGCGGTTTTCACACTTCCAGTAGTCGCCCTGTGTCCACCAGCAGTCGACGAGTGCACCGTCGGGCGAGGTGAAGAAGACTTCCATTCTGTTGGAAGTGCGCGAGACAGCAGCCATGCCGCTCCTGGTGGAAGCAGATCCGGGGCCAGCGAGCTGGTAGCGGTTCCATTGGTTGTGGCCCTCGTCGTACCATTCACCCCAGACGGAGCCATCTTCGTCAATATACCAAGACTCCATGGTCTCGGGGATTCGAGCCACAGAAGCCATGGCGGCCGTCTGAGAGGCAGGCCCCGTTAGGCGAGTTGTCCAATAGGGAGGGGGCATAGACGCCTTGGGGGAAGTCCAATAGATGGTTGTCCATGGAGAGTAGTCACCTTTGTCTCCTGCCTCGACGCTAATCTTGTATTGAGTGGACGTCTTGAGGCCGAAGAAGTGAGCCTTGGTAGCTTCCCCCAGATACTCCTCTTGGTCGTGGTAGCTGTCGTCGAGAGCATCGACTCTGACAATGATCTTGCTGTATCTGCCTCCATTCGTCCAATAGACATACATGTGGCCGTTCGGCTCATCCCAGTCTGCAACATAGATATCTCTAACCGGTGGAAACGCGGCGGAGACGAGTCCTAGGAACAGAAACAGGAGAACGGAAAGGGCCTTCATCGTGCTTGGTGTGAGTTAGGTGCCGAGAAAGTGTGAAAGAAGAAGATAATCGAGCAGAAGCAGCATATTTCCTACGGGATAGAGTTGGGGTCTTATACGCAGTAGCTGGTGAAAGCAGAATATACAGCCTTACTTACTATTCCAGTTATGGTATCTCGGATGGGTGACCCATCGGCGCTGAAGTGTAAGCTTAAATGGGGTCGCTAATCCCGAGTTTTAGGGGATAGGTGAGAGTGGGTTATACCCGAAGTTACATTAAAGCTGCCCTGTAGGCCCATTATTTGGCAGTAGTGAATCAACGGCTGAACGTATCGATATCGGGATTGCAGCGGGTGGGTGATGAGAGCTGAAGAAAAAAAAACTCTGCTATTTAAATTGGCACAGGAGCAAGTATGCGCCGACTTGACGCTGCATACTGCATTCTCGGGCGATGTAGTCGTAAATCGTGCCGGATCACCAATAATGTTCTACAAGTGGTATAGGTAATAAGCGAGTTGGTTAGACAGCTGTTCGGAGTACTTGGTGTATCCTTTTTTTTCTCTTTTCATCCCCGTGGCCTCAGTTAAAATTGACCTTAAAATTGGAGCTGCGCGCGATCAATATTCAGTTCAGTTGTCCGAATAACATCACGAACAAGGGTGAACTCTCCCATATTTTTTCGTCTTTCGTCGACAGTAATGATGCTCTTCGCACCAAGACAGATGCCATCTAGAACAAAAAGCATACTGACGGGTTTGTCTCTGTTGAGTAATCTAATTCGAAATGCCAGTTCATGCTCAGACCAGAGCCGCCATCCAGATCGGCGAAGCCAAATCCCACACGGCACAACTCAAATACTCTACCTTGATTAAACAATCATTTTAGTCTCTCTATTGTCGTTGCATTTTGGGGGCCAGGCTGCGTCTAGCCCTTTTGGCAGCGTAATTGTCGGTTTGTTGGAGTCCTATCCGTTACTAACGGGTATATGGGCTGTTCTAGAAACTCCAACAACCGTCGTAGCGACCCGCCACGCGACCAAAATGCAAGCATTTAACCGGGCGTCCCAATATGCTATATAATATTCGTGTCGGGATTTCATTTCTAGTTTGGACGAGTCGTATCCCGGCGAGCGCAACGTAGAGGCAGATGGCTACGTCGTATGATGGTAGTCGGCAGCGAGACCGGGCGAGGGTTACTTGGAGGCTAATGCCGCACATCTTCCGTCTGAGATTTAGGCGAGCGATGCGCGCCTGTGGCGTTGGGAGCTGGCTAATTTGGTCAGATTCAGGAACGACGTGGACTCCATGGCGATCCACCGCGGCTGGACGGGCACTAACGAGTACAGTAAGCATGGCGAGGCGGGACCGGGGGTTGAAGGAGAGCAAAAGGTCGGACGAAAGAAAAGAAGAAGAGTGGGAGCTTGGCTCTACGGCAGCACCGCGGGAGTGGTGATCATCCTGCCTCTAGTTGTAGCGATGGTGGCGCAGATAATGATGCTGGAGACAAGGGGGGCACCTGTACCTGTCGTCTGCTTTCTGCCAGGTGTTTTGTTTTGCTTTCACGGCAGCAGCTGTACAAAGTACTTTTTTTTGGGGGGGGGGGGGGGGGGGGTGGCCCTTTACAGCAAGACAGTACACTGTACCAGATACTGTAGAGATTGCGCCGCCGGCTCTCGCCACTGTGACCTAAGATGTACCACGAGCGCTGTAATTTGGGGGCTGTCGTTGATTAGAAATTGACCAAATTGGTGCGTTTGCGGGGGAGCTGCCGGGACCTCCTCCTCGGAACAGGCGCTAAGAGAGCCCCGTCCGATGGGAAGGGAAGGGGGGGAAAGAAAGAGAGGGAGGAGGACAGGTTACCAACAGAGCAGCCAAGCCAGCCACAGTGCTTGGTTTAGTGAGATAACGCTCTGGGTAGATGGAACAATATAAAAAAAATTATCCTTTACACCGAAGAATGCAAAAGATAAGGCTCTGTTTTCCTTTTGAATTCTTCTTCCTGTTTTTATGGCATCTACGAGATTGGCGCAGCGCAGCCGTCAGGCCTACGCAAGCCGCCCACTGGGCTGCACAGCGCTAGGTCCCCCCTCCCCTCGCCAAACTACCGGACGCCCAGTGCTCCTGCCGGAACCCACTGGGCCAGCGCCTAAATGGACTAAAAAACAACAACGCAACGCAACCATGTGTTGTAACTAGAGCCTGGTCTGCCTCTTTGTTGCCAGCACAGCCGTAATCTCTTCCGCGTATGTCTTTGACGCCTTCTCTGTGTTCCGTCAACACCGCCCGCGCAGTCTCTGTTGATTGCCCTCTGCCGACCTTGCGCTGCTTGCTTCGCTCTCTCTTTTCTATTATTTTATTGCAGCCAGCATAGTATTAATGCTGAAAGCAACAACAGCCCTCTCTCCATCGGCATCCTCCGCTGCCCATCTGTCTGCGGAGTCTTTGCCACCACCACCCTCCACCGGACCAACTCATACAGTGGCCTTCCACCCCCGTAACGGGTACCCCAACAGAGGTCTACAGGGCACACACAGCCGACGGACTTAGTGCCTGCGTGTCTTGCTAAACCAACAGCCTCAGCCTGCGTTTTACCCCCTCGCGCGCCGCAGCTTTCTTGTTGAACTGTTTTTCTTCGCTTCGTTTGCCCGGCTGGATGCAAGTTAGCTGCCTCTTGGCGCACCATGCCGGGCTCTTTTGCCCCTACAGGGATTGATATCCTTTGCGATGCTGCTCACTCCGAACGTGCCATGTCCACATCCACTAACGGCGATGCTCGTCCGCCTACCGCCCAACACAACCACCACCACGGCAGCCACAGCAACAGCCACCACGTCAAGAAATCCGACTCCATCTCCTCTATAGCTTCAACCGCAACCCAGATCGCGGCCAGAAAGGCTGTGGCGGCTACCACCGGTGGCCCTGTGGTGCCAGCAAAGCGCAAACCGTCGCCGTCGGGTTCCTCTCACGTCTGTCCCATTTGCCAGAGAGTCTACGAGCGAGCCGATCACCTTTCCCGCCATTTGCGATCTCACGTAAACGCCCGCCAGTACGAATGCACACGATGCCCCAAGAGATTCAACAGAGCCGACTTACTTTCACGCCATGAGGCCACCCACGATCGCGAGTCCAGCCGCCGGGGCCGTTCGTCGCATCGTCGCGGAGACCGGGCCACCGAGGCCTGCCACAACTGTGCTGCTTCCAAGGCCAAGTGCGACGATGTCAAGCCCTGCTCTCGCTGCGTTAGCAAGGATATTGTCTGCGAAAGTACTTCCCGTCGTGCTGAACCACGCCGGAGCTTGGAAAACGGCTCTGCAACACCAATGTCCGACGTATCTCCGGCCCGCTCCGTCGTCAGCGGCGAGTACCCCCAAGGCCAAAATTACGTCTCAGAACAGTCTTCGCGGTACAGTGGCGCCGTTTCTGATTCACATAGGCTGGGTCGATTTGCTGAAGACCAGAGTAACCGCTCGCTGCCGCTGCGGCACCCCGAAGATCTAGAAGACCCTTTGGATAAGCTGCTCTTTGAAACCCAAAGAGTTCCCTTCCGTGACCAGCCGCTCAAGTGGCCAACACGCCTGGACCGTTTGATGTTACCCAAATGGAATAGCCATGGAAGATCAAGCCCCAGCAATAGAAGCTATACTACGTCTGAGGGCCATACTAATGGCAGAGGCTCATCCTCAGGCTCGACAAACGGCCCTTATAAGCCCAACGGCATAAGCATGCTGCTCGGCCCGGATACCACCTTTCAGCCACCCATGGTTCGCGCCAACGAGCCTGCAAAGATTCACTATCTCGTATTGACATCGTGCGAACGTGACGCCGTCTACGCTCTCTTTTTGGAACGCCAACAAGGACGCGTCAAAGGCTTTCCGTCGTTGGAGACTCTCAATGAGCTTCTTCGCGAAGGAGCACATAGTACAGCCAGTGGCGTACGCAACTTGCTGCACATGCCCTCGTTGCATGCCTCCACAACGTCGACAGAGTTGGTAGCTGCCCTAATTGCCAACTCGGCCAATTCATATGTCGACCCAGAAGTGCACAAGTTTGGCCACATGCTTGCAAAAGCTGTCGCCGCCGAGATACTGCACAAGCTCTCTTCCAGTGGCCCAAGCTCCATCGACCTAGAGGCTGCCCAGGCTGCTGTTCTCTGTGTAGAGATTTGCTTCTGGAGCGGCTCACAACGCGAAATGGAGCAGGCGGAAACTATCACGAATCTTCTCATCCATGTAAGCTTATCAACTGAAAGAATCGCTGCGGTACGCTAACAGCTTGCAGAAACTCCGACGTGCTGGAAAGCTATCATTTAGCACCGATCCGCTTGACGCATTTCCATTACCGACTGACCTGCCGCCTGTGGTGGAAACAAAGTGGCAGCACTCTGTGCGCCGCGAATTATACAAAAGGTAAGGCCACTTCTGCCGTCCTTGGCCAATTCATAAGCTAACTGGGTAGGCTGGTGCTCCGACTCTACGCTCTCGACGTTCAAGCCTCAATCATTGCTACCAATGCACCATCCATTCCCTTTAGGGATCTCACATTTAGCCTGCCGACATCACGGGAGCTATGGGAGGCTGACAGCGCACCATCATGGCGCAAAACAGCTCTTGCATCACCGCTGCGGCCGCGCCGGTTGCCTCGAGTATCAGATATCATGGAAGGGCTTGGGCTCGCCTCGCGGCGAGAGGTTGATCCGCATGATGAAGACCTCAGCACCTGGGCTATGCTTAATGGTTGGTACGGCTTGGTAATTTCGTACAGGGAAACACTTCGCAGCCATTATCCTGGAGCCCGCGGTCTGGCAAACTCGTGGGACTCCAACCATGCGCCAGTATCGATCCAGTCTCAATATACCGATCTCTACCGCGATCTGAGCAGCTTTTCGCGGTATATGAATGGACCCGAGGGCGGCATTGAGCTCCTCTTACAAGTGGAGCTTTTGCAAATGCTACTGCACGTACCGTCCGACGAACTGCAAGATGCTGCAGGTCGAAGCGGTGCAGAACCCATTGACCGTGCGATGAAGCAGATTCAGGTTGAATGGAGGGACACCAAGGTGGCTAGGGCAGCGCTGCGGCATGCCGGCCAAGTTTTGCGATATGCAAAAGAACTGCCGCCTTGTAGGCTGACCGACTTCCGCGCCATGACTGTCTACTTTGCTGGCCTAACTATGTGGTTGTATACGCTGCTCATCGGGCCTATCCAGGTTGGTGGGTTGCGTACCAACGGCTCAAGCCCAGCAGAGCACTCTGGGATTGTCTACATGGACGGTGACGACGAGTTTGGGATCAAGGGATTCATTGAAAAGGACGGAACGCCAGCTGTGCGGTGGGAGAGTAGCGCCGGGTCCGAGCTACACCACGGACAGGTACACATTCTAGATGTTGTACGCGGCGTTTTGCGCAACAGCTTCTCCAAGGAGGGCGGTCTGGTGCCGCCTCTTGTTGAGTCGCTCGACACGTTTCTTATGCAGGTGAAGCTGGAGCACCACGCGCGGCATTCGAGCCGGCATGATGGCCAGTATGATGGACGGCGCAATAGCAGCCACTAGTATGCCATAGACTTATTGAGAGGGAAAAGATAACCAATCACAGGAGCATAGAAGCCTGCATGGGCGGCATTATGGGGTTGCTGTACAGTATACGACGTTTTTACCTACACTTTTTCATGCATATGCTTTTCCTGTATGGGGGTTTCCTGTGTTATGGACTACCCCATCGGGCGTGCCTTGGTAGATCGACAGGAGGAAAAAAAAAGACCCATTGTGGTGTAAACCGGGTTATAGGAACCAAAAACTTGGCTGTCGTGGCTGCAGAATCTTGATGTTGTCATAGCCGATTTGGCATGAGCCGTGTCGCGAATGGCCACCTTTGCCAATTGATGGAATTAAATAATTTTGAAAATTCACACCATCTTTACGCTATCATAATAGACCAACTACGGATTATATAATTAATCCGCATCTTCAGCGCCTCGTTTATATGCGCAGAACCCCGAAGTCATATAGCCGTTTGCTGTGACATCATACAAAAAAGACCCCACCCTCGTTGAGCTTCCTTGTCCCCGCCGTGCCCCCCATCGCGATCCCTAAGCTGTGAAAATAATTACCCCTCCCAACCCTTGTTGTTTCTTCTTCTTCTTTCTCTTCTACTCCTATAACACATAAGTTTTATTTAATTCTTTTAAACAAAACCCCCCAAAATCATCACAATGTAAGCAAGTCTGTTGCCAATTGCATGTATTACATCACCGTATAGTGATTGCTAACACAAGCTTCACTACAGGTCTGCCATGGAAGCCACCTCTGGCCACAGCGCCGCCTGCTGCAACCTCGCCCCCATTGTCAGCGAGGGCTACGAGGCCAAGGGCACCTACGAGACCATTGGCGACTACAAGACGTACGTCACGGGCCCCGAGGACGCCGAGCACGCCATCATTGTCGTCTACGACATCTTTGGCTACTTTGACCAGACCATCCAGGGCGCCGACCTGCTCGCCTACGGCGACGACAAGCACAAGTACCGCGTCTACATGCCCGACTGGTTCAAGGGCAACCCGGCCAAGATTGACTGGTACCCTCCTACCGACGATGCCAAGAAGAGCAACTTGACGGCCTTCTTTGGCAACAACCCACCCCAGGGCGTTGCGGATGCTCTGCCTCTGTATGCCAATGCTATTAAGACGGCTTCCCCCCAGATTAACCGCTTTGCTATCCTTGGTGTAAGTATCCTTGCCCCATCCTCCTTGTCAGCAATCCTTCTTCCATTGTCATAATGGAAGGACGAAATGACATTAGTAGAAATCAACAGTAAACTAACATGGGGAAACACGCAGCTCTGCTGGGGCGGCAAGGTCGTCTCCCTCGTCGCCAACCAGCTCACCAACCCCTTCAGTGTTCTGGCCGCCGTCCACCCCGCCATGATCGACCCCAAGGACGCCGAGGGCATCACTGTGCCCATGATCCTGCTGGCTTCGGGCGACGAGCCTGCCGAGGACGTCAAGAAGTTTGAGGAGGCCCTTACTGGAACCAAGCACGTCGAGCGCTTCGACGACCAGATCCACGGATGGATGGGCGCCCGCTCGGACTTGTCTGATGATAGAGTCAAGGCCGAGTACGAGCGTGGCTACTCGACCCTGCTCAAGTTCTTTGCTGATAACTTGTAAAGAAGACATTCACAAAAGGTAACGACAGTATGGTAATATAAAATAAAAATAGTGATCATCATCTAATCCTAACTTTGGCTCTTTCTTTATGCTGTGCAATGTCTTGTTAGGGATGGGCTGTGCGTATTCTCTCGGCCTCTTCGAGAATCGTGTCAAGCGATATATTCTCAAACTTGCCCACTGTGATGCCCTCGCCTGCCCTTCTTACAGCCGTGCAGACCATAAACTGCTTGCCAAATTCCCACTCCATCTTGACTTCTGCGTCGTTCACTTTGCTGCCTTTGAACCAAACTTCCAATGCGCCGCCCTTTTCGCAGCCAGGTTCGCCAATACCTGGCACTCCTGGCGCCGCGAACCCTCGAACATCCAGCTCCTTCAGCCAACTTGCGAGCAGCGCCTCGCCCGTCATCTTGACATATGCCTCGCGGATGCACCACAACGCATAAAAGTAGCCTAGCTTCTCGTCCACGCTGCCCTGTACCGCAGTCAACCGGCTCGCTTCGCCCGGTGAGAAGACTGAATCGTGTACTCGTACGTACTCGGGCCATCCTTCTGTCCTGATGCTCTCAATGTCTCGTCTCCTTCGCTCGCCTGGGCATACGACATCTACGCCAATCTGTGTACCTGCTGGCGCATCGAGCGTTGCAAAGAGAATCACTAGGCCTGCCTGATGCGATACGTTAAATAGTACTGGTTGCTCTTTGGACCCGGGGAGGTAGAAGACGGGCTTTGTGTGCTCGTCCCGCGTGGCCTTGCATGTTTCCCAGCCGAGACCATGCTTTCCTGCGAGATGCTTTGCCATGATGAAGCGTTTCAGTAGAGCGGAGCAGAGCGCCATTTTGGCGTCTTTGAGCTGGTAGTAGCGCAGCACGGCGGCCTGTTCGTCGTCTGTGAGGAGGGCCATTGCACGGCCAGCCTGGAACGGTTAGCAGAGTCTAGGCTTGTACTTGATAATTAGAGTACATACGATTATTTCTAGGTCTTTTGTTTTAGACGCCCCGGGCCAAAGAGGCCGTGTGTCGAGAATCCATTGTGTGACCACTGTCATGGTAGTGGAGGGGCAGCGACGCGGGGTTCGGTGCTAACGGTGATGTAAATGCGGAAAAGAAGCGGTAGAAGAGCAAACTTTTAACAAAAACAAATCTCGTTTTGAATCGGACCCTCTATCAGTTAAGACTTTGTTTGTCGTGTGCTATCTCAGATGTAGAAACACAGCTTATGTGAGAGGTGAGTGCTTACGCCACATAACCCAGCGCCCAGCACATCTATAAGGCTACGCCCCCAGCGCGCCAATCACAGCCAGCGCACAACAGCCCCTCCACCCCAAACCACCATCAGCCTTGTCCCTCCAACCACTTTCTTTCCCGCCATCAATCATCACCACCATTTTCCTAGATACGCCAAAATCACCCACAATGACAACAAACGTAACATTAGAAACAACAATGGTCCGTTCCGCCACAGCAAAGCTTCCTTTCAGACGCAACTAACCTTCCGCAGGGCACGCTCACCGTCGAGCTGTACACCGACCACGCCCCCAAGACCTGCAAAAACTTCGCGACGCTCTCCCGCCGCGGCTACTTCAACAACACCATCTTCCACCGCGTCATCCCCAACTTCATGATCCAGGGCGGCGACCCCACAGGCACGGGCCGCGGCGGTAGCTCCATCTACGGCGAAAAGTTCGAGGACGAGATCTCGCCGGCCCTTAAGCACACGGGCGCCGGTGTGCTCAGTATGGCCAACTCGGGGCCCAATACCAACGGGTCGCAGTTTTTCATTACGCTAGCTCCTACGCCGTGGCTTGATGGAAAGCATACTATTTTCGGGCGAGTGAAGAGCGGCATGGCGATTGTGAAGCGCATGGGGCTGGTGCCTACGGGGGCAGAGGATCGGCCAGTAGAGGAGCTCAAGATTCTGTCTACGCGGGTGACGGAGGGCGATGGCGAGGATGAGCAATAATGGACGATGTGATTTTTAAAAAGTAAATGTATACTAGCTAGCAATTGAATGAATGTCATGATTGAAAAAGCCGTCTAGTGTGGCGATTAAAGAAGCTATATCTACATGTGGTGTTTGTTGAAGGGATGGCAGCTTGTGTAGTGTAATAAGGTATCCTGTATTGATTTTGACCAGGCACGGCGGCCGTGGCATGCACCTAGAATAATAGTAACTGGAAAAAAGACAACCCATATAAAAGAAAACGAAAACGCCATCCCTTAAAATGCAAATCACGTCAAGACTACCACCGAGCGGCCGCATGGGGGCCTAGAATACACGAGTATAAAACGTGGGAAGCAGGAAAACAGAAACAAAAAAACACCTCTAGAGCGGACCGGAAACACAATTGCTTTTCTTTTTCCGTCTTTTGCGTCCAATGAGTCAAAATAGCGAGTGCAGTAGAGCAGGTATGCTGAATTTTGCTGGTACTGCTACAGCAATGAGGGAACGACTGTCAAGAGTCGTTGTTGTGGGCTTCTGTCATATGTAACAGAAGCCAGCCATAAGGATAAAGAAACAAGAATTCTGTGTAGTTTTGGTGATGAAGGGGGAGGACAAGAAGAGGGTGAAAGCGAGTATCCAAACGCCATGAATGCAAGGCCGTCAATATATGCACAACGTGGCAGTGGCCGTGATAGCCACTGACAGGGGAAGAAGTTTTTCCAAAGGGGCTCTTTACTCAAGGGGACGAGACGGGCTCTGAGATTTCAGACTCCATGTCGATGTCGCGATCTCGTCTAGACAACGGCGAGCTCATAACCTTGCCAGCCTTGATCTTCTTAATCGGGCTGCCAGACTTGTGGATGGGCTTAGTTGGTGTCCTCTCCGAGAGCGAGTCGTCGTCTGACATGCGGTGCTCAAAGCTCAGCTGCGATGACACGCGCTGCCGCTCTGCCTTGAGGTTGTTTTTTGACTTGAGCACAACCTTCTTATGAATCGCCTTTACCCGCTTCTTCTTAGGACTGTCCGAGTCGTCATCGTCGTCGTCGCTCACATCACGTTTCCTAGGGCTTCCTGCACGGGATCCGGGTCCCGGTGTAGCCTTTTGTGATGATGGCGGCGTGCTGTCGTGTGCTGACGAGTTGCCATTGATCTTTTGAGCCGCGGCTCGGCTTGCGTTGCGGCCGCTGTTGCCGATACACGAGCCCATGTGGTTATTGAGACGGGTGACGAGAATACATCTCTTGCATTTACTGCAAGTAGCGGATGGAAACGACAGCACATTTGTCGGCTTGTCGTCCAGGTCCTTCTTCTCCACGTCCTTCTTCTTCTTGCCTCGGCCAGGACCGGGTGGGACCCAGCTTTGGCCGTAGATGTCGCAGCCAACCTTTTGGATGTACGGGTGTTTTTTGCAGTATACAACGTTCGGATCGGGTTTTCTGGCGCCCTTGCCCTCGGTGGGATGGAGCAGCCGCGGCAGATGGCACTTGGGGCAGAGGATGTCGGTGGTGGTGCGGAGCGGGTTTCCCTTGAGCAGGACTTTGCCATCCTCGTAGATGGCGGCGTCTGTTTCTATGCGTACGTCGGGTTTGGAATCGGGGGTTGAGCTTTCGGAGGCGTCCGAGGCCAGCTTCTCTACTCGGATGGCGGCGGTGGCAGCGCGGGCTTCCTTCTCTTCGCGATGGACTTTGATCAGGAGGTCGGAGATGAGGTTGTGCAAGACGTCGTCGAGAACGGAGTGTGCCTGTGGCAATTGGGGTAAGAAGCAGGTCAAGATGGAATTGCAAGGCCGGCCAGAGCGGGATACTCATTTGGCAGCGCTTGCGGATGCACGGCGTGTGACGAGAACCGGCCTTGCCGTTTGACGTGGTGTGCCGACATCGTGGGCCAAGTACAACTTACCAGCTTGACCATTCCTCCGGCATCGTCCCGGGCGCGAATGACGCCAGCCCGGCCGGTGGTGTTATTCATGGTCTTGTGTTTTTGCCTGGCCAAGCAAAGATGGGCGACGATGCTTGTGCTAAAGCAAGGTTGATGCTGATGCAGCCAGGGGAACGGGCCTTGTGTAGCAAAAAGGACGACCCGTGCCACTCACTGACTACTGGGCCCCAGGGAGAAAAAGTGGCGATGGGGCGTAAGGCAAAGCAAAACGTATGCAGTAGCAACAACAAGGCAAGGAAAAAAAAGAAAATGAAAGGCTGTGATTTCAGAGAGAAGATTTAAAAAACGTTTGAATGAAGGATGCCAGTCAGCAAATCAAAAAAAAAAAGCGTTCTAGAAAAAAGGGCAGCCAAATGCTGGGGAAATAACAAGGGCAGAGGAAAAAAATATCCACGGTGACGGAAAAGTGACGGAGACGAGATTGGGTGAATAAGCCGGGGGGGCGGCCGGGATGCGATGTGCAGTGTAGGCCCAACTGGAGACGTAGCGTGTAGTTTGATCGATTGCAGGCAGCCCTTCCGCCCTTCCGCAGCGCCCTTGGGCGAGGCACATGCATCGAGAGCCAGGTGATGGATGGAACAGCACGTGCTGGGTTATATATGTTTCTAAAATAATAAAGAATAAATAAATAAATAAAACAAAGTAACAGTGTATATATATTACTTTTTTTGTTTTATTTCTACACTCCCATCTTTTATTTCTATGCACCACCTCTACTGCCGTCTTTCCCCCATCTTGCATCCCCCATCGCGTGCCTCTCTCTCGGCCATCATGACAGCGCCAAGCGGCCCCCGAAAAAAAAAATTAAACTCGCCCGTTTTCCCCCCTAAACTGCACGACACATCGCCCGTCATCTTTTCCCTTGAGCGCCACTGGCGCCCCTAAACCGAGGGCCGGGGCCGGCTCAGCGAGTGTCCTTTTTCCAGGGCCAGACTAGAAGACAGAGCGAATAAATAATGCTTCTATACTGGCTGTACATTCATAATAAATTATGGACGTTCTTCAATACGCTAAACATATTTGAGGAGTATTCTTTTTCAATTATAAACCCATGCAGTGCCTCCATGACATCGTACCATACCCATTTACACTCCCTACCATCCCCAAACAATGACGTATATACTCACTGCTGTCAATCCCCAATGCACTCAAACCCCAAACCACCAAAAACCAATATTCAAATCTCTAAAATATTTTAACACGATACAATTACCCACTACTAAACCAATCAACATCGTACACGTTCTTCCCCCACAAACACAGTCACCGACACATGTCAATCCTTCCCCTCCGCCGCCACTCCGGCTACCGGCCGCCGTCGAGCCACGCTCCCTACCAGGCACCAGAAATCCTCCCCACGCTAACCCAAACTCCCTACCCGTGGACATGTGCGGCCACGCATCCCATCCCACCACAAACATCAACTCTCCCACCCTTTCCCACCACATCCTTTCACTTCCTTTCTTTCTTCCTCTTTTCCTTCTTTTCACCTCCACCTCTTCACAAAAATGTCTCTTCCAACCGCCAAACCCACCGCCCAATCCTCCCTCCGGTCCTTCTTCCAACCAAACAAAGCACCCAAATATGCTCCTCCTCCTGGCCAACTACCACCACTACCACCACCACCACCAGCAACAGCCACTCCTCCTCAACAATCTTCATCGCCGCCCGCGCCAATCTTCAAACCAAGCTACATCCCACCACAGTCCGACATCCGCCTCATCGCCCCCGACGACCTCCCTGCTCTCAAGCGCACCACAGCGCTCCTCCTCCCCGTCGCATTCCCCGACGCCGTCTTCAACGAAGCCCTCTCCTCGCCCTTCTGTCGAGTCATAACATGGACCGACGACACTGCATCCGCTCCTAAAATCGTAGGCTCCGTCATCTGCAGACCCGAAGTCTCCCTGCAGCCCACGCCCGATGGCCGCGTGCGCCATAACCTCTACATCCGCTCGCTGTGCCTGCTCTCGCCGTACCGATCGCACGGGCTGGTCAATGCCGCCATTGACTCCATCTGCTCGTCGGCCCTTGCCGATATCAACCACAACTTCCAGAACATCACGGCGCACGTCTGGACCGAAAACGATGAGGGCTTAGCGTGGTACCAGAACCGCGGGTTCGAGCGCTCCGGCCAGCCCATTGAGAACTACTACATCAAGCTCCGGCCCGGCTCGGCGTATCTGGTTACTCGTCCGATTGCTGCCAATGTGCGCGCTGCGCTTCCTGGTGCATCGGCTGGTCCTCCACCGGCTGCTGCTGGTGTGCCCGGCCCATCTGTCACCGCTGCCGTACTGAACATGACCAACAACGGTACTCCTCCACCTCCTCCGCCTGCTGCCGGCGCGCCGCCAGCACGAACTGCACAGTCATATCAGAACCAGCGCCCGGAAACCGAATGGAACGACCTCCCCGAAGAGATGATGAACCCTAGCATGCTCATCCCGCCAAGGGTGAGGAATGCGAGCGAGGCCAACTCGAATGCGTCGTCGAGAAGCAGTTCTTCTGCCGCTAAGAAGCGAAGAGATCGATCGTACCCTGCTGCAGCATTTGGCAATTAGATGCGAACAAATACTCTCTACATACAACAGGTATAGCCCACGATTAACGACGGGATAAGGATAAAAAGGACTATAGATAAAACGTTACACAGGCATGCGTAGACAGCGGCCCATCTTAATACAATAATACACATCACAATACCCAGAGACAACTGTTCAAGAATCCATACCGCATTATTATGTAGCTAAGCTGAAAAAAATGAAATGATGTCAAGCTAGTGACACAATGTGTTGATATACAACATTCAAACACACAAAAAGGAACACGGTCGTAGAGACCTAGAGGAACAGAGCCAAGCAAAAACTCCAACAAGGTGGCAAACTCCCATGCAGCGTCTAGTTGACGACAGCGAGATGAGCTTGGCCGGAAAACAAAAAAAATGGGAAATGTACAGACATGTTGCCTTATTGGCGGCGACGTAGCCACCACACAGCGGCAATGGCAACAGCAGCAATGGCACCACCAACAAGAAGAGTGTTGGTAGAGACGGCTTCCTGCTCGGGAGCCGGAAGACGGTCAAGACCACGCTTAATATCAGCGCGAAGGTCCTTGAGGAAGTCGCCAGGCTTCTCCATCTTGGCTGCCACAAGGGCGATGAGAGCAGCTCCGACACCACTGCCATCCTTGGCAATGCCAATTCGGATCCTGTCAGCACCCTTGGATCCGATGCCGTCAACGGTGCGCAGGGCCTCATAGATCATATCACGGAAGAAGGGGTAGTGCTCAACGAGACTGCCATCAACACCGATGTCGATGAGCTCAACCTCAGGGTCGTCAAGCTCGCCAGACTGGAGAACAATGGCGCCAATAGCGGCGGCAGACATTCTAGCAGCACGGCGAGCGACAGCGTTGGCTACAGCCTTGAACGCCTGGGCATCCTCAAGAGAGGCACCGTAGACGCCGAGAGACTTCTCGAGCTCCTGGCGGAGGGCAGAGAGTTCGGGAGTGTTGTCGCCCGCAGCAACAGACATGACAGCGGTGTCAAGACCCCACTGCTTGTAGAGAGCCGAGTTGGCATCAATCGACGTGGTGGTGACAAGGTCGTTTTGGCTCGAGTTGTCGTCACTGAACAGAGAAAGCTTCTTATCCTTGATCATGTCTAGGATGGCTAGACGAACAATTTCACCCAAGAACATGCCCGAAATACGCTTCTCGAACATTTGGATACCGGGGTTGACACTGTTGACGTCAAGAGCCTTGTCCCAAGGTGTATTGGGCAAAACGTTGAGCTGGTTGTCGAATGATCCCCACTCGGTGTTGACAATCATCTCGCCAGTGGCAGTGACATATTCGCCAGGGATGGGCTTCTTGATCTTGTCAAGCTTCTCAATGTATGCGCCGTTCGTTCCGGTGCCGAAGATGGCACCCAACAAAGAGCGGTGCTTTCCGGTGGAAGTGTACGAACGAGCCATCAATGTGCCGACCGTGTCGTTGACAAGCGCAGCGACCTTGACAGGCAAGTGGAGGCGATCAATTTCGGTCTGGAGGAGAGCGCAGACATCCTTACCAACGGCGTCAGGGATATCAAAACCCTTGGTCCATCGGATCAGCTTGCCCTTGTTGATGCCCATCTGCTGGACGGGGAAACTGAAAGTGAATCCAAGACGGAAAATGTTCTCGTCCCGGTAGCCTTGCGGTGTGCTGGCGGTCTGTCGGCGGCGGACATGGCTTTCAAAGTGGTCGGCGTGGTGCTCGCGGAGGAAGTTTTCGATCTGCTTGGCAAGGAAGGCGAAAAGCTCTCTCGAAGTCTTTGCGACCATGAGCTGCTTGGGGATGGGGGTCTTGTTGAAGGTGAGGTTAAATGTCGTATCACCATTAAGCATAATAGAACAGACACGGAAGTTGGTACCGCCGAGATCGACGGCCAAATAAAGGCCCTACATTGGCGGTGGTTAGCACGATGGCAAGCGCGGGATGGAATTTGGGGTAAGGGGGCGATGTTACTTTTTCGGTGCCATTGGGGACGGCAGTGACGTAGGTCGGAATTTGGCTCATGCTGGTGCCTTCTTTTTGCAGACCCTCGTCTATGCAATTGATTAGCAATTCAGGCACATGAGATAAAGTCCTTGATGCGAAAACTTACCCATCTGCGAGAGGAATTCTCTCACGTGGCTGTTGACATCATCGTCGCTGAAGTCAAACTGGGCGACGACCTTGGTTGTCTGGTCGGCGAGCGCCATGTTGAGAGGCGACGAGGTAGGAGAGGACGTAGGAAAGGGGGCGGGATTACGGCAAACGGGTTCTGGAAGTTGCTCAAGAGCGTGGAGGATGGGGTTGTAGAGGTGAGGGCCGAGAGGAGAAGCGAATTGACGGGTGGAGGATTGAAGGCGGAGGAAAAGCAGCTTGGCGTCGTCGAGGAGCAGCTGTGTGAACTGGCTTGCGAAGTTAGCGGCCCGCCAATCAAGGAAGACGCAGAGTCTGGCTGCGCTAGTGCGAGTCTGGCAGGGGAGAGTGGGCTCGCCATAATGTTGAGCTGCAGCCCGCCCACGAAAAAATAGGCGGCGCCAGCGGATGCGGGGAAGCCATTTGGGTGGTTTCTGCAGCACCACGACGCCTGTGGCGCGGGGCAGTCCGTGCCAACTGCACAAACAGCTGGGCTACACTAAGCCTGCAGCTACAGCGCCAATTCTTGGGTTGGTGGCGGCATCCCCGCGTGCTCTGCAACAGAAAGCAATTGCCTTTCAGCTGCAAAAGGGAATAAAACAAAATGTATAAAACCACAAGGAAAGGGGAGAGTACGTACCGCAAATATCAAAAGAAATAATACAAAAGAGCAAGGGTTGATCAAAATGGCTCGCCGTTGTCTTTTAGCCATTGCATGCTCCCCAGTAAATTTCACCCCAACTCCGCTATCTCGCCTGCTATGGCGTGCCCCAGCAGCGCCGCTAGTGGTAAGGGTTGCAGAAAATGCCGCCAACAATTATGCTCAGCGTTCAGCTGGTCCCCCCTGGAAGGTTGGTCCAGCGCTCGCGGACCAACTTTTTAGCGAGACTGCCGCTACTGTAGCGAGAAGCTAGGAAGCTGTTCCCGTGAGCTTCCTGTGGTGAAAGAGAGTTTGCTTCGTTTCTCTCAACCGTCTTCTATCAACGCATTGTTCAGCAATCGGCCACAGACAAGACAAATCAGGCACCATCGGGATGGCATACATACAGATCTCCACGTCTGTTGGAGAGCGTTCGAGAGATAGATAGCAACGGGCCGATAGGATAGGCCGCACTTCTGCTGATAACGCGGGCTCCGATGTGCGGGCGACAGCGGCCGTAGTAGTCTCAAATCATAAAAGAATCGTGGGCACGTAAATCTAGTCGCACAGAGCAGGGACACAGAGCCGGCTGGTCGTCAGAGGCGCATAAAATCACACGGGTTATCACAACTACGTAGAAATGGCAGAGAGGAAGAAAGAGGGAAGAAAAAAGATGCTACACAAAATGGCTGCCCGCCAGCGCCCTTGCAAAGTGGTCACGTCGAGGAGAAAAAAAGTGGCAGGACTGTCAGACCGCCAACGCCGCCAGTTTAAGACAGGCAGGTCCGCAACCTCGCTCCACCCCGCGATGCCCCAGTCTGGAGAGCTTCGATGGCCAAATTCATGCGTAAACGGAGACATTTACAGATTGGGAGGTCTGTCTGGACCCTGTGTCATTGCTGAAGGCCACATTTCATTCTTGTTGGTGGGCTGATTTATATTTAGAAGGGCGCCAAGCCGCATTACTCTCCTTCGGTTTGCCGAGCCAAGCTGTTTCAACGCCATTCTTTACTACGCGAATCCTAACCGACGATCCGAAGACGACAATAGTAGAAAAACGAGCATATCATCCAGGAACCATTCCAATCCATGCAATATATCGACATGAACGGCTATTGTTGCATTGGCTGCCAAAACGGCCGTCCGCTTGCTGCACGTCATGATACCCAGAGACAATCGCTCCATCGGCCCAATAGCAACGTAGCTAGCTGCGTCAATGGTTCCCAACCAATGGCACATTTCCGAATCACACAGCTGGGGACAAGCAGCACAGTATTTTTATGTATATCAACGCAGAGGCCTCTGGATAACCGATCCAAGTCACGTGGAGCAGAATTCCCCTAACTAGTAGGCATATATCTATCCGATATGCCCAAATCGAAATAGCGGCGTCGTCGGTTGAGGCTGGGCACAGTCTTACGAATCCCAAGCGCTTAATCCACAGCAGCGCCTTGGGGCAAGGCGGGCCATACACGTGTTTTCTTGACGACACAGCCTCACGAGCAAGGCCAATTTTGCATTTTGCCGTGAAACTGGGTACGCAAAAGACGGGCAAAAAAAACCTGAGAATCGGTAGGCGCAGCTGGTTTCGTAATCCATGATGCCAGTGATTCATGCCATGCAATGGCTTGCAGGTGTCATCTAGGAACAATCCATCCAGGCGGAGCAGTTGGACCACCCACCATCAACCACTCTTGTCACCATCGCCACTAACAACAGACGGGCTAGGCATGCGGCAGATTCAGAATCGCCCGAGGCTCTACAAGCCAAGATGGCCTGCTTGTGACGTAAAATAGGGGACTCATCCTAGCTACAGCGTAGCAAAACATGGGGCCATCACACTGTGTATCCCTCTTCGCCACTAGAAAGAGATGGAATCGGCGGCTGGCCACTAAACGGCTGTGGTTTGCGCCATGTCCTCTTCTGGTTGCGCATCATCGCGAGTCGTAAAGGCCAAAGCGTTAGCGCTTGCTCTGCCCCCAACCCACCAGCTTCGCTATGATTGATTGTAGTGTGGCGTGGTGCGAATTTTGGCAAACAAGCACAATCACACGTGCCGTTCTCGTTTGTTTGCTTCTTTTTGCGTCGTCGTTCTTTTTTTCGTATCGTGTTCTTTGACGAACGGTTTGATAGAAGCCACCAGGGCGGGCTAGGCTGGGCCGGTGATTTCCACCCGTTTTAGACAGGCCGCTCTTCCAAAAGGGTGTGTGGCGGCACAGTTGGCAGGCACAGTGGTTGCAATAGAGATGCATTGTTACAGGCAAACGGCACGTCCAATTACAGGCCGTCTTTCACGTCTCAAAGCTTTGGGGGGATTTGCCGTGCTGGGTGATGCTACTGGCTGGGCCGCATCACAGAGCCTGTTGTGGCGGGGGCGGTGGAGGAGAAAGAGGCCAGGCTGCCCATTCACAGTGCAGGACGGTCACGAAAAGCCCCTCCAAGCTGGCACCTCGTGTTGTCTGTCCCCCTGTGGTCGGGCTGCAGGGCCCTGCGTGGGCTTTTTTAGGACCTAAAAAAATTAGGAAATTTGCATGTTCGGCTGTAAAGGCTGCAGGAGAGGCGATTGACGAGTCCGGGAAGAAAAAAAATACAATTGTGCTGCAGAATACAGGGAAAGGAAAACAAAAACAACCACTATAAGCCCTGTTTCCCACTTACTGGGCAGTGCTACTCACCACGAGGCGCTTTCGGAATTTCCTTGTCTCTTTCTACGCCCGTGTGCTCTCCCGCCCCTCTCTCCTCCTCTTACGCTCCGTCAGCCACAGCCCACCCAAGTCTCTTTCTACCCACCACCACCACTACACCACCACCACTCGCTGCACACGCTAAAGCGCTTCACGAGCAGAACAAGAGGGACCGTTCCGGGGTGCCAACCAACGCCCTCCCCAGAAGAAACCCACCCTAAGCCTGCTTTTGCGCCCGAACCCTCTCCCCGTTGGTTCGCCTGCCCTGCCACCCCAACCATAGTGCCTGGGCCGCCTCTTTCTCCTCCTCCCTCTCATTCCCACTATCTATACTCCTGCACCCCTCGTCAGCTCGTTGCTCAACTTCCCTTCTTCCCCTCTTTTTTTCCTTATGAGCTCTAGGAACTCCCGCCTGAAGAGCTTCGGGTTCCGCAAGCGCAAATCGACTACTAGCATCCAGACTCCAGAAGGCATCCCCTCTACTGCTACCCCTCCTCCTGGCCAAATACCTCAACACCAGCAGCAGCAGCAACAACAACAGCCGCAGCCGCAACAACAGCTCCAGGTCCAGCCCTCCCAGACACCACAGCCGCAAAATCCCGTCGCCGCCACTCCTCCTCTCGGCGCTGCGTCTTCGACAACCTCGCTCCCAATGAACCATCCCGGCGGTCCTAACCGTCCCCCCAGCTACAACTCCGGCTACCCTCCTGGCCCTCCCGGCGGCATCCACGGCCGTACCAGTCCCTTGGCTCCTCAGAACCGCACTCCTCCCTCTTTTTTTCCTTATGAGCTCTAGGAACTCCCGCCTGAAGAGCTTCGGGTTCCGCAAGCGCAAATCGACTACTAGCATCCAGACTCCAGAAGGCATCCCCTCTACTGCTACCCCTCCTCCTGGCCAAATACCTCAACACCAGCAGCAGCAGCAACAACAACAGCCGCAGCCGCAACAACAGCTCCAGGTCCAGCCCTCCCAGACACCACAGCCGCAAAATCCCGTCGCCGCCACTCCTCCTCTCGGCGCTGCGTCTTCGACAACCTCGCTCCCAATGAACCATCCCGGCGGTCCTAACCGTCCCCCCAGCTACAACTCCGGCTACCCTCCTGGCCCTCCCGGCGGCATCCACGGCCGTACCAGTCCCTTGGCTCCTCAGAACCGCACTCCTCCCACCCAAATGACTGGTGGTCCTCCTCCCATCAACACCGGCGCCCCTGCCGGCTATCCTCCCAACATGGCTCCTCCTATGGGCGGCCCTCCTCCCATGGGTGGCCCTCCTCAAGGTGCTCCCGTCTACGGTGCTCCCCCAGGCGGCGGCTACCCTCCCGGTCCCCCTCCTCCTGCTGGCGGCCCTATTGCCCAGCAGTTCAACCGTCCCAGCAACCCTGCTGCCGAGGTTGAAGGATCCAACAAGAGCAAGGCCCAACTTATCGTCGGTATCGATTTCGGTACCACCTTCTCCGGTGTCGCCTTCGCCTTTGCCACCAACAACGAAGCCAAGGAAGATATTATCACAGAGTGGCCCGGTGCCGGCTCCTACACAAAACAAAAGATTCCTACAGTCCTTTACTACGATCAGTACCAAAAGGTGGTTGGATGGGGTCCCGATATTGCGGACGCCCTGGCACCTACTGGTTACCCCAAGCCCGGTGTGCAAAAGGTGGAATGGTTCAAGCTCCAGCTCATGCTCAGCGGCAACACATACATTGACCCCATCAACCTTCCTCCTCTGCCTCCTGGCAAGTCCGAAATCGACGTTGCTGCCGACTACCTCTTCAAGCTGCGTCAGGCCATGCGTGCTGCCCTGCAAAAGGCCCTCGGTGAAGTCTTTAACAGAGAAGAGCGTAACATCCGATACTATCTCACCGTGCCTGCTATTTGGAACGATGCTGGCAAGGCTGCTACCCGTAATGCCGCCATCCAGGCTGGTTTCCTCCGTGACGAAAACGATAACCGCCTGACTCTTATTTCTGAGCCCGAAGCCGCTGCTCTCTTCTGCTCCAAGACTGGTCTCCTGAACCTCAAGATCCGCGATGCCGTCCTCATCGTCGATTGTGGTGGTGGTACCGTCGATTTGATCGCCTACGAAGTCGAAGATGAGAACCCCTTCACCGTTGCTGAATGCACAGCTGGTTCCGGTGATTCTTGCGGTTCCACTGCTCTTAACCGCAACTTTAGCAATATTCTCCGCACCAAGATTCGCAAGATGAAGCTGCCCGATGGATCCAAGATTGCCGGCCGCGTTTACGCCAAGTGTATCATGGATTTCGAGAACAGAATCAAGGCTGATTTCCGCAACAACGGCCAGAAGTGGGCTGTCGACGTCGGTATCGAATCCGAGTTCCCTGAGGCTGGCATTGAAGAAGGCTACATGACTTTCACCAACGAGGAAATTCTGCAGTGCTTCGAGCCCGTTGTCAACCGTATTCTCGAACTCGTCCGCAACCAGATTATCGCCATTCAGGCTCAGAACCGTACACTCCAGAACATCCTGGTTGTCGGTGGTTTCGGTGCCTCCGAATACCTCTTCCAGCAGATTAAGCTTCACGTGCCTCCTCAGTTCCAGTCCAAGGTTGTCCGCCCCATGGACTCCGTCGCTGCCATTGTCAAGGGTGCCGTCACTGCTGGTATCACCGAACGCATCGTCACCCACCGTGTGGCTCGTCGCCACTACCTCATGGGTACCCTGCAGCCTTTCAAGGAGGGCTACCACCCCGAGGCTTACCGTGTTCCCTCCCTCGATGGCAAGGATCGCTGCAAGTTCACCAGGCAAATCTTTGTGCAAAAGGGTCAAAAGGTCAAGAACGGCGAGCCCGTCAAGGTTTCCTTCTTCCGACAGGTCGCTCCTGGCGCCACCCTCATGTACGAGGATATCCTCTACGCTTGCGACGATGATGTCTGCCCCGAATACACCAAGGATCCTCGTAAGTATTTTGCTTTTGTTTGACTCCAATTTTCAGCCAATCTAACTCTTCTATAGGCATCAAGGAAGTCGTTACACTCACCTCCGACTTGTCGCGCAAGAATCTCGAAAAGGACTTTGAGCGCATGGACACCCCCCAGGGTACATTCTACCGTGTGTACTTTGATATCTACTTGACGCTGGACGGCTCCGAATTCAGCGCCGAGCTCGTCTGCCAGGGCGAGGTCATGGGCAGATGCCGCTCACGCTTCAAGTAAAGGAGACGCAAAAAGGCAAACGGTGCTACGAATGAAACGACTCGTTAACAAAAATTATAACATGATACCTTAAAAAACTATCGCCGGGATGAAGTAGAGTTGGGCGTTGGACAAATATTATACATGGCTGCCCGTTTGCGTCTGATGGACGTGACATGCAAGGCCTGGGAAATCAGCATTGGGAATGGAGAGGTATCTTCATATTTGGCGATGTTGCAATTTGATGCTTTAGCTTTGTTATAGACTTTGAATACTGCTTGGGTTTTGCAGTGAGATAGTCAATTACTATTTGAACCACGTGCTGGGCAGTTGCCGTGAAATGTCGTTCCTTCTATAATAGAATGCATTGTTTTGCTGTGCTGGCAAGCGGTAGAGTTGACTATACGTGGAGCCAATTCTGCATCAAACCGATTATTGTTTGGATATAGTTGTATCACTCTTGGCTTCGGCACTAACATTGACCTATAACCCAATCATTAATCTCGACAGTAGCAGTAGAGGACAATACGAGGGCTTAGGCCAGCTTCGGTCAGCATGACTGGCACGTTCTGGGCTGCTCTATCAGCAAGTGGCAAAATCTTTAGACTGTCGCTGGCAGTACTACTCTTCGTTACGAGAACCCTTGGAATCGCTCTTGACGGCGATGGGCGTCCCATTGTACAAGATAATTGGCAGGCCGAGTTTATGCGCCATCAAAGTCCACAACCAGCCAACATAGCCAAACGAGGGCCGCCATCTTCCTCGGATCCAACAGTGCAACTCGTCATCACAAACAACTGCGAAGCAAATATATGGCCAGCTCTTGCGACACAAGCTGGGACAGGTCCTGGAACGGGAGGCTTTGGACTAGCACCAGGAAAGAGCAAAAAGCTGGCTGTGTCGTGGAACTGGCAAGGTCGTATCTGGGGACGAACGAACTGCACAGTGAATGGCGAATCTTGCGCATGTCAAACAGGAGATTGTTTTGCAAAGTTGGATTGCCAGTTCAGTGTAAGTCCATGTTTTCTCTGCCTAGGCACTCTCACTGATGATCTAGGGCGGTGTACCTGCTACGCTGGTCGAGTTCAACTTGGCTGGCGGCGTGAACATGGCGCAAACATTCTACGACATTTCACTTGTTGATGGATACAACTTGCCGATTGGAGTCCGGTATCTCCCAGCCGCAAACACGACCTTTATCCCACCGAATTTGACAAACTGCGCTTGCATCGCTACAACCGGGTGGTTATATGGCAATAATGCTACTGGGACATTCTACTCCAACGCCACCTATCCTGTCCCTCTAGAAGCAAACGAAACCAACTTGGCCTTGTCCGGGTAGTGCCCGTGGGCGAACCTTGCGTTCCCTCCTACAAAACCCACCAACGGTATATATCCGTATCCTGACGACAAGATTCAGCGACCTGCTTTCTCGCCTTGCAAAAGTGCTTGCGCCACGACAGGGAAAGATGAAGACTGTTGTATTGGCAAGTATCACGACCCGGCGCTGTGCAAGCCGTCAGTGTACGCAAAGACCATCAAAGCGATCTGCCCTGATGCGTACAGCTTTGCTTTTGATGACCAGAAATCGACATTTATCGTTCCTACTGGAGGCGGGTGGGAGATTATCATGTGTCCGCAAGGTCGATCAAGCGATATCCTGCGTCAACTTGGCCCCGAGATGTACCAGCTAGCCAGCGGTGGAAAGCTATCGCAGAGTTCCATTGAACGACTCTCCAAAGTAGCGGTGACGAGTCATAAAGCAGCATTTGGAAGGAAGCTGGCTCCGCGGTGGTCTGTTTTGTTTATGATTGCATTATGCGCGCTATGGTGGTTATCGTAGTATTTTGCTCTTCTAAGCTGCCACCTCTACCTCCTTCTCCTACTGCCTGTTCTGCTAGATGCTCATGGTTGGTGTATAGCAATATAAAATATACTTCATAAAAGTGCTCTCTTTTTGTGTCCCGCGTGTGCTGTACTCTATCGTCTCGCAAGAGCTTCCTTCTTTCTACGTTCCCACTCGCCTCTCTCCTCGTCATCACTGCCGCTAAACTCTGCATCCTCGTCAAACTCATCCTGCGCAGGCAACGGCGGCGCCGCACCAGGTGGTGGAGGTGGCGCTCCGCTAGGCGCGCTGCTCGCCTCGATAAAGTCGCCAGCGTTCTGCGAAGCGTACATGTGCTTCTGAATCAGCTCGCGCAGCGCCGTGTTCGACGGATCGATAAGCTGATACGGCGTCAGGCCGCCCTTATTCTTGAGGCGCGGGTTCGAGCCAGCCTCGAGCATCATTTCGACCAGCGCAGCGCCGAATTCGCGCTGAGCTGGCGGTTCCGAGTTGATCCAGCGGATAGCGGTGTGGAGGGGCGTGTCGTGGTCGAGGCGGGTTTGGGGATCGCATTCGAAGGACGGTTGGTCGAGGAGGAGGTCTATGATTTCGTCTGCGTTGTAGTCAGGTTAGTTGGGAGCGACGAGACAGTCGGTGACGACGACGTACAGTTACCGTGGGACGCGGCCTCATGGTACAAGTGGTTGCCCATGACGGTGGTGGTCTTGTTGAGGAGCTCGGTGATTTCGGCGTCGGATTTGCCGGCGAGGGTTTCGGTGAGGAGGTCGGTGTTGTTGCGGCGGCATGCTTCGATGAGGATCTCCTTGACGGAGGCGCCCTGTGCGAGGAGGTGGTTAGTTAGCTGAGGTGAGAGGGGCGGGGGATAGGGCGGATTGTGTACTTCGTGTTCTTCTTCGGCCATTGTGAGTGTTGCTTTTGGTGAGGATATTTGGTGGTTGAAGAGAGGAAGAGAGAAGAGATAAGGGGAAACGGCGCAGCTTCAGGCTGGAGCTTGGACATTTGGCGCGTGGCGCAGAGTGACGGCGGGGTGGTGGTAGTGGTGGGGGAGGTGACGTTGCAGGAGTTGGTAGGGGCTGGGTAGACAGTGACGCGGAAAGAAATTGTAAAAATAGTTTTGATGAATTATAATAGCTGTATATTTTGCAATTAATATACTTTTATACATTTAGTGTATATTCTGTAGCGTGTAGATGCCCCTAGTACTGCTCGCCTGCTGCCTTGTGCGATGACGCTCGTACCCCACACGCCTGTCTTCATCGTCAACTTTTTTTTTCTGCTTCACTTTTTGCAGTGTCACCAACCCATCAACCGTCACCATTTTAACTGCGAGTGTTTGGCGCCGCCACAACCACCGACAAAATGTTGCTCTGTAAATATGCCACTACACATTCTTTATCTTTTATTTATTACTAACACATCACCGCACAGTCTGCCCGCACTGCGCCAACATCCTCACCGTCTCGCTAACCAACGGCCGCTCTAACCGCCTCGAATGCCGCACATGCCCCTACGAGCACGCCATCGCCGATCCCGTCTACTCGCGTCGTGAATTCACCCGCCCAGAGCGCGAAGATGTCTTTGGTGGCCCTGGTGCCTGGGACAACGCTCAGAAGGGCCGCGTCCAGTGTCCTGCCGACGGCTGCAATGGCGACGAGGCTGCTTTTTACCAGGTGCAGATTCGTTCTGCGGATGAGCCTATGACCAGTTTCTACATGTGCATGACGTGCAGCCACCGATGGAGAGAGAACTAGACGGAGGGACGAACAAGCGGATTTCTTTTTACACGGCGTTTTTGGGCTGCTTGCATAGCGATGGGCGTTTTTTTTCTTTACGGATGGGCAATAAAAAGGTTTTCCAAGACAGACTTCAGAGGGGAGGTAAACTTTGGATGGCGGTGCAGCAAACTTTTACATACCGCGTTATTGATAAGCAGGTATATGCTGGAAAGTTATATTATGAGGCAGCGTATTCTGCGCAGGCTTACTGAAGATATCCATATTGGGATCAACTCATCACGAGGTTCAGACTATACGTTTGCAGTGATAGTTGAATGGTTAACAGTGCAATTCCATCCATCTGTTCATTCTATTCTTAGCAATGGATCAAAGAAGCTTGTTTAGACAAGCTTTTTAGAGGCTGAGTTTTTACCTGCACATGGCAGTGTTAAGTTTGCACATACATGTTATATAAATACAAAGGAGCAGACAGTATCGGTCGAGATAGCGATGCTCAGTCACAACCGATATACACAATGACACAAACAAAAGCAACTGCGTTCATGTACGTCTACCCACCTCATTGCGAACTGTATACTAACCATAACAGGAATATCCCCCTGCCCAAATATCCCGACGTCATGGCTTCGTCCAGGGACACGAATGCCCTGCCGCGACCAGTGTCGTCTCCTTGGCGCAGCCCGTCTGTACTATCTTTCAGACGAGGTCAAGATAGCATAAAAGCTGGCAGGGATGCCATTGCTAGCCAAGCTAGGCCAGCAGTTATCCACCTCATAGAGAGGATAAACTGCTGGTGCGTTTTAGCCTTTGCTTTCGCGTTGGCGGTTGTAGTAATCATCTTGGCTATGATTTTGAAGGGATAGACTATTAGGACCAACATAGGACAGGCAATGTATTTCTGTTAAACTACAAACCAAACCCGGTTTCAGAGGTTCTCACACAGCATAAGTCCGGGCTGTTGGTTCTAATTCTGCAATGAACCGTGTTAGCATTTCCCTTACGTCTTGCCAAATCTGCCTCGCGTGATTTAACTTCTTTTACGTCCATTTATGGATTCCGCGAGATAGTGATAAATCCCTCAATGTCAGTCATGCGTAGGGATCAAATTATTATTTCCAATATCAGACTTCAGTCCCCAACTTAGCGCCCATTCCATCACATGGCCCGTATTCAATGAAACCACGTAGATATATAAAAGCGGCGGTGTTAAAAGGCGGTGCTGATAACAACTATATATTTACCAAAATATCACCCTGGGAAAGTTCCGTGATAGACTCAACCCGCACAACCACTTATAACAATGTCTTCAAAAGCTGACAAAACACCGTATGTGTATTACACGCCTTGTGCCGAATCTCTGCTACAAAATTAGACACCGTCCGTCACCCATCTACACTGGGAACCCCCGCCCAGCGAAAGACGGTAGTAGAGACCTCTTACCACCGCCAGTATCATCCACTACACGTCATACGAAACATAGCCGGCCAACCCCACAGGGCAAGACGGCTAAAAAGAGATAACACAGACTATATATTGTGATTGGAGATAAGTCTATCAAATTGTATAGAAGGCCACCGACGCAGCTTCATTGCATAGATAGAAAGTCGAATGCTACCTCAACTGGGATGAAATGCCTTCCAATGCTATGGTCAATGCCGTCCGTTGATGATCGCTCACCGTTCTTTGAAGAGTTCTCGTGGTCCTTCGCAGCCTCTCCTTCGGTCTTTGATGATTCTTCATTGGGTTTGGGTTTGGCCGCTTCATCCTTTGAGGAGTCAGCTTCCTTTTCGGACAGGTCCTCGTTAGCCTTTGAAGCATCTTCGCTCCTTGTAGAACTCTCTTCCACCTTGGGCAGCTTTCCATCGCTGTTTACAGAGAAATCCTCTCCTGCTGGTGTTTTCTTATCCTTCGTTACAGCATCATCTGCCTTTTTAGATGACGGTGCTACTTCCCACGATGCTGCCAGCCAGCCATCGTATAGGCCGGCGATATCAGTTGGCAATTCATGGCGAACGTATTTAGCCTGGCCATCTCTGCCCTCGTAAAAGATCCAAATGGAGCGATTGGCTTTTAGAGCATATGGCTGGACACCATCACCGGCCACCATCTTCGACTGTTTATAGGCCGCTTGCCTATTCTGCTGCTTTGCTTGTTCGGGTGTTTGTTCGGCTGTCGCAAATGGTATATAGGACGGGAGAGAGAACCGAGAGGGGGACGTAACCGTTGTATTTGGGTTTTCCGCAGAAGGTTGGCGTTCCTTGGCCGTCCCAACTTTACATGGGTAGTCGTTAACCGGGCCAATAAATGAGCCAGATCCGGTGTACTGCAGGCTTGTAAATCGTAGCGCGCCGTCGTTGAAGTAGAAGATGACCAGATATTTCGCTGTGGAGGTATCCAGGACAACTGGTGCAATCTTGGATACATGTGCTGGAAGCTTGAAATTTTGGAGTTGCCATCGAACGCCAAGGTCTTCATTCGGTTCTGTGATGGAGCTGGCTTCGGAAAACGCAAGCTTCTCGTCCACTGAGTATATGGAAAGCAGGCTTGGAGCACTATTATCGGCGACACTGAGTGTCAGCAGGAGAAGATATTCTGTGCTCTGGCCGATGGAGCAAAGATTCAACTGTACAAGTTTGTTTGGGCTGGCACTTGGTGTCTCGGTGTCGTCTGCTAATCTAACGGTCTGTTCATGCCCACTGTATGCCTCCTGCAGGCGAAGAAGTGGCTTCTTGTGCGATTGAATTTGCCTCAAGCGATACTTAAGGCTCATTGAATCTTTTCCATTGCCAACAGCCATTGCCACCAAGACATGCGGACTGCTTGTATCGTCGTCGTGGGATTGCCTGGGGTCGGGCAGAACGGCTGCCGGGAGTAGTACGTTGCCCGAATCTGACGTTGCCATGGGCTTTCCAGTGAACAATTCGTTCATTGTCTGAGTTTGAGACAGTCGAACTCCCGGCCCAAATCTGTTGACTTGGGTATCGATGCGGTTCTCCCCGGTGGTGGTATGAGCCTCAACATGGTGTGAAGCAGCGTCATACATGAGCAACGGTGGGATATTGGTCCCTGACTTTGCTGTAGATTCTCTCGATTCTGTAGACTGTCTAGACAGCATGGCGGGTGTCAATGCAATTTTGCCATTGCTTTCGTCTTTGGACGCGTCTAACGTCCAGAATCGGCGGGCCGGCTGTGTTGGTTGCGGCTCGTGGTGCCATTCATAGATGATGACAGTAGATGGCTTCGGCGCCGACTTGAAGAGCTCCATTGCTTGCATGATAAGGTGTTAATAGAGTGAATTCACCATGCATTCGTCTTAGTTGGGGTATTTAAAAAGAGAGAAGGACAACCATGGCGCGGACGAGGTTCACTTATACCCACTGTCTCCCCGAATCCGGCAAGGCAAACCAAGATCAGGCTGAGCCACACGTGATGGATTTTCATCGATGCGTCGTCATAGGCGCCCGCTACGTGAGTCAAAAATAGCACGAGTCTAGGTGATCCATCCATGTATGTTGCGTGAGCCATCGCCCGATGGTCTCCATTATTGGTACAACTAGCACGTAGGGCTACCTCAGCCTATGCAGACGTAGAGCAACACGTGGGCTGTAACATGTTTCGTAAATCGTGTGTATTATTTTTTAAAATCGTGGGTATCATAATAGTATACAGTGGCGCTCCTGCAAGAAGGTCGGTTGTCATTCGCGGTGCCAGTCTACAGCAGCCTTCATGCCGCCTTCCACCAGGGCCTGCACCAGGTCCGGGCTCATTATCTCTGTTCGGAATCTCTCTGTTTGTAGTAATTCGAGATGTTTCAGCGTCGGTCCCGGATACGTCAGGTACTTTAGATATGGCGGGGTGCTCCAGTACTGAAGATAGGCCAAGTAGGCAATGAAAGCCGGTTGTGAGAGGAGCTTCTGTGACGCGAGATGGTTGAGGTAGAAGGGATTCGCTAGCGATTGAACAAACTACACATCAAGTTAGTCACCGAAACCTATAATTTTTGCCTTATGGAAGCTGCAAGCGCGAAAACAAACCTCGAGTTCAATCTCGAATCTCGAGTAGCCGCCGTACTTGGGCTCGTCGTCGGGAATTGCGGGCGGCGAGTCCATCTTGACATCGGCAGCTTCTGTAGCCATGTCTGCGCAAATCAATTAATTGTATTGGAAAGCGTGGCTGGTGGTGGTGACGAGACTGCAAAAGGTCGCGATGGCAAGAGCATGATGCGGGAGCCAAGTTGAACTTCAGGTGGTGCGCCAGTTGAAGGGTGGGGGCCTCAGCGGAGTCGCAGGTTCTCCAAGCCATCCACATCTAAATCGTGTCATGTATTTTTTGTGAATACTTGGCCGTTTCCCAGCCACGCCGCTTATTTATGGTTTTTCTTAGTAGTTTGATTCTGTTATCACCACTATCACTCTTTATACAATTCCACCCGAGTTAATTATTTTGACAAGCATTTTCATTGGCGTTTCAGCATCTCGCCAGGGGGGACGACGCTATCAAGGAACACCATGTCATCTGCACCGCCTGCGGGCAATTTTACCGACACAGGGAATGCGACAGTAACTTCCGGTGCCTGGGACTTCCTGGGGCCTCTTCAAGATATGGATTTCCTGTGGCTGGAGCTGCAGCTCGTCGGCAGTGCCATGGGAATCATCTATCTTGGTGCTCACGCGTCGCTGAGAAGACCACCATCAGCAGCGCCACCAAAGGATAAGAAGACGGGCAAGACAAAGAAGGAAGATGACAATTTCACACAAGGACTGGAGCTTGGTGATGCCATCATGTTTCCCCTCATGGCAGGCTGCGTGCTCGTCGGTCTCTATTATCTGATCCAGTATCTGAAGGACCCAGCTATCCTCACCACCATTCTCAAGTACTACATGTCAACAGTCTCAGTCGCCAGTATGGTTACTCTATATGCGCATGGTATGGATCTTGTTACGTCTTTTGTATTTCCCAAATACTGGCGCGGTCGAGATGGGCGTCTGAGAAAGGCAGTGCAAGGCGAGCAAAAGGCAGTCACCTGTGATGATGCAGGCAACGTCGTCGATCAGCAGACAGAGAGCAACCCTCTGCCTTGGATTCTTGGCATATTTGCTCCGACAGCAAAGTCGAAAGCATTTGCGTGGAAGTTGCGAAATCTCTTGACGCGCAATTGGCTATTCCGAATCTACCTCAGAGGTGCGGGTGAGGAGAAGACTACCATCAAGTTTGTCACAGTGCTTGCTATTCCCGTCTCGGCCATTACAGCTTTCTTCTACTTTACGACCAACTTACCCTTCCTATCCAACATGCTCGGCTATGGCATGTGCTACTGCTCGCTGTTGATTTTGTCCCCTACGGACTTGATGATTGGATCGCTTGTCCTAGTTGGACTGTTCTTCTACGACATTGTCATGGTGTTTTACACGTAAGCTTTTCAACTCACGCATCAAAGCTCTTGCTAACATGATATAGGCCCTACATGGTTACCGTTGCCACAACGCTAGATGTGCCGATCAAGCTGACATTCAAGGCGGCTGGCCGACAGAGCATCCTCGGACTTGGTGATATTGTGATTCCCGGAATGGTCATGGCATGGACTCTGCGCCTGGACCTTTGGCTCTTTTACCAGCGCAAAATCAAATACGAGTCGAGGGAGTTGTCTATTGTGGAAAAGACGGCTAGTGGAGAGATTGTCACACGCAGCGACAGCAAACACATGGAGATCAAGGCGCCGTACGTCGATGTCAAGGGCCGCTGGGGCGACAGATGGTGGAGCAGCGCTCTATTCTCTCGTACGGTTCTGCCCGCCGAGATTGCTGCGACTCAGTTCCCAAAGACATACTTCCACGCGACGCTGACGGGATACCTGGCAGGCATGATTGTCACACTGGCCATGCTGTTGGTGTTTAAGCGAGGACAACCAGCGTTGCTGTACCTTGTCCCTGGTGTTCTTGGTTCTATTTACACCACTGCGCTGTTTCGCGGAGAATTGAAGAAGATTTGGCGTTACACCGAAGACGGCAGCCTAGACACAACGGATGTCATTGTGGAGGTTGATGGTCAAGGCAACAGCACAAAGACAATTGGTGTTCTCAAGGACGGCGTTGTTGACACGACAAAGACGGACGACGAAAAGACAAAGGAAAAAGAAAAGGCGGATGAAGAGAAGGAAAAGAAGGAGAGACAGGAACGAGACGACAAGGAGAAGAAGGAAGCCCTTGCAAAGAAGGGATACTCTGTATTTTCTGTAACCCTGGACGTTCCACCCGAGGATGAAGAATAATTCGTGTATGAATAGATTAGATTTGCACTTTTATAGAATTAACCTTTTTTTGCTACAATTCATCACACCGACCACGTGAGTCACCTGGTTGGTTTCCTAGACGTATCGCAACCACCTCCAGAAATCACCACCAAAACTATACATCAACAATCCCCAGAACAGCTTTGCTGTAATTGATACAAACCATGCCAAGAACAAAAGTCCTCATCATATCTGACACCCACGGCTTCCTCCTCCCACCCCTCCCAGCCGCCGACATCCTCCTCCACGCCGGCGACCTCACCACCAACTCGTGGCCCTCCGAATACTCCAAAACATTCACCTACATCGCCGCACACCCTGCACCGCTCAAGATCGTCATCCCCGGCAACCATGACCGCTCGCTCGACGCAAAATTTACAGCCGCGAACCCATACACCAGCGCCGCTCGTCGCGCTGACGAAGTTCGCGCCTCAGCCGAACAAGCGCGCGCCCTTGGCATTGAGCTACTACTAACGGACGGCCTGCACAACTACACGCTGCCCAATGGCGCAACATTTTCTATATTCGTGAGCCCGTATACCCCACACTTCGGAGACTGGGGGTTCCAGTACTATACGGGGAAGCATACGTTCGATATCCCCGCGTGCGATATCGTCATGACGCATGGTCCGCCGAGCGGGATTCTCGACGAGGCCCGCGTGGCCTGGCACAGATTCGAGGTAGAGCATGCAGGTTGTGAGAAGCTATTGGAGGCTATAAAGCGCGCGAAGCCGCAGGTGCATTGCTTTGGCCATATTCACGAGGCGTGGGGTGCGTACATGGCGCATTGGGGTACAGATGGAGAAGTGGATGACCAACAGTCACGATATTTGCAACGGTATGCTTGGCTACAACCAGAAAAAAGAAAAGGGCCTTTAACGGAAGAGCAAAAAGAAAAGGTGGATCAGTTTGCAAAGGATAAGGCGTGTGTGGTTGACCTAGCAGACGGTGATGACAAGATTGTCCCAGGACAGCAAACACTCTTTGTGAATGCGGGCATGATGGATGAGCTTGGTCATCTGAGCAAAGCGCCATATCTGCTGGATCTCATGCTGCCAAGTACTGCCAAGGCAACCGATGGGCAGATTTCAACGTCTTAGGTACACCATACAGTCACTTGTACATACTTGAATGGAATGTTTTTGATAGTTCAACGTTGGATATATTATGTATTAAGCTAGTTGTTTGCATCGACATTTTCCGTATTAGTCGTACAGAGTCCCGGCTTCACCAGCTGAAGACGCTTACTCCCGTTCTAAGCAATTTACAGAGCAAGAGCGGCAGCAACGGCAGCAGCCATGGCACCGATGGTGGGGAGAGCACCGCCGGCACTGCTGGAGACAGTGCTGGGAGAAGAGCCAGTGGGCTTAGAGGGCATGGTGCCGGTGCCAGAGGCGGCGCCAGAGGAGCTCTGGGGAGCAGCAGAGGAGGACTTGGCGGGGGCAGAGCTCTGGGCGGGAGCAGAAGACTGAGCGGGAGCAGAGCTCTGAGCAGGAGCAGAGGACTTGGGAGGAGCAGAGCTCTGAGCGGGGGCAGAGGAAGAAGCACCGCCGACGGGGAAGCCAGCAGCCTTGCAATACTGTTCACCAATTTCAATGGTCTTCTGCTTGTCCTCGGGGGAGCACGCGGTCTCGAGGCACTTGGCGACAATCGCCTGGTTCTCTGGCTTGCAAGAGCAAGCAAAGTCGGCAGGGTTGGAGCAGTGGGTCTGGGGAGCAGAATCAGTAGCGCATTTAAGCTGTAAGAAGCGCGTTAGTATAAAGGAGGACTGTTTTCAAGATGCAATCGCGCTGACGAGCGCGGCAACAGGTGGTGAGGACATACACCGCACTGGGGAGGGAGCTGAGCCATGGCAACAGCGGCGAAAAGGGCGACGGCAGTGAACTTCATTTTGAAGGTTGTGTTGGTTTTGTTTTTCCGGTGGATGAAAATGATGAAGATTGGTAGATGAGAATTGTTGGATCGGAAGAAGAAGAGAAGAAGAGGAGAGAGGAAGGAGGCGGCCCTGGGTCTTTAAATTGTGTTTACCCTTTTGGGGGAGGGGAGGTACATCCCCCCTGCCGTGCAACCTCGATGGCCTGTTCTGGTGCAGTTATGCGCTGAAGCTGCCTGCAGCGGCACAGGCAGGCGCTACAGTAGCGTGCTGAGGGAGCTAATAGCGGAGCAAGGAACCCCTGGCAGCGCACAGAAAGCACTGTTGGCTGGAGCAACGCGTGCGACACTGGGCCAGGTGGTTGGGTGGGGCTTGCCGAACGATGGAAAAGGCGATGAGCCGAATAGTCCCAAATGTGAAGGTGGGCCTGTTCTTTGGGGGGCGGAGCCTGGATCGGCAGAGCCAAGTCAGACAGGTACTGGCTTTGTCCAGGGGGGGAGAAAGGTTACAGGTACAGTGGGATGACGTCGAGAAGAAAGTATATTTGGGCGTGTTCTCTAAAAGTAAAGAAGAAAAGCAATATACAATGGTGGTGGTAGACAAAAAGAATGGCGTCTGGAAACGTTTCTATTTTCGTCACCTAATTTTCCTCCTGTTTGCATGGCGTGCGTGTTATGAAAATCCGCGGCATAATCCATCCACCGTACAGGATTTGGTTCCCTTGCCGTCCGTGCATGCATAATTGGACAAGGCCGCGGATCTCCAGTACACACGCGCTCTGCTGCCAACTGTTGCTGCTGCTTGTTCAGCGCTATTGTCTGCTGTTGAGTTCTTCAGCTGCTATTTTTCTTTTTTTTTCCTTTTTTGGTATTACACGTGCTATAACAGCTTCCATCTGTTTTAATTTTTGCGATAATCCCTCTTCATGCGGCAATGGCAAAAGACTGTCCCCCGTGCAAAGCTATTCACTTCTTCCTGATTTTCCCTTCTGCGCCCCCGAAACACGCTAAAAATCAAGGCTCCCAACCATCCAAAAAATGTGACAGAAGCCAATTCAGGTACCTGCAACTCGCTAAACCGAAAAAGAGTACGCAGCCAATCACAACGCCTTCCCTCCCCTCCAATTTCCTTAGGGGCCAGCGCCACCAAGGGCAACTGTAACTGGCGCGCGCGCTGCGAACGAGGTCGGTGCTTTGAAGCACCAAAGAGATGATCACTCTACCAGCTACGACCACTATAAATTGGTATCCAGCCAACTGTAAAATATACGTCACAGCAAGTAGAAAAGACGGAGGACCTGCAGCAGCCCCAATAGCACCACCCGCACCGAGACGGGCCGGTTGGCTTCCCTGGCACGCAACGTTTCCCCGAATAAGGGCATCCCCCGCGCCCAGCGCTTGGTTGCTTGCGCTGGTGAGGATTATGCTTGCTGCTGTAATTTCAAGTCTCTGCTGATGCGTCTGCCATGTGCACTGGCATTAAATATTGGCACAAAATTGCACAACTTTCATAAATAGATGCAAAGTACACAGTACTCCAGGTCATCTCTGTTACACAAGGGCAGCTCTACTTGGGCAAGGCGCGCGCAGGGCAGGTGGCGCAAAGCCCGTAGATCCAACCTCCTTCAACTCCATCCAACCCGCCGTTCCATCACTGAAGCTAAGCCAGACCACCGTCTAAAAAAAAGCTTGGTCGCCCCCTGAACAAACCACATGTCAGACATCCGCCCCCTTGGCCCCTCTTGCCTGCCAAATCGAGTGATTCCTGCCCGCGGGACGTCACATTGGTCGCTTAATAAGATCCATTTTCCTCGATTTGCTTTTTTTTCGTCCTATTTCTGCTTACTGCTGAAAGCTCATGCAAGTAGAAAATGCCGGTCCGATTGTAGATGTTGCAACATGTGTTTGCGTCGCGCTGTAGATTCTCGGCAGCAGAAGCCACCGAGGATAGCACCGCTTGGTTGGACAAGCAAGATCTCTCCTTGTGGAGGGCGTGTCTCTCCGTGGAGCGATTCAGAATGGATCGCCGGCAGCGCTGCCCGTGGGCAGTCTGGCCTACATGTAGCGTCCCATTCTCTCGTGTTTCGCTTGATGGGCGTCCTGTGTGGCGGTTTTGCTGCATGCCATGCGACGAATCGCGCGAGTCAATCGGCTTCCCCAGAAGTCCTCCTACTGTCTTACAACGAACAACCTTTGCGGGAAAATGTCTTGTCTTTGCTTGTCAACGCTCGTATTCATTATTATCGACTAGCTTAGCTTCAATGTACGCCACAACAGCCAACACTAACTACGGCCAACGCATTGTCTGGGCTACCTAATCCCACCGCGGACGACTCATGATAATCGGTCGTGCCGGGTCCCAGGGCCCGCGAATCTCATTCTTGTACTTTTGCAGCCCAATCAGCCACCAGCCTGAGCCGCCAACCGCGATACACGCCAGTAGCACGCCGATAACCATGCCCACGATGCCGCCCTTCCACGGCCACCTGGCTGCGCGAGCGTCGCTCATAATCATGCCCATACCGAAGCCGGCGCCGAGCACCAGGAGCGCTGTGAGTAATGCATGGTATTGCCAGCTACGATGGCGGACGTGGCGTCTAAAGACCGGGAAGAGGCCAAACACTTCGATACTGAAGAGCGTCAGCACAAACACCTGCTTGGTCGACGGCAGACGGCTGGCAAGCACCGTAGACGCCATCAAGGCAGCATTTGTTGATAATGAAGCAGGGAACTTGGCGCCAACGCCACCCGAGTAGTCGAAGAAGAAGATATTGATTGCGAGCAGCCAAAAAGACATGGCCCAGATGCTGTCACTAGATGTTGATCGCGTTAATGACTTGAGAATGGGGCTCAGGCCAAGCAGTGTAGAGTAAATGAGCATGGCTGACTTGATGGTCCCGAGCCGCTGGTGTGTTCTGTTCTCATCGTTGGGTAAGATATCTGGGTACTCGGGCACCGTGTCCATACCGCTTCGTGGAGACGGTTCACGCTGCTTCGTAGACGTTGTGATTTTGGCAGCGGCTGCTGCTGCTGCTTCTGCTGCCGCGACCGCAGCTGGTAGGTTCGTAGAGGAGCTGGCCGCCGAGTTGGCCGCTGAATGTACAATGGGCAAGCTTGGCACGGCGAGTGTCGATTCTGGGGGCCCTGACTGCATGGGCTTGCGCAAGCTGTTGGCTCGCGCCCTACGCCGCACGCTGTCGTTTCTCGCGGCGCCCGCTGCTCCGACCACATTGGCCGAGTTGTTTGCCGTCAAGATGTTATTATTACTGCTTCCTTGTTCGTCGTCCCCTGAGGGTGCATGCTCTTCAGAGACCCAGCGCTCCCAGAGGATCCAGCCGAGAAACGTGCCCACAGAGCTCCAGCTCACGACCGACACTGGTGACACGCGCTCCTGGAAGATGGCTACAAAGCATACAATGAAGATGATGACGGAGCATACATGCTGCAGGATGACGGTCGAGTCAGCAATGAGGGGCCAAAAGTCGTATGGTTTCAGGCGCGGGTTTCGCTGCAGGTTTTCGAGAAAGGTCGCCTGGTCGGTATAATTATCGGGGTCTAGTCCAAGTAGTTAGCACTGCTGCGAGTTGGATGCTTCGAAGGGGGGCGGTTGCTAGGGCATACATGATTGCTTCACCCACATGAGCTTCTTCCATGTGCGCTTGCGGCGTCGGCTGGCACTTCTGTCTACGCCGCGACGACCCCGGCGCAGCATTTCAGCACCGCCGTCGGCATCGTAGGGGCGGCGCGGAGGGGAGATGTGCGCATCGGAGGGGGAGAGGTGGGAGCGGAGGGTGGCGGCGTGGTTGAGGTTAGGGAAGGGGGTGTCTTCGTCGGTGGGTGAGGGCATGGTCGAGGCCGTGGCTGTCTAGCAGGCCCTGTGTATTTGGGGTCTGCGTTGTGTTTGGGGGTCGCGGCTATGATGGGGAGATTGTTTGGCGCATTGTGGTGGTGGTTCGTGGCTGTTGGTGGTTTGGATACGTGGTGAAGTTGGACAGAAGATCAACTGCGGAGCGTATGCGTTGCGGCGCGGTTCCGCTTATCGATAACAATTGATGTCGACGGGATAATGTTATTAAATTCTGGTAATATTTAATTGCATTCTTTGTTACTTTTTATAAAGTTGAATATGTAAAGAATTCATTATTTCCATTTCAAATATATTGCTAGTTTGTAGGTGGTTGCTGGATCGCACTACTACAAGTGATCCTGTTCGTATTGTGAATAGATCACCTGTGTTAAAGACGTTCCATTCCATTTACGGTAGTTACTTGAAAATAGGTATTCTATATATTCCAACATATAAATTTGTCAATTAACAAACGTAGACCCAGTTTATCATCGTATTTTAATCGAAAGTAAGTATTACACTCTTATACAGGGTACCTTGTCGTCACACGTACTCTCTCATTCGGCACAACTACCGACCTCAAGCCCAAGTGTGTCACACGCCAAGTCCCGTCTATCTCTCTTAGAACAGCGGATCTCGCGTAAGCAAAAGGAGTAGACTATCCAACAGTACGCAAATTGGCATTTTTCTTTCCTCTGCTGCACAGCCTGGACGCGGTCGCGCAGCTTACCCAAGACGGCAAGTGTCCACTGGAAGCGAAATAACACTCGAGGCGGAGCAGAGGCGCAGTTGTTTCAACGAGACAAACAGCGCTATACCATCACGGAAACCGACGCCCGAGAAATGAAATGAAAAGTCAGCGTTATTTGCCCGCCTACTATTTCGTATTATTTTAAAGTTGAGGCTACAAACCAAGGTTATTTGGGGTGGGACACCAGATGGGCAAGGGGTGGCTTTTTTTTCCCCGTCTAGCTGGTGGCGCAACCAATAGCTCACCGAGCAAGCCATTGAAGACGCCATACAGAAAAACAAGCTTCCCGTAGCGTAAAATGGCTAAATAAGAAAGCGGCTGAACGTTGGGGTGAGTGTTTATGCAGAAGCGGTGCAGTTGAAGTGTGTCAGGGATTGGTTATCGGTGTTGTCGCGTGTATGCAAATGGAGCCAATTGCGGACTTCGGCTGACATGCCGAACGCCAATTTAATATGCAAACCGTTTTTTTAAACCAGAGGCAGTGTTCGTATCTGACTAGCCATGTAAAAGTGCATGTACCGTTGTGAGCAGCTCAGTGGCGCAAGGCGCAGGCGTAGATTGGACGGCAGCTGGGTCTGGAAGAGGCACGTTTCTTGCCAAGCTTTACTTCTGTTAATCAGGCCCAGGCGGGGGAGCCCAAGTGGCACGTTTTCTCTTCTCTTCTGCATTGGATTGTTATTATGCGTGCTGATGATGGTGTTTGTTGGTAGTGGTAATCTCTCGTGAGCTGCGCATGTAGTTGGGTTGGTTTATGCAAGCTGACAGGCAATGGATAGTCCATAACCAACTGCACGCATTGAACTGGCTATTTTAATTTGCACTTTGCCGGCGGAAACACCGACAGAAAAGAACATAGAGAATTGTACAGTCTTCATCCTTTCTCATCTACAGAAGTTCTAGAACCGCCGCCGCATGACTTGGGCCTCGAACTAGACCCTGTTTTTTTTTCTTTCCGTTCGCTAAAATCAGCCATTTGCTACAGTACACCCAGCAAGGAGCGTTAGGCGCATCGCCCCACCCGCTGCATTGGCTCACCTCACTGAAAACCGAGGTAGCAACCGCTGTGGGCGACGTACGTACACGCTGCAACCAACTGTTAAAGTTACTCCGCCAATATTTCGCTAGGCTGTCCATTTAGCGCTGTAAAGGCCCGCCCGCCCGCTTTGTCCTCGTCGGCTCAGCCCAATATAGAAAGATACCATGCGCCTGTGCGCGGGCGTTTCTTCTTTGCCAACTTTAAAAACAAGAGTTATTCCCGTGCCGCACATACCGTCTCTCTTCCTCTTTCTCCCTCTTCTTCATTATTCTGAGCCAGAGTATGACGTAGGCCGCTCAACGTGAAACGAATCCATTCCTCGCCGCAGAAAACCGCTTACAACATACTCACGAGCCATCAAATCACTTGCTTTGGGACAAGAGACGCGCAATCATCACCAACACACCTTTTTCGTCCTTCACACCAAAGCCTCATCCTTTCTACAGCATCGTCATGCTCCCTCTTCTCACCTTCTTCCTTGTCCTCGCTACTAGCCTCGTCTCTGCTCGTCCCCTCCACCAACAAGTCACAGTCATCCGTGTCGACATGGCAGACTATCCCCAGCGTCACGAGGGCCGCATCCTCACATTCTTCCAGTCCTTTTACGAGGGACCAGTACCTTCCAGAGAGCCATCTTCACTGTGGGCTTGCAATGATGAGTTTACACAGGCTTTTTGCCGCGGCTCCTCGACAAGCCTGAGCATGCTCCAGGTCCTTATCGTCGTATGCGTAATAGCTGCTGTGGCATATTCGTTTATGCGCCTCGCGGCTACATGTATCAAGTATGGTCTTTTTTCTGTTCATGAACAGCAAAATATTACTTTTGCTAACAGTACGCTCTACAGAATGGACGAGAAGCAGACGGCGGCAAAGCAGGCCCCCTTCCCTGCTGACGAAAAGCAACCCCTGGTTACCGATACAACCAAACCAGCGTTATGAAAGACCCTTGAGAATTCTTGCATTTTTTAAGCATAGCGCGGCGTTAGGACTGATATTATTATTTTGGACAATCATGTACATCATAGCCTGTATAAAAGACACTTCTCACATGGACACACTTGATAACTGCAATGCCATTAATGACGGATTACATAACATACACTATTTCTGACAAACGCCTTCCTTGAAACACAAAAACGCCCATTATACATCAATTACAGTCGCTTGTTGCCCTTCTTCTGCCCTCCTCCTCCTCCCATACGCCCCCATGTGCCACCAGCACGCTTAAACGCCCCAAAACCAAGACTAGGCGAGACAGTCGCCGTCACGGGGCCCTTGGTGAGCTGCGCTGCCGTCGGATCAGCCTTTCTCCAAAGTCGACTCTTCTCGCTCTCTATCGTCCCGGTAGGACTAGACACGGTATCGGCTTGAGAGCTCAGAGCGTGCGAATGGCCCTTGAGCATGGCGCTCTTCAGCGCAATCCACGATTCCACCTGCCCATTGGTTGCTTCTTCGACGCAGTTGCACTCATCACCCGCAGGACATAACGTCTCGCCGGAGGAATGCCATTCAGTAAGGCATTCTTGATGACTGGCGCAGCCGCAAGACAGACAGGGCGGGAACAGCGCATCCACGGGCTCCAAGCAGTAGACACATCGCAGTTGACTCTGTGTCTTGTGGCAACGGTCGCAGGTTCCCACGGCGCCGCCAATGCGAGTCCCGGATGACGCGTAGCGCACAGGCTCTAATTGCGTCTCGTGGACGTGACAGATGCCCGTAACATCTAGACCACGACCAGAGGCCGCAATAGCGTGTAAACGGTCCTTCTTACCCATCACAATCGGCGATGAAGCCTTGATGGTAGGGATGCCATTTTCTACAATGTACTCCTCGGTGTTGATGGCTGCATTTGCAGGCTCCCTGATAACATTAAACTTCATGACTTCAAGTCGAGCAATGGGATGTCCCCACATCTGCAGCATCTCTGCGTATGCATATCGATAGCGTGCATGGAGAGATGAAGCCGTCGATTCTAGTAGTGGCTTGCCTAGCCATCCGTCGTCGTCAAAGATGGACTGGTCTTCAAGAATCACGGCAACATTCGTAGGAACCAGTGACAATAGCATGCCATTCCGGTAGTCATCCTCCGAGAGAGATGGGCGGCCTCCGGTGGAATCTGCCACAGCAGGTGAAGTTGCGGCGCCACTGCTTGAGGTGCGTGGTGCCAAGCTACTCAGAATAGCCTCGGCCGGGCTTGGCTTCTTCTTGACTTGTGGAGGTGAAGATGCCACTTGGGTTGTAAACGGCCGGGTCAGATTGGCCGTCAATGCCATGGCTAAACCAGTAGTACTTGTCCTTTGAAGCGTCCTAGTAGTCGGTGACTTGGACAGAGCCGACGTTTGGGCTTTTTCATCCAAGTTTGATTTCGATGGTGGCGTCTCGCCCCGCGATAATGAGTTGGGGTTCGTGTCACCCGTCCACAGCGCCTCTTCTGATGCTTGGGAGCCGTACAACAGTGGCGTGTGTAGTGTGCCTGGAGTGGTAACTGCAGGTGTTGTCACTGCCGAGTTGCTGAAGCTGTTTGATGCCTGTAACCAGGCTGCGGCGTCTGGAGGAAAGTAGTCGAGTGAAAACGACGGCGCCTTGAGCGGCAGTGGTGTCTCCGTCTGTGGCAGTGGTTTGGCAACATATGCGATGCTGTCAGCTGTGGCAGATTCGCTAAAAATACACGACAGCATGGCCAGCATCTGAATATCATACATGCTCTCGAAATATTGAAATAGATCGGCAATGATGCTCTTTGCCAGAGGATGCTCCCCCCATTTCACCCTTCCTGCGAGCTTGCTGCGGCGTGGTTTAGCCCCTGTTGACTTGGACGTGGCATCTCGAGCAATCACCAGGATGGAATCTTGTGTATTGTTCCCTTGAACAAATTGAAGAGGAATTCCCTTTCGGAGAAGCAGTGCCAAGTACTTCCACACATGCATCAGGTCAATGCTGCCGAACCTCTCCGCAACTTGGGCATTGTGTTCGCACACTTCTGCGCCATCACCAAAGACGGAATAGCCATTAGCCAACTCCCGTTTAGAGGGCAGCAGGCTAGAGAGATCGTGAAGAGCAATCACATTTCGAGGCCTACCAATACGGCGTCGACTCGTTCCCGTTCCCGTTCCAGTGCCGGTACCGACTCCGGTCCCTGTGCCTGCTCCACTGGATTTGATAGAGCGATCTTCGCTCCAGGTCTTCCTGACTTGGCGGTTAGGCCTATACCAAATGCTCATATTGTGGATGGAAGTAGATTCGGAGTCACTAGACGAGGACACCGACGATCCATCATCAGTGTCCGAGGCATCCGTCTGCTCCTCTGTCGCCGATGTCTCATCGCCAAAACGTGGGCGCTGTGCCACCGTCTGAGCTATTCTTCCAAACCCTGCAAAGAAAGGTTCGCCTTTCACTCGGTCTTTGAACAAGTCACCAGCCGAAGAGAAGAGGGCTCTAGCCTTCTCCTCTTTAGACGGGAAGAAACATATCAGTTGACCAGTGTTGGAAAAGCGCGCGCCGCACGTTCGTGGGGGTGGTGGCACCATGGTGCGGTTAGGTGCCGCGATGGTAGTATCAGCCTCACCCGCTGTTCCGAGTTCTTGAGACATTGCTGCTGAATTGGCATTGGTGGAGTCCTCATCTTCACTAGAGCTGTCGTCGGCCATCCCATCCATATCATCGTCGTCCAGATCGCGTACATTCTTAAAGAACGTGGTGCTGGACTCGAGGTCAACTTCGCCCAAGAGATAGGTAAAGGCCACCTCGAGACAGTTCTGTTTCCTCCTCAAGAACTGATCGGCGAGTTCATGTATCTCTTTCTGAATTCTCTTGTGCGTCTTCTCTGGCATAAATGATGTCTTTTCGACGCTAAACTTCGGAGCCTTATCCTTGGGGTAGTTGGGTGGAATGTCAATTTTAACCTTGATAAAAATAGATTCTCCCTCTGCACCCCACGGGCCGTTCAATGATGCGTTTAGTGACAGTTTATCCATATCAATATTTTCCCAGTTGACCTTTGGAAGCTGCGTGCTAATGCGGAGTAATTCTTCCTGCACCGTATCGGGCTCCCCCCAGTCATCATTGGGAAAACCATGGTCCAGCACATTTGGATCCCCAGGCCCAAGTTTGCTGTGAGACGTTTTCCGCTTGACCATGGTGATGCCCTTCATCCAGCCAATCTGAGTTTGGGGCTTCTCTCCAGTCTTGGCTGATGATACGCGGGCTTTCATAGCTGAACCACGGAAACCCGGTCGAAGTCGTTGCTGGGTATTGTTTGATCTCATGGTTGATATTGATGACGGCTTCTGAGGAATTCCGCTTCCAGTTCGCTGGTCACTCATGGTTCCAACCTTGCGGTCTCTTCCGGATGCCTCTTCAAAGGTTCTATAAGTCTTGTATGTCGCACCTTTCCGTGTGATCTTTAGCTCTTTTCTTGCTGCCTTCCCTTTGTAATGGCCAACGGCGGCGAAGACCTTTTCGTCAACGCAGTTTAGTCTTAGCTGGTTGTCATCTCCCCAAGATACCAGCTGAAACTCGCGATTGTCAAGGCCATCATCCGAAATCCCACCCCGAGTACGCCACAGGAATTCCTTTGCTTGATGATCGCCATGGCCGTCGAAGATGGCGATTGGATCCGGCATCGCATCAATAGGCGAATCATCGGACCACAAGCGATCATACAAGTACAAATTTCCTGGCTCATTCTGAGGCATTGCGAGTAAACCCCAACCGAATGGCGTATGTCGAGCTCTCCAGACGGGGAATGGTGTGCGGATAACATGCTCAGGCTCTTCTGAACTTGTGCTATAATCCCAAAACTTGATGCTCTTATCAAGTGAGCACGTCACGATTCCGGTTTGCCGTGTTCTATTCCAATCAATACCGTAAATCTTGGACGTGTGTGCTGTAATGGACTTGAGAGGCTCGCTAGGCCGTCTGTCGTCCCAGATGTGTAGATATCTATCATGAGCTGATGCCACAATATGGGGGTCTTGTCGGTTATATTTGACTTGGGTCGCACCTGCAAACCAGTCGCAGAAACTTGTAACGGGTTGTCGCGGTCGTCTTAAATCCCATGAGTGAACATAGCCGTCAACGGAGCAAGTGGCGAGCATATCAGGGTGATGTGCAGAGAAGTTGACGTCGGTAATCGCGCGGCTATGTCCTTGTAGAGAGTGTTCGATAGGCCCGTTGCTGGAATCCTCTCTCATGTTCAGATTCCAAACAAGAGCTCGATGGTTTGCAGTAGAAACGACCCAGTAGTCTCGTACCGCAAAGGGCGACCACTGAACGTCGACCACGAGCCATGGTAAGCCAGGACTGCGCAATCGACGCGGCGGGCTATAGGGGGAATCTAGATCGATGATAGAAAGTCCTTCCGCTCTATTGATTTGTTAGCTTCGTCGATTTATAGTGTCGTAGTAACTTCGAAGACGTACGACCCAAGCGCAATGTCTCGCCCCGAAGGCGAGATGGTAGCTGAACCGACAACGCCATCAACATGGATGGAACCATCAGACTCGAAGCTCTCGCTGTCAAATGCCGACTTGATCACTCTTCCCTTGTGCTCTTCGGAATATTTGTCCGCGCTGGGCATCGCTGCAACGCCGCCACATACGTGACGAGGTAGCTATCACGCCGAGGCTGTCGTTGAAGAATATGGACTATCGGGAGGGAGCCGGGGCCATTGCGGCAAAAAAGCTTGTTCGTCGTCTATTTTATCTCATGTAAAGCCAATCTCCTAGATAAAACAGAGGAGCCAAGCCGTGGTGGCGCTGATTCGAGGTTTGTCGTTGCGTTGAGGTTGCGTTGCGCAGAGCTCACGAGGTCTTCTGGCGCGAAAGTGGTCACTGGCGGCGTGCTTGTACCTAGCTGCAGTGGTTGGCGGGGGAGATACTTGCGGGAGAGGAAGCTCCTAACGCCTGCGTCAGTCTGCAGAAGTGGTGCCGCTTTAGACAATTAAGCTCTGTGACGACCTGTATGCCACCGTTTTATGAGATTTGGCAAAAGAAAATAAATAGAATCCTTTTTAGAATATTAAGAAAAAGTTGTTTGTTTTGTAATATTCAAAAATCTTTTCTAATTACACGCGTCCACATAATGCCTGGCAACGTCACGCACTACCAAACGCTATACGACGGCTCTTAGGGCGGCAAGCCTCACTCCCACTGCCCCCCGCCAAAATGCACTTTGTCGCTCGTAACAGTCAAACTGCAACCGCCAAAGCCACACGATACACCGCCGTTGTTGCTCTACTACCTGACATCTAGGACAGCATACCGCATCTCTGGAATTATACAAACAGAGAAATCGGATAGCCACTTGAATAGGCATCACCAGAACCTGCCACAGCCCAGCTCTAAAGGTGCGCATGCCCCGCGCTCCCACGTTTGGCTCGCTCGACAACTGACCCGACTCATTTAATAGCTTGCTTCTACGAATCCGACTCCTGCTTCGTTCGAACACCGTTGTTTTCGTTAATCTACAACATCCCAACCAATCACAATGGCGCTCCCGAAGAGAATAATCAAGGAGACTGAGCGGCTCATGGCTGAACCGTAGGTTCCGTTCTTGCGTGGCGACATCTTGGAGAGCCCTCAACTAACATGTAATTTCTACAGTGTTCCTGGTATTAGTGCTGTTCCTCACGAAGAAAACCTCCGCTACTTTGACGTCGAAATCCATGGACCCTCGCAGTCACCCTACGAAGGTAGGCCTCGGCATGCATGCAAACCTGGCCAGCTAAAACTAACAAGCACAGGCGGTATTTTCAAGCTCGAGCTTTTCCTTCCTGAAGACTACCCGATGACACCGCCCAAGATTCGTTTCTTGACCAAGATTTTCCACCCCAACGTTGATAAGCTCGGCCGTATCTGCCTCGACGTCTTAAAGAGTATGTCATGTTGTACCTTTTGGTCAGGTCTATGGCTTCTGTGCTAACCATATACTCCTACCAGATAACTGGTCACCTGCATTGCAAATTAGAACTATCCTGCTCTCGATCCAGGCTCTCCTTGGCGCACCAAACCCCGACGACCCTCTTGCCGCTGATGTCGCGAAGAACTGGAAGGAAGACGAGCAGGCCGCCATCGCAACGGCTAAAGAATGGACCAAGAAGTACGCGCAGGCTTAGAGTATCATTGCATTCTCCTGTAGCACATTCATGAGCATCATGGGATGGAGTTGACGGTTTTGCATTTCAAGTTTTTCACAGAAGACCTGCGGCTGCTTCCTCAGTGAAGCAAATGTCGCCTAACCACTAGTTACAAGTAGACTCGTATATATAACTTTATCATACTTTTGCCCTTCACGAAGCCTTCGACCAGTACTTGGACGCGAGACTGGTTTTGGCCGTACTATGCTGCGTCGCCAAAGAAAAGAGTCAATCCTCTGGCTTAGACCCAGGATCATTAGTAGAACAAATAGGTAGTATTCACACACAGAAAATGCAAAAGGAGGAACGCGTATCTGGTACAAAGGGGGTATTGGTAGAGTTTGAGTCTCCACTACCACGATATATTGTATCTACAATGCTAGAGTACACAAAGGAAAACAATAGAGGGTGCGGGTTAAGCTGATTATACGACGGCGAGGTCGCCGAACTTCTCCTGTAGAGGGCATTAGTAATCTCAAAATAGTCATAGCTCGACCGTGCATTCCATACCTTGTATCCAGGCACCATCCATCGTCCCTTGGAGACGAGCTGGGCGGTCTTCTCGTCGATCGACTTCTCGGCGGCGGCAACTTCGTCCTGCAATTAATTAGCACCAGATATTTCTCTAGTTCATCGACTAAACATACGACAGTGAGGTCCTCGAAGGGACGAGCGGACTCGATGTTCTTGAGGGTGGCAGCAAGGTCCTTCAACTCGAGGTCGACGGCCTGCTTGGTAGCCTCGGCGTTCTTGACAGCCTCAACCTCGAAAGCCTCAATAGCCTTGAGCTGGCGGCTGACATCGTAGGTGGCGGGCTTGAAAGCAGTGAAACGCTTCTCGATCTCGTCGATGACGGCCTGGTTCTTGAGGACGGAGCGGTAGGCGGCGAAGTCGACGGTGGTAGGCTGCTCGGAGAGCTGCTGGATCTTGCGGCGAGCGTCCTCGTTGCGCTTCTTGAAGGCCTGCAGCGAGGAGACGGTCTGGCCGCGGAGGCCGAGGGAGCTGGTGACCTTGACCCAGTCAAGCTTAAGAGCAGCGCTTCGCTGTTTAGGGAGAAAGTGAAAATTAGCTCATTGGTCCGGGAACGGCCTTCGCCGGGCGCGCATTGGGGGGTGTTGCACGTCGCGACGAATTCTAAGACCTGATTAGAGATCCAATTGAGGGATTAGACGTACCGTGGCCATTGTGGATGTGTTGTTGGGGATAATCGAGGAGCGGAGATGATGGTCGACCATGGTGTTGTTCAACTTTGCTGGGCTTCACCGGGCCAGGCGCTCCTCAGATCACGTGACTGTCATTTCGTTCCTGACGACGGAGAGTACAGGGTAATAGTAGCAAGATGGCCAGCTTTCATTATTTTGAAAATATCTTATAGTAGAAAATAATATATGAGTGCTTTAATCGAAGATTTAATTTCTTTTCTATGAATCAAGTTGGTTGTGCGGTTCAATGCTGGTTTTAGGCTTTGTCGCTCACTATACACCTGAAGAACAAGGCGTTGAGGTAGCGGCACAGTAAGAGTGGTTCTACCACCGGCTTAACATTGAAGAGCAAAAACAGAGTTTCAACGATCAATTGACTCTCAATGCAAGGTATACTGTAGAAATTCAAGCTGAGATAGTTATAGAGCCGAAATTATGTGGTTAAAACAAAGACAATATCAGCTAGGGTGGCTCGACGGGCACATGAGTATGTTACTTGCTTTATATCAAAGCTCATCATATCAGCAACGTCACAAACAGAAGACACAAAATCTTGGGCATGAGATCAATTTAGGATATCAAGGCCTTTTTAAGAAGTTGATATAGACTACTCTCCATGTCAACATGGAGCGCAAAGGCGCCAATCTAGGGCAGCCTTAAAAATGTCACATCGCCTCCGACTTCTGTGATTTTGGCAAAACGCAATTGGCTTAGATACTCAGGGCCATGATAGAGTTGACAATATCGTTGTCGTTTTCTTTCAGGGCTTTGATGGCCTTGTTGCGGCTGACGTTGGCTTGGGTCATGACGAGCTCGATGTCCTTATCCTCGATGCCCTCGGCGTCGACCTCTTCGCCATCATCCTCTTCCTCTTCCTCCTTCTTGGCCTCGTGGGCGTGGTCGTGGCTGTGGCCAGCCTCACCGTGGTTGTGACCGGCGTGCTCAGCCTCAGCGGCGGCAGCGAGCTGCTGAGCAGCAGCGGCCTGGGCAGTGGCGTTGATGTCCTCGATCTTAGCCTCACCGAAAACACTATATTCCATCCTTGTTAGCTCCTTGTTCCATCTCGAACAATCTCATGCGTAGTAGCATTCAATGGGGCGGGGTGATCAAACGCACATGTAGGTGTTGCTGTTGGGGGACTTGTAGACCTCGGGGTTGTTGATGACGAAGAGGATCTGTATGAACACATGTTTAGTATACTGATATCGTAGTTTTTCGATCGAAGCTTCCGGCTTATCGACGGGACCGCATTAGGGTATTCGACATACGTTCTTAGGGCGGCGGAGAGTGACACGGGTGATGCCAGGGACGCGGGTGAGGTGAAGCTTCTCAAGGGCCTTGCGAGCCTTCTTCTCGTTGCGGTTGTGGATTACGGCAGTAGAGCCGGCAGGGAGCTCGGTCTCGCCAGCATCCTCGACGTCGGAGTCATCGCTGTCCTGCTCCTCAACGGTGGGCTTCTGGAGGGTCTCCTCGTCGGGAAGCTCTTCGACTCTGGGGTTGGCCATTTTGGATGATAACTAGCAAAGCGATCAGTTGTCAGCTCCCCGCACCACGCCAATGCAATTTTCGCGCCATATTTTGATGCCAAATTAAAGGGGCCGTCAATGGCTAAAATAATCTGGCGGCGGAATTTTTACTCACGTATGTGATTAGTCCGGACTGTCTTCTATCTGGACTGCTTGCTTACTGCTCGCTGTTTTGTGAGGCAAAACCACACACGTAAATTCTAGGGTTTGGTGGCCGGTGCGAGCTAAACCCAATTAGGTAATCTAACACTACAGCCGCCTCCAAGTCTACAGGCAGTCTGGGGAAAGACGTCTGGTCACTATATAGAACGTCTATTAGGACGTAATTATCAAGTATAAAAAACATGAATTAAATGTAGACAATATCACAAGAGAGACAATGCTGTTGTTTCAAGGGGAACGAACCCCGTATTTGGATTCATTTTTGGTTTCTGAATTTCCGTACTTGACGCCGTTCATCGTAGTAACGATGAGTCCGAGACATTACAGCCCTTCCAGAATGGGGATAAAAAAGCGACTTTGGCAGTTCTTTGCTGCCTTTATGCGTTCCTTGCCGGGTTCCATATCTTCATCTATACCGTTGACCCAACCCTCCATAAGACTCCTAAGCGATAAATTTAAGCAGAGGCCTTGATCTTGGCAAGAGCCTTGCGCTCCTCGAAGCGGCGTTGCTTCTTAAGACGGAGGACCTTGAAGCGGTCAAAGTCCGAAAGACCCTTCCTTCTGTCGCTCTGCTCGCGCTTCTTGGCCCAGTTGGTCTCCTTCCACTTGGAGTCGATCTCGGCCTTAACCCACTGCTTCTTGACCTCGCCGTGTCGTGAGCCGCGGTTGAGGGTGCTGATGACCAGGGGAGAGAGGAGGACGTTGGAAAGGGCGATGGCCTGGCGGGGGACGGTGAGCTTCTCGTCGGCGGAGGGGCCGTCAACAAGGACCTGTAATATCATGTCAGTACACTCCGTACCGGTTGCAATAGTCGGGACTGTCGTTTATAAAACATACACGCTTGTGGTCGATGATCTCGACGATGGCAGCGAGGCGGCCAGCGAGGGGGTGGTTGCCAGCAATGACAACAACGCGGCCAACCTCGACGAGGCGCCAGTTGGTTCCCGTGATAACAGCGTCGCCCATTGTGATGATCTATGGCAGTCTGCGGTCAGTTCCTGTCTGTTTGTATATTCGCGCAGTGTTCAAAAGACTGTTTAAAGTCTTCTTCGAGGGGTATTCGTACCGGTAGTCGTTGATCGTTGTCGTTTGGGAGTGGATGTTTCGTGGAGCTTCACACACACTGTAGTCTCCGATGACTTTTTACGGCTCGGCTAGGAAAGCGTGTGCGGGCAGAAAATCACCGTTTGCCCTAATGAAAAATTCTCGGACTAACCTTTTTGCCACTTCCGGACGACCCACAAATTAATTTTGCGAGTGCGCCCCACTTTTGCTGGCTTCCCTCATTAGCAGCGATTTTCTCCATAAAGCTCACGCCTAGCTCTCTTTTGACTCGGTAGCAAAAAAGTTGCTCTCAACTTTCTTTGGCTGCAAGACGCAGCCACGCATTGAGAATGGAGAAAAAATCATTCTGAATATACAATGCAAGTCTTATGGTAAGCTCAATTCTCCTTTCACATTCATCCCTGGTTATCCTGATGAGGTAATTTGCGATTGATTCTGTGCGATGGCTCTCTCGCCGGAGATGCTATATCAAGCGGATATATGATATTCAATTTCTTACATATTCTGAAACCGTCAAATTTCTACACATCTTTATTGTTATTGATCTGTTCTATTTACAACTGCTAACATTGGCAAAAAAGACTAGATTTTCCATATCCGACATACTTACCGCTACCACGCTGATACGACGCGGTCAAGCTGGAGCCACTCCCTTTGACCAGTCAGTAGAACAAGACCTCTGTTGCAGTTCAATTGGATTGTCCACAGACGTGACTTGTTCTTTCACTGACCAGACGCGCCACCATCGCCTATTGATAGTCGGCTTCAGACGTCTTTGTAGTCCCAATGCCTCGCTCGTCCCCCTTCACTTGTAAGGTGTGACTGACGCGGCGTTGGCTAACCGTGAATGTTCTTGACATGTAATCTCTCCATAACTGCCCATCAGACTGTTTAATTGGGCCGCCCTGAATTCAGTCCTGACCAAACGTTGAATGTGTCACATCAGCATCTGGTCTGTTGATAATGGCAATGAGGCTCGCTCTCGTAACATCCATTGTAATCTATCCGTGCACCTGGCAATCGTTTGGTATTTACAATGCCCTGAGAAAACCATATTAGCCTAATTGACTTTAAGTATAGAAAGCCAACAGCTATCTGATAGCCGAGACGCAAATGTACAGCACTGATGCTAGCGCCATAGATCGGCGCCTCAGGCTTAGCCATGGTCACTAAGGTGCACCCCGCCCACTTTAATACCAACGTCATTCCGGCGTGCAAGGCAGCTTTCTGGTTTCCGAAAAAACAGCTCTTGCAAATCAATTCCATCGATATTCAGTCGAATTGCCATCATAATGTTCCGATTCGTAAGTTTACGCAGTCGCGCAGCTATATATCCATTCGATTCTTGCGCCGCATCAGCTCACATCAGCTCACTGGCTAACACCGCTTGCAGCGTAAAACCCTCGATATCGTCACGGTCTTCCACAAGGCCAGCTCTCCCGCCTCGGTCAGAGTTGCCAACTTGGCTAAGCAAATCTCTGCTGGTGCCCAGGTCACTGCCACTCAAGACCCCGATGTCAAGCACAAGGTCAACCGGGACCCCTTCGAGCTCAACATCACCGAGGACGCTCCTACAGCCGACCAGGTTCAGACCATCATTGAGTACCTTGGCAAGGGCGGCGCCGGCAAGGTTGTTCAGGGTGCCAAAGATGATAAGGATGCTTTGAAGAAGTTCCGCGAGAACAAGGACAGCTTCTTGCGCCCCGTGGTACGTGTTCATAACAGCTACAGGATGTACTTATGCTGACCCGCCATTTAGACCGTTGACTGGAACAGCGGCAAGGCTGTCGTTGGCGATAACGAGTCTGAGATCTTGAAGCTTCTTGCTGAGCAGCAGGAGCAGCAGTAAATTAACGATATTCCCGCGAATCGGCTGCGCCGTGTTTGCACCCAACTACATGTACAATATAGAACAAAATACAATTGATATCCTGAAGCAACAAATGGAAGCGGATTGTTCTCTTAGTGGTGAAACTTTGCAGGTCAAAAGAAGTAATGGTGAAATAGCTCCATGTACGCTATTTGCGGTAGCGATGACGGAGTATCCCAAACGCGCGTTTGAGGTGACAGGGCAGCGCATTGACCGGATACAAACAAAATCGTGTCACACTAAAAGAATTACGCGATGCATAACTAGTAGCTTTCTTTGACGTACACAAGTAGTCGCAGTCTTTGTTTGGCCTAAGCGCCCCATCTCACCTCACATTCACTTCACTTTGGTGCCAAGTTAAAGCACTCCAACATGGCGCATATATATTTATTATCAATGACCGAGCTAGCATCCCCTTTTTTATCATCTTGAGCTATCCCAAATACGTTTCTAAACCGAAAGTCGCATCAAAAATTCGATCAGCGTCATGCATACCAGGTACGTGATGGTACTAACTTGGTCAAGTCTCTGTATTAACCAAGACAAGAAACCTTTCCCAGGGCCAGGTGATAGTATTGGAGCCGACTGGCGTCACTCCATGGCAGCCGCATATTCTGCCAACCATCATCCCCAACGATGTCCCTCGCATTCATTCGTTCCATCAGCCTCTCGAGGAGAGGCAAGAGTTCAAGAAGCTCTATCCCAACGGTATTCCAGTTTCATACAAGATGGTCTATGAGTCCAGCCATGGTCCCCCAAGGAAATATCTGGAGGATAGCGTTTCAATGGGATTCTACACCAACCCCCCGCCGGGTGCCAGGGCCATCTTTTCCACCGGCAATGGCACACGTGAGTTTCGGAAGATGGATCACATTTTACCCAAGAGGCACATCCCGCTCTGGTGCAAGGATGAAATTCAGATGCTGTGCAACTCTACTCGCAAGATCTTTTGGGAGTTTATGAAGCCGATGCGGATGCCTGTTTCCTGGGACTGTCTCTGGGAGTACTTTGACGCCTACGACTTGTACCACTATGGGTTGACCAATCTCTGGAACCTCATCAACAATCTCTACGCCGAAAATGTGATGATTTACAGTGATGTCATGTCATATGCTGCCGTCGAGATTGGTCGCTGGATCGAGCAGTGGTCGTGCAACGCAGAAAACAGAACCAAGTTGGTCACTTGGGCGCCTCAACAAGCACCAATCTTTCTGCTCTTGACCCAAGAAGACTAGAAGTTGATTGGGCCAATGGCGGCGGATTTCACCCCTCTTGTATCGAGCGCGTTGAACTATCACCGGGATAGACTCATGGGCAACGAACCCGCACGGCTCAATGGCGAGGCGCGCGACCTCATGACTGCGCGGATGGAGAACAGGCTGGAGACTTGGCTCGGTAAGAGATATATGATTATGCCAATGGTTAGACACTAACAAATAGAAGCTGGAGAAAAGGTATTCTTCGGAAACGGGCTCTGTCCACCTCCACGAACCGATGTTGCGAAATCATCACCTACTGCCAACACGTCTGCGCCGCAGCCCGAACGCAACCGAAGCGCCAGCAAGTCTCCAATCGCTAATATGGCAAAGGTTGAAGCAGAGAGAAGTGCTCACCAAAGACCCCTTGTGGTCAGTGGGAGTGGCACTTATCATGCCCCTCAACAGACGTCTGCTGTCGCTACGAACTCTCGCCCTGAGTCACGAGTTGAACAACCAATGCGATCATGTTCGGAGCCGTCACCCGAGTCCATCCGAATGAACACGCCTGGTACCAGTGAAATGAGCGACTCGCAAGAAGCAAGTGTCATCATAGAGGTTGGCCCTAAGAAGACAGAGACAGAGACAGAAGCTAAACCAGACCGAAATGAATTCTCGCCTATCATCAACCAACCTAAGAACTTGACGGTTAAGAGGCAGAGAGCGCATCCTGAGCAGATACCCAAGTTCGGCGGGACTTCCGGTGATGATGTATTTGCACCATCGGAAAAGACGTCCCTTGAGACTAAGGCTGTGACATCTACAGAGGTTGAAGAGAAGCCCGCTATACCACTTGCACTGAGTCAAGACGTCCGAAGCCAAGCAGCAGTTATACACGCAACTCCTGGACCATCCCGTCAAAGTTGGGGACATTCACGCAAGCCATCGTCTCAGAACACGATACAGCAATACCATTGCGATATACCCCAAGGCTCGGGTTACATGGAGTCCAACCCCATGCAATCGGGAAATATTGGATATCGTCCCAACCACAAATACGGCTACCACAAAGATCAGTACTGCAACAACGGTGGGAACCCCAACTATCGCCTATACGCCCCCTGCGATTGTCGGCAGTGCATGGAGCGCAACAGAAGCATCTACATTCGAGTCAAAGAAACCCATGGTGGGATCACCGGGTTCGAGGTACAAAACAAGCTAAAGATTGAACTCCAAAAGCTCTTTGGCGATGTAGAGGACGTGTACAGCATCAATAAACAGTCCCCCACGCTCAACTTTGTAGCCAGGTAGGTCACAGAAACAAACGACGGGGTATCTGGAAGCAGCTAAAATTGGCAGATTTGTCCTTGAGGACTCGATGGCGGCAGCTTTGAGCTACTATGACGGCTGGATTATCCCCAAAGTACTACGAATCTATATATCTCCAGTGTTCCGGTCAAAATGGTATGCGGCGCAGACTAACCAGCGAGGCATGTACAGAAAGATGCACGGGGATTACATGTATCAGCAGAACATGAACCACTTTGGCCATGACCAGCGGCAAGGCCAGTACCAGCACAACAAGTATGTGCCGAGCGCACCAGCAGCACATCATCAATACAACCGCATTCCGCCTTGGCAGGCCAGAGCCACAGATGCAGCGCTCGAGCCGCATTTGCACGCACTGCCAGTGCCAGTCGGCATTGCGAACCAGTTTGCCATTGCGCCACTTCATCAGCCCGTGTATGAGCCGCCTGGTGAAGAGACTCTGGCGCAGTCCAAACCACCCTCGGAGGAAACCATACCTCTCCAACCTCGCCAGTGCACGAGTCTACCCGAGCCGCTTACCGCTGCACCTCAGACACGGGTGTCGTTGCCAGCAGCGAGAACAACAGGCAAGCAGAAGAACCCAGAGCCCTTGGACCAATCGAGCCGCTCAGCATCCCAGGACCAGCAGCAGCAGCTAAGGCCAGCTAAAAAGACCACAGAGAATAAGCTCCCAAAGAAGGTCAGCGCTCCTCCTAAGCCAACGGCCCCTCCGGCAACCTTGCCTGAAAAGCCAGCGTTTGCTGTCCCGAATCGGCCAAGGACGCAAGATACCAATACGGAGACTGCGGCTGCTGGTCCAGCGCCCAAGGAGAAGCGTCAACCTCCAAGCGATCTTCCCACGATTGCTGAGCGCGACTCAAAGGCTCCAGCAAAAGCAACCAAACTTCCCACCCAGGATGCTAGGCAGCTGGAACAACCAGCCGAACCCCAAGCCGCTCCCAACCCCGTCTTCAAGTCTTCCATGGGCGATCCGTCCACCGAGCCTTTCGTCTACAAGGGCAACCGAGTCGGGATCAGCACCATTGGCAAGAGAAGCGGGAAGAAGCACAAGCGGCCTGAGATTCCATCTTTTCCGCCTCGCGACCTCGACCGCCGCGGCGGCTAACCCGATTTTTTGGCTGTTCGTTTCGCTAGTTCGTTCGTTGGACCTAGTCAGACAAATTTAGCTCTTAGATCGTTGCTGTCTTTTTCTTAATACCAAAATCGCTCTTCTTTTGCACCTGAATGGTTGTAATGCTGTTTCTTTTTCTTAACTTCCTAATATATACACTGCCCAGGTTTATTTATCGCTTAGGCCGAATCCTTGACAAGCCCCGTAACAGTATCCTCGATCTGCTTATCCGTCAATCCGTCGAGCGATGTTGACTTTTCGGTGCCGAATTCTGCATATAATCTCATTAGTATGTTCAATTCTTCTGTCGGTGTGGTCGAACGAACCGTATCGGGCGTAAACTTTGGGTACCGTGCCAGCGGCCTCGCGCATCAGGATGGGCGTGTAGGGGTTGTTCTTCTTCATGGTAGGGTAGGCACGGGCAAGGAACGAGCTATCGAAGGAGAAGTATGCTATGTTAGCCTTGTCTGTGGCAATTGGCAAGGAATTAAAAAAAAGGGAGCGTTATACCGAACAGGAGCGCTCTGCTCAGAGGTCTGGCAGAAGAGGAAGCGCACCTCTTTGAGGGACTTGGTGAAGGCGTATTTTCCAGACATGGTGGGCTGTGTTCTATCGCAACGTGGAAGGGGTATCGTGTGTGTGTATGTCAATTGGCGACAACAGAAATGGTGATGATGTTGGTTAGGCAGAGCAAGAGGAATCCATCACGAACAACTTGTCTGTGGCCAGTCAGCAGCGAGCAATTGGAAAGGAGTGGGGCGCAGCTTGTAAGCGCTGTAGCACCCGCTGTAAAATTTCCCGCAGCACGCACCTACAGTGTACAGCGCTGTGTTCCCGCTACGCCGGTGTCGCTGCGGTTCATCTCCGGCCCAACCAAAGTTGCAGCTCAACACCCCCGAACTTTTTGGGGCGGATTGGAATTCGGGAAGTCATCACCAAACTGGCGCACCACCACATTTCAGCAGTACGTCCCAATATCCTCCGATTTAGCGAATTGATTGCTGGAGATAATCTACGAATCGCCCGGGCCACTGCTAACAAGCTCCCTTCTGTTCTAGACAATGTCCTCTGCCGCTCGAGTCCTCCGCGCCACCCGGCCCATTGCCCGCCAGCAATTCGCCCAGCAGTCCCAGCAGCGTCTGTTCTCGCAGCACGCCCAGACGATCCGCGCGCGCTTCCAGCAGCAGCAGAAGAAGCAGAATGGCCGCAGATGGCAGAGCACCGCCGAGGGCCAGCAGCAGCAGCAGAGCTGGTTCAAGCGTGCCTGGGAGAGCGAGGTCGGCATCAAGACGGTGCACTTCTGGGCTCCTGTCATGAAGGTGCGTTTGTATATTGGGCAGAAACAATTCGTTGAACCATCAGAATTGAACTCGCCCGTGCGTGTATATGTGGAAGAAGAAAGTGCGTGCTAACATGTTGTAGTGGGCTCTTGTCCTTGCTGGCATCTCCGACTTTGCTCGCCCCGTCGAGAAGCTCTCTCTTACTCAGAACTTTGCGCTGACCTGCACCGGTCTCATCTGGACCCGTTGGTGCCTGATTATCAAGCCCAAGAACTACCTGTACGTTTGACACTATTATGGGTGTTGAATCGGAATATACTAACCCGTATAGTCTCGCCGCTGTCAACTTCTTCCTTGGTCTCGTTGGCCTCGTCCAGCTCGGCCGTATCGCTACCCACAAGCCCTCGACCACCACGGAGGCTGTTGTCGACGCTGTTGAAGAGGTCAAGGAGGAGATTAAGGAAAAGGTCAAGGCTTAAGCAGATGCAGATTGATCTGGTGGCATAGTAGTAGGATATGTTTTTTTGTACAAGTAACCGGTTCATTCCGATAATGAATATTCTTTCACATAATAACTTTAATATGTAGCGTTCAAACTAACTGTCATTAAGAAACAAGTGTTCAACTACATCTCACAAGGTAAAACGCCAGACGGTAGGTAATTCATGTATTATATTATATGATGCCATAAGAATATATATCCCAGCACCCCTCCATACACCAAACACCTCTCGGAGCCCGAGCTCAGCCCTTAGACAAAAAGGGGGTATCAAAAATAAAGTCCCATATCCTAAATATGGTCAAGCAAATAATCATCATCAACCAATTCATATCTCCATCACTATATTTACCTCCCACACACCCCTGATACCAAGGCATCTATTTACCCTCCGCATGCCCGTCATTAAGCAGCATTTCCAAGATAATCTGGCGTCCCGAAATCTCGGGGTGCGCCATGGCAATCTTCACCGTGCCCTTGCTGGTATCACCCGCCGTTCCGCCGTGATGGCCAAGCGTAGTCTGCATGGCGTTACCACCAGTTGGGCCGCGGATGCCGTAGTCGATAACACGAACATCACGACCGGCAATGATCTGGCGCAGACGACCATTCTCAGCATTGCGTACTTCCACATAGTCCTCGTTGAAGAGCAGCAGATACTGGCCGTACATGGTGGCGCCGCGAGCCTTCTTCTGCTTGCCAGTGTACTCCATGATGAGAGTGCGGCTAACATCGCCGTGCTTGTCGACGTACACAGCACAGTCTTCGTACGTGCAGAGGAACTCATTCTCGTTTAGTCGGAACATGCCGAGCGGGCGCTGGTCGCGAATACGGCTGGCAATATTGGCAATTGCTGGCGCCTTAAGGTCTGGGATCGACATGGGCTGCTTCTTGTCCAGTGTAAGCATCTCGATACCCTTGGCCGTGGCAACAGCAATGTACGTCTGGAAAACACTGAGCGAGAAACACTCTGTTGGGAAGAAGAACTCGTCAAAGTCGCGGAACGTGTCCGTACTGCCACCGGCCGACTTGCGGCCACCAAAGAGGCGTGTCTTCTTCTCCGAAGCCTTGTGGTACAGTGGTTCCAGAACCTTGAACGATGTGTGCAAGCCTTCCTTGCGCTTGTAAAACACTAGTGTGCGGTCCTTCATCTTCGCCGTGGCAAAGTACGATACATCCTTGGCTAGTCGCTGGGGCGCACGGCGCGCCGAGTCACTTCCAGGAGGTGCAAAGTCGGACACTGGCGCAATGACATCCAAGGGGTACGAGATGAGCGACTTGTCAGAAATGAGCAAGCACACGTTGAACTCTTCCAAGATGGCCATTTGCGATACGCGCGCCGCCGTCACCGATTTTGTCCATCCTCGTGGGTTAGTAGGGTCCGAGATGAAGACACCATACTCTGTACCAATGGCAATAAAGGACTTGCCAAAGGCGGAGAAGCCCGCGGCACAGTTGACTTGCGTGCGTGAGACAGGTCCTGTGCCTTGAGCAGGACCAAGAACTGCCTCTAGCTCCTGAATGGCGCGGTCAAGCGGAGTACCTCTGACAGGGACGGACGTAATCTTTGCATGGACAGAGGAAGCATCGTAATGGAACGAGGCATCTGCCAGAACGCGCAGGCGGAAAGGCTCAGCATTTTGTGAGAAGAGGGCCTTGGCGTGCATCGTCTTGGCTTCCACAATCTTGGTGCACCATGCTAGTCTGTCTTGTGCAGACGGCGCGTAGAGTGTATAGACATCATGGCCAAGGTGCTTGATTCTGAATGGGTACAGAATCTTACTGTCGGGGTCGTTTGAAGGGGCCGGCGACAAGGTATTGAATGACGAGCTCGTGTTTGTGTGCTCTAGAGTAGGTCTACCGCCGTTGCTCGATACTTTGCTAAGCTGCGCACCGCTAGCTGTTGCAGGCGCCGTTCGAGTCAGAGGTGCTGTAATACCCTTTTGCTTAACAATCGGCTCATCGTTCATGCTCTCCAAGAATAAGAGAGGCATGGGAATAGGCTCACGGGAGACATCATACTTGTCCTCCCCACGGCCATCCTTGTTGAGAACAATCTTGGCAAGAATCAGGTAGTGATCAAAGAGCAATGCGTGCGTGTCAACCCAGCGCATGCCCTTGTTTCCGAGACGCTGTAGGTCGCCCTGCATGATGAGCGCACGGCCCAGGTGGTCGAGGTTCAGGACAGACTGGAAGCCGGGGCGTAGGACAAGCTTACGATCCAGTTCCATCATTTCCACTCTCTTGTTGGTCTCTGCAACCTTGGCATCACACTCGAGAGTAACTACCTTGATTTCCTGAATGGCCTTGGCCAAGTTTGTCTTTTCTTCGTTCTCAGACGTCATCTTCTTCTCGGCACTCTCCAAGAGCAAGATGTAACGCTGAAGGCGCGTTAAGGGGGCAATAAGGAAATGGGTCCAGTCCTTCTTCATAGATGCCTTGTGCTTCTGCATCTCGTCAAGGAACTTCTTGAACAAGAGATTCCGTCTGCCCTCCTTGCGCATCATATACTCAGCTCTGGGATAGGCCGTCGCGTATTCAATGTAAATGTTCTTAGCTTTTCGAATCCATTCGCGGAACAGGTCGCTGAAACCAGAGATCCAAGGGCCCTGTTCTTGCTGGCGATACTTGAGCTGAGCCAAGAGGTAATCCTTGTTGATTTGCACAACAGTATCAACCTTGCCAAACACAGTAGCAAGGAATCGGTCCCGCTTGTCAGGGTGAATAATTGGAGGGTTGCGGTTTCGAAGGTCATCCCTCCAGAGTGTACGGAATACCTCGAGCTGTCGAATGTAGCCCTCCTCACCGGTAACAATTTCGTGCAAGATATTTTGACGTTCGACCTCCTTGTTAGACTTGTGAGCCCAGTCATCCGGCTTGAGTCCATAAAAGACATTCCATGCCGCATCTTTGGCCTCTTCTTGGAAGACATCCTCCAAGTCGGCTTTCTTGCTTGTTCTCGTACAGTGGAATGAGTAACAACGGCCTGTAGTCTTGTACTCGTGCAGCTTAGGTGAATAGCAACCGCTGCCGGTAAGGTGCCAGAGCACGCCTGAGATGTGGCCTTCGCCAAACTTGACCCATTCCTCGTCGGGTAGGAGAACACCTGCTTTGAGCATGCTGGCAAAGACGGAGCTGCTAAGCACTTCAGCATCGGCGACGTTCATTGTAGCAACCTTGTCGGTGAACAGCGATGTTAATGTCTCTTCGACAGTCTTCTCCCGCAAGTATGGCTCGCCCTGTGTCATCTCGCGCAACCAAGCCTCCACGGAACTGAGGGCCCAAGGCTCGCTGCATCGCACGAAATCGGCCTTTGTAAGTTTACCAGGAATGAATTTGCGCTTGCGAGTTGGTAGCGTAATGTTGTCGAAGCCGGCAGCAGGTACAGCCGTCGATTCGTAGTCGGAGTAGATTGTTCCGCTTTGCGAAGGAGTCATCTGGTGGCGTGTAATCTTCTTGCGTTCTTGGTCGGCGTCGGTTCTAGAACGGGCTGGGGCGACAACTTGCGGCGTGGTGCTATGATCAGATACAGATACAGAGCGCTCAGGTTGAAGAAGCTGATGATTAGCATTATAGGCCATATCGCGCGGATCGTGTGCCATGCGGAAGTCGGCGCTCCCAGAGTGTGCATGCTGTGGCTGGCGCACGCTATTTTGTGCAGACAACATTGAGCTACTGTCTGATCCAGGGCCAGGAGGTATCGCAGGCAGAGGACGATTTGTTGGGCCGGGGTGGTAGAAGAACTCTGGTAGGTCGTCTTTATTGGGCGATTCGATGCCACTGTTTTGGGAGTGAATCGATACGTTCTCGTCTCCCTCATCAAAGCTGAGGCGAGAGGCAGTAGGGGGTTGCAGACCACCTGTGCCACCATAGTCAACCTCGACATGGTCGTAAGCGGCCGCCTGTCTGTAATCTTGACGCAGGTTGTTAAAGTATCGGGGCGTCGGCATTTGGGCGCTGTCAAATTGAGACGACGAAGAACCAGGCGGCGCTCCAAAGTTGCTGTATGTACCAACATGGCCACCACCAAAGCCACTGAGGTCCATGCCGGCACCGCCAAAGTCGCTCGAACTGTCGCTGTTGATGGTCTGCTCCTCGGGTGGCGGAGGCAGGTCTTTGTTGGGAATCTGTACAGCAGGCATGGCGGGCATGTCGACGTATGCGAATGTACTTCCGCTGAAGCGAGCGTCGTCAAGCTCGGCCTGTTGCATAGCGAGGATGCCAGCGGTAGCTTCGGGATCTTCGTCATCGTCACCATGGTCGTCTCCGTGGTCGTAGGATCCTTGTCCGTATCGTGGTGAACCCTGTCTAGGTGATCTGTCAAGGGTGGTTGCGTCGGATGCGTAGCGTTGAAGGTGCGAAGCCTGTTCGTGCGCGATGGCGCTGTTTGCTGGCAGAGGTCGGCGAGGATGGGCATTTCCTACATTGAGTTCGGCCTCGATATCCTGTATGATGCTATCCTGGAAGTTTGCATTATCGCTCGAATATTCATCCGCCTCGTAGGCATCATTATCATTCCATCGTTGTTGGTTTGCTCCATCAAGCGGTCGGCTGGGTAGTGGCGCGTTTGTAGGATGGCGTTGGAGACCAGGCGACGCAGGCGTCTGAGAGTAGTGCGAAGCAGCGCTAGACGCGTGTGAACCAGATCGCGAAGGCTGTTGGTAGTGTGGCGAATGATCGTTGGATTCGTACTCTGGCCCAACAGGGATGTGCGATGCTGGGGGGTATGGTGCTGGATGTGCGCCGTTGCCGTTGGGGTAGCCTTGGTATTGTCCCGTCGCGTATTGAGAGGGATCGTATGTAGGAGTTGGCAGCTGCGAGGTTGAGCTTGGGATCGAGGTCGGGCTGTTGAGCGATTGCTGATAACCAGCTGACAGGCCTGGCGAGTGCAGAGGCTGGGCAAACGAAGGAGCGTAAGTCGTTGTCGGCGACGGGCCGTACGGAGACGCTGCCTGCGCACCGTAGCCCTGGTCATAGCCACCGTAGCTGGGCTGGCGCTGGGGAATGACGGGGCTGGTGTACGCAGCAGGATTGTATGACTGAGGGTTGTACGTCGATTGAGGCGCCGTGTCGGGTGCGCCTTGAGCGTTGGAGTGGGCGTATCTGCCAGCAGCAGGGTGTGGCGTGTACGGCAGACCTACGCCGCCTGACAAGCCTGAGTTGGGCGGAGGTGCAAATGATTGCGGGTTGTACGACGCATTCGCATGTGTGGGTTGGGCAGGGTCTTGGTAGCGATGGTGATAACCAGCCATGGAGTTGTGGTGTTGTGGCTGCTGCTGTTGTTGGTGGTGCTGAAAGCCCGCGGGCTGGGCAGGGCTCGACATGAAGAGCTCGTCCTGGTTGGTGTTTTGCGGATAATGCTGTTGAGGGGACGTCGGATCATGGTAAGAGGCGCCATCATCACCATCCATGTAGCTGAGTCTTCTCCCAGCGGCGGCTTGCTGTTGCTGCTGGGCGGAGTACTGGTTGGAGACTGGGTACTGGACGGGAGGGACCTGGCCGTAGCGGCGCTGGTCGTCGCCGCGAAACGCCATGAGAGAAAGGAATAGTAAATGTAAAGTGTGTTGAGAGCTACTGCAAAGCGGCGTAGACGGTTGATGAGGGACAAGGAGAGGCGAGGATTTCTCGCGTGTCGGGTTCGCTGTCTACTGGCATCGAACCATGTCCGTGAGGAGAAGGCGGGAGAACGGCAAGCGAGGGCAGGAAAGAAGCACGCTAGGGTTATATATAAAACAGAATGCTGTAGATACTGGGAAATAAACCGCGATGCACTGCCCGTTGGTTGCTGCGCGTGTGGAAGAAAATTTGTCGTGATCGGGCGGAGGGCTTGGTTGGGTGGGCGGTGGTGGTGCTAGTGTTGACGTTGAGGTGTTCGGCTGGGCCAGGCCGGGGGAAGCGTGGAGTTGTGTGCGGTTCCCTTGCCTCAGCTCAGCTGCTGCTTGGCATGGCTGCACACACGCACTGTACAGCAAAGCATCAGCACAGCACCCACACGGGCTGCGCTGATGCTTCAGTGGACCGCTGGGGCGGGTGCCGGAGCGGGCTTTACAGTGGGGAACAGAGCCCTGGTACACTTGTACCGTGGCCGCGGCAGGACGAGGGACGAGCGTACATTAGCTGCTGAGAAGCAATAAAAATAGAAGCACATATTGGTGGTAAGGCTGTGGATGCAAAAACAAACAAAGTTATTCTTGTCATTAAACTCGTTGCCGCCCCTTTTCATTGATTTTCTCTCGTCTCCTCATGTTGGTGGTGAAATATCATTTGCTTTTCTCTTACAATACTAATAACTGGGTGCGAGCTGACTGCATAGGCCGCCCTGCCCACCCCGTCACCGTACAGCCGTAGCGGGGGAAGGCTATGCATTGGGAGGCCTACAGCCGTATTGCACTGTACAGCCGCTAATCTATCGACACGGAGCTCTGGATCTACACGCAGTTGCAAGAAATACGGGCAGGTTTTCCGTAGGGCGTGGTACAGTAGAGGTAAAGCTTAATACAACAGTAATGACGTACGGAATGCACATCATCCAGATGGGCCAAGTTCTTGTACTTATTGACTTGTAGAGGTTGGATGATAGCACCACTCTACACAGCCCGTGAAATTAAACACAACACGGCTTTTGAAAAAAGACTCCGAAGGATTAAAATAAAAAAGCGCAAACCTCATGATACTGTACTGTACTTATTCCACAGTGACAACTACCGCCCTTCCAAAACAAAAAAAAAGATCTCCTGCCAGCGTCAGACATTTTCAACGACCCAATGGCTGCCCTGCAATCACACACACCACCCACAAACGCGTCGACGCAGCCAGAAGCCCTGCCGAGGAATTTGGTGGCGGGGTCGGCCGTACTCCAAGGCCGCAGGAGTGCAGGCTTTGATTTTCTTGGCACAAGCAATAAGGAAAAACGAGATAAAAACGTAATTAAATAAAACAAAACAAAATGAGAAGTATTGCCCAGCCTGCGAGTCGAGTTTAGAGATGAAGAAAAAAAGCCAAGCCAAGCCCAAATGGGGAAAACAGGGCACGCGCAAGGCCGCCCACCCCAGACACGGGCTCGGACGTCATTTCGTTTCACACACACGCATCCCAGACCGTTGGCAGCCCAGCGGCAGCCATTTTAGCACAGTGGCACCACCAATGTACTGTGCGAGAGTGAGCGTGTGTGTGTGTGTGCTATAGACCCATGCAGCCTAGCCTGGTCCTGCTAAGACGGCGGGGAACTCGGGTCCCTGGATTGCAACAGGGTGACGACGGGAATAAGAAGAAGCACAGGGTTGAGAGAATGGTGATTGTGGGATAAGAAACAAAGTAAAATAAATAAATATAAAAAAATAGTGGTCTAGGAGAATTATTCTAGTACAAATAAAAGACGTAGCAAAAGAAATCCCACGAGAAAAACTGTACTCAGAGACAGCCCTACTCACACAGCAAAGTAGATGCTTCGCCACTATGTTTCGTTTCACGTCTCAGATCTGTGCACGATGAACCTAGAGTGATTCTTTGTTTATTCGTACACAGTCAAAATAAACTGCTTGGTACAAACGGAAAATGTTTTTTAAAATAAAATAAATAAATAAACTTACAAAGACATTTCTTAATCAGGCGACTTAGATAGCCCTACTCAGCCACAACAAGCACGACGGCAGTCAAGACGAACATAATAGGTGCTTTATTCTTATTCCAGTAACAAAAGATAACTATTCGTCCTCATAACACACATAATCATCACCACAATAGTTCCATACCCTTCTGGGTAATAAACTTACCCGAGGCACTCTCTTTGGTCGCGCTGTCAAACAGGTTAAGCAGCCCAGCCACGCTCTCGTCCACAGAGTCGGGAGGTCCATTGTCCATCCCCCACTGTGCGCTCGCAGAATTTCCCATGTTGGTTTGAACAAACCCAGGGTGAACTGCAACACTCACCAGCTTCTCAATCTGCTGGTGCAGCGCCTTGGCGAGCCAGTTCGCCGCTGCCTTGCTAGGCCCATACGCACCGCCAGGCATGGCCTCCATCATCCCAATGGATCCGACGCTGGAAGAAATCAAAAAGAATTTGGGCTCAGGGCCGGACTTCATCAGTGGCCATAGGGCTTGGATAGTCACCAGAGGGCCCAGCGTGTTCACATCAAAGTGCGATCGCAGCTCCTCCGGCGTGGTGTCAAGTACGGTCGCCATGGTGGTAAAGTAGCCTGCGTTGCAAATGAGAACGTCGACATGGTTCACCTTGCCAGCAGTGGCAGCGGCAAACTTTTTGCTAACGATAGCAGAGTCTAGGTCGGTGCTGTAATCGATTTCGGCAGTGTAGTGCTCACTGTTGGCGCCCTTGGGACTCTCAACAATGACCGCGGCATGCGACGTCGCAGTCTCCTTTGATCGAACGGTTGAAATCACAGTCGTATTAGGGCGAGCGAGCAGTGCTTTAACAAGGCCGAGGCCTATGCCTCGGTTTCCGCCGGTGACGACGTAGACAGTGTTCTCAGAGGACATGGTGGTGACGGGGTGGTGTAGAAACTCAAGTCTGCAAAGAAGGGTTAGTGGGACACAGACAGAACAAAAAAGCAACGAGTCTTACAATGAATAGGAATAAGTTTGTCAAGGCAAGGTATGGGAAGTAAGAATGAGCCGAAAAATAAAAGAAGAGAACAAGTGTAAGTGGAAAGCTACCTGACCTCCCTTTTATACTCGCGCTAGTCACTGCCCGCACCACAAGTTGTGCGTGGTCAGCCCGTTTTCCTAAATAGGCAATCGTGCGTCGTGAGCTGGCCACCAGACGAGATTTTCCCCCTCGACGTTCACTACCATAGAACAATACTAAACATTTGGAAACATTTCGAGGAATATTTCTCATTTATATATCTCTTGTCAAGCGGTGCGACCAAACGCCGTGTATTTCGTAAGTGTCACCGCTTGCGCACTAGGTAATTCTCCGGTCCGCCACGCTATTCTCCGTCTTGCACAGGCCATCCTCACCAATTAGTGTCCTGAGCACATCTCATTGTTTGACCTGTTCTTGGAGGTCGGGTAGTCCGGAGGCTCGTAAATCTTGATTAATAGCATCCAGATGATCTAGGAAATGAGCCTTGACATCGTCCCATTGGTTCGATGAGCTTTCGTGGAGCGATTTCGACCCCTCACCGTGCATTGCCCACTTAGTTAGAAACACTGGTGCGCTAATGTGGAACATGAAAGCCATGGTGTCATCACATATTCTATCATTCTTTAGTTCTTTTGTGCTTGCGTCTTTCCATACTTCATAGGTTTCGCCGTGAGGCATGTAGCTCGCTTCGTAGCTGAGGCCGCCAGGTTCCAGAACGTGGCTGCTGCCACCATATTGCCCGTAGATTAGGCCCATGACTTCAGTACTCATATTTCTATGATAATACGGGGGTCTAAATGTATCTGTGGCCGTAAGCCACTTGGCAGTAAAGATAAGAAAGTCTGAAGCCGACACGCCTGGTGTCTTGGACGTCGCTGTCAAAACGCAGTAGATGGTTGGGTCCGCTTGGTCCTTGTTGGCATTTGCCATGTTGACAAATTTCTGTAAATCGTATTTGTAAGGAACTAAATTGCCGTGCCAGGCGACAACGTCGAACGGGCTGTGAGTTTGGTGACAGGTCTGTAGTGTACCAGCGAGCTTGTACGTGATTTGCCACGGGTTCTCGTCAATGTCGAAGCTTGCCACAGGCGATTCAAAGTCGCGAGGAAGTGCCATGCCGTTTGAACCGACTGGTCCAAGTTCAGGCAGATCATAGTGACCGCCAAATAGCTCTTGGACATAGCCTCGCGACGGCCCATCCGGCAGCAAGACACGGAATCGGATACCTGCTTGAATAACTGCTAGTTCGCCGGGACGAACCATAAACCATCCTAGTTCCGTTTGAATATCCAATCTACCAAGTTGTGGGAGGATAAGAAAATCGCCGTCATTGTTGCAAAGTGCTCGTCTCTTCATGCTACTGTTTGCAGTGTATACATGGATAGCGATGCCCTCTCGCAACGTGGGGTCTCCATTGCCGGCGATGGTCCGCAACCCTTCAATAAATGTTATACCTTCGCTTGCAGAAGACGGTAATGGGAATGGGTCCCATGCTTCTTGAGATGCCACGTATTCGACTTTAGGGTTTAGCGATGTAAATGATGTTTCAATCTATACCAGTTAAGATCGGAAGGCCAACACAATAAATGTAGATTTCTTACGTGGGGATTCGTATCCTTTGCAGGAAACACGGGCCCATGAGCGACTGAAGGGCGAATTCTGTACATCCAAACATGGTGGATGGCTCGCCTAGAGGCGATGACGGATGACCCGTTGAGCTGTTCTGAGTACAGATCATACTTTACTTTCTGAGGTACGTTCTGGCCAATGGGCAGGACATTTGGCAATGCCTCCGAGGCAAATCGATTACCAAACCCTGTTTGGTAGCGATGAGGATCCTCTGGTGTTGGCTGCGTGGTGAAGCCGGCCCGTGAGGACGCGCTAGCCGTGGCCATTGTTCGGTGTGCGAGAACCGCAGCCAAATATTCCGTGGGTCTATATTCGTGTGTGCAGCAGATCCTTCGTATATTCTTTGAGACTTTATCAAAGGAAAAAAGGTATGATGGTCGTTGATGATCTTTTGATGAACTCTTTGGGGAGAAGTTACGTTTGCTTGACGATATCTGCAGAGGCTACTACCGGAACTTTGCCAATGGATGATCGCCAAAGGTAGGACCGCGTGGAAAATTGGAATCAAGAGAGATGCGGATTTTTAAGAGAAGAAATATATTTCCGGTTCAGCGATGGGGGTGGGTTCAGTACATTTCGGACTATCTGTACCGCCTCAGAGAAACATGGGTTATCAGGTGGTAGCGAAATGGTTGCCCCCAATCCATGAATGGTCTTTACGACGGGTACCGTATCAGGCCGGGGTCTCGCCGTTGATGGGTTCAACCCCTCTTTGCTTCCTTGATATTTGCCGGCTATCGGCGTGTTTGCGAAACCTTTACGCAGAGGCTAGCCTTGTTTGGAGCCGCTATGGGGTTGGTGCCGCGGGGATAGAAGCCCAGCTCAAGGTGTAATTGCCTGCCGGGAACCGCAGCACAAGGAATACGACGGTGACCGAGATTATGTTGTGCTCTGCGAATGGAGTCTTGTGGTAGCGCGGATTCCGTCAGCAAGTCTCCATCTTTAGCAAATAATCTAAAGCTAGGAGTGAACTGAAACGGTAGACAGGACGACGTTTACCTTAGCGCAGAGATGCTGATTTTCCGGATGTTCAAAGATAAAACGAGGTTTGTTTTTATAGATCCAAACATTGTAAATATTAGGATCTTATACATAATCACACGTACTTTAGAATAGTATACGTTTTTATATAACACAGAACGTCTCTTAACAAACGAATACGTTTTTACGAGCGTGTTTTGGCGGGCTAGTTCGGCGGGCTTCGGCATTGGCTAGCCCATCTCTCGGTGGCCGACTGGGGTCGACAGCTTCTTTTTTCGGATCAGCGCTGCGCTGGGCTACAGTATTTGCTTTTATCAGATGTCGCCTGCTTCTTTGAGTGATGATGCTGGGTCACAGGTGCACAGCCTCCTTCGAAATGTATGCACGTAACCGGATTGCCGGGCAGCTGGCAGCCAGCTGGCAGTTTATTGGGAGGGGAAAAGTCGCCGCAAAACCCAGACTGTCGCTGCTTGAACCATTCAGAACCCTCTGTTTCATGCTCGGAAATAACCCACCATTTTATGATGTACCTCCTAGAGATGCCTGCCGGGTGAAAGCTAGCCTGTCGCCACATCAGGCGCCACGAAGGGCGACTAGCGTCAGGCTCTGCCCCATGGCTCCCCCCTTTCTCCTCCACTCCACGCCAAAGGGATTCAAAGCGCCCACTCACACAACGCCAACAAGGCTCGACCGGTTCCAACGGCTTGGGGCTCGATCTGCCCTGTTTGAAGCCATTCTACAGGGCTATCAATCTCGAAACACAGCCCACTTAGCTCCCTGGCTGGGACGCTGGCGGTGATCTGCACCGTTTGGTCTGCCAGACCAACCTGTCTTGGACAGGAGAGAAGCCCAGGTCCTCAACAAAACGGTGGGCTTGGTAGCCCCCATCTAGCTTGATGGGTGCTTTGTCTCGTCTGGCCTGGGTGGCAGGTTTGACGGTTGCTTCAGTCTTTGTCTGCAAGAGGCTGCTCTCACGATGGCGACGCCATGGCATGCCGCTACCCCCAAGCCCTCCTGGGGAGTTTATATTGGGTCACCTACGTGTTATTCCTACCTTTAACCCCGAAAATGCATACATGGCTTGGTCCAAAAAGCTAAAGTCTGACATTCTATCGGTCAATTTTCTCGGACAAACTGCCATTATCCTTAACTCGGCGCGCTCTGCTACTGAGCTACTCGATAGGCGTGGCGCCAACTACGGTAACCGCCCCCATTTTGTCCTTTTTGAGATTATGGGATGGACGAAAGCCCTTACATTTCTTCAATGGGGCCCCGAATTTCGCTTACACCGGAAAGTGCTACAAAAGAGCTTCCAAAATAGCAATATCATCAAATATCGGCCGTTACAAGAGCGAGAAGCGCAGATCATGCTGCAGGGTCTTCTTGATGATCCTGACTCTTGGGAAACCATCACACGCCGATTTGCTACCGCTATTGTTTTAAGTATTGCGTTTGGCATTCGGATTGAGAAACAAGACGACATCTTTATTCAGGTCGCTGCCGATGCAAGCTATGCCCTGACTAATGGTGGCGCACCAGGCGCTACGCCAGTCGACTTTTTCCCATTTCTGAGGTTTCTGCCTCGCTTTTTCCATGATTCATCACTACGAGTCGCTAATGATTGGCGCTGGGCAATTGATAATCTCCACAACAAGCCTTACGACGCAGCGCTAGCACTGCCTGTTAAGAATGAGTCCCTGGTCAACTCGCTATTGGATCAGCGACAGTCCGAAATCGACAATGGGCAAGTGCCAGAGCTTGGGTTAGATGACATTAAAGGTGCTGCTGGTGCTGTTTTTGCTGCTGGCCAAGATACGACTTGGGCTACACTCACGGCGTTCCTCATCAACATGCTACTTCATCCTGCGGTCCAGTGTAAGGCTCAAGCCCAACTGGATGAGGTGGTTGGAAGAGACAGGCTACCTGATTTCAGTGATAGGCCAAAGATGCCCTACTTGGAGTATGTCGTTCAAGAGGTATTTCGCTGGTGTCCAGTCTCACCGATCGGCGTACCGCACAAGTCGCTGAAAGACGACATCTATGAAGGCTACTTTATCCCGGCAGGTTCCCTAGTCTTTGCCAATGCCCGAGCAATGACTCATGATGAGTCGCTCTACCAGAACCCTGATGAATATGAGCCTGAGCGTTATATTCCTGAGGCAGAAGGAGGCCGTGGTGAACCACTTCCAAAAGGCCACTTTGGCTTCGGTAGAAGAATCTGTATCGGCAGGCATCTCGCAGAGGCCAGTGTCTGGATTTTTGTTGCTCGAGTCCTCAGCACTATGAATTTGAAAAAGGCTGTCGATGAAAACGGCGAAGAGATTACCCCAACTGTTAATCTTACTAGTGGTCTGACGAGCCACCCCAAAGACTTCCCTTGTCGCTTTGAGCCACGAGATGAAAGAAGCATTGAGATTATTCGCGGTATGTCTGTCTAACTTATAGCATATATGTACTTTTACAAAGCATCAGCGTGCGTGTTACTGTTAGTGTTTATAATATAACTTTTGTATTTATTGGCCGAATTATTCCCTAAATGGCTCTAGTTTTGCTCTGCCTTGACACAAAGTCCAGCCCCAAACTGCAACGACGATCGGTGCGAGAACGAAGCTAAAGACAAGACTACCACCAAATACAAATGCATGATATAGCCAAGCATTGCTCGTGTCGAGATTCGCTGTCTGGCAAACAATGGCCCAGGGCAGGACATAACATATGTTGCTGATCAAGCTCCCCCAAAGATACCATTTAGGCCGTGTCGCAAGGAGAATAGCAACTACTTGAGTAGAGACAGCAAACATGATGTAGCACCAGTCAATCGTTCGCCACATATATGCTGCAATTTCTGCAACTTCGTCGTTTTGACTGAGGAAGTAGGCAAAGTGGCGCGCGCCAAAGAGAGAGAAGGTGATACACATCGAAATCTCGATGATAATGGCCATTATAACAGACGTCCATGCTGGGCGAGTGATGTTGACCAGGGTGGGAAAGGTAGCTTTTGGAGTTAGATTATTCGGACCTACATCACGTCGCCACCGGCCCCAATTATGACCGACGAATGCAAGCGTCGCTGCTTCAAGTGAGAAGACCGGGACCATCAACATTCCCCAGCGCATCGTTACGAAGACTCCCCATGCAGTAGCATAGGTGTTGCCGAGGGAGACGATTGTGGTAACAAGCCACAGATACAACGCATTGCGAACAGCAGACTCGATAAGAGTCCATATGCCAGGTCTGACTAGAACCCTGAGCGCACTGAGTGCTGGGCGAGTACTTTGGCCCTTTGAAAGCCGTCTTGTCTGTGCGATGAAGAAGTAGACGAGACCAGCGCTAGCGGCGACGATGCTGCAAGCCAATTGGATGCCAGCCTGCAGGTTAATTGTCGGGCTATGAGTGCCAACGTGAAAGGTCGATATAAGCAGCATATCGAGGATGATATTGATGATAAACTTGACAGAGCTCAGAACAAGAGGGACGTCTGGCATATCCATGGCGCGGGTGGAAGCAGCGACGGCACTCTCGACAGCGCTGCTCAGTGCGCTAAAAGCGCTTATCCGGACGTAATTGATGCTTTGCTTTCTAATTTCCACAGGGACAAATGCTTTCGCAAAGGAATCCGCGGCACCGAGGAAAATAAAGGACATGATGAGTCCAAGGAGGGACTGCACGGTAATGAGGGTATTGGCGAGCTGTATGCGCTGACTGAATGTTCGAGAGCTCTTATTGCCAATAATCGACCACGAAGCTCGCGGTAAGCCCTCGTTGAGGACCTCTGCAAACACCGATATGTATACATATACACTATGCTTGTTAGTGCTGAACTGCCGATAACGGAGAAGAAGACGACAAACTCGGCGGTAGCGACCATGGACGAATCAATCTTGGCCACCCATAGCTTAGAGAGCGTGCTATAGAGTGCAGGCAGCAGAAACGAGATGATATTGAAGCAAAGAGCCCCAGCATAGCGATCTCTTGACCACATTTTGGCACCGTGAGCATGCTCCTGCGTGTGGGATCCAGCGACAGCCCGCAAGACAAACATCGTGGCGATGGACTATGTGAGCATCTTAAGCAGCTGCGACGATGACCGGGCCCGCGGAGAACCCTGTACGGTTGTCTGAAGTTTTCTGGAGGATATAACTAGGCTGTTAAGGGAAAGTCAAGCGTGCGCATCTCGCTTAAGCTGAATTCTGTAAGTTTGCGTGCTTAATAGCCGTATTCGGCTTAGTGAAGTTTGATGGTGCGGCGTGCGGAGTTTACGCGAAGCTTGTCTTGCTGAGCGCCACCTTCGTCTTACATGTGGAAGTAATTTCCTGGGGAGTTGGACTTTACGGGGGATTTTCTTAGTGCGATTGCTTTTTGCGGGTGGACAGAATGGGTGGTAAAGGGAGAGACAAACATGCGGCATGTGGTGTCGAGAAACGCTGACACTTTGCAAGTAACTGCCGTCGCGAAAAATTGCTGAAGACGTTGAGATCAGATGATCTAGTATTCGTTACGGTACTAACGGTAACAAAAGTGCGCGTTGGATAGGTTAGTCTCGCGCTTAAACCCAGTCTGTGGTGTCAGAATACAACGTGAGCGCGCTTGGCGAAGGCCCGATGGACAACTCCCGAGATTCGCTGTACAATGTTGGAGATCGGCAATTGATATATCACGCGGTATTTATTTTTGCGGCTTTCTAAAAAAACGAAAAGAGAAGTTATATGGTCGGCGCTCAGAGTGAAGTATATAAACCGCGATCATGCCAGTGATTAAGCGTGGAGGCAATCAATGTTGTCTCCTATACTCAAGTGCCTATTACATCGTTGTACAACAATGGTTAACATTCTCTATACCCTCGCGGCCTTTATCGGCTCTGCTGCTGCCACCACTCAGTACTTTGATAAGAAGGAAGATTTTCCCAAGTTTATCAAGAACGCAATAGGCAAGACTAACTACACGGACACATGCGGCACCAACTATGCTACTGAAATTGTTGTTTACAACCTCTGCACTTACCCTCTTTACTTGTACCGCCAAGATTCCTATGTTGAGTACATTAAGATGCTGAGTCCTAATACTACGTACTCGCAAGCCATTACTGTGGACGCACGCTCGCCGCTCGTCTCATTTGCTGCATCCAAGGAGCGCGGGGCCTATAGCCGCAACGGCACTACCAAGATGGGCACATACCGATACGAGAGTAGCCAGAGGCACATAGCGCTTCATGCACAAATCTACCATATCTTGGGTGAGGATGAAGAGGACGACGAGTCCATCATGATTGGTTATGGCGCTGCTCTCTGTTCTTCTGGTGGGGGTCAGGGCTGGCTTGCTATTGATGACCAAGTTCAGGGTGAAGTTAATTGCAGCACTCCTGACGGTGGCTACATTACCGAGGCTTCGTCTGGTATACACTATGCGTTTTGCGCAAAGGACGAGGACTATCACTTGCAGGATGGCGAGCTTATGGCAGGAAATAGGGTCCTGAAATGGAACATGTAAACGGAAGAGACGTCTATATCTGTAGCGTGCAGTTTTAATTCCGATTAGCTGAAATTTAATCCAAAGATACGTTGAACTTGTACTCTTTTTACTGGTGGTCTGGGATCAGGACGTGCTTGATAAGCCGCATTTTACGGTTGCAACATGCGCAATTTTACTCGCTTGTGGGTATATGTTCTAGAAGTCAGCAAGTGTAATTGTCATTGTCTGTCGAACATTCCTCTAATCAGTACAAATAGCACATTTCGTGTACTGGATGGGACATTGGAGAGCTGGTCCACGCTGGTCTAATTCGTCAAGCATGCTACAATACCAACTAGCTGTCGACCAGCAGCTATAACCGACATGCAGTAGTTTTAGATTTTGTGAAATGATTCAAGTTTACTGCCGCTTTGAGATAATAATACCGAAAAAGTTGACGTGTGTAGCTAATAAACTCTGCGCAATACTACCTCAGCGCTTGGCGGCAAGACACGAGCCGCTAAGGGAGCCTCTTTGGCCGAGACAGAGCCGGTGTAGTGGACGACATGTTTGCGTGAAAATAATTCCTCTTGGTTCAAAAAGACAAACTTTAAGGGTAATTTTAACGGAGTAGATAGCCTGTCCATTTCACCGAAGACTACATAAGTTGTTGGCATCGCCCACCTGAGACGGGGATTGTGTTCGTTAATCTCGGTGCATCTGCCACAGCGAACTCTTTCTAAAACAAAAATGCTTGCCACGCAATTCCTCTTAGCTGCTCTTGTGGCCTCTGTTACAGCCACAGGCCAGTATTTCAACAGCACGGACGAGGCCCCCAGCGTAGTGCGAAAGGCGCTTGAGCGAATGGCGCAGGACCCCGACGGTCCCCAAGCAGACGTTGCCTACGGGATCAGAAACGACTGCAAATACCCCATTCACGTGTACCGACACGGTGACCGTGTCAACTTCGTTAAGACCCTTGCGCCTAATGAAGAGTTTGCCGAGAAATACAAGGGCAACAATCGCACCGCCTTGAACTTCTACGTTGCATCGAAAGATCGTGGAGGTTACACCAAGGATGGCAACACCCACATGGGTGTTCATCATTTTGGTCAGGATCGCTACAGCATTACCCAGCAGGGCCATGCCCTCCGTATTTACGGAGAGGAGGAGGAACAAGACTCAATTGTGGCAGCCGCACAGGCCATGACTTGCAAGAAAGGCGGCAGTCTAGCCTTCGGTGCTGCCGGAATCGAGGTTTATGGCAAGATTAAGTGTCCTGGAAAGGATAATGCCATAGGTCTGAGCGCTGCTGCATGGATCTACGCGTTCTGCGGTTACAAGAGGAACTACCGGTTTGAAAATGGCGAACTGATGGCTGGCGACGAGATTGTGAACTGGGAGATGTAGAGCCTGCAAGACATGTAAATTATCTTAATAATCACATTACCAAAATTATAATATTAAAACAACATGTCAGGGTCGTCAACCGATGCAAACGCTGCATCGAGCACCTTGACAATATCGTCACTTAAGGGACCACCACGGATACCATCGACATTGGATTGAAGCTGGTCTATGCGCTTGGCACCCAGGATGACGGCATCACCCTCTTGAAGCGCCGAATGGTGCATGAGCCAACGTAGACAGGCGTCCTGGATGGATACAGGCGGGTCGGCAGCCTTGCAGATGGCGTCTATGTTTCGAATGGCATCGTGCATTTTGGGCCGGTCGTATGCGATTACGTACGGAGTCATGGCGCTCTCGCCATTCCATCTTGTGCGATGAAGTTCTTTGTCGGCATCGGAGGTAAATGTCACCTTACCGGTGAGGAAGCCTCCCGCTAGTGGGCTGAACAAATGTTAGACCATGGCATCAGGAGATGCAGTACTACAGAGAGACTTGCCTGTAAGCATAAAACACGCAATTATGCTTCCTCAGAAGGGGGATTAACTGTTGCTCCGGGTTTCGGGTAAGTACATTGTAGTTGCCTTGATATATTGCCGGCTTTGTGAAGCCCTTCTCCTCGCAGACACGGAAGTATTCTTCCAAATCCTTGAATAGATAGTTGCACAAGCCAATCTATAGATGCAGTATATTAGAAATCATGGCCAAAAACACTGGGGGTCTACAGGATGGGCTCTCCTACCTGCTCAACTTTGCCCGATTTATATAGGTTATGAAAGGTCTCGGCTTGTTCGGCGATGGGTGTATTCTTGTCGTGAAAGTGGGCATATAGAGTGCGGACCTTATCGACGTCCATAAGTTCCAAAGATCGATCTAGACTGGGAACAGCGTTTGCAGCATCTAGAGTCTTACCACTCCCACCCTCCTTACGATCCTTGTGAGGCAGTACCTTGGTGTCAATGATGAAACCTTTCTTCGCTGCTTGACTCTCGCCTAACAGAGTTTCCGCGTGTCGTGGGTTTGTTGGGGGATAGCCAGCAGCGCAATCCAGTTCGGATATTCCCATATCCTTGAGAGCGTCGAGCAATTCATTAACTTTCTCCGCCGTATCCCAGGTATATGTAAAGGACTTCGGCGTCGAGCCGATGCCGCCGGCTCCAAAGACGATATACGGGGGCATGATGGGGAAATTGATAGTGGATTATTGGTAAGGTAAATAAAGTGAGATGTATGTGGTGCAATATATCTTGCGGATTGGAAGCTGGTGATTTACTTATTGCCAGTTGCCAGCTGGCAGCCTCGTTTAACAAGGGAGAGGGGTAGGTCATCGTACGTAACGTCACGCTATAAGTTAAGTGTCGCCTATAGTGCCGGTTGGCGGCTGAAGTATTGTAGCTTATCCCGTACGGTACTTCCATCAGTATGAGAATAGAAGCAGTAAATAAATTACCAGTAAATTATACTTTGGACCAAATCTCATTATTTATGAAGGTTGACTGCAATAGAAATAGACCAACCACTTGCGTGTCTCGACTCGTCTCTCGGCTTGAGGCTCCCCGAGCGCCGTGTAACAAACGCCGAGGCTGTTTCCGGGCGTCTTGTAGCGGTGCCGCACCGCTGAAACAACGCCGTGGCTCTGTTCGCCCCTCGGCGCTAAGACCAACGCCGCCGTTCGGCGGGGAACGAGAACCTGCTGTAGGTAGTGCAGCTGTTGCTGGAGCTTGCTGAAGCTATCGAAGCTCGGCGCCCAAAAAAAAAATTAATCAGCCCCTCCTTGGTTCGGCATTCCGTCATAGGCTGGCACTGCGTACGGTAGCTTTCCCCTCCTCTCGCCACTTCTCCCCTCTTCTTCCCCTCCTCTTCTCGCGATTTAATCACGAATACTACCCAATTAACCCACAACAAATCAACAAAACCGTCAAAATGGTCAAGGCTGGTACGTTCTACAGGCACAATCCACCCAATCATCTTACACAAGTCCGGATCCTCTTTTCAGCGTTGCCTGTCACCCTAATAGCGCTTGTTTGAGCGAGTTTTGGCCGCCACGTTCCGATCCGGGGGGGTTGCATGGCCAACCTTGATGGACGCCATGGTCAGCATCTCCAGGGCCATCGCGGGGTGCGAATAGCAGAGACAGAAGCCTAACAGGGCATGTCCCTTGATGGCCTGCTCTTTTTACCACCACCAGCGACAGATGCACTGCCAGTTCGCCCAATGGTGCTGCTCTGCGCCGCTGCGATCGCCCGTCCCACCCGCTACGATCACATCAGATCTTATCCCAGCAGTGTAATTGCTAACCTCCCTCGCAGTTAGTGTCATCCGCGGCGACTCCAAGGTCAGCGGCACCGTTGTCTTCGAGCAGGAGTCCGAGTCTGCTCCCACCACCATCACCTGGGACATCTCCGGCCAGGACGCCAACGCCAAACGCGGCTTCCACATCCACACCTTTGGTGACAACACCAACGGCTGCACCTCTGCTGGCCCTCACTGTATGTCATGCTCTAACCCTTTCAATGCCATGTATGCAATCATATCTAACACACCATCTCTTCTGCAGTCAACCCCCACGGCAAGACTCACGGTGCCCCCTCCGACGAGGCCCGCCACGTTGGTGATCTCGGCAACATTGAGACCGATGCTCAGGGTAACTCCAAGGGCTCTGTCACTGACAGCCTCGTCAAGCTGATTGGTCCCCACTCCATCATTGGCGTAAGATAAACCGTGCACGTATCGCGACTTACACAAACTAACTGCTGCATAGCGCACCGTCGTTGTCCACGCCGGCACTGACGATCTTGGCAAGGGTGACAACGAGGAGTCCCTCAAGACCGGTAACGCTGGTCCCCGCCCTGCTTGCGGTATGTGTGCAATTTGTCTGTTCAACTAGGATCCTTACTAACAATACAAGGTGTCATTGGTATCTCCAACTAAATGTTCCCCATCGCTATTCGGAAGTCTCGGCTCGCTGAAGACTGGCCTGATGCTAATTAAAAATCGAATATTCTTGATATATATGAAATAATGTCAAATATTTGTAGAAGCAGAAGTCAGTGACCGTAGCTCCAATCCCAATATAATGCGTCGTATAATATATCCTACCTCGGCGATACGAACCGTTGCCCCGCGTGCTGTGCCTAACGTGGCGCGGGGTGGGTGAGCCGTTGGAGTTGCCCAATCGGCCATTTGATTCGTACAGATCCGCATCCCAGTATCGTACCTGTAATGCTGCGGGGAGACAGCAGGCTGAGTAACATACGGGACATGTCAAATGCGCCCTCCACTGAGCGGGTTACCTTTTAATTCGTTCATATACACTGCTTTGAACGCTATCAACATTTAAACTCTAGAATAATACGGAATCTTTAACCATCATGACTTGGACAGACACCGCCGCTGACAAAGTAGAAAGGCTTGAGAAGACGATTCCCGCAGAATGGCGTCTAGCAGCGCCACCTACAGACAAGAATGTCATCGACTATCCCAAAACTGCCAAAATCTTGACGGACAAAGAATTGGAAATTACGGGTTCCTCAGCTGTTGAGCTAGTAGCCCAAATCACTACTGGTAAATTGAGTGCAGTTGAGGTGACGACCGCCTTCTCAAAGCGAGCTGCTATTGCACATCAGCTGGTAAGGCGTCCCTCATCAATTTTCTCCATTATCATTTAGCTATTTGTATAATATTTATAAGGCTTACACGTCTAGACAAACTGTGCGCTCGAACTATTTCCTGACGTGGCTCTGGAGAGGGCAAAATATCTTGACGATTACTACACCAAAAATGGAAAAGCCCTGGGACCTCTACATGGACTTCCTATTTCTCTCAAAGATCAGTTTCGAATCAAGGTACGCAGAAAACATCTCAGATTGTATTGAACGGCCCATCTAACAGACACAGGGCATCGAGACTAGCATGGGCTACGTGAGCTGGATTGGCAAAGTTGAGACGGGAAACTCTACCCTTGTGGACTTGTTATTGAATGCAGGCGCCGTACTGCACGTCAAAACCAGTGTCCCACAGAGTCTCATGTTTGGTGAGACTATCAACAATATTATTGGAAGAACGGTAAATCCCAGGAATAAAAACATGTCATGCGGCGGGAGCTCTGGTGGTGAGGGCGCCCTGGTGAGCCTTCGAGGCAGCTTGATTGGCGTGGGAACGGATATCGGTGCGCAGTCCCTATCGGTCGCTTCCATGTGCGCACTTCCACTAATGTACAAACGTTTATAGGAGGTTCCGTTCGCATTCCAGCAGCTTTTAATTTTCTCTATGGTCTTCGCCCGAGCCACGGCCGACTGCCTTACTACGGTGCTGCGAATAGCATGGCTGGCCAAGAGACCATCCATAGCGTGTTGGGGCCACTCTGTCACTCAATGGCCGATCTGCGTCTCTTCATGACGAGCGTTCTTGAGCAACAGCCGTGGCTGTATGATTCCAAGGTCATCCCCATGCCATGGAGACAATCAGAGGAGGACGCTGTCAATAAGAAGATACAAAACAAGAGTCTTACTATTGGTTTTTACTCATTTGATGGTTTGGTGAGTATTGGCAAGAAGCAATTTACTCTGGAAATTCTAATGTGTTTGTCAGGTTCATGCACAGCCGCCAATCCAGCGCGGTATAGAAACCGCAGTCTCAGCTCTTAAGGCAGCAGGTCATCGTGTTGAGCCTTGGAAGGTGTATAAGCCTGAGGTCGGCCTTCCTTTGCTTGAGAAGATATTCGGTGCTGATGGCGGGGCGGTAAGTTTGCTAGCTATGGTATGGCACTAACTTGGTCCGCTGACCCGAGAACTTGTTAGGACATCTATGGTGATATAGAAAAGTCAGGTGAGCCTGCTTTGCCCAACTTCTCTGCCAATGTGCCCAAACGGCCCAAGATGGACCTCAACGACACATGGGCAATGAATCTCGACAAGTGGCAGTACCAATGCCAGTATCTGGCCAGTATTCGTGAGTTTGAGGCCGAGACTGGTGTGGAACTCGATGCCATCATTGCTCCTGTTGCTCCGCATGCAACTGTCAAACATGACCAGTACAAATATGTCGGGTTTAGTGGCCTGGTGAACTTGCTCGATTTTACGAGCGTTGTTGTCCCCGTCACTTTTGCGGACCAGGCTGTTGATGTTGAGATTTCCGATTTCGAACCTGCGAATGAATTGGATGCCGCTGTTCAGGCTGATTGTAAGTTTCTATCTTGATGCTTTGGGGATCGGAGCTAACGCTTTGCGTAGATGACGCTGAAGTATATCACGGTGCGCCTGTTGCTGTCCAGGTTATTGGACGACGCTTGTCGGAAGAAAAGACCATGTCAATTGCAGCAGAGCTTGGAAGATTGCTGGGAAATACCATTGTTTCCTGAGCTTATAATTTCATCATGTCATGTACTCAAATTGTGACGATCCATCGAGTCAGAATGAAGCTTTACCAGGTTTGCCCTACGCCGACCATTAAGGTATAGCGCAAGGCACGGATGGCGGGGTAATGGTGACAGTCGTGATGGGATGTTCGTAACTAGCAACGCATTGGCTTTATAAATTCAAAATATTTACTGATGAAATGGAAATTTTGCATAATAAAAATTTTTACAAAAATTTTGAAGCCAAATTTCATAATCTTTTTTCGAATTGAGCCAACTTGTTACAGACTTGGACACAGGAGCCGGATCACAGCCCCTCAATTTAGCGCGTGTTAGCCTGCCAACCCCTCAGACATGCCCTGTCCAGTGCCTCTCCAGTGGCTTGCTCCGCCGCCTGAAGCGCTGTGGTCTGCCCCCACATTTTGCCGCTTCAGGCGAGGCCACATTTCCTCAGGCACACGACATCCGTCATGGCATCTGCCTTTCCTTCTTGCTTCATCAATCTTCAACAGACTCGTGTAGAAGCAGGCCAATTCAATCTCGTCCTTCTTCACCTGTCTCCTCTCTATTCTGCGTCTACATCGCATCCCTCTTCTAGGTACGCATCCATTGGCCCTCGAAGCCCTGCTGCAGCTTACCCAAGCTCTCATCCCCCGCTCTGGAGCGGTGTGTTCGCGGCAACGCCATCTGCACCGTTACGACGCCTGCAACATGCAAATTCACTCATCACGATTGCCTGCTAATACCTGCTAGTCACCCCTTGTGCATTTCCCCCCACGGTTCAACATGTCGAAAACCTTCATTGGCAACGTCAAGAGCGTCCTCAGCGGCGACACCTTGGTGTTGACCAGCCCCAACAACCCGACCGCCGAACGTATAGTTTCGCTCGCCTATGTCTCTGCACCTCACATGAGACGTGAGGGCGATGAGCCCTTCGCCTTCCAGTCTCGCGAATACCTCCGAACTCTCGTCGTTGGCAAGCCCGTCCAGATCACAGTTCAGTATACCATTCCTTCCGGCCGCGACTTTGTTTCCGCCAAGCTTCAGGATGGCACCGAGTTCCCCGATGTTCTGATCAAGGCTGGTTGGGTCAAGGTTCGTGAGGAGGCCGGCCGTAAGGACGACTCCGATGAGATTGCTCAGCGTCTTGAGACCCTTCGTGCGCTGGAAGCCGGAGCCAGATCCCAGGGTGCTGGTGTATGGGCCGGTACTGGCGGCATGATTGAAGTTCAGAACGACCTCGGTGGTCCCGAGTTTTTGACACAGTGGAAGGGCAAGACTGTTGACGGTATTGTCGAAAAGGTCCTTGCTGGTGACAGATTGGTTGTCCGCCTGCTGCTCTCCGACAAGAAGCACGTCCAGCCCATGACCCTGCTCGCCGGTGTCCGCGCCCCGTCTACCGAACGACCCAATGCCTCGACCGGCACCACACAGCCTGCTGAAGAGCATGGCAATGAGGCGCGAGCCTTTGTCGAGTCGCGCCTCCTTCAGCGCCTTGTTAAGGTTGACATTGTCGGTGCTAGCCCTCAAGGTCAGCTTGTTGCCAACGTTATTCACCCTCGTGGAAACATTGCCGTCTTCTTATTGCAGGAAGGTCTCGCTCGCTGCAATGACTTCCACTCTACTATGCTTGGCGAGAAGATGGCTCCCCTCCGTGCTGCTGAGCGTGAGGCTCAGGGCAAGAAGCTCCGCCTTCACAAGAATCACGTTGCCAAGGCTGACGGCGGCAACCAGGACATGACTGTCTTCAAGATTATTGGTGGTGACTCCATCATGGTCCGCAACAAGGCTGGTGTTGAGAAGAAGATTAGCTTCAGCAGCATCCGTGGTCCTCGCACTGGCGAGCCCGGCGAGAACCCATTCCGTGACGAGGCCAAGGAGTTCCTTCGCCAGAAGCTCATTGGCAAGCACGTAAAGATTAGTATTGATGGTTCCAAGCCTGCCAGTGATGGCTTCGAAGCTAAGGAGGTTGCCACGGTCACCGACAAGAACGTCAACATTGGTCTCGAGCTTGTTGCTGCCGGCTACGCCACCGTCATCAGACACCGTAAGGAGGACACTGACCGCTCCCCTGCCTACGACGAGCTTTTGGCTGCCCAGGAAAAGGCCAAAGGTGAGAGAGTAGGCATGTGGTCTGGCAAGCCCCAGAAGGCTAAGCAGTACAACGATCTTTCTGAGAACCTCACCAAGGCTAAGGTGACGCTGTCTAGTCTGCAGCGCCAGAAGAAGATCCCTGCTATTGTTGACTTTTGCAAGTCTGGTTCCCGCTTCACCATCCTTATCCCCCGTGAGAGCCTCAAGTTGACCATGGTCCTCGGTGGTATCCGTGCCCCCCGTGCCCCTCGCGCTGACGGTGAGGGCGGCGAGCCTTTCGGAAAGGAGGCCCTCGAGCTTGCCAACCGTCGTTGCAACCAGCGCGACTGCGAGGTCAACATCCACGATATGGACAAGGTTGGCGGTTTCATTGGTGAGCTCTATGTTGGCCGTGAGAACTTTGCCAAGGTCTTGGTCGAGGAGGGTCTTGCATCTGTCCATGCATACTCTGCTGAGAAGTCCGGCAACGCTGCCGAGCTGTTTGCTTCGGAGAAGCGCGCCAAGGAGGCCCGCAAGGGTCTCTGGAAGGATTGGGATCCCTCACAAGACGAGGTTGAGGAGGACTATGAAGAGACCGCTCCTACCACAGAGTCGGAAGTCACCCTCTCCAAGAAGCCGTCTGATTACCGCGACGTCATCATTACCAACATTGACGCCAATGGCAAGCTCAAGCTGCAGGAAATCGGCCACGGCACTGCTGCTCTTGAGACTCTGATGACGGAGTTCCGCCGCTTCCACATCGATTCCATGAACAACAAGCCCCTCGCCGACGCCCCCAAGACTGGCGAGTATGTCTCGGCCAAGTTCTCTGCTGACGGCCAGTGGTACCGCGCTCGTGTTCGCGCCAACGACCGCACCAACAAGATGTCCGAGGTTCTCTACGTTGATTTCGGTAACAGCGAAAAGGTTGCCTGGTCAAGCCTGCGCGCTCTCGACCAGTCCCGCTTCGGCACCCAGAAGCTCAAGCCCCAAGCAATTGATGCTTCGTTGTCCTTCATCCAGCTGCCCACTGGCGCTGACTACTACGAGGACGCCGTTGGTTACATTTACGAAATCACTGAGGGTAAGCGCCTTGTTGGCAGCTTCGACTACGTTGACGTCAAGGAGGGCATGAACTACGTGACCCTCTACGACCCCAAGAACGGCCAGCTTCCCGGCCCCAACGACTCTCTCAACAAGGAGGTTGTCGCCAGCGGCTACGGGATGGTGCCCAAGAAGCTCAAGGCTTGGGAGCGCAGCCCTGTATTCGGTAGCTACCTGAAGCATCTGCAAGAGGTTGAGATCGGCGCTAAGCAGGACCGCCTGGGCATGTGGGAGTACGGTGACATCACCGAGGATTAAGAAGAAGAAAAGTGTTTTATAGCATAGCGATTTCTAATGGCATAACATAGCATTTCTGACCATGATCTATACGAACTTGTAATTGCACAATGCAAATGTCTGTTTTTCATATATAACTACAAATGATTTAATATGATACATTGGTGATATAATACAAACAACTAGCAGTGCGCGATAGTCAACGTGCTTCTCGTCGCTGTCCGCAACACACCACAGCTGATATAAAAATGCAAACGCCAGGACGCCGCCTATGATTTCCTCTGTTTCTTCCGTATCTCCTCCTTTTATAAGCCATTGAAGCAAAGAGTCTCACTTCTTCCTGGCCAGAGCCTCGAGTTCGGCGCGATACTTTTCGTTCTCCAGCTCTCTCCAGTCCTGAGGAATAGGCTCGTTTCCGCTCGTCTCTTTAACGCCGCCACTGAATGCCGACTTGCCGCCGTACAGCTGGTATCCGGCGTCTTTTTCGCCGTCGCTCGTGATGGATGTGTAGTTCACGGGGGTGTTGCCACGGAAGCGTTTGCGCATATCGACCAGGCCGCGCTTGCAGTCGCCAAAGCCCTTCTTGAGCTGGAGGCACTTAATGGGGAGGGTATCGGAAAGGGGTTCGCGAAGGCATTCGGCTGCCGAGTTGCGGTTGACCATGACGCAGTCTGATTCTTGGAGACATTGCGCAAGAGCGTCGCCTAGCGATTGGTTAGCAAGAGAGCATAGCTATGGTCGTGTAGGGACGCACGGAGTTCTTTGCAGTTGTTAGGCATGTTTGTGGAAGTCGATTGCGTATCTCAGCAATTGTGGAGAGATGTGAGGGTCGGCGATTGCGTGAATTGGCGATGGTGCCTTTGCGGTTTGCGGGAGAAGAATCGGGAGCTTCGACGATTGCGGTGGATCTGATTGGTCGCTGGGGCGCAGAAATTAGCGACAAAATAAATAGAGCAGCATGCCGGCAGACTGAGTGGAGATAGCGCATATTTTATTTTGTCAGGTTAACGGGCGCCTGGTCCCCTAATTTTTTCTAGTCGCAGTGCATACTTCCAGTGGCTGCCTATCACATGTGACATCACTATTCCCAGTGCCCGCGCGTTGACATCATCAATTTCTCCTTCACACTGTGCCGTATAAACGCACGCGATCCCCCAGCGCAAGACGCCCCTCGTGACAAACGCCTTTGCCACGTCTTGCAGATATGGTTGCCAACCTTGATTAACTGCGAATTTCTGTGCTGCCATCCCGATATTAGCTGCCATCATGCCCCTTCCCTTTGTTGGGCGCCTCCACCCGTTCGTTGCTCCCCCATGAGCTTGCCAGCCAATCTTGGAGTTTGCTAACTGTCTTTAGAATGGAGTACATTGCGCTATCCATCTCATTCGTCTTTGTCTTCCTCGAGTCTGTGATTCGAGTCCTTACTCTTGCTTTGCGTTCGTTGCGCCGACAGCTACAAACCAACACTAGCTAACTCCATTCCAGCGTCGTTCCTTGTTTCCTTCTTCTACGGCGTATCCCGACGACTGTTTAACCGCTTTACAACTGTGGAATCGAAAAAGGCAGCCGATAAGAAGAAATGTAAGTGGTCTAGATTTCGCATATGGGCTAGTAGCTAATATGTAGCAGCCATCTCAACTTCTGTTCGCGACGCCGCCGACTTTGTAGAGCTCTGTCGCCTCTGGGGCTACGAAGCCGAAGAACATATTGTCCAAACAAAAGATGGATATTTACTGGGCCTGCATCGCTTGCAGTGGAAGCGTGGCGAAGAGGGCCAAAAGGTCAACTGCGGCGGAAACAGTATTAGAAAGCGTGTCGCGTACTTGCACCATGGCCTGCTGATGAATTCCGAGGTTTGGGTCTGCCTCACTGACCAGCAGCGATGCCTTGCATTTGAGCTTGTAGAGCGCGGCTTTGATGTCTGGTTTGGCAACAACCGCGGTAACAAGTACTCCAAAAAGTCGATCCATACTTCGCCAACCTCAGTCAAGTTTTGGGACTTTTCGATTGACGAGTTTGCTTTTCATGACATTCCCGACAGTATCTCCTATATTCTGGAGTCGACTCAACAAGAGAGCCTTTCCTATGTTGGCTTTTCCCAGGGTACTGCGCAGGCCTTTGCCACCCTCGCCATCCACCCCAAGCTCAACAACCAAGTCAATGTCTTCATCGGCTTGGCCCCTGCCATGGCTCCCGCCGGTCTATCGAACGGTGTAGTCGACGCCCTCATGAAAGCTTCACCCTCATTCCTCTACCTCATGTTTGGTCGCCGGTCTATTCTATCCTCTGCTACCATGTGGGAAACGATTCTCTATCCGCCTATTTTCTGCCGTGTCATCGACATGGGCCTGAGCTTCCTCTTTAACTGGAAAACCAAGAACATTGCCGCGAACCAAAAGCTTGCCGCCTACCCTCACCTCTACTCCTTCACCAGCACCAAGTCTGTTGTCCACTGGTTCCAAATCATCCGCAACAAATGCTTCCAGCTGTACGATGATGACGTCCACCAGCCCATGACAGTCGCCACCACGAAGAAGTTCTCCAAGGTAGCCAAGTACCCTACGCGCAACATCCGCACACCCGTTGTATTGGTTTACGGTGGCAGCGACTCGCTCGTGGATATCAAGGCTATGCTCTCTGAGCTACCACGCCAGACTGTGGCCACAGAAATCCCCCATTACGAACACCTCGACTTCCTCTGGGCCCGCGATGTTGACACCCAGGTTTTCCAGCACGTGTTCGATGCTCTAGACAGCTTCACAGACGCCGAACATACAGTTGAGGAATATGATCGCTACTATATGGTCCGAAGCGAGTCACTCGTAGGTTCAGGCTACTCGCTGGCCCAAGCCCACCAGGGCAGCGAATCGGATGCGTCCACAGTCGCAACCGACGCCGGTTCAAAGCCACACATTGCAAGAGAGCGGCTTCAGGACCACGTTCCTTTTTCCGGATCAATTACAGAATCTCAAGATGAAGCGAAACTTCGCGGCCAAGGCGTACGTCGGTCAGTTGCTTGGAGCGTCGATGGAAAAGGTGGGATTAACGTTCCCACCTCCAGCGCGCTGAGCGGCGTGACGAGTAGCGCAGTGGACAAGGCAGAGATTGTAAAGGCAGAACTACCACCATCACCACGGTCTCGATCAAAAACGTCGAAGAACAAGAAGTAGTTCAAGTTTGATCCCTCTAATAGCATGTTTTTGAATACAATCACCATATAAATTATCACGAAATGCGTAGTAGTACTAGAAACACGGGAGAAAAAAAGATCATTCATATTAATGTCGTTTATTCAGCCAACCAAATCTATCAATAGCCATGCAAATGCAAATGCTTTTCATCGTGCCCTGCTAGCCAGCAAGGGGTGTAAAAAATGTGTATACAGTGTGGGGGGTATCTTGTTCAGTACATCCTAGAGCCTTCGCTTGTTGCAAGACGAGGAGACATGGAAAGAGTTCTACGAAATAGTTGCAGCTTTAGATAGAGACGTCTCCCAGTGGGAGAATCTTGCTCTTGTCGTTCTGGAACTTGGTGCGGTACTCGACAATGCCTTGGCTGATCGTGTCAAAGTCTTTGACTTTACGGTTTCGGAAGTCAGTCAACAGTGCCTTGAGGCCTGCAATGTATTCTTCCTTCTCGCTTGCTGCGAGCCCTTCGTACGCGCCAAGCTGAAGCAGGATTTGATCATCTGTGCAGAGAAGCGACGCCTCGTCAGCCCTTTGCACAATGGCAGCTACTAGTTAGTTGGTCAGGGGGGATTAGGGAGTAACCATACCTGGAGCTTGCAGAGTTGTAAAGTGCTGAAAGTCACATTCTGTACCGCGAGGACAGGGCCGCCCAGCGGTTTCATCGGGGCACATGGGAGTCTTTACGTCAATCTTGTTACTATATGTCAGAGAGCGTAGCCCGGTCGTCACATTACGCTGGTACTCGGGGTGGAAACGGTATGCTCGAAAGTAGTGTAGGGGGGTCTCGTATGGCGCGAAGCTTGACCCAGATGGCATCGACAGTGTCGGTTCCTCCTCCTAACCGAATGTCAGCTCGTCACTTGGTGCTGTCGTGGGTAGCATCTTCGTGTACTTCTCTCGCAGGTTCGGCGCTGTGGTCACGGCTTGCAGATGGTATTTGCCTAGACGAAAGAATCGTCTCTGATCCAGCCAATGCCTCCGTGTCGCCACCAGCACCGTCGGTGTCAGCATCAATCATCTCTGCTTGAGAAGACGTATCCTCTGGCTCAATTTCATCAGATTCTTTTACTAGCTGGTCGCTAGACTCCATGTCCACGTCCGAGTCAGCAGATACAGGAGCTGTATCATTGGCATCTGTGGGTACGACCGAGTCACCGCCTCCTTCTTCAACAGCATCATCATCGGGCTCACCGTCGTCCTCATCAGACGAAGATGATTCTTCTGATTCTTCGCTGCTGTCTTCAGCAGCCTCTGTGGTTGCCACTTCTTCTCCGGCAGCATTGCCAGCATTAGACACGAGTGTCTGCTGCTGGGGTACTTCTGTTTCAGACTTTGGCTCACGAGCGCTGTCTTGTTCCTCATTTTCTTCGTCGTCGTCGTCGTCTTCTTCGTCGTCGTCGTCCTCTTCGTCTGCTTCGGCTTCATCCTCACCATCGTCAATTTCCTTTTGCAACAAAGCAACTTGCGATTGAAGAAGCTGAAGTCTCAGTTGTTTTTCCTTGCGATGAGCTTCAGCGGCTGCAGCCTTCTCGCTGGTAGCTCGCTCCCGGCGATCTAAGCTCTTAGGAGAAGAATCCACTGATTTCTTTGTCGTCATCTGTGGAGACTTGATGTCAGGAGTCGCAGATGTTGAAGGGGCAGTTGAATCAGTGGTTGAATGCGGGGGTTGGTAGAGATCAGACACTTCGTTTAGTAAGTCTCTAGCCTTCTTCCTCGCTTCAGCTTCAGCGATTCGTTGTTTCATGGCCTCAATCTTCTTGTTCATGCTCAACAGCTCTTCGTTATCAGATGGGGCTCCATGGCCGCTTAACGGCGTTTGGGCTGATGATGAAAGCCCCTGATTCGAGCGATCACCATCGACACGATGACTAGGATGGTCCAACATATCCTTCACCATCTCCTCATCTTCGTCCTCACTAACATCAATGAGGAGAGGACGGGAGGTCCTATTTTCACCAAAGGGGCGCTTTGACGGTAACTTGCTGCTGTCTTCTTGTATCGCAGAAGCGTGTCGCTTGCGGGTGTCGTCTTGTCTGTCCGATTCTTGATTCGACGCTTCTCCCTCATATTCAGAGGATTTGTCAGTCTTGCCGCGATCATTCTGGAGAGCTTCTCGAGCCTTAATGAGAGCTTCCATTTTCTGTTGCAGCAACTTAGACTTCTCAGAAGACTTTGCCGATTGGGCTTTTGGCGCGGTGGATGGTGGTGGTGGTGGTGGTGGCTTCGTATTACCATCCTTCTTCTTCTCTGCAAGCAGCCTAGCGATTCGGTCCTTGCGCGACTCTGCACCATCCGTATTCTGCTTGTCATTTTTTGCTGGCGCCGGTTTTACCGTCTGGGCTAGTGTAGGCATTTTCGGAGTAACAGTAGCTTTCGGTACAGCAGTAGCGGTGGGCGGTGCTGGTATCTCAATTCCAAGTTCTCTGAAAAGAGAGCTGAGGATCTTGCTGTCTATGCCTTCTTTGATAAAGTCAACGTACGAAACGTTGGCATGATTGAGACGAAGAATGGCGGTCTGTGCTTCTACCTTGGATCCGTCAAACATAGCCTTGGCTTTAGTGGTAGCATCTTCATGTAACTTTGCCGCACTTTGCAGCTTGGTTGGTGAATTATGGTTTGAAGGGGGTGTGTCAACTTCGCGAGAGGACAGATACGGCGAGTAAGAGCCGGAACGGTCGCGCTCTCCTTCGTTGCCATCAGCCGGTTGCTGGACATTGGCTACTTGTTGCGTTTCACCATCATCAGTATCGTACAGATCCTCGAAATCTTCACTAATCTCGCCATCTTCCATGTCAAAGCTTGTGTCTGGCATGACTGCTGCTGGGGCGGTCTGATTAACAGCGGCGCCTTCGCTAGGCTGCCGCGACGTGCCAAGTGCTTGGGAAGCAGCCCTAGAGCCTGCGTCACTTATTCCAGAGGCGCCAAATGCAAGACCTGGGATGCCTTGATTTCGTTGCGGCGTACCACCTCTGGATGGTGTCGCTTCGAGGCTAGAACCAGCGCGGCCTAAGCCAGGCAAGGACATGGCGCGTTATCGCGAAAGATTAACAAAAGTCATACAAATAAGATTTTCGGCCAATATTCTCTTCCACGCCGTAGCCGCGTCTTGGAATAAGCGTCGGGCTGCGTGATGGATTGGCGCGAAATGACACCAAATGTCGTTGGTGAGACTCGCAAGGAGCTTCCCCTGCGTAATTTTGCCTTCTTGAATTTGGACGTGACAGGCCAGATGCGCGCTAAACCGTTTTGGGAAGACTATAGTGAGTAGACAATTGACGTGAGTGACGCTCACGTGATTGGCGTTGTTTACTTTGGTGGGGGTTTCTCCCCAGCAACCAGCTGGTGACGCCTTGTAAAACAATCCTTCCAGGCGAATCAAGGCTACGTCGCGTCTAAACTTGGCTCTTTGTCCAATTCTTGTATACAAACCCCTCCTATTTCTTTATTTTCAAGAAGCTGGCTTCTTTTCTAGTGGCTTCTATTTTTCACCTAGTTTATGGTATAAACTACAATTCTAAGCAGCTTAGTGAAGTAGCCCATTAGCCATCGACACGCGTCTGCGCGTGGCTTCACCGACGACCTACCTCTTCCCGCCATTCATGAATACTGCCTCACGTCATGTCATTCTACAACAATGGCTCTGCGCCTCGGCGCAATAATCCCTTTGCAAAGCCAGGGGCCTCATCTCCCTCTCCAGGCCCAAATGGCAGACCTCAGTCGACGCTTCTCTCCCCCTCCACACCCACCGCATCGTCCCCTTCTCTACACAATAGAACACAGTCCCTTGGCACACCCAGCATGGCAAACCTATCTTCTGTCAATACGCCGCGAAGTGGCCGTCGAGACTCGAAACCTTTAACGCCATCCACAAGCACATTTGCCCCAGCATTCATCAAGACGGAGGAACTGGCACGAAATGTCGAAGCCGTCAACGGTATTGAGGGCGAAAATGACTTTTCTGGCAAACGCTACGTATGGCTCAAAGATCCAGAAGTAGCCTTTGTGCGAGGCTGGGTAGTTGACGAGCTTGACGGAGACAAGCTACTCATCCAAGCTGATGACGGAACGGTTGGTTCAATCGACTACAGGTTTCCATGAGGCATGACTAACATGTTAGTAGCAACGAGAAGTCGATGCTGAAAGCGTTGATAAAGTAAACCCTGCCAAATTCGACAAGGCCAACGACATGGCTGAGTTGACTCACCTCAATGAGGCATCTGTGGTTCACAATCTCCGCATGCGGTACCAGGCCGATCTCATCTACACGTATTCCGGCCTTTTCTTGGTCACTGTCAACCCATACTGTCCTCTACCCATTTATACGAACGAATATATCAACATGTATAGAGGCCGCAGTCGCGAAGACACAAAGCCACACATTTACGCCATTGCAGAAGAGGCGTTCCGAAACTTGGTCGAAGAAGGTCGCAACCAGAGCATTTTAGTCACCGGTGAATCTGGTGCCGGTAAGACAGAGAACACCAAAAAGGTAATTCAGTACCTTGCGGCTGTTGCTCAACCTGATAGCTCCAACGGACGCCGCAGTCAGCAGGGCAACCTCTCACAGCAGATTCTTCGTGCCAATCCCATTCTCGAGGCGTTCGGTAACGCGCAAACCGTTCGAAACAACAACTCGTCACGATTCGGCAAATTCATCAGAATTGAATTTAACCGCACCGGAACAATCACTGGCGCATTCATTGATTGGTATCTTCTTGAGAAGTCACGAGTCGTATCCATCAACAACCAAGAGCGAAACTATCACATTTTCTATCAGCTTCTAAAGGGAGCTGACTCTCGCACTAAGCGAAAGTTTTTGCTCGACGGATGTGGTGTGCATGACTTCTCCTACACACGTCAAGGGCACGACACTATCAGTGGAGTCTCCGACAATGAAGAGTGGGATTCACTCCTCGAGGCATTCAATGTTATGGGCTTTTCAGAAGAAGACCAATCGTCTATTCTGAAAACTGTGGCCGCTGTCTTGCATCTTGGTAACATTGAAGTGATCAAGGAGAGCCGTAGCGCCGATCAGGCGTCCTTGACACCGGAGGCAAAGGCACAGGTTGCAAAGGTCTGTCAGCTCTTAGGAGTACCCGCAGAGCCTTTTATTCAGGGTCTCCTCCATCCTAAGGTCAAGGCTGGTAGAGAATGGGTTGTTAAAGTACAGACCCCTGACCAAGTTAGGCTGGCTCTGGATGCTCTCTCGAAGGGTATTTACGAGCGACAGTTTGGTAACCTGGTAACGAGAATCAATCACCAGCTGGATCGCAACGGCATGGGCTCTGATGACTCTCAGTTTATTGGTGTTCTCGATATTGCCGGTTTCGAAATCTTTGAAACCAACAGCTTTGAGCAATTGTGCATCAACTACACCAATGAGAAGCTCCAGCAATTCTTCAATCATCATATGTTTGTTCTTGAGCAAGAAGAGTACGCCCGTGAGCAAATTGAGTGGCAGTTCATTGATTTTGGCCGCGACTTGCAGCCTACCATCGACCTCATTGAACTATCCAACCCAATTGGTATCTTCTCCTGCCTCGATGAAGACTGCGTCATGCCCAAGGCTACCGACAAATCTTTCACCGAGAAGCTCAACTCTCTTTGGGAGAAGAAGACCCCCAAGTACCGCCCATCTCGCTTAGGACAGGGCTTTATTCTGACTCACTATGCCGCCGAAGTTGAATACTCTACTGACAACTGGCTTGAGAAGAACAAGGACCCTCTCAATGACAACATCACTCGCCTTCTATCATCATCCCGGGATGCTCACATAGCAGACCTGTTCGCAGATTGCGCCGATCCTGATGACGAAATTGGAGGTGGCCGCAACCGTGTCAAGAAAGGCCTCTTCAGAACCGTCGCTCAACGCCATAAAGAGCAGCTACACAGCTTGATGTCGCAACTTCACTCTACGCATCCTCACTTCGTGCGTTGTATCCTTCCTAATCACAAAAAGAAACCAAAGATGTTCAGCAATCTGCTTGTTCTGGACCAGTTGCGCTGCAATGGTGTGTTGGAAGGAATTCGAATCGCTCGAACTGGCTTCCCCAACAGACTTTCGTTCAGTGAATTCCGTCAACGATACGAAGTTCTCTGCTCAAACATGCCAAAGGGCTACGTTGAAGGCCAAGCTACAGCTGCACTTATGTTGGAAAAGCTCGGCCTAGACAAGGCACTCTACAGAGTCGGTATTACAAAGGTTTTCTTCCGTGCTGGAGTCCTTGCAGAGCTTGAAGAACAGCGCGACGCTCTGATCACGCAGATAATGTCACGTTTCCAGTCCGTTGCTCGAGGCTACGTTCAGCGTCGTGCCGCCTACAAGCGACTCTTCCGAACTGAAGCAACACGAATTATTCAGAAGAATTTCAATGTTTATTTGGATTTGGTACAAAATCCATGGTGGCAACTCACAGTCAAGATGAAGCCTTTACTTGGAGCTACAAGAACTGCGACTGAAGTCAAGAAACGAGATGTCATGATTCAGCAACTCCATGAAAAGATGCAAGTCGAGCTTGGACACCGACAAAAGCTAGAAGACGATCGCCGAAATGCCCACGGCGAATTGATGCGAATTCAAAAGACTCTAGAAAGTGAGCGAGCCCTTGCTCTAGACAAGGAAGAGATCTTCAAGCGCCTGCGCCTTCGCGAAACAGAGCTTGAAGAGAAGCTTGCAGGAGCCATTGAAGATCAAGAGCGACTTGAAGATGAACTGGATGACATGATGCAAGCGCGTGATCGTGCACAGGCTGATATGGAGAAACACCGTGGTCAGCTTGAGCAAGCGGTCAGCATCGTTGCGAAGCTCGAAGATGAGAAGAAGAAACTGGCTGGCCGAGCAGCAGAGCTTGAGAGCTCCCTAAGCGATGTCACCCAGCGCCAATCGCAACGGTCAGAGCAGGAGGCAGCTTTGGAACAAGAAATCAAGATGCTGCAAAGCCAGCTCTCCCTCAAAGAGAGGAAGGCGCAAGATCTCGAAGCTAAGCTTCTCCAGGTCGATCAGGACGTCCAAATCAAGCTTCACAACACCCAAAAAGAACTTGATGTTGTTAAGTCTCGTGAGGCCCGCTTCGCAAAGGAGAATGCCGACATTCAGCACCAACTTTCTCAATTATCCAAGACTTCCACAGATTATGAAGATCTCGTTCGTAACAAGGAGAGCGAGCTGGCGCTCCTCCGGGGCGATAAACGACAGTTCGAGGCTGAACGCCGAGGCTTCGAAAACCAAAAGAAGGCTCTTACAGACGACCTTGAAAAGGCAGCAGCTCGATTCCGAGAAGTGCAAGCTCAGTTGGTTGCTATGAAGTCAAAGCAGAGTCAGCTCGAGCGTGAGGCAGTAGATGCCAAGGCGCTCCTGGAAACCCGCCTTTCTGAGGACGCTCAAGCGAATAAGAACCGTCAACAGCTAGAGTTGCAGATGAAGGATCTGAAGGAGGAGCTGTACAAGTGCCAGATGGATCTCAGCCGTGAGCGACAATCTCGAGACGACGTGCTGTTGCTCGGAGAGCACAAGTATGGTGCGCTTAAGGACGAGTTTGAAAACGTAAACGAGTCCAAGATCATCATTGAAAAGGAGCTTTATGTTCAACAAGATGCTCTGCGTCGACACATGGAGACCCGCAAGGTTGTCGAAAAAGAACGCGACGATGCTCGCGAGGAGATTCGCCGGCTGCGTGCTTCCAAGGCTGAGACAGAGCAAGCACGACTCAACGCTGAGGCCAAGCAACAGCACCAAGTTTCTAAAGCAGCTCGTGAGCGTGAAGCCAGCCTTCACCGTGATCTTGATGCTGCCCAGAGCCGACTAGACTGGTGTGAAAGCGAGCGTATCAAGCTGGGCCGCCAAGTCGAGGAGTTGAACAAGATGATGGCACAGTCTGGTGACTTTGGTCTCAAGAACGACCAGGCAAAAGAGCGCATGGAGCGCGAGCTTCAAACCGTCAAGAGCCGCCTCACTGCATCTGAAAACGATAATCGTGCGCTCTTGAACAAGCTTCAACAGAAGGGTTTGGAAGTTGCTCGATCCACCAGTAGAGCGACCGAGAGTACTCGTGGACAGCTCACATCAATGCAGCGAGACAAATCCAGACTCGAGGAGCAAAATGCAAACTTGCACAAGCAGCTTGGCGATGCTCAGGTGATGATCACTTCATTAGAAAAGAAGACGGAGAAACTATCCTTGGACTTGGAGGACTTGAACCACGAAGTCGCCAGGGAGGTGAAGACGAGCCGAAATGCCGAAAAGGCATCATCCAACTTCACTGTACAGCTTGGAGAGGCGAACCGCGCTCTCGATTCCGAGCGCCAGCTGCGCACGCAGACGCAAGCCACCGTCCGTACATTGCAAGCATCCCTGGATTCACGGAACAAGGAGCTTGATGATATGCATGATCACATGCTCAAGGTTCTTAAAACCGTTGACCCAGACACCAAGCCGCCTATTCAGTCCGATGGAGCTGCTGACCGTGGCATGATTAGAAACTTTGATCTGGTCCGCAAGATTGAAGAGCTTCAGCAGAATCTTCGTGTGCAGACTGCGGCTAGGTCGAATGCGGAGAGCCAATTGACAGACCTTCGTGCGGAACGCCATGAATCGCCGAGCCGACCTCGACTGGAGGAGATTCACCTTAATGAAGCACCATTCAACACGTCGCCGACTCAGAAGAGACAGCAAAAGCCAACAACGATGCAGGCTGTCAGACGCCTGTCAAACAACACTCCTGTCACTCCAACTCGACGCGCGATTCTTGACGCTGCCAACGACTCTACCCGTTCTGACAAGATGGCTGACTCGGCGGTTGTAACCAAGGGTTCTGACCATAGAACTGAGATCGAAGAGCTGCAGAACCAGCTGCAGCTCGCTCAAATGCACAACAGACATCTTCAAAGCCAGATCGATCGCGGCACGCCTGGCCCAGACACAGTCTCAGACTTGAGCCCAGCGGCTAGACGAGTGCAAAAGCTGGAAAAGGTCAATAGCCGCTTGCATGAATTGTTGGATGACTCCACCAAGAAGGTATCCGCGCTAGAGAAGACCATTCGAACTGGAGAACTCTCTGTCCGTGATATCCAGGCCCGCTCCCATGAGGAGCTCCTTGATGCATTCAACAGTCAGGAAGCATCGCGTCGATCACTCCTAAACCGCCATAAAGATGCAGTCTCTGAGCTGACTGAGGTTAAGGGCAGCTTTGATAAGATGCGACACGAACGCGCTAAGATGGAAGTTGACCTGCGGGACCGCACATCGGACTTGCGTGAGATGACTATGGCACGCGAGCAAGAAGCGCAGAGCCGTAGCCAGCTCCTCCAAGACTTCACCGACATGCAAATCCGTCTCGATGCTGAAACATCTAAGCTGAGCGATGTGACATCCAGTCTGGAGATGTATAAAACTCGCGCAGATGAATACTTTGGCAAGCTTGAACAGGCAGAAATTGCCGTCCTCAAGGCTAGCCGCGCCGAGCAGTTTGCTAAATCTCACGCCAAGGAAACTGAGGATGCTCACGCTGAGATGATAGCTGAGCGCCAGAAGACTGAAAGCCAAATGGAGGATGCGCAACGCCAGAACCAGCGCCTCGAGGAAAAGCTTGAAGACCTTTCTACCGATCTCGAAGCCGCCCTTCAGGCTAAGAAGCGCCTGCAGCATGAGCTGGAGGATTACCGTCACCAGCGTGCCAACGACATCGAGGACACTGAATCCAGCATGGAGCAAACTCGCAAGAAGTACCAAGCTGAGTTTGCCACGCTCACTAAGGAGCTGGATCTTGCCCGAGAAGAGCAGCTGTACAAGCAGACCGAGATTGCTCGCCTCCGTGAAGAACTTGATGAGCTACGATCCAAGTGGGATGACGAAGTGCTCAACAGCTCTACTTGGTCCAAGGAGAAGTCTCGACTTGAAACCACGCTCGCTGATGTCTCTGCCTCTCGTGAGGAGGCAGCAAACGCCCATAGCGAAGCTCAATCCAAGGTTGTATCCCTGCTTTCTCAGGTGCGCAGCCTACGAACCAATGTCGACGACATCACGGCTGAGAGAGACTTGCTCGTCCGCGAGAAGCGCAGTATCGAGAGCCGCTTGGAGGAGGCCAAGGCAGGTCTTGACGAGCTTGTTCGCGACGGCAGCCCATCACTCCGTGATGCTGCTACTGCAGACAAGGAGCTTTTGGAGCTTCGTTCCAGCTTGGCCAAGCAAGAGGATGTCGCCGCTGCGGCTGTCGAGAAGATGCGCCGTGCAGATATGATGGTCAACGAAATCCAAAAGGAAATTGCCGCTGAGCGAGACAACAGCGCCAAGATCCACAGCCAAAAGCTGGTCCTTGAGCGATCGCTGAACGAAGCGCAGCTCAAGGTTGTTGATCTCGAGACCAAGGGCTTCTCTAGCGCCAGCCAGGACATCAAGTTCCTCCATAAGAGAATCCAAGAGGTAAGCAATGCACTTTCTACACTCTACACGAAGGATATATCTAACAATTCACAGCTCGAGTCCCAGGTAGAGACCCACGAACGAGAACGATCCAAGTCCCAGAGATCGGAGCGCAACGTCGACCGTGCCGTCAACGATCTCCAAAGCCAAATCGAGCGCAAGGATAAGCAAAACGCGCAGCTTTCGGACGATGTGAACAGAATGCGCGACAAGGTCGACAAGCTTCTCAAGACCATCGACGAGCTGCAGGCGTCCGAGTCGACACATCAACTGTCGACGCGCCGCGCGGAGCGAGAGCTCCGGGAGGAGAAGGAGAGAACACTACGACTGGAGCGGGAGATTGATAGCGTCAAAAACCTCGGTAGCGCCGTAGGTAGCCTACGGAGCCGCGCCATGTCGCCGTGGAAGACGACAGAGACGGAGGACTTTGCAGCTTTGGCGAGAGAGATGAGCCTCAACAGAGCGCCCAGCATGACTAAGGGATTCCTGTAAAGGGTGCGATGCTGGCGGCGTTTTAAGTGAGGGATGTTTAATGGGGATTATGTTGTTATGTGTATGGCTTTCCTGATTTTATGCTGGTACATATGGTTAATGATTTGTATATTATTGCATTGTTAATATTGAATTTGTTTGGCAACAAAGTGTGCGTTGTGATGCCTACCCTATACAGCTAATGACGCGTTTGTCACGTGTTAGGTTATGCTTGTATTGGCGTTTTTTCACTGCTAAAATATTCATATTGATTATCAGTTTCTAGGGTTAGCTAATTGGCTCGAACCCCAAAATAATGAAGGTGTTCAGCAGATTCTTAGTTGACAAGCATGGTATACGATCTCAGCTTTGGCGCTTTTTGAGATGTGCAGCAAGGCAGTTGCACGAGTAATGAACAACTTTAGAAATACATGATAAAAATTAAAGAATATTACTCAGAGCATAATTTATTGTTAATTTATTCGGAAAATAAAAAATAAAAAGAAAACAGCGAGATACAATGTGTGCGTCGTACGGCTTGTGATACAACAAAAAATCAAAAAGGAAGGGTCTGGCCGGGGATTGAACCCGGGACCTCTCGCAAGCTAAGCTAAGGGTTTTCCCTAAGCGAGAATCATACCACTAGACCACCAGACCTAGCACGCGTTCACTGAACGCGTGTGTTTTCGATGGAAACCAGTCGACTTATTTTTTCTTATCAACACTAAGCGCTGCCCTTTGACATGCCAATACCTTGCAACGGCGCATTTAGTACGCCACTACTACTATTGCTGAACACTAGACTCGCATGTTCAGCACATTTTTGCCCTCATTAAATATGCACTCTATGTTTTCCAATAGTTTGTATTTTACGATATTTGCTATGAATTAGTCCATTGCACCAGCCAACGCAACAGCGCTGAAGCGCAAATCACCACCCTCACGTTCCAAAAACTTGAGCGCACCAAGCGCAAGGCCGCGCTCGCTGAGGACATCTTCGTCCTGGCCGAGCTCTCCTCTACGAATAGGTCCTGTTCGACGCCCATCAAGCTCCCAGAGAGCACCGTCGCTGCCCTTGGCAAAGCAGACGTAGTGCAGATCAATGTCATCCTGGGCATCAGGGGCAGTGGTGTCGCCTTGTGAAGCGGCTTCTTTGTGCGCACTAGCTAGAGCAGGCGTAGCCTCGAGAAGTCTGGCGCGCTGGACAGGATCGAGCGGCGTGGACTCGTTGATGAGCTTGTCGAGTGTCGTATCCGGTTCTGGATAGACGACGCAGTTAGTCATGGGTAGGTGTCAGAGTGTATGTAGTATATGTAGCTTACCGATGAAATCACGAGCTGCGCCATTGCATACAGCATGGAGTAAACCCATCATGCCACATGCGTTGCGGATAGTCTGCTTCCACCAGAGGACGGGCTCTTGCTCGCCCTTGCCAGTGTAGGCCTCGGTGATACTGTCCTCTGCCATGCGGTGGGACTCGTAGGCAGCACTGACGGGGAACACGAGGAGAAGAGCGAGAGCTGGACGCGGGATGAAGGCCAGCAGGTCGGGTTCAGTAAGGGAGTAAACATCGTGCATGGCGAGCGATGGGCCGACGCCGAGCTTGTGGATAAGCTCCGTCATGAGCTGAGGGTTGGCTTCTAGAGGGATGAAGGCTGGGGCTTTGGCGCCCGGGTCGGGATTTGTTGATTCGGCCATGTTTTGATGTGCTGTGTGATGATGAGGGGCGTGTGTTGACGGCGGCGTTGTTGGAGATGTTGCTGGTAGAGGGGTGGTGGGGTACCTGGTGACGTCGCTGCTTTTACATGAGTCAAATGGCTTGCTTGTCACCAAAGACGCGGTTTGTGATTGTATACTACAGAGCAGAGTTAATTATGCATATGACTAATTCGGTGTGCAATGTATCGCATCTTATTCAAGACTTTGCAAAGAAGGTCGCAAATGAGAGAGAGGGGGGTTAAGCAGGGTATTTTATATATATCTCGCGGAATACACAGGTCCTAAAGTTGAACCAGGCTAAAGTCTGAGTTGTTCACTATCGACAATTTTTGGAAATTAGATTAAGCAGTAAATCATTTTGTATGAATTATATAACGTGTTTGCAGACTAGATGCCTGTCATTTCACACTCGTGGCACGCGCCGCTGTGAAGAACCTTGTATTCAAACGACGATTCGTCCGAGATTGGTATCTGGATTCCAATTGTGTCTGCGCCGCTAGGGTACTCTGTCCGGTGGCCATGCTGCGATACGTCCTGCGTGTCGGCAGCGATGATGAGACCATACTTACCACCCTGCACCCAAGCCTCATTTTTGCCCTTGTAAAGCGTGATGTGGGCAAGGCCCGAGGTGAACAAGACGAATCTACAGCAAAGTTTTAATATCCAGCGTTGCTTAGATGATCCACTGGACCAGCCGCAAGCCAAGAACGTACTGTCGCGCTGGGGCTCGGTGGAAGCCTCCGTCAAACCGCGCCGGGAGAACGGTATACGTCGCGTTGGCCAATTCGCCCATGAACAAGCTGAGCGCGCCTACGGTTCCGGGGCTGCTTGACGACGTGAAGGGGCTGTCGAGTTGCCAACACTCGAGGGTTGACTCGCCGTGGGCGGCTGCAATGGCTGTGAGGTTCAAGAACCGCGGAGGCTGTTGCGCGGCGGTAAATGACGCCACGAGGCCAATGGCGGCGAGTATGGAAGAGAGCATAGTCACAAGCTGGGTGTGAGGCGTTGGGGAGAGTTGACGCGGCGGAATGTTTGCGCCGCCGTCTCGACTATATCCGGCCCCGGTACTTCCGGCCATCAATCGCCTTCTTACCAGGCGACATTTGGGAGTACGAGGTGCCAGTTTGGGACTTTAAGCGTTAAATGGTACCCTAGCTTGTAAGTTAGTGTACGCAGGCAGCAAGATCCAAACGACTACATAGCCAAGGCTTTAAAGCTGCGATGGAAATACCTCCACAAGTAAAGGGCTAATCGAACCTTGAATAAACCTAGTTTAGCAGAATGGTGTGTACTCTTCTATTATTCTCATACGTGGACGGTTACCTCACGCTATGTTAATTAAGAATGCCATTAGTCGCTACAATCCCCCGCTGCTTCACCTAAAGCGCAATTATTGAGATAAATTAAGTCGTATAATAATTTTTACACTTTTAGTTTCCAAAGACGAAATATTTCCATTTCTACATATTATAATGCATTTATCAAGGAGCTTAACCTCACCTTCATAGTAACGCCCGCGACTGCGTCAAGTGCTACTCTAGTATTGGTGTAATGTACCGATTCCCCGTAACCATTACACCAATACTAGCAAAAACACTGGATCAACACTAATTCGAGCGTTAATAAGAGGATTAACTCGGTCTTATATCTTAGGTCATTGCACTCAATTTTGCTGCCACAGCCACTTGCAGGCCATGTGCAATCTTTAGATACGTCTCTCTAGGTATCATCTGGCAAGTATGAAACTCTCTAGCCGCTACAGGCTCATAAATATTCGCGCCAGAGTCGAGCAAGATCCGGACAATAGTATCAAACCCCATCTCTATGGCCAAATGGACTGCAGTTCCGCAGCTTTGGAGTTGAATGAGCGACGGCGACGGTTCTGAAAATAGCGCGTCATGATATTGCGCATTAACATTTGCGCCATGTGCGAGTAGCAACTTTACTAATTCCTCATCGTTGCTGTAGACAGCCCTGACCAACGGAGGCAGATACTCATCTGGCGACGGGCCGCCTACAAAACCCGTGTTTTCAAAAACGGCTGCATCTACAGCTTCATCTACACCACAACATCGAAATGGAAATGTTTGATCTGCCTCGTCAAAGTCGCACCTGACGCCGTGGGCAAGCAAGACGGCGACAATGGCCGTGTCGCGTTGAGACACAGCCGTTCCCAATGCCTTTGTGCGGACAACGCGATCCGTGGTCTTGTGGATGAACATCTTGACAAGTTGCAAGTTTCTATTGCGAGTGGCTATTTCAAGCGGCTTCCCTTGCGCAACGGTGGCAGCGGCGCCGTTGTCGAGCAGCAGCTGGACAAGGCTAACGTTTTCGAGCTCTGCAGCGTATTCCAGCGGCGTGTTTTCTTGGATACCAAGTCTAAAGTTTACGTCTGGGCGGTAAGCGGCGAGGATTTCCGGCACTAGATGCAAGTACTTTTTAAGCAGGGCTGCTGCGAGTGCTGCTTGGACCTGCGCGCTGCTGGGATGGTTCGACGAGGCGAGGGAAGAATCCATTCCAAGTCGATCTTGAGAGGCGCATGCCGGAGTCTCAATTCGCTGCTTGCTTCTAGTAGAGCGGTTGCAGAAGTAAAACCTCTGCTCAGTCTCTTCCCAGGCCAGTGCCCAATCCTCAGGACCATTGACTGTGGGATCCGGTAGTGCCTGGAGGGACACGTTTGCTTCGTCTTGGCCTGACGTTGGGTGGATGTAGGAGAATTCGCTAAACTGTTCCAATAGCTCGTTCATTGTTGCTGGTCCTGCTCGTCGATGCTCAAAGAATATTGCTATCCTTGGTGGCTTAAACGCCGGCTCATATTCACGCCGAGCGAGCCTATCCCAGTCTATGCCGTCAAAGAACGGATGTGACTTGATTTCCAATGTTCCATTCGATCCTAATCGTTGGCTTGGATCGTGTAACAATAGCTTTGTTATAAGATCAAGGGCCAAGCCCGATGGTACGGGGTGAATATCAGGGCCCGCCTTGAATAAACGGCCAGAATAAGTGAAGCTTGTTATTTGACTTGGTTGTAAAGGAAAGCGGTGCAAGAAAAGGGGAGCTCTGATAGGTATGCTGCGCGTCAAAGGCTGGGAACACGTTGGATAGCGGCCTTGCCACTGACACATACACGCGATTAGTGTTTGTCTTGAGAATCTGAGAAACATAGCCTAGTCTGCTGCTATCTCCTATAGTGGCTATGTGCTTCAGAGGCCCAGTGGCTGTCGCAGAGCTTGGCTTATATTCAAGCTCAATCTTTACTTTCCCAGTGCTACCCACAACTGGGCACCAATGTATGTTGAGGGCAGACATGTCGTGTACTTGAGGGAAAATCTTGGAACCGCCAAGGAATATATCTTGGGCGCCTCCAGGAAGATTCGTCGGCTTTACATAGAGGCGAATGGTCAATTCGGCGCGTCGAAAGACGTCAAATGCAATCCGGCGTTTTCGAGTCGCTGTTGTCCACACAGGGTCCTTTATTGTTCCTGACACAGCGTCAAGCCTGACCTGAGATAGTCCAAACTCCAGCATAGCGCACAACTCGGCTTGAACATGATGAGGTTCTTGCCCAAAGCCGTCTGGTTGCTGGCGGTTGGTCGCCGACAGCATCTGGCGACAGTGTTGACGAAGACGGTAGCAGAGCGTGGGGTGGAATCACGACTGGTTACTGTACACAGCGAATCTTAATACCTAGCAAATTAATTACCACACATTGAAACAAAAGTAATATTCAATGTGCTGAATACTTCTATTTGCGCGGCTTTTTCCTCGAGATTAGATGCGTGGCCCCATGAACCCTCACTGAAGCCCGTCGACCAGTCGTTGCCGTTCATGTAAAGAGCCGTAGCAAACAATGAAAAGGTATCTAAGCCTAAAGTAAGCTAGAATGATTTGGGCGAAAAAAAGGAGGACAGTACATACCGGAGTTTACTGTTGCCTGCTCGGGAGAGCTTCCGGCGAGTCTGTGGATGCACTCACACTAGTATGACCTGGCGTTTGAGTTGGGCAAGCAGACGTCCCCTGGATTTTGCCAATAGTGTTAGCTGCAAGTTTCTGCGTTAACGGGGAAGGGGAGATGAAAATGCTAAACGTACGCAGTCCACCGACGTCGACGGAATTCTGGAAATTTTAGCGTCCGTCGGTAAGAACCACAGCATGTGTGATGTTGGGCGAGGGCGTGGCCATGGCTAACAAACAAGGCAAAGTGTCGGGGTAGTGGAAGCCGAGCAAGAACAACAAGAACAAACGCGCAGTGATTACAAGATTCACACAGACAGAGTAAATTGAATTTCAGCTACTTTTCTTACACCAGGTCTCTCAACACCACTCCACAAACTCCTAACGACCCCAACTATGCAACACAAATACTACACTATAAACTAAAGTACAGCGCGAATCTCACTCTCACGACGGTGCTTAAGCGCGGCCGCTTCGGCGACGACCAGCTGCAGGCTTAGCCTTGGACTTGGATTTAGACTTGGGCTTGAAGTCTTCATCGTCTTCTTCTGACCCAAAGTCATCCTCTCCGTCGTCATCAGAGGCTTCGTCAAAGGAGCTCTCGGCGGATTCCTCCTCCTCAGACTCCTCCTTGACGACCTTCTTGGCCTTTTTAGCGGCAGGCTTAGCTGCAGGCTTAGGCTTAGGCTTGGCGGCCTTCTTCGGCGCTGGCTTTTCATCTTCCTCTTCCTCTTCATCCTTGACCTTCTTAGATTTCTTGGCTGGCTTAGGCTTCTCGTCCTCGTCGTCTGCGTTGGACTTGCGAGCTCGCTTCTTGGCTGGCTTCTTCTCATCATCACCACCCTGTTCATATTAGCAGTCTTTTCTTCAAACGTAGTACACACACGACTCACAGCAGCGGCCTTTTCCTTAGCCTTGATTTCTTTAGCACTTAGGCGGATGCCGACAGCGCCGGGAACATTCTTCTCCGGGTCCTACGATCGTTAGTAATGGTGTCGTGAAATCGGTATTTTACGACTAACTCCTTTGAAGTCCTCAGCATCAATGTGACCCTGCTTGATGCAGCGCACAATCTTTTCTTTGATATCCTCATCTCTGTGATATATTATTAGCTGTGCGCGAGTTTATGGATTTCAAAACATACTCAATTTCATCGTAGCCGTCGATGGCAGACTCAGGGTCAAAGCCACCACCTTCTTCACACATGTCCCTTAGTCGGGTCATGATTGCGCCAGACGTGCATCCCCTATCGAGTTAGCTTTAGAAGGTAAACCAAGGGAATATAAAATATACCAATGTCTCCAGTGCCAGCTGCCGCGCTCTTCAATTTCCACCCAGGTGCCGAATCTTATCTCGCCCTTCTGGATCTTGACAGCCTCCTTTTTGCAAACGGAGTCTTTGCACCCCGCTCGCTTGTTGGGCGAAACTTCTGCTCTATATTAATAACATGCCACGCGTGTATATTTTATAAGAGGCACTTACCAACTCGGTATTGCGGCATCGTGATGGGCAATGGTTGATAAGCTGCTGATGATGCTGTTGGTGCGTGTTGCTTTTAATGTGGTCCCGTTAGTGAAGCCTGCTAGTACAGCCTCGAGCCGTTAGAATCAGGCACCAGGACGCCAAGACTTGTGATTAATAAAACCCGTGATAATTTGAACGAAAGATAAAAACCGATTTGGAGGGAGTGGGAAATGGGACACAAATAATTGTGCCGAGCCCCTCATTTTGTTTGCCAGCTGCGTGCCAGCTGCCACGCGACAGCGACGCCAAACCACATGTCATGGGGAGTCCATGCACCAGCGCTGTTGTAGGGCACGAACATAGTAAAAGAAACATTTCTTAATTTAATTCCAAAAAATTTAAATCTAATCCAATAACCAAAATACAAAACGCCTATGTTGTTTTCACCCCCAAATGCGCCAAATATATTATGCTTTTCAAATACAGATGTCCTAAAAAAAGGGACACCATCCAATATACATTGCTGTGAGATTCCGTGGATCAACAGCTTGTTTAATCAATTCTTCGACCTGTCCCTCCACACTCAATGGGATCGTCTCGTTCGGTAGCAATCCTTTTACCTTTCTTTTAATGCTGTCGACCACACTCTGGGGCTGCAGCCTTACTTCCGTCTTCTTTGAGGATCTCTTCTCTCGTTGCAAGTCCAGTGTGGGATCGTAGATAAAAGCCTCCAGAATAGTGATCAGAGTCTCTTCCTGCTGGCGCAGAATTCGCAGTGTTAGTTCTGAAGACTTGCGGAACGGGCCTTCGTAGCCGTATATGCCCATGGCTGCCACCATGTTGTGCGTTAGGCGGAATGGCACCCGTTCAGGCTTTGCAAATGTAAGACCCTTGTCAAAAAGACAGTTGAAATCGACATGGAACACACCGCCACTGCCTTCCTCCAAGTTTACGTTTTCTCCGTGACGATCGCCCAATCCCAGGATAGTGCCAACCATGGACATGACGGCGCAGGATCGGGTGTACTTTTGACGAGCTGCAAACCATGCGGACGGGTTGGGGAACTGTCGAATGAACCAAAGTGGGAGAACCGGTGGAAATTGCCCCAACACATCATTGGTAAAGACACCAATCTTGCTTTCAGAAGATGCAGCTTGCTCCATCTGTTGTCGAAGTTGGTTGTAGTCTGGTGAAATCTTCTGTGCCTGGTAGAGATGTAGGAGGATATCTCTCATTGTGCGAATGCCAGGAACCCATTCTATAATACCGCATTCCTCGTTCAGCGGTACCACAGCGTAGGTCCTGATGTACAATTGTCGACGACTTGACTCGGCATCTCGTTTTAAGGAACGATTAATCAGGCCGTTGAACTCCATTAGTCGTTGATCCGTTCTCAAGTCGTCCTTGGGTTTGATGAGGAGCATATAGTTCTTGCCATCGCTACCACGAGCCGTCAGTCGGCGAGGTTTGGCGAGCGAGCTCAGGACCAGGACATCATCCAAGAAGCAGTCAATGGAAACCACATCTCTCGAAAATGGAGAATGGCCCTTCATGTTTTCCGATGCAGCTGGCATAATAGCTGTGAGTGATGACTCAACAGGTACCGCTAGGGCACAAGGAGTGCATTTATGGTTAAAATGCAGGTCTCTGGTCAGACTGGCGTGCACTGTCTTGTTTGCATGGAAATCGCCATTTTGACAAGCAAGCAGAAGCTGATCGGCTAGCCTATCGGCAGCCTTTAGGAGCACCCTCATGTCTATGGATCGACCTTCAGTCTTCCGAGGACTATTCCGCAGTGTTTGCAAAATTTGGTTACCACGGTTCTTTCTCTCTGACACTTGCTTTGTTGTCATGACTCCGATAAGGCTCCATAACGCCTGACGCGGGTACGACTCAATGACTTTGATGATAATCTTTGCTAGCCTCTCAAAGACAGAGCCGTTCGGATGAGCGATACGAGCAACAATCTGTGGCAGAGCAGTGTAGAAGATGTACGCGGGCAGACGATCAATGTACCGATCCAAAAACTTGTTCAACAACATCATCTGTTCCTTCTTGCGCCGCAAAAGAGCTGGTGCTAAGCTGACTTTAGCGTCTGTGGGTTTGTCCATTTGCGCACCAAGATCTAGCCAGAGTGTCAAAACTCTTGGTAGGGTTTGGTAGAGATACTTGGTGCCAGAGTGTAGAGATCGAAGGTAGTTTTCAATGACGATTCTCGTAATCTCTCCGCTTAGGTAGCTATCGCCTCGTTCTTCCATTGGAAGAGCTTGCTCAGCTTCCAAGATTTTCTTGTAGTGGCGTCCAAGATAGTAGTGACCCTTTTCCCAGGTTGGAAATGTCCTGGGCGGCTGTTGATACTTCTCTCGCAGAGCCAGTGCGTGAGTTTGACCAGCAGTATCAAGCCACTTTGCGAGAAGCAGTTGGGCTCGGGCTGTCAAAAGCCTTTGATGTTTATCCAATGTGTTTGCATTGGAACTTCGAGAACTCTCTGTTTGTGTCATAAACTTGTTGCGTTCAATTGCGCCTTGCAACATTTGGATAGCTTTGCGATGGTGAGAGTCCTTCCAAAGCAGCTTCGCATTCTCAATAGTGGCAGAATCATCGCCCAGTTCTTGAGCGTGAAGGACGGCATTGAAGGATCTATGGAGAGCATCAGTCTTTCGAGCAAGTCTAGCACTGGAAAGCCAAAGCGCCGAAATCTCAATGGTAGAGAATTGCTGGCGTCGAAGTTCCATGGCTGCCCGTCGAATGCCTAGCAAGTACTGCTTATCTGCAGAATATGCACCGATTATCTCCAGTCGATTATCCAATGAAGTTAGCGTGGCCTTTCTGTCATTCTCGCTCATGTTCTCGTTGACCTTGAGAATCATCTCTAAGTCAGTCAAAACGTGTGACTTGAGAAGGATTTCGTGAGCGGCCTGCAACGATGCTGTTGCCGAAGTCGTCATGGAGGTCGCAATTTCATCTCGTAACTCCTGAATTTGTGTCTTGAGCTGGCTCTCCCCGCTTTGCATGTGAAGCGTTCTGAATATTTGCGCAAGCGAAATGTTGAAGTCCTGAGTCTTGACTCCATCGTATTGATTTGTGAATTTCGCGAGGCTCTCCCATCGTCCTGTAACCCATGCCGCTTCAACTGCAAAAGGCATGATTCTACCATCGTTTGCGGAGTTGCCTCGAACACCTTCCACGACGTTGAGAAGTACATCTGTCATTAGTTAGCAACTTATTGTGGGAGATAATAGTAAAACGTACCGTATTGTCCCGCTTGTTTCAAGCAGTTGAGGAGTTCCACTTGAATGTTGACGTCGTTTGGACTTTCAGCAAGTCGCATTTCATACCATGTTTGCGCTGCCATCCATCTTCCAGCCTTCTTATGACTCAAAATCTGTTCATACATGTCCAGATTCTGGAGGTGCGTTGAAATACCTTCTAGACCATCGGGGTCGTCAATGTTAGCATATATGTCTTGAAGTCTTTCGAAGAGAATCGTCTTCTCGTCCGAATTCTGCTTTGTTTGTTCCAGCTTTTGCGCATGCTGTTCCAAGTGGAATAGCGCTCTTGCATATTCATTGCAATCAGCTGCTCTTTGGGCGATCAAGCTTGCCGGGATACTATTCAGGATAGCTTGAATTCTCCGAAGATTGTCTTTGTTTTCGCTGCTTAGCGGACCAGCTGAGCGTCGGGCATGGATCCATCTGTTTGCGTAATCGAGGATACGGAAAACAGCCTAGGGTTTGTTAACATAGTGCCTGATTGGACCCTTTCACAAAACTTACATGACAGTATTTCTGGATATCTTCTTTTTCGAAGTATGTTGCGGTTACTGGTGGTATATATTCTAATATGTTGACCAGCTCCATCAGGACCTGCTGCTTCTCTTCTTCTGTACTGAGCGGACCGAGGAGAACATGTAGCACAAGGTATGGGAGCAGAAACTCTGCAACGGAAACATCCTTGACTCGAATAACCCGCGAAAGGGGTTCGAAGAGAAGCTGCGCCTGTGGATGTTGTCCCTTACGCAACAAATCGACGACAAATGCTCTGATCCAGCTACCATAGGTTTTAGAGCCATGGAAAATAGGATATTCAACCGTTACTGGTGGCATTGGCGCTACTATGTAACGAGACTGCAAGAATGGCATGACGACTTCTCGAGTTCTCTCAGGAAGAGCAATCCACTGTCGGTAGATGTCGTTACCGTCCATGCCCCCGACATTTTGCATGGCTACCGCCGACTTGATTTCGCACCTCTCGAGCAGTTCTTGCATGACAAAGCAAAGAAAACCTTGCAGTTTCGTGTCTGTTGCAGACAAAAATGATGGAACAAGAACTTGATCAATCAGGAACAGAGCAAAGTCAGTCATTTCGCGCGACTTTTTGAAGTTGTCCAGAATGATGATTGAAGGACGCTCACGGACAGTTTCCATTTGATTCGAGTCAATACATCCCATCAAGCCCATGGATTGCACGCAGAGTCGGCTGATATCACTTGAACCTGTGTTGTGTTTGCTGGCGCAGTCAAGTAAGCTCCTCATAAGATTGGTAATGGAGTCATTGGATGCCTGACCAACAATGGTTGCGTAGAGGGAAGACTGATGTTCATGGAGATAAGCAACGAGTTCTGTAAGCGCTTGGTCAATGACGCCAGAATTATCATGACGGATTCTCTGCGCAAAAACAGCAAGCGATTCGTCGAAGGTCAATGGCTCTCGCATGGAACCTAGCTTGCTATTTATTGACTTTAGTTCGATGATATGAGCAAGGGATGGAAGCTTGTGGATGTTTTGCTCGAGCAAAGGACCGAAATCTTTTAACAAAGATGACAGCATTCTGGTGCAAATCTCTTTCGACGCAGCGTTGAGCAGTTTCCAGTAGTGATTGATAATGAAAAACGTCGGCTCGAGAAGGGTTTCCACATCCTCATCATCAAAATTCATGAGCATGGAGGCCCAACATGACAAAGCAGCTTCCCGAAGCGAGTCATCAGAGAATGCAGACAGTAGACAGGCGGATATCTAGCTTGCATTAGCAGGTGGCCAAGTGAGGAATGTAGGCAACGACTTACATGCGATCTTGCAGACTGGGCGTGCGATTTGCAGAGTTCAATCATTACTTGCAGAGTTCCAATACAATGTCGCTGCTGCATAACACTTGAGCTGAGTGTAGTGTCTGTTATGACATCGGCGAGTCTCGCCATAATACCAAGAAGATGAGGTTGTAAGAAGCGACCAATGACATCAGGTTTCTTAGTCCTACTTTCTTTGTTGGCTTTGAGAATCAAGCCTGCCATCCACTGCAAAGCCTCTATAGCCTAATCAATGTAAGTATTAATCATTGTGATAATTTGATTGCTCTTACCCGTTCCCTACGTGGGCCTTCGGCATCAGCAGCCGATTTTAGCAGCTCCGTAGCCACAAAAGACTGTTCAGCCTGGATGAGCTCTACTAACGATGACGATGAAAAGTGAGATGAGATGGCAGTTAGACGAGAAATTGCAAACTCCTCCATATTATCAGACTCTTGAATCATAAGAAGAGCAAGAATAGATGGAAGGTTTAGAGTATCAACGATAGGCACCCATACGTCGCTATCCTTGCGAGCATCGGATATTCGTTGAACAATGTCCTTCCGTTTGTCTAGTACAAGCCACGGCATGGCATGCGATTGAATAAGGAGAAGAAGTTCATTGATGCTGATCTGTAGCAGCTCAGCCATGGCACGACTTCGCTGTGGGCGTTGCACCATATCCTTCGTGACTAAATACGCCAGGCTCTTCCAAAATGGTTCAAACAGGCGACGCGGGGTCGTTTGTCGAAACTCAGCCAAGTGTAGAATCTCATTGAATGCTACAGCAGCTTGTATGTGATTGCTGCTTCCAAGGTACTCCAATGACTTGATAAGAACAAGGTTGAGCTCCTCGTCTGGTACGACCCGTCCGATTTGTGTCCAAGCCATGATACGAGTCTCAACCAGGTGTGGTTCATCGGAATTTGATATGGATTTGAGCAGCGCAATAGAGTTCTGGCGGTTGCGTGATAGGAGATAGTCATCGATTAAACCAGACACCTTTGGCGGTATAAACATTGCCAGTGTTCGGGCTGACGCAATGCGGAGCTCCCTGATTGAGCTGTTGAGTGACTGCAGACACCACTGCCCGGGACCTGATGTTTCAAGGTTGATGAATTGAGGGTCGTTGGAATGCGCAACAAGACGCCTCAAAGCAATCATGGCGGCGACACGACATCGTCTGGATTCGACAAAGTAAACTTGACGGACGAGCTGTGTAAATATGGACTGAGTTGACGATTTTATCGATGCAAGCGATGGTGGCCCTTCTCTGATACTGCCGTACTCTTCACTGCACGGACAATAACTGATGACAGCATCCGAATCAGAGCTTGCTTGACAAACCAGTCGAGAAAGTAAATCGATAGCCAAGCATCTATCCGAATCAGAACCATTCTGCAAGCTAGTTCTATCATTGTGTTAGTAGGAGCAAAAGCCTAGAATTCGACCCACTTACAAGATACTACCCTCGTCTAGTGAGGCTGTGCTGGTCGGCTTCTTAATCTCTAACACCTCGTAGAGCGCTTGGAGCAATTCCATAATGGGGTCAGCCGCATCGTCTACTCTCCTACGTTTCGACACACTTCCTGAGTTGTTGGGCTGTGAGATTTTTAGATCAAGCTGCTCGACAGCGGCTCGAATGGTGTCATTTTGGAACAGAGATGAGTGAAACTCAGCGTCTGCTGGCGGGGAAATCGAAGTATCGGTGACTTTGTTTAAGAGTAGTGCACATCGCTAGGAGGTTAGTATGTGATGGCCATTGGAGGACATGCTACTCACCCAGAGATCGGTTCCTTCGACCAGGACAGTGGAATGGACGGCCAATACTGCCAGCTCTCTGGCAATCTTGGATGCCGCTAAACGACAAGTAGAATGAGATGCCATGGAAGCCTTGGAAATATAGACCAGGGCAATCGAAAATGAAAGCCTGGCATTGTCACCGTCCGCTCCTACTTGCGTTAAGTCGTCGGTTGATGCAACTAGCTCGCTGCAAAGTAGAATAAGGGTCGTCCAGATCTTGCCTTCAATGGCATGAGCCGTGTCATCTCTCTCATCGGCTGCTTTAATAACGTCCAGCGCAAGCTCAATCAGGGATATAGGAGAACAAGGCTTCAAGGGCTCCCATCGTTTCTGTGCCTGGCGCAAGTCTAGCCAGATATCCAGTAGCGCTAGGCCATTTTCTAGCATCGGCGATATACAAAAGAATGCTGTCTCTTGGCATGTGAGCGGATATGAGAGAACCCTAGCTAGACTCGCAGCCTGGCGCAGTGCATGCGTAGCAGATCGAACTTTATAGACGATATTATCGGAGGCGATGTGGCTTGCAGAAGGACCAAGGATCTCAATTATAGAATTCGTGGGAAGTTCGAGATCGGATTTGACATCGTTATGGGAGGGTGTTATTGTAGGGGACTGGAGATGATGTATAAGACCTAGAAATATCAGTAAGTTTGGACGACGCTATCAGGCGTGGTGGAGGACCAAACCTGTCAAACAAGACCGCAAGTAGAAGGTCAGCGGATCAGCAATACCAGAAAGCTTGCCGTTCCTGGCTACAACAAGTAGCAAATACTGCAAGAATCCTTCAATGGTGCCCTCTAGATCTTCGCACTTTGGATTTCCCAGCATGCGCAGCAGTTTGGGCAAGATCCAAAGCCAGAGCGGCTCGCTGCCCTGGAACTGAAACTCGTGCCCCGGAGACTTGCACTTCAGCACCATTGGGGTCTCATTGATATTTAATCGAATGAAATTGATTGTTTTTAACGATTCGGCACGCACGTGAGCCCTGTCGACGAAGGGGTCGTCCAAGTTGATGGTGTCGAGAGCAGATCGGCAGTAGACGTAGATGAGCATATGGTTGTGCTCCAGGTGCTCTGACGGTGACTTGAGCAAGTTGGGATCATCCTTGACCCGCTGGATCATGCCCAGGAGGGCTTTCAATTCGCTATTATCATCGGATCGGGACGATTTGTTGGAGACGGAGATGTTCTCGACTAGCTGCGCGGCCAGCGTGGAGGGGGGAGGACCGGCGCCCCGTCCGACGCCTGACATGGTGATGGCGAGGTGGTGGGAGGGCAACAGATTCCAAGCGGCGGTCTGAATGATTCCATCACCTTCTCGGCATTCTCAAGTCGGAAGTATTGCGATGCCGGATGCTGTTGAGGTTTACTGGTTGTGCAAAGTTACAGTGGGCCGTTCACGCTGGCGGAGCTTTGAACCCGCGTTAAGCTGCCCGGCGACGGCGCGTCTGTCGCGTAGCGGCTTTGGTTGGTGGGGTAAGGACACTCACTGTGCCAGGCACACACATTGCGTCAAGCGGCTTGGATCCGTATTGAACAAATCGCTGATTTGATCGATAAGCCCAACTTATAAGTTATGGAGAGTATTAGGCTGCAGAGTTCAATTCTTAATAATTCAGCTTTTTAACAAATAGAATTGATAAACATACTAAAGAGATACTTACTTTAATATAGCTCTGATCTAGAAGTTTGTAAAGATTATACGTAGAACAATTAGTTTTTCATGAGATATTTCGTAAAGAAGCTTTTATAAAGATATATTCTCGATTCTATTCTTATTGTCATGATTCGGCTCTATAAGAGCAAAAGTGGTGGGTGGGGCTTGCGCTACGACGTAATTGACTATTGAGCCAAAATCTCAAAGAATTCGTATTGAACAAATCGTTGATTCGCTCATCAAGTCCAACTTATATAGAAGAGATTGTGTTCAACAAGCCCAATCCGTTACAAGAAGTACAAGTAATTAATTGAACCATGAAAATTTATTATACTAATAGTCAACACTTCAAGTTCTCACCCGAAGACAATGATTTTTAAACTAACCCAAGGCAAGTCAACACGATTTTTCATGACTCCAGATTTATAAGCAATTTCTTGGAAGATATCCCAAATGATCTCGCTGAGCTCTTCAGCACTCTATTATACAAAATTGAAGTCCAAGTAAGCAAGAGTAGCCACATATTCCATGTATTTATTAACTTACACTGTGCTCGAATGTATGCCATGAAATAGGAAAGCGACGAGAACAGGGTGGTTCGTTCCGGCTGGATAAGGCTACAGCCTATACCATCCTCTAGTGGACGGCCCGGTTGGTCCGTTCGGCAGTAGAAAGGCCCCTTCGCCAGGCCTCTGTTCATATGCAACGATACACACCCTTGTTGTGGGACACGCGGCCGCGTGCGGGTGACCTAACTGAAAGGCAGGCAGACGTATAATCAAAGCGGGCGAATGCAGCGGTTGACAGCGGTTCATGCAAGCTATCAATGAGGCTGAGAAAATGAAGGCGCTTCTTTTGCGTGCTTTATGCTTTCAATACGTCTCTCGGCGAGCGCCTTATTTAGCAAGTGCTACGTCAAGTGCGGTGGTGATTGGATATAACAAGTCCAATCCTCACACCCTTTTAAACGAAGGCTTTTCGGTACTTTTCTTACTGCGTCATTCGGTAGTTCTGCTTTGTAGAATATTCCAAGAGTTACTATACGAGGAGACTACGACATGACGCAAAGGAGGGTTGCAGGGATTGAATTGGTGTGTGAGACGTGTGCTTGGATGAATTCGCTCGACGAAGCCGGCTGGTCAGTGCTGACCAACATATCGCTGCATAAGGCTCTTGTGAATGTGCCCGAGGAGAAAGGTGATTATTGGAGAACAATCACTAATTCCGGTAACTTAACATGAGAAGGTTGCGAGAGGTTGATTGTTATCTATATATATTTATGCCGGGTCGTGCACATTTGACCGTGGAGCCTTTTTAACTTCGTTAAGCAAGCTGCCGTGTAACTCTGACTGAGTCAGGGAAAATCTAGCATCATGTTATCGTCGCGATCTGAAACATTTAAGAAAACGCCTGGTCGCAAATCGGGCCGATCAACTAGTCCCAGAGCTGTTGAACGCCGAAGGCAAGTCTTGTCAACCATATTTAGTAACTCTATCTAATTTGTGTTGTAGGTTACAAAACCGGCTCTCACAGAGAAATAGACGTAAGTAGATGGATGTACAAAGATAAGCAATACTTGAAATTAAAAACAACAACAACGGGAGTTACCGTGCCGAGTCTAATCTGCGCAATACAGGCCGAAAGATTAAAGAGGCAGCCATGGAAGGGGGAGCAGAAGAAGACGAAGATGACGACGATGATAACGAAACCGAAGATGCTGCCAAACAAAACAACGCTGAGGATATAGTCTCGCCGCTGAACTTTACCATCGAACCCGAACTTCAATGGCCTCCATCCGGGAGCATGGAGGATTTCAGCCAGGTGGACTTTTCACACTTCACGTCTTCTCAGTCAAGTTCTCCTCCGGTATTACCTACTTTTATGCCATACGAAGTATCCCAGCAGGCGCCCTATTGGCTTCCAGATTCCAACTTTACTACACCAGCCACTGACAATACCCGAACAAACAATACACTTGCTCATTCTGTCTTGTCAATTCCCACCTGCACGTGTAGCAACGTTACCGGGCCGTGCTATTCTCACTTGGAGCAGATTCGGGCGCAAGTACTTGCAGAAACGCCTTCCCCTACATCCATGCAGCCTTTAAAGAATCTAGAACGTGGCATATCAGATATAAACGTCGGAACGAGACCGTTTTCGTCTCTTGGAACGTCTCCGATCCTCTTCACCCCCCCAAGATCACGATCAGAGTAAGTCATTCTTGTCAACTAGTAACAGAACATACGGCGAAAGGCACAACTAGCCAAACTAGCTGCTGCTGACACTTTTCAATAGCAGCAAGAGAAGCAGACTAGCGGACGATGACGGCTCCGTGGGAACGGGATCACGCTCTGGAGCAGATTTGCCCGTCGAAACTAAAGCTGCAAAATACGGCAGCAACAGTAGTAGCAGCCTTTTCGACTCACAGGACATTACATGCCGAATCGAGAGCTTACTCATGGCCGCTCGCAAAGCTGGCTTTCAGGATTTTGATCAAGCTGTAGTGTCCTATTACACTGCGCAATTCAAGAATAACAGCTTGGCAGCCATCTCGCAACGAGCCAGCAGAAGTCGCCGTCTTCGGACCGTTTTGCAGGAATTGCAAGAATGCAGCAGCCAATGGCCTCGACGCGAATCTCGGGGCTTGTACGAAGGGCTGGTAGAAATGACGAGTGAGTCCACCCTACTCCCCGATTCTAAAAACGCTACTTTTCCGCAACGTTTCAGAGAGACTAAGCTAACTTGATTTTTACCATTACAGCATCCTTGTGCATTGAGGAAATGAATCATGTGGACAGAAATGAGAGCTTGGATCTGGTGCACATTGAGCCGGGAGACTTGCTGTCAACGCTGGGCTGGCTCTTTTTCCAGCACGACCACGACCAGAGCGCCAAGTGCGGCGCAGATTGTCTTCAGGGGAGTGCGGTTCCCGCTCAGGTGAAGAAGCTCACGGAAACAATGGAGGCTGCGCAAGATTCGGTGAGTTACGTGGCTTTGGCAAGGCTGCGGTGGGCCTTGGCATGCAACCATCTTTTTACTTTCCGCTTATGGCTGACATGTTTGTTTGCTTTTACCCGTCCTTAGATGTTGCACCTTTGGCCGCTTTTGACTGAATTGGCCGGGCCTCAGGGTCTATATTGCGATAAAATTGCACAGGTTGCGTTGGCTATTCTGTTGTATGCTAGGCGCGTTTAGATATGGTGCCGGTTTGGGATATGGGAATAATATAGTAGAATAGAGTACAGTGAAACACTGCAAAGATTGTTCAACAATTGAAGTCTATAAGCTTGTCTATGTCTCATCCATATATATCTATGGTTCTAGTTGTAGGTCTTATTCCCGTGTTGCTTTTACTGCCTCCAGTACGATGGTGGCGACAGGGACAACTTACGCAGTCAAAGAGGCTTGCAGGGCGAAGACGTGTCTCGCAGCACTGGGTAAGGTATTGTTCGACAGGCCGTTCTCGATATCAAGCATCTCTCGTACCCAAGTGGCAATGCTAGCCACTAGGTGATCAATCTCTTCTTCTGTATTGTGCGCGTGGAAGACGAGTCGAACGCGGCTTCCACCTCTGGGTACGACGGGATATGAAATGCTGTAGGCATTCATGTTGGCTAGAGCCAGATGAAAAGCGAGATACTGCTCATGGCGTGGCTTAGTCTTGATCGGGACCACGTGCGAGTGAACAGCGCGGTGCGCAAAGCCTTCTACTAAGGGAATGTTAAGTAGGCCCTCATCCATGCCTTCAGCGCAGACTGCATCTGAAGAGACTTTATCCAGGAAATGTTTGACAATCTTCTGAATATCATCTTGAGCCTGTAGTTTGAAGTTTTAGTCGGGTTCCACACCTCTAGATGCGATGTTCAGAAGCTGACCTTTTGCGTTGCGCCGCTTATAAGCAGCTCGTAACCTGCACGCATCGAAGCGACCATTGCAAACGATGGCGCACCGCTATAGGTTAGAGTTTTGGACTGGTGAATGAGTGCGCGCCGAACAGTCTTGTTGCAAAGAATGATTCCTTCAACGCTTGTAAGTAAGAGCCATGATACAACGATGAATAGATGGTTGGGTGCTCACCTCCAGTAGATGCTAGTGCCTTGCTGCAAACGTGGACTCGAATAGCAATTTCCTTTTCCAACCCCAACATTTGTACCTTGAAGATTTAGTTCTTCTTTCTTTAATACGGAAAAAACGCGGTCGGAAGGAAAACTCACCAAGCCTCCGCCTCTAGGGCCAATGACGCCGCTGCTGTGCGCTTCGTCAATGATGAACTGAGCGTTGCCAGCGGGGAACATTTCCTTGGCCAGGTCAACGAATTCTCTCAACGGGCACAGGTCGCCTTCCATGCTATAAATGGATTCGACGCATATCAGGATGGACTGCTGGCCCTTGGCGAAGGCAGGCTCGGAACTCTTAAGTCCCTCCAACACTTCCCGAAGAGAGTCGATGCTGTTGTGCTTGAAGGGGATTCTGTTTGTCGTCATGCTGAGCTTCAAGCCAAGATTCGTGCTTGCATGCGAGAGCTCGTCAAATACAATGGCGTCTCCTGGCAGCGCAACGGCTTCCAAGACTCCGACATTGGCGATGAATCCCGAGTGCGCAATCCACGCCGTCTCGGAATTGTGGAATTCTGCAATCATGCGTTCCGTCTCCAAGATATAATTGTAATTGCCGTACTGCACTCTAGACCCAGATGCGCTCAGGCGATAGTCTCCATGGCGAGAGAGCTCGGCCTTGAACCCTTCGCGAATGCGGCCGGTGCGGTTGAGCGAAAGGAAATCGCTAGTTGTAAAGTCAATAACAGTATCGTCCCAGCGCGGTTTAATTGTCATGAGCCCATTTTCCTTGCGGGCCACGTCGAGCGATTGTTCAAGTTTGCGGTAGAACGCTGCATCGTTCTTCATCGATGCCGCGCGAGGGACTTGCTCTTGGAGCCAGGCTTTCAGGAGGTCGTCTGAGTACATTTTAATATGCTTTTACAATAAGTACAATAAATAGATGTAAATATTTGAATTAACCCTATAATAAATTGATTGCAAATGGTGCATTCCGCATCAACATCTATATAGGTTCAACTACAAAGCGGTTTAATTTACGCCTGTCAAAGGTTCTAGTCATGACCAAAATGTCACACAATGAAGTTGATTGACGTATCAGCCATTTTTTTTCTCTTTCTTTTTATCGTATTATTGATTTTCCTATGTTGGCCTTCGTCTTCCAAATCCCAAGTCATGGATGACCCAGGACGAGGCTGACGGGTATTTACGAAAAGCTTTTCTCAATTAGATCCGGACATCAGCAGCCGTTACATGTCAGCACAGCCGCACCAAGCCTTATTTCCCTCAAGTCTAATGGTTAAAACCGCAGGCTCCGAGTTCCGGCTGCTGAACTCGAAAAGGCTGGTATAGCTGACACTGCATATGCACTGGCTGACATCCCGGGTAGGACCAACAAGGTCGGCTTTGAGCGCAGTTGTGGAGTATGGTTTGAGGGTGGCTTAGCACATCTACTGCTTTGGTACCAAAGTGTATACCAAATATAATTGTAAATTAATGTGATTAAATTTCTTGGCATTGAGGTGCTGTTCATGCACAAAGTGACACTGCCACTCTGAACGCGCAAGCTTTTATGACTTGTTGGGCTCTCCCAGCTTTGCACTAGATAATCAATAAGTATAGACTAGCGTGAATAAAACTTGTAAATCTGTTTGAATAGAATAAACCCACCCACTTACAAATAACTACCATAGAAACGCTTTGATATTGATTACACCAACGCCCGTCATGGTCTTCATAGCCTATCGTCGCGTACGCGACAAGCTATGGCCAGAATCTCTGCCGCCTAGAGGCATCTTCGACGGACAATCTGTCCTGGTTACTGGTGCAACAGGAGGTCTGGGGCTTGCTGCCACGAAGCATTTTGTAGCGTTGGGTGCAACCGTCATCATGACATCCCGAACTCTCTCGCAAGGTCTAGCGGCAAGACAACAGATTGAGGACGATATGGGCCATGAAGCAAAAGGTAAAATACGCGTCATGGAATTGGACATGAGCTTGTATGCGTCTTGCGTATCCTTTGTAAATGCGCTTCGCGAGAGTGACGTTGGTCGACGCGGCCTTGACTGCGCCGTGCTCAACGCTGGCGTTATTAGCCCGGATTTTATCGAGAGTAAGCAAGGATGGTATGAAGACAGGTATATCTCATCCTAAGGGAGAAATTAGCTTACAGAATTTAGGGAACAAACGATTCAGGTCAACACATTGAGCACCACGTTGCTGGGGTTGCTGCTGCTGGATTGGATGAAGAAGACACATCAACCAAATCGCCCAACACCGCATATTGTCTTTGTTGCTTCGCGCGATCACTTAGATCCAGACGTCAAAGAATGGACCGAATGGGGCAAAAATGAGGGGATTTTGCGACATTTGAGCAACAAGGAAAACTGGCCAACAGGTCAGGTTGACCCAAACTATGCAGCCAGCAAACTTATGCTCATGTATGCAATGGAGGTTTTGTGCCAGAAGGCTGTGAATGAAGAAAAAGAGTAAGAGAACTCTTTTGTGACAAAACCGTTATTCAAGTTAACATTTTGGCCAGGATTCAGGTTATTATTAACACTGTTTGCCCCGGTCTGGTGTCTACTGATATAGCTCGCTCTATCACGAAGAAGTCCACGCTCATGAGACTAGTAGTCCCCGTTTATCTTGGTGTTCTGGGAAAATCAGCAAATTACGGTGCAAGGTTTTACGTCAGCGCAGCTCTCGAGCCAAAGGCAAATCATGTAAGTGTGGATAGGATGCAGAGGACTATGATTACACTAGCTGAACGTAAAAAAAACAGGGAAAAAATATCCAGTCGCTTTTCTCCGAGGAAGAATATCAAAAGTAAGTATGGAATTCTTTAAATAGCTGAACGTCTGGCTGATTTGAGGCGCAAATAGACTGGCATACGATAACATGAAGAGCGAGACGGCTCAGGAAGTCAAGGGGATGGTTTTGAACGAAATCTGGGACGAGTTGAAGAAGAACGTGCCTAACATGCATAGTTTACTATCAAAGTGAATTCGTCACTATATCAGTTGTGCAATGTCTGGTTTTGGTTGTCTTGCAAATAGTACAGGGAAGGAGAATGATATCCCACAGAGAAGTCCAAAGTTTATGTCCGAAAAGATTTACGAAAGAGAGAACTGTCTCTAATTTAGATGTAAAGCGTGTTATTAGAGTTATACCAAGGGAAAGGGAAGGATACGAGGTGGTTGTATTATGTGATTATGTATATGTTCCACGCCATTCGCGAGTGGCGTACGCCAGTCACGAATCGAACTTCTAAGAGTCTATTTAGAAGGTTTAGAAAAACGAAACGTAGTAATTTTAGTAATAAGAATAGTTATAGCTAATATTAAATAAAAGAGGTAATTTAAGTACTATATTTATAATATGCTAAATAAAGCTTTAGCTTTAGCTCTAACTTATAACTTATATGTTCCACGCTATTCGCGAATCCACGCCATTCGCGAATGGCGTACGCCAGTCACGAATTACTGTACACAAATGCTATACAGAGTGTTATGGACAAGTACTACAAGCAATTAAAACTAAGTAGCTTGATAAAACATAATTAGAATATAAAAAGCTATCTTGGTATAGAATTTTATAATATTTTAACTATCTATTATACTATACTTCTCTTTGCGTAAAATAAATGTTCCACGCGAACGGCGTGGATTCGTGAATGGCGTGGAACATTTAAGCTATAAGTTAGAGCTAAAGCTAAAGCTTTATTTAGCATATTATAAATAAAGTTCTTAAATTACCTCTTTTATTTAATATTAGCTATAACTATTCTTATTACTAAAATTACTACGTTTCGTTTTTCTAAACCTTCTAAATAAACTCTTAAAAGTTCGATTCGTGACTGGCGTACGCCGTTCGGGGATGAGGGTGTTCTTTCACAGTGATATCAAAGACTTCGCTCTCTGGAACAACATATCTTGGATTTGGAAATAGTTGATCAGGTTGGCGATAAAGCCTCTTGCCAATAAGCTCAAAATCCTTATATGCGCGATACCGTAATCGTGAATCCTCCCCGGGTTCTGGAACTAGATTAGATTCGTCAAGATGTACGTGTAAGCGAACCCATTTCGAGTATTCAATGCGTTCTCGGTTATTGTATTCAGATACATGGATGAAGTCGTAAAATGCTTTACGAACATCATTTGGGAATGGGTTGGATATAGTACTATCGTAATCTTCTTCCATTGTATTTGAATTACAGTAGCTATGTAGAGAGTACGAGCAAGCAAGCGTATTACACCCATCTTCCGAGTCACCCACTCTTAATGGCTCGGAAGCCCCTCTTCTACATCGCCTTCCTTGGATGGCGTACGCCATTCAGTGAACGGCGTACGCTATTCAGTGAAGGCCTCATCCCCGAACGGCGTAATTCGTGAATGGCGTAGAACATATACATACTTCCACGGTTCTGTATTAAGAATAACATACAAAGAGCCGTAAAAATAATGGAATGAACATGATAATTAATAATGAAATCTAAAATCTATATAAACCAGCTCTAATCTATCAATAAAGTACGAGTCAATATCCTCAGCCGTCGAGCAGAACCAACAACCGCTCTGCAGCAAACTTGCCCAGAGCCTCCAAAGTTCCCATTCCCAACATTTCCAAAATAGCAATATCAAATCCGAAACTCAACTTCCACCATCCTCTCAATTCTACCGCAACCAGTGAGTCTAGGCCAATGTCAGCCGTGTTCATCTTGATGTTGATCTCCTCATCGTCCGCCCTCAACAGCAGATTAAAAAGCTTCTTTCCAATCTCCAGAGCCAAGAAGGTTGTGCTTTCAACGGATCTAAGCATATTGGGATCACTCTTGACCGATTTGAGGAACGATCGCAGTCCATCGTCGCCACCAGAACCGGCCTTGCTGCTGCTGCTTGCATTGTGGTAGACGGCCATGCGAGCATCCCGACGGAGGCGGGAGTTGCTGTCAGGACTACTTAGAGGTACGGACGGAGAAATACCCAACAGAAAGTTGCACTGAGAGGCGTGTGCTCTGCGGCCTAGACTGGTACGTATGCTAGCCTCGAGCCCGCGGAGCAGTTGAGCTTCTTGAACGACTCGCCAGCCAGTACCTTGCATCTTGCGCAGAAGTTCCGTGTTCTCAGATAGATAGCCAACTCCCTCCATGGCGCCGAGGTCAATGGCAGTGCAAGCAAGGCCCTGGTTCACGCGGTACTGGACAAAGGAGTCTAGGAATGTGTTGGCCGCGGCGTAGTTGGCCTGTCCTGTTTGTCCGACAATTCCGGACAGCGAGCTGAACAAGACAAACATGTCGAGTTCAATGTTTCGAGAAGCCGTTAGCGTGTGAAGATTCCAGGTTCCTTGAACCTTGGGTCGATTGACGTCATCCCAGTCTTGCATGCTCATGCCCTCAAACATTTGATCGCGCAAAACCATAGACATTTGGATGATGCCCTTAAGAGGAGCAACCACTCCATCGATAACGCGAGCGACATCATCCACGTTGGTCACGTCTCCCTGGACAAGCTGAACAGTGCACCCCATGCTTTCAATTTCTCGGGCAAAGTCCAGATCACGCTGCGACTTGCCAGCACTTCGAGACATGAATGCGAGATTCTTGGCTCCGTGGCTTACGAGCCAGACAGACATGGCGCGTCCAAGACCTCCAAGACCGCCAATCAAAAGATATGATGCGCTTGAGTCCAAGAACATGCCGCCCATCTGGACGCCATTCACCTCACCAAGTTCAAGCTTGCCCGTGTCATCACGAAGCTGAAGAATAATCTTGCCAATGTGCTTGCCCTGCTGCATGAACCGGAAAGCGTCTTGGACAGAGGCAGCACTGGTAATCTGCTCGATGCGGATCGGCTTGACGTGGCCTTGGCGGAAAAAGTCCATCATATTTCTCAACAGTCTTGAGGTTCAATTAGCGTTGCATTATCGCTCCATTTCGTGTATATGTGGCTTACCTGCTGACAATGTGAGGTCGTTCACGGCTCATCTGATCGAGATCGACACAGCAGTAGCTACGGTTGTCCAAAAAGGGCGTCATGTCCAGCTTCGCAGCTCCGAGAAGATCTCTCTTGCCAATCTCGACAAGCTTACCCCATTTAGCAATACATTTCCAGGTGGCATGTAGCTGCTCGCCGGAAAGAGAGTTGAGAGCCAGATCAACGCCTTTGCCATTGGTTTCACGGAGAAGATCCTCAACAAATGACGTGTTGCGAGACTGGAAGATGTTGTTACGTGGGATGCCGTATGTGTCCATGAGGTACTTGACTTTTTCTTCACTGCTGACCGTGGTAAAGACTTGGGCGCCTAGCATTTGGGCAATCTGTATGGCCGCGAGACCTACGCCACCACAGCCGCTGTGAATCAATACCGACTGGCCTTGGCAGAGTTGACCAATATCGATGAGGGAGTAGATGGCCGTGGCGAAGACAAGAGGCATAGACGCGCCTTCGCTGAAGCTCATGCTGCCCGGCATTTTCTCGTAGAGAACTTCAGGAGCTGTAACAACAGTCGAGAACGTCTTTGTGCCCATAAATACTGCTCTGTCTCCGACCTTGAGCTTAGTAGCCTTGGGCCCGACGCGACGGACAACTCCAGCAGCTTCATAGCCAAAAGTCGGTATGCGACGGTCGATAATACCCATAGCTACCAAGACATCCTATCAATATGTTAGTATAAATGGTGCGAATAAGATAGTAACGTTACAGATTAGGCAACATACTCTAAAGTTGAGACCAGAAGCGTAAACCTCGACTTCCACTTCGTCTTCCTTCAGGCCCTCGACAGTCATGGGAGCCCAGCAAAGACTGTCAAGACGGCCTTGCTGAGCGATGGATAGAGTTGCCTCCTTGCCTGAGTCGGATGAAGCGGTCTGTTCATCTTCCAGAGCAAAGGGAAAGATTCGGCTGTTGAGAACGTCGCCCTTGTAAATGGCATACTCATAGTCGGCGTTCATAGGACCATCCTGACTACGACCTTGGAACTTTTCCAAAATGGCTGCCAGAGAATCCAGATCGGACGATGACTCCATGCTCTCGGTCTCGCAGACAGCAAAAGAAATATCCATTTCGGAACGCAGCGTGCGAGCAAGACCGACTACAGGTCCGTAGCGAGGATCTTGGCATCCGACGCTGCAGAGCTTGGTAAGCCACAAGAGGCCAGCTCCATTCAGACCATTTACAAATGCCTTGAACTGGATGAAGCGAGCTTCGTTGATATTGTCAAAGAATGGCGTGTCCTGGTCAAGCACAGCGAGGACGTCTTGACCAGCAGGAGGCGTCTGATCAAGGGTGCACTGGGTAATCTCGTAACCTCGACTTTCTAGGCCGTTGATGATGGAAGTGGGAGCATTTCCATTCGTTAGAAGAGTAATCTTCTTGACAGCGATTGCCTTTGGTTGCGGCTTTGCCACAATGATGGTAGACGCCGTCTCCGAGTTGCTGGTGATGGCATCAATATCGCCAAACCCAGCTGCCTTTAACTCCTCTTCCCATCTTGGCTGAGAGATGAAGGGTTCCTCTGCATGTCCATTGAGATCATAGTTCCAAAAGCTGGGCAAGGCGCCAAGGATAAATTTGGTCCAAGCAAGGCCTGGAGCTGGTTCCTGGAGAAGTAAGCGGCCCTCTGGAGCCAAGAGCTGGTGTATGTTGCGGAGACTCTCTTGTACACTAGAAGTACCGTTGAGAACCCCAGAGGCAATGATGAGATCGAATTGGCCTTGCTCAAAACCAGCATCTGCGGCGTCTTGGTTGACGACCCAGGCAACGAATTCCAAGTTGGGGGTGCCCTTGAAGCTCTCCTTGGCACTATTGATAATACCAGACGACGCATCCGCGAATACATACTGTGAATAGAGGATCTGGTCATTGGCTCTGGTGAGGCTTCGGAGGATGCTCTTTGTCTTTGCTCCGAGACCAGCTTCAAGTTCCAGTACTTTAAGGTTTGGCTTGGTTTGTGCCAAAGTAGCGATATATCTAGCATCATCGCATTCTTGCAGGAAGGTCATAAAGTTTTCAAGGTCACCATTTGCATTGAGGACCTCGAAGCCGGACTTTTCGCCCCGCAAGACAAGCTCAATGTTGTTTAAAATGGCATTGATGGCGTCTGAAGCATGGGCAGCAGAAGTGCCTTGGAGACGATGTCTGAGACTTTGCATCTTCTGAAAGGATGCAGCAACGTCGAGATCATGCAAACTGTCGACAGTGCACTGCTGAAGCAGCCAGCTTTTATACTTTTGCAATGCTGTCGTCGAGGCCTCAATATCTTTGATGAGAACTTGAGATAGGTTGATGGCGGTCTGTGCAAGCTCAGTCAAGATGGGCAAAGCGTCGTTTTGAACGCCAGAATGCTGAATAAGATCTTGCGTCTTCTGAAAGTCGATATGAGGAACCCATTCGACGCGAGCAGTCAAAGGCATGGCATTGTCCTCTTCAGTTTCTCCTTCTTCAAACAAGGAGATACGGACACCAGATGCTATAAGCACAGCTTGGCCATTGTCAGCGACGCACTCACCGTGACCAATCAGACCATCCTCGGTAGAGACGGTAGTAGCAGCCAAGCTCAGCTCGGGGGCGCTGTTTCGGTAAAGCGTCAGAGACTCGACGCTCGCTGCAATGAGGCGTCGATACGTGTGGGCAACGCCGTTGGCGCGAGCAACGCTCAAGAGCTGAAAGTACGAATCCAATATGACGGGATGCAGATGATACTGGGATTCTTGGCCCCATCTATTATTTTCCATCCATCCAGTAGCGCTGAGATCCCCAACACCAGTGGTGCACTTGACGTCCTGCAAGGTCGTGAAGAGGGGGCCATAGTTGAGGCCGGCCTTTCTCAGCACATCCTGCCATCTTCCCATGTCTACTTTGCGAGGAAGATCTTGCACCTTGCAGGCAGCCACCTCTTTGAAGGATTCACCGCGGACCTCGCCAGAGCAGTGCTTGGTCCAGACGTGGCCGTTGTGAGATGCAATAGTAAAGTCCCACCAGAACTCACTGTTGAGTGAGTCTGTAAGTCGATGAGGACGAAGAGTAGTCACAAGCTCAGTCGGTGCCTCCTCGTTGATGAGCAGCGCATTGCTAACGATTACGTGACGCAGAGACACGCCATCCTGTAAACCAGACATTTGTCGAGCAGCTTCGGCCGCCATGCCTACATAGGCTGCAAATGGAAAGACGATGCCGTCGTTGAGCCTGTGATCAGCCACCCAAGGAACATTTTCAATGTGCAACAGGTTTCGCCAGACTGGCTCAAGGTCAGTGCACTCGGGAACGCGAATACCCAGCAGATCGTGGTGAGGATGCTCTCGCCATCGCCACTCCTTGGACACGCGCGATTCGTGCCAATAGCGACGCTGGTGGTCCCAAGGGTAGCGAGGCATATCAGAGACGACAGTTCCTCTCGGAAATAGAGTAGTGAAGTTGACATCAACGTGATGCGTAAAGAGCTTGCCAAGAGCTGTCAGGAAGGACTCGACGCTGTGCTGGTTGCGTACGAGTGAAGCAACATAGGGAGCATTGCTTCCGTTGTGTGTGAGGATCTGTCGTAAAGGTCCAGCCAAGGCCGAGTGAGGACCAAGCTCCAGGAAGAGCTCATTCTCAATCTCAGGGTAATGGACGATACCCGCTACCGCAGATCGGAACAGGACTGGCTTCTCCAAGTTGGCTCTCCAGTACGACGGGCCAAACCTGTCGTTGGTCTCGAGACCAAAACGCTTTCCCGTCATGCTAGAGAAGAAGGGGATCACAGGCTGTCGTCCGACTATGCCAGCATCCTCCATCGACTGCTGATAGTCGGCACCAAGGAGCTCCATGTGGTGAGAATGATATGCCTTTTCGACCTTGAGCATCGTAGCAGGAACGTTGGGATGTGCCTCTTTGACAGCAGCGACAACTTGCTCGAGCTTATCCACATCGCCAGAAAGAGTGACGCTGTTGGGCGCATTGTCACAGGCAATAACAACGCCAGGCGCAATGTGCTTCTTGGCCACTTCCCAGCCAAGGCCAACCGCAGCCATGCCTCCTTGCTGCGTCTGGACTTTTGTAGTAGCGCCGCGTAGGAAAGCAGCAACAATGGCCTCGTACGCAGTTAAACCCCCGGCGGCATATGCGGCAGCAATCTCACCAGAAGAATGGCCAACCACAGCAGCAGGCGTGACGCCCAGAGAGGCAAACAGATCAAGAAGGGCAATCTGCACGGCTGTGCAAAGAGGCTGAGAGAATTCAGCTTCATAGACGCGGCTCGTCTTAGCTGGCTTACAAAGCTCATCGACCAAGGACCAGCTGGGAGCAATCTTGCCCAGGGTCTGAAGCTGAGCGTCGAGAGACTTGACACTGTTAGCAAAGATTGGGTTAGTAAGCAGTAGCTCTCTTCCAAATCGGGGCCACGCTGCGCCTTGTCCGGTGAAAACCATGACCAACGACGGTGCAGCTTGTCCAGCCTTTCCAGCATCTTGCACTGGCAACTCTACTGCGGCGTCAAAGGTATTCTTTGTCACGACAGCAAACGATCTGTGGCCCAGGTGTTCTCTTCTTGTTGCCAAAGTTAGGGCGATATCCTCGTAGTCTAATTCTGTTTTGCCTAGGAAAGACCGGTGTATCTGAACGAGATCCTTCAACGACTGTGCTGTATTCGCAGAGTATACCATGAGCTGCGGCTTGGAATCACTGGCTCGGATGCCATGCAGCGGTTCAGGGTTAGGATTAGTCCTATATCTGGCAGCAGACTCAACAATGACATGGGCATTGGCGCCGCCCACACCAAACGAATTAATACTAACTCGTTCGTCACGATCAGCAGGCCAATCCTTTGCCTCGTGAGGAACTGTAAGCTTCTTGTCTTCAAAGGGGATCTTGGGGTTGAGCGGCAACGACTTGATATTGGGAGGGATGGTCTTGTGCTCGAGAGCCAGGACGGCTTTGAGCAGAGACGTCAGGCCAGACGCTCCCTCAGAGTGGCCCAAGTTAGGCTTGACAGAACCAATGTGAACTCCATCTTGGCCAAAGACGGCGGCTACAGCACTAGTCTCAACGAGATCACCAGCACTCGTGCCAGTTCCGTGGCACTCGAAGAAGCCCGTCTTGGCAAAGTCGGAGATGCCAGCGACCTTGTATGCCTGTCTAATCAACGCCTCCTGAGCCTCAGGATTAGGCATGGACAAAGTAGGCGTCTTGCCGTCAAAGTTGGTCGAAGTGCCAGCAATAACGGCCCTGATGGGGTTGCCGTCGGCAATGGCGGCATCTAGGGACTTGACGTAAAAGGAGACAATGGCCTCTCCTCTAGCATAGCCGTTGGCCGCAGCAGAAAATGTCTTGCACGAACCGTCAGGGCTCAACACGCCTTGCTCAGACATGGCGGCCATTAAACTGGGAGCCATGATAATGCTGCTTCCACCGACAATGGCGGATTTGCAGTCTCCTCTGGCAATAGACATGCATGCTTCGTTGAGGCCCACAAAGGCAGAAGAGCAAGCTGTGCGAATAGTCATACTGGAAATAGTGTTATGTCAGAAAGGGGATTTGATTGCATCTTGTAGCACCGAGGCTTAGAGTTGCGTACCTTGGACCACGAAGATCCATTTCATGAGATAGTCGCTCAGATACCATAAAGTCGTGCGTGGCAGTAGCTTGGTAAATGCCGTACTTTGAAGAGTCTTTGTTAAAGGCGTCGTACCAATCTTGTGAAAAGGTGCCAACGTATACGCCAATGTTGCTACCTTTCCAGCCAACTTCGCCGGCGTCGTCAATAGACTCTCTAGCCACTTCTAGCAGCAATCTCTGTTGAGGATCGAGTCTGGCCACTTCATTGCGTGGCATGGAGAAGAATGAGATGTCGAGAGCCCCGATGTCGACATCCTCATCGAGAAAGTAACCGTACTCTGTAATTGTGGCACCAGGTTTCTTTGTCGAGGAGTGATAGGCGTCAATGTTGAAGCGGGACTTGGGGACGCGGGTTCTCGCATCACCTCCTTCCAAGAGAAACTCCCACAGCTGTTCTGGAGAAGCAATGCCTCCAGGAAGACGACACGCCATGCCACAGATGGCAATAGGTGAAAAGATAGACTCGCCATTCTGGGTGGCGTCGTTTTGAGTAGCTTGACCGTTCATGATGCCATTGCTGTGAACGTTTCCATTCGTTGTGCCGTTGGCATACATCCCGTTCCCATTGACACTATTATTGACAATAGGGGAGGGATAGGAATCATCTTGAGTACTGTGGATGGCGACCATTTTGAAGGACGTATTAAAAGATGAATAAAGTGAAAGGTACCAAAGTCGAAGTAGTCTACTAATATTATTTTGAATGGAAATGAAGAGGCAACGATGGTCTTATGAGTTGAGTCTGCTCTAATTCTATTTCTCTGACTAGAAGTAGCAGCAGCAGCAATCGTCTTTTATCAAGTCTATGAGCTGGCCGAGCATAGAGTTCCGATAAGCACAGATACACTGACGGAATACCACTATCGCCATGATACACAAACAAGGCTTCAGTATGTTTCCGCAAGAGGTCGAAGCCAGAGTCAGCAAGTCTAGGCCGTTCGTCAAACCGTTCGTTTCCCCGAGCCTCATAGTTCATGTGCAGTTCTCTCGGCCTTACTGGAACGTGTCGTGCGTCCTGCTTGCATAGGGCTGCCTGACGTTGAGGCTGGCTACTCTCTAGGCAGTCGCCTTGCCAAGTCTTCAGCTCAATGCAACGTGACAACGTGCTATTACGCCACGTGAATGTGAACTGTCACCCATAGTAGTTCGTGAGGCTGAAGCTTCAAGTGTCGACGCTACGGCCCTCGGATTTATGCTTCATCTCGGCGTCTAAAAGTCTGGCTGACAGTCAGCCAAGGCTATTGCAAAGATGAAACTATTCGAACGAGCTAGAAGTAAGCGTAATCATCGTTATATCTCCGTTTCCCTACGCGATCGTTCTACTACACAGTTTGTAATACTCCTTCTTACGTTCGGACTTCGTATTATCAACGATGCTTCTTTTGCGTTGACAGAGGTGATATTATAGGATAAAGACTTGGTTTCCGCTCTTTGACAAGTTGACTAAAGACGTTTCATCTATTCCTATTGATCTTCGCCTTCCAACTTTGAAAATATTATTCAAAACTTTCCACCCACTCTTGTTTAGCTGAACTTAAAATGACTGGTTTTAACCTCGAGACCTGCGCGCGTTCCAATATATTGGCTTTGCAGCCATATCACTGCGCTAGAGAGTAAGTAAAAACCACCAAAGCCAAAATCAACATATACTAATAATACGTTTTCAATATAGTGACTACAACGTCTCTACTTCGGACGCTCTACTAGATCTCAATGAAAATGCGTTTGGGCCTGCTCTTCCCGCGGAGATCACGGCTGTGGACAAGGACATTCACCCTCTGGATCTGCACCGCTACCCAAGTCGCCTACAAGAAAAGCTGAAGCAGCAGTTGTGCGACTTTCGCAATACTTATATCCACACTGCCAAGGACCTAGTCCCGGAAAATGTCTTCCTTGGCATCGGCAGTGTCGAAAGCATTGATGCTCTGATTCGGTGCTTTTGCATCCCTGGAGAGGATCACATTCTGATTTGTCCACCCACGTACGGCATGTATGCTGTATCTTCCCAAGTCAACAATGTCGGTGTCGTATCCGTTCCGCTAAAGGAAGCACCTGATTTTGCTCTGGATATGGACGGCATTCTTGCCGCCTTGACTAGGACGCCAACCATCAAACTTACGTATCTCACTTCTCCGGGGAACCCGACAGGTTCGCTCCTGGCCAAATCTGATGTCGAAACGATTCTTGCTCACCCAACGTGGAACGGAGTTGTCGTTCTCGACGAAGCATATATTGACTTTGCAGACGACGACGCCTCCCTCGCCGGTCTCGTCACGGAGTACCCAAACCTCGTTGTCTTGCAAACGCTTTCCAAGGCTTTTGGACTCGCTGGTATCCGTCTTGGAGCGACATTTGCGCCAATTCCCATTGCGAACCTCTTGAACAACCTAAGAGCGGCATGGAATATCCCAAGTCCCACGAGTATTCTGGCAAGCTACGCCTTGTCCGAGGAAGGTATCGCTGCAATGGTCGCCAACAAGCAAAAAACCAAGTTGCAAAGAGACCGACTGGTCGACCAGCTGCCCCGAATTAGCGGTGTTGGACGCATTCGCAGCGGAAGCCACAGTAACTTTCTAATGTTTGAAATTCTTAACACTCGTGGAGAGCCTGATAATGCCGTGGCTGCGGTAGTATACGACAGGCTTGCGGCCACTAGGGGTGTGATTTTGCGTTATCGGGGAAGCGAGCCGGGGTGTCTTGGTTGTCTCAGAATCTCGATTGGCACAGAAGACGAAACAACGAGATTCTTAGTAGCCCTTCATCAAGTCCTGCAGGGCATGGGGAACGACGTGTATCAGAAAGTTGAGGCTGGGAGCCTGACTGCAAAGGAACCTGCCAAAGAAATGGTGGATGATGCAGATGGTCTCAAGGTGTATTAGACTCTCCAGCTGCATAAACCTCGCATATTATATTTAGAACTGTGAGCGTAGCAATTGATTTAGAGTAATAGAACAATATATGGTTGCCCCCGACTTCATTTCCTGGTTTCTTTCAAGTATACTGTATTATATGGGCTTAACAGTTGCGTGAAATTATAGAAATATATCTTTCCTTGAGGTATTGTCCGAAACCCCATTATTGATTTAATACTTTTTGTACGATTTTTCATAAATTGTGACTTATTTGCAGCCCTAAAAAATTAAAAATTATTGCTAAGGGCCCAGTTACGACAACTTGGATCTAACGGTTTAGGCTGAGGCTGACACTAGGCTCAGTCCAGCCTTATACGTCAGCCACTAGAATGGTCACCATAGTTAGACCGCAGTTTATGTATGTTTTGGAAAGTAATCACGGTTGTAAGCCAACCCAAAGCATAGCAAACTATGTTCGTAACGATAACGCTGGCGGAATTATGCCAGGACGAGTTGCCCAATCTCGGCAGGGTGGACATGGCAACCAAGTGGTGCCACATACATATTGGCAGCGGTTAGCTTGACATAATATAGAAGAAAGCAAAAGGAATAGCTCTTCTTACTCTCGAGGCCTTTCCAGCTAATTATCTAGTAACAATTGACTATCTCTTTTGGAAACGAAACGATATGCCTGCCACTATGAACGTAGTCGCCGGATACATCTCGGAGGACTTTTTAATTACTTCGTTTAGAAGCAAAGGTAACTTGAACTTTCATATATCTGGAACGTTAGAAATTAATCTCTCATAGCACCAGTTCGCGTACATTGTCGATGGAGAATCAGTAGCTCTCAATCTCACGAATCGAGACGTTATTATCATACGCTGAACCTCTTTCTCAGCGTCTTTCCCGCGCCGCTGTATCGAAACGGGACCGAGGTGCACTTAGACCTACCAAATGGCCGTGGAACTGCGGTTGAAACCCTAGCTCGACAGGCTTGCTATGACGACAAAGGAACCCCCAAACGAACCGAGGTCGCTACCAAGGTCATTTTGGCTTGCGCGGACGGATACCTATGCCGGAGTGATATTCTCGACCTTCGCATGAGACATTCGGAGTTTGCGGATGGCGTTGTTTGCTTTGCAGCTTGGGATCGACGCATTTTCTCTTACACGAGGTACAGTAACGCTACCACGCTGCTCCCTCTTCTCCTTCGTTCTCCCGGAGCTATCATCGCAAACCACTCTCCGGTGCAAGATCCGCAAGCGTGGTCTTTGCTGCAAAGAGATATAGAGATGAGAATGACGTTTGACTGGATCATATCAAAAAAGCCTGCTGCTTACAAGGTTGCGCTTGTCGCCGGTCGTCACATGTACGATTCCAAACGAGGCACGTATCGAGCACAAGGATTTTTTGAGGCTGCCCACGCTCTCGGCATTGCCATTATTGTCTTGGATGAGGAGGGTCACTGGCTACAAGGCGATACATATGCGCATCTTCGCCATGACTTTGTGCCAGTGAAGCTATCCGAGACGGAAGGACTGTCAGAAAGGCTCGTGAAAGCAGTGGCAAGCAGGGATATTGACGGCCTTGTCACATTTACCGACGAATACGTTCTTGCCACAGCCGCTGCAGCAGAGAAGCTGGGTCTACCAACAGAGCCCTTAAACGCAATACAACTGGCCATCCACAAGCATGAGATGCGACAGGTTGTCAACAACACGGGTATTCAGACGCTATATCTTAGCAACGCAAGCCAGATCAAGCAACATGCTAAGAGCGTAGCCGCTTTCCGCTACCCCCTAATTTTGAAGCCCTCATGCGGGCGATCGTCAGCAGGCGTCGTCAAGGTCAATAACGAGGTCGACATGAGAGCCGCCCTCAACGCGCTAGACCGCAACAGCCTAGTTGAAGATGGAATCTTGATTGAGCAGTTTATCGATGGACCAGAGCTGGACTGTAACTTTGTCCTTCGCGACGGCAAAGTGCTATTTCTTGAAGTCACAGATGACCTGCCATGTGCTGGAGACGCAAATGACGCTACGCCCAATGATGACTTTTTCGAAACCGTTATGATTTCCAACAGCGGCCTCCCCACTAAAGAGCTTCAAATGGTTGAAACTTCGTTGCAAGACAGCTTGGCCAAGCTTGGGCTTTCTTGGGGCGTCTTTCATGCGGAAGCTCGCGTGCAAAACTCATCTATGGAGTACCGAGATACCGAGAGTAACGGCGTGCTAGATCTTGCGGTTCGCAAAGCTGGCCCATTGGATTACGACACCCAGGCGTCAGATGCCTTCCTCATCGAAGTCAACGTCCGGCCACCCGGCGTAGGTGGTGCCTGGGCGGCCATGTACTCGTATGGCGTGGACTACAACGCCTTGCAGCTCCTGCGAGCCGTCGAAGATCGTCAGCGATATGACGCCTTGTCCCAAGCTTTTGCCTTTCCTCGCACGTCTGGCGGGGGTGGTGGTGCGCAGTACTGGATGGCACAGTGTATGATCCCTGTGCACCGTGATAACATTCGAGTTCCCGGAGACTTCTTTGCGAGACTATACAATGAGGTACCGGATATCCAGCAGTATGTCAGCAAGGCCGAACTGCATGCCAAGCCAGGAAGTATCGTTTCGAAAAGCGGTGGTGTAGGACTGATTGCCTATCTCCTGTTGCATTCTCGAACGAGTAGGAGACACGTTTTGAACATGTATCATGAGGTGACTTCAGCAGCCAGGAGGGTGCTGGATCTCAACCAGTGATGTTATGGTATAGAGTAGAGCTTATACTAACACCCAATAAAGCCACGATATCCTGAACTTGTCTTATTTCCATCGCGACCTTCTAGAATAGGAAGATGAGTACATGTACTTTTCCTATTATCATAAACCATCTTGAAGCACGTTAAATACTACTATGGCAAAACATCATATAATTTTCATACCTTGTCGCTAAAAAATGCCTATTGGATTAGTTGGGACATTCGAAGACTATTGTAGACGCAAAAACAGAAGATACATTAGAACTTAATTTAATACCAGTTTAAATACTTCATTTAACTTTTAATTACACAAATAGTCTTTTCATATTTGCTTTTTTTGAGGTACTTGATTATATTATTCTGAGCGTGTAAGCCAAAGTCAGCCTCTTGTAAACTGGTAAGCCGCAAGTCACCCGGGCCACGAGGCTGCATCGTCAGCCAGACATACGTCAGACAACAACCCAACGTCGAAGAGGCTTGGTAACAGAAGTTATGGTCATGGCTGATATTGCTGCATCAAAACGACATGAGCTCTCTAATATTATATCGCATAGCTGCGTCCTCTAGCACACCACGGCACACCGCATACGCAGCACAGTCGCAATCAATCAAGAATGGGAAGCCGCAGTACGAAACAGTTAGACATCGCCATCGTCGACCTTTTTGATGAACATGCTGCCAAAACACCAGACCGAATTGCCGCCGAGTGGGAGGGCCAAAGCCTTACGTATTCCCAGCTACGCAATGCCTCTCTTCACGCTGCGAAAGCGCTCCTCGCTGCAGGCGTCCAGCCGCGAGACAAGGTCCCTATTCTGACGCAAATGTCGCTCGAAATGTTGCCAGCAGTCATTGGTATTCTTCGCGTCGGAGCGTGCTACGCACCCATAGACGTTGCTGTTTGGGGCCAAGCAAGAGTCGAGGCGGCGCTCTCGCAGCTTTCTGCGCCTATTGCCATCGTCACGGCGTCCTGTCCCGTGCTGCAGCTCCCTGCTATTACCGTCAACTTCCAGCAGCAGTGGCTCCGTGATCCGGTATTGGATGATCGCCTAGTCTTGAGGCTGGGCGATATTCGCAGGGCCATGCGAGCCGACGACTTGGCTTGGGTCATCTTCACATCTGGCACTACTGGAAAGCCAAAGGGCGTCATGATTTATCATCGGGCCATTTCAGCGCTAGCTGCATTGAATCACGGGGATGAGCTGGAAGCTGCCGCTGCCAGAGGCATCCGATGTCTCTTGGCCTTTTCCATTGCCTTTGATGGCTGCGCTGCCGTAGTCTGGACAACACTGACAAAGGGCGGCACGCTGGCCATGGCGTCGCCATCCAATTTCCCAGATATTGCTTCCAAGTGCGACCTGCTTCACTTGACGCCATCCATGTTGGCTATACTCGACCCATCAGGGCCCTACGAGAGTGTGCGGTACATCTTCTTGGGCGCGGAGGCCCCCAACCTCGACGTCGTGCGCCGTTGGATCACGCCTAAGAGAAAGGTCCTCAACACGTACGGACCCTCGGAGACAACGTGCATCATTAGCTTGGGAGAGCTCAAGCCTGACGAGGAGCCTCCGTTTGGCGATTTGCTGCCCGGTGTAACTCTCGCTCTCGTCGATGAGGATCTCCGCGAGTGCGACTATGGCGAGGTCCTGATTGCTGGTCCGGGAGTAGCAGCAGGATACCTTGGCAACCCTGAGTTGACAGCACAAAAGTTTATATGGTGGAAGGGCCAACGCTTTTATAGAACTGGTGACATGGCTCGCCGTACCGTGGACGGCCAGTATCTATGGGCAGGCCGCGCTGATTCCCTTGTAAAGAACCGTGGATTCCTTATTAATCTAGAGACAGAGGTTGAGCCAGCCATGTTAAGCTTCCCTGGGGTTCAACGAGCCGTGGCCATGAAATTGCGAGATCGTCTTGTTGGGTTCGTGCAGCCATCTACAATTGATACAGAGGAGCTTCGCAGCTTTATCAAGGCAAAGGTCGATCCGTTTATTGTCCCTGATCAAGTTCTGGCCGTGGATACCTTCCCGCTCAACGCGAACTCCAAGACGGACAGGCGTGCTCTCGTGGCGCAGCTAGACGAGAGGGCATCACAAGCAGAAAGCAGTTGGGATCAGATGGGACACGACATCTCGTCATACGATGCGTTGCGCATGGCCTTTGCGGTCTGCTTGCATGTACCTTTTGACGAGGTCAACAGCGAGTCTTCCTTTACACGGCTTGGCGGCAACTCGCTCGCCGCCATTAGACTCGCCAACGAACTCAAGCAGCACGGCCACTGGATCTCGGTTGCGCAGGTCCTCAAGCTCGACACCATTGGACAGCTACAAGACAACGTTGTTAGCCTAGCTACTGTCGATGAGGGCCAGGAAGTAAACGGTGGCGTCGACGCGTCAGAGCCCATCCCTGCCACGGACGTTCAACGGGCCATGCTCAGTCGATCATTCAACAATACTTCACTCTATGCCCTCATCGGCACAGCAAAGTACATTGGCGACATCACCACCATTCCCAGCTCCAATGACCTCCGTAACGCTTTCGGCAAAGCGCTCAAGGCTCACAGCATCTTCCAAACTCGCTATAACCTCAACGATATGACCTTTTCTCATGCAGAGCGGCAAACTCTCGATTGGCACCAAGTTACTGTCGAAAAAAGAGAAGATTTTGACAGCGCTTGTGAAGATTCCGAGGCCAGAGCCTGGCTGGACCTCAGGAACGTGACGCCAGCAGATCTCGAGATGCCCTACTTTCATGTCACGTGCGTCGCGGCGTCTGATGGCAAAGCTATAGCATTTGTCACACGTGTACACCACGCCTTGACGGATGTATTCTCTTCAGCCATATTTCTTCGCGACGTTGAACAAGCGTTGGCAGGAAAGGAAGTTTCTCCTGGCCCGCGTTTTCAAGACTATGCCAAGTTTATGCTCAAGTACAAGCAGGCCAACTTGGACAAGGCGACTGTATTCTTCAAGAACTTTGTGAAGCCCCTACCTACCACAGCTGTGTTGCAGCCTCCGGTTCCTGAGATTCAGCTCGCTCCAGATGCCATAGGCCTGCTTCGTCTGCCGTCTCCCTGCGCCGTCAGCAAATCTGCGCTTGACCAGGCCACACGCAGCAAAGGCATCACCGCTAGCACTATCGTCTACGCCGCCTGGTCGCTGTTTCTAGCCAAGATCTCGGGATGGGATCGCGTCGGGTTTTCTCTCAGTATGTCTGGCCGCACTATTCCCTGGCCGTGGGCGGAGGAGATTGTTGGTCCTCTGACAACGCGTGCTCCTTTTAGCACGGCGGTCCCCTCTAGCATGACTGTTGATGAATGGCTGTCTGGCTTACACCAGAAGACACTAGACGTTCTTTCATTTGACGGGCTGATGCATTCCTTGCCAGACAGCATAATGCAGGACGAACGTACAAAGTCCACTGTCGTGCTGTGCCTTTTGGATATGCCTCTGCCGTCAGCAAACTGGACGTTCAGCGATAAACAGGATCAGCCGCTGATGATGATGTGGCACGTGGCTCAGCATGGCAATGAGCTGAAGACCGAAGTTGACTTTAATCTGAGACGAGTGGACATGGAGTGGGCTAACGAGGCAACAGATGTTCCTGGCAAAATGTTAGATGCACTGGTCAACTGTTCCAAGACGACTCTGGTCGGTGATTTACTCAAGTTTTAGATTCAAGCGAGTAAATTTGGTTTATAGAATATAATAAACACTATGGGCAATTTTTATTTATTTATTTATTGAAGCTGGTGTTATCCTCACCTGTGTTTGTGTTCACCAGTTTTGAGCCTGCCCGATACACTGCGGACCTGGTTCTTATCGTAAAGTATTTCTCAATAATTATTAAAGAGTTGCCCAATTGGTCCCCTAAAAGCAGTACAACTGAAATGTTTACTAACATTTTATCAAGTAATATTTATTAAGCGCTGTATGTACCGTTGCGTGCCGCACGTTTGTTGACGTTATACTGTTACCGAATAGGCGTTAGTACCAGGTGCGAATTCCAAGCTGTCCGTCTAACAGCTTTGAGTCTGACAGTGCATGATGGGTGACAGAAGCTGTGTAGATGCCCACATAGTCAGCCCAGTATACAGATGGTAGCTCTCTCAAGGACCAAGAAAGACAAGGCTTCGTGCTGTACGCAATTATAAGCCGGGTTGCTGCTGAGTCGCCGGTCAATGACCGCTCCAGATCTGAAGAAGTGCAGAATATTGAAAGAATATTCTAGCAAAACCTGGCGTCACCATGCACAATACAAACAAATACCTTTTGGCCAGGCCCATAGACGAGCCCATTGCAACCGCCTCCCTCATTCCGCTACTGGCGTCACCACCGTGGCACCCGGTCCCGGGGACATTCAATCTACGGGCCGTCTCCCATGATGCGTGCCTAAAGGGAAACCACGTTTACCGCTCTGGGTTGCTAAGTATGATTTCAGATGCCGGAAAGAAGGAATTGGTGGATGTGCTGGGTATTCGTGCCATCTTTGACTTTCGGTTCAATCAAGAACGCGAGAGCGAGCCCGAGCCCATTCTGCAAGGTGTAGCGAGTATTCTCACAGAACAAGATGAAGAAGATGCAGAATGGACAAGCGTAGGTCATCGTTGGGGTTTGATGTACAACTAGGCTGACCTACTACGACATAGTTGATAGACATGTACTTTTCCTTTCTCGAAACGCACAAGTCCATTTACAGAAAAGTGTTTCTACACATTTTGAATAACCCCAAGTGGCCATTTTTGGTCCACTGCACAGGTGAGTGCGCGAGGCGTGTCTTAACAGGGTTGGGACTAACGAGTCAAAGCTGGCAAAGACCGCACGGGAGTTGCTGTAGCGCTTATCCAATCCATCGCAGGCGTTCCCCGAGAAGACATAGTGTATGAATACACATTGACAAGAATCGGCATCGAGCCAGTTCGAGATCTACTACAAGCAAAGCTGGCTGGTGGAGACGGGTCCGAGGTTGACTGGGATAATGAAAACCTCAAGACAATTGCTGGATGCATGTATGTATTTTTATTTTGTTAAAAAGGGAGCTATTCAAGCTAACGTGCATAACCAGTGCTGAAACCATGGAGGTGTTCTTGGATAAAATGCAAGAGAGATTTGGCAGTGTCCATGGCTATGTGAAGACGGAGCTGGGATTTACCGATAAGGAGATTGAAGTGATTAGACAGAATCTGCAGCCCGAGAATTTGTGAATGTAGGGCTGTATTAAGCAATCAAGGTGTATTCTGTAAGTGGTTTGTTTACACTAAAAGATCATGCGGCTTCTCTCGGTTCTTGAACACGCTGGGGACAACAAACTTGCATTCTATAACTCGCAGAATAAATAAGTTACAGAAATACTATCACTAATGTAACCGCATTATTAATACTCGTTTTGTACCTGAATAAAAGATACTCCTTAATCTAATGCCTGGTCGAGAGCTTGCCCCTTGCACATCTCAAAATAGCTTCCCCTTTTCGCCAGCAATTCTGCATGCGTGCCCATCTCGACAATCTTACCACCGGCAAAGACACATATGCAATCTGCATCTTTAATCGTGCTCAGCCTATGCGCAACTGCAATGGTACTTCGCTTGCCGTCTCTGGCGGCCTCGCTCAGGGCAGCCTGCACCATCTTCTCACTTTCGGTATCCAAGGCGCTCGTCGCTTCGTCGAGGAGCAAGACCTTGGGATCTCGAATCAAAGCGCGGGCAATGGCGATGCGTTGACGCTGGCCACCCGACAAACGAGAGCCGCGCGCACCTACGTCGGTGTTGAAGCCTTCAGGCAGTGACGACACAAAGTCGTAAATGTTGGCGTCTCTGCAAGCCTGTTCGATCTGCGCCTCCGTAGGCGTGCGCGATTCCGTCAGACCCATGGCAACGTTTTCTCGTACACTTCCTTGGTACAGCACCGGCTCTTGTTGGACAAGAGATAGGTGACGGCGGTGCTGCTGGGGGCTTGTGTTTCTGCCGTGGATGGATTGACCGTTGACATTGATTTGGCCCACGGTTGGGTCGTAGAAGCGCGAAAGAAGGTTAATCATGGTGGACTTGCCGCAGCCAGAAGCACCAACAAATGCGACAAACTTTCCCGCAGGTATCTCTACGTTGATGTCTGCTATTACGCTAGCGCGTGGGCGAGACGGATACGCAAAGCCCAAGGACTGACACTGTATATTTATCGGACCAGCAACATCGATAGAAGCTGCATCTGACTCTGTTGGATCGTCAGTAAAGCTGTTGTCGATGCTGGGAACGCGCTGTCGAAGCCAGAAGATGTAGTTGGCTGATGCCGTGCCCCTCGTGATGCTCGTTGTGTGCTGGAACAAGGCGGCAACGTTCTCACCACCCAGGATGACGGCGATAAAGACTACAAAAAACTGCTCGTTGGTGTATTCGTGCGTGGAAACAAGCTTGCCGCCATACCAAAAGCCAAGCGCCATGGCAAGGAAGTTGATGGATTGTGTCAAGGCGTACCATAGCATTGTAAAGGTAAGCGCCTTGGTCGACTGCTCGGCGACCACGTTGAGCTTGTCGCGGTAGATCCTCAGCATCTCTTTTTCCAAGGTAAACGAAGCCACGGTGCGGATAGCGGAGATAGCCTCGGCGGCAATGGCAGCGCTGTTGGCAAAGCGAACAGAAGTGTCTTCCTCGAGCCGATACTCGAGGCGGATGCGAAAGTAGCCGCTGAGAAGCAGAGGAGGAAGCGCAGCAAAGACGCAGACTAAGCCCAGTTTCCAGCCATAGACTATACCTAGTATAGATACAGAGATTATGGTGACGACGTTGATGGCGATTAAGCCAAAGTTCATACCCAACAGCTCGTTGAGGTTGGACGCGTTGGTCAGTAGGCGCGAACATATGGCACCCGTGGCATTGTGCTCGAAGTCAAAAAAGGCAATCTCCTGCTTCATGGTGTTGCGGAACAGCTCCCGGCGATATCGACGAGTGACTTTCTGTTGCTGCGTTAGTATCTCAAGGTACGGATGGTAAAGTTGGCTTACTTGAATGATGAGGTTGATTGTCCAACCCAAAATGAAATACAATACCAAATTTGCAAGTGCCACGACGAAAAACATGAGAGCCCAGAAGTTTCCTTGTGAGGCAGCATCTGGGCCACGAACTTGGAACACTTGAATCGTCTTGGACAAGATAATGGCTTGTACAGGGAACGTGCCACCTGAGGAGAGAGGAAAAACGCGTTAGAATAAGGACAATTCAGCTAGCATAAGAGAAGAGTATGGTACTCACCCCCAAGCGTACATACGACTGCGATAATGGCGTACAATCCCCATAGCTGCCGCTGCTCCTTTATAAGCAGCCATACGCACTTTGTAAAGCTGTATCCGAGCGTTTCCCTTGCGTGGGCGTCTTCAGCTCGTCGATTCATAGTAAAGGACCCAGCAACTCCGCTGCGAGCTTGCCCCAACGGTACATCTTCTAGTACATCTTCTTCTCCGAATGCGGATGGCCGCTTCTCGTCGTCGTCGCCATTATGTTCTTGAACGCGTTTTTCACTGGACCTAGTCAGGTCTTGGGCGCGCACTAGCCGTGCGTAGTGTCCATTCTTAGCGAGCAGCTCTTGATGTGTTCCTTGCTCTATAATGCGGCCTGCTGACATTACGGCAATATTGTCGGCCTTTTGCACCGTGGATAGCTTGTGGGCAATGTTGATTGTAGTTCTGCCCGCCGTGATGTTGTTGAGGGCCTTTTGCACAATAGTCTCTGCCTTTGGGTCGAGCGCGCTGGTGGCTTCGTCAAGCAGCAGGACTGTTGGCTTCGAGATAACGCTGCGAGCAATAGCTATTCGCTGTTTTTGACCGCCCGAAAGCATCCGCGCACGCTCGCCGATGCGAGTATCGTATTGCTTGGGTAGCAGCTCGATAAAGTCGTGGGCGTACGCGTCTTGGCACGCTTGCTTGACCAAGGTAAGCTTTTCTTCGTAGCTAGCATGCTCATGTTCTGTTCCAATTAAGCCGAACGCAACATTGTCGAAGATTGTCCCGCTGAAGAGCACAGGCTCCTGCTGCACTAGACGAACCTGGGTGCGTAGCCACGACAAGTTGAGGGTGCGGGTGTCAACGCCGTCTAGCGAGATGATGCCGCTCGACTGATCATACCAACGCTCAGTGAGACCGATAATGGTACTTTTTCCAGAACCGCTAGCACCGACAATGGCCGTGGTTTTGCCTGCAGGGACTTTGAGTGTCAGGCCGCAGAGGACCTTTGTATCGGGACGCGAGGGATAGGCAAACTCGACATCCTGAATTTCAATGTTACCAACGCATTTTTCGGGGATGATGCCATTTGAAGAGAGGGGATCAATGATGGACTCCTGGTCGATAGTGTTGAATAGCTCGTCTGCCGCGGCGGCAGCTTTGGTGATGGTGATGATCTGGGGAGCAATGTGCGTTAAGGCCGTGGCGGCGACAACCACGGCAAAGATGACGCTTAGAGAGTCAGTTAGCAGCCGAAAAAAGATTGGAGCATTCAAAGATAGAAAAATGTTAAAAAAAGAGAAAAGACGAAGAAAACGGAATAACTCACGTTACAACGTCACCTGATGCTTGAATTTCACCGCGGGCATACATCTGAATGCCCTGCCAAAACGCCAAGCCGTAGCCAGCATATATGCAAAAGAACTCTACTGAAAATAAAACACCATAATTGGGAGACTTCTTCATGCCGACACGTTGCAGGTCAGCCAAGCAGGCTTCGTATCGCTTGGCCATGACGGGCTGCAACCAGAATGCATGGACAGTGGAAATGCTAGAAAAGACCTCCTCAGCCAGCGTACTAGATCGTGAGAAGATGACGGTAAGTTTGTCTTCATTTTTGACCTCAATGGTCATGCAGATACCGGTAACTAGCACGATGGCGGGCACGACGCAGAGCGTGATGAGCGTCAGCTTCCACTGCACAGCAAAGGCAACAACAAAGGCAGCAACAAAGGTGGCGCAGCTCTGAACAAACACAGAGAGCTTCTCAGAGATTCCATTAGTGACGAGGTTTCCATTAACCGTTACTTTGACGGCAGGTGACTTCTTTTCTTTGGAATCGAAAAAGCTCATGTCCTGACGAAGAAGGCTGCGCAAAAAGTCGAGGCGAAGGGCCTTCGTCGTTCGGATCGCGGCCACCGAGGCGCAAACGGAATGGATGTAGACGAGGAAGAATTTGGCAATGAAGAGGTAGATGAAATATAAGCTTGATACTATTTAGCACTCTTTTTCTAGGCAGGAATTTTGGATAGCGTACGAATATTCAGAGACTTGGTTCATGTACTCGTCCTTGGTGACGAGCCCAATGGCAAAGTTGTTAAATGTCGTGACAAACTTGCCAAAGACGAAATCCATCAAAGGCAGGGCGGCACCAGACGCAATAGCAGTAGCGCAAGAAGCCGAGTATAGTATCCAGCTGGACCGATCTGCATAGCTAAAAATGCGTACGTAGCTCTTGAAGCCCGAAGGTGACTTGTTGTTGTTGGCGGACGACATGGCGTGGCATCGGCTTTAGATGTCTGAGATGTAGAGCTGTATTGAAAAGGTGGTGGTGAGGTGAGATAATGTCTCACCATGCGTTTATGAACTACATTTTGCAAGATGCAAAGATGAAGTAAACGAGGCTCTGTTGATGGATGACGACTTGGACGCAGTTGAACGAGGCTGTGTAAATCTGGTTCAGAGTGTGGACCGATTGGACTAGTGCCGGGTGGCGATTTGGCTGACATGCGTGACAAGACATGACGCTTTGGGATTACAAGCGGATTTATTACTTTTAATTTGTGGCCGGTGTGCTCATGGATTGTTTAGACTGAGCTGTTTAAACTGATAATTTATAATTTCACGTCTAGCCAAATCAGGTATGTCTCCTTATACTGCCTCATGTAACGGGTTATACATCTTGGCACCACCCTCCTGCATGGCAACAAGACACTGTGATGTTTACTGGAATAGTATAAGATCGTAGGCTAAAAAAATATACTCTTTTCATATTGTTACTTATATACATGTAAATGCCGTTAAACGCCAAAAATGTCCTGCCATGGTCTTCATTCCCTTCATTATTCTTGCTTCTCAGGCTCCTCCTCAAACAGAACAAGCACGGTGCCGGCCTTGCAGATATCGCCCTCCTTGTGGGCGAGCTTCTTGATAACACCGTCCTGTGGCGAGCGGATGACAGTCTCCATCTTCATCGACTCAATGCTATAGAGAAGTATTAGTAAAAATGTTGAACAGCGGAAAAACGTAAGGATAATGAAACTTACACAACAAGTGGTGTGCCCTTGGTGACGGTCTGGCCCTCAGTGACCTCGTTCTTGAGAATCTTGCAGGGCATGGGGGCGGCAACAGAGGAGGAAGCCTCCTTGAGGCCAAGAGCCTTCTCGTACCAACCGGGGGAGAGAAGAGCAAGATCGGTCTTGACGCCGTGCTGGAAGACGGCAATCTTGGTCTCGGTCTCGCCCTCTTGGTTGACGACGGTGGACTGGATGCGAGCCTCGGGGAACCAGGACTCAATTTTGGTCACCTCAGCCTCCGTCTTGGGCTCGGTGCGGACGTTCTTGTAGACTTCAGGCTCCTGGCCCTTGCGGGTGACGGTAACGTCATACAGACCGCGACCGACCTGGGCGACATTGGCCTCAACAACCTCACCCTCGCCGGCGCAGTAGCCATCGATAATCTTGAAGGCAAGCTTGCGCGAAGAAGTGGCAGAGGGGGAACCGAAGCCGATGGAGGTGCCGTGGGGCGAAGCGCCCTTTTGCTGAAGGCTCTGGACAGCGAGGGCGGCCTGGGCAAAGACCTCGCCATCAATGCGGCGGGGGCTGAAGAGCTCCTCTCTGTGCTTCTCGATGAAGCCGGTCTCGACGTCACCGGCGATGAAGGCGGGGCTGTAGCAGAGACGCTTGAGGAATTCGACGTTGGTGCTGAGACCGACAATCTCGAACTGGCGCAGAGCCGTGGCAAGCTTGGCAATGGCAGTGGCGCGGTCCTCGCCGCGGACAATGAGCTTGGCAATCATGCCGTCGTAGGCTTCGCTAACAACGCTGCCAGAGCCAAAGCCCCAGTCAAGACGGATATCGGGGTCGGACTTGGCGGCATCGGAAAGGACGGCGTGGACGAGCTTGCCGGAGTCGGGCATGAAGCCCTTCTCGGGGTTCTCGGCGTAGACACGGGCCTCGATGGCAGCGCCAAGGGTGGCCATTCTAGCCTCAATCTCGCTCTGGTCGAGGGGCAGCTTCTCGCCAGCAGCAATACGGAACTGCCACTCAACGAGATCCAGACCAGTAACCATCTCGGTGACGGGGTGCTCGACCTGCAGACGGGTGTTCATCTCCATAAAGTAGAACTTGCCAGTGTCCTTGTCGAGAATGAACTCGACAGTACCAGCGCCGACGTAGCCGACAGCGGAGGCGGCCATGCGAGCCTTGTTCCAGAGATCCTGTCTTGTAGCTTCGTCGAGGTCCGGGGCGGGCGATTCTTCGAGAACCTTTTGGTGGCGGCGCTGCACACTGCAGTCACGCTCACCAAGGGCGGCGGTGTTTCCGTACTTGTCGGCAAAGACTTGGACTTCGACATGGCGGGGGCGGACAATGTACTTTTCAACAAGCATGACCTCGCCGCCCTCGCCGAAAGAGCCGCGAGCCTCAGCACGCGCACTCTTGAGCTGGTCCATGAACTCCTCCTCCTTCATAACGATACGCATACCCTTACCACCGCCACCGCGGACACTCTTGAGGAGCACGGGGAACTCGATCTTCTTGGCATGCTCCAGGAGCTGCAGCTCGCCCTGGTCGGATCCGTGGTAGCCGGGGACGCAGGGAACATTGGCGGCGTTCATGATTTCCTTGGAGCGGGCCTTATCACCCATATCCTGCATAGCAGAGGCTGGGGGACCAACAAAGACGATGCCCTCCTGCTCGCAACGCTCAGCAAACTTGAAGTTCTCCGAGAGGAAGCCGTAACCAGGGTGCAGAGCCTGGATGCCATTCTGCTTAATGATTTTGATAATCTTCTCGCCGTCGAGGTAGCCGTTGGCGGGGCCTAGGCCGAACGACTGGTACCCGGCGCCAGCGTGCCACGAGTTGGCGTCGACATCTGTGTAGATGGTGGTGGCGCGGATGCCCATGCGCTCGGCGGTCTTGTTGATTCTGATGGCGATTTCACCACGGTTGGCGATGAGGACGGACTGGAGGGCGTTTGTCTTGGGAGTAGACGCGGCCGAGGACGAGTGGCGCGCCAGAGGCCGCAAGGGCAGGCGATGAGCTCTGATGGAACGCATTGTGAGAGATTGCCAGCAAGACGGGGGAGACGAATTGGTAGCAGAGAAGAAAAGAAAGGAATTGGATGAGGGAAAATGGGAGGTAGGGAGAAAGAAGGGCTCTCGGCACAAGAGGACAGAAAAATAAAAGAAGGATGATGGGATGTTCGGCTCAAGCAGCTTGGTGGATGGAGTGGGTGAGTGCCACCGTGGGGAACCGAAAATAGCCGTGCAGGTTTTTTGGTGGTGGTGCGTGCTGTAGCAGTGGTGGGGGTGACGAAATCTGGGGTTCGGCTCAAGCGTTTTTCTTCTTTTGCTGCGAAGCTGTTGCTGGGGCGCGGAGAAGAGAGAGAAATGCACGTCACACGACTGGTTGCGGCTTAGCCCAAGTGGGCTTACATTACTTTCATTGCATACCAAGGCACAAGGGGTCGGGTTAACAAACGGGGAGCTGAGAAATACAAAAAAAATACAAAGTAAAAAGTATTGGGAAATATAAATTGATATATTAAGAATTGATGTTATTTATAAATATTGGAATAATTAAAAAATAATAATAAAGCTATGTATATCACTACATGGTTAGCTGTATTTTATGCCGTTTTTACACCATAACAGCGAGCGCAGCAACAGCTCCGCCTAGCAGTCCTAAGGGTGGCGCCGAACTCATAACGGCTGCATCGCCGTTTGACGCAGACGAGGCACCAGAGCTACTCAGCGCACCGGAATTGCTGGAAGCTGGATTAGACACTGTAGCAATGGTAGCTGTCAGCTCGCCCTGAGATAGCATAGGGTAAGATGCGGGCCTCTCTGATAGTGTTGCTGTCGGAGCTGTTGTAGAAAATTGACTGCTGATCGGTACATCCGTTTGAAAGGCCGGGCTGTCAAATATGGCGGCGAGTGCTTTACTAGCCGTTTCTAGATCGGCAGCGTTGATGGTGAAATCAATGAGTGTCCACTTGTTGCAGAAATTGGCAAACCAAAGCTCGGTAATGGCGGCGGGTTAGCAATGAATGTAGACCAACATGATTATATCCCTAGGGGAACGGGCATATAGGAAGAAAACGTAAAGACAAGGGCCTTTGTTACTGTACTTACGGTCACCGCCGCATGTAGCACTTTCATTGGGAGGCTGCACCAAAGCAAATAATATTTTGGTTGTGTCTTTACATATGCAGTCATAGGTTTTTGGCCCAATACTGCTGGTGTCGCAGTCCTGTCACCGAACCGCCGTTGTAAAGATGGGGTAGATGCATTGCGGGATAGCGTTGACATATTCTGTAAGGGTTCCAAGCTGGGCAGAAACAGAAGTGGAGAGGGCCATTATAATGGCAAAAGATAATGGAGTGATTCTCATTTTCATTGTGCTATATTTTAAACTGGCATTAGTCTGTGGCTGTGGTGTTAGTGGGCATAGATATAACAATAAGGCGGAGTGGACTTTGGCTCTAATAACCAGCTTAATACTCGTCAGCATCAGCCTTAGCAATGAGGAACACCGCCACCTCATCGTTTGGAAATGAGCTTATTTCCTTCGCTTCACTTTGCTACACGACTAACAAAAGATGGTAGGACAGCGTGTAGGCTCCCATTTTTGTCTTCGCTAACCCGCCAAACACAGACGTCAGCCATACACACTGCCCCAGCCTCTAAGCTTGGCGTTTTTTAACAGCTTCTATTATCCCTAGCTTCAGAAGTGCCGTAAAGAAAAATATTATTGCATCTATCATAAATACTAGAAATTCAAGTTTCGTGCAAGTTTCGTAGGAAAGACACGTAAAAAACTGCCCAGCTGACAGCGTTGAGCCGCTGACATGATAAACCCTTTTTCTAGTCGTTCGCTGCGTGGCTTAGATTCAAAAATACACAGCATGATCTGAAAGCCACATACAATACAGGAAATAGACGGGGCTATAATGACAAGTTCTGTATACTCATGAGGTTCTCAATTTCCGTTAACAGTGAATATAATAACGTACTTATCTGCGTGTAATTGGCAGAATTTTCGTTTCGCTTCTGCTTAAGGGACCTTTGAACTCGGGCGTGAATGACAGCGCCAGGCTCCGGCCCAAAGATGTCTGCAAATGTTGCGCGATCATACGTTCACAGCTCGTAGCCACGCCCGTACTGCCAGCGCTTAACTATATCTTCAACTTCCTCATCGCTTATCTGAAGCTCCTGCAGCAGTAGTTGTGATAAATATTGGCTAACATTTTCTGCAGAGCCGTCGCTAGTTGGCAGCTCTACATTTCCAAGACTTTGATAGGATGCTTTGCTCATTATTGTCCAATGATAATAATGCAGGCTCCATGCTTGTCTGTGGAGTGTAGATCAAAGCCTGGCTTAGCTTTCCTGGTCAACCCTTGCTAAGAAATGCATTTGTACGCGCCGCCGGCCTGAAATATCGACGACACGTTTCTTGGGGATCTGCACAAGCTAACCTAAAAATAGGCGTCGACCGAAGTGAATAACCATATTAGCGTGCGTTAGCGTCGCAGAGAGCCTTCTCGTACATTTAGGTAACCATCTCCAACGACGTCAAGGCGGATCAAACGGCCCACAATCATCTTGGCAAGCATGCCGACTTCCGAAGTGGCCTTGAATCTAGAAAGATTTAAAAATATAGTAACGCTACATAAATTGGTGGTGGCAAACTGGCGACTGTATAGCACACCCGAAACTACTTCTCACTACTAAGACCGAGCATACAATATCCAGCTGCTCAAAAAGAACAAAACATGACAAAAAAAACATATACCTCGCCCGGGGATATATTGCAACTGGCTATTGCTTGCCAAGGTCAAATTAATAATGAATTCATGATAACTTGTTAGACTTGCACCCGCTTGGTCATCTTCACCTCCAATCCCTCCTGTCGTGGGAACCAGCTGTTAATCACCTTCCACTCCTTGTCTGTAGCCAACTCAATGTCATATTTGGAAATTAATGTAACCAACACCTTGTACGTCTGGAACAGGCCGATATGCTTGCCAATGCAGACGCGGCTACCGGCCCCAAATGACAGGTCTGTCTTGTTCATACGCAACAAGCGTGTCTGGTAGTCAGCTTCGGACTCGCCAGCAGCTTCATCCCTGAGCCAGCGGTCCGGGCTGAACTCTTCAGCATCCTCGCCGTAGACAGACTTGTTGCGGCCAGTAATGTACGGGTTCATGCCGACAATAGTACCCTCAGGGAGATAGTCTCCGTTTGGCATGGTAAAGCCGCCTTTGGGAACATATCTCTCCATGGTCATCGACACACCAGGCAGGAACCGCAAGGCTTCGCGGACAACTGCCTCCACGTAGGGCAGGCCCTTGGCATCTTTGTACGCAGGAGGAATATCAAGGTTCGAGTCCCGAATCTCTTTGGTCAGCCTGGCCCAGATGCGCGGGTTTCTCAAAGAATAGTAGATGGCGCTGCGAATGGTAATAGCAGTGGTGTCGGCGCCAGCGATGAGGTTGAACATGAGCCATGAGACAATCTGCTGATCATCGATGTTTTCAGGATCCGCCTCCTTAGCCTCGATGAACTTGTCCAGATAGTCCGGGACGCTGGGGTCATGAGTATCCTTATCCTTGCCTTGGTATCGGTCAATGAGGTGCTGGATGCCGATGGCAGTAACTGTGCCATATCCGGGCGGCCCGATTCGGTAAATGGGATTCTTATCGAAAAAGTAGTCCAAGATGGGAATGGCGCCCACGACGCAGAAGTAGTCCATGGCCTTGTCGGCACTTTCGAGGGTACCGTTAAAGTCTGTGCCCTTGTCGAGATACCCGATCGGTTCGGAAAATGCGATGGCGCCAACAACGTCCCAAGTATCTATCATGTATCAGCACAGCAGTTGACAATTTCCAAACAACGAAATGAGAGAGCTTACAGTAGAGAATCCATTTACCGAGGTCAAATGCCTTGGACTTTTCTACAAATCTCGTGTCTAGTTGTTGGCAGAACTTATTGATGATCTTGTCCATGTGTGGCTCAAGCGTGGCTGTTGCGGACGGCGAGTAGTACTTGGCAATAGGCTTTCGCTCCTTTGCATGCTTTGCACGGTCGGTCTGGCTGAAAATATTTAGCACAATCTGACCATTTACAAGGGCGCTGCTGCCGTGGTAGAATTCAGTCTTCAACCAGTCTTCCTTCGTGCTGAAGATGGTATGGATGAGGTCCGGCATGTCGACATCGAGCATGTGCGGTGCAATCTGCACGATGGGCCCATATTTGTCGTGAAGGCGCTTCAATTCAAGATGTGAGTTCCCTGTGGAAGCCTGTCGCAGATACCATAACCTTGTCCATTCTAACGAGGAACGTCAGAAAACGAAAACGTACGTGTGTCTTGTATGGGACTTACTCGCAAGCAAAGGGCCAGGATACTTTCGGAGTGGTGATAGAAGAAACGAAAGGAAAGCCCAGAGAAAGTAGGATCCTAACGGTAGCGCAAGCATGGCTAGGCGCGAGCTGCCCAGAGGGTCAACAAGTGTTGTCAGTGCCATATTTGAGAAGAGAACAAGTAGAGGAATCAGGAAAGACTTCCAATGTCACACACAATGCGATGGATAGCTCTCTAGCTACTCTACTTAGGTCTAAAAGACCCTTATATACAAGAACGAAAGAAGCCAAGGTAACCATCTGACCATCTTGCGCACGCCACAACGAAAATCATTACAGAATCTCGCCTCCTGGGCCAATCACATACCCAAACCAATTCTAGTGGTGTGCTCCCGGTCAGCTGTATGCCAGTAAGTATCAATGACAACGCGGGCCTGCATCTGCATGCAGTGTCGGCAGCTGCCTGTGAAAAGGCCAGCGTACGTGTTTGGGCGTTTGTGTAACCCATCCTGTTTCCCTTTTTTCCCGCTCAGTGTACTTATTGGAAATAGAACAGTCATTACTGGTAGCAATATACTAGTTATAATTAATGGCGTATGTACTCTCCTGGTGCTCTCTTTCCTGTCCATTAGAACAGTACCATCTGTTAATACTTCCTGTAATACTGCCCGTTAACTTATTGGACTCTGTATAGTGGATAGTGGGGGCTGTACAGTAGGTGCATCGAGTCTAAACGGTTTTCGCCGGACCGACCGGAAAAGCATCCGACACAGGAAACGGCCACTAAGAGAACAGCTATTAGAGCTGGTCTTGAGTACTTCCCGCGGACGTCTCTTGTACCAGTATCTTGTACCAGTAAGACATGGCGCATGTACCCCGCCTGCTAATTACTTGGTTGCGGCCCGTTTGCTAACTCTGCATCATGTTTTCTCTGCCGGGAGACTTGTTTTCTCAACCAATGTCCTGTTGTCTTAGCCTGTGACACTTAGACTATTCATACCGTATTGCTACATTTCCCACTTCTATCGAATCAGTGGGTTCGTCTCGGAGCTTACCTTGACGCCACCAATACAGCAGATACCAACAAGTGGCAGTGCGGAGCTTCAAAGCGGAAGAACCCGCCTACAGTCGTCCTGGCAAGCAAGTTGGCTGGTTACAAGTGCTTAGATTTACAAATATTAAATGAAAAACTGAAAAATATAAAATAAGCTATAAATAATTTTTAAATATTAATTGAGGAGGGGGTGGCGCTGCCACTCTTAGGCCGTGGTTCGATCGTTTGACCCACTCTCCATCTTCCTCGCTACAATGAATACCCGACCATCATCAGATCCAGATGCATGTTTCTCCTCGGCTTCAATTTGGAACCCTGCTGTTTTAATCATTGTCACTAACTCAGTCGCCCCAAAGTTATCCAAGTACGGAGCTAATCCAAATATCCTCATTGTAGGCAGCACGAAGGACCGCATGAGCATATTCCGGTCACCGATGCAGGGCGTCTTACTGATGAAGACGCCACCATCCTCAAGCATGCCGTGAATCTTTTGCACTGTGGCAGGTGGATCTCGGACAAGATGCAAGTAGTTGTACCCTAAGATGGCGTTGAAAGGCATGTGGTTCTCTTTAGCGATGGTATCTGCAGTGGCTTCCTTGAATGAAATGCTATCGTAGGCAGCGGTGGGCTCATCTTGTTGTTTCTGCCTTGCAATCCGAATCATCTCGGGCGATATATCTGTCGCGAGGATGCCCTTTACTTTCGGGGCGAGTAGAAAGGCTGTCGACCCGGTGCCACATCCAAGCTCTAGGACTGCATCGCTGGCTTTCAGGAAGTCAGAGGTTCGTTGCAGGGTACGCTGGTAACCTAATTCATCTGATACCTTTGATTTAGAGTAGTTTGTAGCAAGGCGGTCCCAAAATCGTCTATCTTCGTCCATTACGGTGTTAGTCGTTGGTGTAGCAAGAGACACGGTATCACTAGCTGCGAACTATAGATGTAGACGGAGGTGGTTTATATGAGTCCAAGGTGGCGTAGTATGGCTTTCAGCTTGTCTTTGTAAACGCGAGAGGCGCAGCGACATACGTTTCCACAGGGAATAAACTCGGTTTGCCAAGATATTAGGCAGTGTCTAGCCTCTGAGTTGAGGGTGCGGCTGAATGGTATCGCTACAGCCTCATTCTGGAATATTAATTAAGTGTTGGTTCTGGTTGGTGTAGGTTAGCTGCTATGCGAGGTGGCGTATTGTAGTTCGACGGTGCGCGGGGACTGCTGTAGAGTTGTGACTGTAATATTTAAAATCGTACAATAAACTCTAACTAAGATGTTGAAATCGTTAATACTATTTAGTTACTATAGTTTATTTTTTAAAACAATTCTACATCAGTTCTATTAGCGCCGATCCGGTAGAAAACTTAGTGGCGCCCCAACGCTAACAAAAACGGCGGCCACGGTAGCAGCTGAAGCTTGAATCGAGCCCCTCCAAATGCGGGGGCGCGTGACGACAACATCTCCAACTTCACCTTTTCTTCTTTGCCTCGTAAGCAGCCATCCAACATAAAATACAATCCTACAATAACCATGGAAAAAATACCTCTCAACTACCAGGCCTCCGAAGGCGATATCCAAAAGCAAACAACAAGCACGCTTCCCCAGGAAGTCGTCCAATGCCTTGAAAATGCCCGCTTCGTAGGTTGTCAGCGCCACCAGCTCGCTCACCATCTGTATTAACGGACACCTTTTGCAGCTTCATCTCGCTACATGTACAGATAACGTCCCCCAAGTATCGTTAATGAACTATACGTACCTTCCGACGTCGCCGCACTCTTCGTCACCCGTCATCGTCATGACTACGAACCCTTCCTCCCGCAAGACAACAAATATCATTGCCAACCCCAACGTCTCCCTCCTCGTCCACGACTGCAAGTACCACCCATGATAACCTGTCTATATGTATGCTAATCGCTCTAAACAGGGGTCTCGCATCGTCCACTAAACCAAGGCCGCCGACCATCTGGCGGCTCTCCCGGACCCGAACATCGATCTAGTCTTGCTTCTCTACTTCTCAACCTGAATTCCTCGGCCATGTCAAGCATTAGCGCCACGATAGGAGGCGCGGCGCGTCTTGCTGAACATGGATCCGACGAAGAAAAATACTATTACACACAGCACCTAGAGAACAATACCTTTGACGACGACCAGCCTCTGTTTCAGCAGCCTGAGGGACAGGGAGCATCGGATCGACTGATTAGCGGAGAGGAAGTGCGTGTTATCGTGGTGGATATCAAGAATGTCCGTATTAGCGATTTCAAAGGCAGTGTCCGTGACTGGGCCCTGGAGCCTGCTGCTGCTGCTGTCAATGGCACCGTCTAGTGTACTATTACCTATTACCAAATTGAACCGTATGCGTGGTGCGGATTCGTCTATTTCGAACTCCCTTTGCTTCGATTGTTTTCTTCTGTAGCTGTGTGTATGTCCATCGTCGCTTACATCTGTGGGTGACTTTGGTCGTTGCAAGCCACTGTCGGTAGCTCCGCAAGCTCCGTAGTTTCAATTTCCTGTAATTTTCATTTCCAACTACGGAATTAATTATTAATGGCACTATTACAACGGATTTTAGAAAATTTCTTCTCCATAGTATCGCCGTACAGTCTCCAAACTCCAAAACAATAGTGTTGTTATATTTTTTGGCCAAACGCCGAAGCACGACCTTTCACTGATGGCCCCACCTTCTTAACGCCGACCACTCAGAAGCGTCGATCTAAAGTCCGAATCGTAGTAGTTCGCATTATCGCCGAAACGATGAACCTTGGTAGCTAACCGACCACGCCACGGCTATTCCCTAGTGGTCTGTTCATTGGCCTGGTTTACACACTAGCTTTACCTGCTGCTAACGGCGCCGGCCTTTGACGTAACCCCTCCATACCCCGCCAAGTATATAAAGTCTCGTAGAAATCCGCCCATCATCCCATCCAATTCATCATCACTACACAACCATCTTCCATCTCAATTCACCCTCATCTTCCTCAATTCCTTATTTCACAATGTCGACCCCTACTACCGTCTCCTACTACTCCCGGGGTATCAAGATCGCCGCCCACCTCTACCAGCCTGTTGCTGGCTCCCCCGACCGCCAGGGTGCTGCCATTGTCATTGCTCACCCATGGACCTCCATCAAGGAGCAGTCTCCTGCCAATTACGCCCGCATCCTCACCCAGGCTGGCTTCATCTGCATTGCTGCTGATTCCGCCTACCAGGGCGAATCTGAGGGCGAGCCCCGCAACCTCGAGGACCCTTACCAGCGTGCTGAGGATGTCAAGTCTGCCGTCACCTATCTTGTCTCTCTTCCCGAGGTGAACAAGGAGAAGATCGGTGCTCTTGGTATTTGCGCTGCTGGTGGCTATGTCCCCTTTGCTGCCCAGACCGACACCCGCATTAAGGCTGTCGTCACCGCCGCCGCTGTCTGCGTTGGCACCATGGCCCGCCGCGGTTTCGACAAGGACTCCTCCAACCTCGAAGTCCTCAAGGGCCAGCTTGCTGCTGCTGCCCAGTCCCGAAACAGCGAAGTTGGCGCCGCTGAGCCTCTCGAACTCGTTGCTATGCTGCCCCCTTCTGTCGAAGCTATGCCTGCCGATCTCCCCGAGTCCTTCAAGGATCTTACCCGCTACTACAAGACCGACCGTGGCCAGCACGTCCGCGCCAACAACACTACCCACCCTCGGGGCTGGGATCTGATGGCTAACTTTGACGCCTTTGCCCACAACTACATGATCAGCCCCCGCCCGTTGATGATGATTACCGGCACTATTGCCGCCACTAAGTGGTACAGCGAGGACGGTATTGAGAAGGCCAAGGACCCCAAGGAGCTTGTTGTCTTGGAGGGTATGACCCACGCTGACCTTTACGATAAAGTTAACGAGCCTGGCAAGCACCTTATCCCCTTCTTTGCCAAGTACCTTGTCTAAGTGTGCGATACGATATGATTTAATGAAATGGAATGCGGTATCTTGTTAGTCCTTTTGTTTATAAAAACAAGCCAATGTATAGATTGTTACTATACAATAACTTTAAAATTAATACACTATTGTCTCCATCTTCTACTGGCCCATTGATTAATGTGGTGGTACATTTGATTTGCTTGGCCATCTTCACATCTGCTCCATTTGGGTGCCTTCCATGTGGCTGAAATAGGACAGCCAGTCTGTATTCATAAACGAGTCCCAAACCTCAGCCGCATACAGCGGAAAATCGACATCACCACTAGTCATATTGTCGAACTGATCTCCTGGTACTGAAGACTTATGGTCTGAATAGTCTACGCCTGATTTAGCAGATGGCAACTGCGGAGCGTTCAGTGGAGGAGAGACGCCAGTCTGCCTGCGAGAAAAGTATCGCCATGTAGCTTTGAAAATACCGTCCAGAATATCGCGGCTTCTGTTTGCATCCGGCCAGTATTCCCCCGTTGCGCTAAGAATGTCGGATGCAGATTTCAGAGCGTCGTTTAGACAGTCAAAATTAAAGTCGGTATCATCCGCCACGCTGTTGGGCGTCCAGACGCAATAAAACATGGTGATGGTGCCGAGAAAAAGGGAGTGGACTGATTGCCAACCGTACTCTAGTTGCTTCTCGCGATTCAATTTCGTATACAGTTTGCTGCAGTCAATAGCACTGGCAAAACAATCGCGAATTGCTGCTTTGGTAGGCTGAGGAAACAGCGGACTTGGCCGAAGGATTAACATGCGAAGCTCGTGGTATCGAATCTCGCAAAGCTGTGCCAAATATTGCCTTGAATCGCTAGGTGGGTATTGAGGAATCGCGTTTCTCCATTGCCCCAAGCGCTCCAAGATGCTCCTTTGCCATGCGCGCTTGTCGTTGATGGCTGGCGACATGTAGGGCGGAAACTCGCGGTCGACACAATATGCTGAGCACTTGACCTCTGAAACGAATTTCGCAAGTTTGAAGAGATGTATAGCAGTAGACATGCTGGTGGGTTCCGTCGAAGGTGGTGTTGGCAGCCCACTGTCTGTTGTTGTTAGGGCTTCGTCGTTGACATCTTTTGGCAGCTATCGTCCGTGTTAGCTAGGAATATGCGATGTTAAAGATAGGTCTTACTCTTAGGTCACACTGTTCGTCCATTAATGCCAGAGGTCTACCCATAGTCGTGGATATGAGTCGGTCCATGCTATATACGGACCAAAAGACTCTTGTACGCATCTCAAGCTCAAGAGCCGTGAACCCAGATGTAATTGGTATATCGCGGTGGATGCCTATCTCTATTAGAGTGGCGATGGAGTGTTGATGTAAACTCCAGATATTGAGGCCGGAGGATGAATTGCGCATCGCATACATCTCCATAAGTAAAATGGATTGAATCCCTGCAACGGAGGTTACCTTGAAGACGGTTTCCAGGCGTTGCATTGCTGATGCAAAAAAGCCTTCCGCTGAGAAGTGTCTTCTATAGCGACGAGCTAGGACCGTCGCACCAATAGCGAGGACGGCAAAAACATGAAACTCTTCCCCTGCATCCGCAGTAGTATCTGTATATAGTTTCTTCAAGCTCTCCATGTACGTAGGTTGATGCAGGAACGGGTGCTGCAAGTGCACCGAGTCAAAGTATGCTTGCGAAAGGAACTGCGCATGTCTTAAATCAGCTGGTAGCTGTTGTGGTTGAGGTGCAATTAGACCATTTATAAAAGACACATCATCGTATGGCTGTGAGCCAGTTTCTGGCAGCTTTGACGCCTCGACTCCAGCAGCCTGCGACAACCCAGTCAGGACAAATTTAGTGAAGAAGAGGCCGCTAGAAGGTCCAAAATAGCGGAGGTCGCTTCCTGCAGAAACCGATATTAAGCCCAGCTGCTCTGTAATTTGTTCTGTGCAGGTCTTTGCTGCGTCTTGTTGCGCAACGCCGCTATCCCGGTGCTGGTTCCTCGGCGTATGATCTGGCCCATCATTGAGGTCTACATCTGGTAACCTCTCTTGAATAATGGACTCGAGCCAAGCAACACGCTTTTGTAAGTCGCTGACGTAGCTGCAAAGAAAAGTGGTCAAAAACAAAACGAAAAAAAAAGATAGCATCAGCAGTCTTCTTACTTGCGTGGGATATCACGAGCAGTGCCGCCGTCTATACATTGAACACCAGCTCTCTGGCATCCCGAGCAGGACGGTAGATGGTTATCGCACTATAATTGTTAACCAGCCTAGTCAATGTGAACATTGGATGAGAACCAACCCGGATCTTACGCCGTTGGCAACGCACGCAGGCTGCACTAATACGTGGCCGGGCTTTCTTGGCTCTGCGTGATAAGCGGTCGCTAAGATTGGTGTGATCTTTGATGCCATCATCACTAACCACTTGGGGACTTTTACTTGTATTAATATCCATGGCTCTTGATTTTTAGATAGTATATGGAGTATTTATTGTTCTGACAGGTCTAACGGCCTGTCAATGGCTTGCGGGCGAGCGTCACGTGGGGCATTTGTCAGCCCGACTTTACTCTTGAAGATTAGATCGTGGATAACTTCGTGGCAATATAATTGGACTGTGCGCCGCGTTTCCCTTTCTGGTAATTGTTATCAGCACTCTTTATGACACACTAGGGACTGAATCCAGCCGGGCCATCCGGAGGGATAGAGACTGCCATGATAACACATTGTAGCTCCCACATCGTACGCGCTGCACTGGTAAATAGAACGTATTAAACATGAGTATAGTATCGTATTGAAGAACAAAGATATTATAGAGATCCAATAAAATCCTCCGTTATTGTATTGTCGACCGTAGCGTGGCGATCAACTAGTATGGACGAGGCAACCAAAAGAGCAGGTTGATGAGTATATAAATATTAATGTATTAAGGAAATAAAGCCAATCTGCAAATAATTCCACACATTCACAAGCAACATCATAATTGTCAAATTTGTAATCGTTTTTCTTCTTTAGTATGGAAAACCCGCCAACCTGTTCCGCGTGGGAGCGGATGTTCCGTCAACGGCGCTGGGAAAATGCGGCAAGTCCCGCACCCTCAGGCAGCTGTGTGGTGTCGTGCCGCAACAAACGGATCATCCGCTGCACCACCTACTAAAGCCGTTTCCAACACATTCCAGCGTTGATAATCAACTCGAATTTCTACTATTAGTAATTCTCAATTTTATAATAGGCTTCGAGAAGTCAACAGTCCGATCCAATCGTCTATAAAAGACTGCATTCAGTCCGCTCTCCCAATGTCTCGTCAAGCACTACTCACAAAGCAACCAAATCTACAACCAGCAACAGTTTATTACACTTAACAAACCAACAATGTCTCAAGTACAGTTCAAAGTCTACCGTGGCACAAAGGGGGATACGCCAATTCAATCTACCGTCACAAGAACACTACGACCTAATGACGTCCATCTCGAGATTACACACTCTGGCGTCTGCGGAACCGACTTACACTATCGTCATGCCGACATGACTCTTGGGCACGAAGGCATTGGTATCGTTCGCAACGTTGGCACTGCTGTTAGCGACTTTAAGGCCGGTGATGTAGTTGGATTTGGATATATCCGCCAAGTTTGTGGCAAGTGTGAGCCTTGCTTGACAGGTTTGTATTTCTGATCCCACACCGTTGCTACATGATAGCCTGTAGCTAACTACTTGGTGCTTTAGGAAGAGACCAATACTGCGCAAATGGAGTAGCCTATGGTATGGCCGATTTTGATACCGGCAGCTTCGCGCAGGGCGCCGTCGTGGACGCTCGATGTGTCTTTGCCATTCCTGACTCGATTGGCCCCGCGCTTGCCGCACCGCTCATGTGTGGTGGCGGTACTGTGTGGACTGTTCTATCGCAGTACGGCATTAAATCTACTGACCGCGTTGGCGTCGTTGGAATAGGTGGTCTGGGACACCTGGCGATCAAGATGGCGGCAGCCATGGGCTGCGAGGTAGTTGTCTTGTCCAGCAGCGAATCCAAGCGCGACGAGGCGACCAAGTTTGGTGCGAAGGAATTCCACGTCTTCCGCGATGGTGAAAAGCCCAAGGACGATATTGCGCCCATTGACCATCTTCTACTATGTGGCAGTGCCAAAATTGACTATTCATCGTGAGTACAACGTTCAGTTAGTCAATGGCATAGGCTAACAAAAAGTATCAAGTGTGCTACCTTTGATGGCTTCAAATGGAGCCATCTATCCACTCAGCGTTGACTTTAACCCGTCTGAACTGGTCATGTTCCAGCTCGCTCTCAAGGGCCTGCGCATTCAGGGCTCGATTGTGGTGTCGTCTACCGAGATGCGCAAGATGCTCAAGTTTTGCGCCCTGCACAATATCACCCCCCAGATTGAACAATTCCCGCTCAATGAGCAGGGCATTGTTGACGCTTTCCAGGTGCTGTCGGATGGTAAAGCTAGATACAGGGCTGTTCTTGTTGCGCAGTCGTAGGATGGTGGCGGCGGCAGCGGCATATCGTTCGGCTAAGCTGAGCGAGTAGGAGACGCAAGGCCACATGCGCCAGTCGGCATATATTACCATGATAAACCGAGCTTAATGAATTGATTTTCTCCCCGCATTGCGCTTTGCAGATGTCAAAATACATTGGAAGCGCTGTTCGCCAATAAAAAGATGACAAGCCAGTCGAGTCATTAGTGTCTTGGTGCCAAGATGCTATCCCCACAAACGGCATTTTAGAGTGGCCTCCCATGGGGGCAATTTGGCGTTTATTGGGGGTCCAGAGCCCAAGACCGAATGTTCCAAGACTTTACAAGCTTTCTACTGGCTTATGTGGCGCAGGAACGCCAATGGTGTTAATGAGTAGTCGACACAGCCACGACGCCATTATCTGGTGACTTTAGAACACAGCCAAGAGGAGACAAGCCCGGCGGCTGAGAGGCAGCTAGATTGAGTACAAAACGTTCTGGTGAAAATACAATCAACTGAGTTGCATTGCGAAAAAAAAAGGGCAGAGGATCGCTCTTTTGGTTATGAAAAATGTCGCAGTTGGACACAGGTATGTTGCATCGATCGATGCTCGCTTAAAACGGCGGACACGCTAATAATAGACCGACTGGGAAGCTTCTCTAATACACATCCAGCACGTCTCTAGAAGCTGCGAACTGTTTCCACATGAAATAAAAAGAACAAGGCTTGTGTGGCGTTCGTTCGGACCATTGTTCTTCATCTCGTATAATGGCCAAGGCCGTTGTTTACCATTTCACGACCCTTTTAGAAGAGCCCAGCACCAAGGATGAACGGCGAGCACTTCCCTCTCTGAGCTCGCCAAGATATCTTGGCTAACTTACCTATGACTACGAACAACTTGTGCCACGAGGTGACAGGGTCTGAGTCGACAAGTAAGAGCACGCGGGGAACGCGGTGAGCCCTCTTTGAGGCTTCAGCTTCTTGGCGACCCCAAGACACTTTTTATCACAAGTATTAGTGCCTGCTGCTTTTGGATAACATTGCGTCTGTCGAATTGCAAATGCGACCAAGGTGCCAAGTATAAGGTTGCGCTATACCCCGACGCCGAGAAAACGTTCGTTTGTAAGAATTCGACTTCCACTCAGACAGAATTCGCTCTCCCTTCTCCGCTGCACAGTTTGTCTGGTTCTTGCACTATCAAAAATGAAGGAAAAGGTCGACTTCGAGACTACCAAAGACGGTGCCACACTCGAGGCCAACATCGTCAGCCTCAACTCGGCTTCGGATGGCGAAAAGGGCGAACTCCTCGACTATGACCCCGAGAAGCCTCCGCCTACCGAGGAAGAGTGGGCGACGCTCGAGCGAGTGCCCGGCAGGATCCCTGCGACGGCGTGGACAGTGGCCTTTGTCGAGTTTGTCGAACGCATGTCCTACTATGGTACCAGCGCCGTGTTTGTCAACTTCATCCAGAAGGATTTACCTCCTGGCTCAACCACTGGTGCTGGTTTCTTGAAGCAGCCTGGCTCTGGTGCCCTTGGTCTTGGGCAGCGAGCGTCCACGGGTATCACCATGTTCAACCAGTTCTGGAACTACTTTACACCGCTGATCGGTGCCTACATTGCTGATCAGTATCTCGGTCGTTACTTGACAATCCAGTACGCCAACTTGATCTCCATCATCGGCCACATCATCCTCATCTTCTCCGCCATTCCTCCGGTCATCGTCAACTCCAACGCTGCCCTGCCCATCTTCCTCATTGGTCTAATAATCATGGGTATGGGCACCGGTGGCTTCAAGTCCAATATCTCTCCTTTGGTCGCTGAACAGTACAGAGACACCAAGGCCTATGTCAAGGTGGACAAGCGCGGACACCGCGTTATCGTGGACCCGGCCGTCACGACTGCGAGAATCTACCTCTACTTCTACTTCCTCATCAACCTCGGCTCCATCATTGGCTCGCTTGCCATGGTGTACTCGGAACATTTTGTCGGTTTCTGGCTCTCGTTTACTCTCCCTACCGTCTGCTACTTGTTGTGCCCGGCCCTGCTCTGGTACTTCAAGAAGACGTATCACCTCTCCCCACCGACTGGCTCAGTTATGGGCCGCGCTGTGAAGGTCATTAATCTTGCGCGCAAGAAGAGCTCCGGCCTCCGCGACCCGGAATTCTGGAACCGTGTCAAGCCTAGCGCCATTGCGGCCCGCGGCGAGCCTATTCCCGAATGGATGACTTTTGACGATGCGTGGGTCGACGAGCTCAAGCGCGGTATTCTCGCATGCAAGGTCTTCTTGTGGTTCCCTCTTTACTGGTTGGCTTATAACCAGATGCTGAACAACTTGGTCAGTCAAGCAGGGACCTTGGTTTTGGGCAATACGCCAAACGATGTATTGGCCAAGCTCAACCCGCTCTTCATTATTGTTACTATCCCCATCATGGACTTCTTCATCTACCCGGCCCTGCGCAAGATGAAGGTGCGCCTGAGCCCTATCCGCAAGATCACTGCTGGCTTCATTGTTGCCTCGCTAGCCATGGTCTCGGCATGTGTTACACAGTACTACATCTACAAGCTGTCGCCCTGCGGAAACAACATCAACAAACTCATCAAGGGCGGCCGTAAGGACTGCCAGGCGCCCATCTCGGTTTGGGTGCAGGCGCTGCCATACGGCCTCATCGGCCTCTCCGAGGTTCTTGCTTCCATTACCAAGCTAGAGTACGCTTACACCAAGGCCCCGAACAATATGAAGTCGACCGTGCAGGCTGTCGCCTTGTTTACCTCTGCTCTTTCTTCTGCCCTCGGACAGGCCCTCACTGGTCTCTCAGAAGATCCATTGCTGGTTTGGAACTACGGTACCGTCGCTGTTGCAGCCTTTGTCGGTGGCATTGGCTTCTACTTGACGTTTATGAAGGCAGACCGCGACGAGGACAAGCTCAACAATCAAAAAGACTCTTCGTACATTGGCAAGGATAAATGAGTCGGTGGCAACTAATAAATCCTTATCTCTTCTCTTCGTAATAAATGATATTAAGCATCTCCTTTTAATAGTACTTTTATTGGATTATTAATAACGTGGTGGATAAGCGAGCGGACCACATAGGCGAGCGGACCACATAGGCGAGCGGACCACTTTGCGGCATTTAGCTAGGTAGCTGCAAATAAAAATTCTTTTGTAATACCATATTAACATTTCCGTGATGTCTGATGAACGGGATATTATTCTGGCCTTATCGGCACTTAAAAAGAATCCGAAATTAAGCATTCGGAAGTGCGCTGGTATCTACAATGTGCCATATAGTACACTCAGAGCTCGGCATTCTGGCCGCCCAGCGCGAGCTAATTCACTACCGAATTCACGCAAATTAACGGATCTCGAAGAAGAAACTATTATTCATCATATATTTGATCTTGATTCAAGATCATTTCCGCCAAGAAAGAGCCAGGTTGAGCAAATGGCGAATCTATTACTCAAGCAGCGAGATGGCGGAGTTGTTGGCAAGTGCTGGGTAACAAACTTCATTCGGCGTCAGCCACAGCTCCAAACACGGCTATCAAGACCAATTGACCATCAACGAGTACTTTGCGAAGATCCAGTAGTCTATCAGTCCTGGTTCAAACTCGTTCAACGAACGATTGGCCAGTATGGCATTACTGAATCCGATATCTACAACTTTGACGAAACTGGCTTTATGATGGGAATTATTACGTCAGAAATGGTGGTTACACGAGCTGATAGGCATGGAAAGCCTCGAATAACACAGCCAGGCATCCGAGAATGGACTACGGTAATTGAGAGTATTGGTTCAGATGGATTTATTGTACCGCCATATATCATTGTTGCTGGCAAGATGCATCTTGAATCATGGTATAGTGATTGTGTATTGCCGTCTAATTGGCGTATTACAGTCACTTCTAATGGATGGATTACAAATGAAAAAGGCTTAGAATGGCTTAAACACTTCAATGAGCATACCAAATTACGTACGAAAGGACAATATCGGCTCTTGATTATGGATGGCCATGAGAGCCATCATTCAGCCGAATTCGAAATGTTTTGCAAAGAGAACTATATTATTACTCTTTGCATGTCAGCTCATACATCTCATCAGCTTCAACCTCTTGATATCGTCTGTTTTAATGCATTAAAACGGGCATATCATAATGAAATTGAGAGTTTGGTGCGTATGTATATCACACATATTACGAAGGAAGATTTCTTTACATTATTTCACACTGCACACAACAAATCAATGACATCAACAAATGCACAATCAGCTTTTAGAGCAGCTGGTATTGTTCCTTTTAATCCGAATTATGTGATTTCGCAATTGGATATACAGCTACGAACACCATCGCCTCAATTACAGCCAACTCTACCGCAAATCTGGAACCCAAAAACACCAAACAATCCAATTGAATTGCAATCGCAGACCGAATATTTACAAGATCGGATTCTTAAACATCAAGATAGCTCACCAACACCAATCTTAAATAGTCTACAGCAGATTACAAAGAGTGCTAGCCGAATAATGCATGAAACTGCATTAATCCAGAATGAGGTCGAACAACTCCGAAAGGCAAATATACATCTTTCCCGACGCCGCAAAGCATCAAAGAAACATCTACAAGATGGCGGATCTCTTACAACAACAGATGCACATACAATTCGAGCCCAAATAGAGATAGATTTACAGCTACAGATGGAAATACAGGCAAACAATCGAATCACAAGACAACAAACTAGACCTATTCGGCATTGTACAGTATGTAAGAATACTGGTCATAATTCAAGAACATGTACAGTTACTTAGATAGCTCTGAGATATTATCTTCTATATTTTGATATATATATTTATTTACCATGGCATTCTAACTAAATTTTAAATTCGTGGTATCTTCAAAAATGGTCCGCTCGCCTATGTGGTCCGCTCGCTTATCCACCACGTTAATCGATACGAGCTAAAGTTAGGGTTTACCGTATGCCAGTTGGGTTACCCTCCACAATGCATCCTGCTTTTAAGTCTAAAAGGCGCCACTAGTTTTCGTCTCCACAAGATGCCGCAATTGTCCGATCGCAAACTGCTACCGATTGTATAAGTGATGGTAAGCAGTGGCGATGTCATGCAGCTGAAGAAGAAAAAGATTATAAATTCAGGAATTTCCTGCTATCACTAGCCTGTCAAAAATATTACAGAAGTACTAGAATTATACTCTGAGACTTATTCAATTCTTCAATCACGCATAATTCAACACAAACGCGGTTACAATGACTGGACTCCAAGCTGCTGTCTTTGTTAACCCACCGCTACCTATGCCAAACCAAGTTGGCGGTTCCTCATCGCCATCCTTATGGTCACCAACATCCAACACGCTCATTTATTCCGCTAACGAAGCTGTGCTTGTTGATACAGCTATCACAGTCAAACAGACAGAGGATCTCATTGCGTGGATCGAGGCTACGGCGCCAGGCCGCGAGCTATCATACATTTATATTACCCATATGAGTTCTAAATCTGAGTAGTTTTACGAAAATATTTGGCTACGTATGAAATCAGATTATAGATCAAGGAGAGCGCGCGACTCGTCAGGCTCTGCTTTTTAATACGAGAGATGATCAAATAAAAGAAAGTAACATAAAATTTAGAGGATCAACTGCTAAATCTATAGAGATCAACACCGTTAATGTAAATGATTTTGTTACGATGACGGCTCACCTAGGAATAGCCTACATATACGTTATTCTTTTCGACTTGGTTACTTGGGGACTGGCCTCTGTGAGTTGACTTCTTGGGGGCCTAATAATACTAAGTATTTCTATGAGGTACCATCATGCAAGTGTCTCGTACAAGTTGACTACAGAGTGAGTATAACGTCGTAGATCTAAGCCCGAATATTCATATAATCCAACGAAAACATAGTTTGAATCCAATAACTCTACTCTCTAATCTTTAACCTCAGATAACACTGATCGGCTCTATGCACAATGCCGTAGCTGGCCTTAGGATCAGCCAAGACAGGCGTAACATCCAGCAGGTCAAAATTCCAAAATACCAGCGTTACCACCATGCGCAGCTCGAGATACGCCAACCTGCGGCCCCAACAGCTGCGCGGGCCCATTCCAAAAGCAATCTGCGGTGCCGCATTTGCATCAAAGACGACTCCCTCACCCGTATTCGCACCCTTGACAAGCCATCGTTCTGGATCAAATAAACGCAAATCCCGAGTCTCATCCCAACCGGTAGCAGATTTGGCTGTTGGGCTGCGCTTCGCGCTATCAACAACCAGTGACGGGATATGAAATCCAGGCCCGTTTGCAATCAGAATCACATTGGTGCCCTTTGGGATGTGATGGCCGAGTACCACAGTGTCACAATTTGTCTGGCGCGCCAAACTGGTCGCATGGAGCCGCAGGGCTTCCTCTAGAACAGCCTCAAGGTACGGGACCCGAGTCTTGGTGACTTCAGCGAGCGAGGGTATACGGTCTTCTGCACGCGCCTCGGCATAGGCATCGTGCAGTGCGCTGCGAAGTTTTGTTTGGATTTTAGGCAATCGCGTCAAGTAGATAAAAGTCCAAGCGAGTGTAGTGCTTGTCGTGTGTAAACCAGCAATAAACTGACCAGCAATCTGCATATGGTCGTCTGTGTTAGCAAACGAAAACGTAGCCGACACAATTTTAGCTCACCTCATCTATTAATGTAGGATTCTCATAGTTCGGTTTCCGACCTTGCTTTTCAGCAGCCTTTCTCTCCCGTAGCATCATGTGCTCAATAGCTGTTCTAGACTCGCTTGGTGTATCTAACCTCTGGAGGGCACCGCGAATCTGCTCCCGGATAACTTTCCTCTTAGTAGCTGTCACTTTGCGATATCTTGGCGTTTGGCGAATCCACCACATGGCCAGCTGCGGAGACACCGATTTCGTTACCTTGTCAATGGCGTCAACCGTCTCGTATAGTGCTGAGATGAAGTCGTCCAGGGGCTCGCTTGGAAAGTACACCTCGCCATTTAGTCCCATCTCTAAGGTCGAGGGATCCAAGCGTGACACTGCTTCCGTCTGTGGTCCCAGGGCTGTATGCTCAAAATGCTGGTCAAATACGAACGAGAGCATACCGTCAAGAGCACTGTGATCCAGGTCCTCGTTAACATCAAATGGCCGGCCGCTAGCCACGTGAACCTTGAGTTTCCACAAGTCGATGAGTCGAAGCGAGTTGAGGTACATGCGTGGGCCGACGACGTTGTTGAGGAAACTTGGTCCCATAAGATCCTGCAGCCAGGCGCGCGTAGTCTTCCAGTCACTTCCTGTCTTCATGCGTGCGTGGAAGCCGTCCAGTGGCGCTAGACCATCCGTGATAAAACTGGATCGGTCAAACTCGGGGCGACGCATCATGATGTCCTGCGCCTCAACTGGGTCGGCCAGAAGCAGCCAGGGCTTGGAGAACGGCTCGACAAAGACTTGGCACAGGGGCGCTTGGAACTTGTCCACTTGCTTCGACAGCCATTTGTTGAGCTCGCGCGTCTGGCCGACCTCACGCAACATGTCGGGCGCATCACCCAGCAAGCGCCTAGCTGCTTTGGCGTCGTGAGGAATGCCGGGCAACGGATATGGGAGTAGACGTTGGTATACGGTATAAACTACGGCGACCAAAGCGAGAAGAGTGAATGAAATCGCCAGGGGATTGTCACTCGAAAAGTGGAAGATGTGTAAAAAGGGCATTGTTTCGGTTAATCTGGGTTAAGGAGCTGTGAGGTATTGGTGATACCGTGGAAGCACCCTAGGATTCCAGAAGCCAGCATGTCGTTCCATGGCTAATAAAGTAGTTTTTACTCAATAATTATCACGGTGATTGCATTAAAACGAGGCAAATGTCTAAAGATTACAAAAGGAGGCTGTGAATGTCATTGAAGCCAGCTCTGATGGCTGCCAGGAGTTCGGGGCGTAGACCCACTAAAGTTCGGCCGAAGAGTTCGGCCGATCTTGCATCGATGTGATGAAAAGTGGGGCGCACAGTGTGCAGCCGAAAAGAGAAGGACCAACAACAGACATTGGTAATGTGGTAGATTAACTTATAGGTTAGATAAATGTGGATGGTGCTGATAGCGCGGGGATAATGGACTTTGTAGCCTACACGAAACAGTCTTTTTAATGGGCCGTGTCGGAGACATTGGTTCTATAGGTTGACTTTGGGTGCTATTGCTGGTATAAGTGGGTTGAATTATCGTACGAGGCGTAGTTCACAAGGTTTCCTTACAAGTATTGTTGAAAGAAATCTCAAATTATTTTATTTAGAATTAGCAAATTGTCTACTCTAAAGAAATCAAAGCTTGTTCAAGTTGAACTTCGTTGTATGAATGGAATTATAGCAAACGCCTGTCATTCTGGCTCGTCTACCACGAAATCTCGCCCAACAGGCGCCGTAATCTTTTCTTTCAGCTTATGTAGCATGCCCCATATGACTTCACGTGCACTAGTGAAAGAGGACTAGTAGAAGTCGCCGCTAGCCTAGTCTTCTCAGGCCGCGGCGATACCAGCGGAAGCGCCAAACAGCTTCTCGCGGCGCATAACAAGGCTGAGAACAGCAACAAGAGCGCCACCTGCAATAACAAGGATATAAGACTTGTCAATAGCATGGACAATTGCATCGAGAACCTCGGCTTGGATGTCTTTGGGGAGGTTCTGTACCAATCCGGAGTGCGATCCCAGGATTGCGGCTTGAATGTCGGCAACGGGCACATTGGGGAGGATCTTTTCGATGCTACTCTGGCTAGCGTTGAGAAGAATGGCGTTGGCAATAGCGAGGGCAAATGTAATGCCGACGAACTGGGCTAGCGTGATAAAGGCAATGGCGGGAGCAATGTTTTCCACGTCGACAACGGCTTGTGCGACTGAAAAGGCAGCCTGGAGAAACATACCAACTCCGGCCCCGAGAAGGACAGTAAATCCGTACACACGACTGTTAGAGGTATCCTGTTCAATGGTGTACATGAGAGATGACCCAATGACAACAAAAATGCCACCGACGAGGAACCACGGCATATAGTAGCCCAGCTTGGCCATCAAGCTGCCATTGATAAAGACAAATACAACCATGACGGCAATAAAGGGGAGAAGACGGACGCCAGCATCAAGTGGGCCATCATTGCGTGTGAATTGAAAGAAGAGAGGCACCATGTAAATGGGTACAAACGAACACGAGCCGCCCGACGCTGCTGCAGAGAACAAGATGAGAACGGTGCGTGAGCGGAAGAATTGCACCGGAATCAGACGGCGGGACAGCGTGGTGCCAATGTTCCAGACCTGCTGGATTCCTAGAATAATGAATAGAATGCCTGAGACAACAAACAAGGCGATGATGCGGCCGGAACCCCAAGGATAGGTGACGCCACCCCAGTTAATCGCGAGGATGAAGCTCGTCAGCGCGCCAGCTTGTAGGATACTGCCAAGATAATCCATCTCGACGACACGCTCTTTAAGAGAAGATCCAGGGCGGGGGTCCTTGCTAGGTATCAGGAAGACGTAAAATGGAGCGCAAACGGCACCGATAAAGAGATTGATGTAAAAGGCCCAGCGCCAGCCAACAGAGGATTGACTAAAGGCTCCTCCCACAACAGGGCCCAACACGATTCCAATACCCCAAGTGAATCCAGTGCAGGAGATGTAGATTGGTCGCTCAGCAAGTGTCGTAGTGGTGGCAAGCAGGGTCATTGTGCCAATGTACATGCCAGCGCCGCCAATGCCTGCAATGGCACGCCCCAGAATCATAATGTTCATCGACGGTGCAGCGCCACAGATAGCCGAACCGACCTCAAAGACGACCACAAAGAAAATGTAGACCCATTTGGCGTTGAAATGGCCGTAGATACGACCCCAGACAAGATTAGTCGCGGTGGCGCACAGCAAGAACGCCACGCTGAGCCAGGACAGCTTCTGGATATCACCAAATTCTTGTACGATGATGGGCTGTAGGTCTGCTACCACGGTGGCATCGAGGGCGTAGAGAAAGGTTGAGAAAAGGATGGCAAGCACGGTAGCGTACCATTTCCACCCACTAATGTCACGGGGAGGCACCTCGGGTTGGGCTTCTGTAGGTACATTCCCGTCTGGAGTTATGGTGTTACCGGTGCCGCTATCCTTTTCATTGATTGAGCTTCCAGTAGGACTAGACAAGCTATGGTCAGTCGCGTTGTTCTTGTCCGCCAGGCTGTCAGGTGCTGTGGTTTTGTCGTCCAGTGCCATAATCGATCGCCGCGGTTGGTTGGTAACGCTTGAAAGAATGGAAAGATACGAGCTGGGTCGTTAGGAACCTAAGTAGTTAATCTGTTTAAGGGGAATGAGGGAAGACAAGTTGAGCAAACAACATCTTGGCTCGTTCCTTTTGTATAAGCCTCGTACAGTGCCGTGTGGTAGATGGCACACGGTGCAATCTTGACCCGTCCCTAATATTACCAATCGTGCCACCCTGTATCCCACTTTCTCCCCGTGCAGGGCCGACAGGCGCTGGTTTTGGGGTGTTTGTCTTGGTCTGTTTCATAATTATTCTATAGATAGCAGTAGCCACTTGGAAGAGCCAATTAGAAGAACAGTGAAGTAAGTAGTGATAAGGGTCGTGGCGTAAGAATCGTGTGGTGGTTTAGAACGAAGAGGACTCAAACATGACACCCTTAAAAGGCTGTCCTGCCTAGATATATAATGGAAGATATTATAAACGTTGATTAAAATATCCAAATTAGTTTGCTACATATTACTTTTTCATTATATAGGTCTTCATATATTTTATCCTTTATTTTCTTTCCCAGCATCGTGTCATCTAATGGGTGTTATAGTCGACTCGCAAGCCCACTGATGGGTCCTTTGGGGCGTAAAAAGGCGCAATTTTAGCTTAAACAGTTGTATTTAGCATCGTAAATCGACAAGGCCCCCCGCTATTCTGCCCCGATCATTTAATCGTTATCTGCCAGACTAGATCCATGATATTGTTAATAACATTCTTAAAGGAAAATAGGTTGCCTGTAGCTGGCCTGGTAGGACAATCCTTTTTGGTTTTAAGTAGGAGGAGCCTCGTAGTACCAAGGCTCCGCCATTATCTGTAGGGTGATAATGCCTGCCCAAAGCACTTAATCTTTTGCAAATCCATAGCCTTGTTTTCGTTCACTGCAAATACAGCATCCCGTCGCCGCCCGATGTGCTCCGCAATAGGGCAGAAGCTAATGCTACGACGTTACTACTAGACCCAACTAGGAGCGTTTATTTTTTTCTTTCCCATATGGTATATACAAGCGAAGCATATCATACCGATAGATACCGATATACAGCTGGTTCCCGATTCAAGCTATACATATATAGCCTTGTTTGCAAATGCGTCTTTTTTTTAAAAAAAAAAAAGAAAATTCGTTTAAATTAGCGCAACGCACAGGTAAAGGAATCTGCACTATGCAGGTATTGGGTGCTGCTGGGTGCTGCATAAGTACAAGTCTGGTAAGAGCCGAGCTGTATGTAGGCTCTGGACGCACGCACATGACGCAAGTCGAGCTTCAGCAAACACTCATCAAACGCCACCCACTACAACCCACCCATAAATAACGAGCCGTTAGGAGGTGCCTTTCTTTACACTGCTACGTGCGCTACCTAGACTGGCTCTGCTAATCAATTTATTGACTGTGCTCGCATATTTTCAGCCCATCAGGCTAACTACATACCGAGTGGTCTGAAATGTCGGCACACACATCGTCCATCACGCCGGCCGCAGGTAGAAAACGAGTCGTGACATCGTGCATCGCGTGCTACGCTAGCAAGCAAAAAGTATACACACACCCCTCATCCTCCTTTTCTGCATAAAACATCTTGTTAACTTTGGCTGCAGTGTGACCGGCGGCAGCCATGCGGGAATTGCAAGCGACGCAGACGCCCAGAGCGGTGCGTCTACGAGCAGCCCGCAGCCACAGCTCAGATTGTCAGCCACTCTGTTGTGTATCTGAATGCAGAGAATGACGGCCAGTCTCGCCCACTACAGCATAATAATAATGCTTTTAATTCGTCCTCAGCACTGATAACTAGCAACCTCGGCATAAGTGCCTTGCACAACGCCGATACGTCTCTGACAAAGCTGTTTGGGTACTCCGAGGATAGCGAGTCTAATACCGCTGCTCTGTTAAAGCGGGTACGTAGAGATAGAGGACTCTCTGTGTATACGAGGCGACAGATCTGCTAATAAGTACACCAGCTAAAATTGGATGAGAAGCATCAGAGGGTAGAAACCGACAAGGACGCAATATGGGGGCCGGAGACGGAGGACGAAATTCGTCTTGTTTTGAAGCGGATGCCCGATCGCCAAGTCATGGATTTTCTCATGCAGTTTTTCGTATCCGAGATTAACTGGTTTGCACTCTTGCCCAATATCATTGCCATTATTCTAACTCGTTTTTGTTTAGGATGGACCAGCTCATTCACCCACAAACCTTCTTATCGAGGTACCAGGTCTGGTGGTCCGCAACGTCGCTGAGATGTACTGAGGATGTGGAATTTGCTGTTCTCTTCTTAAGAATGGCATCCTACGCGTCCCAGTTTCTACCATCGCCGCTATATACTCTTGAACGCATCCGCGGCATGCCCTTATCCGAGATCCGCACCACGTGCGGTCAACTTGGTGACGAGCTCGCCGCCATCTGCTCGGCCCTCGATTCTAAAGGAAGCCTTGTACGCGTCCAACATTTGCTGTTTGCTGGGCTTCAGACTCGATGCGAAGGACGGATTGATGCATTCTGGGATTTGCTTAACGCCGCCATTCGCGTGGCACAGCGACTAGGCATGCACAGAGCCGCCACCGACTCCTCAATACGCGACGAATTACAAACCGAGATACGCAGACGGACTTTTTGTAACTTATATATATGGGACAGGTATGCTTTCTCTCTTCATGTTAAATTTTTTTTGGCCGCCACTAATACTGTCCAGCCTCCTTGCACGACAGCTTGATCGCATACCCTTCTTGCCAGAGAACGTCAGCGAAGAAAGCCTCCCACAGCTTCGCCTGAGCCCAGAATTGGTCGAGCCGGATGCGCCTGAATGCTTTACGGAGAGGCTACTTCAGGTCAGGCTGGCTACCTTTTGGCGTACGTCCAACCCAGGCGGCAGCACAAACTATAACGCCCCTGTCGCCGAAGAGAGATACGAAGAATTTTGCAGGCAATTTATCCCCATGCTGCATCCCGCTTTTGCCCTTAATGCCAACACTAAATGGGACGCCGCGATGCCCTCTGTGCCGTTACAACGCCAACGCTTGCGTATCACAATGTTAGATTCTGTGTGCTGGAACTTTCGACCCGTTCTTAGGCTAAAATGTAGCTTTGTTGCTGGCTTGTCGGCTTACAAGCGCGTGCTTATCTCGTCGCAGAGGAGAGCACTAGTAGCAGCCTCGCTCAAGATCCTTGAGGCGGTTGCCACGCTACATAGCCTTCTTGGGGCCTCTCACACGAGATTTGTGGACGTGGTCTTTTATACATTTGAGGCTGCCGTACTGGTCCTGTTTCTTTGCACAGAGCCTGGCTATCTTCAGCACCATGAGCCCTCTCCGACTAAGTCGGCCTCTGAAGATCCCTTGGGTTTGGATGCAATGGAAATATCGATAGACCGATGCCTGCAGGCTGCTCGAGAAGCATTAGATCGTTTACGAATGCTCGCCGAAGTAAGCGACATGGCGGCGGCAGGCTCACGAGCTCTTGCGCAGCTCTTGGATCGTTGGCCAGAGGGACTTACTATGGCAGACTTTGAAACTGATGGCGGGGCGTATCAGGATCTGCCCATGTTTGGTAAACAAATGCAAGGATTCAGTGGTGACTATTCCACCGACCCTCTTGCGGTAGCGGCCGTATCTGCAGTTCCAGTGGAAGATATTTCTCCCGAGTGGTATGGCACTGGAGAATTTGATTTCACTTTTGACGTGGAATAGAAAACAGCGTATGAATTATGAAATCAATAGACTAGATTGAGAGTGTAATGTGTATACTTTGGAAAGCATAATATATAGATATGATCCCAGGCAATTCCAATCAACATCATAGAGAGCGCTCACCGGCGAAGATAGACTTCAAGAAGACCCATGAGCCCGTCGGGGCGGAAGCTGCGAATCTCATATCTCTCATCAGCCTGCTTGAGCAAGGCTCCAAACTCGGCTTCCGTGCGCAACTTGCCGCCAAAGCACACCAGCATGATGAGGTCAATCTGACGCATGCCACGTTCCACTTCACGCGGCAGCGAGCCCTGCACAGGTACAATGAGGTCGTTGATCAACAGCGGCGTTGTTGGCGGTGACCTTTCCAGACCTGGTACCATGGCTTGGAACATTGTAATCACATCAGCATCACACCAGTTTAGGGCACATGCACGCAGGATGAAGGCGGCTGCATTGCTGACAGGCTGCGGCTCAAAGAAGCTGTGCTGTGCGAACGTGATGCGGCTGCGCACGTCATCGGTAAGCAAGAGCTGGCCTGCAGCATGCATATCGGCGGAGTCCTGCACTATGAAGTTTAGGTCTGGAAAGCTCTGGTAAAGACGGGTCAGAGGAGAGGACATCTCTCAGTGTATAAGGTATGGTAGGCGATGCTTACCTGAGCTAGTGTAATGGATACTTTGCCACTGCCGCCGCCTACGTCCACTACGGTACCTTTCAGTGTTCCCCAAGGGAAAGCATCTCGCAGGGCGTTGATGTTAAGATTTACTATTTGTAGTGTTAGCTGATTGTAAGAAGTCTTTTATACAATGGCGCATACGCTTGGCCCATCCGGCCATTGCTTTGGCGAAACGAATGGACCGTAGGGAATCATTCTCATAGAAGTTGAATATGGGCAGGCCATGACGCGTGGTAAACGGGGTCACGGCGCTGTTATACTTGTCTGGTGAGTCTTTGATATTGTCTGCGGTGGCGGAGGCTGCCTTGAGCATTTCATCAACACTATTACGCTGAGTTAGCTGTGAGTACCGTTTTGAGCACCCAACGTAAGCGTTAGAAGCGGCAGGCTGCTCACGTGTAGTGCACTGTTGACCGAATCTCTTGGTCCGTATGGAGGAGATAGGATGTTTGATTATGGGATACATGTCCAGGCGTGGGCTCTTTAAAGACAGACTCGGTCAATAAGAGGCGCACAATGCGACTTGTTCTGTCCAGGTCAACGCCGGCAAGCTTGCTCAGCTCCTGAAACGAGATTTGGCCCGAGGAAGGCACAAGTTCGAAAAAGTTGAACTCGAGAGCTACTTGAATAGCAGCGAGCTCATAGCCCTGACAACACAGTGCCCTCAGGTGTCTCTTAGGGCCCTCCACGAGATATTGGAGATCCTCAACGGCTCGCTGTAGGTCGCCCTGCAGCCGGGCATAGTCGAGCGTCTCTGGCCGTGCCACTGATTCTGTTGAAAAAGTAGGCTCAGTAAGGCTGTTTGCCTCGAGATAGTCTGTGATTGCGCGTGTCTTGTCACGAATGTCGTTAGCAAGAGCGAGAAGGGTACCTGGTACCGGGTGGCTTTGTTCCGACATGACGGATTAGATGTGGGCTGACGTCGGTTAGTTTAGAGTTGGGCTATGGATATACTGTTTAGCTACTGTATTTAAATCTTTATATCCCTTGTTTTGTAAGGGGCTTAGAGCCCGCTTGGCAGTTCTCGGCCCTTCAGGGAGCCAACGTCGGCCGACATTTGGTAACACGTCATACCAATGCCAGCTGCTCGGTAAAGCGGTCCAAGCTTTGTAATACAGGCATAGTCGCCGTCAATGATTACCTTAGTGGAGTTTGAATTTAATGCATACGACACATATTATAACTTGTTGTAAACTTAGTAGCTAGTATTCAACCAGCCTGAGACTGGGGGCCATGTATTCCCCTATTCCCCCCTTTAGCCGTTATTATGCTTCGGCCGAACTACTGCAGGCAATATGAAACAAGGCCTTCTATAAAGTACTGCTATCTACGGAGTTTCGGCAATTGCCATAAAGAGGTGCCGTCCGGCTAGCCACAGCCTTACTCTTCGGCCGACGTTTGCGAAAGCAAGGCGTGGCATAAACGTCAGCAGCGTGGGGGCTCTGCTGATGAGTAAAGATAATACTTTTCTACAATCAGTGCGCTGGCAGCTCCCTGCCGTCGGTAGGGCTAAAATGTATTGTGGCTTGAGAGGTCGGCCGACATTTCAAAGGGTGTACGTGATAGGGAATTGACTGGAAGTGGACGATCTGAGATGATAATGAGGTAGTAGTTGAGTTCTCACACAATTTGTTATACTATCAGTGTAGACTCTTGCACTCTCTAAGACTATTAATAGCGCTATTTTGAACTCGCAAATTGATATCCCCTAAATAGACAGCTTACCCAGTGTTACTAGAGCGTCAGCAGTATACAGCAAGACAACGGACAATACACTTTACAAGATATATTTATACTTATAAATCAACGACTAATAGAAAAAGGAACATATACCATGTCCAAATCCCAAAGTCCGGAGCCGATGGCTATTGTAGGCATGGGTATGTAAACAAAGCTCAATGTCTCGTCTTCTCCAACTAACGACCTGTTTTGCTAGGCTGCCGCTGGGCAGGTGGCGTCAAGGATTCACCTGGCCTTTGGGAATTCTTGATCAACAAGCGCTCAGGATACCAGGACTGGGCAGCGCCTCGGTTCTCGGCGCAAGGCTTTTATCACCCAAACCCAGAGCGCCCTGGAACCACAGCAGCAAAGGGCGGATACGTAGTTACCGAGGATCCTCGCCTCTTCGACCCTGCCTTTTTTGGTATCTCGGGCCTCGAGGCAGAGACAATCGATGCGTCACAACGTAAGCTTCTCGAGGTCGTTTACGAGGCGTTTGAGAATGCCGGAGACACCTGGGAGAGCGTCAACGGAACGCGTATGGGCGTATACGTAGCCGATATATCCTACGACAATTCGTACGCCCAGACGCGGGACTGGGAGTACGCTAGACCCCATGCTACAACAGGCGTCTGCCACAACATTCTAAGCAATAGAATCAACTACGTTTTTAATCTTACTGGCCCAAGGTATGTAGCAAAACAGCCGTTGTCAGGTACAACCTACAGGACTAATACATAAAGATCAGTGTTACGCTGGATAGTGCGTGTACATCTGCACTCTACGCTATGCATATGGCTATACAGGCCATTCATAATGGCGACTGTGAGTCGGCAGTAGTTGCCACAGCAAACTGGATCATGGATCCTGCGATGCAAATCGCCATGGACAAGTTGGGTGCTCTGTCAGGTACATCTATGAGCCATGCCTTTGATGCATCAGCAGATGGCTACGCTCGTGGAGAAGGCTTCGCTGCTATTTACTTGAAGAAGCCAGAAAAGGCAATGAGACTAGGAAATCCTATACGTGCCTTGGTTCGAGGGAGTGCCATTGGAGCCAACGGCAGGTCTAGCGGCATCACGCATCCTAGCGGGGCTGCACAAGAAGCCATTATCCGGAAATGCTACAAGGATGCTGGCCTCGATCCCTCAGTGACGCCATTTCTTGAATGCCATGGAACGGGAACCCGGGTTGGCGATCCGCTGGAAGTCGAAGCAGCAGGCAATGTATTCGGTCCAGGCAGATCGAATGACCCTGAAGATCGGCTACTCATTGGATCGGTCAAGACAAACTTGGGACATACTGAGGGTGCAGCAGCGCTTGCGGGCATCTTCAAAGCTGTGCTAGCTCTCGAAGCCGGCTTGATTCCACCTAGTATTGGTGTGCAGACCCTGAATCCTAGAATCAACTTTGACAAGGCCAAGGCCATGGTGGCTACGGAAGTGATGCCGTGGCCAAAGGGAAAGCTGCGGCGTGCGAGCGTCACCTCGGCTGGATTTGGCGGTTCTATCGGGCACTGTATCCTTGATCATGTTAGTGTCGTATATCCTGACTATGTGAAGCCCGGGATCACGGCAAAAACGAGCGTCAATGGAACCGATGGAGCCAATGGAGCCAATGGCTATACAAATGGTCATGGAACGAATGGTCACACAAAGACCAACGGACAGAAAAGTCATGGCGACAAAACCAATGGCAATGCCCAGAGTAGCAATGACACAAATGGACATACAAATAGTTCTTTGGCGCCGTTGAGATATCCTCCCATGGCATCATCACGTACAAAATCATCCTCAGCTACTGCAACCACTCGTCAGCTCGTCCTGCTTCCGTTCTCAGCCAATGTGACAGCCTCGCTCGATGCCAACATTGCTGCCCTCTCACGTATCATTGATCAACACTCACTAGCAGATGTTGCTTACACACTGTCCGTCAAAAGATCGAGATTCACACAGCGCACATTCTGCATTGTTGACAAAGACGACGTCAACCAAAGCCTGTTCAACGGTAAACAAGAGGTCTTTTCAAGCCCGACCAACGTTCCAGGCTTAGGCTTCATCTTCACCGGACAAGGCGCCCAGTGGCATGCAATGGGAGCTAAACTTTTCGAGTACCAAATTTTCCGCTCTGCTATTGACCATCTAGATGACGTCTTGGGTGCGCTGCCCTCGGCTCCATTATGGAAGATCAAGGATCTGCTATCTGGGACCTGCGACGGTGCCGCTATGCAGAAGCCAGAGATTTCGCAGACAGCATGCACAGCCGTCCAGATTGGCCTTGTAGATCTACTTGCTTCGTGGTCAGTTCATCCTACAGCTGTTGCAGGCCACTCGTCGGGTGAAATGGCTGCTGCGTATGCTTCTGGGCGCATCACAGCCGCTGAAGCTATCACGGTAGCCTACCTACGCGGCAGGGCAGTGTCGCTGAACAAGAGAAAGGGTGCTATGCTTGCTGTTGGACTTGGTGTTGAAGCCGCAGCCAAGCATCTTGTTGGGATTGAACACGAGATTAAAATTGCTGCTGTGAATTCTCCTGGTAGCCTCACGCTCTCTGGAGAGGTGGAAGCAATAGAGAGTCTCTCTGCTACTCTAACCAACGATGGTGTTTTTAACCGGTTGGTGAAGACTGGTGGTAATGCATATCACTCACATCACATGCTGGAGCTCGGCAGCGAATATCAAACGCTACTCGATGACGGGTTGGGGCATTTGGAAAAGCTGGGGCTTCGGAATGCAACTCGCCGACATCCTCTTGTCTACTGGGCTTCATCTGTTACGCCAGACAAAACCATGCCGACAGACTACGTTCCAGCACAGTATTGGCGAGCCAATCTGGAATCACCTGTTCGATTTTCAGACGCTGTAGGCAAGCTCATAACACAGGATGAGCTTGAGATTGGCGCAATGATTGAGATAGGACCTCATCCGGCTCTAAAAGGCCCTGTAGGCCAGATTATCAAGAGCTTTGGCGGCGCTATGCCCTACGTTGCTTCTCTCAAGCGCGGTGAAGATGATCAAAAATCCATCTTGCAGCTTGCCGGTGCTCTCTTCGGGCTCAATGCAGCCATTGATCTTGATTCCGTCAACGCAACAGATGGAAAAGATGGAATTATGGTGCATGGCACCATGGCCATGGATCTTCCCCCATACCAGTTCACGTACGGGCCTGTAAGTTACTATGAAAGCCGTGCAAGCAGAGAATTTCGTCTCCGTTCAATTCCCAGGCACGATCTCATAGGCTCCAAGATAGCTGGAAGCGCAAAACTGCGCCCCCAGTTCCGAAATGTGCTGCGAATAAAAGATCTGCCGTGGCTGGGTCACCACAGACTTCTCCCTGATGCCGTTTTCCCGGCTGCTGGATACATGGCAATGGCAATGGTAGCAGCGGCCCAAGTACATAACGAGGCCGGAGATGCGCTACCCATTCTCAGCTACTCTCTACGCAATGTGTCCATTAAGAGCGCCTTGAAGATTCCAGAGGATCAGCACGGTATCGAAATCATTCTTAGCCTGGAACTTGACGACGCAGCTACGGCCCAGGTACCGACTTGGGCCAGCTTTTCCGTCAGTTCTGTCGCTCGTGGGACAGATCAGTGGACGGAACACTGCAAGGGATTGGTGAGGGTCAACATAGACAAAAGTGGTGCACCTCAAACGCTGAGTGCAGATATGGACGAGTCTCGGGCTCTGGACGCTCGTGCTTGGTATAAAACCTTTGCGTCCATCGGGTTGGGATATGGACCTGCATTTCAAGGCTTATCTGATCTTCGCGCCGATTCAGCTACGAGCAGAGCATCTGCTAAACTAAGCCTAAACACTACGGCTGGCACCGTCAAAGGTGGCGAGTCGACGTATCCCATCCATCCTGCTTCGCTAGACGCCATGATTCAGCTCGGCCTGCTTGCTTGTCACGGTGGCGAGATAGAGAGAGCTACCGGCGCATTTGTCCCCATGCACCTCTCGGAGCTGACTCTTGAGGCTGGCGATGACGCAGATTGGGGCACAGCTCTAGCTCAAGGCGAGTTCAAGGGACTGCGGTCTGCGTACCTTCAGCTCCAGTTGCAGAGCTCGAGTGGCAAGCTGCTTCTCAACGTCAAGAATCTCCGATGCATTGCATACAGCTTGACAGACAATGGGACCAAGGATGGTAATGAAAAGGCTTTTGCTTCACCCTTCACACGCATGGTATACAAGCCCGACTCTCGTGTCTTGAGCAACCAGCAGGCACAAACACTCTTCCCGCCTTTGCCAGCAGATAAGGCAATGGATCGCCTGGAGACGGTTGCGGCACTTGTGGTTGTTGATATATATGAAACGATGCTCAGAGGGGGGTTGACAAACGTCTCTCTATCCATGCGTAGCTTTGCCTCCTGGATTACGAGATTGGCAGAGGATAGTAAGGCGGAGCCGATAGCCAAAGCGAGACTGGCCTCCTCTCAGGAGCGCCAAAAGGCTCTGCACGACACTTTCCATGAAAAAGAGCCTCTGGTTGAGATAAAAGCCATGCAGCGTTTGCATGATAATGCAAAAGATATTCTTGAGGGTACCGAGGCTAGCCAAGACATCTTGAACAAGGACGGACTCATTGTCGAGTTTTTACGCACTAGTCTCTACTTGACGGGCACAGAGCCTCAGATATCCAATATTTTCGACTCCATCGGCCATATTAACCCAAATGTTCGAATACTCGATATCGGAGCAGGCAACGCAAGGCTTGTCTTGGAGGCTCTTTCTAGCAGCACAAGCTCGATTAAGCGCTACCGAGACTACACTATAACATGTACCTCGCAAGCGGCCCTTGATGTTGCTCAAGGACAGCTTGGACAGTACCGCCACGTCAACTTTTCCCTTTTAGACATTGAGCAAGACCCCTCTCATCAAGGATTTCAGTCAGCCTATGATGTAGTGTTTGCGTCGCAGTCTGTGCATGTGGCATCAAACATCTCCATAGTGCTAAAGAATATCAAGAAGCTGCTTAAACCCAATGGCAAGCTCGTTATGGTGGAGGCTACGGGCAAGTCCATTACTCTCGGGCTTGTCGGCGGCTCACGTAGCCAGTACTGGGGCGACGTGGAAGACTATCGTGGCGAAAACGGTCTGCTGATGAGTACGCCAGCGTGGGATGCTGCTTTGAAGTCTGCAGGCTTTTCGGGCATTGATATTGCTCTGGACGATTATCCTCAGCCAAGGACTAGCTCTACTGTCCTAGTATCTTCTCTCTTGGGACCAACCAGAGTTAGCTCGAAGACAGTGTATCTACTCCACGGATCAAAAGGCACCCCGCGTCTTCTCACACAGCTCGTAGCAGCGCTGGAACGGCGTGGTACGGTATCCAAAACTATCTTGATAGATAATGTCAAAGAACAACTGCCTCCCAACAGCCGCTTGATTGCTTTCCTCGATGGCGAGAACCTGCTTCTCGACGCTGATGAAGTCCGCCTCTCCATCTTTCAGTATCTTGCAGAGAACGCCGCCAGCATGATGTGGCTAACGTCGACGGGTATGGCACAGGGCCACAGCGCAAACGGAGCGGTTGTCGGCGGCCTACTGCGAACTCTTTCTACAGAGTCACCCACATGCCGCTTTACTTTTATCGACATTGACGCAGATGACTTTGAGCTGCGTAGTAGTAGCAGCCATGAGAAAGACGAGCTCATCAGAGTGCTAACTTTCCAAGAAGAAACGCTACAGCAGGAAGCAAACGTTGAGGACAACGAGGATCGCGAATTCGCATGGCACAGCGGATGCCTCTGGGCCCCCCGGCTGCTTCCCGAGCCTAGGCTAAGTCGATATGCAGAGCGTCTCGCTACTCCCACAGCTCTTGGGACCGAGATGTTACCACATGATAGCCAGGGGCCAGTCCGCGCTGCCTTTGAGACACCAGGCATTCTTAGTTCGCTGTACTTCCAGGCGGACTCTGAATTGCGCAATAATCCCCTACCCAAGGACTGGATTGAGGTCCATGTTACGGCCGTGGGACTCAACTGGAAGGATCTGGCGCTTTGTACCGGTCGGTTCGATGGGAACAATCTTTCCTCTGAATATGCAGGCGTTGTTACAATGGTTGGATCCGATATAAATAGCCGCTTCACCGTGGGAGACTGTGTGTATGGCCTCGGCAAGGGGTATTTTGGCAATTATGTCCGCGTACCTGCTGGGCTGGCTCAAAAGACGCACACAAACAAACTGCTTGGGGCTGCAACGATGCCCGTCGTCTTCATGACGGCCGTGTATGCCTTTGAGCACCTGACAAGGCTACGCGAATCACAAAAGGTCTTGATCCAATCTGCGTCAGGCGGTGTTGGTCTTGCGGCCATTGCTCTCGCGCGTGCTAAAGGTGCCGAGGTGTTTGCCATGGCTGGGTCTCCAGAGAAGTTACGCTTCCTCGTGGAAACAGTAGGTTTGCCGTCTTCTCATGTCTTTCTGGGACACGATGACAAGGAAATGGCACGCGCCGTAGCAGCGACATGCAACGGCGGATTCGATGTTGTCCTTAGCACTTCTCAAGGCGATATGCTCTACGAGACCATAAAGGCCGTGGCTCCTCTAGGCCATCTCATTGACATTGGCCGGCTCAACGTTAGCGACGCAAAGGCCATAGGCCTCGAGCTGTTTCAAAAGAGCGCCAGCTTCTCGTCGTTTGATATTGGTGCCGTGGTTGACCGGGATCCTGAGCTTGGCGAACAACTTATGCGCGAGGTGGACGAGCACTACCGTGCTGGAAATATTGGCCCGATTGTGCCCATGACTGCTTCTGATATATCCCAGCTCAGCCAGACATTGCAAAACTTCTCCAAGGGCAAGCATGTCGGAAAGCTGATTGTAACATTCCAAAACTCAGAGTCCCTAGTGCGTATGGTACCCACGGCTCCCTCAGCCAACTTCGATCCCGAGGCCTGCTATGTTGTTACTGGAGGACTGACCGGTCTGGGCCGATCTATTATCCAGTGGATGGGCCAACGAGGAGTTCGTCATGTTGCTGTTCTATCTCGCCGCGGCACCAGTGCTCCTGATGCTAAAACGCTCATCAAATCACTTGCAAAGCGCGGCGTATGCGTAACTGCCTTATCATGCGATCTCAGCAAACGTGATGATGTCTTGCAGGCTATCCAGCAGGTATCGGTCACGCGAACTATCAAGGGCATCGTCCACTGCGCCGTCTCGTACCAGGATATTTCTTTCCACAAGCTCTCTATTCAGGGCTGGCGAGACGGGCTGGCTGCCAAAGTTGCCGGTACAGTCAACCTGCACGAAGCTACCAAGACCCTGCCGCTGGACTTTTTCGTCATGACTACGTCTATTCTTTCGGTACTCAGCTTCGCCACGCAAAGCGCCTACACAGCGGCCAACAATTTTCAGGATCAATTTGCGCGATACAGGCGGCGGCTCGGCCTACCTGCTACTGCAGCTCAGTTCGGTCTTGTAAATGACATTGGGCGCCTGAGTACCGATAACACAACGCTCGATCTCATGGCGCGCAACAAGGTTTTGACGATCCCCGAGAGTTACTTTCTACGCCTTCTTGAGCCTGCCTTTATCGAGCAGCTAGCTGCGGACCAAGACCCCCTCGTCGCGTCCACATTTGTCACGTACATGGATCCAGCGCACATGGCCACAAAGGAGCGTGAGGATATCGAGCAGGGCATGCCTACAGCTGCGACGCTACCACGATGGTATAAGGATGCGCGTGTGTCTCATGTTATTCGAGGCTTTGACGATGCTATGACCAGCCAGGGCATCGCAACAGAGAATGCGGAAGGTGGATGGTCAACCACAGCCCAGCTGCGTAGCGCCTTTGACAAAGCTTTCGCCAGCGCTCATACTGCATCAACAGAGGCAGAAAAAACAGAGCATCGTACACAGTTGCTGGAACTTGTCACGGCCGGCATTACACGGACTGTTGCGTCCATGCTGTTGTTGGACATCTCGGCCGTCAACACGGCCAAGTCGGTATCGGAACACGGTGTTGATAGCTTGATTGCAGCCGAGTTGCGCAGCTGGTTCCATCACGCGCTGGGCTTTAAAGCGACTATGATTGAATTGTTGGATGCGCAGATGAGCATTGGCAAGCTGGCGTTGAAGGTGGTGCTGGATGCAGAGAAAGAGTTGAGAAGTACTTAGGAGGCACTAGTTTTAAGATACCCTATAATATAGAGAAGACTCAACTTAACTCTACACTATCTTATTTAAATAAACAAAAATTGAAAATAACGTGGTTCACGGGTGAGCGCCGCATCCTTCCCGACCTTAACCTATAAAAACTACTGCATAGCCCCCAAATATTATTAAAAAAAATTAAAATCTATTCTGAAATCTCTGAGGAAATGGCTTCCACTTCGTTTTCGCATGTTCTGGAATTATGCCCTATTTCGCCGCATTTTCCACAGCGTCTGCGCCGTGTTTCCACTCGCTTCCGTCGACCTTTACTTTCAACTTCGTCGCGTTCTCTTTTTACCCTAGAAGGCGTTTGGGAGGCTAGATTTTTGCCAGAATCTACTGTAAGTGTTCCCCCACTCTGTAGTTGTATTTTTGTGACGCGTTTCCGGCGTGAAAGTCGGTTATTAGCCTCTCGAAGGTGTTGGATTTCATCCTCCATTAAAGCCATCCGTCGCATAACCTTTGTTGTACTCTTCGCCATTTGATTAAGACTTTCAATAATTTCGGCTGGGGAGCTTCTTCTATGGCTTCGGATTCTTTTTTCAATATATTCTGTTTGCGATAGAGCTTCGGTTATGTTGCTAGGTGTTTTGGGAAGCCAAGGTAGCTCGAGCCCATCTGATGATCCAGGAGGCGAAGGTGTTAAGAACTTCGTATCCAATTGTGAAATCACATATTCTGGATTGGATGGGGCAAGCCCAGCACCTCTAAAACCTCCCAGTATTTTTGATTCAGTCATAGCAGCCTTGCGTGCTGCGTAAAGAGCTGGGAAGAATTCTTCCTTGGTAATATGGGTGATGTAGGGCGCATAAGATCACTAATTGCGTCACCGTATGCTCGTTTTAGAGATCCAAAACAGGCCACATCTAGTGGTTGAAGCTTATGTGACGTATGGAACGGCATACATAATGTAATTATATCGTTTTGTTAGCAATATAGCTGAAAATCCGTCGATTGGTGACTTTCGTGTCCATCAAGAATTAGAAGCCGATATTTGCCTTTTTTTTGCTTAATTGTATACTTTTGAAAATGATAGAGCCAATCTAAGCATGTCTCATTCGTATTCTAGCCATTTTCAGTAACACCAATTGCCCAATTGCTGGGCAATGGGCTATTTTCGTACCAAGACGAGAGGTGGGTTTTGCCCGCGACGATGACGAAAGGCGGAATCACGTAACCACCTGCGCTGATACATTCAATCAAAGTCGCCTATTGTTTATTTCCTTGTTGTGCTTTGCGCCCCTTTTTGAGATCTTTCTGAGCTCGTTACAACCATTCCCATGAAATCACGCCCATTGCAAAGCCAGTCTTGTCAAAGTTGTAAATATCCGCTTCGACCATGTTTCGCGATTGTGTTCTTCACAAGCTCAAACCAGGCTCGATATTTATCTGGATCTTCGCATTGGACTCTTTATAGTCAATTTGACGTGATACACGCGTGACGATTTCGGGGTGTCGTTTGATTAAGCTTGCAACCCAGTTCCGTCCAACTGGAATGTCGTGACGTAGCTCCAATAAGCGATTGGCCATAGCTTCAACATCACGCAAGCGAGGAGGCTGAGCTCGGGAATCGAGGTCAAGAATATATTGAATTATTGTATTTCCTTCTTCATCTGACAATTTTCGAGATTTTGAGATTGTATCGGCTCGGCAAGGGATTTTGTTACGTCGGCGGCGGCGTGTTCGATCGGAGATGTTGTAGATTCGAGCAGCTTCTCGAATAGAGAATTTTAGGTCTCGTTCTAAAGCTTGTAGAGCTGAAATAACATCGGCTTCATTTGAGGCCTTTCCCATTATTGGTGGTTGTGAAATTGAGGTTTAAAGTTGATTAATTAAAAAATAATGCGAAGTACGGCGCTCACCCGTGAACCACGTTATAGGAATATTACTGATATATGATGTGTTTTTAAAGTTTTGCTTTGTACCCTTGCCTGGTTACTTAATTCTGGAATCATTTGCTACTCAAAGCTCGCTTTGTAGAAGGACAACACCGGATCGTCATCTGAGACTCGGCACATCCGGGGCGATGATCGTACATCATTACCCCGTCTGCGTTTTCGTCGTGCCCCCTCGTTATCACTCGAATCATCATGTCGCTCTGTCATACTGGAAGCCTCAGATCTTAAATCGATAGACTCAGCTGGTGACAGTGTACTAGTCGCAATGCTTTCCTGTAAAGCCTCATCCTGTTCTTGCAAAGTGCGTACTGAAATGGACTGGTTTTGATCGATCCCGGACGTCGATACACTAGACTGATCCTCTCTTGGCTGATAGAGTTGATGGCCCTGTTGCCTTCTTCTTTTCAGTTCCAGAGCTTGGTTGGTTGAAGACAACAAATTGCTTGCTGCCAAGGACAGCGGTTGCAGTTTTTCATCGGCCAAGTTCTCATATGTCCATTTAACCTTGTAATTGCTTCCTATCATCATATGCAGGTACCAAAAAGCAAGATTAATAGTCCAGTCTGCTATATCTGTGACCTTTTCGACGCCTTGATTCTTTGAGTCCTGTGTAGTATTTGGTTCGTTTTCTGCGTGTTTGATATTGGTATAGTCGTTGCTCCAGGGAATACAGACATACTGCATTTCACCGTTATCTGCGATTTCAGCCATCAGCAAGTCTTCCATCATCTCTCTTTCTTTCTCTAAGTATATCGTTAGCATCATTTTCCATTTCAGTACCATGTGAAAGAGAAGGCCCAGAGCCACGGCCTCTTACCTTCCGAAAGGGATTGCTCCTCAATGAAGTCCTTGAGAAGCTCTTCAATTTCCTTTTCTTGTCGTATGGGCTTAATGCGAAAGATGAAAGCTTCGTGACTGCTAACAATGCACCCGTAGCGACATCGATATTTCAAGCTATATGAAAAGGCTTGTCGGATTGGCCATGCGTAAATAGAATTTTGTTTACCTCGTGTCCACACCCCGTTCGTATCAAATATACCATTTTCTAACACTTTATCGAAACTCCATCGCATGTACTGTTTGTATTCCTTTGGAAATCGTTCGGCATAGACTTCATCATTTGCTTCCGCGTTTTCAGTACTCTCTGCACTTGAGTCTGATATTTGAGTATCGGGCGTTTCCGTGTCTGACGCCACGCTTGCGTCAGCTGTAGTATCACTAATCAAACTTGCATTACTTGTGTCAAGAGTAGCGTCTGATGCTTCAATAGAGGACGCTTCAGCAAGCCTGTCTTCTGCAATTATCCCTTCAATGACACAAGCCCCTGCATCTTCTTTAAGGCCGGAAATGTCAACCTTGGTTCTCTTTTCAGTCACACTGATAGACGCCGAATCACCATTTTCATCTGGCATGATGGGTGCCGGATAACTGTTGAAACGGTCAGATTGCGGCCAATCCGCGTCTCGTGTGACCCAGAGTGCCGGGTGAAGAGTTTCACCTACACAGCGTAATGCCTCATTCACCATGGTCCCGCTCCAGCCATTAATAAGATTAACAGTCTTTTCATGTGAATTGGTAAGGAAGAGAACTGTAGGATCTAGGGTTGGAAACTTTAGAGTGTTTATTGGCCGCGGGAGCTGCGCCTGTTCCGCGATTGCCCCAGACAGCGAGGAGGTCAGAACGCCTGGCCGGAATTCAGTCCATTCTGACAATTTTTTGGGAGTATGAAAGTTGGCATTTGTTGTGTTACCACGTTTTCCTCTTTTGATTTTAGGATTGCGCTCTATTTCCGGGTTTTTGTTGATGAGAAAATTGAGAATGGTTGTATAGGAAGCGTTCGTTGTCTCATTTTCCATATTTCGTAATTGGTGAGCTCAGCGCTGCGATAAGAGTGAATGTTTTTTGTCTGATTCTTTTTCTTTTTCCTTTTGAAACAATACTGGGCTGTTTGGCGTGAGACAGTGTGTGTAGTTGATCAAGAACGGGATAGAAGCTGGAATGCGGCCCAACGCGAGCCAGCGAGAGAGGCTGAACTTATAACAGACAAGATTGCTCACTATGCAGCCAAATAAGTTAAAACAAATAACGACCATCAACTAAGCGCCGAATCCCAATGCAACTAAGCAAAGCCAACTGACCTGCTCGCCGCGAACCAGCACTTGGCCAGCAAATTCGTCCAGTAGACCGAGCGAGCACACCATCCTACCTGCAGACATCCTGACTCAAGTCAACCTCAGCTAGGATGCGTCGTGAAAGCGGCTGGCGAGCGTGACCACATCGTCACACCCACCCAGAGCGTTGTGCACCCTCCACGATAAACAGAGCAGGCGCTTAGAGATCGCCCGACCCGTCCCGTTGCGGCCCGCACCCTCCGCTAGATCGCCCGTCGCTTCAGTCAATATTACCAATTTAACATAGCAATGTCATGCGCTAATATAAGCCGGCCATTCGGAGGAGCTTGTTTATGCTTTACACCTCCTGTAGTCACCCATGGACAGTATTCCCATCACTATCAATATGTTGACTGCTTTGCTATGAGCCGCAGACAACAACATCAGTCAACCCAGAGGAACCAGCGTCGCAAGACGAAGCGCAAACCAAGCGCGAAGCGGGGACTTCTCCTACCGCCCATCACAGGTCCAAAACTTGCGCCGTTCCCGTTCTCGCAGCCCGACTCACGAATCAAATGGATAAAGAGGCTTCGCAACTGGCAAGATGAACCGGAAGACAGTGAAACGGACAGCAGCCTCAGTGATTCATGTAGCCAGGGCTATGTCTTTGAGGCGCAAATAGAAGGGCGCAAATACGCAATCAAAGTCGTTAGTTAGAACCTTCAACCTGCTAAAGTCAGGGAGCTGCTAACAAAATGTTCGTTCTTTTAGTTTAAATTTTATAATCCGAAAGAAGATAAGCGTGTGTCGCAATGGCGAGGAATAGATGCCATGCCCGCAACTAAAAAGGGACACTACCTCGATCCATTCTATGCGGAATGCCGAGCATACGGGCGGATTAAAGAATGTCAAGCGAATAAGCGATTAAAACGCAATATCACGACCGACTGCTATGGATATATTCTCCTGGACAAAGATAATGAACAAATTCTCAGAGAAACAATGAACGTCGACTTACCTATTCCGAACCCAGCTTATCAGCTTCAAACTTACGAGCAAAGTCGGCCAAGAGCAATTGTGAAAGGCCTTATTGAACAGAGCACGCCATTTGACGAAACCGTCAGTAGTTTGGGAAGAATTCTACTGGGTATCGTCGAACTTAACACTATCTGCCACATCTTCAATCGAGATATCCAAGCCGAAAACTTCAGGGGCGGCCGATTAGTTGACTTCGGGTCAGCATTTACACTACCCCACGAGGTATTAGATGCAATGAGTCCCAATGATAAGTCGGAAACAATGTTGACCGATAGAGGCCAATTTGATACTATGGTACTGGATGAGACTTGGCTCACTAGTAAAGATAGGTCAAAGCTACCAAGACTTCATCAGATGCGCTTGCGTGGTGACGGTCCACTGTGGCAGATTTCTATGCTACCTGGAACTACGTGGTTCTGATGACCGCACGCGAGAACATAGTCTTGTTTTCAATTATTACTTGATCAACTCTTGTGTTAAAATACACATAATGTATTGGAAGATTAATGCTCGTTAACTATGAAGTAAAATGGGTGTCATGTTTACAACCAATAATGGGAAGCCATCTGTCTCGGGCGCTAAATCTCTGCAGGTTAGGCTTCGCTTTGGCTGCACCACGCGCATATTAGCATGCTGCAACATGGTCCTACACCACCGCCACAGCGGCAAGTGTTGTAACTAAAAAATGTCAGGCAGTGCTAATGTGGTGTGTCAGGCGCATCTGCGTTTCGTTGCCTAGAATAGAAGGAATGAGAAGAGGTGGCTGCCGAAGTGACGAAGGGAGAAGGACCTCTGGAAGGCGGTGCCTCTCGTTTTGGCCATAGCAGTACTTGTAAACTATTTCTACTTTTACGAGAATAGAAAGTTGATACTTTATTATTAACGTTAGCTGTTTTTGCTATATAGTGATAAATTCTGATATGTGTACTACCAAATAGCAGCCATATAATAGTACCTAATATATGTACTAACCGTGACGGAGTGTTCTATATAAAGACTAATGGATTGGGCTCTGCTTGATAGATCAGCTTGTATAGATCAGCCTGTATATCTCTTCATACATTACTTTAAACCAAAATACTAAGAACATATCCGTGACTATATACAATCATGGAATAGGCTGATCCTGACCGATCCCCTATCGACTTACGGCTTTACATAGAAAGGCGCAGCGGTCAATCCCATTGGTTTTTTTATCCCACATTTCAGGAAGTTTCATGATATGTTTAATAGATTGTGCATCCAGCACGAGAGCAATGCGATGCCGTGTGTTGTAACTGGTCGTGCGATTATGGTCTTCCAACCATTTGTCAAACTAGGCGAGTACTATTTCCATAGTAGCAAGTTCGTAGATGGAGAAGGTTCCATACTGATACACCCGCGTTTGTAATTCTCATTGTCATGCAGAACGCTCGAGTGTTTTATCTTGGAGTTTAATAGCTTGCTTTATTCCCAAAACATCGCTAATAAATTGCAAGGTTTCCATAGCTTCTTGCTTGTAAAAGGGTGCACTCCATTTACACTGCAGTACCATCTTTAATGGCCACATAAGCGCGCGACCACCTAGCACTCTCTGGCTGGTTTGAGTAGTGGCTCTCCCTTTCTCATCAACCTGCTGTAAATGGTAAGGAATACTTGCTGATATTTCTGAGACCATTCGTGTGATAATAGCGGAGGAATTTGCCTGCAAAATATCAAGGCTTCCTTGAAACCCACGCGCAGATAGTTGGAGGCTTGAGATGGCGTCGAGCAGCGAGTCGTGAAGGACTATACGGGCAACGCGCCAGTGATTCCACGTTTTGGCCACTTGTATATCGGAATAATAGTCCAATAGGACACCGTCCATCGTTTTTGAGGCCGAAGTTTTCCGCTCCCACCTTTCGTCAAGTAACCTATGCCAGTCTGCCATGCGCTTCTCCAAGTTCATGCCGTCTTCAAGTAACATAATCAACAACACCGTGCCGTCTTGTTCACGAGCTGTGGCTCCAGCAAGGGCTTCCTGTATCATTTTGCCAAGTCGACTAATTTGGAAGCAAAATGACAATATTCGGACAGCAGGCGATGGTCGCGATTGTCCGTAGAGCCATTTGCCAATCAACTCTTCGCGAACAGTACTAGTCTGTGATCGATGTCCTTCTAAAATAGCTGGCTGGATTTGCATCACGATAGAGTGTGCTAGGTCTTCGGAGTGTTCTGTTTGGAAATCACTGTCTTGCCGTTGCTTAATCAGTTGTGCGCATCCTTCAAGATGAGAGTAAGAGCCGAAGCTGCTTTCCCCCGTAATGTCATCCAACACGTTTAGCAAGAGTATAGAGACCAGTGTTTCGTCTTGCCAAGCGCGCATTGGATCAGCTATAGCGGCATTGATAGCCTGGAGAGCAACACCATATCTTCTAGTAGCCTTTTGAGCCATTAATAAGTCTCGAAACTGGTTTGCGGCCAGAAAACATGACGTGGCGAAGAGAGTAGCTTGCAAACAGCTCTTCGCTGATGGACGTAAGTGAAGCTTCGGTAAGAATGAATACCACCCGACCGATATGACAGATTGATTAAAAAAGAACTCCGTCAATATGCTATATTCGGAAACACTTAATTGTTTTGGTAGCGATGAATTAGTTTGCGTCGTGCCTAGCGTTGCGCGATCGACGAGCCCCAACGCTGTCATCTGCTGCTCTGTTGCGTTGGGGCACATAATCTGGATGGTATTACTCATATTAAGTGTTGTTTGATTTCCTGTAATAGACCTGAAATGTCCGTCTTAGCTATACGCCAACTAACTTATGACACTCTTTTTGCACATTTTACTTACTGTTGGTATAAAACTTTGCGGGTCTGGTTTCGAAAACGAGCATCTCGCTCTAGTGGATAGCCAGGACATTTAGAGCCATATTTGATACATCGGGTACACTCTGGCCGTCCTCTATCACACTGCTATTTATTAGCTGATACCATAGAAGGAATTGAAGAGACTCAGTACCTTGATTCTCCGACGACGACATGTCTCACAGCCCAAGTATGGGCCGCCCGGATTTGGCATCGTTGAGTAGTGCTTAATTAATACTGAAAAAATACACCATGAAATTTACTCTGTAGAATACATTGATGGCAAATTATAGACAATTTCATAATTCTAAGTGGATGTTGTAGTAGACAGGTCGCAAGCGATAGGTACCCCCTCCGGTAGTTCAGCTTCTCATGTTGAAAACGAGACTAGACTCGTTCTGGCTAGCGTACCGAAGCTGCATCGATCCCACTAAAATCGTTTTGCGAAAGTGGAAATGATGTGCTACGGAAGCTCTACTCGAAGCCCCCGAAAACAAAAACAGTGTAGATGTATAGAAAAACGCTGTTATTTGCCTTTGTGTGACTCATACCTCTTCAAAAATGTCTCCAGTATCGGCAAGCCTTGTCGTAAAACAGAAGGGTTGCCAAGTGGAAAACGACAATACCCTTTGAAATCATCCGTGTTGTTATTCCGAAAACACCACCCAGCCGGAATAACACACAGTCCTTCCTCTTCTGCGAGAGCCGCGCAAAATGCCGTGTCATCAACCGCGTGGCCCTGTTCATCGTAAAAGCATACAAAAGCAGTGGCGCCACCATTTGGAATAGACCAACTGCAGCGAGTATGATTTCGCTGCACGAATGCATCAATCAGCGCAATCCCTTCTCGGCAGCACTCCAAACTGTTCTTCAGAATGTTGGGATGCACTTTTGGGTCAAGACAAAAGGCAGCCACTGCATCATCTAGCCTGGACACAGTCGTCGTGGTGTAATCTCGAGCAGTTAGTATTTTGCGGAGCAGATCCTTGTTAGGCGATACCACCCAGCCAACACGTACGCCAGGCAGCCCGTAAACCTTGGAAAGAGATCCAGACGAAATGGAGCGCTCATACCCAAGAGATACGAGAGGACAGGCCTTTACCTCAGGGTTATGAACCAAGGGTTGAAAGACTTCGTCAGAAAAAACGGTGGCATTCACCTCTCTTGCCATGTCGATAATTTGAACCAGCATTTCTCTCGTGATTACTGCACCGGTCGGATTGTTTGGGTTGCTGAAATGCTGTTAGTGAGACTGTATGACAAGGGATTTACCGTTGATAAGAACTTTTTGTACTTCAAAATTATTGCTTTTGTATTGCTCTGAATTAGGACTCGCAAAGCTGACATACTGTCTTGCGTGTCATCGTTCATCAATTGCCATGAAGTCACCTCCACACCCCGGTGCTGGGGCAGAAGATGGAGCTGCGAGAAGACAGGGTATTGACAGATGATGTGATCGCCAGGTTGACAGATAGCATCCAGGATAAGGAAATTGGCCAAAATGGAGCCCGGTGTGATGATGACATTTTCGGCATCGAGACGGTACTCGGGTGTAGAATGAAGGGCCGCGACACGCTCGCGCAGTTCGGCAGACCCTTCAAAAGGTCCATAATCCAGTGTTAAGTCGAAGTCCATAATCATAGCACTGGTATTAGCATGGAATTTCTTCAGCTCATTGATCGAGACAATCGGTGCACTTGAACCTACACGACACTTAGCAATTGCAAAGAGCGAATAACAAAATATACCGTACCATGAAGCTGAACATTACAAATTGGCTAGTGTAAAGGTTAGACTCTGTAATTAGGAAATATATTCCAACTTACCGCATATTGTCTGACTGCGAATAGTTAGGATTTCAGTTTCAATATTTCAAGGTTAGCACTTACTCCAGTGATCTATAGGAAAATCTTTAATGCCTTCCATTGTAAGTTATATGAACGATTGTGATAGGAACGAATATTTTAGTCACTAATAGTATCCTTTCATTTACACCTTGATTCGACGTTCAACACTGCAGCTATGGATTTATAAATAAAGAGTGAGCTCGTATACGACGCAAGGTCGTATACCGCGTGGCTAACGAACTAGCCGCATTGAGTAAGCCTACCGACATGCTTTGATGATCTTCCGACACCGGCAACTATAATGACTTTCACTGATTGAACAAAAGAAAAATATGAGAATAAGACAATATTTATTGAATTATCGTTTTACTCAAAGCTGACAGTATTAAGACTATAAATGGGGTGGTTAATGTATGAGTGACTGGTGGCTCAGACCGCTATTTACTTACCAAGTGCCGACGCATTCAAGGCCGACTTCCACTTGATCACCATCCTTAAGCCAAATCTGAGGGTTGCGGCACATCCCAACACCAGGTGGTCTATAGCTTATTAGTAAAATAGTACAGAACGTTTGTATAATCGATGACTCACGTTCCGGTGAATATAATATCGCCTGGCATCAGCGTTACCCCACGACTTAGCAGAGAAATTAGTTTCTGTACAGTGAAGAGCATTTCTGCCGTGTTCGATTCCTATAGACGTGTTAGTGAGAGTCGTTGCCAATATTATTAGACCAGCAGTTAGTATCAAACCTGGACAAGCTCCCCATTCACTCGCGTCCAGATTTTCAGATTCTGGGGATTGGTAATAACCTGAGTTGTAACAATGCCTGGCCCAATCGGCCCCCATGTATCGAATCCCTTCCCGTGAGACCACTGGCCTTCTCCCCACTGCAGCTGCCATTCTCTCTGAGTAACATCGTTTCCCACACTATAGCCTAGAACGTGATCTAAAGCATTCGCTTCAGTGGCGTCACGACACTCCTTACCAATGACTACGACAAGCTCACACTCGTAGTCAATGCTAGGTCCCTCCTGTGCCATGTGAGGAATACGGATTCTATCGCCTGGCCCTCCTAGAGATGTCCGAGGTTTGTAAAATAGCAGTGGATATTTTGGTACAGACATGTTTGCTTCTGCAGCATGCGAGCCGTAGTTCAGCCCAACGCATCGAACGGTGCCAACCTCGGTGGGTGATAGTGGCATGACAAGCTTCCGGATATCGAGTACCTTGTCTGTCACAACGTGACTACCGAAAATATCGCCATCTATAACCCTTGCCTTTCCGGCTTCTGAAATATTAGTCTGTCCTGTAAGGAGAATTGCGTCGCCGTAGTATGTGAGCCCATCTTCTGCGATAAAGCGTACGAGGCGCTAGAGACAATATGTTAGATCGATAGTAGGAGCCTGGAGGAACGACTTACAGAGAATTCTGGCATTTTTTCTGTGAAAAACTAGAAATGGTCTTTGTAATTTTATAGATTAAATTTCCTAAATTGCATAACAAGGTATTATTTATACTTGAATTGTCGAGACAAGCGGATGCCGTGATGAGTGCCGTGGCCCCGAAGTCGGATCCTCTGGGTCCATTCTCGTTTTCTTTACTCCAAAAGGTAGATATTTAACCGGTACATGTTCTATAACATAAAACACCAATCTTTGAATTTATTTAGACACCAGTGGAAATAGTTTACAGGGAGTGCCCACCAAGTGAACCCATCATACGCATGTATGGGTGAGCTTTAGCAATCGAGAGAATGAAAATTGGTTTTTGCATCGCATACTACTGCGTTCATATTTCTGCTACATACAGATATTTACAAGAATTTCTACTTATATTTTAGACTATTTATCCAGGTATGCGCTGACCTCAATTTCCACGTCAGTGCCAAGTGGTAGTTCGAACACAGCAATGCAGCATCGAGCCTGGATTGATGTTAATTTCACATTTAGCAGCACAAAAGGGACACAATAAGTATACTTACAGGCTTCCTGTCCCAGGTGAAAAACTCATCATAGGCCTCATTGACAAGCGCAAAATTGTCCATCCTGGTGATGTAGATAGTCATTTTGTACACATTTTCAAGGCTGCTACCCGCAGTCTTGAGTATTTCAGTCAAGTTGCTGAGGGCTTGTCTCTAAAAAAAGCAAAATGTATTAGCTGACTGTCTTTTGCAACGCAAATATGACCAGTAGACGGGTTGACTTTTACATACCGCTCTGTCCTTCACCGTGCCTTCGGCCAACTTCCAGTCAGTGCCAGGGACGGCACCAATATCACCAGAGCAGTACACGGTATCACCAAAGATGACGGCTTGGGAGTACTGTGGCAATGCACAGGTTTTAGCCTTGACGACTTCAAATCCAGCCATGATTGAAATGATATAGGAGAGAAGTTTTTAAGAAGAGCGAGTGAGTTGTTGCCATACTGACCTACCGATGCGAAATTTCACCCTTTATATAATGCCAGAATCTACCCATATTAACCGTGAAAAGACCTACTTGCCACTCGGTGATGTCGTTTTCCCGATGCATGGCTGTCAGTCTCGGTAGCTTGACTTGTTTTAGCTTGACTTCGGTACGCTAACTATTTTCGTGTTTACCCCGCCACTGTAGAATGCCAACAGCGGCGCCATGTCTTGGGTGGCTCACAAGTGGCTGGCTCATCAAGATTAGCAGCCATCCACGAAATCCTTGGCGTTGTTTATTTAGTCTTGATGGTGCGCCCGTTGGAAGTGCGTCACGAGGTTTGAGAATCTTGGTACAGGTAGAGTTCCTGGAATATTTAAGAAATATTACAGCATGTACATATAGACAAGCATATTTAATTGTAGCAAATTTTTCATCATATTGGACTTCAGCGTACAGCCGCGTGTCCAGCGAGTGATTTCTCTTCAAGCCACAGACTCGCTCTTGGCAGCGAAATAACTTGGCGATCGTAGCCAGACCTTGGCGTATGGCTTTAAAACATACTAAAAATATTGAATAAATACAATTCATGAATATTTAATCTTCAAGGTATATTTGATCTACAGCACTGTAATGGTGTGCTCAATCTGAAGTGATATGATCTGCGTTTGACCGGGTACCTGGGATCTGCACCATGCGATTGATGTAACTGAATCACCCACTAGCGCTTCTGCTCCTTCTTTTCCTTTCTCTTATCCATATCTAACTATAGATTGGTCTTATTGCTACAGCCTCTACCACCATTGGCTCTACTGGAACCTCCGTGGCCATAGGGACGAGGAGATCCTCCACGTCATCTCATTCTAGTCCAGAAAAAACGAGCATTCTAACCAGGTTCTCGTTGTTTCCGTTGTTGCCCTCATGTCAATTCAAGACCACCAATGCTCGCAAGGCCCCAATTGAATTGCATCACCGCACAAACAACCGCTTCGGTCGCTCTCCGAATTGCCCAGGCTCTTCCCCCTCCCGGGTTCCGTCTTTCCGTTCGTAAACCTAGGCCTTTTGCAGCGTCGCTAATACCGCTACCCCAAAAGTACCATAACAACACAGAAGTGGCGTCTGCACCATTCTACGCCAAGAGGCAAATGATTCATGCTTACTTACAAAGTTCCTGTTAAGGGTTGCCGCTAAATGAGGCACTTACGCCTAGCGGAGTGGAGAAATCCAATAACAAGCTGTGAAAAGTTGGAGACCATCGTCTTGACCTTCTGGTTTGGGACGCGACACCCACATTACTTCCCCAAGGTAAGCTAGCTGTGTTATTGCACCCCTGGTCCCATAGCCTCGCATCCCGTCCCGAATAGGTGGGGAGACGGCGCATGTCCCTAGGTATATATTCTCTCTGGCAGCTTGCCTTTCTGTTTCCTCTTTTTTTTCTTCCCAAGCGCCAATTGTGTGTAGAAATCCTTCTTCGACAGTTCACAATGCAGTCCACCATGTCGCTCCTCCTTCCCGCCCTCGTGGCTACCCTGGCTATGGCCTCTCCTCTCAACACCCAGATGGTGACCAAGCAGTCTCTTGAGAACCTCCCCCTGGGATGGGAGCTCAAGAGCGCCGCTCCTTCTGACATGACCATTGACATGCACATTGGTCTCAAGGAAGAGAACATTGCCAAGCTCGAGCAGATTGCTTACGCCGTTAGCAACCCCGACGACCCTAGCTACGGCAAGCATCTCTCCAAGCAGGAGATTGATACCATGACTGCCCCTACCAAGCAGACTGTCGATGCCGTCACCAAGTGGCTCAACGCCCATGGCGTTGAAGCCGGCGAGGTCGAGAGCGGTTTCCTCAAGGTCCGCGTTAGCGTTGATACTGCCCAGAAGATGCTCAACACCCAGTACAACGTCTACCACAACGCCGACCAGAACCGTCTCACCGTCCGTACCACCGAGTACAGTGTCCCTGCGTACGTACTCGGCTCAATCTCCACGATCCAGCCTACCACTCTCTTTACCGACTTTGGTATGCACCAGGCTCGTACTGCAGATGGCCTCGCCAAGCGTGAGACCAACGCCCACGTTCCCCACGACCTCAAGGTCGGCGGCGTGAAGGAATGCGTCAACGGCACCACCCCCGCCTGCATGCGCGCAAACTACGGTATCACCGGCTACCAGCCTTCCGACAAGACCACCCTGGCCATCACTGGCTTCCTTAACCAGGACCCCAGCACCGATGATCTGAGCCTCTACCTCAAGAACTTCACCAACCTGCCCACTGACCTCAAGTATGCTGTTGAGATTATCAACAACGGTGTCAACAACAACAAGGGCACTGGCGAGGCCAACCTGGACACCCAGATTATGATGGGCTTGACCTACCCCATCCACAACCTGTACTACTCTACCGGCGGCTCGCCCCCCTTCATTGACGATGAGTCGCTCAAGGGTAACAACAGCAACGAGCCCTACCTCGACTGGGTCAACCACGTCCTGGCCCAGACGGACCTCCCCTTGACCATCTCCAACTCCTACAGTGATAACGAGCAGACGGTCCCCAGAGACTACGCCGACAAGGTCTGCTCCCAGTTCATGAAGCTGGCTGCCCGCGGTGTCAGCTTGCTCATCTCCAGCGGTGATGACGGTGTTGCTGGCGGTAGCAGAAACTGCTACAAGAACGACGGCAAGCGCACTGAAGCTTTCATCCCCGGCTTCCCTCCCTCGTGCCCCTGGGTTACTGCTGTCGGTGGTACCGTCAACTACGGTACTGATGAGGCTGGTGAGCCTGATGGCGGCGGTGGTTTCTCCAACTACTACGCTCGTCCTGAGTACCAGAAGGACCAGGTCAGCCGCTACGTTGGCAGCCTCCGTGACTCCTTCGCCGGCATGTACAACAAGACTGGCCGTGCTTACCCCGATATCTCTGCCAACTACCGCGAGTTCCCCATCTACTTGAACGGTCAGCTCCGCTACACCGGTGGCACTAGCGCTGCTGCTCCTCTCTCCGCATCCATCATTGCCCTTCTTAACGACTACCGCGTCGCCAACGGCAAGGCTCCTCTCGGTTTCCTGAACCCCTTCCTCTACAAGAACAGCGTTCGTGGTATCCGTGATATTCGCCAGGGTAACAACGTCGACTGCCATGGCAAGCCCGCTTTCCCCGCCAAGTACGGCTGGGATGCTTCCACTGGTCTGGGTGTTCCTGACTTTGCTAAGCTCAAGAAGCTCCTCTAAGCTTGTAAATATATAATTCCTAGTAGAACGGTTTTGGGCCGTTCTAGAGCTAAAATATAAAAATAAATTAATTAATGAAACAAGAATATAGTACATATTGTGCCACCGTGTTTGCGTTCTACCATCTTTCGCAGTGTACGTGGTTTCTTGCTCTCAAATATTTTTGTAAGCAGTCGACGTTATACCTCGGTTCATTGCAATAAATACCTCACTAAGCATTCCCTGGCAAGTGAGGGGTAAACCAGTCGTCGATGCCAGACGCGAGGACTTCCGTCATTCGGTGGCCAAGTTCGACGCGGCGTATCCTCACGCTCGTCTCGGACAGTATGTTGTATTTAATATGTGAATTAGAATAGAAATAAACGTAATATTGAAACCTGAACGGATTGATTGAATACGATTGACATGGACTCTTGAATCTGCCGCGTGAGATTGAGCTACTCAATCTTGACCAGTTCGACGCTGAAGACTGCGGAGTATTAGCATGATACGCGTGCATATTGGGTAATTGACACATACTTAAAGTCGAGTTGGCTGGAATTGGGCCCACAACCTTGTTACCATAGCCATACTCTGGGGGAATCATGATAGTTCTAGAGACAAAGTCAGTTGGTCGCTACTTAAGCAGAGGAAACGACAAGCCTATACGTACCGAGTTTCGCCTACACAGGTATCCTTGAGACCCCAATCAAAACTACAATAGTAGTATTAGTAAATAAACAGGAGAAATTGGAGAAGAAAGCCGTACCCTTTGATGACTTGACCTTTGCCGAGGGTGAAGTTGAACGGCGTTCCGTCACCTAAATCAGTCGTGTCAGTGAACCATGTTGCAACTAATGCGATCCAATGAAAGTCATACTCGAGTCAACCTGCTTAAAAGTAGAAAGCAAAGTAAGGTTATAGTTTACAAACAACGTATCTCCGTTGCTAGCAGAGTTGCCGCAGCTTGGGGCAGGGTTGGTGACAACGACAGCCACCTTGTCTGTGCAGACATGCGCAGAGGCTCCTGACAGGAGAGTAGCGACAAAGGCGAGAGCAGCTGAAACGCGCATGATTTCTGTTATTTTTCGACGATTTGAAAATATGTTCTGTGTGCTAGTGTAAAGATCGCAATGGCAAGAAGACGAAGGTGTGTAATCTTGAAAGTAAACAAGAAGCCACCAGATTCCCGCCTGGCTCACTCCACCAAGCGCCCCACCGCGTTCTGTTGTATATCAATACGGTTCGTAGCTCATACAACCATACAAACAGGAATATTCAGGATCCCGCCCAGCTCTTGTCTTTGGAACAATGGCCTCGCAAATCAGAGCAGAGAGGCCCGACAGTAGAAGACTTGTCACTGCTTATTTTAAATGGTTAATTTTAATAAAAAAAATGCGGTGTGGTGCTCTATTAAATGCTGACTCTTAGATCTTATACGAGTTTATAACCTCTTATATGTCAGACTAACCATAAACAGCTGGTATCCTAGAGCTACAGTGCAAAGCTAGATATTTCAAGGCAGGCTGAACTAAACAGTTGGATATCTCCTTATTGCGTTAAAACGAACAGAATAAACGTATTTCCATAAACATATAATTGCCGATCTTCTGGGGCTGAGTGCTCATCACGTGTTGCACGTGTTCGATATGCCCGAATCTTCGAGAGCCATCAAAATATATTGGAATATTATACGCTTGCTTTGGTACGGTTCAATTTGTACTTGCCGTATAGTGCAACACCAGTAGCTACTCCTCCGTTTCGTTGTTATGCCCGACATGGACGTGACAATGGATTATGGTAAGGCGGCGTTCTCGGGACAGGGAGCTGCTACTAACTTCGTGCAGTAATGGACGCCGTGCTTGACTCGGGATATCTCCCTGTCTGGGCTATCAAACTCGTCACGCGATATCTCACGCGGTCACGAATAGCCACCATGGCCAGTCGCCCGCCTGCACAGATTGAAGCAGACCGGCTACAGTGGGTCGCCAAGTCACTCAAGATGCCGATGGCCATCGAGACAGCGGCGACTAAGACGCAGCAGTACGAGGTTGGGACAGGTGTCTTTGCCTGCTTCCTCGGCCCGCGTATGAAGTATTCGTGCTCGCTGTGGGAGGGCAGCACCAAGAACCTCGCAGAGGCAGAGGAGAATATGCTTGAGTTATACATCCCTAGGGGCAGCCTTGCAGATGGCATGCATATCTTGGACCTAGGCTGCGGCTGGGGCTCAGCAGTGCTGTTCTTCGCAGAGAGATTCCCGCAGGCAACTGTGACGGGATTTTCTAACTCGAGGACGCAAAAGGAGTACATTGACCAGCAGGCCACAAAACGGGGACTAACAAACGTCAAGATCATCACCGGTGATGTAGTGGACTACGAATTTGAACCCGAAGCATATGACCGCATCTTGTCCGTGGAGGTAGGTACATTCAGCGAAACCGACGTCCTTAGACATTGCTGACGGCGGACAGTTGTTTGAACATATGAAAAACTATGAGCTTCTCATGGCCAAGTTGGCCCGCGCGCTCAAACCGTGCGGCAAGCTGCTGGTCCACCACTTCTGTCACCGAGATACAATATTCGACTTTGACAGCGGGTGGATGTCGCGTTACTTCTACACGGGCGGCACGATGCCATGTGCTGACCTGCTGGCGCACTATCAGCGAGATCTAGCGCTGGAAGAGAGCTGGTGGGTGGACGGGATGAATTACTCCAAGACGCTTCAGGTGTGTTCTCTCTTTTCTTTTCCGCTTTCTGTCGACAGCATTGGTGAGTGCTAACTAGTCTCAGTCATGGCTGGAGAACTGGCAAGCCAACAAAGAGGAAGCATGGCCGCACTTGGTCGAGACGTATGGCGCAGAGAATGCGCAGGTGTGGTACAATCGATGGATAGCCTACCATGCATCACTAACAGAGTTTTTCGCCGTCGGGGAAGGACATGTGTATGGTGTTACGCATATGCTATTCCAGAAGAAATCAGTCGCACTACCTGATGGGGAAGTCGCAGCTTTGCGTACGAAGGCTCTCGAATAGTTATATACTAATTTTGCTCTGTCTCTGGTACATACGACCATAGATACAGGAGAACTCGGGATCCCGTCCAGCTCTTATCCGCCGTGGAACTCCTCCAATTTATCAGGCTGTGTCCTCCGTTTCTGGGGGCTGAGGTACTAGAAATGGGGGATATTGAATTGTTCAATCGAAGGAATAGATTAAGCGTGAATTTTTTCGGACGTAAGAAGAGTATTGTGAGCATAGCTTTGGATGAATTTTGTGATGTTTTTGTGCTTTATCCCACTCATCAAATACATGGATGCTGTTCTGTTTTCTGGCTATATATGAGTTTACCGAGCAACAAGAGACTAAAAATAGCGCCTTCATTTATTAATATTCAAAACGGAGCTCGATAAAAGTCATATGTATTAGAGTCTTCTTGTCCGATATGTATTTGCTACCCTGTGCGAAAAACTTCACCGTCCACATAGTTGACCAACTCCTTAACTGGTGGCAAGTTTTCCCTGCCGACCCCGAAATCCATGCCCTTCCTCATGACCCTTCTATAATTCGCCCCAGGGCTAATCTTACCCAGCACGTATGGCTGCCTCGTTTCCACTCGATCCGGCACAGGAATACTACGGCCAACAATAGCCTCCATACCCTGCCACGCAAATGTAATGGCTTCTTTTGCGTCTGCAGGGATGCCGCCTTCGTCCAGCATGATAATCTTGGTATCTGGAAACGCCGCCTGCAGATGCCCGGTAATGTTGGGGTTCTTGGCGCCACCACCGCACATGTAGATTTCTGCCAACGGGCCGTACTCGGTCGGCATGTACCGGTGATAGTGCGATACGATGGCATCGGCTGTAATCCTGGTGATTGTAGCGACAATGTCGTTGGGCTTTAGCCCTCTGGCCAGCCCTTGCTTGATGAGATCGTGGGCGATGGTATCGCGAAACACTTCTCGTCCTGTGGTTTTCGGGATGGGTTTAGAGAAGTAAGGAAACTTCGACAGGAACTCGTTCACCATGTCCTGGCAAACGTTGCCGGCCTTGCCCATGGCGCCGTCTTTATCATACTCTTGCTCGCCGCTGGTAAAGTAGCGCACCGCCGCATCGATAAAGACATTGCCGGGGCCTGTGTCGAAATCAAAAAATTGTTGATTTAGCTTGCCATCGGCACCGTCAGGGGGAATGAAGCATACGTTGGCAATGCCGCCGATGTTCTGGCACGCCCTGAGCTTGGTAGGATGGTGAAGTACAAGCGAATCGAAGAAGCCAATGAGTGGCGCGCCTTGTCGACCAGCCGCCTGGTCCGAGACACGGAAGTCAGTGACGGTGGTGATACCCGTCGCTGACGCGATGAACGTGCCTTCAGCCATCGTAAGAGCAGATCGGACATGGTCGCCCTCAGGCATGCTAAGCAGCCATATTGTCTGGCCGTGGGAGCCAATGACGTCAATCGACGACAGCGGGATATCATGCTTGGTCGTAAAGTCAGCGACAGCTTTGGCGAATTCGTTACCAAGAATGACGTTAACTTCAGAAAGCTCTTCGGGAGTAGTGGTGTTATGCAGGATCATGTTCATAACCCGCTTCTTGATGACGGGCTCCAGAGCAACTTCGTCGTACTTGAGCAGCTCAAAGTGCATGGGGCTTTCAGGCGACTCTTGTCGGAACCGGCAGAGGGCGCAGTCAATACCATCCATCGAGGTCCCAGAGTTTAGCCCCAAGACTACCAAGTCCAGTGGTGAGGACTTGTATTCGTTGCTGTTCATTCTTACTTGGTGTTGGTTGTTGCTGTAAACGATGTCTATCAGGGCAAATACGATGGCAGAATATATATAAAAACGAAGCAAGGATGAGAATTAAGTCCCAATTGGTGCAATGGAATAGAAGATAGCTGAAAAAGCCAGGTACCGCCTCCATCGGCTAGTATTGCTCAGACAAGCAATTATATAGGCTGCAAGTACAATGCAGTCCAAGATGCTCAGGCATTTTCGGCTAAACGGCAAAATGCCAAAAAGGGTTAGACAAAGCAGCACGGCAGAAATTTGTTGCTAGTCTGTTGTGCTTAAACGCTTAAACGCTTAAAGGGCTATGGAAGACCCTCGCCCCTCAAATACGCCCTCGCAGCCGGTACTTGGCATCGCTGGGGAGTATTTCCGATAAATGACATACATTCCCCAGATTTGTTTCCGCCTGGGCAACATGATGTTATTCTGGATAAAACAGGTTCACATCGCTAATTCCACCACAGCGTAGTTTCTGTGCCCACCTACCATCCACATTAGCAGATTGTCACACTCACGCACCTTATTCAGCCTTTGCTTGTCAAAACGACCAAATAAGATACAACACAGAAAGCTAAAGCTATTGGAGCACCATGGCCGTCTTTCAAGTCTGGCAGCATGTGCCGGGCAAAGCACTACTGGCTCTGATCAACCTTGTGTCCGCCGTGGCGTTGATTTTTGAAGGTATTAAGTATTTCCGCGGTGGTCAACTAATGACTAATGCTATGTCGTCGGCTAGGATACAACCAAGGTGTCTATGGCACCGCCAGCTCTACGCCTGGCTTCATCAGGATGGCGGGCATCGGCCACGGCCATGACGTCACAAATACCACCAAGCAAGGCGGTCTTGCAGCTTCGTATTACTTTGGCGGCATGTGGGGATGCTTCGCCGGAGGTAAGCATATCATCGTTTCGATGTGACTGTCTGTTTCTGGCTTGCTGACTGATTTGTTCAGGCTGGGCCGGCGACAGGTTTGGGCGCAAAAAGGCCGTCTTGGTGGGCACTTGGTTGGCCATGGTCGGAGCTGCTCTGCAGGCCGGTAGCCAAAATGCCAACATGTTTATCTGTGGCCGCGTTGTGGCTGGCCTGGGCATCGGCTTTGTTAACACGGTTGTCTTGCCCTGGGTCAGCGAGCTGTGCGAATCCCATGATCGAGGGTCGAGCTTTTCCATTGTCTTCATGGCCAATTTTCTAGGAATTGCGATAGCGTCGTGGATCAACTTTGGCGTGCAAAACAGCACCTCAGACTTCCAGTGGAGGTTCCCCTTCGCATGGATGATGATACCGCTTGTCCTAGTCAATATGGTGCTTCCATTCCTACCAGAGTCACCTCGGTTAGTAGTATTCTTTCTAAACACTCTACTTGAGCGTGTCCATTCTAACAATTTATAATCCCTCTTAGATGGCTCGTTGCAAATGATAAATCAGCAGAGGCGATTGACATCCTCTGCAAGCTTCGCGGGGATCTATCACCTGACGACGAGAGGATATCTGCTGAGATTAAAGGGCTTGATGCCATTGTCAAGTTGAGCCACCATCCACGCAACAATATGCTTAATATTTTCCTTGGCGGCCGCCACTCAGGCAAACTGCACCTGGGTCGACGAGCGGTGCTGGGCTTTGCGCTGCAGTGGATTCAGCAGTGGACGGGCATCTTGGCCGTCGTCTCGTGGGCTAGTGTCATCTTTAAGCTGTCTGGGTTTGACTCATACAAGTCGCTGTGGCTGGCGGCCCTGGTCAACACGCTCGGTGTTCCTGCGACGGCTGCAGCAGCCTTAGTTATCGACCGCATCGGGCGAGTCAAGTCACTCTTGGTATCATTCGTGATCCAGGGCGTTGCCTTATTTCTTCTGGCTGGCCTTCTAAAGACCTCAGAGGATAGAGCGCCCATAGATCCAGATTTGGCCGTACGCCTTGGTACAGCTGGTTCATGCTTTGTTTTTGTTTATCTCTGGTGGGTTCCGGCTAGGCTTGACTCTTTGTTGTGACTAACTGTAGTTAACAAATCTCCAGGTTCTTCTGCATGTTCAACATCGTGCCGTCGTGGATCTACGGCACAGAAATTTGGCCGCAAGAGATCCGCGCCCAGGGGTACGCCTTTACTATTTTTGGATGGGCAACAGGGTGTGGTATGACCCAGTTTGTCATCCCCATCCTGCTTGATCATCTTGGCTGGGCAACTTTCATCTTCTTTGGTGCCATGAACGTTGTAGTCTTCCCTATTGTCTGGCTTACGTATCCAGAGGTCGCTGGCAGGTCGCTGGAGGATGTGTCGCTTCTCTTCACCAGTGACAGCATTCTAGAGCGTGAGAATATGAAGGAATATCACAATCTTAAAGCAGAAGCTGGAGAGAATGTCCATCTGGCAGTGCGCAATCTTCTCGCCCAAGTCGAAGCTGATGTAGGCGTACATACTTCTGAAGCTGGCAGTGCTCGAAGGTTAGAGGACGGGGAAGAGACCAGGGGCAAGGAGCAGTCTAAAGAGGTATAACAATCCATGTTCTAAATAAATTGAATTGGACATATTACACTTTGCCGCAAATGTACGTCTAATTCCAATATTGTCCAAAATCAAAGTTCCATGCCAGCGGATTGAGCAAGTCGAGCTGAACCTGCGCTAACGGATCCTCTCTGGTGGTGTCAAACTGACCTTTACCTTGTGTTCCAGCCGGCCATACCGAGTCTCCAGACTGTTGCTCGTTTGCACTGCTGTCTGCTTCTCTTAGATGCCCGTGTGATTGAATAAGAGCCGTAATTTGTGATGCTTTTTCTCTTAGACTCTGGCTGGCACCGGAACCCTGCTGAATGGGTTGCAAGTTCTCCAACAATTCTGCCATGGACAGCATGATGGACTGTACCAGCCTGTACTCCGACCCGGTGCATGGTTCGTCCAACACAGAGCCCAGGATCGACCCAATCCCGCCAAGGTGGTGCAGCAGCGGTGTGCTGATGGCCAGCAAATACGTCACAGGAATAGATGCAAAGCTGTCCAAGACTTCTCGAGCTATCTGACACCTCGCCGCAACAGTGCCCCGGCTCGTTGCTAGGAGCACTATCCGTACTAATTGAAGTGTAGCAGTAATATTGGCGGCTTGGAAGGCAATCCGATCTCGTCTCGTGTTGTGAAAGGACATGTCTGGCGTTTCTTTGTAGCAACTGGGCAGGTCAAGATACAACTGAAGGACCAAGTCTGCAACGGATGCCTCAGGGATCATACAGCTCTCATCCAAAAATATATTATTGGGCAGAGAGCCTTGTCCCGCATAATTGGCCTTATTCCTGCTCCTGTGGAACCGCGCCAAAGCATGCTCCAGCACTCGGTACAGGTCAGTGACGAAATTCCACCCAGAAACCCAGCAGTCAACAGAAATCCCGGTGTTATCGTGACGACGCAAAGCTGTAGGACTGAATACCTCTCGGACAAGAATCTTTTGGTCTGCGGTTTCGTCAGTGAGCGACTCGTCGTCGATTTCCATTGGATATGCGACTCTGGACTGTCTTTCATGGCACCGAACAATGCCGCCCCAGACGACTGAGGTATAAATATCCAGAGTATAGATTGACCAAAACTGTGTTAAACATAGGTTAATCAACATTCGTCTTAGTTTCTATCAACAAACATACCAGTCGCCTTCTCTCTTCCCGTTCAATAGCATTGATACCTTTCGGCCAATTCGACTCATCATGCAGCATGTCCATGGCGACCAGCGTATGATATAGCCCCAGGTGGAAATGCATATCTTTGATGTTACCGGTTTGAATGGAAGTAATAGCCAGGATAGCATGGGCTCGCAATGTGTTCAAATCCGATGCTGGTTTCTGGCTAGCCAGTTCCGCCGTAGCATGCGCCATGAATGTGCTGGTATCGACTGCTTGCAGGCTCAGCAAGTCCCATTGAGGATTGCTTACAGCGCCGTCTCTAATACGACGGCTTACCAACGCGCACATGGCCATGACTACTATAAACAGCGCTCTATCATGCATGTACTCTGCGCGCGATATACGTCTGGTGAAGGACGGTTGATGAAAGATTGGGAATATCGGATAGACAATCTCAAAGTAGACGTCGATCAAGTCAACAATGACCGCTTGACTTGCCACCCTTGGTGCTCTCCAGCTATCATTTCTACTGTCTATTGCCTGTTGGTTCCTCTCAGTATTAATGGCATTGCTGCTTGACATACGGCTGGAAGCGCGGGGCTGCACTCCTCTGCGCCGTGGCTCTCGATGATACGTGCATTGGTGCCCAAAGTCTTTGCAGTTTTGACAGGTCCTGCTGGAGTCGCTTGGTCGGCAGCCGATGCTTCTTCGATGGCAAAAGTCACAAGCTCGCGTAACGCGGCGGCGTTTCGTGTTGGAGGTTCCCTGCGACAATTGTCTGTCGCTCATGATGCAGTCAAAAATTGCGGGCCAATACTGCGTACTAATAGGAGCCGTAAACCGAGAGAGGGAACAAGCAGTGGATTATTGTGTGTGCCGAGATGCGTGGATGGGTCTGTGGTGGTTGGTGTTTGCTGGTGGAGAGTGGGTAGGCTTAAGCTTTTCTATTATAGGTCGAAATATTTGGAGTCTTGGTACATACGACCATAGATACAGGAGAACTCGGGATCCCGTCCGCTCTCCCATAGATAAGCCTGTAATCGGCAGATTAGTAGTTGGGTCGGTGACGACCAGCGAACACCGGCTGTTGTATGTTTTTATTTTTTTTTTTTCTTAATTTTTTTAGACAATTCATTCAATGGTATAAATTTCTGTTTCTTTTTGATCGTTGCAGGTTTAATATATAATGGCTAGGCTGCGTGGCTGCAGGTGGTCGCGTGAATGGGCCGCAGCCAACTTGTATATTGTGTTACAGATAGGCTACTAACAAGTCGATATACTGAAAGATATGAACACACATCTACCCAATCACCTTCTCTTCCGGTGAATTTCTGATGTATGTTCTTTATTGTAATAATAGTCTCTATGCATTTCCTTGCGAAGCTCATTGAGACAGTGGATTTGATGGAAGACTTCGACCTGCGCAATGTACGCTCCAGGGCCATCACCCCATGAGGCAGGGGCTTGAATAGTAGTGGAAGGGTCCTTACCAGACAGCAAGACATCCGAGGCTGAAACAGTAATTACCTGGAATTCTTCTCCAGAAATGTAATCCCATGCGGCATCTACCGCTGGGGATGGTGGTTGACGCCAAATACTCAAGTTATCGCGCAGCGCTCCATTAAAGGCTTGAGACCGAAGCATCAAATCAAAACGGTCGAGAATTGGGGCTATAGATGGAAGTTAGATATCACAATGGAAACGAATGTACAGATTTAAAGCCATACAATACGACGAAATTATTTTCCTTGCTGGGTTGACGGCAGCATTGGTGTAGCCAGGCAAGTTTGGTAATGATGATGATCGTGTAAATTTAGAAAATATGACAACTATAGATGCCACATTTGTTATGGCAAGTATAATAATCGCGAAAATATATTTTCTCGTACTTGATGGGTTCAGTAGAGCAGGGCCATCGAAATCCTCTTGGTTCTGCGCTTCTCGGTCGTCTGTATGCACTGGCTGATAAGAAAGTCCAGCCTGGCGACTTTTTATGCTATTCATTATTTTATGCTTTGAATTTTGTTGCAATAATAAACCCAACTTTGTTGCATAAGTGTTATGATAGAAGTTGCAGTTCGCCTGTTGACACAAGGCAATAGATGGAGCAAGAAGGGCGGCGAGGTCTCTCTGTAACAACGATGGCAAACTCCTCCCCTGCAGACGCTCCCACACCAAGGATTATTCGCAAGCCAGGGCGTCGCCCACGGCTGGTGTAGGGTCGCGCTGGGCCAACACAGACGAGGCTCTACATGCAAGCCACCCAGACCAAAAGTCCCATATTCCTCGACGCGAGCTACAGGCCGAATATTACACGTCATTCGCCTAGCTTTATTTACATTACTTGCTTCGTTCTGACAGAAGACAGCAAAACGATTCCCTCCACAAGACTTGCCCCTCTCTCAACTACAGTACCGCAGAACAACCGTACTACTCTAGCAACAACTAACAACTGTTTTTTTCTTGGCAATTACTCGATTCTATATAGTCATGACTGTCAATAAATCCGGTTCTGAGCGCCGGTTTGAAGTGGTGGCGGAAATTATTCGTAGCTTTAACGGCAAGGTACATTTAAAATCTGTTATGCTACTCAACATCTTCGACTAATAGCGCCATAAAGGTACAAACTGCCACGCCGCTGGCATACTTTGAGAATTGCCCATTCCCTTTTAACAACTTTATCTACCTTGTTAAGCTCGAAAAAACTATTTCCACTAATTTTACAGGCAATCAGCCAGGTACCAGCGCTGCACCTGACGGTGGCGTCGACTCTGTCGTCGTTCGACTTAGCAACTTGAAAGCTGATGGACTCAACAATGCGAACCGTGTGCAAAATGAAGTTGTCTGTTCAATTCTGGCGAAAGAAGCTCTCACAAGTGTCGACTTAGGGCATCTTGTCCCCAAAATTTATGCCTGGTCCGGCCCCAAGTCACTTGATGATACGGATGAGGCCAACTTTGGCTGGATAGTATCCGAATATAAGAAAGGGGCTGACCTTGACGGTCAGTTCCCTTCTTTGACAAGCCATGAACAGCAGAAGGTTCTTGAAACCATCGCAAGGATCACTTTAGCACTGCAACGTGTTCCTCTCCCGCCATCTGCCAGCCAATTCGGGGGCCTGGCTTTTGATGAGAATGGAAATATTGTTTCGTCGCAAGGAGCTTTACTTCCTGATGGCCCATGGGCGTCGTACGCTGATGTTTGGGCATCGAAGCTCCAATCGCAGCTTGCTGAAGCGCTGATTAAACCAGCACTAGATGGCTGGAAAGAGCAGAATGTCGCCTCTCGAATTGAAAAGTTTATCGCATCTGGTGGGTTGAGGTCATTTTTAGACCCTGTTGACGTTTACCGACGGAGTCTTGTACACGGTGACCTAAGTAAGACACCAATTATCTTCGCCTCTTGTTTCTAGGTTGTCTAATTTATATCTAGCTATGAATAACCTGCTCTACGACGCAGAAACAAAACAACTGACAGGTCTTGTCGACTTTGACTGGTCGTCTGTGACCCATCCCATTGAGGAATACTTTAGCGGCTTCCATGATATTGGATATAGCCTGTCGGGAAACCCAGATCAAATCTTGTCTGCTGTAGTCGCGAATGACTTTTCTACAAAGCCTGAGGGCCCATCGGAGGAGGACGAGCAACGATGGCAAACAGCAAAATCATGGAATACATTTGCTACGCAACACCAAATTGTTTTGCCATCTGATGTCGCAGGAGTTAAAGAGCTAATAGCTTTGTACAACTTTCATAGCTCTCTTTGCCCTTTTCAACTTTGCAATGCTGTCGTGGTGAAGAGCTTGTCTGACGAGGCTAAGACGGCGAAGAAGCAAGAATCACTTGCGATAATTATCCCCTTTTTGGAGCAGAGAGGCTTTTGATTCTGGATTAATAGACAAGGATTATGAATATCATATAAATATAAATATAATTGTAATAATATCTATCTATCTATTCAAACTACCCAGGGTGACAAAATAGAGCATTAAAGGCTCTGCAAGACTATCTAACACAACCATACTTGATAACATCGCGCTATTATGGACCAGACTCTACAATAGCCAAGGTAGATGCTAATTGATAGACTAAGCTATAGGGGCCGCTCGGCCCTAACTACATTCTATTGTAGAGTTCTAAATGTTACCGCTAATATTTAGCTTATTCAACAACATCAACACGTTGTTCAGGTCCGTCACGCTAGCAACATCAAACGCAAACGCGTGGATATCAGCAGCCGTCGCCATCTGTCAGGCGTAGTCCACCAGTTGCCATTTTGGGTCCGCCACCTGGCAGCCGGCGCGCGCGGCCAGCTCTCCGCCATCGCCCACCCTAGAGGAAAAACTGGCGTCCACGACCCTTCACAGTAAAATAATCGCGAAGAAAAAAAAATTTAAAACTTACGTATCGAGGTAAAATATAAAATAGGCAGAATCACCAAAATAATTTATTCCAAGTTTTATTATTGTAGTCAGCTTTATACACGGCCATGACAGACCAAGTGCCTGTTATCGGTGTAGGTTGACAAGAGTGAGCGGCCGTCCCACTCTTCTTTTTCTGGTAGTCTTCCGCATCGCCACTCACCACTGCGTTTTCTCAGAACCAACTTCGTCAAGCACGCCACAGCCATCAACTATACATCGTCTATAGCTACACATATAACTGTTACAACTGTTCATTAATATGTAAATAGTATTTTTAATCACCAGCCACGGATAAAACAAAGTTCCATAACTTTCAACTGGCTCTTACCAATTACCATCCACCCATCACCATCACGAAGATGTCTTCCACCGCCTGCTTTGAACGCTTCATAAGAATCCTTTCCAACACAATCATCTAGTAAACAACTTCCGCTTACCCAATTCATCGGGGGTAATGCATCGTCATACAAATAAACAATAAACTCAACTAGCTCCGGAAACATAGCCTTGACAATCATTTGAATCGAACTGCCCGCGCCTCCATGAGACGTCCATCGCGCGCTGACAGCAAGGCTCCTCAAGCCATTACCTGCAGCATCGCGGCGACGGATATCTGACAAGAACAATGACAGTCGATAAAAATCGAGCTCCCCAAGAATAGCAATTGTATCTGACGTTGGGTTAAGATACAGTGCACGTGCGCCGTCCACCACAGAGTCGCCAGGGCTATCATATGAAGTTGCTGTAATAAGCGGAATTCGAATGAAATAATAGCGGAGCGCCACTGCTCTAGCCTCATGGTTGACCGATAGTGCAGCAGGATTATTGGAATAGCTGTGCCATTGAGGCACGCTGCCGTACCGAAAAGCGTCTGCATAATGAGCTTTCCGGCCGTGGATCTCGACCACGCGAGGCATGAAAGAGTAGTACCAAATTTGGAGTCGGATCTCAAGTGGAAGATTGTTGAACCTGTGGAATCTCTCCAATTTGGATAGAGGTTGTTTTTGCGATTTATAACATTTTGGGCTCTCCATACTTGCTGCCGAGTGTTTTTAACGTGCAACGAATAACTACTTGAAGACAAGACTTGGATATTAACGTAGCGTCTACGTTTTTATGAGATACAGCACGATAGTGGGTCTTTGTTCAGCGACAAACAGCATCGACGCCATAACAAAGCTCCTTGAAGCAGCTTGGGCGCAAGCTTTTACCAAGAAAAATATTTTATCTTTATTGTGAAAATAGCTTGTTTGACTCAGCTAAGTTAATCCCAGAGGCCTATTAGTCCTGTGCTGTCGATGTGCATAGGCGCATAACGTACTTGGCAAAACCTCAGCTCGTTTTGGCTGTAGCTTGACGACGCCTTTTTGGCGTAATGTCAGCAGTAGGGCGCGCCAAAACATGTAAGTGACGCATATCTGGAATAGTATAAATAATGTCATTTTTTCAAGAAGCGGCAGCACTTCTATTTCAGTTCCAAAAACCCTTTGGCCAGTATGGGCGTCCCAGCTATTCCTCGATTGGAGGATTATGGTTTGTCCACCTCCTACGGCTTCCTCGGCCTTTCTGGTCGTTCTTCTCTAAGCGCTGAGTATAAGCAGTGGGAAGACATTTTATCCCAGTTACCACAGTTAATAGCGAATGGTGAGATTGCAAACGCCGTTGCCTGCCTCCCGCTTCTCGATGCATCGCAGCTGTCGGCCGCTGCTGACTTACAGCACGCCTATGTTTGCTTGGCGTTTATCATCCACGGCCATGTCTGGGGCATACATGCGGCATCCACAAAACAAGGGACACCTCAAATACCACCGCAGCTCTCGGAACCCTTTTTGGAAGTATGCAAACGCATTGGAACAGAGCCAGTGCTGAGTTACAGTGGATTGTGCCTGTGGAACTGGAGGTCTACCAAGGACAGGCAAAATTGCCCTGTACCTTTATCTCTAGACCATCTGGAGACGTTTGGCTCGTTCACAGGTACAATTGGCGAAGCAGCATTCTATCTTGTACCTGTGTTGATCGAGGCCGAAGGTGCCCACTTGATTCAGCTACTGTTACAGGCAGTTCGGGCAGCTTCCAGTGGAGACTTCGACTACGTGAAGGCAGCTCTCGAGGAGACAACAGCCACATTAGACAGGATGTCACAACATCTTCCCAAGCTATACCCGCTTCTGGATGCAAAAATGTTCTACCATGAGCTTCGGCCGTTTTTCTCAGGTGGGCAGGGCGCAGAAGACAAAGGGTTGCCTCGGGGAATGGTCTTTCAAAGGAGTGATGGGTCTGAACTGGACGTTAAGTGCATTGGTGGGAGCGCGGCTCAAAGCAGCTTGTTTCCATTTTTGGATGCTGTTCTCGGTGTATCCCACGGCAACTCCTCCAAAGGCTCCGTCTTCCAGGTATGTTGGGATCGATTCGGTCGCGGATTACGCTAACTGGCGAAGGAAATGCGACGGTACATGCCAGAACATCATAGGCGCTTCCTCCAGCAAGTTGAAGCCCTTCCTTCTATACGATCTTTTGTGGCAGCCCACCCTTTAGAAGCCGAGCTACTCGACACATTCAATGGTTGTTTAGACAAGCTACGGTCATGGCGCGGAAAACATATGGCTGTGGTTTCAAAATATATCGTGCAGCCCGCTCGTGCCATGGCTAATGAATCTGGTGGAGAGACTGAGTTGCAGGGAACAGCTGGGTCATCCCTGATATCATTTCTGCGACAGTCCCGAGACGAAACTATAGGAATCACGAAAAACCTATAGATTCTTTGAAACATAGTCTTTATTACATATTTTTTGACTTTTTAGAGCTATAAAGCTGTTGGTATTGAGACACACGTATTGCGCCCGCAGTATCTTATTGGGTGCCTATCATCGGAGTGTAAACATCACAGTGGGGAGCATAGATGAATTGAGTTAACTAGAGGACCGTTTTTAGGAGTATATGTTTGTAAACCGTATTCCAATACGACGATAGCACGCCAGAGGCCCAAACCCCGCTTCAGCCTGACAGGGTGACAACACAAAGGGCGCTGCATTAGCGCTTCCAATACGTCACAATATTCGTCGCACTACACTTTCCCTCCTTGTTATTGACTCCAAGAACGCCTCAAGAAACACAGCTAGCATATGGGCCAAGATGTCCGCAGAGGACTTCCAAAACTTCATTCAGCCGACCCACCACGATACATACCCGTTTATAGCGCGCGCTGACCATCGTGGGCGAACGGTCTTCATTACAGGTGCATCCCGGGGAATTGGTAGAGCAACAGCTCTTGCATTTGCGCGGTCCGGGGCCGGGACTCTGATATTGGCGGCTAGATCTAGTCTTGATGACCTAACGACTGAAATCGCCGCGTTGGATCATGCACCGAAAGTCGTTTCCCTTGTTTTAGATGTTACGTCTCAAGACTCAGTAGACGCCGCTCTCGTGACTGCCAGTCAACATGTATCATCTATTGATATTCTAATCAACAACGCTGGTCATTTGGAGGAGTTGCATCCGGTCAATGAGTCGGATAAGCAGGAGTGGTGGCGCACATGGGAGGTCAACATCAGAGGCACATATCTTGTGGTGCATACTTTCATGGACCTACTACTGGCCAGTCACTGCAAGACTGTTATAAACGTGAGCTCCAAAGGGGGTCTCTACACAAGGCATGGAGCATCAGCGTACGGAAGCTCCAAAGCTGCTCTGCTACGGTTTACGCAGTTCCTGGACTTTGAATACAAGGAGCGCGGGCTTTTGGCACTCGCCATTCATCCTGGCAGTGTCGCAACGGATTTAGCACTACGATTGCCTCAGACGGGCCATGCTAAGCTAATTGACAAGCCGGAGCTAGCTGCTGATACTTTGGCTTGGCTAACCGAAGAGCGCATCGCTTGGCTCAGTGGGCGGTATGTCAGTGTTAATTGGGATATGGAACAGCTGATGTTACTGAAAAGCGATATTATAAATGGTGATAAGCTGAAGCTAACATTAAAGGTGTAATGTTCTCGATTGAATTAGATAGCTACAAGGCCAAATAGATATGAGTAGCGTCATGAAATGGTATACCAAACTACGGAAAACAATAGAATAGTTCCATCTCTACATGCTAAGATTGCGAACAATGCGTTAAATGTTGCCTAAAGAAAGCCAGTTGTTTCTTGATAACCCAAGGTGTGTTGTAGACGTAGTGATCTCCGCTAAGCACATATACCATATCAAAATCCTTATCTGCTTTGATCAATGCATCAACGAATCTCAAAGTAGCCGCCGGATCGACATTGTTGTCCCTCCCTCCAACCACAAGCATGAGCTTTGCGCGTAGCTTAGCCGCATGAGTAATGTTAGAATTCTCTGCATAGCTAGCATTGACAGGATAACCATTCCACATCTCGTTCCATTGTAAGTGTCCCATACGATGGTCATGATTCCCGGCAGCAGCCATCGCCGCTTTATAAAAGTGACTGTAGTGGATTGCAGCACAAGCAGCATCATAACCATTTCGACGAGGCTGCGCAAAGCCCGGAATTCCGCCAAAATACAGAGGGAAGTTGATTGATATGCAGGATTGAAGAGCCAATCAAGACGGCCATCTATGTCATGGTAAACCGTTATGATGTCGATGGGCCAAAGGAACCTTTCTCCACGTGTGACCCTTCGGCTCCTCTTCACCCCATCGCTGAGGCTTCTATTTACAACTAGCCAATATCAGAAATGACTATTATTGAAGGTGCCTTGGAGGAATATGAGCATTCCTGGGGCGCTATTCACGAGGGTGACGTTGATAACAATCGAGCTTGTGAAGGCTGTGGTTATCGCCGTGGCCCTCCGCCCCCAAAATTGGTAGTAAAGGCTGGGGACAAGGGCTTCATCACCATTGGCGATTATGTCAAAGCGGTTCATCCCTGGCTTATGCAAAACCGACAGCGTCTTCTACTGGCATTGGCTCCTGTGGATGATTGTGTCCCGTTGCCTGGCTCAGCAAAACTCATCTACCACCCCATTCGAGCAAACTACATCATGAGCGCCACAGAGGAGAGGTTTATCCAAAAGCAGCATAGACTCGCGAACATGTTTCAGAATGGATATATTACATAGATTTAAGTAGACTTTAATAGCTCGCTAATAAGCAGGCACAAAATGCAACGCTGTGTACAATCTATTCTACCCCATTACCTTCTCGCCTGTGACTCTGCTATACTTTGTACATTTGTCATTTTGGAGCACACTTATACTTCTAGCTCTCGTAGACGACTCTCCAGACGTCCTATTTGTAACCATTCGTCCTTTTTGTGGTCGCTCTCGGGATCATAATCTTTGAAATAGGCTTCCATCCTTAGGTCCAACTCCTCCTGAAGAGTGCTAATCTCGGTTTCACGCGCTTCGGCGATTTCAGCAGATTCATTCTCACAGATCCACCAGCCCAGCAGAGGCTGAATGACAGTCAATAATCCCGTGTCAGTCTCCCTGGTCTCTTCGGTACTCTGCGTTGTGTCGTTCGGAGCTGTCTCTAGCGAAGAAATAGTAGTAGCCGACTTATAAGCTTGGATGCCAACAGATCCGGCAATCATTGTGCACTGAAGCTTTTCGCCATCGTCTGTGACTGTAACCGGGACAGAACCAAAGCCACTTGGTATCTTTTCAGAGTCGATTGCAGGATAGCCTGGGCCATTGCTGGTACCTAGCAGTGCTTTCCCCTCCTCGTCCCAGAAACAAAAGGCGGCAATCCAGCCAGTATAGTCGCAATATCCACTTCCCTCGTCTTTATCTGCAACACTGTTCCAGAATTTTATTACCTCGGGATCATCTGGATGTGTAAAGGACCGGACCATGTTTTGCACTATCGGCCGTAGCAGATCTGCAAATTGCTTTGGCTCCTCTCCTAGCTGTTCAAGCCTATCTAGTTTTGTGACAATGCTCTCCCAGTCTGACACTTCCCCAAGGAGCGTCACGGAAGGAATACCACACTCTATGGTAAACCCATATGAAAAGTATTTCTGCATTGCTCCCATGAAGAGAACTGCAGCGGCTGCAGTGTCTGTTTCGGTAGTCGTGGTGAACGATGGCATAACAAAGTCGCGAAGCATCGGGTCCTTGACATTTTTCGAAATGAGATGTGTCATTTGATCCGCAAGCTGTCCGAAGTCAACAGTACCCAGTGTACCCACGGTCCCGATTTCCAGATGTTTCTGACCATGATGGTCGACAAAGTACGACCGTAAGCTCTCTGCATTGGCGTTGATATAAAATCCGAGTTGGTTGATAATGGTGAGCCAAACATCGTCGGGTCGGATGACAAGGTGATGGTGCGAGCTGTAGGCATGAATAGCTGCCCAGACAAAGCCATTATTACTAGAAGAAATATGACTTTCTCCAAGGAGACTTGGCCCGAAAGAGCTTTGTATCACTTGCGTTGTCCTCTGGTGTTGTTTAGGGCTAACGGATTTCAGAAGACCCTCAGTCGTGGTAACCTTGCCTCCCAGCCAATTCTCGGCAGGATGATTGACAATTTTTAGTGTCGTAGGCATTCTAAGTTGTTAAATGTTCAAAAGAAATAAGAAGAAATGGTTTATTTGGATTAGCTGTAAGTAGAAGCTGTCTGTATCAAGAACGGGATTTACCAAAATGCGAACAGGGAGCCCCTTATATACTGCTGGCCAGGCTATAAACCGGCAATTAGGCGAGTAATCCATTTATTGGTTCGCAAACGCTGCCAAATGGAAGCTGCCATGGAAAAGAGGTGGTCAACGTGCATATAAACCTGCATGACAAGGCTGCCTACCTACCCCGCTTCAGGCTGCAGCATAGGCAACCATGAGTTGCGATGGTGTCAATAATTTATTGGGCGAACCAAGTAAAGTAAATCGATTATATCTATTTGACTTAAAAAAGCTCCGCTTGACCTTTGGAGTGGTAGTTTGGGGCTGCTACACTACTTAAACATTGGGCCGAGCTCAGTGAGACGCCCTCGAACCTGCGATAGAATATTAGCGCCTGAAGTAGATACACGATCAATGTCAAGTGGTTGCGTACACTCATCCAATGAAATCCAACCATTGGCTTGCTTGGTTGGGGTGAATGGTCAACCACTATATCCGGTGGTGTCTCTCCTTCTGCCGTGTGCTTGAACCACATCATTCTTCCCCGATTTGTCCACAGCTTAAACGATGCTAATCTTGGAGACTCAGTCCTTAGACGTGCTGTATACAGTATTGGCTCCAGGTTTGTAATTCTTTCGCCTCCTTCTCCGTCAATTGCAAACTTTTGTTCGACCAAACGATCACGCCGATAGTCTTCTCGAGGTGTGAACCCACCTAGAATATCGGGAGGGGGGCTTTCTCGAAAAGCTGATCTTTGGACTCATGAGGATAAAACGCCTGGCGGTCATACTCGACTTTGATACTGTGGAGGAGCCCTTCATTGAACTCACGTTCGAGGTGTTCGAGTTGCAGAAATCCAGTCAGAATCGGTTCGATAACTACGGTAACGCCAACTACTCGCTCGACATAAGAGATTGGGGTGTAAATCTTTGCAGAATATTCGTGCAAACCTCTCTCAGTGGTGGATGTGATTGCGTCCTGGGTTTGATACTCAAAGGGTGGCAGAATGCCGCTCCAGTACATTGAGCCAGCCTGGATTGGTGCCAACTGCCGAGACAGATTGTTGGTAAGTTCTGGCACTTTGACCGCCAGACTAACCATTTTATAGGCCTGAACTGTTAGCAGGGCAGACTTACATGTAGGGCAGAGCCATACTCTGACGAGCACTTACATCAAAACCAATACGGAGTGCATAGATGGTGCTTAGGTCTTTCAACTTCTCTGTCACGGGTACGCCATCGCTTGCCCCAAACCATTGGGACCATAACCTGCCACTAGATAAGGCAGTATTGGGTGTTGGAGCAAAACCGCATTGAATACCGCAAATTCCGGACGGATCAGCCGCAACGCGAAATCCTGTAAGTAGCTCAACGTCAAACTCAGCTGTGTTGGTCGTGCCGCGGTAGCCAATTTGCATGGCCGTTTTCTTTTCATCGGCGCTAATAATAGTCAAGCCTACCAAGTATTGAAAATCACCTATGTCTCTTGTCGCAAACGAAATAGACCTGGCATCCTGAGTGAGCGGAATCTCGACCTCGTGGATCAGGCGACAGTGCTTTTTTGAATTGACAAAGCCTTTATATCCATCGTCCTCGTCAGTAGGTCGATAAATGTCTCCGTTAGTGTCAATCCACTGAGTAGCACATTGGTCATGCTTGAGGTTTACCATGGGTGCAGGCGCTAGAACCCAGACCAAATCCACTAAATCAACAAGATGCTGGGCCAGCTTCCAAATGCGCTGACGATTCTTCAGTTGTTTGCCGCAATGTTTATCGGTAGTCTTACAATAGACGTATTCCCAATCAACTGCTCGATCCCAGGTTCTCGATTCCAAAAGCCACACTCTTTCACCACGCCCTCTGAATCTAGATAGCCAGAAGGACTTACGAAACGTTGGCTGAGCAAAGTGGCGCGACACTAGGTGCATGGTGAGAGCATCTTTGGTCGACAGATGTGTTGCAATCTCATAACAAACATCTTCTGGGAGGTTTGAAAAGACGTCATTTTGACCCCATTGAGGTGTAGAATGCTCGGATGCTTTCTCTGGTTGCCACTTTTTGTTAGACAACTCCTCCATGCCAAGTACCGTGAACGGATCAGTTGTAAAATATTCAAGATCTGCGCCAGGGGGGGCCGTTTCGACGCTTATCACTTGGAGATTCCGATTCCAACAAGCGTCACCATTGTTAACATATAAGCCCCCATATGAATGCAGCCAGTCTAGTCTGTGCGTATTAATTAGATGTGTCGACTGGCAAACAGCCAAAAGCCGCTCCAAAGGGATTTGTTCAGGCCGAAATGCGGCACTGAGCAGACTCCAGCAGGCTACGTGGAATGGGAAGGCAGGTCCAGTATAGTCTTCATTGATGGCCGCAAGAGTCGGGGCCGGTACGTCCCAATAATCCGCATGATCCCAGGCGATATCGGGGTCTTCCGGAACCATGTATCTGAATTCTAGAATGCTGCCAATTCCAGATAGCTGCGCGATATTATTGCATGAATACACTAAAGGCAGGGTTTGATTAGATTACGACGTTGAGTTCAAATATCTTTATAACCCATACAGACTCGGCATTGGGTGTTCCAAGGCGGTGGTTGCCTTAAGGTGTTTTGGCGGGGACCATCGTGTATATCGACGCCGCAGAGACAGCAACCGTAGCCCATTGGTATTTTGTGAGGGGTGAATCTTGTTGAGAGGGAGTATTAGTTATGAGCAAACACGAGAGTTTTATAAAGAAGGTATTCCACAATTATCGAGGATGTATGAACGAGTTGACAGCAGCACTAAATGTCGTTGAGCAGACTGCGCAAACCAAGATGCAGGATTCATACAAAATGATCAGCTCTTACATATTAGAAGTTATTGTCAGTGAGCATTCATATTCTGATTTGCATAGGATCAGTTGGGCACAACACTCAATGCGTGACGTCAGCTGCTTTGCTTATGATTTGCGCCTGCGCCACCATCCACAGCCTGATCCGCGATGCACTATTACAAGTGGTTTTTTAATGGGCGGCCGCCCAAGACAAGGCTGCGATTCTCTTCGTCTTCCCCAAGTCTGCCAACACCATCCATTCTGCACCGTCAATTACGAGCTTGCCAAAAATGACTGCACCACCGAAATACACAAAAGTTGCTAGCGAGGATCCAAGCGAGCAGGAGAGCGGGTTCGAAGAGGTCGACAGCGGCTCAACTTCACACACCCCGGCGAGCAGCGGGCCAACTCCCAACTAACTATCCGATTCCGAGAGAGACAGCGCCGGTAGCAACACGGAGAGTTAGGATTCCCATCAGAAGCTCATCACCAAGCGACGTACGCGCTTATATTGTCCACCTGCTCGTTAACCAGCACGGCGTCACAAGCGAAGCTGCTCATGCAGTAGCAAATAAATGGACGCTAGGTCGTGGATTTGATTTCCTCGAGGCTTCGTCGAAGGACTTTAAGGAGATATTTGGCACAGATCTCGGCAGGCACATATACCGGTCCACAGCGCATGATGAATGGCTACGATGGAATAATGAGGACGTCCAAACCGGTTTTAGATGTATGTTGGTTGGAATAGAAAAGTGACGAGTGCTAATCGTTCATAGACCTCCTACTCATAGCCGGGTTCTTTGCAGGATTGAACTTTTTAAGTGCAGCCAGTTCAAGTTCGGGCTTGGACGCTTTGCGTAAGTTGACACGGCTGCTCAGTGTATGGCTATGTTTTAACGTGTTACCATAGGTAGCCTCGCTTGGATTCCCACCATACTTGCGGTACCGTACCTCTTCCACATGTCGAATTGCCCTGTGCATTCGCGGGGTCGGTATAAGGCTGGAATTTACCTCATGTTACTTGCTGTGTTCCTTTGGATTGTGTACGCTTTGCAACTACCAAAGCGTGGATGATGGTAAAATGAAGAATAGCGGTGCGTGTACGAGTAAATGAAGACACAGAGAGATAGCAGCACTTTGCAGTTTGTGATTATACAGAGTCCAAAATAAACAGAGTACCAGTAGTACTCATTCATCATTTGATAAATCTATCTTGCTTCCCAAACGCCAATCTCTTCTGGAGAATATGCAAACCATCCACGCATCACTGACAAATGCGGCCAAAACACGAAAGAAAAAAACAGGGACAAGAGAGCCGGCCAGCGCTAGTCAGTGACAGCAAAGGTACACGGATTCAGCTAACCAAGTGAACAATGCAATAAAAAAAATCAAACGCTTATTTGGCCCATTCAATAACTTCAAGGGCCATCATGACAAGGACAAGTGTAGAGGGTAGGATCCAGATGACGTAGCTCTGGAACAGAATGCGGCCCATGGTCTTTTCGAAAACGTTGTTAATCTGGCAAATCTGCGCAAGCTGCAACGCAGATGGGGCACCAGTAAGGAGGAAGCAGACAATGACAAAGATGGGGTCATCAAGAATGCTAATGTTGAGATACTTGGCGAGGAGTGCCAAGATGGGGGCCATGATGGCTGTGGGAAGGACCATACGGCTCAGCAGAGCAGCAACGAGAAGCTTAGTGCCGATTTCTTCCTCTTCAGGATCGGCCTTGTCTTCAGCAGCAGCCATGGTGTTGCGAGCGAGGTTGGCGCCGAGGACAACAAGGATAAGGGGAACGGCAACGCCACCAGACGAAGCAACGGCGCTGGTAACGGAGTTCTTGATGAAAGAGCCCTCTTCGAAAAAGAGGCGCTGGAGGGCTGGAATGGAGGCAACGAGTACAGCAATAAGCATAGCCCATAGAGGAGGGTTCATAAATTCCCAGATAAAGTAGGCAATCTTGCCTGCGATAAACTGGACGCTGCGAACAACAAACTGCAGAGGGGCGGGGAGGCTAGCGTAGATCTTGGCTGAAGTAGAGCAGAGCGCAGAGCAAGCGGACTTTTTGAAGCGCCCGAATGCACCAAGAGTCTCAGCTTCGGGGCGGTTCTGGATGCCAGTGGCCACATGTTGAGAGGCCGAGGAGTTGAGAGATGTGGAGCTGTAGGCCTTGCCCTTCTTCTTGGACAAGGAGTTGCCGTCGTCACTGGAGCCGGCAACAGAGGCACGCGAGGTGCAGCCAGGGGGTGTAGGGCCAGCAGGCTCGTAGAGTCTGGAGTCGACGCTGCGGGCGTCATCACTCACGCCCTCATCTTCGGTTTCGCCATCCAGGCCCTCAATCAACACGTCAGGCTGGTCGCGGTACGTGCCCTCTTCAGCAATCTGCTCGGCATACTCCTCGTAGCGGTCGCGAGGTGCCAGAAGGACATGGTATCCCCAAGACCAGCGGACAAGTTGGCCTAGCTGCTGGAAGATGAGAAGATATAGAATGCCGCGGGCACCGACTTCGTCGTCATTGTCGCCGGGAATACGGTCCCAGTGGAGGCCCTTGATGGTTTGAGAGAGCGAGAGAACAAGCGAAATCGGTAGCGAGTTGGAGTTTCCAAAAACGCCCATAGCAGTAACAAAGTTGGCGGCACGGCGGTTGAAGCGGAAGAGCTTGGCAATGGCGGTAGACACGACCCAGGAGACGAGGGTCTGGATGATGAAGATGACAGGGATGATGGCAAGTTCGGAGAGCTTATCGGCGTTGAGCTGGGAGGCCAGTTTTGTAAAGACTAGACGACCAAAGGTTAGCATTGCAGATGGACGCATATAGGACAAGAGATCGCGTCGTGTTGAGACGTACTAAGGCATGGCGTAAAGAGCATAACATTGAGGTTGGCTAGGAACTTTTGCTTATCGGCGTCAAAGTGACCCAGTCTGGCGACAATGTAGCCCGGCAAACTAACGCAGACAACTTCGAGAACGGCCTCGAAGACAAGTAGACAAAGATGTGAGAGTGAGGGGTGGGAGTCGGAGCCGCCATTCTCGAAGTTGCGTAGAGGAAGCTCGTAGGCGGATTGGGCGAGGTTCAAGAGTCGAAATGACTTGGGCGTCGGTATTTGGTCCATCGTGGCAGTGGTTGTGGTTGGTGAATATGAAAAAAAGGACACTTAAAATACGCTTGAAGCCGAATAACGCACTGAGATTGTGCGCGGCGTCAATTTTTAGGCACAGGGCCAAGTGCAAAATAGCTGGTGATGACAGAGCAAAGAAAACTGACGACAAGGAGGAAGAGGCGAAGGCGACAAAATAACCTTCACGCCAACGCAGGGCCAAGACGCAAGGCCTCCCAGAAGGGTGGGAATGTGCTTGCAACGGCAGGCTGCAGTGCAACCCGCGCCAAGGTACGGGCGAGAGGCGCTGTAAGTTGACCTGGAAAAAAAATGTGGCGTGACAGCGGCAGGGTGGTAACGGGGAGACGAGCGCAACGACAGAGGGAGATGAGAAGAGACGGACAGCGGGGTTGTGAATTATGGCGTGATGTATTGTGGCAGTAGTGATGGTATTATAGAGCACACGTATTATTTCTGGTACATTTTGAATAATATCCTTTTTTATATTTTACGCAGCTTTTTTTGAACTATTCAAACAAAATTCGCCTGCTTGCTGCACTTCGTGGATGAACGCGTCACTGATCAATGGGCAGACGTCTTCCTTGGCATTTGGTGCACTGTAAATCCCCTATAAAATATTTAACTTTGGGCCTTGCACCGCCCGCGCAGACTTTGTGGCGTTAGCGGACGTGCCGGACGGCCAATCAGCAGCGCCCATCTGCCCATGCGCTCACAGAAGACGCAAGAGGCTTGATTCAGCATCGTGCAGCTACTAGTTCAGCCCGGGAGGCGAATAACTTGAGCGTGACAGTGAAACGGTAGTTCTAGAACTAGGAAAAAAACTGTGTATATGCAGCTAGGTTTTTTTTCCTTGTTTCCTCTGTCTTGTCTCAGCTTGTCAACGATGTGTGTTTCTTCTCAATGTACATACACATATAGAGTATCTACGTTACAGTACACACATAACCCCCAAAGTGGCTGTACTTTCTGTCTTAGCGAGATTGCACCCACTGTAAACGCCAATATATTGCCTCTTTGCTCTCCACTGTATCTCGCCTAAGCCGCAAAAAACTTAATAGACCAATTAACACACCTACAGTACCTATAATAGCACTGCTCCCTACACTTACACGTAGACGTACCTCGTAAATCCGGCATGTCGCCGAAACCAGAATTACGTTGCCTGCAGCACACACACATCTGCGCTGCTACGCTACCAGCCTCGCCTCTGCTCTCTTTCAGCACCCAACGCGGGGGGGGCACTTACAGGGCACTCCCGCGCTGAGGCGGCCCCCACAACGGCCTAAACAGCAGCAGCTTCCAAGGCAAATCGCACGCCTCCTCACGTGCCCTCCGCACACTCGTACTTGGTGCTCGAGATCCTTCACCTTTGTTAAAACATTCGTATCATCGATATACTTGTTAATGCCATCACTAACTACAGTAAGTGCACAATTAAAGACGAGCAACTTCAAAGCAAGCTCAATTTCTATCCGAAACACATCAGCACCACACCGCTGCCACATAAACATGACACACTCCTCACAACACCGCGCTCCATCATAATGAGTGGCATGGCGCAATGCACCACAGCTCTTGGCACTGCTTATCAGCAGCCGCATTCTGCCCTCCAACCCAGATTCAAATCCAGCCGCTTTCTTATCTATTGCATCTATACCCCGGGTTTTACAGCCCGCGCTGCATGAATCTACCCATCACGCGACGCACTGGCTTTTGTGTGTTGGCCGCCTCAATATGCACGAATCCTCAACTCTGTCCCGGGTGTGGCTGTTGGTGTTGGCCGCTTCCCCCATCAAGGCGCCTCGTCCAGCTCATGATGCGCCGGGAATAATTGTTTTGCCAGCGGCACCTTGATTGGGGCCTCACGCTGCTTAGACCATGCCAAGATGGCTTCCGCGTCCCGGCATTGGTGCCATGTGTTAAAGTCGGGATACGTCGTCGGGTTGCCCTTGACCCAGTGATATGTGATGAGCCCAGCGTCGCCGTTGCAGCTGAGGACCTGGCGCAGAATCTCAACGCAGTGGTCTATTGAAACACAAATGTTAACTTGGTCGAAGATCGACGTCTCAGCTGTACAACACCTCCGACGTACCGAGATGGGTCGCTAATGTAGCATTACGGAGGCCGTCCGGGCCGGGTCGCATCGTGATGTAGTATTCGCTGCGCACGGCCTTGCGTAGGAGGTTCTAGAGAAGGTGTTCTTTTGTATTAGCACATAATCAGGCCATATGCGGAGAAATGCATACGAGGCAGCGTAGTTGATGGAAGAGCTCCAAGCTACCCCTGTAGCCACCGCCATTTTCTTCGCCGTACTCGGTTGTTGTCTCGATCGAGTTTGGAGATGATGTTTTATTGGCAAGCCTAATATCCTCTATGGTGACTGATATGAGTGAGGCTGTTCCGTCAATATAGGCTGCGCTGCCTCTGTTAGCCGCCGTAGGCTCACTATACTAAGGCTGTCAATCTCGCAATTGGCAGAGAATCTGTTCCACTTGCGGTCAATCTCTTTACTTGGTGGGCCGCGGAAACTATTTGTAAAATTAAAAGATCCTTGAAACCGTGTCGGAACTCTGGTGAAAAAGGCTAGTTCTTTCGCTACAAAACGGTCAGTCTGAAGTGGTAGGCAAAGAAGCACTGTCCACTTACACCAATTCGTCTCATAGGGGTTAGCGAGTCCAGCCCAGGTTCGCAAAGTCGCCTACTATGAACCCTATAAATGCTACAAGTGAATATAAACCAAAACTTAATATTGTATGGCGCCATCTTTGTCCTTTTCGGGTGTCGTTATTACCTTTGCCGTTGTGTAGTGGCAACGCCGTGTAAGTGTACTCAGGCATGTTGATAAGCCGTGTTCTAGCATACAAGGCTAACAAGACCACTTGTCTCAAAGGTGTACGATGCAAAAAAGAGCAAGTATAAGGATAAGAGAAATATTTAGGGGAATTTTATTTTCTCTATGGGCGTCACGAGTGCTAGTGCTCCCCGAACAAGGCTTCAATGGCGCAGTGGAGAGGTACAACGAAGGATATCGGCTAGCACTGTGCAAGGTCATTGACGCCGCAAGCTTAAATACATACACGGTAGCCTACCTTCACGCCAATATCCTTAAGATTTGGATTATCAGTACCATCAAGAAAATGAATTATTATCCCTCGTCAGCATTGTCGCAAGAGGACTGCGAGACGCTCCTTGAGAAACAGGACCAGACGTATCCACGCCACAGAGCAACGAGATTCCAATCAGTCCACATCGTCGTCCTTTATCTTTCTAATATAGTCCTACTCGTACTATATCTGGAAAAGCAATTGGATCTAAAATCACAGTCAACGGGAATATTTTTCTGCAAGTAGTCCTCAGATCTACAGTCACTCAGTCCTAACACTCAGCAGCACCACTCAATGATATCATACGATATGAGCCACGAATCTTCCATGACAATATTTACGATTTATCAGAGTTCCAAGGTCCTCCTAATGACTATCGAGATACCCTGTGGGAGAATCTATACACAAGTATATCCTCTTCATCGCTCCAATCTGTACCCTGCCTAACTCGCTCTAGATACAAGCGCGACACTTCTCACAGCTTCTGAGGCCAGAAAAATGCCCAACCAAACAATGATACTCCCTGGCACAAAGGGTGATGGCATCTACTTCCTCGAAGTCTTTCATCAGCTACACTGCCTTGTAAAAATCAGTCCATGCATGTGCAGATTCCCAAGCTGACACAGTGCGCAGAACACCATCCGCCGGTCCATGTATCCTGAACGGTTTCCCGAATACGCGCTCTTCTCTCCGAACGGGACTCGTGATGAATCAATATCCATCCATCTCGGTATGACGTGGCCCTTGTCGAACACGTTGCGGTTCGCTAGCGTTAGACGCAGTACAGTTGACATCATCTAGACCATTGCGTGGACAGGCTGCGCCAGAGCCTGATGTGTGCAAGCGAAACAGGAGCCTCATTTTGGCGCTGGAACGAAACATTATCGCAGTGGAGGATTATAATGAAAACTGTCCATAAATGTCGAAACTTTGATGATATTCAAAAGTGGACAAGAGCTCGCAATATCGCGGACTGGAACGTTTCCACTCCGAGTCGACTTACATCCTGAGCGCGATTATAGATGCTGTTGATTGAGAAGACCTATTGCGGGGATTGCGGGGTTTCTCATTCTACGTGGCGGCAAGTATGGTGACTCTTTCAGGCAGAACTATTCGGTTCAATTCAGCCTGAGGAGATTTGTGTACATTCTGGTTGGCTGGTTGCATTGTGGTCCTGTAAATAGACACTTGCACCAGCAGCAGACCACATGAGACGGCCGGTGATTGCCTACTTTCGGTAGTCCATGCAGGCAGTGTGGTAGATCTTTGTTAAACTAACAAAACAAGCTAATGCAGAGAATTGCCAACGGCAAGTAACAAGTACTCTCATGTGATCACTTGACAGCCTCGGATATGTACATGGCGAGTTCGCGCGTTTGGTGTGCCAACTGGGAGCTGCCATTCAACGACAGATACGTCACCCAGTCCCATGTTATATATAGGGCGCCGTGCAAAGTGCTTCATTTACATCATTTAGAATATGCTTTCATTTGCTGGCTTTTTGTTCGATTACCATCGACATGAAGGTCTTCGCCATCGCCACTGCTGTCCTGGCTACTTGTGCCATCGGGGCACCGGTCCTCAGTGCTCCACAACGAGTGAGCAATGTGAGTAGAACAGTTATCTCTCGTTTGAATATCATGGTACTAATATAATATTATAGGACGTGGATGATACATTCGGCACTGGGTACTACAAACGAGCTGAAAATGTAAGCTCGTCAACGTCAAACCAGGTGATTTGGTGACTATGACAGTATCAACATCAAGTTGTACGATGTAGATAGGAACAACAGCCCTCAGAGCTACTACAGACGAGGAAACGTAAGTTAATTAACATAAAACAAGGGTATTAGGTGAATATCACAATTTTAACCTCGAGTTATAGGATGTCGATCACATAGACACCTAGTGGCTACTACAAACGAGCAGGAAACGTAAGCTCATCAGCATTAAGCCAGGCGATTGGGTCTATAAATACTCTCTTAACAAGCTAACTATAGATGCTAGGACGTCGACATGGGCCGTAATCCCAATACCTACTACAAATAAGTTTATTGGCTGCCGGACGGGTGTAGTTCGCCGCAGTTCCCAGCTCACTTAGCACTGATTTGGTTTGAAAACGGGTGATACTTGTCTGGCTAGTTGTCTTTGCGAAACAGTCTCCATAACTACACAGCCATGTAATCCAATTTAAATCCAGTATTATAATTTTTTTTACAATATTATGCAGAAGCTGAGCCACCAGAAACTCGAAATTAAACGCCTCACACACCGCCACAGTTGCTAAATTGGCACCCCACCTGCGACATTCGCACCGGCCGCCCTCCGCACAGGCAAACCCCACCAAGCACCAGCACCACCACAGCCCCGCGTCATCGAAAACACATTTGCTCTCTTTTCCACCCGCCAAATGCTGTGTCTCCTCCTTTCTTCCTGCACACCACCGAAACATCACGACATCGGACGCCCAGCGACACAATCCTGCGAATCCGCCGCCGACCGCTTCGAGTTTTTAGTCGACACCTTCTCATCGGTTTATTTATTTATTTTTGCGCAATCGCCAGCAGCAAGCAACGCCAGTCTCTGCACTGCAACCTCCACCCCGCCGTGCTCTCCACATTGGTGCCCAGTCGCCTCTTGTCGTCTCTTATTTTTCGCCTTCCTTTTGTCCGCCGCCGGCTTCTCCGTGGCAAAATATCGATATCCGAGCCCTAACCAGTGCTTATCTCTCTTCCCGCTCTTGTTTACGGAACGACTCTCTCAGACGGCTCCCTCCAACGCCCTGACGCGCCAACACACGCTAGTTGAGATGCTCTCCGACAACGCCGGCTTTTGCATTTCGCGTTCCTAATAGCATCCGCCGACTCGGGCTTGCTCTTGTCCCTCCTTTTACAACACTGATTTCAGCATTTAAAGCGATCGATCATTTGCGTCCTGTAAAGACCTGATACCCCCCATAGAACAGCAACACACTTGGTCACGTCCGCTCTCCTCCGCAACAATGGATGAGACTCCCCCAGAGACCCCGACGTCGCCCGTCGCCGACGAAAACAACCCCCTAGGAAATGGCAGCGCTTCCAGTGATCCTCCCAAGAGAATGCCATCCCTTCGCTCCGTCTCCGACTCTCAAAACATGAACCCCAGCTCGACACCCCTTGGCCTTCTTGGCAAGGCTCGTAAGCCTCCCGTCACAGCCTCGTCATTTGCAAGAGGTGGCGGAGCCCTGGACAACGACATAATGGCCCGCGCCAGACAATTACAGCAAGAGCGCATGCAAATGGGAATGACTCCGCCGGTGAACTCGCCCGCCTCGCCCGCCACCTCCGGAGGCAGCAGTCCGGGCTTCGCCGGCCTGCGCGGCCTGCCCAACATGCAGAGACCTGGGCCTGGCATCCATCACAACTCGGCTCCTAACCTGGGAAAGCCATCACTCAGCGAACGACGAGCTAACAAGTTCGGCGGCATGAAGCTGTCTGACATGGGAAGCCCTTCCATCAGTCCTTCGCCAGGTCTGCGCCGCCCTGGAGCCCCCAAGCTCTCCGATATGGCTGGCGGTTCTAATTCCGCGCCAGCACCTGCGGGCACTCAAGGGTCCAAACTTGACGACTTCAAGCAGTACATTGACGCCGAAAAGGGCTGGATTACCTTTGATGGCGCAGCGACAATCACGAGAACCGGAGTCAACTTCTCCAACGGTCAGACATTTAGCATTTCGCTGGACGAAATCGAGACCCTAGACGAATTGGGCAAAGGCAACTATGGCACAGTTTACAAGGTCAAGCACGCCAAACCTAAAGCACCCCGCTTTGGTCACGGCCTGTCAGGCTTCAAAGCTTCACAGTCAGAAGGCAATGGCGAGACCACAACAGGCACCAAAGAGGACGGTACGACAGGCAAAGTCATGGCAATGAAGGAAATTCGACTGGAACTTGACGATGCCAAGTTCACTACTATCCTAAAGGAGCTCGTTATTCTGCACGAGTGCGTCTCACCGTACATTATCGATTTCTATGGTGCATTCTTCCAAGAAGGCGCGGTGTATATATGCATCGAATACATGGACGGTGGCTCCATCGATAAACTTTATGCCGGAGGCATCCCTGAACCTGTGTTGCGGAAAATTACACACTCGACAGTCCTCGGTCTCAAGACCCTCAAGGAAGACCACAACATCATCCATCGCGACGTAAAGCCTACCAACATCCTGATCAACACGCGTGGCCAAACCAAGATCTGCGACTTCGGTGTCAGCGGCAACCTCGTCGCCAGTATAGCAAAGACGAATATTGGCTGCCAGAGCTACATGGCCCCCGAGCGTATCTCTGGTGGTGGCATGGCTCAAGCAGGAAGCTCTGACGGTACATATAGCGTACAGAGTGATGTCTGGAGTCTTGGCCTCACTATTGTCGAATGTGCAACTGGCCAGTACCCGTATCCTCCCGAAGTCTCTTCCACTATTTTCAGCCAATTGAGCGTAAGTCCTTTCCATTTATCTTTCTCCATACCTGACATACCACTAACATATTCCCCAGGCCATTGTCGAGGGCGAACCTCCCGGTCTCCCCGATGACTCCTTCTCCGACGAAGCAAAGGACTTTGTCAAGTCCTGCGTCCGCAAAATCCCTAAGCAGCGCCCAACCTACGCCGCCTTGCTCAAGCACCCGTGGCTTGCTTCGCTCTCGAAGCCCGATACCATTGCTGAGGAAGCTGAGGATGAAGACCCAGCTACGGCCGTCGCCCATCTATCGCTCGACGACGACGTCGTTGATCAGGAAGTAGCCGATTGGGTCAAGGGCGTCCTGCAGGCCAAGAAGGACGGCAAGGCGCCCGTAGGCGCTGAGAAGCCTGCTCTGCACGCCGCTCCTTTGGACACGGTAAGCCCGTTGAACAGCCCAACGGCGGAGTAATATATAGATTCGAAGACGGTCTCGGCGTTTTATTCCCCGTCGGTTTTCTTTGTTTCAAGTTGGCATCTTTCTTTTTTTTTTTGAGTACGCGAGATGCATTTGTTCGCTATCATGCGGACTGGGTTTTTTTGGTATGGCCTGCCATCGGCTGCGAGGGTATTTTTGTACATAGATATATATGGTAGAGCAACAGCATTCATGGCATTGGGGTCAGCTACATACAGACACGTCACGGAATAAACGAGGATATAGACGTGCAATTAAGCATTTTTGGGAGCAATAAATTAAAATGGTATTAAACTCAAACTCCCCAAGAAAGTAACTACAACCTCCCAAATTCCCAGAAACCAAGAGACTCAGCGCAGTAAAAAGATGATAGCGGCCGTGCCCGCCAAACCAAAGCTAGGCCTCGATTAGCTCGATCCGAGGTGCCGATCTAGCAGGCGTCTCATACATACATTAAACAAAATAGTTGCAATCTTTCTTTCCAAGCGTGGTCCCATGGTCAGCGTGGTCTGCCAGCAATGTACATCATCGCCCTCGGCTGGCATCCTTCACTAAAAGGACATCAAGAGCAGAAGAGTAGCAGCTAGCCAAACAGACCTGGTATATACGTTTCAAACTTTGTATAACAAGTTGATGTAAATTTTTTGTTGGTTTTTTTGTGCATGTTTTTCTTGACAAATCGTGTACGTTATATTTGTTGTTGTTTTTATTAGTGTCGTGCATTAGTTGCTGCAGAAGGGCGGAGAGTGGTTGCAGTTTGTCATTAAGGTATTAAAGCATCGACAGGCGCCCCGTTCGCTGAGTTAACAGGAACAGGAGCAGCTTCCGCGAGAGACCATGCGCGTGTCTTTTAGGAGTAGTCGTCCTTGACACGGCGGCCCTCGAAGTTACCGCGGCGACCGAAGAAGCGACCACCAGAGCTGTCGCTGCGGCGGCCGTGGGAGAACAGACCGCAAGCAATGATGAGAGCGGCCCAAGAGCCCCAGAGGAAACCGAAGCCGTACTTGCCGACCTGAGCGTCGCGGCCGTCGTTCTTGAAGGCGTTCTGAGCGAGGACAAAGACGGCAGTGGTGAGGGAGGCAGCAACGGTGTGGCAGAGGACGGCGAGCAAGCTGTTGTAGTAGGCAATGGCAGCGCCGAGACGTCCGCAACAAGCGAGGAAGCTGGTGAGGAAGGTGATGACTCCGAAGAAGAGGGCGAGGATGATGAAGACCCAGCCAAAGCGCCATAGGTAGTAGTACTTGGTAGAGGTGGTGTTGTCGCCGTGGTTGCCCATGATGTCATCGGGAACGCCGTTAGCGTTGGCATCCCAGGCGTAGCCAAAGGGATAAGCAGCCTTGGCCTGGTTACAGTCGTGGTTGCCTTCGCCGCAGATGTAGAAATAGGTCCATTGGGAGACGCCTCCAGTGCGACTAGCACCGGCGATGCCTTGGGTGTTGACTTGGAGGAAGTACGTCTGGTTGAGCGGCGTGGAGTCGGCGACACCGGCCAAGACGATGAAGAAGAGCATGGCGAGCGAGCCGGCCATGAAAATCAGGCCGGCAAGACCAAACATTGGGCCTGCGAGACAAGTCGTGTTAACGCATTGATTGTTAGGTGAGCGGCTTTACGGAAGCTAGCGTGTGAAGCGATATCGAAGCTAAACACTGCGGCTGATGGTTGGAGGTGTTTGGGCATCACAGAGTTGGGCCGCTGGCTGCGATCGTACCATCACAAGCAACACAGGTCGCCATCTCCCAAGCGCATAAGCCGAGCTAGAAGCCCAACAGGGCCGTCGCAAGCTGCTACAGCCGTTTCACGTAAAGCCTGTTGTTTGGAAAGGGGCTCTTGACTTACTGTTTGCCATCGTGAATGTGCGAATAGATTGACGAGAATTCGGTTCACGGTAGAGTAGAGAGGGATGAAGAGAAAAGAAGGCGTCTGGCGGGAAAGGAGCGCGCAAGTGTTATTATGTATGGGGCGGCCCGTGAATCCTTGCCGGGGTGCGACGCTAGGCCGGTGTACTGTAGACAAGAAGTTTTAGCGCAGGCTTTCCAGGGAAGAGGCCACGGAAGAAGACGGTGACAAAATAAAATAAAATAAAATAAACACAGATCCTAGCGAAGTCTCCCCTGTCGGACTTTTTCGTGGATTTTCTTTTTGGCCTTGTACCGTTCGGTTGTCAAGGACGCAGCTGTACTGTAGACTGGGGTAGGAACTAGCCGTGATGCAAAATCAAGGCAGCAAAGGTTTTCCTGGTTCTAGCGGGGATATAGCGACCAGGGGACGCCAGCAAAAGAATGGATGGTTGTTTGGGGTGATGACCAGGCGCTATAGCAGAGACAAGGACGTACCGTAGGGTGGTTTCGCTGTGGGAGAGCCCTGGGAAAAGGTGGTGCTGTCTTAGAAGTGGAAGCCAATTTCCCTGTTTTTTTTATTATTATGATTCTCTGCGTGCTGCGAGACTCGACACGACACGTAGAAAAATCACGAAAATAATTCAAGCGCAATTGTTGAAGATGGAAGAGCAAAAGAAAAGTTGTCAATCCCGATTGAGGAGAAAAAGAGAAAGCAGCTGCCTCTCTTCCCAATGCGTCGTCATCGCGTAAAGCTTGCTCAGCCAGGTCCAGTGTCGTCATCGGTCGTGGCACAAGCTACTTTGTACCGGCTGTGCCAGCTGCTCCAGCTGGCCAAAGCCCCCAGTGGCAGTGGTCGCCAGGTGCCGGAGTGCCAGTGTTGCAGGTGCCACAGTGACTTTTGGGGCGGGGGCCCACGCGACCGGCAAATATTGAAAAACCAAAGGCGGCGCCATTGGCTGGTTAGCAGCAGTAGTACTGGATCTAGCTTAGCGGCAGATGGCCCTCTACTCTGCATGATGTCATCGACGCTGGCGCTGCTCGTACTGCGAAGGAAAGCGTCCAACATTATGCCCAAGAAAGAAAAGTTAGTGCTTGAAATCGCCTATAGGAATATGCAAACCTGCTTTTTAGCGCTTGGCGTAGCCCCATATGTGGCAATTGGGTTCCGCGATGCCAGCAACTATCCACGTACGATGCGGTGCGCCCGATCACGCCGATGCCCGATACAGCGGAACAGCACTTTAATGATGGCGATGTCAATGGCAGGGTATCAGAAAACCAGATGGTAACATGTACGACAGGCTCAAAGCTGGATATTGGGTCCGTATGCCCAGGTCTAGTCAAGCGATGCAACACTTGCTGTATGTCTTTGATGGCTATGTCGATTATCGGGTAGCACATCTCAGGTGTGGATGTACAGTAGCAGCGAGGACAGAACTGCGTCAACCTCGGGCTTAGCGACACGAACGGGTCCCAGATTGTTATCCTTGCCAAGAGGAACAGCATGCCGACCACTCCGGCTTAGACCGACGCGAATGACATAACCCAAACAGTGCGCAAGGTAGTCCTGGTCACGGCTGAGTTGCGGAAGTAAAGGTATTAATTGTATAGGCATTGTTCAGCCCCAGTCTACACTCCAAATACATACATTCACAGACAGACTGCATTGTTAGCAGGGCTGACGGCAGACCAACACTGTGTAAAGAGTGAGACACGCACAGAGGGACGAGATCCAATTGATGATTTGATAATGGCCTAGACGATACGGAGTTGAACTTTTCTTATTGCCACGGCGCCATGCCTTTCCGTGTAGTATAATTGGACATAATTCAATAGATAGGCTAAAAGCTGTTGGCTGTACCCTGGCCATACCTGGCTGTGCTGGCTAAGCTAAAGCGACTGGGCTGTGTCTCAGCGCCGCGCGTTTCACGCCCGAGACAGGCTATATACTTGGTATAATTGTCAGGGCTAATCAAGACAGTACTGATCATGATGCTAATCATTTATTACAGTTTTATTTTTTTTACTACTAAAAATTTGCATCACATGTATTATTTGCAATATTTGCCAAAGTGGGCGCTCTGGTGATGGGCGAGTTAGTTGTAGGGCTTATAAAACAAATTAAGACCCGCTCTTTCAATAACCACAAAGCGCCCGGTTGGCTAAGTGGTATAGCGTCTCACTAGTACTTCCTAGTGAAATGAGAAGATCATGAGTTCGATTCTCATACTGGGCATTTTCTTTTTGCATTTTTGACCAATTGTCCCCTAAATTTTTGGAGACTGAGCGGTGCCATGAAGTCATTTATTTTTTGCACTTTAGTAGTCAATCTCGAACCCGTGGTTTGTACAGTTCATTCAGGGTATCTTATGCATACATATTTTACAACTAGGCCTCGTCGTAGACTCGTTTTGCTGGATCTACCAATCCTTCTTCAAACCTCTCTGCCCACAGTCTGGCCAGTTTCTCCATTTCAAACTGGCCAGTAGCCCCCTCCTGCAGTGCTGAAGTAACTAGCTTTCCCTCGAGACCACACGGCACAAATCTCGCCCACGGATTTACATCCTCGCCGCCTGTCACGGGAATATCAATATTGACCGCAGTCCCCAGGGCTGTAACATATCTGCGATGATGTACCCCAAGAGCGGCTATTTTGCGCTCCGCTCCATCCGTTTTGACCCATACACCTGGTTCATCAGGATTGGTGTATGTCCGGATCCCAAAAATGTCTCGCAAAAATCGCCGCGTCGTAGACTCCAAGTGTGCAGCATATGAAGCAACACCAAACTTTGCGTACAGAGGAGAATGCATATCTATCACGGGCCAGAAAACTAGTTGGCCAGGGCCATGGTAGGTCGTCAGGCCGCCCCGATTTGTCTTTGTCACTAGCGGTTGAAACTCGTCGTCAAGCTCAGGTGAGCGATTGGCTAAGCGGGTTCTCAATGGCCGCTGGAGGCGGTCGACATGATGTTGTGGGAGGGCCTCTTGCCTGCGACCAAGTGTAAAAGTAGGCTGTGCCTCAAATGATAATAGTAGGGGCCGCGGGACACGAAGAGAGGGGTCTGCCTTGCTGGCGAGGAAGCGCGCGCGGTGGTCTTCTTGGATGGCCTCGGCCTCAGAGTACGGCGTCGGCGATGAGGCGGAGAGATGTTTGTGATTAATAAGTGATGTCGTTGAATAAGATCGGATAGATTGTAATGCCGGGACGCCACGGCATTGGCGAAAAGGCAGCATGATGGAAGGACAACGGGCTAGACCCCTTCAACTCAAAGTGTCCATGCGCTGCCTAATATGAAGCCACTTGGTGGGCGTTATATGCGATGATGTGATTATTATGCAAATAGAAGTTTTATTTATACGCCAATTGATTCCCAGATGAGGCTGTGGCTGTTGGAGGCTGATTTGCAGGGGAGGATGTCTAGCTTGATGTCGTGGGGATTGTTGAAAGCAGCATCGCGGGTTTTGTGGGGGGATGCTGCCTCCGTAGTTCAGAAACGACGTATGGGTTTACACCCATACATATATACTTGTAGCTATAAGTTCCAGTCCTAGTTGATTATTTTGGTATTTTAGTACTTTAGGTATTTATTTTATATTTTATTCTATATTTTATTCTATATTTTATAAGCGCCAAACCTGTTCCCCTGCCACTCTACCCTCTGGATCGGCTTATTGTAGACGGGGCGACCTTAGCCAACAGCCGTTTGCCTCCGAAAAAGAAACTCTTAAATATTACCTTAATTTTTTGGAAGAAGAAATATATCAAACTTTGTTCAATTGGGGGTTCTAACCTATTCTTTGGGCACTGCCAGCTGCCAGCTGGCGACGCTCCTGCGAAAAAAAAAAAAGTATAAAATCAAACAACCTTTCCCACCTTCTTCTTGTCATAACATTCGCGTATTTCCCATCTTCGACTTTGTAAACCCTTCAAACCACGACTCCAAGATCAACAAATCAAAATGAATCTGCTCAGTTTCTTGTTCCCGCTTGCCGTGGCCGCTGTAAGCATAGGCCTGCCACCTTCGGACAAGGTGTCTATGTCGGAAGCGTTTACTCTACACATCGAGCTCGCCGACAAGAGAATAGATCTCCCAAGACCTGTTCAAAACACATTTGTGTCTGTAATGCACGTTGGTGCTGGTCTGAATGTCCTCACCTCTTTACCAGACAAGAATGGTGCCAAAACATTCTATGTTAACGCCACAGTTAACGACGATCCGACAACGTACAGAACATTTACTGATTGTGGAAACCCTCCGACACCTTTTGGTATCAACTTGATTCCTGATGAACTCGAAAAATACGTGCGCACTGCATATCTACGACCATCACGGGGATACAACGGAACGTACATTAATGGATATACCGCGGAACTGACGCCTGCCAACTGGCTTGCCTGCGATGAGCCTGTCGAATATTACGGGGGTCGACATTTCAATGTTCTCAAACAAGTGTATTACGAGCCGTATCCAACTCCCAGAGAGTGTGTTGCTGTTAAGCTTTTCGCAGAGTGCGCAAAGTTGAACAAGTTACCTAAGGACGCCGAGTCCAATCATGATTTTGTCAAGGCGGTGACTTGTTTTAGGAAGTAAAGAAGGCGTGGACACGGAATATTTCTGTTCAATATCTTGCTAGTGTGGCGGCCTCCAAAAGAAATATGTAACTAGACTTGCTGTCTTCCACGCTGCGGCTCTCATACCTCTTCATCACTATTATACGTGGACTGGCTCACTCATATGGAGATAGTATAGAAAAGGTAATTTCATAAAATATTAAAAGAGTCATTATATTTATAATATGTTACAAGTCATCAACGTCATGTACTAGATCCGTCTAATGGTTCTTTCCAAACAATCCCAAGATCTTCTCCGCACCATGCTCACCAGCGACCATGACGGGGAACTGAGGGTTCACTGTCATGGGGGCAATAATGGAAGCGTCAACCACGTGGATATTTTGAGTACCCATAACCTGGGTGTTGGCATCGACACACTTGCCGATACGGCATGAGCTGGACCAGTGGTTGACCTGGCCGCGCGCGTACGCCGACGGTGTGGTAATGTACTTTTCAATATCCTCAACGCTGGAGCTGCGAGGCAGGTTAAGCGGCGTGAGACCATCCTGAGCAGGAGCGTAAGGAGTCGACTCAGGCAGGCCCTGGTAGATATCGTGGATAAAGGCAGCAATGACCTTGGCGTCGCGTGGGTTGGAGTAGTAGACATCGGGGCTGGGACCAGCCACAAACTGTCCATCGTCGGACAGAGTGACACGTCCAGAAGAGCCGAGGCCTGATGTACCGTAAATGTTCAGTGTAATTGTATGGTTGTTGGTCCAGTCCGCATATCCTGAAGAGCTGATAGTTCCCTGCACACCAGAGCGAGTGCCGTCGCCGTTGTCCATGTAAGTCCAGAAGGCAGCAGCCTGTGAGGCAAAAGTGTAAGGGCCCGTACGAGAGTTGAGATACATTTCGCGGTCCTTTGTGTCCGCGTCGTCGTACTTGTAGTTGTAAGCATTTACTGAGGGAGCAGATAGCTGGATGAAGGTGTTGGGGTTATCAAAGAGACCCTCGCCAACAGACTCCTGGGTAACCCATGACGAAGACTCAGTGTAGGGAGTGTGCGAGCTGGCTGCGAGCTTGGCTAGTGTAGCATTGGGGCCAATGCCAGAGTACATGAGAATCTGTGGAGAGAGCAGAGCACCAGCAGACAAAACAACACGGCCGTTGTCGTTCACAGCAACGGTCTTTTCAGTACCGTCGGCCAGCTTAATGGTAACACCAGAGGCCTTGCCGCCCTTTTGCTCAACGTGCTTGACGTGGACACCAGTCGAGAGGTGGAAGTTGGATCGGGAGAGAGCGGACTGGAGGTAGGTTCGGACAGGGCCACCGCGCTGGCCCTCAATGTAGTTAAAAACGGGACGACCAAAGGCCTTTTCCTTCATGTTGGGATCAGCGGCAAAATCTGTCTCCTTGTAGCCAGCACCGTCGACAAGCCACTTGCGAGAGGCGTCCTGGATAGTCTCGGCGTATGTCTTGCCATCGGCGGAGTAGTCGCGGACGGCAGGCTGTCTTTGCAGAAGCTTGTCAATAGCGGACTGGACATCGGCGCTGTGCCAGCCTTCAGGGTGGTAGTTGTCCCAGTCGGATGAGGGAGGCTGGAAGTAGAGACCAGCATTAATGGCGCTCTGGCCACCAATAGTGCATGCTTGGTACGCGCGGACTTGGTCTCCTTTGCATGTCAGAGTGGAATTCGGGGTTCCGTAGATTGTCGAGTCTGTGGTAGGCGGTCAGCTTCATGTTGGAATCAATCGAAGTAGAGTGAGCTATTCGTACAGAGTCCGGGAACATCTACGCGGCTGAGCTTGGTGCCGTCGAGCCAGCTGGGGCGTTCAGTGCCGCCAGTGATGCCATAGGAAGCACCACCCTGCTCGAGTAAAAGGGTCTTAAGGCCAGCCTCAGACAGGCGATCGGCAACAATGATACCTGCTGTGCCGGCACCGACGATAATAGCATCCCATTTCTGCGCTGTCCAGTCCTTTGGTGTGGGACAAGCGACAGCGAGGGATGTGAAGAATGCGAGTGCGATGTACTTCATGATGTGAATATGTGTGATTGATCGTCTAGAAGAATAATGGAAGACGAAGGGCAGGCCGTCAAGTTTATATCGACGGGAGAATATGCCGATTTCTCCACCGGTGCCATCAACATCGTATTATTATTTGCGTCGAGCGGCTGAAGCTCATCTCTTTCTGCTTCACCTTGCTTTTTTTCCCACTCCCATGCACCGCTTCTCGGCCCCCGACGTCATGGCCCCATCGGTTAGCTGCCGAAGGCTGAGATGCGACTGGCTACAGCTGATGGGTCTACTGTGAGCTTTTCCGAATGCAGCAATGGCGGCGCTGAAAAAGGGTCGACAGCTTCTTCTTTTTTTTAGGGTTCTTCTAGCGCTCAGCTTGTGGTGGGTATAGCGACCTCGTATCGGCAGTTGAGGCGGTGCAACTCCCCACCAGTGTCCCGTATTACTGGGTAGGCCGGTGTCGTCATATTTCCACAGCTGTAGGTAAATGAGCAGGGCTGTTACGAGGAGATGATGATCGCTGATGTTGGTGGAAAAAGTGCGAGTTTCTAAAATTGGAAGCGCAAAGTTGGTCACCACGCGATCATCACAACCGTTTGTAGCCAGTGGTGCCAGGTGTGACAGTTGTAACGGCTGTGCCAGGTGATGGCCAGCTGCCAGGAACCGTTTATCGCCACGTGCATAGTCCAACCTGCAGCACGGCGACAGGGCATATCACATTTTGACTGCAGAGTTCTTTACAGAATCGTTGTATAATAATACAACTGCAATTCTGGCAGGAAACCATGGCAAATTCTTCAAAGCCACGACGCAGCCTGCCCAATAAGTCGCATCGTACGATTATCGATCCCCGAAGTCGATGCCATGATAATATGTCTTTCGTTTCGTCACATCTCATGAACATACATCAGCTCCTGAAATGCGCACAACACTGTCTCTGATGCCAATTTCGCGTCCAGCCTTATGCTACGCGATCTTCCAGCCGTGTCGATCGAATCTCTAGCACGCCATTGTGCTCGTCTGCCCCACCACCCAAAAGCCTCGCCGCCAGAAAAAAAAGTCTCCCACTCTCAATTGCCTCGCACGACATCTCGACACTGGCGAACAATTCAGACGACTGTGCCGCCATGCATCCTCTCGCCTTAGCGGAGCTTGCCTCCCCGACCGGCACCGACGGCGTTCCCTTCCGCGGCACGCCGAACCACGTTCACCGAACATGGGCTCGGACCTTCTCGTCGCTTCCCGAGCTCTACATCCAACCGCAGTCGCTCGCCGAGATTGAAAAGGTCGTCAACCTCGCTCGTGCGTGCAGACGGCACATTTCAACGACCGGATGCGGCCACTCGCCGTCAAACATAACATGCACGTCCAGCTGGATGGTCAACTTGGACAACTACAACGCCGTCTTATCCGTAGACGAAAAGACCGGCGTTGTCGTTATGCAAAGTGGCATCCGGCTCTTCCAGCTCTGCAAAGAGCTTGATAAGTACGGTCTGGCCATGCCTAACCTTGGGTCGATCAACGAGCAGTCTATCGCAGGTGCCATATCTACCGGAACACATGGTAGCAGCGCGCGCCATGGTCTTATGTCCGAGGATGTCATTGCGCTCAAGATCACGCTGGCAAGCGGCGAAACAAAAGCTTGCTCAAAGACCGAGAACCCAGACTTGTTCCGAGCAGCTCTTCTTTCGCTCGGTGCTCTGGGTATTATTACTGAAATCACGTTCCAAGCTGTCCCCGAGTTTACGCTGCGTTGGAGCCAGACAATCGATTCGGACCAAAAGATGTTCAATACATGGGATACAACGCTCTGGTCCCAGAGTGAATTTGTACGTGTTTGGTGGTTCCCGTATACTAGACGCGCTGTTGTCTGGAAGGCAGAGAAGACGGAAGAAGAGCCGCGCGAGCCCTCCACTAGTTGGCAGGACGGACCGCTAGGATACTACCTCTACCACAACCTGCTCTATGTTTCCCAGTTTGTACCCAAGCTGCTGCCATGGGTCGAGTGGTTCTTCTTTGGACTACAGTATGGCTTCCCAAACGGCTCAACGACGTCGGCTATCCAGCCTTCCCGCAAGGCGCTCCTCATGAACTGCCTCTACTCGCAGTTCGTTAACGAATGGGCTCTTCCTCTTGAAAAGGGCCCTCTTGCCATTCGCCGTCTGAGCTCATGGCTCAACCACTTGTCCCCGTCAGACCCCGACTACGTTCCCCATGGTATCCCATTCTCCGCTGACGGACTCTACGTTCATGCGCCCGTGGAAGTTCGCATCAGCGACACTACACTCACCTCCAACGCTCGTCCGTATCTCGATCCCACATGTGAGGCTGGTCCGACGTTGTATCTCAACGCAACCTTGTACCGCCCATACCTGGCTGATCCCCCTTGCCGAGAAAGATACTATGAAGCATTTGAATGGCTTATGCGCGACATGGGAGGCCGCCCGCACTGGGCAAAGAACTTTGTTGTTGGTGCGCGGGATGTAGAAGCGTGGTACGGCAAGGATATTGCAGAGTTTAGAAGGATAAGAGACGAGGCTGATCCTCTGGGCATGTTTGTTGGCGCGTGGCATAGAGAAAAGATCATGGCTGATACCGACGGCGTTTTAGAATTAGAAGAGATGGAAGTACGAAGAGTCAAGAATGCCGAGAATGGCGTCGTGGCATTTGGTTCATTGAAGGGCTAAGTATAGAAGAGAGCGAGTTGATATCTTTGTTTCTTTGCATAGCGATGTCTTTTGTGGCAGTCTGGCATACGGTTCCGAAAGTTATCGTTTAGGAATTGTTTGAGGGCCACAGATGATTATGATGAGAGTGTCAGAACATATTGATATATGCGTTATATTCACGTTGATTGCTCAATTATATTAGAATGAACACGATGAAAGGTATCCGTCAAACTCCTTTGTACAAACAAATAAGAAAATGATGCGTTCCCTCCTCTCCCTCCTTAGCGCGGGGACTGTATTTCGTCGAATCTTCGTCCATCTCAAAGGCCAACCATGCAAGAAACTAGGTAAAAGAAGAAAGAAGATGAAAGAGTATGTCGTTGAACTCATAAGTGCGGTTTCTACTAAGCATTATGCACACGTGCCGGAATATGTACGAAAAGAAGAGTCCTTCCACGGTTGTCATGCTGCCAGATCGTCGTGTTTCTCTGCGTTGGGGTTATCAAGCTCCGCGGCTGAGGTGGCTAGCGCTTGTTCGACTGCGTTCGTCGTCCTCTTCCATTACATCGCTGAGGCGCGAAGGGTGGTGGTGGCGATCCCAACTTGGTGCGCCATAACCTTCGCCGCTATAGTCTTGCTCGCCCGCAACAGGAGGCTGAGGGGCGGGAGCAGGAGCAGGAGCAGGTGCAGTTGGTGTCGCGCTGGTGTATGAGGCGCCAGCACTTGGCCATTGGCTGCCTGGGGAGGAGCCGGAGACTGCTTCGTGGCCTGAGGTGGGCGGGTTGGTGGTTGCGGGCGTGTCATATTCGCCGCGGTCGGACGTTGAAGATGATGAACCTGCGGTTTGGTATGGGATTTTGTTACCGCGATCATCAACGACGTAGTTGCCTTCAGCATCTCGCACGTAAATGACCTCTCCATAGTGACCCTCGCTGGTGGCAGCGGCGCTTGGGGGGCTTACGCCGCTCTCATCTGCATGACGAGATGCTTGGGCGTAGTGGCGGTTTTCTGGGGTGCGATGACCGGTCGGCGTCCGTGATGACTCGGGTTCGGCTCCTTGCGCATAGCCATATTCTTGTTGGTAGGAAGAGCCGTGGTCGCGCGAGCTGCTTTGTCGGGTATGCGCCGCCTGCACCATTGGTACGACTTGAACTCCGCCGACGAGAGTAGGCTGGCCAGACTGCAATGACAGGGTACGATCTCGCTCCTCTTGTTCTCTACGGCCAAGCTCCTCCCAGGCCCGACGTGCTTCTTCCTTGGAAATAGCCAGCTCCTTTCGCATTTCAGCTAGCTGCTTCTGGGTCTTTGACACCCCTCGGTCATTTTCGAGGGCCTCTCGGATAGCATCCTCTCTCTCTTTTAGCTCTTTGGCGAGTTGTGCTTCCAAGGTTGCCTTTACTTCCTGGGCACGCTCTAGTTCTGTCCTAGTTTCAAAGAACCATCGCTGAAACTTTCGTTCAGAACTTGCTCGAAGGCGTTGAAGCTCAACTACGGCGTGAAACAGATTAGCACCAGCGGCGGACAAGTCAGTAACTTGGCGCGCCAATTGTTGGTTCATAGGATCACGGTTGATATCGTCTTTGTTCTGTTCAAGTTTTCGAATCCAGTAACTGGTGAGCCCTTCCCAATGCGCCGAGAGCGTCTCCCAGCGTTCAAAAGCGTGCGGGAATGAATTGCGAGGCTTAGTGGTCTCGGCTGTTGTCTGTGCTGCGGCTGGTGCAGCTTGTCTCTCTTGGGGCCGTCGCTGCGCGGCAGAGCCTTGCCCCAAATAAGCTTGTGATGGGGTTTGCTGACTCGGTTGATTCTGGGGTACCCGCTGCTGTGTGTTTGTTGTAGAGGACAGAGGTTGCGAATGGGATGTAGGTATTCTTTGTGCAGGTTGTGGTTGTGGCTCAGGAGCCTGCTGCCGGCGGGTAGGAGCAGGCTCTTGACCAACAGCAACGCCAGCTCGGCGCTCCGCTTCTCGTTGTCTAGCTTCCGCTAGAATCTGTGACTCTTGTGCAGCGCGTTCTTCCTCTTCTGCTTTTCTTCTAGCTTCACGTGCAGCTCGCTCTTGCATAATGATACGGGGGCTGCGAATTCTGGACGGCGACGTAGCATCGCCTGGTGCCACAGGTGGGCGAGGCGCCGCCATTGGAGCAGCAGCGAGGCTGCTACTGCCACCTAAGTCTGCCATCTGCGCGGTTTCTTCGACGGTGTCTGGTGTGAACTGATTCGGATGTCGAAGGGCTTGTTCCAGTGCGTAGAGGATAGCACTATGCGTATGCTTGCTGATGCGAACAATAGGATGTGGAGCAACTGCTGCGCTTTGGTCGGTAGAAGAGTACGGCGGAAGCTGATGTCTGGACTCGGGGCGCTCGGAAGCTTCCTCGTCAGGATCTTCAGTCAGTGAGAATGAACGGGCACCGTTGCGACGAACTGCTTCGCGATATTTGGAAAGGTGCGAAGACGGGCGAGGAGAGGCGGATGAGACTGAGCGGTGGGCTTCCTGCGATGGCGTAGTTCGAGCAATGCCGATGCTAGCAGCGTCAATGTGAACTTGGGAGGCGTTGTAGGCAAGAGGAGGAGGCTCGGATCGAGATGGCCGGTGAACCGATCGGCTCTGTGAAGCGGTGGAAGGGGCGCGGTAAAGGTCGTCGTCGTCGCCTAATTCGCTCTTCGGACTCGAGTAGCGTTGCTGCTGGCGAGCGTAGCGCTCGTTTTGGTTTGAAATTTTGTCGGTATGAAGCTGCGATGGGGTGTGCTGCTTCTGACGGTAAGCTGGGAGCTCGCCTCTGGGTTGAGGTTTGGCCGACAGCTTGGCCGGTTCGGTGGATATGAGAGAGCTACCACCGGCTCTAACAACGAGGAGCTAACGGTTATAGAATTGCAGGCGTGCTTCTGGTGAGCGTCGTTTTGCGTAATTAGACAGCTCACGCGGGTCCTTGTTTGGCGGCTTCAGGAGCTGCTGCCGAGGCAGGATGCTTGATCGCTTCGAAGGCAGCGCCCAAGGCCTTGTCGAACAATAGAGGCCGCGGGACGGTCCCAGCTTGCTAACAATGAGGATCGGCGAGCGGCGCAAGTGTCGTCAAGGTCGGGCAATGGCACAAGCAGCTTAATCGCAGCTTCGCGCGAACTGGACTGGAATGCGGCTGGCTCGCGCGACAGATTGAGGTGACACCGAGGAGAGCAGCAGACAGTCGGTGGCCAGAGTGCGCAAAGCTGGCAGCTGAGAGTCGAAACAATTGGCGATCAAAACGTCGAAGAACAAAACATTGGCCGCAACTGCAGACCAGGCAGGACTCGCGGTTGATATTGTCGGTAAAGGGAGGTGAGGTGTGGGAAAGGGATCTGGCACGAGAGATTGTGTCTCGGTTCCTTGCGTCTGTCTGGTCCCTGTAGCGCCGAGCGAAATTACGGCCGAAATAAAATAAAATAAAAAGCGAGACACAAAGGACTGGCGATGGAGTATAAAAATGGAACAAGGCAGGAAATCAAAGAACTTGGCCAAACGGAAAAGGCTGCCTCTAATTCGGCCAGCCTTGAAAATGATGGTGGCAGGGTTTTCGTGCTTGCTGCGTTGTCCGTTGGCGAGAAATTGGGGGGGCTGGTAGCAGCGAACGGCTCTGCCAGGTGTTGCAGCTGGCGCCCAGCTGGCGGGTGCGGGTGAAGAGCCAAGTGTGGGCAGGTGCGCCGGGTGCTGGGCTGACCACTGCACCCAGTACAGTAGCGCTTTTGGTTTTAATTGCTCGGCGGCAACGCAACGGCAGCTCCCGCTTTTTGCGGTGATGCAAGTGATTCTGCTTCCCGATGTTCTGCTGGGGTTTGTTCCTAGCAGGAGAAAAAAAACAATAAATAAATTGAAAAGGAGCCCCTTGACATTCAGGTTATGCGCCAATCTGCCTCGTCCTGCATCAAACAAAAGTTGGCCGACAGCGTTGTTCTCTCCGTGTCGTCAGCGCTCGTTTCGGGGCTGGTGGCGCCTTTTTTGATGCGTTGTTCCGGCCCTCTTGGGTCGCCAAAAAGCGGTCGCCCACAAGGCAAATGGCTAATGCAAATGGTGCCTGACAGAAGCAAAACTAGGGCGTTTGATGATGCTGGGGACTGCCGCAATGGCCAAGTGTGTGACGCACCTGTGGCGACAACGGTAGCGGCAGACACTCGCCGGTTACAAGCTGCACTGCACTGCGTCTTCCCGACCCGGCTGTGACCAATTTTACGGATACCGGCCGTGGTGGCGAGATGAGACGGACTGTAGCTTGCGTCTGGTTCAGCGTGGCTCTGCAGTTGTTGATGCTGGCTGGCCAGGTTCCCTCTGTTGCCGTTGCGCGATGTTTCGATGTGCGGCGGTTTGGTACACAAGTCGTCCGTGTATACTTGGGTGAGCTAATTAAGCGGTGCGCAACTAGCCAGGAATCTAATTCCAACTAGGCATAGGGTACAGTACACACCATGGTATATGTAAAATCATGTCAGTTCGCTCACCGCTGAAACTGCCGTGATAGCCCATGAATCGTCGTGTCTCTTCTACTCTAGCGCTGTTCGTCTTCTTGAGTAGCATCAACATGGAGCCTGGCGCAAACTCTATTGCCGCAAGAGGTCACCATCCCCAGACACACCTTTATCGCGGGTCTTTTGGCGCGCATCATGCTACTCAGTCTATAACTGGCGCAATCCTCACCATTCAGTTGTCACCATAATCTTGTGACATGATGGTCGCCTCTGCCACAACCTGCTTTCAACGCCCTTGAGACACCACCTACCTAATTCGATCCTTCTAACCGCCCTTGGCTTTGCCGCCTCCCTCTTCGTCTCGATCAGGAACAGCGCCCGGGCCCACCACCCACGGGGCTCCCGTAAATGGGTGTTCAAAACGCCTGAGGCCAAGAGTCTTACTCTTTCCAGCTAACACGAGGGGCCATGTAACCCAGTAGATGCCCACTTGGCTGACCCAGACATTGCATGCGTGTACCAATGTACCAATTGCGACAGTTATGATGACTCGAGAAGTCGCTCAACAGTTCTCATCCATGAATCTGTTCAGTATTATTATTTAAAGTGACAGTTGAATGCAATACATAATCCGAAAAGTATATTGCAAGCTCACCGACACTAATCTGTCGGGATGAGCTCCGAAGGTTGATGGCGTCTTTGCCGTTGCTACCCTGGATGGTTAACAACAAAATGCAATTGTGCAAGACATGATGCAGAAATAACCCTGGTAAAACTCGCCTATGAATCTGCAGAAGGCACCCAAGTAAAAAAAATAATTACAAAGGGTTCTTGTAACGCAGCTTTTGGTCCAGATGGCACATAAAGGGCCAAGCACACGACTGCGGATGAATTTGGGGCTATATTATTGGCCAATCGCGATTACAAACGGCCTACTAGCTCCCGCCATCTGCGGCAATCTCGATCTATAATGAGCTTGACTGTTTTCTTGCACAAGACAGATATCTCCACGACGGGCCACTGTCCAATCCCAGGGGTGCAAGGTCCATGGCAAAGCCAGGATGCTTGACACCTTGCGCAACTGACGCGGCTCACTTGGAATGCCACGCTTCTTGGCATCCGAGAACTACGGTACATGACTACGAAAAAGCAGGTGCCCATCGAGCAGACCATTTTCCCTTCATTTGTTGGAAGCAATGGCTGATTTGAGATAATGTAGCAATATTACAGACTACGGGTGATCTAGGTATCTCTGCAGATTTGCTGCGGTAGGGAAGGAGACTACACGGTCGTTGGCGACAGAGATGCTACAGGGCGTGCTGTTCCATGGCGTTGTCTCTTTAGAGAGTGTTTTCACATTGATGCAGCCCAGGGGACCTCGGCCAGTCTCTTTATGAAGTGAGTCGACTGAACCCAATGCGCATGTATTGTTGTCGGGAGTCGACAAAGCGAACCAGCGGTCAAAATCTAACACAGCAAGTGCGCGACCAGAAGTTAGTAGTATTCTTTGCTCTGGCAATGGCCAGTTCTCTGACCACAAAACGTACCATAGAAGAAAAAGTGAGCCAAGTGTCGCTCTCTGGACAGGATAATCGGAATCGAATATTGAATGGTTCAGCCGAGCAAGCCCAGCAGCCCCAAACAAGTTGCGCATCGCACTCAAGTACTTTGTACAATCTCTGTAATGACTTCCCAGAGGACACACGAGGCCGTCGCGCGGACAGCAGCCCTGATATTTCTGATGCCAATTACGGGCGTCAATTGACGCTGGACCCTCGCAGGTCGACCCGTCCACCCACATATAGCAGGCGACAGCGGTGAGGTAGAGAATACTCCGAATTTCTCACATGCAAGAGATATGAGATGCTGTTTGCACAGCATCTTTGTTTGTAGCATGGAAGCGCAACCATTTCCAGAGAACGACACTTGGTTGAAGAGAGGAAAAGGGAAGAGGAGACGCGAACAAAGGCACGGTTTAAAGCTTGAAATTTTGGCGAGCTGTGGTGGGGCTTCGCTTGCGACGCCCGGTCTTGTGGCCTGGTATGTTAGGCAATCACGTGTGGTTAGCAAATGCTGTGTAACTTGACCTACATTGGCTCTGCGACGGAGATTGCTTCTTCTTTCCCAACCTATTCTGAAAACTGAAACTGACGAATCAAGAGCGACTATCTCGCTTAGTTGATTACGTCAAATCAGTCGATGGCAAGATCTAGAACGACGCATTAGCGACATCTGTTTCGTCGCCTGTTACACGGTAACTGAAGCTGCCAGTGCCACTTGAACATCTTGTGAATGCATGAAGCTTTTTTATGCTGGAATATGTAGTCGCCATAAATTGAATGTAAAATGCATAAAATGCAAGGTAGTTGCACAATTCTATGCTGTGTGATGCTGCCACATGCATTGCTGCTCACTAAGCCCCTGCATTGGTGGTTGATTAAAGTTACCCTGGTTGAGGCGCCGGCGATAAATCTACTGGCAAGAAGTCGTCTTATTCCAGGCCCTACCTGTGGTTCTGTGAGAGTGTGGCTATGAGCTGTTCTCCCGGCCTGACAATCATCGGATGCGGGTCTTTGCCGTCGTTGTTCGGATATTTGCCCGGCGACTCACTGTCCCGTCCGCGTCCGTATTCCTGGCGATATGTCAACTAGTTAGAAGACAAACTTATCTTAGTTAATACAATCCAATGAAATTCTTTGTAAGTCTTCCTTTAGTGGATCTTGGTATGCTGGAGGATCATAGTGTCGTAGGATTCTCCGACCCAAACCAGTTCTGGCTGGCCCACAGCCTGCCGTGTACGGTGTCGACCAACGAGACCAAGATGTAACCATCAAACAGGGAAAAAAATTCATAGATTGAAAGTTTAGACTATCGAAGAATAACCCATTGGGGTTTCGGTTCTTTAACTGATGTCGATGTCGCCGATTGGCGTGCAATCGGTTACGCGTCACGACCAAGGGCCTTCTGTGATAACCAGTATTAGAACGAAAGATCTCTGCCGAAAGATAAGTGTTGCAATTGATATCCTTCATGGCTCTTAATAAAGAACAATCATAGGATGACATAGACTAGGGAAAGAATAAAACACTGTTTAAAGTTTATTGTGCAAGGAACCATGCACAGCATCAAGGCTGGGCGGGTCACCTTGCATGGCGCGTTCCTGGCTTAGCGCAGCCTCTTGCATCCTTCTTTTGGCAACCAACCCCAGTAAGCAGATCGTGGCACCCTTGCAATGTTGGGTTGACTGGAAACGATGAATCAATCGACGAAACGTGTCTGCAGGGATATGCTGCCGCGGCGGGTTTTGCAACAAAGTCGTTCGTTTTCGACGAAGAACTTTGCAAACATGGAGAAATGGTTTGCCGCAATCGCTACAGGTTTACCTTGATCGGGCCTCCTCATTCGAGAACCGGCTGAAGGAGCACGCTACTCGGTAGCGTGCTCTTTGTTACTGTATAAGGTGTGGTGCCAAATCCCACCAGCTTGTGTTTGAAAGGCTCTAACCAAGCCGAGGAGGACTATGTGGGTTATCACCTGCTTCCCACCGCAGGATCATTGCCCGGCTCGCTCGTCCTAGTAAAGTGTAGCCCAAGGACGCTACCGCCAGTTCAAGCCGAATGAATCCTCCTGGGAGACCTTAGGAGAGATTTTCAGCCAAAAAATCCTTCTTCAATCAGACACATTCTCCTTCTGCGCCAAGAGACTACGATCTGGTCCCAACTCTGAACCAACTACACTCAACTTTCTTTTGCATTGCAAGCAACTTACAGAAAATGGGACCAACAACCCCTACACAGGGACCGCGTGGTCACCGTTCGGACTCCAGAGCATCCTCCAATTACTCATCCCCTTTTGACTTAGATGAGATGTTAGAAACCGTCAATCTCCGTCGGGAGAGCTCCCAACTCTCCTCTGAGACCGCTATCAACAGATCTACGAGCGCCTATAAGCCACAAGCGCGGGAGTCGAGAGATGTCTTCTCATCGCTGTTTCATTTCAAAAATCAATCAAAGCGAAGAGTCACCGCCAACCCTCCCTATTCCACAGATATACACGACAAAAGACACGAGTATAATGAGAAGGAATCACTCAAGTCTTCAATTTTCTCAAGGCGAAAATTCAAGGACGTTCCAGTTACCCCTCCACCTAAATCGGAAGCACGGAAAGCGCTCAGCACATTCGATAAAACCCAAATTTCAAAACCAACCGAACTACTTGAGGATCTCCGTGGTAGACGCGACATTCGTAGTCGTCCGTATGGTGGCGAGAGCGTTTACCCACAACCGTTACACATCTCAAAACCGTTACCAACACCACCCGACCAAGCTGTGCCGTCACTCGGAGGATATAGTATCGCTTATGAGTCTCTCCCAGAGCCAACGATTGACCAGTTGCCAGTAATAGTTAATCGATCAGTGGTATCCGTCCATCACTCAACGCCTTCTGGCCGTCATTCCTCCACAGTACCATCTGTTGATTATACTTCAGACTATTCTTCAACACCGACCGAGACGGGCCAATCTCGAAGCCAAACCCCAACGCCTTCTCCCGAGTCTAGTCTAGTATCACCCCCGCCAATCTCACCCGGTCGCGAGTGGTCACTGTCTGACGGTGTATCAGTTACCTCGCGAAATGCGTCACCTGGCGCAACCGAACCAGAACGGGGTCATCTAGAGGAGCTGGCTAAACCAGCTCTTAAACGCGTTGGCAGTTTTCGATCTCTATCGGCTATCAAGCACCGGCCATCTACAATGGAATCTGAATTACCACCAATGCCAATTCTGAAGAGAACCAATAGTTCAAAGTCTCTCTATGTTGTTCGTCGACCTTCCACAACGGAGACTCTGGCGCCGCCAATGCCACATTGGAAACGAGGCGGTAGTACAACGCCTCGGAACAAACTGCGTCGCAGATCAACAATGGAGTCGCATATACAACCTGTTTCGACATTCGAGACTGGGAGTTCTGTCAAATCGCTTCTGAAATTCAGACGTAGGTCATCAGCGATGATGGACACATCCTCCCCCAATGAATCCGCCTCCCAAAAGCCACTTTCAAGCCTACGGCGCTTATCAATGACCATGTCTGAGCTACCATTGTTGTTCAAATCTGAGAAAGAGATCAGACCTGAATCTGGCATGAGTTACCGGCAAAATTTGACCACTGACAATAACATGTCAAGGTACGCGTCGCTGAAAAGAGTCAGTAGCATCAAGTCGCTCTCCGCCGTTAAGCATAGGTCATCGACAAAGAGCGCGGATTCTCCGCCCCAAACTCTTCGGAGAAGCAGCAGCTCCAAGTCTCTGTCATCTCTAAAACATCGATCTACAGATTTCCTCTCTTTACCCCCTTTGCCATCGTTGGATCTTGATATATTCAAGACTGCAAAACCTGCAAAGCGTGCATCGACGGCGACGGCGGACCTACAGCAAAGCCTGTCAATGGATAAAAGTCTTCCAACTTGGCGGCCCCCAAGTCGTAGATCATCGTTAGCAGTGGATGTCTCTTCGAAACACGCTCTGGAAAGATTGATTGGGCATGAGAAGCCGGTTATAGGTCAGCAAAACCCGCGACATTGGAGTCAATCAGTTAGGTCCAGCAACAATATGGACCTAAATGACAATCGCCCTACATCACCTCTACCACCTCGTCCTCCGCGCTCGCCTGTGAAAGAAGATGAGTGGATTCCTCGCATGCCATTATTACAACTCGGACCTGCCCATCCCGAGTTTGAAGAAATTTTCACACCGCGATATAAACGAGCCATCAAGCACGCTTACTCATTCGATACACTACGAGATGTCAATGGCAATCCCACTCCTCGTTCAAGACGCATTTCTTCTCAATCTACTATGTCATACTCAAGACCACCGAACCAGCCTTCTTGGCCGCTTCTAGACAGAACTAATGAGTCAACTACCACCACATCAAAGAAGAAATTGGACACAATAGAGTCAAATACTAAGTACAGGAGCGGGATCACGAACCAGAATAGAGAGCTACGCACTCGCCACTCACTCCCTGTTATGCGCTCCTTCCTAGATCTGCCAAAGCCGAAATCTATTCTCAAAAGACAAGGCTCGAAAGACGAGAAGTGGGAAAAGGATATTGACTTCTGTTATGATAACGAAGTAGACTCTAACTTCAACTATCGCTGGGAGCCGAAATCTAGAGTCATTAACGGGAAGCAGACTGCCAAACGAATCTTCACGGTTTCAGATAGTGTAGGACCAAGAAGGCGTCTTAGTTATACGACACAGACTGGTGTTAACCCTGTGACGAAGGATTCCAAAGCTCAACTGGACGCCTCCCACAAACAATCTGTTCTAGAGATGGCCACAAAAGACAGACCAATCCCTCGCTTAGAGGACCTGGGTACTATGCCACCAGAGTTGAAAGATTCTGAGATATCTTTATCGCCTATAGGTATCCCAAAAGACAATCGACTGAGTACTCCAGAATTCACGAAACAATTAAACACCGAAGACGTCAATTTACAGAGAGCTAGCAATAGCACTACTGATAGCAATAGCTCGTCTTGGTACTCTACTGGGGATGAGAAGCACCACTCCACTACATCTACCGGTACTGCGTTGACACAACCAAGCCTATGCAGTGTATCTTTGAATACCATGCTGTCTTCGCCAGTTAAGGAAAGTGTGGCCAAAGCTGAGCCGAAATCGGCAGCTATGACATCTACCAACGAGAATAGCTCTCCACTTCTTCTCCCAATTCAAGGCGTCAAAGAAGGGCGACTAGCAGGGCTGTCAACAGAACAGGGTACTCCCCCAGATGTCCTCGCTGAACGGAGGTTATCCTCAGCAATTCTTGAAGAAGACGGAGCATTGCCTGCTATTTTCCCTGAATATGAAGCCTACTTAGCAACCATCATGGAGGAGGAAACTTCTGAAGCCCGGCCCGATGAACACAAAGTGGCGGTAACTCCTAGTGTGCCAAAACAAGAACAGAGTGAGCCTTTGAGTTTGCCAAACATGACAGAAACGAAATCCAAAGCTATTGCAACAGCCAAAGAACCGACAACAGCTATTTCTCAAGTAGAAGTAGGCTTTAACAAAGGTTTTGAGCTTCCGAATACATCCATCCCTAGTCGCAAGCCGTTGCCTCTGCATACTCATACTTTACAACCAACATCAGCCGCCAATGGGAAGCATGAGACGGATACGAATGTTCCACAGTTTCATTCTGAAGACTCATCCACACAACCACCAACGGTCGATCAAAGCCGCGCAGCGCCCACGTCGGATAAAGCTGTTGTAGAGGAGCCATCGTTGGAAACCACACCTAAGCAGAATACTGTGTCTCTAGCCGCACCTACAATTAATAATGCTAACTCGAATGAGAGAATGAGTGAAACGAAGCTGGATTCAATTGCTGACTCCTTTGGAAATAATGACCCACGACTCAATTCTGGAGCACTGCATTCTCAAGAGATGATGCATCAGAACACAATGAGGGGAAATTTCATGCCCAACATAGGTTCTAGCGACCAGTCGTCAAATTTTATGCCTGGAAACAAGATGCCTGCTAGTGTGCCCCTCAACACTATGGAGCCTCCTAATGTGTACACCGGCATGTCGGGAAATATGATGTATGGAGACATCTATTCGGACATGACGTATGAAAATATGATGTACGAAAGCATGATGTATCGACAAATGATGTATAGAGACATGATGCTTCGAGATACTGTTTCAGGGAATATGCATCAAGGAGCTGCACTTGGCAACATGCATATTGGACCTATGATGCCTGCAAACATGCCAATGCGAGGCATGCACCCGAACATGATGATGAATATGAATGTTCCTAAACCCATGATGCCGGGAAGTGGTGTACCAGGACCCCATATACCTGGATACAAAGGGTATGGGCCTGAGTGGTCCAAAAGTCCTTTGGCTGGAAATGGTCACAACGCAAACAATGCGTTTGGAAGCACAGTGACTCAAAACAATATGCAAGGAAATATTCAAAGGAACAACTCACAGGCAAGCACCGATCCAGAAGCTCAAGGGCGACTCAATGGCAACAACATGATACCGAAGAACGGCAGAGCCAACTATCCCCAGAGTTACTATGCATCTCAGGGACACAATGCCTTCAATGATCTCAATCAACTAAACCAGCGACAACATCTCAATGGGTTTTCTCAGCACACAAATGGTCATCTTGGAGGCAACATGCCTCTCAATGGCATGCCTCGAAATGTTATGTTTGGAATGAACAACATGAACAATAATCATATGGCAGCTATGTCAAACTATATGGGAGCGAACATGTCATCAAGGAGCGCTACTCCGACAGGCATGATGTACTCTCATCACGCAATGTCAGAGAGTGACATGTCAGAACTCTCCTTTTCGGGAGGCATGACAGATACAGCCAGCCTGCGCTCGTGGCCTAGTAATATGAGCCTCCGCAGCAATTCTGTGCGCAACTCATACAGCATGTATCTATAAACCTGGCGTTTGGTCGATGGGAACTTGGTGTTGGGGTTGTATGTTACAGACAAACTACTAAATTCTTTTCTTTTGCCAGAGTCTTTTCCTTATTTATATAATTAATTTATCATATCAATATAGCTCACTTGGATTAGTATTCGATGCGAGTGTAAGATGATGCAAATGGGGAGAGCATAGACAACACATGAGCCGAACTCTGTGATATTCCCTGACAAATTTACAGTACTTAACGGGCAGTAGAGTATAATACAGATAGCCAGTACCACTCAATTACTCAAAATATTGTAATTACATCCTTTTTGGGATATACGGCACTGTATCAAGGCCCGTGGGCTCTCTAAACGCTCCTGTTGCTAGTACGAGCCTCCTCGCGACGAGGCTTCATCTCAAGAGTGTCGCAGGTTATGATAAGTAAGCCCATACCAAAGCAATACAAAACTCTCCGAACAAGATATCCTGTGCCTCATCGGCAGCCTTATTCACATATGCGGCTTACTAACACCGTCACACTTAAAACAAAGTTACGGCCCGTGCCATTCGTGCCGACTGACGCAAAAGAGGCCATTTGCTTAGATTACATATAAAATACGCAGAATATTAAATAAAGCAGCAAGATATTTTATTTTGATTTTATCTAACATTAACCATTTACTGACGTGGCTAGCAAGACTTTGGTGACGCATCTAGCGCAAGGCTCTCTTATTCATCGCCCCGTCGCATCCTGATACACGCTCCGTAGGGCGTCGCGGGTTCCTTGAGACGGCGGCAGTCCGAGCTCATAGGGCAGCCTTACATTCTTTTCTGCTTACTATTGGACGAATTCAGCTTGCACCAGCGTTCCCGTCTCGCCATCATCTGGTGTCTCGTCGATCGGTGTTGGCTATTTTGGGCCAGCCCAGACCACGTCGCCTGCTACATCGCCTCCAGGAGAGTATCATCACGAAACTGACCCCTTCCACGTCGTTTAGTACAGCCTTACTCACCTGTCTTGAGCCCCTTCACCAAGTCGTCCTCACGAATATAAAAAATGGATAATCCACTGCTTCTACAGACCATTTCAACAGCATCTCTCCAGCCTTTCCTTTACAAACCAACCACTTCCACCACAAATCCCATCTATCAATTACTCAACAGTCCTTACCATACAAACGCTACCATGAAGACCGCCGTTCCCACCCTTTTGCTTGCCACCCTCGTCTCCAGCGCCCTCGCCGCGCCTGTTACCGACCAGACTCTCGACGTCTCCGCCAACGCTGGCGCTGTTGCCCCCGAGGTACAGGCCCTTTTCAACGCTGAAGAGGACGACTTTGATCTCGATGAGCTGCAAAAGCGTGGCATCTTTGACGATATCGCGAAGCAGGCCAAAGGCACTAAAGATCTGATCAGCGCCGTCAGCGCCGCCGACGAGATCTTCAATGGCATTAAGAAGGTCTTTGACGACTTTAAGAAGAAGCACCAGCCCAAGGGCTTTCCCGATCTTGGTCCCGCTATTGGCGCTGTAGTACCTTCTACTCCTCCTCCTGCAGACCAGCAGCCTCCCGCTGGAGAGGTCAAGGCGCGTGGCTTCATCGACGATGTCAAGAACGGCGACGCCAAAGGTGCTTTGAACGACTTGAAGGGTATTGTCAGTGGCGCCAAGGGCACTTTCAACGAGGTGAAGGGCGCTTTCAACGACGTCAAGGACGGTGTCGCCCACGATGACCTCCTAGGTGGCCTCAAGAAGGCCTTTGATGACTTCAAGAAGTCTCAGGGCAACAAGAAGAACCAGAAGCCCGCTGATGGCCAGACTGGTGCTCCTCCTGCACAGGGCGAGCCTGCAGTTGATGTTCCTCCTGTAGAGGCTTAAACGTTACGAAAATTATGAATCTGGATTATTAGATGGCGTTATAGGACGGATGGGAAAAGAACTCTATAAGTTAGATGCTAATGCAGCTGGACCTCTTAGCAAATAATAGAATGCATTGATTTACTCTTCACATTATCACACAAAGGTCAACAAATGTAATGTACATGTAGATTTCGTCTATCAGACAAGGTTCGACTATTGTATACAGGTACTTTGGCATCCAATAAATAGAAGAAGAAGTTTGAAAAAAGTGTTAAGAAAAGGAGGGGGCTAGCTTGCCCAAAGAATATTTCCACCGCCTGCAAAGAAAAAGAAAAGTATACGTGACAGCCGATCCATGAAAATAGCACTTGAAAGTTTTATCAACGCTCCATTTACAGGACGAAGACCTGAGCGGCAACCATGGCGATCAAGCCAGCGAAGCCAACCGCAACGGTAGAAGCACCGGCGGTGACGGGAGTGTTACCACCGCTGCCGGGAGTGACACCGCCAGTAGGGACGGCGACACCAGTGGGAACGGCAACGCCGGGGCACTCGGGGCCGGTGCAGCCCTCAGAGGGAGGGTTGCTGCCAGGGTTGCTGCCAGGGCAGTTGGCGCCAGTGCAGCCCTCAGAAGGAGGCTGCTGCTGGCCGGGGCAGTTGGGGCCGGGGCACTGGGCACCAGGAGTCTGCGAAGCAACAGGGCGAGTCTGGGTCTCGATCTGGCTGGGGCCAGGGACGGAGACGGTAGTCTTGGCACCAGGCTGGGTAGCAGGGCAGACGGTGGTGTACAGAGGGATGGTCTCGGTGGTGACGTGGCCAACAGGGCAGTTGGTCACGGTGGGCTTGCAGCTGGTGATGGTGTAAGTGGTCGTGGTGTGGACGACGCTGGTGATCATCTCGACCGAGCTGGAAGGCTTGGGAGTAGGCTTGACCTCAGAGACGGGGCAGACAGTGGTGTAAATAGGAATAGTCTCAGTGGTAACGTGGCCGACAGGGCAGTTGGTAACTGTAGGCTTGCAGCTGGTGATGGTGTATGTCGTGGTTGTGTGGACGACGCTGGTGGTCATCTCAACAGAGCTGCTGGAGACACCAGTGGGCTTGCTGCTGCCAGAGACGGCAGTGCTGGAAACACCAGTAGGCTTGCTGCTGCCAGAGGCGGCGGAGCTGGAAACATCAGTAGGCTTGCCAGAGTTGGAAGCTTGGCTGGACTGAGTAGCAGACTCGACGGCAGAAGTGCTCTGAGCGGCAGAAGAAGACTGAACAGCGGAAGAAGACTCGACAGCAGAGCTGGACTGAACGGCGGAAGAAGACTCAACGGCAGAGGAGCTCTGAACGGCGGAAGAGGAGCTAACAACAGCAGAGGTGGAGCTAACAACAGCAGAAGAAGAGCTCTGGACAGCAGAGGTAGAACTCTCAACAGCGGAAGAAGACTGAGCAGCAGAAGAAGACTGAGCAGCAGAAGAAGACTGAGCGGCGGAAGAAGACTGAGCAGCAGAAGAAGACTGAGCAGCGGAAGTGGAGCTAACGGCAGCAGAGGTAGAAACGCTGGTGGAGCTGGCGACGCTGCTGCTGCTGACAGTGGTGGAAGAGACAATGGCGCTGCTGCTGCTGGTAGGGGTGACGGGATCGCCAGGGCAGCGCTGAAGAATCTCAGAGACTCTCTGGTGGAAGGTCATGTCATCGCTGGAAACACCCTTGTAACGCTTGCCCTGAAGAGTAGAGCGGCCAAGCTCCCACAGAGAGAGACCACCAAAGTTCGCGTTATCGCGGTACTTGCAGGCGAGCTCCTGGATTCTGTCAAAGTCATCATTGAAGTACACGGGATCATAGGTAGAGGTGGAACTGGCAGGGAGGCCAATGAAGATCTTGGCGTCCTTGTTGTGGTCAGACTCGTGGAGAATCTTAACCCAGTCGTCGAAGTTGATCTCTCCAGTGTTGAGAGAGCAAGCAGGGTTGTTGTAGAACTGGACAAAGAGGGCATCGAGGCTAGCCTCCTTGATGGTCTTGCGAAAGTTGTGGAAATCCGTTCTAGTAAAGGTAGGGCATTCGGGGGCAGCAGAAAGGTGAAGCTTGTCACCACCAAGCTTGCGGAGGCGGCGGAGCATGGCGGTCCAAGCATCGTCGTTGTAGTCGGAACGGGACTCGACATCAAAGTGGAAACCGTCGACAGCAAAGTGGACGTTGTTGTTAGTATCCCAGGGACGAGGGAGGTCCTTTGCCTCCCAGGCCGGATCGTAAGGGCCAAAAGCACCCCAGAGGAAGTCGGCGAAGAATTCACCGTTTTCAACAGTAGAAACATCGTAGGTGTTAGAGTCGCCACCAATGGCAAGGAGAACCTTGACACCACGCTGCTGGCAGTAGGACAGATCCTCCTCGAAGTTGCATGCAGTCCAGAGCTGAGACTCTTGACCGTTGGGGAGGTTAATACGGTAACCGTAGGGGCAGTGGCCGGCGAAGTTGGTTCCGGGCCAACCGCCACCGTGCTCAGGAGAAACGTTGACGAAAGAGACGGTGACGAAGTCGATACCAGTGTCACACTGTCTCTTCAGGTCGTAGAGATCGTCAGATCCATACTGGCCCCAGTAGCCGTTGAGCAGCATAGCGTTGTGGCCAGGCACAGCGGTGTGAGTGGGCAGGGCAGGGCCCGGGACGGTGGTAATGGAATACATCTTGCCGGTGTAAATGAAGGTGGTTGTTTTGTAAGTAAAAAGACTGTAAGTAGGCCGAGGCCAAGTAGCGAGTGTGAAGACGAAAGTGTCAAAGAAAGGACGCAGACAAAAGCTATCTGCAACAAAAGAGGCCTGGAACCGGAGCCGTCTTTTCAAAGTGCTGTTGGTTGATGGAGGAGGGAGCAGAGGAGAACGGGCATAATCAGATGGGAGGGCATCGAAGGAGTTTTGTGGCTCTAGAGACCGCAAGCATCAAAGGCAGCAGAGGTGCATGGGTCAGCCAAGAGTCCCTACCATCCGGCGTTTCCCAGTTTGGGCGAACCTGGCTTGGAGCGAGTCGCGGCCGAGCGAGGCGTGGTTCGCATGTAATCACAGCGTGCATAGAGAGGAGTAGTGCGGGTCACGCCGAGCGCATCTAGTGGTCAGAAGCTCTAGTGGAGGATGCTCGGCTCGATGTCTGCACCAATTAGAGCATCGGCGCAGTGGAGATTCTCAGTTTGTTTGGTGGCATGCGACGCAGGAACAGGCATAGCGCCGGCCAGATGTGGGTGTGGTGGTTCTGCAGGTACAAGCCCGCTGAGAAGTGGTGGGCGGGCAGGCACAAAACCACCGAAGAAATCCTTGGTCTTGGCCCGTTTGTTCGACGGCGAGGCTCCAGCAGCGTTTTCTGTCTGTCACGGAGCGGGCTTCTGGTTGCTGTGATCCACGATGGACAGATCACCGACGCAAAAAGAAGATGGGAAAAAGACATGGAAAAAAGACTGTTCCCAACGCATCATACCTAAGCCGTGCATAGGATAGACTTTTCGCACAAGTCCCAGAGAATATTCTGTCCACGATGGTCTGTGACAAAGAATGACCTGTTGCATCTGCAGAACGAGGCTCCAGGATGTAACCTAAGCCCTGGCCGCAGCCAACCAGACGTTGGACCAGCGCCGCCAAAGCCACTAAGGTTCTTAGCCCCTGCAGCTTGGGCAGCAGCTCATCAGGGGAAATTGCACAACCCATTCACAAAGGTTCAGGGATTGTTGGCGCGTAGGGCAAGACAATGCCCGCCCACCACGTTGTGGTGTTGCTAAAGGCAGCATGATCAGCAATGATGGACACGGTCCCCTCTTTGACACATCGTCGACCATTTTCCTAAAATACGCTCTCTGCTTGACGATCTGATCTACTCGGTCGATATAGAATGTTCGTAGAATCTGCTAGTCATGATCGCTGCTGCTTTGGTTAGCACGCTGCACGTCTTGACCTCGCCCGTGTCATGTTGAAAGTAAAAATCCTTCACCTGCTTGTTCTAGTGCCCTGTGCCTGGGCAAGCCGATGACCGCTTGTCCCATGCCTTGCCCAAGTCCGGGCGGCTCGCTCGGTGAAAAATCAACAGAAAGCTGGCGTCAGGGGGGAAACAGGAACGGGCTTCCCCCTTTGCACCCGCTTTTGGTCTCCACGCTAAAAACGCCTCACCGGCGCGGGGCCACTGTGCCCGTCAGACCAACAGAGCTCCTAGAAACTGGGCACTTTGTGGTTTCTTGGTTGTGCGCGATGCGTAAGCGCCTCGGCTGCAGCTGCTCATTTTAAATCTTGGGATGAGGCGTGCTACTCTTACGTACTTTGCTCCGGAGCTAACTGGTCGACTAGTGTTAGCGCGGTGCTCCCGTCGGTAATAACCACGGCCTCGCCTTGTAATGACGCATAATGCCACAGAGTATGCTGCATGCGCGATGTGAATCTAAGCCAAACATTAATTTGTCGGTTATTAAATTACTGGTTTTGGAGTGTACTTTTTTGTGTGCTAATTTGAACTCAATTTCAGCTGGTATTAAAGCAGTTTCTATGAACGAATCCATGAACAACCGCTCTCTGCGGCGTAGTTCTTTTTCCCTTTTTCTTCAATGACATAACGTGACGTTTCGTAAAAAGATTTAACCAATAAAAATACATAGTGCCCATTTCCAACTAACAGGTATCAAGAATAATGACTTCAGCGTCCGCGACACCGTTGCTTGTAACAGTAATGGTGTCGCCGGCGTAGACGTTCTCAACAAAGGCACCGTCGCCTTCATTGAGCGTCTTTGACTCCCTGCCATTCAAGAAAACGCGAGTCTTTCCACTCTTCATAGGGAGATGGACGTAGACCTTTCTCTGATTTTGCTTGGTAGAGTGTCCGCCGGCAGCCCACTCAAATGTTGTGCCTGGGGCAATGATGCCAGCCGCCATGACAAAGTCGGCGTGAATGGGAATGGTAGATGGAAGTGCGGGCGTGGCCTCTTCCTCCTCCTTAACAGTGGCCTCTTCACCAGCCTTCAATGGGCTGAGAATGGGCAAAAAACCCTTGCGCTTCTCCTCATCAGAAAAGTGCATAGTGTGGTAGCGGGGAGTGAGCCCCTTCTTCCAAGGCATGGCCCAAATCTGGAGAAAGTGCGCAGTGTCTTGTTTATGCTCGTTAAATTCGCTGTGAGAGATGCCGGTACCGCCAGTAGTGAACTGAACATCGCCGCGCTTCATACGGAAAAACTTGTCGGACTCACCCCCCTCGGCGCCCTTCTTGAGCATAGAGTCGCGATGCGTGAGCTCTCCAGACAGAATGTAGCTGAAGATTTCAAAGTCGCGGTGGGGATGTGTAGGGAAGCCCGAATTTGCTTTGACTCGGTCTTCATTCAAGACGCGCAGAGCTCCAAAGTGCGTAAACTTGGGATCATACCAGTCGGCGAAGGAGAAGCTGTGAAAGGTGCGCAGCCATCCATAATCGGCGTGGCCTCTGGCCTTTGACAGGTGGAGGGTGACTTTGGCAGTCTTTGCAGCAGCCTTTGCAGCAACAGCAGCCATTGGATTGTTTGTGTCGGGTTTAGGGGTTATGAGGGGAGGTATAGAAGAGTAGAGATGAAGTTTGATATTGTATGTGAGTGAGTCTTTGACGGTGGTGAAGTGCTGTGGAGCGTAGAATCCGATGATGGACAGAAAAAGGGCGAAAACCGTAGTGATGTAGACGACGCGCGACATATATACTTGCACACTATGTAGAGCTAGAAGTCGCGAGAAGCAAGCAGATGGGAAGAGTCTGTTGCTTTGCAGATGCTGAGATGGTTATTATAAACGTTGTCGCCGTGTTTGGCTAGAATGCAACCAAAGTGGCGTTACATAATGATTCTTCAGCAGAGCTTAAGCAGGAATTGGGGGCTGCGATTGGTGGGCTGGGGAAATAGTGGGTCTGTATAGCTTTGTCAATGGTGACCAAGCAGTTAGAAACACGGTTGGCTTAGCGTGCTTCGATAGGACCGTCCGCTCATTTTTATTAAATGGTTTAATAATGATTTACAATATATTCTTAAGCGAGGAGGCTTTGGGTACGATTTTTTTTTATGTGCCAGTAAATGCTCAATCGAAGCCATGTCATTGTAACCGATCTTCCGCTAGTACATCTACTTACACTCGCAATGTTAGATCAGTGCACCGGTAAGCAATGTACGGTGTCAATATCAAAAACAACGTAGAATATTCCAGGATAATATTTAAAAAGTTTGCTCATAGTGTAGGATCCCTTCCATTCTTTTTCTAGAACATATAAGAGGTGCATATGATCTACTGATGACGCCGTCTTCGTCATTGCCAGCCATCTCACAGGCAAGCCTTCGCCACCACGCCTTCAGCCAAGCTTCATTCCGAGGCACATCTTCCCATTTGGAACAATTCGCGGCCGGTATCCTTGTTTCTGTCAGATTGTTTTCCCCTTTCTGGCTCCATCTAAGCCGTTGATCGGGCAATGTTGCGCGCGGTGCCTTGCGTCCATGACACCCAACCTCCAGCCACTGACACCTGCGCCACCGACATTTTGGTATAGCGAGTGGTTGGGCAGCGGGCGTGCATGGGAGTGAGTAGGCGCCGCAAAAGTAAGAGCTGTGAAATAGCAAAAAAAGCATTCATGTTGCCAAACTCTAAAAGAATAAACTTAAGAAGCATAAGCTTAAATCTTTACATTCTTACTTTAACAAAACGAATTCCTACAATTTTTACACTATTTTAGACCCCATCGGCCTGTCTTAAACCAGCGTCACTTCTCTAGCCCAATCAGGCATCCCCACAAGGCCCGGGTCGTGCTCCCCGCGGCGGGGCCAGCACAATGTGGCTGGTAAAACACCACAACCTTTTTTCCCTTTCAGTGCATGCATCACCGCCCCCAGCGTTGCAGCCGCACTCTGTAGGCGGTCTAGCCTTACCAAGTACAACGAGGGCGAAAAAGTCTTCACCGCAAAGCCCAACCTCTCACGACATGGGTTCGACGGCTCGCTGCATACGAGGTGATGCCTCATAGGCCAGCCCTCGGCCTCATGCACGATGCGTTGTTCTTTCTTCTCCTCCTTCATTCATCTCTGCTTGTTTTGTTGTTCTTCCATCTACGCATCACCATTGCCCATTCTTTAGCGCGCCTCTTTGCTTCGTTTGCTCTTGATTTTCTTGCAGCTGCAGATCGGGCGTCGTCCACCTGCATGTTATGCGTTGTCCACAATGAACACCCAAAACATCCCTTTTGACCATCACGAGGCGCCTCGCCCGTGGTCCTCTGAACTTCCTCGCAACCCGCCAAGAACTCCTCACGACTCCGAGTCTACACTTCGCCTCGACAGGCACGCCACTTCAGCTTCGCAGCCGCACTCGCTCTCGCCGCAGGCCACCCTTCGCCCGCACCGTCACTCTACGCCTCTCTCACAATCGGCTTCCACGCCAGAACTCTACGGCCCTCACCGACACCGCAAGTTCACTCGACCTTTTACCAATCTTGGCCGCCATGTGCTGAAGGCTACACCTCCGCCTGCTGTTCGCTTTGACGAGTCCCAGCTTGCCATGTTCGCCGCTGACAATTCCGCCCGTATGGCCGGTATCAAAGACGAGTTCACAATTGCCGCTGGCAAAGTCACACCTGGCGTAGACGACACGCCATATATTCAGTACGCTCTGGAAGCGCTTACTCGTGAGCGTGCGAGCCCAATGCCAGAAGAACAGCCTTCGCCGCACTCGGCCGCCGAGTACATGGACAATCTTGTCCGCTCAGCGACACTCCGCCAAGCGAAGCGAGAGTTGTCAGACGTGTCGGAGCCAGACGCAGCATTTGTTACTCCTCAGGCTTTCCATACCAATGAGCAGCGTCTCGCTGGTATTCTTTCACAGACACGCAGCCTTCCGACCACGATGTCGGCCCCGGCCCGCAGCCGCAGCTGGGACCAGAGCTTCTCTTCTTCGGAGCACTGGGTCGCCATCACAGACGATATGCGCCAGACTCTCGATCCTCGCGGCCGTACATGCCCGCCGCTAAGATATAAGCCGCGCATTCTACGACCCTTCTCCATGCTGATTCTCATCACTCTTTGCCTTATCATGACCGCCGCGCTTGTCTACTCTGCGCAAGCATCCAACCAGCACAACGGCCTCCTCGACTTTGCCGGTACCCTCTACTCGTCGCAATACTTCATCTTCCGCATCCTCCCCCAGCTTCTCGGTTGTGTTATCCTCCTCTACGCCCAAAGCATCGTCAACGCCTCTCTCCGCATCCTGCCATTTGTGTCGCTGGCTGACGAAGACCCTCGCGCACGCTACATGGCCCTCTTCCAGCCTCTCTATCCCGTCTCGCTGCTTCACCCACAGCTCGTTGGACCCTGGCAATTCAAGCTCTTTGACATTGCCACATGGCTCACCCTCTTCACCGTCCCTCTCTTGAGTGCCACATATGTCAATGTCTTCATCGATACTGAATGGCGCTGGATGCCTGTCCAAGGCATAGTCTGGGCTCTGGTCGGCATATATGGTGTGCTCATTATCTCCACAGCGATCCTCATGGTCTTTTGGTTCGGCAAATGGACTGGTCTTCTCTGGGACATGCGTTCGATTGCCGACCTGCTCCCACTTCTCAACCGCAGCAATGCTCTCAGCAGCTTCGACCAGCATGACTTGTCTGAGAACAAGGACGACTTCAAGATGCAGCTCCGCGACCGCTGGTTCGACAGACTCGGCTACTGGCGCACTGGCGATCTAATCAACGGCGGCACCTGGTACACTATTGGCGCTGTCGGTGCCCGTGCTGACGACCACCGTGCCGGACGACCCCGTGGCCACGGCGGCGACGAACGCCCATCATTCGAATCCGAAGATCTCAAAGCTCCAATGCCCATGGGCGGCAACTTTGGCCGCTACTTGCCATGGTGCCTCCGCAACGCTGCCATCATCTCCGGTGCCGTCCTATCCACGATGCTCGCCCTTGCCATTCTCCTTGTCGCTTTCTTGCCTCAGACGCGCCTCGACGATGGCTTTCTGCCTCTGCTCCCTGCCCGGCCCACGCCCGTCGCCTTCTCCGCTGCCAACTTCCTCTACAGCTTCCTCCCGTCCTTCGTCGGCATGATTCTCTTCCTGCTCTTCCAGAGCGTCGACATGGCTCTCCGCCGCGTTCAGCCCTGGGCCGACCTCACCCAGCTTTCCGGTGCACCCGCAGGCAGGTCTCTGCTTGCCGACTACTCCGCCTGCCACCCTTTCCAAGCCTCCCTACGCGCTGCACGCAACGGCCACTGGCGCCTCGCTTTTATCTCGCTCATAGCCCAGCTCTTCGTCTTCCTCCCCATCCTCAGCGGTGGCCTGCTTATTGCGCTAACCAGTACTGACGATGACAAGGTCCGCATGTACGCCAGCATGCCTGTGTTTGGCGTCCTCGTCGCGCTTCTGGTGCTCTATGCCGGTTGCTTCTTTCTTCTAATTCCCCGTCGCACACAATTCGAGCTGCCCCGCCCTGTTACTACTATTGCCGCTATGATGAGCCTCTGCTCGTCCCGCGAGCTAGTCCGCGACGCCGCGTTCCGTGCCATTCGCTCCCGCGAAGATCTCAAGGGCCGTCTTGGTGTGGGCTGCTCCGACCCGCGCCAAGAGAGCGTCTGGTTCTACGGTGTTGTCCCCGGACGCGACGAGCACCGCGTGAGCGTCCGAAGGATGCAAAAGTACACGGAGAAGCGGCCAGTGCGGACCGTTGCGGCCATGGTGTAATCTGTACATCCTCCCNCCCCCGCGGCTTCCCTAACGAGGCTATGTTTTCTACGACTCTATTATCACGACGGCCAGATATGATGACGCAATGACCTTGTTTACTTTTTTCACGAACAAGGCGGTACTGTTTTGATGATGAATGAGCCTACGAAGCATATGTGTATAAACCAAGTTTATGATTATGACGTCGGCAGCACCTCAGCTGCTCACACGCTATAGTACCTTGGTGTAAGTCACAACTACCCAAGACACTTATAGTAGCGCGACGGCTTGTTTCTGCCGAGCGTCTCTCTTGCATGACATGTTTGCATTTTTCCAACAAAGAGGAGTTTTTGATTTTCGGCGCAACTTTTTTTCTTTCTTCCCTTGAGCGAGCTTGTTTCGCCTCGGCACTTGCTGACGAAACTCGCTTGGCTATTTTATTTTGCTTTTTTTGTTTCTTTGCCCTTTTAGTGGGCTGTAGATTGAAGGGAAGGGCGTATCGGAAGGGTAGATCTGGCTAACATGACTAATGATGGTGTGGTGGACTGGAATGTATGATGAGGTGACTTTAGTGTTAGAAGGAATTGAGCCATGATCCGTACAAGCAGCTCCCGAAAACGGTTCTCTTCAGCGCAGCCGTGCAATGTGAGACAACGTGTTTATGCCACTCGCCACCTGTGACAGATCGTTTTTGCTTGTTTTGCTCCTCCCGAGGCTGTGGCCCGGCCACCCAAGATGGCTGGGAGACATGGCGAAGCAGACCATCACGAGTCGGCATCACAAGGCAGAGTATCAAACTTGAAAAAAAATGGTTCTGTTTTATATACGGAAATGGTAAAAAGCTATTTACATGTAAAGTACGATAAATTAAAAAAGGAAAAAAAAAACAGTAGAGGCATCTGCCCGCGTTCTGTTGAGACAGACACAAAGGGCTGTGGGTAGCAACATTGTGCCTGGAATGCAGCTTGGCCGCCCACTGTTGACCTTTTTCCCTATGGCTTCAAGTCTGGCAGTACGGCGATCGGCGATTGTCGCGTAACTGTCAGAAATGCTGCCATTGTTTTGATACCCCTCTTTGGATGCTTTGTTTTCGCAACTCTCGCCGTTCTGTGGGATTCCGGGCAAGCAAGTCGCGTTCTGGGGTCCAAGTGTGTAAGTGCCATCTCCCCGCTCATCATGAAGATGCCGACAAAAAAAGAGTTGGTGAAAAGGAAAGTAAAATAATGTCGTGAAAAGTTGAAAGGCCGTAAAAAGTCATAGATCCCAACGCCGCCGAATATGCAGAAAGAAAGAAAATCGTGAAAAGTTCGTATAGTTTTGCCCTCAATGGCTGCGTCGTCCAAGGATGCGGCCAAACACGTCAACTTGACGCTTGGGCTTCTCCTTGTGTCCGGCGTCGGATACAGATTCCACGGGAGAGTTGGGAAGAGTATCGGCGCGGATGCGAAGCTTGTGCTTTTGCTTCGCGTCCATCTTCTCTGAAGGCTTGGCCTCGCTGCTGCCGCGCTTGTGAAAGCGGAAGCGGAAGCTCTTGGAGTTGTCCTCACAGTCAGAGTCGTCATGGTCAAAGAACGATTGGTGTTCGTTGAATGTGATGCTCTGGGGAGTAGGAGGAACGGGCTCAACTTCAGTTTGAGGGAAGGCAAAGTTGCTCACCGACTTGGTATGTCGGGGAGTGCGAACCTTGATCGCGTGGAGAGAGGGCTTGCGCATCAACACCATGGAGGCGCGTCTGGCCATTGTCGGGATGTCATTGGGACGGCCGTCAAGGGACTTGGTGGAGCGAGGCTCAACGGCGGATTCGCTGTTACACGATACGCTCAGGATGGGAGAGACGGCGCCATATGAGGCGGCAAAAGACGAAACAATTGGGCTCTGGTTCAGGCAAGGGGCGAGAATGAGATCAGTAGGTCTGGGTGGACGGACGGGAACACCGTCAATCTTGGCGATGCTGAGTCTCTTCTGTATTGAGTGAGGACGGTTGCTTGGGAAAGCAGAGTAAGAGGCGGCAGGCTTGCGGGCTCTTGGGGCAGGACGGGAATCAGGAAGCGGCCATGAGGGGATGCATCCATCGTAAGAGTCTTGCGAGCGATCTCGCGTGTGGTTGTGATGAGGGGGGATGAGGGCAGGATAGTGCTTGTCTGCTTCAACCTTGGTAGGCAAACGCTCCTGTTTGGGAGACGGTTGCCAAAAGCTGTCCCAGAGTTCAGAAGTGTTGGCGTGGTAGTCCTCATCCTCTTGCGATGCTTCAGAGTCGGATCTGTCGTCAATCAAGCCGGGGGCAGTGCCTTCCGAGCCCAGTGATGTCCTGTCGTTGACGGTGCGGATGGTGTTTACAAAGGTGCCGTCATCGCGACGGGGATATGAGTAGTTGGCGTAGGAGCAGTGCTTGGTGACAAGCTTGATCTCGGCAAGCTTGCTGTTGCGCTCCATCGTGTAAGTCGAGGTCCTTGTGGCCATTTGCTGTGGATGTTGGTGTAGAGTGCTGCTTTAATTAGTTTGTTGATGTTTAATGGGAAAGGGGATCATCTCCAGAGTCGCACAGCAGGGCTAGGTAGGGACCAGAAGCATAGATATAGCAGCGTCTCAAGACACCAACCTCACACTGCATCTTTTTGCAGGCAAGGTATACATGGAAAAACACACGCTTGAGACATGGCGTGGGGCAGCCCACCCATCCCAGCCCGTCTGTGTGGCGGCGCTGCAGACCCGGTGCTTGCTGATGGGCGGCCGCACTCGCTTGCGGCATTCCAGGCAGAGGATGTGGTGGTCCGGCCGAGTTTTTGCCCTGGGGCGCTTCGGTGCATAGCCGTGCGGCGCGCACAACTGGGTTCTGCTGTTGCTGTTGCTGCTCTACTTGGTTATGCCGTCTGCCCTGCCTCGGCGGCGCTCAACAGACGACGCTGGACTGGTATGCAACGCGCACTCCCTCAGCCCGTCTGCGCTGGTTTTCCCAGCGTAAAGCCTACGACCCAAGACACCCGTCTGCGAAAACGCCCATGTTGAGAGGAGACAAATCAACCTTTCCCATGCTTCTTGTCTCCCTGTCGCAAGCTTCTCTCGGGAACACGCCGTGGCCAGATTCAGGTCTGTGGCAGGAGGACCGCCGCTGCAACCCCTGTCCCCTTGCATGATGGAAGCCGCTCGGATGCCACAAAATATTGCTTCGGCTCTACACTAACAGCGACTGTTGCGGCTACGGTGGTGGGAACAGCCCGGTACTGTAGGTCACCGCTCAAAGTGTAGCCGAAGCGTCCGTGCATCTAGTCAGCTTTGTTCAAACACGTTAAAAGATCACGTTGCGTGAAGCTTGGACTGGTTCTGCTGTACCGGCAGTGTGCGCTCACCCGCAAATCCCTCTGCTAGGAGCGCGGGCATATCGTGGCGTCTTGCACTAGGCCTGCAGGGTTCACTTTGGTGCGGCAGTGGTTCGCACGTAGCATAACGCAGGGTCAACCAACGTTGGGCCCGGCGCGCACCTTGCACGTTATCAGAGTCGCGCCGCTGCGGGGAGAGACCTCTGCACAAAACACATTGCTTGGACCTCGTCTCAACCAGCTGCATACTGCAGGTACTGTACACTAGTGCTCTCCTTATGCCAGAAGGCGGAGTTGTGCATAATACAATAAAAATAAAAATAAGCCCATGACTTGTTATCCTAGAAGGCCTCGTCATACGGCTCGGTTAGAGGGACGATGCATGTTTCCAGCATTCACCCATTGCCGACAAACAACAAGAAGCTCGATACGGGTTTGTCTCTGGCTATGGTGGAAAAAAAACAAAGTGTGATAGATCAGGTCTAGTTTGCGCACTTTGCCATGGAATCGGGTATAGACACTGTGGCGGCACCAGAGGAGTGAAACAGGATCCCAGGTGCTGGTTGGATTCCATCGGATCGGGGCAAGAGACGACTTCTGGTCTGCTTCCCTTGATTGCCCCGATCGAGCGGACGGGCGGGCTGAAGTGGTGCCCTTGGTAGAGAGACATTGTTTTCCTTTCGTCGCGCGTCTGCCACTGCAATGTTGGTGGCGTGATGGGAAGTACCGGCGATGCGGTTTCGATGCCGCTGCCCACAACGCGACAATTTTTTGGAGCAAAAGTAGTTGCCTTGACAAAAGAAGGTATTCCCGGGATGCATCATACGAGGCCAAGAATAACAACGAGTCGACTGGGGGCATAATGGCATTCATTAGCCAAGCCCTACCGGCATTGCTGCGGTGATGATGACGGGCTGTCCGCCTTATGCATATTTTGACATTTTTTGTTACTGTTGGCAAGCAAGGGGTACCCTGGCTTTGTTTTTGACGTATTTGGAAGTGTGGAAGACCAAATTTGCTTTGCCCAGGTCATCTGATGATGAGACGCATACCAATGAGGCGGACCTTTGCCGACGGCCAAACGCCGGGTTGCTTGCGCTGAGTTGTCACATCATGGGAAAAATGATATAGAAATGGATGATTAACGTGACAAGTTACAAGATAAACAAAGCAAATAATATGAAAATGCTAAATTGAAAAGTGTGGGTGCAGAATTGGCAGTTGGCAGCTGGCAAGTCGATGTTCAGGGTAGCGTTCACGTCGAGTTCTGGGTCCATTGTTCTTTTGTATGAAGCTGTCAACGGCCATTGGTATGGAAAATACAGGGCAAAATTATGGACGGCATAGCCACGGTAGACTCAATTAAGCTAATTTCTTAAACAAACAGAATAACTACATAAATTAGTGTGTTAATTTCATATGCTCTGAAAGGTTCACACTATCCTATGCTCCTTGTGTAGTAGTTATATCCCTGGTTAATAATAATTTAAGTTAAGCTGGGGAGTCTGTTCAGCGATGCTATTGGCCGCGTCCATGTGAGCACCGTTCTGATTGGGTGCGTGGCAGCCTATGCAGCAACGTGGGTGTTGTAGCGTGTCTGCTTGGCCTCTGCAGCGTAGGGCAGTCTGGAACTGCTGTGGCTGTTCTTGGCGGAAACGAATTAAAAAGAAGCTATATTACGGTTCGGGGTTTTAAAAAAAATTTACCAAAATATTCTACCCTCTGCCTTATCTATCCGTTCAACTTGCCATTATTTTTTAGGTTCCCAAAGTGTAACCGTTATGCAGACAAAGAAAGAGGCGCCGTCATAGCCGTAAAGTTTAAAAGTGAGCGCCGCCACCTCAATGGCGTGGCCGCGTAGACGTCATGGCTTGTTCAACCAAGGTTTTTTTTGCCGCCAGCGTCATTGGGCACTGTCGTCATTGTGATACAGTGCACGCAGCACCGCTTTTCCAGGGCACTCAGTTGCTGTGAGCGAACCGAGAGGCCCAACGTTCGGACCCGGACACTGTAACACTCCCGCTTTGGCAGAAATAGATGGTGGATCTACAGTAGCCCGTTTCAGGCTGGAAAAAATCCCAAGAAATTTAATGGATAAAAGAGAAGAAGCCTGTTCAGTAGGCCTTTTTATTGGTGTATTTTGAGACGTCCATTACTAAAAGAAACGCAACCAACTCACAGGAGAGCTCAAGCGCTGCCGGCGTCTAGCACATGCTGCTTGTTGCACGGCCACCGTATTACAGCATCTACCCCAACAACAGTCTTTGCTATTTTTAATTCTCAGAGAAATATTTCCAACAAAAAAACTCCAACAAATAGCACCTACGGAATACACACTCGATATTCCCCAGTAATTTCCCACTCCTACTAAGCCTCTCCTCTTGCGCAACCACCCTCGGCTGTGTTTGCTCTTTCTGTCCCTGGTTCCCCGCCTCAGAAGCCCCCCGCCTTGGTCGTCAGGTCACCGCCACGCCAACATTTTGATCTTCTTGTCCCGCAGCGCTTCAACTCTTGGTCTTCTTCTTGGTCGTTTCCATCGGGCTGTTACGTGTTTTGCTCTTTTCTTGCACCAATACAAGATCACGATTATCCGCTTAAGCTTTAATAGGCTAGGATAATCTACGACTCTGACCACAAGCTTGTTCAGTCGCTATTCCCCCTCTCTGTAACCCAATCCTCGAACAAACCCCTTCTCGCAGCGTCATTGACGCCGCATCTCACCATGTCGGAAGCAGGTGATAGGTATGCCTCCCTCCCCATTGGACACCCAAGCCCGAAAATGCAGATCAGGTTTTAGCATTCGGCCTGCAACTAGTCTCAGCTTTCCGATGCAACCTCGCAGCTTGGCTCGTCTGCCTCACGTCATTCCCCGCTAACCACCGTCTTTTTTTTTCTTGCTTGTAGTATCAGCGCGCACAAACGGTCAAAATCGGCAGCTGCGCTCTCTATGCTTCGAAGAAAAGATACCCGCGAAGACGAATCCGGATCCGAAGACGGTCGACGAATCACCCCTAACATGTCCTCCACCCCTAGCCGTGGCCACAGCTCCAAGCTGTCCACCGCCTCGGCCAACCTTACCCGCACGCCCTCCAAGCTTGGAAGCGATAAGGGAGCTTCTATTGAGCAATCGGTGCGCAAATTCCGCGTCGTTGAAGCTCTGAGAAGCGGCGATACGGCCGCCATCTCCAAAGCCATCAAGGAGACGTGCGAGGGTAGCCCAGGCGCTAGCACCACCTCGCTATCCAACGGCTCTGGTGCGCTGGATGACACCACCCTGCTGCATTTGGCTATCCAATGCGCCGAGTTCCCAGTCATTGAATATGTCTTGTCGAATGGCAACGGCCACTTGGACGTCAATGCCCGTGACAAGGACGGCAACACACCGTTGCACATTGCCGCCGCCCAAGGCCGCACACCAGCGGTCAAGCTTTTGCTCGAGCAAAACGACATCAACGACGCCATTGTCAACTCACAGGGCAAGTTCCCCATTGACCTGGCCAAGACCCCCGAAATCTTTCAACTTCTTCAGCTCGCTCGCACTCTCTTCACCGACGCCAAGGTCAAGCAGGTGCAAGTGCTCATTGCTAAGGGCGACTATGATACCCTGGCCGAGGTTCTGGAAGAGTCGAGATTAAAGGCTGTCCTCGATATCAACAGCACCGAATTTGTTTCCGAAACTGTCACCATGGAGACAGGCGGTACACTACTCCACGAGGCTGCTAGAAAGAAGAACACCGCGCTTATCCAGGTTTTGTTGCTTCATGGTGCGGATCCTTTCCGCCGCGATCGCAAGGGCAAGCTTCCCCAATCCATCACCCACGACGATGCCATCAAGGCCATGCTTAAGAAGTCGCCAGCTGCTGTCGCTGCCCAGAGGGGCATTCAGGAAAAGGCAGTTCTCGGCCATGTTTCGTCTCAGGGCGGCGTTGCCGGGTCCGGCAATGACCCTGTTGCTGGTAAAGAAGCCCGTGAGATGAAGGGTTATCTGAAGAAATGGACAAACTATAGAAAGGGTTACCAGCTACGATTCTTCGTCTTGGAAGATGGTGTTCTTAGCTACTACAAGCACCAGGACGATGCTGGCTCAGCCTGCCGAGGCGCCATCAACATGCGAATTGCCAAGCTTCACATGAGCGTTGACGAAAAGACAAAGTTTGAAATCATTGGCAAGTCATCTGTCAAGTACACGCTCAAGGCGAACCACGAAGTGGAAGCCAAGCGCTGGTTCTGGTCGCTTAACAACTCGATCCAGTGGACCAAGGATCAGGCTAGAGAAGAAGAGAAGCAAACCGCTAGAAGTGCCGAGTTGCTGCGCCAGGTCAAGGACCACACTGCGGCCTTGTCACTTCAGGATTCCCACAGCGACGCCGGCAGCACCTCTGATGCCTTCCGCAGGGCCTCCAACGGCCGATCTGGTTCCATTTCTAAGGTTCCCACCCACAGATCTGACGTGGTTCCTGCAAGCACCATTGGAAGCAACGATGATGATGATCATCCCGATATTGGTACTGATGGAGAAGCCTCCCGACAGCACGAACACGCTGTTATCCCTGGAGACCACGATGACGACGATGACTATGGCGACGACGCCAGCACACGTGAGCAGCCTGGTGCGACCAAGGATGCGTTCAACATTACTGCCCAGTCAGCCAAGTTACAGCTCGAAACCATGTCTACTGTCCACAGCGCCCTACTCCACGAGCTTACCCAGCGACCCGCAACGCCGTTGTCTGATCCCAAGATTTCTCAGGCCCTCTCTACATACGACGCCGGTATTCGCAGCCTGAGCGGTTTGGTTGGCGATTTGCTCAAGATCTCCAAGGATCGTGATGCATTCTGGAAAAGTAGGCTACAGCGCGAGATTGGTATGCGTCGCATGTGGGAAGAGAGCATGGCGCAGGTTGCGCACGAACAAGAGGCACTGGAGGCTCGTGTAGGCGCAGCTGAAAAGAAGCACAAGCTGACCAGGAAGGCACTCAAGGAGGTCATGGAGGGCAACATGTCTGCGAGTGCAACACCTATTGAGAAGTCACAGACCGAATTCGATCTCGGCCCTGCGTCTCCTGGCAAGCTCGGACGAACATCGACTGCTTTAGAGCAGGTTGTTGATCTTTCCGACTGTGACTCTGAAGATGAGGAAGAATTTTTCGATGCTGTGGACGCAGGCGAAGTCGAGGTTGTTGAACTGTCTTCTCCCAAGAGCCCCACGACTCCCTCTCAACCCGTCATCACGGGCGGACTTGATATCAGCGAGTCGTTTAGCGGTTACGAGAATGGCATCCGTCATCGCCTTAAGCTCGACAATGACAACCGTCCCAAGGTTGGACTTTGGGTAAGGAACTCGCCTTCGCGTATAGACGTAGTAGCGCGTAATGCTAACCTTTGACAGGGTATTTTGAAATCGATGATTGGCAAGGACATGACGAGAATGACGCTTCCCGTTTCCTTTAACGAACCTACTTCACTGCTGCACCGCTGCGGTGAAGACATGGAATATGTCGAACTGCTTGACCTTGCTGTTGAGCGATCTGACTCGATGGAGCGACTCATTTATGCTGCCGCCTTTGCTGCCAGTGAATACGCCTCTACCATTGGCCGTGTTGCCAAGCCCTTCAACCCTCTGCTCGGTGAGACGTTTGAATACGTCCGTCCGGACAAGAACTACCGCTTCTTTATCGAGCAAGTTAGCCATCACCCGCCTATTGGTGCGGCGTGGGCCGAGTCTGCTCACTGGGAGTACTGGGGTGACTCCAATGTCAAGTCCAAGTTTTACGGCAAGTCCTTTGACTTCAACCCGCTTGGTACATGGTTCCTCAAGCTGCGCCCTAAGTCTGGAGGCAAGGCAGACCTGTACACTTGGCGCAAGGTAACGTCGTCTGTTATTGGTATCATCACTGGCAGCCCGTCTGTTGACAACTACGGCCCTATGGAGATTAAGAACTGGACAACTGGTGAAGTTGCGCTGCTAGACTTTAAGCCGCGCGGCTGGAAGGCATCAAGCGCCTTTGTGATTAGCGGCAAGGTTATGGACGCATCGGGTGCTGTTCGCTACAGCATTGGCGGCCGCTGGAACTCGAAGCTCTACGTCCGCTTAACGCCTGGCTATGAGGCGCAAGTCGATGCTCCTACCGGAGGCGATGATGGCGTCCACACTGGCAGCTTCTCCGATCCCAACCGCGCATACTTGATCTGGCAGGCACACGAGCGCCCAGCAGGCATTCCCTTCAACCTGACACCGTTTGTGTTGACCTTTAACCACATTGACGAGAAGCTGCGACCATGGCTGGCACCTACGGATTCTCGTCTGCGCCCCGACCAGCGTGCCATGGAGGACGGCGAGTATGACTTTGCTGCGACGGAGAAGACGCGCCTTGAACAAAACCAGCGCGCGCGCCGCCGCGAGCGTGAAAACGCAGGTGAAGAGTTCCGACCGGCGTGGTTCAAAAAGGAGCGATGCGAAGTGACTGGAGAAGAGTTCTGGAAGTTTAACGGAAAGTACTGGGAGCAGCGAGCCAAGAGTGGCCCTGATGGCGATCCCAAGGCATGGGCCGGACTTGAGCCCATCTTTGAGGATTTGCCGGAGGGTGTCGCCCCGATCCCTTGAATGGGTTGACGTGTGTGGGTGGAAAAGACGGCATTTTCATTTTATTTTTATACAGCATGGAAGCGAATTTTGATATACAGCCGAGTAAGAGGCAGAAGAAGAAGGAGGAAAAAGGAAAACAAGAACAGTGTCACCTGTAAAAGATTGAAGATGTCTAAGGACGGCTGGCTAGTGTAGTCTAACGGGCTGTACTGTGCCGTGCCGTGCCGTGCCTGGACCTAAATGTGTCTTATTTTATATTCTATTCTATTTTCTATCTAAGGGTTCTACTGTGTGTCCCGGTGACTTGCGACTGTTCCTGGCCGGTAATCTCTTAATATGGGGTGTGATAATAATGATGGGTGTCTTGCTGCAGCCACTGTGCCGACTTGTCCAATCATTTATCGCCAATTAAGCATATTATGCTAAGAACGTCGACGTAAATAATAAATGCGCACCGTTCCAGCGAGCCAGCCATTTAAGAGTTGGTATTTTATTCTCCACGGGGGTTTCGAAACACAGGTAGATTTACAGTATTCGGTTTCGGCTGTCAAAACGGCTAGTCTGCGGGGAATAAGCTTCCTAAAGTCCGTCCCGTCCCTTGTGAAGGACGCCTGAAAGCGTGGGGCGCGAGTTCCCGACCGAGCCTCGGTTACGTCTTGGTGACGCAGTGACGTGCTTGTCTTTTTCTCCTTTACAAACAACGTTTTTGGCCATTGCGTACTGAATTCCATCAAAGCACGAACAATTAATTCATCGCGAGGCTATTGTTCAGTGAGAGAAGCACTGGCGACGAGACTACACACGACAGCAGATTGCAACATCACGACTCAACACGCCGCATCCGTCTGACAGCAGACACACAAATATACACATAATCCGAGTAGCAGCAATGCCTGAAAAGACAGCCTGGGACGAGCGAACGACGCTGCTGCGTCCGCCACCCAACGATGAGAGCAAGGCGCCTATTGAGAATGTGCTCGAGGTGACGGAGCTGGGCGTGCTAGGACCCGTAAGTGCGAATCTGATAATTGGTCGGGATGATGCTTTGTTTCGATATATGCCGACACACATCTGAAACCAGCAGCAGCCAAACTAACATGCCACTTCTTCTCTTGTAGGACATCTTCACAAACACCAGACGACAGTGGCTCCCCCCCGGCGCCCGCGGCATCTACGGCGGCGCGGTCATCGCGCAATGCCTCGCCTCTGCGCAAAAGACAGTCCCCGACGACTACCTCGTGCACTCATGCCACTGCTACTTCCTCCTCGCGGGCTCCGACACCATCCCGATCCTCTTCCACGTCGAGCGCGTGCGCGACGGCCGCTCCTTTGCGACACGCACCGTCCAGGCCAAGCAAAAGGGCCGCTGCATCTTCACCACAACCGTCAGCTTCGTGCGCGAAGGCAGCGCCGGCAAGGGCCAAGTGCACCACGCCGCACCCCTCCCCGACGGCATCAAACCCCCACCAGTCGACTGGGACGGCGAGCCCGACTGGGCGCGCTACGGCCCGCTGCAGAGCCACCGCATGGAGGTGACGCGGCTGCACGACAAGACGGCGCGCCCCGACGAGCGCAAGGCACGCCAATGGATCCGCGCGCGGGGCAAGATGTCCCCTGGAGCTGGCCACCAGGCGCATCTGGAGGCGCTGGCGTACATGTCGGACAGCTATTTCATCGGTACGGTGTCGCGCGTGCATAAGCTCTGGCGGTTCCCGTTCCAGCCGGAGGACGTGGACGGGCTGCCGGAGGAGACCCGCAAGCATGTGATGGAGTTGACGGAGTTTGAGGGCATGGGGTCGTCGCTGGACGAGTGGAAGGGCAGGCCGCAGGTGGGCATGATTGTCAGTCTGGATCACAGCATCTACTTCCATGAGCCGCGGCGCGTCAAGGCCGATGAGTGGATGTTTGTGGAGATGCAGAGCCCGTGGTCGGGTGATGGTCGAGGCTTTGTCTTGCAGAAGGTGTATGCGTCGGATGGCACGCTGCTGGCGAGTTGTGTGCAGGAGGGTGTGTTGAGATTGGCCAAGAATGGCGAGGAGAAGGGTGGTAAGCTGTAAGACGTAGATATGCGGGTTTGTTTCTTGCTGTGTATAAACTGAGTTATGGTATGACTTTCACGTTTTATAATAACAAAACATGGTTCTCTTTTGTATATTTGAAGAGTTGGCTTTGGTGTATCTGTGCATATACAAGGTGCTTGATGGATGCAGCTTCGGGTGTAAGCGGCGTGAAGGCTGCTGCGATTTGTCTCGGCCGATCGGAGGATCCCTACATGAATCAATCTCATGTTAATGGTCCCCTTTTCGGGCTGCGGTGGCTCGACGGCGGATATCGGAGTCGTATGATATCATCTGATTTAACCATTCTGGGGCATATCCTTGTTGGGCTGTCTTTTGGGAAGCCCGCCTATTGTTGGTCCCGTAGTGGTTATTGGGTGCTATTTTTAGGGGACCACTCCACTGTGCTTTGACGCGATGCGGGGCACTTTTAGTACTGGCAAGTATAGCGAGCGCTTAAAGTCATGAGTACAATGAGTACAATGAGCGGAATGAAGTGTAGATAATTATGCTGAAAATATTTATTTAATGCTACAGACTCTAAAAATAGGTAGAATTTAAAGAAGCATCAAAAGGATGCTACAAAAATCTAAAGAGCAGGTAAAACGAGACTCTCAACCATGGTGTCTTACAGCGGCTCGTTGGCAGCACAGCCCCCGTCATTAGCGCCTGTACCCGCTGTGTTGATCAACAGGTACACTTCCGAGTCGCCAGCCTTGCCCCAACCAAGGGACCGTGCGAGTTGGTTAATTGCTGTTACCATATATTGAATAGACTCAATAGATAGAATTGCTGTAAAATCCAAAAATGTATAAAGGCTGGGGCTAGTTCCCCCCTCCCATCCTTGCTCACCCTCCACCATCATCTCTTCAACCAGCCTTCCATCAACGTCGTTTACTTCTGTTCAACATGAAGCTTCTTCTACCCACTGCGGCCTTTATGGCAGTGGTCCACGCTGGAACAGTGTCTCTTGACATGGTTAGGCGACAAAATACCGAAAACATCGGCCTATACTCCCGCCAGCACGCGCGCCACCTTGAAGTGCGCAAGACTCACACTGCACAGATGCGCCATGAGAGCGGCGTGTTCTACAGTGTCAATGCAACAGTAGGAAACTCCTCAAAAAGTGACGCTCCTAGTCGATACTGGCAGCACCGATACGTTTGTTCTCACCACCAATGGCACGTGCGCCAGGGAAGACGCCAACTGTCTGACGCCGTGTAAGTGGTACCCTTTGCATATAAGACAAATTCAGCAGACAGCTAATCCTTTTCTCTAAAGACGACCCGGACCAGAGCTCTACCTTGACAAGGGCCACCCCAGACGAGCTTACCGATGACGATTTCTACGCCACATTTGTAGACAAAACGTTTGCCAAAGGCAAATATGCAAAGGACGACTTTACTGTCGGCGATGTTACGCTTGCCCAGCAAATCATCGGCGTCGCCGACACCTCAAATACGACCGAGGGTATTCTTGGCCTCGCCTTTGATGATCTAGAAGTCTCCAACGAGCGCAAAACCGGCGCCGAAAGGTACCCCAGCTTCCTCACAAAGATGGCGGCCACGGGCGCTATCAGCAGGCGCGTCTTCAGCATGTCCCTCGGCGCAGCATCGGGCAACTTGCGGTTTGGCGGCATCGATACGGAGCGCTTCTACGAAGACCTGGCCAAAATCCCCATCACAGAGCGTCACTTTGAAGACGACGGCACGCCTGGCTCCTACTCCATCCTCCTCGACGACTTCACGGCCAAGGGAATCAGCCCCGAGATCGCGCCCTTCCGCAGAGGCCAGGTTGCCATCCTGGACAGCGGCACCACCGATACCGTGCTTCCAAGGCTGCAGGCGGTGGCGATAGCCAATGCTCTCGGCGCCGTGGGGAATAAGAATTATACGGGTTCGGGCAACAATGGGCTCGTCGACTGCAAGCGCCGCAACGAAAACGTCACGCTAGAATTTGTGCTTGGCGGAAAGAAGCTCTATATCCCCATTGCTAATTTCATTGCGGATGAGGAGTTTAGCAAGGACAAGTTGAACAACATGGATGATGCGGCACGAGCATTTAGCAAGATTTGTACGCTGCGCATATCGTCGGCAGAGAACGTGGACGGCTTGTACTTTGGCGACAGCTTTCTGAGATCGGTCTATGTTGTCCATGACGTGGATAACAAGATCATAGGACTCGCGCAGGCCAATCTGCAGTCTACCAAGAGCAACGTTATTGAGATTGGCGCCAAGGACCCAATTCCCAACGCCAAGGGCGCAGCTCGTAAGTGTCTTGATTGTGCGATTAGTGTGTATGGATGCTGACATGATATACTTTAGTTCCAGATCAGGTTGTCAAGACGGGACGTGATGGCCCCCAGAAGAATACCAGCGATAAAACAAGTGCTGCGGATAATATGCTGCATGTGCCAACGGTGGCATTTGCCGTCGTTGTTGCGGCTATTCTCTTAGCATCTAAAGGGCCTGCCTGTGTTTTAAGGGCGTTGGAATAAAGAATGGTGTTTCTGGGTTATTGTATTCATGACTTGTATTTATATGCTGCGCCGTATCCTCTCTGTAAATGCTATTATTCGTACATACTCCTTCCTAATCATTCATCTTGTTGTATCGTTCTCGGGCCCGGTCCTGCACTGAGCTCACGTAGGCAGCATATGTGTTGCCCGCTGTTCGCTTGGCGGCAAGTTCGGCTGCGTCACCCAGGTTGCCTCCTTCGGCGCCTAGACCAACACCCTCCTGGTAGGCATTTGTCTCAATGACTTCTGTTCGGCCAGCCCCGTCCGCACCAAGGCCAGAGCCGCTCTCCCAACCCATCTTTGCAAGCATACCGGCTCCCTTGGAGGGTGCCGCAGGTTTGGGTGCCTCCACAGGCTTCGGCTTAGATGCTGCCGTAGATGCTGATTGTACAAGTTTTGGCTTGTTCGGCTGATTGAACGCCTGTCGGCGCTCCTTTGCTCTATCACGGTACTCTCCCTCCGTAGAAGTCTTGGCCAGGCGTTTGTCGCGCGCAGCTAGACGAGGCAGCGCTGCTTCCACCTTGGCAGAGTCCTCCATGGCAGTACGGTGGTTGCGAGACTTCTCGTGAATATCAACCTCGTCTGTCGACTTGTACTTGCGCATGCAAATGAGACACATGAGCCGTTCACGGTCCACGAACGATGTAGGTTCAGATCCGGCAGCAGCAGGAGTCTCGTCTTCCGCCTCCATAGTAACTGGAGCTGAACAAGGAGAGTCCGTATTGGATGGTAGCGGCATGGCGTTGGCACCAGACAAGGCAATCTTGATTGCCGATGACCTGTTCTTCTCCTTATCATCGACATGGATCTCATCGTGCTTGCGCTGCCACATGGCCATCTTGCCAACCATCATCGTGGGCTTCTTCGATATGCTTCCGGTTGCAGTATCTGCTTTGCGCTTTTTGGTCTTTTCGCTGGCGTCTTCTTCTTTAGGGGCCAGCACGAGGCCGGTTGGGGGCTCTGCATTAACAACTTGTACGCTAGGGTATGCGTGATAGTCACGGTAGCGCACAAGGAGTGAAGGGTTGAAGAGCGGGTGGAATGACATGTGTCTGGTGCTGTCTGTCGGCGCACGATCTTCGGGAATAAAAACACCCATGTGTATGTTTGAAATAGTAACAGCACAAGCAGCGACGGTAAAGTTGCGAGACTTGCTAAACTTGGTAAGAGCTGCCGCCGCATCTTCGACACTCCAAAATTCTGCAAAGCCGTATTTGAGCGAATCGTTGCTCTCTGTTTCACGCATGAGAAAGACGCGATGTAGAGTGCCTTCTTTTGCGCCGTAGCCGCTGGCATCGTTTGTTGGAGCTGTCGACTTGAGCTTCGGCGCCCCGTTTCCTGTATCCTTTGGCTTTTCAGGCTTCTCGAGTTCAAGGCGCTTGATGTCCTTGGCTAGCATATCCTCATTCACAAAGCCGGCAAGCGGGTATATAACAAGCATATGCGATGGAACCTCTCCCGCATCCGCGGCGCCAGTCAGGCTTTCTTGCCAATGAAGTCCTGACGGATAGCTTCCACAGTTTCGACATACAGACCTTGTGGCGAAGTTCGATTCTGCGCACTTGGGACACGTCCACTCGCCGCCAGCTGCTGGAGCTCGAGGCTCTGGTTCGTCACGGCTGCGGGCAAAGTGTACATACGCGTGAAACATGCCGTCGGGTGCCTCGTCTGTCGGATCTTGCAATTTTATTGTAATGCTCGGGAAATGTTCTCGAACAAATTCGGCGGCACTGTCAATATCCTGAAACTGAATAAAAGCACGGCGTTGACCTAAGCCAGTTAGCACAACTCCCACAAAGACGACCTAAAAATGTTACGCACCTCGAGACGCAGATATCCGTACGTCTATCGATGGGTATTCTGCTGCGATAGATTGTGACAGGAGGCAGTCTCTCAGCTAAATCGCAAGTCAGTCTGCTGTTTCTAACTAATAGGGCGTGTTATATAGATATAAGCTAGACGTACCTCGTGCTGTGATATGCCAAAAGGCAAGCCTTCGAGAATCACAGTATCGGTAGGCTTTCCAGCATCTTGCCTTGGGCTCCGGGACCGTGAATCGCGGCGACGACTTGACCGAGCGCAGTCATCGTGGCGTCCTCTATCGCTATATTCATCGCGGGGTCTTCTGTCGTTGTATATGTCGCGATGGCCTCTGTCGTTGTAGTCTGACGGATTTCTCTGGTCCTCGTCGTACATTCGGGAGTAGTCGTCAGCTCTAGGGCCGCGTGGTGGCTCGCGATGTCCATAGCCATCTCGTCTGTGGCCACGGCGGTCGTCATAGACGCCTCCTTCTCTCGAGTCGTAGCCCTGGTCGCCGTGTCGTGGGCGGTGGTGGTCTTGGTGCCTGGTGGGAGACTGGGAATGGTCTCGTCCCGTAGGGATGTTAGCCTTCTAGCTCAAAACTCAATGCCATGGCGCGCGCCCTCTTTCTCGCTGCAGACGGCGCATCTGCCGGGCGTGTCTTTACCCTGCCTCGATCGGTAGTCTCTATCGTGATGGTCTCGGGCCGGCGGTGGATAATCGCGGTCCCTTCCTGGGGATCGCTGCCGATAGTCGTCACGCATGGCGGCTGCAAAGTAGCGCAACCGCTGGCGGAGAATTGGCGGTGATGTTGATGTTGGAGGGTGACGTTTGGTGGTGGAAAACTTTACGTGGCGTGACGTTGAAGCTCAGAGTGGAAATTCGCACATGCAGTGGGGAGCCTACTGTGGCCGTGGGGAGCGTTACAGGCGACGGTCCACTGAATATAGACACTATTTTAACTGCAGAATCCAAGGCACATTAGGATACGTAAACAACAGCAAGTCGTCATATTTTCTGCAGCAGAGGCGCATTTTAGATTTGATTCGTATTCTTCGAGCCCATAGCGTTTGTTGGGTCTAAGATGTGACACTACAATGCAATGACCTGAGTACATTTTTCATTCGTCTCGAGATCAAAACGCACATATGGCTTGGAGGACATGCGCAAAAGGCAATATATTTATTTTGAATGAGAGGCGTGCTCTGGACGTATAACGTCGGGATTATTCCCCACCATTCTTGAAGTCGCCCAAGTCTCGATCGAGTTCCAGTCGACGCATACAGCCCTAGAGTTGCTCTGTATTTGTGGGTGGTCATCGCCGATGTTGTTCCAGTTAAATGTAATAACGGACGAGTCGCCATGGCACATGACTGACTTGCGTAATACTTCTAAACAGTGGTCTATATGGGTTGTTAGTGGGTGTTTGGGCAGATTATAAGAGGGACGAACCGAGATGGTGGTAGAGATAGTCTTCTTGCGCCGTGGTCAAGTTGGGATAATATGATTCCCTGTACAGCCAAAAGCGTAACTGACGCTAAAAAGGAGTTAGAGATACTCTTCATTATCCGAGGCAGATACTTACTACGCAGTGTATTTCATGATATACACCGAGACTTGCCATGTAGCCGCCGGCTGTCAATTCGGTGACGTTTTCAAAGGACTCCCCTGCGTGAATCATTTCATCATGAGACGCGCCAAAGTATGCAGCTATGGAAATTAGCCGTTGAATTAGACGAGGTATTTGTAGGACATACGTTTTAAAAGGTTGATCCAAGCAAGATTGTGTTCCTTTGTTGGAGGCCCAGAGAAGATTGTGTCGTGATGGTAGTCAAAGGTGGCGCTGTTGACTTCATACTTGAGATATTTGTGTATAGGAGCTGTGCAATTATAAGTAAAATGGAATTTGTGCAGTTTAAGAGAAAGAGACTTACACCAAGTGCGGCCCGCGGTTTGTATTTTGAGAAGAGAGGGCCGGTTTTGATAGGCGACGAGAAGAAGTAGGATGACAACGAGAGAGTGTAAACATATAGAATATATGCGTGAAAATGTAAAGAATTGATGTCTTGTATATTCTAAAGGAGGAAGAGTATTTGGAGGATCGTATTTTTCAATAAGGTGTTGGGCAGCTTCGTCGTCTACAACTGTCGACGCTGTCGATGATGCTGATGGAGAGCGCGAGGTATGCATGTTGAAACGAGGTGAGGGAAAATTAAAGAAAATGTGGTAAAATGAGAGAAAGAAGTGTTAATGAATGTAATGGAGCTTTTCAACAGTTAATACATGGTAGAATGTAGCAATGAACTGGTTTACAGTGAAGCCCAACGACAGGCGAAGAGTTTGATGAGTACAGAAGATGATTCACGGGTTTGTACGGACGGTAGTGAGAGAGGTAGAAAAGTAACCTCTTGCACTAGACCAAATAACCGAGAAGAAACGAGAAACAAGAAAAAAAAACATGGCAAAGAACTACTACAACGATTTTCCAGTTGCTACTGCTCAGCAGAGACACAGACGCACACACCCCCCTGTAGCACCCCCCCTGGAGGGAGATTGCTAGCGCCTGATCCACCCGCCGCCATCCACTAAAAAGCCACGCTACAAGCCCCCCCCCCCCAACTGGCCACAGGGGCCCACAGGGTGTGATGCGCCGTGCGCCAGGTAGCCTCTTTCCATTGGGCGTGCTGTAAGCGCTGCAAGACTCGTCACCTTTTTCTCTTTCGTCTTTCAGCCTCTGTGTTGCAGCGTTCCCCGGGCCAAAGCTGGGAAAATATTGTATTCTAGACTGGAATGGGCCCGAGAGCCCGGGTCCAGCGTGCATGCATGCATTTTGCATTGTATAAAGGCATTCTTGTCTGGTCTCCGAAGAACATCTTCAAGATTGGCAAAACGCTGTCGTCATTCATTCCTTTGACCTGTACTATACTATACTATTCATCCATTTACTGTCTTTCTTTCTTTTTCTCTTCTTCTTCTTCAAGATGCAATTCTCTCTTCTCTCTGCCGCCATCGCCGTTGTCGGCTTCGTGGCTGCTGCTCCTCTGCCCAACGCTGATGGTAAGTAAACACTGCTGCTTCAATATCGCCACCCTCCATATATTCGCACAGTATCTAATCACAATGCTGCAGTCATCGCAAGAGATGACTCTGGTCCTTATGCTCCCGGATCTCAGGACCCTAAGACCGCTCTGGGCTCCCTGTTAAAGGATCTTCACCTCGACCACGCAAACAACATTCTCAGCGGAACTGTTGGCCAGCTTGTCCACCGAGGATACTCTTCATCGCACTCTCACTCCAGCTCTAGCAGCTCCTCTTCTCATTCGAGCTCTTCATCTTCGAGCTCCAATGGGTCTTCATCCTCCAGCTCCTCGTCGTCTTGCAACGGAGGCCAGTGTACCTCTTCCTCTTCCGCCAACCCTCCTCCTCCCGCCAACTCTCCTACTCCCGCTAACCCACCTACTCCCACTACCTCGGATAGCACTCGCCCCTCTCCTTCTGACGGCGGTGCTGTAGCCATGGGTTTCTAAAAAAATTTGAATACGACACGGGCAGATTGTTGACGTCTGGACGGACGCGTTGCTCTTTACCACCTTCTTTACTTTCTTTCATTATGGTTCTTTAGAATGCAGCGCCGGCATCTTTTGCAAAAGAGACTTGAAAATCGCCGGGCTGATTGTTTCAATCATTCTTTTACTCTTCTCGTTTTGCCAAATTCCAATCGTTGCTTGTTATTCAGTCTTGTTGGTGTCCACTATCACTGCAAATTCCTAATACTTTCTTCTTCAATCACCGAGCCCCCAGTTTGTTCTGCTTCTAGTCGTGATAATAGAATCTAATACAGCCTCGATTCAAAAACCCTGCTCGAGGACCGAGCGGCGCCTCATGGCCCCAAACTATCGGGATGCTCCAACGGACGCCCCCCGGCGGAGGCCCAAGAGCGAGGCCCATTATCTCCAAGCACTAGCTGAATGAATAAGCAAGACATGCATATATTTTGCATTGGCATGGTCCGGTAGAGTGACGCCATGGCTGCATAACTCCAGGATATGCTGCAATGCAATGTAATGCAATGCGGTTCGCCTGCTGCTGCTACTGCTCCGTGGAGAAGTCGATCAAGCCAAAGGCAAACATTACTAGCCCGATAATTTGTGATTTGTTCTAGAGCAACGGAATAACCAACAAAATTAGATGGATAATCACGTCAGAAACCATTGAAAAGCCACCAACTCGCCCTGTTCAAGAACCAACATTGCCCAAGTTCTAGCCTCACTTCCACACCAACAAACCTTGGGGGGTGGGTTGGCTTACACGGATTCCCCGAACACCGGCCAACCGAGGCACCGGAAGCAAACATTCAGCAACCGCCGGGAGGATCCTAGTAGCAGCCCGCTGCTGCTGCAGAAAGAAGGAATCCATCTGCCGCCCTTGCAGCTGGAGTGGTGTTGTCGGAGAGGAACGGAGCCCGCAGCCACCACCGAAATGCGACGGCACGGCCCATGGCGGCGCGTTGGCCGACGACGACAGTGCGTGTGCCCTGGCTGTATGAGAGAGGCGCTATTGTCTCCGCCATCTCGGCGCATCTCACCCATAGTGTTGCTAGTACGACTACTACTCCTGCGGCTACTAGTTCCTCGTCTTGGAAGGGGAAGCGGCTGCCGCTACTCCTAGTACAGTAATGCGCCGCTCGCATACTCTTGGCCACAGCCTCTACAATGGACAAAAAAGCCTGTGCCCTTGCCTGTCAAGCGCAGTTAACCTAATCGAGGCGTTGCATGCGCCGCACAGCCAATCATAGGGCTCATGGGACATCGCCCCGTCCACCCGCAGTGGAACCAAGCTAAAAAGAGGGCGTGTGTGGCTGCTGCTCTTTCGGGGGGGTGCGTTGCAATCTCGTCACATCCGGAAGACAGGCAGCCGTTGGCTTGCTTGGGAGATCCCTGCCCCTGGCTTTGGGTCTGTCCATGATTGTGGCAACACTGGTGGCGTTGCAGGAGTCCCACGCGAGGAAAACCGGTGATGGGGATGCGAGACATGACGAGCTAAACGACGCGCTGCATGGCCCCGAGGGGAAAAGACAAGTCAGATGCGTGCGGATCGAGGTTCCGTGCCGCCTTCTGCAAGCCCATTATCTCTGCGCGAATCCATGAAGGAGAGCAGACTAGTTGGAACGCCTGCTGAATGAAGGACGGACATGGTTGTAGTCAGCGCCCCTTCAGCCGCACTTACACACTATTGTATTGTGGTGGTCTACTGCATCTGCTTCTAATCTCGACGTGCAGAAAAGTGTCTGAGAAAAATACTGTATACGATGCATTGTGCATTTTTGCATTTGTGCTGCAAGCCACTGCCGAGGCTCTACTCCAAACAAAGATCTGCCGAAATGAACATCTTTGCCGCCGCAATATAATCAAGGCATATGCTTGGAGAGGAGATGCATCTGCAGGCCTTGGCGCCGGATGTAACGCAATCAGTTGACATCACTGGGGCGTCTATTGAGTGATAGGTGATGCGCGATGCAAGATGGCTAAATAATTTATATTGCTAATTTAACGATTTGGTGACAAAATACGTAGTTGGATATAGTTCCCCTTTCACATTCATAGCTCGACAATCGGGCCGCGGTACTCCCTCTTTGCCCAGACTAGGTAATATACAATGGCAAAGACGGTAACGGAGCCCGTCATCAGCGAGCTGTAGTTCATGTTTTGCGGGGTCACTGGAAGTTGCGACGGGAAGAAGCTAAACACCCAAACAATAAGCAGGTAGCAAATTGCCACCACGTTGTTGATGGTGCCCCAGATGCCGGGGATGTGCCACGGGCCCCAGACAAGCTCCAGGCCCTCGGTAGGAGCCAGGGCCGGGAGTACCGAAGGGTCGGGGAGCTTGAAGCCCTTGGTGACGCGGCGGTACAGCAGCAGAATTGTGCAAATGAGGTATGAGGAGTAGAGACCGGAGACGGACAGAGAGATGAGAGCCGTAAAGGCGGTAGTAGAGCCGAGGGTGATGAGGCTGATGAGGATAGAAATGATGGCGGTGCAGCCGATGGACCACAGAGGAATAGAAGTGGCAGAGTTGACCTCGCTGAGAGTTCGCCAGAAAGGCAGGCCTCTGTCACGGGCAAAGGACCAGAAGACGCGCGAGGTTGAGGCAAAGAGACCAACTGTGCCGCAGAGACCGAGCACGAGAATGACAGAGGACATGACAGTGGCGGGAACAACACTGCCGCCCGTGTCTCCTCCAGTAGCGTGTAGGAAGATTTGCATAAAGGGGAAGCCGTTGGGATCCAGTGTGACCTTGGGGTCGCCCATGCAGAAGAGAGCAGCGAGAATCATGGCGAATCCCAGTGTACCGTTGATGAGTAGACTGAGAATAGTAGACTGGGGAACAACCACCGATGGGTTGTATACTTCTTCTGCCATCTATATCCAGCGTGTTAGCAGACAGCATGTTAGATTGTAGAGGGGGCCACTTACATGGAAAGCACCATCAACACCCACAAAGGCAAACACATTGCCCATCAAACCAATGAAAAAGGCAACGCCCTGGTTGCTACCCTCATCCGGCCATCCGGTCAAGGAAACAAATGTGGTAAAGACTTCCTCAGCGCTGTTCTTGGTTGGCGACAGGTAGACGACCGGGATCAGGATGCCAAAGAAGCCGACAATATGCAAGATCAAGATGAAGCCCTCAAACTTGGCAAGCAGCGAGCTGACCCAGGCATTGATGACAACGCAAAAGACAACCGATGCCCAAAACAGCAGCATAGGCTGGTACGGCTGCGGTTGGTACGTGTCTGGGTTGGTGAGGCCGATTAGCGCGGCCATGATGGATCCCGCAAGATACAAGGCCGAAGCTAGTGAGCCTTGCCACCCAGCCACAGCCAACCAACCGGTAATGTAGCTTAGAAACTTGGAGCACGAGCGCGGCGCAAGCATCGCAACCCAGTGGTACTGGCCGCCCGACGTTGGCGCCATGGACGCAAGCTCTGACAGGCACGAGAAGACGCAAATGTTGCCGAACCAGACGAAGAGGAAGCCGTAGACGGCGCCAGCAGGACCGCCATTGACGTAGGCCTGCGCAAATAGCGACAGCGAGGCTTCCCAGGTAATGAGGACGGTGCAAGAGAAGCCCAGAATGGACATGAAGCCAAAGTTGCGCTGGAAGCACTCAGTCAGCAAAAAGGTGAAGTTAAACATGAAATTGCGCTGATTAGAGACGTACGCGGAGAACAGCCTTCTTGCCCAGCCGGGCGAGCTGGTCACGATCATTGAAGCTCTGCTTGTCGGTCTCTTCGGCGGACGGGTCCATGTGGAATTGCTCCATCTTGTGCTCTTCCTGAGAAGTCATGGTGAATGCGTATGAAAGGATGAAGGAAAAAGAAAAGAAAAGAAAAAAAAATTCGCAGACGCACGAGGCGATATGAACATGCACGGCGCAGGGACAGCGCAGCAAACGGCAAGCAAGCAAGCAAGCAACCCCTCATGCAGATTCGCCTAGCATATGCGCTAGAACCAAAAACACATATCAATTCCCACCCTTAGGGAATGGCCCGGTCCAGTGCGTGCACGAACCAGCATGCAAAACTTGTAACCAGGATTGGAAGCCACCTCCGGGGGGCCGGCGCTCAGTAGGTACAGTACTTTTGGCATTTCGATGGACGCCGCCACCGATAGCTACTAACTTCTAGGGTCCCGTTCAAGTACAAGTGTAGAAAGGGGGACGAAGTAGCCGCGGATGCAACATTGAGGAGGCGCGTGGGTTGCTTGGAAGAGCCAGGATGTCAGCGGTCAACAACTCATCCAGGCCGACCAGCCCCAAGCCTATCATCGCCAATAGTGTCAGAAATAGCCAGCTGGACTAAGCTTGGGGATCCTTGCCTTGTCAATGAGCAGGCACAAAAAAAAGAAGCATCATCTTCTTCTTTCTTCGTGTGGCCCCATCGAACAAAGACCCCTACGCTCATCACTGCTGCCCTGCACTCACAGACTTTCTGCAGCAAGCACAGCCTGATCTCACCCAACGTAGGGGTTTCTGCAAATTACTGCGTTGTTGGCTCATAGGAGCCCACTGTGGCTTGCCCAAGCATCTGGGTCCAGTCTTTCCCTTTCCCGTCCGCCCCCGAAGAGGCGTGATGCTGCAGCAGCAATATCCACAGTTTGTTGGTGATCATGGCATGAGGCTGCAAATAGTGTTTGCTCTGCAATGTATCGCGTAAACAGGAATCCAAGCAAGGCAAAGCAATTCCACGAGACACCTAATACAGTAAGAGCCCAGCAAAGCAAAAGAGGAGGAGGAGGGGCGGCACGCGTTGGACCAACACAGCTCACTAACCAACACCCCTGTTCGGCGCTACTGCAGCTTCAATCACAGCGCCAAACCCGATTGAGAGGGGCTCCGCTGGACGACGCTTCCCCGACAGGGCTGCTCTGAGATCTTGTTGGTTGGAGCTCTTGCTGCTGGGGGTGGTGTGGACAACCTGTCGGTGCATTGGACTTGGTCAGTTGTTGGTTGCTGGTTGTGTGTGTTGGGCGAGACGGACCGATAATTGCAGGTTCTGGGGTGGGAGGGATGGCCAGACACATACAAAGGGAATAACGAGATGCAGGCGAGTTTGCAGCAAAGACTGGACTGGACGAACTGCAAGTCGACAAGCAGGCTGGCAAGTTACCACGTTTTGCGTGCTTGTTCGCGTGTCTTGGAGCAAGGGTTCACTGGGAAAGGCAAGCGAAAGGTAAGAAAAGAAACGTGGCAAAGTTGGTATCAAGTCTGAAAATGTATATACACGCCAAGAAGAATCAAAATGAGGGTAAGTGATGCTCTCTCTAGAACAACTTGGACCGCCGCTGTTCTGCTGCGGCAGCCTCTTCAACGTCCACGTCCCACGCCTTTGCGCTGGTGATGAGCACCGTCTGGCTCGTATGGCTCTGTCCATCCCACGCAATCCCAATCTTTTCCCGGTCCATCTCGTATGTGCGTCCGCCGCCAGTACCTGTGACTGGCCTCGTCTCTTCGTCCTCCTCTTGCAGCACCTCCACAATCCCCATGGATGCGCTTCGTCGGGCTACGTTGGCCGGCGCGGCTATGCCAGCTACGTTGGACATTTCGATAAAAGTGCCTCGTTTGGGCGACGCCAAGGAGCTCACGCGGCTGTGCTTGGACTCGCCCAGCCGCTGGCTAGTGTAGCCATTGTCAGTGACCTTTCCTTGCCGGCGCATATCGTCAGCGCGTAGTTGGCCAGATTCCAGGCTGTCCAAGAACGGCTTCAGCGCCGGGATGCACGTTGTTATAATCGACATGGCTTGCACAATTTGCACGCACAGCACAACTGTCCATAATTCAAAGACTGGGTCGAGTATGAGAATCGTCTTGCTTGTCCACATGATTTGGTAGGCCACGGCCGGTATCACCCTGGTCTGGTGTTAGTGCTGCTAAGCTTCTGGGTCGCTGGAAAGAATGTACTTACAATACGCGGCTGCCGAATACGCAGAGCACAACAAACTTTTTCCTAGTGTTCATCTGTAGTCTCCCTATAGAATTGACCAGTAGCAAAACTATGCAAACGTCGGTTGCAATGTTGCCGGCTGATACAAAGATCCAAAAGACTTTGCGGTCGATACACTGCTCTCGCAGATAGTCCCACGGCCGCGGCATTTCGCATTCAAACATGGCGACGAATAGCGATGCGCCAGCCCATAGTGCAATAAGACCTTCGGTGCTGACAAGATATTTTTGAAAGCGGCGCTGAACGAGGGCCGATGTAGTGACTGCCATAGATATCTTGGCGAGGAAGATGCTCGTGATGAAAAGAAGATTCGCAATATAGCCAAACTAATACTACCGATTAGTAACATAAAAAATACAACAGTGTTAGATTGAAGCGAAATACCTTTAAAATATTGTCGACTTGGTCTATACTGAAGTCGTCGCTTTTCGTTCCGAGTCCTTGGGACACCTGTTGAAGCACAATCACAGATTGTGCCACTGCCGTTCCCTGTAAATAGTTAATATCGCCATTAGATCCCCCATAGAATGCCATACGTACCATTGAAACGACTATTAATCCATCGTCAATCTTGACGCGACCCGTGAGGATCAGCTTGCTCGCAATGCGAGCCACTGTGGCCAGCAGCGCCATCACCAAACACAGCCATGTTACCACTCCGATCAACGGCCCTTTATTCGTATCTGTTATTTGTGTGGGCGGAGGGGAAGCTGTGGCATTTGCTGCAGGATCCATGGCAGCAGCCGTTTGCCCCAACTAGAATGACACACAGTTATTGCGGTGTTGCTTCCTCTACTGCTGTAGTAGTAGTCGCGCAGATGCGAAGTTGGTGTAGTTGGAGAGAGGTGTTCAGGCGCAAACTGTAAAAGGAATAAAGCTCGCCTAAACCGGTACTGTTGCAATCGATTCGGTAATATGGCCGCCTGCCCTCATCAAATGATCAAGATGTTCTTCTACCAGTTGGCGGCCTAAAAGCGGGAAGAAACGAGGTTACAGTGCATGTGAGACCTAGTCGGCCAGCTCAGCAAGCAGCGCGGTAAGAAGCAAGACGCAGCCCTGTACAGCGTAGCGTTCCGAGGATGAACTTGGGCAAAATGAGTGAAGTGACGGAGGGTACTCTTGTATTGGTGCTGAGTGTAAAGGTACTCAGAGAGAAAAAGAAATGAGGATGCGCTCTGAAATATGAGATGTCATGGAACCAAGCGGTTGCATAGCGTGTCGTCCGTGTCAGTGGCCCTGGCCATCGGTGCACACTATTGAGGAAAGATGCCGGGCATGATGACTGACTAGGTTCATACTAGGTTAGATAATTGCACGCAAGCCACCAACTCGTCCCTGGTCCGTTCGCTCACTTGTTTGCTCTTAGTGCCTTGCGGCGCATGCGATCTCGGGGCTTCCAGCTAACAATGAGAGCATAGAGGAGGAGGGGAGTAGCATCTCGGCCAGGGCGTGTGAATAACCGTGGGCAAAACGGTTGGTCCCAGCGCAAGCATATCCTTGTTTGTCACAATCTATCGTCGACCAGGGCTGTGTTAAGTTAGTGCACCCGCCGCTCAGGCCTTGCAAGCCACCATCTGCTTGCTTGTTTGCACAAAAATGCCATGCAAACAATCTATGCAAATGCATTAAAAGCTGAGTGTATCCCCCATTGATGCAGTTTACCAAGGCTCCAAAAAGCGTAGTCTGGGACGGACTAGAACGAGGCGACGCCACACTGCGGGCGACGCGGCACGGAACGTCGAGCCTGCGCCGCCATTGAATGCGCTAAGCTGGAACTAGTTGCCCGCAGAAAAGATGATGCATTTGGCCAGCCACTGAAGAGCACCGGAGGGCATCCGTGACGATGGTGTGGAGGAGAAGAAGAGGGTCTGAAGTGGGCGCTAACGCGTACGCTAAAAGGGTGACGGCTACCAGCTGCACCAGGTGGCAACACCACCATGAGGGTGGGTTACCAATACCAAGATTCCCTGGGGGGGAAGGAATACGACGTGGTATAGGCGTGGCAAATATGCTAGAAAAAGATTCAAAATCGGTTAATATGTACCGGGACCATCTATAATAGTTAAGACTCTGGGTGTGGCTGTACTACACGCACACACCCTCGCCGCCTGGATTGATAGTCAACCACTACGGCTTGTCGGTTATCCTGTACTATTACCCAACCCATACACTTTGTTTCCTGGCTATATATCTATAGATTAATGACCTTGTCCCAGACTGGGGTTGATGTCGTGCAGTACGATGCCATGGGTCGACCTGTCAGCTACACTGAGATGCAATGATAATACGTACATGGCTACTACTGCAGCTATTGTAATGATTATTCATTAGATCTTAAAAATTGGTTTCTTACCCTATAATTGACTTTTATGCTGGTGACAGGATTCTGGATATAAGCCAGGACTACACCTAACTGGTATTTAGAAAGCGCTTCATAGTACACGGCTTATCACGAACAAGCAAGAGCTTTAAGAGAGTCGCACTATTGAATTATAAGCTGAGACAGTTGTTATTATGCTAATTATACTAACTAAGCCAAGGAAACTGTTTATTCGATAATGTTTTGTAGGACATCCTAGGGTGTGATACAAGTGTACGCTATAGCTGGCAAGGTCAATAGATGAACAAAAGGGAGTCTTTCTTGTATAACTTAGGCATCTATAATATATTGCTCTATATATCTCAACATAATTAAGTATACACTATAAGCAGGATGGATTTATTCCGAAGCTCTAATCCATTGTTAACGTGACCGTCAATCTATGATTGATATCAGGCTATCTCTACGAGCAGTGGCAGAAAACTAAGTTCTACGGTTTATTTGAAAAATAAAACAGCAATATCTAGAATCCGCAGGTATATCGTAAGTAAACTGGAACCGCAATATGTCATGACGTAGTGTCGAACAGGAGACTCCGCGTAAAGACTGGAGAGCCTTCGGAACATAAACCCGCCATTAGCCACCAGCCAGAATCGACGCAAGGCCAATGGCTGTAATAAAAATACCACTCTACCATTCCGTAAACCAATAAAGCATCCAGCAAAATAATAAAACGCTACTACAATTGGTAGCCGGAGAAACTTCCCGCCCGTTCTGCATTAACAGTGTCAGAACGCCGGACCTTGCCCCGCCGCCCGATACTTCCGAAACCGCCGCTTCGCTTCCACCGCAGCGTTAGCAAAGACAAGCTCCCCGATTTCGCCGCGGGAGTTTTCCAGTTAGCTTACTTTCCATCAGTCAGCCAATAGCGGTGGAGCTCTGGTGGGTGTGGACGAGCTGCCAGTGGTGGGAAAAAAAGCGGATTGTTGGGATCGCAGTGTGGATAACGATTGTATCATTACTGGTTTCGCCCTGTAGCACCGCTGTGGCCACCCGCTGGAGACGCCGCTGTGGCCGCTGCCAGCCTCCGGCCGGAGCGGGACTTTTTTTTTCTGTTATCGCCTCTTCCACCTTTTCTTACGGCTTCTGCTGCTTTCCCCTCTTTCTTCCGTCTTTACATCATCACCATCATCTTTCTTGACCGATTTTTTATTCACAAACAACTTCTTCTATCTCAAAATGTCCAACTCTCTCGAACAGCTCAAGGCCGCCGGCACCGTAAGTTGCTTTTCCTATTCTGGCATGCTTTCCAAGCTGCGATTCAACCCCTCCTTGACCACTGTCGTCATTGTCACTGTCCCCCACCATGGCATTTGCCCCTCGTCCTCGAAGCTCCGTTGAAGCTTTTCCTCCTTATGTTTGCCAATCAATTGCTGCTATTTGCAATGAATTGGCATCTATTTCGTCCATTATTTTCCCTTTGATTGAACCTCACTTGTCTTTTTCCGCGCAGCTTAATTGAATAAACAAATGGTCGGGCAGCAATGCTAACAAACGGTTCTACAGGTTGTCGTCTGCGACTCTGGTAAATTCCCGCACGCTCCGAATTAACAACCACAGCTCCTGTTTTGCTAACCATATATCCCACATCTTACAGGTGACTTTGCCAGTAAGTGAATTGTCCCGGTGAGGGCTGCGGTGCAATCCCTCGTACAGCAGCGACCGCCACTCCCATCCCGCTATGGGCCCATAATCAAGCAGCGTCGCTGACAAGCCGTTTTACAGCCATTGGCAAGTACAAGCCCCAGGATGCCACCACCAACCCTTCCCTCATCCTCGCTGCCTCCAAGAAGGCCGAGTACGCCGCTTTGATCGACAACGCCATCCAGTACGCCAAGGGTAAGGGTGGCTCCGTCGACGAGCAGGTCGACAACGCTCTTGACCGTCTCCTCGTTGAGTTCGGCAAGCAGATTCTCCAGATCATCCCCGGCAAGGTTTCCACCGAGGTTGACGCCCGTCTTTCTTTCGACACCAAGGCCTCCGTCGACAAGGCTCTTCAGATCATCGAGGTATGTTCCATGTGTGTCTTTATCAGTGAAACGTTGCTAACAGAGTATACAGCTCTACAAGCAGGAGGGCATCGACAAGGAGCGCATTCTCATCAAGATTGCCTCTACCTGGGAAGGTATCAAGGCCGCCGAGATCCTCCAGCGCGACCACAAGATCAACTGCAACCTCACCCTCATGTTCTCTCTTCCCCAGGCCATCGCCGCCGCCGAGGCCGACGCTTTCCTCATCTCCCCCTTCGTCGGTCGCATTCTCGACTGGTACAAGGCCGCCAAGAAGGAGGAGTACACCAAGGAGACTGACCCTGGTGTCGCCTCTGTCAAGTCCATCTTCAACTACTACAAGAAGTTTGGCTACAAGACCATTGTCATGGGCGCCTCTTTCCGCAACACTGGCGAGATTACCGAGCTTGCTGGCTGCGACTACCTCACCATCTCTGTACGTTGAACGGCATACACAACTAACGGATTCTGTAAACTAACTTGTGTTGTCAGCCCAACCTGCTTGAGGACCTCATGAACAGCTCCGAGGCTGTTCCCCAGAAGCTTGATGCCTCCCAGGCCAGCTCCCAGAACATTGAGCGCAAGTCCTACATCAGCGACGAGGCTCTCTTCCGCTTCGACTTCAACGAGGAGCAAATGGCCGTTGAGAAGCTCCGTGAGGGTATCTCCAAGTTCAACGCTGATGCCGTCACCCTCAAGAACATCCTCAAGGAGAAGCTTGCTTAAATGTTATGTGATATGACGGTGGATGATTGAAAAAGAACATATGTCGAATATAATTAAATAAAAATGAATTGATATCGATTATCCAGATTAACGGTGCAAAGGGCAGCATGACGCTATGCGACTATAGAACAACTAAATCTAATGGGGGGGTATTGGAATAAACATGACCATAGCAAATGATGGGGGGTATCGAATGAATCAATCGCAAAAAAGCAAAATGCCGCTCAGCACTGGACCTGTACAAGCTTTCCTTTGTAGCCCTTCTTGCTGCCTTGGAGGACCAGGGCCGTCAGCTTGCCGCCGTAGACGCACGCCGAGTCGAGGCCATATGTGTGTTTGCCCTGGCGCAAGCCGCGTTTAGCATCGTGTCCATAAACAATAGTACGCCTCGTGCTCTTGCGCTGTTGGTCCTGACGGCGGTTCCAAACGGGTGCCCACTGCTTGCCGTCGCGGGTATCAGACGGGATGGGTGCCTCGGACCGATCGTTGTAAAAGTCCAGCTGTGTTCTAGTCTCGTCGTCGTCTATCTCTACATCTTGGTCGTCTTCTATCTCGCGTTCGTAGTCGTCTGATTCAGGAACAGGATCCTCGTCCTCACTCCTACTGCGCAGTTCCTCTTTCGAGTACAGCAGCGTGCGCATGTTCATGACGGCCCACGGATCCTGCATAGCCGGCCGCACACCAGGAACCATTCCCGCATGCACCACATACATGGCCAGCTCCTCCATGGACAGAATAACAGGCAACTGAGCGATCCACTCAACTTGCTTCTTGCTGAGCTTCTTGCCCGTCTTGAGGAACTTCTTGGGGGCCTTGCGGCCTCTGCGGTGTGCAGCAAGCGCCGACAAAACATTATCTTCATGGTTTCCGCGAACCGCCGAAGCGTTGAGACGCATCAGTGTGTCGACAACGGCGCCCGAGTCGGGGCCCTTGTTGATCATGTCACCGGCGGAAATCACATGGTCAGTGGCCGCGTTGTACTTGGTCTTGGCAAGTAGACGGTTGAGCGGTTTAGCCATGCCGTGGATATCACCGAGAATAATAAGTCTGCGATCATTATCGGTGTCGGGGATGAGTTCTTTGGGCAGCGCGTAAATCAGGGTCGGACGCTCGAGGTATGCTGTGTCGACGCGTTGGCTGGCAAGGGCGGTGACGTCGTTGTGCGTGATGTACAGAAAGGTGGTGGTGAGGATGAATAGGGCGGCCGCGAGCAGGATGCAGAATGTGAATCTTCGTTCGCGGTCCATCGTGGCAGCTCGAAGGGGTTCCCGCGAAATGTTTGGTGTTTTTTTGAGGAGGGAGGGAAAAGAGGATGGTGTTGTTGCGTGGTATGGAAGGGGAGAAAAGTTTTGAGATTACAACTGGTATGGGATGTATATTGTACCATTTGAGACCCTTGGTTGCCGAAAGCGGAAACGTCGGATGTCGGGTGTAGGTGGGCGGACGCAGGGTGCCTGGGCTGGGTTTCCAGGAGGAGGATAGAGTGCCCGCTGAACAGATAAGTTTCTTTGTTTTAAAAAAAAAGAATTGCTTAAATTTAGTTTTACAAGGAAATAGATTGTGATTTTTACAAGTGGATGTTTGCCTTTAATGAGTTTGAAGCCGTTTACTCGGCAGGCGGTCATTCTACAGTGAAGATCTGAGTGAGACATCCAAGCGTGGCTCGCTGTAGAATGGCTGTCAGCCGTACACACACGCAAGCGAAGCACTGTAATGGGCAAAGATGGTGAGTAAACTATTGTGCTATAAACCCAGTAAATTTGCTTGAAAAACACACATTGTTCGTAAATATGTGCTAGTCCCAGGAAATAATTATTCTAGTAAGAATATACAAGTTAAATTTACCGCACATGAACTAATACTCGATTCTGCCCTCACATAGCCCAGCAGACCAGGCCACCGCCGAACACCGAGCACACAGCAACAGCCACCCCCACTACCACATCGGCCAATCTCGCCTCTTTCAACATCGCTATGGAAAACTACAAGGATCCCGTGGTCGCGGAAGAGGACGGCTGCTATGTTGCCATCACACATCAAGTTCTCAACTTGAATGAGATAACAGACAAAGTCCGGTCGCCAGCCGCCGGCGCCATTGTTCTCTTTGCTGGTGCGTGTCGTCGTCCGCCGAATTCATCACCTTGATACCCGACAGCCAGCCAGCGTACTTCTTTGCTAACACCATACATGTAACAGGGACAACAAGAGATAATTTCGATGGCAAACCAGTCAAAGAACTCACCTACACAGCCTACAGCCAGCTTGCGCTGCGCACCATGCTCACTATTGCGCGCGACATGAAGACCAAGCACGGCCTCAACGGCATCGCCATGGTACACCGTCTCGGTACCGTGCCCATTGGCGAAGAAAGCATATTAATTGCAGTCTCGAGTCCACATCGGCAAGCGGCATGGAGAGCAGGCGAAGAAGCACTTGAACTGTGTAAGGACAAAGTCGAAGTATGGAAGCGCGAAGAGTTTGACGGTGAAGAGGGCATCTGGCGCGCAAACCGAGACGGCCAAAAAGGAGAACGGATACAATAATCCGGAGTTTTTGAACAATACCACGCTTTACGATCAAAACATGAGCATACTGCAGGCTAAATATTTTGTGTTTAGCTGCGAAAGAAAACGTTTTGTATATATATCAAACAAAAAAGTACGCTATGCACATCATCCCCTCTATGTATGTATCCCCGCCCCCGCCGCCATGGAAAAATTCACCTATCCAGGTTTCAACGCCAAATATTCAAAAATAAAACCATGCTTCTAATTATTCCCCACGTCTGTTTCCAATGGATCGCGCTTGTATCGTATCGTCTATTTCTCGTACACAGGTGGCGGCTCGTTCATGTACTGGAACGGGCATGGCGGCGGGTGGCACGAGCTTGGGCATCGTCCAAACATGACTGTCAAACAAAATTCCGTTAGTACATTTTTTCAAGATCATTCCAGGGCGAAAACATACCGATGTGGTTGGCGTATGCTTCTGTAAAGGTCACATCGACGCCGAGGCCTTGTACGTCAATCTCCTCCATCAAGGCTGAAGGGTAGACGATGATGCCGTATTCCGAGTGCAGTACGCGCCAGAACTCTGAAGGCAGTCTGTTCAACTCTGTTAGTATCTTTTATGTTTCTGTCTCGCAGGATTACAGCTATACACACCTGTACTGCCCGCGCTTGATACAGGCATGGACAAACAGGCACAGCGTCTCGAGCACCAGCTTGCCCTCCTGGATGGCCTTGTCTAGCTGCGCATCCTCGAGCTCGTGCACGCGCTTAAGACGTTCTTTGGAGTAGAACATGGCAATCGACCAGCCCTTGGAGATTTTGTCCATGTTGGTCATCTCTTCGAGATCCTGCATCTGTGGTCCGTCCGCCATGGTGTCGCTTGTGGGTATGTAAAAGGTAATGATGGTATTCAATATGCGACAGGCTAGCAATAAGAAAAGAGGCTGAAAACTTTTGCAAAATGGTAAGCAAGCAGAGAAGGATAAGGAAAGAGAAGAAGACAAAGAAAAAAAATTGTTCCCCTCCTTTGCCCGTACTTGCCTTGCGCGTGAGCCCGTGAGCTTGATCATCAAGGTTCAACGACACCATTGGCGATGGCCATCAAGGTGCTTTAGCGGCATGTCATCATCACGCTACCCCGGACAGCAGCACTACAGTCGCTCCCAAGGCAAGGCAAAGACATTTTTTCACTCAAAATTTATTTATTCTTGTTTGATTTTGTCTTTTCTTATTCAGCTGCAACCTGTAACTGAGAAGACTGCTATCATGTTGCAGCGTGTCAGAGAAACCCGGCCACAACTTGAAGCCTGCTTCTGGAAGCGGACATTCAGGAATTTCTGTATTTGGTATTCAACAAAATTCTCCTTTGTTGCTGAAATGGGCATGAATCACTCGTTTTAGATCCTATACCATCGGACGAATCTGGGAATCTAATCCAGCGACTCTTCCCAATGATAAATTTTAGGTTAAGCGCTTCACTCCAACTTTTTATAGAGACTTTACAAATGTCAAACTTTTCTCAACACTGTATATTATAGTTCTGTTCATTCGAGGAGTAAACCGCTAGTAAAATACAAATTGAATTTCTCAGTAAATATATACATTAATCTCTTGCTTTCAATATGTTTCTTCGTCAAATTCTTCTTGTTCTAATACTCTTGCCTATATACACACTGAGAAGTACAAACAGAAGAGACTTCTTTATTACTGGTGGCAATGGAATCTACAACGAGGATTGAAAAGAAAATGAAGGAGCGCGTGAGAGAAGTCACTAAAAGAGCTACCAATAAACTCGCTAAGCCCTTCAGAACTAGGCTTGATAACTCTCCAAAGCATTCAACACCATTCCATGATACCCAAGGGTAGTGGAATGACTACCCAAGTCACTCAGCGAGCGCCCCGACCTTTGACACTAGTCGAAGGCTCCAAAACGAGGCACATTATGATAATATCTTTGCTTTACGCGCGTTAGCTCGTAAGCATTACAAGGATGAAAATTTGGAATTTTCTGCTTTACCTCAAGCGTTCCTCAGTTTGGGAGGCTGTCCTCATATCTTCGAACATATCCGCTTTGTAGATGGGGTCAATAACATAACAACGTTGGTTTATATCTGTAGGTAATAGCTACAATACGCAACTTGCTTTAATAGCTAATATTTCTCTAGATAGAAGCCAACGCAAGGAATCTCTCTTTCTCCGCGATGGTCAATCAGCAGAATCTACACCAGACAGCCGACTACTACCAGAATTAAGACTCTATGCCTAAATTTCAAGAGCTATTAAAAGAAAGCGACAGCACCTCTTCCAAAACCACTCACAGTCAATCTCCTACATCTTCAGCTATACCTGAGATCGATTCACCTAGAAGACAAGCCATTTGCGAGAGCGTAGGTAAATTTCTATTGCATACCCATTGATATTTAGTAATGTATTCTAGGTACGCCAGCGAGACGAGTATCGATGTGTAGTGACTGGAAATAGTGATCCTGAGGTGGCCCAAATCTTCCCTTGGTCAAGATACAACACACTCTCCTCGCTATGCAGACTAGAAAGTGCGCTTTCAGGCATGTTGTTCTTTACAACCAAGATCGCATCACGCAAGCTGAGAGGCTTGTCACGTCTAGTATTCACAGTCTCTATATTCCAGAGAACATGATTTCACTCGACCGCAGGCTTCTTTGTCTTTGGAGCAGCGGCCATATTGCATTTTGGTGGATGGGGGCAAGTCTATCCTTGGGCAGCAATATACCTATCTCTGATGGGGCTGGCCCGTCGGCTGTTCGCACTCAGGAGGACTATCGAACTTTGGATACAGATGCTGAAGATGTATTTTCCCCCGAAGCACTATGGACTGTACAGCTTCAGGTTCAATTCCACCCACGTTCAGGAGCGGATGTTATCCAACCTGTTCCTGTTGAGGATTGGGAAACCGATCTTGAGACGCGCAACACGCCAGATCGAAGGTTATGACATCCAGTGGCCCGTCTCCTCCTAGTGAACGCTTTTATAGCATTCAGCTATCCTCTGGTCAAATATTGAAATCAGGGCACAGTTTTACAATACAAGTCCCTACTGTGGAGTAGACACCATGAAATTGCTAACCCAGGTCCAGTGGTTCTGTGTCGCTGCATTTGCGTTGGCGGGAAGAGCCGGGCTAGATTTGCTAAATATAGATAATTACTTGGCTGATATAAGGGAATGGTGGACAAATGGCGTAGTGTTTTCTCAGCGACTAGACGATTGCGCATCGGTGGTTGAAGAGGATATTCCTGAGTGTCTACTCCCTGAGCCTCGTGTTAGGGTACGTTCACGCTCTTTTGTATTGTCCGAGCTGTCACCAGGAGCATGACGATCAAGTTTATAATGAACACAAACAGAAAATAGAATTTGAAATGTGTAAATTTTCATAGAATCAATGCGAGGCAATGCATATGCTTGCAATATACCGGACAGAAAAGTTGAAGTCATGATAGAGCCACCCAATACCGCTTAAAAAAAAGCCGAAGTTCCGTTGCCAGAGTCAATATAACGAATATAAGAAGAACAGATAAAAGAAATAGTACAAAAAGAGAAAGCACGACTGCTACTTCTACAAAGCGTAGTTTTCAGTATGCAAAAAGATCTCTTCCAACTCATCATCACCCCAAATCTCAGCCTGCAGCTTGGCCACAGTGTTAGCCACGCCAACTCTCATTGCAGGTGGTCCGCATACAAAGACAGCGGTACGTCTGCCTAGGATACCACGGCCATCAGTGCCTCCTGTTGCCCACTCCTTGAGCATATAGCCCAGCTCTGGTCGCCCGTATTCCATAGTCCAACCGCCGTCAATCTCGTGCGGAATGGGGAACGCAGAGCGCATCAAGTTCTTTTGGAACTCGGTTGGCGTCTCGGGGAATCCAAAGTCAAAGCCGGCTGGAGGTCCAAATGTTGACGTCGGGCGTTGCCCTGCGGCTGTATGCACATGTGCTGGCTGGGGTGGCTGCATCGCCGACAAGTCCTGCTCGTGCGGCTGCGTGCCAGGGATGTAATTAAAATGAGGAGCATTCTCTTTGCTCATAGCGGGAAAGTGGAATTCGCCATCCGCAGGTGGCTCATGCTGTTTCTTTTCTACAGGATAACCATTGTCGTTGACCTGGTTCTGTTGAATCGGGTGCTGATTGAGAGGCTGGGCATGGGAAGGCGACAAATGTTGGTGAGGTTGGAGGTATTGTTGTTGGGGCAGGGCCGTGATCTTATCCTCATTTTCTTCCCTCAGTTCGCGCTCGCGATCAGCATCACCATTTGCGACGTCTTGGATAAGAGCAGAGTTGCGTTTTGACGCAATACCCGCCACAAATCCATCAAGCTTGTCATGGAGGAGATGAGTGAGTTGTCGCTGGTTTGTGCCGTTTATAGGTGCTGTCATCTGTGCACCTGGGCCAGCGCGATCACGAACAGCTCCTGTGATGAAGAATTTGCAAGTGACACTCTCTGGAGGAGCAGAGTCTCTGCAGATTCGCAGCTCCTCGCGGAACCACTCCATCGAGTCAATCTTCTTCATCGCCCAGACCACCACGACTTTGCGCGTAATGGCCTTTCCATCACGCATGCGCTTGATAAGGTTTAGAAGCTGCGACATAAGCGCCGTGACACCGCTTCCACCAGCAATAAGAATGCACGTATCAAAGGCGGCCAGGTCGCGGCGCATGCCACCATATGGACCGTCCAGAAAGGCGCGATAGGTGTGGAAAGGGCCTTTTTCCAAGGCAGTGTTAAGCAGCTTGCGTGTAAAGCCGCCATAGGGGCGGAACACGAGCACACAGTCTCTATAGTTCTCTCCGTATTCCGAAGGGAAATCCTCACTGCACAGTGACGAGACAGTAAAAGGATGGTTCTCCAGCACAGAGATGGCTGGCATGCGAAGGTAGACGTATTGGCCTGGCTTCCAGCGTATCTGTGTAGGAATAGTGACCTTGATACAGTTTTCAGCCATGAGTGTGACGGCGGCTTCATCGCCAACAAGGAAGGAGAGCCTCCAGGGTCGAACCCAATTGAGGTTAAAGAATCTCATGATGTTGCAGAGCGCCCAGATAGCTATCGTGACGTACAAGTAGTTCCACGACATGAGATAGTTCTTTGTATGCCAGAATAGCATTCCCGTGTAGATGAAGCCAACAGGGACATGGAGCATCACGAAGAGCTCATATGCGACTCTTCGAATCCAAGGCAAAGATGCCAGGCACAGCCAGGCAAGAGGGACCATACAGGCAAGGCCGGTGCCATAGATGATACCGCTACCGTCTGGGAAGACCTTGTTGAATACAGTCATGCCACCATCTTCCCAGACAGGTTGAATGTAGAATGGAACCATGTGGACCAGGGACATGAACAGGCACAGATATCCTAACCAGCGGTGGAAGACGTTCAATCTTTCAGGGCCAATGCCAATAAGGACTGTCATGATGTTGGCCTTCATGCTAGTGGCGATAATCCAAGGTGTCATGGCCAGAGCAATCATGCCAGACCGGATAGCAATTGGAGGAGAGCCAAATCGAATGCTTTGCCAGTACAAAGGCTGTTGGAGGAAGCAAAAGAGGGTTACAAAGGCCGCGGCGATGAAGACGCTCATCAACACTGCCAGGGAGGAAAAGGTGAATCGCCATTTTCCAACCACAATATCCGGAATCGGTCGGTAAAAGACCCAGCGAAATAGAGCTAGGGTGTCATTGACAACGCCAATGGAAGAGAAGTGCGCTCGGGGTTTGAATTGCTTGTCGCCCAGTCCAATGCCGTCGGGGAAGAACTGGGCGGAGCTGCCTGTTCGAATCGCAGAGGTGACAAAGTTCGTGTCTACATTGTAGGTTGCTCGGTAATGGGCGTCAAGATCTTGCTTGAAGATGGCTTGGCGGATTTTGTCTTGCCAGAAATGCCACACACGCATGACGATGACTGTGCCCATCAGCGCAACGGCAAAGTATGTGAATCCAAGCGCATATTTGCCAGACTTTGACCACGGGTCAACGACATTTGCTTGCACGAGACCTGGCGGGCTCGTTGGTGTCAATGGTATATTGAGTCGCTTAGACAGGTCGACGAGGGTCTTGGTTGAGCCCAGTAGGGCGGCCTCTACGTTTGGGGCCATTGTCACCTAGTGTGGCGGCTCTCTGAAACTATTGCTGTAGCGACTGTGAGGTTATGGCAACAAAGTTTGCCCTTTTCTCTCTCCCTAGTAGAAGTGATGTTTTAATCGGGTATCGTAATGGTGTCTGTTGTGTGACGCTCGGTTGCTGCGGCTGGTGACATGCAATATGCCCCTTTGGTAAACGCAAAGAGGTGACCGTCGACGAAAGCGTAGGAAGCCTATCGTCGTTCTATGGCAGCGCTCGTAGCATGTACGGCGAATTAAACAGGGTGAAAGGCCATCAGGTCGACAGCGACGGTGAACAGTAGTCACTTGGCTTCTGGCTTGGGCGGGCCGGTGAGGAGACTATATGAAATTCACTCCGGGGTCGAAAAAGATGGGCAACCAACAAAGCGAGACCTGCAGACCCTCCTCTAGGTTGCATACAGCCGTGTGGCGGGCCACCATCGGATAGGTGCCGCTTTTCGCAACAAACTAGAGTTAGCGGTGATGGTCAAACACAGAGGGACGTGACACTAGCGGCCAGCCCTCGATGTGGCGACGGGTGGGTGTGAGCCAGGTGCATGAGCCAGCAAGCCAATGAGGCTGCTGTATTGGCCGTGGTGAGGAGCATCCCCGACCCTCGCGGGGGTCGGCGGCTGCTTGCGCAACGAGATTGGCTGGAGCTCCTGGCACCGATGGTGTTAGCGTTGCATCGTCACAATTTAGCCTGGCCAGGGGACCCATGAGGCCCAACGACGGTTGGAGAGCTGACTTGCAGACGATGAGCTGGCTGCCCAATAGTCGGTCGATGATTGATTCATGCGCGAGGCATTTATCAAAGAAGAGGCTCTGTTTTTTTTTGGGTCTCGTTACGGGCAAGTATGTTGGAGAAGCTAGCGTCGCTAGTGCCTATTGATGTGCATCCTGAGGGTGCATCGTGCGTATTCCCGTTGAAAGCTACCATATCTGATCCCTTGTCGTTCTCGAAAGGGTTATTGCAGGCGAGGCTCCTAGACAGCCGTTATGGCCAGTTGGAAATCCCTTCCTAATGTAGATTGTTTGCTTTAGTATCATGCATTGTAATGTGTTGGTGGCCAGCTACAGCCTACGCCTTTGCCCATTCCCATTCTGGGCATTACTTGTCAAACCCATGCGGGCATCATCCACGAATCGTGATTCTTTGTGTATATGTGTACTTTTTCTTACTAGTTTTCCATTTTGTCACGATTCATCTGCAAGTATAATGCCGCATTGACCATGATTTTCCACAGGGTTGCCAAGACTGATCCATCCCAAGATTGTTGTAGCTTGTAGGAAAAGTGACGAGAGGGCGGGGAGGCTTGGACCTGGGCGGCAATACAGACCCCGTGATTGGCCACAAGCACTGGAGCTGCTGCAGGCTGCTGCACGAACATACTGAGTGGCGTTGATTGGGCAAGCTGTGCGCGGAGAAGCGAAAAAATAGAGCTTGGAAATATTTTCTAGGAAAGAAGCTATCCTAATTGGTATGGAACCTCTGATTTCTCCGCCTCGCTTGTCTCTTTTCAACGGCGGAGCTGCATTAAGATGCAGCCACCAGAATGCAATTGACTAACCGTTACAAAGTTGAGGCATGAAGAAGCGCCGCGATGCAGGAATTAACACCCCGTTACGAATCGCTAGTGGTGTGATTGTATATTTCTATCCTATCTCAAAGATTCCTGGAGCTACTGCAAAATCAACTTGCTGCTAAAAGAAGGTTATTAAAAGAGGCGATACACATCTCAGTTTGGGTCCGACATGATCCTGTCTATGCCTGTATCAGATATACCAGTGGAGATAAATACCGTTTTATATAACTTATAGTATTTAAAATAAGAAAGTATTCAGAGAAGAATTTTATGAATTTATCCCAAGCCTCTGAAAGCGAGATGACGAGACCGTCAGTATGCAGTCAAATACGCTATACAAAGAAAGCTGTCAAGCGGGTAACGAAGCACGTCTTGGTTGAAAGCTCTCATCCCCCTCCCTGCAGAAGCAAAACTACCCTGCCGTCTATTTTCAACGACAATCTCTATGGCTCGGCTTTGCTCTAAGCGAAATGTGTCAAATCTAACCACTAATTCCGATTGATATATATTTGAGGGAACCTATATTACCTTCCTCGTATGTCTATTGTCTCTACGTCAGCGATCGCTTCAGTGTGGCTTGGGCGGGCCGTACCGTACTGTCACTTGCCATCTTCAACCATCAGGAATGTCACAACGCTTAATCGCTTCTACATTCATATACATATTTATATGTTCAATGATGAAATTACCCCAAGATAATATCTGGGAAAAGCCTCGCTGCGATACATGAAACACAGTAGCTAGCCGGCAATTCAGCGGAATACAGTCCAGGGGCGTGTTTGCATATGCACGTCAGCCGCCAAACCAGGGCATACACGAGCAAGGCTCTTTGCGCCACTGTAGAAATGGAGCAAAATATCTTTGATGACTTTCATCACCGGCTAAATGTTGACTATTTTTCTTCTTCCTTCAGATCAAATGTATCGCAGTTAACAACAGCATTAAGGCGGCAGCTTTGGAAACTGCTTTACTTGTCTTCGCGACTGGCGAGAGATATCCGCGCTTTCAGTCAGCCACATCCACAAAACGAATATGGACACGACCGCCAGTCTCATCGCCATTGTCGACCTTTCCTTCAAAGTCGTAAAGTACCTAAAAGAAGTGCGCGACGGAGGTAAAGAACGCTCCGATCTCCACAAGGAAGCCTTGAACGTCTACGACATATTCTGCAGCCTGCAGTTCGACTTTGAATCCCACGATATAAAGGAAGACACCCCGTGGTCGCGAGCAATCAAGCCGCTCTTCAAGGTCGGCGGCCCCATCAACCAGCTCCAGACGGTATTGGAGGAAATTACAGCCAAAGTTGTCTTCCCGCAAAAGAATGCCGTCGTAAAAAAGTTCAAATGGCCATTCCAGCGCGCCGATGCGCAGATCCTCGTCGGTCGCCTTCAGTCGTTTAAGCAAACCATCTCTGTGGCTCTCGACCGCGCCAATCTTCGAGTTGGACTAGACACAAACGCCGATGTGAAATACGTACGACATGTCATCGAGTCGGCCGAGCTGGAGACGGCCTTAGGATGGATATCTTCTCTTGATTTCCGCGCGTTACACAAGGCTGGTCAGCGAGCATCTTTGGGCGGCACAGGGCAATGGTTCCTCGACGATCCTCAGGTGCGAGGATGGTGTGAAGGTCGAACAAAGGCGCTATGGTGCCATGGTATCCCGGGCGCCGGCAAAACAGTGCTAGCAACGACCATGTATAAGAAACTCTTTAGCGAAAAGCTCGATACGAACGTGGCAGTGCTTGTTGCATACTGCTCGTTTGACGATGAGAGCACTCACTCTGTGTTCAACCTTCTCTCCAGTTTCATCAGGCAGCTCACGGAGCGGCGGGGTGAAATGTCAGAAGCTGTGAGGGCCATGTTTACAGAGCATGTTAAGGGGCGCATACAGTCGAGGCCGAGCCTGGAACAGCTGGTAAATACTCTGTCTGCTGAACTCAAGACGCTGGATAACACATTCATCATCATTGATGGCCTGGACGAGCTTCGAGATAATGCGCACAAGGCTGAGTTACTCCAGACTCTTGAGTCTCTCGATCCGCTGCCGCAACTAATGGTCACCTCGCGTCCTGTGCAGGCAATCCACACGTGGTTCACAGAAACAGCCAAGCCAGACCGCTATAGAGTGTCAGAGTATGATGAGCAAAACGACCAGGCTGAGTACCACTGCGATAACTGTAATCTTAGCGATGATGACTCGGATGGCTCGGATGACGGTACGTCGTCGGCCCCATCCTCGTTAGGCAGCAGCACGCTTGACTTTGACATTGTAGACGCCCACGACGCCGCAAAAGAGGACGCTGTTGGCAAAGAAGTCGACGCGCCGCAACAAGAAGATGATGAATGGAGATGGGCGTCATCCTATCGTTGCGACAAGTGCCAGCGCGACGTTTGTGTCAACTGCTACGAGAAGCATACCGTTTGTCTCGGCTGTAACAGCGCAAAGACGACATTCCAGTGGGCATGGCCGGGAAGTGTCATTATCACGGCGCATCTGGACGATTTGGAGCGATATATCTTGTGGCGGATAGACACCAGCGACAACCTAAAGGCGTTGCTTCAGAATGCCCGGTCCAAGGCAGCCAGTCTTGCAGATCAAATTGTGATACGCGTCCAGAGCGAGTCGTGTAAAATGCAAGGATTACTATCTCTTATCCGTTGGAATCATTTCAACTAACAATCATATAGGTTTCTGCTAGCCAAGTTTCACATGAATGCACTCGAAGAACAAGTCACAGCGAGAGAACTGCTCAACGCTCTGGAAACCCTGCCCTCCAACATCACCACTATATACGACAGCGTGTTTGGCAGAATTGGAAATATGCGACTAGCATCGACGCTTGAAAGACTGCTAAACATTGTAGCAACCGCTAGAAGACTCCTGTCGACGGAAGCCTTATCGCACGCACTAATTGTACAACCGGAAGATGTTGAAATCGACGAACTTCAGCTTTCCGATATACGACACCTGGCGGCCATGTGTGCAGGACTTCTTGAAATCGATCACTTTGGCTTTGTCAGACTGTCACATGAAACCATCGGACACTACATTGCCCAGAAGGGCCTGAATCAGTCCAAGAGTGGCCACCGAATTCTCGCTGAGATTTGTCTTGCCTATCTTCAATTCGACGCCTTTTCATCAGGAGCATGTAACGGTCCGGATCGCAAGGCATTAATTGACAAGCGCCGTGAAACGTATCCCTTTTATATCTACGCTACCACGCACTGGGGCATCCACGCGCGCCGTGCCAATGAACAAATGCCACTGCTTTTACAGAGTGACGTAGTCAGCAAGTTAGCATTGAGTTTTACAACGAAACTAGACCATGTGGCCGCAGCTGCCCAGTTTATGTGGCTCGACGATATCGAGACGTCGTCAGGATGGGACGCAGAATATGGTGTGCATGGGTTGCATATCAGCGCGTACTTCGGATTAACCGATACAGTGTCTGCTCTGTTGGCAACAAACACAAATGTTGACGTGGAAGACTGCTTGCAGACGACACCTCTAATGTATGCTGCTCAGGCCGGGCATGCGACGACCGTCTACGCCCTTCTCCATTCAGGTGCAGACCCAGGGCGCATTTGCGGACGGAAGCGCACAGCCCTGCACAGAGCATGTCTCCGAGAAAATATTGAAATCGTCAAACAGCTAGTCTCTTCCCCCAAGGATATTGCCGTGAACGCTCTGGACGCGAGATTCTACGACATGACAGCCCTTATGCTGGCAGTGGACCTCGACCTAGAAGATATGGTTAAGCTGCTACTCATGCGACAGGATATCGATGTGTCTATGGTTCGACCGAGTCATATGAGGCAGAATGCTCTCTTAATGGCCGTCTCCTTCGGGCAATGCAACATTGTGGACGTGTTGCTGTCTGATGGCCGAGTGTCCGTTGAATCGCAAGACGCATCTCGCCATTCTGCGCTGACACTGGCCTGCTACGACGATCTGGCAGACATGGCAGCTCTTCTTCTAAAGCATGGAGCTAGTATGGATGCGAAGGACATACACGGTGGTCCGCCGCTGCTTAGAGCCGTCGACGGCAACGGGCTCGAATGTGTTCGGGTCCTGATTGACCGCGGCGCTGATGTTAACTTCAAAGACTTTCACGGCCGCGGTATCTTACACGGCTGTGCCATCAATTCGCGAGCGACGATCCTCCGGCATTTGCTGCAAAATGTCAAGGGTCTCGATCCCAACATCCAAGACGACAATGGCAACACGCCGCTGCACGACGCCGTAGCCACGGACTCAGAAGCTGTTGCGCGAGTGCTTCTCGACCACGGTGCCCGTACCGACATCAAGGCCAACAACGGTCGGACGCCTCTCCGTGCAGCTCGTGACGCCGACCACGTAGGCCTATTTGAGCTACTGAGCGCTGCCCGAGTAAAAGAGATCAAAAATGCCGATACAGACTTACACGGCCCTGTCCGACAAAACACACTAAACGACAAGAACTACGTCATGCCCATCGATGCAGCGGTGCAGAGGCTAAGCGGCAAAGCACTAGATCTCTACCTCGACGAGATGGGTCCCGCGGCTGACAGTGCCATCCTAGATGACAAGCAGACCCTCCTACACATCGCAGCCGAGTATGGACAGACAGATAACGTTCGTATACTATTGCGCCGCGGGGCCAATATTCAAGCGAAGAACAAATGGGGCCTTACGCCACTGCACTCTGCTGCCCTCAAAGGCTGGTATGATACCGTAACAGTGCTGATTGAGGCAGGCGCCAACTTGAACGAAAGAGACATGTTTGACCGTACACCGCTCGCCTTTGCAACATACGAAATCAGGCAAACAGCGCTGGCATTTCTGCTGCTAAAGAACGGCGCTACTTTTGCATCCTACGAGGCAGACTCGCTGCTGCCTACTCTGGCGCACGCTATTGATGCCAATGAGCTGGAGGTGGTCAAGATTCTTGTTGAGGGCGGTGTGCCGTTCCAGATGAAGGATACATACCGCGCCACGCCGTATCAGCGTGCTAAGCAGGCTGGGTTGGAGGACATTGCGCAGTATCTGTACGATCAGGCTCGCGCGGAGAAGCGACAGCGACGGCAACAGCGGGAGATGAAGCCGCCCTCCGCAACTGAGACGACTCTTTCATTGCCTCCACAATTGGAAACGGAGGGGACGCTGGTTCAAATGCTGGAGACTGAGAATACAGTGGAGGTCACGAAATCGACGCCACCGGAAGTAAGCACTACAGCAACTGTCTCGAAGGCCAAGGAATTGAAAGAATCGTCTTCGAAGCCGGTTCATACAAGGCTTGGGTTTACAGAGCGGGAGCTAGTACTATTAAGTGTAATAGCATTGCTCATAGCGATACTACTTTACACGCGAGCCTGAAATACAGCGTTGTTGGTTTAGGTCAGTTAGTTATTAACTTGAAAAGATTAAGTTAACGTTATAAGTCAACTTATATTAAATTATAAAACAGTATTAAAAAATACAAAGATGATTTATCAACTTATAGCAATTATTTATTTACCGTTTTAATTTTCTTTTTAATTATTTGCAATAATATTCAGTAGACTGGCCGATTTCCTGTCACATCCGTTTTAAGAAGTTTGGTGAAGAGGCTAGCTCCACATAAATGTTGTCGCCGCTTTTTTTTCAAACCTCATCGTGGGACACCAAGCAGGCGACATCGACAACCAACATCTAATCACGAGCCAATCGCTGCGTCCGATACCCAAAGCAGTGTTTATTATACCCTCGTTTCGCAAGAATGGCACCTGCAGTCGGTCTCTCTAGGGCCACGTTTGCCAAACTCTCCCCACACCCATATCTACTTGCCAACCTCGAGCCAGCAAACGACGATGTTCCTCCAGCGAGAAGTAATGGCAGGGCGCCGCAGGAAGTCCGACAACCAACAGTCAACCTCTCAAGTCTCTCACATGCTCATGGAAGTGCGGTTGTCCGTATGGGCGACACCACCGTCATCTGCGGTGTCCGCGCAGAGTCCATCCTCACATCCAACATCCCCAACTACCGCGAATCAAATACCGAGTCAGAGCTGAGAGACTACGATTTACTGGTGCCGAACATTGAACTAGCGACAGGCTCAGCACCGCAGTTTCTGCCAGGTGGTCCCCCTACAACATTGGCTCAGACTCTTAGCACTCGCGTCTACTCCCTCCTTCAAAGCTCGAAGCTCCTCGACCCCGCCGACCTAAGAATATGGCATAAACGTATGAGCGACTCCAGCCTTGCAGACGATGATGAGGACATGGAACAAGACAATGCTGTCGAAGTTTCAGAGGATAAATACGTGGCTGGATACTGGGTTCTCTATGTCGATATCTTCTTCATCTCCTTTGACGGAAACCCATTCGATGCCGCCTGGGCAGCTACTTTGGCGGCGCTCAAGGATACCAAACTCCCTCAAGCAAGATATGACCCAGACCGCGAGATGATTGTCTGCTCCAGACAAAACCCACAGCAGCTCACTATTCGTGGCATGCCAATTGCCTGTACAGTCACTGTGTTTACTGGCAAAGAGACGGATCGCCCAACAGACGGAAAATACTGGCTACTTGTTGACCCTGATACTCTCGAGGAGTCTCTCTGTGACGAGAGTCTTACCATTGTAGTAGACTGCAGCCAAGGGTCTACCAAAATATTATCAATCTCCAAGCACGGAGGAACTACACTGACGGCAAAGCATTTGCGGTCCAAGGAACTTATGGCACTGGCCGCAGGTAGATGGAAGGACTTTGTGGCCGCAATCGACGGCAGGCCGTAAAAGTTTACATCACCATAAACAATAATAATAAAAGAAATCATAAGAAAGCATTCACAACTATATTCGACATCGCATCGCATATTCTCAGAGTAAACATCGTACAATGCACAGGTCACGGAGTAAAATGTGTCAACCATTCGAACCACCCTTTCAGGCTTAAATTCTAGGGCAGTAGATACCGGCCGACCAAAATCAAAAAACATTTCTCTTCCGCCCAAGTCCGAACGAGGCCGCTGCGCCACTGCATCCGAAGATGCGCAAGTCGCTACGTGCAAGAGTCAAACAAGCGGGTTGATGAGAAAGAAGAAGAGAAGCTCTCCAGAAATTCGCCGCCGCCGCTTTTTTGCACGCCGCCCAGCGGATTCCACGGCCATACAATTTTCCCTTCCCCACTTTGCACCGTTCAAACCTGTTGCTCATATTTTTTTTCTCCAACCTTCCAGGCTCCTCTTCTTTTCTTTCTGCCCCAAACAACCCCCATCCGTCTCTGCATCAAATATTTGCGTGCAGCATGGAGTCACTCTCTGAGACTGAGTGGGACGTGGTCATCAATGGCACGGGGCTTCAACAATCCCTTCTGGCCCTGTAAGACTACCGACCCCCAGCGTTTACCGTTTTTTGCATCTGCTTTGCTGCCATCCTTTCTTCGTTGCGGCCAACTGACTTTGTGTGGTCAAGGGCGCTCTCACGGTCAGGAAAGAACATCCTTCATGTCGACCGCGATGAATGCTACGGAGGATCCGAGGCGGCGCTAAGCTTGCAGGACGCGGACGAATGGGTCGAAAAGCACAAGGAGCCGGGCACAAATAGTGTCTTTGCGGCGGCCGAGGTGAAAAAAAGCGACGACGGCTTGTCTTCTTCGCGAGCATATAGCTTGGCGCTTGCGCCGCAGCTTATTCATACGCGCTCCGACTTGCTTGCCAAGCTCGTTTCATCCAAGGCTTTCCGCCAGCTGGAGTTTCTGGCTGTCGGCTCCTTCTACGTCTATCAGCAGGCTGCCGATGCGGAATCAAAGCCGACACTGAATCGGATTCCTTCGACGAGAGAAGATGTCTTTGTCAACAAGGTCATTTCTATGAAGTCCAAGCGTGGCTTGATGAAGTTTCTCAAGTTTGTGCTGGACTACAAGGCTGAAGAACAACTCAACGTTTGGACGCCGCACAAGGACGCTCCACTGTCAGAGTTTCTGGCGTCGGAATTCAAGCTTGATGAGATGCTGCAATCCTACATTGTCACATTGACAATGAGTTTGGATGGTAAAGTGTCAGTCGAGGATGGCTTGAATGCCATTAGCCGTCACTTGACTTCCATGGGCGTCTTTGGGCCTGGATTTGCTGCCGTCTATCCCAAATGGGGTGGTTTATCGGAGGTTGCCCAAGTGGGTTGCCGCGGCGGCGCTGTCGGAGGTGCAATCTACATCCTCGGAACTGGCGTGGACAAGGTTGAAACCACCGAGGACGGCCAGCCACTCTCCGTTACGTTGACAAATGACCTGACAGTCAAGACAAAATCTTTCATCCAGGGGTCCGCAGAGGTCGACAGTGAGGCCACTACCCTCAGTCGTTTGACAGCTATTGTTGATTCGACTCTGAGTAATCTCTTTGAGGTTCTAGTTGAAGGTGCACCAACACCTTCAGCATCCGTTGTGGCATTCCCAGCTGGCTCGCTGTGCAGTGCTGATGGTAATCCGTCATCGGCTCCCATCTACGCAATGCTGCATTCAGGCGACACTGGCGAATGCCCGAGTTCACAGTGTAAGTTACATCCTTTCTGTTACCACCACAATACCCAAGCGTGTTTATGATGAATCAACGAATACGAATACTTATCTACATTGTCTGATTTACAATGACGATGAATCTTCTGACAACCTGATTGCACGCAATTTATCACGACTCTTGTTAGCTGCATCTACTTGATGAATACTCGCTAACATACATCAAACAGGCGCCGTATATCTCAGTACCATCCGTACGTCATCTTCAAAAGAGCTCCTAGAAAAGGCTCTTGACGAGCTTCTCCGTGCTGCTGGGGATGAAACCCCAGCTGGCAAGCCTCTATATCGTTTATCGTATGAGCACTCTGGCGTCAAGCATCCTTCGTTTGCAACGCAGGGTAAGACGGGAACCTTTAGCGCTCTTCCTCTCGATCTTGCCTTCAATGACAGCACTCTACGCCCTGTTGAGCAGGCATGGAAGTTCGTTGTTGGCAAGACCGACGAAGAGTACATGGTGTTTGAGGACCGCGAAGGTGTAAACGATGAAGATGACCGCTTTGACTAGATGTGATACCACCTAATGAACCTCATGTATAACGAACGAATAAATCAATTTCCATTATCTGATTATACTTTGAGCTCTTCCCATGTGACGTCGCAGTTTTTCTTCTGATCTTAATGTTAAACCAAGCCAAGCAACCCAACGCCATTTTGTATCCATTGCATAACCATTAGTTCCTAGTACCCAGATTCCATATAAGTCAGTCAGTCATCGCGCCCATCGACCTTGGGCAAACCAATGTAAATCTCGCCAAAGGCTTCGCCATCATCTCTGCCATCCTGCGTAACCTTGACGATATTCTTGGACGCCAATCCTAAAACATGAAGAAACGCCTGTGCAGCCACCGCTTTGGCATCGTCCGCAACTGGCGCCAGCTCCGTAAATGCCACCCATCGATGGCCGTCGTCCTCGTGTCCATCCTTGCCTACCATCTGTCGAATTGTGTACTCCAGAAAATCCTGGCTAGACACATCGAGGCCTTTATCAAAATTAAGAGGAAATATGTCGCCAATTGAAGAGTCCAGACTAACATCTCCGAGAGCCAGCGTGGGCTCTGCAGGATCACTTCGTCGCTCGACGGCAGCTAGGAAGCTTGTAGTGCTGCGAGCTAGTAAAGGTGACGGTGCTACAATTGAAGATCTCTTTGCACTCCCATGAATAGAAGAACTAGGAGGAACAGGACCTGCTGATCCTGCTCTAGACCATGGCATCAGCGATGACGAGTGGTGGTCTGACATAGGGGGTACGACGTCCATGCCTTGCTCCGAGAGCCAGTCCTCTCCCAATGCAAGAGCTTGGGTTGACTCGGTTACACCGCGGCCAACTTCACTTTCTGGAGCACGCTGCAAGGTATTGAACCCTTGGCGAGATGTCTGTCGGGTATGGCGCCGCTTGGGAGTTCTTGGCTCGTCATCATCGTCAGATGAGTTTGGATCTTCACCACGAAGACGGGACATCAGTGCAAGACCGGAGAACTGCTCTTGGAGAAGATGAGAAGTCTCTTTGCGGTCAACCATTTGACCTACCCCTGCAATACCATTGTTCAAGACAAAAGCTGCAGCAGATTTCCTGCATTGAGCCGGCGTATAGTGATTCTGACGACTGGTAGCGTCGAGCATGAGCTGTGGATAGGATTTATTCCAATGCGAGATCGTGCTTCTGGAGACTTCGGTAGCTTCGTCTACAAGTACCCCTGGTCTGGCTATGCGTCGCCGCTTGGGTCGGGGAACTTGGGTCGATTCTTCGATAGTGTCGGGCTCAAAAGCGTCTGGCGAGGGCCGTTTCTTCGCTGCCGTCGTTGGAAATGGTTCTGCTTCAGGTAGGCCAGGTTCATCAAAGATAAGCGGATCATCGAGACCAGGTTGACCTGTCGTAGGGTGTTTGTCCACAGAACTACCTCGGAGAGGAGGAAGTGTAGGCTCATCAAGAATTTCAATTAAATTTCCCTCACCGTCAAAGTCTAGCCCAATGCCTTTTATTTTATCGAAATCGTCTTCAAAGATGGACATGGGCTCCACTCCAAGATCTGATACATTGGTTTGCTGCGCAAACGGTGAGCTGTGTCTGAGAAGGTCTCTTGGAAGACGATAACTCGCTCCAGAATGCGAAGACGGCGGGAGGTCAATGCTAATCAAGGATGCCTGGCGATGTGCGTTTCTTTGGAGACGAGTAAGTGCATCGAGGGGCGTCATTTGCGAGTTACTGAAGAGTTCACCTTGACTTGGGATGCCAAAGTCAAGGATGTCCTTGTTCAAGTCTAGAGGTGGCAACAGGCTTAAAGGATCAAAGCTCGGGTCATCTTCGAGAGTGATGGCTGAGCGGCTGTATTAAGTTAGTTAAGGCATACAAACGATAACAAGGAGCTACGAACTTTGCTTTCCCGACGAGTTGGTTTGTCTCGGCATGTTGCAGATTTCGAAAGAAGGTCTTCATTTCAGACTGGGTTCTCTCTGCGTCGGACAAGACGTAAGCGCATTGCTGCGAGTACACTTTCGATACTCCATAGAGAAGTTTCCCTTGAAGTCTCAAGGCCAACGGCGGGCCTGGTTCGAGAATTGTCTCACAAGCCTTGGGGACGTTGACATCTTGGATGGCTCGTTTGCTCAGCTTTTTGGGCCCAGTCTTGGAAAAGTTGGCTGCAATCCTGTGTTTTGTTAGTAGAAACGATATAAGCTGAATAACACTATGACTTACCAAATGGTAGACACCCCATACTGACTGCTTTGAAGAACTTTGAATTGTAAGCATATGTGGATGAATCTTAACAGGCAATCTTACTTTGATGACTATAAAACATGCTGAAGATGGAGCTTGTAACCCGTGAAGCCCAACCAAGTACAAAATGATATCCCAAATAAATTACCTAAAACCCATGTAACCGAAGTAGAGTCTTTCGCAATCACAGTTAACTAGCAGACGAACGAAAGATCATGAGAAAGAAAAAGAAGCCAGTCGAGGAATAGACGTCGTGTTCAACCGCGCCAGCTTGCCAGGTGCCAGCAGCTGGCAGCCCTTGAGACGCGATCTGACATGCAACTGAGTTTGAGAGCGTGGTCAAAAAGTAGAACGTTTATTTTATTATGCTTCATTATCCCGTTTATGTATTTTTATTGGCATCCATGTAACCATCATTGGCTAGCAACCTCATCAAAGTTAGATCCAGTGAGCTTCAAGAAAGCCTCCTTATACTTGTCCGATGTGGCCCTGCAGATATCCTCGGGCAGGGTGACGCCCTCCTTGCCCTTGAGGCCCTCCTTGATCAACCAGTTACGAATGAACTGCTTGTCAAAGCTGTCCTGTTCCTTGCCGACCTCGTATGTGTCTTGGCGCCAAAAGCGAGAAGAATCCGGGGTCAGAACTTCATCAACAAGGTAAAGGTTGCCCTCGGCATCCTTGGCAAACTCAAACTTGGTGTCGGCAATGATGATGCCACGCTCAGCGGCGTACTCAGCAGCGTTGGTGTAAATCTTAAGAGCAAGCTGGTGGACCTTATCAGCGAGGTCCTTGTCGCCAATCTCCTTCCACGCATCGTCGGGATGGATGTTCTCATCGTGTTCGCCAGCAGGGGCCTTGGTGCTAGGCGTGTAAATGGCCTGGGGGAACTTTTCAGAGAGCTGCATGCCAGCAGGCATCTGAATGCCGTGGACAGTACCCTTGGCCTGGTACTCTTTGTAGGCGCTGCCGGTCAAGTAGCCGCGGACAATGGCCTCAATGGGAAGAACCTCGAGCTTGCGGACAAGCATGCTTCTGTTCTTGACCTGGGCAGCCTCGGCAGCGGGGACAGAGGCCGGAAGGTCAGTGCCAATGAAGTGTGTCTTGAGGTCAGGGATACGCTCAGTCAAGACCTTGAACCAGTGAGCAGAGGCGAGAGTGAGGATGGCACCCTTGTTGGGAATGCCATTCTCCATGACGACGTCAAAGGCCGAGACTCTGTCTGAGGCGACGAAGAGCAGGTTGTCGGAGTTGGGGACGACGAAGAGATCGCGAACCTTGCCGGAGGCAATCTTCTCCATGGAGGGAAGGTTAATTGTGGTGAGAGCCATGATTTCTATGTGGTCGTGGGTTGAGTTTTGGTGAGTTGCGCTTGAAGCGAGGCGTGGACGAAGTTCAAGGTTGTGAAATTTTATATGCCGTTTTAAGGCGTGCGAGTCACTGAGCGAATTTTGCAGGCGGCGTGCAGTGCTGGCCCCCACTGATGGGCAAAGGGCGCAGACAAAGACAGACGCTAGCGAAGTCGGTATAGCATTTGTAATTTTTATTAAAATAACTTCACCAAACTTGAATTATAGACAAAGTGTTTCTTGTTCTTTCTGTCGTTGCATATCTGGCAAGGGTCGTGGTCGGACTGGCTTACAGCCCTGTCTGCCGGCTTACACGAGCTGCCCTTGTTGGCTCATAGCACTGACAGCACATCCCAGCGTGGGCGACAGTCAGGGTAAGTAGAGGGCCATTCCTAGCCATACAAGCTGTTTAACGTGTTAACCTTGCCTGGTGCTATTTAGTTGGCATTTTATTTCTGCAGCAATTCGCCCTACCCATGGACGGCTTCTAGAAGCCAAGCTCCATGACACCATGCTGACCACCACCCGCACCGCTACACTAATGTATTTAATTGCGAGATTTGGCGATCGTACGTGCACCAGCCATACATAACCCTCGGATACAGGTCCCAAAAAACGCCCATCAGCAAACAGCTGAGTTCAGCTCGGGATGCCATGCACCGTTTCTGCAACATCACGTGACTGCTCTCACTCACGCCTCAGTTGGGCCAGTGCCAATATACCTCGGAAGTTCAGAACGGAAAATTCCCAACGTGGATTTCAATCCGCTCTGATCCTGAAAACTTGCAGCATGAGGCCTTCGTGAACCCTCGCCCATTCGCTCCCTTCTCCTCCGAAAGCCCATTCCCGTGATCGGAGCCTCTCTCTTCACTCGGCCGATCAGATCCTTCCCGATTGCTGGCGCGCTGAAACGCCTTTTCTGCCCCCATCCACAGCAATTCCCCCGGCAGGCAAAAACTGGCCCAGGACAATCCACACCACCCCCATTGTTTGTGCCACGCCGTTGCAGCACATCGCCAGCACCAGGGACGCAAAGCATCGTCACCAAAAAAAAAATCGCCATGCAGTCCGACGGTGGTGACAGTCCAATGGCGGGTGCTGGTGAAAAGCAGCCCGCCTTGGGACCGCAGGGTCAGCCCATCAAGCGCAGAGCGCCCATTGCGTGCCGCAGGTAAGCCTCAATGCTGAAGATTCTTGGCGCGGATCTACGACCAGGATGTTGACACATTATGCAGATGTAGGCGAATGAGAAGCAAATGTATCCATGAAAAAGCACAGCCGCCGTGCAAGTCGTGCCGTGAGGCAGGATTGGATGCGGAAGACTGGTAAGTCGAGCAGACAGACAGAGAATGAGCACGTCATAGATCTCTGCGGCATGACACTAACACATACTGTGACAAATTATAGCCAGTTCACTGCCAGAGGCCAGCCAGACAATGATCGTGATTATCGCCATCCAAGAACAAGATCAGATAAGAAGCCGTCGTCCAAGGCTGCCCGTAAACCAGAGGCGGCCTTTGATCCTTGGGCGGGCTTGCCCCCCGTCCCTGACCTGGTGGATGGCGTCAACCGCTTCACGCGGTACTACTTCCAGTTGGGATTTCTCAACAAAGTCCAGTTCCCTGAGAAACTACTCAGCAACCCCAAAAGTGTCAATGTCTTCCTTGTGCTCTCTATCCTCAGCATCTCGGCCCGTCTCAGTCCGTGCCTACGAGATCGTTACGGAACAGGCATCCACGCCGCCGAGTTCTTCATGGAAAAGGCGCAGGACGTGGCCACTCGTGAAGTATACGCAGAGCCTACTCTTGAGCGCTGTCAGGCCTTTTATCTACTCAGCATTGCACAGCAAGGCAGCGGACTCCGCAACAAAAGCTATGTAAGTGGGCTGCCGTACGCCAATCTCCCTTAACGTCACTAATACCAACCTACTTGTAGATCAACATGGGCATCGCCGTCCGCATGGCCACTCTCATGATGCTGCATCGTGAAGAAACATACCAAATGCAAAATCCTACTCCCGAGCTCGTCATGCGTGCTGAATCAGCCCGGCGCACTCTTGTAAGCCAATCCTACTATCATCATCCACCACAACCATCCCCCTTGTCCTAACCTTCTACTAGTGGATGCTTCACAGCCAAGATAGCCTTCATTCAGGGCCGTTATCGCCCGTAACCCTCGCTGCATCAGACATCACAACTCTGCTTCCCTGCGATGAACAATCCTTCTCCCAGGGCATCGAGCCCAAATCCCGCGCTGCCCTGGACGGCACCCCTCCTGCCATTGAGAACCCAGCTCTCATCAACGACCCGAACCGCTCCCTCTTCGCCTCTCTGATGCAGCTCCACCACCTTTGGGGCATCGTCGGTCGCCGAGCAGTCACTTATGGCAAAAGCTCGCGGCCGTGGGAGCCAACCAGCGGCTTCTCACGCATGGCTTACACCCTGTCTCAATGGGAAGCCTCTCTGCCGCACGAACATACATGGAGCGCGGCAAACTTGAAAAAGCACAAAGCTGACGGCGAAGATCTCGCATATCTCTGTGTCACAATGATGACTCGCCTCTGTAACATTGTCCTCCGCCGCCCATACCTCATAGAGTATGTTCTTTTATATCAATCTCATCGTATCTTATCTGCTAACATCGCCAACAGCGTTATCAAACGAGACCACAAGGATCCCGCACGCCACCACTTCTTTACCACCCTATCTGCAGATCTCTTCCGCAACGTCGAGGAACTCTACGTCCAGATCGACGCCCAGTTTACTGACCGCACGCCCGACGAGAGTGTCGGTGCTCAAATTGCCGCCTTCTGCGTCTACTCGTGTGGTCTCTTTGCTACATATCTCTGCAAATACCCTTCCAGTATGCTATTCGCCTCTTTTCCCTTTACAAAAACAACCATACTAACCAGTCCAGTCTGTCCCAACACATCCACCTCGCAAAAGGGCCCAATCATGCTTCGCCGCACCGTAGCTATCCTCATGGAATGCAAGGACGTCTGGCCACTGGCTGCTCGTTGGGCCGACGCACTCGACAAGTTCTCACAAGACCCCAAGGCAATTCCATCACAGTCGTCCATGGACGATGGAAAGGATCCGATCCCACAACCCATTCACCCTCTGCAGCTTCCGCCACTTAAAGCCGTCACGGCTATCCCTCCCGCCGCCCAAGAGCGCACCCTACCGCTGCCTATTCCAACACCAGCAATCTCCCCATCAACCCAGTCGCCGGCTCTTCTTCCTTCGCCTCGAACATCACATCCTACCCATCCGTCTTACCCGCAACCACAGCCTCAGCCTCAGCAAGCCATAGTGAACCAGCCCTTCCAACCAGGTTTGCCCTCTGACTCTCTTCAACATTACAACGCTCCCCAGTCGCAGTTCCAATACCAGCAGCAATTCCCCCAACCACAACAGCAACAACACCAGCAGCCATATCTACCTCCAGCAGCACATGGCCGTTCCTCTGTAGATGGCATGGGGATGCTAGTCAGTCCGTTTGAGAGCAGCGCTCCTCCCACGCCGCATCTGCTACAGGGCCCTGCGATGGGATCTGTTGCCGGTATGACTGCAGCTGCTGCGGCTGCTGCTGGACAGTACTTCCCACAAATACCAGTCGTCAACGATGGTTATGATGGAGAATTGCAGTTCTACATTGAAGGCGGGCAACCAACCTGGACAATGGGCATGGATACGTTTTCGGGTTCAACATTCTAACCATGTCATTTACATATACTCGCCAATTTTGTCTGTACATAGTTAAGACATTTAGATTCACAGCACATAGATGAACAGATTCTTCAATATAAGGGGTTCAAATAAGCCTCTATAAACCAGGCCCAATTCTTCATTTCTGAATACTTGTTTGCATTTACAGAACGCTATTATCCTCCCGGAACAACTCAACCACGATCACTTTCTTCGGTGCGGCTCCAAAATGTAGCCTCCTCAAGAAGCAACCGCACAGGGACAACGCAAAACGGGGGGTTAAAAAAGAAACTTAAAGAAAAACAAATCCAGTACTCCGGTTGTTTTCCCTCTCTACATGACTTTTGAGTTTGTCGCCGTCGCATAATCTAGCGCGTGACATTACATGACTTCTCTATTCCATCCATGTGGCTTAAACATTGCGAAAAAAAAAAAAAAGACCAATAAAACCAATAAAAAACAAAACGCGATGAAAAACTTGTGCTGGGCAGAGGGGGGTGTGCAATGAATGGGTGATATGAAGGGGAACTAAAGGCGTAATATGGGTAACTTTATGAAGTGAGTTAAGAAATATGTAAGACAGATAGTTGCCTGGGGGGAAGGTGTCCGTGTAGTGATGTGTAGCGTCGTGATTGGGGTATTTGGATGACGGTGATGAGGGATCTATTTACATTAATAAAGGCGTGGGGATCGTAGGGGGTTGTTGTGACGTGGTGCAGGGGAATGGGGATGTGGTTTGGGTTTGCCAGTCAAGAGCAAAAGGCGTTTAAGCCATGGTGCTCTGACCAAGCTGACGCTTGACCTGCTCGCGGGCCCAGCGGGCAGTCTCAATGGTTCGTGGCTGGTAGTCACGGTTGGTCTTGGTCTGCTTGATCATGGTGGTGAGCCAGTCCTGGCGGAAAGCATCAACAAGCTCGCCGTTGGGGTAAGCCTCGGCAAGATCGCCAATGACACCCATGGAGGCACGGAGCAGAGACTCGGTGCGGTTGTCGTCGCTAGCAATCAAACCAAGCAGCTGGAAGACATGGGGTATGTACTGCTGCAGTGCCTGAGTCTTGCCGCTGGACTTCATGGCGCCAATGATGCCTCCCCAGGCATCCATAATGCCCTCGCGGAGGGAAATGACGTAGTCAATCATCTCATAAGGACCATCGGGGGCCGCGGTGATGGTAGAGGCCTGTTCAAGGACCTGGGCGACAACGGTCAAGTATGTCTCAAAGTGACCGGTAATGGCGCCAGCAATGTCACCAAAGCACTGTAGGATGGCGGGCTTGAACTGGTTGCCCAACGTGGTGCTACGCAGGTTGTTGAGCAGGTGGTTCATAAAGTTGTCGCAGTACGGCTGGCTGCGCTCGCCAAGAGAACGAGTAATGTCGCTGACAAGGCCGATAGCCATGGAGCAGAGAGCAGGCTCGTCCTGGTTGCCGAGAGCGTTGTAGAGGAAGGGAGAGAAAGCCTCCATGTAGTTGACAAAGTCCTCCTCCATGGCAGTGGACAAAGCGCTAATGACAGCAAAGACGGACTCGGGGACCGAGGACTTGTTGCCGACAGTAGACAGGATCTGGAGAGCAATCTGCATGATGCGGTCACCCTGGGGAATGATTTCCTTGTCAAGGCGGGAGATGATGGCCTGAAGAACAGAGCACAAGCTGTTCTGCATCTCTTCAAGAGTCATCTTATCTTCAACGCTGACGACCTGCTGCTGAAGGGGAATAGTCTCCTCAAGTCTCTTGACAATCACGTCAGAGAGGGAGGCAACGGCCTGCAGGCTGTCGGTGGCGGCACTCTGAACAAAGGTGTTGAGAACCTCGTACGCAGCAGTGCGGACAGAGGTCTCAGCATCCTGACGGCTGGTGACATCGAGAAGCGAAGTGACAGCCTGGTTGAAGTGAGGGCTGAGGGCGTTGGTGGCAGCACCAAAGTCGCCGGCAAAGCGCTCGGCCAAGTTCATGAGAGCCCAGCAGCAGGAAGGAGCCATCTTGGAGCTGCTGATGAGACCCTTGAAGAGAGACTCAATCAAGGTAGGGAGATGCTGCTGGGGGTCAATAGACTCTGAGCAAGCAGCAGTGAGGCGGCCCAGAGCATAGGCAGTGGAGTCCTTGACCTGGAGGGAAGAATCGTCCATCATGGTAATGAGCAGGGGCAAGGCCTGCTTGACAATAGGGTCAAGGACCTTCTCCTCAGGACCCTCCATGATGGCACCAAAGGCCGAAACGGCAGCATCACGCTCGTGCCAGTCCTGGGAGTGGACGTTGTTTTCGACAAAAGCAAGGACGGGGGCGATGATGCTGGCGGTGACAGCCTGAGAGTAGAGCTGCAAGCACTGGTAGGCGGCTCTGGCGATGTTGTATTCGTCGTCGGTAGCATCCTCATCCTGCTTAGTGAGGAGGAGGAGAAGGACGGGAACAACCTCGTTAGCAGCAACACGGGCAAAGTTGTAAAAGGGACGCATCTGGTCGGAGCTTTCGACCTGAGCGTTGTCATCTTCAATGGAAAGTTCCTCTTCACAGACGGTGCTCCAGAATTCAACAGCGAGCTTAGCAACGTCCTCATCCTCGGACTTCATACCGAGAATGGTGAGGCCAAAGAGAGCCTTCTCCATGTAATAGCGCATGTTTTCGTAGTAGAGAGCCATGATTCTGTTGAGGCAGCCGAAAGCGCCCTGCTGGATGCGAGAGTCCTCGGCCTGTGTGGCCTCGCAGACAACCTGCATAATGTAGTTTCGCTCGCCCTCATGCTTGAAGTTATTGGCAATGAATTCGAGGGAGTCACCGAGAGCGGTGATGGCGGACAGGCGAACTTCGGCGTTGGTCTCCTCTTTGCGGGCACCCTGGACGACAGCTGTGAGGATAGCGTTGGAGTGTGCGCCGAGAGCTTCGCGAAGAGATGAGTCTTGGCTTTCGCAGATGTAACCAATTGTTGTGAGAGAGGCCTGCTTCTGGTGGTCGGCGCCTTCCGTCACATTCTTGACGAGAAAAGGCAAAAGGTCGTTCCACTGATCGCGAGGCAGCTCGATGACGGCGATGGATGAGACGACCTGGGCGGCGGCATTGCCAGCCTGGTTGTTGTTAGATGACAGGGTTTGCAGTGTGAGCTGCTTAACGCGGTTCTTTGTTTCATCGTCCGTCTGCTGGAGCCATTTGGCCTGAAGGTCCTGTTGGCGCGCTGCGTCGCGTGCTGTGAAGGCGTTCTTGAGGGCGAGACCGGCGGCGGCACGGATAGAGCCGACAGCCTGTTCGTTGGCGAGTTCTTGGACGAGGGTGGCAAGGTAGAGAGGCTGTAGGAGAGGTTAGTCATATGTGCAAAGGAGCGCAAGCAAGGCCAGGCCAAAACGCAGCGTAGTTTGGCCAAGGCCGATGTTTGGCTGCGTTCCGGTCGAAGCGTTCTCGAGCATCGGGGGAGCTGAACTCACGAAGTTGCTGTCGGCAGCCTGGGTGAGCTGCTGCTCAGCGGCAGTTCTGAGGGTCGCGTCTGCGTGAAGATTCTTGTTAGCGGGGGTGCCCAGGCAGAAGACGGTGAAGCTGTCATGCAGCAGCCAGCGAGGGGCAGGTGGCAAATGGCCAGCGGCAATGGGTTCGAGCGAGAACGAGGAGAAATCAAACACAACACGTGTATTTTTTATTTTCCTCGTCGTCTGGCAATCCGCCCAAGCAGCGTGGCCACGGCGAAGCTATCCTGGCGTCTCGAGGCACGAGGAGGGGAGAGAGGGGTGGAGTCGAAAATACGTACCAGGAGACAGCGAGTTGGCGAGCACCTGGTTAATTTCTGGGCTCGACATGATGGCGGCTGTGAAGGCGAGTCGGCATGCGTCTTCGGGGGCCTGTGATGTGAAGGATTGACAGTGGCAGTCGAGAATATGCGGCGATGACGGTAATGAAAGGAGAAGAAGGTCGAGTCACCGTTGCGTTGTCTCGTGGGATAGAAAAAAAATAAAGAAGGGGAAGAAGGTAGGTTAGTGAGCCAGCCCAGGTAGGGAGCGGGAAAAGGGCAGCCACAGGCGGAACCAGCAGAGGTCACAGTGGGCTCTGGGGGGTGGCCTCCAGTGGGCAGGGTGCTGAAGGGGCAGCGGGCTTTACAGTGCAAAAATGAAAAATGTGGACAGCTAATGCGCTGTGACTACGGCGAAGGCGAAGGCGAAGGGGGGCAAGCTACAGAAGCGGGGAGGGGTCTGGGACAATGAATCACAATAGGATATGCTGCTGGGTATGGGGAACTGTTTTTGTGAATGGAGGGAGCTATGAGACCTAAGATCAAAGGACTGTATATGCTGCGATTGCTAGGTTTCTTTTCTCCTTTTTCAAGATAATTTACAGTGTAGGGCAACTGGCGGAATGAGGCCGCGCTGGTAGGCCACAGCACTCACTCTCTACTTACGCGGCGGTGCTTAATTACAGCGGCAANCCCCCCAGCCCAAGGCCAGGCACAAAGCGCTCCCGCCGCTGCACAGTTACGTGCGCGTGTCCTGAACGCAACGAAAAAAAAGGAGCGGGGTTGCCTGCTACGCGGTGGAAAGCTGTAGAAGATCCGCTCAAAAGAGGGACACGCAGCGAAAAAAGAGGGGATAGCCTGGAAAACGAAAGCAAAAAAAAATACTTGGAAAAACACTGGCGGTAAATACAACAGAGAGGTATCTACGCATTTACACGCGTAGCGCTGGGCAGCGCAGATTTAGAGTTTCGACTACGCTGTAGATTTCTCATGCAAGCCCTTTACAGACACCTAAACACGCTACGAGACCCCCTTAACACCAACCGCTAGGTAATTTCACAGCACGTCGAAAAGGAAAAAAGACGCGTCTCTCATTGGAACACAAAGGGCGTTCAGCTGTCAACTGTCTGCCTGTCTTCAATTACCTGGGCTCTAAAGGGGGGCGTTGCTGGGGCGACACCGCCTGGAAAATGCGAGCCCTTTAATTGGGCTGTTGATGCTGGGGGCGCGGATGCCGTAATTTCGCAGCAAGAAAAACACGAGAGAGAAAATTCGGCAAAATTTTCTGCTTATTCTGTCTGTAAGAAGATGGAGATGTTTAGTATAATGGAGCCTTAGGTGAGATTAGTGAGCGAGTAAGTTTGCTATTGATTGGCCGGTTGTACATATCCAAGTGTGTGAATGACGATGCAAGCAACTTACGTCCCGTTGTTTTTACATTTGAACTTGAACCCTCATACACCAATATCGATTACTGGATATATATGATATATCTGTTAATCATCTAAATATAATCTACTGTCAAATTACAGTCCAAATTGAACATGATAGCCAAGAATCTGTCAGCAGTAATTGCCAGAGTCTTCACAATACCTCGTCCCGGGTAGCCTCACCAGACTCGAAAAACTCGCTCCATCTAAAATCTAAACGTCAAAGACACGCAAATAAAACGGCAGTTCAACCCTTGTTCATAAACAAAGCCCCAATTCCAAGCCTCTCCCGCACTCAACCCGGAACCCCATCGCTCCTCATCCCAGCCGTCCCCAGACAAGAGCCCTTGTCATTGCTGAAATGATGTGAAATGACAATGGCCAGGCGTCTCTGAGACAAGACAACGGCGCGAGCAATAGTGCGCGTGTGTCCCGCCGGTGATGGCAGCGGATTGACTTTCCGCCCGCATTCCTAGCTGTAAACTCTACCACCCTCCTTCACTGACGCCGAGTGGCGAGTAGCTGGCACGGAGGCTCGTGCCAGGCGTGGCAATCGAGTGAACAGAGTAGCCCTGGGCTGTGTGCTTAATCTCGGATTATAGCTACAAGCACTACATATCACAGTGGCAGATAGTACACTTTACAGTGAACAAGTTAATACATGTCAAACGAGCTAGGCATAAAAGTGTCACAACAGATCAATTCCTCTCTGATACTCTCTCAAAAATCTTGCTTTTTGTAGGCTCACTTCCCCAGCCCATCTCACTCGCCACAAAACAGTAGAATATTAGCAAATAAATTACGCATCAACACCACCAGCACATGTTAAGACTCATAACGCAATGATGGGCCGCGCTAGTTGGGACCGTTGTTCAGGTCCAGCTTTTCGGGAACATCGTCAGCCACAGGGCGAGGGACGAATGGGCTACCAGGTCGGCTAGCAGCAAACTATAATAGTTGTTAGACAATATTCATATGTCAGACAGAAACAAAAAAGGGGAGATAACTTACGTTGCTGGCTGCGCTCAGGAGAGCAATCAGAGAACTCTGGACCACATCTTCGTGGATACCAACACCCCAAACCTTTTGCTGGCTGCCTGCCGCAGTACACTCTATGTAAGTAGCAGCCTTGACATCGCGACCGCGACCGATAGCGTGCTCCTTGTAGTCTTGGACGTCCAGGCTGATGCCGACGCTCTTGAGGGCGTTGGCCAGAGACGAGATAGGACCGTTACCGCGGCCGCGGAGCTTGAACTCACGGCCGTCCACTGAGACGACACCCTCAAACATACGCTTGAGGTCCTTGGTATCTTGCGTCTTGCCTTCGGCCGGGGGAGCAGGCGACTTGGAGCGGTCGGCTGTAATGTTGTAGTCGACGATGGTGAAGCGCGGGTTCGACTTGAGGAAGTAGGTCTGCTCAAAGAGGTCTGTGATTTCGTTGGACAGCAGCTCGCGGCCAAGCTCGTCGGCCTTCTTCTGCACAATGGACGAGAAGACAATCTGCAGACCACGGGGCAGATCGAGGTTGAGATGGCGCAGGATAATCCAGGCGGCACCACCCTTGCCACTCTGCGAGTTGACACGGATGACGGCCTCGTAGGTTCGGCCGATATCCTTGGGATCCAGAGGCAGGTAGGGAAGCTGCCAGTGGTCCTCGTAGGCCTTGCCCTCGTCCTCGCGCTTCTGGAAGCCCTTCTTGATAGCGTCCTGATGCGAGCCACTGAAGGCACACACCACCAGGGAGCCACCATACGGCGCACGTTGGTGTACGGGGATCTTGTTGCAAACTTCCACTGTGTCGATGACACTCTCAAGGTCAGAAAAGTCAATCTTGGGGTGGATGCCCTGGGTGTACAGGTTCAGGCCGAGGGTGACGAGGTCGACGTTGCCGGTACGCTCACCGTTGCCAAACAGGCAGCCCTCCACTCTGTCGGCGCCAGCCATCTGGGCCAGCTCAGCAGCGGCAACAGCGCAGCCTCTGTCGTTATGGGGGTGCAGGGACACGCAGATCTTTTCGCGCTCCGAGATATTTGTGCAAAAGTATTCAATCTGGTCGGCGTATACGTTGGGCGTCGACATCTCCACCGTCGCCGGCAGGTTGAAGATGATGGGGTTCTCCACTGACGGCTCCCAGGCGGCCTTGACGGCTTCACAAACTTGGATAGCGAAGTCGGTGCTGGTATCAGAGAAGCATTCAGGGCTGAATTCAAACGCCCACTCGGTGCCGCTCTGCGTAGGATCATCCTTGGTCAAAGAGCGTACAAGCTTGGCGCACTTTGTGGCCAGGGCGATGGTCTCCTCCTCAGAGTGGTTGAAGACTACGCGGCGGAAGCACTCGCTAGTAGCAAGGTAGATGTGAATAAGACCCTTCTTGGCGCCGCGCAGGGACTCGACAGTGCGGCGGATGAGATCCTCGCGGCACGGCGACAGCACTTGCAGCCAGACGTCGTCGGGGACGGTTCCGGGGGTTTCGATCAGGCGGCGAGTGAAGTCGAAATCGGTTTGCGAGGCCGAGGGGAAAGAGACTTCAATCTCCTTGTAGCCCATCTGGACGAGCATGTTGAAGTAGCGCCATTTCTCCTCTCCGTTCTAACATCATACGAGTGTAAGCGGGCCATCGTGTGTCACACAAGATAGCATGCTCTCCCAACTTTCCAAAGAAAAGAAAAGAAAGGCACAGGATATTGTACTTACCATGGGATCGACTAAACTCTGGTTACCATCGCGCAGATCGGTCGACAGCCATCTTGGGGGCTTATCGATGGTCTTTGACGGCCATTGGCGATTGGGCAGGTTGATTGGCTGAAACCGCTTGTATTTCGTGGAGGGGTCCTTGAGCCTGGAAGAAAAAAGCGAGGAATGGATTAGTCTGTGTGTACAGTATGTGATAACGTCGAATCAATTGACTTACATCGGCATGTTGCGCAGATTTTCGCGGGCGACTAGTAAAAATGATGTACAATGCAGGAAGAAGAAGAAAGGGAATCTTTTGCAAGTGGGAGGAGTAATAGCGGGATGCAAAACCGGATCGCGGGGCACCTGTGCACCGAAGACGGCGCTGGCTCGCTCGCATTCAGCGATGCAGAGGACGACTTTTTAGTGGGCGCGCTCAGCGCTATGCGGCATGGCTGGCGACATTGACTCACTGCAGTGAGTCAATGTCGCCAGCTTGCCGCTGTAGGCGGTCCCATGCACTGTAAGTTTGCTGGCAGCTGTCACATGCGAAGTCGGCAGTTTTGGGAAGCAAACAGCTCTGTGTGGGCTGCCCAAGCGGTGTAAAATACAGACAAGGAAATAGTTACAAGAAATGCGATTTTATTAAATGTGCCATCACCTAGTTGCATAGAAAGCGTGCAAATCTCAAGCAAAAACGTCTTTTTTTCTCATTCTTAGATAATGCTTTTCAAGGTGCCCCTCATTGGCCTCTCCCTGCCTCCGGGACCGGCGCAAGCCCCGTCGATCGGAACTGGGCCGGTACAGTCCAATTGCAATCGGTGCAGTCCAAATACAGTCGGCAGCAAACAAGCCAAAACAAAGTCTCATATATCGGGGCAAACATTCAAGGTTACAGAGTCATAAAAAACAAAATAAATCATAAAAAAAAAGAAAATAATTGTCATCAGTCATTACAATCTTTCATCGGAGGTACCCGCGTACCCGATCGTCCACAATCAGCTCCCGATCCCACTCCTGATGGGCCCTTCTAGGACGCGGCCGGATTACAAGATCGTCATGGTGTCTTCTACGCCGCTCAATGTCGATGTCGACCTCCAGGGCATGTAGGTGCTTTCTTCTCGCGCGGCGGATCTGCTCGGAAAATTCAATCAGTCTTACAACCTCGTCCTACTGCATGTTAGCCCATCAATCCCACAAACAGTTCCATTGGCCAACTTACATAGGGCAGATACTGCATAATGTAATATAGATACTTGGTCTCCTCAAATGCGTAACCCAGCCTCTGCATGGCTTCACGCGACACAAGATCCTTGGTAAGCTCCGTCCACATCTCTCGTGCTGGCGGCTTGGGCGACCGGTGTCTCGAATGGCGTCGCTCAATATCAATGTCTACACTCAAGCGGTCCTTTCGTCCAACAGATCGAGATCGTCTAGGCTGCGACGGCACTAGCAGACCATCCCGCTCAGGGATGAACTTGGTTCTTCGAACGCCGCTATACTTGGACCACGTCGTGTCGGTACTGGCGCCTCCCACGCCGTCCATGCGCACACGCTCTGTACCAGGAGGCACGTCGACAATAGTCCATTTGCGGGTGGCACCGCCGCGAGCCTCGCCCATAGATCCGCGCGAATCGATGCGCGATGTAATGTATTCTTCCTCGTCTCGCTCCCGGAAGCCAACAGATGAGTGAGCGCGGCGACGGCCCTCGAGACGCTCCTCGAGCCGTGAAGTATCATGGACGACAAGCTCCGAACCAAAACGTCTTCCGTCGCGGCTGCGTGAACGCTGTCGACTAGATGACCGGTGGATGTCGACGTCGGTATGATGCCGCCCAAGAGAAATATCGATATCAGTCTCACGCTGCTCAGAGACGATGCGTCGTGGCGGCGTAGGTGCTGGACGGCGGGCATTGATAACACCTATGATAGTTAGCCTCATCATTTGCGCTACCAGAACCAAATGCTACAAGCGCTTACCGTGATCAATATCTGTATAGTGAGTAATGACGTCCCTCTCAATAATGGGTCCGCGAACCACCGGTCGCGGCGCAGGTGAAGGCGATCTCGATGAGCTAGACTCGGTTCTGCGATCAACAATGTGAATATGCTCTCTCTCGTCCACGGTGGACGGCGACCTTTCCACCCTCTGCTCAAACCTAACGCCTCTAGGTGATGGCGGCCTAAGTTCATTTGGGCTGCGTATCCTCTCCTCTACTATGGTGCGAGTGTGCACGCGCTCCTGGTCGCCCACCGAGACGCTGCGTGGCCTTCGTAGAGGAGCATCGTCGCGCATACGGACAGGGCTGGGGCTTCGAATATGTTCGTACTCTTCGACATCTCGCTCGCGAAGAATCATCTGCCCACCCTCTGGTCGGCGGTCGTCGCGCAGCCACTGCGGGAGTGGCCGATCGTCCCGTTCTCGTTCGCGAACCACTGTACGGGTGCGGACTTCCTCCTCTCGCCGCGGCGGTGGCCCGTAGTCTCTCTCTTCGAATTCTGTTCGTCGGTATGATGACATTTTCGTGATCTCGTACTATTTTTTTTTGTTTTTGTTTCGTGTAGTCCACCCTCCGGGTTATATATATCCAAACCCTGCTCACTCTAAAGTGCCCGACGTCATGCGAATGCCGCGGGGTAAAACCTGACGACACGAACAGCAGGAAAATGCAAGCAAAGAACAGCGGCGGAGAAGCAAACTTGGAAAGATGCAGAAGGAAAAACTAAAAAAGGAGAAGAGGAGCCGTTTCAGCTGCACTCGTCTACAAAAACCGCAGAAAGAATTTGCTGACGAGGCACAAGGCGTTCAGCCCAATATGCGTGGGCATGGGTCACGCCCACTTCTACTTGGACAGGATGGGAAGATGGGCGCCTGATGCAATGCAGAATAAACTTGGCAGATGCCACACTACATAAGACGCTGTATAGAAAAGTTTGCGAGTTTAAGAAACCAAAAACAAGCATAAAATGTTTTTAATGAAAAAGTAATAATCCAATACGAAAAGGCGCAATATCAGGTTTCGGCACAACTGGTTCGCACACCCAAAAATGGCCCCCAGCCTCCCACTTACTCGTTGGCGGAAGCTGAAGAACACATGATGTGGATGGTGGTTGGTCGATCACCACGTTCTGTCCCATTGGTAGACGATGTTAAGGGGGGGGGGGGGGTGCTCAGCCTGATTTTCAGCGTCCAACAGACGAAGCGCTAAAAATAACAATCCAGTGCACGTCCAACATGCGCTCTTAACATGAACTTTATTCTCAATATGGGCGCGCACATACTGCGCTCTAACCTCTCATTATGGCTACAAGCACAGCATCATCACTTCGAAACTCAACCAACGTGTCATCGAGGCTCCAGCAGCGGTTGACAACCCCATTTATTGCCCTATCAGGCTGTACCCATCAATTCTCCCGCCCATCACCCATCACCATCGAAGGATCCATTGTTCAATTAGCCTTGTCATCTTCCGGCTCTACATGCGGACCATCAGGCTAGGACAACAGTGCGAGCATTTACAGTCCAGCTGTCTGCCCTAGCGGATGGACAGCGTACGGATTAACTGTAGAGCCCAATAGTGTATATGATCGAACGTCATCAGCTCAGTGCTGTTCTAGGTATGGGCAGCCATTGTACTTGTGTTCAATACCTATACTTACCCGTTTGTTAGCGGCTTTATTCTCTCACGTCTATCTACTTTCTCAACCCGAGAAGTGTTTATTAAAGACATATCAACAAACCCAACAAATACGCTACCAAAGGGACATGATAAAACTCTTTCTATTCTTAAACCATGAATAATAGCATGGCTTCCAACAGATACACCATCGCTCAGCCCATCTCCCCCAAAGCAGATATTGTACCAACACTCACGTTAGCAGTTGGGTGCCTGGCTCAACGGTATCATACAGTCCCTGTTATACACCAGAGGCAAGCTCAGAATTGCCTCTGACAGAGAATACAGGGCTCATGTTTGGTGTTATTGGGGTACCTTTAATTGTTGTCGGATTATCCGGCTTCTGTTATTGATATTGCTGTAGAAGGCCAGACTGGAAGAAGCGAGAGAGAGCAGCTGCAACGATTGGAAGCCCGTGGACGAGTTGCTATGAAACAACAAGCTACGGAACGGCAGCTTTGGGAGCAGCAGGCTAGGGAACAAGATAGAGGCGCAGGTGAGGGTACTGAATTGTCAGATATGAGAGCCGCTCGTGATTAATGTAGATGGATATATTTTGTAACTTCTTATGATCGTCACTACCGTTAGGATAATGTCTATTAGCTGTGTCACAATTGCGACAGTACGGCATCAACACCAGCGGTAGCGGCACAGCTGTCCTTAATCATAAAACATAATTCAATTCACTGTAACTGTATATGCAAAAACGCCATACCCTTCAAACAATTCCGCGCTTGGTATCCTTGGCAATCAGCCCCGTTAAACTCTTCTCTGGCTTGGGCACATTAGGTCGGCCGCCCAAAATGTCCACAATCTCGCGGATGTGCAACCACGCCGCGGCCTTGGGACGGCGGTTAGGCCAATCGGTGCCTTGCTCCTCAAGAGCCTTCATTGGCGAAAAGACAACGTCAGATCCCTGAATACCAATTACCGAGGCGCTTAGAGGATCGTCCTTGGCAGCACTGAGGTTGCCCTTGCCGAAGCTTTCGAGGTGCTCCATGCACTTGATGGCAAGACGGACGGCACGGCAGCGATCCATGGGCGAAGGAACACCACCCTGCTGAACGTGGCCAGGGATCGATTCTCGCGACTCGAAGCGGTCGTGGGCTTCTTCGCGGATAATGTCGGCAATGAGCTTGGCGTGGTATACCTTGCTGGCCTTTTCGTTGACTAGAATGAGACGACCAGCTCGAGATTGTCCGGTGTCCTTGCGGAAGACGTCCTTGAGGTGGTTGACATCAGCGTTCAGCATCTCCAGGCTGATGCCTTCTTCAGGGATGTAGACAGCAGAGGCACCGACACCAAGGCCACTAAGCGTGGCAACGTAACCAGAACGGCCACCCTGAGTCTCAATAACAAAGACACGGCGTCTGGTAGCCGAAGCAGACTGCTTGATCTTGTCGCAGTATTGCACGAGCTCGTTGAGACAGGTATCCGAACCAAGGGAATATTCGGTACCAGGAACGTTGTTGGAGATTGTGGCGGGGAGGAGGGTCATGGGGATGCAAAGAGACGGGTACTGCTCTCTTGCCTTGCGTAGCTCAGATAGAGAATGGAAAGCCTCAAACCCACCAATAATGAAGAGGGCATCAAACTTGTATTGAGCAATCAAGTTGGCAATCAATTCCATGCCAGACTCAGAGGGCAGTTCTCGGTTGGTACCAATCTCGGAGCCACCCTTGCTTGCCCAGCTGTCGGTCTCGAGCCAGTCAAATGGACGAACAGATCCAACTGGCTTGTCGTCGTGGTGTCTAGCGAAACCGGCGAATCCGTTGTGAATAGCAATCGGCTCGTGGCCTCGCGAAATGCAGTAGGCAACAGCAGCTCGAACAGCAGCGTTCATACCACCAGCGGGAGCGCCAACGTTGATAAAGCCAACCCTCATTCTCTGTGACTGTGTTAGCACCCAGCCCTACAATACAATGCAATTCTAATTCTACACACCTTTTCTTGGGATAGCTTTCTATCGTCAACCATGACATTAGTCGTGGTCAGGTAAGACTTGTACTGGTCTGAGAATTCCGTGTCTCGTAGAGACATGGCCTTGTCAAAGTCCTTTTCGTCAACAGCCTTGGATACAGACTTGGTTTCGGCAACAGCCTTCATGAGAGGCTTGCGAACAATCTTGTTTTCGTTAATGGCGATGAAGCAAGTTTCCGTCTCGGGTGTTGCCTCAAGAACAGCCTTGACGGCCTCCACACCTTGCAGAGTCGCGAGCATTCGGTCGTATGCAACGGCAGTGCCACCACGCTGGACGTGACCGAGGGTTGTGATGCGAGTATCGAGAGCAAGACCGCCATCACTCTTGTCGGCGAGCAAATCCTTGACCTCTTCAGGTGTAATCTTTGTTCCGTTCTTGTCGCGGGCGCCTTCGGCAACGATGACAATGGTCTTTCGCTTTCCAATATTTCGGTGCTAAGTTGGGTTAGAGAAACTCTACAAGAGAGGCATAACCGTTAGTACTTACTCGTTTAACAACAGTACACATATCTTCCTTCCAGTCGTGGTCGATAGGTCGCTCAGGGATAAAGACAAAGTCGGCACCAGTAGCGACACCAGCCAACAGCGCCAGCCAGCCACAGTGTCTTCCCATGACCTCAATGACGAAAGCTCTCGAGTGAGACGAAGCAGTAGCCTCAATGTAGTCCACCATTTCGCAGATGCGAGCAAGTGCAGAGTAGCAGCCAATTGTAGCATCGGTTCCGGACAAATCGTTATCAATGGAGCCCACAAGGCCGACGAGGTTGAGGTGTTTGTAGGGGTCGACCTGGTTTTGGGTTAGCTGGCCAGTAGAGACAAGCTCCGCCAGCAAAGAAGGCCATTCATCGCGGAACTTGTCAGCACCGGTCAATGAGCCATCACCGCCGCAAATAATGAGAGCATCGATGCCGTTGAGGACCAAGTTCTTGGCAGCAGTCAAGCGGCCTGGGCGCTCGTAAAAGGCCATGCATCGGGCGGTACCAATCAGAGTTCCACCCTCGGAGAGCCAACCGCGGACATCAGACCACTCCATTTTCTTGATGCACTCTCCTCCACGGACGAGACCCTCGTAACCTTCGTAGATTGCAAATGCGTCGCAACCCATGTGAATCGCCATGCGGACAACAGCTCGCACAACGCCGTTCATGCCAGGAGAGTCGCCTCCCGAGGTCATGACGGCAATCTTTTTCTTGGGTGCCTCCATTGCGGGCGATTGATCACGCCAAATGCGGCGTTGGTCGAGGGCAGAGCCTGTGGCAGCGGTCAAAGAAATCGCTTCAAGATCGGATGGATCGGTGGTGCCGCTTCTGAACGCGGGCCAGCAGCGTCTGCAGCAGAGCGATCGAATCGTAGGTGCAAAAAATGGGAGCGAGACAATAAGTTAGAGGTGGAATAGGGTTGTAGGGTAGGCGGTGATGATGATGGAAAAAGAAGAAGAAGAGAGGTAAAAAGTTAAATGGTTGGGGCGGTCCGAGTTGAGGATGGCTTACGTTGAAGCTGCGCTTGGCGAGGGGCAGCGATTGGAGGGGCATGCAGCAGCAAACCAAAAAAAAAGCAGCTCTTATCAGTGGCCGAAAACAGCTATCAGTGGAGCTACAGCGGCGTTCTTTAGGTGGTTTAGCGTCATGCCAGAGCTTATCAACCCCTGTAGCAGACGCTGTGGGGCTGGGGTTTGGTGGGTTCGGTGATGCGGGTAGCTGTTATCTGGGCTGGCTGACTATGTGTGCTTGACTATATTACGGTGGAGGAAGGTTGTTTATAGGGGGACGATTAGGCATGTCAATGTAGTTAGGGGTGCGGGGTTATGATGATACTGCTGTAGCTACTATTTATGGCTAATTTATTGGATAGTTGCAGCGAATACATGCCACGGCGGGTTGAATTCGTCCGCTGTCGCCCTGCCCATAGCGCCCATACACTGCTGGACAAGGCTGAAGACCGCCTGCGACAGCCGCCTTCGGTGGAATTGGCAGCCGCCCAGCAAAGTCCGCCAAACAGACATCGGACCGGCGAAGCACTAACCCGTTGCCACATCTCCGCCCAGCCCATCGAATCGCCAAACTGCGATTTGGAGATTGTCCCGAACCCGAATCGGTAATTTTCGATTACCATATTTGGAGAATGTTCTCGTATAGTGCAAAATTTCCTATAAATTACCAAGTTTTCGCAATGAATGCTCACGAAAAGCCACCAAGGTACTACTTCTTCATTCTCCTCCATCTACCACAATGACCAACTCGAAGCTCAAATCAGTGCTCATCACCGGATGTAGCCAAGGCGGTATTGGGTCCTCGCTCGCTCTCGAATTCCAGAAACGTGGATTCCATGTTTTTGCCACCGCACGAAATGTCGACAAGATGGCTCACCTCAAAGACCTGGCCAACGTTACTCTCCTTCGCGTTGATGTTACAGAGACAACATTGATAAAGGAGGCTGTCGATGCTGTACAGAAACAAACAGGCGGAGGTCTGGATTTTCTTGTCAACAATTCAGGCGTTGTTCATGTTGCCCCGATACTCGACACTGACTTGCAGGCAGCCAAGGACATGTTTGACGTCAATGTGTTTGGCCCTCTTCTGATGGTGCAAGCGTTCGCTCCCATGCTCATCGCTAGCCATGGATGCATTGTCAATATCTGCTCAGTTTCTAGTTACGTATATGCACCATGGATGGGCCTCTACGGTGGAAGCAAAGCAGCATTGGAAATGATGAGCGAAACCATGCGACTTGAACTACAGCCTCTGGGTGTTCGTGTTTTGTCGATTATAACTGGCGCCGTCGACACCAACATTATGAATACAGTTTCCCCAGCCTCGATTCCAGATGATTCGCCCTACAAGGTGAAATCTGTCGAAGACGCCTTGACCAAGATGGTTAAAGCCACAGATGGAATTAAGAGAACACCAGCAGACGAATTCTCCAAGACTGTTGTTAGTGATGTCTTGCACGGCGCAACAGGACGAGTTTGGCGCGGCGAAAAGGCGGGCACTGTCAAGTTCATGGCCAAATTCAGTCCCGTTAGCATTATTGTAAGTGATAAACTTTCAAACGAAATTTCTACACATAACTAACGTATTTATCTTGTAAATAGGATCGGATACTGTGTGAACGAGCCGGAATGGCGGATCTAAAAGTCTAAGAGCGAAGAATAAGGGCAACAATCAGCGTTGGCAACGCAAGTATACAATTTACATTTATATCCACTAGAGTTATGAATAGTTTTTAAATAACTTCATTTAAATATACCAATCAATATAATTTACTCACTTTTTTAATAAACTTTGTTACTTTGCATGTGGACTACACCGGCGGTTGCGCCAACACCGCCCCACCAATCGGCACCAGCCCAGGTCTCTCCGTTGGCGCAGCTCGCCCAATTCAACCCGCCACGCGCCATCATCACCACACCATCACCATCTTCCACAACCACAATGGCGCCGGCTCAAGGGCCTCCCCTCTCGCTGCGGCCATTCCCAGTCGCCGACAAGAGCCCCAAGAACCTGTCCGACTTCATCGTGCGCGTCAATTCGCTAACGGGCGGCTTCCGCTCTGTCACCGAAGCCAAGCTGCAAGAAGAGATTCGCACAGGCGAGAACCCCAGCGACGATGACGACTCGGACGATGTCAGCATGGCAGATGGCAACGAAGATGCCGATGAATCCAGCAAAGACCCAGCGCAGGCACGCATGGAAGTGCTGCGAAATCTCGAGTATGGGAACTCCCAGTCCACGTGCAATCAAGAAGCTAACCTCTCGGATGCAGCATTGCCGGCAACAACGCCATGCTAACCCTCGACTCTCTCTCCCTCCTCCTCTCGAAGCAGAATCCCACACAGGCCAGCGTCACACTCTCCCAGCAGCTGCGCGACATGGTCGGTATCGGCACCCTCGGGTCCGACAAGCTCAACGACACCAACGCCACGGCCGAGAAGACCAAAGACGAAGAGACCGTCGCCATCGGCTGGACGCTCATGGAGATCAACAAGACCCGCAATGCTGCACAAGAAGCTTCGGCCCTGCTCGAAAAAGAAATCGAGGCAGAAGGCAAATACTGGGAAGGCATCATGGCCGTCAAGAAGGCCGGCTGGTCTATCTGCAAGGTCCCCCACGAGCGACACACATTGGGCGTCCGCTTCGGCTTCTCAGAAGGTTTGTATTACTTCCAATCCCCTAAACCCAGACAATCACTAACCTGATTTGTTGTGTAGCTGCCCTCGAATTCAAATCCAACGGTCTAGCCGCCATGCGCCGCCTCGAAAACGGCTCTGTCGACCTCGACTGTGGCCGCCTTGGCCGCATACAGGAACGTATCGTGGTCTCCTACCTGCGCGACAACCAAGTAACCGGCCGCGCAACACTGCACGACAACAATATGGGCGCAGACCCTAGCCTCGAGCACCGCGTACTCGGCGCCCGCAACACAATCTTCGCCCAAGAGCTCTGGGGCGAGCTTGTCCGCGAGGCGCGCACTCTCGCAGCCTACGACGTCCGTCCTGACGACAAGAAGCTCACCTGCGAGATCGAGCCCGGCGTCAAGCTCGTCATTGAGCTACTGCCCACGGATCAAGCGCAAAACGACCCAGCCGCCATCAACCTCCCCGACAACACTGTCGCCGAAACCATCTCCGCCTCGCTACACATCCTCCTAACATACGCCCACCGCTGCAACGAGCTGGTCCGCATCCGCCCCATGCCTCCTCACATCTCCCGCTCCCGCGGACCCCAAACATATACCCTCCTGCGCCCCATCATTGCGCGCATCATCTCTGCCCGCAGCACCGCCGCGTGCACAGCGTACGTCGGCGGCATCATCTCTGCGCTTAAGCTCGCAGGCCTCTCCTCGTCATCCTTTACTCTGCGCACATCACAAACTTCTACGCCCACAGCTGCCGAACAAGCCGCATTCGGTTCAAATAACCTCTCTAGCGCAGTCTCTCTGATCCGCAACATCCTCCAGCCCATCGATGTTGCTTTGGAAGTCAACCTCGTCCCCGATCTATCATTTACCATTCGCGCAAGAACATACTTATTCCCTGTGACAGCGACATACTACCACGTTCTCGCACCGCCAGAGTCGCCACTACACGGCATCTGCGCGCCATACGCAGAGGGATACCCTGATGTTGCGGCCCTCGCAGACTACCTTCGCACGGCGACGCAGCGCGCACTCGTTGGGTACTGTCTCTCCAAGGTCTCCTCGGAGGGCAAGTGGGCACAGAGTATACATGACACCTCCATTAGTGATGTGGATGCCACGTCGACGAATGTGCTCTTCCGAATTGAAGAGGAAAACGGAAAGGTAAACGGGCTCGTTGTAGAAAGTAAACCACTGGGTGATAACAGCACGACGGAGGCAAAGACGTGGATGTGGAGCGCCACTCTAGATAAACAGCCCCCATCGCTTCTTGAAGTCGTTGGCGAGGTGCTGGGAGAGAAGTTATCATAGAGTTTAGAAAAAGGTTTAATTATGAATCAAAACAGCCCATGAGATTAAGCTATATACCTGGTCTGTTGATGATGTCGCTACTATTCTAGTCTTGTTATATCCAGCAAAATTAGCAAAGTCGCTGCTTGTATCCGTCCTGTCCTGTTGTCATAATTCATAACGCGCCATTTTAATTGCCAGTGAATAAGAACCTGAGTTCGTTGGCATTCAGCCTGCCAATCTTGGCGCTCTCCTTTTCATCTAGTGCCGCTTCGACAACTTCTTGTTTCTTCTCCTTCAGTGCCACGATTCGATCTTCCACAGTATCCTTTGTGAGAATTCGGTACACCTTGACCTCCTTAGTTTGGCCAATGCGATAGGCGCGATCCACAGCTTGCATTTCAATGTACGGGTTCCAGAATGGATCCATGATGATAACACGAGTGGCACTGGTGAGGTTGAGTCCTGCGTTACCAGCACGCAGGGAAACCAACATAACACGGACATCGCTCTTCTCTCGGAAATCCTTCGCAGCCTGGGCACGTAGCTCGCCAGACATGCTTCCATCATAGCGGCGCGGCCGGTGGGAGAAGTCTTCGTGGTACATAGCGACATCGATGAGGTCAAGGAGTAGTGTCCACTGCGAGAAGATGATGGTCTTTTCGCCTTCTGCGTCGGATTCGTGAAGCAACTTCATGCACTCATCAATCTTTGCAGCAGGCATCCAAGTCTCACGGAGATATGCCATGTATTTGCGGTAGGAATCCTTATTCTTTGCTGCATCCTTACGGAGCTGCTTGAGCGTAGATGGCTTAACGTCACTAGTCTTCGCCTTCTCTTTACCCTTGCCGTTTTTCTTGACCTTAGCTTTGGCTTTGCCCTTGCCTTTAGACTTCTTCTTTGGCTTGGGTTCTGGCATGGGCTTCTCTTCAAGCTCTTCTTTGGGCAGTTTCGAATCCTCAGTCTCCTCCACCTTTGCATCAGCGGATTCAGCATCTTTATCAGGCTTTATATCTTCGTCGGAGTCATCGTCAAAGAATCCGTCGTCAATGAAACCCTTCAGGTTGCCTTTCTTGTCGACTTCATCTTTCACAATTGGTTCGTCCGGCTCATCCTCGCTGTCGCCGATTTCATCGCCACTACTATCGTCTTCATCGTCGCTATCGTCCTCATCATTGTTGTCCTCCTGATCCAGAGCTTCAGGCATATGAACTTCCTGGAAAGCCTCATACGTAAAGCACTTGCGTGGGTCAAACGGTCCACGACAAACCGGACACTTTGCCTGAGAGCTTTCAGTGCCCTCCTGGAGATTCTGCGTAGCAGCGTTGTCTGCAATCCTGCTCAAACATTGCTTACAGCTGTCGTGGCCGCAGGGAATAAAAAAAGTTGGCGATTGAACAGCATCATAGCATATAGGACACTCAAAGGCCTCCATCTCCTTTATTCGTCTTACAATGGTGGGGTCCAACTTCTTGACAAGCTCAACCATGTCTTCATCAGTGTATGGACTAACATCATCCACATCAAGATTGAGATGGGGATGGCAGCACGCTTGGCGCAGCCGCAGCAAAAGCACAAGAATACTGGAGTAGTTTTTGCCAACAGTGCCCTCTCGAAGATACTTGCTGAACAGAACCTGGGACTTCATTTCGAGCTGCTTGTAAAAGCCACGCTCATCTTCCGACAATTCGGCATATACGACCTCCTCTGTCTTCGGTGGAAGTCGCAAAATGGGCTTACCATCCAACAGAGAATCCTTTTTCCGTCGCAGCATCACGGCTTTCAGCAACGCACGCAAGCCATCCATGGCCTTGTGCTTTGGGTCACCTTGTTTACCAAAGAGAACTCCGAACGAGTGTCGAAACTTCTCCCACTGATGGTACGGTTTGATGCGTAGAAATCTGAGCAATGGGTAAAGCTCGAGGACTCCATTCATCATTGGTGTTCCAGTCAAACACCATCGATAAGTAGCTCTCAACGCATGGCACGCTTTCGATGTTTGTGTCAATTTGTTCTTGATGCATTGTGCTTCGTCCAGAATGATGCGGTGGAAAATGGCCTTTTCGGGATTCAGCAATGGAAATTTGATTCCAACAGCGCGGTCATTGTAGTCGATTTGCCTGTCGGCATTGTCCCTCTGGTAGGTCTCAAGACGCTTGAATTCTTGGGCAATGGTACCGTACGTGGTAAGAACAACATCATACTGAAGCAGGTCATCCGACGTAGCTTTTTTGTTGTGATATACAAAGACCGACAAGCTATGCGATGCTTTTGTTTTCGACTTGATTTCCTCTTCCCATTGTCGAATCAACGATAGCGGCCCAATAATCAAGTTTGTCTTAGGTCGAGATGTGGCTTTCCTGTCGAGGATCAACGACAATGTCGAGATGGTTTTGCCGAGGCCCATGTCGTCGGCAAGGATTCCACCCTTGTTAGTTCCATCTTCCATCTTCTTCATCCAAATTAGAGCAAGCTCCTGATGGTGATAAAGGTCGTTCTTCAGACCTTCGGGTTTCGTTTTTCCTCTGAGGTCCTCAGGAATATGAACATCCGGCTGAACATTCTTGAGCAGTTCTGCAAGTTCCTCATCAGATACTCTCTCATCTTGTATAGACTCAAAGAAGCTTCCGAGTCGGCCGCCCATTGAGCTCATCATATCGCCCATCGCGCCATATCCAAACATGCTCGTCCTATTGATAATATTTCCTAGAGCGCCTCCGGGGCCCTGCGAGGGCACAGTCCTATTTGCGCGTATAGGCATCTGGCTAGAGGCCGGATTTACTGGCAGGAACCCAGGCGGTGGCTGGGCATTAGCCGGCCACCAGATAACGGGTCCAGAAGTACCAGGCATACGATAGGCAATAGTTCCATTCGATGCATTCGTTAGTGATCTAACTGACTGTGGTTGGCTCAGGTTGATGGGCCGTTGTCGACTAGACCCTGGCATTGCATCCCACGCACCGGGCATTTGCGATGTCATTTCGATTGGCGACGGTGAAGGCGAGGACTCTCCACTAGAGATGGACTCATAACCTGGGTACTCTACTTCCAGCGGCGAAGGTCGTGGGGGTCGCGGGGCATTTGCTCGCTGTGTCTCCATGATTCTCGCCAGAGCACCAAACGATTCATTCGGATCGATTTGTGAGGATGAAGGCTGGTAAAGGCTAGACTCCTGGCTCAGTTGTTCCGCAAATCGTCGGTCTTCAACTGATTGTGTGTGTTGCCTTTCACGGCGGATCTGATCGGCCACTAAACTAGCATCTAGTTGAATATCGTCGCTGTCAGACCGGTTAGCATGATAGTTTGCTCTGGTTAGCAAAGAAGCAACTAACCCCGTAAGGTCGATGATTTCAATAGGCTGGTTAGCGAGAACTTGAGATGGCAACACTGGTGGCGGCGCTGTCATAGGCGACGAGCGCCTCGACTTGTTTCGCCCAGAACCTGACGGCGACGTTAATTCTCGTTTAAAGCGAGCGACGCCGCCGCCACCCGTATTTGTCGAGTTGCTACTCATGGATGATCCTGCGTCTGTATGAAAGGATGATGATGCTGAGTTGCTCGTGCCAGCTATGGAGGAAGGAAGGTGTTATTTAGTATGCGAGTAGACAGCGAAGCGGCAATAGTCACTTACCACTCATGGTATTTGAAGTTTGGCTGCCTACACGTGAATTATATTCCACATGATGGCGCTCACCTACACCATCGGAACAAAGGAACCTGTTAGCAAACTATCGGCTGCGGGCGTATGGAAAGGTGCGTTGTCGAGTTGCACAACCAACGTACAAATCATTAAATCTCTCAGCTGCTCCTTGAGTGCTGTGATTTCTTGCTGAACTCGTTGCCTCACATTCTCATCAGTGACGCCTGAATCGTCCAGGGACCGCAATATAACTCGTTGAATGGTCAGTTCTTCCTTGACCCTGGCGATGTTCTCTCTTGTCTCTTCTAGCGAAACCATCTTGCCAACCTGTGTTTTGACCTTGGCCTTTGTTGTAATATGTTCTTCTAGCTGTAACTGTGATGCGCTTTTAGTCCGAGCTGCTTCCGAGATGAATCAAATCTAAGCGGACTACGTATGACTGTGAGGCGAAGCGTGAATGTGTGGTGAACACTGCGGCCAGTCACACGCAGAAAAGAAGGTGAAGGGTATCTGAAAACGGGTTTTTGAAACGATAAAAGAATAGTATAAACGAAAAGAGATATATAATCCAACATCCGCCGTCACCTGTGACAGCAACCCAAAAAAACGAGGCTGCTTGAAGCCAGATTTGCAGCGCAGTGCTGAGAAAAGTCGTGAATAGTGGCGCGTAACCGCGTGAAAGCTGCGAATCAATTTACTCTGGTGGGGGGCGCCACCTGGCACAGCGTGGCAAGGCGCCGTCCCCGCTACTCCAGGTACACCACAGCGCCTCATTCACGACCCACTGCCCTGAAATTCTCGCTAAAAATGGTTGCCTAGTGGCGCGCGGCCAGCAAAAGGGTATCAGAAATAACTTATGCTTCGTATTATATGCAGTGACTATTAATCATCACCAAGAACTTTATGCCAAATATCATCCACCTTGTCGGTAATCCAGCCCCAAATGTCTCCAAGGGTAGTGTTCATTAAGCCTTTCTCCTCCTTCTCCTTCTCATCCTCCGGCTTGTCGTCTTTGTGTTCGCCATCGCCGGGCTTATCAGTTGTTTCCTTTTGGCCCTCGGGCACTGGCGTTTCCGTTGCTGGTGCCTGTGATGAGGATGCGGCTGGTTCACCAGGCACTGTCGGTCGTTGAATGACATGTGTTGTCACAGGATCCTCAGGCACTGCCTCTTCAACCTTATGGATGCCAATAGTCTTCAATGGAAGACGCAAGGTGCCGTTATTAGGTTTCGGTACGATGCCAACTGAGTCGCACAGCATGTTGTAAAGTTCAATGTTTTCTACTCCTTGTTAGCTTATGATTCGATCCTGCATATTGCTAAAGCACAACTCACGAAAGTTATCAATTTGGCTATTAGCCGGGTGAGGGAAGGCAGGTCCTCGTGCGATAAAGATGGCTCTCATTAGAGGATGCTCATGATCGTACCCATGTAGTCCTCGCGGGTGGTACATCAAGTCCTTGGCGCCGGCTCCCGCGACGACAAATTCCTCCTTCTTTACAATAGCCCAGCCTGTCTTGGGGACGATCCATAACGGCGCGATACGCTTATTCTTGGAAAAGTGGTATCGGGGTGGCATGTTGACGTCGCGCAGGTAGACGTCAAAGTTGGGGTTGGTCTTTGACTTTTCCGCCAAGTCATCATACATAGACTGGAGATCATCTGGGTTCTTGGGACGAAGACCAAAGAGTGGCCAGCCGTCGGCATGCTCAATCTTGTTGGGGTCCACGAGATCCTCAAATTGAATCAGCCTTTCGCGGTCCGTTGTAGCCATTCCGTGATCAGACACGACAATGACGTTGACAATATTGGTCAAGTTACGCTGCTCAAGACCCTTAAAGATGTCATCGAGCATGGTGTCGACTTGCTGAATCGTAGTGCGAATTTCTGTGCTATTGGGGCCGAAGGTATGGCCGTCCGCATCGACATTTGGAACATACGAGGCAATGAGCTGCGGGCGGTATTCCTTGGGATCCAAGTTCTCGTTCTCTTTTCCAGGCATATCCAAAAAGTCAAAGATGCGCTGTACCTTTTTGTTCAGCGTCTCCTTGCCATTGTAATTATCAACAATGCTGGGCTCGACACCCAAGATGTGAGCCTCACTGCCCGGCCACATGTGAATAGCGGTTCGGACGCCCTGCGTCTCAGCAGTCACCCAGAAGGGTTCACCTCCCCACCACTTTGGATCGAGGCTTCTAGCCTTGTCTGTATAGTAAAACTCGCTCTGCAGCTCAGGGTCCCAGAATGAATTGCCAACAATGCCGTGGGCTTCCGGATACAGGCCAGTGGCTAAAGTATAGTGATTCGGAAAAGTAACTGATGGGAAGGATGGCAGCATATACTTTGGCGACACGCCCTCTTTGATAAAGGCGCTGAGGCGCGGAGTAAGACCTCGCAGCAAGAAGTCTGCTCTGAAGCCGTCGAGGCTGATAAGGAGCGTCGTCGGCCCAAAAATAGCAGTGCCGTTGCTAACCCAATTTGTCTTGTTGGCGACGGGCTTATGACTTATCGATAATTTCCATGCCACCATAACAAGAATAGCAAACCCGATGGCAATGAGGACGTGGATAAACAGCCAGCGTCGCCAGCTGCGTCCGCGCTGCGCATGCGCTTCTGTCATCATGTTTAATCGCTTTCGGTCTACTTCATCGCTATCACTTCGGTTGCTGATAGAGTCGGTGGCGCTTCCATCTGTTAGGCCACCTTCTTCGAGTTCGTACATGAGTTCACCGTCCTCGCCATGCTCAGCCCGCTCGCGCATGCGCTCCCTCTTCATCTGACGCTTTGCCCTCTTCGCTTGTCGCTTCTCTGAGACAAGGTTATCTGTTGAGCTGCCTGCAGCCGACATGTTCGACAAGCTCGGGCGGCGAAAGATGCTAAGGGGATTGGGTACGGCAAGCGCGGAGCCTCGACGTTCGCGCTCCTTTTTGCGTCGGGTATCTGTAACCAGCTTGTCCAGCTCATCCTCCTCCATCAAGACGATGCGGTCAGCGGCTCGGAGTTCTCGGCTATTTCTCGCACGAAGCTGCAACTCATCGTCATCGCTATCGGAGTCCTGGTCGCTGCGGGAATGAATCGAGGAGGCATCGTCGTCGTAGCCGACGGGGGAGAGGAGGGACGAGTTGTCGCGGTCCTTGGCCGGCGCCTTTGTATCTAGCGTGGTTCTCATTGTGTATTATAGGGAGCTCAAAGGCTCTAGTATAGGCGAATATTAAAACATGCAAGTTTGACTCCGTGCAAGCAAAAATAAAGGAGACAGTTTGTAGTGTTGAATCCAAAAACCGGGTGTGGCGACGTTGAGTTGCAGCGGGTACAGCGAGACGCTGCCCCCTGTCTTAACCAGTTTAGGCTAGACCCTGCTGCACCTGGCTGGGGCCGCGGCCTGTCCAATACATTAACTAAATACATGGAGGAAAAGGGGGCGGAAATCAAAGTAGTAAAATAATTTGAAATATTTGCCTAGACTCCTAGTACAAATGCAAGTATTGTTTTATTGGAAATATTACACAACAACGGGCTGTAGTGCGCCCCGTGACACCAGCCAGCCTTGCATCTCCTCCAAGCCCAGCAAACTAGATATCCAGAGCCTTCCGAAAGTATCAACATGTCCAATTTTGGCCTCGGTAAGCGCCTTTCCAAACTGACCATTCTCAATAACAAAATACATGTCGTTCTTCCATGCCTCTACAAACTCAACGGTAGACGATGCGCCCCAGAGTGGTAGCGACATAATCCAAGAGTGGCATAACCCAAGCTTTCCGTCACAGAGCAAGTCTTGAACGCCTGACAAGACGCGGTAGGACCGTACAAAATAAAAAGTAAGAATAAATGTGCGACGAGCGGATTCTTGCAAGATCCATGATTCCCACACGTCTTGGGCGGGTTGAATCGGGTATAGTGGTAGATCTGCAAGACAGGACAAGTCGTCCTCAAAGTTGATAAAGGAAAGTAGATGAAAAGCAGACCTTTCCATCAAGGGAATAAGAAGTTCTGCAGATATTCTTGCCTTGATGTCGCCATCATAGAGGCGGATAATCTGATACAAGATGAGAGCCTGCGTGTGTGCAAGACTGTCGAGAAACGTGGTAGGCGGAGGGGCGGCAATCAAGTCTGCCACGCGGCCGTCTATCGAAGAGAATATAATGGGTGAATTTATCGGATTCTTGGATAAGTATAAAGCACACGATGAGAATGCATCTGTAACAGTTGGTCAGTCCAGGCTCCATTTAATATATAGCGAAAAAGAGCTGCCTACCTTGCATAGAACGTGGCATGCCGTATTTATAGAGTAAAGGATGGCACCATGGAGTCTGCATTTCGGACACCATCGTCTTTGGCGCCGAAAGAATCAACTCCAACGCATATCCCAACCGGTTCCGCGCAATATCTGATGAAAATTCTAGCTTCCTTGACGACGGCGCCGCCAGTGTCAGCTCAGGTGCTAGTTTGGGGGCTTCTCCGCGGTCTTCTATCGGCATCGTAAAAGATAGCTCTGGTGCCTGCGATTGGAAATCAAAAGATGTAGGCAGAAGCACGTTGTTAGCCACTGTTGGCAATACAATGGTTGGATCCCAGTCTAACCCAAGTCCAGAAGGAGGCGTAGGTTGACTCAGAGCTCCGTTTGCTTTGGCGGTACTCCGCCGTAGTGCTGACCCATAGTCACAAGTGATTCCGCGCTGTTCGCATCGGAAACATGCTGGCATGGCGGCATCGCATCTTCTTTTGGCTTTGATACACGCTGCGCACGCTTTGCGTCTCGGTGGCGGGTTCTTGCGCTCCTTCGCACTGAATGACATATTCAGATGAGTAGAGCAGCCGTTCTATGGATTTTGGAACAAAAATGAATCTCTAAATGAATCGTAAGAGAAGAGATGAATTATGGATGGCGGAAGAAACGGAACAAGAAAGTTCACCTAAATGATCAGCGCCGGTGGTGGATCACTGGGCGGAACTCCGCCGCAAGGCTGACATTGCGTCGTTCCGGCTGTATAAAGACAACGAACGACGTTTTGAAAAAAAAAAAAAAAAAAAAAAAAAAGTATATAATCATATACAAATCCCCTCCAGAATTTTGCCAAAATATCAATTCAATCCTCTCATACTACCTCATCTTTACTTTAACAAACACTTCTTTCCAACTAACAAGGTACCATGACTCCCATCATCTTCATCGCCGGCGCTACTGGAACACAAGGCACCGCCCTCGTCAAGGCACTCACTTCTTCTGCCTCTCCTCCCATTATCCACGCTCTTGCCCGAGATATATCTTCCCCTCAATCCCAAAACATTGCAGCCCTTGGTGTCAAACTCTTCCAAGGTAGCTACCAAGACACCTCAGTCCTAACAACTGCCTTACAAGGCGCAACATCAGCCTTTCTCAACCTCAGCCGCGGTGTCAACGATGCTGATCACGAAATCAACGAGGCAAAGAGCCTTCTAGTAGCCTTCAAAGCTGCTGGTATCAAACACATCGTTTATTCAAGCGCCATGGCGGCTAATGACCCAACTAAACTATTCCGCTACCGAGAAGACTCTTTCGTGGGCAGCCTGATGCGCAGCAAGCAAGCTATTGAGAAGGAAGTCCGCAGCGCTGGATTTGACACTTGGACCATCCTCCGGCCTGGAAACTTCATGTCCAACCATCTGAAGCCGTTGCCGTTTATTTTCCCCGGTCTTGTGGAAACAGGAGTTTGGTCCACGGTTTACACCAAGGAGACGCGCATCCCAATGATTGACCCAGCTACAATTGGCGCCTTTGCTGCGGCGGCCCTCCTCGACCCTCAGCGCTTCCACAAAGACGAGATTCCTCTATCAGATGAGTTCTTGACGGTGGAGGCCTTGCTGAGCACTCTAAGCCGTGTCAGTGGAAGACAACTCACGGCGACGTTTATGAGCGACGACGAGATCGAAAGCAAGCTTCCCACCATGCCTGTGCTTGAAGCTCAGATCAACATGCGCAACATGGATATATATGCAGACATGGACAAGCTCAAGACGTACGGTATCAAATTGAGTTCGTTTGACAGCTTTATCGACGGACACGCAAGCCATACCAGAACCGCTTATGCCAAACAGGGATAGGCACAGTATTGCCGAAGAACGATGGACACATTTTATTTGTATTTTAGCAAGAAATGAAAAAGTAAATTGTCAGATATGTGCTATACTAAAATGTACGGTTCCCCTTCCTATACCTTGCCTTGCAGTCTTGTACGGGGCAAGTCTCTCGGGCTGCGTAGCTCAACATACACAGACACATCAAACGATGTGAAGACACTCTCAGATTCAAAGGTCCAATAAAAACGCCAACCGAAAAAGAAATAAAAGCAGTGACGCCAGTGAGAAGCAAACAGCCCATAGTGGTGCTTGCTCAGAGCCCATTACACCGTAGACGCACTTGATTGAAAAACAGGATTTTTTTTTATACAAATGCGTTACTTGCTTAGTGGTGAATAGGTGAGTGGCCGCCAAGAGCCTCGCGCTCGTCGGACTGAGCAACACCCACAAAAGCACCACGAGCTGATCCGGCGTCCGAGTTGCTTCCGCTGTTGATCATCGACGTTCGAGGCCATCCAAGAGGCATGTTGGATTGTCGGCGGATGGAGGTATCGCTAGTGTTGCGGACGTGGCCGATTCGGATGGGCATTTCCATCAAGTCGCGATCACTAATTCTCGAGTTACGGTCGCTGACAGAGCCACCACTGCTTGCGTTCTCCTGTACGCCCTTGCCACGTCGCCCAGCACCAGCTCTCATTACAACTCCGCCTGCGGCAGCAACACTGGTGGCACCCAGAGCAGCACCCATTCCCCTGCCCTTGGTCAATGAGTTTTTAGCCTGCTGGAACATGTTGTTGCTAGATCTCTCATCCTTGAGGAGCCAAGCAACCGCGTACATCCATGCGAGCAATACTGCCAATGTAAGGAAGGCACCTCCAGCAAAGTTGCCGCTAGACAGCTTGTGATAGACAAGAGGAACACCAAAGCTGTCGGTATTGCCACTGCCAGCTCCAGCATCTCCCTTACTGGTACCACCATTGTTTGCGGTGTACGGAGCCCGACGATCGGCGATGATAGTTCCCAGGGTCGCTTCAAGAACACCCATCTGTTGACCAGGGCCGCTGGTACCGTCATACTTGCCAGAGTGCCACTTGAGACCGCACATTCGTCCGTTGGCACCGCCAACACAATCCTTTGTGCCAGCAATGGCGGTGGCCTTAATCCAAGGCATGACAGTGTTGTAGGTGTACGGAGCCCATTTAGTGATATCAGCAAACCAACGGCTCATGTAAGCCTTGAAGGAGTTTTGATCGGGGTTGCAACGGTCGACTTCCTCACAGGCAACCTCAACCATGACATCGTCCTTCATGAAGACTTCGGCACCCTTGAGCAAAAGATCAAGACGCGAGCCCCATTTAGCGTCGCCGTTGGTAAAGTTGTACATGGCGCCAGCTCCTAGTGCCATGCCTGCAGCATTGTAAGTGAACTGAAGGTTGGTGATGTTGCTACAGGCATCCGCGTTGATGCCATCGTAGACGTAGCCAATGTCGCTGATCAACTTGACACTCTGCATCCAATCCCAAGTCTTCTCAGCCCAATCAGCATAGGAAGAGTTGCCGGTGTAGACAGCCAATCGGGCACCGAGTGCGAAGAAGCAAGCTTGTGAGATGGAGTTCTGGAATGTGGTTAGCGTCGCTCAGCTAAACGCGGTTTGGGGGTTGGGGGAGCGCGTAAAGCCGCCAGAGTAAGACATGCACAAACGCCCCATAGTATTCGGGTGGAAATTTACGCACCTTGTAGTCAAAGCCGTTGTTGAATGGAACAATCTGCCATCGGAGTCCACCACCGCAATTCTTATCCCATCGCTGAGCCTGAACGTTGAAAACTGCCTGTGCAAGAGCGAGCCACTGGGGCTTGTTGGAGGGGGGGTTGGGGAAGTTGAATTCGGCCGCAGACATAACAGCAAATGCCCAGAAGCCTTGGTCATCGTTTCCTTCTGTTCGGGTCTGTTCGATGGGCATGTAGTCGTTGTTGCTTCCGGTTTGAGCGAGCAGCGCTGTTGTGATGAGGTCGTTGTACTGATCATCGCCAGTGTTAACCCAGTAGTGAATGAGGGCGTCCATCATGGCACCAGCCTCCCACCCTAGTAGAGCTTGTTAGTGCGTAATATGTAGACTTCAAAATATATAACATACAATAGTATGGTTCAGGAAGCAGGCCAGGTCTTTTGGTGTTGTAAAAGGTCAACATGTCGGCTGCAAGTGTCTTTGCAGTCGCCACGACATTAGCTGTTGATAGAGTTAGTTACCGCTGGTAAAAGAAAAACATATATTTTCTTCTTCTACCTTTATTGGACGGATCTAGATCATACGCGCCTGAGACCGTGGTGCTCAGGGCGAAGAGGATCGACGCAACGCAAGATAGTTGGCGTGAGAAGAGCATGGTGCTGGATGTAGTTTGGTGGTAATTTTCTTTCTTCTTATTGGTTTTTTATGCGAGCGTAGGCTCGACGATGGAGTTGTAGGCAAAAACGATATTGTGATGGTCGTCAAAGAAGGATGTCGAATCAAGGACGTCGTTGGCGTCACCGAGCACAGCAGGCGAGTTTTGTCGATCGCAGAAGACGGTATCGGGCGCGTACAACTCTGACTAGATTCTAGGTGCGCTCTAAAGGGTGAAAATCCGGTGAGAGTATGCAAAGCTGCGTCGAGCAGTCGTCCGGATCTGGCGAGAAGATGCCGTCGCACGATGGGGTGGTACGCGCGGGATGGCCGCGGTGACGAAAGGGGCGACTGGCTGTTAGATGTAAAATGTCGAATAGGCAAACGGATAGTTGTCGTCCCGTTTGCGAATCCGAGGCCGATGGTGATTACGACAAAACGAGCGAAAAGAAAAAGAATGGCGTTGATGAGAAGAAGAGAGAGAAGAAGACGCAGCCAAGCCAGGATGTGCGTTGGTGTGCTGGGTGGAGAGGGTGTGGGCGGCGGAGGAAAGGACGGGGAGGCGAAATGAAGAGGGAAAAGGAGTGCTGCCAGCCAAAAGGAACGAGCAGATCGTGCGATCGGCCAATCAGCGCGGTGGGTTTGGACAGGAAACGTGGGCCCAGCCAGCAATACGAGCTTTTTCTTTTCAATGCGGATGAACAGTTTGCGCTGGAAGAATTCTTGTAAAAATAATTTGATGAAATTTTACCTGTCTATTATTTTAATTTACTTTTTTCCCCCGTGTAGTCCTGCTGGGCACCAAAAAAAAAGAACCCTACAAACACCACTCTGACCGTAAAAACCTACACGGAAGAAAAGGGCAGAATGACGACGGGACGGCTCCACAGTGCCCGCCCGAACCAACTGAAAAGAGTCAACTGGCCCGCTAAAGTCATGCAACCACATGCCACTGTAAACCACTGACTTTCCAGTGGTCTCAGCAGCGTACGCGTTTCTGCCAAGAACAAGAACACGGATGAAATTAATGCAATGCTCCATTTTTGGCTGGGGGTGGGTGGCCCTGGTACGGTACCTGCAGGCACTGGTGTTATTTTCCTGACAACCGTAGAGATGCATTGTTAAAAGAAAAAAAATTAGTGGAGGCTCTATTTGTGTTCTGCTTACTCGTATTTGTTGGCATTTTCTTTTAAGGAGTCTTTTCATCAGAAAAAGTAAATTAACCTATGCTGCTCGCAACAAACTCTCAATACCTATTTCCATCCACTCGTAAAAGCATTTTTCCCCGCGCCACACACATGCTCGGAGGCGTTCGGCCAAATGCTTCGCTGTACATCCAATGCAATTATGGCTGGGCTTTCTGACTTGGTGGCTGTAGTTGGCTGAGCCGTAGCCAGCGCAACCAGGTGAGCCATGTGTGTGTATTGGCTAATGCCGATGATGGCTCTCCTAACTGGCTGGATGTACAACCATCAACCTATCATGTCGACGACACATAGTTTCGTGAATATATTTAGAATTACAAGAATGACTGCACGCTACACAACGAATAAAATACAAGTGAAAAGATAAATAAATTACATTTTTAACATCTACAAAGCTATAGTCTTGAACGGCGCATATACCAGGTAGGTAGTTGTACAACTAGACGTTTGTAGACGTAGACATGTATTGTGCCATATAGAACTTACTAGCAACAGCAACATAATTGGCCCTGTAACATAGAAACCAAAAAAGGCAGACATATTACATCATAAGGTTTTTTGGGCTTGCTTCTAGTTTCGGCTTCGATTAATTTCATAGTTAAAAAACACATAGTATATAGTATACATTCACTAACTCTGACTAACACAAACTATGTGTCAAGCTACGGCTCATCCTCTAACACATCAAAGAGTGTATTTACCCACTCACCCGTTGCAGTTGTATATGCTTCAATCTCAGATGAATCAAAAGGTTCAACCCATGCACTCTCCAGTGCACTAGGCGGCGGGGCGACTGCTGTCCGGATCTGATCATTCTCTGTGAACCGGGCTGCGGAATTTGTGTCTGACATCTTTACAGATGGCAAAACGGATCTTGTAGATGCAAAACCGGACGCGATTGAGCCATATCCAGAGTCATACGACGTGTGGGCTCTCAATTTATCAAAGATAGCTCCAATCGCCTCGTTCAAGAGGTTACTTGAAAACTGCTCAATCGCTTGCCCTTCTGCTTGTGTAATGTCTGGGAATCTCAATCTAAGATTCGATTCAAATATGGACGGCCACTCCTGTGTAACCCATTCTCCCAAGGCAACAACTTCGAAACTTGTAAGACGGATTTGTGAATACGGATTCTCCGGCAGAGGCTCTCCGGGAAAGAGCACAGCGTACATCTGATACCACTGCTCTGATTTGGGCTTGCCCACGTCTACCCTCCTGCGCAACAGCACCTTCTGCTCAGTGGTTACTCCAACCCAAATTTTAGGTTCTTTTTCTTTGCAGTGTGACCGTTGTCTTATGTGCTCATCTCTCTCAATTTCGCTGCTGAATGTCTTGTTACAAAGGACACAGTGGATGGGAACTTGATGCGAACGCCATAAATGCTGTTTCACCCGAGATACCTCCCTTAGTATCAATTGCGAGCATGCCGAATACTTCAGTGGATCTCGTTTATAAAATGGGCAAGCCAGGATATCATGATTGTCTTTAGCCCTAGACGGGCCCTCGCCGTTATCATCACCCAGGCTCTCTGATTTGTGTTGTCTTTTGGTAAGCATCGTTTCACCAGTGTCCCCGGAATTGCCACCACTATCATCCCGGCGTCTCTTTTGCTTTTGAGCCGTGCTGGGTGGCGTTTCTAGATTTGGTGGCAGAATAGCATTGTGAGATGCAGTATCTGATGGATTCCATGCAGAAAACAGTCCGGGTGACATCCAAGGCATGTCGGGATCTAAGATAAATGGTCGTAAAGGTATTTGACTGTGCATTTTGGCCTGTAATTGATCGGTCTCAACTAGCGACGCTTGGTTTGGAATAGTGTCGCTTACCGCGTCAAAAGCAGAGACTACGGTACCGACTCTGTTGTCAATGTCGTCCAGTATTGCCTTGGCGGCGATCATGTACGCCACTCTCCCTTCTGTGCTGGCTGCTGTAATAAAGCCGTAGATCTTCTTCGTTTTAGGGTCGAGTACGGGCGAGCCACAGTCTCCCTCCTTCACTGTCCCGAGCAGGCTGATGGGATACAATGTTGTAAACTTGTTGCTATACGGCAGCTTCATGTATGTTGCCCTCCCGTCGATAGAACCAGCCATGGTTCCAGAAGACAAAGTTTGAACTTGAACCAACGTCGGTTCCATTTTGATGGGCATAATTGTATCTGATGTGAGCTGCGGTAGCTCAAACACAATATTCGGGAACCTGAATGCTGAACGAAGAAGGGCATAGTCAAGCTCTGGAGAGAAGAGTCGAATTTCATCCGAGATGGGCCAAATAGGTAGAATATTAGGACTTTGCTCCTCTTCATTGACTCCATGTTGGACAGGCGAAGCATCCTGCTCCAACTCCTGCGATATAGATTCGGATGTTGTTGATGGCGAGATTGCGCGACGAATGTCTGAAGGAGTTGAGCTAGCTTGACGCAGAAACTCCGAATCTGAGCTGGAATCCGTAATAGAGTCCGAATTGTGAAGCTGTATCTGCTCACCCGTGTCGTTTGCGGTAGAAGGTGTGAAAATGTGTGCTGGGGTGAGCAAGTAGTAGGTACCTCCAGTATGAACAGCGCACGAGACGATACCGGTTCGGCTGGTCGCATCGGTATTATTTCTTGCCACAATGATGTACTTATAATTACCAGGAGCCTCAGTTGAGTCTTCAGTCTTGACTGAGGTCGAAAGCGAAATATCAAACAGCCTGTGGCTATAGACAATAGTCGCATTCTCCGGCCCTGTGTTGCCTCCCATGAGTACGATGTTGGGTGCATGAGGAGGCCAATCCCAGTGGTCCATTTTGAGTCCTGAATATTGCTGCAGCGGTTTGCTTCGTCTCAGGCCTCGAATAGCCGCTTTCCTATGTCGCTTTGTAGCGCCTGCGAGCATTACACAGAGAACACAGGATTCGAGACTTGTGCCGCGTATGAAGATGTCAATGAGGAGGAGAGCTGAAGGCGGAATCGAGCGGCAACAATCTAGACTTTGTCGGACTTTGTCAAGGATGCTATTGAATGGCTCTTGGGTTGGGTCTCGAATCTCCCACCACTTGAACCCGTTCTTTTCGCCGCGATAGTTGCCTGCATAACGCGGTAAATCAGGTACACATGGTATTTCGTCTCTTTTGAAGAGATTCATAATGATTGTTGTGTCATGAATGGCATTGTGTGACGCCGTACTCCTTCTGTAATACGTGCTAGAAAAGAAGAAGAAGAAGAGGAAGAAATGCTTTTGAAGAGAGAAGTGAGGCGTATCGTTGGGCTTTCCAGCGAGGGGGTGCCCGTGCTGTGCCGCTACTATAAAGCTGCATATGCACTGCCCAGCAGCGTGACTTGAAGCCACGGCTGACCACCACTGAACATAGCCCGACAATACAGGGATTATAAAGGAAATCATTGGTTCAAATTTACCGAGATCAGCTTAACCAAGCTGCATCATGGGCGGTAAAAGACAGCGCCGCCTTCGGATGGGACGCGGACGACTCCAAATAATAAAGCGGCGGGAGGTAAAGCCAAAGACCTCAGACTAATCAACAATCGCCTTGTATTTATCTGTAATATTTTGTTATTGTTTCGCCAACTTCAATGGCGTCACCTTCAAATGGAAATGTCGCGCTGCCTATGGTGCAGCTAAATCACATATGCTCACCACTGAATCCAACCGTTGAAGCACGCATCGCCGCTATTCTCTGGGGTCCTTTTCCAGCACAAAACGATTATACGCCAGAAGCTTCCCCGAGACCGTACTTTTCATATTACACAGACCAATGCAGGACGGTATACTACTCTCTTGGAACAAGCTTCTGGTTCATAACACACGACGCAGTGGTAGATATGATCTCTGCCATGCGCCAAGGCGTGACGCGCGAAGAACTCGTCCAGGATGTACTAAACAATCACTCTATTCCGGCATCAAGTCCCCAGTTTAACGAGACCCATATTGCTAATGCATTTGTGGATCTTGTAGCCCGTTTGGTACTCATGGTCGAAGTTGGCCCAGTCACGAAGAGAGTCTGGAGCAGGAGAGCATGTCGATCATGGGAAAGCGGCAACATCAGCAGCTTCGCAACGGGACTATTTGAAGCACAGTCTCCGAATTCGAGAGAATCGACCGAGCTTAGTAGCAACTTCAATGCTCGAAACTTGGACGTTATTGCTGGACTAAGGGTCGAACTTACTAGCAATTTGCTTGACCATCTACAGGTGATGGATATTGAAGGTGTAAGCACGCTGATGGTGTTCCACCATGTCTCCTTTCTCAAAAACCACGGAGATTCGCTATTTGCGGACGGATTTGTTTACGAGACTATCCAGACATTGGCATTGTTGTTTCCTCAGAACACGTGGTATCGCGATAGCAAAGCCTGGTACCATAAATACCTAGAGCCCACGGTGACTGATGCGGATCCAGGCGTACTATCCTGCGGGCCGCTCACTATGACGAGCCTCGATTCGTATCGGTTCTGGCATGACCGGCTTTCGAGGCTACAACAGATCTTTGACCAGGCCAAGCCTAGGACCTTGAGCCAATGGTGGAACGATCGCAGAGAGGGCACGCAGTGGTACGCGCTATGGGTTGCAGTTGGCCTGACAGTCTTCTTTGGACTCGTTCAGAGTATCGAAGGGGCTCTACAGGTGTACAAGGCCTATCATCCTGACTAACAAGTAGATGTACTCGTTCTGTAGTAGACACAGTCAAAATGGATTAATAGCTGTTTCTATTTACTCTTATACATCCTATAAAGGCAATAGTTAATATCTAGGAGAAAATACAGTCTCTATTGGCAGCCGTGGGATATCACACTAGTTTGGTATACAAGTTAACCTGTGAGTATATGAAAGAGTGGGGGCAAAGTAATTCCTTAGAGCACAATGGCGTCTCAAACTGGCACAGATGCCGCCACCGAAGCTCGAGTTTTAGGCAACACGCTTTACAAAGCCGGCAAACTCTCACAAGGTAACCCCTGAACCGCCGTGCACATCATCTCTCAATGTATTGACATCTTTTCAAGCCGAGGAAGCATACAAAACAGCAGCGTCTCTCGTCCCCCATCATTCGTCGCCCGTCTCTAATATGTCAGCTGTGAGATATGAGATGGGTGACTATAGAGGTGCCATTGCCTACATCAACCAGGTATTAGCGCTTATCTCTGATGATACCAGCGACAGCGGCAAGAAAGATAAGTTATACAGCCGGCTAGCCAAGTGCTACTTGCACCTACTTGAATTCATTCCTGCCGAGGATGCCATATCCAGCATTGATAGTGTTGATCTCCGGTTCGAGCTATACGAGTCGGTTGAATCAATGAAGGTCTTGCGGGCTGAGGCCCCAGATGAATCCGCCCTCCGGAGACAGGTCCTTGACCAGATATCACGGTTCAAGCCATGTCTGTATGTTGGCCCTCGTCCCTGTGTGATTCTTCCGCTAACTGGACACCAAGACAAGATGTGGCTGAATATTACGCCGTGGGCCATGACCACACAGAAACTTTGACGGAGCCATTCGGAAAGACGGGCGGCACCGAAATACCAGACATATCATTCTTCTTTGCCGGCAGCGGAGATGGACGTAACCTCTTTTCCGCCATCACCTCGATGTTCTTCAGGGAGGCATAAACACGCGGCGCTGCTTTCAGAAAGGTTCCTTTCACTGTGGTGGATCTGAAGCCTGCGGCAATGGCTAGGATGCTTATTTTTTTTACTATGATGGATCGAGTTGGCCTGGACAATCCGGTTCCAAACTCCAAGCCTACGGATATTTTGCTAGCCATGTCTCACCTCTTCAGCTGTCAGGTGACTCCACCGTTCGCCGAGGTCGAGTTGCAGAACGATATCAGAGTGCTCATCAAGAAACTTGAAGGTGAAGATGCCGCCATTCCATTTGCATACGTCTGAGAGCAAGATCGGGAGTCTCTCATTCGAGTCCTTCGTCAGTGGCAGCAGCCATGGGACGGGATAACCAAGATCGCGGAGGTTCGAAGGTTGGTAAACTAAAGCGCGTAGAAGGTGCGCTGCACAGCGTGCCATTTTTAGAAAGTCACCAAGACCGTGGTCACAGGGCCAAACAAGATGATTTCGAGCGATTCACGACTTTAATGCTGCCTTCCGAGATTATGGGTCGGCGCGAGCCATCCCTTGCCGGTCCTCTAGCAGAGTACCGGCCAACAGGCAAAAGCGAAAAGCTCTTGCAATATATCGATTCAAATTGGAGAATCAACAATACGCTGATTGACTATGACTTCGCCAACAGAAGCCGCGAGCAGGGGGATGGAGACCAACTTCAGCTCGACGTTCATCCCTTAAAGTAACCGAGGCGATGGGTGTTGGAAAACCCACGCCGACCAGCTCCATAGAGCAGCATGCAGATATGTTCAAGATGTTCAGCATATCGACAGTGGCACTCAATGAGAATAAACGATTGGTCGTGGAAGTGATTGTAGGGGAGATGGCCGACATCATGGAGCGCATGCGCTACAATTTGTTGGACGACCGGCTGTCGCCTCCTGCTGATGGCGAAACTCTCGATCCGACTACCTTTCCACGAACCTTCGACTATATGCATATGGGCAATATCCCGTAAGATTTGTCCCCTCCCCGCCCCCGACGCACATAATATCCAACAGCATTAAACGCAGTGACTACATTGGTGGCATTTTAACAACATTTTTAGTTGGTCGGCCGCTTCTCAAGGAAGACAAGGTGTCTAGCCTGCGGTTTAACAATCTCCTTAACCCACCAGAGTTTGGGAATCACCAGACTTTCCAGTCCGAGTATCTACTCATGCACGACACGAAGCTCATTTGCCAGCACTTTCTGCTCAGTAGATGCCCAGGTAACGATTCCAATCGCAACTTGCCCCCAATGCTTGTTGCCATGGGAGAGTCCTTTTTATTCGAGGATTACATGATATGGGATAGTGTACCAAGATCCACCTTGCCCTTCCAGCAACTCTTGCCTAAGTCCGGGCTTGAGAAATGGATATACGCCCACTTGTTGAAGATTTGCCTGCCGTATCCGCGACCAATGTTCAGTGGCGCGCCTGTGTACGCACCCCTCAACCTCTCAGCCCTCATCCGTCTCATCAGCGACATGCTCGAGGTCGGATATCCGGCGCATTGGCTACTCGGGATCTTTTCTTCCACCTGTGCTGCGGTTATTACTACGTCTGCCCGACCACCCACGCAACTTGTCACCAAGCCCGCTGACGTTGAGACAAACCATCCAGCCAAAGCCATCTCCATACAACCTTGGGTTGGTTGCTGAGTTTACCACTTTGCTTAGCATATGGCGTCGCCTGCTCCTGTTTGGGATGGACTCGCTCGGCGGAACCCTTGTCCCACTCGAGAGCATATATCAGTACAGCATCACTTTTCCCCCGTTTCCTGCCAACCATGAACGCATTCCTCACTTTATTCTTGTATTCGTGAATACTGAGATAGGGTATAGTATGCGTCCGGAATCGTTCTATCGCTTCTTATCAGGAGAGAGCTCTCTGTCAGAAAGAGACCTTCGAGAGAAAGGCACCGTCTGCGTGACCGCGTTTCGATACACCACGGCCTCTAGAACCGCTGTATTCTGGATGCGAGGCGACAAGATGAAGCAAATGGCCGCCGGCAGATGGACCGTATTTATTTGCCGCACAGATGAATGAGTACCCGTAACCGACGGCGTAGATGTCTCTTTCGGGGTACAAACGGGCAAGCAGTGGTCAACCCTCATATAGCAACGGTGCCGTAGTATAGGTAGTATCGAGGAGTGTGAAGTCCTTCGGGTCTGGTCTGGGAAGCTTAGTGTTAAGAATGATGGTGACGTGGAAAAAAGAACAACGACAATAGGATTAATATAAAGTAGAAAGCATTCTCAAATTTCATTCATTTTCTTAGTCGTCTCTTTAGTCAGAAACGAGCCAATCCTCACTACGTTATATCAGTCAGTCTGTTTCTGCGACTGCTGCTTAGTCTGATCCAGTGGCAGAAGACTCATTGTTCATCCATGTTCTCATTGCATAAGCCATCAGCATACTCGTTGTCCTCCCTCGGAATCCAGATATAGTCCACCTCTCCCAAATCTCTCAACCTATCATCAAGCCTGGAAGCTTCCTCGAGAAGATCTCGGTTTGCAACCTCGCAGCCTGCAACATTTGTCCAACCATTGTTGGCCCACTTGTAAATCCAAATCGTCATACAGTTAACCGCATATCTCGAATCCGAATAGATCTTGACCTTTAGATATGGCCTGTGGTCCAAGTCGTCAAACTTTTCCAAGGCTTTCTCTAGAGCAATGATGATGGCAGTGATCTCGGCACGCTGGTTTGTGGGTGTGGGTTTTCGGGGTAACGAGCGTGTCCGTGAGTCGTACACTCCATTTCTTGACTTGACAGCAGCAGCTGCGGCACCTATAGCTCCTGGCTGCCCGTTGCCCCTACAGCCACCGTCTGTGTAGATCTCCATGATGTAAACCATATTGGCGGAGGAAGGCAGGCTAGCCAAATGTATGGGGCAAGTGAGAAGAAAGGCGGCACCTAAAGACCGGTCTCGTATGTAGAGCAAGGCAATAATAAGTTGTATTAAATGCGGTATTGGCTGGAATGATGGATCGCTTTGCTGCTGTGGAAGAAGCTGATGAGGAAATAACAATATCCCCCAGTCATGCGTGAAGCTGGTGGTGTGATATGATGAATGAGCTGCGCCTATCTACGTGCAGGTTACACAGGTGCAGTTGTCCGAAAACAACGCAGCGTTTGCTTCACTCTGCATAAATGACTTTTACGGAGCTACAAAATCATAAATTCCGATACACCGTTTGGATATTAATGCCAAAAAATAAAATAAAAAATAAAATGCTATAATGTGGTATACATTGGACTTGTATACTGAATTTGCCATGTTGAATGCCCCATATCGGGTAGGTTATTAGCTACCGAACCTCGATCGCCGCCCCGGATTCCACCAGCTAGTGTAAAAGCAGCGCGATATTACACCTCGCAAATACATATACATATATAAATATATATATATATATTACCCACTGTGCAATCTTCCCTCTAATTATGGAATTTTATCTTATAATGTAGAGGTAGAGAGTAATCTCGTCGTCGAAAAACGCACTGTATGGATGCACGTGATCGTAACCCGTAGCAACAATAGGCCCTGTAAACTCTAATTATACACTGTCCCTTGAACCTTGCTAAATCGCCCATGCAATTAGAGTCACTTTGTGTAATTTCCATAGAAGACCAAGTAAGTTAGTGGCAACAAATACAAGCAGTACTGTAATAGCAGCCTGGAATACGACATTCTCTTTTGCTCTCAATCAAGGCTCGCAGGTGTCTTTGATGGCACCCGCGAGTCCCATCTATTCAACCGCCCGTGTTCTATTCTGAGACATGTGTCACTGCACCAGCCTTACATAATGCACCCGCCACGCTGAGACTTTTGGCTGTCGCGCGTTGGCAGGTCCACGTAGCAAAAAAGGCCTCTGAATGTCAAGATTCGCGTTTTGCATTGCGGTGCTTGTTTGAGAGACTTGTCAAAAAATGGCAGGACAAAGCACACTGTGTGCTTGGGGCACTCGCATCTCGTTCAGAACCAAGGCAACCAACCCAGCCTGTAAATACGGGTGCTGCTGCACAGCCTTGCTACAGTGGGTTCCAAAGTACCCTGACTGGCCAGCACCACTAAAATTAAGCGCTATTAGACAAAAAAGGTACAAGGACCCCTGGGGCGGCTACACGCAAGCTGCGGCCAAAAAGTTTTGTACCTTTTTTTGGGTAGTCGTCAGCCCGTGCCAGCGCTTTGCCTCCCAAGGAATCCACTGCCGCAGCGCCCGGAGAAGGGGGACCCTCTCTGTCTGCTCCTCTTTGTTTCGCCTCTCTTTTGCTCTCCTTCATTCCTCACACACCTCAAACCAACCACCTTTGTTTCTCGTCCCAGATTTATTTCGCACAAAAAGGACAGCTCGCCGCTCCAACCACGACATCTTTACCATCTACACTTTCACTCAACCACTCGATACCCTTCACACCATCCAAAATGCCTGAGCAAGACGCCCCTTACGACCCTTACATCCCCTCGGGCGGCGCTTCCGCTCCTGCTACTAGTCAGCAAGCTGGCGGCAATGCCAGAACACAGGCCCTCCAGGCTGTACGTATTTCCCTTCTTTATTCTGAAATGCCCTGCAGGCGAATGTGAATCGATGGACGATGGGATTCTGCTGTTTTGGCGACGATGACGAGATGCGACGTGGCCACCTACCTAGGTGCGACCTGCAAAGCCGTTGCGATTCTCCGCCACCAAGCATGATGTACCAAAACAAAAACATGCACTGTTTGCCATCGAAAGGAATCTTGCACCCTTTCCCTGATGGTCAATATGGCGATGCTGCTGGATCAGCGGCAATACAGGATTGTTTTCTGGTGTTGTTGGCTCAGTCTTGGCTGCCAGCCCCCTTTCCTGCCAAATACGCTATGACGCAAGTCTCAGCGCTGCTTGATTGCTGGGCGACGAGACTTCCTCGTCGCCCAAACACGCAAATTCCCCATCCATTAATTTCGTTGCTTGTCTAAAAGACACTTTTGAGCATTGTGCTAACATGTCTGGCTTTTTAGCAAATCGACGATACTGTCGGTGTCATGCGCGACAACATCAACAAGGTCTCTCAGCGTGGTGAACGCTTGGACGCTCTCCAGGACAAGACCGACAACCTTGCCCAGTCTGCCCAGGGTTTCCGCCGTGGCGCCAACAGAGTACGAAAGCAAATGTGGTGGAAGGACATGAAGATGCGCGTCTGCATCGTCATTGGTGTCATCGTCTTGCTGTTGATCATCATCCTCCCCGCCGTCCTCACCACCAAGCACTAAACAACCACGATACCTCTCGTCCCAAGATAGCTCTTGGAGCGTGTATATAGGTCTTGCAAAACCGTCATGAAAGAAGAAAACGGTCGAGACCTGTGGAGGCATAATTTGCTTGCCTCCGCATTATGATGTAACTTTTTGTTTCTTGATTCCATGGCAGCGGAGTTGTTGGTTTTTCTCTCACACAAACGTCGTCCATTAGGCCATTGTTACATGGCACAGGTAGACGAGAAAAGAAAAGAGCAACGACTGCGCTACAACGAAGAAGACGGAGGAGGATACAACTGCAGAACCAGCTGCTGCATGTACGACTGGGAACTAGGCGTTTGTTTACTCCGCAGAATTGCGACTAATTTATATATATTTGCCTGGACTTTGCTTGTTTTCATCAAATTCTAAACGTGACTGTACCAAAAAGCGTCGCAGGTTGAAGCTGGGGTATTTGGTTGTGAAAGAACATCTGCAGAGGATGGGTTTAATCTCGACCGGGTTGCCGCTGGTATATGTGCGTGTTGCAAGACTGCCGAGCAAGAAATGCGGCAACTGACATTGGCGGGGCAGCAGCGGTGAAAATTCGAATCCTATATAGGTCTGATATTACGTCGTGATACTCGTCGGATCCCAGTGGGACTTCAATCCTGTATTAAATGAACGTAGTTCTTGGCCGGTTAAAATCGTTTCTGTGAGTCATTGTTCTGTAGAGAATACCCTCCTTTGGATAAAAGCCCTCATTGTAGACTGGGGCAACTGAGTCGGTATAGAACGCCGAGCTGCCAGTTTTGGTGATGATGCGGGTCGCCAGTTTCTTATCAGATCAAAACCTAGTGGGGACACCAAGGCCTAGATGAATGGATGAAGCGGCTTTAATGGCATCAAAGATGAGAAAAATTGGATCTCGGACACAGCCAGCGGATCACTTGCATCTTTTTCATGTGTTTGGCCACTACCGAGGGGCGCAGCTGAGCGTAATGGATGCGAGGTAACGACAGTTTGTTGTTGAGGTGTAAGTTTGTGCCGCGGCGCAGATCGACAGAGCCGCATCCTCATCTCCGTAAAAGCCCTCATAGACAAGCCTAACAAACGCTAACAGGGGAAAAGGCCCAACACGCATATTCTTTACGTATAGCAATATTGACTCGGGTCTCGTTTAACGGGCCACAGTATGCCGCAGGTGGGCAGTGCATGGACCTTTGAACTGGGCGATGCAATGTCACGTATGATGTGATTTCACGACCATGTATTTCACTCATAGCAAGCCGTTACTAAATAAACTTTGATCGAGGCACGAGGCTCTTACAATATGTGCCATGCGAGCTGTCGATCATGGCTCAGGCTGGCGCACGCCGCGGCCGCCGTCCAACAAGTTAATCGATGGTAGGATCACGGGGAGACGTAGATGCCGAAATATGCGAGGATGGGTTGCATCTAAACGGCGCAAAAACAAGCTTTTTATGCCGGTGGATGTCTGGTGGTATGACGTCGATGCCTGTGGCTTCGTCCAGAAAGGAGCAGCTGCAGAACGATAGCTCAGACTGAGCCATATATCGCTTCTGTGCATATGCATTGCTTGCTTTACTACAAGCGGCAACGCGGCACAACGGCGAAGTCTCTCGCCTACAGTAAGTATGCGTGGTTTTCTGGGCGACGGAAAGATGCTTGCTGCAGCGAGTCACCACGGACGAGAACTGGGGCAAGCCTCCCTACATGGCGGCATTATTTTCTTAGTGCTTTTTTTTGTGCCAGGACCGGCGGTGGGTTGACTTTATCCGCTGGGGACGGCGGGTTTGATGAACATGAAAATGAAAGAGAGAGTAAGAAAAGAGTGAGAGACTGATAAATATGGTGATGCTAGATGCAATTGAGGCAGATTTACCCCGTGTGCATCGTTCTTCGTCTACATGAGTACTGCGATTTGCCCGCCCAACGCCCTAAACAAAAACGCACGGCGCCTATATTTTGCCTCCCTTATCGCTGGTTCTAGCGTTGCTTAGGGAGTGGAGCAGTGCCCAGGGCGTGTTTGGCCGGGGAGGCAGGCCCTGCAGATTTGACAGCGCCGACAGCGGTGGCCCGATAGCGATTTCACCGCCTAGAGCAGCGTCTGCGTGGGAGGAGTCAGATTTCGCAAGCGGTCTCGGTGCGTTTTTTTGACAGGTTCCACTGTAGAGTCGACTGCCGCAACCCTTGGCTGGTGCCCCTCCCCCACAAGGTGCCGTTTTAGGCCTGCAGACGCTTCGCTGCCTCTGACTCTTCCTTTCCCGGTGCAGTACACACACTAAGTTAGCAGCAGGGCCGCCTGGCAACTCTCCCGCTTCTCTCTCTTCTCTTCTCTTCTTCTTCCCCTTCTCCCTACAACAGGCCATTCTCCCCAACGCCCCCGACTTTGTTGTCATCTCCTCCATCTAGCTCCGGCTCTCTTCCGACTATTCGAATTGGTCCGCTCGCATCTTCCACCCGGGGGTGTCCTGCCAACAGCGTCTTTTATTTTCTCCAAAATCTCCACTCTACGCTTTTCTCGACAGCATTCGCTCGTTCCTGTCCATTGATTTTCCGTCACTCCTCGAATTAGTAGGCATCAATTGGGGAACGCGGCCTTCCCCAGATTAATCTCTAGTCACATATTTCAAAATGCTCTCCGCCGCCGCCGTTGCCATTCGCGCTGGCGCTCGTCGAGCCGCCCCTCGACACATTCGCCTCGCCAAGGTTGCTGCTGCCGCCCGTGGTAGCAGAGCCTTTACCAACTCCCGAATCGCTGCCGCGACTCTCGCCCGCGACCGCACCAGAGAGATTGTTGCCCAGACCGTCAGCAGCATTGGTAGCAAACGTGAGGGCCAGCAGTACCTGAAGCTCTTCACATCGGTGGATTCTCAAAAGTTCGCCGTTATCAAGGTCGGTGGCGCCATTCTTACCGAGCACCTCGATGAGCTCTGCCGCAGCTTGCTCTTCCTCTACGAATTGGGACTGTACCCCGTCATTGTTCACGGTGCTGGACCTCAGCTCAACCGCCTTCTCGAGGAAGCTGGCGTTGAGCCCCAGTTCGAGGAAGGCATTCGTGTTACCGATGCCAAGACCCTTGGTGTTGCTCGCAAGCTCTTCCTTGAGGAGAACCTTCGACTCGTTGATCGCCTGGATCAGCTTGGTGTTGCTACCCGTTCTCTCTCGGGTGTCTTCATTGCCGACTACCTCGACAAGGACAAGTGGCAATATGTCGGCAAGATCACAAAGGTGAACAAGGAGGCTATCGAGCGATCGATCGAGGCTGGCTACGTCCCTATTCTCACCTCCATGGCCGAATCTGAGGATGGCCGCTTGCTCAACGTCAACGCCGATGTGGCTGCTGCCGAATTGGCCCGCGCTCTGGAGCCGCTCAAGGTCGTCTACCTCTCTGAGAAGGGTGGCCTCTTTGATGGTGAGGGTGACAAGATTTCTCATATCAACCTCGATGCCGAGTTCCAGCACCTCATGGCTCAGCCCTGGTGCCGCTACGGTACTAGACTCAAGATCAAGGAGATTAAGGAGCTTCTCGACACCCTTCCCCGCACTTCTAGTGTTGCTATTATCCACCCTAGCGACCTGCAGAAGGAGCTTTTCACCGACTCTGGTGCTGGTACCCTGATTCGCCGTGGTGACAAGATCCAGACTGCAACCACCATTGAGGAGCTTGGCGATCTTGATAAGTTCAAGGCTGCCCTTCTCCGCGACCGTCCTTCTGTGGATGCCGAGGCCACCATTGATCGCTTCCTCGACTCGCTTAACGGCAAGCCTTTCACTGCTTACTACGACGATGCCATGCAGTGTGTTGCTATTGTCCTCCCCGCCACCGACGGCCAGCCCATGGCTACCCTTGCCACTCTCAACATTACAAAGTCTGGTTGGTTGACCAACGTCGCCGAAAACGTGTTTGCCACCCTCAAGAAGGACCACCCCAGCCTTGTTTGGACCGTTAGCGAGAACGATGAGAACCTCACCTGGTTCTTTGAGAAGGCCGAAGGCAGCTTCAACCACAATGGCAACGTCTTGTTCTACTACGGCTGCGACTTGCGCTCCGGCACCCTCAGCAAGATTTACGAAGAATTCCTCGTCAATGGACGCGCCATTATGGGTGACAGCAACCTTGAATCTCGCCTCCGTCAGGCCGCCATCGCCGCCAGCGAACCTCTTCACCGTAACCATGTTGCCCAACAGGCCCGTGGATTCTCTACCATGCGCCGCGTCACTCCCCGCGTAACTGGCGTCCAGCAACAAGCCCGCGGCTTTGCTACCACAACCAACCCCAACCCTCCCTTGGGCAAGAAGAACGCTTCCAACACTGTCCCTGCCCGCGTAGCACTCATTGGTGCCCGTGGATACACCGGACAGGCCTTGATCAGCCTCCTCAACTCCCACCCGTACATGGACCTTCGCCATGTTTCTTCTCGTGAACTTGCTGGACAGGAGCTGCCTGGCTACACCAAGCGCAAGATTATTTACGAGAACCTGAGCCCCGAGGAATGCGGTAAGCTCGAAAAGGCTGGTGCTATTGACTGCTGGGTCATGGCCCTGCCAAACGGTGTCTGCAAGCCTTACATTGAGGCTCTCGATGCTGCTTCCAAGGGCAAGGAGGAGAAGAGCGTCATCATTGACCTTTCGGCCGACTACCGTTTCGACAAGTCATGGACCTATGGTCTCCCCGAGCTCACCAAGCGAGCCGACATCTTCCAGGCGAAGCGCATCTCCAACCCTGGCTGCTACGCTACTGCTGCCCAGCTTGGCATTGCCCCCATTGTAGAGTTTTTGGGTGGCGAGCCCACCGTCTTTGGTGTTTCCGGATACTCTGGCGCCGGTACCAAGCCTTCGCCCAAGAACGACGTTAACCTTCTTAAGGACAACCTCATGCCCTACAGTCTGACTGACCACGTTCACGAGCGCGAAATTAGCAACCAGCTCGGCACGCCTGTTTCCTTCATCCCCCACGTCGCTTCTTGGTTCCGCGGTATTCACCACACCATCAACATCCCTCTTAACCAGACCATGACCTCTCGTGACATTCGCCAGATCTACCAGGATCGCTATGCTGGCGAGAAGCTCGTCAAGGTTGTCGGTGAGGCCCCTCTGGTCCGCGGCATCATGGATAAGCATGGTGTTGAGATTGGTGGCTTTGCCGTTCACAGCAGCGGCAAGCGAGTTGTTGTTTGCGTCAACATTGACAACTTGCTCAAGGGTGCTGCTACCCAATGTCTCCGTAAGTCCTTTTTTTCCCTGTGTCAATCCACAACAATTGCTAACAAGAAACGCTAGAAAACATGAACCTTGCTCTCGGATACGCCGAGTACGAGGCCATCCCTACGATGTAAACGCAGCAAATTTTGGTGGAGGATGACACGAGGTAAAATCGCAATGGTTACAGGCCATATTATTCTGTTTGTTAGTCGACTTTTCGTTCCTTTCTGAGATGTGTTGTATCTGCCGTGCTTTGTTTTCTAGTGTCGGCAGGCTTTTGGTTTTGCTCGTTGCTATTGGCGCGAATTTGGCAGAAAATGATATGGTCTGCGGCTCTATTTTGCATAGAAATAGTGGAAGAAAAACAAGAAAAGCACACGATAAAAGATGTAACTATTCATTATGATGGCTCACCTCCTCTACGTAGCATTGTACAGAGTGAAAATGGCCGCATAACGTACAAGATTCGGCCGAGAGTAGCAGAAACAGCGGGGATTGATATAGCACGATGTATATTACCTGGCAGATTACCAATGATGGAGGAGCCCATTTAGGTAAAGTCCGTCGGCGGAAGGATTCTGCAACAGGGTTTAGGAAAACCGCGCCTCTCAACAGAAATCGACTGATGCTAATGCATGAAACAATGACGGCGCATGACGAGGGATACACGTATTAGGTCCGGCGGGTTTGCAGATCAGCAAGCAAGCCAGTCGGCTTGTGGTTGCGCTACGGTGCAAAGCTTATTCGGGATGTTAATACAAACTTGGCTTCCATGAGTTTATCTTGGAAAACCCGTCTATAAACCCGTCTATGCAGAAGGCCAGCATCTTTCCATCTGCAGGAAAATTAAACGCATAGCATACAAGGCGACGATGGCCCCCAAACTGCTCCAGAGTACCGTTCTGAACACACGGTACCAGAAGAGCCGCCGAAGAAAGCGGAGTGATGGCCGTGCAAAAGCCCACTTGCAAGGTAATAAATAGCGTGCGGTGGAATTACCTGATTTTGCCTTGAGCCGCACGCTCGACCCCGCTAAGTGGATGGACATTCGGCAGTTTGTGCTGATCCTGATGCATGGGACGACGCTGACTGCGCTGATGTACGTACGTGCGTGCAACCGGATAATGTAGTAGTGGTGGTTGTGTTTGGCGCAGGAATGGCTTACTGATGCTGTGTGGCGAGTGTGTAAGAGAAACCAGCTGATATGTTTTTTGGCGTTGTGATGGTGGACGGACGACGTGGCTGTTTGTGGTGTTTGGTTCTTTGTTTGCTGGCGATGTTTGCTGGGTGCGCGGGCTGCACGGCGCTGTAAGGTAGCCCTGTGGAACCCAGGAACTTGGGCCTACAGTGGAGTCAGCAAGCAGAGGCCATCAAGGGAAGTGATGGTACAGTACTATATAGAAAACCGAAGTATTTATAAGTTAATGATAGATTAAGAGGGTGAATTGGATAAAAATATAGGCAGATATAGACGCCACGGCTCGGATAAAAGTTCATAAAAAGGCAGTCGTTGACCGCCCGCCAGGCATTACACCACACTAATGTATTGATCCGCTGTCTGTCACCCAGGTGGAAAAAAACGCCACGCTGCAGTAACAAACAACTGATCAACACTACAAGCGGACGACTCGAAACCACAAGCAGCTCGGTAAGCACCGCAACCAAACGCCCAAATACAAAGCAAACAATCGACACAATGGCTTAGCGTTGGCTGCTTCTCGGCCGAGCGCTGAATGCGGTTCCCCGCCGTAAGCTCCCCATAAATTCACCAATTGCCCTGAGATGTAACCTTAAACTGCTACTTCCCCCTACCCCCCCTCTCCAAGAAATTTCTGGGCGGTTGGGGAATTCTTCGTTTTCTTGTTTCTCCACGATATCTGATTGTGAAGGAACCGGGAGGATTCAGGGAAACGATACCCGGCTTGTCTGTCATGGCTACCAAAGAGAAACAGGTCGCCGTGTCGACCATCCGATCTGCTGCACCACCCGCCGAGATGCCGTGGATGATGATGACGGCTATTTCGGGATTCTATCTGGCCGCAACAGTTCTGGACCGCCTGCATTCACGATACCTCGCAAGACCATTATACCCAGCACAATACCAGCAACTTCTGCACCCGCTAGCAGCTATATTCCTCGTCCTACCAGTCTTTATAGTTAGCCATACCAAGCTGTACTGGCTACGTGCTAACCGCGTCAATGGATGTGAGCCGGCAGCAGTGTATCCACACAAAGATCCCATCATGGGCTTCGACTGGATGAAGAGCGTGCTCAAGGCGTCCCAGGAGACGAGGCTGATTGAGTTCTTCCTCGACCACTTCAACGATATCGGCAATACCTTTTGGTTCAATGCCGGCGGCGACTGGACCTTGATGACCAACGAGCCGGAGAACGTCAAGGCCATTCTGTCCACGCAGTTCAATGTCTGGCCGGTCCAGGGACTGCGCAAGACGACGGCCGTGGTAACATTGGGACCCAAGGCGGTCTTCTCGACCAATGGAAAGGAATGGCAGCATGCGAGGGCGGTCATGAGGCCGAGCTTTGTGCGCAATCAGCTGGCTGATCTCGAATGCACGGATCGACATGTCGAAAACTTTCTGGCTAAGCTGAAGCTGGATGAGTCCAAGTTGGACCTGCAGCCGCTCTTCTTCCTGTTTACCATGGATGTATCGACGGACTTCATGTACGTCATAAGACAATATGATTGTGTTGGAGAGGGGTAGACTAACATGCATTTTAGGTTTGGCCACTCGACAGATATGCTTCGTCACCCATCCCCGGAAGCCGACGAGTTCATCCGATGCTTCGAATATACCATGATCAGCTCGCTTACCCGCGCTCGTATGGGCCGCTTCGCATTCCTGTTGCGCGACAGGAAGCTCGACGAGTCGATACAAACATCTTACGCCTTTATCGACCAATTTATAACCTCGGCGTTTGCCAATGGACGGTCCAAGGAGCGCCCGTATGTATTTATGAATGAATTGATCGACTCGGGTGCCTCGCACGACGAGATTCGGTCTCAGCTGCTGTCCATGATTCTCGGCGGAAGGGATACGAGCGCCAGCACCATGAGCTCCTTGTTCTGGGTGCTGGCACGCAGGCCAGATATATTCGCCAAGATGAAGAAGGAACTTGAAATACTCAACGGCGAGAAGCCAAGTTGGGAACAGACGCGAGAGCTCAAGTACTTGAACCGCGTTATCAAAGAAGGTATGTTTGAAGTTGTGTTTGTTGGCGTGACTTGCGTCTGACTCTTGTTAGTTCTCCGACTCTATCCTCCAGTCATCTCGAACCTTCGAAGTGCTTCACAAGATACAATTCTGCCCCGCGGTGGTGGCAAGGATGGCCAGTCGCCACTTTTCGTTCCCAAGGGCACGACGTGTCGCTACTCTATTGTCTCTATGCAGCGCCGTCAGGACTTGTACGGCGATGATGCCGACGAGTTCCGACCTGAGCGCTGGGAGACCCTGCGCACTTCGTACGTTACACTATGCGTTTAATCACGATATACTGACTTTTGATAGGTGGGAGTATATCCCATTTAGTGGCGGCCCCCGAATTTGCATTGGCCAGCAGTTTGCGCTGACACAAGTTACGTACATGGTGGCGAGAATTCTGCAGTCGATTGGCAGCGTAGAAGCCATGGACAATCTACCCATGGAAATGATTGTCAGCGCGACTACATCGCTCAAGAACGGCTGCTGGGTCAAGATGACGCCTGCTTAGAGAAGAAGATACCCGCGCTCAAGCGCACCTAGGAAGATGATGCGAATCGTCCCCAACACGTTATGCCACTACGAATACACGAACATGGCAAGGAATAAAATACCACTCTTACATAGCCATTGGATGATTATCATGTAATTACAACAAGATTTATGCTATGTTTGGGGTTGACCTCCTCGTCACTTACACGACAGGCACACGTGACTGACTGCCTACGAATGAAAGTGGAACCTTTGCAAGCTCGCGACAAGCTTTCGCAAAGGTCGTAGCTCAATGCCCGCAGAGTTGCATCGCCCGTCTCAATTGCCATTTCTATCTAAAACGAAGCGGACAACTCGAATTGCATAATGGAAGTCGACTCGCACGACCGCCCTCGCTCGCGACCCCGTTCGCCGGGCCGATCTAGATCCCCATCGCGATCACGATCCAGGTCGCCATCGCGTTCGCGCTACCGATCCCGCTCGAGAAGCAGAAGCAGAAGCAGAAGCTACTCACGAAGCAGAAGCCGCTCGTACTCGAGGAGAAGCTATTCGCGATCCGCATCGCCGCCGCCAAAGGGCACAAAGATTGTTGTGGAGCGCTTGACCAAGACGGTCAACGAAGACCACTTGTACGAGATCTTTGGGCAGTTTGGCGCCATCAAGGACCTGGATCTGCCTATGAACAGAGCCTGTATGTATTTATTGGACGAAAAGAGGTTGTCTTGAGCTTGCTAACTGTGATGTTCAGTCAACACGAACCGCGGAACGGCCTACATTCTGTACTCGTCACCAGCTGCCGCCGAGGCTGCGATTTCACACATGCACGAATCCCGCGTCGACAATGCTACAATCCACGTCTCTATTGTCCTTCCGCGCCGCAAAATATCACCTTCACCCCCCACTGCTCGTCGCGGGGCAAACATCGACCCTCGCCAGCCCTTTTCGGGTCCTGGTGGTAACCGAGGCGGTAGAGGACGCCGCGGGTCTCCTGGCTCTCGATACGGCTCACGGTCCAACGTGTACAGACCACGATCTAGTTCTCCTCGTGGAAACGGCTCTGGCCCCCGTGGTGGCCAGTACAGGAGCCGCTCACGGTCGAGGTCTCGCTCGCGATCCTATACACCGCCTCGACGACACTCGCGCAGCAGCAGCAGGAGCTTTGATAATGGGGACAGAAGATCCCATAGCCCGATGAAGGAGGACAACTAGAGTGTCGCTACGGCACGGATTGTATGCACTGTACACTATGATGACGATATTGTCAGTTTATGATTGACTGACGGAGGCGTTTTAATGGAATTGGGATTTGCTATTGATTGATAATGTCCAAGGTGAATTTTTTAAATATTAGCTTTGCAGATATGGACAGTAGTCTGGAAACAAATAGATATCTAAGAAATAAATGAACAGCAAAGAGCGAGAAAAAGAGACATGATTCATTAACGATGCGGCGCATCTCCCCCTTCCTCTTCATTACAAGGCTAGCACGAGGCCAATAGCACCGCCCAGTGCGGCTGCTGCTCCAACGTGAGCAGTGTTCTTAGGACCATGACCATTGCTGCTTGTTGTAGATGGCCCCTTTGTCTTGGTGGTGGAAGAGGCAGCACTGCCTGTTGCGCTGGTAGAGTCTGTCACGGGGCAGTTTGTCGAGCAAGGCAGCGCCGACGTGAACGGATGGTCGACCTTGCTGGGGTCAAACACGGGCGGCTGCGTAGCCTGGCTCGGGTTCGGGACGGCAGGCGAGTCTGGGTTCAGCACGTCGGAGATGATGTGCATGATGCCGTTGGCAAGCAGGATATCCGGCTGGACAATCTGCGCCGAGTTGACATACTTGTTGTTACCCGACTGGCGGACAGTGATGACGTTTTGGGTACTGTTGCCGAGCGTTTTCAGCACCGTGTTGTTGGCCATGTTCTCGAGGTTAAGGACCTGGCCAGGCACAACGTGGTATCCTGCCACGCGAGACAGGGCGCTGGTGCTGAGCTTCTCGAGGGTGCCGCCGACGCTGCCCATGGCCATGTCGCTAGGAACGAAAATGGTGACGCCGTCGCGGTACTCCAGGCCCGGCATGAGCTTGCCAGCGTAGAGGGCACCAAGGAAGGAGGTGGCCTGGAAGGCTTGTGCGGTCTTGTCGAGCAGCGCGGGTGGGATCAGTAGGTTGTCGATGACCTGGATGATACCGCCTTGGAAGGCGACGTCCTTGTCGACGACGGTGCAGCGGTTGCCGAGGCCGGAGGTGAAGATGACGGTCTTGTCGGATTGGACGGTGAAGAGGACGTTTTGGCCGGCCGTGACGTTGGTGTACTTGGTGCTCGTGAGTAGGCTCGTCTTCATGAAGGTAGGGCCAGACTTGACAGAGGTGGTGTCCAAGGTACCCTGGAGGACGTGGTAGCGCAGCAGGTTGAGGGTAATGTCTTCATTGTCGGTGTTCCAGACGCCGTTGAGAGCTGTGTAGGGGATGTTTTTGAACGCTTGGTCTGAGGGTGCGATAATCTATGCATGGTGGTTAGCTTTGGTTGGACGTGCTGAGGCAGGGTGTAGACGTACGGTTACGCCGCCGGAGCTGGGCAACTCGAGAAGAAGCGAAGGGAATTTCTATAGAGGAGTGGTTAACAGAGGTAATTGGAGAGGAAGGTGTTTGCGACGTACGCGTAGAAGGTTGTTGAATGTGGTGAGGTTTGCGTGGTTTGCAAGGACGTCACCGAGCTTGGGCGCTTCGTCGGCGGCAACCCCAATGACGACAGATGCTAGGGCCCCAAGGCGGAGGAGATGCGACAGATACATTGTTCTAATGGAGCGCGGCGGCGCAATTGAAGCAGAAGCAGGCAAGAAACACGATACACGGACGACAAAAAAGATGGAGGAGAAGAAACCGTTGACCAAAAAAAAGTACGAGATTCTGCTGCCAGCTGGCGGTGGTGCGTTAGGTGCCTGAATAAGATCGTCGTGTTAGCGGCCTTTTGGGGGACAATCTTGGCCGGAAATGGAATTGGTGCCAGCGGCAGGATACGGCAAACAATGCGCGGGAGACGACAGCTTAGGGGAGCACAGCGTGGAAATAATCCTACGGAGAACACGTCGTTTAGTAATTTCCCCATGGCCAAGACAAATTGGAATTACACGGCGGCTCTGGCTGTGAGAAGCCGGATGGTGAGATGGGATGGGCGCTGTCGTACGATTGGGGATCATCAATTACAGCGGGTGCTACAGCGCTCGTGTTAGTGGGTGAGCGGTAACCGTAGCCGCTGCACCTTGAGCAGTGATGCCATGGCACAGCATATCACGAACAAACGAGGCAGCCAGTCGCATGATGGCACTGAAATGAAGGCTCCAGTGGGATACGGCATAAACAAAAAACTCCCTCTCTCTCTCCTATCAGATGGAGACGAGATGCTGGCTCCTGTCTCATGAGATACGAAGGACTTGTCTCGGACGCAGTGTTCGACAGGCCCAGCCATGTCTTGCGTGTCCAACTTGGCATCTCCCAACCATTTGGGAGCTGTGATGTCTGCCAGACAACTGGATAGCAGGCACATACGGAGGCAATCACATGACGTGTAAGTATCCCTTGCCTGATGCTGTGTCAAAAAGCAATGCTGGACAGACCGCAACATTGTGGTTGCTGTGCCTTGCATAAAAAGCAAATGGCCAAGACGTCATATGCTTGAACAAACAGATGCTACTGTACAGTACGAAACTGTATACCCTTTTTCATTGATGCTCTAATTATAAACCGGAAGCACATGCGAAACTTCTCAACGGCCGCCCAGTCACTGGATCACGAGCTAATCTGGACATGACCGGCGATGCAACCACCAATCGCACAGCTAGGGCTGGCTGAACAAGGCCGCCCAGCGAATCAGAAGCTCGCCATGAACAAAACACATGTTGATATACAATTGCCAGCAGACAAGCCACAATTCACACAAGTCTCCGTTGCAAGCGAATCAGACAAAAAACTTTTTCTTTTGCACAATCCAGTTAAAAAAAAGCGACCTGCATGAATACGAGCTTTGTTGCCATGATTGTGAGTGGGAGGGGGCGTGTCGGCCCCGATCGTCGATGAGAGCCAATAAATAAACAAGGCTGGATGGACCCAACAAAAAATGGAAAACACACAGCGAACTAGGAGATAAAGGGAAGTATTGTTGAAATTTTCCGCCATGGGTTATCTGAGAGGCGCTGATAGGACGAACAAGATGCATGGGCAAGGCTACGCGGCTGATGCGTTGTCCACCTCGGATGTCGGACCTGCGGTGCTATCTCTGCGTCTTTTTCAGCCATTTAGCGTCGTTTAAGCGAGCGAAAACGTTTTTTGAGGCTTCCATGCAGTGGAAATGCGAAATGAGATGTGGGCTACAAAGTGGTTGAGGCTGGCCATGGTGTATCTTGTGCATATACGTGTATCGGACGAGACGGTCCGCCGGCCATGGGTGTCTAGGCAGACATGGTAGCTGAGTCGTCTGTTATGGATTATGACGCTTCTATCATTGTTGAATCTCGGTGAGTGGACAATGACAAGGCACGGTGAGTGATTGGCTACAGGAACGACTAGAAGTATATATGCGAGCAATTGAGCATGGAGTCCAGAGAATTGACTTGGTCTGGCTTCAGACGGGCTAGAACAGGAGTCCATTAGGCTTCAAGCGCTGGATAGTTGGGTTTCGGGATGCAGGTAGCAACCAGCCTTGTCGATCTCTTGCTGTAGCAGGCGAGCAGCGTGCATGATAGCCTTCCTTGGCCTTGCTGCATAGTTCTACACGCCGTCTTTATCCGGAATCCCTTCAAAGCCTCAACTGAACGACCCGTTATTTACGGCCCAGCTCCTGTAGTCTAGACGAAAACAGAGAAGTCTGGCGGCGCCCCAAAGCTGGACGGGGACTTGCCAGCGCTGATCAGTCGAGCCTAGGACCGTAAAATTCGTGTTTAGTGACCGGGAGGCCACTAACAGGAGTTAGGTAATGCGTCTCCAGCCGGTGCCGCTGTTAGGGCCTTTTTAGTGTACGCGGCCAAGTTCCTGGTTTCGGCGTCGGCCTCAGTTAGCACGAGAAGAGCATCGAATTGTACGCTATGCCATGATAGGAAGCAACTGTGTAGGTGTTTCCGAGCAAACAACCAGATCGAACGACCATGTATTGTACCACGGAGTCATCCGCACGGTCAGTAACAGAGACGCCTAGTAACAGTACAAAATACAGCGCACCGTTCCAGGCATCTGGTCCATTAGCCTTCCTTCTAGAAGTAAGGCCATTGGGGCCAAAACGTGGTTCCGACGGAAAAAACCGACGCCTTTCACCGCGTGGCGATAGAGTTTCACGGGTTGGACAACGCTTGGCCAGTTAGTACAAAGGAAACCGCGCCGAGCAACCGTGGAGTCTCCTGATATCCAATTGGGCGAGTGGGACCGGCGAAAAAAAAAACGTGGCAGAGACAGCAAGGCCTTGCGGCCCCAGAATACTACGGAGCCTGCTGCTGTAAACGGATATAGAAACACGAGCAATGGACGTCTACGATGCAATTCGCATATTTTTCTCCCCTGTTGCCTTGGATGGGCTCTCTAATGCTGACAGCGATTCGGTAGGATGGGCCGGAGCGGGAATGCTGCGGGCCTGGGCTGCATGTCCGCGCACCGTTGACTGGGATGGTTGAAAAACGGAGACGACCGATACGGAATATTGCACCGAGCGAAAGAAGGACAACGTGCGTGCACAGACAGGCGCTCGTAATACTCAATATCTTGGGGCGCTGGGCTGATACTGTGCCAAGCAACCACTTTTTGATGTGTGTCCGTCGGAGCAAAGGAAAGCTGTGCCTTGATTTGTTGCTGCGTGATGGGTGTTTTTTTTGTTTTTTTCCCTTCCCTCTTTGGCTTGTCTTGAAACACCATTCCGTATCGGTTAGTCTTACCGCAAGACTCTCTAACGTGCTTGTTCCCGCGATATTTGCTTTTTTCGTCGTCTTGGCCCAGCCATTGTTCCTCGTCTGAAGGCGCAATCAGCGAGATGTGCCTTTGTTCCCAGTGGCGGATTGCCATTCAAGGTGTGGCGTGCCAGATGCGGTAATGGTTGGATTGGAAATATTACCTGTTTAGGACTAGCGTGGTACACTAGCGTCCTGACTAGCGTAGCGAGAAAATGAGTCGGCTAGCGCTAATGCATGCCCAGCACTTTTTCTTTCTCCAGTTGCGAGAGCCTAGTAAGAGAGATGCAGAGAGCGATAGCAGGGCAACCTTGCTTAGCTTACGGTGTGCATGGCGCTGCGCAGCCTGATTCCCAGCGCACTTGGCGGTTGTTGAGATTGCAACCCGCCACTCAAGGACCAGTGCAGGCAGCGGAGAACGATGACAACAAGGTACAGTAAAGAGAGGTTCTGATTTCCCACGGAGATCGAAAGAGGGGAGGGGCAAAAGTCGATGTGTCACGGATATAGCAATCTGCACTTTGACGGGTGCCAGGGGGACCGTGATGTGAAGAGAGGAAAGAGACGATGGTGACGTTTGTTTGTGGTGTATTAGCGTGTGTTGTTGGATGTACAGTACAGTACAGGCGCCTTGCCCCCCTCGCGAGCGACTCTGCTTCAGGTGGTGGCCGCAGCTTGCGGTGGTGTGTGTGCGTGCGTGCTTGCAGCACGGCGCATTACAGGTCTGGTGGAAGCAACGCCAACAGCACCAGCAGCAGCGCCCCTGTTAAAAATAGGCGGGTTATCGTAGGACGGTCCACCGGCCATGCGTACCCGACACGGCGAAGGAATTGGTTCGGAGATCTGGCACCGGCCTGGCAGGTGTGTGTGTGTGTGATTTGGAGTTGTCCAGGATGTGTTGCAATTATTGATTGGCATGGTTACACTTACATGGGCGATGTAAAAATAGTTCTAGACTGCTTGTAGAGTATTGGTTTGCATGTCAACCAGCAAGCAACTCTCTCTCAGTCACGCGCAGAAAAGAAAGCGTCCATTCGGCCGTATCTTGTTTGGCAGTCCGTCTCCAGCGCAAAAGTGCACTACCACCACCAACACTACGTCCGTTGCAACACATCCAGCTCCACTGTAGAGCTCTCCGCTGGCGGCCCCCCTCTACGCCTGTCTAGTGCGGTGCGACAGGTACCTCACCTAGCCTATGGGCCACTGATTAAAAAATAAAAATTATTCCAGCTGGGCCATCTCTTGGGCGTCTACAGCACCACCCCCCCCCCCTCCGCTCTTTAGAACCTGCACGCCACTGGGCGGCCGAACCGACGTAACAAGAAACGGAACCGTGACCACCCACGCTCCGCAAGCTGGATCGAAGGCCCGACAAGGCAAACTCTCTTTTTCTTTTTTTCTTTTTGGCCAAACCACCACCAGGCAGCAACTCCTTTGCTGTTTTTTATTTCTTTTCTTGCTCTTGTATTTCCAATATTGCATTGCTGGTCTTCGAATAGCAATTCCATCGGGACCTGACGACGGTCATCATCACTACCATCGCCCACTGCAGGGCTACTACTCCCACCATCACCGCAAGCTTGCAGCGACATTGTCCACGGCCGTCTGCGAGCTCTTCTTCTTCCGACATCACCATCACACACCTCCTCTCTAACAGCAATGGAGCACGAAGGCTACTCTAGCGGCGCCTACCGCTCGAACCACGGCCCTGCCCCGTCAGCGGCCACGTCCGCCATCCAGACCCCTCTGCGCCCTGGATCCCCCAACACAGACAACGGCCGCAATCCCTTTGGCGACCACCACGGCGACGGCGCCTCTAGCCACCGTCAAACCAACAGCAATGGCCTCAATCCCTTCTCTAGCCCGTCAGCATCGCGCCCCCCGTCCAGCTTCGACTCGTCGAGCGCCCTGGGCCCCAGATTCGAGGAGCGCGCCCAGCGCTTCTTCCACTCCCGCCTTGTCAAGAAGGGCGAGGTGGAGAAGCCATGGATGGAGAAGAAGGACCCCAAGGAGAAGTGGGTGACTATCTTGCCCATCGTTGGCATCCTAATTGGCCTTGGTATCTCGGGCTTCCTTGTCTGGGACGGCCTGCGCAGTGTCGTCCACCACAAGTACTGCCCTATTATGGACGAGACGTTTGGCAGCGGCTCGCTCAACGAGGACAACTGGTTGAAGGAGATCCAAGTCGGCGGCTTCGGGTACGTGCTTTTCTTTTTCTTTCTTTTTAGAAAAATGTACTAACTCATGTTATAGCAACGGCGAATTTGAACAGACTACTGGTAGCGAAGAAAACGTCTTCATCAAGGACGGCAAGCTCGTCATCAAGGCGACGCTCCAGGATGCGGAAAAGATGGACAAGGACAACGTCATCGACCTTCTCAAGGACGGCACCTGCACATCCAAGCTTGCCCGCGACTGTATCGCCGCCACCAACACCACGGCCGGCAACGCTACCACTGTTCCCCCCACTAAGTCTGGCCGCATCATCAGCAAGAAGACCATCAAGTACGGCCGCATCGAAGTCACTGCCAAGCTCCCCCAGGGCGACTGGCTGTGGCCTGCTATCTGGATGATGCCCAAGGACAACAAGTACGGCCCCTGGCCCCTCTCTGGCGAGATTGACATTATGGAATCCCGCGGCAACAACTACACATATGCCCAGGGCGGCAACAACATTGTCTCGTCCGCGCTGCACTGGGGCCCCGACTCTGCCAACGACGCCTGGTGGCGCACCAACAACAAGCGCCAGGCGCTGCACACCACATACAGCAGCGGCTTCAACACATACGGCCTCGAGTGGTCCGAGAAGTACCTCTTTACCTATGTCAACACGCGTCTGCTGCAGGTCCTCTACACCAACTTTGACCAGCCCATGTGGAAGCGCGGCAACTTCCCTGAGATCACCTCCAACGGCACCCGCTTCAAGGACCCCTGGACCGAGACCAACCGCAAGAACACGCCCTTTGACCAGCCCTTTTACCTGATTCTCAACCTCGCTGTCGGCGGCACCAACGGCTGGTTCGAGGACGGCAAGTCGGGCAAGCCCTGGTTCGACCACTCTGAGCGTGCGCGCAGAGACTTTTGGGACGCCCGTGGCACATGGGAGCCTACTTGGGTGTCACCGCAGCTCGAGATTTCGCGCGTGGTCATGCAGCAGCAGTGCGACGGTGGTGAAGGTGAACTCTAAACATGATGGGTTCATGTACAGACAAGGATGGATGGCGTTTTTTTCTTCTTTTTATTTTGGGGTATCTGTTGAAATCATAGACGCTAATGAGGCAAATCATTCAGGATATTATTTTCTTCTTTTTTTATTAGGATTATAGAAACCTTCCTAACAGCATATAATCATTTCATGTTACTATTTAAAGGCCCTTCCCGCCCCATGTGGACTTGCGTCGTGGTCTACTGTAAGCCGGTCCGTCTCAGCCTGAACCTTATGATCCGTAAGAGCGATCAGGCTAGGCTGTGAAAGGCAATATTTTCCAAACACTGGAATTCACACCCAACGACGAAATACTACCATAGTAAAAGTAAACCTTCTACACGAAACAAAGGACAGAGTCTTGGCCCGCTCGGTGCCGTGCAAGTTCGCATCGCATCGCATAGTGAAGCGGAGACAAAGAGAAATCGATAGTCCGCAAGCTAACGCAGGGGGCCGGGGGTGTGCGTTGGCATTGGCCCTACCGCCAACGTCATGGCTTCCGTCTTGCTTTTTTGTTTCCATTCCTTTGCTTGCTTATTTTCCGTTTCACAGGATCCTACGGACATGCACATTCTACAAGGAACGAAGAAAGCAATACTCCTTGGTTATCAGTAGCCATCCATGGCGAGTTTGGGGGGTGGCCATGGTTGCATGCAATACTGGGTCTTCCCGCTGGCAACTTTCGATAAGGCGCTACTACTCGCACAGGCTGCCTGATACAAGAGATGAGAAAAATTACGCCTTTGTTGTGCCTGGCGCCTCACCGCGTTGCTCACGATAGTGCGGTAGTCGGTCAAAAGCCAAGCACTGCCTCGCGGCATCTATACGAGCCTTTTATCGATGCGGCTGAGCGTCTTTAATCTTTGGGCCAGGGGACGGAAAGACGCCTCTGTGGAGAGTAGACAGGACTATCGATGTCGCCCGTTGAGGCCTAATTTCCCAAATAGATGGCCATGCTCGTAAAAGCGGTGCGCTGGGCTGGCCCGCCTATCCGAAGCGCGTAAGGAGCCCGTGCGTACGCCTGGCTTGGAGGGGACCACGAGGACAACAAGGCCAGCGACTAGGAGAAAAGATAAAAGTAGCTGTTACTTGCGTAGCTGCCAAGGGGGCAGAAATTCCCCGTCCAGGCTGTCGCTAGCTCATCGGATAACAGGAGGGTCCGACTGAAGAAAAAAAAAGGTCCAGGAGGCTTTTTGTGGCGTATATCCTTGGGGCCTCCGTGTAAGTGGGCGGGCAGCTGTATGACGGCTCTGATACCCGTTGCGAGGTTCTATAATGGTTTTATCTCTCTTGAAGCACATGCTTACAAAGTTTAAAAAGTCTATTTTAGTCTATTTTACCGGTGTAGAACGGCTGATAGAGGTGCTTAAGATAGACGGATGGCGAGATATGCAATGTGATTGGGGGTATCGCTGCTCACGGGAGGCTGTCAAAAGACCCCGAATGGGTGGCTGGCGTTGGGATGCGCCACACCAGGGCAGCGAATAGCTGAAGCGAGCCGACGGTTGGGGGAATGCTGTGCGAGAGAACGGCTGAAGGGTGGTGGTGGTGCGGCGAGGGCTGAGCATAGCCATGTGGTGTAAGTTTGGTGTATCGCAACACATGGACGCTTGCAGTAGTATATAATTATAAAATGTTTTGATTTAATATATTCGGTGGTTCTTTTTTGGATGAAATGCATTTAAAATAGAAAATACTAAAAATAAGCGTCATGTCGTTTTGCTGATCACAGGGCACATCTTTGCCTGTTTCTACCGTGTTTTTGCGCATCCGGCCCGCCTCGGCCGAAACACGCTGTGTGGTAACATGCCGTGGCCACGCGTGCTTGACTGCCGGGAAGTTCCCTATGCATCAGCCATCGGCACGAATTACAATGCCTTTCTTTTTATATTCACATTTCATGGCAGCTTTTTGTCCACGGGCCGTTTTTTTTTAATTTTTTTTTTAATTTTAGTTTTCAACGGCGGCGGCAAGCGTGACCATTTTAGACTTTCGGGCTGAGCGCGGATACAGCCATGGCTCCCGTTTCAGAAACTAAAGTTTAAAGTGTCAGGCCGTTTTTTGCCCAGCGACGTAATGGCTAGCTGGGTTTAAGAAAAACGCCGGATTTGGGTTTACGGCCGTTGGCTGGATGGCGGGCACAAGGGAAAAAAAGCAATTCTGCAAGCCCCAGCACTATGGGATAGACGTCGTCGTGCAGCATAATGCATGGCTGCTGCAATGCTGGATGGACGGTGTGGCGTGTTCCCCTCACCGTTCGTCGTGGCAGCCTTGGGGGCAACAAAATGGAAGACTGAAGCTGAAGCTTGGACAGAAGAATTTTTATTTTTTTACTCATGCATGCATGCATTGTTGGTACGGCAGCAGCAGCAAGCTAAGCCAAGAATAGCAGACGGCGAACGGCATAGCAGGTGGCTTGCAGTATCAGGCTCTGTAGTGGCTTTGCCAGGATGAGACATTGGCGGGCGGGACCCTATTTCCTTTTTTCTTTTCCTGATTCTTCTTGTTTCTCTTTTCCGGAGGGTTTGCGACATTTTGTCTGTTGCTACGGGCTCGCTTACCCATTTGGGGGGTCGTATAAGACACGGCAACACGGGAAGGGCACCCGCTGAAGGCCAAGAAAAGCTGGAAGATTTCCTTTTGCACGCTATTAGTTTTTCAGCTGTGTGTTCACATTACTACGAACTATATGCGCCTGGAAAACGAATACTTGGGATGAAAGGGACTGTATAATACGATTACGCTATTATAAGAGACCCAAGCAAATTGTCCGTAGCGTGCGATCTGCTTCGGCCGGCTAGCGCCGTCACAACTCATTATTTCCGGCCTTACTGTTGCAGCACGGCGTCCGCACTATCGATTCTGCAACACCATCTCTGAAATCTCTTCAGTAGCAGAATGTGAATCAAAATTAGAATTAGAGTCATCTGCACCAGTAGCAATTGGTACATGGCACACGGTCTATGCAGCTGAACACCTGCTAGCATATCATGCACCACACACACTCTCACTCACACACCCTTGTCTCTCGCTTGCCTGCTTGACCCAGTTCATCGATGCCCTGCAAGGTAAATCTAGAACCCGGGCCAAGGCTCGCATCTCGCATCGCCAGCATAGGAACCAACGTGTCATACAACCTTTCCTTTAGGTAGGCTTCAAGTGGCGGCTGGGCAACAAGAGCTAAGCTTTGTGCCCTTTTGATAGCGGACGGATAGTCCCGGCGAAGTGACAAACACAACTCAAAAAGGCCCAAAGGTGTGAACGGGCTGAAAGTCACAAACAAAAAAAAAAGCCTCCGGAACTGGCACCCAATGTTACGCGAGGTGTATTGTTGAGGTGTTCCGCGGGCTTTACGCTTGGCGCGTAGCTTTCCGCCAGTCCTACATCACTTTGTTCCCCCATCCGGTTTTGCTTGTCATTATTGCGCGTCAAAAATTTTAGACAGGCAAGGTTAGTTCCGGGGACCGACCGTGCCGCCGTGCCATTCAATTGAAACCCTGTGACAAGGAGGCGTCCGGTCCAATCAATTCACAACTCAAAAGGCAAAACCCTATCTCGCAAGGGTTGGCCAGGCAGACAGGCTGGACCCAAGAGAGATACGCTCAGCGCCTCAGTCGCTTTGCCCCCCAATCGAGACAGCTGCATACGGCTGGGCCATGGCTCACAACGTAACATTTGGCTGGCGCTTCCCGTGTTTGTGGTGCTTGCGCTCCGGTGGGCATGTTTCACCCTACGGGCGGTTAGTGTACACAGCCCCAGCCTGTGTCGGCCGGGACAGAAGACAGCGAGAGAAGTGGTATTAGCGTCCGTTGCCTGGTCCAGCTTTAGTTGCGTCATTGTGCGCTCTCTATCGCCCTGCATTCGGCGTGCAGCGAACCCGCGCCCACCAAACATCTCGCGAGGGACAGTAAATTAGTAGGCCTTGGCTAGGCTGTACAGCAAGCAGAGCGCTGTACAGTTGGTGGTCACGGCGCTGTTGCGAGCTTGCTTTGCAGTGCGTTTGCCAATAGCTTCTACTGTAGGGAACGTGCATCTTACCGTGGTCAGCCGGCGTGCTGTTCTGTGTCCCGTGCAGCATGCTATTGTTACTGCTGCTGCAGGAGACTCCGCTGACAGCTTCATTTTTTAAAAAGAGTTTACCTAAACACGGCAATAGAGTTTGCAAGCCGCAACGGCCAGCGTGATGTTCACGGCCAGTCAGCACTGTTGGATTGGGAAGGAGAGGCATTAATTAGAAGGACAGCCTCTTTTTGGCGCCCTCCCGAATTGGCAAGTCGGCGCCTGCAGCCAGCGCCAGAGGGTTCCATCGGAGGGGCGCTGTGGCGAACGTCTGTCTGTGTAGTTAGTGGACGGCGGGGACCCGGGTTTGTTGGGCGCCAAAGGAGAAGAGAGAGTCGCTGTGAGCCATTCATTTTTTGGAGGGAGCAAACCAGCCGCTAGACAATTATTCTTATTTTATTTTTAGCATCTTTTTATTTCTTGGAGTACAACCAGACGATTTGAATTATTCTTTCTATTTTGTGCAATATATTTCTTTTTGTTACTTGTGTTTTGCTGGACAGTAAAAAGTACCTCTCCTCGTTTACGGGCCTTTTTTTTTTACCATTCAAAACGTGGTGCTGGTTGAACGTCCGCCAGGGGAAATGCTTGCGCCACATGCTCGCTCGGCGGTGGATCTGCTATGGTGGAGAAGAAAAGAGGCGGCGGGAGTGGACCACCGAAGCAAAAAAGAAAAGCAGAGCCAAAAAAAGACCTTTGCAGCGGCAAGCCACGCCTATGCCCACGCCCCTCCAGCGCTGGCTTTCCCTTTCGTGTATGCTGGGGTTGTTCCTTTTGCTGCGCAGATACGAACGCCATGCATATCGCCGGGCAAGAGAGACACGGCGCATCGACAGCAGCAGAAGCCCGATGATGTGCAGCAGGTTTTTTTTATTCCCAGTTGCAGTGTACAGTGATGGTTCTGCTGCTGTGGCGGTAGTACACCAAGGAAAAAAAAATTAATTCGCAATTGCTGGCGCAAAAGATACCGAAAACATACGGAACACTCTCCAAGGGCTCTTTGTCATCTTCCAGTGGTTAGCTAGCAGACTAACGCTGTACGTAGTTAGTGGACTAGGGCGACTCGCTTGGGGGGAGCCACCCCCTGTCAAGAAAGTCCGCCCACACCAGTATTTTTTTAATTAAATGATTTATTCTTTTTTTTATTCTCTTTTTTTTAAATGCACTAACCAGGTACCTGGAGCGCACCAACCCCATGCCTATGCTACCCCCCTTCCCCTTAGTGCCGCACTCTGCTGCTTCGTGTCCCGCCCGCCAGCGAGATAATAAACAGTATTTTTTAAATGGACTATTTTTTTCCAATCGGGATTATGGCCCGAATAAAAAAATAAAAAAGAAACGGGCCAGGGGTGGTCACCGGAGAACCCACTCTTTCTTCGCTCTATCGGCGCTGCTTGTGCTGCCCACCACTTTGTAGGTGTGCTTCTCCCCCTCTGACAGCACCACTCACCACACTTGTTTCTTGTTCGCCCAAAGAAAAAGAAGCTACGTCCGCTTCTCTCCCCCACCGCACTCTTTTTTCTCTTCTCTTTATTCCATCCTTGTCGTCGACATCTCTCCCTCTGTCGTGTCGTCTTATACTTATACAGCATAGTCCTCGTTTACCGCGGCAAAGTCCCCCATCCTTGCTGCTCTACTCTCACTTTGTGCTGCTTGCTACTGTTACAGTGATAGCGTAGCACTCCTCATCTCGGAACGCCAGACTCTTGCTTCCCGCCGCGGATGAAGCCTTGATTTGTCTTTCGCGTCGCCATACAGTCCTCCGCGTCGCTTCGCTGGACTCCAATTCCTCGACATCTTCACTCTCTTTGCCTATAATCGAATCGGCATACACATACGCTTACGCCCGTTGACCAACCCCAGCTCCTCTCCCCAGAGGCTGCGCCCTCGAATCACGCAATTCAACCACCTTCTCTTCTATACTTAATTCACAGTCACAATGGGCATCACAAGCTACTTCAAGGCGGACACTAGCAAGCCTGCCAGCGCTGCCACCTCGGCGCCGTCAACAGCGCCTCCGTCTCGCCTCCAGACCAGCCGTCTCTCCAATGGCTCCGACAAGAACTCGCCGGAACGTAATATCGGCAACGACATGGAACTTCTTCCTCCTACGCCGCGCTACCACTCGCGGCCTCAGTCGACTCGCTCTGCCCGCTCTGGCCACTCCACACCGTCGAACCAGAGCTCCGTCTTCCTCGACGAGATCAAGCACGAAGTCATGGTCAACTACCTCTACCAGCAGCAGTGCTCCCAGCTCTGGGTCAGCGACGGGTCCGGCGAGATCGAAGGTGTGCTTCTGCGTAAGTCGCGAGGCCACTACATGGCTTGCCCTCCCCAGCTCGGCAGCTCGCCCTTTGCCATCTCATGCGCTGCTCTCAACCTCCAGGCAGCCATGACTGTCAACTCTCGAGTCATCAAGACCTTCCTCCAGTGGTCTCCCGACGCTGTCGACGTTCCTCTTATGAACGGTCTCCGCGTCCAGATTCTCCCCACAATTGAGGATCTTCCCCGCGCCAGAAAGTACCAGTTTGCTGCCTTTGTCGCCTCCGAGGGCCTCTTGGTCGTTTGGGACGATGACCCTCTCAACCTGGTTGCCCGCGCCAAGGCTATTGAATCCGAGCTCATGGAGCTCGTCTGGAAGGCCGGAAACACTGACGACGAGGATGACGAGAAGAAGGCTGCCCCCATGGAGCCTGAGATTGATGAGGAGAGCGGTGAGGTTAAGCCTGAGAAGCGCCCTATCCACCTGCAAAACACCATCCTCGTCTCCATCACCCTCATTCTCGTTACTGTCTCTCTCGGTGCCGCCTGGCGCCAGCTTGCCATCGAGGTCTCAGTCGATAACAACTACGTCCGTCTGGCCCTCGTTGCGCTCGCCCCTGTGCAAATCTTCTTCACCCTCTTCTTCGCTCAGGTTATCGTCGGTTGCTTGGCCCAAATCTTTGGTCCTGTTCGCCAGCTCACCATCAACTCCAAATTCTACTCCGCTCGCCCGCCAGCCCGTCTACAGTCTGCCATCCTTCCTCACGTCACCATCCAGTGCCCTGTGTACAAGGAGGGTCTTCAGGGTGTCATTATGCCCACTGTCAAGTCTATTAAGCAGGCAATGTCCACCTACGAACTCCAGGGCGGATCTGCCAACATGTTCATCAACGACGACGGTCTGCAGCTTGTTTCCGAGGAGGAGCGCCGCGCCCGTATTGAATTCTACGCCGACAACAACATTGGCTGGGTCGCCCGTCCCAAGCACAACGAAAACGGCTTTGTCCGCAAGGGCAAGTTCAAGAAGGCCTCCAACATGAACTTTGCCCTCATGGTTTCCTGCAAGGTCGAGGAGAAGCTCCAGGCCATCCAGCGCCCTCCCGAGTGGAGCCAGCACGATGAGGCTCTCGCCTACGAGCAGGCTCTCAAGGAAGTTCTCGAGGCTGACGGCCGCGCTTGGGCCGACGGCAACATTCGCGTTGGCGACTACATTCTCATTATTGACTCCGATACCCGTGTCCCCGCTGACTGCTTCCTCGATGCTGTCTCCGAGATGGAGCAATCTCCTGATGTTGGTATTATGCAGTTCTCCTCCGGTGTCATGCAGGTCGTCCACACTTACTTTGAAAACGGCATCACCTTCTTCACCAACCTCATCTACACGGCTATTCGATACACTGTCTCCAACGGCGACGTTGCCCCCTTTGTCGGCCACAACGCCATGCTCCGCTGGTCCGCCATTCAGCAGGTCTCCTACCAGGACGAGGACGGCTACGACAAGTTCTGGTCCGAGTCCCACGTGTCTGAGGATTTCGACATGTCTCTGCGTCTCCAGTGCAATGGTTACATTATCCGTCTTGCTGCTTGGGCTGGCGAGGGCTTCAAGGAAGGTGTCTCGCTGACTGTCTATGACGAGCTTGCCCGTTGGGAAAAGTACGCCTACGGCTGCAACGAGCTGCTCTTCCACCCCATCCGCACCTGGCTCTGGCGCGGTCCCTTTACGCCTCTGTTCCGCAAGTTCCTCTTCTCCAACATCCGCTTCACCTCCAAGATCACCGTCATCTCCTACATTGGTACCTACTACGCCATTGGCGCCGCCTGGATCATGACCACGGTCAACTACTTCCTCATGGGCTGGTTCAACGGTTACCTTGACAAGTACTACGTCGACTCGTGGCAGGTCTGGTTCTCCATCATCATTGTCTTCAACGGTCTCGGTAACATTGCCCTCGCCATTCTGCGCTACCGTGTCGGCGAGCGCAACATCCTCTACGCGCTCTTTGAGAACTTTATGTGGACGTTCATGCTTGCCATTTTCCTTGGTGGTTTGTCTCTGCACGTCTCCCAGGCCCTGCTCTCCCACATGTTTGAGATTGACATGACATGGGGCGCTACTTCCAAGGAAGCCGAGTTCTCCAACTTCTTCATCGAGGTGCCCAAGGTCTTCAAGAAGTTCAAGTTCTCCATGATGTTCTCGCTCCTCATTATTGTCGGCATGATCATCCTGGCTGTTGCTCCTTTCGTCCCCTACGACTGGCGCATCACCGACTTTGTCGCCATCTTGCCCATGGCCACTGTCGCCGCCAGTCACTTCTTGCTGCCTCTCGCCCTTAACCCGGCCCTCATGACCTTCTCTTGGTAGAAAAAAAAAGCAACCTTTTACTACTACCACCTACACGATGTACAGGATTTACCCCGTTCTCCTCTTTATTTTCTACATTTATTTCACTATTTTTCTATTCATGGTATGGGACATATAGAACCGGGAACTTGGAGTTTTTATTTATTTTATTTTCATGTTGGATTGGAAGCAGGATGCTTCACTCTACTATCAGCCCTCTGTGGCCACTTGGTCATTTTTTCTTGTTTATCTCGCCATGATCGCGGCTCAAAGCTGCCAAACACATGCAATGTCTATATTCTTCTTCACTTTTCCACCCGCTTAGATACACAAGCAATCACACATAGCTTAATTCATACAAACATGACCATAATCTGATACATGCGGCGCTCTTCGCGTGACGTTGAATAGAGTTTGGTGGCGTCAACGGCTCGGGAAGGATTCCAAACTCTAATCGGGCACGGAGTGACACATCGATTTCCCAAATGACCAGATGAATTAGGATGGGTCTCTTGGCACGCAGCCTGGTGTGTGTATAGTACTTTTCAATCTATTTCATGAAATATTCTATCGTAGTGTAAAATGAACCAAAAAAAAGTGCGTTACGAAACAAATGAGAATAGTCTATAAATCTTTGCCACAGAAAAAATGTTCAAACGCCTCTATCATGCATGTATCCTTCGTAAAATCCCATGCCTTTTTCTATTTCCAATCTTTCTTGTATCCATTATAACCCAGCACCAGTTTTTTTCTCGTTTTAAAAGGATTCTTGTGTCAACGTGAGAACACCCTGTTCGTTTACTCTTCGTCATCCGTGTCAGGAGGGTGAGGAGTGCCCTTGGGGCTGTTAAGCCACTCAATGTGTCTCAAGCGGCGACGAGCCTCACGCTCCTTGAGCTCCTTCTTGGTCATCTTCTTCTTCTTGCGGGCGCGGAACTTCATGTCCGAACTGCCTTCAGCGTCGGAGTTGACAGCCGAGGGCACGGCAGAAGGAACGGCAGAAGAGACGTTGGACGAGGGGACAGTGGAAGGGGCAGCAGAGGTACCGGGGGTCTGATCCTCGAAGCGATCGAGAGAAATGGCAGCAGTGCCGCGGAGAGCGACAGCACCATCCTTGACGTGCCACTGCTCAGAGCAAAGAGCACCGACGAACTCTTCGTTATGGGAAATCAGGATAACACCACCCTTGAACTCGCGGATAGCAACGGCAAGACCACCGAGAGAGTCACGATCCAAGAAGTTAGTAGGTTCGTCAAGAACAAGCAAGTGAGGGTTGTTCCACATGGCACCAGCAATGACGACCTTGACCTTTTGGCCTCCGGAAAGCGAGCCAATCTCGTTGTGGTTGGCAATCTCAGGATCAAGACCAAGATCCTCAAAGTGCTTGGAGATGACCTTGGGCTGTAGCTCACGGTAACCAAGACCCTCACGAGAAGCCTCGTGATCATCAAACTCCTGAATCAGCTTGGTGAAGCCGAGCTCAATAAGGGTCTCACGGGAGATCTGGGAGTTGTGCTTGGGCAACATGTTGCGCCACTTAACCTCGTACTGGAAGGTCTTCTTGTACTTTTGACGACCAACCAGGGACTCAATCTGCTTAGCAGGCTTGCCATCCTTGAGATCAATCCACTTGTCCATCTGCTCACGATCGGCATCGGATAGAACACGGGTCTGCTTCATGTGGACCTCACGATCATCACCGTGCTGGTAACGCCACTGGAGGTACTGGTTGGGAGTCTTCTCCAAGTGCATTTCCACGTGCTCAAGGGCGTGCTGCTTGATGTAACCAATACGCAAGTTGGGGTGCTTCTCGACGCGACCGCTGGAAGGAATGGTCTCACCAGTGAGCAGCTTGATCAAAGTGGACTTGCCAGCACCGTTGGGGCCGATAATGGCAACACGAGACGACAGAGACAGCTGGCAAGAGACGTCCGTCAGCGAAGGCTTGGGGGCGTTGGGGTAGCTGAAAGAGACGTTGCTCATGCGGATAATGGCACGGGTCTGAGACTTGACACCAGTCAAGATACCAGGAGGAGGGAACTTGAACTGGACGTTGGAAGCAGACAGAGTGTAGTAGCTCTTGGCCTCGGGGCGAACCTGGACAAAAGCAGCCAGGTTACCCTTGTAGCAGGCAAGCTTCTTGTTGGGTTCGTAGTGGTAAATGTCGGTAGTGACGTTGTCGAGGAAGCCGGAGTCGTGAGAAACGATCAAACTGGTGATATCCGGGTGAGACTTGAGGTAGTTCTCCAACCACGCAATGTTGGTAACATCCAAATGGTTAGTAGGTTCGTCCAGCAAGAGAACATCAGCCTTTTGAAGCATGGCACGGGCAAGAGCAAGCTTCATCTTCCATCCACCAGAAAGGGAGCCAACTCGCTGAGACTGGCGGCCTTCGGGTCCAGATGTGAAGCCGAACTCCTCAAGGACAGAGGAGATGTGCTCGGTTCCCTGAGGACCAATCTCGGGGTCCTTGGCAACGAATTCAAGAATGCTAATGTCGGCATCCTCGCCCTGGTTGTGCTCAACGTAGCAAGTTCGCAGAACATCCTGAGGAGGAAAGCCCTCAAGCTTGCCGCTAGCAATGCTGCGCATGAGAGTCGACTTGCCAGCACCGTTGCGTCCGCAGAGTCCGTAGCGGTGACCCTTAAGGAGTCGCAGGTTAGTATGGGACAAGAGAAGCATACCACCGTAGGCGAGGGAGAAGTCGGCGTTAACAATTTCAATTTCGCCGTCGTCTTCCTTCTCAGGAACACCATATCGGCGACCGTCCTCCTCGATGTAAAAGTTTTCAACAGCCTGTCCAATCTTCTCCTGGGCTTCGGCATCCTGAGTAAGGTTCTGGAGGTAAGGAGTAACGCGAGCAGCAATGCGCTTGACGAATCGGTAGTTGGCATCAGTTGCAACCATCTCGCAGATGTAGGGTCGGATGGTAGTGTAGAGATCAAGCTGGCCAGTAAGACCGTTGTGCTGCTTGATCTGCTCTTCAAGCACCTTGGCGACATCTTCGGGAGTGGTTCGGGCAACGACATCCTGGTCCTCGCCCATGGCCTTCTTCATGGTAGCAAGCGCGCGCTCAGCGAGCTCACGGACTTCAGGAAGAGAAGCGCGATCGCAGACACCCTGAACACCAGGGATAAGCTTAGGAAGGAATGTTCTAGCTTCAATAGGGTCGTGGACGAGCTTGGTCAAGTTTTCGACAATGACAACAGTCTGGCGGAGGACTTCCTGAGCAGTGTTGGGGTTGTTAAGAGAGCGCTCGAGGAAGGGTGTGAGCAGAGCCAAGACGGGGGAGGTGACGATGGCGACAAAGGTGGTCATAGAAAGAGCATGGATAGCCTTTTGGAGCGTCTGGCTGGAAGGGTGCTGCATGGTGTCCACAAGAAGAGGGATACGAGGAGCAACATCGTCGTTGGAGAGCAGAGTGGTGAGAGAGTTCATGGTTTGCACGGCCTGTTTCTCGACCTCAGACTTGAGATCGTGCATGCCCTCCTCGACGATGGGGATCAAAGCGGCAAGCTTGGCACCCATAGCCTCACGGAGAACATCCTTCTCAGCAGCCTCCTCCTTGGTAGTGCCAACAGCCATCTGCGACTTGTCGGCCATCTTCTGGAGAAGCTTGTAGGCGCCAACAGTTCCCTGCCACTTACCCGTCTTCTTAGACAGGTACTGAGTGAGAACAGGCAAGAGACCGGTAACAAGAGCCTCAGCACTCAAGTTGGCAAAGAGCGCATCGAGGCCGTACTGGGCGGCGTCACGGACAACGCTGCCCTTGTCGGCAAGCGAGTCGAGGGCGCAAGCAACCATGCCATGCTCGAGAGAGAGAAGAACAACCTCGGAAGCAGGCTGCTTGGGAGGGAACTTCTCAAAGATGGCGCCGAGCAGGTTCTGGCTGCTCTCGCGTCGGATGCCGTCCTTCTTATCAGCCGCAGCCTTCTTGATCTCCTTGAGAATGCCGTAGGGCTCGAGGCCGGCAATACCGACAGAGTTGAGGAGAATCTCGCAGAGAGCGTAGCAGGCATCGATCGATTCGTTTGAACTCTTTGCCGAGAAAATTGTCTGTAGAAAAGCCGAAATGTCCTCCTGGGATGGCGGGGGAGGGGCGTTTTTCGACACCATGGTGGGCAGCGAGGGGGGCGACACTGGGTGAGGCATTGTGTCTAGGGGTTGATTTTTTTGGTGGTTTTAAAAGAGAATAGGAGAGCTGAGTAGCGCAGGGTTCTTGCCTCGAAACGCTGCGCCGTGCCTCTTTTGCAACAGAAAAGAAATGGTTTGCAAGGAAGAGAAGAGGCTCTTGAGGGAAAAGCCAGACAGGTGGTGGTGGGATGACAATAGGCTGCTCGAAAAATAAAGTGGGGCCAAGAAAGTTTTCCGCAGGCTTTTCGAGATTTTACCGGGGCCGCTTTAGCGAGCAGGGGAGGCGATAAGCACTGTAAAGCAGCGCTGTGGTAAAAGCGGCAGCGGGCCAGCTTCCTACTCGGGCGGCAGTGGGGCTTGGGCTTTGTGACGCCAGTTTAATTGCCCAACGGGCAGCGTGCCAAATCGAGACGTCGTGATTCGCAGAGCCAATCACAGGCACTAGAAACGCTGCAGCACAGTAAGAGGATATTCACTATAGAGATTTATATGTCATGTGGAATATGTAGTATTGATTTTGATACATGGCTACCATTCAACCAAACGGTATTTTGTTTTTGTTTTTTGTACAAAGTCGGGTTTTCCCCAAACAATACTGACCGATATAATTAAAAATGAACAAGACATGAAAATGAAACAACAGAGAAATGACAGTGCAGGCTCCAGACAACAAGGAGGGGGTATTATAATGTGGAGGGACAAGAGGCCGTTGCTTGTCGGAAGCAGAACAAGGTCTCTGTCTCTATGCAACGCTCGCTAGAGAGGGCAAGAGAAAGTCGTGACAAAATAAAGTAGTGGTAAGAAGATAGAACGGGTTGAAGAGAAGGTCGTAAGAAAAAAGTGGAAGAGAAAGAAGAAGATGATGATTATTGCTGAGCATTTTCAGAGCGCAACGCAACGGGTCCTTGGAATCCGGGTGCATCAGCCTGAACAGGGCTCATCTCCATGCCCTGATCAATATCCGCGTTGCGACGAGTTCCCAGGCGCTGGTCGCCGTTGGAATACCGCTTCTTGAACTGGTAGTATGACGGCGAGCGAGGGCGGAGCAAGACGGCGGCAATATTCTTGACAAAGCTGCCGAGATCGTACGGTCTGAATCGCTCGGCTCGGGAGAACTTGCGCGAGTACATGAACTCACGGGTTGTTTCTCCACGCGCCAAGAGGAAGATGTGGTAACCGAGCAGCGAAGCGGGATAAAGAAAGGCGACAAAGCCCAAGATGACAAGAGCAAAGGGTCCACGGAAGTGGTCGATCGCGGCACCAAAGCTAATGCCCTCACTCTTCATGTAAATGATAATCTGAGCAAGACTGGCACCAATCAGGAAAAGAGACAGCAAACAAGCAGAAGAGATAAACGTGAAGAAGTATCGGTAGTTGCGCTTGCCAACACAGTTGTTGAGCCATACACAGTGGTGATCATGGGTCTCGATGCAGTTGTCGCAAAGACGGCAGTGGTGAGTTCTCGGCTGACGCCAAATGTTGCATGTTTTGCAGTACTTCATGGGAACCTCCATGGCAGCGGCATCCTTGGACTTGACCAGTGTCCAGTCGGTAGTGGGAGGGCCAAGGCGCAGAGGATCTTCGCTAAAGTCGGTGGGCGGGAACTGGTGCAGGTTTCGAGGTAGGATTCCAGGGTCAGAGATGGAGGCGTGAAGGAAAGAAGAGAAGCAAATGAATGCGAGATAAGCGAACACGATGGGAAGCGCGGGCGAAATGTTATACCAGAGCCAGGGGGCGTCGAAGGCGAAGAACAAAGCACAGGGGATGATGATGAAGCCTCCCGTAGCAATGTTGACAGGTCGGTGGCTAGTGTTTTGCCAGCGACCACCAAAGCAAAAGACGGTGTTTCCGTCAAAGTACTCGTAGTTGCGGCCGAGCTTTTTGCCATCCGTCTTCTCTGACATCTTGGCGTGGGTATGCGAATCGACGGGACGCAGATGGGGCGAGGAGGCAGAGGATGAGAGCTTCTCTGCTCCTTCGATATGGCGTCTGTTGCTGTTTTGGTCACGGCCTGGAAGCTGGAAGCTGGAACGGAACGAGCGTCTCTTTTCTCCGCTAGGGCGGACGCTACGCTCTTGGCTGTGGCTTTCTGGCACAATGTGGCCATGGCTGTTGACTCTGGTACCAGCGACATATAGAGGACGGACGCTATCCGATCCGCTATTGTTGGGGAAATGGCCGTGACTCGAGCCGCTCTTGCCGGTGAGGCGATCGAGCGTCTCCTGCTCCGCCGCTTGCTTTGTCTGTTGTTCAGAACGCATATAAGGCGAGGCGCTGGGCTGCTTGCCGCCCATACCATCATCAATGACAGTAGCTCCGGCATCCGTCATGTTGTCGTCAAAGTTCTCTGGCTGCGTGTGGGTTGGCGATAAGGTAGTCGTCGGGGGCTTAGTGATGGCTGCTCTCTGAGCCTGCAACTTTTGCGAGCTCATGGGGCGGAAGAACGCGTTGGATGTGAGCGATGGAACGTGACTTCTCGAGTTTCTCGATACTCTTGCCCTGGGGGCATTATTTGTAACCGTCTGGGATACTCTGTTTGTGTTGAATGAGGCTGCGTGGTGGGATGCAGGAGTCGGCTTCAACGAGGTCTTGGAGTCGGCTGGGCCATCCTCGCTTGCAATGTCTGTCATGCGCGACGACACGATGCTAGCAGGTCGAGCAGCGGCCGATTCCATTGTCGCACTATCGTCGCCCGTTAGGGGTCGTAAATTGGAGCTATTCGATTCCATCGTGGGCAATGGAATGCTGTCGGAGCGGGAGAGTTTAATTGCCCAGGCCCGATACTAAAAAAAGGAGCAGAACTGAGACCTTTAAGCGGGTAAGTCGTTGCTATCAGGCAAATCGTATAGGGAAGTCGAAGATGAAGTTAGAAAGAGTGGCAAAGTCGCAGTAGATGCCAGGTTGAACGCAGAAAGATGCCAGCAAAAGGTAGGCTAGGAGGTGATAGGACGCGATGGTGAGCCAGTACGTAAAAAAAGATTGGAGGAGGTTGGATTGGTGAGTGCCGGGGTCCAGTCGAGCAAGAAGGACAGGGGATTATAAGGAAAGCGAAAAAGAGAGTTGTCGAGTTTGCAAAGTTTTGCTCGAGTTTATTTGCGCTTTCTGCAAAGTCAAAGCCGCCGCTGGCTCAGCGCATTGTTTTTGTAAGTTTTTGAGAAAAGGGAGAAGCGGGCGTCTGCCGAGCGAGAGATGAGGCGGTTGTTTCTTTTTCCAGGTAGCTTTTGTTTCCCTTGGAGTGGGCTACGGTAGCGGACTTCGCAGCAGGTACTTTGGTACAGCCAGCGCACTATCAGTGGGCGCTAGCGACAACGACAGCACTGGCCGTTGCTGAGGTGGTGCTTGGACTGGGGACGGAGGCGCAAAAGCAAAAAAAGGGGGCAGCCACAGCACGCACACAGAGGCTTGTAAGCGACGCCTGACGCAGTGAGAAATAGGAGAGGTCCAAGCGGGAAGCAGGCAGCCGATGGAACGAAAAAAAAGAAGGGAAATACAAATGAAAGAGTCGGGTTTTCAAATTATTATTTTTAAATATATGATGCACGCGAATCAATCATCATGGCATTAGACTCTTTATCCCAGAGTACATCACTTTATGCCTTAGCACAACCGAGGTTTACAGCAAAGACTTTTATGCACATGGCCTTCTGATAAAAATGTAGAATTAATCAAGCTTCTTCTATAAATTTTTACCTATCATATGAAGCAAAAATTTATACAATATCAATAACTTAGTATAATGTATTCTCGAAAACGTTAACCACGCTGCCTTCGCAAACTGGTGCACGTGACACGACCGTTGAACGCCCAAATCGTCAGCTTTTGCCCAATAAAAAAGTTAGGGAGCGCGGGAAGCTCCACAGCGCAGTTTCTAGCACTGGAGTGACCTCATAGCACAAGATCGGCACTTCGACTTCCTCCAAACTCTCTTCCTCCCCCTCATCTTTAGCCGTCACCATCCAAAAAATCAATCAAAATGTCCTCCATTGCTGCCCGCCGTCTCTTTTCTACCAGCGCTCGCCGCATGAGCGATGCCCTCAAGCAGGACACCAAGCGCAACCCCGAGACCATTGTGAGTTAAAATTCTACAGCTCAGCTTGACGAGCTAGCTAGACTAGCTATCAGACAGCTCCCCCGACCAAGCATCATCAATTGCATTGCCAAATACCCAATCCATACTAACGATTATATGTCTAGATCCTCGGTGGTCTCATGGTCGCTGCTCTCGGCGGTGCTGGCTACTATCTCGGTTTGTCCATGGTGCCGCATAAAACACGACCAAAACAGCTAACATTATGCTTCTTACAGGCCGCAACCCTACCAACGCTACTTCCGAGAACCCCGTTCACATTGCCAAGGACGGTATGCCCTGGGAGTCTGAGGGTGCTGGCAAGTACAAGTACCATCCCGGCGGCGATGCCCGCTCCGAGCCCCGCGACGCTCCCAGCGCCTTGAACGTTGTCATTGTCCCCAAGGTGACTCTCCCCAAGGAGATGCACGACAAGTACAACAAGTATGGCCGCGAGTAAGCTATACGCTGTGCTGCTACGTCTGGTGGTGGGTGCCAGGAACGACGCCGGAACGCCCGGTGTCGAAAATGTAGAAAACCACATGTAAAACAGCTCTTATTTTTTTTTCCTGTCCGCTTTGGGTATCGGTTATGACAAATTCAACTCCAAATTCACATCAGTTAATGTCTTTTTTGAAATATTTAGTTTAATGCAAAGCTATGATATTTTAAAAAAAAACCTATTTGTTCAAAAGCTAAGAGGCCGTGATTATTGTCTTGAGACGCCAAGTCGTCGTTGAGAACGATTTTGCCCTGTGTAGGGTTTATGTCTTGTCGTTAAAATGCACCGGCTAGTAGTGTAAAAGTCGGATGCTCTAGTAGACGCTCTAAAGTGTCACTTGTAATAATAGTAGTGCCAACGCCGAAAAGATATTCTCATCAATGCATTCATCATACCTTGCCCTGCCTATTCCGTCAACATGTCAACCTCCTCGCGCGTGAATCCAAACAAGTAGAGCAAGTCCAACAGACTGTCACCGTTCAATCTCGCACCAGCTTCCATTTGCACGCGGGGCTTCGCGTTCCACGCAACACCCAAGCTAGCAGTGTTGAGCATGAAAAGATCGTTGGCTCCGTCACCGACGGCAACTGCTTGCGACAAGTCAATGTTCTCCTTCTTTGCAATTTCAAGCAAAAGATCACGCTTTCGCTCCTTTCCAACAATTATACCTCTTGCCTCGCCCGTAAGTTTGCCATCTTCGATGACAACCTCGTTAGCATAGGCATAGTCAAGGCCTAGCTGGCCGGCAAGCCAGCTGGTAAGCGGCTGGAAACCACCAGATAGAACAGCTGTCTTAATTCCAAGACGCTTGAAAGCCTTGAGGAGCTGTGGCACGCCATTTGTCACCTCAAGAGTGCTGCGCAGCTTTGTAAAGATGTCTTCGGGGAGATCTTTGAGGAGGGCCAATCGCTGTCGAAACGAGGCCTCGAATTCCAGCTCTCCCATCATGGCGCGATGTGTGATTTCCGCCACCTTGGTGCTAATTTCAGCATCTCCTTCGAGTTCCTCGGCCAGCAAGTCGATGACTTCTTGGGTAATCAGGGTGCTATCCATGTCAAAGACTACCAGGCGAGGATGCCTTCTCCAGAGAACGTCGTGTTGGAGAATAACATCCACATTCCACTCGCGCTCGAATCTGTATATCATTTCGTGTTTTCGGAGCTCAGCGAGGCTAAGGAAGTCTGGCGATGGTGCTGGCGAGAGTGTCAGTTCGACAACGCGAGGGTTCTCCTGGTTGTCCAGGCATCGATGCGAGGAGTGCGGTTCTTCGGAATTAGGAGGAAGAGGAAACGAGGACATGAGATGAAGGAATGAAGTAACGCAAAGCGGTGAAACGTATGAGCCATATAAATGATCGAGCTGCTGCTCTGATTCCTGGGTTGGTGGCTCGAGAGGGAACGAATCGATATTTTGTGTCGGTGCTAGATTAGCAGGAAGCACCTCGGCGCTGGCCGGGGGCGATGCAGAGCCGCTCGCCCTGGTAGCTGCATATTTTCCACCATTGTAGATGAGCGTTGCAATGAGGCGATCCGATTTGGATCCTGCTACAGGAGAGCAATACGGATGCGAATAGCTGTGGCTGACGCCACTTTCCACGACCGTTGAAGGGTGCTCTTCTGAGGGGACACCGCGGAAGGCGAGCACAGGTTTCGGGGACAAACGTCCCAGTGACTCGTTTTCCACAACCGCGTCGATGCCAGGATGCGGCTCCAGAATCTGCGGCTTTCGGTACTGGTGGTGGTCGTTGAGATAGGAATTGCTGCGCATGGTTTCAGCCAGCTGGGGTCGCTCGCCGCGGCGAGTTTGGACCGTTGCAGACATGACGGGCGTCGTTTTCTTTTTGTTTTCGAAATTGCTCCAGGGAAAAGAGCTCCGGATGTCAGTGTTTAGCAAGCAGATAAAAGGGGGCAAGGCCCAAGAGAAACACGATGAGAGAAGATGTATGTGTATTGAACTACTAGTGGGGGAAATGGGAATAAGCGTCAGTCTGCTGCAGTACCTGGCGAGCGCTGAATACCACAAAAGGCGCAAAATGGAAGGGCGTGAAGCAGGGCACCGGGTGAAAACTGTCGGTAAGGCAAGGCGGGAGAAAGGAGAGCAATTAAAAGAAAGCGACGGGATGAGGGGCCCTTTTGAGGGCTCGTGGAAAATGGCCTTATCTCTGACTGTGCTGTGCGACCAACCGCCGCCAGTTTTTTTTCTTCTGCTTGCGTCGCCGGTTTTCGCTCCGAAGCGGGTCCCAAAATGACGCAGCCGGTGCACGTTCAGCGATTGACAGGTGCCTGGCAGCCGATGCAGACTCCACTGGAACAGCGCTGAAAGATCCACTGTCTCAGGGTCTTTTTCGGTACGCTGGGCTGCTGTTGGGATGAACCACCGGGGACGCGCCGGGAATAGCAAGCAAGCAGCCTTATGCAACACAAGGAAAAGTGGTTAACAAAACAAAAGTGGTAAAAAAGGTGCTAACATCCCTCTCTTGGTAACAGAGCCGTAGTATCCGTTTTTCGGTCTCGATATGTATCCCTAATAAACTGGATACAGGCATCAACGTCTCGAGGGAGCGACGCTATCCCAAATGATATTCGAACTGCGCCGGCTGAAGGCAGATGTAACTTGCCAATAAAATCTTCAAAATTAAATTCCTTCCCCGTCGGTATATTTTGTCGTCTCCATTGTCGTCTTCTAGGCGCTACCGACTGAATCGAGCGTTTCTTAATACCAAATGCTCGTTCCCCAGCGCCTGGGTTACAGAAGCACCCGGTACGTAGCGATATGTTGGCGCTTGCAGATTCCATTGCTACTAGACGCTCGTCCACAACATGACCAGTCTCATCCAAGATATTAAACGAGACTGTTCCACCGCGGTTTTCAAGGTTCGAGGGTCCGTAGAGCCGAATCATGGGCCGACCATTGCTGTGCCGAAGCAAAAGTAGATGCCGCAGAAGCCACCCTGTAAGACACCTCACGCGAGTAGCAATACATTCTATCCCGACAGCTTCTATCCAGTCAATTCCAACTCGAATGTCTGGTATTGAAAGATAATTCAATGTGCCATCTTCAAACGACGCTTCGCCGTGCTCCATAGCATGCCAGGGTACGCCAACCGTCACGGCCCGAACGGTTCCCCCAGAAAACCAGGGCCGTCGCAACTCCGACAGAGCTTCTTTACGCGCAATTAAGCATCCAATACCGGTTGGAAACCCAAATAGTTTATACCAGCTTACAGTGACAAAATCTGGCTTGATGCTTGCGAGATCTAGAGTACATGTTGGTACAAACGCAGCAGCGTCAAGCAGGACATGGTAGCCCATACTCTGCGCCAAGGTTACCCAATGCAGCGAGTGCCGCACACCACTAAAATTACTCTGAGCAGGATACGCAAAGAGCGACTTGGCAGTCATGAAAGGGCCCGGTCTCTGCTCTTTCAAGGCTTGGATCACCGTATCAGTCTCGATGCGCAACTCGGAGCCAGCCATCGGTATGTACACGGCTTTGGCTCGGCATCTTCGAGCAAATTCACGTATGCCTACTATGGAGTTATGGTTGTCAGAGGTGAGCAGGAGCTTGGAACTGCGCGTAAAAGGATAGGCCTCCCCCACGAGGCGGGCTGCTGCTGTGGCATTGGCCGTGAATATTACGGCATACTCTGCTGGATCGGCATGAAAGTACCTCAAGACTCGCACTCGGGTAGCTTCTATTTGTTCGGTCGAGGACAGGCTTGTCGGGTTCGAGGAGTGAGGGTTTCCAAAGACGGATTCGGACAGTCGGTGTGCGTGGGCAGCGTATTGAGCTTTGGCTGCAAGGCCGGCGCCTGTGTAGTCGACGTATATATGGCTGTCAGTATCCAAGTACGCATATTGTTTGAATCGAAGAATGTCTAGACGCCATGTTTTGCTGTATTCTGGATATGCTTCACGGAAACTCGGCCCATCGTCAACGAGACTGGGGTCAGAAGGAGGAGTCAGGGTTGACTCGGTCTCGGAAGCCATGACCTCTGGTACGGCAGGAAGGATAGCATGTCTGGTATATTTCACGCCTGTATTGCAAATTTTGTCTTTTATTATCACAATTTTATAGGATTGACACCCATTTCCATGGACGCGTCGATATCCACGGCACTGGCAGTAGTGATGACAGCATGACCGCGTCAGGATAGAGTTCAAATCACCAACAGACCTCAATTTCACTTTCGATTTGCTCTGATCCTTTAATAAGCCTTTGGCAAAAAGCAAGTTTCAAACCTTCGTAACTATATTTTCGACAATTGAGGCCATTGTCGGCCAAATATTGCTCCTTGTCCAAAATCAACCCACAGCTTCGGGTGGTCGGCCCTGCAGCTTACTGAGGGGAGCATCAATGTGAATTTCCGACCCCGGACCCAATGTACGTAGTCGCACTGCTATAATACGCTCAGCTTATTGCTCATCCCCCTCATAATGCTCGGACCGTCGGTCACCAGCCCACGCGACATATTAGCAAGCAAGGCGTACTGTATGGTGTGTTCGGGCTACCGGGGCATGCCATGCAAAGGGAACTATATCATTTCACGACGGAAAAAACATGCCGAAGGAGAGTCAATTCTGCACTTTTGAGATTGACATGTTACCCTGAGGTCAGAAAGCCGCGTTTGCCATATCGATATCTGTAAAGGCTGGTCGCTGGTACCAAAGCTTGCCCGGCTAGACGGCATCCGCAGATGATACGAAGCAAGTGGTGGCGATGTCGGCACGAGTCCAGCCATGCTTTGGAGCTACGACATTCAGCCATTTTGGTGGTAACATTTGATGCAACGCAACATGAGACATATTGGCTTGCTGAATTATTTCCGGATATTATTTTTATATTGACTTCACCGGCGCTAGGTCCTTTTACAGCGTTACGTCACAAGCGGCGGGATGTCGCGCAGGGCTGCCGACGGGCCGGGCTAAGCGGTGGTGGTGTGCAGCTGGCGGTGGAAGCGGCCAATCAGAGGCGAGGCTGTGTCCCAGTTTGATGAAAGACGACATTTTTAAGCGGGTGAAAAAAATATTCCAGAGACCCATAGAATGTCGCGGGTACATAAAGACTCCGCATATTTACTTAGGTCATCAAATGTACTGGATACAAAATGGAGGCTCCTCTTACTCCCCGCAACCAGCCAATGGCAGCGCCCGGTTCACATCGCGGAAGCAATGGCGTCGATGTCGTGATCAGTCCTCACGCAATAGCACCAGGCTGCTCCCTCCCTCCAGGCGTGTTTTGGTGCTGGAGCGCGGGTGTTTTCGCTGCAATTCGCTACAAGAAGCTTGCTTGCTGGAATTTATAATGCAGAATCCAATAGGCCTTGCTTGGTAACCCCGGCCTTCCCACACGCCCCTCTCTTAGTGTAGTCCGCCCCCGTTCACTTATACATGCCCAGTACCTAACTGTATTCCAATCCTCTTCCTCTTCCATTCGTCATCAAGCAGTCTTCAACCTTGCACTGCCCTATCCTTAATAATACCTAACCTCGTTTCCCCGGATTATACAAGCACTGGTCCTCAAGATCGATAAATAGCCACCACCACCCCCATCTCACTTTCAACACACAAACAACAAGGTGGCTCGATACGCAACACACATACTCTTCTTCATCCTCATCGCCATCCTCGCCATCATGATGACTCAACGCACAGACTCTGCCGTCTCCTTCCTGGAAGACAAGCGTGACCATGCCGACATCGAGTCTGGCTATGTCTCTGGTCACGACTCCGACTCCAACGTCCCCGTGAAGCCTAGCCCCGCCACGCCGCTCATCTCCCTCTCCAAGGCACACATCGAGTACCTCAACGACCAGATGGAGCCTATGCACCCCATGGACATCCTCCGCTTCTGCAAGATCATGTTCCCCAACCTCTACCAGTCTACTGCCTTTGGCCTCACTGGTCTCGCCACACTGGATATGCTCGCCAAGATCCAGAACGAGAACCCTGGCTCCCGCCCCGTTGAGCTCATCTTCCTCGACACTCTCTACCACTTCAACGAGACGTACGACCTCGTCGACCGCGTCAAGGAGAGATACCCGGAGGTCCCCATCAACATCTTCAAGCCCGAGGGTGGCGAGACTGCTGAGCAGCTTGAGGAGACGTACGGCAAGGAATTCTACCACAACGCCGGTGACATGTACGATTGGATTGTCAAGGTTGAGCCTCTCGAGCGCGCCTATGACACTCTCAAGGTCGCTGCTGTCCTCAACGGCCGCCGCAGATCCCAGGGTGCTGCCCGTGGCTCCATCCCCATCATCGAGCTTGATGAGGAACGCAATATTGTCAAGATCAACCCCTTGGCTGCCTGGTCCTTCAAGCAGGTCAATGATTACATCAAGACCAACAACGTCCCTTACAATGTCCTCCTTGACCGTGGCTACAAGTCCGTCGGTGACTGGCACTCTACTGCCCCCGTCAAGGAGGGTGAGGATGAGCGTGCCGGCCGCTGGAAGGGCCAGTCCAAGACGGAGTGTGGTATTCACAACAAGCAGTCCCGCTATGCTCAGTTCCTCGTCGAGAAGAACCAGCAGATCCCTCCCGTCTAAGGCTCGCTCTTGGGCTCGTAATCAAAATGGCGTTCGTTTGGGCTTCTTTCACGATATCATGATTTTTTTTCCGGCTTGCGGTAATTACCGGCGATGGTGGTCTTCTTTTCCCCTTCACATGCACATACATTTGCTTCTGCACATTTCAGCCTCATTTTCTTCTCTTATCATGGCTCGGCGTTTTATATCTCACGTTTTTTTTTTGTATTCTTCTTCATGTTGCAAGAAGCAGCTGCCTCATCATGCACGAGCTTGGCATCATCTAGACAGCCGTTATAGAATAGCGTCTATTTCTGAATTCAAAATATGAAAAAATGAAATCACCAAATGAAATCGTATCATTGTGACCTCTCTGCGTAGCACTCGGCTCGGACGGCTTCATGGCATGACGTTGATGTTGGCAAGGTGAGGCGTCGACGAGCCGCATCCCCGCAGTACGGAAGATCGCGCAGACTGTGTGTGCTGTATTGAGTGAGGAGCCACCTAAAATTTTGACTTGACCAGTCTTCCGTAGCAAATACGACACTACCGGAACCAGTTTGCCGATCAACAAAAAATCCATTAAATTAATATTCAATTCGAATTCTCGGCCCTGTCAATTATATCCGGGCATTCAGGCTTAGGATACGACACCACCACGTTGAGCTGCGTGAAGGCTAGTTGATGCCGTCTGAGCCGACATAGCTGTCCATTATTCTTCACAAACGGACGTCAATTTTAGTTCAACTTCGTTTGAAGGGGCTCAATTTCATATTGTTTACTCTGTTCGGCCGCGATAAGCAGTCATGCCTGACTCTACTGCTGGTCTGCCTGAGCCCTCCGCCTCATTCCAAGACCGCAAAGCAAAGATCTTGAGCCAGCTTGCCGTTCCAGATGCCGACTATACAGATGCCTCACCAAAGGGCTCTGTTGATGAAGGGATTCGCCCGCTCATGCATGACATTAATGTCGCCGCGGGCTTTGTCACCACAAGCAGCTGTGCTGGAAGAGTAAGCGTCTTTCTCGAAGGCCGCAAGGCATCGTCAGCCGCTGCAGCAACCTCCAATGTAACCACAGAGCCTCAAGACGTTGTGCCAGAATCTGCCCCGGCGGCCGATGGACCGAATGAACGGTTAGCCGGTGTTGGCGGCAAGGGTGGAGGTGGCACATGGCTCTACGTGTCTCATGATCCTCACTATAAACCCTCTGAAGCGGCCGACAGCCCGCCTGGGACATACTGGATTGACCTCTTTGATCTTCGCCAATCGGAAGACCAGTCTACCTTGGCAGCTGACAAGAGTCTTGCGTCGGACGGAAATCAAGCTCGCCTTATCCATTTCAAGTTTGAACCGATGGTAAGTACATCGCAAGTACCGTCCAACACGTTGCTAACGACACGCCTCACCATAGATTCTCCATGTCCTGACGGCATCCCATACTCATGCACAGCTGCTTTTGCGATGTGCTCTTCATGCCGGGTTCCGTGAATCCGGAGCCGTCAGTCTCCTGTCGTCTAACAGCGATGACCCGACGGCATCTGCCATGCCTATGGTCGCCGTACGAACCATGGGACTGAGCTTCGAGTCACTCATCGGCCAAGAAACGGCAGATGGTCAACGGCAAATGCTGGTGGCTCCGGCATATCTGGATGTCCTAATGAAGATTGCCAATGAGCGATTCGAAGAAAACACAAAGCGCATTGCTCGCTTTGCTGCAGCGTTTGCTGACGAGATGACGCCCAAGATAAAGAAGGCTCCAGATGGCGGTGACTGGGAAGACGCTGCTGCAAGACGAGAGCGCATGAAGACAGAAGGCTTGAGACGAAAAGCCGAAATGGCCAAGTTGAAAGAAGCCCAGTCACCTACTCTAGCGGATAATGACCAAGACGATATATATGTACAAGACATGGACGCATAATGATACCCAATTCTATAGAGCAAGAGTTTTCCTAATTCACATTTCATGCATCACGTCAATAACAATCACTCAGTCTTGAATGTTTGTAACTTTGTTTTTTATCCACAGCTCATGCCGTGCTATAATGTACACAAATGCTATCCTCGTCCTGCTGTCGTTCGTCCTGCTCCAAGACTTGACGCCAATGCTATAACATCCATCGTATGCTTTCTTTCTTTCTTTCTTTTTTAAAAATCCAGTTCCGTCTATAATTTTACGCCGTAACCTTGTCGACCCAAGTCTTCTCCAGCTTCTTGACTTCCGCCTTGAACGTCTCAACCTCCTGCCAGCAGTCCAACGGTCTACGGTCATTCTCGCGCAAGCAGCGGACAACCTCGCTGCGAGCCTTCTCAACGCTCTCGGGGAGCTCGCGGACCTGCTTGCGCGACTCGAGCTGCTTGCGCAGAGCATCGACCTCCTTGCCGAGGGCAGCGCTGTCCTTCTCCTTCTTCTCGCCGTCCTTGGGCTTGAACTGGTCGGCGGCGGCGGCAATCTTCTCGTGGGCGGCGGTGAGGGCCTCGGCCTGGCGCTTCTGAGCCTTCTTGAGCTCGTCAGAGACGCGGTTCTGGATTTGCTTCTCGATCAACTTTGCACGTGAGGCGTCAGTCTGCGAAGGGGTAGTTAGCTTCGTGTCCGGATGCTGGTGATGCGGGCGGCCATTTCGAGGCCTTAATCGCATGGTATGGAGTGTCTGCTATTGCGTACCTCGGGGGAAGTCTGTATGGAGTCGAGAACGGGCGACGAGACGCTGGGAGGGCCTGAGCTGTTTAATCCCATTCATGTTAGCATCGGCGAGTGCTGAGGCCGGTCCAGCGGATCGGAAGCACTGGTTTTCAATTTGTACGTACGCCTTCCATTGGTAGCTGCCCTGGGCATCGGATTTTGACGCGCTGGCACCCATTGTGATGATTCAATTGCGGGATGGCGATTGGCTTGATATCTCGGCTCGCTGAGCTACGTCGGCCATGGAAATTTCCGGGTACGGCGCTGGCGTTGGGCAAGGTTGGTGCCTCAGGTTTGTGGCGCCGTGTTCGACAAGCCACAGCAAGTGCTCGGCGGGTGGCTAGAGAACCTAGCGTGCTTGACTTACATCGAGAGACATGCCATTCCTTTGAGCGAACCCTAGATGCCGCTGAACCCGAGTCGGTATAGATTCGCCATTAAATGGGCAGAAACATTTCTGATGGCATTTTTAAAATAGTTTTTGACGTCATTTGGGTTCTTGTTCTACGTAATGTGACGCTCACCAGTCCGCTCGCGCTTCAGTGGACCTGACTGCGTACGATGATATGTACAAGCACAGAGAGTAAGGCACTTCAAGAAATGACGGAATAGCCTACCATTATTTTCTTTCAAAACACCAATTAACACAGCTGCATTTAATCGAAATACTAAATGACACTTTATTTTGGAAATATGCGAGAATAAACAACGCTTCTGCATGTGCGCAATCTTTGCCATGCGAGCCTATAGGTTAGCAACACCTGGCTGGCTCATCAATCTCAAACAAGTTTTCCCCAAAATGTCATTGGACTGACCTCACATTTAATTTTAGTGCATGGAAACAATCTATAAATCTCATCACGGTGCGTTATGCATACATTGGCTCCTCATATGGGATGGCTGGCACGCTTCAGGTGAATGATAATACGTAAGGTCCATTCATCAGATAACTGTATAGTGCGCCAAGACGGTCAACTTGAAACGTGCTATATAGGCAAGTCCTATATTGAGGAAAAGAAAGAATACTACCAGGTGAGGAAACAGACTGTTCGGAATTGTAGCCGAAATGGAACTACTGTTTCCGCGGCCTCCGCTCAACCGACATTGAGACGGTATGCACCGGACGAAGCCGAGTCAATCTATATCCGGAGAACTTTTATTTAGCCCCAATGGTGCTAGGAAAGAGCATACAACAGTGTGATTCGGTTGAGATGCCATACTACGCAGGGATGCCTCCTGTGCTCTGTTGCAGGGCCGCTACGGGGTGTGCTGGCAAGGATCTGTGAATATCATATGTGCACCAAACCATTTTTCATAGCTTTCAGGGTGCACCGTAGCCCAAAACGAACACTATTTTCGGATACAGAAGCGTTATTAGCGCATACCATTCCGAGGAGTGATGAGCAGCAGATCAACGCATCAGAGAGAACTCCTCGAGGAAACATGCGGGGCGGTTACTGCTCAGAGGTCAACTGTCAAGTCCATGCGGCTGTGTCTATCAGCCTCTTGAATTTCCAGACTCGGGCTGTGAGTCAGTTGAAACAATACGAAGCCGCCGGGAGAAGCCCAACAAGCAGCGGCTGCGGCGAGCAAGCGCCGCCAGCTCATTGTCGTAACGCTTACGTGCTTGATGAAGGCTGGTCTGCGACGTCACGGGCGGCGCTAGTGCGGGCCAAACGAGTGGCCGCCAGAGGCCCGTTAATGGGGCCCTAGACGCGCTACGAAGACCCAAAAAAATAGGTCTCGCCTCAGCTTGGGCGATTTACGGCGAGTTGTTTCTACAAGTCTGATTTCTTTGGCTGCACCGGGCTTGGCCTCGAAACAAAAAGGAAATGCAACTAGTTTATGCAAAGGAAACAATAAAGCATGGAAACGGGCCGGGGTGGCCAATGGCGCAGTGGGCTGTGCGAGAATGGGACGGACATAGTGGGCTTGTGGCGTCGTCTTGGGAGTTTCAGATAAGGGCACAGACAAACGAAGAAGTCGTGGAAGCCAATACAATGCGGTGCCTGGCATGCAGGAACAACGCAGAGGGTGCAGGCGGGGAAAAAAAGACCACATGGGATTTGTTTTTGTTCGTGTTTCGTTTCTGGCTCTGTACAGCTGAGAGAAAAAGACGGCGACGAGGCATGGGGACTGGTCTTGGGTTGCAGCGCAACGTTTAATCTACTGGCGACGAGGGCCGTTTTTTAACGACGCGGTGGCATTTGATGTCCATGATACGACTACTGGGCCACCCAAGACTAGGCTCTTATTACAGACCCTTTGCGGGTAATAGTTTGGTGAGCGAGCACTCGCTGTGGGTTTTACAGTGCAGGGCGTCGTGGAGGGGGAGACAACGCGGCAGTGTGCACCCCCATCTGCACGCCAGTCAGCAAAATGGTGCCATTGTTTTGTGTATATTTATATTTTGCCGAGGACGTTTTAATTTGTACGTTCATGGCAGCAATTGTGTATTAATATACTTTTGCTAGACATTATTTTGGGGGTGCGCGTTCAAGGAAATGAGTATTGGTTGGTTGCTTGGCTTAATTACAGTTTCTGTACAGTGTTCACAAGCAACCAACAAACAAACGAGTAAGCAGGCAAAAGTTCTGCAGGTACAGTACCGTGGCATACAAAGCACAGGTCGCATTACAGCAGCTATAGCGCAGTGCGGCGCAGTACAGTACTGTGACGCACTTCTCTCCTCCTATCGTCAGGCTCATTTGCCTAAGCAAGGCCCTCGCTTCGACAACAATCAACAATACCCTTGCCCGTCGGCTCCTTTTGTTATTTTACCCTCCCTGGCTAGTCCGGGCTACTTCCAGCAGTACCTCCACTGTAAAGCAGGAAACTGGGAAAACGCTTTGAGTGCTCCGTAAATTACCTGTACCCCCAGCATCGTCATCCTGTCCAGGGGGTGCCGTATTCCCGCCCACAGGGGCCTCCAAAGGGCAAAATAGGCGGCTCGGCGTCCCAGCGCAGGGCCATTCACAAATCGATCGGCCGCCGTAGTGGCTTGCGACCCCACCATAGTGCCACCTAACCCCTGGCGCGGCGCCCCACAGCAGCACCACTGCTCGACGCCCCCTTTGCCAGGCTCGCCTCCAAAGGGAATGAGTGCTTGTGAGCCAGTCGTTTGGTGATCTCTTCACGCCCCTCCTCACCTTTTGCCTCTCTTTGCTTCGCTCTTGTTCTTTCATTCTTCTCGACGCACCGCACAGACTGGCTGCTGTTTGGTGGTTGTCTGCTCTCTTCTTTCTCTGATTCTCCATCTTTTTCTTCTCCATATACTACAGAGTGTGTGTTTCAAACTGCTCTAGTCCTCTCATTTCCTCTTGTTTCCTTCTTCAATCTATACAGGCTCGGCACGCACGCACGCAACAGCTTGGCCCCCTGCTACGACTTCCTTTTCTTTGCAGTTTCTTTTTTTGTTATATCTTGGCTGGTTGTACCACGCCGTTTTCCTCGACTTCACCTTGCTTGCCCTCTGCAACATCCCAGCGTACCCTTCCAAGCCCGCGCCGCAAAATCGTTACCACCCTGAGCAACAATCAAAAATAAAACTGTCCACTGTAACACTGTTCGACTCGGCTTATCTACCATTGGGCTCTCTCGCACCAGTGTCTTCTTGATCTTGCTCTTTTCTTCGCTCTTGTCCACCAACACACGTCAACGTCATTTTCTCTGCAACGCCTCTCTCCCAGGATCTAATCACCATCACCACCGTCTCGCATCAGTCTGTGACGCAAAGCCTCCTTCTCGGCTGCCTCACCCGGTCACCCAATCTTCCGTGACTCGTTCTTTAGCCGACTGAGACCTCCGCATTGCTGTGTGGCTACTCACCAGCCCAGAGGCAAGACATTCCATCGCCGCCAAGTGGATAATCCCAGCTCCCGACCTCCCCTTTGTTCCTAGACATTTCAGCATTCCGGTCCGGTTCCCCTCTCAGTACCTTTCCGACGCGCCGCTGCAGCTCCGACCGACTTCTGCATCTTTCATCTTACCTCCGAAACTCATTAATCTGCAACTGTACGATTTGGACATCCCGATCGCACTCCTTGTTTCCTCTCACAAATTCACCAAGTGCCTATCCGCGACCCGCCTTGTACTCCTTGAGCGGCCGAAACATTTACTCCCTTTATTGGGCGAGCCACTATTACCTGCCGTCGACAGCTTGAGCCGAAATCCCCAGAGCTCTCTCACCTCATTCACGGTAAACTCAGCGCAACAGTACTGTGTTTCAACACTGTCGACTTAATCACAGTATCTGGGTGCCACCAGTTGCTGTTATCGAGGACCATCAAGACCGATTCCAACCATTTTTCTTCGTACTACGATTCTTCCATAATGCACCGTTATATTCACCTCTAAAAATTTCATCACCCGACTTACTACGCTACTTATTCTGAGCGTCTGAGCTCCTTAAGAATAAGCAGCTTCCTCCCCAACACTCTGGAGGAAGAGCTAACTCAGTTTTTTACCAACTTATCATTTTATTAACCGGCGAGAAATCTCGCAATCCCATCTTCAAAATGCATATTCAGCGCGGGCCCGCTGCTACAAATATCGTCGTCCCGACACGGATCGTGGACGTACGGATAAACCCTACAACGCAAGTGGTCGCACAAACGACGACGGCAGCAGTCGACTACTCACATTCGTTAGTTGGAGTCAATCAAGAATTGAACCTCATCTTTCAAGATGTACTGTGGGTGATGCTGGGTATCATGGGCACTGTTATCCTCGTTATTCGGATAATGGAGATTCTCTGGGCCAAACTGCGACAAGTATCCGCCATGTCCGTGCCACGAGAGAAGCAGACTTACTGGAAGATATCACAATGGAGCTGGATGCCTGGTGCCAAGCAGCATCTCATCTACGCCCCCTTGTGGAAGAAACGCCATAACCGTGAATTCCGCTTATCCAGTGCCATCAATGTCGGAACACTGCCGTCACGTCTACACTTCACTATTCTCACCGTCTACCTTCTCAACAATATTATTTACATGTTTCTCCTCAACTGGGGTGCCAAGGACAAGATGGCTTTTTACGCAGACCTTCGTGGCAGAGCCGGCGTCTTGGCCGTTGTCAACATGATGCCTTTGATCATTATGGCCGGCCGAAACAACCCGCTTATTGTTCTGCTAAAGATTAGCTTTGACACATATAACCTGCTTCACAGATGGCTCGGACGCCTAGTCGTTATCGAGACGTGCCTACATGCCTTTGCTTGGTGGCGAGTCGCCATGCACAATGGTGGCTGGCAGCGAGTGCAGTCGACCCTGGATGGCGACTTCTTCTACCTTTCGGGCCTCATTGGCACAGTGTCATTCATCCTTCTTCTTATCTTGTGTGTCTCACCTCTGCGACACGCCTTTTATGAAACCTTCCTCAACATCCACATTCTCCTCGCTTTCATTGCGGTAGCCTGCACATGGATTCACCTTGGCATCCATGGTCTGGCACAATTGCCCGTCATCATGGCCATTGCCTTCCTGTGGTTCTTTGACCGATTCTTCCGATTTGTTCGCTTGGCATACGCCAACTGGTCCGACAAGGGAGTCACCGAAGCCCTTGTTGAGGCCATGCCATGCGAGGCGACTAGAGTTACCGTTCGATTGCCAAGATACATGGCAATCAAGCCTGGAACCCACGCATACCTCCGATTCTGGGGAGTCAATGCTTGGGAGAGCCATCCCTTCTCCATTGCCTGGGTTGAGCACGAGACGAAGGCTTCGACGCTGCCTGTAGCCGAGAAGGAGCCCCTAAACGCCATTGATCGAGCCAACGCCTACACATCGGTGTCTTTTATTATCGGCGCACAAACTGGTCTCACCCGCAAGCTCTTCGATAAGGCTACCCGATCCGTGCACGGCATCCGCCTCAAGGCTGCCTTTGAAGGCCCATACGCCGGCCACCACAACCTTGACTCGTACGGCCATCTGGTTCTGTTTGCAGGTTCGACTGGTATCACGCATCAAATCTCCTACCTACGCCATTTATTAGAGGGATACAACGCCGGCACGGTAGCGACCCGAAAGATTACCCTCGTCTGGACGATACGCGAGTACGAATCGCTCGAATGGGTCCGCCCGTACATGGACACGATTCTACGAATCCCGAACCGCAAAGACCTTCTCCGCATTCAAGTTTTTGTCACCCGACCCCAAAACCCGCGAGATATTGTTTCGTCGAGTAGCACGGTCAAGATGTTCCCAGGTCGACCCAATGTCCGCTTGCTCCTCGTCAAGGAGGTGCAGGAGCAAGTTGGTGCCATGGCCGTCACTGTTTGTGGACCGGGTGGTTTGGCAGATGACGTCCGCGCCGCTGTGCGTGCAGTTCAGGGCGCCAGTGTCATCGACTTTATCGAGGAAAGCTTTACATGGTAAAGCAACAAAGTCTTTTTGACGCGGGCCGGGTGGCCGCGCAGAGACAGGAGCATACAGAGAACCTGAGCAGCGATGCCAGTCCCTATGCCATGTACATTTACAATATACCCTTTTGATTTCTCTAGTGTTTTTTTAGAGCGAAAAAACACGATGGCATTTGGCAGTCATCTTTGCAAAACCCTTTTTATTACATTTATTTCTAGCCTTTGCTCATAACACTATGAGTCAGATGGCATTTGGTCTAAATATACTGCCCTTTTCACCATAAGCATAGCATAGCATAGCATCGCACGCGAACGGAATAGACGGAAGTGAGATTTTTAACTTGACAAGTACTTGTGTATCATGAAACGTGACTTTGCTATTGTCTAATATTCTAAATGCTCGCTATGCCAAAAAAAAAAAGCAAAAGTTCTCTATAGATTTGAAAGGGTGGACATGATTAGCTTGCCGCAATGGCAACAGGGGCCGGCGTTTCAGTCACTTCCAGGCCAGCATCCAGTCCACTGCCAACCAAGCCGTCCAATCCTCTGAAACCTTCCTCCACGCTCCAAGAACGGCCCTTCTCCAGGGGACCACCCAGGAATGTGCATGCGTTGCCAACGACCAGAAGACCGGGAGGACGGCTGCCCTCCTGCTCGATGGCTTGCGCAACATGGGCGAGGGTGGTACGGATTACCCGCTGATCGGGACAGCTTGCGCGCTCAATGACAGCACAGGGCGTAGAAAGCGGCCAAAGAGCTCTGGTAAGTTGCTTCTTCTCGACAGGCTCTTCTTGGCCCTCGACAGGCTCGAGCTCAACAAGTGTTGTGAGCTCCTTGACAAGGCCGGTGATGCGGTGGAGGGCCATGAGGAAGACGACGGTGCGCGTGGGCACAAACTCGGGAGGGACTGGAGCGGCACCCTTTTTACCTGTGCCAGTGCAGATGAGGACTTGGTCGGCAACATCGCGCTGTGTTGATGGGATGCCGCTGAAGAGAGGCGCCGAGAGGGCGGATGTAATGCCTGGTAGCACGGAGACTCGGTGGCCGAGCCCGCGCTCCTGGAAGAAGGCAACCTCTTCGCCGCCGCGGCCGTAGATGAAGGGATCTCCCTGCTTGAGTCGCAAGACTGTCTTGCCGGCTTGGACACCCTCGAGAGCTGATGACAGGAGCTCTTCCTGGGCCTTTTCGGCGTTGCCCGGGAACTTGCGCGCAATGTGGACTGGTGTGCGGCGTGGGATGAGTTCGAGCACGCCAGCCGGGACTAATTTATCGGCCAAGATGATATCAGCGGTCAAGATGGCCTTGTGTGTCGCGCGGGTGAGTAGGTCGGGGTGGCCAGGTCCGCTACCCGCCAGGATGAGGCGACCAGGACCAGATGTGGATGAGGGAGAAGTCGGTGATGGCGCGGTGTATGAGGCGAACAGAGATTCGATATCGGCATCTGTAATGGAGGCGAGCTTGCTCAGCGGCCAGTATTCACAGACTTGGCTGAGCCAGCGCATGCGTCGGGTCTTTGCGTCTGCGTCGGAGACGAGCTTGTTGAACTGGGCGTCTTGGCCGGTCGCCTCGTCAAGCGAGGTATGCGACGAGGATGCCTCGCCATCGGTATCGATGATTTTGCGTCGCAGGTTGCCGAGACGAGCGCACGCAGGGCCCAGGTTGGAAGGTAACGAGGATGCAATTTCGCGGCGGATGCGGGATGCTAGTTTACACCCGCGGCCGTTGGTGGTGACGCCGATCTGGAGAGGTCCGTCGACGTGGGTGGACAGGAGAGCGAATGTACAGAGTTCGGGGGCATCGACGACGTTTACGGGGATTCTGTTTCGTTTGCAGAGGGACGAGACGCGCACTGGACGATTGGTATGGTTAGTTGGTTGTAGAGTTACGGTGATGGGTAAGGGCTATCTACCTTGAAGCTCTTTAGCCGCAGATGTTACAAAGACGGCATCGACGACACCGTCAACCTCTGGGCGGCCAAGACGGAAGATATCCTCATCTTGGAATTCCTGCTTGTGCCATGTCACGCTGCCGTCGTCAATCTTGCTCTGCAGGCTGTAGTGTAGGTCTGCGGAATCGGGGGCGACGAGGACGGGCGATGCTCCGGCGGCGCGGGAGGATGCGCAGCGGGCGGCGGCGAGGGGATTGGTGCCGATGACGAGGTGGATGTTGTTTTGTGTCTGTAGGCCGACAAGCAGCGCATTAGGCGGAGGAGTCACCTCCATGACGATGGTGGTGGTTTAGACGATGATCTTGGTGATGGAGGGGCACTGTATGAGTGTATGGTGGGGTGATTGTATGGCAATGTCGGTAGTATATAGATGGAGTGTTTGTAGAAGGGTTGGTTAAGAAATGAAGTTTGAAAACCAAAGAGAAATAATCACAGAAGAGAAAAGCAAAGGAAGAAGAGGATGAAAAAGAAGATAAGAGAGAAACGAAGCTGGACGCAAGCTCCGGGAAACGGCGCAGCTGCCGACGACCCGAAAGTTTTTTGTGCATTTCCAATTGCGTGCTGAACTGACGCCATTTTGGTGGTGGGGCCGCTGTGGGGGAGCCTGGGTTTGGGGGGATTTACAGTAAGTAGGTAGCTGCTGAAGAGGAGAAAGGCGGAGGAGAGCGGAGGACTCTGCAGTTGGTCAGCAAGTTTTGAGGCTGAAAGCTGAGCATGATGAGTGTATGTATCAATTTATTTTCAGAATAAAATTATTTTATTTATTTTGGGTTTCTTGAACACTTTTGTAGAATAAGTAGGGTAGAAGTATCCCATTTTATATGAATAAAATACAGTGCTCACGCCTACCACTGAAGCACTGTAGCATGCCAGCTGCAACCAGCACCCAGCAAACAAAGCTGCTGTTGTGCTGAACCGCCTTATCACAGACCCCACCAAAAATCAAACTCCCTATTGTACTCTACCGTTATGCGCTCACTGTGCCATACTTGCGCCAATCACCTCCAAACGACGGTAGCTTCCACCAAACAGCTGCAAATCGTCCATTCATTCCACCAATGCCGCCCAATCTACTCTGAGAATAACAAAATCACGACAACGTGGGCATCTGGCTTAGCACCTTACACCCGCCCGCCATGCTCCAGTCGCTGCGCCAGCTTGGCCTGGCGCCCTCCGCGGCCCGACGTACTCGCTTCCTCATCCTCGCCATAGCCCTCTTCATCACTATATTTTACCTCTTACCGACATCTTCAACATATCAATCGGGCGCCTCCGTCACCAAAACCAGCAAAACATCCCCCGCAAAGTCCCCCTTCCACATACAGTTCGACTTTGGCCCCGAAACAGAATCCGACAAGCGCATCCGAGAAGATCGCCAGCAGCAGGTCCTCCATGCATTCCAACATGCCTGGAAGGGCTACAGAGATCATGCATGGCTTCACGACGAGCTAAAGCCTATATCTGGTGGGCAAAAGGACCCCTACGTCGGATGGGCCGCAACACTCGTCGACAGCCTCGATTCCCTATACATCATGGGCCTGCACGACGAGTTCGAGCATGCGCTCAAGGCATTAGATTCCATCGACTTTACAAAACCAAAGTCGGACCAAGTCCCCGTCTTTGAGGTGACCATCCGGTACCTTGGCGGTCTGCTTGGTGCATACGACGTGAGCGGTGCAAAGTACCCTGTGCTGCTGAAAAAGGCCGATCAGCTAGGCGAGTTTCTCCTCCAGGCATTCAATACGCCCAACGGCATCCCCGTCCCGTATTATAGCTGGGAGACGCCAAAGAAGAAGCTGTCGGGTAAATATGGTGTGCTAGTCGCTCAGATAGGGTCGCTGTCGCTCGAGTTTACACGTCTAGCGCAGCTCACCGGCAAGCAAAAGTATTTTGAGGCCATATCCAAGATTACAAACCATCTGCATAGAGCGCAGAAAAAGACAAAGATTCCGGGTCTCTGGCCGTCGCAGGTCGATACCAATGGTCCGTACTTTACTAGTTCGTCGTTTACCCTCGGAGCTTGGGCCGACTCTCTCTATGAATATCTACCAAAGGTAAGATCAACTGAGCTGAAGAGTGAAAAATACACTTTGACTAACTGGCAATAGCAACATATTCTGCTAAACGGACAAACAAACCAGTACTTGCAAATGTACCGAACCGCTCTCCAGCCCATTACCAAATACCACCTCTTCCGCCCCAAGACTCCAGGCAACCAAGATATCCTGTTCCCTGGATCACTGGATTCTATGGGCCGCGGCAAACCCACGCTAAAAGACGAGGTTCAGCATCTTGCGTGCTTTGTAGGCGGCATGGTTGGCCTCGGTGCGCGGATCAATAACTCCCCAGAAGAGCTAGCCACTGCCGTCAAGCTCACTGACGGCTGCGTCTGGGCCTACCAGAACACGGCGAGCGGCATTATGCCTGAAATCTTCCATGTCGAGGCATGCCCATCCAAGACCAAGTGTGAATGGACCGATACGGAGCACACCGACCTGGGCCGCCAGTTTGGCTTTACTCAGATTCCCGATACCAAGTACCAGCTGCGACCCGAGGCCATCGAGTCCGTATTTGTCATGTACCGTCTTACCGGCGATCGCGAGTGGCAGCAAAAGGGCTGGAAGATGTTCCGCGCCATCATGGAACACACTACAACGCCGCTGGCCAACGCTGCCGTTACCGACGTGACAAAGCCCATGCCCAAACAGGAGGACTCGATGGAGAGCTTCTGGCTGGCTGAAACCTTGAAGTATTTCTATCTTTTGTACAGCGAACCAGATGTTGTTAGCCTGGATGATTATGTCCTGTAAGTAACCACTGCCACCCTCCGGCGTTTCTTTGCCGCCGACTGTTCCAACCCTGAGCTAACGCATGCTGTAGCAATACCGAGGCACACCCTTTCAAACTGAGAGATCACTTGTTTTAATCTACGATACGTATGCATATAAACTCATTGGGCGACTTATAGCGAGCTACTACGACCTACACCCACGCATTTTTGGATATATATTTGTACAGTATGACAAACTACATATAGACAGCCTATATTCGTCTTCAGCCATAGACTGAGAACTTACTACTGTAAGAGAGATAGCCAGCACCTTGGGAGACAATCCCTGCTTGGCCATTTCCCCGCACTTTTCCCTGGCTCATCAAGTCGCTTTAGTGCATGTATAGTTGCATCCAGCCAATCCGCACGCATCTCGGCGTCTCGACCTTCCCAAACGAGCATCAGTACAACCCAACACCCTACATCAGATGGTTTTCTACAAAACGTAATGGCACCGCATCCGGTTCGCCCTCCTTCTCTCTAGATCGCACCACCAATTATCAGCCAGCAGCATCACATTTGCCAAATTCATCATGAAGCTTACACTACCACTCGTAGTCCTCGCATCTGCCGTCACTGCCGCCCCAGCTGACGGCGAGACCTTCCACTCCATGCAGCAGTCATTCAATGATAGCATCGAGAAGATTGAATACATTCCATACACCGGTGGGTAAAACAACCGTCGACACCGCCAGATCCCATCACTCACTCTCCTATCTAGAACACAGAAGCCAGAAGCCCGCAACCCCATCCAGCCAGCGACGACACATGCAAGCAGGACAAGTGACCGTTGACATATGCATTTACCAATTGCCGCCACTACGCCCAGGCAGGCAAGGACGCCGCTATGAACGGCTCCGACGCGCTGGTCCAGCACCACTTTGGCAAGGCTTCGCCCGAGATCCGCGCTACCCTTGCGAGCAAGTTCGACCTCATCCTCCACAGGAGTGCAGCTCCATCACACAGGGCAACTATACCATATCGTGCTCCGACGGAGACTACTGCACCGCTAATCCACAGACGTATTCTACTACAGCGACTGATGTTCGTGCATTCGGCGTCTACTGTCCGTTGTTCTGGGCCACGACGGCGTTCCAGTTCAGCGGCGATGCTTGCCACGGCGACCGTAAGAAGGACCAGGGCATCACTTTTATGGGCCACGTTGGCTTGGTGCCGGCTCCTAAGGGAGCGGGCTTGAAGACGGTGCCCAAGACGGCGTTGGAGGATATGAATGCTTTCCAAGCCTAATGCCCTCGAGGCGTACAACAAGTGTGCGTAGAAGAGTTGGTGGCGGAGAGGCGCCACGACCGGTTGGGTAGTCCGTGCGAGGTGATTTTCTTTACAGGCCGATATTTTGTTTTTATATTTTTGCGTTAGAAACGAGTAAAAGAAACATGTTTGTAAAATTAGATCTTGCGTATGGAATATAAGAGGCTGGCGGGGTGCTAATCTTTGACCGTCGTGATCGGCATGCATAGTAGCTGCGATAGTAAGCTCTCAACGCAATGACAGCCAGATGGTCACAGTGATATGACCACACTAACCATTCCACTTGCTAGAATCATAGAAATATTTCTCTATTTTCCCTTTTTCTAGTCTCTTATCATTTCTCGGGGAGATACGCACGTGTTGTAGCGTCATCGCCTGCGACGCCCCCTGCGACGCCCCCTTCGTTTAGCACTGCCTATTTGCTCGACTCGCGAATCTCGCCGAACCGCGAATAGTTTAGTTTAAATACTCCTGAGCACCTCTCCATCGCATCCTAGACTCGAGCAATTTCGAGGCTAACCACAACAACACGGTGGGCTTACTCACGACAATGCCGGACCAGCTCCTTTCCGCTTACTCATGGGCCTTCATTGCCACGGCTGTGGCCGTCCTAGCCGCAGTCCTCTGGCAATGCCGCCCACAAGGAGCCGCTTCGACAGATGACGAAGACGTACAAGTCGACTTTGAGCTGAGCGATGTGGCAAAACAGCTTGCTGCAACGCTTCCCAATCAGGTTACGCTGGCGAATAGCGCGGATATCGTAAAGTACAGAAAGTCGTACTATGCGCAACAGTCGAGCAAGATTACCCCCGGCTGCGTTGTGAGACCCGAGGATGCCGATCAACTTCGAGATGTCGTGGAAATCTTGTGTGAAGAACACAACAGGCGCCAAAAGGAGCATGGCTCGGCAGGCAGTGGCATCTTCACAATCCGCAGCGGTGGGCATGCCATCAACGCGAGTACAATGCACGGCGGAGTAGTCATCGACATGACGGCATTCAACGAGATCGTTTTATCCAAGGATACAAAGTCTGTTCGCCTGGGGGCTGGCAATGTCTGGGGCGATATCAATGACACCTTGGAAGCCCAAGGTCTGTATGTCGCTGGTGGCCGCGATGCCAACGTAGGTGTGGGCGGCTTTATTACTGGTGGTAAGCACATTTTCTTATTTTCTTGTCGAGAGAAATGTCCTTGTTGTTTTAGTCATTGCTAACAGTCATCTAGGCGGCATCTCCTTCTTCTCGACAGAGGTTGGCTTCGCTGCGTCTACCGTGCTCGAGTTTGAGATTATGCTTGCCTCGGGCAAGCTTGTTACGGCCACACCCACGAAGAATACGGATTTGTGGAAAGCTCTTCAGGGCGGTTCGGGCAGCTTTGGTATCGTAACCAGTATCACGGTGCCTACTATTGCCAAGTGCAACGTTTGGTGGGGGTATTTGGTGCTGTGGAACTTTGATATCAAGAACGCCACCAAGATGATGCACAAGTTGCTTACCAGAAATGGTCCTCGCAGCACAGATGTAGCAAAGGATGTCTACGGCGCCGGTCCACTGCTCTGTCACGGCTGTGCTGAAACTGGGCGTCAGACGAGCGCTGTGATTCTCGTTCACACTAAGCCTGGGGACGAGCGCGGCTGGCCAGCAACGTTCAAAACAGCATTCGGCTCCCTATGGAGGATCTGGAGCCAGTTCCGAGTGGACCCATTGAGCAAAGCACTAGGCTTCATCGCTTCCACGAGCCTGTATGGTGAGCGGCGCCATTTTGCCACGTTGACGGTGAAGAATGACCTCGACACTCTCCATGAAGCCTATGCCATCCATGTGGACACGGTAAAGTCTCTATTTGTAGACAAAAAGAAGATCAAGGGTCTTAGTTATAACTTTGTGGTGCAGCCACTCCCTCCGGTCAGCGTCCCAGAAGGCGAAGTCGGACCCATGGGCTTCACGTCTGCTGATAACGAGCCGTTGGCCCTGTTGCTGATTACAGTAGGCTGGGCCGACGCCGAGGATGACGACTTGATCAATGGCTGCTCCAAGAAGACGATAGAGCGTTGGCAGCAAATGGCCCTCGCAAAGGGGACTCTACATCCGTACATCTACCTCAACTATGCGGCGGATTGGCAGAAGCCGTTTGAGAGCTACGGCAAGGACTGGCTCGAGTTTATGCGAGGCGTGAGCAAGAAGCACGACGAGACGGGATTATTCCAAGCCGGCCGTTCGGGCGGGTTCAAGCTCTTTGAATAGAATCAGTCATACGTTTGGTAGACCTCGCAGGTCTGTCGGCAACGGGTTGCAGGCGAAGCGGACCGTCCCTAGCTTAGTTCTGTTTAGCTGTTGGTCTGCTTTAAGCAAGGTAGTATTTCCCCATACTGTAGCATCCTTTCCCCGCACGCATTGGTAGAGCATGAGGTTAGCTACTGTCAGCCGCATGACAGATATATAGTTTTACGTTTAGCATTTATATACATTACCTGAAGAAATTCGGCAATTGACTTTGTCGTCTTTGCTGGCAGACATATTGGTTGCAAGGGTTTCAACTCTGGAGGCGCTGAGCCCGGCTTGCGTCGGCCTTGCCCGCAAGACGCTCCTTATCTGGAGAGAGGAAGCCAGCAAGCGGGCACATGGGAATCTGGGGCAAAAGCAAGCCCCCTCCATGCATGCACATCAGGCCATCCTCTAAACACATCAGGCTCAGTCGTTGCCTTGCGCTAGGTGTTGCGTGCCGTGTCTCGGCGCCGCTTACTCGCAGTCAAAGTCGCCGTGACGCCGGGCGTGATCTTCTGGCTAATGGCTGGCAGCCACGGGAGGTGCGTGCGCAGAGTTGGTCTGCCCAGAGGGGAATGAGATCGGCCCGCGTTGTGTTCCTTCTTGTCAGAGCCTCTGTATCTGAGGAGAGAGCCTCACTTTGGGTGTTGTATTGCATTGGATCGACGAGGCTGTGTAGGAAGTGTTCAGCTGCGGTTGTGTGTCTATGGGTAATTTTGGTTTTGCTACTATGTACATCTGGGGAAGTCAGCAACGTACATCATCCAAGTCGACCTTTGTCAAATTTGGCTGTAGTATTACAGTCATCAGCAGCAGTAGTAGCAAAAAGGGACAACCGTGGCGGGAACGAGGCTCTGCACTACGCCATCCTGCGACAGGCGAGTAGTGGCGGCTTTTGCTTCTTTTGCCTTTTTCCTTTTCTTATTTCCAGGGATGCGGCTCCTATCTGGAACAGCGTGTCTCGCGCGGCATCAATCTTGCTGTTTGGTGTGGTGATTGCTGGTGATGGCGCTAGGCGTAGGTGGCGCTTGCAACGGTCCACCCGCTGTGCCGACGTCCAGGCTTTCGTTTTAACGGGCAGCTGTCAGTAGCAGAGTAGCCCACTAATGCCCACTGTTTTACAGCACTGACCTACCAGCTGGGTAAAATGGTGGTGAGGTGGCCGTGCCCATGGGGTAATTTGGGTATTCTCAATACATGCGAAACATGGAGAAAAAGGGAAAATATAACAAATTAATTACTGGAAAAACACTTTTTTTTTCTTTGTGAATCTTGCCAAGTTGGCAAGGCGATGCCCAGCCGGCTTGCTTTCGCCGTCCCAGCTTGGCAGTACCAGCGCAGCCAGCATTCAGCGGCCAGTAGGGCTCTGCTTCGAAAAGCCTATGACGCAGTTCGCCCCCCTTCGGCTCAAGCCTTGCCCGCGCTACAACGTAACTAACGTTGGGTCATCCAATGCGCTGAAAGCAAGCCTCCAGCAGCGCCGGGCTGTGTGTCGCATGCGTGCGTGTTGAAAGTATGGATGCATTTCGTTTTTAATTCCAAGAAAATACCGCACTTTTCTTCAGCTTGGCAAATCCAATACATACACCGCTCTCCTCTTCCCTTCTCCAGCTCGCATCGGTTGGTCGCTGAGCCGGCAAAACGCGTGGCGCTGTAATAAACCTCCGCAACCGCGCGCCCAGAAAACATGATGGGCGCCTCAGTGGGGAAGAGAGCTGGCGTTGGATTGGGGCTCGCCCCCCCGTCTGCCGTGTGCTTTTGCTGGGGTTAGTGATTCTACTTTCGTATCTGCTGTTGCTTTTCTAGGGCCTTATCTTGCTGGGCCGCAGTGGTCTAGGTCCGCTGTAAAATGCACTTGTTGGGGCTATCAACGCCTGAATGTCTCTGTAAAAGTCCCCGCTGATGGAGAGCCTCACTGACTGCAATGCCCTGTATCTTCTTTTTTTGCTTTCGGGGTATCAGCTGTGCGGTGCTTCCCCACACACAATCAGTGCAGACCCCCCCTGTCGGCTTCCCCCAAAAACAGCCACTTTAGGCTTGCTTAGCGGGCAGCCTGTGGGGAAAGGAAGCCCAGAAGGGGGGCAGAAATAGGCTCTCGAACGCCTGCCTCGCACAATGGTCAGTAGGTTGGGTTTTTAATTTGCGCCACCACAGAGAGAGTTGTCGGTTTAAAGGTTCAACGGTGCCCCTCCCAACCGCCAGCTGGTAGCTGTCTTTGCTCTTCTTCTTTTTTTATTCTCTTCTTCTGTCTTCTTCTTCTTGCACAGTAGACAGCCTCATCCCCCATTGTCTCTCCTTCTGGCAGCGCTATCCCGCCCTGCTGCTGCCGCTTGCGCTACGACGCTTATCCACTTTCCGTCGGTGCCTGTCTCACCTCCAACGCCGTCTTCGTCGCACAATCCTGTTCTTTTTTGCCTGTGTCGTGCTCCACGTGAGGCTTGGAAAGCTTTCTTTGTTCGTCGACGACCAGGCAAGTCGATAGTTTGTAAAACTTGCAAACACAGAATCGTCACTGGTGCTGTCCTTCTCTTCCACGTAGCCCTTTCTTCCCTCGTCACTTCTTCAAGATGGGCGCAAAAGAGTACTCCGACGAAAAAATGGTGGGCAACGGCCACGATCTCAACCTCGAGGCCAGCCAGCCGCCCATGGTCGAAAATGTCGAGTACAACCTCGCTGCTCAGCACGACCAGCTTGAGCGTGGTCTCGAATCCCGCCATATCCAGTTCCTGGCCCTCGGAGGTGCCATTGGTAAGTCCATGTCTCTGTGTTCTTTGCCAGAAGCAGCGGCTCCTCGCTCCGTTTGATGCGCCAGCCATTCAGCCATGCTAACGTGAATGCGCCTCCCTTAGGTACCGGTCTCTTTGTCGGTTCTGGTGTTATTCTCCGAGATGCCGGCCCTGCTCCCCTCTTCATGGCCTACCTCAGCATGATGCTCATCGTCTGGGTCGTCATGAACAACCTTGCCGAAATGGTCACCTACCTCCCGATGCGTGGTATCACCGTCCCCTACTTTATCGAACGCTTTCTCGACCCGAGTTTGGCTTTTGCTGCTGGCTGGAACTATTGGTATGCGTACGCTATTCTCGTCGCCGCCGAGGCCAATGCTGCAGCTTTCGTCATTGATTATTGGAAAGTCAACGTCAGCGTTGGTGTCTGGATCGCCATCATTCTCATCGTCATCCTCTTCCTCAACATTATTGCCGTCCGATTCTTTGGTGAGGCTGAATTTTGGTTCGCCAGTATCAAACTCATCACAATCATTGGTCTCATCATCCTCGGCATCGTCATCTTCTTTGGTGGTGGTCCTAACCAGGGGCACCAGGTGCGCGGCTTCTACTATTGGAAGACGCCAGGTGCGTTTGTAGGGTTCCATGGAATAGGAGGAGACAAAGGGCGCTTCCTGAGCTACTGGTACGCCTTCATCAAGGCTGGTTTCGCCTTCATCACCTCCCCCGAGCTGATTGCTATTGCTGCTGGTGAAACCGTCGCTCCTCGCCGAAACATTCCCAAGGCTGCCCGCCGCTTCGTCGCCCGTCTCGCCATCTTCTACGGATGTGCCTCTCTCGTAATTGGCATTCTCGTTGCTTATGACGATCCCATTCTCCTCAGTGCTATCAAATCTGGTGAGTCTGGAGCTGCTGCTTCGCCTTTTGTCATTGGCATCCAAAACGTGGGTATCAACGTTCTCGATCACATCATCAACGCCGCCATCCTCACCTCGGCCTGGTCTGCCGGAAACTCCTTCCTGTACTCTGGAAGCCGTATTTTGTATTCCATGTCCATCAACGGTCAGGCCCCAACCTTTTTCAGCAAGACGAACCGATTCGGTCTTCCCTGGGTTGCCGTCCTCTTCACTTGGCTCCCGGGTTTGCTCGCCTTCCTCAACTTGTCTGCGTCCTCTACCGAAGTCTTCAACTGGCTGTCCAGCTTGACCACCATTTCTGGTTACATTGCATGGATCATCATCATGTTCACGTACCTGCGCTTCCGCAAGGCCATGATCTACAACGGGCTGCTGTCTGAGCTTCCCTACAAGACCGCTCTTCAGCCCTACGCCACCTACGTTGCAGTGTTTGTTGTCACCGTCTTGACAATCACCAACGGCTTTGCCTCGTTTTTGGGCGAGTTTGACTACAAGGCGTTCTTGACGTCTTACATTACAATTCCCCTCTTCTTGATCTTCTATATCACTCACAAGGTCTTCTTCCGCACGAGACTCATTATCCCTATCCACGAAATCGACTGTATAACAGGAAAGAAGGAGATGGACGAGATGGAGGCCAGAGAGAGGCCTAGAGTAGCAAAGAACATGCTGCAGAAGATCTGGTACTGGATAGCCTAAAGAGGCTCTATCGTTGTTGTTGTCTGTGTCTACTATTTTATTTGCTTCCATGTATTTAGCTGCGATTGTTTACGATGACCTGAGATATCTGCATATGAAATGTTACCTCATGATTTAGCTTACCGATGCGGTTTAGTCCTCGTCTGTTTTTTTGTGCCTTCGGTTGTGTACTACACGTCAGAAGGGCTGGTGCCGAGTGTCTATTGTAGGGTGGGTTGTTTGCGAGTATTATATCTCCGCTCTCTAGCCTGCAACAGCAAACTCGCCGAGAATGCCAGATTAGATAGATAGAATTTATCATTTTGCCCTATTTGACTTTCATCGTGCTACGATTCCTAGTCTACTTCCTATTTAGGAATCCTTGAGCGCCCAACGTGTCTGACTGGTGTTGGCAGCCGATGTGTTTGGAATGTAGCGGAACGCGTTGACTCTGTAAGCCGCTTCCTTGCAGTTTGCGGGGAGGACTTAGAGTTTAAAACTCATGTGTTCGCATGTCTTTCCATTTAGAGTATACTTTTCTGTATTTAGCTGAGTCAGATGGTCTAAAGGGCTGCGTGGGGAAGTGGAATGTGTGTGATGCGTGCCTGACGATCAGATCGCGTGCGAGATGCAACCCTACAGCAGAATCGTCTGCTTCACAACACCACCACTTAAAGAGTGGATATAGTTAACATGTTTCACTAGTAGAAGTGTCCCCGTAGATTGAATACTTTGTAAGGAAACGATCAACATACGTTTGTTAAATTACATTCAGCCCTGTATGGGTGCTTTACACGGCATGAAGGCATTTAGGCTCAGTAACGGCGCGTATGTCGCGAGTGGATAGGTTGAAAATAAAAGCCAAGACGGCTTGGCAAGCGTGGCAGCAATATGTGTGAGAAATCATACAGGTTGCTGCTACATGAAAACATGTTCGCGACGTTTCAAGCAGAATGCGACTCTCCAACGGTGGCTAGTTGCGACACACACGCCCACATGAAGTTTAGGGCAGATAGGTCAAACATGACTGTGCTGACCTAAACATACTGCTTCATGGCCCCCTTTTAGCACTATTGGCGGGATGAGAAACAATATATTGCTACGGTAGGCACATGTAGTGGTCGAGGTAATAGGAGGCTAAGGGGTATAAGCCGGGCCCATGTGAATCGAGCCGTATGAGACAAGACACGGCGAAAGCGCTACCTTGACGCTGAAGAGGGAAAAGAAATACTGTTTGACTCTGCCTGAGAAATAAGCAATGGGATTTAGCAGCGCAAAGAAATATGCAGTGGTGCGATGAGACACTGTAAAAGGGGTGAAACGGTGAGACGGGTGGGCAAAAAAGGAATTCTCGTGGTGAGTCCTGCGTAAGAAGAGGGAGGCGCCCTTGAAACGCAGTAATGAGTTTCGCATAGAAAAGAGGATTCTATTGGCAATAGAAGGATGAGTCGTTTATGATCACAGCATTTCGACTTCTCCGTGGCTGGCTGCCTGTGTAAAGCGAATTGGTTGGCTCCGCTGCTCACAGGCTTAAACTTAAACCACGGGCGCTTGCTTATTTTTAGATGGTTGGATATTAAGGGATCGTCTTGGTGAAATTGGAACGTCGCATTGGCCCAGGGCCTGTGACGGGCGACTCCCCTCTCTCAGGAGCCAACACCTGAAGCACGTATTTCAATAGTGATTTTTGTATGAGCAGCATAAAGGACCAACGATCAGGTGGACGAGCAATAGGTGGGCGGGAGAGGCGCGTGGAAATTGCGTTCTTAATATTCTGCGCGTCTGATTGGCCAGCACGACCGCTACCAATATGGCGTTGCACTACAGACCGAAAGGGGAACACCTCAGGCGACGGAAGCACAGCGAAAGGCTGCCGGCGCGCGGATGCAGGTACCTGCAGCCCAGGCACAGACAGCGCACAGCTGAACAACCGGGGCGAGAGAAGAACGAAAAAGACTTGACTTGCGGGAATAAAAGTTTGCATTGTGCATGTGCATTGCATGAAGGAAAAACTTGGTTTTTTTTCTTTCTCACTAGACAGGGCTGCAGCAAACAAAAATCCAACGCGCGCGCAGAACAGTATAAACGAAACAGGACAAAGCGGTCCGTCAGTGTACTGTACCGCTGTGTACCCGGAGATGGGGGACACAACAGCAGCGCTGGCCTGTTGGCCCTGGCAATTGCGCGCTGGGCGCTACCCTAGGAAGCAGTTCGTGCCCCGCGAGTACAGGGCCCTGGTCACGGCCGACGCCCTGTAAAATTACAGTTAAATTCAAGTAAAAAGAGCATCGGTAATCTCTATCCAGACGCGGGCCGCCTTACGAGGGGTTCGCTGCCCATGAGTGTATAGAGCGTCTGTAAATTGAAATTCTCTTCTTTTGTTATGACTGCCCAAAAACACGATAACAGACAGTCACCAAAGGCTACCAGTAAGTAGCATAGCTTAATACTCGGTGCCCCAAGGATTCCTGTTGAGAGAAATGCGGCATGTGAGACAAGCGTGTTGCGGGCCACAACGGCAGCTGAGAAGAAAGGCAGTCGCCCGAACAGGAAAAAGTAATACTGATAAAATTCTCACGACCGATAAAAAAGAGACTTTGGGATACTTTGCCACGTTGGTCATCTTGCAGAATTTTCGTAGATAAAAAAAAAAAAACGGACAGCGCCTACGCAAGCCGTTTTGCCGCTGTCGCAAAAGTATCGCTTGGGCGCCGATTACAGAAAAAACCCTTCAAAAGAGGTGGTGGTCTAGACGCAGCGCCCTCTCCAGTTTGTAGTGGGACAAGGTACCGCTGGTGTAGATTTCTGATTGCCGATACCTCTGAACGAGGGCCCTGTTTAATGAGATTTCCAGGTAGCGGGTACATAGTGTCATGCGGGGGGCTTGCGCAGGTGACCAGGTATCCGCTACTGCTGTGTCACCCTCGGCAGGCTCGTGCCCACCGGTACCCCCTGCGACAAGAGCTACATTCTTGGGTACCCCGTCTATTGACTCGCCCGGCGCACCGCTATTCCCTAGCAATGTGGCGCCCCTTTCCACTGTTTCTAGCGCCGTAGCCCACTGTATTACCGTAGCGTTTTTGTCTGTAGTAAGGTAGCAACGGGTACCTGGTGCCTGGCTGCCAAAAGAGGAAGCAGCACGCAAAGAGGGAAAAAAAGAGATTGCCCGCCCACACCCGTCTCACCCAAATCTCGCCCGCCCCCAGAAATCGTTGTTAATCGCCTGGTTTGCCGCTCACCCCGTCGGCCTTCTTTCTCTTTTCTTCTTCTTCAACATCACGCACACGCTCTCTTGTTCGCAACAGTTCCTCTTCGCTTTCCCAAGCACTTCCCGCTAGACTTCGTTGGCAAAGTCTCCATCACGCTCGCACTCTCACGCTCGCACCACTTACACGCATCTCACCACCACCACAACAACAAAACAGCCAAAATGCGCTTCACCAGCTTCGTCCTCGCCGCTCTCCCGGCCCTTGCCCTTGCCGATGGCTCTGTCACCAGCTCGGCCCCTACCACCATCACCACCACCTGCACCTTGACTGACAAGGTCACCAAGACCATGACCCTCTCCAAGGTCACCGTCACCTCCATCGCCAGCAACAGCACTTCTTCTTGGGTCCCCATCCCTACCTCCAGCGCGCCCGCCATCGTCAACCCTCCCACGCCTGGAAAGAACGCTGCTGGTGCTCTCGATGCCAGCAAGGTCGCTTTCGCTGGTGTCGCCGGCATGGTTGCCATCGCCCTTCTCTAAGCGCTTGGATTCGCGCCTCATCTGTCCGGGTTAAGCTAAGCTGATGCTGATGCTTTGCCGTGACGCGGGATGCTTTCCAGCAGCCATGGTATCTGTCTTTGAGGCGGATCATTCGCTATGGGATGGAACGAACAGGAACCTTTTGCCAAAGTGTCAGACGCATTGTCGCGGGCTTAATGGGAATGAGCCCCCCCAATTATGCTGACCTACCACGATCACTACTTTCTTTTGTCGATTACTACCTTTTCTGCTTTTTTTTGCACATTTCACCTTTCAATCATGCATGACGATCTACGATCAAGCGAAACCATGTTTCGCCGCATATTTGTTTGCCGCCATCTTCAATTCGCGCTGTCGGGCCGCTTCTTCTTCTTTTCTTTTCTGGCCTTGACGGCTGCGGCAATCTTTTCTTATTTTTTCCAAGTTTCAGTATTCCTTGCAACAGATCAGCGCGTGGAGAGCCGGCCGATATATTGGTCTGCTCTCGGCGATCTCTTGGCTCCAGGGCTACCTTGAATGCGGCAGGTTACAAGGGGGGTTTCTTTTGACGAGTCTTGAAGTTCACGTTGTCTTCAATGTCTTCAATGTCTCTTTTCTCTTAACCTTCTTTCTGTCACATACACTTTTTCATCATTACTTGCGCGACATCTTACATATTTCTTGCCACCGTCCCAGCGACGCAAGCCGGCGATGTCGCGCAAGTTTCTTTTGAACCACCCCTTGAACTCGCTTGGCCTTTTGGGCTGAGTGATTGTGAGCGCTCTGTTTTGCTGCTTGGAACCGCAGGATCCTTGAAGGACGCTTGCCGATCTGCCTTGGCATCTATGATGCAAAAGCGGACGGGCAAGTCGACGGAAGGAAACGTTTTTTCTCACCTCTTCGATTCACATCGTTTATACCCCTTTCGCGCTTTATGCTTCACCGGTGAAGACATTCTGACTTCGCTTGAAGATACCCCTTCTTATATACCACTGGGGACGTGGTCCTTGAGCCATTGCCTAGGTCCAGGATTGGAGTTATTTATTTTTTATTTTTTTATTTTTCGGAGTCTTGTACGCACTGGGCGGACTGCTATTTGCTGCGTCTCTTGTGATGGGCAAGGGAGTTTTGATTATTTTCAAGGCATAACGAAACCATTTTGGTGCACATAGATAGTTGTCCTTGCCAGTTTACAGCTTGGTAGAGAACAATCGACTTTTAACGACCTACTCTGTTGGGGATTCCGAACACTGGCGCCTTTTGCGTGACTGAGTGATGATGTTTCTTGTTTCGAAATTTTCCATCCTTTAAAGCGAGCCGACTGTATGTTTGTTTGCGCTCATTGTTGACCGGTGTCGCTGTGGTATATCCGTCTCAGGTGTATGCATTCATTCATATATGCATGCATTCACTGTCCATGTAGCCATGTCATTGGCTGCTACTGCTACACAACCGTATTTGCTACGATTACAGCTCTATGCCGGGACCCTGCACTGCACGTCTTTGGCCGATGTCGTCGACGTCCGTTAAAGTCGCCGGTATGAAATCACACCATTACCATTGGCCCGTCCACCTCCGATTCAGGAAGGCAACCGCCGCAACCCCCAAAAGCGGGCGGCTCCAGTCGGCCCAACAGCCGCAGTGCACCAGTGCAGGGCGGAGTGTGGTAGAGCCTCACCCGCTGGAAAGCCCACTGTAGAAATCCCCCATTGCCACTAAGAAAAATAGCTGCACGGTGGGGCATGGCCGTGTGACTTGGCGTGCTTTTGCTGGGGAAATCTTTTTGAACCCCAACTACTGCTGCTCCTTTTCTACCCGCGCCTACAGCAAAAAAACTGCATTTCACCTCCCGTCGCCATTCCACCGCCTCGACCTTTTTTCTTCGTTAGCATTATATAATTCGCGTCCATCTCTTCTCCAATGGCGTCTGTCGGTGCTTCTCTTCACCGCGCCAGGGCCCCCGTCCGCCGTGCCCTCACTGCCGCTCCCGCCACCTTGAGATGCCTCGCCACCATCCCTCCCGCCGAGCCCAATGCGACGCCGAAGCGAAAGACATATTTCAAGGATAGCACTGTTGCTCCCTTCTCCGACTTTCTCGGCACCTCGTCGCAGGCGCAGGCTCTTGGCCCTACGGATGCCTATGAGCTGCGCACCGCCGAAGTCGGGCCCAAGGGCAAGAAGCGAACCATTACCAGACTGCCTGAGTGGCTCAAGACGCCTATCCCATCGGGCAACGACAACTTCAAGAGCATCAAGAAGGACCTGCGTGGTCTTAATCTGCACACTGTCTGCGAAGAGGCCAGATGCCCCAACATCTCCGAGTGCTGGGGCGGCTCGGATAAGAGCGCGGCCACGGCAACCATTATGCTCATGGGCGACACCTGCACCCGTGGATGCCGCTTCTGCAGCGTCAAGACAAACAGAGCCCCTGCTCCTCTGGACCCCCACGAGCCAGAGCACACTGCGGAGGCCCTTGCCCGCTGGGGTCTCGGATATGTCGTCTTGACGTCCGTGGACCGTGACGATCTTGCCGACGGCGGTGCCAGACACTTTGCCGAGACCATTCGCAAGATTAAGCAGAAGAAGCCCTCGCTGCTTGTCGAGGCCCTGACTGGCGATTTCATGGGCGACCTCGACATGGTCAAGATTGTGGCCGAGAGCGGCCTGGACGTCTACGCTCACAATGTCGAGACCGTCGAGGCCCTGACACCATATGTTCGTGACCGCAGAGCCACGTTCCGCCAGAGTCTTGCTGTTCTTAAGCACGTCAAAGAGGTCCGCGGCAAGGAGGGCATCATCACCAAGACCAGCATCATGCTGGGCCTCGGCGAGCAGGAGCACGAAGTTATGGATGCCCTGCGCGAGCTGCGCAAGGCCGATGTCGACGTCGTCACGTTTGGCCAGTACATGCGCCCCACGAAGCGCCATCTCAAAGTCGAAAAGTATGTCACCCCCGACGAGTTTGAGATGTGGCGCCAGCGCGCCCTCGACATGGGCTTCTTGTACTGCGCGTCTGGCCCGCTCGTCCGCTCCTCGTACAAGGCCGGCGAGGCCTTTATCGAAAATGTCCTCCGCAAGAGAAAGGCCGGCGTGGCCGTCGAGGGAGATGCGGGCAAGTCTGCTGCTGGCCTGGAGGCTGAGACAAGAGTATAGAAGTTTTGGACGGACTTGGTGTTTTTCTTCATTCTGCGGCGTACTTATTACTTAATTGGGACATATACTTTTTCTTTCGTTGTACTTTTTGTTTCTTACATGTATCATGGCGCTCCTTGGGAGACGAGAACAACAAAAAAGCTCGGCATGGAGACGGCGTTTTTGTGGGTTTGCTTTATCGGATGTATTTCAACTCTACAGTCAGGCCTTCAACAGTGGTCTGCGGAACAACCTCTATACTCATCATAATGAATCTCTACCAACCAATCAATCATCTGTATGATTATACATAATTTTCAAACTTGTGCTGGCAACTTTTGTATGTAGAAGTAAAAGCTGTATATTGCTCTGTATAATATTTCGTCTAACATAGTATATCATAACATCGTGTCTCGTCGTTAACATGTCTTATATATCCCAAACATTCTTCAGCGCCGCAAGGGCAATATACACAAGCTCATCGGCGCTTACGGCTCGGCTTCCCTGACCTGGGAGAACGCTTACCAGCCTGTCAAAGAGCTCGCCTGTCTTTTCGCCTTCAATGCCTATGCTCCTCAGTCGCTCATCGTTATTAGCTGCAGTTTCAAGACCGCCGTCGCCACCAATCACGACAAGCATTCGACGAAACCTCGGCGCACCGCTGCGTCTTCCCCGTTCCTCTGCTGGGAACGCCTCGGCCGGCGTTGCGCCTTGTGGTGATATACCGACGCATAGGTCGTAATTATCTGTGCCGGATGTGAAGATGGCGGATAATGACGGCGACCGACGCACCGAGTAGCCCCAGTAGTAGCCACCTTTAGAGCGCGGAACATCGGGGTGAACAGTCGAAGGGGCAGAATCGGGATCGGCAAAATGTAATGTAAGTCGAGTAGATGGAGGGAAGATTCCAGGCACAGAGAGCGTTTCATCGAGCGCCGCATCGACCACTGTGGTGCTGGTCGCGGGATCTGTAGAGATGGCGATGGCTTCGCGGTACGGAATCCAAGGATCCTTCGGATGCGGGTGATGCGGCGCATCAAGGGCTGGTAGAGACTCGGCATCAGCAATAGGAGGAAATAAGTGCTTGCGCATAAAGGGCGGGCAGTCGAGGTACGCTAATAAGGCGGCGATTGTGTCGACATGGTCGGCGGAGGCGGGGCAGTCGGCAAACACGATGGCCTCGTCGATGGAGAAGATGGCGAGTGAGCGGGCTATTCGGGCAATTGTATAAGATTGCGCTTCGGCATGTAGGCTATGAAAAGGAGGTTAGTCGGCGATTGTGCGGAAGCGTGGGTGTTTGGCGCACTCTGCGATGATGGAGGACGGGATGGCAATGGAGATGGTCCACGGCCGGCCGTTCGGGATTGGGTTGAAGGGCGGCGGAAGGATGGAAGACGGAGGAATCGGTGGGGGATGAATAGACGCTTTTCGTTTCTAGACGTGTGCTATTGGTTAGAAGGTACAGCAAGGGTAGAGGCGCCGGGATAGACGGACTCGTGATAGTCGCGGGGGAGACATGGCGTTGGCGTCACAGCACGGTGTCTTCCCCGCCAACTCCAAGGGCGCAGAGGCTGGTGCGTTTGCGGTATTGTGTGTCGCCAAGAGCTCAAGATTTTGGTGGCATAGACATGCAGGAGGTTTGTTTTGCGATGCCAGACTTTGATGCGCCGTAGGAGATGCAGTTGAAAAGTTGCCATCTTACAGGCATGAAGGAATCTTGCGATGGTGGGACTGCGGCGCTGTGATTGGGCGATCCAGAAAGCTAGAAGCGAGTGGCGGTTGTCAATGCCCGACGTACAGATATTAGGAGTTTTACCGCCAAAAATGGTGTTTAAACGAGAAAAAAAAAGAATTGAAAATCCAAGATAAAAATTGTGTCGTTGTCAAATTTTTCTTATAGCTGTAGCCGTTGGGTCGGTGTTGCTGGTTCCTCACATCAATCCGCGGCTATCGATAGAGATTGGTCTGATGGACTTATTCTAGAAGACATGATGATCTACCAGTCGAAGTGGCCCACGACCCTTATGAAGATGAGATATATTGTTTTGTGTGAATGTTCTACACCAGGGGTAGAAGTCATGCTAGACTGAGTGCTTCCGAAAGTCACGGATAGTCTATGCAATCTCTCCCCGAGGTTAGAAGCTCTTCCACACACTGTGAGCTAATAATATACACTGATGCCGCATGACAGTTAGATACGACTGAGTGGTTGAATTGTACGACTGGGTTTCGTTATGAAAATAGCCAGCCCAAGTCAATGATACTATCAGAACCAAGAGTCGAGCCCGGATCATGATAGCTCCGCTTTCGACGAAAAGAGGCCAGTGACCTGTCTTGCTTCAGGTTTGGTGTCAAGACGAGACGGGCGAAGTTGGGGAACAAGAACAAGACGAAGCTAGAGAAGGCTGAACGGAGAATGTGGGAAGAAAGTCAAGTGACCAGTTAGCAAGGGAGGTTCCAGAGTCATCATTCCAGCGGATGGGTTTCCGACAATTCGCCGTTGTTTGCTGTATCTTGCGTTGAATCGTCACTAAGAATATCTGATCGCCATGCTTTGCTACTTTGAAACTGTTTCTGGCATCACTCTTGTTCAGGCTTCGCTTGACCCAAGCTTCGCATCCTGCATACTCGCCTGTGCAGTTCTTGCATGACGCTAACCAGCACAGCTGCGATCTGGGATAGCTCTTCGGGATTTGGGGGCGGGGGAAAGGTGGCTGGGAAAGCTGGATCACCACAGCTATCCCAGCTTTGCTTCTCACCGACTAAACGCTACACATTGGCACCTGTAGCCTCTTTCCGGTCGTTCAGTGACCAAAGTCAATCCATACCAAGTTCTGTGGTACCACTCTTGTCTCTTGGCATGTCGCCAGAGGCAAGTCTAGTTTAGTTGAATAGAGAGCCTTGGGCAACGCACGTGGGTCCACAGCAATTTCGTTTGCGGATTGCTGGACCCTTCACACCAAAGTGCACTGTAGAACGCTGTAAAGCTACTGCTGCACGGTCTCTCCGCCAGTTCTCAGCCAGTCACAGGCCTCGGGTGGGATTGGCTGCAGTGTCCCGTTAAACTCGAGCGCGTCACTGCAAACTTTTGGACCCCTTGCGTTGTGCGAGCGACTTCAAATGCAGACAGGGTACTGAAGGTACGATAACGGACATCTGCCAGCAGTGCAAAATTGATCTCGTGCCGTCTTTGGTTCACCGCTCCGCTCGAGCAGACTACGACGATGGGCAAGCCATCACCCAGCGTAACATCGGTTAGATCGCGCTATCTCTTTTCAGTCAAAGTTTTGCGCAACAATGGACTCGGTGCGGCGATTGTAGAAAGGTAAGCTTCGGCCGACCACCGCTCAAAACCTTTACCGCAACAATGTACCATGATGACATGTTTGCGTTGTACCTCCTGATTCACGGTGCGACCCGCAGTGCTGGAATGCGCTGCGTCTGGAACCTGGGGTACCGCCAGCCTCACTAAGAGGGTTCTAAGGTGCGTCTAAGTGGTTCGTCTCTTTGGGCCTCGAGAGACCAAGCACGTAAAAACGTAGATGTATATTCCCTAAGTATGGGCTCTTCCTCTTTGCTACTGTATCATAGCTGTTGAGCTTGGGCTAAGACAGAATTTTAGCATCTAGCATGCCATCTTACTTCCCCGCAGATGGCCGTTGGCGGCGACCACCTCCGAAAATGAGACTGGTGAGAGGCTATGCAAGGGAGCTTTCTATGCTGTAGAGAGCGGCCATCTTCTCATTTGCTGACTTACAGTATGCGGTTGTGTAGTATAGTGCTAGAGCGACAGCACAGCAGGTGTAAAGAAACGCCATACACTACCTGTCACAAGCCTGCTCTCTGCGTCTGACAGCCATGGCGTGGTCAGTCGACAGTTTGGACTTGTCGGCAAAATGCTATGCCAACGCATGCAGGAAAGCCAACTCTATGGAGCGAATTGCTAGTTGAAACGGCGCAGACCAGCCGATGGGTATCGGATTTGGTGCATATTATGCAAATCAGTCCTGGTGACGCAAGTTTTGTTGCCAGCGACTCATATCCAGCGCTGGCAAGGACCTGCAAGGCTGCATAGGTAAGAGCCATCGTGTTATGGGGAAGACGCTTCCCATGCAGCCAAGAAGTGAGCCGTCGTCATCTCCTGCGCCCGACCGGCATTTCATGCCCGAGCTCTCTCAGCCCACCTAAGCAGAACGGTGCCGTGAGCCATGCCGTGAGCCGCTGCATAGACATGAGGAAGCTCCAAGTCATCCGTGCCATCATTCTTCCAAAAGATCACCTCTCTAGGATTGCCGGAAGCGAAGGGCGTTTCAAGTAACTTTTTTAGTCTCCGTGCATATGCCGCCGTGACGGCCGCTTCAGCGATGTGGCTCTTACTCTTGGTGTTTGACTGAACTGCCTCATTTTCATTGCCCCGTGGCTGTGGACGCCCCATTAAGCACGTTCTAGAGAGGCACGCTACCATCACGCGGAACAAGAGATGAATCCACTGAAACCAGCCAGTATTCATTTGGCGTATCCAGCGTATTGTGCGGCTAACACAGCCGCCGGGCATCCAGCACTGCTTGCTACGAATGGATCGGCGACTTCTAGAATAATGGGTTAGTGAATTACGGTTAATGCGAGGAGACAAGCCTGGACCGCGTTGTCTCGCATTGGTTCTGAAAGCTGAAGTCTAATGGCGCATCACCCGATGGATAGTTTGCCGCTGGGGCAGGTCAAAGCTGCCAAATCGGAGGCACACTATGCATCGATTGCACCACCACCGAATCGTGGCTCAGGCTAGCTTAGCCCCTTCGATAGCAGACCGATGACGACAGCGCCAAAGCAGTTTGTTGCCCTGCCACGCTTGGAATCTTTGGTTGCACCCACACGTGCAGCTGCTGTTGGTACATAATCCTTTGTTTGGCGAAATCTCATCCCGTGTACCAGCAGCAACGGCTGGTTTCGTGACAAGACAAGACGGCATCTAACAACGTCCGCTTCGGATGAATGACAATAAGACAGCCCGTCACAGACAAAGCGTGTCGCGGGGGGGGGGGGGGGGGGGGGGAAAGTAAAAGGAACAGACAGGAGGAGACGGCCCCACAGCTACCTGGGTCTCAAGTCACCCAGGCGCGCACTGCTCTGGCACTGTTCTCACAGGCCTGCCAGGTGCGTTGCCAGTGCCGACACCACCGGGCTTTCGGGGCGTTTCTGGCGGGCTGCCTCCTGAAGAGCGCGTAACAATTGTCTCTCGCTTTCGCTTGTGACGACGGACTGCATTATTATCCCGCTTTGCTACATACAGCGCTGTCGCCATGTCACCGACAGTGCTGTAGTAGTGGCCGCTGGGCTGGGCTGGGGCTGCTCAGTACATAGGGGAAGCGTATACAGTGGCAGTGGGAGCTGCATACAAAGTAGAAACTATCATGATAACCCTCACCGATAAAAGTTTGCTTAAATGTCAATATTTCTCCTTTTCGCAGCAGCAGCATTTTCCAAGTCCCACCTGCGGTACGCTCTGCAATTTTTTTTCTTCTTCTCCTCCCTGCACTGTCTTGCGAGCCAGTTCCCACTGTGGACGCCTCCCCGTCATTTCCCGCTCGCCTCTGTAATATTTTCCCCCCTCTGACGCCTGGGGCGCGCTGAGCCAGGCTGCCCCTAAGCTAGCCCGCGTCCCAAAGTCCGCCCGTGGCTCCTCTCAGCAGGGCCCTGGTGCGCATCCGATATTAGTGGGTTTAATTTCCCAGCAGTACGCGGCTGTCGAGCCTGCTTTCCCGTGGTAAGCTGTAATTTTTTACTAGGCGATTCTGAGATGCTTGCCGGCGTGTCATTGGCTCGTCCAGACCCTAGTCAGCCCACCGTAAAGCTGCCTATGGCGCTCAAATCTCACAGCGACCTGGAGCCGTCGCCACAGTGCTCTTTTTTTCCTTGCTGCTGCTGAGGCACTATCTGTTCCCTACCCAATAGCGGCCCCCCCCCCTAAAATCCAGGCCTACTGTTCGTCACCCCCAGTCCACCACACTCTTGCCCACTTCTGGTACTAATACACTTTTCCCCCTTCATTTTTTCCTCATCCACCTCTCGACTCCTCTGGTGCATTTTGCTTCCTTTCCTTTCCATTTTTTTCGCATCGCTCGACACCTCCTCTTTCTCCTCCTCCTTTTTCCTCTCAGTCTTCGAGGGTTTCTCGTGAGCTTCGCGCTGCCCACGATCCTTTCCGTTCCAACTCGCAGTGCCCCTGTGCATTCCGAGTTCCTCGGTTGACATCCACGAACGCCGTTGTTGGGATTGGGCCGATACGAGACGAACCCGACTCTATTCGCGCGAAATAGCGATCAACTACTTGCAAGATGGGCGTCTTTGAGTGGTGTACGCGGCGTGCTGCCGGCCTGAGCATTATTTCTCTGCTCGCGCTGGCATACTGGGTAATCTCGCGTGAAGCCGCTGTCGAAGAAGCAAGGCACAACCCTACGAACCCTACTGTATATGGTGCGGGAATCTGGAACCAAGTTTTCGCCTACTACTCGCTTTTGATCCATATTCTGGTCTTCATTACCCCCATTCGCGCTGTGTGGGCCATGAGGGACGTGACCGGTCACGTCAAGCGTAGCCTTCGCAGCCAGTCTCTCTCTTCTTTCAAGAAGTCTCGCAACAACCGTCGAGGATCCTACGCGTCTCTTTCCAGCGGCGAGACTCTGACAGTCGAAAACTCCGGCAAGGAATCGGCTACTAGCAGCGAGCCCGGCAGTGATGTCGAGCAGGATATCGACTCTGACGACGACCTCATCGCCATGGGCAGCGTCATCCACGCCATCATTATCCCCAACTACAAAGAAGAGCTTGACTCTCTCAGAGAGACGCTAGACGTCTTGGCTAGCCATCCTCAGGCACAGTCCAGCTATGATGTAAGTTTGATTTGAATTTTTATTTATTTTTAGCACCTGTAAATCCCCTGGGTTGCATTACCTGGGGCCGCCCGACACACACCCGCACGCTTGGCACCCTTATTTCCGCTAACTCTCACGTATCCGTCTGCACCTCCGTTGATCATATTTGCTAACTTTGTACCAATAGGTCTATCTCGGTATGGAACAGCGCGAGGAGCATGGTGAATCAAAAGCCCTCAGCCTTATCCAGGAGTTCGTCAAGAAGTTCCGCTCCATCGACTACACAATGCATCCCTCTGATATTCCTGGCGAGTCTCCTGGCAAAGGAAGCAACCTTGCCTGGGCTGCTCGCAAGCTCAGCGCCAATTACTCGATGGAGGTTCGCAAAAATGTCATTATCACCGGAATTGACGGTACGTTGGACAGCTTTTAACCACAAATGACGCAAGACTAATTTTCTCAATAGCCGATAGCCACTTGTCTTACCGATTCTTCGCCAGCATCACCAAAATGCATCTCGCTCATCCCGAGACCGCCAGCACCACTCTGTACTCTTGCCCCGTCATTTTCGACCGCAACGCTCACACCGTTCCTGCTCTTGTTCGTGTAGCCGATGTCCTCTGGTGCGCCGCTGGTATGTCAGGCCTGTACACCGGTTCCACTACAGCTCCTCCTACTTCGGTTTACGCCCTCCCTTTGCAGCTTGCTGATCGCGTTGGCGGCTGGGATGCGGATGCTGAAGCTATTGGCGAAGATCTCCACATGTACATCAAGTGCTTCTTTGCCCTTAACGGTAACTTGACCTGCCGAATTGTCATGGCACCTGTCAGCCAGAGCAATGTTACTGCTGGCAAAGGCGGTGGCATCCGTGGTGTCTTTGAAGATGTTCGTGCTCGATACCAACAAGCTATTCGTCACATGTGGGGTGCTCTTGACACTGGCTTCGCCATGCGCAAATTTGCCGAAGTTATCAAGGAGCGCAAGCACACATCCAGAGCCTTCCGTCCCCTACACAAGGATACTGGAGAGGCCTCTGATTTTTACGTGCCTGATAACCAAGCTGTCGACGAGAACCAAGAGGGGCCCAACGCTGGTGGTATCTACTCGGATGTGACCCAGGACACTCTCAAGGACATCAACTACACGCGAATGTTCCTTATGGGGCACAGATTATTCGAGGCACACTTCTTGCCTGCTCACATGACAATTCTGGTTTTGTCCTCTGCTCTATACCTCTGGGTCATTGAAGGCAGACCTGATACCTACAACCTCGCATGGACCTTTACACTTTCCAACGTGTTGCGTACTGCAGGTTTCATTCTCGTCGCCATCTGGCTCTACATGTACGAGACGCTCCACCAGGTTTGTGTCGATGCTCGTGAGAGCGAGATGCAGTCGGCTGGTCTTGCCAATGGCATGTGCTTCTCAAGACGAGCCCTCAAGACCAACTGGAAGGACTACTTGATGGTCCCCCTGGTTGCGCCTCTGTTTGGCGCCATCCCGAGTGCCCAGGTCGTCATTTGCCACTTCTGGACGCAAGATCTCGTCTATACAGTGAGCGGCAAGGCGACAAGACAGCGAGCAAAGTCTTTAGGTGTTGAAGATATGGCATAATCTAACCGCCTGTGCATATCATTGTTCTTTATTTTTTTTACTTCTTGGCGCACATTTTTCGACTTGGAAACATTTTAATGCCCCTACGATATATACAACTTTTTCTCACAAGGAAGGCTGCAAGATTTTCAACGACAGCATACACTTTTGTTCTTCGATTCTACGACGCGGCTATAATCTTTGGAGGGTCACCCTTTCGAAAACCGGCTCCGCGTTTGTACATACATGGCCAACCTTTTTGTAGGTTGGCCCTTTTTTGGTTTTCTTTTTATTTGACATGTAATGTCTTGGGAGAGGCATGTTGCGATTTGTTGCAATGATTCTGGCATATCTAGATTGGCGTTTTGACTGACAGCATATCATGGTTTTTATGTGCTTTGTCGGCTGGTCTATTACACTCGCTTATGGGAATACACAACTGCAAAGATAGAAAAAGGATTCATGAATTTGGAAGGGAAGGATGACGGAAACGTGAGGAGGGACAAGATAAGATCATAATGTGGAAGGATGGAGATCTTGGAGGACAACAAGTCGGGGTTGAATCACCTTAATTTTAGGTCCTTAATATTTAATATGAATCCGAGTCTCTGGAAGCTGCCTGTTGTCAGGTAGCTTCCAGAGAAGTTACAAATATCAACACCAGAAGCTTTATGACACTATACTATAACACTATCAATAAGAAGACTTTGACCGTTACGTGACTCGTCGGCCTGTCTGCTGCTACGCCTCTCCAAGGCTGCCTGCAAGAATTAGCGGGGCCGGTTGCTGAGACAGCGTAACAGGGACTGCGATAAGTCTGGTATCGCGCCACACTATTGGTCGTGGCGGTGAAAAGAGCGGGGCTGGAGACGGTTTGAAAAAAAAAACCAAGCTCCGCCGGTTGCTCGAGATTTTTCTCTTCCCTTCAAGTGTATTCCCGTTCAAACTTTTGCATAGATTTTTGTGTCTGTTGTTGATTTGTTTCCTTCATTCACATCTTTTGGAATTGTTTCATTATCATTTCATACTACGCAACACATCCATATTCTACATCTTTCACAATGGCTGCTATCCCCGGTCCCGTTTACGGCCTTGAGGTCCCTCCTGGCGAGATCTTGATTCCTGCTGGTATGGACTTCCCTGCCTCTGTAAGTAGCTCCTTTTGAGCATTGGCTGGTCAATGAAGAATCTATCCAGGTGTATTCTGTCATTCACGGGCTGATGACCAGTTAACCGCATATCAACATCTTAGCTAACAAGCATCCCTTCCAGTTCCGCATCACCATGGCTGCCATCGACCCTACCGAGGAGCCTGAGGCTGATGAGGATGGCAACGTCCCTGAGGTTCCCCGTGCTACCCTCCGCCTTGTCAAGCGCGCTTTCCCCGGCCTCGACGACGAGGATGACGAGGAGATTGACGACGAGTACATGAAGGCTCTCCTCGCCGCTTCTTCCGATGACGAAGATGAAGATGAGGATGATGAGGAGGCCAACGGCGGTCCTAGCGATCTCTCCAAGTCCAAGAAGCAAAAGCAGGCTGCTGCCATTAAGAAGCTTCTTGCCGCTACCCAGGAGGACGATGACGACGAGATGGAGGATGCTAAGCCCAGCAAGGGCAAGGGCAAGGCCGAGGCTGAGGATGATGATGAGGAAGAGGATGACGACGAGGATGAGGATGAGGATGATGAGGACGATGAGGACGATGTTGACCTCGAGAACTTTGTCATCTGCACCCTTGACACCGAGAAGGTATGACGGACATAGCCTATTGAATCAGTGACCTTTGCTAACTTGCCCCCCTCACAGCACTACCAGCAGCCTCTTGACATCACCGTCAACCACGGCGAGAGAGTCTTCTTCGTCGTCACTGGTTCCCACACTGTCTACCTCACCGGTAACTACATCATGGACGATGATGAGGATGACTACGACGAGGACGACGAGGATGACTACGACTTCGACCCTGAGGATATGGAGTACACTCTTGGTGAAGACGACAGCGAGCTCGAGAGCGACGATCTTGATGACCTCGAGGACCCCCGTGTCGAGGAGCTCGATGACGAGGAAGAGGAGGAGGCCCCCAAGCTTGTCAACACTAAGAAGGGCAAGAACAAGCGCGGTGCTGAGGAGGAGAGCCTTGATGACTTGATTGACGAGTCCAAGCTCTCCAAAAAGCAGCAGAAGAAGCTCAAGAACAACAAGGGCGAGCCTGTTGCCGCTGAGGACAAGAAGGAGGCCAAGAAGGTCCAGTTCGCCAAGAACCTTGAGCAGGGTCCTTCTGGTCCCGCTGCTAAGCAGAATGGCCAGACTACTGGTGTCAAGGTTGTCCAGGGTGTCAAGATTGACGACCGCAAGGTCGGCACTGGCCGCAACGCTAAGAACGGTGACACCGTCGGTGTCCGCTACATTGGCAAGCTCGCCAACGGCAAGCAGTTTGATGGTATGTCTAACTAAACTCGTCCGTCGCATATGGAATACAAAACTTGCTAACACGCTACGTAGCTAACAAGAAGGGAAAGCCTTTCGCCTTCAAGGTCGGCAAGGGTGAAGTCATCAAGGGCTGGGACATCGGTGTTGTCGGCATGGCCATCGGTGGCGAGCGTCGCCTCACCATCCCCGCCAAGCTCGCCTACGGCTCCCGCGCTCTTCCCGGTATCCCCGCTAACAGCGAGCTTACCTTTGACGTCAAGCTTCTCGAGATCAAGTAAACAAGCCATGGATACAATCCATGTAAGCTGTGTTTAGTTGTGGGGAGGAGATATTTCTTTTGTTAAATATTTTTTTGGAGTCATGGGGTGGATGGCGATGAATGGATCCGACATCGTCATCTATCATCAAGACCCTGGCGTCTGTGTCTTTTGGCTTTTGGTTTTTGAGATTTCTTACTGTACTATTGTTTGTGATTCTAGTTATAAAATGCACGCTTATTCAGGCAGCATTACTCAAAAACCAAAAGGGCTACACTACTGAGTGAGCCATCGAAAAGTTATCTGATAAAATGTACAATGACATTATGACTTGTTCACCTGATTCTCTAGTATTTGTGAAAGTTGCCCATGTCGCAACTATAGATGTTACTTTAACACCACTCTGTAATTTGAGTTTCTTTAATATGCATTGAAATTAACTCTACTCAACTTTATGGTTGTTTGTATATCTAAACTCTTTTTTATAATTGACTTTATAATTGACTTTCATTTTCTCCCCTTTTGTTTTTATTTTATTTTCTTTTTGCATCCATGGGTGCTCTTTCCTCTTTGTACCAGTCCCAGCGACAGGCCCATAGATACCAGAGCGTGGTTCGAGATTGCTGGCGCTTTTAAAGTCGTTGCAAAACATGGTTGCTAACATAAACGGCCTGTATATTTGCAGTGCTAACTCTACAGCATAGATTTGCATGGATTACCATCAGAGCCTATTGTTAGAACAACTCTGGACTTGTGATTAGCTCATACTCAGACTCTGTTGCCCGACGAGCCACGACCCGAATCTTCCAGAGGCCGAGCTATGCATCCTTCGGAACTGATAAAGAAATTTCGAAATGATAACAAAGGAAATGGAATCGAAAGTACTGTGATCTTGCGCTCATCGACCCTCAAGCAACGCCGGAGTGCGTTACATCTGTTCGCTTCGCGATGTGCCAGATCCAGTGATTCGGGAGGCATCTCCATAGAAGCATCCGTACATGGCCATACTACAGGCAGTATCTTATCGCACTCATCTACAGAAGAACAGAAATGTGCTGTTTCACCAACGAAAGACAGTCCGCAACGGCGACTGAGCCGCAGGCTGTTGCGAGGCAAGTCAGCCACTGAACCTCTCAATACCATAGAGGAAGCGAAAATTACACCAAAACCTACATTCGTCTCTTGTGAATTGGCGGCTGCCGCGAAAGTATTCCTAGAAACATATTATAATGAATTGTTACAAAAACCCAACTCCCGGGCTTCGCGACAACATTGCCTCGAGACACATCTGTACTATAGTCCACACCTCACTCTCGAGCAAAAGAATAATATTCGACAAACCTTTTATACACAAGAATCATGTTATCTGAGAGAGCAACGGAAACTCAAGTCGTATCACCAGGCTCGCATGCACATCCGATCGGCTGCATCCTGGCAGAGGTACGAATCCATTGGTGTTCTTGGAAGAGGAAGTTTCGGTGTCGTCCGACTGGTGCGAGAAAAGGCTACACCTATAAAGTCGGCGCCGAAGCAAGTATATGCCATGAAAATCATACGAAAATCCGAAATGCTACTATGTGGGCAAGAAGGGCACTTACGAGCAGAGCGTGATTTCTTGGTGGCATCCCAAGGATCAGACTAGTAAGCAACAACATGACGATACGCTGGGCCAGATAATCTGACATTTTAGGGTGGTTCCTCTCGTATCAAGCTTTCAAGATCACGGAAGTTTGTATCTTGTTATAGAATACATGCCAGGCGGTGATTTTCTAGGCTTGCTGCGCCGCGAACATCGACTACACGAGGCAACAGCCCGATTTTATATTGCCGAAATGATTCTGGCGGTAGAAGAGACGCATCGCCTGAATTTCATTCACAGGGACATTAAACCTGAGAACTTTCTACTGACATCGTCTGGCCACATTAAGATTTCCGATTTCGGCCTCGCTTTTGATGGTCACTGGACGCACGACTGGTCCTATTTCAACTGGCATCGATATTCCTTAGTCCGCAAGCTGGGAATACATGTTGATGGAGATACACAGGACCAGCGAGATAGCAGAACTGCTAAAGGCCAACTTCACAAGATCAAAAGCCTATCGGCCGGGTCAGAACGTCACGAGAGCAAACCTGTAGGAACAGACGAAGATTTGACTCAGGTGATATCTTGGAGGAATAGGCACGGAATCCGAGGGACCGCGAATTCGGTGGTGGGAACTAGTGCATATATGGCGCCTGAAGTACTAGAAAACCGCGGCTATGATGGACGGTGCGACTGGTAGAGCATTGGCATCATCCTCTACGAGTGTGTTTTTGGTTTCACTCCCTTTGCGGCTGCGCATCGCGAAGATATCAAAGAGCAGATTCTGGTTTGTTTGACACAATAACTTTTACTACATATATGCGCTCTAACATTGGGGTTTTAGAATCACAAGACGACATTTCGTTTAGCTGACAGCCCAATGATTACAGGTTGGTGCAGCGATTTCCTTTGCCGACTGCTCCGAGACAAAGAAACCAGGCTATCCTGCAAAAAGTATCAGATTCAGGATCAAACTGCTGTCCATCCGGCTATCAAGCTACACATGCATGGCCGTCATGTCTACCCGGATGATGCCAATGAAATCAAGGGCCATGGATGGTTCCAGGGAATTCCTTGGCATAATATGTTGAGTTTACGGCCTCCCTTCCAGCCGAGAATCGACGGGCCAGATGACACAAGATATTTTGAAAGTACGGATCCAGTATGCGATTGGAGCGATTCAACTACACCAGGTAGCCCGGATGCCGTGGATGTATTTGCTGTCTTGTCTGATTATCGGCCGTTGGTTCAAGAGATGGGGTTGCAGCTAATATCGAAGCCACACAGTTCAAGTAGTATGCGCAAGATTGAAGAGAGAATCGATTGCAATTCACAGCTATCTAGTCATGAAAAGGACATTCTGAAGCACTTTATACGAGTGTATGGAAAGAAGCCGCGAAAGCGAGCACGAGACCTGCTGCTCCGAGACGCAGATACCAAGGACGCAGTCATGGAGATGAGGAAGAGCAAGGCATTTCTGGGCTACACTTGGCACAGAATTAGACCTAGGGAATATCACTCAGGCCAATGGATAAGATTAGGATAGGCCCAGTGTTGGCACCTGGAGGACGATGGCATGACTTATTCTTAAATAGACATTAATAAGTACTCTTTTGCTATTTTGGTATTTACACTAGAACGTTGTCTTCAGGTTCATAATATCTTGTGTCGGATGCTTTGCTTTGCATTGTTGATTTGCCATTCAAACTCTTTGAGGCTTCTCAGTTCCCATGAGAAGAAGATGAGGGCAATGAGGCCATCTATGACACCGGACAAGAGGACTAGACTGCCAACGACGGCCAAGAGAACCGCAAATGCACCAGTAAAATCCAGAGCAACCATGGCGGCTATCCAAAAGACTACAGATATGTAAAAGTGTATAGAGCGCCATTTCTGCTGTCTCTGCTCGCCGGCGGTGAATTCGTGGATCATGGCAAGAATCTCATCCAGCACCTCTTCTGATAATGCATCTTGCTCTTTGTGGTTATACTGTAGTTGCTCTTCATAGGAGGCGTTGGCGACATCTGCATCTACATCGTGATATTTGAGTGTTGTGCAGACGGCAAAGTGGTCGGAGAGGGAGACATGGAGACTTGGATGGCGCTCCGTCATTCCCACTGCCACAGAATTTACCACCCAACCACGCTTAGAGCCTGGTTCCGCGCCAGTAGAAGCAAAGACATAGTCGAGACGCTTTCCACGAGGATCCGGCGTCGTTGGGTCTACGGGCTGCGGATCGCCCTTGGACAGACGCTGCTGCTCAGGTTTGTTCCAGCGCCACGTGTTGTAGACGCTGTCAGAAGTGGCGCCATTAAGTAACAGGTTGGTCTCTGCGGTTGGGATAGGGAGACCGCGCGCTGCCTCGGCGGGGTGTGACGACGGGCCGAGAGACGACGAAGGGTGAATGACGCGCCAAGTATCACGGACTGGCGAGGCCGAGATGATGCGGTGTGCGAGGGAGAGCGGGAGCATGTTGAAGTCGCCTAGCGATACGACGAGAGCGCCGGTCTGAGCGGCCCGCTGGATCTGAGACCGCATCAGCCATGCCTGGGAGGTACGGTGTGCGGTGTACTGGCTTCCAGGTGCGGTGCCGTACGGGGCATGAGTCTGGTTGGAGCTTGGTTAGCTTGATCTTGTGTGGTAGTAGAGCAGGAGAAGCTTACATGTGTGTTGAAGACTTCGACAACGTCCTTGTCGCCGTCTCCAAAGCGGATCTTGGCGCGAGCTATGCCTTTGCCGACGTACCAGTCGCCGCGCCAAAAGGCAGATGGTCGACCGTTGAGAGGATACGTCGTCATCTCGCCCTCTTCAATGGGCCATGCGCTGAGAATGGCGAGGCCGCCGCCAAACACGCCCGCATAGTAAAACTTGGCGTATGGCAGAATGTAGCGCGTCGTTTGGTGGATGGTCTGGAAGTCTTGCTGCGTGAAGCATTCTTGTAGCGCGACGATCTGAGGTGCTGGCGAGAGTGAGGCGAGTTGCTGGGCGATTTGGGCGACGCGGGGGACGCGCAGGGCTGAGATGTATTTTAGGCCCCAGCAGTTTAGTGTTAGGATGCGGATTTCCTTTGGCGAGGAAGGGCTGTGGCTGCTGTCCATTGTAGATGGTGATGAGAAGAGGAGGTTGTTTTGGTGGTGGGTGTGGTTGAGGAGAAGAGGGGGTTTGTTGGGATGTAGATTAGATTAATGTGTTGGTTATTAAGGCTGTATGCTGTCATTAATGAGTTGTAAACTGTTTATTCTTTGTGGGAATGGCCATCGGGGCGAATCGATGATGGCGGTGCTGGGGAAGCCATGGCGTGTAGTTGGTGAGATTCCGCATCAGCCGCCCACGTTTAACAGCTGAGTGCGAGAACAGAGCGGAGCGCATACAAAACAAACCACCACCACTGTCACTTACATCGCATCTGCTGGGGACAGCCCGTCCAGAAGATTGAATGTAGTGATAAAAAATAAAAACAAGGCTAATAAAAAGGGCGAAAAAAAGAAACAGTGGCCCGGCGGCATGTGCCAGACGTGCGGCCTTGCGAGCTTCAGCTACGATGCGCTGCCGCTCGCGCGCGCCGACTTCTCGACACGCCTCATCAAGCTGCACCCGGCGCGTGCCTACTCGGCCGACATTGTCGTGGACCTTGTGCTTCTGTCAGAGGAGCCACAGGCCGGCGAGACAGGCTTCGAGGCGGTATCGTGGTGCTGGGGCCGCGATGAGTGGAACTGCGCCGTGCGCATCCGCGACGATGCCGGCGACAAGTGCTTCAAGGTCTCGCGCAATCTGGATGTCGCTTTGCGGCGACTGCGACTCGTTGACAATTACCGCGTGCTCTGGATCGACGCCATCTGTATTGACCAGCGCAGTAGTGTTGAGAAGAGTCGACAGGTGCCCATGATGGCGGGCATCTATGGCATGGCGATGCGGGTGTGTGTGTGGCTGGGCGATGGTAATGAGACAACGCATAAGGCGATTGAGTTTATGCATGGCGAGTTGGCCAATCTGAATCGCTTTGATCATCTCTGTCGGGAGGATGAGTATCGAGATCGCTGGATTGCCTTGATTCAGTTTATGGAGCAGCCCTGGGTACGTTTATAACTGTGCTTATGATTTGTATTCCTTTTTTGCTGACTGTGCTTCCTGTGCCGTTCTAGTTTAGTAGACGATGGGTTATTCAAGAGATTGCGCTGGCAAACCAAAAGGCTGCCATCCTCATTTGTGGCCAAGACACCATCCAGTGGTCAGCATTTTGCATGTCGGCACTGCTGTTTCACCGCGCCATGTCTGGCAGCTTGAATCTTGCGCGACTGACATTTTCCGAGCTCGAAGGGACAGCGTTTGGCCTCCGCTACGCACCGGCGCTGAATGCTATCCAAATCGTCAAGGCTGTAAGCGATCTCTTCCGCACAGCATACCACCAAGGACCACCCGTGCCACTGCGAAGTCTCGAGTATCTCGTTGCTAGCTTTAGCATGTACGATAACGCGGAGCCGCGTGATGTCATCTATTCACTCCTTTCTATATCGCGCGACGCCTCGGAGACCGATGACGCAGCACTGGTAGAGATATCTGATCTCCCCAACTTTGGCAGATTTGGCGCTCACAAGATCCTACGCTCCTTGCTGCGCACAAACATGCACCAGCCTCTACGAGTGGACTACTCGGCGCCAGTTCTAGAGGTTTACAAGCAGTTCATGTCCTTTTCCATCCCCCGCGCTCACCCGTCTGGTGCGCTTGATATGTTGTGCAGACCGTGGGCACCCGAGCTGGCTGGAGAGCGCTTCCCGTCATGGATAGCAACGCTCGCAAATGCAGCGTATAAACCTGTGGATCGAAGTGCTCTAGGAAAAAGACTGGTTCGACGAAACCCAGACCCTCTGGTCGGAGACGCCGCCGCTACAGTGTACACAGCTTCCCGTGCCATTGGTCCACCTACAGACAAAAGCCTCTTCAAGTATTGGAACTCGCTTGATCGGAGCATGTTCCTGCAGGGCTTCGTACTGGATACCATCTCTACGCTCGAGTTTCCGTCACAGCTTGGCCATATACCACCCGAGTGGCCAGCCCTTGCTGGCTGGAGGCCTAAAAGCGGCCCTCCTCCCGAGGAATTCTGGCGGACACTTGTTGCAGATCGCGGGCCCGGAGGCAGCGATCCGCCATCATTCTATGGCCCAGCCTGCGAGACAGTCTTTCAAGAGGCCATGGATGACACACTGGATACCTCGATGCTCATCAACCACGGCAGCTCTGTGACAGTGGACTTTTTGAAGCGTGTTCAGGCAGTCATCTGGAACAGGCGGATGATGCGTACGTCCAACTCCTGGCTTGGCCTGGCGCCGAAGGCAGCGCGTGAAGGCGACCTGATATGCATTCTCTACGGGTGTAGTGTGCCCGTTATACTGCGCAAAGTATACAAGACGCCCCAGGATCTAGAAAAGGAGCTGGAAGACGAAGAGATCCGCAGGGCTAATGTAGTTGCGTATATCGCAAAGAATCTAGCTGCAAGAGCCCGCAGAAAGCGCGAGGGCAACAAGGCCGAGAGCGTTGACGGTGACGATGACATGTTCAGTGTCCACTCGAATGGAAATCATACAGCAAATGGAATTCCACCGCCTACGAATGCGAAGAATATGAAGCCGCAACCGCCATCTGTGCTTGGCAAACGCAATACCCCAGAACAAACGGACAGCATCCCACTGGAAGCAAACAAACGACCATTGAGAGATCCAGAGGCGATGCAGCTGGAGCCTGATACGGCCGCCCCGGCTACTGCTTCAAGCAAGTTACACAGTAGCAACACCGATTATTACTATAAGCTCATTGGCGAGAGCTACGTCCACGGTATGATGCACGGCGAAGCGCTGACATTTCGGTGGAATTACAACAAGGGTAAATCAATGGAAGAGCGTATTGTCAGCGATACTTTTGAGCTGAGATGACGTCCGAGGATTTCTGCATGTGTCCATGGTAAACAAACATCGTATATTCTAATACCAAGTTGCATTGGAGTGTATGAGGTGGCTTGTGATGGTGTCTACTTTGATGTATATATAGCGTCACGCCATCCATAACTCATTGAGAGCGAGCATATTTTGTTGAAATAGCTTTAATTTGATTTGATTTTCGTTTTCCTTTCAAAGAACGCAAAGAAACCTTTTTCCCAGATTTAACAGTACAAATAAGAAAAAGAGTAAGACCAGACACAAAAAGTAAAATATAACCCATCTCGGCGTTGGCAGCAGCAAACACCGTCCAAAAGAGAATGCACCTTTTACAGCGAGTAGAAACCCAGCCATTGTTGCCAGCTAACAACAACACCATCCTTACTCTCATGACAGCCTCGCTTTTTTGTTATTCCTGGCCCATGGTTAAGCCGTATTTCGTTACATCGATATCTATCTTGTTAGTTGTCATGGGGCATTAGTTTAGCCGCTGCCAGTGGCTCTGTTCTGAGCTTCGCCAAGACGAGAGTATAGCATGTACAGCGCCATACGGTTGCACTCTTCGCTGCCCGAGATGGTAACAAGGCGCTCGTTGCTGCTGTCTTGCGGTTCGTTAATCTTAATATTGCTGCCACTCAGCTGGCGGATCTCGTTAATCTTTTGACCACCCTTGCCGATAATGGCGCCAACCATGTCGTTGGGGATATAGATCTGCTGCGTCACGGCACCGCCGGGGAGAGCGGCGTGCATAGGCTGGGCCTGGGCAGCGTGCGCCTGAGGACCGGTATGGGGAGGCATGTGCTGCGCTGCGTGCGGAGCAGGCGCCGCGTAGCCACCGCTGGCAGCACCTTGAGCGCTGTAGTGGATGGGCATCGACGGGTGTGGAGGCTGAGCAGCACCATGTGCGTAGTGAGGAGGATACGCGGGAGGTGGCAGAGGTGCACGGCGTTCCGAGTGGCGACCATAGTTCTCGCTGCGGCCGTAGTGGCCAGAGGCAGGCTGCGGGCTGTAGGGAACGACTTGCATGCCACCGGGGATCGAGCCTGAGGGAGCACCGCTGCGAGTAGCATAAGCAGATGCAGCAGGTCCGCCGAAGCGCTCGTTCAGCTGCTCCAAAAGAGTGCTGCCGACATAGTACGTAGCAATGTGGACAGCATCGGCAACTCCCATAACGACTAGCGAACGTTCGCCAGACATGGGTAAGCATGAGTCAGAGGCATTAAGTCTGGCGCCGGAAGCTTCCTGAATCTCACGAATGCGAGCACCGCCCTTGCCGATAATAGAGCCGATGAGAATGTGAGGAATCAATAAGCGCAAGGGGTATGTCTTGGAGGAAGCAGTAGACGCCTCGTTGAGAGGCTCGTTGTTCAGAGTACGGATAATCAATCCAAACGCCTTGGCAACAGCATCAACAATACCACTAACAGTCAGGATGCGCTCGACGGCACCCTTTTGATAATCGCTAACAGTGCACTTGGCATTGGACATTTTGCGGATGTTGGAGACGTTCTCGCCTCCTTTGCCAATAATAGTAGCAGCCTCAGGGCTCGAAATAACCGCGCGGATGTGAATCCAAGCAGTCTCATCATGCGCAGCGGCAGAGTTGACTGCATTGTCGGATGGCACGGCGGCAGTTCCAGCCTTGGCCTCGCCATCAGCAGTGGCTGGCTCGGAAGCTTCGTCTTGGGCACCGTTTGTACCCTCCTCGTCGCCATTATCCTCGGGCTCGGCAGAGGCACGCGCATTGGGCTCAGTAGTCTCCACGTCGTCCTCGTCGGTCTTTACCACCTTATCGAGAGCAGGGCGCTTGGCATCGGGCTGGTCTGTGGCTCTCGAAGGAGAGGAAGCTTCCTCAAGCGGACGCTTGGTCGATTGGGTCGTTTGTGTCGGAGAAGAAGGCATTTTGAAGAGTAAAATTTATATCACAGAGTTTGGACTTGGTAATAGATAAGTCTAGTCGGTAGGCACTATTTCTTTTATTCTGTTCGGGTCTGTATCTACACTCAGGGGGTTTTCGGGATGGAAAACGTGCTGTGTGTAGTGACTGGAGTCGGATAGTGAAGTCGTGAAGTCGGAGCAAGATTGGTGATGTGACTTGTGTATATAAAAGTGTGTCGCGAGGCGATGGGCTTGGAAAAGAAGCGGCGCAGGGCTGGAGAGATATCTCTGCGGACCTGTTCCAGGAGATGTTGGGCTGGGACTCGAGTGATAGTGATGCGCGGAAGGCCAGGTAGTCTTGATAACGTCCCAAGAGACAGCAAGATGCGGTGCAATGTTCGGAATAGAGTTGAAAGAGGAATGACTCGTGATGGAAAAGGACGGGTTGTGAAGGCGGGCGTAAGGCTTGGGAGAATGGATCTCGGAGATAGGAAGAGGCCAGTGGTATCGCTCAAACCTTTCTTAATACTATAGCACTTCCTTCTTTTTCTTTTCTTGTTTAGCGTATCCGATTGGATTCCCTGATGGCGTTGCTGTCAAAGGATCAATGCGGCTTCTGGCTGCTTTACGTTGGTCGTGCGGGCGCGGGACGAGGAATGGGCGTCGGGACAAGATCGCGCAAAGCGGCAGAGTTCCTTGTGTCGGACCGAGTTGTCGCAACCGGGTGGAGTTGTCGGAAGTCGATTGCAAACGCACCGAGATGGAACCTGCTACGAATTGCACGCTGGGCGATGAGTTGGAAGCTCGATAATCGCAATGGTGTCGCGAGGAGCGGCTAGAGATGGGAAGGAGGAGACGGGGGAATAGGACCGACTGGGAAGGCTGCGGTCACGTGGAAGCTGTGCCGATTCGTGGTGCCGTGCCGATATTTTCCAGCACACTGTATTTAGCTGCTTGCTGTTCGCGCCATACTTGGTTAGAGAACCGCAAACCCGTTTCCCGGAGTGCTCCACCCGCACAGTGCAGACTCTCAAGTTCAACCACTGGCCTCACCACGCGTCGCGCTTTCATCATCGACTTATACACTGGTGGTACTGCGTTATACTTCTATTTCCATCAGATTCAAAATTAAATTTAACTACACTTACCAACTTATTTAAAACACTAGAGAGGGCTGTATAGGCCCTCTACACTCTACACAGAATGGAGGACACAGCGCACGCGGACAGCCTACAATACACATTAAAGGAACTGCGGAGGAAAATCGCAGACTCTGAAGCACAAATAGCAAAAGTACGTAAATAGCAATCACTATCTACCTATATAACACCAGCTAACTTATTGAAGTTACGGAAAGGCCAGCAAGAGGTGCCACTCTCACCAGCCGCGCAGGCTAGAGTCATTACAGCTGCCTTTGAAGAAGTCACAAACGCAGAGCCATATCTACCATTCGCTGGCTCAGTGTTACCGTCTCTTATTGCGATGCGGAAAACATACTCGGCTGTGAGAGAGACAGAATCGCTTATAAAGGGCGAAGAGGAGCAGCGTGATGCGGAGAGCAAGCGGCTAGAGGCAGACCGTGCGGCGCTCAAAGATCAGACGCTTCTTACCGAAGCACTACGGGAGCGCATTGAATCTTTACGCAACGATCTAGCTGCCAACGCAGACGTCCGAGAGGACCAGGTGTTGCGTGAGAAGATGCAGGAGCTCAGGTCAAAAACAGACTTTTACAAGAACGAGCACGTCCGCCTCCGACGAGCGCTACGACAGTTTGTCTACGAGCACTTGGCGTCCCTCCTTGCTGCTGAAGAAGTCGGTGGTCCCGTTGTCGGTGACGTTCTCGAAGTTGATCCCCGCGACTTGGCTGCAGGTCTTTCCGCCCAGGGAAACCTGAAGCGTTCTGCAAAGGGCATGTCGGGCAGCGATAAGCGGCAACGGCGCATTGACGACATCTACCGCCCGGACCGACTTGGCCGTAAAGAGCAGTCAGCACAGGACGACATTGAAGAGGCAGGCAAGGAGCTATTGTCGCTTGTGCAGGAAATGTTTGAGCGTCTGGTAGAAGCGCAAGGAGACAATTCCGAGTCCTACATTACAGTAGATCGCGAATCTGCAGCGACGCGGTTCTTGATCCGATCCAAGGTCGCCCAGTTCCATCCCAAAGACGCATGGAGGATGCGCATTATTGACTTTGGCAGAGAGCTGGATGGCTAATTACGGTTTATTTCTGATGATCAGTTTCATTGGACAAGACACAACACCACAAACTCGTAGCCATACTATACCAGTGGCACATATACCCCCTTGCACGTATTGCATATCACACACAGGTGTCTTCAGTTTCTCTCAGTTTTACACATGTTTGGGTTTTATAGCGACAATTTTCAAAGACATTGACAATCAATTGATCCAAATTATCCCCAACCTCGTGCTAATACATCATCAGCCTCCGCCCCCTCCCAGCCCGCTAATGCAAGGGATGAGGTGATGCAATTCAGGTCCCCCAACCCCACCAAACGCGCTGCCGACGCGCTGAGCCGCAACCACTTAAACGAAAAGCTACCCCTCCACCAGCACCAGTTTCACAAGCACCCTTTTGTTCTCTTTCCACCACCTCGTTGAAATGACAGCTGCTGTTCCCGAAACAAATCCCACAGCCTCACCACCAGCCAAGCGCGTCAAGACCATCGAAATGTCCTCCGAGCCCGCCCTCCAAGTTAAGAAGCTGTCCGCTACAGCTCGTCTGCCCACGCGCGGCAGCGACTTTGCTGCTGGCTACGACCTCTACGCTTCCAAGGAGACTGTTATCCCTGCGCGCGGCAAGGCCCTCGTTTCCACGGATATTAGCATTGCTACTCCTCCCAGCACATGTAAGTTTCGAAAACAAAGAATAAGTTATCGAGTGTGCTAACCTTGGTGGCGCATCTTCAAGACGGCCGCATCGCACCCCGCTCCGGCCTCGCAGCCAAGCACTTCATCGACACCGGCGCCGGCGTCATTGACGAGGATTACCGCGGCGAGGTCAAGGTTCTTCTCTTCAACCACGCCGAAACCGACTTTGAGATCAAGGAGGGCGACCGTATTGCTCAGCTTGTCTTGGAGCGCATTGCTACCCCCGCCGTCGTCGAGGTCCAGGAGCTTGCGGAGAGCACCCGCGGCGCTGGTGGCTTCGGCAGCACTGGCACCAACTAGGCAAAAATAGAAAGGAAAATGAAGGAAGATATGGGCTATGATTTCGTTTCGACTAGAAAAGCATACAAAAAGAGCATCTAACAACATAGACGTGTTTTTTGGACTGGGGATCTGCATATGACTCCATCAGATTCAATAAACGAACAAGCGTATTTTTAAGAACTTGTGTTTTCTATAGGATGTGACTCTTTTATATCTAATGAGTGATTATTTTATAGTTTTTTGGCCGTGAATTGCACCCCAGGGCTGCGCAGGCACTCTAGGTTTCGCACCAGCTGCAACTCGGCGGCCTTGGTCTTGACAAAGTGAGCCTTCTTCTCGTCATTCTTGTCCTCCTCGCTCATGCCCGCTCGGGTCTTTTCAATACTTGCAGGCATATCGTTCTTGGTCCTTGTTAGAACCTCGTGCATGCTAGCCAAAACTTTCTCTGCTGCTTTCGCCAGCGGTAGCTCCTCTCCTGATACGTTGTCGTCGCTGAGCCAGCTCTGGCGGGCGTCCAAGTTGGGCACTGCTAAAGCAGCTTCTCGGATTCTGCAGGTAATAAGGGCGCCAAACATGTCGCCTGTGCCGCAAAAGTAGCAATCGATGGCAGGGAATGTGATTTGGAAGAGTCGCGGCTCGCCGGTCGAGGTCATGGAGGAGCCAACGACGCAGAGGTGGTTGGCCTCGGTGACGCCTGGGATGGAAATAGAGGTAATGACGACGTGAGGAATTTTGTAAGTTTCGTGAAGGGTGCGAATGGCGGTCGTAAGAGACGCCATGTCAGTAATCTTGACGTCAGATAGCAGCCTGTGGTACTGTTTTAGCTGATGGTTGGTGGGCAGTAGGGTATGATGGGTACAAACTCGGCTTCGAATTGGTTTGGCAGTATCAAATCAGCATACTGCAGCAATTTCTTGTATTCAGGAACCACTTCCGGCGCAACGTATAGTCGGCCATTGTCGCCCATGACGGGGTCAAGCACCCAGAAGAACTTTCCGGGCTGGTCTTTATGGTTTTCCTTGAGCTCGTGAGCGATATTTCCCACAGCAGCAACTGCCTCTGCACCAGGGACATATCCGGAGAGCATCATGTCAAAGTCGTCCAGGTAGTTTTCTTTGAGGCCCTCGTACAAGTCTTTAATCTCGGCCGCAGAGACTTTGGTTCCTCGCCATTGTCTGTAAGCTGTGTGGTTACCTGTACAGTCCCTTGTCAGCGTATGCTTTTCTTTTTGCTTGACTTCGAAGAGCCAATGTATAGGTTGGACATACTGAATTGCACCGTGTTAAGCGCTGCAACGTCGCAGCCTAGGGACTGAAGCGCGAAGACGGCCACCTTGTTTCCAACGTTTCTGGGAGCCTGTTAGTACGTGCTGCATACCTTGAATATAGCTTCCAACAATAATATTGCTTACCCGGAGACAACCTAATGGGACATTTACAGTTAACCAACTTGTCAGCTGAACATAGACTGCTGCATGACTAGACACTTACATGGCTTGCCACAGCCAGCACCCTGGTCGGCGGGACGATGGGAGCTGCCGACATTGCTTGGATCTGCCAAGAAAGAAGAAAATGAATTTCTGGAGGTTTTGTTTGTAGCTATCGTCAAGTATGTAAACTTGTCCGGTTCGTGATTCTCGATGCTTCGTGTCGCACGCGGGCTCACACGACACTCAACAAAAAAATTGAAGGGTAGCACGGATGCAAAATGACGATGTGGCGGGGTAGCAATGAGCTTTCCGATGTCGGGTGTAGCGGCAAATATAGCAGGTCGGATAGCGTTTGTGAAGTCCGATTTAAAGAAGCCGCAGTGGTGAATGTTGTATGAGAGATGGTGTTGAAGGCAAATTGCAGCGAAAGAGAGAGAAGAACTGGAGAGAAATACAAAACAAGCAACGCAAGTCACTTAAGTCACCGGAAGTGCGGCTCCAGCACGCAAAATTCAGTGGGTTTTCCAAGGCGGAGCCCCGCGCTGGGTCACGAAGCTTCGCCTGACGCAACGTCGTGACCAAGGACATAAAAAACAACAACAACAACGCAAACGCAGATAATCACTGGAGCAGGCTGAAAAGCAATAAATTAAGTTATAATTAAAGATATAAAGACACGCTCGACAATTTCGGAATACTCTTTCCCCCATTAACTCTGATGTAATAAAGTCCACAGGAACACTAGACGACAGAACAGCCGCCCAGAAGCTTGCCCATCAGACCAGCTAGACAAGCAGCTTCTTCATATCTTCGCGCTCCTTTATTTCCTGAATCATGTCGGCAAAATCGCTATCAGAAGCAGACAACTTCTTGAAAACCGGTAAGGATTCGCGGAACCATGGTCCTTCTTGACCTGCCTCAGGCGCCGCGAAGCCAGCTTCAATCACCGTAACGAGGGGCGTAAAGACGACCACAGACAGCTTCTTTGCCTCTTCACCCGCGGGGAATGCATCACCAGGCTCTCCACGCTGCACCCCAAGGGCAGAGTACCAGGCATCTTCGATTTTCAGGCCAAGCGCATCAAAGTCGGTCTTGCTGCGCACAGCCGACGTGCGCACTACACCCACGATCCGGTTCGACTGTGAAGTGCGACGCTTGCCCGCCATAAAGTACGTAGTGGCACCGCTCTCGTCGGATCGAGTAAACTGGACATGCACAAACATGGAGGGCGTCGTGAAGGTCGTAGCGTGCAGGTGGGTGATTGCCGAAGCAATCGTCTGCTGCTGGTCGTCCGTCAGCGGGTAGGAATGGTAGATTTGGTAAAAGGGCATCTTGGGCGGTTCAAAACTATGCAACAATATTGAATATCAGTATTCGATAAGATAAGGCGATATATGCTCGACAGGTCTGGCTTCAGCTTTATATAGCCACCGACCGTTCCATGTGCTTATTAATTGCCATGTGCCATGTGCCGACGTGGTTGCATCCCATATGGCATCATTCATTGGCTTGGGTGAATAGAACGCCTGGCGATATTTCCTCGGCAAATTTTGGCCTCGGTTCACTATAGCCGATCGTCCGCTTGTTCATAGCGCTGCAATCTACGATCGTTGCGGCTCGGCCGATGCGGCTGGGCAATTGCGGCTTGGATGGCATCATTCAACTTTTGTGGATGCAGTGTTCCAATTAACATGCATCCAGTTTCGCTGTCTGTGATGCCCCTTTAGCGCAAGTCGCACCCTTGTCGATGAGTTGGATGCTTGTAGTAAATAGCAAAACGAGCATACTGTACATGAGCTTGCTGCTATCCCAATACACGAGGATCAGTAAACTATCGTGTGAGCAGCAGTTGCAGGGCTGTCTATTGCGGAATTGGTCACAATAGTAAGTGCAAAAGTTGGTTTCGAATCTGCTCAACGATATCGACTCATCATTCATCGAACGCTATAGTAGCTACAAGAGCGGATAGTAGTATCTGGAGGGCCATCGTTAATATACGTCGTGCTCATCGGTGCAGCCCATAACCACCATGCTTCAGCAGTAGTCTACTTGACTCAACCAAAGATACTATTTGAAACACATATCTACTGATTGGGTTAAATACTGGACTCGGCACGTCTCATTACAATCTACCGACGGCGCCATCTTGAAATGCGACAGACGGCATTTTGTCCACCCCCACCCCCGCAGAAAGGCTGCTTGATGCGCGTTAGCGGGATCGGTCCTTGTAGCCCTCCACATCAGACAGGCCGTGTAGGCCTAATAGCCTCCTGTGAGAATGAGATGTCTTGGGTGGTGAGTTTCAATAGGGCGTGGTGGTATTACGGACTATGTACAACTACCTAATGAGTGTATAAGCTAGCCGGCAGTCGGATGGATGGCTCGCAGTGTCTGGCTGGGGTATATAAATATGTAAGTGTATGCCTGTGCACTGCGGCGTCAGTAGCAGACGATCGCGATTTACATACAGCACCCCTGATTGATGAAATCCATATCCCATCACCATTCATACTCATTCCAAGAGAACGACTCCATCTTTGGACTTTTTCATCTCCCCTCTTGGGCGATACTAGCCGCTCGCCTAGCTTCCGTCACCCTCGGATTCACTATTGATAGCGATGGAGGTCATTACATATGCAATCTACGGTCCCGCGCTTGCCGCAGTCTACGGCATTGGATGGATCATCTATACGCGGACCATACACCCGCTTGCGGCCATCCCTGGACCATTCTGGGCTTCTGTTACACGCCTCTGGTACGTGTATCATGTCGCAAAGGGCGATATGGAGCATGTCCAGAGAGCACTTCATGCTAGGTTTGGCCCCATTGTGCGCATTGCGCCGCAAGAGGTTGCCTGTGCGGATCCCACTGCGTACCGCACCATCTACGCCATCGCCAGTCCCTGGACTAAGAGCTTCTTTTACCCCATCTGGGGCAACAAGACCTTCTCCAAGTATCCAGACAACTTTAGTAACACCGATGAGGCGATTCATGCAAAGCGCCGTCGCATTGTGAACAATGTCTACAGCATGTCCACTGTCCTCACGCTCGAAACATACATCGACAGATGCTCCTCTCTGTTCATCAACGCCATGGAAACATTCGCCTCCTCAGACGAATCCTTTGATCTCGGCGAGTGGCTCCAGTTTTACACCTTTGATGTCATTGGTGAGCTCTTTTTTGGCAAGACGTTTGGCTTTATGGAAAAGGCTGAGGATCACGAGGGCTACATTCGTTCTCTTGACAGACTTTTGCCCGTCATGGCCGCGGCTGCCGTTGCCACGCCTGTTACTCGATTCTGCATCCTTGGCTCTTCCATGTTCAGTAGTGATGTTCGAAAGGCGCTTAAAGCTCTAGACCACATCGCAGAGGCAGCTAGAGCCTGTGTTCAGACCAGACTGGACGCAGGTGGCAAACAGGATACAGCCGATGGTCCACGGCGCGATCTTATGGCCCATCATCTTAGTATTGTCCACGACAAGGGCGAGGCAGTAGATTTCGGTATTTGTGAGGTCCAATACGAGGCCTATGTAGCCATGTAAGGCTCCCGATCACACTACACATTATAGCAATTAATCTAACAACTGTCGATAGATTTGCTGGGTCGGATACTACCGCTATTGCGCTACGCTCCATCTTCTATCACCTAATGAAGTATCCTGCTGCTTGCGAGAAGCTGCAGATGGAAATTGACACTGCTTTTGCATCAGGTACTCTTAGCAACCCTCCCAAGTACTCGGAAGCCGTCAATCTCCCTTACCTCTCCGCCACTATTAAAGAGGCTATGCGACTACACCCTAGTGTTGGTCTGACGATGCCTCGTCTTGTCCCCAAGGGCGGGGTCGAGCTCGCCGGTAAATTTATCCCTCAAGGCTACATTGTTGGCATGAATGCAGCTGTGGTCGGTCACAACCATGGTGTTTACGGCGAGCGGCCCGATGAGTTTGACCCTGGACGCTGGCTACGCGGCGATACAGCACCTATGGAACGCTATAATCTTGTATTTGGCGCTGGGACAAGAACTTGCATCGGAAAGAATGTAAGTTTCTAACCTATTTGGTTTTGCATAATAAACAATGGGTATAATTGCTGACCACTTCGGCAGATTTCTCTCAGCGAGATCTATAAGCTTGTCCCTCTTGTTATGCGCTTCTTCACCTTTACTCTTAGTGAGCCGGAGAAGCAATGGTCAACGCATAACGCTTGGTTCAACAAGCAGACTGGAGTGAACGTACGCGTAGAGAAACGCAAGATTGATTGATGTACGCTCTAGTCGGTAAGTACTTTTACAATCTTTTAGGCTCTACCGTAGGTACGTATTTCCATAGCTTGTTTACAACGAAATGGCACCTCTATTATTTACAAATCGGATTGTAAGGAGTACACTACAATACTATCTTGGAGTTTTGTAAAGCAAATAATGTATTGGTCTAACTAGGTAGCTCTTTTATGCTCTAAGGCCTCTCTTTGAAAACAACCTCGAAATCCAGTTGCCGAACAAACCAAGCGTTATACGTCATCCAATCAGCATCTGGTTGAGCCATTTCCACCGTAAAACTGCGCAGAAACGTTGGAACTACTTTGTAAATCTCCATGAGACTGATGTTCTTCCCGATGCAAGTTCTAGGCCCGGCACCAAACTGAAACATGGCGGCTTTCATCTTCTTCAGTTCCTCATCGTTGGCAAGCTGCCACCTTTCGGGGCGGAAGTCATCAGCATCATCGCCAAAGACTTCGCGGCAGCGATGAATTACCCACGGATTGCAGCCGACAATGGTACCGCCGCGGATATGTTCACCGCAGATCATAGCGCCGTGAGGTGGCACAACGCGCTCCAGCAGCAGACCTGGCGCTGGGTGTATGCGGAATGATTCTTGAATCACCGCGTCGAGATACGGAAGTTTTTGGCTCTCTTTCCAGCTAACCTTGCGATTAGGGCGACTCTCTATAGCGCCTGTAGCAACAGCATCGTCAATTTCAGCCATTAACTTGCGATACACAAGAGGATTCTTAACCAAGTAGTAAAATATCGCACTTAGACTGATGGCTGTCGTCTCTGAACCGGCAAAGATCATGCTAGTACATGATGAGAGAACTTGAAGCTCTGTCATGAAGTCGGGGTGATCCTGCTGAGCCTGCTGGAACTTGGACATGAGATCTATACCAGTCGAGGTTGGCTTCTTGTCGTTCGCAGCCAATCTCTCCCGCTCGCGCTCTTTGGCAAACTTGGTAACTGGAAAAACGGTCTTGCTGATACCGAGTTCTTGAAGCTTGAGTTTGAGCGGATTCTTTGCCCAGAGAACATCGAGCACAGGTAGCTGACCAACAACAGCGGCATAAGCAAGAAAGCCAGCGACGAAGCTGATAATGCCGTCCACGTCGTGATCAGTCTCTAAAAAGCCTGGGCGACGGCTCCATGTGAGATCACCAATAACATCAAACGCAAAGAACTGTAGCCAGCGGGAAAAGTCGCAGTGGGAACCGGTGGCCGCATATCGGCGCCGCGTCTGCTCGATGAAGATGTCGAGGGTACTCTCGACTAATGGCTCGTATCCAACCATGGATGTCATGGCAAACGCCGAATTGACGCAACGGCGGTAACGTGCGTGATATGCTTCATCCTGGGCGCTAAAGAGGGACTGTAGTCGCCGGCCGTTGGAGATGGAGCTTTGGATGGGGTAGAAGTCGCTCTTGGTCATGCCTTTATTCAGACCGTATATGGTCTTGAGTGACTGTGGGTCAGAAAAGGACAATATATTTGGTCCAAGGCGCACTATAGTGCCATGCTTGCGGTGCAGTGCAATGTGTGTATGATGAGGCCGGCGTGACAAGACATCAAAGGGCCGCCACCAGTTTGTATATGCGGCAATGGCTGGGCCCGGGTACTTGTATAGGCCGCGATTGAACTTGTTGCTAAGAATATGAAGGATAGGAAGAATTGTGATTACAAGGTGCCAGTGGCTGTAAGCATAGTCTAAGAGCTGACTGAGTAGCATGTTGGCTTCCAGACGATACTTTTGGCTAGAGCTTTGCATTCAACTGGAGGATGGGTTGTGAGTTTTTGCTGCGTGGTATAGATGCCTTTGCATAAAGAGAAGTGTTGCATAACAAGATTAAACAACAAGGTGCGTCTTACATGTATGCGGTGCAAGGGTAAAGAAGACTTGGGTATGACATTGGCTCAAGGGGAAGAGGAACCACAAATCACACAGCAGATACAACTACTCTCTAATATTGGTTTCTCGGCAGAATTGAGACTTTGTCTCTGTCCATCGTATTCCCCACCCCCACGAGCTAGTCTCTGGTTGACAGATGAGAATAAATAGACCCGTTGATTCTGTTTGAATCAAAACACTGGCCATTAGTCTCTATGGAAGAACATGGAGAAGCAGAGTACAGAGAGGAACAACATTGTTCTGCAATACAGCCAGTAGAGGATGTTGCATCACAACGTGCACTTAGGCCGCCCGGAAACGCGGCAATCCCAGAGTATAGGGTATGCTTTTGCTAAACGCTGTTTGCTACGATCCGGTTGCTCGGCTTTTGTTGGCGCTTGGGCTAATCCCCACCCCCGCAGATCATCAAGCTGCTAGTGTTGGTGTAAGTGGCGATGACTCCAGCTAGCGCAGCGCAAACCCTCCACTCCGCATATCGATGGGGTCTTTCGTCTAGTCCATAACAGTAGTTGAGATACCTATAGCTCCAAAATGCCACGGCTACACAGCTATCAGGCTCTAAAGGCAGCCGCAGTTTGCCCACACAATATCGGAAGTATACTTAGACCTACCGACTATATAGACAAGGGCACCCGCTTCCTTCCAGCTTCCAGGGCGTGATTGTTCTGTATCGTTACCTCTTAACAACTTTCTACTACGTTTCTTCATCCATGCTTGATCAGCTTAAAAAGAGGCTCTCCATTGGCAAATCGTCCGCGAATACTCGTGAACAAAGTCTCCCAGCCATGGCTTCCTACGCAGCACCATTGAAGCTGCCGCCCAACACGGACCAGGCCAAGTTCTCGCAATTCGTAAACAAGGCTATTGGAATTGTTGGCGATGAGAATCTAGTCATCATCTCGGGCCCAGAGCATCTGGGCAAAGACAATTACCTTGACCCAAGCAAGAATCACGACATGTTCCATGTCATGGGCGAGGAGTACTTCATCTCTTCAGCTACAATTGCACCACGGGATGTAGCCGAGGTGCAGGCCATTGTGAAGCTTTGCAACGAATTCGACATTCCCCTCTGGCCTTTTTCTGTTGGTCGCAATGTCGGCTATGGCGGCGCTGGTCCGCGAGTCCCCGGCTCCATTGGCCTAGATCTAGGCAAAAACATGAACAAGATTCTCAAAGTAGATGTGGACGGCGCCTATGCTCTCGTTGAGCCAGGTGTGACTTACACAAATCTTCATGAGTACCTGGTGGCCAATAACTTGCGCGACAAGCTGTGGATTGACGTACCTGATCTCGGCGGCGGGAGCGTGCTAGGCAACACCACCGAGAGAGGTGTCGGGTACACGCCGTATGGCAATCACTTCATGATGCACTGCGGCATGGAAGTCGTTCTCCCTGACGGAAGCCTGATCCGAACGGGAATGGGCGCCTTGCCTAACCCTGACGCAGATACCAGCAAGCCCCCTCATGAGCAGGAGCCCAATGCAGCATGGCAGCTGTTCAACTATGGCTTCGGCCCGTACAATGACGGCATCTTTACTCAGTCATCGCTGGGCATCGTCGTCAAGATGGGCATCTGGCTCATGGTAAACCCGGGCGGCTACGAGTCGTATCTCATTACCCTACCACGGGATGAAGATCTCCACGCAGCCGTCGAGATTATACGTCCGCTGCGCACGGCTATGGTCCTCCAAAATGTCCCAACCCTGCGACATATCCTACTGGACGCTGCCGTCATGGTATGAAGACCTCTCTTTGTATTCCCTTCGTCATGCTCTGCAAGCCAGTCATCGCGAAAAGCTTCTAACATGCATTTTAGGGAGACCGCAAATCGTATTCCAGCTCAGACAAGCCGCTTACCGATGCTGAGCTCGATGAGATTGCCGAGAAGCTCAACTTGGGCCGCTGGAACTTCTACGGCGCCTTCTACGGCCCAGAGCCAATTCGCCAGGCCATGAAGGCGGTTGTAAAGCAAGCGTTTGGCACTATTCCTGGCTCCAAGTTCTACTCTCACGAGGAGTTGCCCGACAATGTCGTCCTTCAAACGAGACATCTGACACTCCAGGGCATCCCAACCACGACAGAGCTCAAATGGGTGTATGTATTGTTTTCTGTTTACTTGTTTATTTACTTAGTGCAGTACTACTACTATCACACAATATATCTCTGGGCAAAGCTAACAGAAAGAAATATAGTGACTGGCTCCCCAACGGAGGACATCTCTTCTTCTCCCCTATTGCAAAGGTCACGGGTGACGAGGCTATGGCACAGTACAAACTTACACGCCAACGCTGCGAGGAAGCCGGCCTCGATTTCATTGGCACTTTTGTAGTGGGTATGCGAGAGATGCACCATATTGTTTGCCTTGTATTTGACCGCCTGGACCCCGAATCGTGTCGCAAGGCGCACTGGATCATCACGACACTGATTGACGATGCTGCGAAGCGAGGCTGGGGTGAGTACCGCACGCACCTTGCCCTCATGGACCAGATTGCTGGCACATACAGCTTCAACGATAATGCACAGCTCAAGTGCAACCAGAAAATCAAGGATGCCTTGGATCCCAAAGGTATCTTGGCCCCTGGCAAGAACGGAATCTGGCCTACGTCGTACAAGGCTGAGCAGTTTGCTATTCCCAAGCCGACTCTTTAAGATTGTTCTAGCGCGAGTAGCAGTAGCAGTAGTAGTGTTTCCATTCTTTTTATATTTACAATGATTCTAGGTACTAACTTATATGAAGATGATAATAGTCCTATTACTTACAAATTCGCGGTTCGTTTGCCCAGTCCGTCCTCATAGATGCAACAGAGCACACCTAACTTGTCGCTGAGATCCTTGCGGAGAATCTTGCCCGCTAGAGACTTTGGGATGGAATCAAGAAAAACTATGTTGCCTTTGAGCCACTTGTAATGGATGGTGCTCTTCTCAACACATGCTCGGATATCTTGGCCGAGAGGCAGCAGCTTCGCGGCGTCTGTTTGGCCGTTGCAAAGCCCAAGGCGTAGTTGTGTATCCGTCGGCACTACGTAGGCCCGTGGCAACTCAGTACCTCTCTCCTCATGGCAAACGGCAGCGACGGCAACGTCGGCAACAAAAGGCAGCGCTAGGATAATGTCCTCCAGCTCAGCCGGGGACACCTGGAAACCGCGGACCTTGATCACGTCCTTGAGACGTCCGGTGATGTGTAGACGGCCCTTTTCGTCTATAATCCCCAGGTCTCCCGTATCAAACCAACCATCTTCATCCAGGGCTTCGCGTGTTTTCTTCGGTTCGTCCAGATAGCCCTTCATCATGCCACCAGAGCGCACAAGTATTCTGCCTGGGTTGCCTACTGCCACGGTAATATTTGCGTTGCTCGTATCTGTAATCTTCAATTCAACTCCATATAGAGGAATTCCCACATGCCCCTTGTGGTCAGAGATATCGCCATGGAGTACTACCTGGTTAGAGACGCTTCCTGCCTCGGATAATCCGTAGCCCATGCGGATCTGTAGACCCAATCGCTTATGGATACTCTCTACAACGTTCCATGCCACTGGCGCCCCTCCACAAAGCGCATTTCGAACTGATGCAAAGTCTTGTGCCCGTAATGCCGTATTTTTCGCCATTAGTAAGGCGACAGGCGGCGCCATGTGTAAGCAGGTAATGGCGTGCTTGGGGATCATGTCCAAGAATGTCGTTGGTTCAAACTTTTTCATAGTAAATATGGTTGCACCACAGCAGGGAGCTAGCAATACGATATTTACTAGGCCGAATATGTGGTAAAAGGGCACAACACCCATCCAGCGCTCGCCCTCACTAAAGTGAGGGTTCACATGCCATAGCGATACGATGGATGCAATGAATGCTTGGTGGGTCATGATGATGCCTTTTGGCTTACCAGACGTTCCTGATGACCAAAGAATGACGGCTACATGCTGCGATGCCTGTGCATAGTCCATTCGGATCGGTTCAACGAGAGGATCGAGCATGAGTTCTTGCCAGCTGTTGTCTGCATGCGTTCTTGGCATATTGTTCAGGTCGGGGCTGTCTGGAGAAATGGTGTAAATGGGAATTGATGTTGATTTGATGATTGCCAATGCTTCCCGAATTTTAGGCCTATTTTCCGGAGTTGTAAACACCAGTTGCGTGCGAGACTCTTCGATTATAGTCGTGAGCTCTGTGGCTGTTAGGCCGGTGCTGGCCATTGTGACCGTATAGCCAGCGCTCAGGATCCCAAAAAGAGCTATAGGAAATTGAATACAATTGGGCAAGCATACAAGGACAACAGCTCCAGTCTGTGGCTCAGTTGCGCGTGGAGTTCTTGGCGGGCGCAAAGGAAGTTGTATTATTCCGGCTGCTAGAGAAAGAGAGGCTTGATAGACATCTTGCCATGTAAAGGATATTCCTACAAGTCTCATTAGCATTCATATAGTTAGTCATGATGTCTTATTGCTTCTCACCAGTGGTGCCATCAACCATTAGTGGTGTGTTTGGATTGATAGTGGCTAGCGCATGCCTGCCTTGAGCGACAGCAGGCTCTTGCGCTGCTACACGGCCATTTCGAGTAAATGGATTGGAAAATACCCATCTGCAAAGATTGCCGGATATTTCCTCGTCCTTCCTCGCGGATCCGATATGCGCTAGCTTTGAATTATTGATTGGTGGACTCATTGTCGGGCAAATGGCAAACAACGAGCGCTGTTGTCGCTCAAGTAGTCACCGCTTGAAGTAGGTGCCTTTTGTTGCGTCTTTTACCTCGTATTTTTTTAAAGAATTAAAGAGTCGGTGTTCTAGATATATATACAATTAATATAGCCAACGTGTAATTTGTCCGTTTGGTACCTTGTCGGTAAACTGGCAAGGCATTGATTGTGGGGAAAAGACCGTGAGTCCAGGTTGAGATAGTATGGGGGGATTATAAGCCGCGGTTATGAAATTAGATACCAGGGAAACCACACTGCCGCAGGAAACTTCCCCATTCCTCCTTTCAAAGCATCTTTATCCTCTTTGGCAAACTTTGTCCTTGACAGTAGATTTGTTGAGAAGCCATGACTGAACGACTAGTGAACATTGGAGGGCATTTTGCCCCAACAAGCAAGAATCGAGATGCTTTGTAAGTTGGACCTTAATATATTGACGTATACATGGTAGAATTAACCAAAACAGGTTGCAAAAGAGCCCGGACGATATCGTGATAACATATCTTGCACGCACGCCTCTCTGCAAGGGCCACAAGGGCGGCTTCAAAGACACGACCCTCGACTCGATTGTCACTAAATTTTTAACACAAATCGCCCAGGGCATCAAGATTAGCCCGGAGCTAGTAGAAGACATTTGCCTGGGTAACGTATGTTTTAGTTGCGCTTTACCTGTAAACAAAATGTACTAACATTGGTTACTAGGTGAGCGAGTCCAATGCAGGCTACTTTATTCGCGCCGGAGCCATGGCTGCTGGCTTCCCTCCAACAACGACTACACATACTCTGAATCGATTCTGCTCGTCTGGTCTAGTTGCTATTCAGCAGATAGCGGGCCACATTAGCACTGGTGTGATTGAAATCGGCATAGCAATGGGCGCCGAGTCGATGACCGTAGGCGGGGATCTGCTAAAGCAACCCTTCTCAGTGGACATTCTCGGCAGCAACAACGCGAACGCCGTCGACTGTATGCAGCCCATGGGCCAAACGTCGGAGAATGTAGCGTCCGATTTTGGCATTTTGCGGGAGCATCAGGATCGTTTCGCCGCAGAGAGCCAGAACCGGGCGCTGCATGCGCAAAAAGAGGGCTGGTTTCAGGATGAGATTGTTCCCATCACGACAGTACGTGACGGCCAAACCATTACGCTGATGGAAGACGAGTGTATCCGGCCAAGCACATACGAGACGCTCAGCAGATTAAAGCCTGTCTTTACCAAATGGGGAGACCGCAGCACGGCGGGCAACAGCAGCCAGGTTAGCGACGGTGCGGCGGCTGTGCTTATGATGAAGCGTAGCAAAGCAGAAGAGCTGGGCCTGCCTGTGCTGGCCAAGTTTTGCACCATGGCGTTGGCCGGCTTGGCGCCGCGCATCATGGGCATCGGCCCGACCTTGGCGATCCCCAAGCTCCTGCAACGCGTCGGCATCTCCATGGACGATGTAGATGTTGTCGAGATCAACGAGGCCTTTGCCTCCATGGCTGTCTACTGTCGTGATCAACTGAACATTCCCTGGGCCAAGTTGAATCCGCGCGGCGGCTCCATTGCCCTGGGTCACCCACTGGCTTGTACTGGTGTGAGGCAGGTTGTTACAGGTCTTAGTGAGTGTAGACGGACTGGAAAGAAGATTCTCTTGACTAGTATGTGTGTTGGGACGGGGATGGGATGCGCCGGCTTGTTTGTCAATGAGGCATAGGCTTCTATGGTAGGATGAAAGATGGGAAGTTGTATTTGCTTTCGCGACTAGTAAGCCTTGTACTATAGTTTAGCAGTATACCATAGCTAGGCAGATGGACTATACAGATTAGATTAACTCAAGTTATTTTGTTGGTACTTTGTAGGGCATGTACTGATTCGTCTGGCAATGCTCTAGGAGCAGTAATAGAAATATTAGTAATACATTGTATATATTTCCAGTCCCTGTATGGCAAGGGTACATTTACACGATATGTTGCATGTACGGTTGGTTAACTTGGTTGGTGTTGCTGTGTGATCTCCCCCAGGGTGGCAGATCAGCTGGAGGTAGTGCGTGCGGGGGTGGAGAAATTCCCGATGTGAGGCGGCTGCTCTGCCACGCCATATCACCACACTACCCGCCAAGTGGAATGGATAGCGGCTCGCCGGCCGGACTCCCTACAGCAGCCCTGGTAACCCTGGAGAATGAAATCATGCACTGGACAGGTTTAGAACCAGGCTGATGGCCAGGCAACCGCGCCCTATGACAATCGCTGCAGGCCAGATGTCTAGATACATGTCGTCACTCTATAGTCGGGTTGCGTTGATCTTCAGTATACCTATTCTCTCACAATAACTCTATGTGCCGTTGGACTTACTTTTGAACAGCTGGCTCTGGCTCTAACTCTTCACTAAATGTGCTCCCCAGCGACTGTCCAGCATGGACGTACCTACCGATGAAACAAAGACGCTCAGCTGCGTAATATGCCCCAAGACCTTCAACAGACCAGGTAAATACTCTCTGTTTTGTTTCTGTTGTTTTCATCATTGGCCCATGGTTAACGTTGGACTCTGGCAGAACACCTCCAACGTCATATTCTTTCCCGTAAATCACATCCACCCAGAGCCATGTCAGACGGAACTAACCAAACTCATTTTATAGATGGAAATATCAGGTCATTTGCGTGCCAGTTTTGCGATACATCTTTTGTTCGACGGTTTGTATATTCATACCATTAAAATATAAATTTCCAAAACCGTTTCTAATCGCTATAGGGATGCGCTTCTACGACACTTACGAACCTGCAAGGACCGAATCAGTGTCAGCGCTGAGGTCCCAAAGCTCACGAAGCGCAAGCGTGGCAGGAAGCAAAGCTCATGTGACACTTGTTCCGAAATGAAGCGCAGGTGTAGCCGTACCATGCCATGCGACAACTGCGTCGCCTTGAACCTAGTGTGCTCCTTGATACCAGGCACGACCGAAGAAACCACAGATCGCAACAGTAATTCGCCATCACAGGACTTGGCAATCGCACTCCCTGAGGATAGTATTAGTCCGATTGATATGGGTGTATGGCAAGAAGATCAAAACTTTGAAGACCTGGTGTTGGCCCTCGATACAGATGGGACGATAGCCCAGGAAGACAGCGCTACTACTACTATTGGAGCTGAGCATAACGACACAACGGCAGATGATTCATACACTGAAGCCATATCGGCAATCTCTGCCGATTCCTTGAGCGGCATGCAGATCCTCTATAATCTGTTTGCAATACCCACATCCCTTACACAGCCGCAGTCCGTGCCTATGCCTCATAGATTCTTCTTCTTGGAGCGTATTACGGCTGCTACTGGGGTGGCTAGATCTTTCGATTGCGGCAATCCCAACGAACGCCGGCAAATCATGTTTGCCCTTTCTGGGACGCACCCGTTTGTCACTGCATACAGAAATGCAACACCGCAGCTGCTGCTAGAAGATAATTACGTCGAGCCCGCCGAGATGGAGTCTACTAGCACCGTCACGTCACAGACGCCGCCTCTGCTAAACCAAGCTGCTGAGTCGACGTCCCCCAAACCGAGCTTTACATCGCTAGATATGGAAGAGGATAGTATGCAACAGCAGCACCCATTGTCACTTAAGAGCCAAGAGATTGTCGCTGGAATTAGCAGCCCCAGCAATACCACCACGACGCAAGAGAAAAATCTCTTGGAGACCAGCGCCCCGGCACATGAGCTGCGATGTCAGCTGTTTTTCTCTCCGCAAAGTCTCGAACGGCATTTGATTGCCTTTTGGTCGCTGTGGTACCCCAACTGGCCTGTATTCCATCGCCCCAGCTTCAGGGCATCACAGAAACCTGCCACGTTAGTCGCGGTTATGGCGCTGATGGGTGCTGTGCTAGAGTCCGACTCGGTGGTCTATCATGAGGCTCTCTATTAGATGGAATCCATGGAAATCTGGGTGTTTGAAGCGCCAGAGCTCTCAGATAACCCTATAGCATCTGAAGACGAGGCGTTTACTCAGTTCAAGACGAAAAAACGGCTAGACGCTATACGTGCAGCACATTGTATGGTTTTGATTATGTGCTGGGAAGGCTCTGAGCAGACCATTCGTCGAGCCCGCCGAGAAAGATACTCGAAAATCATCGACGTGGCACGTAGTTTGTTAAAAGTTCAGCCGACGCACACCAATCTCGGTGACTATATCCAGGCCCCCAATATCTTTGAAGCATGGAAGCGTTTTGTACACAAGGAGGAGCTATTGAGAACGCTCAGCTACGTTTTTAAACTCGACTGCGCCTACGCCATCTTCAACAATTGCCTGCCACGGATGACAATTCCTGAGCTACAGTTCACTCTATCTTGTCCAGAGATTTGCTTCCAAGCCAATAGCCCTGATGAGTGGTTGATGCATGCGAAATCATGGCATGAGAGTACCATTGGCATACAGCTACCAAATCTGTCGGATGTAGTGCGTATTGTGTTGCAAGAGGAGCTATCTGTCCCCGATTGGCGGCTGCTACAGGAGATGAGTAGCCTCAACTTTTTTGCAGTAATCAGTGGTGAGTTAAGCATGGATAAACAAGAGCTCCTGTGTCTTGTTTCTTTATTTGTATCTCTTGCTAATATTTAGAGTAGCCTTACACGCGATTATATTCCACCTTCGGCACTTGTCGCTGGGTAATGTTGATACCCAGCAGGTGCACCGCGGATTGCGACACTGGATCCAAGCATGGGCGCACCGCCAGACGATTCTTAGCGCCTACGACAAGTATCACGTCAATCCCCACGACTCGTGGAAGCGTGTTGGTTTCATGCGCCACGTGCAGGAATACTGGCGGTTAGCACTCGTCTTTTGCCGTCAGCTCGAGAGCGATCAGGCAGGTCTCTCGGAGTCTAGTACCTGCCGTAGTGTCTCCGTAGGGAACAGAAGCCTTGATGAGACCGATATGCGCCACGTTCACGATCTTATTGTAAAGTTCCAACACGTAAACCTCGGAGAGTACGACCTCTAAGTGGCTGTCACTTACCTGGAGCGAAATTAAGAGAACTGCGCCTAACAAACTACACACTCTCTAGTATCAACCTAACCTGGTCGACGTTTATCATAATCTTAAATAATAAATAATTCACTAATTTACATGTAACAAAATGTGTCTCACCGGTTATATAGATGCAATCAGTGTCGCAAGGCTATATTCTCGGGAGAATTCGCGTCTTAGTTCTGACGGTCGCGCTTGTTAATTTATGCTAGATAAACATTATAGCCTGATTATTGTCGCCGTATCTGCACTTGATCGAGCCCAATAAGTCTAGTTCGGTACTAAGGGTGGCCAGTGATCTACATTTCATATCCAATTGTCCCTTTGAAGCGCCTTTCTGGGTCGTACTTGTTCCTCAGACTAACTAGCCTCTCGAAGTGTTCACCATAGATCTACTAGGACGTTAGTATGGTATCGGTAATGACTAATTTCTTAATCTGGTGATTGGCTAGGAGTGTCGAGTTGTATCTTACCTCCTTTGTGCTATGCCACTTCTCAATAGCATTTGGAGCGGTATAAGTTATATGGGCATCGCCCATTAGCTGGTGCGGCGCCGATGCCGCCAAACACTCGGCTAGTCCAACCTCACCTGCTGATGCGTGTAGTTCACATCCAACGCCTACCACCAGCATATGCTTACATCCGCGGGGGCCCGGCCAAGCCATGCTACCCTTATGGGGAGATTCAGTCTGGTGGAAGATGTCAGAATTATCACCTAAAGACACACAAAAATTCATGTCGTAACTTACTGTGCAAAACATCTCGAAAATCATAAAGGTGTTTTCGGCAACAGTTGTGTCACTGTCGCCAAGGTCTTGGAACCAATCAAGGCACTTGCTGACCTGTCGCTCTGAAAGGGCGTCTATAATCATGGGTGACGAGTACTGTTGGGCTGTACCTTTGAGGTTTTCAACACGATCTATAATACCGGTGTTAGTTTTATTATCTCTCATGTAAAAAAGGCAATGCAATCAGGCACCTTGCAGCTTTATGACGCCGAGCATATTAGTCTCGATTGTCATGTCCATGACCCCTGGTAGCTCAAGCAGCCAAGAAAACGTTTGCTTGCCATGTGCTTGGCCATGTCTATCAAAGATCTGAAAGATGACAATATCTCCTTCGATATCGCCATCGAGGTGCATGGCATTGAACTTGGGCCGCTCAAGGAACATAAATGCCGATACCCCCGGGTCAACTGGGGCCGCCATGAACGCAACCAACCCTTTCACCGCGGTAGAAAGTGATGATTTTGGTATGATGATTGTTCCGCAGAATATGGAACGAGAAATCTTGCGAGCGCGAAGTATCACTTTTACAATAACTAAAACCTTGTTAGTCCCTGAGTTGTGTTTTGAGTTAGGAAGCTCACCTCCATATCCAGGACCACCACCACGGAGAGCCCAAAGGAGATCAGGTTCTTCCGAAGCCCATACAACAGAACCGTCAAACTTTACAACTTGACAGTCAAGTAAATTTTGAGGATCGGAGATGCAGCCATATTCACCGGAAAGCCACGAGAACCCGCCACTTACAATACTCCCACCCACGCTGATGCTAGGCGTGCGTGTGCCAACCACTAAATTCTCTGAACTTAGCGAAATTTCTCACAAGTAAATATTGTAAGCATAAGCAGTTACATACCGGTGTACTCTGGGGCTACTTCGTCAATTTTCTCGAAAACGCTGGTCCATTGCTGGCCTGCGCCAGCTGTCACGGTTTCTTCGTCCGCGTTGAATACAAAGTCATCAAAGTGAGTGAGGCTCACAAGGACATCCTTGACTGGAGGTGACCGATAGCCATTCCCACGAATACCAATATCTAGCTCCGTAGAGTATAGATACTTCAATGCCACTGAGAGCGACTGGATAGTTTTCGGGGCACACACAATAGGCGGGCTAAGGTTATTTTGCGCATCCCAGAAGGATGTAAGTCGATTGTATTCAGCGACATTCGACTTTGCGGTGATGATCTCATCAGCCGAGAGAATAGAGTAAAGCATAGCCATTGCAGTGTAAGAATTGGGAACGTAGACTTTGTTGCTGTATCAGTTGACGGGGTAGATCTTTGTTTAAGACTGGACGAATTAATCCGTCTATCGACATCGTAGAGCCATTTTATGAACTTCACAAAATAGCTGCGCCTCAACTTTATTCTTTGTCCGCGGATCGGAAGGTACGAAGACGCGAGCACGAGATCGGCTTCTTCGGATCGGACCTCGGTGAAGCTGCGATGCCGAGATGGTGTACGACAAGATGGAGAATAATATAAACCATATGATACCTCAATATATTTATCAGCTCCATGGTGTTTGTTAGCGATGTGTGGGGTACGTCGGGCAGCGTAGTATCCGAACGTTGGCGAGATTAAATTGCATTTAAGATGGATCCCGGAATATCGCTGGGGCCAATGATGCATGAAACACATACACCATCACGAGATTTATAATCCTCTAGAAACAAGGGTATATATTTCTTTACGTCTCGTTTCTTCTAATGTCGGTTTCCGAGAAGTGCCGACTTCGCCTAGTAGAGTGGCTTAGCAGTATACCATCAACCAATCGAAGCGGTTAGCATTGCGATGACTTACGAAGAGTATATAAATATGAAGTAAAGTTTGCTCTACTTTAACTACCTGCTATACAACAGTTTACCAATAAATAACTATGGATCAGTTGAATATGTCGCCAGCTTCAGTCGCCAAAGCGTCATCCTTTACCAAACAATGGCACTCTGAGCCATATCCCTCGATTGACCCCCAACGCCCTGAACTATCCGCAAATGGAAAAGTTGTTGTTATTACCGGGGCTGGAACTGGCGTCGGCCAAGCCATGGCTGTGGCTTTTGCAACCGCTGGCGCCAAGGCAATTGCCGTAATCGGGAGACGGATGGCTCTTCTCAAACAGGTGGCCGAAGAATTACAGAGAAAGAATCACAATGTTCAAGTGCTTTGTGAACCCGCCGACGTCACGCAGGAAGCTCAGATTATGGGAGCATTTCGAAGAATCGCGGATCAGGTAGGGCCAATCGACATTCTCTGCTCCAATGTTGCAACGGTCCCGCGGTGCCCAACCATCAAGGACGCGGATCCAAACATAATACTTGATGGCTTCAAGACAAACATTATCGGCATGCTACACGTCGTCCAAGCCTTTCTAGCTTATAGTGCTCAAGGTGCTGTTCTCATCAACACCTCTACCGGACTAGCTCACGGCGGATATGCTCCCGGCATGGCGGCATATGCGAGCACCAAATCTGCAGCACTGAGGCTTATGAGTTACCTCGCCATCGAAAATCAGCACTTGCATATTGTCAACATGAGTCCCGGAGTACTTATTCGGTCCGAAGCGTCTGAGTACTATGCAGCAGAAGTCTACAAAGCTACAGGTAGAGTTTTAGTCTTCAACGATGAACGTTCGTTTCTCGACATTCGATCCATTTGAATGATACAACTGACAAAGAATAATATTAGCACAACTCTCGGGTAATTTTGCGGTGTGGTTAGCTTCGCCTGAGGCGGCCTTCCTCAAGGGCAAGACGGTTTGGGCCAATTGGGATGTAGACGAGCTGAAGAGCAAGACCAGCGACATTGAAAATTCCAACTTGCTCAGTCTTGGTTTGCATGGAGTCGACTTTTGAAGATTTTTGTTGTTATTTTAGAAATTATATCAATCTACTTTCCCTGCCTACTCAGCATTCTTGAGCTGCGATCACCGCGCCGACGGATACTAGAATACCTAAATCTGGCGGAACTTTTTGTACAGGTGGTGCATGCGTGAGACCTGTCCAGGGGTGAATTCAGACCGGCAGTCATTGTATGACATGTAGTTGTGAATCGGGTCCAGTCCAGGCTGATCAGGACAAGTATCAGAACCTTGTGGACAATAGAATGTCTGAAGAGACGCTGGCGTATCATCGATGCCATCACCATCGCCGTCACATCCGCCTTCAAAAGTGTGTCGTAGGCCAAACCAGTGACCAGTTTCATGGATTGCCGTAGAACCCTCGGCTACAGTGGTATGCTTGATGCTGCAGCCGTCCTGGTAAAATGTCTTGCTTCCTTGATGAGTCTTGGTAGGATAGGCACATTGTCCATTTCGATGCTCCTTCCCGAGGTAGGTTTGGAAGTAAAGATTGAGGGTTCCATAGTCGCCCTTGCGAAGAGTTTGCTTCATAGCATCTTGGTCGCGATAGTTGGCCCAGTCGTCATTTACAGTCCAGTCGATGTCTTTGAGGTGAAAGTGGTATTGAGCATCTGTAAATGCAGTGTTCATCTTGGCGACCTGCTGGTGGATTTGGTGTTTCTATATTGAAGTTAACAGTGCAGTGCAGAGTGTTGTTCTTGTTGAGTCGTACCGTTAGATAGCCGTCCGACTGGTTCTCCGAGGTTGCCACCACATGCACATATAGTGGAATCTTGGTTACGTCAGAAGAAGAAGAAAACAGTTGATTCCCAGTAGCAGCGTGTTGCTCTTGGTGTTCTTTGACTGCGGCAAGATACTCTACAGTTGGCTCAGATGTGTTGCACTGGTCCAGAAGCGCCCGGGGGTAAAGGCGAGAAGCAGAAGCTGCTACTGCAAACAAAATGGAGAACTTCATGATGGAGGAGCTGAACAAAAAGCTGGTTGGTGGTGACTTAATTGGTGACCTAGATGTGGCTGATGATTAAAGCACCAATTTGCAGGAGCATGAAGAGATACTTATATAGCTATTTCTACATTGCAGACCATGCAGTCAATACATCAAATCTACGAGCTTCTCAACTTCTTCCAAAGGAGCAATACTACGCTGACGGCGTATGGAGATGATAATCTAGGTGCCCCGTCATGAGCTTCGGCCCTGTACAGCATATACTCATGGACATCACCGTCGCCGCGGAAGTATGTATATCGTGTCTAGGAAGCTCATGATTGGCTCCCATTGCCACTAAAGCCAAATATCGTGGTGCTGTTACATTGTGTGGTCCATGCCGACACCCCTAAGCCCACTCTTCAGGTGGGAATCAGATCGGTCCGGCAGTTGCATGGTAGATACCTATTCTAGCCACTGCCATAACCGCAACTATCCCAATACTTGCATTTAATTCCTTGTCATAAACCACTACAACCGCGACTGATAAATATTGAGAGGTTCACTATATAAGCAAGATATAAATTTGAACGCCTTGTAGGCAATTAGCACAAACTCTTGTGTAGGTTATACTTTATGGCCCAATCACGCGTGTTTCGTACGCAACGGATGAGGCCATAAGAGACAAGACTGGCAGACATCCCCCTACGTACCATGACTCGAGCGCGGAGGTCAATGCTATTGATGTTCAATATTGAACCCCTGGTGGAAAGATATTGGCGCAATTGGCATATCATCTCCCCAAATCTCACTCAACGGTATTTGACACTGAGTCGCTGTAATTACCCCCCACCAGCTCGTATAGAACGGCAACTGTCAAGCCCTGCAGTAGCGATGCAGGGAACCATTTCCAGTTTCGATGCTACGTTCGATCAAACCAATTAGACGCTGGTGGAAGCGACGGGTGGACCAACCCTTGATCAACAAAGCTTTGCTCAAAGACACGAAGACAAATTTAGCAAGCGGATACAGAAAAAAAAATCATTTATGTATTACGGCTTCTGAGCGCTATTCGTCTGCGGCCTCCGGGCGTAATACATTTGTTGTTGCGGTTGTTGTAGCATCAATATGATGATCGTGATTATCCTCCGACGTGAGGTGTACGCCGATGGATAACCAGAGCTTCCATCTCAAGTCATCCTCTAGAACCTTATTCCCCCTTTGTCTTGCTCCATACCGCGATCGCCGATAAATTCACCATTATTCAGTTAGCTCACCGTAGAGGATCTACCGCCTGCCGAATTCATCACCCTCGCGTGTACGCTACTGTCCAATCAGCACCTAGCATGACTTTTAGACTCGTTGCGCGAAACGCGGCTTTTCGTCCGTCGCTATCCTCTGTTTTAGAAGCCCCAAAAAGGAAGGTTGGAATATGTTTGCGTATTGCTGGGTTCAACACTAGAAGTCGTAAGGTGTCTCCCCCGTATCCACGAGCAACTGCGACCATGTTCAACGTTGGTGCCTTGCACAGAGAAAGATTCTACAAGTTTGCAGAGGCGCATCTACAAAATTTTACGATGGTCATTCATATTTGCTTTGTATCCATTCACAGATAATACTATTAAAGAAGCTAATTCTTAAAATAAGAGCGCTTTCAAACAAACCCTTCCAATTCCTTCCCGATCATAAGGCTCATTGCGTGCTAATACAGTAAGCCAATCACCAGTCACTGGGAAATCGCTGGCGTCAGTGCAAGTTAATGGCTATCCGCTGGTGTGGGATGACTGCAAAATACTCTCGAATGTCATTTCCGTCAAGAAAGGAATGCTCCCATCTGGCCGCATCATCACGAAGCCCTTGTGCCACTTTTTCGTACGCCTCCTTGCTGGCAACTGAACTTTCGAAATGCAGTTCGATCCCACAGCTCGCGAGATCTCTCTTGACCGGCCCGAGTGCTTCCCAGGGATACGACCCCCAGTCACCATACCATTCAGGCTCAAAACGAATTACGATGCGGTTGAGCTTAGCGTGCTGTTCTGCCGCGAACTGACCAAATTTATGAATCCAAGCAATACAACTTTCGTTCAGTGCCATTGGCCAGGGTTGTGATTGTTCGTTAACGTTGAATTCCCAGACAAACTCTTTTAGCTCGGGTGCTAGGATACCTCGCGCAAGAGATGGGCAAGATTCGAGCTGCGCATCTCTAAACGACCAACGAGACATGGTAAGCTTCCGCAAAGCTATAAAGTGGCTTAAATCAATTCCTGGTCCGATCTTGTCATCCATATATCCAATGTCAATTGTTTCAAGTGAACTGTGGTGAATCGCTAAGGCGTTAAACAGTTGATTGAGAGTTGTTTTATATCCATATCCGGCTTGGGCCTCGATCTTAACGTGTCTCAAGGCTTGTGGCCAACGAATGAGCTGTGCCGCAGCTTCTAATCCGTCATAGCAGTCATAAATATGAAGCGTTGTGAATGATGCAGCACGCTCTAGCTATAACATTGCTTCAGCACATCACATCACATCACATCACTTCTCGTAATAAAAACAACGACTTACAAGATCGGGAAGCGCCGGTCGTTGGCCCGTGTAGTACATATCTGCGGATATATTCAACGTCTCGAGCCTTGTTGCTCGCGTCAGGACTTCAAAACAATCGATTGAGTGTATATAACTGCCGAGACATCCGCGGAGGTAGTACTGTTGAAGGTTTGGTAACTTTACTGGTGCCAATTTGATAATAGTTGGTAGTTCGGCGTGAATTCTGTCTACGAGTCCTGGGTGGACTGTGACGCTTTGCGTCAGAGGCGCGAGTTCCATAAAGCTAGCTAATATTTCAATTGCTTCTCCAACCATTCTCTTAGCTTCTTGGGCATCCCTCACGAATTCGAACCCAGCGTCGATCTGACGGATGTGACGGCCAAGGTTTTGATTGGCCATGAGGCTTCTATACAGAAGCGCTGTTGATTTCGAGGTTTGCATAAACCTAAGCTCTACTTTGCGATACAGCAACTCGGTGGCGATACCGTGAAATGCCCTGCTGACAAGGCTATACGAGAGCTGGAGTGGGTTAGAAGTTAGAGCCGGCGGCGCGAAGCAATTCCAAATGGAAACATACCATTCTTATCCGTTCCCAAGCCACAAAACTATCAGCAGCTTCAATAATGGCGAATAAGAGCTCGTGTGGTAGCATGGAGATGTAAGCCTTTTGGGGTGGCGTGATTTGCGCTAGCCTGCTCGGAGATGTTAAGTATATCTCGTGGATGGGTTTGACAACGGTTAGGATGCCCTGAGAAGCACCGAGATGCAGTTGTATCATCTTCTGAGCGGCCATAATTGTACAGATAGTGCGTTGAATGATGAGTTTGCGGCAGCTACCGTGAACCGCGACGAAGCCCAACCACGGACCAGGCTCAGCCTCGTTGGACAGGCAGCAGCAGCGGTCAAGAGCCCGAATCTACAATCAACATTTCTACACTAGCGTTGTTATAGTGGGTTTTTATTACTACCTATAAATACTTGCCCATTTACACGATGAACTTGAAGACTTACATCACCACATTTTCATTAAAAACAATCGCACAACACTACTATTCCATCGCTACAAAAATCACCATCACTATTGTCTTTCTAATATAAATATTTTGCTTTGAAAAATTAAACAAAGACATAATGTCTGATGAACAGTGCCAGCTTCAACACCCGAAACAGATCTTCGCGCCAGGCTGGCACGGCGACGCTAAGACTCCTGTCGTTGACAATAAATATTACGATCCCAAGACGGGCAGCATTTGCAGCTCTGAGGACCACGCAGAATACTCTGGTCCTCCAGCGGTGGACATCATCATTAAATCTCAGCATATAGATACCGTCGGGTGTTGCTACCGGGCAGCGAGGCCATTCCCAGTTACAGATCTCGTGTGTTTTATGATGCGAGTCATCCAAGAAAGGAATCTAGTGCTTGATTCTATGATTGTGACGACTTACGCCATTCGAATCGTTTTTATGAACGAAATGACCAAGGAAGAGTTTTATGAGGCTGCAAAGAAACTGTGTAATGGAATTTGGGACAGCTAACTAGCTTGCTCATGTTCTATTTTATGCACTAGTATTGAACGATTTTTTATTCGAGAAATATTTTACACTTGTGTTTAATTCATTTCTTTTTCTCTTTCGTTCAATTTCCATGCAAAAGCATCTCAATCCCTAGCCAAGAATTACAATCCTAGTAGTGTCTACAGGAAGTTTTGCCCATGTTCCCGATAACACAGGGGCTGCACGGATTACCCTGACGGCCAGTAATTGTTAAAATATTGTGATTTTATTATATTTACTTGACAATTATATTAGTCAAGATATTCCGCGGCTTTTCCAACAATATATTGGAACGGGCCGTAGAATACGTCATTCTCAACGTTCCTGGTAAAAGATCAACAGCCGTTACAAGCCACCCGGATAACCGGCCTGGGCAGGGTCTACTTGGGCAAATATAACAAGAATCCTAGATCTGGCACCAAATTGAATGGGCAGAAAATATTGCAATAGCAAATTCAACGCTTTACACCATGCCTTCAGATCGTGTACTGCAGCTCTGCCAAGATACCAACACCGTCAGCTCGATATGGGCAAAAGACACGACTAAAGTGCCCGACAAAATCATACAACAGCTCTACAGCGGACATGCTCAGGGAAATGCTAAAGCGTTTCGGCAACCTGCTTCAGAAGAAGCGCAAAACAAGGCACTGAAATGCGGCCGTTGGGGACCATCGACACCAAGCCCTCTCTTCCTACAAGCCTTTACAGATGCTCTGAATTGCTTGGAAGCAGACCCAATGTCAGGCGTCGTGTCGCCGCCGTTAATGGGCTCCCACGGGACCATGCCGTTGACTGTGATTGCCCCCTTGGCTGATGTTATCCGCCACTGTGCAAATCTCATTGTGCGCGCAGAACGGCAAGTGTTTTTTATAACTTGCGCTTGGTCCCCATCCATCGCTCAACGGCTGGTGCACGATGCCCTGCTAGAGCTGTCGAGACGATCAGTAGCCCGGGGAAAGCATGTTCAAGTCAATCTGATGTATGATGGTATGAGTATGGCTCACCTGAATCACTCCCACAATGTGGTCAGCTGCGACAAGTATACGTCCAAGGCAATCGGACTTCCTGGTCCCCAAGATATTCCCAACGTCGACCTTACGGTAGTAAGCCTTCATAAGCTGCCTCTGGGTACCCTACATGCAAAGTTCTGTGTTGTAGACGGGAAGGTTGCGGCAATCATGAGCAACAATATGCAAGATAACGACAATTTGGAGATGATGACACATGTGGAGGGGCCAATCGTTGACAGCGTTTACGACACGGCAGTTATCACCTGGAACCAGGCTTGCAAGTCAGAAAAAAAACAGCCTGCATCGGAAGATGGCCTACCTGTGGACAACGGTCAAAATTTACCACCGACAAAGGCTACGATGAATGGTACTATTGCTCGCGAAAAGGAACCGAAATTACCGGAATGTTCAACCTACGATCAAGATGTTGAGGCTGAGCTGGTCCGAATGCGGGAGAAATACTCCCACTCTGAATCCGAAAGCAATTTGCAGGTCGTCAACCGCCAGTTGAACATATGTGCCAAGGAGAAAATCGATCTGACAGGACCAGAAATTCCGGAGGGAGACGAGTTCAGAGCATATATTTCCACCGCAACGTCACAGCCTGTTCCAATGGCAATGGTGTCGCGGCGGCCATATGCCTACTTTGGCTCAAAAGACGAGTGTGTCCCTCAAAACGAGGCCTGGCTCTCCCTGATTCGGAATGCGAAACAAAGCATCTTCATCCAAACCCCGGATCTGAACGCTGCACCGCTTCTCCCAGCGATGGCGTCTGCCTTAAAACGTGGTGTTGAAGTAGTGTACTATGTATGCTTTGGGTACAATGACCTTGGAGAGATGATCCCCGGGCAGGGCGGCACAAACGAGCAAGCGGCGATCTCGCTCATCAACTCTCTACCACGCGATGGGCCGGAGCGAGATCTCCTCCACATCTACAACTACGTCGCGAAAGATCAAGACCACCCGATCCATCACCGCTTCAAAACACGCTCATGTCATATCAAGTTGCTCATTGCGGATGGCTGTGTTGGGATCCAGGGTAGCGGCAATCAGGATACGCAGTCATGGTTTCATAGCCAGGAGGTCAATATCATGGTGGATAGCCGAGAGATTTGTCAGAAGTGGAGAGAGGCTATTGATAGGAACCAAAACACGGGCCGGTTCGGACGGGTTGCCAAAGATGGAATCTGGAGAGATCAGCAGGGTAACCCGGGGGCTGGGTATAGCGGTAATCCGGGATTCTTGGGGGGTCTTGTGAAGGGTACAATTGGGATGGTGTTGAAGGCAGAAGGATTGGGTGGGTTTTAGTAGAATTTAAAAAGGGGGTACTCATGGGCAAGAGTATGAAGTATTGAGGAGGAGGTGCGTTGAAGGTCCCGTATCAAGTTGAGCTTCCACAGCAGGGTCTGTCCAACAGTGAACGATAGGTAGCTCTCCCAATCAGATTAGACTCGGAGCTTCTCATCCGGCTCTGTAAGTAATTACCACTAGTCACAAGGCACGGGGGCTTCTTCCAGAATATCCAAGGTTCAGCCACTTGCAGGCTCCTTCTGGCGGTGTGGCGCGCAAGAAACAAGCTTTCGCAGCAATGTGACCCCAATCCGCCACAATATTTCTCGACCGTTGAAATGTATGACGTTTTGGGGGCGGGTGGACTGCCCACTTTTGCATCAAGTTGTGGCTTTGGGCTACTCGATCTAGGGCGATGTGCAGCAACCACGGCACATACTCCGCCGGTAAATCAACTACTTGATTCCTGGTAAATGCCGTGCACTATATTTTCCAGTAGATGGTCGTGGACCACAGGTGAATTCTTGATTTCAGCCCTTGCACGACTGCGCCACGTCACGAATGCGGCGTCACAGCATCGCTTCTATGACGCGGCGCGCCGATCCGGCGATCGTAGCGAGCAGTTAGCAGCTATTAACACTTATTCACTGTGCTGGATTCACGTCATGACTTTTACCGTAGTAGTAAAGTTGTATATATAGAGGAGTGCGACCGGTGGATATTTGGGTGTTCATGTAAACCATCTTCTCAGCTCATATCAGCTTACTGACAAGGCAACCTACTAAAAAAACAGAAGCTTTACAAAGTCCAAGTCTAGCCATTCACCATGTTGCACGGTCTTGCGCTCACAGCCACCCACTTCGGTGTTTGGGTCTCGTCGCTCATTGTCATGGGCATCATGTCGTATCTCATCAGCAGGTCGGCAGGAGGCGTTTACTATGAGAGAAATACACACACCATCTACGAGGAAGTCATTGTGAGTTCATTGAGATCAAACACTAAATTAGAAAGTGAGCTAACACCGTGTCTGCGTTTTAGGCTGTCCTCACCTTTGTTATCTACACCTTTGTCGTCATCACATCATTCCTCAAGGCCACTCGTAGCCACATTATGCCGCTGAGCTTTGTCCTGTCCTACCTTTGGCTCACCTCTTTCATTCTGTCGGTGCAGGACTGGGCTGGAAGTCGTTGCGCCGGCTACTCTTTTGGCTACGGCGACGACTCCTCCAACAAATGTGGCATCAAGAAAACTGCCATTGCTTTCAACTTTTTCACCTTGTAAGCCAAAAATCCCCTTCCAAATTTATTTTTTTGTTCTCGTCTGACTGTATGTCACAGCTTCTTCTTCCTCTGCACCCTGCTTGCAGACCGATTCCTCACGACCGAGGGAGGCCACTTTGGCCGAAAGAAGAATGTCGCGGCTGTTTAATCGCCGCGGATAGCCGTTTGGGTTTACGGATAGGGAGGATATTGGTCCATTTTCGTCAGTTGTGAAAGTGTCAGAAATGATTTCACCAAATCGCATTGCTTAATCCTTGGTTGTCCTGCTTTCTGATTCAACAACTAGCGGAGCCTTGCGCACTACAGAGTGCACTGAATATCATGAATTTATGACTTTTGTGAATGGATCATCGTTTTCGGGGTATCTGTAATCAACCTTGCACTGATTCGTGATTTCATGTCCGCCTTCTACCTTTAGCACCGACGCAAGGTCGGCGTTAAGAAACAAGCGGCGCCAAGCATGTCGATAGAGATTCATGTGGATAACTCTCTCCCGTCCCCATTTAAAAAGCGGTAGTTAGATCCCAACGGTCGCTAGGCCAAACTCGGTATGAATTATCCGTGAAAGAGGAGGTTTCTGGTTATGCAGATATACGTGGCGGACGGCTTGTGATCCCGTGTGGGGGTCTATTGGGTCTTTATCGAATAGAAGAAGCTGCATGCATTGCATATATTGCTGCATTACCTGCAGCGCAGCATGGCAAATTTTGAATTTGCGTGTTTGCCGGCAGAAATCACAGATAGCTGAAACCCCTGTTCTTCTCTCGTGAACAAAATCTCGGAGCTGAGCTCGCTCTCCCCTTCGCCATTCTTCGATACTTTACTAACCTCTTCTCTCGACCTTTCAAACTAATCACAAACTCTATAATTCTATAATGGCAGAACCCAAGACTTCACTTGGTGACATCGACCATGCCAAATACGTTGACGACGCTCAACCTCATCATGCCGAGGACACAGACAACTTGACTTCTCTCGGCTACAAGCAGCAGTTGCAGCGCAATCGCTCGACCTTGACGCTGCTCTTTCAGTCGCTGGCAGTCGCCGCTGTAAGTCTCAAGTAACTACTCGGACCTTTTCGTCATAGCTAATTATTAGATCCCTTATGGTTTCGGATCGACACTGATAAATGCCGTCTATGGCGGCGGTAAGTCTCTCAATATTCACAACCAGCAGACATAGAATACATCTAACCGTTAGTGTTCACCATAATAGGCCAGCTTGCCATGTTTATCGGCTGGATCGCCGTCTGCCTTCTCGATGAATGCGTCGCTATTTCGCTGGCTGAGCTTGCGGCGAAATATCCAACATCCGCCGGGCCCTATTACTGGTCCTTTCAAATTGCCGGGCCACAATATCGAACTTTGCTTTCCTTCATCACGGGATGGACATGGCTGATTGGCAACTGGACCATTACACTCTCGGTCAACTTCGGATTTGCGTCTCTGCTCGCCGCCACAGTGAATCTGTACCAGGTTGACTACGAGTGGCAGCCATGGAAACTCGTCTTGCTTTGCTGGGCTTTGTGTTTGGTTACATTCTTCATTGTCGCATTTGCGAATCGCTTACTTCCTTTGGTAGATACATTTTGTGCCGTCTTTACGGCTGTGACCATCGTGGTTGTTTGCGTGTGGCTATCTGTTGCAGCAAAGCAAGGCAGACATTCTCCGTCAGACACTCTGGTGAATTCTAACCAAAAATTATGATATGCTTTACTCTCCATTGGCTAACACGTACAAGATACATTTTGATCCTTCTCTGTCCGGCTGGGGAGACTTTTCTTTCTTTATCGGTATTCTGCCGCCAACATATACGTGAGTTATGGCTAGCCAAAAGGACTAGTGGCACATAAAACGATTAATAACAGTTTTCTATTAGATTTGCTGCCCTGGGCATGATTACCTCCATGGCTGAAGAATGTGGTGATGCAACGGTCAGGCTGCCCAGAGCACTCTCACTAGCTATGCCCGTTGGCTGTATCGCAGGCTTATTCTTCGTAAGTTGCAAAGTTGCTCTTGTATAAAAAGCCCAGGATGTACTAACTATGTATATTATGTCTTGACTTTATAGGTCATTCCGTTATGCGCGACACTCCCAGATTTAGCGAGCATACTAAACGCACCGCTTGGCCAAGCCATCCCTTATGTTTTCCTACAGGTTGTCGGGTCTCCAAGTGGCGCTCTGGTTTTGACGATTCTGATCCTCATCATTACCATGTTCTGCTCCATTTCCATCACTGTTGCTGCTTCACGAACCACCTGGGCGTTTGCTCGCGACAATGCCATTCCACTTGCCCATGTTTGGTCAAGGGTAAATGCGCAGTATGGTACGCCAGTCTGGGCGCTAGTATTAACCACGGTCATACAAATGCTGCTCAGTCTTATTTACTTGGGTTCTAGCTCCGCTTTCAATGCCTTTGTCTCGGTTGGTGTAGTGGCACTGGCGGTCTCATACGGCATTCCCATCGCACTATCTGTATGGAGCGGTAGAAGCGGTGTTAGCACTGCTCCATGGACCTTGGGCAGCAAAGTTGGATGGACTGCCAACTTGGTTGCTATCGCGTGGATCTTATTTGAACTCGTCCTATTTTCTATGCCGCCAGCAATCCCGGTGACACCGTCGACGGCCAACTACGCGATCGTAGTCTTTGTTGGCTTCATGACCATCAGCGCAGCGTGGTACTGGGCTCACGCTCAACATGGTAAGTTTTATTGCGCGCATTTACTAGCATGGCAGACAATTCAAGTTGATACTAACATATATGAACAAAAAGTGTACAAGGGCCCGCCAGCATCGGATGGATTACATGCGGCAGATCGGATGGATGAATAGTACTGATAACAGTATACGAGATTTGAATAAAATTAAAATAGAATTCTTTATTACATTTTGTCTTCTTGTAGTGTAAGTCTTTGTTCTTGAACGAGTATGAATCCAGCTGCACGCTTTTGCGAAACGCTAGGTGCTGGTACAAACGAAGTTGACTTGTGTAATAGTAAATAGTCAATAGTAAACATTTCATTATTATTTTATGGAACACCCCCATCGCCCCCACGCCGTACCACTGCCGTACGATACGATAATAACTCGGTTATTCAATCCGTTGATAAGCCAACAACAGCCGCCCAAAAGTCAGCTGCACTAACACAACTTCCCCGCAGTACGGTTGCGATACAGTATACTTACAGTACACTGTATTCTGTAGATGGGACTACCAGAGCTGAACTTGAACCACACAACTCACCATCCCACGCTCTTGTTTTCCAGTCCACCATCCGCCTATGCAAAACTTTATTTTTACATAAAATGAAGCTATGAATACAACTAGCACAATACTAGTGGACAACCGTGCCGTTGGTCCGTCCATTGCCAAGCAGTCCACCAAGCGCAGGTCTCGTGGGGGCTGTCTAACCTGCAAACAGAAACACGTACGGCATTTTAACCCAATCCTTTTCGTTACGGAGACAAATTGTGCTGATTAACACTCAGGTGAAATGCGATGAGAGTCGGCCACATTGCCTTAGATGCGACCAGCTTGGAGTACCGTGTGGCGGATATGCCAACCAATTCACTTGGTCCTACAAACACCAAAATACACCCCATGGGCGCAAGCGAAGGCCGTCTTCCTCACATGCATCTCAAACATCTCATACATCACAATCCACTGATTATAGTCCCAAATCACCAGTTGATGGCGGGGAAACGCTCTCTTCAATATCACATCAGGCGACTTCCTCGGCTACTACTACTACTGCTGTTGCTGCTCCTAATAACTTGGGCTGCCCAGACCTTCAAGCAAGCACAGCGGAATATAGCTGGGATCAAACCGTAGAAAGTCTGAATGCTCTTTTGGACTTGGATCAAGCGTGCTGGTTACCGTCACCACAGCCGCAATCGACTCCAGAAATGCGGTGCCTTACTCTACCTGCGACTGTGAGAGGAGGGCCAGAGGCAACAGACAAATTGATAGCTTTTTGGTTTGACCAAGTATGTCCGATCTGGTCTGCATTCGATTCTACTTTGAACCTCAACCGGAAAATAGCCATGGATCTCATGCATCATTCCAGTACCGTCTTCAGCACTCTCCAAAGCATGTCTGCTAGTTTTCTTTCTTCTCAGCTACCCCAAATTAAACGGCCTTATGCTATAGGCTTGCTCAAGTCTGCAACATTGTCCATAGAAGCAGAGGTCGCTTCACTGCGCGCAAGAACGGTCCTTTCCGACGTACCAACCGGCCTGTTGTTTTCTCTATTTTGTCTTGGGACGACCATGTGCTGGCTCGATGCTCGGCGGCTTGGATTGCCATTTCTGAAAGAGGCAAAGGGATTGCTGCGGCGCGTGTCTCTGCAGCAGCATAGCGACGGCAGTAATCAGCATAACATGATGGCTTTCTTCAAGAAAGGTCTTCTATACTGGGAGATGCTGCTCTCTTTTGTCGATGATTATAATCTACCTGGGGATAATGATGATATTTACAGCAGTAGCAACAGCAGCGACGAAATCCGGCCACTGCTACCACCCACCCACAACACTGACTTGCTCTTGCATCCATGGACCGGTATCTCAACCAAACCAGCTCGGCTGTTTGCCCTTTCCGTCCGACTTTGTCGGGCGCATCGTCGAAGAATAGCAAAGCCAACTAGTAACGAGGTTGCGTATTCTGCAGCTGCGCAAGAAATGAATGAGGCGGTACAGCTTGAAGCAGACTTGCTGGCGTTGGATTTGGCAGCGTTTGCCCGCATAAACCAGCAAACTGGGGACGAGCGAACACCATGGGTGCACCTTGTGGATGTGGCAGAGGCTTACCAATTATCATCGCTCCTCCAGCTGTATTTGACGTTTCCAGATCTTGCGGCACGACGGCATTCACTAGACTCTGGCAGTGGCTTGCTGGAAGATGGGACAACTTGCGAGGAACGAACTATTCGGCTTGCTCTTGAATTATGCAGGCTTCTTGAGCGGATTCCATGCGAGTCTGGAAGTCGGGTGATTCAGCCAATGCTATATATTTGTGCCAGTGCTGGACTCTGCTACCCGACATCGAGAGACCAATCGATAATGGACAGAGGCGATAATCTAGTTACACCGACAGCGACATTTGGAGCGACAGATATGCTCAGATATATCGACCAGATGGATGCAGAAGAATACAAAAGCCAAGATGTAGGTCAACCTTCTATCTCAGAAATGGCCGTGGATGTTGGCAGTGCCCGTATCTTTATAATGCGGAGGCTAGATTCGTTGGAATGCACACTCCAACCCAGACCTATTGCCGTTGCAAAACAGCTTGTCAAAGCTATTTGGGCATCGTATGACCACGGCAAACGCTGTAAAGGTGGTCATTGGCTTGACGTGATGGAAGCCCAGGGCTTGAGGTCTCTGTTTGGGTAATTTGTAAAATACAATTTCAATACGATGTGCGTCTCTCATGAACGAAGATAATAGTCATATTATAGGCTCTTTCTAGCGTCAACCCTTTTACTTCTCTTTTAGAGATGTCAGATAAATGGTAATATTATCTACCATGGATACCCTTCTGTTGTGTCCTCGCTGACGGGACCTAGCCCATCGCAAAGCTGCTCCTTATGTTTCCGATCCAGATATTCTAGCAAGACTTGCTCATATTTTTCTCTTCCCTTGTATTCGGCAACCCAATCATCCCAGCTTCTCACTGCACTCGCCAGTCTTCCAGGGACGTGATCCTCCTTTACAATATCTGTTATAGGATGGAAATACGTTCGTATTGTAAAGCAAATCGCCTTTGTCTTGGGCAGTCGCCGCAATGTCTGTCTTTCTGAGCGGAACCAGTGATGCTCTATTGCCTTGTTCTTCTCTGCCGTGCTCCAGCTTAGCGCCGGGCTATCCTCGTCACCAATGCTGTAGCTCCAGGGCAAGGACTCGTCCACCTGAATGAAGTAGTTGTTGCGAGCGTAGAACTTGTCGCATTTTAATCGCTGGAAGAACTTCAACATGCCGCCCTCAAGCTTTTCGTGGAAATGTGGCACATGGCCAGACGTATGAATGTCGGACAAGGTCATGCCAAATTTATCAGATAGTCTCCAGAAGCCTGCCAGAAGGATGGAGCCGGCGAGCAAGCGGTATTGCCCATCTGGCTGCTCAATCATAAGAGCAAGGTCGTCCTGCACAAGCCGAGAACATATCACCATGGGATCTTCCTGCAGCAGCCGCCCTTGGATATTGAACGACTCGCCGGACCAGAGATTTCGTATGCCCGTTGCTGTTTTCTGATATAGACTCGGATAGCGTGCAGGTAAGTATTCGGTTAGCTCTTCCAGTAGCTCAACCGCTGCAGAGAATGCCTCCTCATGCGTCTTGATGCACTGCTCGCCTCGCTCTATGATTCGTGCTGCTTTATCCGCATGGAACTTTGGAAACTGATTATCAAGCTCAATCCAGTCGATGGGGGCCACAACCCGGAGTCCCATGGTTACATTATACTTTGGCCCGTACCGAAAGGCTCTGTATGGCAAGGGTTTCGTAGTTTTAAGCGACCATCCAGGATACGCAGGGGGTACTGGCATCTTGAATTCGCCATGGGGCTTGTCTCTGCTGTGCTTTGTCTCTTTCTCGGGATTTTGATATCTGTTGGGTTGTAGATACTGCTTGCATAGGTTGTAAAAGACAACCAGAAATCCGGCGCAAATGCATAATAATATTTCCCATTTAAGCCCAGGAAAATAGAGCATTTCAAGCCGAAAATCCATCCTCGAGGCGAAATTTAAAAGTTAATGTGGTGAGCCAAGACACGCTGAAAGATGGTAGTTATACGGTGTCTAACTAACATGGACTTGTAGATTTGGAAAAACGCCTTTAAATTTGACGAATAGATCTAGTCGATTTTTAACACCTTACTAAAACAGGAAATATTAGCCTGTACCTATACAGTATAGATAGAGGTACTAATACAAGCCGACTAACAAGACGGGAGCTTTAACCCCTCTTTTGCCCAAATACCTAATCGGGTAATTTTACGCGGTATCGGCTACCCGATATTCATAAGACCCAACGGCTATAGATAGGATACAGCTCGTGCGGGGAGAGGCGCGGACTGTCGCACTGTACTTGGACGGACTTGGGCCTCCGTGTTGAAGAATTACTTTAAACATATACTTAGTAGAAAAAGATATTGTTCCTTCCACATAAGATTTGAAGTATCATTGATTGTCTCGCCGACCTACAACAGTTTTTACCCAACATTATGTCTTCTCCACATCCACTGGACCCTCTCACGTCTGAGGAGATTCAGGCAGCAGTATCTATTGTCAGAGCAAAAAGTAAGGAGAACCTCCATTTCAACATCGTTTCTCTACATGAACCGCGTAAAGCGGAATTGTCGCCATGGTTAGCTGCGCGGGCTGCGAGGTTGAAGCCCGGGCGTATGGCAGACGTCTGTGTGATTGCGCCCGGAGGGAAAGTGGCAGATATCATTGTTGATCTGAATAGCGGTACTATTCTATCGTGGGATTGGGTGGAAGAAGTGCAACCAATTGTGAGTCCTCCAATGGAGCCTCCCTCTTTGCAACTTACAAGTGGGAAGTACTGACTAACATGACTTGATTCATCCCAGATTACCATGGAAGAGTTGCAGCTAGTAGAACACGTTGTTCGTCTAGACCCCATGGTCATTCAGCAGTGTGAGCTGAGCGGCATTTCGAAAGATGAGATGCACAAAGTCTATTGCGATCCGTGGACGATTGGCTATGATGAGCGATTCGGTAGCAAAGCACGACTTCAACAAGCGCTCATGTACTTCCGGCCCGATCTGGATGACTGCCAATATCAGTACCCTCTTGACTTTTGCCCAATTTATGACGCAGACAAGCGGGCAATCGTCTATATTGATATTCCAGCTGTGAGACGACCATTGAGGCGAGAGACACCCATCAATTACCATAGCGCTGCCATCCACGCTCAAGGCGGGTACCGTCAAGATTTGAAACCACTCAATATCACACAGCCAGAAGGTCCCTCCTTCACGCTTGATGGACGTGAAATTTCGTGGCAGAATTGGAAATTCCACATTGGCTTCAACTACAGAGAGGGCATCGTTCTCAGCGATATTGGGTTTAATGATAAGGGAATCATGCGTCCCATCTTCTACAGACTCTCACTCTCGGAGATGGTCGTGCCATAGTAGGTCTTCCTAAAAAGGTAGCATAGCCGCCACAACTAACAGCGCCATAGTGGTAACCCGGAGCACCCACATCAACGAAAGCACGCGTTTGACCTCGGCGAATATGGAGCTGGTTACATGACCAACAGTCTTGCTCTAGGCTGTGACTGCAAGGGACACATCAATTATCTAGATGCAGAATTTGCCGCACGAGATGGCAAAGTGAGGTTAATCAAGAACGCCATTTGTATTCATGAGGAAGACAATGGCATCTTGCTCAAACATACCGACTTCCGAGACGATTCTGTTATTGTCACAAGAGCGAGAAAATTAATCATTCAGCAGATTTTCACTGCTGCTAACTATGAATATGCTGTTCAGGTAAAATTGACCAGATGATCCTGTATGATGAGGTACAATGCTAACATAAGTTGTGTGCAGTGGATATTCCATGTCAGTTGCGCCAGCAGGCCAACGTAACGAGCGCCATAAACTAACTGTTTCTACAGCAAGACGGTACTATCCAGTTGGAGATCAAGCTGACAGGCATCCTCAACACCTACGCCATTGCACCGGGCGAAGATACCAAGGGATGGGGAACAGAAGTGTATCCAGGTCAGACATTTCACAGAATGAAATCAAAACCTGTTCCACTACTAACCTAATGATTGAAGGTGTGAATGCACACAACCACCAACACCTATTTTGCTTGAGGATTGATTCCAATGTGGACGGCCCGAAGAACACTGCTTTCATGGTGGATGCCGTGCCATCTGACGAACCAGTAGGCAGCGCGAATAACAAATACGGAAATGCATTCTATGCGAAACGAACCAAGTTGGCAACGACGGGCGAAGCAGTGACGGATTACAATGGCGCAACGGTACGCACCTGGGATCTATGCAACACCAACAAGCTGCATCTGTACAGCAACAAGCCTTCGAGCTATAAGCTTGTGAGCCGCGAAGTGCCCAATCTACTGCCCAAGGAAGGTTCTCTCGTTTGGAAGAGAGCGGGATTTGCCAGACATGCCGTTCACGTCACCAAGTGTAAGTCGCTGACCCCGGCCCAAGCTCCTATTCTCTATTAGGACTATTCTAATATTTCTATGCGTACGGTGCAGATCGAGACGACCAACTCTGGGCGGCCGGCCGCCATGTTCCGCAAACATCTGGAGAGACGGATGTTGGTATACCAGCGTGGATTGGCGATGGCTTAGAGGCGATTGAGAATGAGGATATTGTTCTTTGGCATACTTTTGGTCTTGTGCATTTCCCTGCCCCAGAGGACTTTCCGGTCATGCCAGCGGAGCCTATGACTGTTTTGCTGCGGCCCAGGAATTTCTTCTTAAACAATCCCGTCATGGACGTGCCTCCTGAGAAGAGTGTTACGCCGAGCCAAGTAGCAGTAGCAGCAGCAGCAAATCAGGCATAAGGTGAGAGTTAGAAATTAAAACTAAGATTTTTCTTTTGCTATTTATCCACTTATTTTCACAAACTCCTTATCTGTTAGTAATTGATTGTATAATATAGATTCTGGAAATGTACGCAACAAAACCGCGACAGCTATTCTGCTTATAGCCTATATTATCATGGCTCCTGCAGGATAAATGAATCAATATATTTCTGCATGCAGCAAGCGCACTGGGCACTTAGGTACAACAGTCATATGATTGACTACCGGCAATGATGCCTCTTTTCGGCCATGATACTCGACTCATGCAGGCCAAGCATACCTTTCAGTTGCCATCCAGCCATAGTAGATAAGGCAAGCGAGTAAGTGCCACTACACTATGAAATATTCTAGCATCTGAATTTATATAGCCAGCGGTTTGAGATTCAACAGTTGTCACCGCCAGTTCCAAATCTTTGGTCAGGATTAGGGATTCCATCACAATGAAAAGCCTACTATCCATCATCGCCGTAGGCTTGGCATGCCTAATATACTACTCTTTTCATAAGATATCATCATGGCGTGCATTTTCGAGAGAGTATCAGCGAGGGAAGAGCTCTGTTGGAGATTACTCGAAAGTGTTTCCGCCGCCACCATCACCATTATTATCCTCGTCATGTGGTGCAGCAAACTTGACCAAACGATCAAATTTTGCAGAATCTGCGCTCCATATCCTTAGCATCAAATCCGACTACCGCCTTGCCGAATCGTCGACTTACATTTTCAGCGGCTTTACTGTCGGGCAGATCAAGAACCTGGGCGCCTTTCCAGACTATGCGCAACTCTCTGGAGTACCTCTGCCTGGTGCGTTGAAAGATTTTTGCATTGAAAATGCAAGGCCACGGCCGTATAGGCCCTTCCGATGGCCATACCACCAAACAATGTGTACGTGATTATCCACCACACCCACGCCTATGAAAAAATGTCTATGTTCTGTAATTGACGGCTTTGTACGGACTAGCATTCCAGAAGATGGATCCTAATTACTGGCTGGAGCTTGAAAGCAGCTATTGTGAGCGCATAAAGCAACGCCGTGCCCTTGTACACGAGCATGGCAAAAGTGTTATGCAGTGCTTGCCCGGGTCCGAGTTGGCTTGTAAGGAGCTGATGGAAATGGCTGTACAATTCCTCTGTGCGAGATACCCGTCACACTTTCAACTCGATAAGAATCGTATCCTGAGGAACCGCATTCTGCATGTCGAATACGACGTTGTGAAAGAAGACCCTCTCGACGTTTTGCTCAACAACGTCCCCGAGGATTTCGCCATCATGTTGAGAGATGATGTTACTGGGCGGTATCAGTTCCGAGCTGGCATTATATGCTCGTCACTTGGGTGGAATCTTGATAACAAGATTGGCCAAGGCCTCAGTGCGATCCATGAGCCAGTGCCAAAGTATCAAGAGAAGATGGAATTCAGCGTTGACCGGTAAGACTAAGAAATAACACAGGTAATCTAGGGAAGAGCTTTGTTTTGGCTAATCCTCTTAATCTCCAGGTTTTTCACCAAGTTGCCCACCGACAGTCCCATCCAGCGAGGCTCATGGAGTCTTGAGGTAGGCCAACCGCTGTACATGCCTCGCACCGATCCTCACATGCGCCTGCGCGAAACCCAGGATCGCAACCTCGGACCACAAGATGTCTTTCTTCGAGTCGATTGGCAGACACTTCGCCGGCTACCGCTGTCAGGGGCCGTGGTTTTCAATTTCAAGGCTCTGTTCACGTCTCTTACTGTCTTGGAGGATGAGCCTTACATTCCAGCTCTACTTTATAAGGTTCTCAGTGATGGTGAGGAGGCATTGCTAAAGTATAAATCAATCTGGCATGTGGAGCATGTTGTAAAACCTACACTCGAAAAATACAAAGACGAGCAGGTTGCAAGAGGACTGGCGGAAGCAGACTGGCACCCTCGGACGCTGGATGAAAGCCCGTTTTACCCAGGATGGGATCAGGCCGATATATCGTCGTCGGGCCGAGCGTAGATATAACTTGGGAGATATAAAGTGAACGTATAGCTACTGTAGAATATACTTTCAGTAATTTTGTCTGGTGTATTATCTGAAGCCCACCTGAGCCGTTAAAATTAGATATTAGTGAACCTTGTTCAAACTGAGTGTCATGTTAGAACTAGGCAAAAGTTACGAGCAGTCCAGATTTCAACAAACGTATTCTAAATATATATTTACATAAACTTTATATGTAATAGTCATCTAAAAACTCGATACATATAAAGTATTTATATCATACATGATATTCTGTAAAGATTGATAGAAAAGTTAATTTTATACCATATATTAAAGAATACTTGAAAGATTGACGATAAACGAGTTTACCTGTAACTTTTGCTTACCCACTGTAAACTCTATGTATAGCAATGGAGAATACTCGTCTTACGCAGAATCAAAGCCGCAAGATTCACCAGTGTTCCACTGCTTAATAGCTCAAGCACTTGCAGCGGCGCTAGCAACTCCTTGCGCACCCAGTTGCGGAACTCAATAGCATTGAGTGAATCGAGTCCATGCGACGTAACCGAACCATTTGCGTCCATGTCCTCAGGCTGCAGCATCAGCACGGCACACAGCTTGCTCTGCAGGGCCTGGAGCACAATATCAAGCACATCCTGTGGTTCTAGCGCTTCACCTATTTGCTGCTTCAGCGGGCGTGTCGCATTGTCGCCGCCAACAGCTGCGGCGTGCGATGATATACCAGAAGACGGCAACAAATGCGTAAATTTGGCATCGTCAGCGTAGTAGCGCAGAACGGCGCTGCGTTCAAAGTCAAGCCCAAGCACACACTGGCTGCCGCATAGGCTGGTCATCTGGCCCTCGATGCTGCACTCCACCAGCGCCAGCACTTCCTTGACACTCAGCGTGATGTCGCCAATGTTGTCCAGCACCTGCGCCTGGCGATGGACATTGTCAGCAAGGTACCCGGCGTCCAGGACGGGCGTGAGCGCAATCGAGTTGGCGGGCATGCCGTGCTGGAGGCGGTACTGGGCAAATGAGTCGAGGAACGTGTTGCCTGCCGCGTACGCTGCTTGGCCTCGGTTGCCGACAATGCCTGTTAGCGAGGACAGCATGGTGAAGAAGTCGAGTTTGTGGTGGATGAGGGCTCGATGGATGTTCCATGTTCCGCGGACCTTGGCGCGGGTGACAGCTTCGAAGTCGTCTGCTGTCATTTCCTCAAAGAGCATGTCCTGGTGTACAACAGTTAGTGCCTTATAAAAGACAGAACAAAACAAATACGCACCCGTAATACCATTGCCGCTTGGATTACACCCGCCACCGGCGGCAACTTGGCGATTCTCACCATCAGCTCCTGGACGCTCTGCTCATCTGCCACATCACAGGCCTCGATATGAACTGACGTGCCCAAAGCTGCACATTGGTCAATCAGCAGGCCAAGTTCTGTGCTTGCACCGCTACCACTACCTCGCGACAGCAGTACAACGTGTCCGGCGCCTCTCTCTGCCATCCAGCCTGCAATGTTACGGCCGACGCCTCCGGTGCCGCCAATAATTAGATATGTACCGTTCGCGCGAAGCTTGCGAGTAGCCCGTGGGTGAGTAGCCTAGTTAGCATTTATATTGGTCAGCCGCAGTTCATCAGTCAAAGCTGGACTTCAAATTGTCTATTTGTTTATACCTTTGCCTGCTCTCCTGGCAGCGGGCGAATTACAATCTTGCCAGTGCTCTTACCACTCTGAAGGAGTCGCAGAGCAGCCTCGACTTCCGAAATTCCCATGACGGTAATTGGCGATACAGGAGATAAGCTTCCCTGTGCAAAGAGATCCATCACAGCACTTAGAACACGGCTCATAGTGCCGGGCCGCTTGTCACTCAACAGCGTCAGGTCCACCGAGCTAAAGGTGACGTTTCTGTCAAAGCATCTCATCTCCAAGCGCGTGTTCCAGGTGATATCGCGCTTCCCAATCTCGACAAAGCGCCCAAAGGCCGCCATGCAGTCCCACGTCTCGCTGAGCAAGTCGCCCGCCAGCGAATTCAGCGCCACATCCACGCCGTTGCCCGCCGTCAGGGTCTGGATAGCTGCTCCGAAGTCTGTGGTGCGGCTGTACAGGATGTGGTCCTCGCGGATCTCATACTTGGACATTAGCAGCTTCTTCTTCTCGGGGCTGCCTACTGTCGTGTAGATCTCGGCACCAATCATCTTGGCCAGCTGGATAGCTGCTTGCCCTACGCCTCCAGCTCCAGCGTGAATCAAGACCCGTTCACCGGGCTGTAAGCGTGCCAGCTCAACAAGACCATAGTATGCGGTGCAGAAGACCACGGGAATGGATGCTGCTACTTCCAGGCTCATGCCGCTGGGCACCCGTGCTGCGCTGCTCGCCTTGGCTCTTACAAACGTGCTGTAGGCGCCCAAAGACTTGCAGCATACTTGGTCTCCTACTGCCAGCGATTTCACACTGGCTCCCAGACGAGTTATGGTTCCGCTGCATTCTATGCCGATGTACGGGCTGGCAAGATGCCCTACGGCAATGACAGCATCTTTAAAGTTGGCTCCTGTAGCGGCAATCTTGACTTCAATCTCGTCATCAGCTAGTAGCTGCTCGTCAGGCTCATCCGTAAAGTACAGCGAGTCCAATGCGCCAGCTTGGCCTACCTGCAGTTGCAATCTACGACCTGGCTGTTCAAAGGCCTGGTGATATGGCTTCGCTAGCGGATTGCTTCGTCTATGTAGAGCCTCGTCCATGCCTGGGACCGCTACCAGGCGCGGCACGACCAAGCGGCTGGATTCCTGGGCAAACTCAAAGTCTTTGAGGCCGTGACTTGTCTCCGTGGCGTTAAGAATGTCTAGGGCCTCCAATACGAGCTGTGCTCGTGTGTTGATATCCGTCTCGCTGGGATCCAGGTCGAGCGTGGCCGCCTGCTTCTTATACTCGGAGCGTACCGTTCGGATGAGACCTTGCATCATGTTGAGAGTCGGATGCTGGGCATTCTTGGAAAGTCCAATGCTAACCCAAAGCAATGCTGCAGATTCTAACAGAAGCTGCTTGAGGGTAGCTAGCGTGCTGTCGTTTATGTCTGGAAGAATGGGATTCTCCACGTCGCAGAGAGCAATGTATGTAGCGTTTTCAACGCTGAGTTTGTCCAAAGAACAAATAGTTGTTCTATAATTCGTTATTTGTATGGAAAGAAGCTTCAACAGTTGCGAGACTAGTGGATCGTCGTCTCTCTCCGAAATGATGATAATCTGTTGTGTTGGACCCGTTTCACCATTTGTCTGTGGTGGTTCCTCACGAGTTGCAGAGGCTATCTTTGTGCCAGAAACGCCATTGGTATTCGTGCCATTGGTGGTTGTGCCATTGACTACAACAGCTGTTACACTTGTATTATTGTCAAATGATATCCCATTCGTGGTAATACCATTAGTAGTGGTAGCATTGATCCGAGGTTCTTCTTTCTTGGCGGGTTCCCACGTCATTCGAAAACAAAGGCGTCTCGGACTACAATCCTGCTTCTGGGTATCTCGAACAGGCGTCATTTGCACGCCGCTTAAACGTATCAAAGCATCCTTGTCAGTCGCGGCACCACGCCATCCTTCCACGTCAAAAGAAACGGGTCCCAGGCTACTATTAGCAGAGGGATATCGCGTCGCAACTACTTCCATAGAATGCGACGATATTAATCCAGTAAGGCTTTTGCTAAGTTCAAGCCGTTTAATCATTGTTGGCATATACAGCGTCTGCATTTCGTCTGTCCCGGCCCCTAGAATGGCAAAAGGGAAATGGAAGCACTGGTCAAGTGCAGCAGGATGTATGATATAAGGCGTCTCATACGCCACAGGCATTTGAGCGGCAGTATCCGGGACGTATATCTGACCTTTGGCGACTTGATCACTGCGTCTCAGCTGTGACTCTTGACGTAGCTGGAATAACTTGCCATACGATGCACCTTTCCTAGCAAGATTGGTGTAAAACGACACAACGTCCACAGGAGATTGGCACCCGCTATTTGCCTCAGTATGCAGAGCATGAGGGCTTTGCTGCTGCTCTACCAGATTTACAGACCTTGTCCGCACACCAGCTATTCCGTGGCAATGCTCCAGCCAGCCTCGGTGTTGCGCCCAGCTTGTAATGCGGAACTCGTCCCATTCGTCCGAATGCGCCCGCGTTCCTTGCGCATACGGCCGAAGAGACAGAATAAGCTCGTATTCCTTGTCATCTTCTATAAGCAGTGGGCGAGAAACGTGCATTTCCCGCACAACGTACTGGTCAAAGGCGGTGATGCCGCGGAGAGTTGCGCGCTGCTGAACTGCCTCCACAACCATGCTAATGTAGCCGGCAAACGGAAACGTAGTCAACGATTGCATCTGGTGCTGCTTGAGCCACGGCAAAAAGTCCGTGTTGATAATGTTTCGCCAGGCATGGTCCAAGTCTGTGGACTGCTCCGTGTAGACGCCGAGTAGATCATGTCTGCCAAAGGGCTTGAGCCTGCGCTGCTGACTGATGCGAGACTCAAACCAGTATGTCTCGCCTTGCCACGGATACGGTATAAGCTGGGTAATAACAGTAGGCTTATCCCGTTTAATATCGATACCATTTACAGCGCCAAAATCTAGAGTCTGTCCTAGCTGGTACAAATCACCCGCCAGTTTTGCCATTGTCTTGGATGCGTTCTGGTTCCGTATTAAAGACGGCATGTATCTGACGTCAGAGATTTGCGGGGATATAGATTGCAAGATTTGCTGAATAGGTCCTTGGAGAGCAGAGTGAGGACCAAGCTCCACGATCGCGGACGGTTGCGCTTGTTTGCAAAGCGCGGTCAGAGCAGAGGAGAAGAGGACTGGTTGTATCAGATTGTCGGTCCAGTAGGATGCAGAAAGCAGAGCATTATCCTCCATGACGCCGCCGTGAAGCGAAGAGTAGAATATAGCATCCTTGGGCAACATTGGCGCAACACCATCTATAGCAGCAGCGTAGTCGGCGGAAAGGAGCGCCATGTGCGCCGAGTGATAGGCAATGTCTACATACAGCTTCTTATTGGAGATATTTTGCCGGTCAAGCTCAGTGCTGAGCTTATCAATGGCCGCCGCGTCCCCTGAGGCAGTGGTTGACTGGGGAGAGTTCTCACACGCGACACAAACACTGGCCTCCAGACCAAGGAGACATATTACATCTCGCACTGTCGATGCAGAATCATGGATGGCAAGCATAGCTCCGCGCAGGTTCGGGTACTGAACCTGCAACTTGGACGCAGCGTCGCCTCGGTGGTAAGCAATCGCCAGTGCATCGTGGAGAGTCAGACCGCCAGCAGCAAAAGCAGCCGCGATTTCGCCGCTGGAATGGCCCAGGGTAGCAGCAGGCTTGATCTTCCAGCTTGACAGCAGCTTTACCAGGGCAATTTGAATAGCGGTGCACGCTGGCTGGCTAATCTGTGGCTCGTGGATGCGTGACTGCGCAGCGTCCCTGGTCAATTCGTCAACGAGGGAAAAGTCGGCGCCAAAGCTACGTAGATAGGCATCTGCAGCTAGTATGCAGTCTCTAAAGACAGCTCTTGAAGCCAAGAGTTCTCTTCCCATGGCGTGCCATTGTGCTCCTTGGCCAGTGAAGATGAATACAAGCTTTGGTGCTTTTGTAGCTCGACAGGGGACGGCAGTGGAGGATTGTATCGTCATTTGAAGCTCCTGGATGGACGAAGCAGCGAAAGCAATGCGCCATGGCATGTGAGACCGACGCTGGCCGAGTGTATAGGCCAAATTCGTGGCGAGGTGAGACTGTTCCTCTCCAGAGTGAGTTTGGACGTACGGTTGCAGCTGACTGCAGATATTCTCTACAGTCGTACAAGTGCGGCCAGATACAGGGTATAGTTTATAGTCGGCGTTGTCGGCTTGGCTTGGTGGCACTTGTGCTCGAGATACGGGTGGCGCATGCTGCAGAACGCAATGAGCATTGGAACCGCCAAAGCCAAGATTATTCACGCTGAGAAAGCGTTTATTACTAGGCCATGGCTTGCACGTTTTTGGTACCTATGCAAGTGCGTCCAAGTTAGTCTATATATCTTATAAAAGCTGATGTTATCGTACTCACTTGCATGTTCCACTCTGCCAGTGGAATCTCCTTGTTTGCCTTTTCAAAATTGATATTTGGCAATATTGTATTGTTTTCCAGCATCAGGGTTGATTTGATAATAGCCACGAGGCCGCTGACATTTTCCAAATGGCCTACGTTGGATTTCGCTGATCCCAGGTATAGCGGCTCCCTATCGCTTCGGTCACGTCCCAGTGCGTTGTAGATGGCCCTAGCTTCAATAGGATCTCCAATCTTGGTCGCGGTGCCATGTGCCTCGACGAAACCAACATCGCCCATGTCCAACCCGGCGCGCCTATAGACGCTTCGAATGAGCTGCTCCTGAGCTTCTCCGCTGGGAGTTGCTAAGCCTGTAACAACAAAACTATAAGCGTCGCTCGAGATACCAACCTTTGGGATTGGTGCACTCACCTACGGTTCTGCCATCTTGGTTAATACCCGTGTTGACAATGACGGATCTAATCGGGTCGTTATCCTTGATTGCCTGCTCCAATGGCTTCACAACAACACACGCGGCTCCTTCTCCTCTAGCATAACCCGGTTGTCCACGATGATCAAACGAGTACGTCTTGCTATGATCAGACAGTAACCTTTGCACTTATACATTAGCCACAACACCATCTAGAGACGTTGTATTAGCCTTCTTACCCCGACATGGACATGGAGATCCAATCATCCGGTTGCAAATTCACATGAGCCGCTGCAACAATACACATTTCGGACTCTCCAGCCCGAATGCTTTGCACAGCCTGATGCAGTGCACTCAACCCGGAAGAGCACGCGGCGTCTACCGTTAGACACGGGCCGCGAAGATCGAAAAAGTGGGAAATCCGCCCTGCCTGGATCGACTGGTGAGTTCCTGTTGCTTCAAACATGGGGATTGTTTCCAAGTCTCGTGTCGCTCCAAGATGGTAGTCTGCAGCTGCACCGCCAACAAATACTCCAACATGTCTTCCGGCGACGGCTTCTTTGGGTACGCCTGCGTTTTCGAGCGCCTCGTATGTACATTCTAAAAGCAGCCGCTGCTGCGGATCTATGATGCCAATTAGCCCGGCGAATCCCAATATGTATGCACAATGTTACGTTTATACCCATAGCACGCGCCTCTTGCTCCGTGGCATTAAAAAAGGACGCCTCAAACTTGGCCAAATCCTTGTTCAGGAAATAGCCGCCTGTAGCATTGAAACATCCCTTCTTCTGCGGATGAGGATGATAGAAGGCCTCCTTGGTAAACCTGTCCTGTAGGATTTCAGACCAACCGCTTCGACCCTTGGACAGCATATCTAGAAAGTCATTCACGTTGCAAACATTTCCGGGCAGCCGGCAGGACATGCCAATAATAGCAAGCTTTTCCGGCACCGCGGCCGGCTCAGGAGATTCCGCGCATGTCATTCTAACGGACGGCGAAGGTCTGATGGAATAAAGAGTTGGATATGACGACTTTTCATAAAGAGGTTAAAACGCAATATTCCGCTCAGTATGTTCGCAAGGAGGGGCAACAGGTCCGTAAGAGAGCTGGCTTATATTGCGGGTTACAGCCGGAATGCACATAGATAGTTTGAGCTTCATGTCGCTCTATGGTCTTGCGCAGAGAAAGAGGCTTCAAACAGCGGTCAAGGATGGCGAATCTACGACCTGTGGCGTTCATTTACAGTGACTGGTCATTCTATCTAGATCTGAAAAGAAAAGGTAAAGAAACGGCTGGCGATGGCGTTTGAACCATGGTCAATCAACCGGATACTACACAGTACACGTCAGAGTTCAGCTCGGCGCAAAGAATGGGAACCAGTATGTAGGTTCCAGGGCCGATCTGTCAATCGAACCATCCCAGCAATCCGGCACACACGCCACCAATAACAGGTACATACGCCCAGTGATTCCATTGGCCCTCCCCAATCAGATGGTGGCTGATCATGCCGTCTCCCACACATAAGAGCAACCCAACAAGCAACCCACGACCCTTGAGCTTATCATTACCAGTAGACCAGATGAGCGCTAACAGATAGCTGACCGCAATATTCCGGAGACCGTAAACGCGCATGATTGAGCTCGTAAGCTCCTGTGCTGTGGCATCCTTGGGGGCAGGGAAGCTAAATACCGCCGATAAAGCGGCGTCAGGGTACAGTAACGCGGCTGTACCAAACGCAGCGGGAAGAAGAGCCAGGGCCAGACCGCTGCACGAAAGAATTGAGTGAGGCATTTTGGCGAAATTGAAAAAAAAATTAAGCAGAATGGAGAAGATACGTGTGGGCGAGATGCAGGGCTTGTGCCGCGACAATGGGACGGCTTATAGATGGAATCGTCGGAATAGAGCCTAATTTAACCGGTTCGCAGCAGGGTAAGCTTGCAGTTTACGGCTGAGCGAACGCAACGGCATGCTTGCAGACGGGTCCTATCTCTGCGTGCGCCTGCATATGCATGGATGGACAGAGCTCGTGACGTATATGTCTCACTCTGTTGGAAAGTATCGAAAGAAACGGAAATCCGAAAGATGCTTTCACTGATAGCTGCACAAGTACGTAAAGCCTGATCAAAACTCCAAGTAACTTAGTGCAGGTTGGATACTTGGTATTTATTAGCAACCAACCCCATACTGAACACTGCGTCTAATTTTGATAATGAAAGAAATAGAATAAATATTAACAGTCATATTTAAACCCCCCAAAATAAAATACAAAAGATAGAAATCCAAGAATACAGTTGACAACTTACGCAGCACCACCACTACATCCCCAGGTAAAGCCACCAGCAGACTCTAAAGCATGGCCTGTGCACTTGGCAATGTTATCTCCAGTCCCCTTGACAACACGTTTCGGGGCCGCTGGCTGGTCAAGTATGATTGGGATCACGATGGTAAAAATAAGTTAGCAGTATGGATGGAGAAAAGTCCCGAGCGCCAAACTGTACCAAAACGTTAGACGTAGGACACATGTCCGTGCCAATACAATACAACAAAAAACCAAATCCTAATTTGTGCTTGGCATTGATTTCTCTCTTTTCATCTCCGCTGCTTAACACACAGCTTACCTATACCAACCCATCTATACAAAAACCCATACGGCGCTCACAAGCACGACAAACGCGGCAGCATGGCTAGCTTCCCTTTATTCACACGGCTACCACTCGAGATTCAAGAGGCAATCTGGAAAGCCGCTGTACCAGTTGCACGGCCGACTGTGTATCCAACTACGATACAAGGTCAACAAGAACGAGAAAACGAAGATGGTAGCTTTAATCTTAAAAATAAACTATTCCTACTGCATCTGACTAATGCAATGGAAGACGGCTCACCGAATAGCGAATACATCGCTACGCTCTCATCACTCCTCGTCTGTTGCAAGCACGTGTCGCAAATTGCCGTAACTGCTTATCAACGGAACAAGCCAGAAATTCCACTGACCATGCGCCGGTTGCGACATTGACATAAATGCTGCGTGTGATTTGATCATGCTGCACAAAGGCTGGGAACTGGTTCGTAGAACCGCAGTGTCTGAGGGTCCTAGACAGTTCGCACCGGAACGAGTTCTTCACAACAGTTCTGTCATCTGGCCGGGCCCGGCGGTGGAAAGTGCTTCTCATACCGAAATTGTGGCTGGCTTCTGTAGATTGACGACTTGGTGGAGAGATCTAGAAACATTGTACATTGTTGTCGATCCCAAGCACCTTGCGCAAAAGCATTGGCTGTATGAAGAGGATCGGTATTGGCTTTGCCTTAATGGCGGGGCTGGTCCCGACCAATTTACTACTTTTTTCCGCAATTACGAGAAAGATTACGAAGAAATGGGAGACAGGGTGTTTTGTGGAAAGGGGCGCGAGTATTTTGTCGTGCCTCCAGACACCGTCGCAGAAGCCGGAGAACTTGAGAAAGTGGCCAATGTAATGTGGGACAATAGGGATTGCCGCAATGACTTCCGAGGGACGAAAGTCGTTTGCCTTCTCATCTTGTCTTGGAGGGATATACAACATGACTGAGATGGCGTCCTCTATTGGAAAGGCTTGCTGTAGCATTGGGTCAGTTTCGTGATACTTGGCATAACTCGCTGGCTCCGACAATGACGCTTGTGGCGAGAGCCGAGTCGAATACTTTACAACAAGGCAAGAATGATTTTTTTAAAAAAGAAAAGAAAAAGAAGAAAAAGGAAGAGAAAAAAAGAAAAAGGCCAGTCTTTAGAGTCAATCTTGATTAGACTTGTCGTACCCAAATACACAAGTCCATCAATTGGAGGAAGAAACCTGCAAAATTGGATGACGATGAACAGTAGACAAGAACCAGGCGGGATCCCGACTGTTGCTATGCATACGTGCGAAGACTGTTAAAGACATTTACATTAGCAATATTTATATAGCTATGTTTTAGGCGCGTGCAAACTATACTAATATCATCTGCTAGGAATGGTCCGTAGTAATAAATACTGCACTAACTTGCTTATGCTATATGTGTGGTGAGAATTTTACCTCAATACACCCAGCCTCGCTGGGCCATATCTTCCCGAGACTTATAGATGCTCTCTGCAACATCCCGTATCCTTAAGTCTATATCCACAATACTCATGCCCTCCTGGCCGGTTTCCAGCCGGCCCAGACTACCTCGAATGGGCAGTGCTGCCTGACTTACACCCGCATACTCCCTCCCCAAGGCGTCTTTTCCCGGTGGCACCCCGTCCGCATCGCCCTCACCGGCACCGCCCGCATTAACATACAAGACGGCCGCCGTGTTTTCAAATGCGCGGGCTATGCAGAGCGTGTCTAGGTACAGAATGGACAGGTCCGGGTTAACGCCTAGCGCGGCATCCACGCTATCCGCCCGCAACCAGCAGGAAGGGATAATGATGATGGTTGCGCCGTCTGCTACAAGTGCCCGCATTGCTTCTGGGAAAGTAAGATCCCAGCAGATAAGCAGCCCGACTCTTCCCAAGGGTGTTTCAAAGGCCTTGTGTGGTTCTGGGTTAGGTGACGGTATCAGGATAGGTTTCTCTGGATGCCAGAGGTTGCGTTTCTGGTACTGCCCCAGCACGTTTCCCTCTGTGCCGATGAAGTAGCTAATGTTTAGCAACCTGCGATCTTCGATTTCTTCGCCGGGGACTGAGAGTAGGGTCCCTGGGACAATGCATATCCCAAGTTCTTTTGCCAGCGAACGGTACTGGTCTAGATACTTGGGTGTCTGTTGGGCGATGGCGTAGAGCTTGTCGCGATCTGGTATCCATGACGATAAATGGTATTCTGGGAGAATGGCAATTTCGGCTCCCTCATCAGCGGCTTTTCGTATAAACGACTCTGCCTTGGCGTAATTCTCCTCTGGTGCCAAAGGCTAGCCCCGGAGTTATGAGTGTTAGTTGACATTTAGATATGGCCGCAGTGGGAAGAAGAAATGTATTACCAACCTTGGAGTAGAGTTGAATAAGAGCGCTCTTCATCTGAATTTTTGTCTCGTTATTTTTTCTATATAATTTGATTTCTTAATAAAACCGTTTGTTTTCATTTAACAGGGCGACGGCTGGCACCTTGGATATAACATAGGTTGATAGTGTGGCATCGGCTCAGCTCGCATGAGATTGGTAATCAACAAAGACAGTTTTGACTAGCTGAAAATACTCGTTATTCTATTCGCAGAGATAAGTTTAGCGATGCAGGATTACCAATCGACGAGGTCCTCAAAAGGTTTGCCAAACCTGGTAGCTCTCATAGATTGTGGCCATCACAAAGTAGCGCCACTGCGCCTAGTGCTGCTTTCATACGTCGCAAAATAATTCTCTAAAATCGGAAAGAAAATCGTACATGCAGTATTAGATTAGAATTTACGTTTAATTAATGGTAGACGCTCCTAGGAACAGCATTATTGTAATGATTCCTCCACATTAAGTAGTGTGTAGCTAGTCTGCGCCCACTACTTTAGCGGAAAGTGTCTGATTTTCCCGACGCTCTAAATATAGTCCAAACACACTCTTAAACGTATTCATTTATCAAGATACGTTCTGTGCTAGAAAGAAAACGTATAATCTTGTAGAATACGTTTGATTATCTCAAATATTCTAAAATATAACAATGTTTTTGTCTAAGTTATACAAATAAATGTTGTTTTATCTCTGAACGCCCAGAAAATCAGTATCTCTCCGCTCAGGTAACAGGTTGCTCCAGCGGGTGGCTGCGGGACGCTCGTGTTTCACTACGAGTCAGGGATTTTAGGTTACGGGCTTTACAGGCGGGATCGACGTCCAGGATTGATACAAACTGTAGTTGGGGCGATCTTAAATGAGCAGCCCTAGAAGTCAAACACCACGATAATAGGGTACGGCATACAGTAGGACAGGCGCGCTTAATCTTTATGAAGGGCAAAAGTTTTATGAAATTGTTCCGCAAAGCGAGCAAAAAGCAAAAGTGTGTGACCTGCAGCGTTTGAATGGAAGCATGGCCACCCTGCGTAATGGGCTTGCAGCAGGGTCCCGAGCCGAGCTGAGAGAAGCCCGCCTTTACTTGGTCTGGAAACCAGACATTGGCCAGGTTTCGGCCCGTCTCTCGCTTCTCGAGACTAAATTGTCGCAGGTGGCCGCTTTCTTCTATTTGGGGACCACTAATACTGCGCTGCTCGGGTGATCATCGTGCCGTTTTGTAAGATAGAAGCCATGAACTGGGTCCAAACTCTGTCTACGCTTACATGGTGGGAACTATGGACCTGGCTAGCGAAACCTTGATTTTGTTCTCATGGCACCTGAGCTGAGCTTCCGAATAGATATCCATCCACGTTGGATGAGAAAAGAGACGGCGGTAACAATGCCTGAATCCGTCATCAAATTCATAGGCGAAATAGCCATCGTCATGGTAAAGCTGCTGGGCAACCGAAGCGACCTGCTTGGCGATGCAGCCAAAAGTGAATGAAGCCCAGATCCAGATTTCAACTCGCGCGCGTTCAATGGACGACCACGGTTGCGAATACAACCGCATTTTCATATGCTTCGAATTGCTCCCAAGAACAGCAATTAAATAACCCTTAGAAACAAGCTTTGTACCAAGATTAGCCTGTGACGTACTCCTATTGTTTTTTTCTGGCGGCCACCCCTTGTCCTGAATCGCAAGGTCTTCTCGATTAGGCTAGATCCGTGATACTACCACAGCTCCTTTGGCAGCTCCACCGATGCACATGGGAGAGTAGTTTAAAGGGAATTTCCCTGCCATCATCTTGTTTTTTTTGTTTTTGGTTTCTGATCAGTTTCTCCCTCATTCCATTATCCTCTTGTCCATCTCATACTCCCATACCCAACATCAAACACAATGAAGGTCTCAGCTTCCCTCACCACTGCTGTCTTGGCCGCCACTGTGGCTGGCAAGAAGGTTGTCCACAAGCACGGTCTCGGTGTAAGTGCAGCTGTCATACCTGGATTGCCTTTACCGCGACCCGTACTTTTGCTAATTGATGGTTGAATTAGTTCGATGCCCTCGAGGGCAAGACTCCCGGCCTTCTCTCTGGCGGTGGCAACCCCATGCCCTCGCCTTACAAGGACCTTATCTGGGCTGAAGGCACCTTTAGCGTCGTCAAGCTGTCTGGCGAGCTCCTGACGACTCTGCAGCCCAAGAGCAAGCCCAACGTCTTGGCTGTCAAGCCTGCCCAGGTCGGCTCGACTGCCGGTGCCATCAAGATCAACACCAATGTCGACTCGGCCAACTTCAAGTCCGTCTCATTTGCCTGTGTCGAGGAGGTTCTTGGAACTAGCGCCCCCGTTGGCTGCACCGTCGCCTTTACAAACACCGACCTCGCCGGTACTGTGACCAAGCGCACTGCTACCTACGATGGCGGCAGCAAGATGGCTACTGTCGCCCTTGACTTTAACTTCAAGGAGCGCTTCACCATCAAGGTCACTGAGGCTGGCCTTGTTGGCGATCTCGGCAGCCCCGTCTCTGTTGTTCTCGACAACTTTTACTATGAGGCCACTCTTGACCAGTAAATTCTCAAAATTGAAATAGTGGTAAAACAATAAAAGCAGCTTTTGCACATTTATGTAGTAAATAACGGGTCAAAATGACAACATGTTTTGTGTACTTTGGGGGCGTCTGTTGTGGTGATTTAGGTGGTCGATGCGAATCGTAGCATATCGTACAAGGAGGTATGTTTCGTAAATTAAAGAAGCCATATATTTAAGACATCAAAGCTTTTCAGTGCGCTTATACCGGTAAGGGCGTTACATTATTCGCAAATATTGCAAGTTAGCGTGTAAACTGTATTAACGTTAAGTAAGCTACCGATTACGCTGTTGCTGAGAATCTAGTGTTAAAATGCTACGCAATTGTGCCGAAGAAAATCAAGATTAGAGATTTTGAGAATAACCATAGCATCTATATATCATCAAAACTACTGTAAATAAGGATAAAATGGGGCGAGCATAGGGTAGTAATGGTACCCTTTCGAGATTATTTGACGGAAAACATGGCCTATGACAATGCACGATGAAATAACGGAACTACATTAACTGCAAGCAATTTGTGTGCCTTATATAAGGCGAGCTATTCCTGACGCACGTATTGCTACCCTCTACGGCTTAAGACCCGATGGTCCTACTGATTGCAGTTAACCCCAGAACCCCCAACGGACAATAGTGCCTCGAAGAGGAAGGTGTTGTTACGTGACCGCAATCACCCCCTGCTAGCCGACCCCGCTTCTGCACTGCAAGATTTGCCACCGGTTGCCGCGAGCCGTTGCATATTTCCCAACGTCTTTGGAGCTACTTTGGCGTAATTGCGAATAATAAAAGTAAGTAGTGTAACAAGAAATTCCTGCAGAGCTGCGTCGTCTTTCCTTTGTTTGTTTGTCGTAGAGTGGCTGACTTTTGTGGCAGACAAAGCCGGCCGCCAGCGATGTGTGCACCTTGCCGCCCCCCGCAGCCTGATTCACTACTCGCCCACCGTCAGCGTCCTGCGTTCAGACTAGCGGCGCCACCATGGAAAAGAACCTCGCGCTCGTGGGCTGAAACACCGGCGCTAAGATCACTCGCGCGGGGGGCGCATCACCTCTCCCCGACCGCGTGTGTGGACATGTGTGATTGGGGCCAAATCTCGGGCCAACTCGAGGTTCAGTGTGGGCGCTGATCTAGTGGCTCCCCCCCCCATCCCATCTACTTCTGTCGAACATCCCCGACCCAACACATCTACAACTCCTCGTTGTTGTCTTTACTTGCGGTATATATCATACACTGTGTCTCTCTTTCGTTTTTGTTTCTCGCACCAATCTGTCTTCCCCCTCAGCCCGTGAACCTCAAGCCAGTCCTGTCTATTGTACCATCTAGCACGCCGTGATCAAGATGGATACCCAGGACATTGCCTCAGGGCTCGCTGAGGACAAAACATTTGGCCCGCAGGTATCCTACCATTTCGATTTCACACTCTACTTTGAACAAATCTTCTTCACCCTTGTGCCCGCTTGCATCTTCATATGTTGTATGCCGCACTATGTGCTCCGTGTGCGACAAGGCACCAAGGTTGTCCGAGCTGGCTACTTGTTTTGGGCCAAGCTAGTAAGTATTAAAAGTTGGTTCTTTTTTAGACTTAATGCGCTAATACTTGCGCTAGGCATTGGGGCTCATCCTTCTTGGATCCCTGCTGGCTGATGTTGTCGTCTGGAGTACGCTGGCCACTTTTCGCACCAAGTTGGGCATTTTTGCTGGCTCGGTCAATTGTGTTGCCGCCGTCTGCGTGCTCTTCGCCCTCTATGCCGAGCATTTCTACTCACATCACCCGTCACTGCTGCTTGGTTTATATTTTGTGGTTAGCTTTATCTTCGATATTGCTATTCTTCGCTCCTACTCCTTACGCCAGATCATAAGCGAAGTCTCTCTACGCGCAGTTGTTCTTGCGAGCAGGGTGGGTTTAATAGCTTTGGGAGAGGTTTCGAAACGCTCCCTATTTATAAGCGACGAAAAGAAAGAGGGAACTGGCAAAGAAGCGGTCACTGGCCTTTTGGGTCGTGCGTTTTTTGTGTGGCTCAACACAACTTTCTGGCTTGGCTCCAAGACACATTTGGAAGTCAAAGATCTCGACAACCTTGACGAGGAGTTGAAATCGGCCAGAGTATGCCGCGATTTTCAACGTCACTGGAGTCAAGGTATGGCGTACCCTGTATTCGTGATATTGGCATCTACTAACAGCTGTATAGTAAACAAAAAGTCTCGATTTGCCCTGTTGAGAGCGTTTCTGAAAACTCTTGGGAAACGACAGTTGGTAATGGGTGCCGCCATCTGCTGGCTTAATGTCGCCTGCTCCTACCTGCAGCCATTCATCATCCAAGCTGTAGTTGCTGCAATGGGGGAGACAGACCTCCCTGACCACACAAGGAATGGCCTGATTGTCTCAACCATGTTGGCCTATCTCCTCTATGCGGCTACGCGTGCTTTCTATCAACAGGCTATGGCCCGCTCTGCGACTGTTCTCAGAGGCTCTCTTCTGTCAGCAGTCTTCGACAAAGTCACGGAACTGAATGTCAACCATTCGGAGGACGGAACAGCTCTTGCTCTCATAACCGTTGATATCCCAGGCATGGAGCAGATCCTCAAGCGCTTAAATGATACCGTGGGTGGTCTCATTTCCATTATTGCAGGCATTGTATACCTCTCCATGACAGTTGGTGCCGCCTCAATTTTTGCAGTTGTCCCCATTATTGTCGCTAGCATCTTGGCCTACATGCTGTCTACGCGAATTAAACGCACTCAGAAGAACTGGAATGATTCCATAGAGAGCCGCGTCAACGCCATCAAGGATGTGTTGGCCAACTTCAAGAGCATACGAATGACTGGTTTGACTGGTTTTTTCACTGCATACATGAAAGGAAAGCTCCGGGACGAAATTACTGCATCCAAGCACTATCGATTCTACCATTCACTCTTATTCGGGTTAGAATTGGTTTCCATTGCGATGACCCCAGTCTTAATTCTTGTTGGCACATTCTTGTGGACTAGAAAAGATGAACACATTCCCGTTGCAACTGTTTACGCGATATTGGCTGTCTCAGTCCTAATCATCGAACCACTTGGCCAATTGGTGCATACATTTTCTTTTTTGGCACGAGTATTCGCATGCCACGATCGCATTCAGGCATTTCTTGTGCTCGACCCAATGAAGGACTTCAGGAAGCCCCACAAAGCCAAGAATCGTACATCCTCGTCAAAATCAGTCGGTAATAGCAAGACTTTGCATGGGCTAGAGGGTACAGCCGTCGATGTTGAGCGGGTCTATAGCCGTCCTACCTCAGATGGAAGGCAGGTACTGCAGAATATCAGTGCATCTTTCCCAGCACAAAAGGTAACGGCAATACAAGGTTCCGTTGGAGATGGCAAATCGACTTTGTTGCAACTCCTTATTGGAGAGGTTCCGCTGTCTCGAGGTACTCTCAAGATTGAGGTCAACAATATCGCATATTGTGCTCAACTCCCTTGGATTCCAAATAAGCGTGTCAAAGATCTCATCAGTGGCCACTACCAGATGTCTGATGCTTGGTACAGAGAAGTGACACGGGCTTGCTGTTTAGATGCCGATTTTTCCACTTGGCAAACAGGGGATAAAAAGGAGACTGGAAACGGCGGTTCGAACCTGAGTGGTGGGCAGAAGCAACGTGTTGCTCTGGCAAGGGCATTGTATACCAAAAAGCCAATCATGATACTCGACGATATCTTCAGTGGCCTTGATGGGCAAACTTCCAGCGCTATTTTTGAAAACCTGTTTGGCCAGGCTGGCCTCTTGCGCAGATCAAAATCAACGGTCATTATGGTAACCAGCTTAGCGGAACATCTTCGCTATGCTGATAACATTTTGAGGTTTGACGAAAGCCGGTCTCTGGTAGAGGTTGACAGAGATAGCATTATGTCTCCTCCAGTATCTCCTGAAGATTTGGCTACCATCCCCAACAACGTTACTACTGAGGGATCGAGTCTTCAGAGCCATGCCGGGCCCCCCACGACACCAAGTAGTGCAACAAGTAATACAGGTGATATTGAGGCAGACGCGCAACAGGACGCAAGGCCATTTGACACAGTCAATGAAGTCTCGAAAGATGTCAAGGTGGACTCGGAGATTGATGACGGCTCTCCGGATACTGCAAAGAAACCCCCCACAGATGGCAGGGCATATTTTTACTATCTGGGATCATTCGGTGTACGGCGGATGGCCTTCTGGATAGTATGGATTGCTCTAGGTGAGGCTCTCTTTAAAGGCCCCAACATCTATTTGCGAGACTGGCTCGCAAATGAAGATTATGACAGGAACAGTCTCCTTGGCTATGTTCTCATTGCTGTTTCCGGTGTTATATTCTCAACTTTGTCCATCCTGTACTACTTCGTTTTTCTAATCGCTACGTCATATGACAACATCCACAACAAACTCCTCCATGCGACCATGGCGGCCACCTGGCAGTTTCTATCAACTACCGATACCGGCAGTCTGTTGAACAGATTTGGCCAGGACATGGTTTTGTCAAGCCAAGATCTTCCGTACTCTCTCATGTACGGCTTGATGCAGTTTTTCAGCGTCCTAGTTGGAATGGGTATTATTGCGAGTGGTGTGTACTATGCGGCTGTGGTAGTTCCACTGTTCTTTGCCTTTTTGGTCCGCCTTCAACGCTTCTATTTGAAGACTTCGAGACAGATGCGGCTGTTGCAGATCGAAGCCACGGCGCCTTTGTATACGTTATTCAACGAAACAGCATCTGGAATTCAACACATCCGCGCCTTTAAATGGACATCATTCTACCAAGAAGAGCTTATCGAAACGTTGGATTATGCCCAGCGGCCATTTTATCAGATGCTCAGTATCCAGCAGTGGCTGTTCCTAGTGCTCGATCTGGGTGTCTGTGCTTTGGCAACAGTTGCCGTTGCTTTAGGTCTCTATATTCGAGAAACTTCGTCTGCAAACGGTCTTGGTCTTGCCTTAATCAGCTTCATTGCGCTGAGTGTGGAAATTTCGCTCTGCCTCCGTCATTGGGCAGATGCAGAGACCTCTATTGGCGCAGTATCAAGAGTGTTGGACTATGAAGAGTCGACACCAAAGGAGCGGCAGCTGACACCGGACGATGATGATGATGATGCGATAGACTCCTGCTGGCCAGAAGAGGGCCGCCTTAATTTTAGCAAAGTGATTGCACAATATAATTCGGCAGATCCGAATTCACCGCAAGCACTCATCGACGTAGCCTTTGAGGCTCGCCCGGGGGAGACGGTTGGCATCATCGGTCGAACTGGAAGTGGTAAATCATCTATCCTCATGGTGATTCTGCAAATGATGGATTATGTTGGGTCTATCCAGATTGATGGAGTAGAACTAAGGAGCATTCCTCCGGAAACCATACGGTCACGCATCACTACCATTACGCAAGATACAGTCCATATCCCAGGGTCTATCCGACTGAACATGGATCCTTTTGGGGATAACGTGGGCCGCTCTGTAAATGACAAGGAGCTGGTTGATGTTTTGCAAAAGGTCGGCCTGTGGGAACATATCGCACGTCGGGGTGGACTTGATGCACTTTTATCAAAAGTCAAGCTATCTGATGGTCAACGACAGATGCTAAACGTCGCTCGGGGCATCGTGCATCATATTCGGACGGATTCTCGAATTGCGTTGCTGGATGAAATTACGAGTCAAGTAGACTCTAAGACAGATGAACAGATCCAAATTGCTATCAGTTGCTATTTTAGGGACTGTACAGTACTGGCTATTGCTCATCGCCTTGAAACTTTGAGACACGCGGACACTATTATGACTGTCACAAGCGGCCGTATCTCAGTAATTTCATCGGCAAGATATTGGTCGAGAACGAGCGACATGTCTAGTGGGCAATCAGGCTCTTCTCGAGACATAACACTTACATGCTCGCAAGCGCCAGAATCCATTGAGCCACCTGAGCAACCAGATAGAAGGAGGCAATCAAGTCCGTGCCAGCCAGTGTTGCCCTCTATTTCGGCAATTATAAAGAGTAGTGAGCAAAACCGCCATGGCCCGGCTATATCTCCTTCGATTCCTACGGAAAAAGCCGATGAAGCCCAAAAGCCATGTTTACCTTCCATTAGGCAAATTCTAGCGTTTAACGCGGCGAACCCAAGCGTCAAACTATGCTTCAAACAACAGGAACCACAGGTTGTTAAAAAGCACAAGGCTTCATCCGGTACCTTGTCACAGAAGCAGCCTCTCCCACCAATCTATGAAAGAGATAGCATGGACAGTGGCACGCACTTCACGGATTTGATCAGACCATCTCTGTCGGAACGGACAGCTCCTGATCCTTGGGGTCTTCTACCAGCGAAAGCCAAGGAGGACGAAGAAGAAGACTCAAGCACGGAAAATGGAGGCCTAAACTTGAACAGCCAAGGAGATGAGCAAATGGGACTGGGAGAGATAGTGACAGGATGGCTGGAGCATGTGGAACATGACAAACTTGGGGTACATCAATGTTGGCAGGAAGAGGACTTGGGACATGAGATAGCAGCGGCTGCAGAGGGAGAGCCAAGAAAGGGAGTCGACGATGGATCAAACGGTTAGCAACGCCTGCGTTGGAGTTTTTGCTCATTACAGCTAGTTTTCTTTTTTGTACATAATGCACAGTATTTTGCATGCCAGAGACTTTTTTTTTCAGTGACCAGTGTTTTCATTATCGTGAGGCTATCAAACTGATATCCGTGCTCTTCCAACGCCCTTCTCTATAAAAAAAACGCAAGCGCTTCACATGCTACCGTGTCGTGTCTTCCACCAAGCGCGCTTTCTTCTTTTTTTCTCCCTTACGGAGGTGTGTGATCATCTACTCTCAGCCTCCCGCATGTTGTATTCATGCATGGCTCCCGTCGATTTCGACATTTCATTCTTATCCCGGGACTATTTTGTATCGGCTAGATGCTTAGTCGCTTTACTCTTCATCGCTGATCTGTTTCTGTGTGTTAGCAGATTGTACTAGAACGAGTGACATGTGGGTGGAAATATACCTTGGGGGCGAGGTAGAAGCGGAGGTAACTGCTTCCCGAGAGGTTGTACTCAACCAACAGAGGAACCTCGTTGGAGAGGCAGATCTTGACTTGGGTGGAGAGAGCGGCGGCCTTGCAGAAGTTGACAAGGTACTTAAGGGAGAAGGTCAAGGAGACGGGCTCGGTGAGCTCAATGTCGACGTTGAGCTCGGGCTTGTCCATGTTGGTGTGGCTGCGGAGGGTGACGGCACCGTTACCGATGTCACCGTTGGAGGAGAACTTGACACCGTCCTTGGAGGCCTCAATGCCAACTGCGCGCCATTGACTCCGTTAGCTTTACGAATTCTAGCACGGGCAGTGGTGGGTATTTTTGTTTTCAACTTACCAGACTCGGACATGGCAGACAAGTCGGTGCAGATTCTGCGGAACTCGGCAGCGGGCATGGAAATGGAAGCGGCGTACTCAGTCTCAGGAATACCAAGATGCTCCTGGTCAATGTCCATGAGCTTCAAGTCATACTCGCTAATGCGGTCGTTCTCGCTGCTCTCAAAGACCAAGTTGAGCACGTCGGGGGCATCCTCAGCCTTGAGCGTGAGAATGTCTTCGTTCTGGGCAGCGCGGAGCACCTTGGTGAGCGAGGTCAGGTTGACACCGAGGGCGATGTTGCGGTCGCATCGGTAGGGAGAGAAGCCCTCGGCCTTGAGCATCATGGATACCAGGGCAACGTGGGAGTTGTCCATAGCCTGGAGGGCGATACCGGAGTCATTGCAGTCGAAGTTGCAGTCCTGGACAAGATCCTTGATGGCGTCGACCACCTGCACGCGCACAAACAGTCAGCACTTGGTCAAGTGTAGTCGCGTGTTGCGATTCGTACCTTCTTGAGGATATTGGCCTGTTCGAGTCTAGCCTCCAACATTTCTAGAATTGCGCATTAGCTTTATTTCTCTTCTTTAATCAAGCAACGGCGCCGTTGTGCGCAAACCGTTTCGAGGGGAGCGGGGGTGAGAAGAGTGTTCAAGGTGAGGGGTTGCTTCGCGGAACGTACTGAGAGTTGTGTATGTGAAGAAGAAGAAAAAGGTTTTAGAATAGGACGGCTGCAAGCTTGACAAACAATGGATTGTCAGGAGAATTAAAAAAAAACAGAGGTTCGCTTTGGAGATGTCAACGCTGAGAAAGGAAGAGAGGAAAGGAAAAAGGGCAGAGCAACCACTTAACACGACGCGCGAAGCTACAGTGGGGATCTGCCTAGCGAGACGCGTCGCAGGGCGCTGGTTGGTGGGGAGGGGGAGAGCTGTGGGCAGAGCAGGAAAGAACGCCAACGTGACGCGGCGCGGGGCAGGCAGCGAGAGGAAGAACTAGACTATATGGCGAAGGGGGTAAATAAACTATAATATAATATAATGTATGTGCGACGCAAAAGAGGGCGGAAAGTGCAATTGTCTCCAGCATTTGGACCCTGGGCTACTGCTACTGCTGCTGCTGCTGCGTCTATGCAAGGGAAGCATGAGGCCAGGGCGCCTCCAAGACAGTGAGCATAGTACACAACATGTAATATAAATAGTTACTGGCACTTGGGAAACAATATACTTAACCAGAGAAAAACAAAAGAATAGAAAATGAGAACAAAGTCTGAGGGTTGCTATTACTGCGAATGACTCTAGGATCTGCTATATATATCCATGTACATATAAAAATATACTCCAGTCCACGGCAAAAGATTAAAATTATATGCTCCAGAAGTAAATAATGTAAAAGAAAAATGTTCAGAAAAAAACGCCAGGGGGTACGGAAGGAAGCCGAATGTGTATATATGTTTCGCGGACTTGTCTGTGTCCCGGCCTTGCTTTATTGGTGGTCATCAATGGGTCGTTGTGGTGGTGATTTACAAAAAGATAATGCGGTGTAGTAGTGGTAGAAAAAGAAGAAGAACGAGGCCGCCTTGCTCACATCGACAAGCGAGATACCTTGGGTGCCGGTGTCACTGGTGGCGCGCTCGTACGGTTTTGAGGTCGCAGATTAATCACCGTCTCCAGCTCTCGCAGCATGCCTCGCGTGGCGTCCATCTGTTGGCGTGCTTGTGCCTTTTGCTCCCGCTCTTCCTTCATCTTGACGATGCGCTCGTCTCTGGTGAGGAGGCTCTTGGGGCGAGGACGGGCTACCGCCTCAAACACTTCGGGGCTTTCAAACTCGGCTTGGTCTTGCTTGGGGGACGTTGTCGGCGACTCGCCAGTCAGCGCTTTAAGGGCATCGGCAGCGTTTCCTTCATACGCAGTCGTGACTCCGCTCACAGAGCTTCGTGGAGACAACAGCGTGCTCATGGAAGAAAGCCTCTTCTCGTTTCTATCGATTCCGTGGGCTAGTGCCGCCTTGCCTTCCTCCCAAGCCGCCATGAGTTCCTTTAGATCCACACCAATGGAGTCGTACTGGGCCATGAGGTTGGGACCCATTTCCGATATATCGGTAGAGTCGTCCAGAGCCCGGTCAGATTCTTCTCGCAGCAGATGCAGCTTGGCCTGCAAGCCGCGGATGCCCGTTGAGAGGGAGCCCAGCTTCCGCAGCTGCGATCGCCAGCGCTCACGGCCCGGTGTCAGAGGCACTTGTGGTGTGGGTGGAACGGGGAACGACTCTTCTTCACTCAAAATAGAAAAGAGCTTTTCGTAGGCCGGTCGAGTGGCCTTGTTCAAATTGCGTAGAGCCTCAACCACTGCCGTCCAGCGAAGCAGATCAGGGCGCTCGCCATCAGCATCTAGTGCCAGCATGGAGCAGAGCAGCATCTTGCGTATTGTGAAGAAGCGGGCTGCCAGTGTCTTTAGCGTGCGCAGCGACTCAAGATCGTCAAACTCGGATTCTTGGTAGCCCTGCAGCGCGTCTGATATGTCAAAGTCGCTCACGTCGTACATGTCGTAGTATTTTTCGAGCTCTGTTTGATCTGAAAATCCCTGTACAAGCGTGGCCATCTTTCCATATGTTTCCAACACTTCGGCAAAGGATCGCTTCAGCGCTTTTCGAAGTCGAACGCACTTGCGACTTTGTGTTCTGTCTTCTAGTCTGCTGATAGGCGGTAGCGGTGCGCTGATTCTATAGCCGCGGGAGACCAGTTCAACTTCCTGGACCAGGGCTAAAGTCGCTTCTGTGGCGCTGTCGAAATCGAAGGAGGTGGCTACAAAGGTTGTCATTTCCGCCAGGGATTGGTCTCGGCGGTACCTCAACCACTGTCTCCGCATATATACTTGTCCTACGACGATAGAGGCGACGAGCAAGACGATTAAGAATGCCATACGTTTCCGTGTGACGTATGTCTGCGAGTCTCCAAACACCCAGCTTAGGATGACGGCAATAACCAGAGCACCAAGAACAGACGCAAATATACCTTCTGTCGACAAGAGAGACTGTGCATGTTCCTCAGTGTTCGGGCCAAAGGCGTTGGGTCCATTCTGTCGGCGGCTGGCTACAGAGTCTCCGCTGAGAAGCTGCGAGGCGATGATTGTATAGCGGAACTTTTCGAGAAACTTGGCATTGTCGGCGCGGTCGATGCTAGCGGCAACGGCAACCTGCTCTTGTTAGCTTATCATTCTGGTCTCAGCCACCACGGATGCTGTGAATGTTACATACAGAGCAATTTCGTCGGAGAGCACGGAGCGGTGATAGCCGCGTCACCGGGGTGGCACCTGTTTCGAGAGGATATGGAACCGGCTTCCTAAAGCGAGACTTGACCATAGGTCGTCCTGTCGGAGCAAATGGCGACGGGCTGGCAGGAGGTGACGTATCCGAGGTCATGGACTGTGGTCTGTCGGATATGCTCTCGGTAGCAGGTGCCCAGTCGTGGGAATCGGAGCCATCGTCTTCATCTGTCTGGCGTTAGAGCAGCTCGTCCGGGCGAGTATGAGGACGGGGTAGCATTTACCTTTGAGGTAATCGGCCAGTGGCGATTCCTCGTACACGACAGGCTCCATGAGAATTATAGGAAGGGCCGGATGCGTAGGGACGAAGAGCTGCATGCGCACTCAACGCATACGTTGGGCGTCGGTGTCGCTGGACGGGATCAGGAGGCGGGATGGCGAAGGAGCATCGGCCGAGAATTGCCCCCAAGGCGGCGTCGGAGCAGCGAGAGGGGAGACGGCGATGTCACGGTGTTGATAAGGGGAAAAAAAAGGAGCGTAGATGAAGAAGAAAAGAAAAAAGATACAAAGGGAAAATAGGATGACTGGCCAAAAAAATAAATACGCCAGTAATCCAAGGCGTATGCTGTTGAAGCTACAAGGAGCCGAGGACCAAGTGTTGTTTTGGTGTCCTGTGCTGTGTGGTGCAGGTGCAGGAGGCTGTGTGCAGAGCAGGCGGACAGGGGAACGGCCGGTTGAGCGAGAAAGAGGAAACAGGCCCGAGTGGCTGCTGTAATCAGCTGCTTTCCAGCAGGCTGTGGGCGTTACAGTGGGTGCTGGTTTGGGTTTAGTGTGATCGTTTAGGCCCGTGGATCCCCAGATTAAAGGAGACGAGAACCAACACGCAAAGACAAGGACGCGTTTGCGCCGAGGGGTGTGTGCTTGGAATGGAAGACGGGGCGTTTATGCGTGTTTAAAGAGTAGCCTTTTCTTGTCTCTAAAGTGGCGTGTCTCGGGCAATTTAAATAGTTAATAGCCCAGTCTTCATGCTGTAAATAGGGTGTCATGCGCACATGGTGTGTGCCAGGTGCTGCTGTTGCTACTGCTACCCGGCACAGTCTCGTGACAACGGCTTGGTCGATGAAGCACTCAATAAAGGTGTCTTTTTATTTTAATTTATGCTTCATATATGTTCTTTAATAGACGTAGAAGCTAATTTTTCCAATGCATGTTATTCAGCGTCCTGTATCGAAATCTGTGATACTTCTTTAACAGCAGCTGTCCTTCGTCTCTACCGCATAGTAGAAGTAGATGTAGCTAACAAAACTATCATATCAAACAAGGGTGAAAAGGAATAAAAAAACTACAAAATAATTCAATAAGCCCCAATCACAAGATTAATAAATATCATATATATATACCTTTACAGAATTTACGTGACTGACTCCTCTGCCATTCTTCTGTGCAACCACTCACTACCAACCAACAGTCCAACGACCCAACCGGATTTTCCGTTTCGCCGCTCCGAGCCAAATCTCCGCAAGCCATACTCCCGCTTCGCCCAAACCAGCTTGCTATCCTCAACAACCCATCAACGAAAAACCACGACACAACACCACGCCGTCCATCCTGCACGTCGCCAATGACTAAGTCATGCCAATTGCCACCCAGTAATTGCATTGTATACTAGTCGCGACCATGGCCGTGCGATACCAGGCTCAATGCCGTCGGGCCGTCCCTCGCGTAGCATCGACTCCCAGCCCAGCCATCTGGGTGACAGACAACATGCTTCGACAAGCCATTGCACGATTCCAGCGACGTACGAGCCCCCAGAGACGCCGACTCAGCTCGCACACGGGTCCTATCGAGAGCCGCCGCAAGCTGGGCAAGCGCCACATGACGGGCATGATGCCAACCACTGCATACAACCAAAAATGGCACTTTGAAGTGATTCCCACCATGACCGGATGGCAGTGGCAGGCACCGACAACGCGTGAACAGCGAAGAAACCGAAAGAAAGACGTCACTGTATCCGCCATCTTCAACGACTTCATTGGGTGGTTGGAAAAGTCGGATGCCGATAAGCCGTTCCTCACACCACCTCCCGACGCATCATCTCTCAGCATGCCCACTGAGGCTTCAGATCTTTATGCTCCATTCTATGTCCCGCCAGAAATTGCGCAGCTCCGAGATGCTATTATGCAAACTGCCACAGTCGATGTAGCGACACTAGGCGACATTGCGCGAACCTGTCAGAGCGCTCTCAAATCGCGCGTTCTGCATGGCAAATTCTCAGCAGAAGAAATGCTCAGCTTCATGGCGCCCTTGGACGCAGCGACACAAGAGAAACTTGGCGACCGCCGTCTCATCAACCTCATCACCAGCCAAGCACAGCACGGCGTCATTAGCGCCATGTCCAGAGCAACCAAAACTAGCCCAGAGATTGTCCCAGACAGCTTGTGGTCTGCACTGGCATCCTTTATTTGCTGGAAGAACAGCACGAGCCAGGATATCAAAGTGTTCACCAAGCTCATGAAGCGAATTCCGGAGCACATCAAGGCCAGCATCCCCCCGACGCAGATTTTCAACTTCTTCCAAGGTCGCATTGCAGCACTCGCTGCGTCTGTCAACGGCTCGGGACGATGGCTCTCGCAAGCGGAAACCGCATCGATTGCTTTACAAAGCCTCACCGACGCTCAAAAGCAAACGCTCAATGCACAGCTCGCAGCCTGGCTTACAGTCACCCAGCCAGCAGCAGACAGCAACAGCAGCTTCCAATTCGCATGGCTCCTACTGCAAGCCTACGACCCGAACATGTCGCAAGCGTCTTTCCTACAGACATATCGTGTGATCTCTACAGACCTCAATGATACGCAAAGATACCAACTCTTACTCTCTCGCCTTCCAACCCTAAACATCCTCTCTCAAGAGCAACACGCTGTGCTCGTCACCACAAAATACGCATCCATGAGCCACCGCTGGTCCGCCCTCATCCAAGCCACGCCATCCATCTCCATCCCGCACCTCCACGAGCTTATCACCGAACTCCACCTTCAACCTGCCGTTATTGATCATCTTGTCTCCTCGCCCACCGCTCGCCTCCAGATGCAAGCTATCCGCGCCATTGCCGCCCACTGCAACGACCACACCTTCGCCATTGCCCTTCGAGACGCCCTTTTCGCCAAGCACCATGACATCGCGCGCCGCTGGCAATGGCAAACGTGGTCCAGCCACATGGACGCCATGATTGCCGACGCGTCCTCTGAAAAGCGCATTTGGCAGCTCCTCAACATTACGCAGACATCCCACTCTACTGCTTCCGAGACGCAGCAAAAGCTGGAGCTGATTGATCGCATGGCTGCTACCTACGCCTCCACTACGAAATTCAGCAACCGCCAACTACTGCGCCGTCTGGAATCATGCGCCCGCGCCCAACGCATACTCAGCGGCCGTGTCTCTGACACCGTGATTATCGAGATCATGAACGTTGTCATCAAGGATCTTGAACAGGGTGGCCGCGGTCGCTCTACGCGCATGGAATGGCTTGTCAGCCTGGTGGAAGAAAATCAGGGCAAGGAACGGGCACAAGAAGTGGCAGCTAAACTACAAGGATGGCGATGGGTCATTGACCAAGAGACCACTACAAGGTAACGAAGCTTAAATGCACCGCTACCTCTATACATAGAACCGTATATACATCAATTCTATACAGAACATATTAATTACAAACAGCCACTTGGTGCTGACTTTACACATCTTCTACGACTCTTCACATGTTTGCGATTAGGCTTTGTAAACGTATACCAAATATATTGGAAATGAAGCTATATAGTAGCAATTTTGCAAAAAATAAGAGTACTAGAAAAATATAAACATGTACAAGCATAACCCATGATACAAAAAATAGTCGACCAAAAATACAAAAAACAGTATGCAAAAAAAGCAAACCAAAGCCCTCCCAAAAGAGCCTCGGTATCAGTTTCCTCTTCATCCGTAAAAAATAAATAAAACAGTTCATGTGCAGAAGAAGGTAATCTGCACCCCGTGATTTCCAATCTATTTGTGTTGTTGTTCCCCAGTGTATAATTTCCCATTAAAAAGTCCCCTCACCAGCCAAGCAGCGTGGTAGGTATTTGTACGATGGAAGCGTGTCCCTTTCAAACGCCAGGCAAGTTCGTCTCGATACAGCCATATTTTTTGTTTCATTGTTTAGTGGTCCATGAACTCAGAGTCAGGCATGTCTGTCATAGGCTCAGTCATGGCGAGACTAAGCCTGCTGGGGGCGCCGAGAGAGGCACCGCCAGCGTCGCTGCCAGGTGTGAGATGTCTGCTGCGGCTATCGCGAGCAATAATGACCTGGGCAGGGCAGACGACGATTTCATCGTCGCCAATGCCGCCGTCATCGCCCTTCTTTACGACAAGAGGGAAGAGGACGACGCGAACAATGGCGCCCTGGGCCTCGAGCTCTTCGTTGGTGGCGGTGTTCTTGGGGTCGCGCTCATTCATCATCGAGGCGTTGAACTGCACAGTAGCGGCTAGTTCGCCGTCTGCGTCATATTCGGGCTGCAGCGGCGGGAGCATCATGTACTCGGCCTTTTGCGTGCGCATCTCTACTGCAAGGTCGACAGCCTCGGCCATGACACGGCGAAGCTGCGACTGAATTTGTGCCTCCAGGTTGCTGGGGGGAGGCAGGATCTTGCAGAGAGTCTGGAAGATGGCCTGGACAACGGCCTCGGTATCGAGGTCGCGCTGCTCCTTGAAGCTCTCGCGGCGGGCCAAGAGCGTCAAGGTAACCGCACGCCATTGGCGAACGGCTTGGATGGGGCCAACTTCGGTAAGCAGCTTCTCCAGCGACTTGAGTTTTTGGCGTTGCTCACGGTCCATACCAAAGAGGTATCTGGTAAAGACAAACTCCCAAATCATGTTCATGGTCATGGACATGAAGATGTCTCTTCTCTTGACACGGTCGTTGAGATAGGTGTCCACGTCGGAGCCGTCGAGAACGGCATTGTCGAGGCGATCAATAGTCTTTTCATCGTTGATCTCGCTCGTCAGACGGCACGCGCGCATGTCAGAGAATTTGGAGAAGCGCAGGACCCATTGCTGCACGTGCGAGCAGAGCTGTTGGCAGCGGTTGTCAAAGTGGTCTTCATCTAGAATGTTGAGGAACTCGGCGTCTTCGGCCTTGGTTTCAAGAATCTTGCGCTGCATGTCGCGGATTTGTTCCTTGGCGGCTTCGAGCTGCGCGCGCAGGTCGGCAATCTCGGCATCCTTGTCTTGGAGCGATTGCTGGTAGGTGGGAGAAGCGGCGCCGTCAATGCCGCGGGTGCCATCGCCGCTGACATGGAGATCGGCGTAGCGGGCGCCGTCCTTGTTGACGGCCAGCTCGGCGTTGGCACTGGTTAAGCCCGCATTGACTTCTGTGAGGCGAGTGACTTCGGTCTGGAGGAAATGTAGTGACGCCTTGAGAGACTCAATCTCGGAATCCTTGTCTGACAGCGATGAAACACCTCGGGTGCCGCTGTCTTGGCCGCGAGCCTCTGCTAGCATACGGTTCTCCGCTAGCAGCTGTTCGACTCTGGATTCTAGCTCAAGGACTTGCATGCTTTGTCGGCGGCGCATGCTATGGGGTCTAGTGGGCGATCTAGGCGAGCCAATGCGGCCTTCGCCATAGCCATCCTGGAAAGCGGCATAGTTAGTATTTGCGGTCATTTGAAAAAATCGTCAACGGCGGTATAAGGTGCGTGTAAGTGGGCGTGTAAATCATTTCGAAGGCGGGCGCAACAGGGTGCTTCCGTCATCGAATGGAAAATGCAATGAAAATAAAAAAAAAATAAAACATCGCAAGATGAATCCGTATGTAATGCGTGTCGCTTTCGTTCTTTTTTTTCGTTCTTTTTTCCTCCCCAGAAACAATAGGATTCATACAAACAATGGAAACAATGTGGGAGGCTGGGGAAAGCTTTCCCCCCCGCCAAATGGTAATGAATTTTTTCGCAAAAAAAAACAATAAAAAACAGAAAAATCAAGTGCAGCGATCCCGAACAAAAACTGTTGCAAAATTCAAGGGACACTCACGTATACATCGGCCATGTCCTTGGAGCGGACACGCCCTTCGTTGGCAATTGGTGGCGTGGAGTTGTTTTGTTGACGCAGAGCTCGAAGGTCGCCGCTCATGCGCTTGTCGACTCGCCGCAGAGGTGGCGGGGTGGGCGTCGAGGCAGAGCGGATGCCTTGGTTGTCAGGCACCAGCTTCAGTGGCTCAGGTGTGCGTTGCCGGGACAGGCTTGAGTTGGACGCCGATCGCCGCGCGGCTGCGGCCCGAGGCTGCGGGTCTCGGTCGTGGTGCGTGTAAGAGTCGGACACGCTGCGTCGCTGGTCTGCGGACTCTTTGCTGTAGTCACCAGGCACAAGCTTGTCATCGCCAGAGCGCGACTTTGAAATAGTGGCTGCTGCTGCTGCTGTAGATAGTCCAGCAGCTGCTGCACCCCCAACGGCGCCGTAGTGTTTGGAGGACGAGCGCTTCTTGGACGGGTCTTCCGAGATGGAACCCGTGGGAGACGGCTCGCGCAATACTGGTGTGCCGCGTGTAGCACTTCGTAGTCTGTGCTCGCTAGGCTCAGGCGTGCGCAGATCCAGTTCGCGATCTGCCCATTCGCCGCTGTGGACACCGCTGTCGCGATGGCCATCGCCGCCGCTGCGACCAGGGCTGCGTCGTCGATGCGATCGAGGCGATTCGGGCACGTAGCCGCTGTCGCGGTTTTCCTCTACTATGCCTCGCTTGGTAGGAGTAGGGATTGCCTCACCCTCGACATCGGGGTATTCTTGAACGGGAGGCAACCCTCTTGTTGGCGAGACCCTGGTCGTGTCTGAGAACTCGGATCCCATCATGGGCGGCGAGCGCTCCTGTAAAAGGCTCTCTGTGTGCTCTCTCATCTTAGAATCGCGACGTAGCAGCTCAGACGGACCGGTAGTATGATGGTGGCTGTTGCTGCTGCCACCCTCGCCTCGGCCCAGTACTGGGCTCTCAACATAGTCGCTGTCCAGACTGGCACCTTGCTTGGCAGTCTCCTTCCATCCGCCTTCGGACTCGGTGGTAAAACCGTCACTTGCAGGCGTGGGAAGGCTCTCTTGTGCGCGAGGAGTCTTTGATCGGTCCTCGTCTTCTTCCCCATCACCTCCTCCCCAGAATGCTTCAGAATCCTCAGCATATCTTCCTCCTACAACCTTTCTCTCCGCACCCTCCCATACAGCAGGATCGTCAAAGATGTCATCGTCGTTGGTCGTCCTCTTGTCAATCACCTTCTTCTTTTTCTTCTTATCCTTCTTCGACACTTTACCTCCACCAAACTTCTCCGAAAGCATCGCAACTCCTCCCGTCAGCGCAGCAGCAGCAGCAATGGCGTCCGTCGAGTCACGGCTCGTCTTTTTCTTTTCGTACGAAACAGGTGTGCTGGGTTCCGCATCCAAGTCCATTGCCATGGATCGATCAATCTGCTCTGGTTCGGCGCCGACGTCAACTGGTGGAGGCGCTACATCAGCCTGCTCGACCACTGGTATATGTTCCCCTGTCTTCTCCTCGTCAATAGATCTGGTCGACTCAGTGGGATGTTCAAATTCATGCCTGGGATTTTCATCTTGCTTTGCAAACTCGTCCGTAGACTCGGTGGGCGGGGAATTGTCTTTGCGCGCAAAGAAGTCGTCGTTTTCCCAAATATCGGCGGCCGCCTTGGGTTTGTCTGAATCTGTAACGGCTTCATCGGTAGTAACTGTATCATCGCGCATCTCAGGTGCCGACATGCGCTTCTTGTCCTTCTTGGACTTCTTTGTAGGTTGCACATCCCAAAGGTCGTCGCTAGTTGCTTCAACGGGCGCAGCAGTGGATGCCTCTGCTTCCTCTTGAGGAGGTGTAGTGGTAGGCTCGTCCCAAGCGGACATTGACAGAGCCTTCTTCTTTTTCTTGTCTTTTTTAGACTGCTTCTTAGATACGGGAGCTGCCCAGTCATCGTCGGCAGCAGCAGTAACAGTAGCTTCTGGAACAGGCTCTTCAACCTCAACAGCTCGAGGCTCATCCTGAGTAGTCGTGGCGGGCTCAGTCTCAGCGAGGTCAGTAGGTTCAGGCTGGATGTCTTCTGAAACAACCGGAGCAATTGGCTCGGGAGTAGGTTCCTCCCAAGATAGCGAAGCCTTTTTCTTCTTGTCCTTCTTGGCTTGCTTCTTTGAGACGGGAGCTGTCCAGTCATCATCGGCAACAGCCTCCGGAACCTCAACTGTTACGGTCTCAGTCTGGGTAGTTGTAGCGGAATCGGCATTCTCGTCCTGGATAGCCTCCGAAGCGACGGGAGCGACTGGCTCAGGGATAGGTTCGTCCCAAGCCATTGCTGCCTTCTTCTTCTTGTCCTTTTTCGATTGCTTTTTAGACACAGGGGCAGCCCAATCATCCTCCACAGGAGGAGGGGCATCAACGACAATGGGATCCACGTCGGCTGTATCTTCTGGAGTGCTGACTGTTGCTTGCTCCGTCTCAATTGGGGTCTCAGAGCCTTCAGTAGGCACTGTCTGAGACTCTTCAACCATGGCGGTATCCTTGGCTTCGACAGGCTCGGGAACGACTTCGGCAACAGGTTCAGGAGCAGGCTCGTCCCATGGTAGCAGTGACTTTTTCTTCTTCTTGTCTTTCTTCGACTGCTTCTTGGACACGGGAGCAGCCCAGTCATCGTCAGCGGTAACCTCAACGCTCGTTGTTGCAGGCTCCGTGGTTTCAGTAGGCACGGGCTCTGACTCCTGCGATTCGATTGTTTCAGGAACGACTTCGGCAGCTGGCTCGGAAGTAGGTTCAGAAACAGGCTCTGGAGCAGGCTCGTCCCAAGCTGTCAGAGATTGCTTCTTCTTTTTCTTGTCCTTCTTTGACAGCTTCTTGGGTGCGGTCCAGTCGTCTTCAACAATTTCCTTGGTCGCTTCAGGCTCCGCTTCAAGGGCAGAGACTACTTCAGTGCTGCTGACTGGTGCTTCAAGAACAACTTCAGGCGTGACGTCAATATTGGCAGGTTCTTCGGTAAAGGGGGCAACAATGGGTTCCTCCATCACTACGTCCTTGACCTCCGCGTCAACTGGAGAAGGTTCATCAAGAGAGATACCGGTGGACTTGCTCTTTTTACCCTTCTTGTCCTTCTTTTTGGATTTCTTGACGGCGAAGCCCCATTCATCATCCTGGTTGGCTTCAACAGCTGCGGGAACAACTTCAGCTGCTGGGGCCAACTCTTCAATGGGCTTGTCTTCAGCAATATCGACTACATCAATTGCTGCAGCGGGCTCAGAAACCGGCTCAACGACTTCAAATGACTCGGCAGCAGGTTCAGTAACAAGTTCAGCTGCAGGCTCAGTAGCCGGCTCGGGGACTTGCTCAGTAGCCTGTTCAATGACTGTGTCAGGCGTAGGTTCCTCAGAAATGGACATTGATTTTGACTTTTTGCCCTTTTTCGACTTCTTTTTCGATACTGAGAAGCCCCATTCGTCTTCAGGAGCAGCCTCTGCTATAACTGGCTCAATAGGATCCAGAGAAGCAGGGGCATCAGCTTCAACAATTACGGGCTCCTCGGCGAGTTTGGCGGGCTCGGCGTCAGCCTGTCCCTCAACCTCTGTAGATTGAATGGTGTTGTCGATTTCATCTACAGTGGCGGGTTCGGAAACGACAGGTTCGGCTGGCTCTACCCCAGATAGCCTCTTGGCTTTCTTCTTGTCCTTTTTGCTGTTCTTGGAGGGAGCCCACTCGAACTCGGCCTCTGGCTCTGGCGCTGGCTCAGCTGCAAGAGGGGTGTCTGCCAAATCCTCTGAAGTCGCTGGCTTGTCAGCGGGCTTCGGCTCTTTAGAATCGGGTTCAGCAGTCGAGTCTGCAGCCAGCGCAGAAGCTCCGATGGCTACGGCTCCAGCGGCGGCAGCAGCTAGTCCCTTCTTCTTGAGCTTCTTCTTGTCTTTCTTAGAGAGCCCGAAGCCCCAGTCATCCTCAGCCGCAGGTTCAACCGGCTGATCAGCTGAGGGTATGTCCTCGACTGGGGTATCCTTGACATTGGGGCCAAGCTCGTCAGCGTCAGTAGTCTTGGGATCAGCCTCCATTTCCAAAGACGCGGGAGCCGCATCGGCCTGCTCCTCGATCTTTGGCCCAACTGACACAACTTCGTCCTGGGCCTTGGGTTCTTCAACAAGTTGTTCGGGCTCAATCTCGATACTCTTACTCTTGTTCTTCTTCTTCTTGTCTTTCTTGGACGATTTCGTAGTAAAAGTTCCCCATTCGTCGTCAGCATTGACATCTGGCTGTGTGGTCGTAGTACCGGGAGCGTCAGCGTTGTCGATTGTCTCTGTAATGCTAGCTTCGGCCGGAACATCAACAGCAGTTTCAGGCTCGGCAGCAATCTCGGTTGTCTGTTCCGCGGCAGCAGGCTCCTGAATGGGTTCTTCACTCAGAATAACAGGCTCAGGGGTAGGCTCTTCGAAGTCTGCAAATGCAGCCTGCTTCTTCTTCTTCTTCTTGTCTTTCTTAGAGAGCTTAGGAGTGAAGAAATCATCTTCGGCAGCAGGCGCAGCAGCAGCGGGTTCAACGATTGGCTCTTCAGTGGCAACGTGAGGCTCCTCTGAGGGCTTTTCGACAATTGTATTAGCAACAGTCTCGGGGACTGTCTCAACAGGCTCCTCAGGCTTTTGCTCCGGTTCGTCAGTCCAGTCAAGAGAAACAGATTTCTTGTTCTTCTTGCCCTTCTTGCCCTTCTTTCCAGAAGGCTGAGCCCAATCATCAACAGCAGCCGGCTCCTCCTTAGGAGCATCAGGAATCACAGCATCCTTGGAAATGTCTTCGACGGCCACGGGCTCTTGCTCATCTGCGGGAGCTGCAGTGGTGATTTCTTCTGTGGCCTGTTCCTCATCCAAGCGAGCGGGTGCTTCCTCTGGGGCAGATTCGGGAACAGAAGGGGCAGAATCCTCAATTAGATCCCACACATTTGTTTTGCCCTTCTTATTCTTTTTGCCCTTCTTGGTCTTTGGAATCTCATCCCATTCAGCCTCGGCGGCAGGCGCGGAAACTTCCTCAGGTTGAGTAGTGTTTTGGGTTTCCGTCAATGAGCTATCCTGCGTAAACACAGCTTCCGAAGTGATCTCTTCGGCAACAGTTGTCATTTCTGTATCTAGCCCAACACTTTTGGCAAGGTCAGGGACTGGAAGATCTCCAGAATCCTTACTCTCAAGGAGTTCTGAAGCTACAATGCCAGCTCCGGCGGTGGCAACCAAGGCTGGAAGTACTCTCCCGGCAGATGGAAAGTAACCAGATGATTCAGTTGGCGGTGATGACTTGGGGGAATGAAGAGCTGCCGCCGAAGGGAAGTACTGCTTCTCGTCGCTGGCAGTTGCGGGCGGTGCAAGGTCTTCTTCCCATTGAACTGATTTGCGCTTGTTCTTTTTGCCCTTCTTTCCTTTGGTTGGGGCAGCAATAAATTCATCCTCGACTGGCTTTTCCTCAGCAGAAGGAACCCCGATCTCCCGGCTCTCAGATAATTCCACGATGGCATCGGGTTCATTGACAATGACTGGAGCATCGGACAGCGAGGTCGCTGCTTCTGGCTCCTGTAGAGAAGGGGTCTCGTCGACAGGAGAACTTTCATCAAATGATGCCCCCTTCTTCTTTTTCTTGTCCTTCTTCGATTTCGGCTGAACCAGCGCTGCCCACTCATCGACCTCTTCAGCGGCTGTTTCGGGTTGGCTTTCAGGAACAGACTCCACAGCAGGTTCTTCACTCTGAGTTGCGGTTGTATCAAGGGCTAATTCCTTTGGTGTTGCGATGGAGGAGTCTTCGACCTCTTCGACGGGCAGCGGCACAACTTCAGTCTCGGGCTGTGTAGGTGTCTCCTCCCAAGCATCAAAGCTTTGCTGCTTCTTCTTTTTCTTCTTCTTATCCTTCTTCGACATTGGCTGATCCCATGCATCTTCCACTGGAGCAGCTGGTGTTGGATCTTCAGGCGCTGCTTCCACAACGGTGTCGAGTTGGTCGGCAGAAGGTGTAAGCTCTGTCGAGATCTCTCGCTCAGTAGCTTCAGGTGCAGCAGCAGGCTCAGAAACAGGTTCAGAAACAGGCTCAGGAGTAGGCTCAACGACGGCATCGACCACGACAGGCTGACTTAAATCGGCCTCCTCGCCCCATGAAACGGATGACTTCTTACCCTTCTTGCCTTTCTTCGACTTTTTAGGAACGCCAAAGCCGTCGTCAGCTGCGATTGGAGCAGGTTCCTCGACGGGCGCAGGGGCATCTTCAGAGTGGTGAATGCCTTCTGCTACAGCAACAGCAGCCGTACCAACAGCGGTGGCCGCAGCAGCGATGGGAAGGATGTCAGAGGTGTTCATAGACTTATTCTTGCGAGCCTTCTTGAGCTTCTTCTTTTCTTTTGCGCTTAAGCCAGCCCATTCTGCTGGTTCCTCGTCATCTTCAATCGCCGCTGTAATTGGCTCAGCAGGGGACTCAAAGAAGGGCACGTCTTTCTCAACCATAGTCTCCGATGGCAACTCTTCAGCGGCGATCCAGTCTGCTGAAGGTCTGCGCGAATCATTTTCGTGCATCTCAACAGCATCAGAAAAGTGCTCATCTGCGGAAGTCAGGTCCTCCGCAATATCTGCAAGCGCATCCTCTGGATTCAGAAGTTTCGATGACGTGGAGCCGTGTGGGCTTTGAAAGGCATCGCTATCGATTGTTCTGGTTGACTTGACGGAGGATGGTGTTGAGTTTAGCAGATAAGAGCTGCGGTCCTTAGATGTGGTCTCAACCGATTCAGGCTCTTCGATATTGGGGAACACGGGCTTGATTTCGGCCTTTGGTGTAGTCTCCTGAGATCCAGCCAAGTCTTGGATGGGCATGTCGGAATCAGTCTGGATTCTCAAGCCAGAATTGGCAATATCGAGGGGATCGGGCTCGGGTACATTCTCATGGGTTGCACCAAAGTTGACATCAGACGAATTAGTGGAGGAAGGCTCGCTGGGGGGAAGTGCTGGAAGGTCCTCTTGAGCAATGGCATCGGTAGAGCCTTGGCGGGAATGCTCTAAGAGGTACAAGGGCTTAATTTCCTTGCTGCTATCCCACGAGGTGCCGCGAGAAAGGCGCTTAGACACGCTGTCTCTGTCTGCCGTCGCAGAGCTTGGCGAACTCAACGGCGGTGACCGGAAGACGTTGCCCGGACTAGAAGGGGATGTTCTTTGTCCTAGGCGTAGAGAAAGAGGTATGGCGGTGGTACTGGGGGACTTGCTGGGAGTTTCCTGGGTGCTGCGACGACGACGATGGGAAGACATCTGCTCGCGCTTCAGGTTACGTTCTTCAGGAGGGGTATCGGGTCTGCTATCGGGGAGTGCAGGTAGGTCCTCCGGGCTAACTTTGGGACTACCCGGAGCGCTGGGGGGAAGAGGAAGGAGATCGCCATATTGGGGGTCAATGGCGGGCTTGATTGCTCTGGGAGCAACCTCAGGATCAAGGATCTCGTAGTCGAGACTAGCGCGTCTAGCCTCGACGGAAACAGGGTCCTGCTCAGAGGACTCGTGGCTGGCATGCGGACGAGTAGCAGCTGCAATCACAGCGGCTCCCGCCAAGCCGACACCCGCGCCAAGGATGCCGGCATTATCTAAAAAAGAATCCTTCTTGTCGTCTTCTTTTGATGATTTGAATATAGATGAGAATAAGCCACTTGATCTCTTGGAGCTGGACTCTTTACTCCTTCGCCCACCTCCAGGAGCAGAGGCGACAGAGACGACTGATCGAGCATCGTCGTCATCGTAGGTAGATTTACGGCTGCGATGACCACGAGACTCAGATACCACGGACGAGACGTCGCGGTCGTCAAAAACATGACGGCTGCTGCCATTCTTGTCGTTGTGGAGCTTCTTCAATTCGTCTTCGTTCAAGCTCTGCCGTTTAGACTTGCTGCTCTTCTTGCTTGACGAAGATACTTCGGAGCGGGAAGTCAAGTCATACTCAGAAGTGGACTTGCGCTTGTACTTCGCAGGCATGCCCCAGTCGTCGTCATTGGCAGAGTCTACAGGGGTTGAGGCATCTTCCAGATCACGACTCTTCCTATTCTTTTTCTTTTGCTTGGAGGACGAGTCTTCCCAAGCTGCGTCGGCTTCTTCGATTGTTGCGGCAGCAGCAGCTTGCTCGACTTCGTCAGCCCAATCTAGAGGTGCATCGTCTTCAAGCGCCTTTGCCTTCTCAGCCTTGTCCTTCTTCTTCTGCTCCTTCTTGGAGAGCTTAGAGATGCTTTCTACAGCATCTTCGAAGGCCATTGTGTCCGTAGAGTCAGTGCGAGGAAGCTCGGAGAAGTCACCAGATTGGCGCTTTGCCTTATCCTTCTTCTTTTTCTCCTTCTTGCTCAGGGTAGAAGCACTGTCGACCTCCTCGAAACTCATCTCTTTCGGCGACTCGATTTCATCGCCCTCAACAAACTCGCCCGACTGACGACGCAGCTTGTCGAGCTTCTTTTGCTCCTTTTTGCTGAGTTTGGTTACCTCCTCAACAGCATCTTCAAAGGCGATGGTATCGACCGAATCACTTCGCTGCAGGTCGGTCGACTCGGAAGCCTGCTTCTTGAGCTTGTCTAGCTTCTTCTGCTCCTTCTTGCTGAGCTTTGCTGGTTCTTCAACAAAGGCAACGTCATCTGCTGGGAGATCTCTGGTGAACTCAGCTTCAACCACTTCGGTGAAGTCACCCGATTGACGCTTCTTCTTCTTGTCTTTTTTGCTTAGGGTTGAAGAAGTATCGACCTCATCAAAGCTCATTTCCTTTGGCGATTCCACTTCAGCGCCTTCGGTGAAATCTCCAGACTGGCGGCGCAACTTATCAAGCTTCTTTTGCTCCTTCTTGCTAAGCTTGGGCGCTTCTTCCTCTTCTAGTGGTGCATCTCTGGCAGATTCAGTTTCAGGACCGGAATCAGCGAATTCGCCAGACTGACGGCGGATTTTGTCGAGCTTCTTTTGCTCCTTCTTGCTCAGTTTGGTGCCGTTTTCCACAAAGGCATCGTCTGATGCAGCTGTCGTGGGTGATTCAGTCATAGGCTCATCGGTAAAGTCACCGGATTGGCGCTTTAGCTTATCCAGCTTCTTCTTCTTGTCTTTCTTGCTAGACTTCTTGCCAGTTTCGGACCAGCCATCATCCTGAGAGCCGATAGCAGGCTCAGAGACCACGGAGCGGTTGGCATGGTCCTTGGCACTAGCAGCAGTAACGATATCTGAGAAGTTTGAGGTGTGGTGCCAGGCATCGCCATTAGCTTCCTTTGTACCAGGAGGAGAGTCGCGGCGTCTGTAGGTAGGGTCATCGATCACAATGTTGGAGTCGAAGCCTGTATCCTTAAGACCGGCTGCAAGGGTTGCAGCGAATTCAATGTCGTCACCGAAGCCGCCAGGCATTTGGTCTCGGTCCTTGCTGGATGGCTTGGGGCCAGGAACGGGAGGCTGATCACCGCTGTCGACGGCATCAGGCTCATTTTTGGGTTCCTTGGAGCTTCCGGCAATGGCAGCAGCAATGATACCCCACTGGCTTGTCTTGTTGAGGCGGGTTCTCTGCTTGTCTCTAGGAGGTGACGTTTCTTTTTCTTGCTGGGGCTTGTCATCCTCTTCAACGTCACTCTTAAGACTGGGGCTCTCTACCACAAATCGTTTGGTAGAGTTCTCTCCCCATGATACTGACTTGGAAGAAACATTCGACTGGACGTCGCTCTTGGCACCGTAGCTATCTCCGTCCATGTCCCGTGTCGAATCCTCGGGATCATCGCGAGATGACTTGCTCTTGCTGCTCTGCTTATCAGGACTAGGTGTAGGCGAAGGCGTAGGGTACACGAGGTTCAGCACAGGTCGGTCACGCTCGCAGGACGGGTCGCGCGACTTGAAGTTGGACTTGCGCTTGCCGCTCTTACTTTGGAAGCGTCGGATTTCTTCGGGAAAGATTTCGTTGTCAATACGCACGTCCGCATTGGGTCCGTCGTATAAGCTGGATGACTTCTTCTTCATATCCGGAGGCGTGGTGATTCTGACATCTTGTCCTTCGTCTTCATGATCGAATTTGTTGACTATAGAGTTATCGGGCGTGCCGCTGCGGATCTGCTCTTCCTCCATCTTGCGGGCATGGGCAGCCTCGCGGTAGTAACGATCAGCCTCTTCCTGAACGGCATCGCGGTTGCCCTTGGAGCTGTCGCGCTTGTCGTCGCGAGAGCGCGCGGCTCCAATGGCAACCGCGGCAGCGGCAACACCGGCAACGACAGGGACTGCGGAGTGTCTAGCGTCATCAGCCTCACGGGCCTTCCCTTTACCCTTTGAGCCGGAAGCGTAGCGCTCCTCCTCAGCCTGACGCTCAATCTCGAAAGAATCCTTGCGGCTCAATCTCGATCCGGAGGCGAAGTGATGAGACAAGTCCTCATCTGAGCTCCATGTAGGTTCATGGTCAGCAGCATCCACAATGTTGGGAGTCAAGGGGCGAGCGGGAGGCGCAGGAAGTGCAAGGGGTTGGTTGGGAGCAGGTAGAGCAGCGAATGAGCCAGGATCGACTTGGTACTGGAAGGGATCGACACCCTTTTCGCGAAGCACGAGCTGGCGTTCATCTGCTGCACTTGAACCTTCACCTGCATTTCTGCGTCGCTCCTCTCGGCGTTCTTCTCGGCGTTCCTCACGGCGCTCAGCCTTCTTGCGATCTTCGCGACTTGAGTACTTGTCATACTTGTCACTATCTCTCCTGGAAGATCGAGACACTTCACTGCGGAAATCAGCGTCGCCTTCTCGCTCCCTTCTCTTAGATCTATGCGAATCGTCATCGTCGTACTTGGAAGAACGCTTTGACTCTCGGTCACGATCATCACCGTATTTGGAGGAGGTCGAGTCTCGCTTAGATCTGCGGCGATCCTTGTCCTTTTCGGACTCGCGATCACGACGCTTGGACTCACGCTCCTTTTCATACTCACGGTCACGCTCATATTCACGATCCCGTTCCTTCTCTCGCTGCCTATCGCGATCCTTCTCACGCTCTTCCTCTTTGCGCTTTTCCTTGCGGTCAGAGGAGAGGGCAGCAGCACCGAGAGCTGCAGCGGCTATGCCAGCGGCAGCAACACCACCCGCCATGTACTTGCTGCTGGAGTCGTCGCGGTCACGGTCGTAATCGCGCTTCTCACGACGGCCCGAGTCACGACGGCTGCTGCTAGTGTCTTCATATTTGTCGGCATTGTATACCTTGGAAGAGACGGGTGCTACCGGGATGGGCTGCTGAAGGGGAATTGGTTTCTGGTTGGAGTTGGAAGGGATGCGGTCGGCATCGAAGCGGCTGGGATCGGAGGTGGGAACGGGGAAGACCTCGCGAAGCGGTGCGTTTCTGTCGTAGGATTGTCGTCGGTTGTCGATTGCCTCTCTGTAGCGAGGATCTAGCGGAGCATCGGGATCGTCGAATCCGCATGGTGTGACCATGCCGTGGAGGGAGTTGACAGGGCCAAAGAGACGAGGATCAACAACAGAGCTTCTACGGTCTTGCATTGCTGCGTAACCAAGAGCACCAGATGCGACAGCCGCACCGGCTGCGGCGCCTGTACCCCATCGCTTGGAGCTAGAGCTGGGCTTAACACCAAGGGCAGAGCCAGAACCAAAGGCGAGAATAGACTCGGCCTCGCTCTCGTCCTCGGAAGCATCCTCCCAGTCGTCTTCGTCGCTGGATGACTCGCCATGCATCTTGGAGCTACCGATACCGCGCGAACCGTCCTTGGCGGCATCCTTGCCCTTCTTATTCTTTCGGTATGCGTTGAGGGCAACTGCAGCGCCAAGTAGACCCGCGGGCTTGACAATACCGGCTGCGCGCAAGTCGGCCTTGTTTTGCTTTCTGGCCAAGTCGGAAAGCTGACGTCCGATTTCGCGAATCTCATCGTCAGTCTTTTTGCGCGTAGGACCGTCGGGTCTCTGGCCGGCATCGCCTGCGTCTCTGCTGCGCTGGCCGTTGAATTCAGGATCGCCCCGTCTCGAGCGAGAACCAGCAGCGGTAGGATATTCTCTCGGTTTGGCGATATATCCGGAACCATATGCAAGATCCGAGTTTACCGATGACGACGACGAGTTACCATCTGCGCCAAAGTAAAAGCCACGGCGCTGTGAGCGAGCGGTTGTGCGCCTCGACCGTCTGCGACGCTCCGAGGGAGCTCTGAAAAAGGTGCCGAAAACACCTCCATATCGTCTCGTGTTGGTGGATCTCGAGATATCTAGCAGCGACGACGCTGTTGAGCCGGCAGACGATGAGCCTGAGCTAGATCCTGATCGCCGTCTACGGGCTCGTGTAGCCGACGGCCGCTGCGTGTCGGCCGTGTAAGAGGGATAATATTCTCGCGAGTCTCGGCCGGTGACGTCGCGATCCCTATCTCTGTCTCGGTCGTTCTTTCGCCTTCTGGAGCTTTCGGGGCTCCGGCGACGAGTTTCCCGCCCCATGGTTACGGGCGGTGGTTGTGAGTGTTGTTATGGATGCTTGTTGTTTTGAGGTTAGGCTTCCATTAAGAAAAGTAATGCGCAGCCAGAAGTTATTGCACACGAAGAATGTTATAATCCAATGGAACCTCTTAGCATAGAAGCCTGCACTCTAAAAAAAAGCAAACGAATATAAGGAAATAGTGAAACTCGGGAGGAATGTTTTGTTTTGGTAGTGGGAAAAGGGAAAGAGAACAAAGAAGCTGCTGAAACTGGCTTAGGCTGACGAAACTGGGGCGCCCCCCCGTCGCCCCGAGCCGCCTTTTCCTCAGCGCAGCCAGCAGACGGACCCAAAAAGAGATGGCTGGGGGGCAACCAGCTGGCAGCCAGCTGTGCCAGGTGCTACGGAGTGGAGCCGGCAATCAAAAACCTGCTTCGCCCATTGGAGAGGCAGACTGGCCACGGCCCGTTTGGGACTAGCCTGCGTGCTGCTTTAATGCAGTCAACGACGTTGCGCAGCGGGATGGGGTTATTTCTCACGGTGCTGCTATCTTGGTGCTTTTTGGATGGGCTGTTCTGGTCTGTCTTTAGGCGGCTCAGTTGCTGGAATGCTCGTCCCCTCAGCCTTGAACGCTCCGAGTAGCCGCTAAGCCCGCCCTCCCCACCCCGGGCCGCAATAACAATGGGCTGCTATAAACAGGTCGCTCCACTTTGTGAGTATTCTGGAAGGCTCAGCGCTTACCGTTACTGTGTGTGTATTTTCCCAGGAGGCAGATAAAGGTATACAAGGTGATATTACAAAAAAAAAAAAAGTCGACAGAATATTGAAATAATGTGGTTGAAGTCAAGGTGATAATATCTTTTTCAATATGAAAATAAAAAACCCAATTTTAATTCTCGCATCTCGCAGCTGGATGTGACGGATTCACTGTCGGCGCCTTGTTTTCGCCACAGACAACTCGTAAAGCGGCGCTCAGTCCAACCCACTAGCCACGTCATGCGCCACAGACTCCTTCACACACATGCCAAAGGCCACAGCTTCGACGACGTCGATTACCCTGGAACATAGAATATCTGCCCTTCGTTTCCCGAATCGTATTAATGAGATTCAGCTTACTAGATATTATTAACAATTTATACGAAAGAAATGGGGGCTGTACATTCACATTGGTAGCTAGACAAACCGTGCCACGACAACACTATATGACAATCCAAGATGGACACCAATCCTATCATTACAATATATATACGTACTCGAACTCAGCCTAGAATCCAGGGATAACCTTGGCAATAACCTGGACACCATCTGCAGGTCGTGCCGTAATGCCCGTACGGACCTCCAACTTCTCACGGTCCATTGACTCCTTGTTAACCAGCTCAAACTCAAAGCGGCCAACCCAACCAGCAAGCAAGCACGCAAACTCAGCTCTAGCAAAACTAGAACCGATGCAGCTTCTAGGACCATGAGAAAACGAAAGCATGGCAAAGTTGCTAACAGCACCACCGCTAGCCACAGCCTTGCGGTCAGCCACGTCGTCCTCGCCCAGAGCCAGCCATCTCTCGGGTCGGAAGGTATCGGCGTCGTCTCCCCAGAGGTTGGAGTCAAGGTTCGTTGCCCACGTCGAAATAATGAAACGGGTGTTGGCAGGGACCAGCTGGTTCAGAACGGTAGTGTCGCGCGGGGCGTCACGGACAAAAGTAGGGACAGGGCTCCAGTAGCGAATGATCTCGCTGATAAACGCCTGGAGGTACGGCATGCGGTCAATGTTGTTGTTGGTAATATCACGATCCAGCGTGCCCAGGTGCTCGCGAACCTCGGCGCGCAGCTTATCCTGCATCTCCGGATGGCAGCAGAGCATGTAGATGGCCCATGCCATGGATGTAGCCGTTGTTTCGTGGCCGGCAGCCAAAAAGGTCATGAGCTGGTTGACAAGCTGCTCGTCGTCCAAGCCACTCTCTAGGGACACAGACAGGATAGAAAGCTTGCCCTCTATCCCCTCCTTCGCTTCTGCGCGCTTCTGCTCAATCACATCCTGGCAGTGTTTTCTGATAGCTCTGACAGCCAGGCGGACGTTGTCGTTGCGCTTTACGGGGAGGTAATCCAGGATCTGCAGAGGAATGACGGTGCTCAAGAGCCCAATGATCTGGCCTGACGCCGACGGGTGGAAAATCTTTCGGTACGTGTTAACCAGCTTAGACTTGTCGTTTTGGATGGCGCCAAAGTCGCGGCCAATGGCTGCCACTCCGATAACGTCAAGAGTTTGGCGGGAAGCCCATTCCAGAGCCTCAAACTCACCCTCCTGCTTCTCACCCATCTCCCGCGTCATGGCGTTGACGCCCTCCTGGGTCTTTGCCCAAAATTCGGGGTACAGGTCCTTGATGTGGCGGAAGGAAAAGGCTGGCATGAGGCTCTTGCGCTGGTGCTTGTGCTCGTCGCCCTCGGCGACCAAAAGGCCGTTGCCGAGGAGTGTTGTCAACAGGTGTCGGACGCCGCTGGGCTTTTCAAAATCGTAGCTTCTGGTGACCAGGACTTCCTTGATGGCTTCGGGAGAGACGAGGAGGACTCGCTCAATGTTGAAGAACCAGAAATAGCGGATAAGACCATCGTTGGGCATCTCTTTAATCCTACGCCCAACAGTTAGCTTTGTTCTTTCAACATGTGCAGATGCCCAGTACTCACCATCGCTTAGCAGGGTCAGAGTTCTTCTCGCGCAAGATGACCAAGCCGTGGCCAAAGAGCCAATGGCTGTTGGGTGGGATGGGCAGATGTCTGAGCGGCGACACGTAGAAGGGGTAGATTAGGACTTTGTAGATGCTGTAGAGGGCGACCTCGCCCACAAACAGGCCACCAAAGATCTTGGCAATAGCGTGGTGGGAGAACTGGTCCAGCTGGTTCAGGACCACGCCGCCAACAGCGGCAGCAGCCGTCATGGACAACCAGGGAGCCATGGCTGTGTGTCAATGGACGCAGTGAAGAGGTCAAAAGGAGATGCGCGCGTCAAGAAAGACGTCGTGGACAAAACTTATAGAGGGGCCGAGGTGTGTGGCGCGCAAGGGGAACACCTTTTTATTTATACGCGTACCGAGCCTCTGTGAAGTGTGTCGTTGTCGCGCTGTGGTTGCGTGGATGTCGTGGTGTTGAAAGTGTACGTCAGCGCAGCAACAGCCTAATCAGCAGGCCAAAGTCCGCAACCAAGAAAGAAAAAGAGGCGCCTTTTCTGGAGATGCAAAAACGAAAGAGACAGCAACGGAGGGGGAGATGAGGGAACTGGCCAGTAGAAAAAGGGCGAATCAGGAGCCTTCGAAATGGTTGCCATTCCGGTAGATCTCCGTGGTGGGGACCGGAGCCTCTCTAAGCCGGGCCACTAGCGCTGTCTCGTCCAGCGCAGCGGCTGAGGTACAGCGGGGTTACAGGTACAAGCTCCCGCTGTAACAGTCTCTACGGATGCAGGATGACCCGTTATGCGGATGGCGCACGCAGGGGGGATGTAATGCGATACAGCCTGTCTGATATGGAGTGACGGATATGGGTACAAAAAAAAAGAAGAGAAAATTATAAGAAATTTCAGAAACCATAATACTGAAAATAGAAGCCGTCTTCAAAGTATACTACCAACTCCGCCAATACATTCCACTGATCGTCTTCCTTCTTTCTTTCCTTCTTCCCCCCACGGACGAACTTGACCCGATGGCCATCTGTATTCCGCCCCCGGCTCCGTTGGCTTAAAGCGCTCTCAATCTCCGACGCAGCCTCATACCCAGTACACCGTTGCAGTGGCATGCATGACTGAAGGAGAAAAACAAAGAGAACCTTGCTTTCATGATCAAAACTATTATTCATCCTGTTCAGTCCTCCAATTAAAGCTAGTGATTGGCCCATGCAGGGCCTCGTCTCGCTAATCTATGGTGCAATATGATTAATGCCCAAGAGCTCAATAAAGTCTTGGTACGCAAGAAAAAAAAACAGAAAACAAAACAAAGCTATAAATTGCTTGCCCTGCCACCATAGCGTAGCTTCTGCTGCGCTGTGCACAGGCATGCAAATAAAACCACCCAACCTTATGTAAATGCCCTCCGTTGCCCAGACCGGGCAAAAGTGTCATGTTAGAATTCCCGTTATGAAAAAAGCTAGAAGAAAACGAGAAACAAAAAAAACTGAGAAGAGAATCCAAACGCCGTTTCTCCTTATGAATAAAACAAAATAAATATGCCGACTGTTACCTGTGACGTATATGCAAAGGCAAAGAAATATATGCAGCAAAACCTTGGTAGTCGAGTCGGATCCGTTCCGTAAAGAATGTAAGGAAGGTGAGATCAGTTGGCGGCGCCGCTGCCGCGAGAGCGGGTTGGAGATTCTGGTGTCTGTGTGGATGAATCCGTAAACATGGATGGCACCAGGGGGTTAGTAGAGATTGGCCGCTGAACAGGAAGAGCCTGGCGATTCGCATAGACTCGCGAGGGCGAGACAGGTTGCAAAATAACTCGACGTAAAGCGTAGTTGATGCGTGCATTGGGACTCAGAGCATAGCTGCTGGGTGATGTGAGGCTAGGCGTGGACTGACGAGTCGAAGGAGACTCTGTAGGTGTAAAGAGAGCCACCCTGGGAGTAGAGGCAGCGGTGCTGGGTGCAGCAGCTGCAGGGGTGGAAGCGGCAGATCTCGGCTGTCGCGGCGGCGTCGTAGCATCAAAGGTGGCAGTCGAGCCGTTTGCACGGGTGTCTGTGTCAGCGGATGAAAGTCGCTGCCTGGTCCGGCGCTGTTGACTGCTAGGGTCATCGGCAGGGCGTGTTCTGCGCTCGGGGAGAATGGGAATAAATTGAGATGCGTCTCGTGTATGCCGGATGCCGATGCGTTCTCCCATGGCGATTCTCCGCATAATATCCTGAGCGACCCTGCAACCTACAGTTAGCGTTTGACGACGGATGAATGAAAGCGGATTTGACCTACTCTGGGCGTGAACGATCCCATCCCCGCATCCGCAGCATATTTAGGATGGTGGTTGGCGACGTTGTGTAGTGCTTCGTTTCGGAGGGGACCTTGTCTCGACAGTAGGGGCAGCTGTCCGAATCCTCAAACCACTTCTTAATGCAGTGGTCTCCAAATACGTGTTTGCATTGTGGCAAGCGGAGGGGAGCTTCCCTGAGGCCTTCGGGAGACTCCTCGCCGTAGTCGTTGTAGCAAATTGCACAAGCTAAAAGGCGTGTAAGTCAGGTTTACTCGTCATTTGGGAAAAGCCACCGTTTTCGCCCGAGTCAAAATCTAGGCAGCAACAACTGGACTTGTAAAAAAAAAAAAGAACTCACTTCTCTCTTCTTTGGAAAGGTCCTTTACATCCACAGATTCGAGGGATAGAATGGCGGCGTGAGACGCTACTCTCTGGCAGGTAAAGGAGCCGCGGATCTCTTGCATCATTTGCCGGTTAGCGTCCTCGTCCTCGTCGTCATCCTCATCTTCACGGTCGTCCCAGTCGGAGTCGGTCTCCCCCGATGCCGTTCTGCGGTGGCTGCTCGACATGGAAAATAGGCCTTCCGAATATCGTAAGCTGGGGTCGCTCGGCGACTCGGTGGTAAGAGTTCTGGTAGACATGGATTCCCAGTTCCGTAGGAGGTGGCGCCGTCTCTCGATTATACCTGCGGCCTGGCTATGAAGGAGAGCAAAGTGGTCAAAGTGCGCTGCAGAATAAAACACCGCAAACATTAGCTTTTGTCTCTATTTTCTTTTTGTGTTTTCTCTTAAAAGCGTAAACCAGCATCATGGTTTAGGGTCTGGGCGGTGGATAAGACAGCAGCGGCGGTGGTGTCACCGCCCATCAAGGTTTCAGAGGCCATGGTGGTGGGGGGACCACTGTGAGGAAATGTAGGAACTTACGTCTAGCGGCTCTTTGCGGATGATGTGATGAAGATGGCTGGTCGATAGAGCTATTTCGGGAGTGTGAAGGAGAAGGAGTAGTCGTAGAAGTAGTAGTAGTTGAACGTGTTGAGTTGGGGGTTGTAGACGGAGCTTGACGAGGAACTGAGCGGCTGATGATCTGGTGAACGTGCTGAATGCTCAGGTTAGTCCATTGTGCCAGGTCCTGAGTGACCGGCGACCGTCGTTGGCTGTTTGACACCTGTGGCAGTTGGGAAGTTGACGGGCCTCTGGCGGTAAAAGGATATGGGCTCGGAAGACTACTTGTTGAAGTTGCAGTTGCAGTGGGTGCTGGAGCCGCCGTCGATGCTGGGTGCTGCTGGCTAACACGATGATTGTGACTCGGGTCAGTTGGGCGGGGAATAGCGTTGGGGGTGGCCGACTGGGTCGGGCCTGGGTGGTGTTGGTTGTGGTGCTGACGGCGCTGAGTCGTGGGAGGCAGGGCCTGTGCAGCGGTTCGGGTGCTGTCGAGCGGATGGTTTACAGAGACGGTGACGTTTTGAGCAAATCCTGGAGTTGTAGAAATGGAGAGGGCATTTGCACTGGCGAAATGCAAATGCATGCGGTAGGCAGGGTCGATAAGAAAGCTGGTGGTGGTGGCCTGATGGTGGCCGCCTGACTGACGGAGCGTTTGGGGGGACGTAGGCCGCTGCGCCCGCTGTGGACGGGCGCTGGGGTCGGTATAGGCGGCGGCCGAGGCCATGGTGCTGCTGCTGCTGGTACTGGCTGGTGCCGGCCAGGAGCCTCTTGCAGCAACGCTGGCGGAGAGGTGGACGGACGAGAGAGGGGGGCTGTTTACGAAATTCAAGGGATCCATCTAACTGCCATCTGGAGCACGCAAGAGCAGGACAAGAAAAAAGGCGTCGGGCGGGCGGTTGACGAGAGAAAAGAAAGCGAGCAAGAGGGGAAAACCCAAGTGGTCTGGCTGGTGGTGCGGGCCACGGGTGGTTGATTCTTTATAATACCAAACCTGATACCCAGACTTGACAAGCACAGTCTCAACCGCAGACTCCGCAGGTAGCCAGTCCTACTCTACAGTGCTGGAACGGTGCAGTCAAGTACAGTCAGAGTGACAGAGCAGCGAACGAGCGCCGCCGTAGCCCGACGTCACTACAACAGGAAAAGGCAAAAAAAAAGGGACCCTGGAAGCCACCACTGGAATGTCATCCGGGCTCTGCCCATCCGGCTGCAAAAGCACACCATCTATTTTACCAAGACACAAAGAGGGGGGGTTTAAGGGATCTTTTTAATCAAGCCAATTTGGCCCCGACAAAGAAAAAACGAAGAAAGCAAAAAGCAAATAAAAGCACAACCTATACGCAAACGGACAGCGGACTCGACGCCGAAACAAAGAAACACGGTGAAGAATATCCAACCACCCATATAACTTCACCACTGCCAATGCTACTAAGCATGACTTGGACTGACTTAACGTGAGCACCAGGGATCCCTCGATGAACAAGACGCCCATTACTGTTTGGACAGTGTTAGGCCACGGGTCCCAGCACCAAAGCAACGCTGACTCGGATTTCAACCACCCCCCGCGGCACAAACGGTGAAGACACATGACCTTTACACCAGCGCCAGCAAGTCGTATGAGTGCCAACAAAAAAGGCGCCGTAAAAACGAGCAGAGCCTAATAATACATACTTCCTCACGCACCCAGCCGGCTGGGCTCACCCACCCGTTCTTTTTTGCTCGGCGCTGGGAGGGCGCTATGGCGTGGTGGGCGGAGAGAAGAAGAGGCTTACAGCGACAACAGCAGTAGTTACCACCAAAACCCATCACAGCCAGCAGCAGCTATTAGCCCGTGGCGCTCGGGCGTTATCGCCTCCGTTGAAGCACACTGTACGTTACGGTTAATGCAGGCCAGGGTTCATGAATCAGGATATATTGTTGGTAGCAAACGCCAAGTAAGACCATTTTTTTTCCCTCTTTGCATGGCGCTCGCTCGTGCTTGGCCCGATGTCAGCAGAAAAAAGAAGAAGAAAAATGCCGCTGGGCGTGTCGGTTTTGCGGCCAACAGCCGAGCACTGTGAAATACCAGTACAAATAGGAAACGAATTGTAATGCAGCCGCAGCATCACACCCCAGGCGTCGGCCCAGAAAACCAATACTATGAGGGACGCACAAAGGAGATGCAGACAGCCGGCATATATGCCTCAGCAAGTGATTTACACGCTAAAGGATAACTAATTAAAAAAATCCGAAACAAGACACGCACATCCCTGCCCGCCGCTATAAATTGAAAGAAAGATAGCAACAGGCGGTCCGCCATCTATCTCCATATCCGGATCAAATGCCTGGGCCAAGCACATGTTTTTTGGGGGGCTTTTATAGTTCCAAGACGCCCTGTCCTGGTCTTACAGCGCATTACAGCACACATTCGGTACGCACTGAGCGCTGTATTCAATCCCCCCTCCCCCGTAACTTGTCCGAAACGGCAGAGCGCCCGCCGGTCCGCCTAAACGGGTAACCTACACGATGGCATCGCTCCACTTTGCCTTTGGTGACAAGCGCCTCTTTCCCTTTTTCCCCGCTCCAGCCGCCCCAACGGCTGTGGTCGGCTCTCTTCAGTAGGTACTGTACTGTAAGCACATGCAGTTAGTTGGCTGTAATTTTCTTTACAGGCAATAATTGCTTGCTTTTCCAGGCCAGCGGCACCGAGTCTTTCATGCATGCATCATGCATTGTCTTTATTTTTATATTAAATCTCTTGATTCGCAATCTATTTTTTTTTTAATTCTCACCTCCAAAAATAGGAAAATCTCAGAAAAAAAAAGAAATAACGGACCCGCGCACAAGCAACTGGAATTCTCGCGATTCGTGGCCCCTCTCCAACCAGAGACACATCGCCAGGCATCTTGACTCAGGTGTTACATCACCACTGGTCTCACAGCTTCCCCAGCTCCCAAAATACTCTGGCGAAAAACCACTCTGTCAAAGTGAATCATGATGAATTTCCATACCAAATAAAACGCCAACTAATGCTAATCGTACAGACACTTGTTTTTTAATACTTCTTCATGCTTCTCAGCCAGCCTCAGTCTACTTCGGGCCATGGCCGATTTGGAATCGCCGCCAGCACATAGACAAACCAAGAAACTTGCAGTGGCTCACACTCACAGCTTGATGATTTGATGAGATCGACACCAGCCTCGTCTGGCTATGCTCTACTTCTTCACAAGCTTGTATTTACCTCCCACAAGCTCAAGATCGCCCTCGGCAATCTTCTCCCCCAGAAACTCGGCTAGTTCCTCGTTGCTCCACGAGCACCCATCGGCAATCAACATCTTCATCATCATCAAAATCTGGCCCAGAGGCATCGCCGGCGCAGAGTTGGTAAGCATGCCCACAATGAATTGCCAGTAGACGTTTCGCCTCTCTTGCTCGGCAGGATCCAACGCTGCCTTCTTGGGCGACACGGAGCCTCCGTCAGCCATGCGTGCATCATCGTCGCCATCGTCGCCGGCGTCATTGCCAGGGCCATCACCAGCATCTTCTTGGTCATTGACACCCAGACGCTCAATGACCTCGTAATTTTGGTCGCCTATATCCCTGAGAACACGCTTGGAGACCCAGAATGCCAGCGCCTCTTCCAGAAGATCCTCGTCTAGCATGAGCGTCTGCCAAATGTCGTTAAAGTTGCGCTGCGCCGGGGCACCACTCTCCTCATCGGCATTTTGAAACTCGTAGATGACAGTAGCTTCATATGTTTTGCACTCCACTTCCACAGAGCGGTCCTCAAGATCTAGCTGCACCGTCACCGAACCCAGTTGATTGAGCCAGTTGAGCTTCCGCGTCGACTTGAGCTGCTCAAAGCCCTTGGCATACTGTTCCTGCAGCTCGGCGATAGGCTCCGGAACTTTAAACGTATCCTTAGTCAGGTTTGGCCAAAAGAGTCGTGACAGAATCTTGTACTTGTACGCAATCGGGCTTGGGTTAGGCGAAGCGTCGTGGACCGCCTTTCGAAGTGTGTATCCGATGCGCTTAGAATCGTAAATATCTTTGAACATGACGTCGCAATTTTGGACGGCCTGCTCGCCAAAGCGTTTCTTGAGCAGGTGCAACACCTTCAACTCTTGGTTGAAGTCGGGGTGCTTTGATAGCAACCGTGTCGCAACGGTGGCCTGGAACTCTTTAATAAAGACATCCTCTGACCCTAGCGCGCTAATAATGGTGCCAATAACATCCTCATTCTTAGGCCGCTTATAGTTTGCGCCAGCATCGACTGGATCCGGCTCCCACGTCATGTCGCTCCAATCGTGACCCTCCTCCTCACGCAGCAGCTTTTGCTCGAGACTTTCATCCAAGATGGTCGCCATTTCAGACAACTGCGACTTTAGGGCCTCGGGGGACGCAAGCTTCTTATCGCATAGCAGTCCATTCACAACAATACGCACGGCGTCGTCTCGTTGACACAGGTACAGTTGTAGGGCGTGGACGACGCGGTTGAGAAGGACCTTGGAGTGGTCCAAGAGGTGGAACGCACGAATCATGGAAATGTATGTCTGCAAGATATACAGCGTCGAGCGCCCGGGGTGCAACAGCCGCCTTTGCAGCGCTGCTGAGAACGTATCTGTCAAGTCCAGCCTTCGTTGGGGCGTCGTGACAGCAGACTTGAGGTCGTTGAGTGCGCCTTTACTGTGAGGCCATTGGAGCACAATATCAAAGAGCTCTTGAATTCGCAGTGTTGCCAATCTACCAACTGCAATCTCCCTCCACTTTTCCACATCAGCCCAGGCAACTGTACCGCCAAGGCGACTAAAGACTTCCACAGCCAGTCGGCTATACTGATTCTCAATCCAATCGCACAGGTGCGCCAAGCAGCCATACGGAATAGCATCACTGTCCATATTGTCATCCTGTTGTACGCCCAGCACACCGGCATAGCTCAGTTGTATAAACGAACACATACAGCTATCCATTAGCTCAGCAAAGAGCACCTGGAACCTATCGCCCGTCAAGCCAACATTCTGCATCGAGTCCAAGAGGCTAAGAAGCTCCTCTCGCGCCATCTTTACACGTCTCTCTTGCACCGCCGTTCTAGGCTTATTCGCTTTGTATTGTTCGCCGTGGCCAAGTATGTCGACGAGCTGGTTGGCTATGACGATTCGCAGGGCATTGACGAGCTTCGGCGTCCACGAGTTGCCAATAATGGCGCTCAAGTCGGTCCTAAACGAGGCCACTGCTTTTTCCGCCACCGGTTCCTTTTGAATGCCGCGGACTATGAGCAGCAGGCCGTACAGATACTGTCGATGTGCCGCCTCGAGCGTCTGCAGGGTCGTCCGCACCACTTGCTTTGCGTCCGCCTGCTCGGCACACCCAGCAAGCAGCGGCAAGACATGGTGTAGAAAATGCTGCCGGGCCTGCCGAGCATGCCACTCAATGACATCTTCGGTGTGCGCAGCGTGCGGCACGTGCCCCGCGGGCTCCAGGATGAGGGGCAGCGCCTCGTAGAAGAGCGTGTCGTCATCCTGCGATTGCGGCATCAGGCTGCCAAAGGAGTCCTCAGCAGTGACTGATGATGGCAGCTGGATACGAGTAGTGACCACATGCCATGCGCGATCCCATTTCACCTGATCGGTAACGGTGTCGTTGCTCGCTTGGCGGCTGGAACGGCGCGGTGACGACGCGTTTCGCGGGGGGAGCACGCCGAATGCTTCGCCGGCATCGGTTGAGGCGAGAATGGGCGTAGGCTGGGCGACTTCGGTCTGAAATACAGATCGGAATACTTTATTCCTGCGCGCCCGCGCTATCGAAGCCGCCATGGTTGCGTTGTTGGCATTTGGTGTTTTGTTGATGTTGGTTGTTGTTCGACATGTGGCTGAAGCTAGTGCTATAGTGGGTTACGATGCTGTGGCGCGTGTGGTGCAGAGCATGGCACAGGTCAACTCCAACTGAACAGCAACTAGATGACATAGAAAAATAAAAGTTTAATACTGAATAAAGTCCAAAGAGGTTCAAGATACCCTTTAAATACAAATATGGGCAAAGTATAATGTTCACAAACGGTATTTTGTGCTGACATGAACTTCCTGTATGCTCAAGGAACCTATGCTACGCTAAACAATTTCGCGGTCAATTTTTGCGGTGATTACTACGAAAGAAAAAAAGAAAATACACAAGTAGCACATTCGATTATAAACTAAGCTAAAGCAAATTTGATACAAACTATTAATCCTTCTTCTGAACCGGTTGGGTAATGTTGCGGAAGATGTCGATTGCATCATCATCGAGCGACGAAAAGATAGCCTCATACTGCTTGAGGATATCGTCATGGTCAGATAAACAGCCCCTGGCCTCCTCCAGAGCAGTTTTGGTGTCTTTAGGATCAAAATTACTATCAAATGCTTTTCTAAGTGCATTATCAAGCTTCTGGCGGTTTCTTCGTCGAGCTTGTTCTATGGTAGTGAAAATGTATTTAGTTTCATAATTCCGAGCTGTTTTTACAGAAGAAAGCTCACTTCGGTGTCAAATGCGAGCTTTGTTGATGCAGCCCACCACTTCCCGTCTTTGGGTGGCTTCATATCTGGATTTTGATCTAGGAGCTTGTTGATCTCGTCCTCGCGTTGCTTGAGAGCGTCTTCGAGGGTTGGCGTATCTTGGTCATCTTTGTCGTTCGCCATACTAATATTTATTTTGCTGAACTCCTTTTTCTGTCTCTTATAGAAGCTGCAGTTTACTGTAAGAGATGCAGACGAGGGTAGGCCCTCTATTTATTTATTTGGTTAAAGGCGATACATTTAAATAGTATCCCGCGCTACTCCAATTGGCGGCCTTGCAGGTGGCTATTTGCCGTGTGGTACAGTGGGTAAGCAAAAATTTTATATGTAATATGCCTCTAAAAACTCGATAAATATAAGGTATTTATGCCATACATTATATTCTACTCAACGATTGATTAAACATGCAACTTTAAAACTTTTGAAAGATTATTTAAAAGATTAACTACAAACGAGTCTACTTGTAACTTTTGCCTACCCACTGTAGCCTTATTACAAGTAGACAATATAGTGGTAACTGTATTGTTAGTAGTCCTACTTTAGGCTATATTTGATAAGCAATATGATTGCATTAGTACTAATTTGGCTTGTTCTAGATTATTGAGATAGCGAAGAGGCTAAGATATACAACTCCTGTACAATTCTAGACTGCCAACATCACAGGTTACGTTGTCGTATACGGTAAAAATACAAGTCCAAAGTACAAGATCAAGCTTTTGTTTGAGCTCCAAAGTTCCATTTAATCTCTTTAAGGGCCCCAAGATACATGCTTTTAGCCGTATACTGACGGCGAGATAGTTCCAATGCTCCTACTGTGTAGTAGCTAACACAGTCACGCGAGTAGATCTATCTTGCACGCACCGATTGGGAGACGGATGGAAGAAGAAAAGCAGACAAAAAAATAAAACAAAACATACAACAGCCGGTGTTCGCTGGTCGTCACCGACCCAACTACTAATCTGCCGATTACAGGCTTATCTATGGGAGAGCGGACGGGATCCCGAGTTCTCCTGTATCTATGGTCGTATGTACCAGCAAATCAGCCAATTTGGTATATAACCCTACACAAATTTTGGTGCTTTATCTATGGGAGAGTGGACCCCCGTTCTTGTCATCAATGTTTCAACATACATCACTTTGGTATTTTTCTTTGTCGATGCCGTCTACCGTGACACTGCAAGCGGGAGATAGGCTTCAAGATGTCTCCAATCCAGTTTTTGACATTTTTGGAAACTACTGGACAAGCGACCTGATTGCAAACATTTTTCGACGAAAATAAATCTCCGGGGGCTTTTTTCTCAGCTAAATCTCTTCGCCTTGCCGAGCGAATAGGTTATTGCATCAAGAACGTGGAGCCGTGTCTATTTGAATGCTCTTGTAGGAGAGGCCGCGGAACTGTTCAATGCGCAGTGCTTGTGACGTCTCAATGATTTAACCGCCCAATCTCTGAGGTATATAACTATATTTTATGTATCAAGATGTTCTAAACGTAATTATTTTGCGTAGAATTTTGTGTGTAGGTTTTTTTCTTCTGTAGCATAGCAGTCGTGCTTGTGACACCCCGCCTACAGCTCCACTTGGCTTATAGGCGCACCAGCTGTACTGCCGCCATTTGTCTTCCTACAACACCACCAAAACCGAGTTTCGAAATAATTTGCGCAGCCTCCTCCCCTTCTTCATCTCAGACCTCTCATCCAACCATGAGCAGAAAAGAGAAGCATCGCGGTCGCTAAGCAGCACAAGAACAAACACCGTACTAGTCTTTTGGGTCTTCTACCTGTTAACGAATCTCGCCTACTCCTTCACCATGATGTACGCACCTCAGCGACAACGAGCAGGCCACCTCTCAGTCGCCCGTGTGGAACGCGCAACGCTACTATGCCGATAAACTTGTGAAGAAAGTGTCACAGAAACCACTGACGGGAGAAATGACGTCGCTGCCTACCTCGCAAATACCTTTCGCGGCGCGTGAATCATCTCGTCTCTCAAAACTCCCCATTTGTTCCCTCGATGTCACGTGTATCCCGGCCAAGCAAGCAGGCAAACGTTCATGTCATCAAGCAGTTAAGTAAGCAGGACAATGCGCAGTGTTGCGACTAGTGTCTCTGTTGGCCCCCAAGTCGACGAGTGCAAGCTAGCAGCCATTTTTGTCTATATAAATATGGGATATTTAGGAATCTGAGCATGGAGCACACCATAGAAATCGATATTCATGGAACTAACTAGAGAGAGAGTAGCCCGAAATGCTCATTGAACGGGGGTCTAATGGCAGCCAGCCGCCTGTACTTAGACGTACGCGAGCAATCCCCGCAGTTGCATCTCAGCAGTGTTCAACCTACTCAAGAGCTTCCCACCGGTACATGGGTTCCCTACCAAGAGCTAGAATACCAACAAGGCCTGGATATCCCTATCCAATCGCCTTTGGTCGGACAAACCGTCTGTTCCGGCTCGCTTGCTTCACAGCAGCACGGGCAGGCGACTGGGATGACTGTCGACATGTCGCAGTTAGTCCAACAAACCACGGTTGACACGCAAGCTGTCACTGATCTACAAGCTCCTCAGCAGGGTCTCTCATGTAGCCTATCGGGAGAAGTGGGCGATATATACAGTGTAGCGAATGGAACAATCGGCGAATGCTTCACTATCCCGTACCTGCCTGCTCTCTCTGAATTTTCTGAAGCGCCGTCATCTTCCCTGATGTTGGATGTAGGAGGGCTGGATTCGGGTGTCCCCCAGACAGCGGATAGCACATGCGAGTTGGACTTCATGGACGTTACAGCTTCTCCAACAGCCTACGAGCGACTCTCTATAGTGGTTCCCGATCCTATAGCATCACCAAGCTTCGCTTCTCTTAACTGCGCTGAACAAGCCGCTACAGCGTTGCGTTGCCCGCATCCGTCATGCAACTCCAAAGTAGTCTTCATGCGACCATGCGACCTGCGCAAGCATCACCAGTTGCATTTTCGCATATATACATGCAGGTTTCCCCGCTGCAGCTTCGGTGAAGGAGGGCCTGCTATGTTTGCTCTTAAGAAGGATAGGGATAGACATGAAAGATCGCACGTACCCTCCATACCTTGCCTTCACTGTGGCAAGATCTTTGGTGAGCGAGATAATTGGCGGGATCACTGCCGGAAGCTGCACAACAACATGACATAGTAAAAGAAACGTTGTACTTTATCAATTGACGATTAGCATTAATAGTAGCTTTAAAACAAATTTTAAAAGGAAGCGGCATGTATAGACAAATGGCCTATCCACTACGGTGTCTAGTAGAGGGGACTACTTACGTCCTTGGACATTACGTAGTGCGAAAGGCTCGCTGTTGGTCTTTTAGTAATACCCTTCACTTCTCGTGGGCTGATTTTATCTATAGAAGTCATGTATTGCGCTGAGCCTGGTATCCTAAAGAGTGGCTACTCTAATTGTACATCTATCCCCTGAGGAATCTTAGACGTGGCAATAAAAACCTAGTCCTATGCCTCTAGTAGCTTTAATAATATACAGCTTGTCATGACTATTTAGTAAATTGATCAAGACTGTATATTAAAAGGGACGAAACGGGAAGTAATTCGCAGTACGGCAAACCAGGATTGGCTACAAGTGAAATGGGCTGCCACGGCGTGTTGGTGCCCGTACGGCTACCAAGAACTGCGCTACAACAATCAACCAGAGCTTCATTTGTTTTAATCGGTAAAAATCAAATCCATAATTTTAACATATAGCAACCGAATATCTTGGAATTAACTGTTTTCTACATTGTTTAAGTACTAAGAATCACTCAAGTGTGCTGTTGTGGCGGCGTTGGCGGTAATCCGGATAGCGTTGTAGTAATTTAAGAGGTGTCTTGCGTGAATTATCCAAGGAATACTTCGGATTTCCTTTCTCATACACACTACACTGCTTTTAAAGACTGTAACTGCCGCGAAAATCGTTCGAAATCCTTACGCAGACGATTCCATAGCGTCAAGAGGTCATATCCGGCCGATATTACATCATGTCCGACCTGTGTTCATAGCAGTAAACGAATCGATTAACAAACAAAAGCGCGCAAATTCCATACCAGCGGTAATTTACTGAAGCAGTAGTGGCTGTCAAGTGCTCTGTCGCCAGCAATTGTCTGTGTTGCCTGACTTGATCGCACATAGTAGAAGGCAACATTAGATTGTATTCACAAAACACGCTTCATACTAGTATTGAATTCCTCCCATAAATCAATCTGTTTCTTTGGAATACACTTGGGCAAAGATGGCCTCCAGCTACCGCGTCGTGGCGGGCGCTGATCCTGTTCCAGCGCACTGCCTCACCGACTATCTAGCAGCAGCAGCACGCCCATTTGTTTCTAATTATTTCGCAAGAAATGTATTTGATAAATATTCCATCTGTCAGTCCTCATATTTACGTTTGAGAAGCCATAACTACAGTATTCGCATTGTGGCAGCGGATATTCTGCACAAACTACGCAAAGGCGGACCATGACTTAACGCTGTTCCACCCTGATTAGAATTGCCGGCGGCGTTTTGTTGCCCCTGGCGCAGATTAAGGGATGTAAACTTGCGAAAATTTTCAATTCAGTGCTGTTACAGTGGAGGTAGAGTGGTCGAATCCTTCGGCTCGTCGTAGGATTCAAGCCAAGACGTAGCCTCCCGCCACTGTATGCTTTCACTACCGTCTATGTCGGTGTATAGAGGGCAATTAGACTTTAGAATGAAGATTAGAATTCTCTTATACTCGTTTGTAACGCGATTATATTGTCTATTTGTTAGAGAATAGGGTCCGACGTGGTGTTGTGCTCAGTTGGCGGATCCTTCGCAATTCCGTCGGACGCCACTCTCACGGCCACAACATAACTTGGAAGGGAAAACTGCTAAAAGTATATCGGTAAATTGCCCCTTGAGCTAAATAAATGGCAATTGACTGTTTCTACGATCTGTACAACATTCTTCGGCTTTACATCATGTCTGTACCTCTAACTCTACCTTGCTGACTTTTGTGTCCAAGCTCCTTCCAATCGCCCCCTCTCACAGGGCCAGCAGTCTCAGATCCTTCTAATTAAGACCTTGCAAAAGATGCTCATATTCAGGATAGCCAAGCCATCTAATTAGCCGCAAGTTGCATATTTCACTGTCTCATACTCATAGACGCCGCCGATTCGGCTCTTGTACGTTGGCAAATTTCCTGCAGTGACATTGGATAAAGTGCCAGTCCCATTAATGATTGGTAAGACTTTTTAGTCTATATTACCGGGCCATAATATCCCTCAATAAACGAGAGACGGTTCATGCTGGTGAGCCCTCAAGCGCTATTCGGCCCATGAATGTCGCTCGTGCGGAGCCAGCACCAGCAACAGGCAGGCCAACTTGATAATTTCATCAGGTTAAAGTGGGAACATTGAAGAAATGGATTAAATACAAAACATTCAACGCTGTGATATAGCTGTCTCAGTCATAGTATAAACCTATTTGGAGGAATCAGTGGCGCCTGTCTGGGCAGTTGCAGTGCAGCAGCAGCCAGCGCGTGCGGGGTGCCAGTCTAGTAGGCTCGTTGTCAAATAGCGTAGCTCCTGCGTCCTTCCGCGTTAGAAGCAACGTCATTTAGTACACCTCAATCACCAAAAGTAAGACCCAGATAGCAATCAACGCGTACTGAGAAGTATGAGCTCAGTAACTGCGCAAGTGACGTGTCGAGTCAAGAAAGACCAGATTCGCGAATCGACATTACATATTACCGCCTAATTGGCCGATGGGATAGCTCTCGCCATAAGAGAAAGGGCCATTAAATTGGTCATCTGGCATTGTTGACATAATCGGTATCGGCAAGTTCCTTACCATGTTCGGTCAAGAGCCGAAGGCCGCATAAGGCGTGCATAGTGGCAATTTGGGACGACCAGGTCCACGTCGCATGGGTCTAGATCCAGCTATTAGAGTGTTTAGAGAGTCGTTAATAGCACTAGTAAACGTGCCGTATATTCTCGGTACTGCAAAGGTTATCCATCGAAGCAGACAAGCCCGAGCTTCCCCCCTCCGACTTCCCTGGCCCCGATGCATAAATCACAAATCCCTAAGGAGGAGACAAAGGATGCGCTAATTGAGCGATTGCGGCCTGCATAACTTAGCATACTACTATCTCGGCAGCCGGGGGGATTATACTGGGTCGAGGAGACCACCAGTGCTGGAGCACCCCCCCCCCC